TGACGCCATTGCCGAATATGAAGTCCTGAGTGAACTCACCCATAAAGAACGCCCCATCGATAGCCCTACACATTCCTCTACCATCAATGATGAGTCTGGCCTTATCATCCCGAAAAAGGCAAAACGATATGCTACCCAATCAACGACCGCTAAGGCTTCTGTAGATCATACTTTGTCTCCATTCAATACACCCACTGGTACTGCCGGCTCAAAATATGCCAGTATCACTGTTGCTGCCAGTATGGCTCTGGACGAGCCTGCAACACCTGCGCCTTCCGATGCCAACACTAGTTCGGCAACTACACCCCTTCATAGTCGTTTAACTCCTGCTCACACCGATGATATGGATCTGATAATAGATGCGGATACCACTCCTCCCAACATAGTCATGACCGCCCAGGATGGCAATGAATAATCGACCAATACGCGTCGCATCCTTAAATGCTCGCAACATTTTCAAGGATGCTAACAAATATACCCAGAAACAATATATATCCCATTTACGTTCCCCTGCTTTGTCTGTTGATATTTTATGTCTCCAAGAAGTATCCGCATATCATTCACAAGACCACCTCACAATCGATCAAATCAAATATTTCCATTCCTTCCTCTTTCCCCAGTGTGCAATCCTACTCTCTAAGTATTGTGCCATTATCTGTTTAAACCCGAAGTTATTGTTAACAGATGAAATTGTCACTTTCGATGAACGCTGTTTACAAGCGACCATCATCGATACAGTTACCCGTAATTTTATATGCTCTATCACTAATATTTACGTTCCAGCAACTACCCATGATAGAATGCCTTTCCTCGCCTCCTTGATGTCACAACCGTTTTTTACAAAGGAGGCTCCAGATGTCAGCTTTATTGTTGGCGATTTTAATATGTCGCTAGCTTCTCTATCAACCACTTCAACCAATCCTAGTTTTCATGAATGGTATCGTCACCTCACTCACCATTATGATAACTGCTTCTCTGCAAGCGTTCCTACTTTCCAGCGGGGTGTCACTCGCAGTACCATCGATTATTTCTTCTGTCACCGAAGTATTACCGCACGAGTCCTTAACAGAACTCAACGGTACCTACCTAGCGCTTGGACAGACCATGTCCTCATGATGGCTGACCTGTCACCTGATCGTTTGGACGTAGGACCCGGGGTATGGCGCTTCAACCCTTTGCTGCTGTCTAACGATATATTTGTGGATTTATTAAAGACTGCCCTCATTGAGTTCTTTGAAGTCCGTAATAATATCACCTCCAACCCACAAAATACCTGGGAGGCTCTAAAACATTTATTAAAACACATTGCAGACCTATTCTCCCATGGATCTACTGCTAAAAGGCAGACAACCATTGCCGAACTTCAACACCAACGGGAAGCCCTGCTTTCCTTAAATAAGCCAGTATTCAATATAACCAACAGACAAGTGTCGCTTATTGAACAGAAACTAGACAAATTGCAGGAAGAATCCGCGCAGCAACATCTTTTACGGTCAGCCACTCGATGGCATGAGAAAGGAGAGCGCAATAATAGATACTTTTACAGGGTTATCAAAGAAAGACAAGCACAACGAACGATTCAATCTTTAAAAAGTGGTCAAGATGGCCCTGTCTTAACTATTACTAATGCTATCCTTGAGGAAGCTCATATGTTCTATAGCAACCTTTATCGCCCTGAGCCTATCGACCTGTCGGCAGTTCAAACGTTACTCGATAATGTTCCGCAGGCGATTGGTCTCACAAACGCTCAACAGAATGATCTTACAGCACCGCCCACGTCAGAAGAACTAATTTCTATAGTTAACCACTTGCCCTCACAAAAAAGTCCTGGTTTAGATGGCATACCGTATGAGGTTTACCGCCATCTGCTTTCCTGGAACATTCCGGGCTTTAAGCAACTCTTCCTTCAAGTGTATGCTGACGCCTTTGAAAATATTTTCCCAGCCACCTGGAAACAAACTCGGATGGTCTTACTGTACAAAAAGGGAGACCCTGAACTCTTACAGAACTGGCGGCCTCTATCGATGATCAACACTGATGCGAAGATTTTCACAAAACTATTAGCTAATAGGTTCAATGTCGTTTTACCACAGCTGATTAATCGCTATCAGACTGGCTTTTTACCGCACCGACTAATCTCGGATAATGGGTGGGCTAACCAAATACTAATGTCACATTATAGCCATTGTGGTATGTCTCACCCTGCTGTTGCTGTCCTCCTTGATCAAGAAAAAGCATATGACCGAGTACATCCTACCTACCTTCAGATGGTTATGAAGCATTTCGGCTTTCCTGCTTCCCTCGTATCTTGTTTATCTAGCCTATTTTTTGATACAGAAATATCCCTTAACATCAATGGATGGTTAAGTGCTCCCGTTCGCCAACAACGTGGCCTTCGGCAGGGAGACCCCTTATCACCACTGTTGTTCAATTTAGCTTTCGAACCCTTACTACGTACCATTTTGTCGAGCCCTGACATCAAAGGCGTTTCACTGCTCTCAACCTCCGCCTCCTCTAGTCGATATGGACAACTTCTAGCTCGCAGTCTGAGTGTCCGTTTTGAACCACAGCCTTTGTTTGACTGGCAAAACCCCCCTCGTTTCAAATTATTGAGCTATGCGGATGATTTAGAGGTTTTCATGACCACACCTACGGAATGGCGTGTCTTGAAAGACCTCCTTACAGTTTATGGTAACGCTAGTAATGCCCGTGTCAATTTGACAAAAACAGAAATTGTTTCCCTCTCTGGTCATCCGCATACGGCATGGCTCCATATTGCCAATCAGGAATCTGTAACCTTTCATACAGCTGAAAGTCCATCTGCTGCCAAATATCTTGGCTATCCTCTCTTCTCAACCAATGCTCAACTAAAACACTATTTAGCTTCCCTTGAACTGAAAATAGTCCGTCACTGTAACCTCCTGAAACAACGGGGATTGTCTGTCCGAGGTGCCTCACTAGTTGTTAATCCCTTGATACTTAGTAAGTTATGGCATCTCCTGCGTGTTGTAGTTGTTCCGGTGGACTGGCTTGATAAGCTTCGTAGCATTGTCCGGTCTTTTGTGGTTCCTTTCTGGCCTGCTCCATCGTGGGAGCGCTTGTGCTCACCTAAACGTTTTGGTGGTTTAGGCTTAGTGGATCTGCACCGACAACAATTAGCTCTTCATCTTGTGTATGTTCAGCGCCTTCTACAGCCCCCTTCATCAACCGATTTTGTCTCCCCATTACTGGCACATTGTATCCAAGTGTACACCGGTCAGTTGTCCTTACTACCATGGGTTTTATCGACTGCCACTTATCGTTCATCATGTCGCTTCCTTCCGAATATGATCCACCTATGTTCTCTGCTGATGAAACTTCCTTCATCATCTCTTTCCTCCTCATGGCATGGCCGCTGGATTGCTGATTTGCCCCTTCGTAGTGCCTTACAGCGTTCCCCCTCGTTTGTAGGCCCCTTACCCGTGGATCTCAATAGCCTCCCACGGCATTTAATCGTCTCTACTGTTCTCCTTTGGTCTTCGATAACTAACTGCTTCTACACGCTAGGGTATACGTATTTTCAGGACTATCCGAAACTGAAAAGGATACCTAGTTTGCTTTTCCAAGGTGTAATACAATGGCTTCCTTTTATTCAGAACCGATTGATTGACGTCCGGGCTCCTCCTCCGGCTGCTGCTCCTACGCCCACTTCACGATGGCGTAATGTATCTTACAGCACCTTATGGTTGCCTGATATGTCCCAGTGGTGTGTACCTTCTGGTTCTCAGAACAATACCACCATATTAAAGCTTTCGCTTGGTATGCTACGGCTATACTGGCATCCTGATTATTCCGTTTTTAGTGACCCTCCTCGGATTCCTCAAGTGTTTCCTTTATGGTATCGGCCTCCGGCTCAATGGAAACGGTTCTGGTCACTCTCAATCCCTCATGCAGTGCTAACTCCATGGTGGCGTTTATGGCATAATTGCATTGGGTACAGAGCTTGGCTGTTTTCCATCAATCCTGTCATAGTTGACTCCCCTCTTTGCCGCCATTGCAGAGACTCCCCCTGAGGATGGTTTTCGTTTTTTCGTTGGTTGTCCACCTAAATGGCAATTTTGGATCACGGCACTGGAGGAAAATAGAATTATCTCTTTTCTTGCCACACCTACTGGCATTTGGCATATATTGTTAACACTTTGTTCCCCGTTAGATAATTCTCCTCTGCCTGACCACACAATCGTTCAGGTTAGTTTGATACTTTTAAGTATCTGGAAATATCATTGGCGCTGCCATTTTGATCGCATCTCTTGGTCCCTAGCAGGAGTTCGTACCGTCTACCAACACGAGGTTCGATTCAGAACACTCAATACGAGCTCGTAGTATATTTAATGGTTTCTTTGTAGTAGTTTTTATGTATGCCTTTTCTTCACTTCTTTTATTGCCACTTATCAAAATATAATTTATTGTCCGTATAGTCGCTTTTAATAAAGTACGTGAATTAAATACAAAAAAAAAAAAAAAATACGCTGTTGAAGGAGGAAATTCTGAACACAAGAATATCTTCAGCTGCGAAAATGTAAACTTAAAGGCTTAGGGAGGGCTCTTAAAGCACTAATATCCTTAAATAGATATATAAACAGAAGTAAAGGAACAGAAAATGGGTATGGCCTTCGCTCTTCCTCGAGGCTTTCCCATGCTATTGTCAATTGTTATCCCTATATACAGCCATAGGATGTCATATTTTGATTTTATACTCGCTTCTAGATGTGCGCTATGTTGACCTCATATTTTCAGTAGTATCATGGTTCAGAGTGTGAATACTGTCAATACTTTATCATTGAATATTGGACATATATTACTGGCACCATTTTAACGTTTGAGTAACGAACACTGCAAACGAAAGCATAACATACGGAGAAAGATTGATCTGCAAAAACCTAATGCTCGCTCGTTCATTCTGTTGAGGAAAATTGTGGAAACACCTCATCTATATCAATAAAATTTAAAACGCGTACTAACGCTCATAGTATTGACGGCATGACTATTCATAAATAGGTATGCCATTTAGGTGTAAACAATCTAATCACACAAAATTTACATCTTGTTGAGTATATACAGTTTACTGGAATGCAAATTATCTTTATCAACGTAATCGAGTATGATACAATATATCAGTGGTTCAATAAAATAGTGATGACATAATGCTATATATTTTTTGAATGGACCATGAGCAATACGACAAAAGTATTTTCTGGCAAAGTAATGAATCAGTCATCCTCATCACTAAAGACACGTCGTTGTTTATTCGGCCTTCTGACGACCACTTCGTCATCGTCATCCTCATCCTGTACACCGTAATCTGCTTCCTCATTTTCTTCTTCCTCCTGTTCTTCATCCTCGTCTATATCGTCATCACTATATTTTCGTTTATATTTTTCCATTCGATAACTTTTAGCCTTTGCTAATCTGTCTTCTCGTCGTCGTTCTTCCTCTTCATCATAATCCTCATCATCTACCACAAAGTCATCCTCATAACGATCCAAGCCTCTACCTTGGTTACCAGTTCCTCCTCGATGAATTGGCATTGAGTCATAATCATCCATGTATAAATCACCCCTTCGGCTGCTACCTGCCGCTGAAGAACTGTAGCGCATATCAGCTTTTCTACGTTGCAATTCCAATTTTCTCTGTGCCTTCAAACGTTCTTGCTCTTGTAATTCTAACTGCTGTTTGATGAGTTCAGGATCCTTCTCAGTGAAGAACATTTTTGTTTTATTCTTTTTGACTTGTCTGTCAGCAATTTGAGCTGTTAAATAACGGTGGGTATCGCTTTTAAGGCCGCTTGGTTTGAAGGACATATGGTCGGTGAATTCGACGTGGCTTTCTAGGGCGCCTGCGCCTGTTTGATGCGCCAAAAGGTAAGTATATTCTTGCACGCCCATAGGTTTACTACTGATATCGAAGCATTCATTTCCCAACATAAGTGACACTCTTCCGTCCTCCCATTCCACAAAATGAGCATTACTTTGCATGGCCTAATACAGTAAACATACACTTTTTTTGGTTTGAAGGCATATATATATGGAATAAATCATTATTCCTTACTTCTAATCCATCTTCTTCTTTCACTTTTCTCCATCGAATGGTGTTTTCAATTTGTTCTCTTATGGCCTCATGATGTTGTACTTCTGATAGCCCTTCAGGTACCTGTACTTCAAACTCATCCGGGTCGAATGGGTTGGTATCAATGTCTATAAACCGCGGTAATTTTGCCAAGTAAAACTAATAGCAAAAGGTCGTTTAAATTTTGCCCGCCGTTTATTTCTACGTTATATTCTTAAAGCTTACCTTCCCATTATCACTGTATGGCACAGGCAATTGGGGCATGGTCAATTCAATTTCGACGCGCTTCTTTTTGCGGGCTTGGCTACTATAAGCGCCATACTCTCCTTCATAGCCATCTTCGCCCATTTCCTCAGCTTCTTCTTCGCTCGTCACATCTTGACTACTGGATCGTCGATTCTGCGCTTCTTCTACAGCTTCATCGGCTATTTCCTCTTCCATGCGTGATCTAAGAATAATAAAGACTTAATATTTATTTGGTAACTTGACGATTCCAATAAAAGAATAAGTACCGTTTCTGTGAAGGCGATTTCCGTTTAAGATGCTCGTCGTCGTTTTCTTCCTCAGGTTCTGACCCACTTCCACCAAATAAATCTTCTAAATCGTCGTTCTCATCGTTGCTGATATTGGATGTAGCTTGTGGAAGTGGGGATGGCGAAGCTTGCTGTTGCTGCTGGTCTTCATTAGCAGATACCTGAGACCGTCCATCATCAATATCAGAAGCTTCATCTTCAGAACCAAACAAATCTTTAAAGTCGTGCTCAGACATGATAAGTAATGTATATGTTCAAAGAGAAAAGAATATATGCTTGGTGAAAGAAAAGTGACAAATTATTTCTGTGACGTACGCTTCTTTGAAAATGAAAGATCCACTTTTTAGTCTCAGCAACCTTCTACCAATAACCCCATTGGCTACAGTGCCCAACGATTACAATAAAAGGTAATCTGTAAGACGGTTTCCCGTTCTAATGCTTTATATAGTGAGATCAAAAAGTGTATAAACAATTTGGAAATCTGTATTTAGGAGGTGCATCCTTTATATATATCTTTTGGGACTTCACCAGTTCACAAAGCCTGTAAAAGCACTGTTTTTTTTTTTTTTTTCGTCTGATGTTTCAATGACTACCATAATCAAGTGATGTGTAGTTGATTCAACTCATTTTTAAACGATAGTCAGTTCTCTCGATTCAAAAAGAGCAAGAATATTTGGATGATACTTTTGCCATTCGCGAACACATAAATCTATCACATACTTTATTTGAGCAAAGGACATTTTCAAGCCAATTATGACAAATTCAACAGCTAAACGAAGGGGTGGAATAAGAAGGAGCCACTCGTAAGAGGGGTGAACCTCACATTTGGCTTTTCAATGATGGGGGTTCTCAGGAGCTGTTCATTATTTAACGCTCTTTCTACCAATGGTTCCTCTGCAGTCTTTACTACCACAATAACAAGGCTGTTGACTTTCAACGGATCCATTAAACGTCGAGAAATTATAATCATAAAATAATTCCGAATAAGGCTCAATATCCATGGAGGCAAACACACCAAAGTGAGATTCTCCTCGAAACAACCATTTTTCTATGTGACAATTCGGATGACAGCTGTGATTGATAAATCTCGCTTCAGTTCCTTTGGTGCACGCATCGATTACTTCTCCTTTGGCATAATCCAGGAAATAGAAATTCTTTTCATTCGCATACAACGTCAGCATACGCTCCTCACAGAGTTCTTGTGAAATGATCTCGCCACGATATTCAATAATCAGCTCACCCTTTTTAATCGGTTTTAGAGTACGTAAACCCCAACCACGGTTGTCTGTTTGAAATATTTGTAGGCCTTTCTTTGTTTCCTTGCGTTGGAAGCGTTGATTCGAACATTGGTCACCACATGGACAATATTTGGGATCACACTCATAAAATAACATACGGTTAAGACAATCCTCACCGCAACCTGTCCTTCCGTTGGATGGCTGAGGCCTTTCGCATTGACAGACAGCGACAGATGCTTCCGATAGGGCTCGTTGTTGATATGCAGGTTTGCGCTCGACGAAAATGTTGGATCGAATACGAATGAAACGCGGTTGACGGTCCGATCGGATAAGACCTAATTCTCTCTCTTGTAAAATGTCTGCAGGCAATTCAAAATCACGTTGTCTGGATATACTAAATTCACCTTGGTGTATAGGAAGAGGAGGAAATAGACAAGTATGCATTGTCATTGGAGTAGTATCAGCACAAGCGGTTTTGGTCGTAACTGTTGTTGCCAACTGTTGTAATATGGTAGGTATCGAGTTTGTAATAAAACGTGTTTCATCATGATACAGACCGTGCTTGAGGAATTCCTTTTTGTAATGTAGCAAAAATTGGTGCGGTATTTTTGGTCTAGAAGATTTAGCAGTAGGAATCATGTTGCCTTTGGTAGCTGATGGTGATAAATTTGTCACCTTATTCTTTGAAGTTGAAAGTTTTTTTGCTTCCGTTGCCTTTGTTGATCCAGCTACTTTTGCCCATTGTAATCCACAAGCATTGCATAAACTAAAATAGGTAGATGAAAAGAGGTCAGTTTTTTTTTGTTTTTTTTTGTTTTTCTTTTGTTCGCCGTACTGTATTTTCGTACAACACAATTCTTACGTGCCGGGACCTAATGGACCTGTGCGCCACGTAGGTGTGGTATTGCTTTGGCATCTTGAGCAAGATATACGTGGTTGTACGCAGTTTTTCAAGAGATGTGGCATCTTTTCATTGAAAAAGGCCTCCATCAGCGAGCTAATTTCTTTATCAAACATCCTTGCTTTGTCCATTTCCTCACGATTCTCATCATTGGGTATGGTGTCAGATTCGGAAACATTGGTAGTATTGATGAGGGGTTGCCGAGAGGAGCGTGTCATTCTACTTTTTGCTTTTATAGGATCAGTTGTAATGAGCGTCGTGGCATTTTCGTTTGTACTGGTCTCTACCCGTACAATGGCAGAATTGGATGCTTTCAACTTTTTTAAGGCAGGTTGTTCATTTTCTAAACTGATTCTCTTTTTTAATATTGTTTTCCTGCTTCTCTGTAATACTGCTGTTGTCGTTTTTGCCGTTGTCGCAGCAGTTAGGAGGTAGGAAGATGCAGGCTGGTTAACAAATTCAAGGTCATGCTTGGGCTTTTCACCTCGGCTTTTCCAACGTAAATGGCAAGCATTGCAGAAACTATGGGTACCAGCAAATGAGAGATAAAGTAAGTAAATGTTACTTGTATCTTTGAGGGAAGGAAGGGTGTATCACCATTCAAAGAAGCAATCTTTACGTGTATGGGCCCAACGGGCCATATCGCCACCGTGGTGTTTCCATAGTACCGCAGTTATGACACCACCTCTCAGAAGGTGTGGTAGTGGATGGTGGCTTATCTTTCGCTTTCGATTTTCTTATTGATAAAGTTGACTTATCGTTGACAGGTACCAAATTTGGAAACGCGTCTTCTGCTATTGTTATTGTTGCGCTACTGGTATTAGCAGTCATAGTTGTAGGTGTTGAGGGTTCCTCATCTATTTCACTACTCGCCGATGCGGTAGATGGTGTTGAGGAGGAAGTCGTTTCGGATGCTGAGGGTAGTTCCTGAGCTGTTGAAGATGAGACAGATGACCGAAGTTGACGTTTCCGAGTAGTGATATAGGCTTGTTTCGTTGGCATAGTTATATGAACAATATACTAAGATTCGCGTATTGGCGTAAAGAGCAGAAACTAATGGATGGCTTGATGGCTGTTCTCAGAAAGTGAGGGTGAAGGTGGCGGGGTATAAGAAACAATAGGTGTTGAATATGGGATATATTGAAACTACTGTAGCCAAGATTTTCAAAGAAACCGTTAAACTTTTTTCCCAATGGATTTCTATTGCTGAGCGGGTAAGAGCTTACTGTTATTAATAAGGTCTAATTTGAGCATTGATTGACCAACTTTTAAAAAAAGAAAAAAAGAAAAAAAAAAGAAAAAAGAAAAACGGAACAGGACAAACCTTGATTCTCTGTTTTCAGCGAATACCCAGGAACGAGAAAATTTTGGTTCCAGTGAAGCTGCCATTTGTTCATTCATGCTGCCAGTCACTCACTTTTGGGATAGAAAAGAAAAAAAGCGGGGGACTTTAGCCCTGAAATTTGGTAATTCAAAAAATAGGGAAATGGGAAAAAAAAAAAAAAAAAAAAGTTCTGGTTTGTAGCCAATCAAGTTACACATGAATGCTCTTCATGTGATGGGAAATTAGAAACAGATCGCTCCCATTCCGGTATCATGATATCTCTATGTAGAGACAAGTAAGTTGATCATTTAAAGAGTTTTTCATTGCAATTATAAGGCTTTGGTTTATTACAGAAAAGGTTTTCTATTTACAGGGAAAGAAAGAGGATATATATATATATCTATATGACTATGAGGATATGCATGCTTGTTGATAAAAAAGGAAAAATTGTTGATTTTGTGCCTGCCAAGGAAAAAAATAAAAAAATAAAATAAAATAAAATTATATGATGTGATAATTTTCATGCATAAATAAGAAGGGTGGTATGATTTAAATAAGATAATGATATACAGAGAAAGTGAGGACGAGTGAGGTAGAATTATAATAATTATAATGGACTATTGTAAGACGATGGGGCTGTTATAATAGCTTTCAAGAACTTGCGGTTACTGTCGTTGCTGGCTTTACGAACTTGAGTTTGTGTAGAAATAGGCTAGCTTTTTTGCTTGCTGAATTCGTGCTGCAATAAGGAGCTTTTTGCCAAGGCTTCAACAAGTCTTTCTTTCTTCTATCGTAAAGGTACAGATCTGGATGATCCTTCTCCTCGTCATGATGCACCTGCGGATCAAATATATACTCAACAAATTGCTCTTCTAATATATCCTTTTCAAAATAGACAATCTTTGGTGGCTCTTTGCTTATAGTGACAGTAAGTGAGGGCTTTCTTTTACGTTTACTGTGGTTATTTGCACGGCTCGATTTTCTAGAAGCAGTGTTAGCCGTTGAAGATGAGGAAGTAGTAGGTGACAGTAAGGATGTATTCTCTGATAAGAATGCTCGTATTTGTCTGATGAGAACAGTCATTTGAATGCTTTGTATAACAATGTACAGTAAGTAAGTCAGAGAAAGGAAAAGGGTTTTGTTAGAAAAGATAAAACGGGAATAAGAAAGGAAAGAAATACGATTCAAATCGTTCATGCTTTGTCTTTTTATATGTACATGTCAAAACGGATTTTCTGAAAGGAAAAGATCGTGGTGGGTGGACCTTTTTTTTTTTTTTTTTTTTTTTTTTTGTTGTTTATGTGATTTGGGAAGTACAAGAGCATGTCATTGGTTAAAAATTGATCTAACGTTTTTGGTACCGTTTTCCCAAACAACTTATAAGCCGATTGTCTTTATTGTTCAGTTTTTTTCAACCAAGGAATACCGCAGCCAATCAAACAAAATGTGGCTGGACACTTTTGCATGCAACCACCTTTTAAATCCTTACCCAATGTATCAGAGTTATAACAGGTTATTTTGCTAAATAAATAGCCACATTTTTCAAGGCAACAATAAAAGAGTAAGTCAAGTAACCTATTGTGTAGCCATCTTCCTACTTGAAGGGGGGGGGGTTTATTGAACGTTTTTGAACTAGGGTTAGAAACAGATACTACACGCACTATCTTAAAAGTCCGGCTGCGAATTAACGTTACCAAGACGGCTATTAGGCTTGCCTGGCTATTGATATAACCAGACAACTCTATACAGTAAAAAACTCATCGGGAAAAATAAACTTAAAACACGAGTATACCAGATAAAAAAATAAATCTATTCAGAAGGATGCTTGAAATGACCCTATATCACTTGATGAGCTAGCTAGCTTTTATTCATTTCAGTTGGACTGTAAGAGAATGGCTAGGCACACACAGGGCTTTATTGGTCTATTCAATACTGAGGTTGTACTTTATATCTCTCTTCATCTTTCAATAATGCCTCCAATTCCCAGGTTGTAATTCTCTGATCTATCGAGTATTCAAGGTCTTCCTTTGTTATAGAGTCCCAATATTTATAGATCATCATCACAGACAGCAGATTGAACATTGTGCCAAAGAAAAGACCATCCAAATAATGCTTCATTTGGTCACATATGGTGACTGAAAAAATGTACACTGTAATCAAACCAGTGAGGTAGAAAAGAACACCAAAAGCAATATCTCCTAGTGGCCAACGATCGTCTAATGTGTAAGCTACCAAAAAGACTTGAGATACGGTATAGACAAGCAACATTGTGCCGTTCAATATAAAATAGATGACCCATAGCTCAGTAGGTCGAGTATAGGTGAACGGCCCGATGTTGAGAAAAGTGGCAATAGCAAGGAATCCAACTACGACGAACACTCCGAGGGTGCTTAAGCGCATAAACTAAAAAAAAAAAAAAAAAAAAAAAAAAATGCATAAGAAAACGTAGTACAGCATGAATTTTTCTTGATGAGCCCTTTCCGATCGGCTGATCTTTTTTTAGTAACTAAATTTTACCCATAAGCTGACTGGTGTACCATCTTCTGCAAATTGAAAGCCAACAAACCCATTTATTAACAAGCACCATAATAATGCGCTAATTAAACCTAAATGAACAGCTGTAAAATACTGATGAAAAGAATTTGAATGGGATTAGGCACTCCCTACAATTGCAAGGAAAAAGAATACAACTCCTTGCTTTTCTTACAGGATACAATTTAGACGCTGTAGGAATGATGTTTGTGACCAATAACATCTCCAGGAATGTAGACACCAAATATAGTTGGAAGAACATGGCAATTTCTTTTCGACCTATTGAAAACCCCAAAGTCAAATGAGTGAGTATATTCACTCATTTGTCTTGAAACCTGTCATTCATTCATAGAATCGATGCTTACCAACAGCTGTATATTTCGTTTTAACGTGATATATCATTATTCCCGTCATACACATTGCAATGATATTCATTATTAAGGTCGCTATACCATGATGCTTATAAGATACTATTCCCATTTTTACATGCTTTGCAATATGACTTTTTGTTTTTTAGTATATACCGGGCTGGAAGATCAAAATGCCTGCAGCTTCCACATTTCTGGAGTAACATAACGGTTCAATGCCATCGAATGTTCCAATTAAAGGACACAACGTTAAAGCAACTGTTTGACATATTCCATCAAATTTGAACGGCTGAAATTCGAAATCAATCATCTTGATTTTCGCTATAGTTGAGGCGGCTTTACAGTGACTATAACCTTGTTATATACTGAAGGATGAAGGCGTAGAAAGAAAACGTTAAGGTTTGCATTACTATCCTTTCTAGTTCTTTTTTGCACAAAATTTCAAAGTAAACCAAATGTGTAATGATTTTTTTGAACTATCTTTTGCAAGTACTTCCCGAACATCAAAGGATACCGAGATAATAGACATTTTACCATGTCAATCGTTCGTTCTTTATCATCAAAGACAGGTGAAGCAGTTGAACTGATATTTTTGATTGCCTGATAAAGAGCTACGATTTTTGTTCGACTATTAAAAATTGTGTCTACCATTCCTAGAATAAATGAACTTGATACTATTTATCCTTGTATACGAATAGCTATCTATAACAAATTGTTGCCCACATTGTCTATCCACTATTCGCAGCATTATCTTGAGTAATATATTGTTCTGTAAATTAGTCGCATCAGGCTTCATTATTTCTCAAAGTATTTTCGACGTTACTAAACATGAGAACAATATCGACCATCATCGCTTTGAAAAGATATAGCCATGGACAATGCCTGAAATGACATTGATTTCATCGCCATTGTTTAAAAGCCGGATATGCTCTACTTGATTATGCCGAACAAATGACTATACGAAACGAAAGCTTGGCATACATTGATCTTCCCTTTTTTTGAAAAAGCTGAGAGTCCACACAAAAGCAAATACATCTTACTTGATATTTAAAAAATGAACCTCTACTTTGCAACTCACTGATGAAAGATAAAAGTCACTCAGGCTGTATAAATACATCACAAAAGTAGCCTCAGCATATTTAAACCTGCAATACATCCTTGGCCAACATGATGTCGCAAGAACAAAAATAAATCAAGGTATCGTACTTTGAAAAAAAAGATACCACTATGGTATGCTTTTACAGATGAGCTGGATAGGTTGGATAGGCTGAATGGTTGGATAGGCTGGATAAATCGGATAGGCAACAACCTATCCAAATTTAGACAGTGCGATGCCTCAGTTCTTAACATAACAGCTTTTGCTCAAAGTAATGAAGGTGACATCAACCTTTATGGTTTGGGTGTATATTGTGAGGTTTTAGGATTTTACTCCGTAAGAATACCTGCGAGCATGCGTAAGCCTTCGTGGTTAGAAATAGTTAACTTATATTTTTCACTATTTAGATGCTAAGAAAATTGGAGCAACTCATCGTAATAACATAAATTTAGGTAACATATATCAGGATAAAACATTTTATGCTATTTAAAGTTGGATAGGTTGGTGTCTATCCATTTTCTCCCAGTCTATTCAACCTATCCTACTTATCCAGTCTATCCAGCCTATCCAGCCTACCCAGCCTATATTAAAAAAGTTAAATAATCGCAGATAGAAATCAAGTTGCCTGGTCATCGAAAGATGTCTGCCTTGCAGGCCGTCCTATTCGAAAAGCACGACACTACAGTTAGCGCAACACTGAAGGGCGGGTCTTTACAATTCTCATTAGGCGGGTTTTTTTTTGGTTTTTTTTTTTTCCCAAAGGGCGACTAATGTTTTCTTCAAAGGGTAATTGCACTTTTCTCAAAAGGCGGTTTTCGATCCTCTGCAGATCTCTTTTTGACAGTTTGCGACATTTTATTAGATAAAACTACATTTTAAGCAGTCTTCAAATATGTTTTACCGAATATTGTACAGATGCTCAAAGATGTTTTGACGGAACGTTACTGCAAGCCTCAGTTATTCTTGTTGGTAAGTCCTCTTTTGATTTGAAATAGACTACGTTTGACTTATTTTTAACCATGGACCAAAATTGCTCAATAGGATTAAGCTGATGGGAATAAGAAGGGAGATAAATGCACTTAGATCCTCTCTCTGTCACCATAATATCAATTTCGTTAGATGTATGGATTGGTTCACTATCCATAGCTATATAATATCCTTTCATTTCCGGAATGCAATTCATTTCATCCATTGTTTATTGAATAAAATTCAGATAATGGCCAGTGACAGTTCCTTTGCAAGTAGGCTTTTTTGGTTTTGATGGTGCTTTTCCTTGGCGATTATCAGAATCAATTTTTAGCCTTTTGAATGTGTGTTCCTGAGGTTTCGAAGCTCCTTAACACGACATACTTCGTCGAGATTGCACCCAAAACTGTGTTTGATACTGTTATGGTGGTAGGAGTGATTATAATAGTTGGTGTGCCCTCCAGTTGTTTTTGATACTTGTGTCAGGATAAATTGCCAAGTAGAACGGCACAGATAATATGATCAACTTCTTGTCAAAATGAGTTCATCTAGGTTAAATTCGATACGACCCTACATTTAAAGCCTATAAACGGATTTTATATTTGTTTGAAGAAGGTATGGGAGCTATAATAAATACATATTTGATTATTACTATGTTAAAGAAAGGGTTTTGTACCTTGCCTAAGATACACAACGTTGCATTATATCTTTTTTTGTTTTTGATTTTGAGTTTTTGCTGCATAACAATGACATTGCTTTTGAACATCTTAGAAAGGATATTTACCTCTCTCTCTTCCGTCCACATTGTTTATTTTTTACTAACAAAAAATTCTTGAACGATAGAGTGGCTCTTTATGGTGATATAGAGATGTGGCAATAATAGATACAAAAGTTTTACAGAGGTACTATCAATAATTTCAAAAGACAAAAAAGAAAAAAGAAAACGGGTTCTTAATGGGATGACTTCAATTTTTTTTGTGTTGTTTCGCTTGATGACGATGTTGTTGGCATATTTGGGAGGGGCCTTCTCTCCAAACAGTTATCAAACCATGCAATGTCATTTTCATTGGGTTTACCTTTGGACGAAACGATTTCAAACACTTCCTCGACAATTTTGGAGCACACCCACGTAGAAAGAATAACTGGTAAGACAGTAAATCCAAATTGATCCACAGAGTTGCTAATCACTAACGTCTTGCATCTTGACACACGCGAAACATACTTGGTGGGTCTGTCGAACTCAATTAACGTGCTTGATAAGCCAGAATGAATGAATCCAACAGTGCGAATCGCCTCTGAACGATGATCAAAGTTGATTTCCTCAAGTAAAGAGTCCAACATGTCTTTCAATGTTTGTGGTAGTTTGTAAAAGCCTTCATTCATAAAGTTTGTGCCAGATTCATCCTCAATCTTCGACTTAGCTTCACTAGCACCAAATTCCAAAGGGGCAGTATGCTGATTGTTGTATTGTCTAAAAATCAAGTCGCACTTATGACCATACTTGGATCGACTGATTTTTGATATGGATCCAATCGTCCTTGCATTATTCTTCCTTTTCTTGGTCCCTAGAGAAGCAGACTCACCATCGACAGCCTCAATCTCCTTGTATTTATCGAAACAAGATTCGATCATTGACCAAATGTGGGTTTGATACCATCGTTCGTTGTGAGGCCTATTCAGATTACTATTTTCGTACTGTCGAACCAGGGAAAAGATGACCAAAGTGATCCAGTCCTCGTCAGCGCTTTCTTCTTTGTTGTAATCAGAGTGAAAGGTGTGATTATTTCTTAGAGCAGCTCGAAGCTTAGCTGTGCTGTCTTGGTTGTATTGATTCAAAAAAATTTTCAAAGAATCTGAAGGTTTTGGAAGGCTTTTCTTTTTGTAGTTTATGATTTCCTGGAGTTCTTCTTCAGTAAAGACATCGTAAGAGATGTAATTCTTGTCGTATGGGTCAATAATCAATGATCGGCTTGGATGATCAGACTCACACTGCAAACCGAACATAAACAACTCATCACCCACACATTTACTGTTATATTTGTGGTTGTTTTATGCTTAGTGAACGTGACTTATAACTTTGATATAAACTGTAAGGTGAAATGAGTCTCCTTGAGTTCTTTTATTATACACTGAAAATCAGAGAGGGAAGCGTTCATAGCGAACTGAATGTTTGTATTGACAACAAAAGAAAGAAGGAAAGGAAAGAGAAACATTAAAAAAAGGAGCTAAATACTCGTTCTTAACCAGTAGGAATGCAGCATTATGTATGCGTATGTCTTTAGAGTACAAGATGACGTGTACAACTGTTATTATGATTCTATAATCATAATAACGAGTCAAATGCTTAAAAGTGTGTCTAATTCGTCTTTATATATTATAGGAGGTATGGAAATACCACATTTACCATTTGAAAGATACCATTTGTTGTTGTTTTTTAATTTTTTAAACATGTCTTCAAATGGAATGTTATGTTCATCAATTGTGTCATTTGAAGATTCGATCTTATCTTCTTCAACGTCATCAATACCCTGTTTTGCATTGTTTACATTACCATCTTCACGACTAGTACTATTTTCTTGATTTTCAATGCCTAGCTCTGATGCGTTTCTTTTTTATGACCCCGAACGCGTATATATTCTACCTGTTCCCAATGAAGAAGTTTTCATCAATTGGTTTTGCAGTTGTTGTGCAATTTTGAGCATAGTCAAATTTCTTGTGTTCATTTTCAGTCTAAATCCTGTTCCAATTATTTTCCCCCGTATCCGCTCTCTTGAAGTATCCGCATACCATTCACAAAACCACCTTACATTCGATCAAGTCAAATATATCCACTCCTTCCTCTTTCCCCAATGTGCAATCCTACTCTCTAAGTATTGTGCTATTATATGTTTAAACCCGACGTTACTGTTCACGGATGAAATCGTACCTTCCGATGAACGCTGTTTACAAGCGTCCTCATCGATACAGTCACCCTTAATTCTATATGCTCTATTACTAATATTTACGTTCTAGTAACTACCCATAGTAGAATGCCTTTCCTCACCTCATTGATGTCACAACCTTTTTTTACAAAGGAGCCTCCAGACGTTAGTTTTATTGTTGGGAAATTTCAATATGTTGCTAGCTTCTCTGTCAACTATTTCAACCAATCCTAACTTTCATGATTGGTATCGCCACCTCAGCTAAAAATTGATTCTGATAATCGCCAAGGAAAAGCACCATCAAAACCAAAAAAGCCTACTTGCAAAGGAACTGTCACTGGCCATTATCTGAATTTTATTCAATAAACAATGGATGAAATGAATTGCATTCCGGAAATGAAAGGATATTATATAGCTATGGATAGTGAACCAATCCATACATCTAACGAAATTGATATTATGGTGACAGAGAGAGGATCTAAGTGCATTTATCTCCCTTCTTATTCCCATCAGCTTAATCCTATTGAGCAATTTTGGTCCATGGTTAAAAATAAGGTCAAACGTAGTCTATTTCAAATCAAAAGAGGACTTACCAACAAGAATAACTGAGGCTTGCAGTAACGTTCCGTCAAAACATCTTTGAGCATCTGTACAATATTCGGTAAACCATATTTGAAGACTGCTTAAAATGCAGTTTTATCTAATAAAATGTCACAAACTGTCAAAAAGAGATCTGCAGAGGATCGAAAACCGCCTTTTGAGTAAAGTGTCGAGACCGCCCTTTAGTGTTGCGCTACTGTATTCTAAAAACATACAGCACTTTCAAAGTGCGACAAGTTTTAAATTGGAAAGAGGTGTATACTCTGCCGATTGTCGAAATTGACGGATCAAAAACGCGTATCCATATACAATAGCTCTAATGCAAAACCTTGGTAATCTAGACTTACCTCCAAAGCCTTGTGCACCTTCTTAGTAACGATATACCAGTCAATACGGAAAGTTTTTTCAAAAGAACATTATCTTAAACGTAGTTCCAAATCAGCGGTCCAATTTTTTGTTGTACCTGCAAGGGCCCAGTTCCAATGTGTGGAGTCGGGGGGCAAATTGAAACCAAATGCACAGGCTGTCAGCTGCCCCTTTTTCTTTTTGCTTGTCAAAACTCGACCATTGAAAATATGAGCGTACTACAAAAAGGCTTCTTCATATCTTTGGGAACAAAGCACTTCTGCAACCGTTCTGCCTATATCAATAGCGCTCGTTGTCTAGCTACATTGCCTCCCAAAGCAAATAACGTTTCCAAAAAAGAACAACAATCCATAAGCGGATCGACATCTTCTCCTACGCCAACAACAGCATCAGCTGAAGCAGCCATTCCTCCGAAATATGGTAAATTTCGTCAACCACCAGCATCGTTGGGATCAACTGAACCACCCGTTATCGACCAAAATACCTGGTTTCAGCGTAAAAAGCAAGCACTGAAGGATTTTACGGATTTTGATAAGGCATTTGCTGCTCATGCGGCTGAACGTAGATATCTGTAAGATACGCAGAAGGCCATACAAGCATTTGCATATATATAAGACTTAAGTGTATTTCTGTACGATAGTGTCGAACAAGCTACAAAATCCTATTTTGCAGATGTCCATGGTAGCGTATGTCAAAAATATATACGAATATAAGCAAATACGGAAAATGAAAACTCAAAAGATATACTTCTAAATTGTAGAAATGCGTGAGCACGGTGGAAAAATGTATTTCGCCAGCACACAGTTGATTAAACCTGACAAAGCAGGCTATATGCCTAATTTTGAAGCACAAAACCTGTTCAGAAAAACTGTCAATACTACCGAGACACTGGTGAATAAAATCTCGTTGATGTCGTTCTTTTATAATAAATTTGGAGAGGTATACTGAATCTACCTAAAAATATGTAAGGCAGTAGGTTTTACTAAAAATTCCTTCTGTCTTTCCCACCACCGCCCTTGTTGATAGTCTCATGTAGAAACATTCATCCAGCCATTTTTAGACAAATACAGAGATACCAAAGACGTTCAGCTAGTCGAAATGAACGTCCAAGAAAACTACTTGAAGCAATATTTATTGAAAGCATTTGTACCTATGATACGTAGAAACCTGCCATTGGAACGAAGAGACAACTATTATCTACTATATCGTGATATCGGCCGTGTGCGTAAATTCATGGATATGACAAATCAACATATTGGCTATGTATTTTTAATAGATGAAAATTGTAGAATTCGATGGACAGCCCATGGGAAGGCAACAGAAGAAGAAATAGCGAATATGCTGGCTATGACAGACTACTTAAAGCAAAAGAAAGAAATAAAATGAAGGGAGATGTCTTTATAAATGAGGGAGTAGCAATAGCTTGTTTAAAGTACAATATTAACGGTATCTGGGTTGCTTATTGTAGTATATAGTGTGTATAAAATGTAAGGATGATGAAGTAAGTATTACAGATGACTTATGGTAGCAATGTCTATCACAAATGATAAACGCTGCTGTTATTATTTCTTAGATGGAGAGCTTAGTTGATCTATTTTCTGCACAAGTTCTACAATTTGTGATTTATACATCTCTTTCACGTCCTGAAGGTCTGCCTTCAATTCTTGCACTTCTTCTGTCCGTTCTCCTAACAGTTCTAGGGATGTTTGATATCTAGCATGTAGGTCTTTATATTCATGTTCCAGATCTTCCGATTTTTTCGCATCTTTCCGTAATTGATCAATTTCTTGCGTTAAATGTAAGACTTCCTCTGATAACTCTCCTCGAGACTGCGAAGCGTTTTGTAGCTGTGTTTGGTAGAAATTAACCTGATTTTCAAGTCGGCGAAGATTGGCTTGTAATTTTTCAACAAGACCAGCTCCTCCACTAATAGAAGAAGCCGAAGGTGCTGCATTGCTGTCAAAACTGGATCTCGAGTCGATGCTTGGAATACGGATTGGAAACGGTCGGTTAATCTGTATGTTGCTCATATTACTATTGCTATACACTGAAGAAGTGGGGCTAGTAACCTCCACCGGCTCTTCATCCGACACTGTAGCGGCCTTTATCGGCGAAGTTGCAATAGAAAGTGTTCCTGATGCAGCAGTTGATGCCACTGCCTTCTGCAACTTCAGTTCAAACTGCTTTCTTTCCTCGCTCAGTCTTTCCTTTATTAAACGTTGATATTGTATTTTGAGCCCTTCCTGATTCTTTAGCTCCCTTTCATTTTGTTCCTGCTTTTCCTTCATTAGCAATTCGATTTTTTCTTTTAAATCTTTCTTGATCTTTTCATCTTCTTCTGCTTGCCTTTTCAAACCATCCGCGGTAGACTGCAACTCTTTCAATTTGCACTCACTTGCTTCTAATAGCTGTCGCAGATCATGAATTTCATCTTTCAATTTGTTTTCTTCTTGCAAAATTTTTTCATGCTCGGCTTCTGCAAGTTGCATACGAACAATAAGACTATATTGTTGAACATTGGATGTTAAGGAAGAAAAAGTGTGAGTATCTTTCAAATGATACAGCTCTCATATCTCAACTACCTTTGTTCAGTTTCATCTCTGTGTTTAATAGCTGCTGCATGTTGAAACTGCAGCTCCTCTATCTGGCGTAACAAAGGGGCCGTCGCCTCTTCCACACTAATATTCAAGTCCTCCATCCTGATATCTGATTGCTGCAATTTTGTCTGATATTCAACAAGTTGTTTTCTCAGATCATCTTCGCGAGCTCCAGCTTCTTCTTCTGTATTTTGCAATTTGATCTGCAGTTCCTTAATTTCTCTCCTCAGTCTTTTCTCCATCGACCGCGAAGACTGTTCCAATGTATCGAGCTCTTTTCTTAATAAATCGTTCATGTTAGACTGTTTGTCAACAAGGATTTGACTAGCTTTCTCTGCCTCAGATTTTATTCTGGCTTTCTCCTGTTCCATACTCTCCCGTGAGTTTTCGAGCAATATCTCCGTTTCATTCAGTTTCTTCTGTATCAGAGATTTTTCAGATTCCAATTTATTGATATGCTTGGTCTGCTGTTCTGTCATATTATTCAGCAATTTAACCGATTCTTGAAGCTTTTTCTCTGTCTCATTCTGTTTCGTACTTTTTTCTATAATCTCATTTAAGCTCGTTTGTAATTTGTCAACTTTCTTTGTCAGTTCTTGGATCTGTTTATCGGATTCTAGTTTTTCTTGTCGTAATTTCTTAATGGTAGTCGAATGCTTAAGCTCGGTCTTTGATAATTTTTCTCCTTCACTCAAAAGTCCCTGTATTTTCTCATCTTTGACTGTGATTTGTTTTTGAAGGTCTTCAATAGTTCCTTCCAATTTTTTCAAGTTCTTTTGCATATTGCTGCTGACGTTTCCTGTCTGCTGCTGTGCTATTAAAGCATCTTCAGATTGCTTAAGTTTGGTTTCTAGATTGGATATATTGAGACCCTTCTTTTCTAAGTTTTCTTGCATTTGCTGCAATTGGTCATGTAGGGTAGCAATATTTTCCATAGCTTGTAAAAGCTGCTTCTCTCGTTGTTCTAGAATTTGATCTTTATCTTTTGTAGTTGCTAATTGATCTTCCAGCTGTAAGTCTTTCATAGTAGGAATAGAAGTGCTGTCACCCGATTGATTATCGATGCTTAGTAAAGTGGCAGCAGTATTCATCATTTCATTACTTTTATTACTGTCATGGTGTTTATCATTCTCATCAATCTCATCTAATGATTGATTTTGTTCACCAGTTTTGGCTGCTGAAGGTTTATCTTTCTCGTTAAGCTTTTCAGGTTGACTGATCGGCTGCACAATACCTTTCTCCTTATCATCTTTTCCATGTTTGTCGTCGCTATCTGTAAGTGTAATAGTAACAGACGGTTTGTTCTTTGTTCCTTTTTCAAAATTCCCGTTGGTTCTGATTTCATCATCTATTTGCTTGATGAGTTCATCATTGTTATCATTATTCTTTTTTGGTTCAACGACCTTTTCTTCACCTTCAGCCAGAGACTTTTCGGTGTTGTCATTCTCTTTTCGTGCCTGCTGCTGCTGATACTGCTGTTGTTGTTGTTGGCCTTTTCTCTTCCCTCTTTTCTTACGCGTTTTATTACTGCGCTGTGATTTTTGACTTTCTGTGCTTTGAGAAGGCGTGAGTTGTATGTCTCTTTCTGACTTGCCTTTTTGGTTATTGTGTTGCTCTTGCCTATCATTATTGTTAGTGATTTGCTTTTTTTCATTGGACTGATTCGCTGATTTCTTATCCTCTACCAAAGTGTCACTCTCCCTTGTTGAAATTTCGTCGTTATCATTCTTTTCTGGCTTCTCTACTGCTTCAAGCTCATTTACCGCTGTTGTTTTGACATTCTGTTCTGAGTCAACTGGCCCTTCTGCTTCGGCATCGTGGTTTTTTATCTCCTTAATGTCGGTAGAAGGTAAAGACAAGTCCTCTTTTACATCAACGTACGATTTAGCTCCTTCATGTTGATTATCAGCAGCAGTAATTTCAACAGCACTTTCATTCATGTTTTTGTTCTCCTTACTGTCATCCTGTACTGCATTTTGTTTACGTTCTTCTACAGATTTATCGCTGGGTTCGTTTTCTGAAGACACTATTTTTGACGTTTCTTCCTGTCCATTACTACCTTTGTTACTACCAAACGATGACCGCTTTGTCACCTTTTTATCTGCCATGACGGCTGCCAGTCGACTCGACAAATCGGAACTATGCCTTGGGGATGGAGTTGCTGAAGAGGAAGGTGATATTGTTGAGCTTTTGTTTGCGACACTGGCCGCTGGCGTTTTCTTCGATCGCGTTATCGTTGTGATAGCACCACTGATAGGGTCAACAAAAGTTTCTGTTTCTGAATCTACTCACGATAGAATATGGATAACATGTTTAGGTCGAAAAAGCATCATTTTGACTGGCGTATACCGATGTCTATTGGGCTCAAACAAAAGTAGTTTACCTCCATTATCATCGACCGACGAAGATGTAGGCTGATCAATTAAGAAGGAATCAAAAGTATTTTCAACGTTGGAAATGGCTTGTTTAAAATAGCCGCTCCATTTTGTAGTGGCTTCTTTGGAACCAAAGAAACCACTCATCTATGCGAAATGGATAAAAGGGTATACAGTGGTTTATGTATTAAGAAGAAACGTGTGCAAGATATAGGCTTGGGGCATTTTCTTCACCGCTTATTACGTAATACGCGCAAAAATGGTTTATCCCAACTGCTGCTTCCCCTACGCGCATTTCCTACTAAAAAATGAAGCCCCTAACTTTTTCTTTTCTCAGAAGTGCAGAAATAAGGAGTTCTTTCAATGATAAAAAAAGAGACAACATAAATAAATGTTCAGGCCTCCAGTTGTGAATAGAAAATGTTTATTAGAGTTTGCCACCGTTGATTTAATAAAAGCATGTACATATTCCAGACTTAAATCACCAGTGAAAGTAAAGCATGGTCCACGGCTAGCTTATTATGGACAGCATAGCATAAAGAGATCATTCACCACGAGTCATGCCACATTTGTTAACAAGTCTCCTTCCTCAGCCACCTCCACAACAACCTTTACCTCCAACACAGCGACACCTTTACAAACAAACACCTCGAATAACACACAGTTGAATCCGTTTTCAAAACGAATCGTACCCCTACCAGCGAAAGTTGCCGGCATGAAACTGCGGTGTAAGTCTTTTCATCGGTTAGTCGGTCGAACATCAGGAACAAGAAGCAACTGACATGTTCACTTTTATCTGCACTAGGCACAGAATTCGATCGCAACGGTGTTGTCAAAACCACTGCTGGCGAATTTCTCAAATCAGATTTCTGTCAACGCCATTCACTCCTTCCGCGCGATTTACGAACTATTGATACCTATTCTGTCTACCAAAAGCCCACCATTCTAGTTCGTCATGAAGCCATTTTAGTGAATATTGCCCACTTAAAGGCATTGATCAAGAGTGATATGGTTGTTTTGTTTGATACCTACGGCTCGACCGATAGTTACAATCAAAGTATATTCATTTACGACCTACAGGATAGGCTAAGGTCGAATAAAGAGACATTGCCTTTTGAATTCAGGTAAGCATCTTTATGCTTGGCTTCTTTCTTATGTATGCGGACCGAGCAAATGATGGAATCCCTTTCCTCTTTTTGTGTCATTTTGTTTTAGGGCGCTTGAAGCAATTCTTATTTCAGTCACCTCTTCATTACAGTCAGAATTAGATATATTAGAAGAACCTGTCAACAAATTATTAAGCGACCTGGAAGATTTGGCAGACATAGAAGAATCAATGAGTGGCGATAAATTACGAGACTTGTTGCAATTTTCAAAGAAATTATCAAAGTTTGAACAAGATGCATTGTCTATTCGAGATGCTTTAGAGGAAGTCTTGGATAATGGTAAAAAGAATTGCAAAATGAGAGTCAAGCTACGGCTTTTGCCAGATGACTTACTGTTTGACAATGTATTGTGTTTCATCACGTAGACGATGATTTAGCAGCCATGTACTTGTCAGACAAAAAAGAAGGCAGGGAACGTGATGCAGAGGACCACGAAGAGGTAGAACTTTTACTGGAGGCTTATTACAAATTAACGGAAGAAATTGCAGCGAAAGCATCTACTTTGCGTCAACACATGCGATCCACAGAAGACATTGTTCAATTGATATTGGATGTTTCAAGAAATTCATTGATGTGGTATGATATTAGGCTAACGATCATCACGTTATCGGCGACTGTCGTCAGTGGTTGGGGAGCCCTTTTGGGTATGAATTTGAAGAATCATTTTGAAATGGATCCAACAGCTTTCTATTATGTATCAGGCTTTGCTGTTTTTACTGGCGCTTGTGCTTTCGGTGTTGCACTTCGGAAGTTACGGTCTCTAGCAAAATTGAATCTGAAGTAGAAAGATATAGATTCATCCAGAAGGAAAATAAAGGAGTATGTCTTATCCTTGTTTATTATACATATATGTTATACATAGCAGTTGATGATGTACCAAATGGCTACAGATATACATAGGGTGGGGTTCCTTTTTCTTGTTTTTTTTTTTTGAAAAAAAAAGAAAAGAAAAGTAGGGTGATTACAGAAAATAAGGGTACTAAAGAGCTCGTAAAAATGTAGACTGCATATTATCATCATCATCAATATTAGGCAGTAAAGTTAAATAGTTGTATTACGCACAACCAGTACAGGACAGGGGCATTCTTTAAGGCAGGCGTCAGATACAGAGCCCAGAAAAACACTCTTTACTGCACCTAAACCACGAGAACCTACAACGAGTAAGTCGACATTATGCGCTTTAGTGTAACGCGGCAATAAGGTCTTGGCATCACCCCATAAAATATGAACTTCGCTCGAGATATTCGCCTGTTGCAGTTGATGAGACATTGCCTCTAATCTCTCTCGTGCTGTTTTACCCTGAGGATGTTGCTCCGTAGCTTTGATTGCTTCGTTCACTCTGGAAGCCGTAGTCGATAGCATCGGTAATTCTTGGCCAGCATCGTGGGAGGAGTGCGCATTACCAGCAGACTCTCTTCGATGGAATAAACCAGCTTCACTTGAGCGTTGGACAGCTGATAAAAGGATGATATGATCGGTATTGGGACGAACGACATTTTTTACAGACCAATCAAACAGTTTTTTTGCATCTTCACTGCCATCATAAGCAATGGCGACACGACGTTTTTCCGTGATAGAAACAGAAGACATTGATTCAAAGTTATTTCAATTGATTATACCTTTTCAAAGTTAAAAACCTATTAATATGTTGTTTGTAAAAATGAATTGGGGATTTGAAGGAATAGAAAAAGGAAAGCTAAAATGAGCTGATTTATAAAGGATCTTGGATAATTCATGCAAATGCTCATTCTGGTGGAGTTTCATTTTTTCGATTTTTCAGCCTGCTTAGTTTTTTTTTCCCTCCCAGAATCCCTGGAACTCTCTAAAAATGAGGGGATTTGATCAACAGCCCATTCAATGCTGCAACAATATAGCACATAATGTTGTATTTTATACACAATGTCAACAAGCATTCATATCATGTAACAGCCCTGAAAGCAGTACACCAGTAAGTTGTTGCAGTTTATAAGAAAAAGACCTAAAGTATCTAACCTATTGTATCACCCATAAGGCATAAGAAAGTCTATCCCAGCTCTCCGTGGAAGGAGGGTGTTTAAGCTTGAAACAAAAAAAGAACTTTCTGTTGTCTTCCTAAACTTATTAAAATAAAATTATTATTAGATCAATAGACTTCTTATTGACGGTAGAAGACGAGCTTTAACAAACTTTCAGGACAAGAAAAACCCATTAACTGCGCTAGGTCGTCCATTACAATTGTCAACTAACAGGTTTCACATTAATTTGTAGTTAAAATTGTTGGCATAGCCTTTTTTTTGGGTGACAACTAATCAATGTATCAATGACAAAGAGCTTCATCAGCTGCATAATGAAGTTTATTAATAATTTTTCAGCCAACATGCTCTTGAAATGGACATTGTTCCTTCGGAGCTTGATAATAAGAATGAATAAAACAAAAAAAACATCATAAACTTACTCTACTTGACTCCTAATACCATATGTTGTTTTATTATGTTTTGGTTGTGTTTAATTTTTGCGTATGAAAACATTTCGAAAGCGCGAATAGGTATGATTTTTTTTGTGCAGCTCGACTTGCTGAACTCATTGCGGACCTGAGTTTATTGAGCGAGGGTGGGGATTGTCAGTTACAATTGATCTGACATACTCGATCTAAGCGAAAATTTATGATTAGCCACTATGTTATGTTTGTTATTTTCATATGCAACATTCTATCTCATTTTGCTTATATAAAGCGAACTGTGGTCTGCGTATAGGGGAATCACATCACTATTAAACGAAGCAGGACTTTTTTCCATTCCTTTTCCCTTTTTCTCTTATTATCTCGTTTACCCCCTCCCCATCATTGGCAGTTTATTGCTTGAATATATATTCATCTTGTAAGCTCATCATCCGCTACAAAGACAAGCAGTAGATGAATCACTAACTATTGCAAAAACCGATCTTTATCCTTTACATACTCTTGAAGAAGGCTCGTTTAAACCCTCTTACATTCTACCTCCCCATCATCCGTTTTCAAAGCCAACAAAAGAACACTTTGACCGTCGGTACGACAGCGTAAATCTCCTGTTATTAACACCATCATGACGGAAGCCACCGATAATAATGAAAGCAGCAATGACCTCTTTGAGGACTATGAACGTACAGCTTACAATAAATACTCTAGCAACCATAAGAAGCAGTTTTTTAAAAACTTGGCCAACAAGAAACTGAGTGTAGCGGCAGCTGCAGAAAAGTCAAATGTCATTCCTAGGACGGCCTACTCATGGATCAAAAAGGAAGAGGAAGAACGCAAGAATCCCGCTATACTACAGATCATTGCAGAAAGGAAGCAGCGCTATGCTTATCGTCGTAGAAGGAAAGAAAATGCTACAAAGAACAACGGTAAGAGTGAAGAAAACAGTAGTTGAAGATATTTTGAATTAAAAAACTCTTCATTAACAACGTTTTGAGTGAATACGAATGACAAAGTCAACCATGCTACGGCAACACATTCTTTGAGTTATACGTATGCTGCGTCTGACATTGATACGGTAGCTAGTAACCCAAGACATGAAGATAAAGATGTTACTGCCACCACTGCTACTGCTGGAGAATTAGCAGAAGTAACTACACCTGTTTCGCCCATACCGATAGCCCTCATAGCACCTACTATTAGTAATAGAAAAAGAAAACCTCGTACAAACATCAACCGAGCACTACCAGAAAAAGCCACGTCCATCGCACTTACTACTACCGCCACTTCAGTCGCATTGACAGCAAATGCCGAAACAAATGGTAATCTAGGTGTAAAGAGTGCTTCCCCTTGGGCGAACAGTCCTATCACTGCTGTTATAACGAGCCCTGCTTCCGTTATTGACTCTTCGTTTATTGCAGGAGCAATCGATTGCAATAGCGTAAGCCATAGTCATAGTAGCACTCGCAACAATGCTGAGGCCTCTGTGCAGCATTATACTTATGATATTCACCACCAACAACATTTAGCCTTACCACCTATTACAACAGTTATGACAACCCCTACCTCTGCTACTTCACCGTCGAGCGCTCATAGCAAAGGTAAAATGGTAGTCACTCTTGAGAAAGGCGATTATGGCAGCAAAGGCAGTCAGGAAACCACGCTTGATCGTAACGTCTCCCAAGATGAATTGTCGCTAAACTACTCTCACAAAGACTCGTCTTCTGCCCTTATCACTTCCCATTCCTTTTATTCTGAACCATCTACTACTACAACGCTAGCTAAAGACACAGAGATCACTGGGCCTTTGAGCTCTGTCATTAACACTGATTTGCTGAGCGAGGAATTGGTAAGAAGAAGAAGAATCGTTAGTCTACAACAAAGAGCCTTGAAGCAAGAGCAAGAAAGAATTCGGTTATTGGAGCAGTTGATTCGTCTAGGTTGAAACACTTCTCTCCTTTTACTTGCACTTGTGCTGCCTTTTAACAATAATACTGCAACATCTGTTATGACAGAAAACGTCAGGAACTTTCGCACATTATGAATATATCTTTATTAAGGGCAGAACATTGAAATGGAAGAACTATGCTATAAATCATGAAACAATAGGGAACACTACTGTATTTTTCCCCTGTCCTACCAAACACAAATGACCACCTCTTTTTCGAATGATGTCTCTAAAATGTGTCAAGCCATTTAATTGTAACCAATGATGTTGCTCAATTGTGGCACTTGGTTTTTATTGATATCATTTGTTTATAGAAATTGACTGTTGCAACACAATATGTCAAGACGATGATTTCTTGATTTCTTTCAATCTTTCTGACTGTTTACACAGTGAATCATTTTTAAATTTGACAGTTCCCTATCATTTACTACTACCTATCAAAATTCGTTTCTTTTCAGGTTTATTAGCGACTGCCCTAGGTGGCAGCAACAATCGTCTGGAGATTCAAGACGAGAGGAAGGGTATGATTGCTCCATTGAGCACGGGGGGGGCAAACAAAGGAGTGATCAGTCAATGAGCAAGTTTTTGACAGGGCATTATGCTTCTTAAAGTTGTTTCTCTTTCACAATTTAGACTCATGCGAGTGATTGGCAGAGGTGCTTTTGGAAAGGTGATTTTTTAAAAAAGACGGAAATAACGAAACCCAGAAAGGATTGATTCAACCCGTCTATTGCTTTCAACCAAAGGTTCGAATAGTCGAGCACCGAGAGTCTCGAAAATTATACGCTTTAAAATATATAGACAAAGAAGAATGCATCCGACTGGACGCTGTCAAAAATATCATTCGGGAACGATATATTCTTGAAGAGTTGGACCACCCTTTCTTATGTCGTCTGCGTTTTGCATTTCAAGATAAGCATGTCATATATATGGTGACTGATTTAATGTAAAAAAAGGGAAAACATTCTGCTTAAAAACGGGAAGATGATTGCCCGTAATTGAACACTTCATTTCTATGTAGGCTCGGCGGGGACTTACATTTTCATTTATCACGGCAGACTCAATTTTCTGAAAATGTAATACGATTTTGGTTTGCTGAATTGGCTTCTGCAGTTAGATATCTGCACATGAAGGGGGTTGTACACAGGTGAGGCAACCCTATTCAACCAGCATATGCAATGAGCAGACAATGATATTCACATTACTTTTGAAAATAGAGATATCAAGCCGCATAATATATTGATGGACGATCAGGGGCATGTTCATCTGGCCGACTTTAATATAGCGACTCATATTCAACCTCATAAATTATTGACATCTAACTCAGGGACAGGATATTACATGGGTAACGTAACATCGAATTCTATGAAACAGATGTGATCACACCAAACAAGCCCTTAATGACAGGTTTGTCCAAATGATAGCACCTGAAGTCTACAAAGGCGGTGGTTACAATGAAGCTGTTGACTGGTGGAGTCTAGGTGTAACTATGTACGAGTGTGTTTATCGCAAAGTAAGTGCGTATAACTTTAGAAAAAAGAAATTCGTTCTACGTCAACGGCAACTTGTTTGTAATGATTGACTTGATTTACTGTTACAAAGTAGAGACCGTTCGAATATGATAAAGCAGATGATCTACATTCTGCTATACGAAGAGGCCGTGTTCATTATCCAGTATTACCTGACCGTCCTATATCTGATGAGTGTCTTGCGGTGCTACAAGGGGTAAATCTCTCATTTACCACTTAGGAAAATCGAAAGAAACCTTAGAATAACTTCAACGCGTCAGATGTGCTTTCTTTTTTAGTTTCTAGAGTTGAATCCTAAAAAGCGTTTGGGGTACGGCGACCTTGGCTGGGCAGCAGTAGTACGACATCCCTTCTTTCGCTCCATCAACTGGATAAAGTTAGAAAGCAAATTATTAATACCGCCCTTTAAACCTGCTACAGGCAATAACTTTGATCTCACCTATGATCTGGAGGAGTTATTGTTAGAACCACCGCCTAGAACATTTCATACTTTAAAGCGTCATAATAAGAGCATGATGGCCAACAGCAAAGATAAGCTGGATTTATTGAGTAAAGAAGAAAGGGATCTATTGATGATAGAGGAAAAGTTTAAGCATTTTGACTTTACAATATTCGAAAAATATGAAGGCTTTAAAGACCCGGTAACGATGACAGTGGGAGATCCTCCAGAATGGGTTAAACCAGCTTTTGAAGGAGCAGATCAAGGTGATATTTTGCCCATTAAAAGAATTACAACCATACGAGGGCTTGACTATTCACAAAGTGAGTATGATGCTGTTCAGTCAATTGACCAGCAGCAGGAGTATGGTCATCTTCCATGGCGCGTGTCTGGCCGATCAGCTTCCGTTGGTAATTTAACCAGCAATAATAGCAATAATTATTTTCAGACGGTGCTTCAGCACGGCAACAGTAACGTGAATAGATATGATCCGTCGACGCTAGCAGCGAATCATCGGAAAAGGAGTAGTACAGGTACACTTAGAAAAGCAAGTACAGTAAGCCTGAACGTGATGGAACATTATCATCCCACTAATAATAGCCACCATGAGCTGTGTCTCAACTCAAAAGAGTCATCCACAAGCTTGAGTGAAGAATATGCTCTATCTTTACAAGGCTTACGGAAGAAACAAAGTACAAAAAGTTTTAGAGAACGTAGAGAACGAGACCGAAAGAGTTTACAAGCACACCACCAACAACAACAGCAGCAGCAAAAATGAGCTCCTTTGTGCCTTATTTTGTAATTGCTCACTAATGTATGTATCGTATTACTTGCTCATCACTGTTCGTAGCTTGATGAAATGTTTCAACTATTTGTTAATAGAAACCTGTTTGGCATCATTAAATTTATCCTGAATGAATGCTGCATCATGATATTTTTACATTGTCCTTTTTGTCATTAGAAGTAATTATTCATACTGTTAATATTGGTAATATACGTGATGTTGAGTTCGGAGCCAAAATCACGTTTCCTGCAAGTGCTAAAGTTGACTTCTTGTAAGGCAGAGAAGACAAGAGAAGGGAGAAAGTGAAGGCTAGGTCAAATGTATATAAATTTTTATTAAAGTCTCTCCAAAATAGAGTGATTGTGGACTATCTCTACGTATATCATTCAATCTTGTAATGTCACCATCAAACATGCAAAAGACTACTATCAGCCCTTGTATATTCATTGTATGCAATTCATACTGTTCAGACATAATACTAAACGATGCATTGGAGATAACCCTTCAAAGGTGTTCATCCTTCTACATTAAAAAATCAGACGTCTGATCAATCTGGTTATCGACAGCTGTTTCATAGTACTGTTCCAGTTTTGGCCTTTCGGAACATTTTCTTTTTTGAAATGATCGATGCTTGCAGACCTGCGCTTACAAACGAAGATTTAATTTTGATACCTTCTCTATTTATCATTTTTGCATTTTCATCACTTACCATGAAGTGGACGATTGAGAGGCGTTTTCTTCAGTATCAATGTTGTTTTCTCCGCACCATCCCACCCAGTTTCTTTGATTATGCAAAGCATTTTCGCGTAATTGAAATTAATTATCTTGGTTCGTGTCACCTCCAATTATGAGAATGGGCCCCGTGCGAGTTGAATACTAGAATATGCAAGCTGAATTTAGCAATGTCACAAGCAAACGACAGGAAAGAACTTTATGAAGGGAAGAAGGTAGTAATATTCCCACTTCCTGCCGACATCAAGTAGCGACTATCATTATAGCCTTTAGAAGCACAGAGGATATACTTCAATGAGAAATGTAAAACTGAATCCGTTTCTTAATCCTCTCTCCTTTTTCCCCGTATTACATGCTTTGAAATTTGCTACAAAAACAACAATACCCTTGCATAAATTAAACAGATTATCATATATATAAAGTCTTATTAGCAAAGTGTTTGAATTTGTAAAGCATAGGTTACAGTTCTTCATTACATAGTTGGATTCAAAAGTATGAACAAAGAACGTCAACTGCAGAATAAATTGGGCGAGGAATGAAAGAAGAAAGCAAACAGTAGCAGAAGAACACTGTTAGTTCAACTGTATATTTAAAGGGGATACGTAAGGAAGTGAAGGGGGAGGGTCTTAGTCTATGATAGCGATTTATCAGTCGATCCTCATCCATTCCACTAAGAAAAATACTATAACAAATAGACTGTTACAGATGAAGTACAAGCTATATGCAGTAACATGTTAAAACTGAATAAAAGCTAATCAGCAAATACGCATAATGATCGTCTATGTTTTTACTATGTTCCTTCTATGGACACAAATAAGAAAAAGAAAGGAAACAAAAAAATGTAGGCAAAGAAGAAAGGAAAGTGAATCAGGGAAAAAAAAAAAAAAAAAAAAAAAAATTAGAATCGCTGCGTGAAAAAAAAAAAAAAAAATAGTTTTTCATTTTATTTTTTTTTTTTTTTTTTTTTTTTTTTTCTCTTCACTATAAAAGAGACTCTTCCTTTCATTGCTTTTTCTTTTTATTTTTATTCTACTTTTTATTTCTTTTCTTGTCTTCAATTTTAACATAATTTGATATCTTCTAAACCTGCTTTTGATCGTGATATGGTTATCGCTTATTCTTAAGTCAAGCCTTCCGTTATCTCCCACCTCAACTTTGTTCATTAATTTCATTATCCCATTCTTTGTACATACTCTGATCCTATTCGAGAAACCATCCTTTTTCCAGAACCCATTTTATGTCAAGACCTAGAAAACAGCAGCAAAAATATCATCTGGGCCGCATTTCCAAAACTTCCTCTACTTCGCCTACATCTATTGATGACAATAGCACATCTGATGCTGATGATCATAGCTCTTCGAACAGCGACATTATTCGTTGCGTATGTGACGATTCAAGCGATGACGGCTTCATGATTCAATGTGAATTATGTGACGAGTGGCAGCATGGTCATTGCGTGAATATAAGGAAAAGCAACGTCCCCAAACATTATTATTGTTATCGTTGTGCCAGAAATTTCAACCATCCTACTGGTATGGCAAAACGTCGTAGAGCTGTATTCAATGGCGATGCTGCGGGTGCAGATAACAAAGGTATGAAAGACAGAACCAATAAAGACATTCAAGCATTATAAATACTTGATCAGTAATTAATACGCTATTTTCTTTTTTACAGGAAAGAAAAGATTTGTCAAACGTGATAAAGTCAAAAGTCTTGTTCTCAAAAAGAAACGAAACGACAGTGACAATGACAGTAGTGATAACAATAGTAAAAGTGGCAGTGATATTGACGAAAATGAAGCGGTTGCAAGCAAATCCGGTAAACTTACAGCAACGAAACGCAAGAAAAAATTTACTTTTCTACGTAAAAGTATCTTCAAGGAAAAGCTAGTAGAAGACTTGTTGATGGAAGTACATCGACAATGGATGGAGCTGAACAAGTCAATCAGGCACGGTGGACTGACCGGTGTTGGAATCCCCACTTCTTCAACGAAGGGACTCAACTCCATCGTTGTCATGGAAAGCAATTTGCTAACGCCAGCCATTCCCAAAACGTCTGTGCGACCTTTACGCAAAGCATTACGCGGTTCTTATTTTCAGCAACAACAACGGGAGCAAAAAATTCATCAAAATCCAGTTGCAAAGGGTATATTTGCAGACATTCATATACCTGAGAAGCGCTATCTAATGGAAGTGACAGGAGAGTTGATCAGAAAGTCTGAATACAAGAAAGATGTGGATAATCATTACGCTTTGCTGGGTACACCTTTACCGCGCGTCTTTTTCTATCAAGCTCTTGATATCTGTATAAATGCTCGGTTTGCCGGTAACGATGCTCGCTATATCCGTCGTTCTTGTTGTCCCAATGCAGAGATCAAAAGCATTATTCTGCCCAATGACAGTGATGATCAAACAATTCATATGGGCATTTATACAAGCGATGAAGTAAATCGTGGAGAAGAAATTACCATCGGCTGGAACTGGCATAAAGGCGTGTTAATGTGGCAAAAGAATAGGGAATTCCTACGAAGGAATTACAGAGTCAATATTGAAAAGTCAGAAAGGAAAGCCATCAGGGAAATTTTGGATTTCATTCAAGATAAATTCGGTGAATGTGCTTGTGAAGACAAAGATGAATGCTTGATCGAATCCTTGAAGGATCAACTTGAGGATATGGATGACAGCAAGGACGGCGAAATCGACGAATTTAAACAAGATAAAATCTCGGATAGTGAGGAGAAGCCACAGAAACTGACAGGAACTACTCAATCTATAGCCAACAAGCAACAACAACAACAACCTTCCCAGCGATCTCTTAAAAGATCAACTCCTCCTGTCATTCGAAAACCGCCAAAAAAGCCAACTCACATTCATACAACAACCAAAAAAGAAACACGTGCCACTGATATATTCTCTTCAAGCGATGAGTCCAATACGCCGACTTGGACAACGACTACAACATTAGCTACATTCAACACAGCAACTCTCACGAACGACACCATGGATACTGACATCAATCCAGGTAGTCCGCTTACCTCTTTTTCCAATATCGCTTCAGAGGTGGTTGTGAAGGAAGATGCGGCATTCAAAAGCGGCACAGACACTATCGTCAACACTTCTAACACCATGGCTCGTTTACCTTGTAAAAAACGTTGGCTACTCCATTATCTTGCCGAGAAAAAAAGAATAAAGACATCTACAACGCAGCAGCAACTTTCACCTGTTGTCCATAATGATATACCTCCTACAGACTCATCAGAATCGATGATTATACCAGTAACTGATAACACGAGCAATAATTTGTCTGATGTAGGTGAACTCAGCGACGGCACCAGTTCTGAATCTACGCTACCACTTGAAGACACCCCTACTTCACGTCATCTAGAGTTTAATACGAAACAATCTCATGGCAATACCACAACAACTACGACGGCTACAGCCACACAAACAGCATCCGCAAGCACTGTAAATAATACCACGACTATTACTTCCATAATGGCTACGACAACGAATAACACTTCAGCGCTCGATGCTTCAGAAATAATTCATCAAGAAGCTATTACAGCGGAAAGGGTTTCTATTGCTACAGACGACCATGACCATGTGCTTTCCAATGGAAATAGCAATCGCATCAATAGTATGGTTGAAACAAGGACAACAGAGTCAGATTCAACTACTACTTCCACCCAACAGCCCGTCGTAGCGAAACAAGCACCCAAGAAGCTTACCTTACAAGAGTATCTCAGCATGCGTCAGGCAAAGTTTTCCCCTGCTTCGACAAATGTGGAAGGAAAATAACCTACAGTAGATAAGTCAATAACCGATCAGTTTACTTTCATTCTATTTTGCTTTTCTTTTATTTAAAATATGTAGTACCCTACTATTATATCCTTTAATGTTTCTTCAAATGCCATGTATATATGTATACGATACCTCATTCAACTAACATCTACATGAATCCGCTCTTTTTACATTGTTTTCATTCGAATGTATAAAGGATTTATTTGCATCCTATTTTTACGTGTAAAAGCGTCATTGTGAATAGACGACGTTCTTGATCAAACCAAACGGTTTTAGTGAAGTAATGCTACAATGGCAAAGTGAAATAATCCAGGTACTATCACAAAGAACACTTATTGTGTCGTTCTTTTACCCATTGTGCTTAAATTTATACAGAATGTTGCAAATATTTATTCATAGCGTCCTGCCATATAAATGATCTCTTTTTTTGTTTTACGAACGATAGTCAGCATTAATACTAACATATTCATGGCTTAAATCACATGTCCAGAACTTAGTCTCACTCTTGCCTAATCCAAGGTCAACTTCGATTTGCAAATCTTCCATTTTCAAAATTTCTGCAGCTCTTTCTTCATCAACGGTTTCGGGCTCACCTTTCACCATGAGTTTCAAGTTCTCGCTGCCATCAGCAGGAACAAATGTGACACTGACTTTAGCAGGATCGAAATCCAATCCGCTGTGTCCGAGACTGGCGCATATTCTACCCCAGTTTGCATCCTGTCCGTACAACGCAGATTTGACCAACATAGAAGTTGAAATATGAGAGGCTGCTTTCTTGGCTAATTCAAATGATTCGCAGCCCTAGTTGTTTGTTTAATAAAAGAATCATCGTCAATGCTTGTTCATTCATGCTGGATAGGAAGGTTATTTTCTGTTTTGCCTTTTTACCTTGACATGAAGAGTAACAAACTTTGTTGCACCTTCACCGTCCCTGACTACTAATTGTGCCAACTCTGCCGCGAAAGAAGTCAACGTATCCCTAAATACTTCATAATCTCTTCCTTCTGTCTCTATCCTCACTTGACTTTGACCATTTGCCAACACAGAAATCGTGTCATTGGTACTCATGTCGCCGTCCACACTGATGGAATTGAAACTTCGGTCTACGGCGTGAGTTAATGCTTTCTTTAGCAAATCGGGTCTAACATAAGCGTCCGTGACCATGAATCCTAACAAAGTGGCCATGTTGGGATGGATCATGCCTGCACCTTTGGCAATACCAGCTATTCTGAAACTTTTCTCTTGGGAAGATTTGAATTCTCCACTTTTTAACTTGGGAAAAGTATCCGTGGTCATAAATGCTTCAGCTGCTTTCATCCAGCCTTCCTGATGATCGGCTGATAACTCTGTATAAGCATTGCGAATACCCCGTTCAACTTTTTCCATTGGTAGTGGCTGGCCGATGACGCCTGTTGACATAGTTAGGGCTGAATTTTTTTGTTGGACGAGTTCATCAACAATAGACCGCATTTTTTGAGCATCTAGCAAACCTTGCGATCCTGTCACAGCGTTAGCGCAGCCTGAATTTGTTACCACTGCATATATTTGATCGTTATTGAGAGAAAGTGTTTCTTTACTGACGATGACTGGAGCTGCTTGGAACTTATTCGTGGTGAAGACAGCTGCGGCTGTGCAGGGCGTATCAGACACAATTAAAGCAACATCTTTGTTTTTATTTTTCTTGATATTTGCAGCAACACCACTAGCGCGGAAGCCCATAGGGTATATGCCAGATTTAGGAATAAAGGACTGCTTACGAGTGCTAAGATGTTGATAGCTTGATTGTATTGATGTTGAAGAAAATCGCTTTGCGAGCCATTGCTTTGAGCAATTATGCTGTTGCTGCTGTTGGCAAAAGAGTTTACTATTGCGGACAATTTGGCTGGAACGAAGCATGCTTACTTTTATAGTAGACGAAAGAAAAAATTTCAAAAAACCTGAATGTAGGCCGGAAAGTGATATAGCACTGAGAACAAAAAAAAAAAGAAGAAAAAAAAAAAAAAAAGAAAAGACAGAGTAGTTGGTATTCTGTTGCTGTCAACTTTCTATAGAAGTGCAAAAGGTGCCCTGAAATTTCCGGGAGAGTATTTTTTAATTGTGATCTAACAACTGTGAGTTGCACTGACTCACTTTTGGTCGGTGAAACAAACCTAAAATCGATTTAACTATCGTGGTTAATTTTTCGTCAATATGTACTCTAATGAAAATCGTAGGGCAGCTCTTGCAAAGCTGAATCCTTTAATCAATATTAACCATATTGACATATTTTGGCTGTATAGTTCGGCGGAGAGGTCATTTGAAAATATCACTCATTGAAGGAAGAAGAGGAAGAACCCGAACATCTGCACTACACACACTTTCCTCCTCTATTTTTCATTGTTTGGTAACCAACTAAGTTTAAGTCTTGGCACATGGTTGAACTGTCTTTTTCAACTTGGAACATAGCTTCAAATTAAGCTGTTTTGAAAGCTAAGGTATCGAAAGAACAGACTTTGGCTTTCAAAAATTGGTAGAAGGGGAGCTGTTAAGAGTAAATTTGAACTGTAGCCAAAAAAAAAAAAAAAAAAAAAAAAAAAAAAAAAACTAGAAAGATAAATAAATGCTAGTAGCACTGTATAAATGGCTTGTTTTTTTCTTTGATCTGTACTCTGTCGTAGAAAAATGATCATTGTGATGATGGTGATTTGAGAAGCAAGATAAGAAGGAAATCCGAAAACACGTCTGTCACAACTACACGATCCAAAAGTTCGTGTTCCGCGTTTTCGTATCCGCAGATGTGTCAATCATTTTGGGCCTTTTTTCACTATAAAATTTTCTCGCTCCATTCTTTCGTCTTTTATAAACCTACACTATAAACGATCATGGACGATTCTCAACCCAACGATATTAAAATCGCTTCTCAACCATTTGAACCGGGCACGGCTATCAAAAAGAGAAAGATCGCTCAAAACACTTTGCTTAACAACAAAAGTAAGGAGATCAGCGGAACAAATGTTCCTTCAGCATTTGAAGAAGAGTTAAAAAAGATTAATGACAGTATGGACGTCGATATTAAAAGTAAGCAAATAAGATAAAAACGGCCACATACATGTCGAGGGAACTTTAGCAATACGATTTTCTTATACACCATATTCATACAGTTGAGAATACAGAAGCCGTTTGGAAACGTGCCGCTGCACCCTTACTAAACCTAAAATCAGATAAAATTGGTACCTATTTTCACTATAAAGATTTAAGTCTCTGTACAAAGATTTAAAATATTGAATCCTGTTGCTCACTTACCACAGTATTTCAGCAAATTGAAGTCGATGATTACTTTGATTGGAATGTTAAGGAACCTGTCATTCGAATGTACGGTGTCACTGCGGTATGTTGACTTAAAAATATATAGCACAGGTCTCGTGAAGCATGCTTTTACTGATTTTTTCCCTTATAATTTCAGGAAGGAAATAGTGTGCTCTGCCATGTCCGAGGCTTTTTCCCATATTTTTACTTCCCTGCCCCAATAGGTTTTCAACGCTCACATTTGCCAGCACTTCAGAAAGCATTGATTGTAAGAGCCATTAGGATAGCTAATTATCAAATCTATTTACTGACGATCAAACTTTCAAAATATTATCTTTATAACCTGCCTCAGGCTAGCGTTGGTAAAGGAGATGTCGTGCACAATGTCGAAATTGCAATGAAACAAAGCATTTATGGATACCACGGAGACATCAAATCACCATACATTAAAGTAATAACGCGTGACTCTCGAGATATATCTAAATGCAAAAACGCCGTAGAGAATGGGTTCCGTATTGAGGGATTAGATCGTCCTTGCCAGTCTGACACAACATTTGAAAGCAATTTGGGATATGTACTTCGATTCATGATCGATTGTAAAGTGACAGGTTCTAACTGGATCGAAATACCTGCGGGAACCTACGAGCTATTTCAGAACAAGACATCCACGGCTCAGTATGAAATACAAACAAAATACAATCAGTTTATTAGTCATGCTCCTGAAGGAGAATGGTCACACATGGCACCGCTTAGAATTTTGAGTTTCGATATAGAATGTGCTGGTAGAAAGGGTGTCTTCCCTGAGCCCTCCATCGATCCTGTTATCCAAATTGCGTCTATTGTTCAAAATCACGGTATTTACTTTTATTTATTTTCTTTTTATCGCACATTATTAATGACTGACAATTATTGCTGCAACATTTCTATTTCTTAGGCCAAACGAAACCGTTTATTCGCAACGTCTTCACTCTAAACAGCTGTGCTCATATTGTTGGCTCCCAAGTACTCAGTTTTGACGATGAAGCAGAACTCTTGAGAAAGTGGAGCGAATTTTTCCTTGATGTTGACCCGGATGTAGTTATTGGCTATAATACTACTAATTTCGATATTCCCTATTTATTAGACCGTGCGAAACATCTTGGGGTCAACAGTTTTCCTTTCCTCGGCAGAATCAAAAACATTAGAACGGAAGCAAAAGACTCCAGATTCTCGTCGAAAGCATACGGTACACTTGAAAGTAAATCTATCAACATGGAAGGTCGTTTGCAGTTAGATGTGCTTCAAGCCATTCGCCGTGATTACAAACTACGCTCCTACACCTTGAATGCGGTTTCTGCTGAATTCCTAAAAGAGCAAAAAGAAGATGTACATCACTCTATTATTACAGAACTTCAGAACGGAAATCCAGATACGCGTCGTCGTCTTGCTGTTTATTGTCTGAAGGATGCTTTCCTACCAATGAGATTAATGGATAAACTCATGTTATTGGTTAATTACACCGAAATGGCAAGAGTAACTGGTGTGCCTTTCAATTATATTTTGGTGCGTGGTCAACAAATCAAAGTTATCTCACAATTGTACCGTCGTGCACTAGAAGAAGATCTTGTGATTCCTGTCATCAAATCTGAAATAACAGAAGAACAATATGAAGGTGCTACTGTCATTGAGCCCGAAAGAGGGTATTATGACGTCCCCATTGCCACGCTTGATTTCACTTCTTTGTATCCGTCTATTATGCAAGCTCATAATCTCTGTTATACGACTCTGCTGAAACCCGACATGGTGCGCAAACTAAACATGGTAAAAGATGTTGATTACATCATAACTCCCAACAATGATATGTTTGTCACAGTTGCTCGTCGAAAAGGTCTTCTTCCCCAGATTTTAGCAGATCTCTTAGCGGCTCGTAAAAAAGCTAAGAATGACTTGAAGAAAGAAACCGACCCTTTCAAGCGTGCTGTTTTAGATGGTCGTCAATTAGCCTTGAAGGTCAGTGCTAACTCTGTTTATGGTTTTACAGGCGCCACGATTGGAAAACTGCCTTGTTTGCAAATTTCCTCTAGCGTTACTGCTTATGGTCGTGAGATGATCTTGAAAACAAAAGAAACGGTTGAGCAAACATTTACCAAGGCAAATGGCTACGAGCATGATGCTAAGGTTATTTATGGTGATACTGATTCTGTCATGATCAAATTTGGCGTTAATAACTTGAAAGAGGCGATGAGGTTGGGTAGAGAAGGGGCAGAGCTTGTGACCAAGGAATTTATACGACCTATCAATTTGGATTTCGAAAAGGTATATTTTCCTTATTTGTTAATCAACAAGAAGCGATATGCCGGGTTGTATTGGACAAGAGAGGATAAATTCGATAAATTAGACGCTAAAGGTATCGAAACTGTGCGTCGCGATAATTGTCGACTCGTATCAAATGTTATCTCCAACTGTCTCGATAAACTTTTGATTGAAAGAGATGTGGAAGGCGCCCAAGTTTATGTAAAGCAGACAATTGCAGATTTACTACAAAATAAGGTCGATCTCTCTCAACTCGTCATCACAAAAGCGCTATCGAAAACAGACTATGAGAATAAACAAGCACATGTAGAGTTAGCAAAGCGCATGAAAGAGCGTGATGCAGGTTCAGCGCCAGCTTTGGGAGACCGTGTTGCTTACGTTATTATCAAAGCCAGTAAAAATACACCAGCATACAAGTGTTCAGAAGATCCGTTATATGTTCTCGACAACAATATTCCCATTGATACCAAATATTATTTAGAAAACCAGTTGTCGAAACCGCTATTACGTATCTTCGAACCTATTTTAGGCGATAAAGCTCAAACGCTATGTAAGTCAAACAATCTACCTTTTGTATAATTGTATGTAGCTTTCTAAGCTTGAGTCAAATATCTAACGTCTCTCGTCCTCTGAACTTGGTTTTATCAGTAAAAGGTGACCATACGCGTACAGTTAATATTGCTTCGCCAACCGTTGGCGGTTTAATGAAATTTACAGTGAAAACCGCAACTTGCTTGGGATGTAAATCACCTTTACCGAAGGGAGATAATTCAGCCACTTGTAAACGATGTATGGATCGTTTGCCTGAATTATATCAACATCAGGTAGAAGTTGTGAAGGATCTAGAAGTAAAATACTCTCGGGTATGGACACAGTGTCAGCGTTGTCAAGAATCTCTACATCAGGAAGTAATCTGTTCCAATAATGATTGTCCTATCTTCTACATGCGCAAGAAAGTTCAAAAAGATATGGATGAAGCGATGGAGAAACTAGAAAGATTCAATTATGACTGGTGATAATTTATAATTAACTAACTTATAACAAATGTATATACAATTCAGTCATCATCTCCTCTTCTCAAAAAGTCATTTAAATGTTTTTCATTATTCTAATTATCAGAAATCTCTCTATAATATATCTTGATTTTGACGGTATTTGACGGTTTTCTACCGATGATATTCTTGCAAAGTCTCATACAACTATTATCTCATATTATTACTTGCTGTAGAAATTGTTAAGTCCGTCCATTTGGAAAATGCGGCGTTAGGTGAGCTAAGTTTTTTTTTTTTTTTTGGTTTTTTACAACTTGTCCTGTTTTTCAATGACTAAAAGACGGTTAGATGATCTTGACTTAGCTAATGTACTTCGTCAGAAATTCAGGGAAGATCCCGTCATGAAACAGCAAGCTGGTTAGTTCTTTTATAAAAGATTAAATTAAATTCTATTGTAGCTTTCAGCAGTTGACATATTGGTGAACATTTTTTTTTAGCACAAAATACTTTTAGTATGCTTATGAATGCTCAAAGAAAGGCCCAGGTTCATACTATTAAACATATGAACAGCAGTTCTTTACCCACAGCATCCTATACTTGCTACAAATGCATGCAAAACTGTGCCTGCGATGTGTGTGCTTTTTGTGAAAAGCGTGTTTGTCAAAATTGTATTCAACAGTGCAATCAATGTCAAAACCTTTATTGCAGCACCTGTTCTGAAATAGAGTAGGTATCTGGTTTTTATATTATTTTTTTTTTATTTCTTTTTTTTTTTTTTTGATGGGAAAAAACCAGATATCAAACAGAAAACTGACTGGATATTTCTTTTTAACACAGCTACTCTTTATCGATGGATCGAGTATTCTGTTTATCATGTAAACAACACGATTCAATTTGAATTGATCTACGATACTATACACATATCTACATATACCCTTACAAAAATTGGTTGAACAGCTACCAATTCTACTTAATTACCAATTAAAACGTATGCAATAGAAGCTTCTGAACAAATGCAATCATTTTTATCTTTTTAACTAGAATTGATAGTTCAACCATAAGAACGGACAAAATTGCTCGCATAAGCAAAGCTCATCCTCTGTCGTTTTGTTCGAAAATTTAAATTCATTGATTTGACTGTGAGCTCACCTTTTATTGAACGCAAAAGGAAATTATAACCGCACTAAAGAGTCCAGATTGTAAATGTACAGTCCAATAACAGAGAACCAAAATAAACAACTGAACAAAGAAACGAGGTTGATTCAGTAAGTCGATTTTGACTTGCTGTCTCAATTAACATATTTTACGTCGCCTTGACACAATAAACGGACTGGCAGCACTTCTTCAGTACGGCAGTTCCAGTTAAAGACTCCAATCTACCTTTCTTGTGGCAAGGGTCAATATTCTTTATATCATTAGCATTGTGTGTCATAGACATTATACAGATGTTTATATCATTAAAATTCAAACAAAGACATTGTTCGCAGGAAGTATGCAAGTTGGCCTTTACTTGCTCGTTTTAACCAATCATCCAACATAAAAATATTTCCGTTGACTTTCCATTCAATTTAGAAACAAGACATTAATTTTGATAAAAGTTGAATGCAGTATCAAACTGTCTCCAAAGCAATTGTGCTGACAGAAAGCTAAAAATAAGACATTCAATGGAACTTTTATTGCATTTTTGTTCAAAACAGTAGTAGCTCTCTTCAACAGAGTACTATTTTGTATCGATTCACAACAAATTGATCCGACAAAATCAGTGCTGTAAATGGGACAGAAACCTGAACAATTTCTGTTTGTGGCTTGGCTTGTCGACCGCCTAGAAAAAATTGTTTTCCTTAGAAATTTATTGTGAGCTCCTCCTTTTTAACCGTCGATACATTTACAATGGAGAACTCTGAAGGCCAGATTATTGATCTTTACATCCCTCGCAAGTGGTAACTATCATTCTTCATCGAAAAATAGAGAGATTGTTCGGCTTTTTCTTGACATCGGGTGCAAATCAAAACTAACTCAACAATTACTTAAATAGCTCTGCTACCAACCGCCTCATCACTGCTAAGGATCACGCTTCTGTTCAAATCAACATTGCCGATGTCGATGCTGAAGGTCGCGCTGCCAACACTTTCTCCACCTATGCTTTCTGTGGTTTCCTCCGCAAGGAAGCTGAATCTGACGATTCCCTCAACCGTCTCGCTCAACAAGATGGCTGTAAGTTTTTAAGCAACTGGTAATATTTTTATCTTATGACGATTTTCTCACTTGTTGTTTTCTTCTCATTATATGACAATAGATTTGAAGAATGTCTTCTCTTACCAACAATAAACTGTTGGCAACTTCGTCATTAGTTATAGTCAATTCTATTATACATCAATAAACGCTCACGACTCGCATGTTAATATCATTATTGGATAAAAGAACACGAGCTTTGAAAATGTACGAAAAACCAATGTACTTTTTAATATAGAATTAGGATATACACAATTATGAAAATACAGCGTATGAACTTGTATCTTCTCATTTGTTCGATGAAATCAAATGATATCGAATCACTAAACATCGCTCAAAAATTCTTGGGCAATTTAGGAGATTCAATGTTGAAAGCTGTCGCAAAGTATTTCTTACCTGCCAGATCTAAATATTGTCTTAATCAATTTCTTCTCCTCTTCGCGGCGTTGTATAATAGTAGTCATCATAATATAAGTAGGTTCAAATTCATCATCAATTGTATAAGGTTATATTTTTTTTTGGGATAAAAAGTAGCCGAAGTCATATGAGAAGTGCCATAAGCGATGAAGGTTATTGTTACGTAGTAGTTCGGGTTTGGTTTTAGCATCCCAAGAAAGCCGAAGCTTCGAGATGATATACAACTGAACTATTCATACTATTACATGATCTCATTAAGTTTTCTTGTGAATGCTTATTTTAAAATGCACTTTTTTCTCGTTATTACGATGGCTATTTTTGAGTCTGACTATTCTATCATTCTGCTCCGCTACAGTATGTTACGAAAGTTACACTTTCAATTCTGATCCTCAAAGAACAACTCCACATCAATAAGCATTTTTCAGGAATAGCATTAACTCTAATACTGGTCCGGCAATAGATTATCTAGTTTTAACATAATGCAATCATTAAACAACTCGTTAATAAGCAACAAAAAGCTTATATTCAAGCTATTGTAGCGCACTTTAGAGAGTTATTAAGGTTATAACAGACCAATAGTGATTGCGGTAGAATTGCTCGTTGTAAATGGATGACTTAAGAATGGTACAAAGCCGTAGTTTATCTTGTTTGTGATAGCTTACAATGCAGGAATTCCTTCTGCAAGGAAGCGATTGGTAATAGTAGAAAGCAATTAGACTATCAATACATTTTATGCCTGGCTTTCGTATGAGATAAAGGCATCCGTAGCAACAAACATAGGCGATGAAAATCAAGAGGAAGGAAGATTGAGTAAACGTCTAAAACTTAGTTTTCATTCTATCGAACTATCTCACTCTTGTCCTAATGGAAAATGCGGGTAGCAGAACCGAAATTTATGCTGACATAGGTAAGGCCTGATTATGTTGTGGCAAATGAAACTAACGAAAAGACCACGTTTCTATTTAGAAAAGTATTCGAAAGGATAGTGTGTCAGCTATACACTATATCTATTCAGTGACTTATAAGAGCCTAGCAAGGCCTTACTACATGTTTATGCACTTTCCGTCACTTTTAAACTATCTTCAGCACAATCACCATCAATAAAATAGTCGGCCTTTCTCTATCACATTCTTCATATACGCGTAGATAGGAAATAAGTGTTATTTGACATGATCTGGTTGATCAAAGTCGATATTTCGAACAAAATGTTAACAGCTTATAGTTTTTTACTAAATATTTTCGAGAGATCAATAGAATGTTATCGATGGCAAATCGAAGGAAGTCAGTTCAATCTCTCCAAATTTATGATGATGATGCTACTGCATCCTTGACACCGTGTGTCCCGTGAATTTGAAATCATAGCAATGAATAAAGCACTTCCTATCCGATGATAAGCGCGACAATGTACTCCAATGTGGCTTCATAGAACAGCACGTTCCTTCTATATTTACAGGGCAGATTGCCGTTCAGAAAGTAAAGAAGGTGCCTTCCCGAGATTCGAGCAAATGGTTATAACGCTTCTCTCTGGTAGATATAAATTGTACAAATCATCAAACTGAATATTACCATACTATTACGTAAACAAACTGCATGTCCTGAGCATCGCAATCAGAGATCTTTTGATGCTAGCAGTTGAAATAAACTCTTTTTCAATACCAATTATATGCATTCTACAACCTGGTTACATGGATTGATACGAAATAAGCGGAACTTGGGAAATTGTCTCCATACTCATTCCATTTCATTCTATACTGAACTTTCCTGTAATTTGGTTTATGTATTGCTTAGCTGAAAGATTAAGCAACCTTTTTATTATGTTTATTCCCTATTGTAAGCTTGATTACGGTACAATTCAACTGTTCAAAGCTGGGACAGGTTTTCTACCTTGATAAAGGATGTTCGTTTACATTATTCAAATTGTGCAAAAAAAAAAAAACCATTAACGTCTCTTTTTTCCTTTCTTCTTCTTCGGCGCTTGTTTGGGTGAAGCTGTTTTGTTTTCTGTAATGCTGTTCTTTGTTGCTGTTGCTGTTGCTGCCAAAGGTGGGGCATCGGTTATCACAGTATCCTCATCCGCTGTATTTGAAGTTTGATAGTGAGCTTCACAGAATAATAAGTTTTGTCGCGGGTATATATTATATCGTTCTAGTTATCTTACCAGGCATTTCCTTATTCATCATTTTTAACAATAACGTGGTATTCAAATTGATAAACTTTTTCAAATCTCTCATCTGATCTGTTTTATATTTGATATTCTATTAAGAAAAGGTAAGTTATCAGGTAAATATCAATTCAAAGAATAGTGGTACATCTGCATCGTTATAAGTCAATTAGTGAAGATCTTACTTTTATATCATCAGTCACTTTAAGGACGAGATCACCATCAGAACGGTGGAAAGTATGAACGTAACGGGTCTATGCAATGAGGTAAAAAAAATAATAAAGGTTATTCTATGTCACGCTAAAGTGTTAGGAAGGTACATTAATTCAATATCATACTCGCTCTGGAGAAGCAACATATATCTCTTCTGCCGCCTTTTCAAATTCGTCCCAGTTGGTTATGTACATGAATGAAACTTAGAGCTCGAAGAAGTTTGAAAAATCGATTCAGCAAAAAGTTAAGTCTGAGAAATAACAATCAATAACGATCAATTTTCAATGCACGCAGAAAGGGTATTTTTCTTTTCCTCGCTACTAGCACCGAAACGTTTTTGGAAAGTTGGAATTCAGAAGATTTCTGACAAGAAGAGTCCTAGCAAGAATATTTTCAATTGTAAACTGTAAATACAAAAACGTTGTAATAACCATCTTTTTGGTCGAAACCAAGTTACGTTTTGTTACTGAGTAAACTTTGATGTACTCAGAATGAGACAATATGCGATGAATCGCAAATAATATAAAGTTTCTACGCAGCAACTTTTGAAGAAACTGTTAAGGAACATATTGATAAGCTACAGTACTTGACCATTGATCGCTCTGTCCCTAGGATTCATTATATGTGGATCTTAAACGTCAGAATGACTGAACTGACCAAAGCTAGCAAAATGCCGAAATATTGTTCGTTTTTTCCCATAAATAGATATTGAGGCGAACTTTTTGGCTTACAGGAGGGCAAGTTTGCTGATCTTATCGCTGTCTTATGCATTTCGAGAGAGAATGGAGAGGCTCAAAAAAGTACAATAGTCTTTACGTCAGCTCAAGCTCTTTACAGTCTGACAGCTTGTAAATAAATGAAATTCAAATTGATATGCCAAACTATTTTGCAACGAAAGTACGTGACGAATTCAAGTATAACCTATAATCCTTCCGATCCTTTGAATTTGTACATCGAGATCAATGAAGTTACCGCTGGACAGCCTTTTTGGGGAATGGTTTTAGGTAAAGTCGAGGTCAGGAACGTGACCCACTTTATCCTTAATAACAGACTTGACAAAAAAAAAAAAAAAAAAAAAAAAAAAAAGTCTCGATAAAAAGATGGGGCATCATCCGATTCTCTTTGTCAAAGCTCATTAAGCAATCCGTTGAAATTGTAATGATTAAGCAAATGTAAGACAATCCCAAATCCTTTATAGATATCACGTTCCTCAACTGGAAACAAGTATATATGTGAGATTGTTTCCAGTAATCGTGCACCGAAATCCAGCATACTTTTAATTTCTAGTGAGTTGTAATCTCTCTAAAGGCAGACCATAATGTTGCACGCTGTAAAGGCACACGGGAGGACTGTCCTGTAATCCATCTAACTCCTATAAAAGACCGATCATTCATGCGGAATAACGGGGAACATATCAGCGCAACTAAAAATTAATTTGGGATTTGCAGACAAATCTGTAAAGCTAAAGTTGCATGATCGGCTGAACTTTTTATTTTTTAAACAACACAACCCACGAAAAATGCCAAGATCTGTCCACTAAGAATTGCATGTTTCAAAATGTTAATAAGTGCTTAGAAATGAGAATATTTTTATTACGAAGGTACGAAAGAGAAAAAACAGTTTATATGGAGAGGTAAGATGGGGTATTGTCATAGAAATTAAAACATGTCATTAGGGTATTCAGGTTAGGAAGTAAGTTATTAATTGTCAATAATTAAATGGTTTTGAGTTCAAGATCTAAGATATTTTTATGGTCCATCATAAAATTATCAACTTCATCAAGGTTGATAAACAAATTATATTTTACGACGCCTAGAAAGCTTCGTTCCATTTCATTCACTATCTTGAAATCATAAAGCGGCGCAATAAACTTGTAAACTGCTTGCGATATCCTGTTGGAGTCTTCAATGAATTTTGACGCCAAAATAACGGCTGCAATGAATAGTTTGTAAGGTGTATCAAATTCTATAGGAAAGGTAAACCTAGTTGGTAAATGAACCTATTACTTCCTAAGGGAAAGATTTTTGTTACTAAGTAAATACTAACCTCCTCTAGATCTTTCAGGTAAGTTGTTTTTTAGGCGTCCCAAATAAATAAGAGCTATCACTAAGATAATAGGTGTTATTCGGCAGTGCTGGACAGTGTGCTTGACGAATGTATGTATCGAAGGTAGCAGACGTTGTTGGTAGTATATCCTTGTTTGTGAACATTCAATTAGCGTCTTTACATTATAAGCTGTATAGGTAATCAAGGCATCAATTGTGTTGCATTTTTTCGTAAGGGGAGCTTGTTGACATTTAGTTGTGATCTGTTCAGTCGTATTGGTTGTAGTCATTGAAACAGAAAGCATGACAATTAAAAAAAGTTATAAAATGGAAAAAGCGAATAGTTGCGTTGAAATGAGCTGTACAAAAAGGAAAATTGAGTTAAGGGGATGCAACAAATTCAGGAGAAGGCCGAGATTTTAACAACGTTGATCCCTCTTCTGTCTTTATATACTATTGGTTTTACCATTTTTTGGCGGATATTAAAACTAAAATTAATCAGCTTTCCAGATTTATGGTATGCGGCCTTTGACAGATAATTTTGCAGACATGTGCTAAATAAAGATCGCTGTTTTGACGTTACAACTTTACTTATTATTATGCTTCCTTATCATTGATGTCGGCATTCAATCGTTGAGAAGTTTGCTTTAGGCTTTTTTTCCGTTTATAGTTACCATTGGGTTACATAGAAATCATAATGAGAGAGGGAAAAGGTATAGAGAGGCGGTAGAATGGCGACGGCATTAATTTTATCAAGCATTGTCAAATTAGGCGAAGGAAGATACTGCATAAAAAGATTTGTAAGATTGCTTTCATACTCACATACCGATTGAGAAACGATATAGTATGAGTAATCACTCTTGGCAATCTTTTACCGTAACCTTCTTTGCTGCCTCTACGAAACCAAGCACCAGTCTATCTTTGTCGCTCGTTTATCCTTTGAGAACGTCAATCCTGGTCTGGGCCCAATTTTTCTCTCAACAATTTAAGTAAAGAAAAATGTACGAATATGTGCACCAGTCAATGGCTTTGAGTTTTGATCAGGCGCACAGGAGCAACAGTCATTTTTGAATACTCGAACTTTGTACTATATTGAATAACTTAAGAGCTACTATGGACACCTCAGAGCTCCTGATTCGATACGACAATAGTTCGTCGTTTGACCACCAAAATGATGACTTATTCCTCATACAATACATTCAAGATGATTGAAACGCCTCTTTTTGTTTTTACTGTACCTTAACAGAATTGTTGTGCCTCAAGCTCAACCATGTTCTTGACTATTCGACAATCAGTGCTGTATCTTGTGATCCATTAGCATTAAGATAGACGTGTCTATCTTTGAACCTGTTTATGTGATCTATCTTTGCTCACTTAGCACTCAGCAGGCCGCGCTATTGAAGCTACATTAACTTACGGAAATGTACTTGAATACTATAATTATAAACAGATGTTACTTTAAATGAACTTATATCACATAACAAGAAAGCTCTTATACTAAATAAGTCATGATCTACACGATCTTGTAGTACTATACGTTTGTAAAATCTTATATTCGATGTTGATGTGGGCGTGTATCTATGGAAAGTCCATTGAGTAAATTTGTTTTATTTAAGTCCACTGCGTTCAATTAAATATTTGTCAGCTTCAACATATCCATAATGAACATAACCAATTATATACTTTTAAAGTTTAATATGGATGTAAATAAAAGGATTGCTTTGAGTACCATGTTATCCAAATTTGGATATATTTTCTAATTTCAAAAATTCAAAGCTTTCGTCTGAAACCTTTTTTTGTTTTTTTTTTTTGCCCAGAACCTGCTTTGCACAATTCAGCAACTTTATTGTCAAGCGCTATAAGAAACAGAAATAGAAACAACAACATTTTTCTAATGCCATTATATATATTGCCAACACATATAATCAAGCTCGTGGTATTCAGAACAAATTCACAAACACTGTGGTAATTCTTCTGAATTCAATGTCTTGGCGATTCACCATTCCATTTGTCGGCTTGACACTTTATATTCTGAAACTTTTGATATGCATAACCGAAACGTTGTAGATCGTCAATTTGTCACATCCGTTAAAGCAGGATTACAAAGAATTTGAAAGCCAGCATAACTTAGTAATCGTTATTCGGGGAATTGGCTCTTGTCCCTGAAACAAAATGGTTGAGCGATAAAGCATAAGTAAGAAAAAATTGAACAGGGCATGCTTCTATGTGCATGTCAATGTTTTCCATGAATTGCACGTGATATTTTTCGATATTGCGGCTATTCATTAGAATTTGTTACTTTAATTCACATAAAAGAAAGATGGAGTCCAAAAGCATTCTAGAACACTAACACTATTCATTTGATAACGTCTTACTTTAGCGAACTGTAATTCAACAATATATAAAGCATCAAAATCTTGAACATCAAATAATATATTTTTATAGATATAAAGCCAATAACAATTTAAGCAATAGACTTAACAGTTTGTTCTTTTTTATTAGCTGTTTCTAATACCTTTAACAAACAAAAAAAAAGAAATAATATTATTTCCGTTGCTTCTTAGTCTTGCTGTCGCTGTTCTCATGCTTAGAAGCAGGCCGTTTCTTATTACTACTATCACTGCTGTTATTGACGACAGCTGCTGATTCCAAATTTTTGAGCGTCGTGAAAAGAATCTTCTTTTCACCGATACGAACCATAAGCGCATTTCTTTTGTTGCTGGACTCTCCTTTAAGGCCTTGGAGCTCCAATTCATCATCCTAAATTTGGCGTAGAGTCAAAAACTTGAATAATTTTTGCATATGCTACAACTTCATTAAGAAATACCTTTATATCTGTTGGATATCTTTCGAGTCTCGTTCTAAGTATACTTAAAATAATATTTTTCACTTCTTCCGTCAGCTTCGGTTTGGGAAGCTTTTCTTTTTCTACCATTTTTTTGAAATCGCCAGGTGTAGCGATTAAGACATGCACTATAGAAGATGCGGTAAGAGGCAAGTTTTAGCAAAATGACAGAGCTTCCCATTCGCTTTGACAAACTTCAGAATAATACCATACCTGTAACAATGAGCTCTGGCGGTATCTCATACTCCGTATCAATCACAAAGCATCTGTAACGCAATATAAATGCATTCCTTCGTTAAATTTGAAAAATCACACATACGTTAACATGTAATCAAATAGTCAAGCTTTACTCATCCAAAACACCTTCTTCCATCAGAAAGTCAATTTTTTCTTTAACTTTCTCATCTTCTACATCCGGATAAACTGCCTTAACGACTAAGGGGCCATCCAATTCAACCAAATCAAAAGGGTTGTTCTCATCCGTAAACCCATATTTTCGTAAGAGATCTGCATTGCATAAATCACCGTAAGTATTGTAAATTTGTTCTCCTTTCCTTATAAATTTAATAGCCTTCATTTGTAGGCAGTCTGTTTCGTGAAACAAACGTGCATTGTTGAACCCTGTTTTATGATTTAGCATATCCGCCATTGGTACCATAGTGATAAGACCTTCTTCTTCGTCGTCATCCTCATCATCATCGTCGTCAGAACCCACTTCATTCTTCTCGTCACCATTTTTCTCTACGTTTTCGCCATCTTCATGCTTACTGTTACTTTTACCGACTTTTTGCAACTCATCAATAAAACTGTACGCCATAATAACGGAGCCACAAATATGAAATAGCTCAAGCGTATGAATGTCTTTGTTGAACAAGGCAGGATATTTCTAAAAGAAGCCGTAAACGCCATTTTAGTCTATATGACGTACTTGGTATTGGCGTGTTGGCCTGATTAAGCTGCTCCTTTTTTTTCATTGTTGAGAAATTACCTCCATAAAAGGTACAACGACATCTCTGTATGTTTCTTCTGCTTCACTTCTACCAATTTTAGCTATAGATGCATTTCACGCCAACAAAAAAAATGGCTGTTGAGTGATGAAGAATATTCTCAAATCGCATACGTCATATACATACGTATAACATCAGTTCCATTTAGTTCTTTCAGCTCTTCTTCAGTCCAGAACATAGGCGTAGAGAATGCTTGAGGAAGTACATCTACGCGGGGTAATCAAAATTCCGTATCAATATGATTGTACCTGTTCTGCTCAATTGCTGGAATATGCATCTCTTAACGACTACACTACCTAAATAAGGCTTCCAAAATGAATCGTCTTTCTTCATCTCATACATTAAAGAGATGATCAGAGGGGTCCAACCAAGTAATCCATTCAAGTCGTCCAACAAACCATCGACTTCCTTCAAAGAGGTAGTGAGTTGAGATAATAATAAACTGCGAGGAATGGAAAACAAAACATCGCCGTCCTATATATACGGAGGTCGCATCGATGAGCGCAAGTTAGATTTGTCATAATGAGAAGAGTCTCCTATGTGAATAATGCTATGTACTTTGATATCCTTTGTAGCAACTACTCCACGTCCAGCATTCTCAGAGCTGTAATCTTTAAAGGCAATGCTGTCACTAATAGAAGCACCATTATTAATCAACCAATCAAGAAAAGCACGCCCGTTATTGTCGAAATTTGACATTGCAGTTTGTAATCGATCGCTTTTTTTTTTTTTTTCTGTACGATTCTTTTCTTCTTTTGAGTTTTCTACTCAGCATACAGTACAGTTTTGTCAGCAATATTGTCCAATGAGAGTCATTAAAGCGAACTTTTTACGTCGGCAAACTGTCCAATCAAATGAAACAGCTCCTGTTTGTAATGCCTTTTCGAACCCATTTGTCAGCCCGACATTCTTTGTAAGTATTTTTAAGGCATGACAAATTGCGGGATGGCGCAAAATTTTGGATAAAGTATAAAAGGAAGATGAAAAATTTGTACCTGAAGTTTTTGTTTCTCAGAAAATTAATTATATCAATTAAGAAAATCAAAAATCATGTCTGCTACTATTACAAAAATTGCTAGAAATATCACCAAGTCTGTTCTTTCAAGAGAACAAATGGATGGTGTTGGCGCAAAAGGTAAAAGAGAATGAAGAATTACAATTTTTTGACTTAGGGTCGAGGAATCAAAACGAACATTCTACTAAACTTTTCATATATAACTTTTTAGTTTATCGCTCTATTGGCAGCTACGCACTTCGTAACTTGGATCCATTCTTAATGCTTGATGAATTCGATGTCCATGCACCTGGCGGATTTCCCGACCATCCTCATCGTGGCTTTGAAACCGTAACGTATATGCTGGATGGTGAATTTTTACACGAAGACTTCAAGGGCCATAAGGGTCACTTAGGTCCTGGTGATCTTCAATGGATGTCTGCCGCAAAAGGTATTCTTCATGCCGAAATTCCCGCTAGTAACAAACCTTCTCATGGTCTCCAATTATGGGTCAATCTGGCCAGCAAAGATAAAATGTCAGAACCCAACTATCAAGAATATCCCAAAGAAAAGATAGTGGAAGTGGTACCGGAGGAAGGCGTCAACATTAAAGTCATTGCCGGTGAATCCTATGGTACAAAATCTCCCGTAATGACAAGGACACCAACTATGTTTATTGACGTTAGATTGAAGAAAGGAAAGAAAATGGAACAGGTTATCCCTCCACATTATGCAGGATTCATCTACACTCTCGCAGGCTCAGCTTTGTTTGGTGGAGATAAACATGCTTCCGAAGCACATCATACTTTGGTTTTGAGCCAGAATAAAGGAGACTATATTCCAGTGGAATCAACATCCGATGATTGTCATTTTGTAGTTATTGCAGGCCAGCCTATCGGAGAGCCTATTGTTCAGCATGGCCCGTTTGTAATGAACACACAGCGCGAAATTTATCAAGCATTTGAAGATTATCAGGAAGGTAAAAATGGTTTTGAAGGCGCTCCTGGATGGACCTCATCCATTAGAGATCGCTGGGGTAACCGTGCATAAAGGGTCAAGCATATCATTCTATCTCTTTCGATCATTTTTGTTTAAATTATTCAACTCTCTATATAAATCAATATATATATATCATATACACCTTTCATATATTTATTTTATTTACAATTTTAATACATGAACAATAAAGAAAATAAAGTCTTTTATTCTACTTGTTCTTTCATCGCAATATCCTTTGACTGTTCAGGCTGTTGATCCAGCTTTCGTTTTTTACGTGCTTGAAATTTCTCCTTCTTTAATTCATCTGAATCACAACGTGGTCTTAACAAAATAGGTTTATATTTTGCTATTTTACTCTCTTTACCACCTCCTATCACCAAATTGACGGCACCCAATCCTTTCCGTTGGGATAACTGCTGCTGCTGTAGTTCACTTTGGACTTTATCAAAAGCATCTACTGTGTCTTTCTTTTTCTCGTCTGGCATAGTGACCAAAAAACTGCCTACTTCATTCAAATAATACTGTGTCGTCAACGTACAAATCATCTGCTTTTGCCATTCTTCGTGATAATGTAAATAGGTTCTATAGGCAGATGGTATAGGTTCATATTTGTTTTCTCCTTGTTGAGTTGAATAGTACCATTGAAGTGCCTTGAATTCACAATCATAAAGTACCAGAGGCAGATCACTGGCCATAGGAAAATCGGGCTTTGAAGGAATTTTATCAATGTCCAACAGTTCCAACACAATTTCAGGCTTTTCTAATCCTTGGCCAACCATAAAAAGCACAGACATCATGTATCGTACTTGATGCCATAAAAATGCAGAGCCTTTCAATTCGAGTTCATAAAATGACGTTGCCGACGAGGGTGAGGTGAGGTCACTGCAGCTGCTATCATCAGACATGTGTTGATTCAGTTTTTCCGCTGGTTTGATTTTCATGGATCGTATATGGCGCTCGTAATTCGTGATATTTTTTGAAGGATCTACTTTACAGAAATTGCGAAAATCGTGTTGTCCTTCGAAATAACCACAGGCTATCTGCATGTTGGCAATGTTCAAATGACGATTACAAAAGAAGTACTTATACGTTCTGCCTGTACAATCAAATCTTGCGTTGAAACTGTCGTCGACTGGTGTCCAAGCCAATACTCTAATGTCTGGCGGCAGCATACGATTCAGCATATCTATGTAGGGTATTTCTTCGGCTGGTGGGGGTAGCGTAGCATCTTTCTCGTATTGTTCTCGCAATTTTTTGGATCTCACTTTAAGTGCTATCACTTGACCTAATCCACTCACTCCTTTATCGGTCCTTCCACAACGGCTGTAGTCACTGTCTTCTATATTCTCAATGAGATGACCCGTTTGTAGGGCGAGAAATAGTTTGTCTTCGACTGTAGGAACTTCGTCGGGCTTATTTTGGCTGGCATATCCACTGTAATTCCACCCTAGATAAGCTATGCGTAACGCAATTTTACGCTGGGTATATTTCGACATGTCAAATGGCCTTTTTTCACGCCTTTGTTTCTGTTTCTTGTTTTTTATCAAAGGTGCAACCGTAGTATGTTGACAGTCAGTAGAGGGTATATTGCTTGAAGAGGATGTGTCGAAGGCTGTCAAAGTCGAAGTATTGCTGCTTTCGCACATAGCGTCAGGTGAAGCCATTGGCAACTGAGACTCCAGATCCAGAATGCGTTGTACTAGCTGCTCCCTGGTATAATTGTCATACTTGGATGCCATTTCGACAATAAATTATAAAAGATAACAAAGAGTAGGAAACGCTATGAGTAGATTGAATCCTTCAAGACAAGCCACCGATAAAAGAATCACTCTCAGCTACTCATTTGTATTTAATGCGTTGCCACTCTACTACAGTTGGAAGTCGGACATTCAATCTCTGATTTTGAACATTTGTATTTACTGACGAACTAAATTCAAGACTACTTCTTAGCGAATATGTTTGGACGAAAGCCGCTGATAATTGCATAGCGTGTATATGATTATACCTCACAGATTTTCTGTCCCCTCTTGCGCCAATCCTTAGGACCCAATGCATCAAGGTAGAGCTCAAGTTCAAGAATAGGGAAACGGTGATGCATCTGTTATGCTTTTGTCTGTCATAGGTTGAGAATATACAAAAGTATATTATTGTAAGCAGAAATAAGTCGAAAGTTTCACAGTTTTAGTTCCAAAACTTCATTTGTACATGTCCTATTGTACAGCTTGAGTAGCAACGTACAAATCAGGCATTCTTACTGTCTCAATTACACAGTCGTTTTTGCTGTGAATCCCTTCACCCTATCGCCCCCGCCCCCGGTTTTGCAAATCCATTTCCAACTTTTATCTTTATCATCTAAATCACACACTCTACAAAAACCATGAATACCATCCCATCCAAAAGTAGATACACAAGCTTCTAGTTTTTTATAATTTTCAAACGCAAAATGACGGTGGTATGTGTAACTACATTAAATAATATCAAGACTCTTTTTTGTGTCCTTGATTTTGTATTGACCATACTATTAAGAAAAAGATGAAACAAGTCAGTGCTCGTTCGCTTTTTAAGATGCCTAAGCTTTTTTTTTCTTTTCTTCTTGTTGAAAGGAACTTACAGATTTTGCTGGATCAAAAACTTCCCAACGACTGGCAGGGAAAATATGCTTGTTTCTTTCGTACCATGCTCTTTCAACAACCTTACCGGCATGAGACTAAGGAAGGGTGGTGAGTTGGTTTGGCTCTATTCATACAAGCTTCCGGCTCAATTTCCATGCTCTTTTTTGCCTACCTCGTCCTTTTCGACAGTTGCATCATTGACTAAACGAATATCTTCATGTACGTCAAAACTGAATAATGGACCAGATTTTCCTCTGGCTTTGTTGATGATAAAGTCATAAAATGTATAATGCTGTTCGATAAATGAAAGATAAGCATGCGTTCATGAACACGTTTCAAGAAAACATTTGCTTACATGGGGAATGATCAAATCTTCTTTCACATAGATTAAATTGTCTGTATTTACGCCACGTAGCTGAGGGAATTGTTGACGGCACGCATCCAAAAATTGAGCGATCGAGTCTCCTTTTTTGCACTAATCATTACAGCAGTTCTTAGATCTCCATTCAAGGGTTTACTAGAAAACAACAAACAACTTACCGTTACAACTTTACGATGTCCAGTACCATCCCAATACGAATAAGTGATGTTGATCTTTTCGTCTAAACATACAACAAGCAACGGAAAAAAAGGGTGGGTTAGATCACACGCTTCAAGAACAGCTGATGGGATAGTTTCCACATCCTACTTTTGACTTCTTCCTGCTTTTTTAGCCATTCTTTTCTGAGCTCCTCACGCTCAATTCGTTCCTTCTCCTCCCTTTCTCTATCTGGCAAGAAGCTTGTGTCGACGGTTGGATCTTTCAGCATTTTTCGTTTTTTGAATACTGGTTTTTCTTCTTCTTCGGTGGCTGTGCTGGCAGGAGTACTATTCTTGCTGCTCTCTTGATCTAAATCTTCTTCTTCTTCTTCTTCATCTCCCGCAAAGGATAACTTTAGCACTTGTTTCTTTTTCTTTTTTCGTTTTTTTTCGTCCCTGTATAAGTCACAAAAGCGTCCACTTCAGTCTATCAGTTGACAATCATGAAAAACGGGCTATACAACTGTTTACCCTAGTGGTGCAGTATTTGCTGCTTCACGCTTCTGTTGCTCTTCCAAGTTCTCTCTGATTTTTCTATAATCTTTCAATTCTGTCAAACCGATGGTGCTGGTCTTCAACTGCGATTCGATGTCTGATTTGGCTTTGGCAAATTTGTCAGAACCGACACGCACTTCGCTCATCTATAGCCAAGGAATAATATATGAAAGTTCATTTCTCATGTCAAGTTAGCGTTGGTGAATCCGAGATCGAAAAACAAAGAAGGACAGGCTTTATTTTACTTTGGCAGCTTTCTGTCTTTCTTTTTCTGATTCTTCATAGATCTTTTGTCTTTGCTTTTGAAGCATGGACTGACGAAGAGCTTCCGCTTTGGAATCCATGTTATTGTGTCAATCGATGATTGCTGAAAGGGTGATGGAAGGAAAGAGCAGGTTTTGATGTAGAAAAGTAAAAGAGCAAAACGGCAGGAAAAAGCAACAGGACAACAACGGAATTTAAATTTTACGTAGCAACAGCCAGTTTAAATTTTTAAAAAACACAAATTTGCCCTTTTATAAAAAACATTCGCTATTTCTATTTCTACAGCTCACCGACAATCAAGTGAGGCCATGACAAAAAGTCTATGCAATAAATGAAAGATAGTGTATCCATCAACATAAAATAAGCGTTTTTCATAGGACAGAAATGCATAGGATTCGTTTATTACATACTTTACCAATGATGATTGTAGATAAATGATAAAGAAAGAAGAATGGTATCTTGTATAGCTTTGGTAAAAAATTCATCTTGATCCATCTTGAAAAGGTGTTTGTCTTTTGTTAAGAATGAAGCAGAAAAAGTGAGTGTGCATAGTGAGCAAAATTCATACATGATAACGCCTTGATCATTCATGTCGGAAGGCGGGTTGAGTCTTCTGTGAAGAGGAAGAGAGAAGGATAGATGAATCTGTTTACTGATAATGTTGATGGCGTGATGAAGAAGGCGCCGATGCTGAAGTTGAGTATAAGTTTTGATGAGAAGTAGAAACTAAAAGAATTGAATGATATGTAGAGAAAAGAAAAAAAAAAAAAAAGAGAATAAAGAAGAAAGAAAGGATGATTATTATTTTTATAAAAGTTAGTTATCATTGATCTGATCGTAAGTAACGAAGAGTTATGATAAAACATATGCCAACGAGTAAAACAATCCTAGTAGATTGCACTTGTGATTATTACCCGTTCTTTTTTGTCCTTCATCGGTATAAGCCTGAGTCGCATTGTAATCAGACATTGGCTGCAATAATGGAAAAGATGGATTGTAAGCGTCTTGAGTTATACTTGCAAAATATTGTTGTTGTTGTTGCTGGGCTGCTGCTGAATTGTTGGAAGGAGTTAAGGGCGTAGGCAAATCACTACCACGACTCATTGTGGTTCTACTTGACAAGATAGGTACAGTCGTTTTATCCGCAGCACTTTGCATGAATTGTTCTTGTGTGTTTAACTGAGCTCGAAGGGTTTCAATGGCCATAGAGAGATGTGGGGAGAGGAAGATATCATCAAAAATTCGAAAGGCCAACGAGGAAACATAGTAAAACCTTTTCATATCATGGACAGGCTCCTTTCCCGCTTTCTTGAGTTCACAATAGTAGTAGCATTGGGTTTGCAGAGCCAAAGTGAGACCAAAGGAGATGATACGGCTGCCTTGGATACACGTCAGTCTCGGTGGATAACGTTTCAGGTTTTCATTTCCACGCGACAGAGACAAGTAATAAGCGCGGTAACAGATATTGGAGGCCTTTTCGAATAGATCATCTATGGAAGTTAAGTGATAGTAGTGAAGAGGTGAGGATGGATGATGGGTAGAAATGATGAGATCTATAATATCATGGATTAAATACAAGTAAGATATGAGTGTTGTTGCAGCAGGGAATGGTGTAGTCGTAGTAGCGGGAGTGGCCGTGGTGGTAGTAGCAGAAGAGAATGGTGATATATCCGTTGGTAATTGGGCTCTCCAAAGAACGAGGCTGGATTTAAGTTTGTCGAATTCTGCATATAAAAGATTTTCATCACGATGATCACTGTTATTACTACTGCTACCACTGTTACTATTACTACTACCACTACTACCACTAATACCACTACTACCACCACCACCGCCACCATCACCACCACCACCACTAGTGCCAGTTCTGCTTGTATTACCCACCTTGTCTGTAGTTGTGTTTACAAATAAGGTACTCTGGTCCGATATCAAGCATAACACCCGTGAAAAGATCCTATTGAGGTTGACCAGATGGATAAAGTTGCAGGTTGTGGTGTGCTCATCCATGTCGTACGGTTCATGTTCAGGTTCCAAAGTAGGTAATTGATTGGGTAGAGTGCAGGTATCAAGCATCTGACGCCATCTGTCATCGGCAGTACTGCTCATGGTAATAATAACGTAGAGCATCCAATGAGCTCGACACAAATACTCACTATCCAATGATGTTACAGATCCATCCTGCTGGTACGAGAAACGAACTAGCATTGTCTGTATCTCATTTAGAAACCTGATAGCTTCGGGTGACAGAGGAGCTCCGACAGGCGTCATTAGTTCTTGGAATTTGTACAACAGGAATAATGTTTGTAAAGCGTCTAAGCATGGGGTCGTATGGTCCAATTGCAAAGAAGCTTTTTGATGGTAATCGGAGGCCTTATCTGTAGTTGGGTCTTCAATAAAAAGCGCAATGGAAAGGATGGCCGTTTTCAATGTGTACGGCAAAGAGAAAGCGCGGTGTTTTTGTATCTGCTGACAAGAAGATGTGTGCAAAATAGGAAAGAACGGATGTATATAGTCAATATATCGTTTTAATAGTGGCCACTCGTCCTGCGTTGGAATGCCTATGGACGCTTCCACACTATCGCAGTGATGCATCACCTCTGCTCCCATCGTCCGTACTTGTTCTGTACGGGGAAAAGGGGCGTAGCTGTTTCTACGCTTTTCATACCCCAAAACGCCTCGTTGATCCAACGAAAGATAAGGATGCTGTACTTGGTACAAGCTGGAGAAACTGTTGTCAGCCGTGTAGGTCGATGGACGAGATGAATGACGAAAGGAGAGTGTGACAGGCGTTGTCATGGGAGCTGTCCTGCTCTTTTTTGTAGCGGCTTCACAAGTTGCCTCGTGGATCGTCAGGTCATCTGTTGAAACAGGAACAGGAGCAGAAGCAGGAACGGAAAGATCCTTGCCGACATTTGCAGGCACATTTGAAAATTTGCAGAGCTGCTTGGCTTTTTGACAATTAGAACATGTACCTGAGTTTGGAATACCAATATCACATCTAAAGAAAGGGAAAAAGAAAAGGTGCGTCAAGACACAAATATTACTTGGAAAATGCTTTTGAACGTGCACTTTGCTACTTACTTTGATTTACGCTTTCTACAGAAATCACAAGCCCTCGTTACCTTGATCTTTTTATAACGATCCGGATCAGTCATATTTACAAAATGGTATTCCTTTGTCTTCTTTCGACAACGTTGCTTTCGTTGCGGTGGATGTTTGTCCGTCATATTCTCAAAGTTGAGAAAGGAAGAGATGAAAAAGTAGGTAAAATGCTCGGAATCATGCAAAAAACGGTTCGAGAAATTTATAATACGCGCGCACGAACAGGAAAAAAAAAAAAAAAAAAAAACGGAGCTTATTTAATGCTTCCATTTGTTGTCGAATGTGGAGTGCTTATTGTGGATCAAATTTTAAGGTTTGACAATCAAAAAGGAACCAGGAAAAACCCGTTACACTTCCTTTTTAAGCATATTGACTGACCGATGCACCAAACAAAAAAAAGCCCTTATTTTAAAATGGAAAAATTCTTTTTTTTTTTTTTTTTTTTTTTTTATATGGTTTTGGGGACCACTTGTACAGACTTGGGGAAAAAAAACCCCCCCGAGTGGAAAAAAATAAACAAATGCTTACATGCGTTTTCCCAGTTTGAGCACACTGCAAAATATCCATTTTTCTGGATTGACTTGCATAAGCTCATTTGTGCTTTTCCCTTCTATTTCCAAGTCCTCTCTCCTTAATTTTAGCACTGTTTCATATCTTTTTTTTTTTTTTTTTTTCCAATGCACCGGGATTTTTTTGATTTTTTTTTAAAATTTGCAGGTCACCCTTTCTATAAACGTATTATACAAATGAAAAATCGTTGAAACCTTTAGAATAATGAGGTTACAAGGACTCCTTGTGTATAAAGATATGTATGCATTGTACGTAAAGAATGAAATTAAAAATGAAAGGTAAGGCAAATCAAAAAACCGATCTTTTTCTTTTTTAAAAAAAATGCTAGAAATTCGCCTTTTTTGAACTTTTGGTGCCTGGGTTTCGCTTTAGGAAATTTCTACACACGTTTTTTGATCCGCACTCATCAGTCCCCTCTTTTGATTGGTTCCAACAAAGTAAAATGCAAAAGGCATTTCTTTACAACAATGCACAACACATGCCTAGCCATGTTCACGGGCTGAAATACGACATTGGCCGATTATTGAGTGAGCATGCAGCGGCTCATGATGACAACCCATCAACGTTTTTCATACTAGTAGTAAGAGGAAGAGGGATACTCTACATAGTCACGCATAGTGTCGCCATAATGGCTGAAACATTGAAACGCACATCAACAAATAAGAAAAAGAAGGCCTTCATTTGTGTAAACAGCAAGAGATTTTTTTCCTTCTTGGGCAAAGACAAACCAATAAAGACTACACAGTAACTTGGCATTCAAAATCAAGATTTTTTCAAGGGCTCATCCTTTACACATTCAACTTAAGACCTAGACGCAGACCCAGACCCAGAGAAGGGGCGCAGGAGAGCCAAGATTCATCATTCAGATGACAAGTTATGATTGTTTTAAATAGAAATTGTAGTGTCATTCTTATTTATATATGATGAAAGGTGTGTAGGTATTTTAACATCATCGTACTTTACGCCACTAAGCGGCCTATCTCTAATCTACCATATTCTTGCCTATTATTTTTTCGCTTGACTTTTGCACGAAATGGTTGATTATTAAACAATATTTTTGGCTGATAAGCATAGCAAATGCGCACATGGCTCTGCCCCACTCCCAACACTTTTTGTTGTCAGCGGAATCAGAAATGGCTTCAAAGCCCAAAATGTTCACTCAAACCTCGTTCATACGCCCAATTGGTAACTGCTACGAAAAGGATATCTTTAATGCATAAAGGCATTAAAAAACCCTGATTTGGGATGCCAGTCTAGTCCAGTAATATTTGCACCCATCAAACCTCCAAACGTTAATCTTCGTCTCATATGAGAACACAACACGCTTCCAATCTGTTGTATTTGCTTAAATGAAATTGATAACGGTTATAAGTCGATGACTATGAACTTAGGTGTCTTTATTGTTCTTTAGATGAAGTAGAAGGATTATTTACTTTGTGAGGTTTAGTGGGAATTATATTATTTGAGGACGCGTATGCTAGTCACTAATTTCAGGTTCAGATGCTTATTGGGTGATTATTATATTTAGGCCTGTATCTTGTTTTATGTTGTACATAACCTCTATTAGATGCAATATAGATAGACCGTGGTAGAATGTATTCTCTACCTGGTTGTACGTACTCGAGTATTGTAAATGTTATCTCACCAAACACGTCACAATCATCAACTGTCCACTACTGATGGTTTTTGGCCCATCTCAAACGCTTCTTTTTAAGTCTCCCCGTTGATGAAAGGCATCTTATGCTTGATGCAAGAATAAAATGAGGACGTTTATGGCCGTTTTTTGACTCAAATCGTAATCCAAATCAAGAAACGCTTTATGGGCCTCTTGGGCAATCTTTATAGACCCTGTGAATAGCCTGCGACGAACCACAGCTTTATTTTTCTCCGCTACGATAACTGGTCTAACACCTCCTCGACGGTGTCTGTTCGGGAACCACTTATTGTTATTCTTGAAAATTACCCCTTTCAAGACACCCAACTTGCTTTGGATGTTGGCCAAAGGTGTTTCCTTCTCAAGTAAACCCTTCAGTTGTGACATTGATTAGCTTTTGTTCGTTTGAGGTAGCAACGGTTTTGGTACCCCCAAAGGAAAGATGGTAGACTATCTTACTTCTTGCTTTAATGCTTGACGTAGCAGTTGCTCTACAAGTGCAAATTGTTTCAATGTACTTCAATTGGTTTCATTTGCTTCCTTTTTGTTCAATAATGACCATGGGTTCCAATTGAGTAACATGTGCTTGAGGGAATCTAACCCTATTCCTCAGAATCAATAGGTGTCTTTACATGTAGTTTATACTCTTCATTGGTTGCAAAATGATTCAAGCAAGACGGACATGCGAACCTTTGTTTGATGGCTTGATGTGCTTCGTTGTTATTCGACTTTGTGAAGAAATACTGCAATGAGTTGTGATAACGCTGGCCACGTTTCAACTTTGGTAATTCAATTGAGTGAACAGATAGTAAATGTGACCTGAGGTTTCGTCCCTCAGATTTCATCTCTTCACATAGGTGACACGCGTAGACTAAAATGACAACTTCTGGAGAAGATGATTCGGTTGACATTGCGTTTTTTGTTTTAAAAGGTTTTAACGATTTAAAACAATTTAAAAACAATTTATAACGATCTAGAACGATCCTTTCTATAATTGACCGCCCCCCCCCCTTTTTAAGGCCCCTTTGAATGACTGTAAGTTCATTTTGTGATATTTGTAATTGATGTTTGGTTTAGTGAACGCGACTTATAACTTTGATATAAACTGTAAGGTGAAATGAGTCTCCTTGAGTTCTTTTATTATACACTGAAAATCAGAGAGGGAAGCGTTCATAGCGAACTGAATGTTTGTATTGACAACAAAAGAAAGAAGGAAAGGAAAGAGAAACATTAAAAAAAGGAGCTAAATACTCGTTCTTAACCAGTAGGAATGCAGCATTATGTATGCGTATGTCTTTAGAGTACACGATGACGTGTGCAAGTGTTATTATGATGCTATGATCATAAGAACGAGTCAAATGCTTAAAAGTGTGTCTAATTCGTCTTTATATATTATAAGAGGTATGGAAATACCACAAGCGCGTGTGTTTCTTGTGTTACGGGGATTTAAACTTTGATCGCGCAATTGCACTAATATTGCCAACGTCTTCTTTGACCGCTGCAAACCGTACAATAAGTAATCCTTAACGATGTTTTATTATAAAATATAAAAAATGTAATAATGCAATATCGATTACCTGCAAACCGTACAATACGTAATCCTTAACGATAAGAAAAGGAGGACTTAAGACGGTTCGCGTGAGGCTTTATAGCCGTTCAATGGATCGCTGTTTGAGTTTTTTTTTTTTGGCTTCAGACTGTGACAATTGCTAGAAGTGTTGGTCAAGCTTGTTCAAAAGGAAACGAAAAAGGCAAATGGTTATAAATGACCATTAGGCTTACAAGGATAGGAGAAGTTGACTTCAAAAGTCATTCAACCAAAAAGATGAGAGCTATCATTCAAAACCGTGTACGTTTCGTTATGATTTATTCACCAGAGTTGACTTTCAAAAACCCAGAGGACAACAGTGACTGTTTCCAATTTTGACAGAGTACGCAAAAATGAGAACCTCAAGCTTCTATTGAACTTTGAAAGCATTCGTTAGTCTTACCCACCGTTGAACAGAAGAAAACCATGGCTTACGCGTACAACCCTGGACTTCAACACAATATGCCATACCATGGCTCTCCATATGGAGACCCAAACATGGCTCCTGCCCCAAGCCGCACATTATGGTACGCATCTTACCTAGATTTTTCTTCTATTGACTAAAAGACGGCCATCTCTTGGAAAAACTGTCAATAAACTGACATTTCATCGCAAAAAAACAGTACTCATCAAGCAATTCATTTGTAGGATGGGCGAACTCGATCCATGGATGAATGACGACTGGTTACGACAACTATTTTGGAGCTTAGGAGAAGAAGTGACAACACGTATTAGTATTGACAAATACGGCGGAACATATGCATTTATCGACTTTAAAACACACGAAGGTGCGACAAAAATTTTACAGACATATAATGGTACCATCATACCCAACACAAATAAATACTTCAAATTGAATTGGTCTAATCGAGATGGTAATGGCATGCCTATATTGAATCCGTAAGTTTTCGACAACATCAAAGAGTGGTTGAGGATAGCCAGAGAAACTATGGTTATCATTTTTCCATTCAAAGCGCCGTGGTATATTGAAACTACTTTTCTCTTGTAATAGTTCAATGCATCATAATCAAAATGATGGATGTAGTGTATTTGTGGGAGATTTAGGACCTGATGTGGATGATAGCATATTATTAGCAGCCTTTCAAAGTCGATACGCAACTACAGTATCTGCCAAAGTCATGATCGACCCCACCACTGGATTTTCCAGAGGATTTGGGTTCGTCAAATTCTATGATCCAGCGGATCAGCAACGATCCATTGATGAAATGCAAGGTGTTTACGTCGGTTCTAGAGCTGTTCGAGTGTCTATTGCTAGACCTAGATCTGCCTTCCAAAACAACAACCCAAACAATATGTCACTCAATCCAAATGTGCCAGAACACGAAATCACAACCGTATTTGTAGGTGGTTTGAACAACACCATCACTGAAGAGGAATTGAGAGGATATTTTGGCACCTATGGCGATATTCTAGCGGTGAAACTGATTCCCAATAAGAACATAGCATTTATTCAATATGATAAGAGATCATCTGCCGAACAATCCATTGCCGAACTCAACGGATCTCATTTGGGTGGCGCAAAGCTGAGGTTATCCTTTGGAAGAACACAGTTGAATCTAGGACCTACATATCACCATAACACCCCAACATATAACAGTTATAGTGGTGCTGCTGCTGGGGGTGTTGTACCTCATCAGCCTCATGTTTACCAACCCACACCGGTACAGCATATGCTCCAACCACCGGTTATGCCTCCACCACCTATCGTGCCGCCCCCAGATTTAGTAGACCCTGCCAAACCCTTAAGTGTCGATGCTCAGAATGAACAGTTTATAGCAGCTCAAGAAGAACATTGCTCTAACTGGAATTTAGCATCTTCAGCCAGTCATACAGCACTCACATTTACGGAATAAATTATATAAAGAGTTGCATTTATAATAAAAAAAGGAATGCGAACCATGTATATTGATTGATTGAACGGATACCAGATGTACGCTAGCTATTAACACATACACAAAAAGAGCAAAACTATACACATATACTAGAAGCGACGTTGATTGAATGTAATAGTCCGTCTTCTATATTTATTGTATCATTTATTGAAATCAACAACATCTGAATTATTTCATGTTTGATAAACATTTATTTTCTCATCAAGCTTGATGAGTGGTATGTAACCCATGCTTGCATACATATTGTTTTTTTTTTTTGTTCCGGATAATCATGCGAAAACGCAGAAAGCTGACCTAAACTTGACGTTGGGCATAGACGGGCCCACAAAAATTTAAACCTGATTGTTTTATTCTAAAGGCAAAAATACAACTCTATTTGTCTTTTTGGTTAGAATCCTTTCTTTTTGCACTTAATCTTCTTCAAGCCAGCATTGTAGTAGGACTCAAAGGGAAACCACCTCCAAAATTGCCCTGCAAGATGAATAGTAAAGTATTTTCAACCCTTTCACAACAAAACGAAACCTCAAGCAGCATTATACAATTAACTTACGCTTATACCATTATTAATCTACAACAGATCGCACTCGTAGTGAGCCCTCTAAAACTAATCGACGTAGCCCTGAAGGCAGCTATCATAATGTCCGTCCACATCGTAACATTACTAATCACAGCCACGGTGAATACAATGGTGCTGCTATTCGCAGGAATGAGAGTAACGGCAATGAACGCTCCCGTACCATAAAGGTCAAGGATTTAAACCGTCTCACCATTCCTGCTACTCTCATGAGTTTTTTCGACCGTTTTGGCGTTGTTGACAGCGTTACCCTTGATGAAGATGATGAGGGTCGTAAAACTGGCTCTGCTACGGTGGTTTTCAAGTAACGTATTGTGAAAAAGGCCTGCTACCATTTTTATGCATGAGATATTAATTCCTTCTGTTCTTCTTTCTGGTTCATCAAGAAAATCCCCACTTGATCCTGATGCTCTCGTAAATACTCCTCATAGAATTGATGGCAAAAGAGTTCATATTGAGTTCATTCGAAATCAAGCACAAGAAGGAAGGTCGTCCAACGAACAAACGGCCAGATTACTTGCCCGAACTTTCTGCATGGGGTCAATGATTGGCGTCAATACGTTTGTTGAAGAATGGAAAACGAATAATGATGTGAAATTATGGATCAATTATACCCTTCGCAACTGTACTATTTTTTTCAAACAACTCAATGAAGAATACAAGGTAGTTTACAAATTTAAAGACCTCAGTACGGATATGGTCGTGGAAAGGGAAGGCAATGTTACGGCCTTCACTATCTCTCTTCGACATCCTGGCCAATTTTGGCGTCGAAATAATAATGTAATCACTGAAACCAGCTTTTCATCAAAACGAGGTCAAAAATGGGAAAGAGTGACGCTTATTCCTCTGACGCCCGACTCTGATATTACGTCTCGCCCATCAAGCCCTTTCCTTCCTTTACCACGAAAAGGTGTCCTCAATATCGGTAGCTGGATTGTTTATCGTATCGTCTTCAATCCAGGCTCAAATCATAAAGCCAATTTTGAACAGCAACTGCAAGAAGCCGCTTTTTTTAACCTTGTACCACAAAATCTTGAAAATTGCAAGCCTAAAATCAAAATTGTGGAAGCGTCTACGTTACCAAAACCGTTTGACCATGCGGACAGATCAAACAAGTGGAACTTTGACTTTGACGTCTTATACATGCTCGAGTCTTGCATTTCTTACTACTACTTTAACGAATACAACCTCACCAAGGAATTTTATGATATGATTGCCAACGTTGATCCCAGCTTTGCGATCGGTGTTCTTCAAATTATTAGTCAAGCGAAAAAGCCCGTTTACGATCCCTACGAAAAGTTTTATGATATATGGAAAAGAATGGGTAATAGAGTGAAAGAAGAAAAGACCATCCCTAGTCATTGCACTATGCTTCGTAAGGTCATCATTACTCCGTCGCATATCTATTATCAGCCTCCTACTTTAGAAACCACGAACCGTGTCATTCGTCATTACAAAGACCAGTGTGATTCTTTTATCCGTATTCAATTTGTCGACGAAGGGTTCAACCGCGTTGGCGCTTCCGGTGCCAATGGCGATACTGTATCAAAAAATGCCATTTACAACCGTATTTATGATGTGTTGAAGCGTGGTGTTCAGATTGGTAAAAGACGTTTCGAATTTTTGGCCTTTTCCAGCTCCCAACTACGTGAACAAGGTTGCTGGTTCTTCGCCCCTACCCGTGAATTGACGCCCAATGATATTCGCAATTGGATGGGTGTCTTTTCCCACGAAAAAGTCGTAGCAAAACATGCCGTCAGAATGGGACAATGCTTCTCTTCCACGAGGCCTATCTATACCTTGACCACGGACCAGATTGAATACATTGACGATATCGTCCGTGGGCAGTATACTTTCTCCGACGGTGTTGGGAAAATCTCTCCGTCTCTAGCCCAACAAGTAGCTTTGAAGATGGAACTCAAGACGGTTCCTAGTGCTTTTCAATTCCGGTTAGGCGGGGCCAAAGGTGTGCTTACTGTGTCAAAGGAACTTGAAAACAAAAAGGTCCAAATACAATTGCGTCCTAGTCAAATCAAGTTTGAGTCTGAGCACACGACACTGGAAGTCATCCGCCCATCCACTTATATACATAGTTATCTTAATCGCCAGGCCATCACATTATTGGCTTGTCTTGGTGTTCCGGATGATGTATTTATGACTCTCATGCATGAAATGATTCAAGATGTGAATAGGTTGTTCCAAAAATCAGAAGAAGCCATCCGAGTTTTACTAGGCAACGTGGATCAAGCTGGCACTGCTGTGTCTCTGGTTTCCATCCTTCAAGCGGGCTTCTTAGAACATCGTGATCCTTTCATCAGAAACATGCTTAATCTGTTCCGTATCATGGTGTTGAAGGATTTGAAGAAGAAAGCCAAGATCATTGTCCCCCAGGGCGCTTATCTCCTCGGTGTCATGGACGAAACGGGAACACTTGAAGAGGGCGAGGTATTTGTTCAAATTTGTGATACTACTTCCAATGGAACGAATAAGAGAATTATTACAGGCGATGCCGTGGTATACCGTAACCCCTGCTTTCACCCTGGAGATATTCGTACAGTCAAGGCCGTCGATAAAAAAGAGCTTCATCACTTGTTCGATGTGATCGTCTTTCCCCAAAAGGGCTTTCGTGATATTCCGAGTATGTGCTCTGGTGGAGATTTGGATGGTGATGACTATACTGTGTATTGGGATCCCCGCTTACTACCTTCCACCAAGAACTATCCACCGATGGATTACACACCGGAGCCTCCTAAGAAAGTAGATAAGGTTCAAATCAAAGATATTATCAAGTTTTTCGTGAATTATATGGATAATGACGTCCTTGGACAAATTGCCAATGCTCATCTAGCCACTGCCGACCTTTCCCCGCTTGGTGCAAGAGATGGTCGCTGTATCAAGCTTGCTCATCTCCACTCGACTGCTGTAGGTAAACTATCTTTTAGTACCATCGTTTGTTTCTTTATTACTTTCCCCTCCCCCGTTGTATGGGACCATGTTCATAATAATCACTTATTTCGGTAGATTTCCCAAAGTCTGGTAAGCCCGCTGTCTTCAAGCCTGAACTTCGAGTGAGCCAGTTCCCTGATTTCATGCAAAAGAAGGATAAGCCTTCGTACAAATCAGAAAAAGTGTTGGGCAAAATCTTCCGTGAAATTGACAAGGCGGATTACAAGAATTATCAATCCACCTTGACGCAGGAAACAGTATACGACACGAGGATGATAGTCCCAGACATGGAACTCTACATCGCCGAAGCAAGAACACTCAAAACTCAGTACAATCGGCAGCTTTATGCTCATATGAATCACTATGGTATACAAACGGAAGCTGAAGTTTGCTCTGGATTCATCATCAAATGGCTCAAGAGCGGTAAAAACAAGTCAAAATATGAACAACATGATTACGCCATGAAAGTCATCAATAACTTCAAATCTACATGGAAAAAGAGGTTTGAACAAGAGTTCTTGGATGCAAGCAAGACAATTGATAAGAGTAGAAAACATTACATTGATGCTAAAGCTGCAGCGTGGTATTATGTTGCTTACCACCCAGATGAACGTATGAAAGACATGTCGGTGGAAGGTGGTTTCTTCAGCTTTCCTTGGTGCGTCTATGAATATATCTGTGATGTCGCTAAGCGAAACAAGCCGAAAGAAAAAGTGAATTATCCAACGATTGATGAGGAAAGCATAAAAGAAGGTATAAAAAAATTGGCTATTCTACGAAATGATGCGGCTGTCATTGATGATGACGAAGAGGACGATATGTTTGACGATGAGGACGACCATGATTATGATACCTTGGATGAATCTTCCGATGATGAGGTCATCATTGCTCCCACACCCGGCCGTTCCTCTATTCATAGAGTTTTATCAGCAGCTGGCAAACCCGTCATCTCTCAAGCCAATTCTGGTAACCGTGGATCTCAGGACAAGACAGCATCCCAGACTCTTACTTCTACGAGTGCAAGCCGTCAAACTGTTCTCCATGCAGATGCCACGGAGGAAGATATAGTGGCTGCTCTGTTGGGCAACACTTCCATGTAAAACGTTGTAGCATACCATGATCACTTCTGCACTTTGTGCGTTTGAAATATGTTACCCCACTGTTGATATCACTGCTCAATACACCACAATTAGAATAAAGAATTATTGAATTGTATACCCTCCATTTTCTTTCACGTGAAATTTTAAATAAACATGGGTACAGAAATAATTCTTTTTGAACATGTGCGAAAGAAGCTCTAACGAAGTAACAGTATTGTTTGAATACGCCATGATTTTCAATATCGGTTCTAGACCAATAACCTTCCACAGCATTAGGAGTATGGTGCTTGCTATCACGATAATAACGGAAAAGATAATATATCAGCAATAGATGCTCAAGTTCGCACAAAAAATTCAAGCTATACTTGTTTGTATCCAAAGCTCTTGTTTGATGCTACAAAATTAGATTGAAGATATAGAAAAGGCAAAAGCTAAAAATGATGAATTTGGCACGCGGTTTGTGAAGCATTATCACAAATCGAAATTGCTAGCTACTCATACATGCTTATCCTACTGAATTTGCTTTAAAGTGTTCATATAAAACATGTAATGTGTTGAAGAATCCTACTTTCAGTCTTGCAATGATTAGCGCACAATCATTCAAGCAATCAAATAAACATTTCCCAAAACATAATTTGAAATGGTCAAGAAATGGACTATGTACAATAGAAAAAGATACAGATGCTCTGAAGGTTGACAGATACTATTCTGCTTCGGCTGTGGGAGATACCGACTATCAAACGAGTTCTGATATAGGAGCCTGATATACAGTTATGTGATACTTCCACCATTTTGAGCCGAAGGATCACTAAAAGACTAGCCCATATCAAATTAGCTACTGCGAAACCTTCAAAGTATTGCTTTTAATACTTTTCATTGTGCCAAGTAAACTTGATTTATTAAAACACTCGCTTTAAATTCGTCAACATTTCAGCTAAAGAATTAACAAAAAATTTAGCGCATCAAGTTGCATTAAACATGTGTAAGAGCAGATCAATTCAAATACCATCTTATTCGCGACAGTAACCAAGGATACGAAGGTATTTTCAAAAGGTGGTAATGATTTTGGCACTTGTTACTCTAGTACCCATCCTTGAGACCGTGCTTTATGCAGAATGGGGAATAACAAACCTTCGAACTCCTTGAAATCAAAGTATTTTCTGATTGGTTTTTATTGCAAATGAGAATTTTTGGCCCACACCAGATTCTTGTTCGCACATGCTTTACTCTTACACTTTAAATGTATTAAAAGTTCTATTCAAACCGCATTAGTGTTTGCACTCTAGAAAATTATGGACAGTAAGTACAGCATAACTTACGATATTATGGGTGAGAATTATGCTCATTTGAAAATGCTATGTGAAGTAGTCGTTAGTTTCGTTACTATGACTGCATTCTATCGCAGTATTCTGCAAGAGAGGAAACTGCAATATGAGTAAATTGATGTTCAAAACAGACAGAGATGCAGTATCATTGTTGCAGCTTGCAATATAAAAGTCGTATGGTTTGTTTGTTTAACAAACAGATTCTTTATTATTAATTAAAGCGACCTTTTTTCTTTTTTCCCTCTTCTGCTCTACGGCTACTTTTTCTTCTAATTATCGTATTCCACTTTCCTTCTTGTCTTCGTTCAAATCTAGTAATCAAACATTTTTCCAATGGTAGTTACGAGAAGGTGTGCGAGCCGTAATGACGATTGCAGGGGCCTACCTAACAATAAAGACGTCACTAATGACAATGGTGTACCTTTGTTCGAACAAAAACTGACAAAGAACGACATTGAAGTAGATAAGCAACGACATCTTGAATTTGGTGGGCCTGTTGGAGTAGCAGCAATGATGATTGGGTTTCCAGCTTTGATGTACTATTTCTGGGTTTGCTTGGAATACCATCAAGGAAAATTGATTTATCCAACGACATTGACCTCTTTGTCAGATATCAAGAGTTGGCTTATAGAAGAAATCTGGAAAAAAATGAAACTAGGTGCTTACCCCTCGAGATGGGCAATTCAAACATACATGGGCTACGTTATTTTCTCATTTATACTCGCCGCTGTTATGCCAGGGCCAGTAATAGAAGGTCTACCCATTCCTTCTCAAAACGGGCAAAAGGTACATAGTGTAACAAATTTTAATTTGACCGTGAACCAAAATATGAACAAATATTTCATTGAATTCTCCATTCACTGAACATATTTACATATAGTTAAAGTACCTTTGCAATGGTCTTTCAGCCTGGTATGTTACATTGGCTACATCATTTGTATGCCATATCACGGGTATTTTCCGTCTTACCCATATAATCGATCACTTTGGTGAACTGATGACTGTGGCTATTATTTGGGGTTTTGTAATGTCTGGTCTTGTATACTTTATCAGTTATGCAATGGGTAAAACGCACGAACGAAAATCAGGTAACTTCTTTTATGATTACTTTATGGGGGTTTGCCTGAACCCGCGAATCGGCGTGGTAGATTTAAAAATGTGGGCAGAAATCCGTTTGCCTTGGCCTGTTCTGTTCTATCTGTCACTTTCTTGTTTACTGAAACAATATGAAAGTTATGGTACAATTACTGCTCCAGCTTTCTTCATGATGCTTGCGCATTTTTTATACGCAAACGCTTGTCAAAAAGGTGAAGAATGTATACCAACATCATGGGATATATTCTATGAATTAGATGGTAAAATCTTATACCTAAACACAAAAAGGCAAGGGAATCATTGACAGACTTTTAACTACTCCACGATGTACGTTTGATTACTTTTGTAATTAACACGCATAGGTTTTATGTTAATATTCTGGAATATGGCAGGCGTCCCGTTTACCTATTGTTATACGTCCATCTATTTAATGAAATATCAACTCACCAGCGGAGAAGCGATCACTCATTCTACACCTTATACTATCGCCATTTATACCATCTTAATACTTGCTTACTACGTTTTTGATACCGGCAACTCCCAAAAGAATCGTTTTCGAATGGAGCAACACGGAACATATATTGATCGTAAAGCCTTCCCTCAGCTTCCTTGGGGTCGTATAAAATATCCAACTTACATCAAGACTGAAAATGGTAATTTACTACTCACATCGGGCTGGTGGGGTTACGTTCGCAAGCCTCATTACACAGCCGATCTCTTCCAAGCACTGTCGTGGGGTCTTATTGCTGGTTTTGGATCTTTTCTACCTTACTTTTACTTTTGTTTTTTCTTGTGCGTGCTTGTTCATCGTGTGTCGCGAGATATGGCTCGTTGCGCTCAAAAGTATGGGAAGGACTGGAATCGCTATTGTGAGCGAGTACCCTACATATTTATCCCTTATATTTTTTGAAAAGAGACATTGTCTCTGGTAGTTATTACGTCTCCATACGTTGACTTCAATTCTCATGAATAAAAAACTGAAATAAGCGCAGAATTGCTAGATGTTTCTTATTTCTACACCATGGAACAGTTTATTAATCTTAGGTCTGGGTACCAACGCATAGTTTTCAGGCATTAAACAAAATTATGTTTATATGATGTAATATAATAGTAGACCATTAAGAGTAAATAAAAGACAGTTTGCACAACAGTAGAAAGTACAAGCTCTTCTTTCTTTCACCTGTAAAGATAGGACTGAGCCCATTCAAGCGATGTTGAAGGGGTGGTGTCTTATGTTTTCGGTCTCCCTAGATACTTACAAATGGAGCTACTGGTCTTCCAACATATTTTTTGAGACATTCGCGTCAAGGTTCTACAGTTTCTAACTAGTCTTGCAAGCAAGTATACTATAGGTCTAAACGTCTTTCAATTTCTCGAGAGTTTTACTGGAACAGTACGAGCATATTCTGGATGTCTTGAATTCATCGATTTCCTGTATTAGCAGGTCTCCGACTGCTTTGCGACGCTTAAGTGCACACCACACATAAGCTTTCGTTTGACAACCTTTATAATAACAATATGATTTACGCGTTTAACGTCGTGTTCAAAATACACAAATATTGAAAATTATGAATCAATGCTCACGGTAACAGCATTGCTACGTAAGACAGCAAGCAACATTCCAACTCCAGTACTTTATCTTTTCAATCAAAGCTTCTTCTATGGATCACACGCGTTACAAACTGGAAGTCAATTATCTTTAGGAAATGAAGAGACTCCAATGGATAAGCACAATATATAAGGGTTTTTTATAGTAATCTAAGACAATTGAAGAATTTACTATTGTAAATTTGTTGTAGAGGATATCAATAAGCGTGGCTTCTAGCTTTTATTATGCCTCCCTACTCGTCATTTTTGAACCATACTGAGAATACTGGTCAAGGATTAAAAGTATTATTTGACGCAATCCGTTGCAGAAAAGCGAATTATCGTTTCGAATTCAGAAAGCTTGTAAGACAATATGCCTGATGATTGCCTGGGTTGGACTAGGCATGCAGAATATTCGGGGATGGATGCTTACAGGGCACACTTGGCCTCATGAATTAGTGATCTAAATCGGTTTATATGCCATTAAAAATTGCAAAAATGCAAATCGTTCAATAAAAATTACAAGTCGTTTAAAATGGACGTCAATACACTGTCATATACAATTCCTCACCAGTCAAAACAGCTCCCAAGTCGACCAATACAGCGTGCCAATGTTCACGCCAACTGTCCAATTGCTATTTTTTGAGGTCGATTATTTTCAACATGAGAAAATGTCGTCCTCCCTGACAGAAACATTAGCACAGCTCTTACTACATTGGCTTTATGCGTTAACAATCACCACGACTTGGTAATCCCTTTCTCCCTTAGTTAGCTTCATGACACACCGCCTTTTTTTCACTTGTTCCTCTAAGGAGTTTTTTTTTCTTGTGATCTGCCCAAGAAAGTTTTAGTAAGTAAATTAATCTGTGCGCCCATTGGGGTTTCAATTATTTTGTTAACTTTAATTTAATAATGTCATTTTGGGTTTTTGAATTCGAGCTTTCACTGTTTCTTACATTTTGGATGTTCAACAAGTGAATCACTTAAAAATATGGAGGCGGAACAAATTCGAGACGGCGTAAAGTACATGCAACAAGGCGATAAAGCGTATGTAACTTTGAACCGAACTACCCCAACTCTGAGATTTAGCTTGGATAAGCAAAACCAATGTTTATAGTTGGCAATACAAACTGATTATGCAACCATTATCTACACCCACTTAGTTCAACTAAAGGCTTTTTTAGAAAGCCCGATTGGGATTTAGCGGCAAGCTATTATGACAAAGCTGGTAATTTGAAATAGAGGAAGAAGTGAGATCTTGCGAACGTCGTGTACTGATGACTGTTTATGCAACATAGCAACATCATTTAAAATAGCACATTCGTATGATCAAGCCGTTCAAGCTTACTATAAATCTTCTGAAGCCCTCTCCAAAGCCGATGCGTAACGTAGAATAAGAAAGATACCAAATGACATAACTAATTAATCTAATTTTGTCTTTTCTTTTAGCATTCACTTGGCAGGAAAAGCATTAGAAAGTGCTGCCTTTCTCCTAGCTCAAAATTTAAACCAACCACAAAGAGCTGCTGAAGCTTATCAGCGTGCTAGTGATTATTTCATGACACAAGGTCATCTATTAGAAAATGAACGTTAAATGTCTCTGCGACATATTCAATTACTGATCCGACTATTTAGGAAGCATCGATCGTGCCGCGGAGCAACTCGATAAAGCAGGAAGGGTGTTGGAGGCAATAGATGTTAACGCATCATTTAATGTTTATAGCAAAGCTTGTACTTTATACGAACAGGAAGATAGGGGACGATTCGCTGTGGAAATTTTCAAGAGAGCCATATCATTGCTTATAAGAAACAGAAAGTAAAAACGTCAAAGAGGATTCAACCATAAGCTGCGTTACAAGACTCACAATTTAAATTTTTAAAAAGGTACGATAGAGCTGTTGAAATGTTAAAACGCCAATCAGTCATACTTCAAAAGTTCACCAGTCGAACTCATCTCTATAAAGCCAACCTCAGCATACTCATCTTAATATTTGCTATTGGTGATGACGTGGAAGCTGGTAAACAATTTAATACTATGTGCAGGTAAGATAAAATTGTTGCTATTGTTCATCATTTTCACTTTTCTCAAGAGTTTGCTTAAAATTTTACCACTATTAAGTAATGACGCAGGGTTTGCACAAAGCGAAGAAGCGGAGATAGCAGAGCAATTACTGAAGGCTTACGATGAGAGAGATCAAAGCCTATTGGAAAAAACGGTTAGGTTACAGCACGTAACATTCTTAGATAATGAAGTAGTGAAACTGGCAAGAATGCTGACAGTTCCAGGAGAAACGTTATCTTCAGCAGCTAAAAAGGGGTCAGCTACGTACAACAGTAATGCTCAAGCAAATTCTGCCTCTACAGGTGCAGATAGTACAGCTCCATATGGTAGTCAACATTCTGCAACAGGAAACGGAAACATCAGCAGTTTTGACAAGTTAAATATCAATAATAATGGTTATGATGATGAGGATGAAGAGGATTTGCGATAAAGGGTCTTTATTGTTAGATTAAATATTATACTATGCAAATAAACTATTAGGGCCCTTCATGCCGAGGCACAATACACCTATACTCTATTTAACAAAGCCTTATTGCAAAAACTCTCTCAAATTGCATACGGTCCATTCAAATACAGTTACTTATAAATCTTAATAGTATAACCTTGCCATGGCACTAAAACTTGTCAGCAGTAATAAAAAGTACACATTGAAATTGAGATTTATTCACCGCACACTACTACAGCTATTTTGTATTATCTTTTTACCAAAATTGAAGAAACTCAATATTAAATTATATCTACAACGTTAACAATAAATGAAATCAGTTGGAACACTGCGTAAGAAAGGTCTGCCAGGAGCCGAGCACTTTTATAAGAAGGACAAAAATAAACATTCAGCGAGCAACTCTTCATCGCCAGCTTCAAGCGGCAGTATTGCTGCTACCTCTTCAATGGCATCATCTATGCATCCAGTCCATCGTCATCATTTTCGACACCCACATAGACCATATTCCACTGTCAATGGGAAGCCTACAGTGCCCGTTATGACAAAAACAACCGCTCCTATAACAATTGACTTGCATAGATTTGCAGACGATAAGCTACAGCCACAGGAGTGTAAGAATTTGATAGCATAATAATGCCCACATTCTGTGAGGTTTCACCAGTTGATCGCTTAAAGTTCCTTCTCTATAAATGCAGTTGTACGTAAAACTTTGAGCGGTACAAACGAAGAAGGTATTCGTGGATTTTACAAGTCGCTATTAGACGCTAAACATGTAGTAGGAGGAGACCTTCAGAGGAATGTACTACGAAATTATACAGAATTCGTATCGATTTCTAAGGAGATATCCAGTTTGGATGCAGATGTTTTGAAAGTAAAAGAGACATTGAACGAATTAAAGATGATTTGGGAAGGATTTCTAGCATCTACCAACAATACCACCACTGATGCAGCGAACTCAGATAATGATAGTAATTACAGTAGATCAGTAGGTATGGATGTATTTGAAATTGTGGATAAATTGTTGAAGAGTAATAGGATTCAGACTAATGATATAAATATGTTTTCTAGGAGCATATAACTATGGTAGTAAAAGTATAGATGATAATAAAGGGGCTATGAAAGGTTTATACAAAGCGCAAATCATGGCATTATGGGAGAAAGTGGAAGGATCGCAACGATTTATTCAACATGTACAAAATCGGCGTATCATAAAAGAATTTACTCATTTTCATGAAATCAATCCAAAAACACTTCAACCACAACACATGGCTCAGCTTTATCTGTTGAATGACTGCCTGTTACTCGCGCGTAGAAAAGCAAACAGAAATCTCATTGCCGAGCGTTGCTGGAATTTACACGATTTAACTATAGTTGATATGAAGGATTCTTCAAACCTTACCAACGCTGTTCGCATTGTTGCATACCCCGAGACTTTTATATACCATGCTGAAAGAGTAGAGGACAAAATGAGTCTTTTGTATTCCTACAAACGGCTCATAGATGATCATGATGACAAACAATTAGATACCCGTCTATTGGGTAAGTGAAAAGGAAAAAAAAAAAGTTACAAGTATCACATCCTTCTCATCATTTGTAACATTTCTCTTGTAGGATCACTTAAGGTAAGAACTCGCTATCCCTATTGTCACAGCCCCGTTTCTATAATAGGCCTTCGTTCTACAAAATATAGATTGACGACAGCAGTAGTAGTCTTCCACCTGATATTGAAAAATTGTTAGTGGATCTCCCCGATCAACTTGAAGTCATGATTGCACTAAGAGAATTTGAAAAGAGCGTTGTCTATTTAGAAAAAGGTAGCAAAATTGTTGGCGATTAAAAGGTGCCTGTTCTGACATTTCGAAATTGTTTATTTTAAGCCCGCCAATTTACAATGTCAACATCGAGCTCCTTTCCTATCATAAGGGAAGCTAGAGACCAAATTGAGCATTATACAGATGAATTATGCACTATCATAAGCAAAGATCTCAGTAATACATTACTGACAAAGATACAATTCCAGCGTTATGTAAATTGGCTTTTACGATTGGGTAAAAGCGAAAAGGTAGAGAAATGCAAAAGTTGCTATATACAGGGTGCTTTCAACGGTACTTATGATCAAATTCAAACATAGGCGCGGCAAGTTTTTTTGGAAACTAGAACTGTAATCATTAGAAAGAGAATAAGGTAGCTAGATTATAGAACAAAATGCGGTCAGAAGAAACTCTGAGGTTGATTTACGGCATATATCAATAATATTTTTTCCAGACAACTTATCTTTGAAGGCGATACTACAACCTACATCAGTGAGCTTGCACTTGTAGTGTTTACTCTGATACGGAACACTTGTGAATGGTATCGAGATTCATTCAGACAAAATGATATGGCATCAGGTAATAGAACACATTTTTTCATTTTTAGTTACAAGGATATGGAGGTACTTAGACTGAAAAAATTCTTTTTGTAAGGCTTCGTGACATGGGTTCGTGACCAAACGGAAGCATATGCAGATATTTACAAAAAGCAAGTGTTTGGGCAAGGCCACCTCAATTGCCAAGTGATTGCTGATTGTTTCAAATCAACACTTGAGCAATGCTCTATTGTAAGTTTATTTTTATTGATTAGATGTCAAATATGACCTGGTTTTGATTTGGTAATATTTGTTCTGTAGCTCAAAAAGGTTGGACTAGATTTCAGATTTATACTTGAAGATTTATTCCTGGATAATGTGAAAGAGACGGTGATTGCATATCAAAAGCGAAACGTTGAAAAAATTAACAAGTTTGTTGATAACGAAAACTTTCATGTCGTATCGGGGCAAGGGTTAGGGAACGATGTTAAGGTCACTTCAAGCGTTATCAGCTTTTACAACCTATTGATAAAGTTCTCCAACGACATATGTCTGTTATCAACGTTGCAGGTAACAACCAGATTGACGCCATACATGCAGTTATAACATATCTCAAATCTTGTTTTCCTTAGCTCTACTCAACGGTAATAGATAGTATTAGTCAGCTAACAGAGCACTACCTGAAATCATTGATCTTTGTATCTCGTCAAAAGAATCTAACGAAAGAACAGGTAAATAGAATGATAAATTGCTATTTTTGGACCTCACGTTTTCACACAGTTCATGAAAATCGTTCTAGCGAACAATAGCGTCGATGAATATTTCATTCGTTCTCGACAATGTCGTACCAAGAGTATCTTCACAATTGAACGTGAGCATCATATAGATTATGCATTAACGCAAGTTTACGCCCGACTAACAATTGTCTACCTAGTATCACTTTAACAGACCTATACCAGAGCTGGATACATTACGAGCAAAACTTCGAGGTAATAAAAAAACAAAAAAAAAAAAAAAAAAAAAATGAAACCATAGATGACTTGTTTTCATTGTTCTATGCGAGCTAAAACAATTACTTGTTTAATAGAACTGACTTTCTGAACCCACCACACGTGAAACCGGTGGAATAGGCTTCCTTCCTTCCTCTGTAATTTCATTCTTTATCCAATGATAATTGATTAATAAATCGAATCTGTCAAATTGATCACTTCTTTTTTCTTCCTTTACTTCTCATTTTTTAACTGTTTAGCCGTCTCTCTCCTCTCCTTTATATTTACATCTTCCTACTTCCTTTTTTATAGAACTAATTATACCTGATCGTTATCACATAGATTGTACCATTATATATCTAATCAAATTACTTTTGTTGCTTTTATATATAAAATCTTTCCTATCACACATATACATGCATTAATTCTTTTCCTTTTCGATTTCGCCTACAATTATGATAGCCATCCACAAGTCGATTCTTACAGCTGCCTTACCTATATTGCCATGTTCTTGTTACGCCTATATATCAACCAAAAGCTCCACTATGGAAGGGCAGCAAGTGAGGATTTTGGACTATCTATCCAGCAATGCCCTGCAACATTTTCTGTTTTTTTGGATATGGATCGAAATTCTATTCTATTCTTACTTTTTACAACGCCGGAAAGCATTACAGAAAACTACCAAACCGAAAAATCCCTTGAACAAAGATGAGAGGACAGCTTTATTTTGGAATTGCGTGCATACCATCAAAGATATAAAGTCTTGGTGTACAGGATGGTATTACTATAAGCAGACTTTGAAGCATCCGAAATTTGATGAAATAATGAAGGACAATTTAGCCATATGGTAGGTTGTAATTGAGAAATCCAAATAGAAGCATTCGCTTAACTATAAATTGATAGGTTCGCTTGGGCTTTTTTCAACGAACATTTAGAAATTGTTAGAGAGAACAACGAATGGGCAGAGGAAATTGAATGGATGATCACTTCAGCAGAATCATATTTCAATATCAAGTTCACTGAAGGCTACAACAATGAGCTACAGTGTATTCGGCTAAACTTGGATCCTGTGCATGCAGTGCATCGACCGTTTATTGCCTATCTGGGACTTTATCTTATCACTAAGATTTATGATGTAGTCTATTTACAAATGGTGGCAAAATTCGCACCCTCAGCATGTGCCATTGAAGCTGTTACTGCACCGGATGTGTTATGGGGTGGACCTTTCCAGAGAATAAATACAGTTGTAGACTCAGTTTTATCTGCAATTTTCCCTGTCAACAACAGCAGCGCAGCAAAGAGTAGCAAGAAAGCACTGCCTTCATCTTCACCATCTAGAGTATTGTCTTTTTGGTATAGAAAAGCTCTCACAGCAGAAAACAATGGGTTGACTCCTATTGTGTTTATACATGGTATTGGCGCTGGTGTCATCTGTTATACGGAATTCATACATCAAATTAGCAAGTTGGACAGGCCTGTATTTTTAGTTGAAATCCCTTATGTATCTATGCACATGGTTGATAATGTACCATCTGCTGCAGAAACAGTGCAGGAGATCTCCAGCATGCTTAAATCCTATAGCTACGATAAAGCAGTATATGTGGGTCATTCTGTAGGTACAGCTGTCTGTAGTTGGATCATGAAGCTTGCACCTAAAACTGTAGGAGGTATGGTTCTGATTGATCCCATTTGTTTCTTACTGCATTACCATAATGTTGCTTTTAATTTTGTCTACCGTATTCCCAAAACTTTGATTGAGGTATGTATGGTAATGTGTATAATGAGAGAACAATATTATTTAGTTGTTCGCTTTAACATATTTATAATAGCACGTGATGCATTATGGTGCTGCAAGAGAACTGTATATAAGTAACTATATATCGCGTCACTTTCAATGGTTTGAAGCTATCTATTTTACTCAGCCGAATAATACAGAAGAAAAGCCCAGGCTTCCTTCGCATTTGGACGAAACGTCACCTTTGTCAAATGCTACTGTTTTCTTGTCGGAAAGAGACGGTCTTGTTTGCAGTGCTTATGTATATCAATATCTTTTGGAAAGAGGTGTGGATGCCTACATAATGAAAGATTTGGAACATGCCATGTTCTTGACGAATACGAATTGGAAGAGTACAATTAAAAAACAAATAGATACAATTGCCCATAGGGCAGATCAACATACTTCACCTACTTCCGATACAGCTGTCACATCTTTAAAATGAATAAAACTGCATTTCTAGCGTTTAGTATTTTGTTCCTCTTCCAGTATGATTTTTGCATGCAACAATTGTTTCTATTACAATTTTATTCAAGGACTAGCATTACTCTCTGCTTGAAATTCTAAAAAATTGTAAAAAGCTACTTTAAGCATTTTCCCATGATAATAACCAAGTATATTACTCAGTGTCAGTAATTCAGTTTGTTAATGCTTTAACGGTCTAAAGTAAGGAGCCGCCCTCAAATACCAGTACTAAAGCATCGCGTCTTATACAGATAGTACAGGTATATCCCATTTTGCAAACGGAATGCTTCATAAGGGTGATGTCAATAAAATGATGTATGAAGAAAAAAGTTCGCCATAGAGTGATAAAGACTAGCTGTGTAAAAGGGACTGACGACAAAAAAAAGGAGAGAACAAAAAGAGTCGTCTACAACATTAAGTATGAGATGCGCTTGCGGGATAAAGTAACATTAATGTATTTTATTTAAATTAGAGAAATAAAAAATAAGGTTAGAGCGAGGAAGCAAACCACCTCCCGGTTGCGCAAACAGCAACAGTTAGAGCATATGAGAAAGATGCGAAGTGAGCTTTTGTTTGAAGTTGAGCGATTGATGGAAGAAAATTATAACTTAAAAAGGTATTTATCCCGATGATCAGCTCACGTTCGATTTCTTATGTGGATTTAATGTCAACCCCACACTTATTATTAATTACATTCGACGATCTATTTTGAAATACTCATTCGCAGTTTTTTGATTCGGAATTTTCGGTGAGGAAGTTTGCCAAACCTCAGTAGAGAGCAACAGCAGTACTATAATTATTGCTCCATTGATCGAGTGCATGATCCGAATACTGGTGAAGTATTGTGAAAAGTCATCGCTTGGAATCTTAACGTTGAACTAACAATGACTAGTATTATTTACTCACACTTATAAATCCAAAAGAATGCATGTCTTACCTTGGGCATGCCTGTTGTATTTGCTTAATTGAGAAATTGATAACTGTTGTAAGTCGATGACTATGAACTTAGTTCTCTTTATTATTCTTCAGATGAAGTAGAAGGATTATTTACTCTGTGAGGTTTAATGGGAATTATATTATTGTGGGGACGCGTATGCTAGTCACTAATTTCAGGTACAGATGCTTGATGTGTGATTATTATATTTAGGCCTGTATCTTGTTCTATGCTGTACATAACCTATATTAGATGCAATATAGATAGACGGTGGTAGAATGTATTCTCTACCTGGTTGTACGTACTCGAGTATTGTAGTTATTATCTCACCAAACACGTCAATGCCAATTTAACTGGCGCAACCAAAATCATTAATCAGAAATTATGCAGCTTATTATTTAACATTGAAGGCATTCTTCCGTGTACAACAAAAATTGGCGAGACATTATATTAAGTAAAATAAATAGGCTGCGGTAGCCACCCAGACATTTTATTATGAAAATTGTACGTGTCTAATATATCGTTCGTTTGGGTAATTTTTATCAGTCTAGAAAGAGTTTCAATAGTATAATTGTTGATAGAATAGGTGCTGAAAGTGTGGGGACAGATCCATCTAAGGTGGTACAACGGGTACAGGCTCAACAGGTGGAGGAGTAACGGGTACAGGCTCAACAGGTGGAGGAGTAACGGGTACAGGCTCAACAGGTGGAGGCGTATCGGGTACAGGCTCAACAGGTGGAGGCGTAACGGGTACAGGCTCAGCAGTATCAGGCTGTTCAGGTACAGAGGTGGTGACGGCAGGTGCGGTAACTGTTTCGGTTGCTGCAGGCTGTTCAGGTGCAACGGTCGGGGCGGCAGGTGCGGTAACTGTTAAGGTTGTTGTTACGGTTTCGGCAGGTGCTGTTACGGTTTCGGCAGGTGCTGTTACGGTTACGGTTTCGGCAGGTACGGTTACGGTTTCGGCAGGTGCTGTTACGGTTTCGGCAGGTGCTGTTACGGTTTCGGCAGGTGCTGTTACGGTTTCGGCAGGTGCTGTTACGGTTTCGGCAGGTGCTGTTACGGTTTCGGCAGGTGCTGTTACGGTTTCGGCAGGTGCTGTTACGGTTTCGGCAGGTGCTGTTACGGTTTCGGCAGGTGCTGTTACGGTTTCGCCAGGCGCTGTTGCGGTTTCGGCAGGTGCTTCAGGTGCAGCGGTGGGGGCGGCAGGTGCGGTAACTGTTAAGGTTGTTGTTACGGTTTCGGCAGGTGCTGTTACGGTTTCGGCAGGTGCTGTTACGGTTTCGGCAGGTGCTGTTACGGTTTCGGAAGCTACTGTTACGGTTTCGCCAGGTGCTGTTACGGTTTCGCCAGGTGCTGTTACGGTTGGGGCAGGTAGTAATAGGGTTTGAGTGCTGACTGCGCTAAACGTTGTAGTGCTATAGTTAGGAAGAAACAAATGATAAGAAGCTGAAGATTCTATCGCAATTATTAGAACACATTCAAAACTTACCGTCCAACAACATGAGTAACGGTTGTTCGTTGAGGTTGGATAGTGTGATAAATGAAAACTTTTTTCTTTCCAAAGCCTTCAGAGCCACTATTCTTCTGGTAATTGTTTTTACCAAAGCTGCCATGACCGTAGTCGGAGTCATCACCGCCCTTATTACCCCATTTACCATGTCCGTAGTCTTCATCATCGTCATCTTTTCCCCATCCCTTGCCATGCTTCCAGTCGTCTTCATCATCATCATCGTCGTCATGCTTGCCACCACGACCACCATGCTTCTTGTGCTTCCAGTCGTCTTCATCATCATCATCGTCGTCATGCTTGCCACCACGACCGCCTTGCTTTTTGTGCTTCCAGTTGTCTTTATCATCATCATCATCATCATCATCATCATCATCATCATCATCATCATCATCGTCATGCTTTCCGCCACGACCACCATGCTTCTTACCACTATAATCATTGTTCTTGTAGCGTTTGACTAACTTAGAGGCAGAGGAAACATCGAGCTGATTGATATGAGAGTTGACAGCATCAACAGAGGCACTAAGAGAACCATCAGCTTGAATACCAGGAGCGGCAGAAACGAAAGCTGCTGATAAGACAGCAGTTGAAAGTAAAGTCAGAGAAGTAAAACGCATTTGAATGGTTTCTTGTTCGGATTATTTTTCTGTAGTTTGACTGAAGTTGTAAAGAATTGCAAGTGTTTGCTTGATATAAGAAGAAACTGCAAAAGGTGAATTAATGTTGGGTTTATATATCCTTTTGGGCAGTAGAAAGAATAATTGATGTAAGGTCAGTTTAAAATTTCTCATCTATGGCGATAAAGCTTCAGTTGAGAGATAGTTAGAAAAACGATATATGAAGCTAACAAATAATAAGCATGAATGGACTTACCATCACATTTTCTTTGTAAATCCAACGATAGAAATATACCCGCTGACGTTAAGAAGCGTCATTTTACAAAGCTTATTCAGGTTTACCAGCCATTTTGGCAACGGTGATTTTTTGTCCCGCAAACTCCAGGGCGACAACCTATTTCAAATCGGTCTATTTCAATGATATTATTCAACCCGGAGCTATAATAATTGAAGAAAAATGAACGAAAAAATTAGTACTCTGTTTGCAGATGTCAAATGAAGAGAATATCTTTGATCATACGTCATGTACGTATGGAAATAATACTTCCTAGTAACAGGATATTTGAAGTGGTTGTTTGATACAGTCTGATTTTATGCCCTCGAATTTTAACGAAACGGAGAAATAACAAGCTACTTGCGTTACGTTTATTTCAATTGTTACTAAAAACGTCTAAATGTTGCCTCGACGAGGAAGCTTCGTTTGGTATTTCTACGAACAGATAATGCCGGCAAATCTTTTAAATTGCACATTGTAGCATTTTCGAAACGAACTGTTTATTTTTAATTTGCGATGAAAATACATTAGCACAATGCATTGGTTAAAGGATGTAATAACACATGCTCGTAAAACTAAAAAAGAACATCAGATTGTGGAGAAATTTGCACAGCATTGTTTGAAATGTTTCCCGATTAAGGTATGTGTTTTATACTAGAATGGTATTGTTGATAGGATTCATTGCTTCCTCATACTGTTCACGCCTTTTTTGATTGTTTATCGGTAGCTGCTACAATGATAGTAGCGGTCCATTTAACAAGATCAACTTTCTCCGTCGCGGCAGATACAAGATATGGATTATTCTAAAAACAAAATGGTATCCTTTTAACAAAAACAAGCAACAAGCTTTGGATATTCCTCCTTATCAATATTTACCATTAAATCATTAGGTGTTGCTCTTTTTTGGACATCTTTTGTTAAGCTAATTTGAGAAATTGGAGTCAACGTAATGCTCTATAACAGAAACTGAGTGCAACAGTAGACTCACCATTTTGCAACAAAGTCAGTCAAATCTTTGGGATAATCTTTGTTAGCAGGGAATACAGGGACTGGTTCATGTACAATATGCTGGAGAAGCTCAAATATCGATAAAGGTGTACCCTCTGGAGGGAATGGAAATCTTCCGAGTGCTAACTCCATTAACGTAATACCCAAAGACCAAACATCCGATTTTACAGAATAAGGCGATCCCATAATTCTTTCGGGCTTATAAGTGAAAAAAAGAAAGGGTTTCACAAAAAATCAGAACGAAATTAACATACTCTTTAGTCTTCCATCCTGCAAAATTATTCTCCTCAGTAGATACACTTACACTCATATACGAACTTGTGCCGACAAATGTATCAGCAACCGAGTTGATCAATTGCCCTGAGACACCAAAATCGCATAGTTTTATTTGGCCTTGGGAGTTGACTAAAACATTTGATGGTTTCAAATCTAAAGATGCCAATACGAGGATCTTTCTATCAGTGTACAACCCTATCTACTCTCGACTATTTCACTTTCGACTAACCTCGATGAATAATACGATGTTCGTCATATAGGTATATCAAGCCATCCACTATCTGATTGTTTTTCCTGTGTTAGGTTGAGATACGATTATTCTTTCTTAAAGCGGACCACTTACAGCATATGCAACCTTCTTCAATACGTCAAATGGAAACGGCCCGTGCTTTTTGTATATCTGATCTAAAGACCTAAAAAGCAAAAATATGTATCATTTGAGCTTTGCTGCTTTACGATGATATTAATTTGATACTAAATTCTTGATGTTTTACCCCACATCCATGTACTCCATACATATTGAAATATCATCTCCATTCATAAATGCGCCGTAGAAACTAACAATATGCTTGGAGTTGCAATCATGCATAAACTGAAGTTCTCGCATAATTTGTTTTCGAACCGTCATGTTAGCGTCGACGTGGACGATCTATATGAAAAAGAAGACGAGATTTCTATTTAAGCGACAAGGTTGTAACGTAAACAGACATTTTCCACTGTATATCTCAGAGTAGATATGTATCGTAACATAGCTCGCCAATAACACTACAACTGCATTTCGACTTATGAACAATACCTTTCTTGCCATTATTGTATTTGTTCGAACATGGAGTACTTTGCATACTGTTCCACCATTTCCTCTACCTAATTCGTCTATCGATTTGAAGTCTTCGGATCGCAAATCCAACCTCATTTCCAACCCAATTTCCAGCTCACTTAACTGTTCGCAAAGTTCTGAATAGTCAGATTTATGGTGGCTATAAGTTGGCTTTCCATTACTATTGTTCTTTATGTCATTGCCAGTATTAGGTCCAGAGGGTGGCGGCGAGCTTAGAACTACTGGAGAGTTTTGTAATGTCAAATTCTTAAAGTTGCGCTTTTTTCTGAGTGGAGCCTTTGAAAGCATTTCTGTAACCTAAGATGTTGTATGAATGTTGGGCTGCTATAAAAGAGGTGTTGTGTTTCTCAAAAGAAGTCTAATTTAATAGAATAAGTGAGCCTTTTCCTCCCTTTTTTTTTTTTTTTTTTTTTGTTATTTTACCAAAAGATTGCTCCAATCAAATCAAATCCAATTAAATGGGCAACAATGAAACTGTGATTCTTCATAACAATAAAATAACTTAGAGAAACTCGGTAAGTTGTTGCAAGCACTCTCGACTCCCAACTATAATAGAATAGTTACTCAAAAACAGACCCGCTTAGCATAAGTTTCAGTTGAACATATTCTTTTATTATAAATCATGATCTCCCAATCTTCACAGACACTTGAGACGCGCATAAAGCAGCGAATAACTACTATTATTATTGAAGTTTTACTTTCGTTTATTATCTTTCTAAAGTCAATGGTTCCAACCGTAGATACTTACATTCTCAACATAACCCATAGGTAGCATTGTCTCTTTACCTTTAATGAATCTAACGAATCTTTATAAAAATTACAATTAGATTATGCTTTCTATGCTTATATCAGATACATGCTTACAAAGATCAATTTATGGCATCGTTGCTGTATTGGATAAAGGAGCTCGTAAAACGAGAGAAATTCTTTGTAAACGGCTGAAATACAGCTGATAATGAATAGTTGAGCCATTGAAAGGTATAGTAAAAAGACAAAGTTTAAATGGAATGTTTAATTCAATGTTCGTTACAAAAGCTCTTACGAAGGAGATCATTGGTGAAAAAGACTTTCAGATATAGGCATGAAGCTGTGGTTACGGAGATTATGGAAACTTATTGTTGTCGGTGCTGCTACCAAGCTGAATTAGAAAAGCTTTTCAGGCACAGAGGGAGACAAATATTGAGTTCCGATCAATGAGAGCTCTATAACAAAGCAATTAGCGGTCAAACGCGGAATAGTACTGTGAGCTTCAACCGCCTTTTAAGGATTATGCCTTTATATAATATTTTAATAAAGGATTCTCTCTGTTTCACAGCAAAAACTAGGCGCGAAACTGATATTATACATAAACAACACCTGCTGTGTAAAGAACATTTACGACTTGCAGCCCAGCGGAATACTTAATAAGCTCGGTAAACAGTTCCTATTGGATTGTCGTTTTACAACATGCATGATGCAGGTTGTTAAGTGAGGCAGGATAGAAGTTTTTATTTTTTGTAAATTTCTGATTATGAAACATCTACCTGAGAGACTGAATTGTGAAAAAAGGAACGAAGTCGCGTATGCGAAAATGTATAAATATAGCAGGAAAAGACACATACTTCTTCGATGTCGATGAAAGAAGACCAGACTTTTCTCTTTTCTTAAATTATCATTAGCTACCGTCAAATAAAACATATAAACGATGCCTAAAACTTGACTATTTCTAACGTAAACCCTACAGAAAAAGATAAAACTTCCATTATCGCTGGTCTTGGGAGGCCTATTCTTAATGAAGACTTCCATTTATGTCAATAAGCTTGCCCATTTTGACCGAGAGCGTATTCATAAATATGTGTTTACGCCAAAAGAGCCGGTGTTCGCAGAGAATTTAGTATAGCTTTCTTATTTGTTGGCATATGTTACAAGAATTACCAAGCGTATACTAACACTTTTTCTTTGAAAATCAGTTGCCACTCATTATGTTTCCCATCTGAGCAAGGCTAACTTCTTAAGCAACGTTGGGAAAAAAAACACCTATATTTGCTCGTTTCTCTACTGTGGGTGGTGAAAAAGGCAACGCTGATACCGCGCGTAATCCTCGCGAGCTTGCTCTAAAATTCTACACAGAAGAAGGCAATTTGGACATGCAACAACACTACTGTTTTTTTCATTCATGACCCTTCAAGTTTCCTGATTTCATTCATACACGGAAACTTAACCCTCGAACGAATCTCAAGGACCCCAAACGGCAAATGAGACTTCTTCTCACCTGTGTTCAAATCTATTCGTTAGCAAACTATTCCGTACTCTAATCATGGTACACCGGATGGAGATCGTCATATTCACGGTTTTAGCTCTCATACTTTTGGATTTGTCAATAAGAAAGGCAAGCTCAAGTACGTCAAGTAGCACTTCAGAACTTGTTATGGTTTGAAGAGTTCTAAAGGCTGATGTTACTGCAAAATTGGAAGGGTTCAGATCATGCTACTTTAGACTTATTTGAAGCTATCGAAAAGGAACTAACCTTCCTGGGATATCTTTATCCAACTTTTGGAGCCTGAAGATGCTAAGACATATCGATGATTTGATGTCACTAAAGCCTGGCCGCATAAAGTATATATGAGCAAACTAACTGTTGCAGATAATCATTTAAAACATTTGCTATATAAGCAAAGTAGTTCATCCTTTCCAATAATTTCAAATGGTTGCAAAACGTAGTATTACCCTCTTCAGCCTGCTGGCGAATTTACGTTGAACAGAAACGCGGTAAATTATTTTGCAGAGGTTGAACAAGCCGCCTTCTTGCCGTCTGATATGGTATTGGAATTGATACCTCAGCTAATTGCATATTACAAGGCTGACTTTTCTTGTATCCGAATACTCATCGCCTTTGACTTGGCGTGAATTATGAGCAAATTCCCATTAATCAACCTAGATGTGAGTTGTAACTATCAACCTGACGGATTTATGTCCTTTAAAGGAAATAATGTTAGTTCTCCTAACTATGGGCCGAATTCTGTTGTTTTTCCTGTCCAAAATAATCTAGCTAGTACAACGTACGCTGCTGCACAGATCGACGGACTGATTGGACACTTTACTTATCAAATATCAGAGGGTGACTTTTTTAACGCTGGTAATCAATTGTGCCTCATGAACGAGGAGAATAAGAAAGCTTTATGTAGAAACATTGCCGAAGAGTTGCTTATAGTTAGAAAGGAAATTCTTCATTTTGAACGGGCTGATCCTAACCATCGTCGTCGTGTAGAGAAATATGAAGAAACTAGGCAGTAAGTAAGTTTCAGGAGTTGTCACTGTAACTGAATCTATTACAATACGGCTGGTAGATTTTGTTCTTTCGGTAATTTTCGCCCAAGAAATAAGTGGATGTAATGGATGAATAGTTGTAACAATTCTTATCAGTTTCTTGGGTTAATAGATATTATATGGGAATAGGTTTCGGTTGGTAGTTCTTTTACTCAAGATATTTAGTTTTGTTGAATACCCTGTAAAGTCGATTTAACAAAATCCTCAACTTCCTCAGTTAATTTCCTGACTGTATTTTCGTTGTATTGCTAGACAAATTGCTTGTTCTCTAGTAATACCGTTCATATTTGGAACATTGAAAATAAGATAAACAAAAAAGGGACATTGTCGGTTGAGTTTGGATAATCACGCACAAGGTTGATGACCTGGTCGTCTGAAATTTTGTTACAGTCTTGTTGTACATATCATCTTAACCTTTAAAATTAAGCATAATATTCCATCCGAATTACTGAATAATACAGTGTTGTATAGCACAATAACTTAATATTCATTTCCGAGCTTGATTATCAACCTAGAGTACGCTACAAATGGAACAGGTCAGCATGTATTTACATCAACAATTAAATTGAGCGAACCGATAGGATACTGTCTTATGCAATGACGGTGATTTTGTTTAAGCAATTTTCACACTTTTGACAGTGTCTAACAGTTATCACGTCTTTGTGTTAACTAATGGCGTCTTTCCATTTCTGCATCAAAATTATGCTTTATGCTTGCTTCATATATCTCGTTGCTAAGAATAACGTTTCAACCCTTTGGTTTAGAAATCCGTTAAGCAAACTCTTTCTATAGTGAGTCAGTTTGAGGAAAAACCTCAAACTTGATCAGCTGTCTTTCTACAGCGAAGTTTTATTATAAATGAACATAGTTGGTATGCGGTAGTTAATAAATAGCGAAGAAGGTTAAATAGGCAAAGCAATTAATTATCTAATCAAACTGTTTGTAATGTTTTGTAAAAACTAGTTACTGTAGGGTGAGCCATTACTTTACTGGGGTCAAAGTTTAGAATCTGAAGGCTTTCTAATTTTGTTGCTCTTGACAATGCAACGTAAGCTTGACCTTTTTCAAAGACTTTACAAAGGTCCACCCTAACCTTATCTAATGTCTGCCCTTGACTTTTATGAATTGAAATGGCCCAAGCCAACATAAGGGGTATCTGTGATCGTCTAGCGATGACTTTCTCATTAGGAAGTTCAAAGGTCCATGATTCGTACTCGAGGACCAGCTCACGTCCATTGACAAACCTTACGATTGGATAACCTTTACTCACGTCAAAAGGATCCGGATCTCTCATTATTGAACTATTTTGCTCTTTCTTACGTTGTGGTGTACGCAATGCTTCACATAATCTCTGGTTCTTATATTCTCCTTGTCCAGAAAATCCAACAACCACTCCAATGGAGCCATTGACTAGATCAATATCGACATTTTTGAGAAGCATCACTTGTGCGTTCTTCTTCAATTGAACGACTGCAGGAGCAATGCATTGGTCTATTTTCTTCTGATCACCGTAATCTATTGCTCTGAACTCGTGAATCTTTCCTGGAAGTTCATTTAAGCGTCTATTATTGGATTGGTCAACCTGAGTTCTTAGAGGATAACTTGAACGTTAAAGAAAAGATTATGCGATTAACAATACAATCATATAAGGAAGCTTTCCAGTTTGATCCCTTTATACTGAATAACGACTTACAGTTCGGTAGGTGCAATGTCAGTGTCATCTTCAGGAGTACGGGATAGCTTTTTGAAGATCTGTATAGCTTCCTCCGACAGACGTCCCAACCTCATTTCATTCAATATACGAACAAATGCTACAAAATTAAGCAGAGGAAAAAGGGCAGTTAGATTGCTGTTAGACTTTCGTGATGTTCTGTCAACAAACTTACTTCCATCTTTCTGTCGGAAAACTTTAGTAAGCATTACAGTTTTTCTGATGACTGTTCGCCATGCGTTTGCTTCAAATGCAAATTTTGTCGATTTATCAGGGCTAACAGGAGGAAGCTGAAAGAAATCACCTGTAACGACGACCTGCAACCCTCCGAATGGTGCAGGATTACCACGCACTTCCCTGCTTACATGGTCAAGCTTATCAAACAGTTCAGCATCTACCATTGATACTTTTTCAAGAAAACAACTCCCGTTTAACATCATACAAATACCATTCTTCGTTGTTTTCTTCATTCTATAACGACTTACTTTCGTCAATGATCAGAATTTTTGTTTCCCACCATCTGTCTTTTGCAGCCTTATTAAACAGAATTTTTTGCGCCAAAATTTCAGCCTTTTCTTTACCTATGCCGATACCAGCAAAGCTGATGATGAAGAGAACATGGTTTAATTCGAAAGTAAACGATGAATCATATTTAATCACATACCTATGCAAAGTACAGCCATTAATATTACAAGCAGCAATGCCTGTAGATGCGGTAACAGCTACCTTGCTTCCATATTTTCCCTTCAGAGTATCAATAATAGCTCTCAATAGCACTGATTTTCCTGTACCAGCAGAGCCAGTGAAGAAAAGGCTTTCTTTCTCTTTTACAACCATATCGAACACTCGTTGTTGTTCCGCTGACAGAGCCGGTCTCAATTGAACATTTGCGGAAGCAGATGACATTAAATCACTTGTAAGGTTGGACAAGGTTCTGTTTGATGATAGCGCGGAGGACTTGTTCTCTTTGAACGAACTGTTGCGAGTCATCGCTATTGACAACGTCTTATGATCCTCACTCAAGAAAGAATTATCAACGGCAGACGATGAATAGTGATTAGTCATAGAACCCAAAGGAGAAGAAGAATGATAAATCGCTATCGTACTCTTTTGTTTTTCAAGATATGAGGCTTTCTGATTGGCCTTGGAGGATAAACTATCAGTATTGCTCTCTTGGCTAGAAATGTACTCGTACTCGGAGGAAAAGCTCGCTGCTTTGCTGTACGATAGTGTTGCTTTGTTGCTCTTTTTGTTGCTTGGAAAGTTAGAAGAAGAATAATGATCTGATGAATAAAGGTTGGAATCGCTAAACTGCCTTTTCATAGTCTGCTCACCGAATTTGAAAGCAGAGGATTGAACAGAAATGTGTGGCTGTCTGTAATCAGGATAAAAATCCTTTTTGTTGGGGTTGACATAATTTGAGCTATAGGGTACGACATCGTCTTGTGAAATCCAATTGTAAGTGGGTTCAGCAGTCGAATGTTGTCGTTTGACCTGAACTTTTTCAAAGCGTTGCTCTGGGATTTTTATTCTAGATAAGGAAGAGTCCTGACTGGATCGTATTGGTCCTTTCTTATAATCTTCAGAGGACCATGCTTTTCTGTTGAACTTGGACTTATTTTTCAATTCAGTGAAATAAATATCTGCATGTTGTTGACTATTTTTTGATGTACTACTTTGTCCAGAACTATAAGCGGTATACTTAATGGAGGTATTTGAGGAATCCGGGCTATTAGAGTTCAGAATCGGATCGTCCTCGTCATCCCTCGTCAGATCGATCGTGGTAGTTGAAATAGGAGCTGACACCGGTAGTCGTCTGGTATTTGCCATGCTCGCACTAGCAAATTTCGGCGTCGAATGCGGTAGCGCAGTAGGAGCACTAACACCTCTACTACTGATTGTATTACCTCTACTACTGATTGTATTGTTGATGATTGTGGATAGTTTTTTCTCATCAGTTGATTGTTTGACCTTTGAGAAATAATTGAACAAACTGTTGCTATTTTTGTTTTTATTCGAAGTTCGTTTCATTGTATGTAGTAAATGCGGTTCGCAATTAAGGTATATAGTTCTATGGCAATAGTGGAAATAGGAACTTTAAGAATTTCTTGATCAATGCGTCGCTTTTTTTTTTTAAAAAAAAACGAAATGCAGACCAACGCGTTCAAAGCACGCTTTTAAATACGCGTTCTGTACAGTGAAAACGATAAATAATCATCAAGTCAAAAATGAATGCTCTTTTATGTCTACAAATATAAAAGGAATGTCGCAATAAGATGAAAACTAACCAAAAGAGACGTGTTGGGGGGGGGTTTTTCTTGAAGACACTCTTTTTCATCTACTCTATGTTTTTTACACGTAGATGATCGGGAAAATGTCTCATTTTCAAATAATACATTGTAGCACTTAAAGCTGACATGATCCTACAACTCAACTGGCTCTTATATGCAGACGACGTGGTATTAATTGTCAACCATGATGAACTACAAACACGACTGAAGAGATTTGAAGAGCACAGCCTCCATACAGGCTATCATTGGCATCCCAATATGGTGGTATCTTAAATCCTTCTGTGTACCCATCAGAGAGGAAGCTCTGTAATAACTTAAGTTTGAAGTTGAACAATTAATTTTGTAAAACATGGCATTCTAAACAGAATTCCTCGTATGGCGTATAACTGTATTAAAAGCTCCAACAACGATGAAGATTTTACTTACATAGTGGCCTTTGTCAATTAACACATTCTTTTGCACATTGACTGGTGATATTAAGAAAGAAGACTTGTTCAGGTATAGGTCAGTAGTACATATTCTCTATTGTCATGCTAATGATGCGAACATATGAACTAATTATACGCTCTATAATATTGTTTTACCGGATACAGTAAAGCTCAATTTTTAACTACTACATATAAACGGTACTAAATGGCCATACTCACTATTACAATGAGGTTTTGCAACGATGGACAATTTATTTGCAAAGAGTAAATCAGTACCAGACTTGTGAATGATTGGTATGCTAATTGCGGACAAAAATTAAGAGAGCTGTTTCAAAAAGTGAACCTAGAGTTTGTATCAAGTCTGCATAATGATATGTTTTGCAAAGAGATTTAAAGTAATGTATCATTAGCATTCTTAATAAACAGCTTGAGAAAGCGTAATCGTATATTTCGTCATTCTCATCTTCACCGTCATTATCATCAATGCCCAATTCTTGGAAATCCAATTCCAAGTCGTCAAAAATGGTATCTTCTTCTCTTAAACCATGCCAGACCTCCTCTCCCTTTTTAAACGGCATCAAGCGTATGTCATTATTATGTTATTATTATGAACATCTCATAATATTTTAATTACCTTGACTAATTTTTCAATAGCAGCTTCAAAGAAGTGGAGAATGATCAAAACATCCATCACCTTTCGAGAAAAGCATTTGTGATATTGTACAAGGACGTGCCTCGAGTGCCTTGTGTGATGATTAGGACCGTTGCATCTTTCTTTTTCGTCGTTTATATCAATATCTCTATAGCCGCAGGAAGAGCAGTAATAGATGGTATCGTCTTCATAAAGGTAGTTTTCAAGGTCTCCCCATGCGTCATTGAACTTGTCTTCAAGTTTAAAAATGACTTCCTCACGATCAAACCCCATGGATTCTGGCGATGTAGGTGATGATGGTTCTCTGCGCGAAGGCTTCCTCATGGTCGTTTATCCTTATGATGTGACAAAATGGATGATTGCAGAGGAAAGATTATGAGCCGGTAGAACATGTCAGGGAAGAAAGGATGCTATTTTTTTATTTTTTTTAGACTGTTTTTGATATCATTATTGTTGGTGAAGATTGATATATTGCAAGATGACGAGTTGTAAAGAAAAAAAAAAAGTAAGGACTCATGTTCGTGTGCATTTGCCACAGATGTGTTCGTAGAAAACTATGCTTCAATGGTGTACTTATTCGGTACCTATTTCCACGTGAAAGCGGCCTTGGAAATACGTCTGAAACATAGTTAACAAACTGCTTTACTCCCTGTTAAAGAGCCATAGTAAGTTGATGATGAAATGATACTCTATTACAATTTTTTTATTAGCCACTACAATTCCATCCATAGTCTCGCTTAATGCATGAATTATCCAATTTCTATAAAGGGTATTGGATAGTATAGGTACCGTCTAACGTGATACGTGCAATCCAAATTTCGGGATGTGGTGGGGGCCACTTTATATATTCTTTTGGTGTTTGATCACGGTATGCTATCGTGTTACTTGCAGCCCAAAAAAAAACCAAAAAAGAAAAAAATACAACGTATAGTGGTTTTTTGTAGGAAAAAGACTCACTTTCATATGTTCTGTATTGATAAAGAGTATGTTAGCTTGGTATAATTTACATAAAGACAGTTCATTTCTGTATAGCCATTCCATTTTTATGATGAACTTTATTTCTACTTGCAACTCTTCATTGTGTGTATATTTTTAGTCTTTTACCTCAAGACTATTAATATAGCTTGGGCTTATTTAGAGGAAGGTTGATCGATGATCCAATGGAGAGTCGTAGTAAGAACAATAGCCAATGAATAGGAACGACTCGAAATGATTCATCCTTCTCCATCCCTATTTGAGCTTCATCATTGCTCAATTTTCCCACATGACTGTACTACTGCAACTTGCTTTTGGCTAGGTTTTTTCCATAAAAGTAGTAAAATGTTACAAGCTCAGAGTTTATATCATCCCGTAAGAAAAAAAGTACGTACTACGTACTATTTAAGGCAAATAAAGATTAGATCAAAAATAAGCGCGTTATCATTTGCCTTCATCGCAGCTCGCGTACAGTACATGTTTTATGTTGCCATACTTTACATCGAGGGTCCAAAATTCACACACTCATAATAGAACGAGAGTAGTCAATGTTATTATTATTTACAAAAGGTATAATTTAAAACATAAAAACAGAAAATAAATGGATATGTGGTGTATCGATACAATATATGTGTTATGTGTTTGAGTAATGTGCACTGTCGCTATCCTCCTCGTTGTGTGATAAATCGAAAGATGCAATTAGTAAGAAGGTGGGCTTGTGATGGATGACGATGAAGAGGATGAAGAAGCAGCAGAAGAGGATGTTGAAGGAGAAGAAGAAGAGGAGGATGCAACTACCGACCAGCGAAAAGCATTATCTACCACATCACATAATAAAGCTTTTCCAGTGGGATAGATCGTGCCATCTTGAGATCGTACAAGCAAAAGTGGTAATTCCAAGATACGATGGCCGTCTTCACGCGTTACCAATAGATCATGATTTGCTACTAAAAGATCTTGTGTCAATGGTAATTCGACTGATAAGTCAGTTCTATAGGATGGCTGATGTTGTTGTATTCTAGTCTTCAAAGGACCGTGCGAGCCTAACCAAATATCTAACTGAGGAGTGGCATGATGAAGGGTGAGATGAAGGGTATGATTGTCTTGATATTGAAGGTCAGTGACCAACAGAGGTAAAGAGTGTGTCATTGATTTGGAAGTAGAAACGGTAGTAGTAGGAGCGATACTAGTGGTAGGAATAGGTGACGACAGAGGTGATATTGAAGATGACAAGTCTGATTCGCGGTCTACGCTCGTTGTCATTGAGCTTTCTTGATGGACTCGTAGTGGGGGTGGTGAGGGGGGTGTTATGGTGGTGGTGGTGGTGGTGGTGGTTGTATTGCCAACAGAAGCAGTCATTGTTGTGGTAGTGGTTGCGTGAAGCATATTGCCATCTTCTTCAATAAATTGATATTCAAATTTGTTAATACCGACAATGGTCCAGCATACATAATCATCCACTTCTTCATAAGATAGTTCAAGTTTCATTTGTTCTGGTTGAACAAGCCGCGAAGGTGAAAAGTCAAGCCAGGCATTATTGCAACTGGCTTGGTTTTTGGTGCGATTGTCTTGCTCATATTGTTGACTATGAAGATGCTGCTGTTGCTGCTGTTGCGGTAAAATGGCATGACTGCCAGAAGCACTAAGATAAATAGGTTGTGAATTGACGGAAGAAGCTAATTGTAAGGCGACTTTTTGCATTTGACTCACGGGTCCATAGGCGCATGGAGCAATACGACCCTTATCCACTTTTCGAATAATGAGGGGAGGTGACATAACACCTGTGTGTATTTCTCTTAGAATAATTTCTGTACCATAAGAGATGTGCACAGGCGCCTTATTAGCGTTGGTATTGTTATTGGAAGGCTGTTGATGAGGCGGTAATTGTAGACGAGACGCTGTAGCAGAACGACTACTGGCTGGTGGTTGCTGTGTGGATCGTATACTCTGATGAGCCGTTGTACTCGATGGAGCAGCAGCAGTGGCAACGGGTCGGCTGACAACGATGATATCAAAGGGTGACCAAGTGGTATTTTTGGCACACAACCTATTGTTGCTGGCTGTCATGTACTTGGTACGAACAGTCTGTGAATTGATTCGATTGAATAAAGACACAGGTGAAGTGGTCAAGATACATGTAGACACATTACGGGTTTTGGCTGCCTTTTTTGAGGGTTTTGAAATGATGGAGATAGGTTTGGATACGAAGGTGGCCAGTGGTTTCTGAGGATCGGTTTCTTCTTTCGCATTTTGGGTGGGTAAAAGATCGATGGCAAGCTTAAATTGTTTCGCCTTGGCTGTACCAGTAACATGGAGATATTTAAAACTACACGATTGATTTTCGTCCAATAGACTACCTTGCTGAATGACCTTGTCTCCATTTTCTTTGATGACAGACATCAATAACTGTATTCTGTCACAGCGCTCTTCTTTGGTTATTTTAGAGTGGCTGGGCGATTTGATCTGAACCTTGGGTGGTGGACATAGAAATCTCTTTTCAGAACCGTAAGATTTTTGTGCCACAGAAGCATGATAACAGGTGATGATGGTTTTATCATCCTTATTGCGAATTGCATTATTTGTTGTAACAGGTGCTGATTTCTTGATATTCTTTGATAACCTTAACATTCGCTGCTCATCCTCTTCTCTTCTACGTTTGTTATAATGGGTAGTAGTGGTGGGATCTGACGTTAGTAAAGATTCAACGGTTACTTCATGGGCAATGGCTGTAGCGGACTGACGAGGGTGAAGGTAGACATCTCTCGTGGTGGTGGGTTCACCAGCCAAAAGTGATTTGATCGACATACTTCTTCTCTGTTGTGTAGATGATGACCTATGACTGCTATTATTACTGCTATGATTTGAATTCGAATGAGCCGATTCTGCGCTTTCAATAGCATTCAAGAGGGACTCCATAGGATGTCTTGGTGTATTACGCAGACCGATGAACTGAATCTTTCTGCTCGTACCAAACACATTTTCTGATATGATATGAGAATTCTGTTCCATTACAATGAGGATATAGACTATCAAAAATGGGTCAACTCAAAAAGTGTTATTATATGAAAAATAAAGGAGTGAGAAAGAGAAAGAGGGAGAGAAAAAGTTTTTTACACAATGTAAATGATGGTCGATTATGGCATTTAGTGTGGCACAACAGAATTATCAACTGAGAACAAAAGAAAAAAAAAAAAATTGGCGGACTTTTTCAAAGAGAAAAATACAGCTTTTTTTAAGTCTCCATTTATTTGTACTCAAAAAGGAAACTCTTTGTAAATCGTTACTGTGGCTCAAACAATTCAACTTGTAAATGAATCACGCGTACAACAACTGAATGCTGTGATCTCTCAATGTATAGCAGCTTGTATTTGTGTACTGAAAGAAGAAACATATATACCTATGTATGTATAACATAACTATTAGACGTTGTTGAACCTGAATGTTTAAAAGTTTGGGTACACGGGTTGTTCTTTTTTGTCTTGAATTACGTAAAAAAAAAAAAAAAAAAAAAGAGATGTTTGATTCCCGGTAAAACGCCAATACCAATGATCCATCTTTAACAAAGCATCTTACTTTGTATTTTTCAAATGAATGCAACTTGGTCATCATGTCGGTACAAATTAGGACAACTTACATGGTTGTTAGAACGACACTACTTGGCTTCAAGCTACTCGTCTGAAATGTCAATAACATGAAGTCTTGGCTATTCTTCGTACCAATTCAGCCCATATGAAAGATGAAGTACGACATTTCAGCGTCTGAACGGGTATAAAAATAAACGCTTATGGTACCTTATTCGCGTCAAAGCAATAAAGGAGAATTAAAAATTTGAAAATTACCTCACCATGACAAGTGAAAAAGCTCTGAAAACGCACGTAAGTTGACCTGACAAAGACAGAATCAATCTAACTGTGGCAAAGAAGGCTTTCATGGCGTTACTGTGCCCTTTCTATCTTTTGTTAGTGCTGATAAGCTTGCAGAGCAAAAACTTAAAAATCTTTCAAAAATTCGAGAACAGTTCTGTGATGGAACTCGTATCAGCTTCCACACAGGTAACCCAAGCTAAAAAATCCAAGGAAGGCGATCCTAAGTGAACAAAAGCCGAGCCATCCCTGTCAACTTTGTTATTCTGGAGCTGCACACTTTTTTCTAATTGATCTCGTTAGATTTAAATTTTTAGCATACGCTTCTTTTCACAAAAAAAAAAAAATGAAATAAAATAAAAAATGGACAGTTTCACATTTCTTATTTCTTACATTGCCTTTCCCCCATCTTGCAAGTTGTTCATTTTAATCCTTTGCTTTCAATGATGAAGCCATCCTTTTCATCACGGATGCTCCCTGTCCGTCATTGCATAGTTGAGCCCAACGATCCTTCTTCGTCTATTGTAGCAGCAGCAGCAGCAGCAGCAGCTACCGCCACTGCATTTTTGCATAGTAGCACGAGCGATTCTACAGCTACGGCCATAAGCACCCATAACACCGACATCATGGCCATTACAGAAGGCGTATTGAAAGCGTTTACTGCGGTGACAGCAGGCCTAAGTTTAACATACTATGCTTTACGGTCCGTCTTTTCCGTCGGCCTAGTCATAGCCTCTCATTTAATAGACATGATTCGCCCAGCAGCACAGTGGGTCCTGAGCCATATGTACCAACTCTTTCTCAAAAAACCAATGTATTGCCTTTCTTCTCTGCTCAACTGGATTTATCCGATGATGATGTTCTGTACAGCAGCCAGTATATGTGGTGTCGTTATTGGTAGCTGTGCGGGGTTTGTGGCAGAAGCAGTTTCTTCGATATTGATTTCTGCGACGTGGGGATCAGATACAGCTGAAAAAGTGATAAGAGAAGATAGAAAAGGAGCGGGTGCTGAAGAGGAGATGGTTCACAAGGGCTCCTCCTACTTGTATGAGGAGGAGGAGGAGGAGGAGACCGATGAGGACGAGTTTGAGTCAGACGAAAAAGGCGGCCTAAAGATCGTTACTGGTGTTGATACAACAGACGATGACGGTGACAGCCATTCTATCATAGGAAGCCGAGTACCATTCACTACAAGTGCTTATGCTCGACCCACAGGTGTGGGCGGTGGGAGAACAAAAGACGCACAAGAGACCTACGATGACCAAGACAGAGAGGGCAGAGAGAGATACAGTCATGATAGACCGCCTAGAGCAAGACCATCGACATTGAGAAAATTAGAAAGTGAGAACAGCAACGATTCGTCGACCACCACGTCTAGTAATGTATCAGGGTCTATCCAAGGCTTTTTGAAAAGAAGAGTTGGCCACCCTAAAAAAAGATCACCTTCGCCACCGCCCTTCTTGATGAGTAGACAAATGCCATTATCGACAACCGTGCCACACTCGATAAAACAGCAGCAGAAATCGAAACCACTTGGATGAGAATAACAATGCATTCTATAGGATACCGTATTGGACGTCTTTTCATGAGTTTCATCAATTTTGTTGCCATTCAAGCTTTATTTATTACATGGAAATAAACGTCACGATTTTTTTTTTTGATTTTTTCTGGTTACTCGGTTATACAAAGTAATCACTGCCATTGGTAAAAAAAGTAACTGGGCGTATTGAAAAAACCTTGAATAAATACCATGGCGATTTCTTACATGTTTCTGAGCTGGCATGCCCGTTATTCAATCCTTCACTTCACAGATCCATACGTCATACAGTCCTTAGCATCGGTTTGAACGTTTTGATTCTCTATTTGTCAATGGAACAGATTCCAAATCTGGGTATAGTTATAAAGAAGCAAATCACAATTTGGCCCTCCTGTTGAGCCGAACCGGATTCGCGTTCTTCTTAGTCCATTTATTTCTATAGAAGCAATGGATTTTTTTTTTCTGCTTATTAGTTATCCTAATAGATAGAGACGATGTATTCTTTCATTTTTTGAAAAAAAGGAACAATCGAGTACAGGCTTCAGGCAAAAAATCAAAGCCGTTGGTATCATCATGGCATGCGTGTAGGAGGAGGCGATAAACGCGAAAATTGTCTGCTGCGAAAACACGAGTGAGTACGGAACACTGAGTGGGAGTAGTGAGCCACTCACAAACAGTTCCTTTTGTTTCTCATTCCATTTGCCAACAAGGCCGCGTCATCTATCATGTCATGCCTTATCCCTTCTTCCCAAAAAGATGGACCAAGGAGAAAACTCTCACAAATCAGGTTCTGGACACAGGAGCGTCATTGGAAAGGCTTTATTTTTTTGGGTTTTTTTTTGCATGAATTTTTCGTTTCACTACGTAATAACAGAAAGAAAGAACAATCGTATCATTTGAATACTCCTCTTTTTTTTTTTTTTTACGCATGGATAGGGTGTTTACGTAAAGTTGAATAAGAATTAGAAAGAAGTTTGTAATATACTTTTTTGCGCTATGTATATCTATAAATAATGGTATATGATATAGGATTATATAAAATGAAGAGAAAGAGAAAGTAAAGGTTGGGGAGGGGGGGGGCGCGCTTTGCGGAGAAATAGGAAAGGGGATATATATATTATATATGTATATGTATAAAGATATAAAAGTGGGTTATGTATAGGAGGGATGGTAGGCATTAGGTGAGTAGAGTGAATGTGGGTCGATTGCGTCTGGCAACAGTGGCAGTGAATCAAACTTTAGCTTGAGCATGGATATTTTGAAGCCTATCGTTGACTGTAAATGGCTTTGGTAAGCATCATCATTTTCCATCCTATGCTGCGATAACTGATCCATGAGTGCATGATACGCTTGTTCACAATGGCTAATGGCCTCTTTTGCTGCAACTACGTCACCCATATAGTAAGGCGACCCTTTGGAATCTTCAGCATACTTTAATTCATCCATAGCAAAGTAATAGAGTTGATAGCATTTCTCTAATAAAGATTCCTTGTGTTGCTGTTGTTGTTGCCTGTGTTCGAGAGAGGCCGATGCGTTCGATGGCCTGCGACGAAAGGGTTGCAATATACATTTATCCATCATTGAGTAGAGATGAGTACTTGTCTGATGGTGTCTTGTATTATGCAAACAATGAGGATCATGCTTATTGCTGTTGTTGTTGTTGTTGTTGTTATTATTGTTGTTGTTATTATGAATATTGTAATCCACTCCTGTTTCTATTCCTCCTATGGGTAATAAACCTTCTCGTCCGATAGTGGCTATGGATGGTTCATGGTTATTACCATTGTAACAACAGCATAAACAGTAAGGTAAAGCCCCCGTTGCCGCAGCAGTAATAGCAGCGGTATGGGTAGTTGTTGTAGAGGTGGTGGATGCAGTTGAATTGGTGGACGTTGTACTACATTGGGAAGGCCTTCTTTTCGTTATACCTTCTGGTGTAATCCATTCCTTGAAAGTGTGCCATTTCGATTTTAGTAAGGCTGTGTTGGCTGATGAAGAATGTACAAGAGGATGCATTTCAATGCCAAGTGGAGTGAAGAACGAAAAGAAGAAAGAAAAAAAAAAAAAAAAAATGGAAAAAAAAACAAAAAACAACAAAAAAGAAATGCATGTATTGAATTCAATTGTTTTGACATTTTATGCTTTAGAACAAAAAATATTAGAATTTGGGAGGGAAAAAAGGAAATAAGGGGAAAAGTAAATCGCTTTGCACACACTTAGTCATTTGTATGCACACACACATACACACACACACACACACACACGCATTGGGTACTTGTTCTATTCACGCTATTCACGTATTTGTACAAAATGGCTTGGGAAAAGAGGGAACCCTTGCTTGTCTGTTTTGTCTTTTTCATATTTGATAAACAAGAACCAGGTCTTTTTTTTTTGGGGGGGGGAAGGGGAGGAAGGGGAGAGTTGTTATGAGGTTTATAACTTTTGCTACTGACAATGAGCAACAGTCTATCACTATGAAGAAGAAGTTGTACGCTGAATAAACGTAGTATGATATCACTACTTACAGTTAAATTGCATATTATTTCAAATTGAACAAAGACACATAATAGGTATCATAGTATAATGCTTAGCATTAATTACTACACTATACAATATAAATTATATCTATACGTATTTTCTGTACATTTTTAAAATGAGTAAAGCAGGAGCTTTATACAGGTGTGAGTATCAGAAGGAAAGGAGCGGCATGAATCAAACATAGTTGATAAAGCCCGTATATTTTTATTTTTGATATTGCGGATATTAGTTAGGATATCTACATTCGCTTTTTGTTATTCGGATCAATCAATTTGCTCTACGATAATTCCCCTTTCCCCAGCTCCCTTTATAGCCTTCTTCTTATCTATGTATAACTCTCCTTTTGTCCTCAATACGGTGGCAATGCTGGCAATACTTTCACATACGCACTCTATCCGTTCTCTCATCATTGGCACTTGCTCTCTTGTCAGGTCTGCCAGCCATAGATACGGGTAGGAGACCCTACCATCTGTCTTTCCATTGTGTATAACGTGCTACTTTCTGACCCTGGGTGACCTTGGTGAACAGTTTCATGCTGATCTCTGTACAGCAGTAATGCCAGAAATCATCTATTTGTTTAGGATAAAAAGAAATTTTAGCCCCTGCTTTTTTTGTCCTTTTTTAAATGATGACATTCATGCAAAATAGAATCTGTTTTCTTCTATGAGTTGCAGAAATCAAGCGGGATCCTGTATCTGTTTTCGCTGCTGCAGAGAGCTTTGACTGTCTGTTAAAAACAATAAAAAAGGATAGCAGTTCTTACTGAATGCATTATCGACACACAACTTGAATCATGCTTTTTTTTCTTTTTTTTTTTTTGAACTGAATCGGATGATATCATAGTATCACCATAATAAAATCTCTCCTGTATTGATTGTTATAATTTTGTTACGGTATCTAAACCGCATTAATTTTCAGATTCATGTAAGTAACATGCTTATGACTACCCGTGGTGTAAAGAATGTAAAAAACGACCAAAGCCAATTTTTTTTTTTTCCAGAGGAATAACATCCCTGATTTTTTAATGTATGTATATGATTTCAAAAGCCAAACCACATGTAGAAAAGGTTATCTATGTACTATCAAACGGTTTCATTTGAGTTATAGGCTGTTTTTAGAGCCAAGTGCACACAATAACCATGCGTTATACATACATTCGCATGCTGTTGTGGTAAGAGTATGATAGAAACGGGTACACACTTGTGCGCGTAAAAAGCGTGTTATTGTTATTCCGCCAGTGATAAAAAAAATCAATTTCAACTTATGCATGTCCTTCCCTTTTAAAATTCAAGCGAAAAGGGTACTCGCTGCAAATATGACTGAAATCGCCCTATCGGGTATGTCCAGAAGTGGGTGAGTGAAAGGGTGGTGTGATCCCCCATTTTTTTGATCTGGAACAACAATGAATGTGCCTGGAATTCCTTATGTAATATTCAACCGGAGATTCTAATTTCCCCGGTTTCCGAATGCCTTGTACTTTTTACTTTTGGTTCCTGAGTACCGCCCAATCATGATAGCTAATCTGTAATACCCATTTAAAATATCACCGGCTTGGCTTTTTTTTTTCTCCACCACCTCCTCCTCTTACCCCCTTCAACTTTTTTTTTTTTTTTCCTCCAAATCGTAAAAAGATGTAAAATATGCATCTTCAGTTCAAACTACATCGAATTTTATTGTTTTTCATCCTTTTTCTATTGCTAAGTCATATTGTCATTGCTCATAGTAACAAGTTCAAAAAACGAAAAGACAAAGAATTTGACAAAGATGAGGATGAGGATAAGGATGATGAGGATGAGGACGATGATGATGATGATGACGACGACAACGGCGAAGAGGAGAATGAAAAGGATGAGATAAACCGAGATAATATAGAGGATGGTACAAGGACGAGGGCAGCATTTTCTTTAGCCTCTTCTTCTCCAACTTATACCTTTTTGAACTCTCAGCATTCGTCTCTCCCTTTCTCTTCCTTTCCGAATGGTAATAACCAAAATAAGGAAGGAGAGGAAGAAGCAGAGCAAGAAGCAGTGTATGAGGAAGAGATGGAGACGGATCACACCACAACAGCAACACAGCAGCAACAAGACTTTTATGATACCAAAGATCTATTTAAAAGTCCTCCTCGTGTTACAGACATCAACAAACATATTCAGGTCAAGCTTTATTGCGAAGTGAACGAAGCCCTTTGTAAAAATGTAGAACACTCACTCATTTCTGCTGCAACGGCTCTTGCGGAAGTGATCCGTCTCAAGAAAAAAATCATCTTTCAAACGTCATATTACAGTTTCTGTGAAAAAATATGTGCCAACTCGACTTATGGATGGGGTATTCCTAGCTCTCAGTTCACCTTGATCTCCTTGAATGAAGCGGATTCGAACTTTATCTACCCACAAGCATTAGCAAAGCAGTTGGCACAATTTACAGATAGCTCCAACTGGGCTGGATACGATGTCATTATCGATATCAATCACGATATGTATATGAGCCACGTCAATGCTGACAGCGTGGACTCTCAAAATCACAGTCATCATGCCCATGCATCGACTCCTGCTCACGACAGCCATAGTGTCATTCCTGTAAAGGGTGGCTTTTGGTTCAACTCGACATCAAGCTCTTCTGCCAATAATACGAGTCATCGAACCAGCAACACGACACTGGCCATAGAACCTTATCAAGTCGATTTAGAATATGTGATTCTACACCATATGATTCATGGACTCGGTATGATCAGCTCCTGGGCACCTTATTTCTCAGACATCAACTCACCCTTTCAAAAGCTATTACGAGGACTCGTCAATGAAAACAACCTAAAAATGATGACGCCCAATCCTTACTGGTATATAAAGCAAAACACCGGTCCAGCTTACGTGACAGGATTTCAACCGAATATGATTTTTGACAAATTCCTTCACCTATTTATACCCGCTCAAAATGAAACCACTCGATTATTCGATTACGGTTTTGATATGCAGACCTTCTGTGTAGGGAAAAGGAATCAACAACAACAGGTCATTTCTTCTAAAAAAGGCGGTAGCTCTTCCTCTTCCAACTCAGGCAGTGGTAATGGGAATGGTGGTGCGGGTTCCGGTGCCGGTGGTGGCCAGAGTGGTAGCGGCAGTAGTCATGAAAATGGCGGTAGCGGCAGCAGCAGCAGCAGCAGCACCGGCAGTGGCAGCGGCAGTGGCAGCTCCCCCATCAAATATCCAAATGACAATGATGCCTTCATTGTCAATTTTGTAGACTCTTTCTTGACCAATGCCACACAGTCTTCACGTGCAAAAAGCATTTATGAATCCATGCTACAGCCAAACACACTTTCTTTCAAATTCATGACTACCACGAATGAAAGTACATTCTTCACCAACACTTATCTCAATCAAACTTACCATACGATGCGACTCATGACAGGCCCTAGCATCTTCAACAGTAACCACGACGAGGAATCCTATTATCGACCGGGTATCGTCACCTCGCATGTTGACGATATGTATCGAGACACACCTGACTTTTTAATGACACATCAATTTATCAAGGGCAAAACACTGTTACAGATCGTAGAAGACGTCTATTCTAATCTAGGACAACCAATTAAATATAATACGACACAGATGGTGCATGTCAATGTTACTACCGTAAGTAATGTCACTACTACTACCTTATCCAATCGGACAGCAACAACAACAACGGCCAATACAACGACCCTTGTGAAACGAAGACCTCAATTAGTCGAAGTAGTGTATAAATCGCCCATCGGTCCAGGCATCCTGAGGATTCTGGAGACGATGGGTTATTCAACGATTCTAACAGATACCAATTATACATCCACGGCTATCAAGACAACCAAACCGGATTCTGCATGTGATAATCGAGGCGCTAATAAGAACAGTGATAATAGTCACTCGGATGGAGGCAGCAACATTTCTTCTTTTCTATCGTCAAGATCTGGTGCAACTCTTACCTCGGACGGTAGTAGTCATAGTAGTAGTAGTAGCCTCCTCTACCTCATGCAGCTTCAACAGTGGGTGCTTTATCAGTATTTGATCTATTTATTAGTTACATTGTTACTCTTATAATATGTCCATGAGAAACTTACATCTCCTCTTTCAACATAACCCGAAAAATGTTATCTATCCAAGCAATTTAAACCTCAGGAAAAATAGGGCTGTTTCTGACGGATACTTTTTTCCATGTACATATACATCGTGATCGCTGATAGAATGGTTATCCATTTCGTTCAAGAGAAAATGGTTGTACTTGTTCAATGTGCCTTTTTGACTGTTGTACAATGATTTTATGAGTGTTTTTGCATGAATAAAAAAGGTGGATGGGCACGGCAAGGAAACTCAAAGTGAAGGAATTCATCCAATCATGTGCCTGAGTTTTAGCCAATCAGACTTTCAAATGAGACCGCCCTCGCTCCTCATATTTTTTCTCCGTTTTTTTTTTTTTTTTTTTTTTTTTTTTCCTGTTTTTCTCCCTTCTTGATAAGGAAGGAAAAACAATAAGCCATTGCAATAATAACGACTGCTTTGTATAGTATACAACGTCTTCAACAGCTTTCACCTATTTTTGAGATTATTGTTTAACTACAGCTATTGCGCAAAATCGTTCGTTCTACTTTCAGCCTGGTTTACGCAAGCCAAAGTCGGAGAAATTGAAACTTGTTTGAACAAAACGACACTACAACAGAACAGCTGATCCATGTTCTTCCAAGTCATCATAAACTCATTTTCGGGGTTTGGCCCATTCTGTATATTGTTTACAGACAATGAGCCATGTACAGTATTTGATTTAAAGCGAAAATTAGCAAAGACAATCACAGTGGGTGTTGAAGAACAGAAAATTCGATCGCTGGGAGGTAAACTTTTGACAGATTCCGTTGACCTTTTCCAAAGTTATGGTGTACAACGCGGTGGACCACCTATCATTCTTAATTTGACAGTGAGATTGGTTGGAGGAAGACTTCATCCACAATGCCAACAGCTACCGTCAGAATTACAAGAGGAAGAGTCTTCATTAAGGTTTGGCAAAAAATTAAACCATTGTGACTTGACGGAAAAGTAGACTCCTTATATTCATTCATTATCGTGTTCTATCCCATCCATAGTGACCCATGCCATGATGACCAAACAGCAGTCAAAAAGATAAAACTTGACAGCCCTGATATTAGACCCACATTACAGCAACACAGTTTAAATACAACTGCAACCACATTTACAACAGCAACAATGGCTAAAGCGAAAGGCAAAGAAAGACTTTCGAGGAAGCGTAAAGCCATACTCGATTAAATTTTGCCTTGCCATAACCCTTTGTAAATAAAAGATACCTCAACGCTAAAGCACACATCTATAGTCCTTTTTTTTTTTTTTATCCTTAGCTTCTATATATACATAACAGTTTTTCTTTTTATTTTTCTGCCCTCCCTCCCCTCACCTTTGCCTTTTTATTGCGTTTAATGAATCATTCTACACATTTAATCTAGTTCCTATTGCTTCATTTGAAATCTGCTTTTCTTAATATTTTTATTTAATTATCATTTCTTTATAAACATACTGCTATTATCCATTTCTTTCTCATTTTCAATCTGTTCAGAATGGCTGCTCATAGGACGGTCATCGTTCATTTCAATAGCCAACACGGAGCTTTGCCATCCACCAAAGCCAATAGCAAATGCAAATTGATTCTTTAATGCCTCCACTATGTGGGGGGTTGACTGATGTTGATGTGAAATATTGCCCAATCCCAAGGCGCCTGAACTGAAGCTCCCCCAAGTTAATACTTGGCCTTCGTTCGTCAGTGCACCGTAATGATAACTATACAGAACAATTAGTTCCCAAACTCTACTCAAAATGATATAGTGCGATGAAATACGTTACTCTCCAAAAGAAACTTTGCATACACCTCGATGATTCAATTCAGGCATTTGTATCGGCTCAGTACTACTATGGGCGTCCGTATTTCCCAACAGCACTTTATCTTTTGTATACACAGCAAAATTCATAAACGCACCCGTAATGAATCTTTGCATGATTCGATGTCTATCATTGTGTTCATTTTCCAAACTGCTGTACTTTTCCAATTCTATGACGTGCTGAGAAGGTACGGCTGTAAACCGATCTACGTCGCCCGTTGCTAACTTTAATACACGACCGAAGCGTGTTAATGCCAATGTATAACCGTCCAAGCCTGCAATTTGGACGATCTTATCCTTGTCGTATCTGTCAGCATGTGCGTGTTCAAAAAGCTGTGCAATGGACACACCTGGATGTGCCACTACAGTGGTTGCTGGTTCTCTATCCATCTCTGACGGTATAACATAATCAGGTTTAGGTACAATATAAACATCCCCCTTCTCCGTCAAAACACTTGAATAGTTCCAGTTCGCTACTACTTGCACTATCTTGTCGTGCTGCGAGTCAAACGAAAGGAGCTCCACTTTTTGTAACAAGACATGATTTGACCAGTGCCACACGCTGTTGTCTTTCGCTGCTAGCCCAATGACGTGTCCTCTGCCGCTGGAAATGGAACGAAATTGTACCTTCGGCTGTACTCCATTATTGTCGCTCTGAAGGAGAGTGGGCGTTCTCAATCTTCTTGTGCCTATAGACTGTCTTACTGTAATATCTTGCTGCATCTGACATCAGAAATACAGAGGTAGCAGTCAACATATGCTTTTCCCTTAAGTAGAACGCTCTGGTAGATACTTTTTTTATTTTTTAAAAGATACATTACTGTTCCCCACGTCCAAACGGAACCTGCTGTATCTAAAGCATGAAAAGACCAACCGCCAGAAGCAATATCAATAATGCATTTATTCCTTAAAGCCACTAACTCTTGTGGTACAGTCACTCGATTAGGACGTCGTGATATCATTCTTGGCTGTCTGGCAGTCATAGAACGGTTAGCCTAACACCTATCCGTAGATCGATCTTTCTATAGCTCATGTTTACCTAACAAGTGGAAATCCTCTATGAAAGCCCAAAGGTGCATCTGCAGTTCTATTCACTGTATCCATCACCGGTTCGTCGAGACCCAACCTTCCATCAAAGTTCTCTCCCCAAGTAAAGACTTTGACATGATATCTTAATGCTTTATAAAACTTTTTCCATCCTTCAAAACGATAAGCGTTGTCTTGAGAGATATTGAAATCTTCAATGCAGAGCTTTTTCCATATAAACTCGTCGTTTGTAAGTGCATAAAAAAACCTAGAAACAAGCGACAGATGAATGATAGATTCCCCATCAAGGAATGGAAGAATAATATCATATAATAGAATATCACTTGGAAGTGTATCAAGCATTTATTGGTATCTATTGTCAATGGCAAAAAGATGAATGATAACTGAAAAATTCAACAAAAAATAGCGTGTAAATAAAAAGAGAAAAAGAGGTATTAAATGGCCTATTTTTTGGTCTTTGTTCATGTGCATTTCTATAGTGGAAGCACTGACAATTGATGCATCATTTTAATACTCCGAAAATGGTTTGTTTGTTGCAGTTCGTTACTTCCCTTGCAAAGTTTTCATCTATCAAACCATTATCCGATGCAATTATGGCAGCACTTTCAAAACCGCTACTATTATATAGTTAATACGATCGTTCAATACATAAAACAGCAATTACACCAAAAGAGGCAATGCACATCTATTTTACGATGGGTGTTGACCACTACTGTCTTTGGCATCATCACCTTTTTCACATTCTTCGGCATTGATTTCAACCCACAGATTATGCCCAAATTTGATACCAGCAGAACTGATCCAGGTTTATTTTCCAATCCCACTTGTTTCTCTAACTCGAGTGTTATGTATAATAAGGTGAATAAGCATGTTGGAATGATACCCAGTGTTCCAGTCGCGCAAGACGATATCTGTTACGAGTATGCTGGTCTGATCCGAACTTTTGAATATATTTCCGTTGATGACAACAAGGGGAATGAGCAGATGGTCAACATCACTACCCTCAAGGATCACGATATGTCAACTGTATATCACACCTTCTGGTCAACTTCTTATTCCAAACAATTCACAGAAAATCAATTGTCGACGCTTAGATCATTCATTGCTACTCAACGACGACATAAGCATGTATTGTATTTCTGGATTTTGGAAAAGGATCAACATGCTTTAATCCATGGAAACTCGCTTTGGAATACCACTCAGCAGTTCCATAATAACATTATCCAATTGAAAATAGTTGAAGAAAACTTAACAATGAATTCGGCAGTATCTCAGTTGATAGAAAACAGCAATGATGACAATTATATAGAAAGCTTATTACGAATGATATCCCTATACGAGTATGGTGGTATCTGGTTTGATCTGGATGTACTCTTTATACGCGATTTGACACCTCTGTTGCATCAAGAATGGACTACCCAATCGAGTTGTTCTGAATCATCCAGTTTCTTTACACAACGACGGTACAAAGTGGATAACCGATTCAAAGGATCTTTGATGCATTTTCGTAAACACTCTCCCTTTTTATGTGAGATGTTGAGTATCGTCCAAGCCCAAATGAGTACTAAAAGCAGCGCAGAGATGCATATACCAAACTACAGAGAATATTTATATCAGCTTGTGTTCTACAGAGTCTTGAAGCATCATTTAACTCCATGGGCTGTTCTCCCGTGGTGTTTTACGAATCCATCGCAATGTAGAAAATCAAATTCTCTGCCAAGTCTATTCGACCATAAAAAAATATCAGAAAAAAACAGCCAAAGGCTAAGTAAGACCTTTGTTCAATCGTATTATAGAAATTGGTATCGTTCACCCGGTACAGTATTTATTGAATTGATAAACCAACACAAGTCCATTACCAAATGGTGAATTATATATACAAGGCACTAAATAAATAAAATAAAAAAAAATAAAAAAAAATCGAGAAAAAGCAATTTTCTACTTCTTTCATCGAAAATCCTCTAATCTAACCATTTTTGAATCTTCAGGATGAAATTTCAATATATTGGCTTTAACCAATGTTTGGATATAAGGTGTCCAATAGGTGCCTGGCACCAATTCTATGTAAGGGTCCTCTGGTGTTCCTAACGCCTTATTCATTAGATCTTCCAAAATATTCTTCAAATCTGATTCAGCGTCCAAAATACCAGTACTTTCGTCGACTGGGTGCGGTGGATAATACTCATCTAAAAAGTCAATCAGATCATCTTGATCATTTTTAAACATATTTTCCAATATAGCCTGTGATTCTCGTAGCTGATCAGGGTTTACTTCTCTTGCCAGATTGTTCTCTTCTATTATTTCTTTCTCTTTTGCTTTTAGCGCAGTATAAAGTTCTGTGCATTCTGATAAGGCCTTCTTTTCCAATTTTAATGTTTCTTTTACATTTCGTAAGTCCTCTTTAAGAAAGTCAATTGCCTGATTATACTGTTGAATTTGCTGATCCAGTTGTTCCCTAAATTCAATTTCCAGTATAGTATCCTCTGGCCGGTTTTCACATTCTTCCCCAAATCTACCCCTTTCTGCAGCAACTTCGCGCTCAAGGTCACTGTATTGATACATAAGTGTGGCTAATTTTTTACGAGAGGCATCTGTTTCCACTTTATTCATCGGATTCTCATCATTATTACTGCTGAATACACGTTGTTTTTGTTCTTCTTCTAATCGATAAACCTGATCCCATAGTTTTTTTCTTTCTTTTCTCTGAGCCTCTTGAAGAAGGTCTAAATAATCTCCCCTTGTTGTACCGTCTTCACCGCTTATGACGACTGGATCGTTTTGCGCAATGGATGCGTAATCTCCTGTTGCTTGTGAAACGACATTGGCTAAAGCTCTTTCGAAAAGGGACATGGTGTAGATCCGTCAGTGAGCATGAAAAGAGCAATCACGAAAATAAAAGAAGTGAAAGTGAAAAATGAAAATCCCGCTCTGAATTATGTACTGTTGGCGAATTTAAAAATTTCCCTTTCTTTCACAGATAAATAGTTATTTACTTCTTTTTAAAATCTTTTATAATGGATACAACGAATGATACTCAATCAGCGCTTTCCGAGCAAGGGTCCACATCAATGTCGAATGTAGCCTCAACCTCAGCGGCTAATACTGCTGATCGAACTACTATTACTTCACTCATAACAACTGTTACCGATCCCAGCACAGTAACACCAAGCAATACTACTATAGACGGGACTGTAAACACGACAACGCCGAAAATTGTGAAAATCAGACGACCAAGGCAACCAAAAACTTCAACCACCACAGAAGGCAACAGTACGGCTACTCCTCGCAAAGATAAGACCATCAAAATTAAACTTACCGCTAGAAAAAAGACGGGCAGTAGTAGTGGTAGAAAGGGTTACAGCGGCAGCAAGAATAAACCCAACGATGACATGGAAGATCGACCCCATGCGGACGAGGAGGAGGAAGAAGAACCAGAAGCTGCTATTGAAGAACAACTTATATTTAGAGTGCCTGAAGGCGCAATGAGTGATCGTTTGCATGAAATGGTCAAAAAAAGAGAAATACCTGAAGATGTCAAGTTACACTTTAAGGGTAAATCAGCTACACACATCTGCTCACAGGCTTTATCGTATTTTTGTATAAATAAGCTTATAGAATTTTTTGGTCAAAAACAGATAATAGAAAAGGCTATTTTGTATTCGAAGGCAAAAAGTATGATGTGCAATTAGTTGATTTGCCAACGATTATTGAAGCCCAAAAGACATATGATAAAAAGCAATTTTATAAAGTAGCAGATATATCCCAGGTAATGTTCATGTTTTTTTGGTTGCGTTCAAGCTGGATCTGTACTTCAGTGTTCGTATAAGGACAACAATTCTGAACTGCTACGCTTTCCCCAGATGATTATAGTAGATCCCGCGTCTGGTTCAGAACCTTTTATACCTGAAAGAAACAACAAATTAGATACAGATCCTTATGCTTACCCGCATGGTCTAACACCACCATTGAAACATGTTCGTAAAAGAAGATTCAGAAAGAAACTATCTAAAAGAGCAATTGAAGAGGTAGAAAGAGAGGTAGAAAGATTATTAGAAATAGATGCTACAGCAGAAGATGTTCAATACGGTAAAAAACCAAAAACTTGAATTTCAACCTATTAAAGGAAATACAAGCTTACAATTAAACTATATATAAACAGAGGTTGTGGATGATCGAGAAATGGAAATGGAAGCGAATGAATCGGATGTTGGTAGTCAAAATATTGATATTGAAGAAAGTGGGGATGAAAGTGAAAGTGATGAGGATTTGGCAGCGGCTATTGATCGTGACCTCGAAATGATGGATGAGGAAGAAGACGAAGAGGATGAAAAGGAAGACGAAGAGGAGGAGGATGACGAAGAGGAGGATGAGGACGAGTCAGAAGATGAAGATGAAGAGGACGCCGCGCAGACGGGTGAAATTGGTAATTATTCCTATTCATATTCAGTAGTGGTAGAGTCCTAACATGTGTAATCTCTCTTCAGAACAAAAACGTCAAGAAATTGCAGAAATCAAACAAGCAATTCAGCGCAAACAGCGCGATTTATCCACAGCGCCGAATGCTATGCTTAAGGTATTTTTTTTTCCCCCTCAAGTTCTTCACATTACTGGACCTTTGATCTTATTGATCCTCTTTTATTACAATTAGAACCGATTTGAGACCGATATCAATAATCTTAAGAAGGCACTGACCTTGAAGGAGGCACACCTTGCTGAAATGAATGAAAAAGAGCAAAAAGAAAAAGACAAACAGCTTTAAAAGTCATTGATTTGATACCAAAGAAATGATGAAAGATTCTATTTATTGCTACTATATATAAGTCTTTTCCTTCTTCATCATAGATCAGCATTTCAAGGAAAACCATTTGTAATATAATAATCCATGATCTTTGTACGCTCTTATAATTTATGCCTAGTTTTTACCCCAGTATGTTGATTAAAACAGAAAATTACAGCCGCATACATTCTCAATCAACGAAATCTGTAGATATTCATCAAAGTACGTATACCTTGAAATCATCTAATCTGATTTCCCGCGAGTATAACGCGTATAACTCTAGTTATCCTTATATTCCTCGGTTTGGTCGTATATTTTGCGGTGTAGAGTAGACGTTCCCTGATTGTTTTCTGGATTTTTCCAACACATTTGAACAATTTCTCCGAGTCAAAATTAAGCGTCACAGTTTTGATTTTCCGGTGACATTCAAACTGCGGTTTTTAGCTGTCGAAAAGTATAAAAAGGCTGTCTCTCCATGGCCTTCTTTTCTTCCTTATTCTTGTGCTCGGGCAAAACCACGAAAGTGAGGTTCATACTGATTCTGGTTTATTGCTGGTTGAAAACTACAACCAATATCCGTCTGCAGTGCTTTTCGGAGCGCGGCAGCAATTTTTGGCAGGCTCGCAAGGGCCTTTTACCTGTTATATATTTTTAATTTAATAAAAAGAAAATGAAAAAAAATTTTATTTTATTTATAAACTAATCAAATACTGTAGCTACTGTCATGGTTAACTTATGATTAAAGCAACCCATAAATAATTAAATGTGATGTAATTGTATCGGACCGATTAATATGATACAGAATCTATTGACAAGATGTTTCATCCTAAATAAGGTCGGGTGATGATGCTTCATAAAGGTACGTACGAGCGAGATAGGATAACTTTTTGGATGCTTGCAGGTGTGATTGGTGAAAACGGAGATTAGGGTGCCAGCTTTTCCTCTATCGGTACAGCCGTCTTCTGTCAATGCAGACACAATGGAACAAACGTTTGTTCAAATGGTTGCTAATCGGTTTCTTCGCATTTGACCAATTGCGACCCCCTATTGCCCAAATTCGTTCTTAAATTGAATGTTGGTGCTACTCCATTTCTATTAAGGTTCATAAGTTGCATTAGCTCCTTACGTATATGTATCCTTTTGCCCTTCTTATCAGTTAGTCATAATGTATAACGATATAAAATGTGAGGAACATACGAGATAATATCGAATTATGTTGAAACATATACAGAGCCATACACTTACTATTTTCGAAATGGTATGGTTTGGATTGTTAAGTGGAAAATGTTTTCCTAGTATGTTCTACGTAAAAGCGAATTCCATTGCGGTGCCTCTTTCCCTTATAGATATTAAAGCGCATATGATAAACTTATTAACCGGCCCTTAAATAAGCCAGTCAAATAGTGACGTCGTTATGTATCAGTCAGCTTTCTTCAGTTATCGCATGTCAAGCCTATTAAAGATGATCCAACTGCTATTGTTATTATGAAGTTGTACGCTGCTGTTTCCTAACTGCTCGCATTCACAGTCCCACTACTATATATCTCATGATTAGGATGCATCTGGAAGTCAGATAGATACACTTTCCTTATAACGCAACCCTCTGTATTAAGAAAGTTGACAACCTGTCTGGCAATAAGAGACATGTGCAAGCGCGTTTAATGATGAATGGCTAAACCAGCACTTTCAACCATTATTATTGCTGGTGTATAAAAAAAAAAAAAAGTAAGCGATGTGTATGATGTGAAAATGGTGTTTCTTAATATAATAAGGCTGTATACTTTGTAGATGTTTTCTTTGGGCTTTTTAAAGAGAACCACCTCCTCTTTTGCTGCAACCTCTTATGCTTTTTTATCGATCAATTGTATTCAACGAATCGAATAATACCTGCCAGAATACTCATAATGACAAATATGCTAAATTGATTCTTAACTTCGAGAACGGCAACTATCATTAGTGACAGCCGACAGCTCAAAGGATCACTCTGACATTCTGTAAAATTACAGTTTGAGAAAGATCATTGAGTAGACTACTGCACATTTAAGTAAGCAACCGAATATGTTAATGTTAAAAGTGACATACATTCTGTAAATATTCTGAGCAGAGGTTTGATAACATGGCATATGATACAAATTGTTGATAATACAAATGCTGACCAGCAATTAAACTGAACATCTTTTAATATCACGGGTGACGTTAACCTTTACTTTACTTTGAGTCCCGTGTTTGTTATTTAATGCTTTGATTTACCGTTCTAGGAGTTTCCACTATAAGTCAACGAAATGTTCATGAATCTCTCTAATGCACGGTGCCTATTCTTTACTACTGGAATTTGGTAGAATAAGGAATTCTAACAGCTGTTGTACAATTTTGTACGAAGCTCATAGGAAAGGAATGATACATAGTACCATTAGATTATTGCCGTTGGTAACAGCACCGTGCTTGAACGTTAGTATGCATGGCACAGCTCCATCCTAAATGTGTAGCTTCAAAGATATTTCCACCGGTAATTATTAGAGGATTGCACCTCGAATGTCGAATGGTGTCAATATGAAGAAGAAAAACGAAACTTAAAATACTTTATCAAAATTACCATGGCACGAAATGTGAATTTGTCGGCTTTGAAGTAATTTTCCCAAAAAATGTTAGCATTTAGACATATGTTTGCAATATATTGGAAGATGCTAAAAAGCATTGATCATATTTTTCGTATGACATCGATTTGTTATTCTGCTGTGGTTCTGATATTCAAACTTTTACATTGTCACTGGCGCTCCAGTCTATCAAGTTCGAAATTGTTTTCAAATTTTACGCTTCTCAATATGTTAAGTCTTTCTTATAGGTTCAGGCGTCTTGTCATATTTTCAGAATAGATACTTTGTTCGAAATCCTAACTTTTGATAAGGCTCCATCTGTGATTTCTTTTATTTTTGATCAATACTGAAAATCAATATATTTGTCTTCCTCGGTAATTTGACATTTGGTGATACACAATCATTGAGTCAGCTCCTAAAAAGCTAGCAAAGATATAAAAGCCTTTTGCTTAAGCGAACTGCTCAAAGCAAGTGATAGCAATAGGCCCTTTTGTTTAATGATATCTTAATACATATATTAAATCCGACCTGACAGTGCTTGGCATAGTTTGCGACTATATTGATCTTGTGGTCAAATGCAAAGGACCAAAGAGGAATGTGTATTATACGAATCGAGATATTGATCCTTCCCTTAATTCACGTACATGTTAGCGGTTAAGACTACGGCTTGACACATTTTATATTTTAGGTAATTCCAGAGAAGCTGGCATCCGAATCACATTCTATGACCCGTTTAAGTGATTACTGACGGCACACTCCGACGAAGAAAGCCTTATTTAATGTAGTGAACAAGAGAAACTATCTAGTTTTTCAAAACGTGCCTGGGCACCAACTGTCTGTTCGATCGACGCTAGTTTAGGCAGTTTCCCATATAGAAACAGTATCTGACCATTTGATCGAATGTATCAGCAATAATGCGTTCTAACGTTTTTAGGAAAGTGATGGGACTTGCGATGGGTATTTCAATAGATAAGCTAACTTTTAGCCCAAGAGAACTAAAAAATTTAATATTCTTATACAAAAGCCTTCACATCTGTATGGACAAACGATTCAAAAATCTTAACCAAACTGTGATAATAACCCACTTTGATAATTAAAACTTGCAAATTATCGTAGGTGTAAAAAAACGAAAATATCTGAAACCTACTGCGATGAAAAAGGAATGGTGCAGGAGTATATTGCAAAATATACTCCTTACCAGCTTTTAGAGCAAAAATATTATTTGGATGATGAACTGAGTGCTTTATTGCCTCGATTGAAACAGCTCTTCTGATACACGTACTTCCTTTACATTTTCTTCTCTATAATTTGCTTCTTTAAGTCGTCTCACCCATTTCCTATCAATATTCATGCATTTGTAGGAGGAGACGGCGACAGATTCACAAAGCCCATTTTCTTTAATTTGCTTTGCACATGCATCGGCCTTGATTCTTCTTAAAGCGTCGTATGCTACGATATAACAGTATTTACTGTACTTAAAAGCAGCAACACTGATGGTATATGCATAACTTGCTTTAATATTCTGAAGCATTCGACCTCCATTCGCTTGGATATCATATATCAAAATATTGGACGAAAATGTTTGATTTGGCGGTGAGTGTAAGAAATCCTTGGCAAAATATTCCTCTAACTCAAAATGACTGTTGAACTGGGTTTGATAATCATCAATCAATTTTTCTTTGAAATAACGCTGAGGATTATGTACATTATCTAAAAAGTGTCGTCTAGCTTCGTCTAGTTTCGCAACTTGCTTATTGTATTCATCTCTGTTCTTATTCACAGCTGCGACTATTGATTCCAGATCTTTTTTTAATGCTGTATCATTAAGTTGATTGGCAAGTTCGCATGCTTTCATGTAAGGCGCTATCAAGTCTGGATCTTTGAAAGGTACATCATCTTCGTAGAACATACTGCGGGAGTATCTTGTGAAAGCCGCGGTTTCTTTCAGTAGTGTGTCATATAAGTAGTCCATGGTGGTCGTAAGAGGCGCATCCTGTAGAGTATATACGTTGTTGACTTCCTTATAACTTCGAACATCGTGACCTTTTTGCTTATTCCGTTTGTCCATAAACCAAGCAGGATATGGTAACTCAGCAAAACTGCTACGATCTCTATGTTTGGCGCTTGCCTTCAAGCGTAGACCTTGTTTGGGAGCATCCACCAATTTAGCACACATATGTGCAAGGTATACGACATCTGGATTATCAAGCGACGTCCTCTCTGCCAATACAGTTCGCCAGTTTTCGTAGATACCTAATGTACCATCTGGAATAGCAACGGAGATAAAGTTATTCTGAATAGCTTCTTCGGGATTATTCCAGGCTGAAACTTCACCCCCAACCGTAGATTCATCCTTATCAAAGGCTTCTCTTACTCTTGATGGTTCTGGAGGAACCGGTGAAGATTTGAACGGCTTGACAATACGTTCATCCCAACAACAGAAAACCTATATAATCAATTCATTTAGTGTTTCACGGATACAACAGCGACATAATCTTCTCTTCTTATGTAACTTACAATATCACCATCGTAATCGCCACCGCTGAGCTGGCTAGCCAAAGATGTCGAACCTTTGATAGAAAAAACAGCAATATCTGTGTACATTCTTAAAGCTGTGCAATCCACCGCCTTTACTTTCTGAATATCACTTTTATGACCACAAGGATTACGTGTGACAATAACATCGCCGAGTACTTGTCCAGCACGCACACCCGTCTTTTCATCTTTCCGTCTACTCGAGAGTTGCAAAAAAATTTCGCCTTCGTTTAGTGTTCCGGTGGGATCAGGTATACAGGTAACAGTACAAGATTGAGCTATTTCGATCTTATACTTAATAGTGATGGCTTGGATGATTTGTCGGAAAATCATAGTGACGCGGGTAGCAACATAAGCATTAGACAAGTCGAAACCAGCATCTAAGAGTCGAATCACAGATTCATGCAACCCACAGGGAAAACCAGAATACTTGTTGATCCGTGCGTAGAAGCTGCCTTTATGTGCATTTGGCTGGGCCCAGAATGTATCGCCCTTCGCCGCAAGGGATGATTCAGTGTCGCCGTCAGTGTACCGCTGTCCTACTTCATAACCTTCTTCTTCAGCGTCGGTGAGATCTGCGGGGGACATGGTGTAGAAGCCACTATCATTCTCGTCATCACCTATATAATTATTGCTCAACATGTCGTTCCATAAGCCTTTTTCAACACTTTCTTCGTCTTCCCATCTGACTGTCATAATATTTCCAGTTTTCGCAACCCAGTCTCTCAGCAGCTTGATACTTTGGTTTTCAACTACAATTGTAGCTAGTCGATTCACGTATTCTTTGAGAATTTCTATAAAGACTGCAGTAGGCACACCGCCGGCAGCTAAACATTGAATGAACTGTGTATTCAAATTGGATGGGTAGATACAAATTGAATTTTTAATCAAATCAAAAGTATAATGATGCGGATCCAAGCTCAAATCGGCTTGAGGTAAGCCTGTCTTGAACTTATTTTGACTCTTTCTGATCTTGATCCAATTTCCCGAACTAAAGTCGAGATCGGGTGATACAATCCAAATACCTTTAGCGCCAGCAATACGTCCTTGAACAGCACAAGGCAATTCGTCTGCAGCTTGACACCCCATAATTTCTTTCATCGCTGAACAAGATATGATACCACAGCCATCTGTCATACATGTGGCTTCTTCATCTCCATTAGATCCTTCAGATGCATAAACATCATCGATATAGATAATTTCTTCAGGCTTGAATTGCAGAGTTGGGATACTACTACTATAACCAAGAGACATTCTGCTAGCATATTTACTCATTGACATGTTCCAGTTCTCACTTATAGGCATGTGCCAATCAATGACTTCTTGGATACTAATAGGTTGTAAATCGACGCCTTCAGTAGCAAATAAAATAATCATATCCTCTTTAACGAATAAAAATTTGAATACACGTTGCATGAAAACGAATGGCTTTAAAAAGTACTTTTTGTGTCTCTTGATCAATGTTGGATGAGTTCCTTTGGCTAGCTTGAGTTCTAAAAAGCGATCTTGTCCAAATTTGCGAAATAATCGATTGGAAGCCTCTACTTTTGGAGCTCTCAAGATGATGCTCGGATCTGACGAAGACGTTTTAAAGCGAATGATACCGCTATAATGAATCATTCGGTTCTTCATTCGCGCTTTGGCTATTTTAACTTCTGAGGTATCATGGATAGTAGGTACTGTTAACAGATTGGATGAAATCTTGTTGCATTGTTTTACATGAGCCCAAACATTATCAGGGCACCGTGTCATTTGTGTATAAGCTAAGCCGTTCACTTTCACACCTAAACGTGTCTCTTGATTCCATTTGACCATCACTTCAAATAGCCGATGTGGTTCATTATTAGCTGTTACCAAAAATTGTTGGAACGCATCGAAGGGTAGTTCGCTCCATGATATTTGAAAAGCTTGGACAAAACGAGCAATTTCATACAAATAAATCCAAGGAACATTTGAGAATAATTTGGAGGCTCCTGCTGGATTGCAGATGATATTGTGTACTGTTGATTCATCGTCACTAAAGCATCGTAACGGCGTGCTTTTTTTGACACTTACTTTCAGTTTCTTCGCCAAAGTGGTATCAGGCAATTCAGGTGTGGGTGACCGAAGTCTTTTCTTTGCGGCATTATTACTGTAAGTATTACTGTTCATTGATTTTCCACTCATTGGGGTGGTTGTGGTCGGCTCTGGCGTTACTGGGGTGGTATCTATGGTGCTCAAAACAATGTTTGTTGTATCTATTTTTGTAGGTTTATGCATTGTATTTTCGATTCTATCTGAAACTTCTGTATCAATATCATCAAAGGCTACATCTTCATCTAATGCTGCACACATATAGTTTTAGTTAATTTCATAGGTTAGTATAGCAATTAAAAGAGAAGATAGAGTATAGATTCAGTGGGTTAAACTTACAGAACACGACCTGTAGCTCAGAGTCGAGTTTGTCGATAAGGTCTTGAATGCTTTTCTTCGGGTTTCCATTCTGTAAAAACTTTTTGATAATAGCATCTAGTTTATTCTTATCCAGCAGAGCTACCACTTGCTGCATTTTCAAAATTTCTACCGGTAGATCGTTATTGACATTTGACAACTGTTGAATTTTTAATGGGAGTCTTAAGTTATTGTATACTGCTTTTGCGCATCGTGCAATGAAGGGATCGAGGTCTGATGTCATTATTTTCTTCAGTAAAATTTAGTTTATAAGTGATAGCACGTGCACAGTAATATTTCTCTTGGTATACAGCTTTATTTGACGATTTTGGTTATATCTATAAAATGAAGAAGAAACAGTGAAGCAAAGGAAATATGACCTGAATTCCCATTTCAAAGAAAGGAACGGCTATTTAATTATTCGCAGAGGGAATAATAACATCCCGCGTAATCAACAAGTGGGGAATTTTACATTCTCGCGTTCAAAGCAGCATTTTCGGGCATAGGCCTGCTTATGAATAACGAAATTCTCAGCTTATAAAATTTAGGAAAAGCCCCTTATTGTTTTCGGCACACATGTAAGACTCACTGAAAACTCTTCAGCGTTTGGAATGTTCGCAACGGAAAACAAAGTTCCATAAGCAGTAACGTTTCTACAATCCATTTCCATATACCTTTGTATTCCCCAGAAATGTGCACAGACTCATTCCAGTTTTTCCAACTTTCTCAGTATCAATCCGTTTTTTAATGGGAAATCAAGGTTAACATACTACGCAAAACTTTTCGTTTCTTAGCAGAAGATGCAACTGATCTATGACATTTCCCGCCTGAGGTACCTAACAGATATATCCCAGTTTGACAGCATTTAAACAAGTAATAATGGTCCTTGTGTAACAAGAGGTCTCTTGCTTCAAAGACAGTAGTGTACAATCTTAAACCTTAAAGTCATTACTTTATAGTATAATAAATCTCTAAGTTCAGCAGTTCCTTTCTGCGTTGGAAAACCAATAATTCTTTGAGGTGACTCATCACCTCTAGTTGTATCAAACATCAACGCTTGTTCAAGAGCTCTACTAGGCAGCATATTCTGTAATTAATTTGTAGTTTTATCCAGTCAGATGTTAAGTTTGTTGACGTTTTGCTTCGAATGTAAACTGATTTTCAGTCAAAATCAGAAAGAAAAACTGGCACAGTAACTTTTGCATGTCCTTTGGTGATGCCATAACCTGACCATATGACATTTTAAAGTCAGCGAGTAGCTCATTCTTATATCTTTCCAATCTTTTTTTTGCTTGTTTGCTGTTCCTATTCCTGAATTCCGAATTTAGTAATAAATCAAAAAACAAAACAGAACAGAAAAAGAAACTTTTGACGCTTTACTATTGTCAATATGCTCAGGTTATGTCAGTGTTTCGTCGCTTGGTATAAATAAACGTTAGGCCTCTTTGCATTTTTATTGTTTTCCCTTTTGTTTTCTTCTTCCTTTTGACTTCATCTCTTTAACTGAAAAGAAATAATGGGTTTTTGTATCTATTGTAATTTGAAAGTTACAGGCACCACCACCACTTGCCCAAAATGTTATCGAACAATTGCACTGACGAAAGATAAGCCAGTCGACACTAAGGCTAGCACGGCAATGTTTAGTATTCCTAGAAAGTCAAATCAATCCAATATTGACAAATGGCAGGATACGTAAGTAGCCAAGTTGAAGCTTTCTAGACAGTTATCTTTTGCTGATACACTCCGATTTTCTGTTGCTCAGGTACAGCAAAAAAGCCATTTTTAGCAGTGGAATCAGCTCATCAACGAGTACACCTCTGAAAGCAAGGCAGCAGAGGCCTATGCCTACATTTTCTAAAAAGGACTCGACAACCTCAAGGCTTACCAAAACCTGTGCTAATTGTCAGAAGCCTCAGACTTCATGGAAAGATCTCTCTATTTATAATTCTGCCTACTATTGTAAGCCATGTTTATCAGAAGTTCTGGCGTGGTAAGCTATCATTATTTATGAAACCGATCATTTACCATTGAGCAACACTGTATTAACGCAATTCTCATTCAATATTAGTCCTGGATGTAAAGAATCCGTTGAACAAGGTCAAATTCAGACCTATTTCAATAAAAAAACATGGCATGCGGCATGCTTAAGATGTGCAAGCTGTGGCTCACCATTGAAAGCCATGTTGGCTACTGTTGATAATAATGGAAATCCCTCCTGTCGTGTCTGTAGAACCAAAATCGAAGAGTCATTGAAACCATTTGGGGATCAGTTTCCTCCTCCTCAAAGTACAAGTGCCTCAACTCCTCTGCTTCATTCCACTGCTTCCCCATCCAAGGCATCCCAAAGTTCTGTTGATAAAATTCCACCTATTAAGCCAAGAAGGTCTTCTGCTGCTTACGTTCCCTTCAATTCTAAAGAGGCTTCCAAAGACCTTTCTGATGGAAATGACATTCAAGATACCCCTCCAGTTACTGCTGCCCCCGAAACTTTGAAAAAAGCTGATGAATTTACATCCCCAAGGACGGGTACAAACAAGGAAGAAACACCTGCCAAGGAACCTACGCCTACAACAAGTACGGCTCCTCGTCGTAAGAAAGTGGTGAAAAAGCCATGTAGAGAGTGTGGATTGCATGTTTCCAGAAAAGATTATCGTGGTCTCAAGATTCATACTGGCGAAACGCTTGTCTTCCATAGCTACTGCCTTTTCTGTGCAAAATGCCATCAGCCATTCAATACACTAGAGTTTTGTACTGACGGTATGAATTTCTATCACATGCAGGTAGGCTTGAAAGAATAAACCAATTCTTCTTTTGGAAGCTAGTGTCTGATCATTTTATGTTGCATTCGTATGTGTAAACTATCAATAGTGCCCTCCATCTCTCGCTATACCTTCAAGAAATGATACGCCACTGAGTGAAGAAGATGAGGCCTATCCTCGTACCCCACCTTCAGATCAAGCTTACTTCAATATTGCCGCTCAGTCACCAACAACGAATACAATGTCTCCTTCGTCCCTGCAACCTGAATTCACACCAGACGGTCCTCAAGAAAAAAAAGAAGATGGTTCCATTACTAAGAACGAAGTGCAGCAAGAGCCTGTTGTAATTATATGTAATGCATGTTCTCTACCTGTAACTGATACATGTTTAGAATTAGCAAATCAAATCTACCATAAAGAGGTAAGATCCTTTGATAAGCAGCCCCCCCCCCCCAAAAAAAAAGAAAAATATGACCGAATCAATAATACCTTACTTTACTCTTTTACCTAAAATACAGTGTCTTCTATGTGCTGGTTGTAATAAGACAGTGCCTACAGATAAGAAGCTTATCAAATACCAAAATAGGCTTTACTGTGACATTTGTAGTATGAATCTCATTGACAAACAGCAAAAACGAAGCCTTAGTAATAATTTAAAGGTGAATACACAGTCAACAGAACATGGCTTTACGGAAAAGGAAAAGAATGAACAAATCGAAGTGCCAAAGCGAAATACATCTGTCACATCACCTTCTGATATTTTCAAAACGAGAAAGAAAGTTTTGCCTCGTTTAGGTGGAGTCCGTACTTGTGCTCGTTGTAACCAAAGTATGCCCTTCTCTGATACTCAACCCGGTCCCAATGCTAGTCGTTGGCATAAGAAATGCTTACGCTGTGCTGGTTGTAATAAGCAAATGGATTCAGATGCTCATATGACTGTAAATGAAGAGACTGGCTTATGCTTGGTTCATTGTCGCGATTGCTTGGATGATACACCCAAACCAAGATTTGTTCGACGCTAAACAAAGGAAACCTTTTGTTCCTCTATTTAAGCACACTTCACATTTAGTAACATACATTATTTATTTAATATCATTAACTCTCGGTTTGTAGCTTTCCACATTAGACCTCTTCTGTAATCAAGCATAAATGATCATAAAAAACAAAACAATTAGTCTATGTATTCCCATAATCTACGTATATTTTTCTTAACAATTTTTTTTTAAAATAAAAAAATTCCATCCACCAAAGGGGTCAAAAAAAAAGTCTGTTAGAAGCGGACATTTAAATTATAATTTCTTCAGTTGTGCCCTTTTGTCTGTGCGGCATAAATCAGAAGCGTTGGAGGAAGGCCTAAAGACAAAGAGAAATATGGCAGATCTATGTGCCTTCCTCTTTCCCCCTTCAACATTTGCATTTGGTATGTTCAAAACACAGACGATAGTGGGAATCTATTTGATATTGTATTTCTTTGACAAATGGATGGATTCATTACAATAATACAATGGATGGATGGATGAATTTTATCAATCAATTTTCAGATAACTTTAAAATCTGTATAATGTCAGCTGAAATGATCACGCATCATGCTAAATTCATTACAGCCGAGAGCGAAAACTTATTACAGCCCATATAATATCAAATAGAAATCACTGCTATTCGTGTTAAAATTGTTATTTCGCAGGATCACACCGTAAAGCCATGGTCACTAATTCAGATCTTCTGATCGTTATTTGATCTAACAGGGCGTAACATTTAACGATGAAGGATATCTACAAGTCTGACGAACTCACCATCCCCGAAGGTGTCAAGGTCTCTATCAAGTCCCGTATTGTTACCGTTGAAGGTCCTCGTGGTACTCTCACCAAGAACCTTCGTCACTTGAACATTGAAATCACCGTCGTTGGTCAAAAGATCCGCTTCGTTGTTCACCACGGTCTCCGTAAGCACGTTGCCTGTATCCGTACCGTTCGCTCTTTGGTCAACAACATGATCGTTGGCGTCACCAAGGGTTTCGAATACAAGATGCGTTATGTCTATGCACATTTCCCCATCAACGTTATTATCAATGACGCTGCTGATGCTGTCGAAATCCGTAACTTCTTGGGTCAAAAGGTTGCTTTCCACGTCAAGATGCGTGAAGGTGTTACCGTTGCCTCCTCCAAGTCTCAAAAGGATGAACTTATCTTGACCGGTAACTCCCTCGAAGCCGTCTCTCAATCCGCTGCTGATATCCAACAATCCTGTCTCGTCAAGAACAAGGATATCCGTAAATTCTTGGATGGTATCTACGTTTCTGAACGTAATGTTATGGAAACCGCTTAAATTATCTCACAATAAATAAAACAAGTGAAGATCCTTTTTCAGGGTCTCTTTACTTTTTTTTGATGTGAAATGGAAGTTGTGTTGTAGCTCACGGTGCTGATTGTTGCAGTTTTTAAAAAGATAAAAAAAGATAATGTTTTTCAGTAGCTTACAATTATTCACAAAAGATCGACAGTTTGTTTCTTAAACTGGCATGAATTGAAGGCTTACAGTTATGCAGCAGGGATAACAAAAATATCCTAACTGTAAACGGATTTTTTCTCGCAGAGCTGCTGAACAGGGTCCTTTACATAAAAAGACCCGTCATCGGGATTTTGAAGCCTACTGTAAGAAATGCTTAACACAAATAACTGGGAGATTATGAAACTGACAGGGAGCTATTACGTAATACGAACAATCATTAATTTAAACAATAATGCTTATTACAACAACTGCTTTTGTTCACATGAAACAATATTTGATTGGATCTAAAATTGCCCGAGATTACAGCACTTTGAACATTAGACAATTTACAAATTTTTATTTGAACAACTGATAGTTCGCTTTCAGACAAATTACAAGCTTGTCGGAAAGTAAATGAAAGCTTGACTCAAAATAACCTCGTATTTCTGGCCAGTATACTGTAATTTGTCTGAAAGTAAAATGTAGTTTGTTCAATAAGAATTACAAGTTGTCTCAAATTAATTGCCTAAAAAAGCTCAGAATGGAAGTAAAATTGATTCTATCGAAAAAAAACCGCTGCCTGTCTAACAGTTGTCTCCGATCAAAGTTTCTTTTTTGAATGATGGCTTTTTACTTCATTTTCCAAGGAAAGTCCAGTAGAACGAAAATTTTTTGGAGAAAAAGCAGAAGGCCAATTTTTTTGTGTCTTATTCCTCTCCCTTTTAGTGTTATCAATAATATTAAGCAACCACTCCTAAAAACTCACTGTAGCCCACTGTTTTATTATTTCCATTTGGAAAGGATCTTCGAACGCTGGTTTTTTTGCAGCAACTCTTACCAATTAATCTTTGATTGTTCACCTCCCCTTACTCTTCTATACTAAGCCCTTAAAGCATATGGTCCATTTATCAAATTTCTTCCACCTGCCAAGCCAGCAACGTTCAAACAAAAGAGCAATCAATACAAAGAGTTGTTCTGTACCAGGTAGTAGAAGAAACTCAAGGGATTCGTCGTCTGCGACGTCGTCTGCGGAAACCACTTTCGAAGAAGGTCGAAACTGGTTATACAAGCAGTTACATCTTCATCAACAAAGCCAGCAGTCGACCAAGTCTGACTTACAGCTAAATAATAGTAAAAGCAGCGGCAGACATCAAGCAGTTAGTGCTCCCGCAACCCCACCCCTTCTATCCCCTTCTGTGTCGAAACAAACAGTCGCCACAGTAAAAAGTGTTGATTCTCAAGCCGATACTACGTCTACATCCGGTACTATGAGTAACAAACTACATAAATTGAATACGGCAAATCTTCGTGAATATGGAGAATGTTACAAACGATTGGGTAAGGGTTCCACTGCTGTTATCTCTATTTGTCGCAGTAAAACTGTTTTTTCGACATCCAACAAACCTGACGCTGCAGGCAGCACCAAATGTTCAAAGCTCTATGCGATCAAACAGTTTAGAAAACGCAACAAGAATGAAACAGAAAAAGAATATATGAAAAAGTTGACAAGTGAGTTCTGTATTTCGTCCACTTTCCATCATGTCAATATCGTGGAGACAATCGATTTAGTTTTGGATGATCAACAGAGATATTGTACAGTCATGGAATATTGTCCTGGTGGCGATCTATTTAGTGCTATCATGTCCGAGCACATGACAAACATAGAGATGAGTTGCTGCTTCAAGCAAATGATACAAGGCCTTGCTTATTTACACTCGGTGGGTGTTGCTCACCGTGATATCAAACCCGAGAATCTTTTGCTTACTCTCGATGGAAAATTGAAGATCACTGATTTTGGTGTCTCGGATGTATTTCGTTGTGTTTGGGAAAAGACGAGTCATAAGAGTCGCGGACTTGTAGGATCAGAACCTTATATAGCACCTGAAGCCTTCGAGAAAAGCCATGAGTACTGGGGTGCCAATGCTGATATATGGTCTGCTGGTGTCGTTTTGTATGCTATGTATCGCGGCGGCCATGCTTGGATCAAAGCTGACCAGAAGTCTGATAAAGAATATCGGTTTTATCTACGTCATTATGCTCAAAGAACCTTCCCTAATTTCAGCAAATTGCCAGATCCCATACGCAGAATGCTTTACCTTATGCTGGACCCCAATCCAAATACGCGTGTCACAGCCCAGCAGATTTTAGAAGATGATTGGGTGAGGAATGTTTTGATTTGTGAGAAGGGTATAGATGCTCTGAATAGAGACCATCACCATACAAATTTATCATGTCTCAAAAACATTTAGGCTCCTTTCTCGACTATTATTGCTCTTTTTCATTCCAACTACTTGTATATATCCTGAAAATAAACATCATATACCCCTTTTCATTCGAGTGTATAATGATTTAGGCCATAATACTTGGGTTAATTTGCGACGGTCAAACTGAATTGTAAAAAAAAATAAAAAAAAAGAATTGCTGATTGCAGGAGAAGTGATGAATCAAGCAACACAAGAATTGCTGCGCGTTGAATCACTATTAGTATCACGGAGCTTATTTCAATGATTTGCGTGTAAGATCCACGATTTCCAAAAATCAAGTTCATCTTTCATGCAACTTTTTTAGTCATGGGATCAAGAAAAAGAATCTTAAGATATCAGAGAAGCTATGGATGTGATAATAAGTTAGAAGACCGTTTATTATATCAGTTGATCATTTGATGTTTGAAACAAGCAACCTTACGCTAAGATCGCTTATAACAACGTCTTTACAAGCGTCGGCAAATGTCAAATCAGTTGGGTTCAATTCAGGTGATAACTTTGAGAATACAACACGTTATAATCTTTCGATAACACCTATTTTTTATAAAGTTATAGTGGTTTCGATTTACAAACCATTGGCTTTTTCTTCTAATTGATATTTGCTTATGATGGAGTCATCTCAACCCTCGAAAATAACAATTTCGTACCATTTAAATCAATAAAAACCTCTTTTTCATGGGCATTCTGATCGAAAAAACAAATTCAACTTTTGATTTGAATGCCATCATTTATTTCCTACCTTGGCCTTACTTCAAAAATAGTATTTTGTTTATTGTAGTTTGAAAAGACAAGCTTTTTCAAAGGAAACTTTGTCGCAAGAGGGCGGCAGACGAAGCGTAGTGAGTCTCATTTTTAAGCATTGAAAATGAACCTTTTATGTTGCTTACTTGATGTATTGTTATGATAAAAATGAATTCCTCTCACTAACAAAAAGTAATTGTGTTTCCATTTGTTACATAGTCTGTTTATTCTTCATCTTATAATTCAATAAAGATGCAGTCTAAAATCTCATTGGGCTCAGGGGTTTTCAGAATGTATGAACCACTTTGATTACGTCTCATCATCGTTTAAGTCCATCAGAGAAAGCAGCTCGAGTTACTTACTAATACTTTAATAACTGAACTTAATCTAACATACCAGAAAAGTCAATCTATTCGTGTAAAAGGACATTGGGTTACACCCTTCTCGGTTCTGTCTACAATTACTATTGTTACAAAACCACTGATCTCAAAAGCGTACTAAACCGCGTAGAATGGTCCGTCTCATACTACAAATAATTTTGCCTACCGAGGTTTGCAGGCCTCATACCCATGTTTGCTATTATTTAATTCTTTATGCAGTAGACTAACACTTCTTTCGTAGTAAAACTTTTTTGTGCTTGTCTTGCGCGTCTGAAATAGCACTTAGAAACCAGTCTTATGTACTTAAGTTCCACTACATCAACCATGCTGATTTGAAAAGATTCTACTCTGATATTTTATACTGGTCTAACATCATCAGAAAAAAGCTTATACAAGGGATCTCAAAAACATTGACAGTGATAGAGAAAGCATCATTAAACCAGCTTATCCTCAAAGATGCTGAACTTATAGAAGTCGAGGCATTCTGGGTAAGTAGAAGATCGCCACTTCCGGTGCCCACCTACTATTAGAGGATGCCCATTTTTAACTGCCCACAGCTATTTCTTTTTTACGTCCACTTTATTACAGGTGCCCATTTTCACATTCTGGCACCGATGCCCATCTACTATTAGAGGGGCCCATTTTTTACTTCCCATTTTCACATTCTGGCACAGGTGCCCATATGCCAGTCTAATATTTAAACATGCAATCAATGTTTTTGTCTTTGTAAACCTCCTCTATAAATTGCTATTATTGCCTTTGTTCTTGTATTTGCTTATACTACCCAGCATTTCTGTTCAAAGGATCTTGTTGTTGGTCTAAAGTCAAAAATTGAGTTCATCCTTTCAGCTATTCACAATAAGTTGGTATCCTTCGAGTATTTTGTCACATGTTGAGGTGCTTGTTTATGTTAGAATATTGATAACTGTTATAAAGCCAGTAATTCAAAACGTAGCCCTTAATTCTTGATATAAGTAGCAGGGGTTTTTAGTGAGGCCTGATGGTGCTTGTATAAATCAAAGGATGTGCCTAAGCTAGTCGCGTGTTATATATTTAGGCCCTATCTTGTTCTATACGTTGCACATAACGTACATTAGATGATAAACCACTGTGAAATTTTCTTTTTTCATGATTGTATGTATTGAGTGTTGTTGTGGTCTTTGAATAAACATCGCTTTTTATTGACACTATAGCCAAAAAAAAGCCGCATCGCTTCAAAACGCAAATCACTGTACAAAAGCCTAATCATTTATGACTTGAAAACATTTTTGATTCTGAGTAACGCTTTGTTGTGTGCTGTCAATACTTCTAAATGCCAAAAACGTTGTGGCGTGTGTCTTGCACAATATACACCAGCCACGATCCTTTATGCAATTCAATGAGATAAAGCACAATACTGTTATTATGTGTTTGCTAGCTGAGTAGATGATGACTGAAGAGGAACAATGTAACATTTTTATCATCATTATTTAATCGAAAAATGTCTATTAGAATCCCAAATAGCTGTATTCACCCAAATGTTCAGGAGAGGTATAGTCACTGTCCGCATATTGTGGAAATGATATTGCAGTACGAACTGCTTCGAAGGTATGATCCTTTGTATGATAGTCTTTCGAAATATTGAGGATGAAACAATTAAACTACAAAGCAATTGATTTTGAATCATTGATTGGTTTATAGTAGCTTACCATTAGTGAAGGTACCCTTCTCCATACAATCGCTGCAAAGATCGACTTCTTCGCTTATGTCGCATACTGTGCATTTATACCGGATACCTACAATAGGCTCTGTTCCACATGCATCACACTAATATGTTTGATGATAACGATTTAATGAATAAGTAACAGTTTATATTGCATGAGATAAGCATAACAAAAATTTCTTACCGCATAGCCTTCATGAACAACCAGGTCTGTCGCCCCAGAAAGGTTATTGGTCTGTTTAAATTTATCATAGGGAAAAGAAAACGATCTCAATGTCGACGAACAGATAATAGACCGATTGTCTTCAACCAATTTTCACTTACATTATTGACCGACTTCATCATTTCGTTGATACTAGAATCCTCTTCATCATCTGACATTAACACAGATGGAGGACCTTGCGTCATGGTATAATAACCTCCTGAAATTCTACTGTTCGTTATTCCACCGGAGACTTTACTGTTATATCCTACACCCGACGTTCTCAGTTGAGGCGGTACAGTTGTTGGTTTGTTTATACGACCGCCGCTGGTATTGCTGTTCGATTTGGCTTTTGCTTTGGCTTTAGATCTGGACTTATTACTGTCTCCTTTGGGCATGCATGATGGCTATATAACGATTAAGTGGGTAAACTGTTAACAATTCAATTTATAATATTTTCTCCGTGTTGTTTGTTTAAAAAGCATTACAGGAATGGTAATACGTCCTGGCACAGGTAAACCCAATTTGGCGAGCTTGATGAAATACTTTTGCACTCGACTCGCTACTTGTCTTGGTGTACGGGTACCTAAGGCTTTCGAGATTTTATTGAATCGCTGAGCTTGGACTGGCTCATCAGGAAAGATTTCTAATAACTCCTGAAGGCGTTGCTGTTGGTAAAAATAATATACACGTTCAACTTTGCATGAGCAAAATGGATCTGTTTTTTCTTTTCGGTTTATAATATTGTTCAACAGCTTACCTGTTCCTCATCTGTCCAAGGCTGATTAAAAGTAGCAATTTGACGTTCGTTGTTCTTTGGTAAACAAAACAAAACAAAAAAAAAAAAAAAAAAAAGCGGTTTCAATTTTGTATTCGTACACAAGCGAATGAGCTTTCCAACACTTACTGTATGATGAACATTTTTGCTACCGAACTCATCAGGTGTGCGCGGTTCTATAGACGGTAATCTAGAGATAGAAGCAGGACTACATGCATTATGAGCCCATCATATCCAATAGATCAGTATACATTATTTATCCACTTCCTGCTGCCTTTTTTCCGGCTTTCCTGATTTACCTTTCTGGCTCTGACGATGTTGCATGAATTTGTTGCTGGTGATGCTGTTCAACGACAGGCACTGTAGCTGTATTTTGAACCATGGATGTTCTTCGTTTTCCTTTACCTTTACCATGCCCACCACTATTATAATATACCTTTCCACTTGTTCTGCCGGTTGATCTTGGGGTCGCTTTTGAGCTTAAAGTACTGGTAGTATAGCTATGATTTTCGCCAACCCCTCCACTGTTCTCATCTTCTGAAAGGTCAGATACTGAATTGGCTCTTGAAGGTAACTGATTCAATGCTTGCTTGGCTTTCAATAGCTCTTGCTCGAGTACTTTTGCTGCAGCAGGTGAGGGAAATTTTTGGGTATATTCTGTTGCCATCGGTGTGTCCAAGATATTCTACATGAAATACGAGTTAGCATTTTCATATGGCAGAAAGTCGAAAAAAATCTCCTACACAAAATATCGGTCGTTTTGCTTGGTTCACATAAAACCGTGTCAAGTTATTTAAATCATTGTGCTGTCGAGTGAGCCTAGATTCCGATAAATATCGATATTTTTCCCAGTTTATGCTCGGTGTTGCGACAATTTTCTGCAACTTGGGAACACTGTACTGCTGTTTTCTTCTTCTTTTCTAGAGAGAGAGTTTGAGAACTGAAGTATTAGGCAATAAAATCCTTTTTGAGCAAATGTTTAAATTCTTTCAACCTTGCGTAAACTGTCAATAAACAGATAAGGGTCGGCAAGAGCTTCTGTTTTTAAACGTTGTAATTTTTGCAAATCTGTCGAGGCTATGTCTAGTTGCCGCTTTAAAACATCTAAAGCTTTTTGAACCAGCTGATAACTATGGCAACAGATACACAATGTAAGACATTAGTTTAACTTTCGTGTTGATTGTTTGGTAGTTACTCTTCATTGTCTTCCAACTTCGTTGATCGATCAGTTGAGGTATCCGCAGGTTGATCGATGTCGGTATTTAATTCCATTATTGACTGCCGTGGTGTATTTGCCGTTGAATTTGAATCAGACATTTATGTTTATCATGCGCTACGTTAAATATTATTCATAACTTCCGAGTAGGGTTGGGAATGGGTAGACTTGTAAACGAAGAAGGTTCTTTGTACTTTTCCTTTTCAATTATCTTTTTTAAAGAATGACTTTTTCACGTTCCGCTTTGGGAGATTTTGAAACTTATTCTTCGCACTTGTCTTGCCGACAATTGAGTGCTCTACAATCATTGACGCCAACTTTCTCATTTGAACTCTTCATAGAATGATCAACTCACTATTTGTAATTAATAAACAAGGGTAAATGACCTTTTAATAGCTGTCAGAACTTCTTCTTGAGACTCACTATGACTTTACGTATATGGCATTCAGAAAGATAATTATTGAGAAGCATTGGCGTGGCATCATTTCAAGACAGATTGTTGACGTTTTCAACGATGAATGTACAAAGTTTATGAACTCACCTGCTGGATCGGTGGATGAGAGAGTTAACGCTAGTATTCCCCTGAAAGGAGAAACCTACTTTACTCGTGAAGATGTACCACCAGTTTTGGAAACCAACAAATATTGGTTACTGAATGTTTTACGGAATGATTTAACATGGTTATGTCCTGTCGAAAGAGAAGGTAAAGACAGAACTGTTTCTACAAGCAATTTACAGAATATTTGATGAAAAAGTCTCACTCTTTAAATGCTTTTATATAAAGTGGATCCTATGCTTATTTTCGAATTTATACATCGTATTATGGATATCTTGACAGATTATTTAGGAGACGTATCAGAATCGTCTATCAGAGAAAATTTTGTTACAGTATATCAGTTATTTGAAGAAATGATGGATTACGGCTATCCATTAACAACTGAGCCCAATGCATTAAAGGAAATAATCATGCCGCCGACAATTATTAATAAAGTGATGACATCGGTTGGAGCTGCTGCTGGTGTCGCGCCCAAAATACCTCAAAGCATGTCTAACATTCCTTGGAGGAAAGCAGGTGTGAAATATACCCAGAATGAAATTTATTTTGATATAATTGAGGAAATTGATGCAACTATAGCAGCGTAAAGTATGAAACCACTACAGCATTTTCTCAAAGTCTTACTGAAATCCCTTCTCTTCAATATAGAAATGGCAATGTAGTGTCTTGTGAGGCCCATGGTTCTGTTCAAACAAATTGTAAATTGTCGGGAATGCCAGATTTGACTCTGAGCTTTGTGAATGCTAGAGTTATAGATGATGTCAGCTTTCATCCATGCGTGAGGTAGTGATTATAATTCACATGGTTGTATATACTAATTCAGGTCATACTTATATACTTCCTATCATTTTCAAGGTATCGAAAATGGGAAAGCGAAAAGGTATTATCTTTTGTTCCTCCAGACGGCCAATTCAAGTTAATGTCTTACAGAGCCTCCTTATCACCTTATCAAGCTATGCCTCTACAAATTAAACCACAAATAACATCCACTAATAATGGTGGACGGTTCGATATTAAGGTTCAACCTAGATCCACGGATGGTAAGCCTATAGAGAAAGTAGTATTGACATTACCAATGCCAAGAGCAACACAAAGTGTCAATGCCTCGTGCAACTTTGGGCAATATATGTATGATCCTGTCCGCAAATCGATCACTTGGGATATTGGCAAACTTTCATTAAAGGATATAGCACCGACATTATCAGGAACATTTAGTACAAATGAAACCAATCCAGAACTATCAGGCCTAAACGTAACTTTGGGATTCCAAATCAATATGTATGCTGTGTCTGGTCTCAAAGTGGATAGTCTTCGCTTATTCCATGAAGCGTACAAACCGTACAAGGTACGATAACCTAAACAATTGCAGCTAGGCATAACTTGAATTACTTACCACGATAATTTTTTGCCTTTTTTTTTTTCGCTTAGGGTGTGAGGAGTATGACAAAGGCTGGTAAAATCATTATCAGAACATGATGAAAAGCCTCATAAATTAATAAGCAGTAAACGTTACTTTCATATTCATGCTCCATGAAAAGCACGCAGAAATAAAGGGGCTAAGAAGCCTATAATTATACCAGCTAAATCATTTAGATGAAAATCTAGTTTCTTATTACCTACAGTATATTGCAATTACCATCTTTTTGTCGCATCGCTCTATTTGCATAAAGGTCCTATTTTCATCTGCTATAAAGTCATACAATTGTATTGCTCTGTTTTAGAAATACGATAACGCCCTTTCGTATCTGCACCATCATAAATGATATATCTCAACAATGTTAAAGCTTACGAAAATGAAGAATGATAAGAAAAAGAAAAGAAGACTAAAAGACTGCTAATAGATAAGAGTCATTGTGTCCGATGCCAATACAAGCTAATACTCACGACTCATGATGAAATAATGCTCAGTAAGTCAGAGTTTTCTAGTAGAAGAATAGGTTTCCCTCTTTGATAGATATTAGGCGTCTAACCCAGAGTGAAGTAATTTGTAATAGATTATCCAGATCCGAAATGACCATGCAGCCACTTTTATAATCCAGTCTGCCAACCACAGTTTATGGCTTGGATATTGTACGATATGTCAGCTACGAAGAGGTATTCGTTCATGGTATTCTTATTTGCGTGAGATGCTATGAGTGAATTATTCATGCAAATATTCTACTATATCAAACAAAAAAGCCGAATAATATCGTATTGAAACACGCCTATTGTTAGAATTTGGACAGTTACTGTAGTATAAAGTTCATTATTGCGGCCACTCTTTTTGTGATGACTACTCTTTTTGCTAGATGGCGAAAGTTGACTACCAATTGCCTTAAAAAGAAATGTATATTTTCATCTACTGAGTTATATGTTTGCGTTGTAATCCTTTTTTTATTCCTCCCCTTTTTGAACTTTATATTCCCAACGACACGCTTTATAATGCTCCAGAATATCGCCCGTAGATCAGTTCAGTGCGGAAGTAGTGCTGTCAGAAGAATTGTGACATTATCACCTGCTTCACAAATAGTGGCAAAAAAGACTTTGTCTACTAGTCGTCTTTCACGATTAGAAGTACGCCCAACGTTGACCTTTTTGTTACAACAACGCTCTTTGAATACTTCTCATCAATGCTGGAGTGAAGAAAATACAACAAATAAAACTGAATATATAACAGCGTAAAGCTTTTATACTGTATATATATAATACAAATCAATAGCTATCTCTAACGTAGTGTTTCATTCTTTCTGAAAGTAAATTGACTGAGGAGAGATTTCATCGTCTGTCGAATGAAATTTTAGAGCATATAACGAGTAAAATAGAAGAACTTATGGATGAATCAGAAGCTGACGGATATGATGTGGAATACAGCGTAAGCGATATAGACATAGACAGAAAATTGTAGAACGAAACTGATGGCAAGAGACTGACAGAAACTATATCCATGTTTGTATTACATAAGCAAGGGGTGATGACAGTTCGACTAGGGGAGCATGGAACTTATGTTATTAATAAGCAGCCACCAAATCAGCAGATTTGGTCATCGTCACCCATCAGGTAATGTACTCCACTATTTCAACAAACGTTAATTGATAAATGATACAGACGGTCTTAATGTATACATATTTAGTGGGCCTCTCCGCTTCGACTATGACGAAAAACACCAAAAATGGTTCTATCACCGAGATTTTGAGACTCTGGACAATTTGCTGAATACAGAACTATCTACAATATTTGGTCGTAAGGTAGATTTATTAGAAGACTTTGTACCTCATGAGAAATAAGACGTGGAGAAGGCAAAAATAAAAGTTACATTTGACCTGAAAAGACAGGCATTGTTGACTTAATTCGGAAATAGTGCTTCTACGCGTTAAAAGCTTGATTTCCTGCAATATCTTATTTGCACAGTATCAATTTGAGCTCACAAGAAACACTGCGCACATGATATTGGTATATACATCAAGTTTGGTTTTTATTAACTCAATTAAGAAAATTCTGTTCCAGTGTATCCAACACTGCCTCTACATTTGCCACAAAGTAATTTGCTTCTGTACTTCTTCTACCTACTGTGCAGGTGATGACAACTTTTTGCTGCTGTTGATCTGACGAGAGGATTGTCTGATGATTTTTCAAGTAATGAAACAAGTCTTCGTCTGATCGATCGTCACCTATGGCTAAAATGAAGTCAATTGTGGAAGCATTATTTCCCTCTTGTTCATGTTGAATAATACGAGTGACGATAGAACTCTTGTTGAGATCGTGAGGCAGCACTTCGATAGTAGTATTGCCAATAACAGTATGAACAGCAAAGTTTTTATTGACAGAGTCAGCAATATGATTCTGACATTCTGCTGCTTGCCAAGATCTTTATGTAAATGCATGTTTGAAAACAGAAATGCTAAGTGAGTTACCTCGTTGGAGCTTCGTTCACCAGTTAGTGGTTACTGATAAAGGAAGGAAGAAAAATTGTACTTACGCATATTGTGATGTGTTATCCGAAGATTGGTAATGCCAAACAATGGATGTATCTTTGGTTTCGACGTAAGCACCAGGCGTACGTTCTGTATAATATTGGAATATTTCCCTTACGGCTGGTTTCCACGAAAAGTCAACATTATCATATACCTGCTGCCATCCATCTTTGCCTCTGTATTTCAAGTAAAATCCATTTTCGGCACTATATTGGTGATTTGGTGATGAATGTTTGACCTAACATATTTTACCCTTCAAATCTTTGAATGAACTTATATCTACCTTAAGCCTAAATTAGGGATGGATCCTAAGTCTGTTTCCATGTTGGACTTTGTTCTTCCAGAAACTATGTACACAGCATTTTTTGGATTGGATGTAAGCTTTGCCAGTAAGTGGGTGATACGACTCAGATCCTTAGCACTAGGAGGCTTTCCATGTGGAATTAGAGTTCCTCCATAACCTAATAATATGCTATAGTGTATCACAGATGTACCATCATTGAGTGCTTAAGTATAATGATGGTCTATAGGTACCCTTATGTATACTTACAGTCGTTTCCCAGCGCCATTTAGCCTTGATTCAGTAGCTTTTGATATCGTGTCAGGTTGCAAACGTGGTATGTGCCCACTGAATCTTCGTCCCATTGTTGTGGCATGAACTTTTGACAATTGTGCGATGATATTTTGAGCAAATTGTTGAGCCGAGTTTGTTTCTATACTTTTATATAACTCTTTCCATCTCGCCACTTTCTCTTCTTGATTCATGAGCAAAGCCTCATGGATAGCATCTCCCACTTGTTTGTAATCCCATGGGTTGACTCTGATGGATGCTCCGAAACTTCCATATGTTCCAGTGAACTCGCTCAAAATAAGCGGATTGTAAGTTTCTTTCTGGCACACGATGTATTCATGAGACGTCAAATTCATACCGTCTCGTAAAGGCGTCAATAAACATGCATCTGCTACACTTAACAAAGCCAAGTATTGCGGAAAAGAGATATCTTGATGTAAGAAGACAATGGGTTGGTAGGAAAAATTAGAAAAGTTGGCGTTGACACGCGACACGACATCTGAAATGTGAGCGCGTAATTCATTCTGTTCTGAGGTCGATAAGGCGATTTGGATTAAAACCACTTTGCCATGCCATTCTGGATGACGTGTCAGAAAATCCTCATACGCTAATAGCTTTTGTCGCACTCCTTTGATGTAGTCAAGTTTATCGCGAGCCACAATCAACTTTTTGTCAGCATATTTTTCTTTGAGTTTGGTCATCCATTGTGCAACCTGAGGATCTCCAATTTTTTGATTAAGCGTGAGAACATCAATACCAATGGGATGGATATGAACGGAGCAGTAGTGTGTATCCAGTTGAACTCCTAAAGGTGTAGCATCGACCGATAGTATGCGTGAGCACGTTTGTAAAAAATGGCGTGCGAATGAATAGGTTTGGAATCCAATGACATCAGATTGCAACATGGCTTCTAATAAATACTTTCTGGCTATATCGAAACAGTATGCCTGAGTACTACAACTCAAATGAATCATAGATTACCTACGAAGATAGAGCAACTTACATGGCAAACATCTGAATATTTCTGAGCTTGGAAAAGGGATATGAAGGAAGAACCCGATGGTTGCATTAGGCAGCATTTTACGTATCATCCCTGGCAACAGCATTAAATGGTAGTCATTTATCCAAACTAATAGAAGGACATATTGATATAGTCGTTAGTAATACTAAGCTTGAAAGGGAGAAGTTGTTTTGATCGTCCTTTACTTAAATCTCCTTCTTTATAAATTTGTACAATCTTATCAGCATATTGTTGATTTAGATCCTTATAAGATTTATATGGCTTGTCTTGATACATCATATTCTGCAATTCGTCTTGGACCACATAATGAAAATAAGGCCATAAAACCTGTTTCATCCAAAAGTCTATGTGAGTATGCAAGCCATCTTAGAGTAACCAGAACTCGCAAAAATTACTTAATTACCTGTTTACAATATTGATTGTAATGTTCGTCAAAAACGGTGTCGTTCGGCATGACTACATAGGAGCTATACTCCTTTTCGAGAGTAGTTGATATATCATCTTTTGTTTTTTGCGATAAAGGATCCGTTGGCATACCTAGTGTACCGACCCAAGCCAAATCCACTAATTGATTTTGAATACTAAATAACGCATTGTTTAATCCGATGTTACCCATTGTACATGGTTTGACAGACCAAGTAGCCTCTTCAAATAGACGAGGACAGCTGTAATCATCATTGTATGACGAAGAAGCAGCAGTCGCATTAACAGGCGAAATAGATGGTAATGAAGATACTTTGGAAGATAAGCAATTAGCACTAAGACTACTATGACTGACACTATCTTTTCCTTCGTTTTTTTTGTCTTGCTGTTGCTCTTCTTCGAATAATTGTTTCTTACTTTTCGGTTGAACCAACTTTTCAGGCTGAGCAAAATCAAACAATTCATCTACAGATTTATTGCTGTTTCTGTTAAGATCCTGCTTCTTTTGCTGTTGATAATGGTTATGACGAGCGACTAAACTTTGGATGAGGTTTGGAACTCCAGAAGTTGATTCATCGATGGTTGGTACTGAGTTCTTGGTGGTATCTCCATTAGCAACTGTAAAATGTGTATCGACTGTAGACGAAGTAGTATAAGTGGCGAGTTTCTTTCTATTCTGCTCTTTTATATGAAAATCAACCGTGTGGGGCAAGAACAGTGTAGCCACGATCACTCTTTTATCTGTTACGTTAGACATTGTTAGTGCAATTCCTGTTATCTGAGCAGAAAAAGAGTCTGTCTGCTTTGATTGTAATGAGAAAGTAGGAATAAAGCAAGAAAGAGGACATGTAATTCAAATTATGGAGATCTGTATGTGAGAGTGATTTTGTGCCCTGGTAAAAAGAAAAAATTATTAAAAAAAAAAAAACCTAAAATGGTAAAGCTTCCTTTCCTTCTAGATTGTTTTTTCTGTTAAACAGAAACCGTAGGTGCTGCATGAAGTCATTCTGTTGACTTCTCAATACTACAGTTTGATAAGTTGAATCAGATGGGAAAGATGATAGTCTTATTGTAGTTGGCATTGTTTGTGTATTACTTCCACGGAAGGAGCAGTGATATCTGAAAGGTTGCTCAGAGTTTATGTAGTAAGTGTTGGTAATCGTTATTGTCGACTTCAGCTGTACTAAACCCTCCTTCCTAAACCATTTCGATGATAATTGATGAATTACTGTGCCGTCTCTAAGGGCTCCTTATTTGATCATCAAGTAATTGACACGGTTTCGAGTCCCAGTACGATAATTTCGGAAGAATTATATAAAAAATGGGCAAACCAGATCTAATGCCGAGCGTCGTTCTTACAGCGATTTTGGGTTTAACTTACATTTATAGTAGTTAAGCTTATTTGAAGTAAGTATTTGCTGCATCTGAGTGCTATTGACGCTGCACCGATAACATTCAGACGACCTCAACGTTGCCTGTAGGCTGTTAGAAAAATTGAGCGGGAATTAGAAAAGTGTTATTCTAGATTACTGCCTAACACTCGGTATTGACACAGCTTTTATCTGTTGTCTTGTCTATAGCAACTTTGTGTACATCAATGCGTAGGCTTTTAATTTGAAGAGCTTTATGGCACAGTCATATCCGAACGTCTGATAACAGCAAATCAGAGACTTGCAACTGTTCTGAATTAACACAAGTAATAAGCTCTATTACCCGTTTGCAAACGATTTGTTGAGACACACACATAAGCAACGGTTTTCTGTTTGCAGTATAACGATCAAATACGTCTTCATGTGCAGATTTTTGAAAGGATAGGTACGAGCGACACTTACTCTCATTTGAGTGGTCACTTTTCTACTTTCAATACCACTACTTGATGATGTGGCACAATTTCTTTTCTAGAAACACTAGTAACCCAGTGCTGATATAGTAGAAGTTCGCTGTTGTTACTGTTTTTGTACTCAAAGCAAAAAATTATTGGCGGTCTTTCCCGGCTGCAACTCCAGTTATATTTACAAATGTGATCTCTTCGAGTTATAGACATTCAGTTTAAACGTCGGAAACGATATAAAGACTAATTACTATTGCTTGAAAGTTTTTTATGATTATGTACCGGTACAGCGACCCAGACCATAGAGTCGGCAGTCCGGACAAAGCCAATGATGTCAAGTACACAAAAAATGGTTACATTGCAACGGAAATTGTGAGAGTAACCGTAAGGTGGCGAAATACGGATCCTTTACGACCCCATTCAAAGCTAAAAGAAGAAAATGCCGGAAGTTACTTTATATAACAAGTTCGCATAGGATTCATATTGTCTGCTTGTAATAGGCGTTTCGAGTTGGTTTCAAAGGCCAAGAAATGGAAATGGAAGTGAAACTTATTGTAAATGTGGGGTAATATACTACAAGTATAACGTCGCTTCATCGAAGCCTGTCTCAAAAGTGGAATATAAGACATCGACACACTAAAGTTGGACGTTGAGTACCTTAAAAGCAACATGTCGCTGTTGATTCTAGACTATAAGAAGTCTAAATTCACATGTTGCTGAAATGTTTTGCCGTTTGCGTTATGGAAGCGGATTCATGTGAACTTTTTTCTTTTATTTGGCCCGCCGCCCCATTGTCCTCCACAAATACACACTAAGCTTTATGCGGGGAAAGTTACAGGCGGGAGATGAACTAACTCAAGTGGGCGTGCACAGTGACAAAAAAAAAAAAAGACTTCTCCCATAAAAAAAACTCTTAATTGTTACAGTGATAACTTTCTATAAGAAAAAAACTCAAATCTTCTCGCTTTTTTCAACTTTTTTCTTCTCTTTCTACTTACTCCTTTTCTGAGTTGCATTATCTGTATATTTTCTATTAATCATAATGGTCAAAGTAACTGTCTGTGGTGCTGCTGGTGGCATTGGTCAACCTCTTTCTTTATTATTGAAGCAATCACCTTTGATTACTCATTTATCACTTTATGATATCGTAAATACACCTGGTGTTGCTGCCGATTTAAGGTAAAATCTACTTTACCTATTCATAAGAAAAACAAACAAGGACAAATTATAGTTCGTGTAGAAACACTAAAAATTCTCATATTTCGAAACTGAATAAAATAGTCATATTAACACTCAATCAAAGGTTACTGGACATGTTGGAAAGGACCAACTTGAGGAAGCCATCAAGGATTCTGATGTTGGTAAAATATTTTCATTTTTTATTGGTTGGGGCACCGGTCGTTAGATATACTTATCAAATGATCTTTACTGTAGTTGTTATTCCTGCTGGTGTTCCCAGAAAGCCAGGAATGAGCCGTGATGATTTATTCAAGATCAATGCCGGTATTGTTCGCGACCTCGCTGCTGCTGCTGCTAAGTTTGCTCCCAAGGCTTTCATGCTTATCATCTCTAATCCTGTCAACTCTACTGTGCCTATTGTTGCTGAAGTTTTCAAAGCAATGAACGTCTATGACCCCAGAAGGTAAAGTATTTGACCAGTACAGAAATATATCCCCTAATCAATTTGGGTTAGAGAGACGATTTCTTCAGCAATTTGTGGTTGTGTATCAGGTACAGCTCGCTTTTTTCTGTTTGTTTATACTAAACACAAAAAACCTTGTTTCTTTATTTCTTTATAGAATCTTCGGTGTTACTACTTTGGATGTTGTCCGGGCTTCCACCTTTGTCGCAGAACTCATTCAAGCCGATCCCAAATCTCTTCGTGTTCCTGTCGTCGGTGGTCACAGTGGTGTCACTATTTTACCTTTATTGTCTCAAGTCTCTGGCACTGAAAAATTATCTCAGGAACAAATTGAAAAGGTCACCCATCGTATTCAATTCGGTGGTGATGAAGTAGTCAAGGCTAAGGATGGTGCAGGTTCCGCTACCTTGTCTATGGCCCTCGCCGGTGCTCGTTTTACCTTAAACGTCGTTGAAGCTGCTGTAGGTGGTAATCTCAACATTGTAGAATGTACCTATGTTGATTTGGACGCCGATAAGGAAGGTGCCGCTGATACTAAAAAGCTGGTTGGTGAAGATGTAGAATTCTTTTCGGTTCCTGTTCAATTGGGCCCTAACGGTGTTGAAAAGATTTTGCCTATCGGTCAATTGAACAAGTTCGAAGAAGGTTTGTTTGCTTCTGCCGTTCCTGAATTGAAGGGTAACATTGTTAAAGGTTCCAAGTTCATTACTGAAGAACCCAAGTTGTAAAAACAGTTAGATTAGTTTCTCTGAATTACTAAGTATGAAACATATGCTTAAGGATAACCGAAAAAAAAGACCTCTCCAAGCAAAAGCATCATCTACATTTTTAAAGAAATAAACACGTATACCAAACTTTGTGACACTCTACAAGCGATTAAAATGACATAGTAATAGTCGTGTACTTTTGAATTGAGGCTAGAACATAAATCAAAAGAAGGTCTCTATAAGGACTGAATCGTTTATTCTCTATGCTTTCACTTTGTCGTTTATTTCCCGTTCACTTTATTGTCTTCAGATATGGATGACGATGCTAATGAAAGATTATTTGTCGCTGTTGTAAGTGCTTGAATATTTGCTGTGTTGAGATTAATTATAGCCGTTGCTGCATTATTCGGGCTACATTTTAGACCATACAAATAGCCACTATGATATAGCTTTTTGTCAGACAATATGCACTTGTGCTCAATTGTGTCCTTCTTCAAAACTTACAGATATTTCTGATCATCAATATTATCTTCAAAAAACATTTGTCGCATTTTAAAGAATGTTGTACACGTTAATAAACTATCACTTCCTGCTTGATGTTGTGGACCAATCCTTGCCACCTTTTTCCAAAATAGAAGTACTCGATTTAGAATCAATTGTCCTCTTATTAATCGTTCTCATTCTAATGTTCCAACCTGTAAATCATCTGCAATGTCTTGTAAACCACCTTTTAGATTTTTACAACTTTTCATCAGATATTTTATATCATATATACATGGAAAGTAGGTTCGAAGTAGCTCGAAAAACTCTGTCTCATCCGCTGGCATAACTGAGCATGTCAATACTTTCAACAAATAACCAAAGTCGTACCCACTGTTGATATTTTGTCAGTATATCGGTTATGCTTCCAAACTTGTAAAAAAAAAAAAAGTTACAATATCTATCTACCTATGAAATGATATCCATTTTACATCGTCTAATAATACAAATCCTGAGCTGATCAACAATTCACCGAAATGTTCGACATCAATTCCATATTCTTCATGTTTTTTAAAGTCGATGCCAGATTTCGTCAGTAATTCAATGGAATCTTGTGCATACATATCATCACTATTTGTATATTCAGAAAACAAAACGGAAAGTGAGCCAAACTTTTCACATCCTTTTTAGGAAAAGGAATTGACTTGATTGCGAGCAAGGAGCTGAATCACACTGCTATTCATACTGCTATTCACACTACCACTGCTACTTGACGATAAGTCATTTCTCGTTTGTTAAGCACTTACGCTAGACTAAATTTGAAGTTAAACTGCCATGTACACACATTGCTTGGTAGATTCCCATACTGGTCTGCAAAAGTAACTCCCAGTTGAATTATCTTCAGCAGGTCGACGTTACATCTTAATGTCTGGTAGTGATAATCTGATGAAGTTTTAAAAGTACCAATGGGTCTTGCCACGACACCAGGAAATTCTGTATCCTAAGCCCACAACATCAAATTACAATTGCATTAGACGTCGAATTGGTTTCCAATAGAGAATAGAAAGGTCAATGAGAGCTAATAGGTGACAGATTAGACTAACCATAGCTATATATGGATATTCTTCCACTAAATCACGAAGGTAGGTCATTTCTTCTTCTAAGTTCTCGGCCCAGACTTCTTTAATATATTTCGCATCGTTGATTGGCATCTTGTTGTCAAAAAGCTATCGGTTGTAGTATGATACTGAAAGTAGGTTGGTTCGAAGCGTATGTGCGTGCGTTATCAAGAAAAGGAGTCGTTGTAAGGTTGCGTGTCTTTTATGATTGCTGGCGGGTTTTGGTTATAGGAAAATAATGAAAGACTTCTAAGTATTGTTCTTTCTTTTCCTCTTTTCGATCGAAAAAAGCAACTTTGTTAATGAGGAGAAACAGTTAAGAAGAAGTGTTGTAGCAGATGGATTTATACCTTTTTTTTTAACTCCTAAAAAAGTTGCTATGTGTTGCTCTTCATGCGGCGACGTCATTTGGAGTCCGTCGTGTTGCTTCCTGCTCTCCATTCTGTCCCTATTAATTTATGTGAGCGTGTGTATGATTTGTTGACCGTATGCACCCACTATGTATCCAGTAACCTTTGTGTGACTTTACAATGATATCTGATTTATGTAAGATAAGACGTGCCTCTTGCCTGACTTCGTTTGTTGACCTTATTCCAGCAGTCTTTCGAGTTTTTATTTGACTTTTGATCAATATTAAAAGTATACAAGTATAGTATTATATAGGAAATTTGACTGACAAATAAGTGAGTCTGAAATATTTAGTATATTAAATAGTTTTTGATATACAAAAAGTGTACAGTTAGAAAAAGGAGTTCTTATAAGAGAGATAAAATAATAAGGATATGTTAATAATAAGATAAACAGAGAGAGGAGGGCAGGGGTGTGATCTTAAAAAGATGGTTTGGATATTAAGTATGCTGGATAGATGCTCCCTGTGGCGGTGGTTGATTGTCCAACATATAATTGCCAGGAATTAAACCTCTCTGTCCTGTACCCACAGAGCCAATTCTTTCGGCTTCCCACCAACCATCCATTTGCTTACGGATAATGCCTACGATTTCCTCTGTATCAATTGACATTTCACCGTCAATGCTTGCTTGGAACGGCCACTGTGCTTTTGCAAAACCAATAAACCTACTATTTATGACATTATTACCGTTGTTGCTAGGTGTCGAAGGCATGGTGCTTTGTTGCTGTGGCACTCCAAATGTTTGCTGTCCAGCTTGCATTACATTACCGTGGCCACTGCCACTGAAACTGCTTCTGACGTCGTTTTGCGATAATTCACGAGGACCATTCTGATAGAATTGTTGTTGTTGATGGCTCATGGGTCGTTGCAGCTGTTGGTGGTATTGATCTGTAGTGGCTTCTTTCTTTTCTTTTTCCTTCTTTTTATCTTTCTTATTTCCGCCAAAGAATCCCAATGAAAATCTGCCCGTTTTTATACCTGAGCTTTCCTTTTCTTTTTGCTTTGATTGCTTCGCCGGCTTATTTCCTCCCCCTGCTGCTGTTGCTATTGCTCCATTCGTATACGCTTTTCTATCGGGTTCGACAGTGCCATCATCTATTTGATACGAATGTCTCAATTGGGATAGTTGCTGCTGGTGTTGCTGTTGTTGAAGTTGTAATTCTTGCTCTGTAAGCTTCAAAGAAGAGGCACGCGGTCCAAGCATAAGATCCGGTCTCAACTGCATTTGCTGTTGTGCTGGTAGTCCATTCATAGTACTATTGGTATGAAAGTTATTGGCTAGGGGAGGCTGCTGTTGTTGATATGAATCTAACGCACCGAAACCAGAGGCGGCTGCTGCTGCTGTCATATTATTCATCGTCATAGGATCAACTGTATATTCGTCGTGCCAAGGAGCAGGACGAATACCACCATTGTCCGCTTCCATACTATCATGCTGTTGATTTATATAACCATTACTGCCATGCTTCATCAAAGAGTGTTGCTGCTGTTGTGTTGGCGATGAAGCGTATAGATTTTTTTGAACAGGAGACATTTGAGGGTATTTTCTACCTTCTTGCATCACTTGTTGAGCGGTATTCTGTACGTTACTACCGACAACAGAATTTGGAATCTCAATAGTCAAGGGTACGATAGGGCGGTGAGGTTTAGGTTGATGTTGCTGCTGTTGCTGTTCACCATCTTGATGTTGCTGAGAAATATTTTTACTCATAGGTACACTATTGGCAAGCGAAGTCATATTATTGCGAGCAGAAGCAGCTGTACCGTCAAAAACTGTGGCATTTATCGAGCGAACAGGTAATTGCTGAGGTCGACGAATGGAGGAAATAACCCATTTTTCATCCTTCGGTGGTAGTCGAGGCATATGACATCTTTGATATTCTGCATCGTCATCGTCCTCTTCGTCTTCGTCTTCGTTCTCTTTCAGACTGTTCTCATCCAATTTCTTAATGATCGGTATATTGGATAAAATGTTACTGTCGTCTGACAATTCAGGCTTTGGTTGTCCTTTGTCTCCTGAATGCTGGTCTGGACTTGTTTCTTGCCGATTAGTGGTTATCTGCTGAGTCGAAGACTCGGCTACTGCTGTTGTTTCTCCTTCAGTAAGCTGATTGCCCTCTTTCTGCTTATTGTGTGCAAGATAAGCTGGATTGGGGGTAGGAGCGTATTTTTGTGATCTTCCGCCATTGGATGTAATGGAAGGTGCCTTATCATGGGATAAGGATGAATCAAGTTTAGCTGCGATGGGTATTTCGAAATTTATCGTTGCACCACCAGCAGCCGTCGTTGTTATTGCTGACGGTTTTGACTGATGAGCAACAGAAGGGCTTTTTTCTTTGCCTTCTGCTTTAACTTGATCATATTGGCTTGTTCTATCATCTTTAATACCCAAAGCATTGTATATTCCACTAGAAAAGTCATCTGCAATTGATATCGGACGTGAATCACCGGATTGCATTGCCTGCTGCAAGGCTGATAAAGATGGTTGCCGCCCTGATGACGAGCCAATCTCCTGTTGCCCCTTTTCTGCGGCTGTTGAAGGCCCCGGTGGATTACAATGTTGTTCCCGCGTAGGAGCTTCTATTGCTTCTGCTGGTGATACAGGAACGGCAGAAGAAGTACTATTGTTGTGATTTAGCATCTTTTCCACTTCTTTAAACGCAGTGCTTACGAGCCCATTACTCTGATCTGTTAATGTACTTTGTTGTCTCTCATCAATCTTTACATCATCGTCGACTTTGCTGTTCTTTTTGCTATTAGCGTCATTATTGCTAGCATCTCCATTGACTGAAATCTGTTGAGGAGAGGTGGCAAGGTGATTATTCTCATGAATGTCTTGTTCTTTATCCGTACCACAGGCTCCAGAAGTAGCATGCTGCTGTTGAGGATTGTGTTGTATTTCCAATTGTTGTAGTTGTCGATCGATAGATTTCAGTTCTTCATCAGGGTTTGTTAATATAGTTGTGACAAGTGGCTGCGTCTTTGGCAAGATAAAAGAATCAGATGCCGAGCGTGATCCATTTGTGATGTTAATAGGATTGTTGGTATCATGGAGTGAATCTAATGAAGATGTTTGTCGTGGATTAGGTACGGTTAATGATTTATTACTCTCATTGTTGGTATGATGATGTGAAGTTGCTTGTAGTAAAGAAGTTGAAGATTCACTATTGAGTGGTAACTGATAAAGTTGTCCATACGATAACGGCCCTTTGTTCATATGACGAAGAAGGTTAATACCTTTTTTTTTGAATGTGTAACCGTTTTTCACAATTCTTCCATTACCAGGTATTCTATTTCCTGTACCATAACGTTGCACGAAGGTTTGAATATCTTTCTGAACGTCTGTGATCTCTAATGCAGTACGAATACGATCACAGCACTTAAATTGCAAAGTTAGTAACTGTAACGCTTTTCATATTAGCTCTCTTATTAAAGCAGTGTTACCTCTTCATCAATACTGAATGTACTTGTCATCATGTTAGCGAATCTATGAAGTAACAATTGGCAGTATAAGTAACGTAGTAATTCCATAAACTTCAAAGTTTGAAGAACTTTACGACCAAAGTGTGCTTCTAAGGTAACTTATCCTTTTCACCTCCATTTCTTGACAAATATTAGCTACATTGGTCCAATCATTGACCCATGTTTCGTTGCCTGCGTTATAATTGTCTATTGACCTTTTATAAACTTGATCTGCTACGGCTACCATTTTCTTTTGTTCTTCGATTTCCTTTTCAATCTAGGTTTATTGTGAGGACAATGAGTATATAACATGAACGAATCTAGAAATGGTATATACACTTACTCTTAATATTTCATCTGCAGATGCTGGTCTTGTATTACTTTTTATATCTGATAAATATTGTTCCAACGCTATCAATTTATTGCATTCAGAAGAATAGCATTCTTTAGCCTATGTAAAATACCACAAGATTAAAATGAGTCGTTGGAAGCTTAAATAGACAATCATTACAAGGAATCGTCGCTTACTCGTAAAACATCAGCCTGATATAAAGATCGAAATTGTTTTGATTTCTCGATTTGTTGTTGTTGCTAAATGGATATAAATAAAAGGCTCTAGTCATTAGCATTCATAAGTCTTCAAAATGGCTAAGATTATAGACTTACTGCTCTTCTTAAATCTTTTTGATCTCTGACAAATCCGTCCAGCGGTGCCTCAAGGTGATCTTTTAATTGCTGAGCCAAATCGATATGTGCTCTCGCTGTTGTTTCAAGGGCGGAAGGAATCCGTGATAATGTCTCAGCAAATGTGTTTTCTTCGAACTCTCCAATTCTTGAGTTTTGTGCTAGTTTCAAAAGACGTTCACCATAGTCTTGTTCAATGTTGGCTCTAAAAATGATAGTTGGCGTTAAAGCTTCTTTTAGGGTCTTTTGAATTTCTAAGCAAATGGAAATGTTGCCTTCGCATTTACCGAAGTTCATAAATTTTTCTGATCTCTTCACATGTCTCTCTAGATTTTCTTAATCGACTCATAATAATATCCACGCCTTTATTATGGTCATCCTAGAAAGTAAAGTATGAATTGTTACTTTTCCATTCGCTGTTTCATATAAAGTCAAATGTTTTTGCAGAGTTCTCTTCTTGTTCGGTTTCAAGATTACCCAAAAGCCGTCCGAGAAGTTTAAATCTGGAGGTAGCGGATGTTGTGTATGCATTAAACTGGATGCCATATATGAAAAGAATCGTATAACTCTTTCTAATTATAAGTAAAGACTTGATAGTATTATTGTAAAAAAGCCAAGGAGGAAGTAAAAAATAAGAATTGTAAAAAGAGTACAAAAGTAAAAAGGCTGCAGAAAAGCTAAAAATAAAATTCGATTGTTCAACGAAGAGAAAAATTGCTTAGTACTATATCAAGGCGCAAATTCTTCTGTTACTTTCTTTTTAGCTTTGCAAGATGTGAAGAATGATACAAAATATTAGAAAAAGAAAAGACACAGAAAAGAATCTAGCCCTTCCTGCTGTAACAATTGTGATCTCTTGACAGCGGACTTTCATTTACTCAACTCATTTAGCTTATGCTAACTTGATTGATTTGCATCCATATAAAGCAATTGCAGGCGTCTATAGTAAGAGCCTCAGAATGAAAATGAAATAATTTAACTTCTCACAACACTTTTAATGAGCAATTTCAAATTTATAAGCACTCCTGAGGAAAAAAATAGTACTTGTGATATTTGCTTTGATGTACCTGTTCACTGAATTCAAAGTGAACTTCATGATTAAATCAAGCGCCCAACTTGATAACATAGTAAGCACGGGATAAGAGTTAGCGCTTCTTTTTCTTACTAAGCTGACAAAATATTGATTTATCCTTCAGTCATAATAGTAATTGAGCATGAAAATGCTAGACATACAGAAAAGCTGTCACCTTGATGCCGCATTTCGATCCTGCTTGCACGCAACCACAGCTGTACATACAAGTTAGGCATGAGAAACTTTCTGGAATTGTGGAGTGATTGAACTACCTGAGTAAAAGCAAGATTACGATGCTTTATAATTTTTAATTAGGAACGTGGACTCTGAAGCACAGCCTCCAATCGATCACTAAGCTTGCTGGATAGCTTCTGTTACATGCTTCAATAAACCTAATGTCTGGATACTAACAGCTGAAGGGCTGTATTTTAACGACGCAGCATTGCCAATGTGTCCATTAATGCTTCATGAACCGTAAGATAGTTTGCGCGTTTTTTGTTTTCAGAGTTGCTAGTTGATCTATTGTTGCTATAAAAAGCACATATCCATGGTTAAAAAGCTATTGGTAAAACTCAGAACAAACGATGGCTTGAACATTCATGCCTTTATGATCGATGATAGAAAGCCAGATTTAACGGTATTATCAGAGGCGGTGAATAACATATATAGTTAAGTACGCGAACAAAAACTGTTGATGAACGATGAAAACATCATTAGGCAATTATAATTGATCTTTTTTCAACGTGCTGGATAAACATGCCGTATTTACTAACTGTATCATTTCGTGCTCAAGTCGCAGCTTTCGTATATCTTCTCCTTTGACTATCATGCATGTTAATAAAACAACCGATCTACATATCGTAAGTGCTCTATAAACGCTATAACAACTTGAAATTGTTTGTCTCACCTTGTATAGTTTTTAAATGTTTGTCATTAACCGTTCATCCTGATGAACTATATATAAGCGGTGATTGATCACCATTAATTAAACACAGCGTAATTTAATTTCAACAAAATAAACCTTGATAATAGACAACAAACGATAGCATACCTGTAAAATAAAGTGATTATGAATACACTACAGGCTCTGCATTAATACTCTATTTTTGCCGACAAGCTATTGCGGCGGCCTTAAGTTAGATGTTTTTTATACCCAAGCAAAAGTAATGTCATTGGATGCTTTTCGGCCATCTAATATATAACTTTCTCGTTCCTGAAAATTATTTTTGGTTTTTAACGAATCACAAGTAAATTAAATTGACTAAATTTAGACAACGCATATCAGTAGCAAAAGAGTAGCAAAATGATATATTTTCAAACAGGGAGTGAAGCAATGTAGTATTACTCTTAAGTTACAGCCGCCACGAAAGCATTATGAGTATGTATTTATTTTAAGACAATGTGCTGAAAAAATAGCGCATCTTTATTATAAAGAAAGAAAAATATTAGTTGTGGAGCCTGTTTCACAAAGTGCTGTCAGTGTATCGAGCCATTGAACCTCCTTGACATGGGCTTTTAAATGTGTGCTGTGCGTATGTGGAGTACTGAGTATAGTAATTCAAATTGGATATTCTCGTACGACGGTATTGATTTTCATCGAACTAATAGTGAATGGAGTTTTCCCAAATGTAAAATCTTTAATAAATTGAAATTTATAACTGATCACTAGTCATAAGTTCATTTACACGTATAACTTATTCACGATCTGCTATTCAAAAGAAATCAAGATATTTACTGCTACTTATACTTTTGTCAGCATCTTATAAAACTGCATATGGTAGAAGCATAAAAGAAGTTTATTTTTGGTACTCCACACGCAAACGATTGCCCCTCACTTCTTATCTTTGCCCCTTACTTTTTATCGTTTCTGATAGAAATCTGGAACAACTCGTAATTTATGTCATTTAACTTTAAATACCTCTTGTGTGATTCATTTGACGATTTAAATAGATGGTTCTTTTTGGTTGTCTTCTTTCCCTTCCTCCTTCCGAACACTTGCTTCAATAAAATATTATCAAATACACCATTAGTATGGATCAGGCATCTCCGTTACCTTCACCTGTTACGGTTGTCCGTTCGTCATCTTTCAGTCACTTATTGTCCAGCAATAAAAGACGTGGTAGATCAAAAACCGTTACAGAAACGAAAAATAGCCCATCTGATTTGAATACTCAGCTATTTCGACAAGACATACCTCAGCCAACCACAACTACCACCAACATTACGGCAACAACGACCACCGGTGCTTCAAAAAAGCCTTCAATATCTAGACAGAAATCTCTCTCAGAATTAGTCAGTCGTGTAAAGAAATATTCGTTAAGGCACTCTAACAGCATTTCTCGAAAGCATCAGTCAGAGGACTACAAGCAGACCGCAACCACGCCATATCCTTATTCATCCAAAGCCGAGGATTACGACATACTACGAACCATCGGGTCCGGGGCAACTGCCTCCGTCTATTCAGCCATTCATAAGCCTACTGATTCAGTTATTGCTATCAAAACTGTTCAACTGGAAGAAATTGGCTTGGATGATTCACGCTTAGAATCGCTGAGAAAAGAGATACAAATCATGACACTTTGTCGACATCCTCATTTATTGCAAGTCTATCAGAGTTTCGTACACGCATCACAACTTTATATTGTTACACCCGTAATGACTGCCGGCTCTTGTCACGACTTGCTAGCCAGATGTCATAAAGTCGGCTTCACAGAAAATATCGTGGCTTGTATAATTAAGCAAGTCGCTCAGGGTCTAGCTTATCTTCACAGTAATGAGTTGGTGCACAGAGATATCAAATCTGCTAATATGTTGTTAGATTTCGATTCGGGTATCGTTAAATTAGCGGACTTTGGAGTTAGTAATCATCTATTAAGCAATCTTGCCGATATACCGAAACATACGAACTTCTTTCTCAAAAATCACTTGCAAAGCAAGAAACAGCAACAGCAACAGCAACAGCAACATCAACATCAACGCAGTAGTAGTAGTCAATCAGAGTCGGTGTTATCTTCACCTGACAGTACAACAGTTGATGGCATCACAGAAGGTTTTCGGTCCCTTCTGCCAGCACGACACTTGAATTTTCACGCGCCAACATCACCACAACACTCTTCTTCTTTGCTACAAATACCCAATCACAATATACCCAAAAAAGCAAGGAGGTCTTTTGTCGGTACACCTTGTTGGATGGCTCCTGAAATCTTGATGAATCAAGATTACGATACAAAAGTAGATATATGGTCGCTTGGTATTACTTCTATCGAGTTGGCCTGTGGTAAACCTCCTTTTGCTGAATTTGATCCAATAACTGTAAGTGTGTATGGTGGGAAACTGTAACATAAAATAAACCCTATGCTAACAGCGCCTTACCTACTATATAGATCTTCTCCATGATTGTAGACGATCCTCCACCTACTTTATATAGCAATCAATGCCGCTATATCCCCAGTCCAACTATTCAAGACTTCATTGACAAGTGTTTGGACAAGAATCCACAGACTCGTATGTCAGTCAGTGACGTATTAAATCATTCATTCATCAAGAAAGCACAAGGCCCGTCATTACTACAAAAGTACTTTTCAAAAAGACCAGAATTAGATAAACGAAGTTATTTGATGACAAGGTCCAACAGCCATCAGAAAAAAGCCGCATTGCTGCAGCAGGACAAGAACACTACCTACTATAATAGCCATTCATCTTCAAATGGCGACGAGGACGACGAAGATTCTTGGGACGAACTCGAATTCCTACAAACTACTTGGGATTTCAGTGCTTCTACTGCTGAAAAGGATACCACAGCCACTATAACACCTTCTTTTGCACAACAATCAGGTACTGCAACGACAGCTCCTCCACCACTTATTACTCTCAAACCTCCACCTGTACATACGAAATATTTGCAAAGGAAGAGGCGTAGTAGCAGCAGCGGTTCTTCTCATGTTTATTCGCCTATTACGCCGAAAGATAACGACGAACCTACTGCTGACCCTTACTACTGGAATGTCAAACCGACACATCAGGCTAAAAAAGTAACGTTTTTCGGTCAAGATGGACAGAAGCAAAAAGAAAAGAGATCTTTAATGATAACAGAAGATTACTATTATGATCAGTAAAGAATATATATTAACTGTAATTTCGATACCAAAAAGAAGAAATAAGTCTGAAAATATATGTATAAGGTGTATAAAAGTAACATTTTGAGATTATTGAATTATATTTTTAAATAAAAAAAATACATTTGTGCGTGTCAAAAATATAAGAAAGCTTCTTCGTGAAGTATAATTATAAAATAAGTGATGTAAAATATAGAGAGTGTACGATGAAGTATAGAAATGGTCTTTCTTTTTGTCAACGCGTCCTGTTCCGCCCTTTTCCAAAAAAAAAACCAAAAAACTTATTGAGGCGTGATTTGATGCACTTTGACTTGATGAGTCTAGAAGAATGAAATGTTATACATATAAGATATCATTGCGTATATATCCCTATTTTATGGAAAACTCACCTTCAAATTACCACGTTGTGTAAATCCTTTTCCACAATTAGGAAATGCACACATATATGGCTTCACAGGCCAATGAATTTTTTCATGTGTTTTCAAGTTACCCAACTGTGTAAAAGCTTTATCACAGCCCTCATAAGAGCACTACAATCAAAAATGATATACATAGCAACGATCAGCAATAATACCCCATAATAAAAAAAAAAAATTGCTATACTTTACATGGTAGGGCCTTTCACCCGTATGTTTTCTAGAATGAGTTTTTAGGTTACCATATTGTGTAAAGGACTTCCCGCATTCTGCATAAGGACACACCTATAATAGCGAGACAAACCATTATTAGCAAATAAGAATAACCCTCCTTCCCAATAATGATAAACTATTCAAGACCAGTGCTTACATAGGGTCTATTTTGCTGTCTTGTATGTCCTCCACTCTCATCATTATCTGCATGAGTATTGCGTCCATGAACAGTTCTATAATGTAGCGCTCAAATTAATTTCATAAACACGACCTCAACAGCTCAAAAACGTACAGCAAAGATAACCATACCTTTGATGTATCCGCAGACCATTTGGATGCTCAAAATATTCTGAACAACCGGGCTCAGTGCACTGATACATTTTACGCGAGGAGCTGTCATACATTGAAGGTAAAGAGGTAGTGTTAGATGGTTGTTGATAATGCTGTTGTTGTTGGGCAGCAGCCGCAGCCGCAGCCGCATTAACAGTGTTATATGGCAATGCTGTATTATTATTAGTATTATCGATATTATTATTCGTAGTATTCGTAGTCGATGGCTGTGTGGCCTGTTGAGCCATGTTCGTAGTCGTAGTAGGAGGAGGAGGAGGAGGAGTAGGATTAGAAGTAGTAGTGTTATTATGGGTAGTGGATGGCATTGTAGTGGGAATAGGAGAATTCCTGTGTTGATGTTGTTGCCGAGAAGGAGAAGGTATGTGATGCTGTTGCGGTGGAAGAGGCAATGAATGCGGATGTGGTAAATGTTGCTGCTGAGGGTGATGTTGCTGTTGATATATTGGATGAGGTGGGTGGGTAGGCGGAGGCAAACTCGTCATATTACTTGGATGAGGAGCCCTGCTGTAATAAGCGGGAGGAAGAACAGGCTGTTGTTGCTGTTGTTGTGGTTGTTGTTGTTGTGCTCGATAAGGTGATTGCTCGTGTAAGCTAGGTAAATAGCCTCCATTCGGAAATGGGGGACTTGGATGCTGTGTTGGCGGAGGAGGTAATCCACCAGTAGACTGCGAATGTTGTTGTGTATGCTGTTGTTGTTGATGCTGGTGCTGCTGTTGGGAAAGAGGCGGAGGATGTTGATAGGGATTAGGGAAGGACATTTCTTCTGAATCCCAACTGTTTAACTCTTGGTGATTTTTTTTATTGTTCAAATAAAAAATATTCAAAAAAAAAAAAAAAAAAAAAATACCCAATTGTTCTCTAAAGCAAATTAAAAAAAAAATATTTTCTCTTTTTTTTAAAAAATTGTAGGTTTGAGTTTTAAAATTGTTTGTTTGAAAACCAATCAACAATGTTACTGAACACAAAAAAGAAATCCTTCTGGAACCTATCCTTTGCCTTCACGGTGATTTCAACGGCAATAATATTATGACGATTACGTAATTAAGCCTACAGAAGCAAATGTACTATTGATCAATGCAACAAAAAGTATGATTATTGATTGCAATGTATAGAAAAACACAGAGTTGGCATTTCAATTGTACTATCTTTTGAAGGGTTGCTTACTGAGTGCCACGAAGCTCAGCCGTAGGCACATTGATACACTGTAGCATAGATCGTGTAACGTAAAGCTTCCTTTCTCTCCCTCAATTTCAGACGTTCAAATGTCTTCCATTGAAATATTCAACAACTCTCACCGTAAACTTACACCAGCTCATATCACATTTACTGCTGCTCCTTACAATGCAAAACTACAAGTTTCTTCGACAACATGGCTGAACGACAAGATCGCAAAAAAAATAGATGATCAAAAAGGAATTCACTATGTTGCTGAACAGCCAGTAAAGTCAGGAGAAACGCTTTTGAATGAAGAACCTTTTATTCGCCATTTCGAACATGCCGATCGTTTCAAATATTGCAGTTACTGTTTTCGTAGTATTTCAATATGTCTATCGCCTAATGACGACATTGTTGCGTATGACGATTCCGCCAACAATAGCAGTATTGAGAAGACTGACAGCGATAGCTTGATAGAGTGCCGGCGTGGTAAAGACTGCTCTTGGATGCATTCTTATTGTTCTGCAGAGTGCGAAGAACGTAATTGGACAGAGGAAGGCCATAGTTGGCTATGCCGTTTTCCTGAACTTTGCGACGAGGATCCCACTGTATTACTTGCATTAACAGGCTACATTAAAAGCAGATCATTCGGTTATGGTAAAGATTCATGCGATACATTTTCAGGATATGTAATTTATTACGGAATAACATGTATTCCTCGATAGACACGTTACCTGGGCTCGTATCAAATAGAGAAGCAGTTAATACAGAAGACTTGGATAATTACCGAAAGAGTTTTATGAAATTAGCAGCTACTTTTTACCTGTCTGAATATGTCGTTAACAATCTCTTGACGATTTACTTACAGATCAAATGCAATAGTTTCGCGATTAAGGGGTATTCGTCAATAGATGAATTGTATGGTAAAGAGCGCTATATGTTGCCGGAAACATTGGTGCAAAATAGGGATATTATTCATTATGGAAGAGGGATATATTTGCAAGCGAGTCGTCTCAATCACTCATGTAAACCAAATAGTTTGGCTTCTTTTGGCTCAATGGATGAGGAGGAAATGAACTTGTATGGCAGTGACCGTAGTAGTAATCACGGTAGTAATCCTTGTCGGCTGACTGTACATTCTGTGAAAGGAACATCACTGTCTGCTGGTGAAGAAATTACCATCAGTTATGGGCCCTTAGCGACAAGACAAAGTAGATCGGAACGTTTAGCAAAGCTGAGAAATGATTATTATTTTGACTGTCAGTGTACAGCATGCGCAGATACCCAGTCAGTATATCATTGAGTATAGACAGAACCAGCGATCCCAAAATGTGAGGACTCATATAGCCCCTCTATGTTTTGTATTATTAGGCAGGATCCCTTTTTGGATACTATTTATCTTTGCCCGAAGTGCAAAGAAGGTAAAATGTACAAGAACCAAGCACGATGCTTACAATGTGGAGAGAAACCCGACTGGGCAAGCATTGAAAAGGTGCCAATGCATTTTCCATAGTGCAATGAGGGAAGACTGTTCTGCATTACTCACTATTATGAGAATATTTGTTTTAATAGATAGAAAATGACGCTTATCGATTGAAATCAAAGGGTGATTTTGAAACTGCTCTAAAATTACAGAAGAGCATATATCATGGAGATACACTCAATGTTGGTGAAACTCTGGATAAAATTGCACAGCAATATTGCTTGCAAGGACAGTTTGGGAAGGCCTCACAGTATGTTAAACAATCGCTACAAATCATTCAAAAAGTATACGGCAAAACTAGTATAGAAGCTGCGGAAGAAATGATGAAGCTAGCCACATTATACTATAATTCGTAAGTTGATCCTTTAACATTATCGAAAAACTTTTTTTTTTTGCTCATCCAGGTTTCTCTGTCTTTCATGGACAATTATAATACATTTAGTGGGCAAGCAAATGAAGGTTTGAAACACGCCAAAGCGACATTGATTGTCTATAGAATATTAGGCCTAGATAAGACTCAGCCAGGTGATATAGAGGAATTAAAGACAATGATGACATTACTCACATTAAACGCTGCTGCTTTTCGAACTTGAGCATTGAGCAATAAATATAATAACAAAGGCCTGAGGACAACTAACGGACGGCCCTTTCTATCAAAGAATCTGTCCAATTCGGGTACTGCACGCTATGGGATTTGGTATAGCAAGGTATACATGCGTATAATAACAGAAGAGCTTTTCGCAAATATATATGATGGAAGGTTTGTGATACCCCAATACTGTTGCTTTCATATTTAACGTCATTTGGCTCTGATTTGTCCACGTTTGTTGCTGATCTTCACAGCCAATGAGACTACAGCAACTGCATGGGAAACAAGGTACAGCCATTGATGTATACTTATTTCATACCCGTGATGATGATGATGTATTATCAATTTTTCGACTATGCATATTTGTATTATTTCAGCATTCCACTGATATGTGGACTTTTTACTGTTCTTCTAAGTTAACTCGATTCAAGAAAAGTCAAACTTAAACATTTTCAAAACGAAACAAGCTGTTCATTGGGCGTTTCAGATTGATAAATCCTGAAATCTCAACAAAGTAAATATTTTAGGTGTTGTTCGCTAAATCTAGCAAATCTTTGCTTTGAAATACGGTACTTTGAAATGGAATAGAAAGGAGGAAAAAACCCCAAAAAGTGTACGTTCACTGAGAGGTGGGGTTCACCAGCAATTAAGCGTTCGTATTCAGTGGTTTTTTTCAACTACCGAAATATTGCTTGATCTAAAGCAAAATTGTATAAATAGACAGCTTTGATCTTTGATCATATTATAATTTCTTTAGCATTCTTTTTTACCACTCTTTGTGCCATAATTTGATTTTTTAAATGACGAATATATTATCATTATATATAATATACAATTACCTACAGAACTCTATACAAATATTCAGGAAATCGTCGTATTCAATTGTTGAATTCTTGTTGCAACAACAGCAACAATTACAATCAAAGAAGAAGGAAAAGATCACTAATAGCAAAAATGCAACTGTTCATTCGAAACCAATATCGAAGTTGTTTGAGCTTAACCAATGGTTCACTTTTACTGCACTTATGAAATCGAAAGAAGAAGACTTTCACCGTTTGCATATACTCTATCCTTCTCGAAACAAGACCAAAGATATGAATATCGAGTTATTTTTTCCTACAAACAAACAAAATCATGTACCTGCATCAGCAGCAAGAGTTACATCCCTCAAGCATCAATCTCAAACAGTCATGCCTGTCTCTTCAAATTATACCGCACCAAGAGAACCTATTGTTCTTTGTCATGGACTCTATGGGTTTGACCTGAGAGGACCTGAGTCACTACCAGCCTTACAACTGCATTACTGGAGTGGGGTTGAAGAAACGCTTGCCAAACTAGGATGTAAGGTGATTGTGACGAAAGTTCCACAAACTGGAAGTATTTGGGAAAGATCGCACGCTTTGCATGATATCTTGCAAAAAACAATAATTGCAGGAAAGAAAGTAAATTTTGTGGCACATTCAATGGTAAGTCCATTTTTCAGTAACAGCTACATCCATTACATGAGGGACTACTACAGTCAGAATAGGTATCATTAGGTCATATACATATCTACTTATCTAACCAGCTTCTTTCTTTTTTTTTTATCTGTTTCCAATTTAATTATGCTTTATTAAATAGGGTGGGTTAGATTGTCGACATTTGTTAGCCAATATAAAAGATCGACCCTACCGAGTCGAATCTCTAACCACTATCTGTACACCTCACCGTGGCTCACCTATCATGGATTGGTTCAGAGACAATATGGGCCTTGGTCGTCGTCATTGTACAGAATATACCAAATCAAATTATTCTTCTCCTTCCTGGTCACCACAAGCCAACACATCCGTCATGACTTCCAGACAAAATCTTCAACGCCATGCCAATACAACTAATGCCTATACACATTCAAATCCTGCCAACTATATCACTCCTGCAGTAGCTCGACTCCAGGCATGGACGGATAAAGTGATTACAAAATATTTAGACGAGCCGGCCTATGCTCATTTAACTACTGATTTTTGCAACAACTACTTTAATGAAAACACACCAAATGATCCGACAGTTCAATATTACTCTTATGGGGCAGCTGCTCAATCACCTGTATGGTGGTCCTCTATGCTAAGTCTTCCGTGGCAGATGGTGTATGAAAAGGAAGGAGATAATGATGGATTTGTTAGTGTAAAAAGTGCAGCCTGGGGTAATTATGTGAAAACGATTGAAGATGCAGATCATTGGGATTTTACAGGCAAGAGGTAAGTAATTTTCATATATGAGAAATGATTTGCGTATGTGTATTAATCACGCCTATGCCTATTCTTGATTCTCAACAGTTATATTCCCTACCGTTTCAAGTCGAACTCGAAGGATCCGAAAAATAAAGCTTTTGACAAACTCGAATTCTATGCTGAGTTGGCTACACATTTATATCGTCAAGGTCATTAATGGATAAAAAGACAATACCCTAACATCCCATCCTGTTAACAATAAATCATATACCCAATACTTCCATTATATACTGCCAGTACATTTTGAGCCATTTTTTCTCTTGTCTTAACCATTGTCATCGGTTATTGAAAAACAGTTTGCATCTTGCTAATTCTTAGAAACCTTTTCACTCTTTGTATTACTATTTCTTGCAGTTTAATTTCGTATCTACGTTTCGGTACTACTCAATTATATCGCGATCTTGTTTCTGCCACATGCTAAACATGTCAAAATGAGGAGCTATGACTTTTGACGGTGCACCTCGGCTTTTGAATCACGAAAGTTCATAGCCTGTCAGTTTTAAGCAGACGCAATACTGACGCCATAAGTCTACCCTTCTTTGTTTGTGTAACTCGATAAAATATCATTCCAGTCTTGTGAGAATGAGTATATTGTAAAAATACATACTTTAGTTTCAAGCAGAAGCTTCAGAACAGCAAATCGCTTATAATGCAGCCGAGGTAACAATATGTAGCTGCTATAATGAGATTTATACATCATTTAGAAAGTTCCTGTCAGCAGATCCAATACGGAATACCTATTATAATAGGGGCATTCCATTGATACATTACTGCAACTGATCATCGTCAAGTTTTATAGAGTAATAATGGTCATTCTCATACAGTTTATTTCCTGTCATACAGAAACAATTTAATATATCAATTGCTGAATAATTCTAACAAAAATCAAAGAAGTCGGCAGAAGAAATTTTTATGTACGGTTGTTAATGATAATGATAATGGTAGTTTCCTTTTTTTTCTTTTCACAGACTTGATAATAAAGTCGATGATGGTCAATTGGTCTTTGACCATTTCATCATACCTCTTGATACACTTGGCACCAGACACTTAACAAACCATTCCTTTATTCATGGGTCAATGATGGATCTACTATACTCTGTCCAATATAATACCTGAAGTAGGTATGAAACTCTTCTTCAAAAGGGGTCGCAAAAAGAAGAAAAATGAAAAAGGTAAAGAATGTGGTATATAAAAAGGAATGTGGTAAGCAGGAAGGGTATGTGTATTGTATTAATCTATATCAGCAATTCTGTCTTTTTCCACTATTTAGCGCTATTTAACAAGCACATGAGCTACTAGAGGAGAATTTCTGTTGTTGTTGCAATAACTGTACAGAGGAACCCCTTCGAGTAGCACCTACTGCTCTACCACCAGTCGGAGAAGCATATAAGGTATCAGAAGGGATTTTCTGAGCAATGGCAGTAAATACAGAATCTACATTATGAGCTGATTTGGCACTTGTTTCAAAAAATAAAAGGCCTGCTTCATCTGCATAGGCTTGTGCATCTTCTTTAGCGACTTGTCTTTGATTTCTTGTTGTCGCTGTTGCTGCTCCATCCTCTGGCTGTTGCTCCTCTACTTCGTCTTCATCTTCTTCACACAAGTCCACCTTATTACCAACTAATGCAATGACAATATCTGCATTGGCTTGTCTTTGTAATTCTTTTACCCAAGATTTGGCTTTATCTAATGTTGACTATTATCATCCAGTAAGCAAAATATGGAGAAGAATATCTCAAATGTGTCAATGTCGTTAATATAACTTACTGCTTTTGTTATATCATATACGACAATAGCTGCTTGAGAATTGCGATAGTACATAGGTGCCAAAGAGTGGAACCGTTCTTGTCCTGCCGTATCCCAAATCTCAAATTTGATTGTTTTGTCTTGAAAAGTACATTTTTGTGTCAAGAAAGCAGCTATAGTGTAGACATAGATTGAGCTTAAAGCCTGGTTTTACACTTGAAACTCAAACAAAGAGAGTACTTACCTCCAATCGTAGGCTCTCTATTCTCAACATAATCTCGTTGGACAAAACGAAGAACAAGACTCGACTTTCCAACAGCTGATTCACCTTTAAATCACACATAGACAACCGTATGTCAGGAGTTTGCTATCTTTCATAATACTGTATCATCTTACTTTACCTAACAGAACAAGTTTAACATTGATTGGTTTATCATTTGTTAAGGAAAGGTTGGTATTGTTGATGACTGCAGTAGTATCCATGTTGTTCTTTGATGACAATATCTACAACAGAAGAGTGAGGAGGGGTAAAAAATCAGGCAAAGAAGTTTAAAACAAACGAGAAAAAAAGATGAAATAAGAGAATCCTTAAATAAAAAGAAAAAGGGGTGTTGCAAATATATTCATCCTGTTTGGCATAGGTGCAACGTCAACACGTGGTTTCTTTTGAACTGCAAAAAAGGGAAGAGCCACTGATAACAAAGATGTGCACATATTCAATTCTTTCCTATCATTATTATTCTTTTTTTTTTTCTTTAAGAAAAAACTTGGTGTGTATGCTTATAAGTTTGACTGAGTGAATTAGTTTTGAGTGTGTTATTTTTTTTCTTTTGCTGCTGGCTTGAATTTAAAGGTTTAAAAAATTGATTTGGATTTTTTTTGTTAGAAGAACAGTCTTATACCTCTCCCCCCACCCCCCCCCCACTCTCTTTCTCTTTTTATTCCTTACATGAAGGAATAGACAATATTTTCCTTTCAACTAGACTCCTCTTTTACCTCACGCCTTTTTCAGAAAGATGGCTCAAATTTATAAAGCGACATATTCAGGTGTGCCGGTTTATGAATTCGTTTGCAACAATGTCGCCGTTATGAGAAGAAGAGACGATTCCTATTTGAACGCGACACAGATCCTCAAAGTGGCTGAATTCGATAAACCGCAAAGAACTAAAATTCTAGAGAGAGAAGTACAAACCGGACAGCATGAGAAAGTGCAAGGTGGTTATGGCAAATATCAAGGTGAGTGAGTGTAGATCTAGCCTTCTTCTTCGACTTGATCGTCCATTTACAGAAAGAGAACCCAATGGTAGATCTAACTTTTCTAATTGGCTCTACGATAGGTACATGGGTTCCGTTTGAAAGAGGTGTAGCATTAGCGCAGCATTATCAAGTAGACAATTTATTGAGGCCATTATTCGATTTCGTTAAAGGCGATCAAAGTCCACCACTAGCACCGAAACATGTAACAGCAGCATCGAATAGACCTAGAAAGCCACGTTCTACTGAGCCCAAACGAAAAAAAGTGATTATCAAACGATTTGCAGATCCAACGAATAATTTAGGTTTACAGCCTTATTATCATCATCATCAACCTCATTTACCCTATTCCGATATGGCCTATAGCAATTACAATGGTTTACCTTTCAATCTATTACAAGAGTATTCTTCATCCATGATGGCAGCTGGTAGTAGTAATAGTAATAGTAGTGGAAATCAGTCATCTAAAAAACGATCTCGGCAAGAACAAAAACCAGTGAATAACGATGAAGATATGGACATAGATGATTTAGAAAATCATGATTCTCTCTTTCCATTGACAGCAGATCAGAGCTACGCACATCAATTGTTACAATATTTCATTTCCGATGATGCAGCAGTGATACCACACATTTTATTAAATCCGCCCAATGATTTGGACGTCAACGTAATTATTGATGATGAAGGACATACCTCTTTGCATTGGGCAGCTGCTATGGGACGTTTACAGCTCGTTCAAATTCTGATCAACTTGGGAGCAGATATTTATCGTGTGAATTATAAAGGGCAGACGGCCCTCATGCGTTCTGTTCTCTTTACCAACAACTTTGATTCAAAATCATTTCTATTTTTGATTGATATGTTGAAAGGAACGATGTACAATATCGATAAGAAAGATCAGACGGTATTTCACCATGTGGCAGCGACGGCGAGCTGGAAAGGAAAAGTACATGCGTCGCGCTATTATATGGAATGCTTGATTGAATGCATGCGCAAAAACGATTTGGCAACGTTATTAAATGTGCAGGATGTCTATGGCGACACAGCTTTGTCCATTGCAGCGAGGATTGGAAATAAGAAATTAGTACGACTCTTATTAGAAGCAGGAGCCAATGCTGAAATACCGAATGAAGAAGGTATGACAGCGCAAGATTATATAACGGAAGCAGAAAGAAACAATCGATTTCAACCACCAATGCAACCGATGGCAGCGAATGATAGCTCTTCTTCTTCTTTACCTTACCAACAACAGTCTTCTAAAAGTGAAGCAGAGTACAGAAAGGATTTAGCAGCAAGGACAAGATTACGACAAAACATTGAAGGATTGTTCAAAAAGATACTTGTGAATGACCGCGCACAACCACCGCTTGCATCTCATTTATTTGATGGATTCGCAGGGAATTATGAGAGAGAACTGGTGCAAAAAGATCATATTATAAAAGAAAAGAGAAATGAACTGGAAGTGTTACGGAAACGATTGGCTGGAACAAAGCATACACTAGATCAAATCCAGTATGATCCAAGTCGGGTGGAAATTGTACAGAAGGAGAATGAACGACTCTCAAGTCTATTGAGTGAGCTTATGTATAGAGTTCAAAAGGAAAGATTACGAACAGTAAAAGAGGAATGCCTGAACAAGTTAGAGAAAGAGGACGAAAAAGGAAAAAAATCTGCATTTACTAGTGAGGATCTAAATGAAGTAAATGTAGAAGTGGCAGAAACAAATACCAAACAATCTCAACAGACATTATCATCTGAATCCACAAATGATGCTATCACGACAGATCATCCATTTAAAAAGCCCAAAACAACATCAGGAACAGAAAGTCTAGAAATGATTTGTTTATTGGACGAATTGAAGAGCTTACGTGAACTCAGGAAAAAGCGTACAGAAGAACTTGAAAATTTGATAAAGCAGACCCCTAGTAAGAGGCACCAAGAATATAAGAGATTGATTTCCATGTGCTGTAATGTGGCTTACGAAAATGTTGATTTGATGTTATTACCGCTACTATCTTCATTTGACGAGTTGATACGTGCGCCGACACAGCAACAACAGCAGCAACAACAGCAAGAAAATGCATATATTCCCTCATCTACTACCACAACCAGTACGACAACCGCAGCATCCACTCCTATAACGGAAGCAGCCGTAGCACTACAACCACAGCAATCACAACAGCAAGATCAGTCACTATTACAGCAACCGCAAGATAAAGCCCCTTATGCTGCAACATCATCCACGACCCCCATAATAACTGTAGAAAGTCAACGTCATCATCAAACGGAAACGATGGAAACCGATTCTGCGTAAGAAAATCTATTTAAATTATTATATGAATTATTTGAATTGGCCCTTTTTTGTGTGAATAAAAACATCGCAAGAATATAAAAACCATAGAACTCATACATCATGATTGCTCACCTATGCTACAATAATAAGTATTTTCATAATAAATGCTCTTCTATTAAAGACTCTGAGATAGCTACTGATGTGAGTACTTCAATCGCAACCATATCATCTCAAGTGTAAATATTATTTTTTTATATTATTGTGACACACGGTCCTTTTCTGCCCTGGATTTCTTTGACATGATAGAATTGATCTTCCAACAAATGAACACAGAACACTTCAGCAGGTACGCCTCATCCACAGCATGAATTATTTAAAGTCAATTGAGAATGTGTGCAAAATGCAACAAAAAAAAAAAAAAAAACTCAATGTAGCAATGCTGAAGCAGACGGGCATAATGTCTTTAAATAGATAATTTGCGACAAACATGTTGTTGTACACAGCTTATAAATGGGCATAATTATTGCCGATCTATGAATTATTAAGGAACATAAAGCTTATTTTTCACAAGCTTGTTTCCTTTTTAACAATTGTTTAAAGCCGGGGGGACGGGGATGGGGATGGGGGGGAAAAGAAACTGATAGTGGGTGATGAGCATATAATATCAAAATATAATACATATACAAGACTTGAAAAGGCGTATACGAGTAGTAGATCAAATCTATCACAAGGTCAAACCTATTGCTGATAACTGATGTAGAAGCCAGTGGACAGGATTCTTGCATGTGAGTATGCATGAATGTGTGTTTAAGCTTTTAGCTTGTGGTAGCAATCTCTTTAAAATGCATACGGAACAGTTGAATCAGAAAAAGTCTATTGGCCTTAAGGAGAGTTTATATGGATATGCGAGGGGGGGGGAGGGAACCGCTTACATTAGAAATCATAAATAAGCAACACACAGGGATGGACGGAATTCCTATTGCCGAAGGATTTCCACCACATGAGCGTTTACGCCCCATTTTGTGCTATAAGTATATGTTTCCATGTCTAAATGAGGGGGGTACGAGAAGGGAGGAAGCCTCTTTTCCTTTTTTTCTTAACCCCTTATTCTTGTGTTCACATTACAAAAATATACGCTCATCGTACTTCATAGTGAGAAAAGTCAACGAGTATATAAATGCTCTGTCTTCTTCCTCGTTTTTGCATCCCTTTTACTTTATACCTTTATTCTTTCTTTTTCATACAATTTCCTCTATTTTCTTGTTTCGATAACGAGAAAAAGAAGGTGGCTCCTATATACCCTACACCTCCCTTAATAAACACATTGATATAATTTCATTATGGTCATCATAAACAGATTAATACCTAATGGTTTGCTGATTGATAATTTGCGTATTATTGATGTTCTCGGCAAAGGCGCTTATGGACAGGTTTATCTTGCTCGCCATGAAGAAGAGAACAAATTATACGCCATTAAAACTATCCCCTCTACCGCTACTCATCAACTACATCAGCAACCGCAGCAACAGCATAGAGCATCCGTATTGCAGGAAAGAATCGAAATTGGACTACACGCTCGACTCACAGGCCATCCAAACATTATCGAGCTTAAGAGAGTGATTAGAGATCATCATTTAAACTACACACATATTGTTATGGAATACGGTCCTGACGGCGACTTGTTCAGCACCATCACGGAAAGAGATTTGTATGCCGGCAACCATGCCTTGATTAGAAAAGTCTTTCTTCAAATATTGGACGCAGTGAGTTATTGCCATGAAAACGGTGTCTATCATCGAGACTTAAAACCTGAAAATATACTCGTATTCGATGAAGGACGCACGGTCAAATTGGCAGATTTTGGTTTGGCCACAACAAACACAGTATCGCATGACTATGGCTGTGGCAGTACGTTCTATTATTCACCAGAATGTTGTGGTTGTCATGGTAATAGGGATGGATATGCAACAGCACCCAATGACATATGGGCATTAGGCATTATTCTCATCAACTTGGCGACCGGACGAAATGCGTGGGGGTCAGCATCTTTGAAAGATGAGACTTTTCGCGCTTATTTAGCCAACAATAATTTCTTATTGAATATCCTGCCTATCTCAAGAGAACTCAATCGAATCCTTAAAAGAATTTTTTGCATCAATCCTGAACATCGCATTCAGTTGGATGAACTACGAGAACGTATTCGACAATGTAGATACTTCACTCGTACAGCTGAAGTAGATCAATGGGAAGAATCAGTACGAAAAGCAAAATATGAACAGAAAAAATGTATGAAGATCGCTTTACAGCAACAACAACTAGGTTACTTTGATCTTAGGAAACCCATAGACGCTCCCATCACACCTCCTTCTACACCGCCACATATCACCGATAATAGATCTACTTCACCTACTCTATGGCAGCAACGCATTGCTGTAACCACTACAATCACTACTGATGAAAGACCCATTACACCTCCTTGAGAAAACTAACTTACATACACACACTTATATCCAAGATATTCCGTCCTTTACATGATTATGCTCTTTTTTGAATTTATCGAATCACTATACAGCCAAATGTACCCTCTACAAGGTTGACCTTTGTAAGAGGCATTATGTACATATATATCCCTATAAGTTTACCAATACATGATTTTACATATGCTTCTCTCTCTATATCCTCCTGCTTATTTCACTTCTAAGTCTTTAATAAAAATTCTATTCTATCTGTTAAAATAATTTGATCCATTTCATATGAAAGTCATCTGATCCCCACAATTGCTATATTTGGGAAAACCAAGGATTTGCATTTTCTTTTTTTTTTTTTTTTTCTTATAATTTCTCTCCCTTTTCATGTCTTTCTTTATCTCAACTTCTTCCCTTTTTATATATTTCCCAAAGTCCCAAAACCCCATTTCCAAGTACAAAGGCAGTTACATAGTCAGTATCATAGGTTTCACATTATTAGGACACAAAATACAATGGTATCCGATCTTATCAAGACTGTCTTTATTGTACGTCATGGCGAAAGATTAGGTATTCTTTAATTAAAGTTTATCAAAATCATTGTGTCCGTCTGCCCTCAGCTTATTATCATTTCAATACAGATCATATTGATAAATCATGGCAACCTGATCCATCTCAGGGCATTTGGGATCCACCTCTAACTTCAGTGGTAAAAGTGCATCATTCGCGCAGTAACAAATTAACTTTTTAAACTAACTTTTATGCCGTTTTATAAAGGGCTTTGAACAAGCAAAAAGAACTGGTGCAACCCTACGCAATATGACAAAGAAACATAAAGAGGATGATGATCAATCAGCAGCAGCAACATATATTATAATTTATACTTCGCCTTTCCAGCGCTGTATCGATACCTCTCTTGGCTTGATAAGAGGATTCTGTACTTCTAACAAGACAACTGATGATACTGAAGAGGAGTTGTCCTTCACTTTGAAATTAGACTTGGGACTAACGGAATGGATGTCGGAATCATTATTTGAAGAAGGAATCGATTGCTCAGCTTCTCAATTCCTGACTCGTCAGCATGAGAAATTAGCCCGTCAACAAGCCTATACATACTCAGTATCAGCTGCTAGCAGAAATAGCAAGAAATTTATCACTGGAGACATAGATGAATCATTGATACTTCCTCCTGCTCTTCAAATCGATTATGCATATCGAAACCCTAATTTTACTGAACTTGAATTTCCTGAGAACTACAACGATATGATCCAACGATTTGAACAAACAAGGCGTTCATGCTTGAAAAACGCTGCCATTCAACAGCAAGATCATTATTCTTCCATTAAGAGTAGTACCGACAATGTCATTGTCATATTTGTCACGCATGCTGTTGGTGTGAATGCTCTATTAGATGGGTTTCGAAACCAAACAACCATACCACTTGAATCAAAGTATTGCAGTATTTCCTGTCTCCGACGCTTATCATCTTCAACATCTGATTCTACTAGTATGCTCACGTATACCAGTGACCAAAGTGATGTACAAAGTGAAGACGATGAACTGGCAGAATATTACGATGATGGTATTGACGATAGGAGAAAAAGACAAGGATCGCTTGTCCAACAACAACTACAACAATCGCCACATGACCAGACAGCTACACCCACTATTTCTAAAGAGATGTGGTCCATACAATGCACTATGTCGGATTCTCATTTGTCACACTTAACTTCATAACTCATTCAAACATCCTTCTATTTTATTATATCAGTTTCATCGACACATTTTCTTCATTTTCTCATATATCCCATTTCCATTTTTCAAACATTCATCTGCATTCTTTTTATACAACCCTGTCATCTCAATATACGCTATCTTCATTCTATTATACGTACGAGTCTATTTAATTTCAGGTGTTTCATAGCTATCATCTGCCGTAATAAGATCAAGCTGGTGGGGGGGCGTGTTTCTTTTCTTTAAGTTGCAAAAAAATTTATGCCGTGAGCTTTGGGAAAAAGAAGACTTTTTTTTAATTATAGTTTAAATGTTTTCAGAGGTATAATGTGAATTGGATAATATGCACATGCCGTTTAAATTCACGGCCATATTTCAAACGTATTTCTAAGCAGCTCCTGTTGCCCATTTCTTTATCAAAATACTACAGTCGTATTTTAAAACTGCTTCTGCTACTTGAGCAGGTTCTAACATGAGTTTGTTCATTCGAAACTCCTTTGGGCATTTACCAGCTGTATCTATTGGACATACCAATTCGCACAGTTGTAAATTCTCAAAAGCCTACGCCATTGCAAACGCAAGTCAGTGCGATTATCTTTTTAGCAAGACATTGAACATTTGACCTTTAAAATTTACCTTGAAGGCGACAGCCTTTTTGAATAGTTTCACACCGAATCCTCTATTATTTAATTTTGCTTGATTCAATGATTCCTTATACTCTTCATACACCATCTGAAAATTGAATGTTGTGAGATCCTTTTCTAATAATTTTTTCATACTGATGATGAGTAACAGTTCCAATAATGCAATTTCCTTCAACAGCTCAATTTTAGCATCTGCTTTCTGTTCCAGGTTGGACTCTACAAAGTCATTAATGTCAAAGAAAGGTGCCTCTGGTTTCAAATTATGAACAGCTGTAAACTATGTTTTGTTAAAAGGAACGTTGTTCATTGAAATTGTTCAGGCATAGTGTAAAAGCAGAAAATAAAGAACTTACACAGATCTTTTGGAACATACGAATGTCCTTGTTGATATCATAGATACGTCTTACTATACTATTTAATGTAGGCGTTTGAAAGAGATTGTCCAGACTATGGTTGAACGCTTCACTTGCTGCATATTCTTCTGGTAATGTGAGTGTACCTTTGGCGACTTCCAAGAATTGGCCAAAGTTAGAAGAGGGGAATAAGTAAAGCTGTCTATGTGAGAAACGTGATTTAACACGTTTTTCCAACAAATCCAAGGCATCTAATCGGCAAGTTAATCCAATGACGGCTATAGGGTTTTGTGCACTTTGAGCCGCATCAAATAAATTGTACAGCAATGCCTGTTTCGGGTGTTGGGCGAAAAGATCAAATTCGTCCAAGATGAATATAACAGGTAGAGATCCTTTTGTTCCAGCCTTGAGTAGTGACAGTAAATACTCAAAAGAATCTGCAAAGGAACTCTAAACACGACACAGCAAACTTAATCTCTTTTACTTCATATCAACATTAGCTTGAAACACTTCACTTACAAAACTACGCTTTTCTGCTTCAACCTGCTCTGTCAAAGAACGTTGCTGCTCTTCGAACAACTGACGTGAAATCTCGTTTAATGCAAGTCGATCGTTCGTTTCTGTCAGACCATTTAACCTGATGACACAAAATGGTTGCTGCTGCTCCTTCGGATTACTGGAAGATGAAACACTCTGCTGCTGTGTTGCTTGGAGATCGCGAATAACAGATCGAACTAATGCTGATTTTCCTGTACCTCTGTTGCCAATGATGACACAGGAATTGCTTTCACCCGTGGTTACTGTCTGTTTTAGGAGGCTGTACAGCTTGTTGTATTCATTATCGAGTCCATACAGTTTCAGTGGTAGCTCTTTACCGTTTAACCGAGAAAGAAGCAAAGACTTTGCCCTTCGAACATCGAGCAAATGGTTACGATCGGTGGCAATTTTTTTGCATGATCGAGGATCACTTGCTGATCCATCCAGATCGCCCAACGATCGTTTGCACATAGTTATTTACAGTATTTTATTGAAGTGAAACCCTCGAGAACACTTACAAGAGAATCAATGAAACAGAAAAAAAAAAAAAGGACGAAAATTACGAACGGCGGAGTGGGTTCATATGTCCACGCCTCAGGTCTTTCCAAGTCATGTATGTTAGTCTAAATATATATGTTGTATTTTTCTATAAATGCAGAGGATGATCTATTTATGTGAATTACATATTACTCTAGTTAGTAACAGAGATTACTTTACAGAAACCAGTCTCTTGGTCTCTCTCTAATTTAACTCGTCCCTCAGCCAAGTCTGCAACCACCTTTTCAATTTCTTCGAAAGTATCAAAACCAATGTAAGGGATATCATGACGATTACAGTAAGTTACAAGATCTCTACCGTTTCGAGCAAATAAAACATCAGCATTTCTAGCAGCTGAAATATCAGAGACACCGTCACCGCAGAAAACGAAAATGGTGTTCTTGGGTGCCTTTTCACGAGCTCTCTCTAAAGTCTTGGACTTATCATTGCCATAGGGTGTATCATCAATGTACAGAATTTCCCATTTTCTACCCTCGATTTTACCATTGTTCGCAACGATCTCGATGTCATCAGCGTCTTTACCCATATACTTAACAAGTACTTTATGAATAACAGGCCTCATACCACTATACAAATCAAAACTCTCTTTTGTCAGTCATAGTCCCTTTGTCCTTATGCCCTGTATTGGTAGCGATCCAAACGTACCTACTAACAACTGTAATGGGGAAACCTTTCTTCTTACAATATTCATAGAATCCAGGGAATCCAGGATCCACTCTACATTCTATTATGAGAAAGCCAATAATGTTAAAAATGTTTTTCGTTCCTTTCTTAGCCCAGTAACCAAAGTTGATATATTACTGTTCAAGTATTCATCCCAAGCTTCTTCCCAAGTTAACGTAACGTTATCCCACATCTCGTAAACAGCATCTCTGTAGGCTATTTCGTGATTTAAAATCTTCTCCTCGAGATGTTTCCTCTTTTCAGTACCCATACAGCGAGGATCATCAATCAATAAGACGCCAGTGTCTAGAAGCCAAACTTGTGAGCAGAAAATACGGCAAATTACAATACTCCAATGAACCCATCTTTGTACCTTCCATTGATAATGTGCCGTCAAAATCTGTAAAAACCTCAATATTCATCTTGCTATCGTTCGACACCATGGTGATGAAAAGTATCTGAAAAGGAATAAGGAGAGGTCAAGCGGCATATGAAGGACAACCCTTTTTAAGCGTCTTACGGAAAGAGCGGGCAAAATTCTTTTTTTTTATTTTTTTTTTTTTTTTGGTGTCAAAATCATGGCAGGACTTTTATTGATTGGTTGATCGTTTTTTACAAATTACGGATAGCGAAAATAAACATTTGACAGTTGTAATAATAACCTAATTGGCTGTGCTTGATAGTAGTCGAGCCTCCGTTTGAAAGATGATGTTAAAACCCAAGAGGGACCAACGAGTGTTGACAAAATGGCAACGCAAAATGCCTTTTTCAAATACTCAACTCGAAGAAACTTTTCTCTGCAGGCAGGTATGTTCTACTGTATGGTTTGCAAAGCGTTCGAATGATATGCTAATATAAGTGTAGCATGCCAAGCGATAATTTTATAAAATTCAAAGAATTATTACGAATATGAGTGATCTTCTTCGATAAGATGAAAGGCTTATACCATTGAGTTGTACCTGGCAATTACGAGTAACTATAAGACACGTTCGGTAGTGTCAGAAGCCGGAAAAGAGCTTGGTTCGGCGTTAATCAATGGTGTTTAGCGAAAAGAACCCAATGGATTAGATTCTGTATAAGCAGAGGCATTATCTTTTTCAGCTTTGGATAGTCTTAGAAATACATTTACTTCATAGTATAAAAGTGCTGATTGACGAAGTACCATAGTAAAACGGTACGGGAGAGAAAGTTTTTTAGAAGCCTATCAATATCCAAGAATAGAGGGACGATGGACGTAGGGGAGCGTTAAAAGCGTTAAAAGATAAATCAGTGATTCAGCGGCTACGTCATGATGAGAAAGTTTCATCAAATGAGAAGAAAGTGGAACGTATTGGGTAGTAGACAAAAGAACGAACTATAATCGGTAAGTAACAGAATCTACAACAACGAGAAATGCCCGGTAATGATGAGACACGACCTGTTGCCGAAGGAAAATGCAAAAGGCATTGACTGTAGACTAAATCGAGAATCGAGAGTTGTTTGTGGGGTTTACCATCTTAACAACCAAAGTGTTTAGGTGAGCATAAACAATTCCAAAATGGAGCATGTCAAAAAGGAACACCAAGGAACGGACAATACTGTTTATTTACAAGCACAGCTACAACGCGTACTATTTCTTACGATTTATCTGGAACCAAAAAATTGACAGCCAAGGATGTACCTTGCACCGGCTAGGCAGGTATTTTAGAAAATTGCAATGGCGAACGATTTTCAGTTCAACGGAGGCTTACAATTGTTGCAGTTGGCCATATGCCAAAAATACTGAAGAACCTCGATATCTTACAGCTGGTGAACGTTTAGCCGTACGAAAGGTGTCAGATTCTGTATTAGGCAAAGTTAACCCAAGCTCTATGTTTACTACCGAGAGAGAGAAACAAACTCTGTTATGAACAGATTTACTTGAGCATTACTAAACCTCGCTACACAACGCAGACTATTCCAAATCATCTGTATAGCCCAAAGTTTAAAATGAGGTGTATTTCTCCAATTGAACTAAGGCTGAGGTTTTACGCGTATAATAAGGCCCAGGATAAGTGTTACAATTCTTGGAAATATTTCTCTCCAGGGTGTTATTAATATATCTGAGAAAAACCAATAACCATTGCTGTTAAGAAGAAGTAGACCACTAATGGTTCCCTCATCGAAACAACCGCAAGGGTGGGTAATAGAACAGAGCGTCTACTACCTTAACAATGTAATGGATGTACTTGATAAAAAACAACTTGAAGGGTTCTATATTGCTATAGTTACTGCTTCTATTCATAGCTCTTCCATTCTTATAGCCAGTTTTGAGAAGGAGGCTATAAACGCGTCTATCTATTTGTGTAATTTCCTTTCCTTGACTGCACAGAAAAATTCTGATCAAAGGTCAATTTTGGTGTGAAGAGACTGCCTTCTGATAAGGAGGTACTCTTACTCCAAGTATTGTTGAAGCGGTATCAAGATTGTAAGGGGTAACTACAGCATGGTGTAAACTTTTCCAATATGTCTGGACGTAGAACAACATCTTGATAAAGACTGTCATTTTCAAATCCAAACATCTGCTGTCAAAACTGCTACAAACTCAGTAATCGGCGTAAGCCAATTTTTTGTTAAATTTTAATGTAAGCCATGATCTTCAGACAATAAAAGAGAGGTCACAATTTTTTTCATTTTATAACCGATCAAAAAAAGAAAGAAAAAAACTTGGTAAATTGTTGTCTATCAAGCTGTAAATAGCTGTATTTACTGCTTCTTATTACAATCATAACATTGGTTTCTACTCCCAAAAAACAGCAACAGCTAGAATAGAATGCGCAACCTTGTCGTTTTGGGAGGTTCCTCACACCCCGAGTTCACAGAACAAATTTGCAACCGATTAGGCATTTCACCTGGACAAGTGAATCTTGGCAAATTTTCCAACAATGAAACGAGCGTTGTCATGAAGGAATCTGTTCGTGAGCAAGACGTCTATATCATTCAAAGCGCTTGCGGCAACGTGAATGATAATTTTATTGAATTGCTGATTATGATCAACGCTTGTAAAATTGCCTCAGCAAAACGTATTACAGCCGTCATTCCAAATTTTCCTTATTCTAGACAGTCCGATGTGCCCTATAAGACCTCTGGTGCACCACTAACATTTCCTGCCAGTTCGGGTATTTCCACACCTATATCTGAACAGCCTTTCCCGTTAGAAACAACAGCAACAACAACATCGACCAATTCGTCAGATCAACAAGACAGAAAAAAGAGAGATAATGCACCTTATAGACAATGGCGTGCACGACCTGGTGTATTAATAGCTGATCTTTTAACAGCTGCTGGTAATTTTTTTTTTTTTTTTTTTTTTCCTTTTTGTATATACCAGAGAATGTTATTCGATCATTTTTGTTAATTTTTACTTCTGTCGCATTTGTACATACGTACTCCAGGTGTGGATCATATTATCACAATGGATCTTCATGATCCACAATTCTCTGGTTTCTTTGATTGTCCCGTTGATAACCTTACCAGTCTTTCTACAGTCATCAATTATATTCGCTTAGATGTACCCAACTATGAAAAGGCAATCATTGTGTCTCCTGACGCTGGCGGGGCCAAAAGGTTAGCTTATGTTTGAATCATAATCGTCATGGAGTATCCAAGTTGAATTGAGAATCTTAACTTATAATCTGTTGTTTGTATCTAGAGCAGCATCTATTGCTGAGAAGCTTTGCATGGATTTCGCATTAGTACATAAAGAGAGACCAAAAGTACATTCTCAAAAGAGAGAATCGATTCTTGTAGGTGATGTTCGAGGACGTGATTGTATTTTGATAGACGATATTACAGATACTGCCTATACAATTACGAAAGCAGCACGTTTGTTAAGAGAGAAAGGAGCAAAAAAGATTTCAGCCATCGTCAGCCATGCTATCCTCTCAGCTGATGCTATTAAACATCTTGAACAAAGTGCTATTGATGAATTGATTGCTAGTAATTCAGTACCTCACGCTCAACATAGTAACAACAGTTCAAAGTTGAAGGTTTTCGACGTAACAAGGTTGTTCTCTGAAGCAATTCGTCGTACTCACTTTGGTGAATCATTATCAAAACTCTTTGAAGCCTAATGGGGTTGTCAAAGTGGTGGTAGCTGTAGCATATAAGGTTTATTATAGACCCCTAATCGATAGATATTTCACCTTTTTTGTACATTACATTATAATTCAATCATTTACCTTGCAAATATTAGAAAAATTCTACATGATGTGCAAACATTGTATGGCATTTGATGTCAATCAGAATATGGCTATGGTGGTATTGATTATGCGTTAAATATAAATAACATTTTCTAAATAGACAGACCTTAAGATGTCAACATAATGGATCAAGTTTATGAGAAGTGGATATGTTAGATAAGGAAGAGGTGAATAGCAGCGGAAGGTACTTATCAAAGAGGTCAATTATACAAACTTTACAAAAGGCAGATTGTGATACGATTCTCTGCATAACTTGAAAATCTTTCAGACCTATAAGCGTCGAAACTGAAACTCGAATAAGGGTTGTTGGAGGTTTGGCAAGGTGAAGGAATAAAATGCGTGAGTGAACATGGTCAAAGGGCGATATCAAACACAAAGCTATCAGTAATAATCACAGGATTATCACACCAATGAAAACTCTGAAATTCTTCCATCATTTCAACGAAAGCAAAAAGAAGGTCCTTTTATCCAACAATAATCGAAACATACAAAGTACCATTTAGCTTCACTTTAAGCATTGCAATGTACTTCACAGTGGTTAATTTTGGTTTGGTTGTTAGAATAATAGCTCATCCTTTTTTTTTCTTTTTTTTTTTTTTTTTTCTGCAGCGAACAACATGGATCTTCCATTGTACGTTTTGTTGACTCTTTCAACAACATAGTTTGCTTTCTTACTCTATTTTTCCTATAAATACTTTTGTAATCTTTTTCCGTTTGATTCATCTATTTCTAAAAAGTCTCTATCTTATATATAGCTGAACTTCATTTTGTTTATTTTACATTATTTATCATCTGAGCTCCACTTTTAGTATCTTATACTTGGTAAGTCCCTCCGTTGTGTGAAAGATAAGGCGGGAGGAATTTTCAATGAATTACTATTATTGAAACGGCAAAGCAATCTGTTCTTGTGATACAATCTATTGTTACAATTAAAAGTGTCTCTAAAAGTGCTACACAGAATTATCAGTTGCAAATTTATTTTTTCCATTGTTCTTCTGCTACATATCTCTTTTTTTTTTACTACTACAAAAACCGATATAGTTGAGCAATCAAATTAAACAGCTATTCCAGTTTACGAAATTAGTACATTTACTATGGTGACTTACAAAAAGATTGTAAAATATGATGTCGTATATACTCATAACAAATCAAGACTTTCTAAATACTAAGTAACCCTTTTTTTATTGCAATCCTTCTTCAAAAAGACCAAACGAATAACAGAAACTCGATGGTCAAAATCATATATTACAGTGGCATTACTACAATGTTTATTCATCGTAGTGTTGCAAGCAGCAATTTGTTTAGAGAATACTCAACAAGCCAATCTTTTACCAGATTACGATACAAATGTTCTACTGTCAACAACCACCAATACAGATACAATACCGATACGGGCTAAAGATAGACTCGGTAGAATAAAATGGGAAAATATAGCCTTTATTGGGTTTCAAGTATGGTTTTTCGGCATGGCTGTGGATGCTGTAAGTACTGCTCAAGTTAATCGATTTATTGATATGATTTTGCTAATTGTACATGGCGGGAAAAAGACAGTGTACCAAAATACAGCAGAGATCCTCATATTAGCAGTTTTAAATTGTTTATGTGCAATCATGGGCGCTTTGCAAGTGGTAGACGGCAATAAATGGTTGAATGCCCTGAAACAGACGAATTTTGCCTACTGGCCCTTAGTGAATGCAGAGAAAATGGAAATAGCATTATCTGTTATCATCTTAGCGTTTGCTGTCGGTATGTCATTTCTCAGTTTCAAAATGTCGAAACAGTTTGGTTGGAATATATATAAAAAGATTGGTGCCGACGTAAGGATACAAAGTAGTGTATACAACTTACTATGTATTTTCTGATTAGAAGAATAAGTAAACAATTGCAAATAGACTGACACAGCGTTATTTTCAATTTATTGCTCGGATAGAGATGTATCGAGTTTTCCAATTCTTTGTGCTCGCTCTGAAAATCGATATATTCACAGAATTTTTAGTGTCCATCTTTTATTTGATTCAATTTGCGATAAAAATGAATGGCTCTGAATGGATTACCTGGGTTCAATTGGCTGTTACAATACTAATGCTTCCAATGCTGTATTTTGCTAGAACAGCAGGAAGCACAGAAAGTATAGGCAGGATGATTATCTTTATTACTTTTCAAGGAATCGTAATCGTTCACTTCGCTCTGGTCTTGCAACAGACGTTTCAGCCGAACAATAATTGGTATACTTGGATAGTTTTCAGTAAGCAGCTCGTTTGATACTTAGAATTTTATTATAATGAAAAAGATTAATTATCTAATCCTACCATTGCTTGATGATTCTTTAGTATGGATCGGTATTGCCATAGTTTTAGCAACTGTAGTGTTGGGCATGATGGTTTTAAAAAATTTCAACCAAGGATTGAAACCTTTTGTACAAAGAGGTGCTGCCAATAAGCGTAGGCATTATGATGTTGAGCTGAATAAGGCCAGCAGAGATGATGCGTGGCAGATTGATGATAGTTAGTTCTATACATAATTCATAATTGAAGCTTTTTTCTTTTTTCTTTTTTCTTAATGACAAATACCCCTTTTTTTATACTTTTACACGCAATTTTATTTAAAATAGATGCTTATAAAGCAAGCATTATTAATTGTAGTAGAAAGATCAAATGAGTAGAGATAAAGTAATAAAATATGGTAGTCTTCAGGCTATGCAATAACTTTGCATTTAAGCAAAAGGAGGAAATACTTTAGCAGGAATACCAGTAGAGCTTGAAGCACTCACTGCCGAGCTTTGAGTTGGAGCGGCATAGTCACTCATCACTGGAGAAGACCGAGTGGTGATATATTGAACGTTACTGCTATTGTTGATATTGCTGTGATTGGCAACTTCACTATAATTGTTGTTGTTATGACTAGGAGCTGGGCTTGAGGTAGTAGCGCTCTTGATAGCCAGTAGTTGGTTGGCACGAAAAGTTTCATAATGAATCATGGCGGTGGTTTCGATCAGATCTTGTAAGTGTGTTCTCGTCAGGAAATTTCGAAGATGGATAAATTCGCAGTGATCCGGATCTTCAACCAAGACCGTTCCCCATCTGCTTTGACGTCCAATATAAGATTTACCATCGACAACTACTTGCTTTTCAGATCCTACTACAGCAAAAGGGAGTAATTCCTAAGAAGTATTGGCATCAGCTAAAACTCTATACCAGATGTTGGTGGATCGCATTTGTTTCTTACCCTCACACTTTTATTCAAAGCACGCTCCTCTTCATCATAGTCCTCCTCATTGTCGTAAGGATATAAGTGAATATTATTATTTGCTAATTCTTCATTAATCTACATATTGACAATTTGAATCCGGAATGGTAAGCAATACGTATAAATACACGCTTTTGTATCTGTGAGTCTTAGCTTTACTCTTTGTTTGAATGCAGCACGTTCTTCAGGAGTTTGTGAGTCGGCTTTAGCAATAACGGGTATAACATTCACAACTTCCACCAACTTCTTCAATACAATGATATCAATTGGTTTCAATCTATTTTTGTTGTTGTTGTTTTTCGTTGTATATAGATACACAAGGCGGCTATTAGTAGAAGAATGCATGGATCCTATTTGTACAATACTTACGAATGGCCAGAGGGGGTGATAAAATAAAGACAACAGTGCACTCTATTGTCTTGAATTGTTTTCTCTCTTTGAGCCGTTAATTCTTTACGTAAATATGCTGAATGCTGATCTTTAATGTATTTAACAATAGGTTCCCAACTGTAAATGTGAAAAGCCAAATATAAACATGAGGTCGATGTTGACAACATATTTGAAATTGCTTTTTAAAATTTTACCAGTCATCGTTATTGATCTGGTCGCCGTAACCTGGTGTGTCAATGATGTTTAATCTTAGACGAACGCCATTTTCTTCAATATCTAGTTCACGATATCATTCCAGGGATGAAGAAGTAAGCATATTAGCGATAAACCCATTTCAACGACTACAAAAGTTATCTGATCTAGTTTTTAAACCGACACTTACTGTGAGAGACGGATTCGATCTTGGTCGTTTGACGTTTTTGATACTGTTCTGCTGATTTACGCCCTTTGCTATCTATAAGATGCGATGCAAATAAAGTATTGACAAGCGTTGATTTTCCCAAACCGGTTTGACCTATAGTAAATCATTTTACAGATAGGCATTCTTTAGTACGTTAGATTGATCATTACAGCAGAGCTTCCTTTATTATTTACCAACCACCATCACATTGAGCTGAAAGCCTCTTTTGAGAGACTTCTTCTCAATTTGCTGAGTGATAGTGTCAAAGCCGACATAAGCATTCAAAGGTGTAAACTATACCATCAATAATATGGAAGTTTAGTCTACTATAACATTTCCAGCTTTCCTCATTAAGATGATCTGGGATTTACTTGTTGGGTCGTTGCTGCCATGTCAATTGTGAAATTCAAAGGAAAGCGAAGGAAAGAAAAGGAAAAAAATGTACAATATTATCGAAGACCAAATGGTTCTTTTCAATTCAAACAGCCTTCTTGCTGGATTTGAAGATGCAATGAGCATGCAATTTGATCTGGGATAAAACGAGATTGCTCACTTAGGAAAGGCTGTTACACAATTTTAATTCAATCAATATCAGATATACAGGTTGTCAGCAGTAACTATAAAATAAACTGTCTACGTAGGAAGTCTTCATAAAGCATCCATGCAATATCTGTTTATCAGAAATTAGTCATTCTTTGACAGTGACAAAAAGGTTGAAATGCATGCAACAAACGGAATAAACATCGACTTCTAAATAAAGACATTTTAATAACTGACATTAAATTCATACACGTAGGGAAAATGGTGCCTGAATATGATTGAGTAAAAAAATGCTACATAATGGAAGACCCGTTTGAAGCGTCCGAATATTGATCCAACTGTTATAAGAGAAAAAGCGGAAAGGTCAGTTCGAAGTGTCACTGCAACAGACTACTTTTATTTGTTGTTGTTACAAGCTATACTTACATTTAAAGTCATCGTTTTACTAGAATTTACCTCTTGATCACGGTAAATACCCACTAAACTCTTTGCCTTTTCATATAATGTATGCTTCAGCGATATGACGATAAATTGGAAAGCCGCATTTGCATTTGCTCGGATATAATTAGCAACAGTTGCTACATTGTTGTTATCTAGTGCAGCATCGACTTCATCCAACACGAAGAAGGGAGAAGGTTGATAGCTATGAATAGCAAATAGTAAAGCAAGTGCTGCTACACTCTTTTCGCCGCCAGAAAGTTGCTCCATGTCTCTAAATCGCTTCATAGGCGGCATGGCGTGATATTTGATGCCTTGAAGATACGGTTCATCAGTGTCTTCCGCTGTCAAGTAGGCTGTACCACCCATAGGATGTGGCGTACTTTTCGTGAGATCCTTATACACTGTATCAATTTTTTCTGATATATGGCTGAAGGCATCATAGAACTTGGAATATCTAAAAGGATTTAAACAAATCAAATAAGTATAGCATTCAAACCCACCTCCTATGTATCTCATGAATTACCTTTGCTGTTTAATTGCGTTGAATTGTTCTCGTGCTCGTTTAGCGGTTTGTCTGGCACTGTTGAATTCCTGTTCTACAACTCTCATTCTTTCAGTTACACCTTCCAATCGATCAATAGCCTTCATATTGGGTGCCATTTGTTCAATTTCGTTAGTATACTTTTTGATTTCGTCTTGGAATTCTCGATCCATAGCAGGTGTATCGTTATTTCTTTGCACTTCACCCACTTGTGAGTAGTCAACTTCAACCTCCCAATCCGTTGAATGGATGGATAGTTGCGATGGTCCATCAAGGTCCATACTACTACTGTCTTCGCCTGACACACTATCTCCTGCCACTGATGATGCCTCTGAAACAGATGTTGAATCAGTCATATCTGTATCGGCACCAAGAGAAGGTGCGCCGCTGGTTCTGGTATCTTCAATAATGATATCGTCCATAGTGCCACGGCTTAAAGGTAATTCAATGCCTTCTAGCTTGCATTTTCTGAATATAGCCACGCGTTCCGCACGAATCTTATCGATTTCACTCTCAACCGCTCGACACTCTCGCAAGATTTCATCGACATCTTTACCCTTGGCTTCCAGAGCACGAGCGATTTCATTGATTTCTGTTTGTTTTGACTCTTCCAGCTGGATTTGCTTCTGCAGTTCATTTTGATATGTAACGAGTTGATTATTGAGAGTCTCTGTTTTCCCTGCCATACCGGCCAAATCATTTTCCAATTTGACTTTAGCCGTTGTATCGTTCTTCAACATACTTTCCAATTTTCGTAAGCGTTCAATTAATTCACCCAATTGATCTTGCTCGAATGCGAGTTGAGTTTCCAAACGTGATTTTTGTGCAGCGAATTGAGCACGGCGTTCAGTAACTTCATCAGACACACCGTACTGCATAGCTTCGTACTCACGAATATTAGCAACGTTGATCTGCATACAGAAATCTTCAAATACATAGTCTTCTACTTGAGCAATTTGCGCTTCGACTTTTTTAATCTTGTTATCCAATTCTTCCAAGGCAGTCTTGGATTCTTCATAAGGTCTGTAAGAGCCCGATGACTTCTTTCGAATATCTTCCAAACTACTTTCATAGCCTTGAATTCTTTTATCGAGAGTAGTCTAAAATATCAAACGACAAGGGCCGTAAGCATATACACATGGCAATCAACGAAAAATAGAGTTGGCTTGCCAATTTTACCAGTTCATCTTTGAAAAATTGTAATTGATTTGACAAGTTAAAGCAATCATTTCTAGCAGAATCTTCGGCACTGCCTAAACGTTTGTTTCTGCTGATATGGTTCAATTCGGCCAAGTATTTATCTCTTGCAAGCGTTAATTCTATAATTATCAATGACAAAAAAGGAGGGGTTGAGCGACTTATTTGGATTTCTTCAGTCATCAATAAAGTTTACCTTGAATTTCGCTTTGTTGCCATCTTTTAGTCGTTTGGGTACTGCTTTGACCACCTGTCATGAGACCATTTTGGTGAATAACAGCACCATTCAATGTTACTGCTCTAACATTTTCATTCATTTCAAAGCAAATCTGCTTGGCAATGTTCAGATTATCACAAATTAAAGTGCTGCCTGTAGCGTATTGAATTACAGTTTCGTATTGTTTATCAAACTTGATGACATCGTAGGCCATGCGAGCCCCTCGAGCAATATTGCGATAACGGTCAACAATGGGTGGTACGGATAGTGAGTTGATAGGCAAGAATGTAGCTGTGCCGATATGCTGTTCTCTCATATATTGGATGCAGTCAGCAGCCGTTTGCTCATCATCTACCACAATGGCATCCATATTCCTTCCCAAAACGGTAGCTACTGCTGTATCGTATTTACGTTGGCTAGGACGGCACAGATCAGCTAATTTGCCGTGCACGCCTGGGTAAATTTGCTTTAGGACAGATACACTTTCGTTAAATTTGGTATCTTTTTCTGATTCTGACTGCGTTACACTAGCTTCCATCAGTTTGTTCAGTGTATCTTGAAGTAATTCATTTAATTCAGTTTCACGTTGATGAGTGCGAATGCGCTCCTCTTCAAGCTGTTTAAGCTCTTGTTGACGCACATTTAATTGCTCATTGATGTTCTCAGCATTAGTAATGAAGGCTGCTTTTTCTTCGTTTGCTTGGCGAAGATTGTCTGACATACTGGTCTCATCCTCACGAAGTCGGTCAATCTTTGCTTTCTTATCATCAAGTATTTGTTTTTCTGTCTTGTATTGACGCTGATATTGCTGCAACATCTGCTGCTCTTCGAAGGCTTTCATACTTACTTCCTGCTTTCGTTTTTCGTAATCTGCCAATTGGCTGGAAGTGAGCGTTATTCCGTTGGATAATATCTTGGGCACGGAAGCTGATGGGTGTATATGTTAGCTGGGATACATTATTGATGTTTTCCTGAAAGAACACCTTACCATTGAATTCCTCTTCAGCATATTTAACCATTTGTGCTTCTTTGTCTAGTGATGCAACGACTTGTTCTTGTTCAATACCGTCACGCTTTACTCTCTCGATACTTTGTTCCGTTTGTTTGATTTTTTTCTCCAACTGGGATATTTTTTCTCGATAGTTGATGGATGTAGGAAGCTACAGAATATCACAGGATGAGAATTTAAAAGCTAATGTAGTCGAGCAATCAAAAGCAATTGTTGTTTACCTGATCATCCAATTCTCTGTTGATCTTACGTATATGAAGTTCACATTTGATTTTCTCTCTGTGAATCAAGGCTTTATCCTCTCTCGCCTTTCTGAAGCTGTTTTCCAGTCCTTCGACTTCAAATTGAAGATCATCTCTGTTCGAATTTTTTGTATGACTTTGATTTTCTAAATTCTTTGCCTTCTCATCAATATGATACAGTTTCCAGAGCAAATATTGAACTACAAGGCTACGTCTATCGGCAATAAGCTTTTCAAATCTTTCCGCTTCGGCCTTTTGTTCTTCATATTGTTTGATTTCAGATGCCATTTGACGTTTCTTATTCATAGCATGGCCACTATTTTCAATTGCTTCCTCCATTTTTTGTTTCATTTCCTCATAGCTATCCTTAAATTCCCAAGATCTAATTTTGTAGGAGTTGTCATTCTAAGTAAATTTGATAAACGAAAATGCTATGTTTGCAGCTTTTTGCTTCAGACATTTACCCACTAATCTGTTCTATCAAGCGTGTCAAGTCCTTGGGATCTTGACTGGCCACTAATTCAACATCACCTTGAAATACTAGAAAATTCTTTGCTTTTACAAGAATATTTCTTCTTTCAAGGGCAGTATTGTAGTCGGAATAAGGCACCACTTTATTATCAATGCTATAGTCTGAATGTCCACTCTGGTTGATACTACGCTTAAAACGAACTTGTCGGCCATTATCATCTTCATAAACAGCTGTAACAGAAGCAGTTCTAGCTGCACGTCGGTTTCTGGAACTGGAACCAGCATTATTGTCGTCTTCTTCAGTTCTCATAGCTTCTGATCGATAAATCATGTCTTTTAAATTTTGTGAACGTAGATGACTGGAATGGACACCAAGAACAAACGAAATGGCGTCCATCAGGTTGGATTTTCCTATTCATGCATCGAAGGGAGTTATCAATGTGAGTTCACATCGTTGCTACCATTCTACAAGGAACGCTATGAATCTTACCAGAACCATTAGGACCAATGACACTGGTGAATTCGTTAAAAGGGCCGATAGTTTGTTTGCCTTTATAAGACTTGAAGTCTTCTACTTCGATACATACAAGTCTACCCATGTTGCCTTTTCTATTTATTTTGGGAGCGTTTCGCGAAAAGTGAAAAGTTGTTGGTCGCGTATAAAAAAGGGACCAAAAAACAACAACCGAAAAAAAAAAAAGGCAAAACCAGCCTTTGATCGAAACGGGGTTTAACAACGGAATTCCACGACGCGCGCAACGCGTACAATTATGTGATCATTTCTTTTAAGGCTCTAGATTGTATCATTTATTCATTCAAATAATACCCTATTTTAGTAGAGTGACACGGCTCGCATGCAGAAATGAAAAAAAAAGTGAATGCTTTATTCAATAGACGCCAGAAGTAAATGTACAGTACGTAAAACAGATTTATTCTGTGATCAATTATTTGCTGTCCTTTATGTGAGGGGGAGGGGGTATCACTTCCAATAATTGATAGATAACCTTGTCTTGAGTGATCATACATCATTCAGATTCTATGCCCAACAAAATTAGTTTAGTCGTCTACGTTTGCTATCAGTTAGTCAGGTGCTTTCTTCCTTATTATCAGTTACATCGGTCGAAGAAGCAGCAGCAGTATCGTTCTCGTAATTGTCTACTTTCATATCGTTCAAACCCAGATCTTCATTCACTTCCCAGCTACGATCGTATTCCTCGATCGTCATTTCTGGATCTGGATCAGGGGCATAAAGGTTCTGCAAATAAGAGTTGGCCAAAGGATCGTCGACAATAAGTGTCACAGGGAACTTTTGACCATCAGCAACAGCTGTCAAATTGCTCAAGAAAGTACCCCACTTGTCTTTGCTGTCTTTGGTGGCAGAATCGCCTTCGGTGAAAGCACGTTCTCTGAGTTCATCATGCACTTGTCTCAATAAACCTTCCACAGTGGTAAAACGACCACCCAATGTACCGGGCGTCAATTCCAAATCAATTTCAGGAATGCTCAAACCGCAAGTTTCGGATTTGAGGATATCTCTCGACAAGTCCTCAGCATCCGTCATATTCAAAGTGATGCGTCTGCCTTTTTCAGAAATAGCACCGCCAGCCTTCACTTCGTTGCTCTTGTAACCACATTTATCACAGTTGGTAGCCATGATGACCACTTCTTTGAAATGAGGAATGCTCATGACATGCATGTTGGTGGCGCAAGGAGCATGGCAAGAGGGGCAGTTTGCAGGGAAAGACATGACTTCAGGAATGCCCTGGTCGTTCACCATCTCGGAAGCAGTGGGTGCACGATGGCTGAGACGTTCGGCTGCTTCAGTGGCAGCAGCTTCAGCGGGTGTTTGATCATGACCGGGTTGGAGACCTAATAAGGCTTGTTGTTCAGGTGTACGTGTATACCATCTTAATTTGAGTTGAGGGTCGGCATGAGGCAAACACTTGTTTTCAGCATAGGAGTTGCCAGAAGGATCATCAAGAAGCAGAGTGAAGGGTTCACCTTGTTGGTAGCTTTTCAAAATAGCAATAATTTGCTCAATTTTTTCATAAATAGCTTCGTCTGTGTGTTTACGGACAGGTTGACCGGCAGCCAAATCATCAATGGCATTATCAATTAATCCTTCTACAGTCGTTAACAAACCACGGTCTCTGTTGGCAGGGATTTCCATATCCAATTCAACAAACTTGACAGAACAATAATCAGATTTAACTAATTGACGATTTAAATCCTGATAAAAAGATGGAATAAGAATATAAGATGATGGAATGGTCTCTAACGTTTCCGCAAAGAATATGATCTATCCTGCTGCGATAACTTACATCTTTACCCTTGACAGCTAAGGTAATAGTATGGCCTCTTTCGTTGAAAGCGCCAGCACTTTGGAGTTCGTTGTTACGGAAACCACAATGAGGACATTCAAAAGCCATAATAATGATTTCCCTATTTTCAAATAGATGGGTAAGTTTTTGATCAAGACTTTATGATGTTGCATTAGTTAGAAGGAAAAAAACCATACTTGAAGTGAGGAATCTTGGAGAGTAAGATTCTGGTAGTACCCTTTTCAATGTTACGGAAGAATATTTAATATAAGGTTTGACAGGCAGTAAGGTAAAAAAAAAAATGGCAGGTTCACCTACAGTTTCGTGACATTTCATGCATAAGCTCTCAATTTCAGCGGGCTTAGTTTCGCTGAGGTCGACAAAAATGGGATCTGATGCAGACATTATACTGAGCTCTACTATCAAATGTGTGGAGTAATTAAAGGAAGAAGAGAAGAGAAGGAACTGTTTCCATTTGAAATAATTTTTTTATTTCTTTTTTCTTTTACAACCCAACCCAAAAGGTAAAGTGCAAAAAAAAAAGTCACGAAAAAAGTTGAATGCATGAACTTAGCATCAAATAGACACCTATCGACATCGATGGACATCGATGGAGTTGTTTAAATATACTACTTTAACAATTGACATATTGTCGACCTCTGGAACTGCTTCCTTTACGCTTAGTTAAAGAAATCAGTTCAGTTGAATCAAACCCAGGTAGAAATATAGATCCTTTGATGATACTGCACCATTACCAGCGCTCCCATCCAAATATAACTCACTCACTATTGTAGACAAGCTTAGTCAAAAGCTTCCATCCCACCAGAGTGTTTTCAATCTGTAATATGACTTACATCCACCTACTCTTATCGAACCTTCTGGTAGCTTCAAAATGACAAATCGGAGCGGGAAAATTCAAAGCATCTTTCATAATTGATAAGCAAGCTGAAAAACAAACCAAGTTATAGAGCAGTACGAAACTGATGACCATGCAGTTCAGACGACACTGCACTGCATTCCTTGATACTGTTAAAGACATATCCAATAATCAAAACTGTTACATCCACTTGGGCAGGTTTGACCAAACGACCTGGCATTGTTCTGGCAATCCATAATACAGACAGCTACCACAACTTATTGTAATAGTGCCAACAATGCAGCATCTGTCATGTTGTGTTAAAAAGCTTGTCAATTGAATATTATTAAAAATGACTTCAATTCGAGTCAGTTACGAGAATGGTCCTATTCTTCATTATCTTTTCAATCGTTTTAATTCTTGACGTGTGTATTAACTACTATAGCAACACAGCCTCATGATGCGTCTATTATCAAGACAACAATAGGTTTTTATCCTTCCATTCAAATGAGCTAAAAATGCTTTACAAAGGTCCTTTGTTTGCACTCTATGCATAGTGAATGATGCAGCATTTCTGAAGTTATACATAGCTCAATGAAAGTGCGCTTGCCTTTGTCTTGTTCAACACCGCTTCGTTCAATAAAATGAAGCATTGATATACGTATAGGCGTGTTTAGCTCCTCATGATGGGTACGGGTGGCGCGTTAAGTAGTAAACTACCGGAAACGTGCTTTCTATGCGGTTATCGCTCGCTGAACTTACGATACTGTGTAGGAACCAGGTCCTCTACAATAAACATATCATGACACTACCCCTCACCACTATTGTTCATCCGTATGCCAACACGCCCAACTGTCCCCTCCATCATCAAATTTCAGACACTGTACACAAATTATGGAAACCACAAACATCCACTGCTGAAAGATACTGACAAGTCATCAAAGGTTATTGTAAAGGTCGAAAGCCAATAAAAAGTTGTGTCGTGGTTAATTATAATTTTAATATTGTTGGAGATAATATCAAACAGAGAATCCAACAACAAAAACTGATAATTAGATTATGATTCTCCTCTGGCCAATGTTTATTCCTTTCTAGGCTTCTTAGACTTTCTGACACCACGGAACTTCTTCTCACGGTTCTTCTTTTCCTTACGTTGCTTACGACCGCCCTTGGGAGCTTCAGCCATACCGTAACGGACAAGACGGTGCTTGGGTTCGAACTTCTTCATGGCTTCAAGGTTGTCGTAAATCAAAGCGAAACCAGTGGTCTTTCCACCACCGAATTGAGTCTTGAGACCAAAGACGGAGACGACTTCCTTTTCAGACTTGTACATCTTGCCGATCTTTTCACGGAGTTCATCCTTGGAGACATTGGGAAGGCCGGGGTGGATGACATCAACGACCATTTGCTTACGGGAGAGCAAGCGGTTAGTGAGGAACTTGCGAGTTCTAATAGTGACAGCAGCGTCAGCCTAAATGTTATCAACGAAAAAGGCACATGACATTAGTTTCTCCTGAAAAATAACCAGCTTTTTTTTTTTTTTAGCGAATGCTGTTTCAACATCTGAACATAAAGAGGAAAGAACAAGAGTACGACGAGTAAGGCTGTATTTCATTATTGCTTCCTAATGAACGATCAGTGGGTCAATGTAGGCTGTGGATTAGGATGGTGTTCAACGCTGTCATGTTCGTTTCACACATGGGTCCAAATGTCAACTTTATGCAGATAGAATAAGTCCGTCAAAAATGTATCCATGTTGTTCAAGCTGCCACACATCCATGTCATAGATCGTCCATCCATCCCTCTACCGTGCTGCTGAATGAATGTAAAGTGTTGTTTACTCCATTGCGAGATATGAATGGCTTAACACATGCATCCCACTTCAACTTGGATTGATCAATGATTTCTATGTTGGCTTTTGTCCAATTTGCATCCATGTTTAATCCATTCATCTGTTGCATCCATCCTCTTATCCTTTCTCTTTACGTCAACAAAGTGATTTCATTCGCATCTTTTGCTTAAATGTGGTTGATACGCACCATGATTATCAATAACTAAAAGAAGGATCCCATACTCTGCCTGCCCTCCATAGTACGATATAGTGCACAGTTGTTGGTCCTTCTCCTCCCCAAATCTCCCCTCTCCACGCTGCAATCCGCCGCCCGGATTTTATTTAAACCCCGCGACCCCGAATGTTTAAAAATGAGCCGACAAAGAGTGATCTGATAACTATTTTGTTACACGGGGAAACGGTGTTGTTTATGCAATACTTTTTTGTTTTTATTAGAACGGGACCGATGGGATGTGCGTAATAGTAATAAGGGGGTAAGCAGGAATGATTATTTTATTTTCTATTGACATAGCAAGATCAATGGGTATGTGTTTCATTCCAAGCCATGACAGCCATGAGGACTACGCCAAATACCATGGCTAGCAATTCCCTCAAGTGTAATTGACTGCCCTCCTGTACGTTCTTACTGTTACTTTTTCGAAGCAATTCGGGTATCACATTCACAGTGGCAATATACAAAAATCCGCCTGCGGTGAGAGGTATAACGAGGTCATTCCAGCTCATGCCTTTGATTCCTAACATACTGGCATGGTGGTGATGGTCGTGGTGGTGATGGTCGTGGTGTTCTTTCGTTCCGACGGTGGGTGTCGTTGTTATGAATTCCTCTAGACAGATACCTATGAATGTTCCGAGATAAGCACCCACGGCAGTGGTAAACTGTGCCATCATGGCGCTTTTTTTGCTGAAACCAGACTGTACTAAGATAGCATAATCACTAATTTCGTGAGGAATTTCGTGAAAAAAGACGGCAATAGCAGTTGTAACGCCAATTGCAGGTGATGTGTAAAAGGAGGCAGCCATGGCTATTCCGTCGGTCAAGTTGTGTGTAAAGTCGGCTAATAAATTCAAGTAAGTGCTGGCACGAACCTCCTTCTCTCCTGTTGGATGGTTGTGGTTCACTTCTTGTGCCGTCAGAGGCTGATCTACGTGAGCTCGTTCTTTTTCATTGCTTGATTTCGGCTTTCGTTGTTGAAGCGTCGTGTGGGGTGTCTCCATTTTTCCTCCTGAATCACTGATGGCAATCTGCTGTACAATATGCTCTTTCGATTCCTTAGGACGTGGCTTATCAAGAGAAGGCAATGGAGCTGGATGGGAGGGGTCGTGATGGTGATGGTGATGGTGACCTTCCCGTTCGAACCATTCTCTCATCACTTTATCCGTAGCATAAAAAAGAAATAGGCCAGCAAAGACACCTAGACCGATAATAACGTTTCTCTGTTGCTCGTTTCCATGCAGATGCCTATCGTGATGAGAAAGATGCGATGGTTCACTAAAAGCATGAGGTAATAAGTGTAAAAAGACATCACCCAATAGACTTCCTACAAAAGAAGAAAATGGTTTGCTGACATTGGTTAAACGGGGCATTACGATCCCTTTTTTTTTTTAATTAAGCTCCTTTTTTACCAACAGCAAAATGGACCAACGTGCTGAGTGTCGTTGATTTGATATCGGGTGGCACGAAATAAAGTAGTAAATTGGGTATGATGGAGATGTAGGATGTGGCCAAAAGGGAGTTCACCATAGGACCCCCGGGGAACAGAATCGCTGCAAAAGACGTTGGAGAGTCTACTATTGATCCATGAGTCATAGAAAAATGCGTTGTGTTTCTTGTAAGAAAAAAAAGAAAAGGAAAAGGGAAAGGGAAAAGAGAGAAAAACGTAACTTGAGCTTCCCCTCTTTTTTTTAATTCTTTTTACCTGATGTCGTCGTGGAATAAAAAAAAAAAATGATTGGCGAGAATTGACGACGCCTCATCAGTCAACAAACAAATAATGACACGTATCCTTGATTCCTTTACTTTTTACTATAGTTTAGATTGACTATTATTCAGTTCAAGAAAGAACCAGATAAAAGTCAGCATAGTGCTTAAAGCCGCCAGAGTTGCGCAACTCATCATCCTATTCATGCAAAAAAAGAAAAAGACAGAAAGGCTGACAATGCACTTGACTCGATTTCCTTTCTGTGTTTTGTTGCAGCAACTGTAAGTCTTACGCTTGACTGAAGAATAGGGATGCTGATAATGGAATGCTAATGGTAGATCAGTTTATCATACTATGTGTACGTATCTGTCCCTTTGCAAGCATGCTCTGTCTTTCTGTTGGACGGGTTACGACGTCATCCAAATAGGACCCACATGAGCTACAGTGGATAAAGTAAAGGGAATCAAAGATGCGCACGTTATTATTTCACCTATCATGAATTCACCATGAAGCACTTTTGTCCATGGAATCACCACAGCCTTTTGAAAACCCACTGTTTGGGTTTAAAAGCAGATCCATTGAAGCGACCCCACGGATCGCTCAAAAGTCACGATAGAGATTTGGTCAAGCCACCCACAAAATTAAAGCAGAAGCTCTTTTCTGTGCCCCCAAAAATGCATCAAAGCAGTGGTTTCTCTCTTTCTTTCTCTCTCTCTCTCTCCCATCCCAACCGTCCACATCATGTCCGAAACAGAAGCAAAATTACCCAGAGTACCTATTCCCGATCGCCCTCATGGACCTTGATAGAATACTCATTCCTCCTTTTGTTTTTTCCCCCACATGGATAGAAACGTTTCTATCGTCAACGTGCTCATGCAAACCCTTTCTCTGATCATAATTTGGAATAGTAAAGTAACTCTTTATTGGACAACTGTGTCGATACTTATTCCTGACCCTGTTTTTTTGTAATGACCACCACTCAACGTTCAATGTAGTCCTGCCAAACCAGAACTGATGGATTGGACACGCCATTATCCTCAATACTTTCCTGCAAAGGAAGGACAACCAGTGAAAAAAGTTGAATTTGCAGATATAGGTTGCGGATATGGTGGTTTATTGATCGCGCTTGCTCCTCTTTTCCCTGATACGCTCATGATGGGTATGGAAATTCGCACAAAAGTGGAAGACTATGTCTACGAGAGAATCAAAGCACTTCGTGTGCAACGACCTGGCGAGTATCAGAACGTGTCCATTATGCGTATGAACGCCATGAAGTTCTTGCCCAACTTTTTCGAAAAGGGTCAGTTATCCAAAGTCTTCTTTTTGTTTCCTGATCCTCATTTCAAACAAAGAAAACACAAGGCGAGAATTATCAGTCCCACCTTGTTGGCTGAATATGCCTATGCTTTAAGAGTGGGAGGTATTTTGTACACCATTACAGATGTCAAGGATTTACATTTGTGGATGGTGAAGCATCTGGATGAGCACCCTTTGTTTGAGAGAATATCAGATGATGAATGTGTAAGTAGAAGAAAAACTTGCAAAAAGCTGGCTGGATCAGACTCGGAGGCTCATTTTTCTTTTTCTTTTTTTTTTTTTTTTTTTCATTGGTTGTTGATGCTCTGCTTTCATAGGAAAAGGATCCTGTAGTCCCTCACGTTCGCACAGCAACAGAAGAAGGTAAAAAGGTGGAAAGAAACAAGGGAGACAAGTTTTTAGCATGTTATCGTCGCATTGAAGATCCTTATTATACCTCGTAATACGTGAATGACTTTCTCTTTTTTTTTTTTTTCTTGTTTCTTTTTGATTCATCCTATTAAAGCTGTAATATATTTTTTTGTACATACTATGGGTTGACCCTACTATGAAGCTATCCATCATGAATGGAAGGGGAGTGTTCGTTTGTATTGTCATGATTTTCAAGAGGAATATCGTCATAGATTACATAATGGGAATCTCTGATATAAAATTCAATTTGGCCCTGGATCTTTGGATCTGAGTGCAACAGAACAAAAAAAAGTTTCCCCAGTGTCTTTCCCTCTTTCCTTCACTTTGAGTAATGTTTGAACCCACAATAAAATACCGAAAAGTGACTGCAGTTAACGATAATGATGATGATGATGATGATGATAAGGATAAAGAAAGACTCAACGGAACAGGAGCGCCCCTTGATAAGAAGGCAGATGTAAGCAGTAGCAATAGCAGCGGCGATACGAATACTGACAAAAAGACTGAAACAACAACAACAGTAACATCCAAGGATGAAAAAATCGAGGATTATTCCTTTACATTTGAAGAAGAAGGGGAAGAAAAGGAAACCAAGATTGCCATCGATCCTAATGACAAAGATCGCATCATCGTTACCCTTTCTACAGGTCAACAATATTCAGCCGATCGATATTGCCCTCATGCAGGAGCCGATCTTTCTTTGCACGGAAAGGTCAGTGAGCACGAGTATCCTCCAGAGATTGGACCGGTGTTGATGTGTGCCATCCATTATTGGGAGTTTGCTTTAGAGAAAGAGGGACGAGGTGCTGGTGGTGGCGGTTGGGCCACCTTGAATGCCTGTCCTTTGAACAAAATGACTCGTTCTGGACCTCATTGTGAAAATAATGGCGGGTGCAAAAGTAGTAGAAATCTAGATTGGTAACTTAATAAACTGGCTGATTTCTAAAAAAAAAAAAAGAAAAAGAGTCTTCTGGGTGTATTCGCGGCATAAAAGAGAGAGAGACCTGAAGCATTTTAGAGTGCTTCCATATTTTAGCCATCTGCACGGTTCACAATTCAACCTCAGATATTTCTATTACTTTAAACACGTTTCCTTTTCCGGACCTAATCAGTGAAATCTAGATATACTCCATCCTGCAGTTTACCTATCGTCTTTACTTTCAGGTAAGGATTAGAAAAGGCTAGGCACCACGAAACAATGGATCCGACATTAGCTTTTTTGATCAAAATGGAACATCTAATGGCGCAGTGGGAATGGCCCAAAACAAAAACCCTGCACAGAATCATTTAACAAATACATAGATCGAGATATAGGATAGGTGACAAATTCTTCCTTCACGATGGGCATTTGCTCATAAGGAAGCACTTCTTTCAAGATTTTTTTGTCATCACTTTTCTTTTTCTCTTTATAAAGATGACTGCTCAAGCTAGTATAAGATGTTGAATGCATTTTATTTTTTTAGTTGTGAGTCGAAGGTCATTGTCAAAGTGAATTGAAAAAACAACAGTCATTCTCTTTGAAAGAGAATGTGTGCCCCCTACCTATCATCATGTGCTACCAATTCAAACTTGACAGCCAATAAAGAACAATGCCTACCGTCAATGACTAACAGCTTCTCAAAAATGTACAATAAAATGAAGGGTTAAAAAGTACATTTATTATAATCATTGTCCTATAGTGTGTATGCAGAAAAATACAAAAAAAAAAAGGGTGACAAAAATATAAAAGTAGGGAAATAAAAGGGTCATTGACGGGAATATGTACAAAGGAAGAAAAAATGAATATAAAAGTAATAGTTAAAAAGTAAAGTGAACTAGGGGAGAGAGAGAGACAGTATGAATACAAATAATAAAATGTGTCTCATGTTATACTACAGAGAGTTATCAGAGTCACGTCTTCCAGGACGAATACGAAGACGTTCAGGCTCTCCTGCAATAGGCGGCAGACGCACCATCAATGCAACGGGTAATTCTTCACGGTTCGCAATAAAGACAGTGGCTTGCACCTTGAAGCCAAAGCTTTCAAAGAATTGAACACTGGCAGGATCAGATGCTTCGACGTAAACGGGGTATTTTGCTTCATCTGCCTTGGTCAACACTTGATTGACAAGGGCGGTACCGTAGCCCTTGTGTTGTTCATGCGGCAATACACCCACATAACCAATGGTGATGAACTTTGGATAGGCTGCCATGACTTTACGTCTCATCTTTTCACAGGAAGGAGCCACTTTCACGATGGCGCGTACGGCTGCTGCATAACCAATGAAACGAGCTAATTTAGCAGCGCTGATCACACGAGGCCAGGGACAGCCATTGGGATTGTTGGTCCATATCAGAACACCCTTACAACCTTCCACTTGAAGGGCAAAGTCACGACTTTGAAGGGATGCTGAATTGATCATATTTTTGAAGAGGGTATACAAAAAGTCTTCATGCTTGCTTTTTTCCAAACCGCGGAAGCACCATCCCATAATGGAATCGTTCATATAGGCTTCGGTTAATGTATTGGAAGCTTCTTTAAAGGCACCTAATGATGTAAAAAAATTTTCTGTCAATTTCACTGATCCGGAATTTAATTTATCAATGGCAAAGTGAGATCAATGATTCTTTTTTTTACCTTTAATAACGGGGCGTACATTGACTGAATGTTGATTAAGGTTGACAGTTAATTTACGGGAGATTCTTTTTTCGTTGATCGTAGTTGGATCTGCCAGTGACATTGGTTTTTGTCTATGTTGTGATGTGATGTGATGTGATGTGATGTATGTGTGTGTGTGTGTCTGTGTGCGTATGTGTGCGTGTGAAGGGAAAGGTAAATAAGCAAAATAGCTGCTATCGTACAAATAAATAGACTGCTAGAAAAGCGTGTGGCTTGTCCGTCCCTTATTCAAGAAGAATAGTATACAAAGAAAGATAAAAGAAGTGTAAAGTTTTCCAACAATAGTTGTAGGAGATGTGGATCTTGAAAGGGAAACCCTATTGTATTTATATTGTCAAGAAAAAAAAAAAAAAAGATTTGATAGATTTTTCTTTTAAGGAAATAATAGCTGTTGTTAAAAAAGTGTAACCATCAAATCATAATGCAGAAATTGCCCCTTTTGCATCGTTTGATTGGACCCTTATTGGCACATCAAAGAAAACGCCGCTGCAAAATATGCAAAAAAAAAAAGATCACCCATTCTTTTCCTTTTGATATGAAAAAAAAATGATGAAAGACAAAAATGGATGCATGCCAAAAATTGGGTAGAATGGAATAAAATTATGCCATTTTTAAGGGGCAAAAGTTGATACTGTCGAAATGCATCTTTTGCACAACTATTAAATGCTTGATAAAATACATAATATACTTTATTTATCATGCAATGGATGGAGAGATCTAGAATCACAGACGGTTGCTTGGCAACAACACAAAGCCAAGCGAGAAAAAAAAAAAAAAAAAAAAAAAAAAAAGTGCTATCGATCAAAAATTCTAGACACTCACAACACACAACACCATCCATCATTTTAAAAAAATTTTCCATGACTAATATTTTAGACAATCACTGTTTTCCTCTTGCTAACAAATACTATTGTCAATTGCCTGCCACGTTCAATGATAGTATGCGAGGCTATCTTCTCATCACTTGAGAGATATTAATATGAGCTTAACCGGACTGTGTGTGTTTCAAAAGAATACAAAAAAAAAAAAAACTGCCCAACCTACAATGCACCGTTTCAACAAAATTTTTTGAGACAGGTGGTTGATCTTTACACATTCTTTTTTTTTAAATAAGGTTCACCTAGAAGCATGAATTCACAACATTTTTGAACCCTCGTTTTTAAGGTTGGCTGACCTCATCCTAATTGCACCCTTTTGAGCTAAAGCCTTTATTTCATCTTTGTTGTTTACGACTACATACAGATACAGGGGAAGATAGGAGACATGGCAGCAGATGTTCTAGATTCCGGTAGTACAACGACCTTTGTGTCTCTGAAGAGTCCCTTTTTTGGCCTAGATTCTGTTTTTCTTCCAGAATGCAAGCAAAAAGAAGGATGAAAACCTTGCTTTTTTTATGTGCTTTTCGTATGCTCTGTACAACCCTACAGTGGGCAAATTTGTTCTCTGAAATCTCTAAAAATAGAACGGTGCAAATATAGTAACAGGATGTGCATTACTCCGCAGAGCATGCTTTAAGTAAAGCAATACAAGCAAGAATTACTTGTTAGATAGCCTGCTACTAGCGATTTATAATGAATCATACTATGGTTGAAAGTCGCTTGTTAATGAATAAGAAGAATATGCATAGGAAGACATGCACAACACGCAAATCTTGCAGCCCATCGAAGAAACGGAAAAATAGTGGAGCAGGATAGATCGTTTATGATAACGGTCTTTTATCATTATCAGTACATATATACATTACATAATTTTTGTTGGTATGAAAGCACAATCATGACGCTTTTTGTGTCAAAAGAGCTCTCAGTCCTCTTTTATCTTTTTTCTTTCTTTTCTTTTTTTTTTTTTTTTTTTTTTTCCTCGCCTTTTCTACGGTAGAAAAAGGAAAACAGATAGACTGAGGTGGCCTGAGCATCTCGGAACTTGGCTCTATGAAAAAAAAAAAAAAAAGAAAAAAAGCCTGCAGATGAGGTTTCACTTTCTTTATTTATTAAAAAACACACACCTAAAATATTTATTGCCGCACTCCTTCTCTGCTTTCTTTTTTGATATTTTTGATGATATGTGCTGACCAAATGCCCAATAGATATTTTAGAGCAGCAAGAATTCATTTATGCTTTTCCAATAGACTCTGACGTGGAGTGGAATCCAGGCGACATAAAGAATGACCATGTCTAAAAGCTTGATAGGCATCCGTATAAAGTAAAAAGGCTTCATTTAGCACCTCTGAGATACATCACTTGATTGTGCACGCTATTTTCATTCCGCTGACAACTTGTCATATTAGCAAAAAGCACGCGCGATAAGAAAAAAGATGAAACATACTGCTTACATTATCATACTAACGCAGGGAGTACAATACTATAACTTTGAGTTATCCATTGAACAACAACAACAACAACAACAGTCTGAGAATACTTGTCGTGATATGCGTTTCATGAATCGGTTTAAAATCGTGTTTAGATGACAAAACTCATCAGTTGGGGGGGGGGGGGGAAACTGCAATACTGCGTATAAAAAATGTTTTGGTTGCAGCATACCTTCATCATTTATTCAGTTTTGTAAATTGTGGTGCAGAAATGGAATGCGTGTATGACAGATAAGATGCAGTTGCCATTCATTTTGCAAAGTCAACCTACTGCTTTCATACTGCCCTTACTTTTCAATGAAGAACTTGCTTTCGTCATTGGTTACAGAAGGGAGTCATCCCCACCTGCAGGCGGCAGCTAGTATTTTGTTTTACAAAAAGGAATGAACTTTTGAGCAGTCTTTATTAAAAAAGTAAACTACATAGAAAAGGTCTACCGTCTTTTTTGGTTGTTTCCCCCCCCCCCAAATATCATCTGCCTACATTTGTATGGTAGTCTGGGTCGATCGAATCTATGGAAAGAAAATCTCTATACGCTCAATAACCTTTTGGACTAAATAACGAGAGCGTGACCAGAAAACTGCCCAATAGGAGCCACACGTGTCTTTTGAAGACTTTTGCTATTGGCTGAATCAGTATTTATTGTTCTGCATAAACCACGCTACATTAGTTATCAGCTTTCATTGGATCAAATTTTACAACTTAAGGTACCATTTTTTCTCTTTTTCTACGTGTTCTCCATATTTTTTTTCTGTATGCTTCAAAGCATCATCGAGAAAAACTTTAGATCCTTTCCGTTCTCGCACCTTCTTTTCTATCTTTAATTCTATCTGTTTGGGAACTGTTTGTCTGCTTTTTCTTCTCCTTTCAATTCCTAAGTTTACTGGATTGGAGAATGACCAACAGTACACCATCCACCCCTGTTCACGCTGCTGCTGCAGCTACTACAGCGAAAATTACTTTAAACGAACCACCAACAGATAAAACAATGACGATGAAAGAAACACCAGCACAGAAACCGCAAAAGCAATCCACTTTGAATCCGGAAGGTAAAATGTCAACCTCCGTACATGTGAAAGACGCATCATCACCTGCAACGACTACTTTGTCTCCGTCCACAGTACAACAAGCAGTAGAGCAACACCTCCAGCACTTAGCTCCAGCACCACCGCTATCACAACCACCCATTGTTGCGCTTTCTCCAGCTTTGTCTCCATACCCTCATCCTCAACATCCTCCCGTCTATTATCCTATTTATCATCCTCATCAGTCCTATCTTTTATCGATAAGTCCTCCGCTGCCCATTTCGCCTAGTTTATCACCAAAGCCTCCATCCACTACGTGTACAATAGCATCCACAGTACCCACGCCGGCCATGACGTCAAATGCACAGGTTACGCCTCCCATTCACCCCACGACCCCTATCCCTACTGCCCCTACTACTACTACTACTCACCAGCGTATTCTTCCTAAATCACCTGTCCCTATCACAACAACAACAACCACGCAAACTGTACCTCATGCACATCATCCAACAGCCACACCCTATGCTCTCTATTCCTATCCTTATTCACTTCATATCTCACCCCCGTTACATCCCACCCATACCGTCGCGGCGGGAGCAGCCTCTTCACCTACTGTGCCAAGCCCCATTGTTTATTCTCCACACCGAGCATCTGTTCCACTTCTTATGACAACACCCACAGCGACGAATACTACTACTACGGCAGACCAAAGAGAACAGGCAAGAAAATTGTCTCATAGTGCCATTGAGAGAAGAAGAAGAGAAAAAATCAACGACAAAATCTTGCAATTGAAAGAGTTGATTCCATCCTGTGCAGAAAGAAATGATTTACATAAAATGACTATTCTACAAAGTGCTATAGATTATATTACGTATTTGAAGAAACAAATGAATGATCAACAACAACAACAACAACAACAACAACAGCCACCAACAACCACCTTGCAAGAAACCGATGAGAAAATCCCCAACTCACCAGCAAAAGTCACTGCCTCTTCATGTACTGCTGCTGCTCACACCGCGCCTACGACATCAATGGTACACCAGCAACAGCATCGAACGTCTCCAACCCCATCACCCAAACAGATCGAGTTTTTTACCCATCCATTTTCAATTCACGGGAAACGCTTAAAGACGGACCAGAGGAGCCACCCCTCTTCTACAACGACTCCTACTGCTACTACCCCTTTATCCACGACAGAACCGTTCAACCCAATTTTTGCACAAGATAGAATGGAAGACGACGAGCAGGAAGAGGATAGCTCATCCTATGTCTCTGCGTCGCCTCTGTCCTTGACGGCAAAAAACAATTACTCCAACCCAACAAGTGCCATCACCTCTCCTCCCGTTATCTGCCTTAAGCCTAAAGATATAATACAAATGAATAAAGAGCAGCAAAAGAAAAGACAAAAGTTCAGAGAGAGCCACTTGATGGATGAAGAAAAAGAACGGGTGGATGCAATAGAGCCGCTGGCACTACCATCGAAAAGAATCGTTGACAGCAAGAGTATGAGAGCGAGCATAGCCAGTGATATCGATAACGAGATGGCTATTCATTCTTCAACATCGCCAACAAAATCAGTAGAAGTCAATAGTACTACTCATCATAACATGAATCTAAATAACTTATTATGCTAAAGAGAAATAATATCCTACCATGCCTCAAGCTATTCATACAAGAATAGATGACACAAACAATATACCTCCTTATGTATTTTTTTTTTTTAAATTTCAACTTTCATTACAAACCAGGAATAAAATGTTTTCTCATTCAACAAGTCGTATCCGCTACTTGCAAACATTCATTCATCCCATCCTCTTGATAGTAATATTTTTCGTCTGTCCAAACCCATTCTTACTGTTGCGAATAAGCTAGGTATAATCATCATCACGAAAGAATGTATAGGTACTGCACAAACTATGTTAGAACCCATGCGTTTAGTTTAGCATCCAACGGCAGCAGTAATCCATACTTTTTCTAATTCTTGTAAACAATGATAAAAAGAGCTGGCCACGTTATTCAATATCATTTCTGTCCTTCGTGGTCAAAGAAAATTCACTCCATCGTTGTCCTTTCCGCGGTGAAATGGTGCAAAGAAGGCTAATAATACAAAGACAAAACAAATATATCTTTATTCTTTTTCTCAAGATTTTGACCTTTCAGGTAACTTATTCATAGGATAGAACGACACACTTGAGAAAGGTTTCAACACCATAGCACTTTTACAACCAGACGTTAGGGTCATGCTCTCAAAGTATTTGCTTATGATTTGTCGGAATATAAACTCATCCAGCCAGCATCCCCCCTCTCCCAAATCGATTGTAATATGTGTTAAAGTGGATCACCTGCAATGGAAGGTAACTGGAATTTCTCCAACTCCCACATTTGGTAAAAAGTAAAAAAGAAAAAAAAAAATTTAATACTTTCTGAACAACACAGTATAACAATATATCAACACATTCTTTTATAAAAAAAAAAAGTTGATTCCAAAGGCCAATCGTCTTTCTTTACTTTATTTATTCCTTCCTTATACAAGTTCTATAACGACAGCAATGACGGCAACAAAGACAACACAACTCTCGTTTACTGGATCGCCCCATACGGTACCTTGCAGTGTTTTTTTTTTCTAGGGTGCTTCTTACAATATACTTACTCATTTGTAAATGACATTGACCATGACCCAGGATCAAGCTCTGGCAGGTTTTGGTGCTGGTATGGTGTCTACTGCATTATTACACCCGCTTGATCTTATCAAAATTAGACTACAAGGTAAACATCGTGGACTCGCAACTTTTATTGATGCATAAGAAAAAGGCCTAATGTTTTGTATTAATTTTGATCCATGAAAAATAAAGTGGATGTTGCTAGATACTCTAATAAGAATAAAATGATGGGCGCTACATTTCGTTCGTTCAAATCAATTTTAGCTGAAGAAGGTGTTTGGAAAGGATTGTATAGAGGTGTAACACCCAACATAGCAGGTGCTACCGTGAGCTGGGGCTTCTACTTTATGTATTATAGTATGATTAAAAAATATATGAGAAAGGATGATGAAGGGAAACTATCAGCAGTCCAACATTTGTTAGCATCAGCCGAAGCAGGTAATTGACGTTGAAAAAAAAAAACGTTGTAGAGGAATGAACGAAACAAAGGTTGGTAACATGGCTTTTTTTGTCGGGCGCTATAGGTGCATTGACAGCACTCATGTCCAACCCCCTTTGGGTGGTAAAGACACGTATGTGCACAACCACTCGACAATCACCTCACGCTTATACTGGATTATGGCATGGATTGAAGACGTTATATGTGGAAGAAGGCTTGAAAGGATTTTATAGAGGCATCATACCCGCATTATTTGGTGTGTCTCATGGTGCTATTCAATTTATGGTATATGAAGAGATGAAAAAGAAAAGAAACACATTAAGACAGGAGAAGGGACTTATCTCAACAGACGAGTTGAATGCTAAATTAAGCCAGTCAGAATATTTGGTCATGGCAGCCACATCCAAAGTGGCAGCTACAGCAGTGACATACCCCTATCAAGTCTTGAAAAGTCGATTACAAAATCACGCGACAAAGGACACTTATACGGGCGTTATTGATTGCGGAAAAAAGATCGTGCAAGCCGAAGGCATCATGGGATTTTATAAGGGTCTGGCACCTAGTATTATAAGAGTTTTGCCTGGTACATGTATTACTTTCTTGGTCTATGAGAACCTGACTCAATATTTCAAAAAGCATGCAGTTTGAGACAGCCATTGTATCATAAGCCGACTATACTCAATTTTGTATTATAGATTCACTTATTAAAAGTATATATCCTCGTTTTTTTTTTTTTCATTTTCTTCATTTATACATATACCATTTCCCTGAAAAATTTTTTTTTGTATAGTATATGTACAGAAACAATGTTTTTATAGTCTAATTGTAATGTATTCTAGACAACACTATTATATAATAAAAGGATGAATATTATATTACTACTTGTATGAGGATCAAAAATGATTGAGGATCGATGAGGGTAATTTAAACAAACAAAAGAAAAAGAGGAACGGAGCTGATGGGACAGCGTTTGCATTAGGCGCCCTGATAGTAATATTGGAAAAGAAGAGCGCCAATGATACCAATAACGATAGGTATGAGGATACCTGTTGAGCCAACTCTCGAAACAGGCTTGGTGTTTGAAGGCTTATGGTTAGCGGCAATCCATTGTTCAATCTAAAAGAAAGAAAAGTGCGCAGGGATGGTTAGCAAAACACAATAGCAAAAGAGGAAGAATGACACCATAAAAAATCGCCTTCAACTTACTCTGCCAACAGCCATAGAAATATTCATAAAGTTGGGATCTGTAGCTTCATTTCTCTTTGCGATTTCAAATACATAGTGTCTGAAAATAGCAATGACATTATCCATGTTGGTGCTCTGCAAAATCATCTTGACGGCCTCACCCTTACGTATTTTAATATTGCGTTGGTAAATGTCGAGATTGTTGAACACTAAAGCAAGTGTGGCAATAGCCATCACCTGAGGAATAGCACAAAAATTAAATACAGACTGATTTCTGAGTCTTGAGAGATAAGTAAGACTGTCAGGAACGTGATTCAAAACGTTCAAAACCATATGATTCAAGCAATGCTTGGCCTAAAAAAAAGCACGATAAGAAATAACAAGATGAGTATGTATGGACTAGATTGGTTTTCCTCTCCTTCTTACTCGGTTGCCTTGCCTCCTCGCCCCCCCCACCTCTTTGTGCGTCTATTCTTTTCTACTGTGTAATTTTCTTTTTTACCTTATCCTTATTTTCAGGTTTGGTGAGATCACCAAATTTATCAATATATTGACCCCAAATTTCGCGAGGCCAGAATTGACGTCCATCATCCAAATCTTCACGATAATCACGGATAATATTTGTCTTTTGCAAAAGCACACCCATTGCGTTAGACAATGTTTTGTCCTCTGCAATTTCTTTGGATTCAAGGCCCGAAGCGGCAAACAGATCCGAAAGGCCATATCCAACAAGGCCAGCAACATAGTGACAATAAAGGTCAAAGTCTTTTACTGTAGCAACTGAAGTATTTTCACGATGTTCCCCAGTAGCATAATCGGCCATACCATTACCCATCAATTTCGTAATGTTGGCAATGACTTTTTGAAATTCGGGCTTTAACTTTAAGAATTCGTCAATGACAACATCAAAGTGAACCAACAATTCACGGTCCTTTTCATTAGGTCCATCTAACGGCATAACCCGTAGTTGAGTGTTTTTTAGTTGCTTATTGTTGCTGTACATAAGATGCTCCTTCTCACTTTAGAAAGCGAGAAGTAGAGCTATAACGTCACTTACTTTCATTGAAGGTCCACCCCTTTTGGTAAATAATCTGGTCAAACGACCTTAATAATTCAACTTTTCTGTCCAGGTTGAGAGTCATATCATCTTCAATGGTATCCAATCCTCTTAAAACAAGATAAAACAGACAAACCTATACAGTAAAGTGTAACTCTAAGTCAATCGCCTTATTCATTCTCTAAGGTGTTCTCTCTTTATCCCCTCTTGCTCTTTCATTCAATTCTTTCATCCTTTCTGTGTGTTTTCAGTGTCTTTAAAAAGTTCCTTACAGCATCTCTTAATTCATCATCAAGCTCTTGAATAACAGCAGCAAAACTTCTTGAAGTCTACAAATAAGGGTTGAGTTCATTTGCTCAAGTTATTCTTTGTTTCGTTTCCTTTTTACCATGTTCAAGTATTTATAGCATTCTTTCTTGGACGCGTCGTTGGCCAAACTCTGCTTGAGACGTTCAGTAGATGAACTCTTGGGTGCGAACTTGTATTGAAGTAAAGCGGCCACTTCGGAAGGCCTGGTAATCGATTCAAGAATGACTCCCAACATGATGGATGACAGGTGAGTTTAGGTGAAAGAAAAGAAGAAACAAAAGAGGAGGCAATTATGGCAGCAAGTAAAATTTTACATATTTTTTGCAAACCCGATAGGACAAAAATTCATTCGGGCACGTGCATTAACAAAAGGGATTGAAAAAAAAACTCTGCATAATGCTTTCTTTAAATGGTTTCTTCAGGAATAACATATACTTTAAATGTAGTGAATAAGGAGAGAACAATGCAGTTGATCAATAGAGATGACAAGAACAAGAGATTCAGACGTGAAAAAGCCAGGCTGTCAACAAAGAATGAAATCAAGGAAAATAAGCTATTGATTTCGATGGACACCTTCCAGAAGTGTGTTACTCTGTAGAGCCACATACTTTGAACAAGATGAATGTGACCTATCTTGTAACTACTGAAACGACGTTGCTATCTAATAACGTTTCTACTAATTCAAGTTCGGTGTAATTGAATATGATATATTAAGGAAGGGAGAGCAGTACTTGCTTTTATTATAATGGTCGTCACAATAAAAAGTATATTACGTTTGGAAAGTTGCTCATTGATACATACGTCTTCAATAATATGTATTCATTGTATACACATACTAATATAAGTACAGTATCAAGCAGAAAAAAAATATGAAAATCGTTGTGGAATCGCTTAGTGAAACGACCAAAATCGCTTTTGAATCGATAAAATGGCCTGCCACAGCGATTGAGAAACGATTCATAAACGAGAAATCGTTGTGGGATCGTTGTATTAAGCGAAATGCTTTAAGCATGCAAAGGTAGGTAATTTTACCAATAGTTTCTTTGGGGTTTTCTCCTCTGCGTTCATCTCTATGACAACAATAAAGGCTTTTCCCTACAATGAATGGATCATCCAACGAGCAGAACTACAGCTGATCTTATGAACTCACAGATTATGCTTATCATAAGCCTTATATCTACGAAATTGCCAACCATGCAGCTTTATTTAAACAAACTAGCAATGGTTGGAAGAAGATAACATTAAAAAGAAGCTTCATCTAATACTGCTTTTAATAGTATTTTTCTTGGAGAAAAAGGATACAATTGATAAGCCTGGAATATTTTGTGAACACGCGAACTTTACTCTTAGTATATAAAACCATGTAATTCTTTTTGAGGGTTTCAATAAGTAGATTGTCTGACCGACATTCTAGTGCTAGCCGCCTCATTATACTAGCTGGGTAACAATTGTTATCAGCTATATTGTATCTAAAGTTCTACATCACACTACGTCCTCGGTGTTGTCTTCATAATTGAGCGCAGTTTTACACTGATGACCACTTCTTTCTATAATCTGATTTACCTCAATCGTAAGGTGATGGCTCCGTTCTACTTGTCAATAACACTATTTTATATACCCCTTTTTCATATTGATTATAGGTCATTGTCAGCGTTCTGAATGATGTTGACTTATTTTTTGTATGTGGTCGCTTTATTTGTTCATGTTGTAAGTTTCAACATTGTCTGAATTGCCTAACGGGATAGGATACCGATACAGATACGTTTGTGGCCTTTTCCTTCGATCATCCTCTTCAAGGCACCTCTTTTTATCTTGTGCGATTGAATTTGACTACTGCTACATAGATTGCCCAGTGCCTCCAATTGTTCAACACCTTCTCCGCTTATAGCTCTAGATTGATAGACGCAATGGAGTATGTCAAAGTATGATTGACGTTGATGATAAAGCTTGCAAAAGGCTTATTTCTTCTTCAGCTTAAACTCACAGCTGACTCTTCATACGAACCAAGGCTTGAAACCTAGGGCTGTCCTCATTTTACGGTCAATGGTTTTGTGAGGATATTGCTGCTTTACGTCTGTACGTTTGTGGTAAATTTTAAAGGCTTTCAGACAGGCCATTAAATAACAGGGCTCATACAATTGTCCAGAGAGAGGTCCGAAATGGACAGCGAGACAATCAGAGTCATTTATTTAGCAGCCCTCAAAACAATGGAACGGATCATCGTATATAAGTATATGCATCTGGTGTTTGAGGCCGTACTCCGAACTCTATCAGTCATTGTTCAAAGACCGTTTTATTGATGAGATAATGGTATGTTTGAAGTCACATGACCTATCCTACACGGCTACCACTGGAGCCATCATAGAATGAAAAGTGACTATCATGGGCATTTCTATGTGAGCACGAAGAACCTGCTTTGATAATGGCCAAATATATATGCCTTACACAAAATTACTAACATGTCACCTGTGGAAACCTTATCTATTTCGATAAGGGAACACTGCACGACAACTTACGCCAACAGTCTGAGAAGAATGTTGAATAGTACACCTTGTAGAGCACAACCAAATAGTTAACAATGGCCTGCCAAAGCTGATCTGTAACTGTAGGAAATGAAAGGAATAACGACTGAAAAATAAGTTTCTACTAGCAAAGCAGTAGGGTCATGATGAATAGAGTGTACATTTCAGAAAAGAAGCCCAGAACAACAACGGCTTGCACGATACATTCAATCTAAAATAGAAACTGAAAGTATCAGTGGAGCAAGATGTACATTTTGGCTTTTAAAGATTGGTCCTATGTAATGCGAGTACTAAACTATCTAAATTAAACGTTAGCACTAGAAGAAAAAAAAGGTTGAACAGATATTTTTTATACTAGATGATGCGGTGACGTATGAAAAGAGGCCATTCTACTTTTCTTATTCCATTCAATGGCTTCAGGCCGGTGAGTTGGTAAGTGTATATATAACATTGATAACAAAAGATAGTGATTGAATAGAATAAAGAGATCTTATCAACGGTCTTACAAAATTGTGTGTGAGAGCATGCGTGAGGGTGGGTGGTGCATCAGTTTTATGACACTAAATCATGTTATTTCGGGTTTTTTATTTTTTCAACTTTTATGCAGCCAGTCTTCTCGTCTTCTTTGTCACGTCTCAAACAGGACAGGAACCATGAAATGATGAAACAAAAAGGGCCTCTTCCCCCCGCCATATGATCATTTCTGTGTACACACTTTTTTTCTCGTGCTTAGAAAAGAGAGAAGAAAAACTATATTTGCCATGTCCACTTTTCTGCAGCCATAGATACATAGGATGGGGCTCTGCTCTACCCTCCCCCACTATCAGACACACACACACACACACACTCTCTCTCTCTTTCTGTGAGTGAGTGTGTGAGTTGAAATCGTCGGTTCCTGTCGGTCCTCCCTTATGAGGATGATATGATGCGATATACCTCATTTATAAATATAAAGTATTACAGCCTTCTTATCTTTTTCTGGTTACCATAAAAACATGATATACACCAATGAAAAGTCATTCAAACCCATTATTTTTCATTGTCCTACATTTCACAACCACCAAAAAGCGATTCTGTTATCATCGCGCGCGGTCACTTTACTTAAGGTCTCTTTTTAGCTTCCTTTTATTTTTTTTTACGTGTTTAAACCTTAAGTTTATGTCTGACAATCTCTTTAGTTTACCCCACATTTTTCGTAAAAAAAAAAAAAAAAAAAATTAAAAAAATGAAAAGCATGATGCGAACAAAATTCAAAAAGCGAGCCTATTGCTAATATGTATAATATGTATACATACTTTATTGGGTAGTTTAAGAAAAGAAAAAAAAATGACAAGACAAGAATAAAGCAAAAAAGAATGGGATCATATTAAGGGGGGAAAATGCCAGTGTACAATAGTAGAAAAATAAAGATAAAAAGAAAAACTAAAAATACAGTAAAAAGAATTAGGATGAAAACGTATAATGTTGATCTGTTCTATAAACAACACCGTCACCACGCACTAAGAGTAGAGGTATCTTCTTATTATTTTCTTCATCTAATTGTAATGTAGCACTACTCATGAGTTCTGATAATGTTGGAATGGAGCATGTCATAGAGTCTTTCGATTTATAGTCTGTTTGTTTTGATTTGATATCGCCAAACCAGACATTCAAGTCTCTTGTCAAGTTTTCACCTGTGATGACGAGTTGATTGTCTTCTGCCTTTTTAAATTTGATATCGTGAATAAGAGGGAAGGGTGTGATCGGTGAGGATTGTGTCATTGCATTATTATTGCCTGCAGACGGGGCAGGAGTAGAGAGAGAAGGAGTCACCGTGGCTGCTGTTGTTGTAAAGGGCATATTGAAGTGCTGTTGATTAGCGGGCAAGATATCTGAAGCAGAGGGCGTCCAAAAGGTGTATGTGGCGCAATCTGTACCAACGATAGTCCACACAGCGGCATCAGAAACATCTTCTGTCCAACACGCGCCTTCGAGGCCCGATGTATCAGATACAGTACTACCACGCCGATCAACCCCAGCAGTCAAGCTGCCACGACGTCCCACTTGTTTATCATTCGATAAACGACGACGAGCAGCAGCAGTAACACCTGCTCCGGTAGCGTTCTTGGCTGCATTGTTATTTAGCGTATTACTTGTGTCAAATAATGAATGAGTGGTGCTTTGAATCAAATCAGTCCATGCATTGCCACTTGTTTCATTATTATTATTCGTACTGCTTTGTTGCTGTTGCTGTTGCTGCTGCTGCTGCTGCTGCTGTTGTTGTTGTTGTGGCGGTTGTTCTTGGCAATTCGGCAATAAGTTACGATTAAAGTTCACTTTATGCATACCAACCACATCATTCAAACAAGCCAAATAAGTGATAGGATGACATGATTGGGGAAGCCTGTAAAAGTCAGGTTGTGGGCTGTTTTGCTGGAAGCGTTGTTGCGAATGAGGTTGTTGAGAAAAGGTAGGATCTTGAACAATTTGAAAGGCTACTTTATGTAATTGAGAAACAGGGTCACCTAACGTTTCATCACCGCATTCACCACCGACAGGCTTGGATGATCCACCACTACCTGCAGTCGCTGCAGAATAGTCATCGACACGGTTTCCGCCGAGAACCATACTGCCTTTGTCTACTTTTCGGATGATCATGACAGGACTCACCAGGCCTGTAGAAACACATTGAAGAACAACGGGTTGGTTGTAATGAATAGCAATAGGTTGCTGTGCCGTGGAAGGTGTTTGAGAAGCAATAGCAGGGGGTGGAGGGAAGTGGGGATTGGTAGGGTGTTGACAGGGACGTGAAGGTGTATTTTGATCAGGCGTGCGTGTCGTATCGACAATCCAAATGACAAATGGATCCCATGAACCCGTTCTAGCTACAAAGCAGGTACCATTGGCATCGTCACCATTGGAGGCGTTGCCTTGGCCATTGGATACACCCAAATACTTGGTAGACACGGTTTGTGAGCGAATACGGTTGAACAAAGAAATAGTGGTACCATGATGGATGCATACTAATATAACAATACTCGTGAGTCGATGAAAAAAGAAGCGCGACAAATAAAAGAAAAAAAAAGACTTGAGAAATACCTACATTCCATATTTTTGACACTTTGCCGTTTTTTACTTGGTTTACTAATGACTTTGATTCCTTTACTAGGGAAGGTACCCAAATGTACTCCATTACCCAATTGAAGTTTAGCTAAAACCTCAACACGCTTTCGTTTCTCATCCGCGTCATTAATGTACAACTGCTTTGAAACACATTTGCCAGAGAGAGGTTGATTATTGGCATGAGCAGCAGCAGTGGTAGGATTACTATCTATAATAGTGCCGTTGGGTGTTTGCCATTCAATAATGCCAGTTTGATTGATGGCTTCACCCGTGATATGTATCGTAAGTTTAGGTGCCGTCAAGACAGTAGAACTAGAAGTAGCGGCAGTAGAAGAGGAAGAGGAAGAGGAAGAGGAGGAAGGTGAAGGATGAAATAACGATGATACAGAAGACTTTTCATCGTTATTGCCATTGGCACTGCCACTGCTATTAAGCGTCCACCAACTAGCACCTCTCAAGATGGTTGTAGGAGGAGGACACAGGAATCTGATAACGATAGAAGGGGAAGGGGGTGAGGTTCGCGTTAGAAAAAAAAACCCAAAACAAACTAACGCCACTTAGTTTAAACTACGATTTTTTTACCTTTTCTCAGTTCCGTAACTTTTCTGTGCTACTCTGCTGGTTAAAACCATGACAGTATGTTCGCCTGCCGCAGGTAAAGAAGGATCCTGATGTTCACGACACAAAAGGTAATTCTGTATCAAAGGCTTCAATGAGTGGGCTGTTGTTTCACCCTGAGCAATACGAGCAGAAATCAAACTACTTTTATTCAATACACGTTGTTGTTGTTGTTGTTGTTGTTCATCCCATTCTTTTCCTACTTCATTTTGTTGCAGATGAGAAGGATGACGTGATTTGTTATGACTGTTATTGTTGTTGCTGTTAGATAAAGGTTCAACAAAACCCAAAGAGGCCGGCTGCATTGGGGTGATAGGCGGAGAAGGGGACATGGAAGAAGAGAGAGAGGATCCAAAGGTATTGGTAGGAGACGCAGGAGAAAGTGAGTTCGTACTACGTCGTTGACGTTTTTGTACTTGATGATGCGGAATTTGCTGTATTTTTTCCTTGACTTCTTGTTGTTCCAATAGCCAATCAGCCATGGTGTGGATTTCATTGGTGATAGCAGAGGGTGTCACTGTCGTGTTGTTGTTATTATTGTTGTTGTTGTTATTGCCGCCGTTCGCATTCATATTAAAGAAATCACCTGAGGGCGATAACAAATCTGCTGCTACTACTGCGGCGGCGGCAGCGGCGGCGGCGGCTGTGCTTGATGTATCCACCAATGACATGTCTGAAATAATGGTAGCTGTATCATTGTTACTATGTATACTGTTATTAGAGTTTTCGCTCATTAAAGCTTCTAGAAAACTCGACGTAAAAAAGTTGGGAGAGGACGATGAAACAGAGGAAGACAAGGTAGGCGATAAAAGAGTCGCATAGTTAGGATCATCTTCCCTTAAGGACAAGGTACGTTTATGAATCGGCCTATTTGGATGCTGCTGTTGAGGAATATTCATGAATTGAGTGTTGCTTTGATAGCCCGTTGTATTGGTAGAATTCAACAAGAGTTGAATTTGATCCCAGGTAGACATTGTACTGGCATGGGTCGCCATTGTGTCTATATTCAGTGGCTCTTGCTTCATAAAGTCAAAGGAATGGTAATCCATTTCACCTACAGCAACAGAATGTCTGCGAGATTCAGGTTGGTTGTGTTCGATATCCATGTTGGTATCGTGTTGATGATGAGGATGAGGATGATACAGTCGTTGTTGCTGTTGTGATGATGGAGCTGGTGGAGGAGCGGCTGATGGTTGATGTTCCAGCAGGAAATCAAAATTAAGGTGATTCAATTCATGATGACTGTTCTCATTGGACGGTGATGAAGGTGAGGAATAAATGAAATCAGACCAAGAAGATGCATTGGTTGGCATAGAAGAACTGAAATGATGCTTCTCTTCTTGTTTTCTTTTACGGTTTTCGGTATTAAACATACTTAATGACTAGATAACAATTGGGTTTCGTGCCTGCCAGAAGAGTGGGGGGGGAAGACAGTCGTAAATTAGAAGACAGTAGAGGACAATATAAGGAAAGCTATTTCCCAATAGAAAAGAAGAAAAAGAAGAAAAAAAAAAAAAAAAAAAAAAGAGAAGAAAAGATGTGCAAAAAAGGGCAAACAGGGTTTTTTATATACATCTGCAAAAAGGATAGTCGTACAAAACTGGTACTGCTACATCCAAATTAAGAATATAAATCAACCCCACATTTTTCGGTTTAAACCAATCACAACAATTTACTCCAGATTGGTCCCCCTCTTTGACCGACTTTCAACAAATTAAACGTTTTGCCGTCCACATGACTTTCCCGCTCTTCTTGCTGCCTGTACAGCAATCAATACGCTGTAATAACCGAATCAACGGGGTTACACTAATCAATGGGCGGAAAAAAAAAGAGACGCAGAATGAGATTCGTCTTTTCGAAACCTAAAAAAAAAAAAGAGAGAGAGAGAGAATTGGACTCCATTTATCCCATCGCATCCCCAAGAACATCCACTTGAGCCACTGTGAAAACTACAGTGCGTTCAAACAAAAAACCAACGGCGTCTTTCATGGAACAGCTACCGTGCTAACTAAATATATAGATAGGCCCCTTTATTTATCACTTGTGTACAGTGAGTGTATTGAGCTCAATTCCTTATTACTATTGTTGTTTATAACTGGTCCAAATTGCCTGAATTGAATTACGTCAGTGGGTAAAGTGATACACCTAAAACCCTTCTATTCTATCCTCATTACCCTTTTGTCTCTCTCTCCACACATTGTGCATATCTGTCGAATAGGATAAATTATACCGGTTAGCTCTATTTTGTTTTTGGTTTGTATGTACCTACAATTTCGCTCAATGAGTGCTGACCACAGGACTCAATATCCTATGTACGCCCTCAATCCTTTACTTGATATGAATTGAGAGTGCACGTCACTGTATTTGTTACACTACGCCTAAATTAATAGAAATCATAAACTTGCTTTTCACTGGCTGATAACTGGTTCTTTTCAATTGGTAAGTGTTTTTTTGTAACATTACTATTTGATTGAGGGCAAAGCTGTTGTTGCAGATCCCAACAGAATGTTTTAGTTGAAAGATGTTACTCTTTTTACTCTTTAACAATCAAGTAATATCAAATATGTATCGCTAAGTACCGAGAAACTGAGAGGAAAAGAAAAAAGAGATTTCGTACTCATGTAGTATGGATAACCCTGACATTGCCTAAAAAGTCATGATAATAAATACTTGAGGTTTCATTTATGCATGATGCTGCTGTTTTATATCTCAAACAGACCAACATCACACACTAACGATTATAATATCTAACATTACACGTCCATTTTTCCTTATCTTTCATTGTCTGTCTTTCAATAGCAAAAACTGTATACAGAATCTTATCATGGTAGATTTATAATTCAACTCTATAACGTAATTCATCATGGGCTCACCCAGATCCAACAAGGCTGTCCTTAGTGTAAAAATAGAAATATAGATCGTTTTGCTACGGGAGTAGAATAAGGAATACAGCACTTTATCTTTCCAAAATGGCTATTCTGAACGATGAGAAATAAGAAGAGTGCTATGTTCAAACTCTAAACTCAAATTACGGGCTTTCTGGTGGATGACCTTTGTTTATGTAAGCTTTAAAGTTTCAATCTTACCGACATGGCTGAACTGACTTGCCGTGCATTTGTTGATGGCCCTTACCACAACGTGGATAATGTAGCTAATTCATGTTGTTCCAGAAAAAATAACTTTGCTATATAGCCGTTTTTCTTTCCTTCTCTATTCCTGATGGTTCGCATTTATTACTAATAGCTTTTTTTTTTTCTCAGTTTTATGAAAGTATATTATACATATTATATATTTTTATGCAAACTAAAGAAAAATCCAAAGCAGAAAAATAAATGGATTGTCAATGCTCTGCAGACGTCCTTTACTGTCGTTTGGTATTTCAAGCTTGAAGACTTCTCTTACCTGAACTAAATAACTTTCAGCAACTGTTCTAGCACGAGTATTGACACTCAATTTCATTTCAGAGATTTCCTTATCCACTTCTTCCATAAAATGTACAATGAAATCAACCAATTTATGCTTGTACATCTGCTCTGTATGGTTATTTGTGATCAAAAATGAAATATCATAGCCCTAAAAGTATGTCATATGAAATCTATAAGCATCAAAAAAGCCTGTGTCTTTTTTTCTGGACCACTACTAAAGCAGAAAGGACTTACATCAACGGGTTTTCTACGTAAAATAACAAAGTTCTCGGCTCTCATCATCAAGAAACGAGAAAACTTGTGGCATATAATACGTTCCAAATCATCGGCTTGTTTGATTTTGATACTGATACGAACTGAATTGACCGATGGCTCTACCAGCACCTTTTCATTTTCATTACGACTAATGACCAAAGGATTCATTAACAATTCTTTCGACTTTCTATCAAGGTGTTCAAAACACACACACAAAAAAAAAAAAAAGGTGTTATGTATATATATAAATACAATGCTACTCTTTTCGTCCTATTCAAATCGTAGTGCATAGTTTTACCTTGATTCAACTTCAGGTGCATTGTGTCTTTCCGCTACTTGAGATGAGAAGTTTTCTAAACATAAAGCTGCTGTTAAAGTCGAGCGAACGGCTGTGAGATATGGACGAAGTGTATTGGACTATTGTAAACCAGACACAGTATATAGTCATTAGCTTATTTCTAAACTTGCACGTGTGAATTGCAAAGACAAAGGGAGTAAAAAGACCACTCAAGCTTGATGCATTACCATTATAAAAAGGTATCGAGGTTGAAGTGAAATGGGAAGCTCTAATTCATCGAAACAACCAACCAACCAACCAAAAAAAAAAAAAAAAAGAACCCCATTTGGAAAGCGGAGCTGTAAATGCAATTATCTACAGTAACTGTCTGATTAGCGTTGCATTCACTCTTTGGGTTGTTGCCTTCTATTCAACTCGCCTACAGTGAACAAGCGCTATCTTTATTAAAAGTAAGCTAAAACCCCACTACAGTCCAGAAACATTGCATTGGTTTCAAGTTTAAAAATTGCATTGAAGGATAAGTAATTTTATTTGTACCTTGAAAACGGAAAGAAAGTCGAAATACCCAACCTGTCATTCATTTAAAGCAGTAGAAAGTTGAACTCACCAAGCAGCTTAAATGCAAGTTATGTATGACCAAAAAGCATACTAAAATATAACCAAATGTTTAAACTATCCCATTTTGACGATCAGTCATGTCCATAAAACTGTCCTTTAATACTTAGCGACATATCGGACGCTTTTAAGTCAAACAATAAACGACGTTCTATTTAATACAATTACATCAATTGACGTGTCCAATGAATTTGACCACTGCTCCAATAGCATAATCTATATATCTCAACTCTTTTCTCAACACAAGGAATGATGAGCAAAGCATGGATCATCCCTGCCTCCCGAACGTAACAGTTCCTCGCCCCAAACAATGACATATCATATGATGATGTTAAGGGTCACAACTTAAACAACTTGGAAGAGCAAAAGAAAATCATCAAGATTTACGATAATCATCCAATGTTGCTACAGTACCAATTACAGTTCAGTTGTAATTGTACGTAAAATACGAGATGATGAGCTCCCTGCTACTTTGGTAAACGTCATAAGATAAAAATTCATTCAGTGTGCTAGAAAGAAGAACGCAGAAAAGTAAGGAGTTGTATTTATACTTACGCCCTTCCACCACAAGACTGGCATTAGAGCAAGCTTTCGAAATGCAGAATAATGATACCATAGTCTACAACAAGCAAATCCACACGGCTACAACATCTGGGTTCAGCAAGGAATAATGCGCCATTTGAAATGGTTGAGTGAATGTTTTCAAACAGAAAGGTACATTACATGATCAGGCGATTGAATAAGACTTACCACTACCAACAGTGACTAGTAATCTTGGTAAATACCTCGATAATTGAGCTGATGAAGCTGCTGGAAACACTGCATATTATGAGTAGACATCAAACTGATTGTTGTAAGGACATTCCCCTCCCCTCCCCAATCAAAGACGCATTGTTTGGAGAAAGCCTTCAAAAGATGAAACGCTTCAAGTTCCGTAAAGTCCTTTGAACAAACGAGGAATCGGTAAATACAAGGGCGCAATATAGAAGAGCGCGTTGAGAAGTATTTCAAATAATCTCTCTTGCACCAACAGCAAGACTGTTTGCATAAACTATCATTTAAAATGCGTTGAACCTTTGTGTCATGGTCCTAACTTTAAAATGTTATATTCTCTATCGAAGACATGCATAAGATGTGTTAATTAATGAATAATAAGCGGCATCAGAAGGCAACGTTTGAAATTATTAACGTATCATATACATACTTGATCAGCAGTGAACTTCAATATCTGGGACAAAAAGAAAGGTCATATGTCAAAAGCAGAGTAGAAGAATCTAACTGAATAACATCACGGCAAGCAACCTTTGGTTAGCATAATAAGTGTTCGCATGGCGTTACATCTTATTTAGCCTGGTCAGTTGCTTGAATAATGCCAATATCAGTCAGAATTCTGTAACCAAATTTCAGTTACAGTGTTTTGCGTTGAAGTTAGAATTTTGACCTTTTTGTATGTCCAGTAAATAGAATTTTGTGTCAAGCAGCAGAAATATTTAATGATCATTGGTAGAGATGCTTGAGCATCAATATACACATCACAAAGCCAATAAAACACGGAAAGAGCTTCAACGCGAAATTATGATTTTGAAACCCCTCTGACTAATGTGTCGTCCTTTTTTCTAAATAAAATTGAAAGTATACAAACAAAAAAAAAAAAAGTAAACAAAATCTTTGGTCCGAAGCCTGCCGCTTTTATTCGCTCGACAGTATATCCGATCAAATACTTAGCAAGCAAAAACTCAACCCAATAATAGCTTTAGCATATTTCTTAAGCAGTCAGCAACGAAGTATCATTACTCTTGAAGATAATAATGACGGAATACTTCGCGAAATCCACTCTATTGCTGCCAAATCGTTTAAGAAATACAGTGATATCCAACAAAGTCAAGAAGAACAGTATCAAGAAATGACAAAGAACACAAACAAGCAGTTCAGTAAAATTGTAGCTAGCGTAGAAGAATATGAAAAAGAAAGCAAATCACTAACATTGAAGAGACTGAAGAAGTATGCAGAAGATGGTGTCAAGGCACAAGCAAGAAGTTGAAGACAGTTGCAGATGATGTTGTTGTGACACCTATTGAGGAAGAAAAGCCAAGTGCTGATCTGTTCTTTGTTGTTCAGAACAGAGAAAAAGATAAAGATAAGTTCAGATGGGGTATTTGTTATGAAAAAGGACAGGGAAAAGGCTTGTTTCAAAGATATAGTTCAGCACTATCGCTAAAGAACACATACTTCAATAAGCATCTATGATGCTGCTGCATAATCTACTATATACCACGCTAAATAAAATGCTCCCTTGTTAACCATATCATATTATTATTGCAAAACCTGTCGTTTATCAAAAGTGCTTGAATCTATATGTAGGTTTGTAAGGTCATGACTGGCTTATCCGAGCGGTTGAGGCAACAGGTAAAGGAAAAGTAAACTAGCCAGATTGTCAAAATTCGTTCTTTATCAAATACCTACTTGTCACTGCTTTTCATCTTGGAATATTCCAATGGCCATTCAGTATGAATTACCATAGTAATCTTTGATACGGTATGGGCATTCTGAATAAAGTCTTAGACCTAGTATATTACATGTGCATCGGTTTATAGTCATATAAAACTAGAATGATGTGCCACGCACGCTGCCATATATGTACCGTGAATGGCGTACATGGGAATCGTACATGGCGTACATGTATACCAAAGCGGTCTATTAGAGACGATCTATGCGTAATCATTCTAAATGTTACATTATTTCGGATCGAGGTTGGCTACAGTATTATTGACTTTAGAAGACATGCACAATAATAGATACTTACTCTTGTATATACGGAAAACAACGACTGGGTTACTTTTGCCCTTATACCAATGTTTGGCTTTTCTGCATTTAGTTCAACTCATTTCTGCCTGTTTGTCTGTCTTTCTTCCGTTCCATCGATCTCGTACCATAATTAGTTTTAGTTTGTCCTTTTTAATCTGATATGGTAAGAAGAGTATTGGAGCCACCTGAGTGTATTTGTTCATAAATGTCAGCTTAAGCATGTTGTATTGGTTTCAAAAATCTGTATGTCGCAATTTTAAACAAACACACTAGCATACTTCAATCAATAATTGGCTACGAGAACTGTAATTTTACAAGTAATTCGTAAGCCAATGCTTAAGAAATAAAGTAACGATTTTCCTTAAATATGAAGTAAAATATATACTGATGCGGTCTGTCTACGAACGCGATTGTCTCAAGTAAAATTTTTATTACTCATCTTGTGGCTTCTGCTTGATGTCGGCTATATTCTCTTCTATTCATATTACGGACCCATGCAGATCTTTCCTTTCTTCGCGCGTCAACGATACAACATTGCTAGCTCTCTCAATTTTTGCCATATGTTCATTATGCTCGGTTAATAGATGACAACTCGCCACCTGAACCAATGACTTCTGTTATGTCTCTAAATGTTTGAGTCATATAAGTCCCTATATCCCCCTTCACCGCTTCTTTAAGAGTTTGGATAATCCTTTTTGTAGCTGATTAATGACTGTGTTGGGACGACTAAATATCTCTCGCTTCCTTTTAAATGTGCTGATAATATTATGTTACTTAATTGTATTGACTCTGTTGCTTTTCCTTTCCTTTTCTTTTATTCAGGGCTTTTTACCAATCAAATTTCATGATCAACCTTCTATTACTACTCGCTTATTTCCAATGGCTACTTTAAGCTTTATACAACTTGCATATATTGCTGTTTATGTTGTTTGCGGTTATGTTGTATTTAATGTACGACATCAGTCTTACTAAAGACGACTTCAGTATTAGCCTTATAACTTGACACATGTCTCCTTTAATGCTCGCTTGTAACTATCGTATCCTTCTAAGTCAAAGGTTATAGCTCAGTTGTATTAATAGTTCAATACCAATTATTATCCCTTTTCTCAACAATTACAGAATCATCTTTCTAGCGTCTGGGTCCGGATAATGTCACATAACACTTTATTCACGGCATTTATAATATTGTTTCTATATTTGCTTTGTGATCTGCAATATACATAATTCATTTTTATCCTTGAGAAAGTGAATTATTATTAGAGCACAATTCATCCGTGATGATTTCTACATTTTTATCTATGAATGAATCTCAAATACAGCATAAACCTCGTTGAGGATTGGAATAAAAGAACCGCCCTTTGAAAAAACAAAAACTGCCTTTTGGAAAAATTACAACCGCCCTTTGAGAGAATTTAATAAAAAACCGCCCTTTGGCGTTGGAACAACTGTAATATCCTGGAATTCCAAATAAAGTAAGTTTGTACATTATACGGGTGTTACAATCGTCATCACTATCAGCAGCACAGCCCTTTCTCTTTTCTCTTACTTTTTTCTTATCCTTCTCCCACTGCCCTTTGTACTCAGCTATACCAACTTGGTTTTTATGGAAAAGTAAAAATAATTCGTAAGCTCTCCAACAACATATTGCTATTCTCGTACAAGATAATTACAAGATTTTTGAACGTTTCTCCTTTTGCTGGGGCACTACTTTTCTCAGTCAAGTCCTGCGATGACAGTTAGTGAAGATCTATCCACAAGATCTTCCACTTTAATAGCGACATCAGCTCCCCTCCCAGCAACTCCAACTATACCCACTGTAAGATCAGCAGCAGTAGCTTCCGTCAAACAGAGCAACAACTCCCATAACAGTAGCAAAATTGACATCAGCTCAGAATACCATGAAATTGAAATTCGTATCTTAACTAAATGGATCAATCAAAAACTAAGGCAAGTAGGAGACTCGATAAACAATATCAGCAAAGATTTGCAAGACGGAACTCGCTTGTTGAAGCTCTTGTCTGTCTTGACGAAGAATGAAACATTGTTGAAACCAGAAAGGGGAAATATGCGGATACATAAACTATCAAATGTTTCACAAGCATTGACCTACTTAAAGGAGCAGTGGGGTCATGATAACTTACCTGCCGTTGGAAGTGAAGCCATCGTTAACGGCGACCTGAAAAGTACTATGGCATTGACCTATTTTATTATGCTGAAATATCAACTTTTGCCTTTATTTGATACGGTAAAGTGGGTAATTTTTCGGATTCTATATTCTTCGACTATTCATTAACATTAAAAAAAAAAAAACCAAAAATATTTGAACATTTATAGGAATCGGAATTATTGCTGCCTCCTCCTCCTCCTCGTCCTCCTCCATCTCCTTTGCCGACACAATCCTCGACTTCAGCACGATCAACGAAAAAGAACAATGACGAGAACACTCCAACGGCAAGCAATAGCAATATTACAATGATGATGGAAGCCAAATCGATCCTCCTTCAATGGGTTAGAAATCAATTACGCGACTATGTAGATCATCACATACTTTCGACTATTCAGGATTTTTCGAGATCTTGGAGCTCAGGCTTAGCATTTTGCTTGCTTATTCATAGTTATGATCCGTACCTGATACCCATCTCTTTCAAAGAGCTAATACAGTTAGCAGCCAATAAAGAGAACGCTAAACTTCTTTCCATGGCTTTTGATATTGCAGCCGAAAAAATGAACGTGCCCAAGTACTTGGAACCAATAGACTTGGCATTCCCACATGAGTCCTCTATTATGATTTACATCAGCGAGCTGTATAAGCACATGCTACTGACGCCGCCATCATTAGCGACTACCACAGATGGGCATCAACAGGAGGAGGATCATCATAGCGTATCGGACAGACAACAAAAAAAGCTGAGTGATATCAAAACAGTATCGAGTACCTATGATAGTAATAACAGTAACGCAGTGCCTATCATAACAACGCCACAACCATCTATATCCACTACAGTGTCATCCTTCATGTACCATATTATACCCAGAAATGCAGACAACACACCCATCCATCCATTAGATGCTACGATGGCCATGGCTAAGGAGTTTGAGAGGTCTTTATTTCAATTGCCTATACCCAGCGACCTGAAAGAATCAGAAAAGTATCAACAAATACGGTCTCAGTGCGACCTTTTCAAAAAAGGGGCCACTCTTGCACAACTCATCACAGCTCTACAACAGGAATTAGATATCATCCAACAGCTGATGAACCAGAGCGGCGCCACCACTTCTGTCACCAATGATACAATTCGTGCCTTGGAAAATCGCATTCATATCGTTAGCACCAGTATTCAAGGAGTGCACGAAGAATATGATGCAGATTTTGACAGAGACGAAATCTACCTCCGTCGAATGGATGCATTAGAAGAGCGATACGAGTTAGTGCGTGACTGGGTGGATGAAGTGCGTAGTTGGTTTGTCGAAGCAGAAAGAATTAGGACATGGATTGATGAGCATATAGATACCATTGAGAAAAGAAATTCTGCATTAGCGGGTCAGCGTGGTGGTGATGATCCTTTGTCAACCGAAATGGCACTTACAGACGACGCCATTCGTCAGTTACACCAAGAACATGAACGGTTGAAGCATGAAATTGAGCGTTTTGATTCCGATGATATGGACCGATTAAGGGCACACGTGAAAAAGCTAACAGCAGTCCATGGTACCGATGGGGCTGTGAATGGAAAGAAGGACGAGGAGCTCACGCCCGCAGATACATCCACTATCGAAATCACTCTGACAACATTAAATCAATTAAATCGTTTGACCAAATTACTGGAAAGAAGATCGCATAAGATCAATCTGCTGCTGTTGAGGTCACAATGGGAAGAATTATTTGGTAATGCAGTAGAATGGATAGCCACAACTGATGCTGAACTAGACCACTTTTTGAAGACAAAAGCGCGATGGTCTTCAGAACAAGAAGAACAACAGGGTGATGAATGCGACTATGAAATTGAAGAGATCATCAAGACATTAGTAAACTTAGAGCATAAAATTGCCGACTTTGATCAAACGACTTACTCTGATGTGTTGGATGCATATCAAGAAATGGAAGCTCTTCAACAGATGCCTGATTATTTAGAGGCACGCCAAGTAGGGTTTGAAAAAGCTTTTGAAGATCTTATGAAGCGATCCAGCTATTCTCGAAAGCTGGTTGAACAGTTCCTGTATACGGTGGATGCCATTCATAAATTCAAAGATCTGAGGGATACAGGCGAACATTTGCGTCAGCAACTGTCCCAGCAGGAAGAAATGCCAAACAAAATGGATGAAGAGGTGGACTATTTTGCAGAGAAAGTGCAGGTGTTTAAAGAGAATTCAGCACGGTTAATCACGAATGTGAATTCAGGTATTACTTATCCTGCAGCACCTAAAATGTCAACTGCCATTGGAGCTCAAGATGAACAAGAGGGAGAAATAACCAACGAGAACATTAGAAGCACTATCAGCACGTATAGTACGGCTTTAGCTTTGCTTGCGGATAGTTTGGATCAGTTACTCACCTCACGTTATCAGATCATTTCTCTTCAACAACGTGTATCTGAGGCGTCAGCGATACTCAACAAATGTAAAACATGGATACATGAACGTATTAAATTGCTGAGAAAAGCACCCATTGAAACTATGCTCTATTGTGAATCTATGCCTGATCCCTCCAGTTCGCCCTCAACAGATACTGTTGCCAGCGGGATGGTAGCAAACAGAGAAAACCGCGTCACTACAAATCTAAAGCAGAATGGAAATAGCAGCAGCTACCACACATTAAACGCACTTAGCAATGTGAATGGAGCGTCTTCAACTACGATCGGTACCATAACAAGCGCCATTATTGATGAAGAACAATTCTTGCAGTTTGAAAAAGAACGCGATATGATAACCCTTCGTTTTCAACAAATTGAAAGTGAGGAATTAAGTAACATACTTCAAACAGTGCATCAAATAGAGTCTGATGTCGATGCAACCAACGCTGTTTCTATCGATCGGAGCGCTCTCATTAATCAAGTGGAAGATTTGCAGGCGAGCCATCAAATATTAAAGGATCTAATTGCATCCCGTGGACGTGAACTAGATGCTCTCAAGCGACGTTTGGAATGGGAAACTCAATGGTCTAAATCCAACAGCCATATTCAAACTCTCGCTCGTAAATTTTGCGATTTTAGTGTGAAGAAAGTCTCCTCCTTCAGTAGCGACTTGTTGTCAGACATATCCTTCCAAGGTGGTCAAGAATTGATGCAGTCTTTGCGTTTCTTACAAGAACGCGTTGCAGAATTAGAGGAACGCTTTTTGATACCATTAGCCGATAATTATTCCGAACTAACGAACAGCTACACTCAAGGACTATCGTCTAACTTACCAGAATTTATGTCGAATAAACAAGCCAATTTAAAGTTCAAATATGAAGACCTAAAGCACTTGGCTACTTATACAGCAGATTTGGTCAAGCAACGACATATTGTTACGGAGTTCCTGCTGCGCGTACAAGATGTACAAACGGAAGCAGAGAAAATAAAAGATGGGTTGAACAAAAAAACGCGTCGGATGAGGTTGATGCACAGTCAACAGCAGCAGCATCAAAAGGAACCAGGTGCCCTGTTGGACGAGGACGACGATATTTCTTGCTCTCCCAGGAAGATTGAAACACGTGTGGATAAGCTCAAACAGGAAATCAAACATATAGAGGAGGGCTGCTGTGGTAAAAACATGACGTACCCTGTCTATCATGGTCAGTGGTTGAAAGTATATTATCAACAATACCCACAACGCCAGCAGCAAACATTCGATGATTCAGCCTCTCAAATAATAAAAAAAATAATAGATAAGCATATGAGCAACCTTAGAGAGTTAGAAAAGAAGATAGATGAATGCTTGGAAGAATATCATACCGTAGGACATCAAAAATCAATTGTCAATGGCTACATTCAACAAACGTACGAATTAGAGCGGTGGGTTAGCCAGACCTACGAGCAGCTGCACGCTCAATATACCGTTGACGTTTCCTCAGAAGACATCCATTTTAGCTCTGTTGAGGATCTAGATCAATTAAAACAGTCTTTTCACTCTGAACTGCTAGCAAATATACAAACATTTGAGACTGAAAAATTGAAAGTGCTCCACGATAACGTGAGTCAGTTAATAGACGATACTGTCAATGATTCGAAGAGGAACTGTAGCACCAATAAAGACAGTAGTCATAGTAGCAATTATCAATCAATGGATGTCTCCTTTGCAGTTCAAAGAGTAGGGGAAGTAATGCAGCAGCTGTCACATCTGAAAGCTGAGTTGTCCGAGCATGCTTTCACGCTTGAAGCAGCAGTAATGAGACTGAAATGGGAAGAAAAATTACAACAAGGTACCACCTTTTTGGAGGATATGAATGAGCACCTACGGTTTTTAGGGCAAAGGAGAAATCAGATTTTCAGTCAAGAAAAAGTTACCACTGAAGATGCGAGCTCATTTAAGGAAGCTGTAAATCAATTGATGTCGTTAAAGGAACAATTTGAAGAGACTCTGTTGCCCGCAATACAATTCAGTTATGATCAGTTTGTAGACTACTTTCCAAATCTTTCAAAACCCATGGCTACACCAGATCATCTGGAAGCTCGTATGGAATTGTTGAACAAGACAGCAGCTCGTATCGAGGAAAGCTTAGAGCAACGTACTTATGAGTTGCATTTGATTGAGCAGCGTGTATATTGGGAAAAGACAGTGAAGAAAGCATTGTCATTTTGCTCCGCGACAGTGGCAAATATAGAATCTTTCATTGAAGGCAAGGCAAGATGGCAAAACTCACAACAGCAACAAACGTTATCTGCAACCCTGACCAATGATGCTGATGATGATCAAGAGGCTATTCTCCGCTCAGAGTGGAGCAACATTTTTAACAGTGTTGAAAACCATAAGGAAGAGGTAATGATACCACTTCAAGATCAATTTCATCGATTAATGGAAAACAACAACATTTCTCAAGACAGTAACAACCTACCAGTCTTACCACCCCTTCTGGTTCAAACGATGCAAGTAGTCAAACTTGCCCATGAACGTGTTGATTATCACCTAAAGTTTTCTAATGAAATAGTTACGCAACGTTGTCTATTATCAGCTTTCATTTTAAGAACAACGCAATTGGAAGAATCAGCTGAGCTTATTAGGGAGGAGTTTATTGAAAATAAAACAACCAACAACAGAAATACACTCCTGGTCGATATCTTGGAAGGTCACTCAGAAAGATTAAATAAATTTAGGAGCGGAATTGACGATGTGCGTGACAATCTCGCCAGAAGTATTCCCTTCCCAGTTCGCTCGATAGAAGATACACCTACTCAAGCAAAGATCAAGGATGAAAGTACAAATACGGTTATTAAGGAGATTATTTCGATGCGTCTGGCAAAATTAGATGAATTATGGATCAGCTTACAGCAATTGCTCAAATCAAAGGAGTGTATAACACGACGTCGTTTATCATTATACACATTTAAAAAACAAGCAGAAATTGTTGAAGCCTGGATTAAGTCTCGTCAAGAAACTCTAGGACAGTATGAGGAAAAGTATCTCGTCCATGATGACGAGGCGCAGAAGACTCTAGACAGATTGAGGAGCGCGGTAACTCAACTGGAGGCTATAGAACAGGCGATGATAGCAACGGAGAATGTCTTCACTGAATTTATGTCTACTTTTGACAAATGCGTTGCAGCAGAAAAAGACAAATCGTTAGATAATGAAGAAGACCGTTTAATCGTCAATGAAGAAGTGCATGAACCCTTCAATTATACTCAACAAATGTCTGATGTAGTCTACCCAACTCAGCACAAAATTACGAATGCTTGGAACCAATTGCTAGAAAAGGTTATTGAGGTTGGCAAAGCCAAGAAAGCACATTTGCTTGAGCAGAAGCTATCCATTTGGCAAGAATCATTAAAGAAGCTTTTGCAGATTATTACTGAAAACAAGCCTACCATGGTTATCGATAGCAGCCTACTTGCAGAATGGTTCGACAATTTTCATCGCTTAGAGAGCAAGGAGTACATCGATATGAGGGCTGAGATCGAAAGAAGCACAAATTTATTCAGCATAGAACAAATGAATAATGTGCAGTCTTCCCTAAACAATGGGTCGTCCATCATCGAATTGATACGCTCGGCACTCACTGCTGTTCAAAAGAAACTTAGCTTGAGAAAGCTTATTGAAAATCATACAAACGCTATTAACGAGTTGCAGCAGTTCTTAAATAGACAAAGAAAAGCACTGGCGTCCATGAAAGAGGACCTTGCTTTAGAATTCGACGCTACTTACAGAGATATTGACGGTTGCAATCGTCAGTATCAAACTCTATCCGCATCGTTCAAAAATATTTGCGAGATGAATTCAGCTTTAGAAGCAGATTATAATGGCATTATTGAGCAACACAATAGAATTATAGTAGAAGATGAAAATTTCATATCGGATGATCAATTGCACTTAAAGCAAACATGGACAGAAATCAAGGAGCAAGAGTACGAAGTAGCTATACTGCTATCACGAGTTTCAAAATGGTTAGACATATTTACTATATTGCAAGCGGTAAAGAACACACTGCACCAGATTGAATCCGATCTCACAAGCTTGATAATTGGACCATACGACCAGCAAAGCGTTTCCTTAAAAATAAAGCAATTGACAGCTGTAGAAAAGAAACTTACCGATGAAGCTTCCCATTTGCAAGAGGAGTTAGTAGAAGAAACTACAGTCTATAATCAATTTGAATCAGAGCGCTTAGATTGCTTTACACTGTTAACAAACCTCAGGTTACAAGTGGACAAGTTAATAGCTGATAAAGAGAAAGAACAGCTGCTTGAAGAACTGAAAGATAAAATTCAGCAACTATCAACAGTTTACAACGGTAAATTGAGCGAGCTTATCAATAGCAATACAGAAGTTATGTCAAGAGAACTTGACACGAAAAACAATGTTTCAGCAATGATGACCTGTCTTAAAGACTCGACTCTAGTGATGGAGACTTTAAAGAATGAAATTCAGGATGAAAATGACGTTATTGAAGTTAATTATACTGCAAAACTAGTTGTAGATCATTACTCTTCAAAGGAAGATATTGACCGATTACTTACACCACTTTTGTCGATAACCGAATCTCTTGACCAGACTATTGAGTCAACCAAAGCAACTATATTGATTATGGATCATATTGAAAAACACTTAACCAAATTTCTTTCTATAACGAAGATGATTGACGACTGCAGTAACATACTTGAGAATATGGCTTTCGAGCAGTCTGTCTTTGAAGTGAAAAGCTTCTTAGAGACAATTGAGCAATCCATAGAGGAATTGGCTTTGATCGAGCGAAACTTAGAATCATACGGTTCTTTCTGCGCACAATCAGCAATACAAGCAATTCAAAGTGTTCCGTACGTACTTAAAAATCGCAGAGAAAATGCACAGAAAGATGTCGCGTCCCTGAAACAGCGATGGTTATCCGTCAAGGATGATATTCAAATGAGAACAACGCGTGCACAACTCTTGACGAAGCTTAAAGACACGCTTCAATTTATCAGCAATTCGAAGGAGACAATAAATGCTTATAATTTGAGCGATCGGGCTGCGTTTGATGAAATGCAAGACTTCAACATGGTCTGTAACGACTTTTCACAATCTTACTACAAGAGACAGAAAGCGTTTGAAGAATTGATGTCTATTGTGTATACGAAGAAGTCGAGCGAACAAGACTCAGAAATACATCAACTCCGCGAAAAAGTCGCCGCTGCCTTTGAGGAGCTCAATGCTCTTATCAACGCAAAGTTGAAAGTAGCGACTGCTAAAGGAGATTATTCAGACTTTTTAAGAATTATGGATGAATTCGATCAGCAAATAGGTTCACTCACGATAGCTATTGAAGGAGCCTCACCACACCATTCCAAACTAGTTAACAACAAATTCAACAAAAGCGAGCTCCAGGCCCTACTTAAACAGCTAGTGTCTTCTTTCAAAACACATCAACAAACCATCAGCTCCATTTTGGAAAAGGCACGCATGGAGTCAAAGAAGCAATTTTTCCTAGAGGATAACAGTCTCGTGACAGAGGGTTTACAGAAAGCCGCAAAACGTTGGGCTCAAACCAAGTCTTCAGCTGCCAGCCGTGAAAAGGAACTTCAAATGTGTATACATCAATTGGATCATGAATTTTTCACTAAACTAGCCATTGCTAAATCCACCACAGCAGCATCAAAAAGAAACACAACTTTGCTCTTGAGCAACAACAACAACGAGGGTACGATGAAGCGAACTGATCAAAATAGACAAGCTGATATAGTTGCTCGTTCCATGGCGAGAAAAAATTTGAAATCACCTGCACATAAACAACAAGATTCATCTTCTACTTCCGCCACAACTGTAACTACGGTGACAATAGCAAAAGCCAACCAAGATTACGTGCCTGATCCAAATAATGAATTAGACGTTAGATTAAGCTATATCGTGAATAACTCAAACTACAGGATACGAGTGAAGAATGTGCCTAATCAAGTTGGTAAATACTGGTTTGGTGAGGTTAATCCAAGGCTTGTGTACTGTCGCGTTTTGCCCAGTAAAATGGTCATGGTTCGTGTAGGAGGCGGATGGGTAGAATTAACAAAGTAATTTTTTTTTTCTCGTTTGATATATACACATCATTCTCGTATTATCCTTCTTCATGCTAAAGCTCTTTTTCCTTTCTTCTTCTTCCTTCTTTTGTAGGTTTTTGAAAGGTAAGAAAGAAAAGCAAAAAACGAGACTAGCGTTGATAAAGGAGTAGTTCATAGGGCAGTTGCTAATTCCGCTTAACAAAATGAATAGATCATCATGTGATAGAAGGTTCATTTTCAAGACCGGACTCTGTCGCAGACCATAACACTGCTGCCAGTAAAAGTCCTCCCGGAACTCCTTTTCAAGAAACCTATTTACAGACGATGCGTGCGGCTTCTCCCTCAGGACGAATCACTATTCGAGGAGGAGGAGGAGGCATTACAGATAAAGCCACCAGTAGTCTTGCTTCCACAAGATCAAGCAGATCAGCGGAGGGAAGAGCAAACTCGCCCACACCAGGGTTTATGGATGGAGATCGATTCATAAGTGTGGATGACGAAGGAAAGCAAATTATTGTCAAGATGAAGAAAGCAGAGAAAGATGCGAAAATGCCCGTTATTAACAAAAAGAAGAAGGATTAAAACCCTACACTCCAGCCCAGCCAACCCATACATTGTTAGCCACGAATACCGTCAGTAATGATCGCGTAGAAAATACGTGTCATGCGTGCCTTCTTATACCATTTGTATTCCCTATCGCTTATATACTCATTCTTTAGTTTTTCAACACAGTCTCTACAAGTATATATATTAAATTGCAAGCTATATAAATCGAAATTGTAAAATTGGATGCCTAACGAAAACTCTCGGTTTTTACTGTACAAAGCACTGTGAGATTAGCCATGCAGTAGCTTTTTTTCTCGAAAATAATGAACAGTTGAATTTCTATCGCCGACACATGAAAATAACTACACTGTTCAATCAGAACATGATGCCACCCCCTTTCCCGACTTGGGGGGCGGTATAGTCGACCAATACAGACAAAGAACAAAAATCAAAAAAGGAAGGTCTCATACACACCTTTTCCCGATATCCTATCCATTCAAGTATTTAAAATAGTCTATAACATGGAACAGGCAAAAAGACATTGCTGTTTGCATTTGCCTTTGGTGCGACCAAATGTCAAATTTAAAGTTTGGTGTAGCATATGCAGTCTTTTAGTGTAACAGACGTGGAAAAATTTAGAATGCAAAATGGGAAAAATTGTTTGAAATAGGCTTGCATATGTGTGCGTTATTACTACCATTGTTTTGTTGGACTCCAAACTTTAAAAATTAAGTAATTTGCGTTATTCTCCAATGAAAAAAGAAAAGCGCGCATCTTATAAGTGAAAAAAGAGCCAAATTGAAGGATATAGACTTTGATAGCTTTAAGGGTAACCATGTTTATCTGGAGTAAAAAAAAGCCTTATATTTGTTTCTTGCTTGATAGTCTTTTTTTTTTTGTGCACGAGGATAAACTAGTTACTCTACAACTATATCAGGAAACTTGAACAGTTTTTTTGAGATCATAAGTGTGGAAGCTCTACTTTTCTGTTTCATCTTCCTTATTTCGCGGAGAACAAGTCATTAAGGAAAGATCCGGGCATTTTACCTTCGGAATGTGATTTTTGATGATAATCGAATGAAATTGCCCCATGAATGAAGAGTAATAAAACTAATATCCGATTAGAAAAGGTACCTTTTGTTTCTTCAACGGACTCAGGTAAAACTGCTTAGCCTATCAAAGTTTAGGTACGGTAGAGATAAGCAAAAATTATAGGTCAAAAACGGTAAAATTGCCTATTTTGGTCTCGAAATCCAATCTCATACTGGTGCAAATGAACCGTTTGATCGTTTTCAGGGTGCAAGAACAAAGCTTTCCGCTCCTGAAGCCACTACATGAAAGCGCAGTAAATTATTTGCTAATCATGGTCTAGTCAAGTAACACAGTTTATGTAGCTGTAATGACATCGTGGCCTTGTTAAAGTCTAAAAGAAATGCTACGTAATTGTTACTATCAAAAAACCTACAAAAGCTTTAGTAATTGAGTGACAGTGTCGATTATCTCATACTATATAGCAAATCGATAAACGAAAATAAAGGCTGATCGTCACGCTGAATGGTCAAGAGAACTGGACAGAAAAAAAATTTATGAAACAATGCCAGATTTTTCTAAGCGGAGACGGTACTAACGAAAATAAGAAATCATATAAAAAAGACTGAAGAAACTTGAAGGCTTATATTGAGAGTTCTAGTTTTATATCAGTTTTTGTTATTTCTGGTTTTTTCTCTTTATTTTGCTCTTTTAATATATTAGCATTCGCATTTATTGCATATTCACAGCACAGTGCCAGCATATAAATAGAGAGGACACTTTTCCTAAAAAAAAGACAAGCGAAAAAATATCATGGAAGACGAGAAAAAGGATGCGATATTAGAGTCGACAGAATATACATATAGTCAATCGTTTGAGTCAACTCCTGTTTATATAGAAGAAGATGCTGAAGGTCCGGAACCCACCGAACAGGATTGGGCCGAATTGACCGAAACAGCGGATACCCTACCCAAGGCTGCTTACTTAGTAATCATGGTCGAATTCTGCGAACGTTTCACTTATTATGGTCTCAGTGGACCCTTCCAAAACTATATTCAGCATTCCGATCCCGGACATTGTAAGTTTAGAAACGTCCTCACGATATTAGATGCTGAAGGATAGAGGAATTCAAAGGATATTCCCCTTTTGCTTTCAGCCTTCAATGACCCTTAAGCAGTTCACCAGATTAAACTTTTTCTTTTTTTCTTCTTCTTTACTGCCTTATTTTGCTTGGCTCTAATGATTAGACCCCGCGGAACAGCCTGGTGCTATGGGTAAAGGCCAGCAAACAGCTACTGCCTTGACTACATTCTTCCAATTTTGGTGTTATATCACTCCTATCTTTGGTGCTATTGTAGCAGATCAATACCTTGGTAAATACAAGACCATCCTCATCAATACAATCATCTATTTTTTCGGTCTTGTCATCCTGACATTGACCTCTATTCCCCCGGGTCTTGCTAGCGGTGCTGCTTTTCCCGGTTTTATCGTTGCTATTATCATTATCGGTTTCGCCACTGGTGGTATCAAATCGAACGTTTCTCCCCTCGTTGCTGAACAATATCGTGGTACTCGTGCTTACGTGAAAACACTGAAGAATGGCAAACGTGTCATCGTCAGTCCTCAGGCTACTTACCAAAAGATTTTCAATTACTTCTATTGGGGTATCAACGTCGGTTCGCTTTCAGCTATTGCAACCACTGAACTAGAAAAAAATTGTGGTTTCTGGCCTGCTTTCCTTTTGCCTACACTTATGTTTATTCCCTGTATCTGTGTGGTCTACTTTGGTCGTAAGCAATATGTCTTGATCCCTCCTCGTGGTTCTGTCTTTGCTGAAGCTTTTAGACTTTTCAAGCTTGCTTTCAAATTGAAGGGTATTGACGCTTGTAAGCCTTCTCGTTTGGCTCAGGAACATCCCGACGCCTTATCAAGAGCCACATGGGATGACGTTTTTGTCGAAGAATTGAAGAGAGCCTTGAGAGCTTGTGTTATCTTCTGTTGGTTTCCTATCTTCTGGCTTTGTTACAACCAAATGACCAATAACTTGGTCTCCTTGGCTGGTACAATGTTAACGGGTAACGTTCCCAACGATATTATGCAGAACATTGATCCCATCGTTTTGACCGTCTTGGTTCCTGTCATGGATTCGGGTGTCTATCCTTTCTTGCGTAAAATTGGTCATTCCCCTGGTCCGATCCTTCGTATTGCCATCGGTTTCCTCTTTGCCGCCGCTGCTATGGGTTATACTGCTGGTATTCAAGCCAGGGTTTATCATACTGCTCCTTTCTTCGATCACCCCAGTGGTAAACAAAATTGGATATCTGCGGCTTATATCATTCCTTCTTATGCTCTCACCGCTTTCTCTGAAGTCTTTGCTTCTATCACCGGTTATGAATATGCTTATAAGAAGGCTCCTGCATCTATGAGATCCATTGTCATGGCCCTTTTCTTGTTTACCAACTGTATCGCTTCTATTCTTGCTTTTGCTTTGGTTTCCGTTACTGTCGATCCCAAGTTAACTTGGATGTATACCGGTATTAGTGCTGCCATGTTCGCTGTCGCTGTTCTCTTCTATATTTGCCATCGCAAGGCAGATGCTAAGGATAGAGAAGATGATGCCATCGGTCGTAATGGCGAGAGAAATGAACTAGAAACTGTTGAACAAGATGAAGAAGGTTCCGTCGGTAGACATGAAGCTGAGAAGGATCGTTAAACCCCCCCCCCCTTTTGTATAATACATAGCGTCCTGTTTCTTGTACTTTTATTTCTTGGAAACAATGACCCAATTGTTCCAAACTTTTTCTTTTGTAGATAGTATTATTCTTTCAAACATTCCTTTCCGTTTTCCTTGCCTTATCCTCACCACACTGCGCAAAAACAGAAAGACACTTCTATCATTTTAGTCCATTGTGTACAATATAATTTGTTACTGTGTCTATTTATATATCCCTAGAGATAGAATAAAACTCTTTGAACTCTATTCTGTCCCTAACTAGCAATTCTGTTCATTGATCATTTTGACCGCATGAAAATATGTCTTAATATTATCGATCTCTATACCAGTTCACGATTTTGGCTTTTTCTCCAACGCGTATTCCGAGCAGGATGACATAGCCACAACATAATTTACTTCTATCAATTCATCTACGGAAAATGCCAGTTGCATCTCTGTTATTATCCTTTCTTATTTTGATTAACAGTGAGAAACAACGTCTCCCTTCAAAGTTGTAGTCTAAATGTTGCATTTTGGTCTTTATTAAATAGTATAATTACATATGTTTAATGAACAGTATCCACAGACATGTAGACATGGCATATAGCGGGGAAAAGAAAGATAGATAAAAGTTTACGAATAACAACGATTCAAAAACTATGAGAATAAATAAAAGGCAGATAGAATAAATAGGTGCGTTTAGATATCAATCTTTACTTCTCTCCGTTTCTCTTTCATCGATTTGTGCGAGAAAAAGAGGGTATTATATACAAAACACGGTTCTGGTTTTGGCTTTTCAGTTTGTTCTTATAAATTTTTCCAAGTGTCTAGGGTTCTAACGATCATTTCGTAGGTCAATATAGTCATTGCTGATGCAGGTACTGTTCTGACCAAATTGGTGGTTAGGCCTTTGTAAAATCCTCGTACTCCTTCTTCTTTCGACATGACATTGATCGCATGTAAGATGCCTTTGTATTTATAGGGTCTTCTCGTTTGATTTTGTAATCGTGTTCTGATAACTTCGTGAGGATAAGTCGCCAGGCTGGCGGCCATTTTTGACAATGAGGACGCTAATAAAATAGAGCTTGATCCTGACCGTTCGTCGTTATCCACGTCTATGATAGAAAAAAGAAATAGACGACGGTCAGTTGACTAGTGGGCTTGTAGAAGCTCATTCTTACTTACGAAATGCATGTTTCAACTTTTCATATAATGGAAATTGTACGGCAACATGACTAATCCCAATTAAAGAAGGCCCCAAACCTTTATAGAATCCTCTAAAACCTTCTTCTTTTCCAATTGTGATCAAAGCATGTAACGTGTTGTTGTATCTGTACGCTGTTCGTTCATTTTGGGTCTAATTCCAATGAGTTATTAAGTTAAAGACTCCCGTACTTCAGAGTAAAGGATAAGAAAATTTGACAAACTAACCATGAGTCTTGTCTTTATAACCCATAATGGATTGGTAAGCGTTGTAGACGTTGCTCCTGCAGTCATAGCGGAGGTAATATGTAATAGCCATTCTTTATGTCCTATAGAATGAGCCAGATCGGTTGAGTAATAATAATTTCATATACAAATCAAAAATGCAAAATGGTCATTGACACGTGTGAAGTGGCATGGTTTTCCAATTTTTTCTTTTCTTACCTATTTCTTCTGCCCAATGGCTTTTACAATAATCGTAGGCAGTGAAATAAATCGCCCAAGTAGGTAAATAGCCTAATATTGTAGGACCCAATCCTCTATATAATCCACGTATACCTTCTTCTCGCCATATCCTCGATAATGTACCCACGGTGCCTTTATACAATTTTTCGCCAGGTCCTGCAATACTTTGATTTTGTAATCGTGTTTTAGCTACATCCAAAGGACAAGTGACAATAGAGGATACAATGCCTGCGCCTGCGCCTGCTATAGAATGCTTCAAGTTTTCATGACTTTGACTAAAATTAAAGTGAATTAAGGAAAGAACGACATTTAAATACGTTTCAAGAACAGAACATAACAAAAGTTAGTTTTTCTTACGCAAATTGCTTCCACCAATGCTCTATTGATGTTTTGCTCATCATTATAGATTGTTTCAAATCGTCTTATTGTTGTCTAACTTTCTTTTTTAGTTTAAAATGCGGGGATGAAGGAGGGTATTAATGTTGGAATCAGAGTCGTGTCAAGCGATTACTGAAAACCTAGAGTCAACGGAGGTGTTGTTTTTTGCTTCAAGTATAGGAAAGGTCGAGATATTGCTGAAGTATGGTATATGTTAGCGAAATAAGTGAAAAGAGAGTGTATATTTGAATTCGCTCAAATTTTCATGTTTTCTGATTTCATCAAAAAAAAAAAAATGACCTCACACCTAACCGAGGAAAACAAGAAAAAATTGATCCAATCAAGTATCAAACGTCATTTTTGATCGTTTTATCAGAAGGAATAGGGAAAAGCAAATAAAGTTTATTTGAACAGTTTTTTACAAGTATGCTCACCACTAGGACGATAGACTGGAATGTATAGACGATTACAAAAATAAATCAAAGCTTAAGTGATAGATATTGGAATAATGGGAGGGGTAATTAGCCTAATTTTCTCTTCTCATGTATTTCATAGTCTCTAAGTCAACGAGAATCTTGTCGCCTTCGTTGATGAAATCTGGCACAAGAATCTTGGCACCATTCGTTAACGTCGCTGTGGTGTAGGAGGCGGTTTTTGCATCCTTTTTAACTCGCTGGACTTTCGATTCAACCGTATACGTGTATTTCAAAGGTAGTTTGAAACTGCAAGGTTTTTCACCGTCGTTTGGACTGGTAACGTATTTCACACTGAGTGGCATACCATCTATATTTGTACAGCTTAGCATGCTTCAAATATTTCAATTCTGCAAAGGTACTGCAGAATAACGCTTTTTACCTTCAAGCATTTGAAGCCCTTTCTCTCCATTCTCGCATGTTGATGCTGGTAACTCTACTTCTTCAAAGCTTTCCATATTCATTAGGTGTAGTTTACCACTTTCCGTATACAGTAGCTGAAATGTTTTGTCTGTGACGTTTAGAACTAATAGTAGGACATAGTTGCTTGTAAGAAGGTGCTTCTTATTCACTGTCTCCACTATTACAGGCTGCAAAGTTACCTTCCAAACTATCATTTGATTTGAACCTTTCACTTATTTTAACATTATCCGATAACAAATCTTGCAACTCGACCTATGGTTACTGTTAATAGAGTTGTTTTCGTCAAAGGCTCAAATTGAAGTTACTTAGGTTCAAACTTTACCTTTACTACAGCCCCACCTCTGCCAGTAGAGGTGTTGTCCCTTCCTAAAACCTTGAAAGGTTTATTTCTAAATTCGACAACTTGACCCTTTTTCAGCGTGTTAACAGCTTGTTTATAACATCTTCTTGTTAAATAACTATTTCCTAGCCTAGATAGTTTATACAATTGTTGTTGCTGTCTTTTGAGAAGGATGGTGCTCGTGATCGTCATGCCAATAACGAAGAAATTTCGTGGTATATATTGTATTTATGAGAATGCTCTTTGCTTGCTGCCCCTGGTTTCCATTGGAGTTTTATGCGTTTTCGAAATTCTTTGCCCGCTCGAAGCTCGAACTTTGTTGGTAATTCGTGCTGAAAAGCCACCCAGTGCACTGACATTTAAATAAGGAACAGGTTACTCATTTTGTATGTGATTTGATCATTTCGGTAAATCTATTTTACATTCTTTTTCCACTTTACTCCTAAAAGAAGGGCATAAAAGAACAATGGCTGATTTGAATAAAGGTGTTGAACAATTGAAATTGGAAGGAGAAGCCGTTAAAGTTGCACCTAAAGATGCACCCGCTGCTGCTTCTCAAAATGTTACACCTTGGGAAGTTGAAGGTGCCGTTGTTGATGGTGTTCAACAAGCTATTGATTACAATAAATTGATTGAACAATTTGGTACAAGACCCATTGACGATGCCTTATTAGAGCGTTTTGAAAAATTAACAGGCCGTAAGCCCCACATCTTTTTGAAAAGAGGCGTCTTTTTCTCTCACAGGTGAGTCAGTCCTTACTTCACATATAGTTGACGTTTGTTGCTGCTCTTTACTTACAAATATACTCACGTATACACTTTTTACTGGTTCGTGATACTTATGATAGAGAGCTTCACGTTATTTTGGATCGTTATGAACAAAAGAAGCCATTCTTCTTATACACCGGTCGTGGACCTTCAAGTGCTGCTATGCATTTAGGACATATGGTTCCTTTCATTTTTTGTCAGTAAGTCAAATGATTCCAATGGATACAGTATTGCTTCGTAGTGGTGTAGGGACTTTTGAGCTCACCTGTTTTTATAACGCTCTTTAGATGGTTACAGGAAGTTTTTGACGTCCCTATTGTTATTCAGTTAACTGACGACGAAAAGTTTTTATTCAAGCCCAATTTGACCGTGGAAATGTGTCGTGAATTTGCCCGAGCCAACGCCAAAGATATCATTGCCTGTGGTTTCAAGCCTGAAAAGACGTTTATCTTTTCTGACTTTGATTATGTTGGGTAAAGCTTTAACTAGACATGAGTTATTCGTTTGGATGTGTGTGGTTTAATGTGTTATTTTCTTTATATGCAGTGCCGAGTTCTATCATAATGTAACTAGAATTTCCCGTTCTATTACTTTATCACAATCCAAGGCTACTTTTGGTTTTAACGACAGGTAAAAGAGAATATGAGAGATCTTTCAAGAGTATGAGTACAGTGTGACATTAACATAACATATTGACGGGTAGCGATAATATTGGCAAGGCACATTTTGTTGCTATTCAAGCTGCGCCTTCATTTTCTAACTCATTCCCTCAAATTTTTGGTGGCAAGAAGGATATTCCTTGTTTGATTCCTTGCGCTATAGATCAAGACCCTTATTTCCGTCTAACACGTGATGTTGCTAAGAAGTTGAAGTATCCTAAGCCTTCCTTAATTCATGCCAAATTCTTCCCAGCCCTTCAAGGCCCTCAAACTAAGATGAGTGCATCTGTAGACACATCAGCTATTTTCATGACTGATACCCCTAAACAAATCAAGAACAAGATCAACAAGCATGGCTTTTCTGGTGGTGGAGCTACCGTTGAAGAACATAGAGCCAATGGTGGTAATCCAGATGTCGATGTTGCTTATCAATATCTGTCTTTCTTCATGGAAGATGATGAAGAGTTGAAGAAAATTCATGATGTAAGTTAAACTAGTCTACTATGAAATGGAGGCGAGTTGATTTAATGCCTACATATTTACTTATAACTACTGTGCTTGCCTCTTTCTTAGTCTTACAAATCTGGTGAATTAATGACTGGTGAACTAAAGAAGATTTGTATTGAACTTTTACAAAAGATGGTTGCTGATTTCCAAGAAAGAAAGAGCAAGATTACTGATGAAATTGTTGATCAATTTATGGATAAGAACAGAAAGATAGATGCTGGCTTGAAATGATTTTGAATAAAATATAGACAGTAAACTTCATGTGCTTGTGTTATATAATTACCGTGATCATTGTTGCTGTCAAATGGTCACAGCAAGAAATAGGAACAGAAAGGGGGCATTTTTGTACTGGTTTTTTTAATATGAGTTTGCGTTGAGATAGGTCAAAGTTTGATAAAATATCCATATATCTTTGTTACAAATTCTCGTCGAAATATACAAGTCGCATTAGACCTTTTACAATTTGGACATTAGCAGACCGTTCTACCAATCGAGATGGGGATGTTACTAATAAGTCAGTATCCAAATTCAGATATATTGCCACTTCAATTTGGAAAAAGGGTGAAGAAGCTCTTCTGGAACAGAATTTGGTATCTCTTTAAAGATCAATGTAAGCCTAAGCATACGATACAGCGAATTTAGACAATTGTATGACAAAGATATGCCGGCAATATCAATCATAGCAAACAAGCATTTAAAGAGACAATTAAAAAAATTAGCCTCGGTTCTCTCATCATAAATTTCAAAGGGTAACGAATGCATCGCCAGTAATATTTAACATGGTTCTAATGAAACTTCCTGTTGAAAAAGCCAATACTCTCAGTGAAATTCATGTTAATTATGCGAGCTTATTTATTTATTATACTGGATTTTGCGGCAATTTTGGCGGACTTTTATAAAGAAAACTGCTTGCAAAATCCGGTAACAAATCTGAGAAACAATCCAGATTTACTGCCTTTACCAGTTATGGTGTACTGGAACAAATAAGATTCCAGGCACACTTCACCCTTACCGGTGATCTGGATATCTCGCAGTGGCATGTACAATTCATTAACAGGAACAATATTATTCGGCTGTCACTAATACTTTCTTAATTCCACTATAAGCTCAGTTCTACCTTGCATTCATATAAAAGACCATCCAATTTCTAAACAAAAATAAAATCATCGAAGAACTATTGTTCGGTCTCGCTGGCGCATCTAGTCTGTACCTTTGAAAAACTTATTAAAATTATAACTTCTGATATCAAGAATATCACATAAGCTATTAGGGAATAAAATAATCAGTATTCGCTTGAGAGAATATGTATTATTGCTTTGACTTACCTCCATTTACTAAAACGTTCACTTCTGTTGAATGCGATCGATAGTTGTGCAGCCCTAGTTTGGATAATTCAGAAAATGTTGTTTTACACACATCGCAAACAATCAATCTAGAGCTCATGGCTTCAAATATATGGAGATGAATAAACAAGAAAAGACAGAAGAGCGACAACTTTTTGCGAAACGCCTTGCGAGCCCTCCTTTTTTTAGAAGATGCTGGTTCTGGTGTCTTAACTCCAACATTTATGATACATGCTTGGGAAATTGCACCTAAAATTGTAAATGTAACACATTTTCCAGTTGGTACAGTGCTCTTTGCAGGTGTGCCTTTTAATGAAGGGTCTTGGTTTCTTCGTGTATGTAAAGTGAAACCTGCTTCATCAATAGAAGCACAATTTTTAGAAAAATCCATAATATTTTTTCAAGTTTCATTAACGTAATGTTATGCTTATGAACTAAATGTTTGTGAATGGCAGAAAAAGAAAATTCCAAACCCTCGAATTTCCTACAAAGTTTTAACTTCAACACGTCTAATATAGCAGTAGTATTCTTTTCGATATAGCCAACTAGAAATTTAGAATGATCCTCAGTCAACTTAGTACGAGATCTTTCATAAGGTTAAGAATAAGATCCTGAAAGTCGTCCCTCAGGATCATTGTTATAAGTTTTTAACATAATTCTGGGTAGTGCGTACATTAATCCCAGTGGCTAAAGCTACACTTTTTGTCGTGAATCCTTCTTCGAGTATTATGTTGAAGAGTTTCTCAACTTGTTTAAGAGTATACTTTATAGAACCTTTCGTTTTAACATTCAAGCCGTGTCTTTTTTTCAACGATATTGACTCTGCGAAAAGGAAAGCATCTGCAAGAAACTCTTCGTTCTCTTCCTCTATTAAATCTACTTCCATATATTCACGTACATATAATAGAGAATCACTTCCAATTCGTCTTATTTTCTCCATCCATTCTTCGCACAAAATGAAATGCTCAATTTCCATTCCTCCTGCTCGTCATCTTCCATATAATCGTCAGATGAAATATCCGTATCGTTATCTGAAATAATTTCTCTATCAGCAATAAATTGTTGGTCGTGCCTTCAACAATCCTTGTTGACTGCGACTCGGACTCCAATGTGGTAACAAGCTCCAAGAGCCTCGCTTTATTTTCCTTTTATGGTTTAAAAATTATAATAAATTCAAACTATACTCTATACTTTCCCTTTTCCCTTTATACCTTCAAAAGCCGCGCATTCGTGGATCAAATTATGAGTGATATTAACATCAATGGCAACAACGAACGAACCTATACACAAAGTGAGATGGAAGCAATTATCCGAAACGTCATTCAACAAATCGACGTCGAAAAAGAAGAGAGAGCCCAGGGAACTGAAATACCAGTGGAAATCTCTGATGCATTGGCCAACACCCCACAGCATCAACTCCAGGAGAACTTTAAGAAATTCAAGCGGGAAACACAAAGGTATGCCCTGGGTGAATGGACAACTCCAGAAAAGATTAATAGAACCATCATGCCCTATCTCAAACGACATTCAACTGAAACAACACTGGTTGTCAACACGATCTATAAGATCACGGACAACACCAGGTTCCAAGCCAGAGTGGCAATGGACATATTTGAACAACTACAATACGTTCTGGGAGAAGCTACCAACCAAGCAGAAGTGCAAACTATCATCGAAAAATGTAGGGAACAAAGCAAACGTTTGGCGATCTTTGGGCTCGCAACGGCAAAGGCCCAAGAAAGAGAAGCAAAAGAGTATTCCGACAAGGCTCTTAACCTCCCAGTCAGCATTAGACATTTGGAATCAACAGAAGAGGACTCCAAAACAAAGAACGCTTACAGTGATGAATTCCTCAACAAATTCCATCAAGCCACCTTTGAACAGAAACTGGTTCAACAAGCCAGTGGAAACCGAGGAAGTAGTAGAAGCAATGGATTTGGTTCCAGAAGTAACCACCGAGGAGGCAGAGGCTTCAGATATGGAAGAGGTAATGGATCACGAGGGTCTTTTTTTTGGCCAGGGTACCCCTCAGAGATGGGGAAATCAACCGAACAGTTACACCAACAATTCACACAACAGCCATCAACCTCACCACGCCAACAACAACACCTCCAACATCCCCAGCAACCAATAACGGACACAGCCAACTACAGCATTCCTACCGATGGAATAGCACCAGGAGGACGACTACAGCGATTTATTCCACAATGGCAGGCCATCACAAGACACCCATGGCCTTTATCAGTCGTACAGGAGGGTTATCAAATTCCACTAATAAAAAAACCTACACCCTGGAAATTACGTCGGATCAACTTGAACCCGATCGAGCAATTAGCAGTCAACGAAGCAGTGGAGAAGTTCCTTCGTGCAGGGATCATAGAGATCTCACCCACGCAGAGCACGGAATATCTATCCAATTTTTTCACCATTCAGGAAACCACCAAACGTCGACCAATCTTGGATTGTCAACAAATCAACAAATATATTCAATGCCAACATTTCAAGATGGAGGGAGTACCAGCTCTAAGGGAGATTATAGAGCAGAACGATTTTATTTGCAAACTGGATCTGAAAGACGCTTATGTGGTCACACCGATTCACCCCAACTCAAAGAAATATCTAACTTTTCAGAACCAAGGAATTGTATACCAATACAAAACTTTAGCGTTCGGGATGAGTGTAAGCCCAAGGGTATTCAGCAAAATGATGCGTTTTGCGATCGAGCCTCTACGGCAGCAAGGCATTCGTCTGGTGTATTACTTAGACGATATATGTGTGCTGGGATCGACAATCGAAGAGACCAAGAATCACACCCACAAAGTGTTATCACATTTGGAAAATTTGGGATTTTTGATCAATTTCCAGAAGAGCGTTTTAACACCTCTGCAACAACAGGAATTCCTAGGATTCACCTTCAACACCAAGAAGATGCAAATCACGGTTCCTGGCAAGAAGTTAAAAAAAACTAATGCTCCGAATCAAACAAGCACTCAAAGCTCAACACAACCAATACAATTGCCGGTGGTACGCGGGTCTGATGGGGAAAATGACCTCGATGATACCAGCAATGGGCGAAGCCCTGTTACATATTCGACATATGCAGAGAGATTTAGCGTTGACATTGAACAAGTACTATCAGAATTGGAATGCACCGATGTCGTTATCTACAGACAGCAAGAACGAATTAATTTGGTGGACACAATGGATGAACAAGAAGAACGGTCTACCCATCAGAAAAACAGTCTGCAACAGGCAACAAGAATTGAAAATCTATGTGGATGCATCGGACCTGGGATGGGGAGTAAGTTCCTCCACAATACAAGCAACCGGAGCGTGGACAGCTACGGAGAAGAATCTATCGATCAACGCGAGAGAACTCACAGCAATCTACTTTGCATTAAAACTCCATGCCAAACAACACCCCAAATCACAAATCAGATTGTTCACCGACAACATGACAGCGCTCAAATACAGCAACAAATCGGGGGGCACAGCGTCCAAAGTTCTACAAGATCTAGCAATACAGATTCAAGAGATATGCAACTGTTACCATCTAGAGGTGGAATACGAACACATTCCGGGAAGAGAAAATATACAAGCCGACTGGCTGAGCAGGCAACACCATCAAACATCGACAAATCTGATGTACAATGCTCAGATGCCACGAAGAGTATTCCAAAGAATCAATCAGCAATGGGGACCCCTGAAGATAGATGCTTTTGCGGACAGAATGAACACAAAACTACCGAATTTTTGGAGTCTTCGCCCGGACCCGGAAGCAACCGCCACAGATGCTTTCCAACAAACTTGGATGAAACAGGGCATGTACTTGTTTCCGCCTTGGAAATTTATCCCAAAAACCATTCAAATGATCAAACAGCAGAAGATACAAAAAGCGGTACTGATAACACCATATTGGCCCACTCAGTTTTGGTTTCCAACACTACTGAAGATGCGACACATCAACAACCCCTTGATGTTCAAGATACAACGATGGAAGATGGCCGCATGGCACTTATCTACCACAAGAGGAAAACCGTTGGTGACCTAGGAGAAGACACTATCGAGTTCCTATCCCATGCACAACGCAACAATACCCACAGGACCTACAATGCTGGCTGGAAAAAATGGACAGCATGGTGCGCATCTCAACCACAACCTACATCACCTACGATTTACGATGAAAACATTGTGCTACGTTTTTTGCTAGAACATCGTCATTTCTCATATCAGTATCTGAATGGTTTACGCTCGTCTATAGCATCCGTTTTCAAGGTTCTGTATCCAGCGAAAGAACCATTGGCAAGCCAAGAATGCATATTAGAATTCTTTAGAGCTAAGAAACGTTCCGAGGTGAAAATTCCAACGAGACAGAAACTACAGACATGGGATACCAACATGCTAGTCGCTTTTATCAAAAAAGAATGGCCTGATAATCAATCTCTGAATCTTTATGATCTTCAACAAAAAACAATTATCCTATTCTGCTTGATAACCATGGCCCGACCCCGATCCGACGTTGGCCGTGTACAATATCGCGATGTACAACTGGAACTGTGTGATGACGAACCGGTATCAGTGATGATACACTTTAGAGAGGCGAAAGAAGCCCAGGTTAAATCAATGGTACTAGGACTGGTTGAAGACCGCAATATGTGCTTGGTGTCGACTTTGTTCTGCTTTATCCAACAATCCAGTCACCTTAGGAGTAATTTACCAGAGAATCATAAACTATTTCTAGCATACCTCAATGAACCTGATAAGGTCAAGTCCGCTAGTCCCTCCACTGTCGCCACATGGATCTCTGCAACCATGGCAAAAGCTGGTATTGATACTAACCTTTATAAACCACATTCCATCCGATCCGCATCCAGCACCAAGGCGGTCGAGAATGGATTGTTGGTCGTGCCTTCAACAATCCTTGTTGACTGCGACTCGGACTCCAATGTGGTACTTTCTCCTTGTGAAGAAAAAATTGAGTTGGCTATAATGGTACTGTTGTTTCGTTGAGCCGTTGGCTTAAAATAGTGTTTCTCAAAGGTGTTGGATCGATGACTCCAATTTGCATGTTGTTTGACTTGATCTATTGAGATTACGTCCGTTGACGGAGATGAGGACAAAAATGTGGTAACAACCCACCCTACTTGGTTTTCTTGGTTGAAGAATCAAATCATTTAATTTAGCTTTAAATCTTGCTCTCCCTGTCTTAGAGAAAAAAAAAAAAATTGAGCTGATACGCCTTTTGAAGGTATAAAGGGAAAAGGGAAAGTATAGAGTATAGTTTGAATTTATTATAATTTTTAAACCATAAAAGGAAAATAAAGCGCGGCTCTTGGAGCTTGTTTCCACATTTTTGTCCTCATCTCCGTCAACGGACGTATTCACTAATGCTTTGCATGTTTGTTCTAAAAATAAAATCACCTTTTTCAAAACCAAATGGTCACTTTTTTAAGCCTCACATGGTCACTTACTGTGCTTCCCACTCTCAATTTACACTTTTGCGAAAGTTTAAATTGCCCAGAAAAATGAAATTAATTTGGTCTAATGTTTGAAAAATAATTTGCCCAGCTTTTCTGAAATACAGATTTTTAACCTAAAATGAGACGGTTGCAAAAAATTGAGACGAGTGCACAACATTATGAGAAAACTTTTATCAGACCAATTTCATTTTCAGTGGAATTGCGAACTTTTCAGGAGACATGACACAATTGCATGCTCTCTCAGTTTTTTCTCTCTCTCACTCTCAGTTTTTTCTCTCAGTTTTTTCTCTCAGTTTTTTCTCTCAGTTTTTTCTCTCAGTTTTTTCTCTCAGTTTTTTCTCTCTCTCAGTTTTTTCTCTCTCTCAGTTTTTTCTCTCAGTTTTTTCTCTCACTCTCAGTTTTTTCTCTCAGTTTTTTTCTCTCAGTTTTTTCTCTCAGTTTTTTCTCTCAGTTTTTTCTCTCTCTCAGTTTTTCTCTCAGTTTTTTCTCTCACTCTCAGTTTTTTCTCTCAGTTTTTTCTCTCAGTTTTTTCTCTCTCTCAGTTTTTTCTCTCAGTTTTTTCTCTCAGTTTTTTCTCTCAGTTTTTTCTCTCTCACCAAGAGCAAACAATGGCACACCTTTGCCACATTTGCGAAAAAGAGTTTCCTTCCCCAACAAAACTATATAACCATGGTTACGATGTCCATGTGGATACTTTACAAGTGACCATAGACAAAAGTAAGAACTGGAGTTCTTTCAACAAGAAGACATTGTGCTCACTTTTTTCTTTTTTTAGAGACAAGCATTGTTGAAAGAATCGACAGTAAATTCAGCTGTCCTGATTGTCCCAGCAGACTTTCTACTACCAGGTCATTCAACGATCACCTAAAAAAGAAACATAAAGGAACCTGTTCAGCGTTATCGAAAGCGGAAAAAAGGTGCGACATTGAAACAGACGATGATGATAACGGATCATCAGTTCTTATGAAGCGCCATAAAATGCTTGGCCCACAACTAAATTTTGACGAATTGAATTCAAATTCGCTTACTTTGCCGCCATTACACTGCGACCACAATGCAGAGGCTGTAGCTGCTTCTAATGCACAAGATCAAAGAGAACCAAATAAAAAAGAAATAGTCTTTAGCAATATTGGAAACTGGAAGCCAATAGCATTATCATCTGAATGTGGAAAAACGTATTACATGCTTGCCTCTCCAGAGGCATTTGAGCATTTACTTGTGGAGCAACCAACTGGTCTGTGGAAACCACCAAGTCCAAATTGATAGAAATAGGTGGTATAAAACTACTTTTAATCAAGCTGTATACGGCACATTTATGCATTTTATCTTCTTTTGTTAATTCGTATCACTTCAAATACATTCGAAATTAAATGATAGTTTATAAATCATCATTCTTTTACTCTCTATTTATTTTGACTTATAACTTTATATAAAAAGACACCTGACAAAACAAAGTGAATGAGGCGTAACTAAGAACAATCCTTACAATTTAAGCACATATCAAAAAGTTGCACATGATAAAATGGTAACTTAACGTCAGCTACTTGTATAGATTTTACTTCTTGCTTTACTTGATGAAAAAGTTTATATCGATAGGTATAATGTTGAAGGTATTTGACATCTAATTGTAGAGATGCTGGGATAACAATTTAGCAGCTGTTTTATTTGCATTGCTTATAGACGTTGTCATTGAATCTGCTAAATCCTGCAATAAACGACTCAAATTCAAGTTGTTGATCACTGGAACCACACCATTTTCTTGTAAACTAATGATTTCTCCAATTGTATCTTTTACTTTTCCTTCTTTCAAGGTGTTATGCAATTCATGAAAGAGCATCACTTCAATATATGCTGCAGAACCATTTTTAAAGACCTCTGAAGCAATCGATTGAAACATCCTTGAAAGCTTTTGAGACTGCGAATCTAATGATTGAGAAGAATCATATTCGCAAAGCGTCCAAATGGTATATGGGCGATAGGAGATGTCAGATATAATTGAGCTGAAGGCTCGGCATAGCGAATAAGTTGATAGGCAGTAAAATTTCGATCTTAACTGACGAAGTTGAAAAAATATATAACTCTGGCCAATACATGTAATTGTATCATCTTCAAGCATTATTTTTCCCATTTTTAAGTGTTCTGTATTGAGATATATTTTTGTTTCTGGCAGTGGCACAAAGTTGCTAGTATTAGGTCCCGTTTCAACTGTCGCATTTGTTATAGTTCGCTTGTCCAAACGTGTGCTTGAAGTCACCAATAAATTAAAACTGGAAGCCCCAATTTTCAATTTGGTGGTATTATCGTCTTGAGTCAGGCAAACTACTATCTCTCCATATTTTGATTGTGTTTTTGGAAACGAAGATTGGTGATTTGTTGAACCTGTTCTACGTTCATGATGCGAGTCAACTATTTTTGATCTACCATAGGACTCAACGCAGTTTACAAGTAATGCCGTTGGCCCACTCAATAGAATACTTCCTGCGAAAATATGTGATGTTGCGAATCTAAGTTGTGGAAAGAAGGCCCAGTCTTTGCTCAATTCTTGAGTGATTTCTTTAGTGAGTTCAACGTACTGCTGATCAGCTATATGTCTGTAGATCGGACTTATACGAACAATATACTTGAATAGGTCGTCTGTATTTGTTGAAAGAGAACTGTCTGTTGTAACTGCTTTGTTCACGGTTGGTAGACTCCAAGAGCCAGTCGGATTATCAGATAATACATCAATAATATTTTCTGATGCTGCGAGAAAGGGGTATATTTTACCATTCATAGACGCCAACAAAATGGGTTCCAACTTTCCAATTTTTGCAGCCAAGACACAACTGTCTTGAACGCGAGGCGAGCATGATAGCGCATCACAGGCCAGTAGAACAGCAGAATCATCGTCAAACTGGTTGCTTGTTTGAGATGTAATTAGTCTGTCGATGCTAAAATTATTCTCCCCTATACTTGGCTTGTGATGCTTCATAAGAACTGATGATCCGTTATCATCATCGTCTGTTTCAATGTCGCACCTTTTTTCCGCTTTCGATAACGCTGAACAGGTTCCTTTATGTTTCTTTTTTAGGTGATCGTTGAATGACCTGGTAGTAGAAAGTCTGCTGGGACAATCAGGACAGCTGAATTTACTGTCGATTCTTTCAACAATGCTTGTCTCTAAAAAAAGAAAAAAGTGAGCACAATGTCTTCTTGTTGAAAGAACTCCAGTTCTTACTTTTGTCTATGGTCACTTGTAAAGTATCCACATGGACATCGTAACCATGGTTATATAGTTTTGTTGGGGAAGGAAACTCTTTTTCGCAAATGTGGCAAAGGTGTGCCATTGTTTGCTCTTGGTGAGAGAGAAAAAACTGAGAGAAAAAACTGAGAGAAAAAACTGAGAGAAAAAACTGAGAGAGAGAAAAAACTGAGAGAAAAAACTGAGAGAAAAAACTGAGAGTGAGAGAAAAAACTGAGAGAAAAACTGAGAGAGAGAAAAAACTGAGAGAAAAAACTGAGAGAAAAAACTGAGAGAAAAAACTGAGAGAAAAAACTGAGAGTGAGAGAGAGAAAAAACTGAGAGAGCATGCAATTGTGTCATGTCTCCTGAAAAGTTCGCAATTCCACTGAAAATGAAATTGGTCTAATAAAAGTTTTCTCATAATGTTGTGCACTCGTCTCAATTTTTTGCAACCGTCTCATTTTAGGTTAAAAATCTGTATTTCAGAAAAGCTGGGCAAATTATTTTTCAAACATTAGACCAAATTAATTTCATTTTTCTGGGCAATTTAAACTTTCGCAAAAGTGTAAATTGAGAGTGGGAAGCACAGTAAGTGACCATGTGAGGCTTAAAAAAGTGACCAATTGAGACTCAAAAAAGTGATCCGTTGAGTTTCAAAAAATTGTCCAATTGGGTCTCACAAAAGTGTCCAATTGAAATTTAAAAAGCGACCAGGTTTTTCAAAAAAGTGACCAATGGACGGTGGAAAAACAGTACTAAATAAAAAAGGAGTCAAATCCTTTATGATCTTGACGTAAATATTATTTTAAAAGTCAGCGCAAATTATTTTTATCTCAACGCAAAACTCATATTCAAAAAACAGTAGAAGGGGTGTGCAAATTTTATTTTATTTTTAAAAATGTTTTATTTGTCTTTGTTCCTTATTTTTCCTACCCCACATTATTTGAACAATCAGAGACAGGATATCAAAAATAATGTCAACTACCAGAAGGGCCCATACCACGAGAATACCCACTCTACATAGCAATAAACATCATTCTCATGATAATGGCTCTACAGTAACAACTGATTCTTCCGCTACTGGTAGTAGACAACGTCAGTCGAAAAGAGATGAGGTAAATTGAGTCAGTTCTCCATGAGGGGAAGCGATCACTTCGCTGCAGTTAAACTTTTGGCTAATATTGATGGCTATTCACTAATTTTAGGCGATTCGCAAGAAGTTGGAAACGGAGCTTTCCAAAAAGAAATCGGGCTCAAAAAAGATACGTCAACAAACTACTCGTAAAATAGCTGGTACTGTTTCTGCCCTGCGTCCGGCGCAAGCATTGACAGTCAAAGAGAATATGTTGATTATCGAAGCCTCACAATTGATGGCTGCGAAAAGGAGTGATTGTGTTTTGGTGGTAGACGATGAAGACCACTTGAGTGGCATTTTTACGGCTAAGGATCTTGCTTACAGATTGGTTTCAGAATCATTAGATGCCAGGTATGGATTCTGGAATTGTTGTTTCAGATCAATAAAGCCAGGGCAAATTATTCATACTAATGCAACTGCAATTTAGAAATACGACAGTAGCCAAAATCATGACAAAGGGTCCTATGTGTGTTACCTCTGATACATCAGCCACCGATGCTCTGAATCTGATGGTTTCTCGTGGTTTTCGTCACCTTGTAAGAGAATATATCCTTAGTATAACAATGAAGAATGTGCTTGTAATTAACCAAACCTAAACTTTGTACTATTGTCCTATAGCCCGTCTGCAATGAGGAAGGGGATATTTTTGGTCTTTTAGATATAACGAAATGCTTGTATGAAGCACTTGATAAAATGGAGAGAGCATTCGGTTCTTCCCGCAAGCTCTACGATGCATTGGAAGGTGTTGAAAAAGAATGGGCCAATTCGCCTATTCAACTTGTTCAATACATGGAAGCTCTTCGTGACAAAATGGAATGCCCTGATCTCAATTCAGTTTTAGATGGCTTACCTCCTGCAGAGGTTAGCGTTAAAACCAATGTGCGTGACATTGCACGTATGATGAAAGAATATCACACTACGGCTGTTTTGGTAACTGACCGCGATGGCTTAGCAGGCATCTTCACTACGAAAGATATCGTACTGCGGGTAATTGCTGCAGGTCTGAATCCTGAAACCTGTTCTGTTGTCCGTGTTATGACGCCCCATCCTGATACAGCACCTCCTCAAATGACGATTATGGATGCTCTAAGGAAAATGCATGGTAGGTACAGACAAAGCAGCATTGAAAGAAACGATTCGTTAAACGATGTGTAATTTATTTTTACAGATGGTCACTATCTCAATCTTCCAATCGTGGAGAACGGTGTTGTCATCGGTATCGTAGACGTTTTGAAATTAACATATGCTACTTTAGAGCAGATCAATAGTATTGAGGGTAATGATGGGGAAGGTAAATTGAATTCAAAGAATGCAAATGCCAGGTATAGGAGGTTTAGAATAAGAAGCTAAATACATAAATTGGATATGTTACAGGACCGATGTGGGGAAGATTCTGGGACAGTTTCGGAGCTGCGGATCATCAAGATTCAGAATCGCAATTATCAGATCCTCTTTCTTCACAATTGAATCATACAGCAACAGCAAATGCTTCTCACCTCACAGCAAACGGTAACGGTCTGCAGCCTCATCGTGCTATTTCACCTGAACCTTCTGTTTCGCTTTCTCATCTACAAGGCTTCTCAGAAATCACACCAAATGAATCAGCTAGCATGGTAGCTAATCAAGACGACCCCTCAACACTATCAGAAGAACGCAACAACCGGACCTCTCCTTCCGTCACTAGCAATACAGATCTCTTTTCGTTCAAATTTACCTCTGCAGGTGGGAAGACACATCGCTTTATTTCTGCCCATAATGATTATGAAGCTTTACTAGAAGCAGTTCGACAAAAAGTGATAGGTGAACATTTGGCTCTTATCAATGATGATGCAGCAGAAGAAGACACACCGGTTCAATCGTGGCTGATTATATCATATCTTGATGATGAAAATGATAAAGTGTTGATGACTTGCGACGCAGATGTGATGGATGCTGTAAAGTTGGCTCGTAAAATGGGTCAGGACCGTGTAAAACTATTTGTACAAGATGCCTATGATAAAGCAAAGGAGGAAGAGGTACAACTAACTACAATAGCAAGTGCAGTAGAGGAGATACCAATTATACGAAAAGAACAACAGACGCCATTGCAAAATACTGACGAAGTAGGTGAAATGGAGACAACGCAAGAGCATCATCATCCTCATCACCATCATAGTACTCAGCAATCGTCACATGGATCAAGGAAGAAGCAGAAGATGAGAGATAGCGCAAACATTGAAGAAGAAGAAAGTTTTGCCAAAGGAAATGCTACAGTTACCGGCATACCTCAAGAACTAGTATTGCCCGCTGCTATTACCTTTTTAGGCGTCGTCATCCTCGGCGTCTTTGCTTTCTCTCGTGTCGGCTCTAATCGTCGATAAGTCATAGATATTAATTATACCTCAATAATATTGACCCTCGTTTCGTAAAATCATTCACTACGTTTCTACGCTAACTAGAATGTATTCATGTATAACCCACTGCTAACAAATAAGAGATGCATTTTATGCATACCCTGTTTATTTAAAAAAAAAAGGAAGCCATTGTGTTTTTTAACTCTCTAGTTTGACGCCTTCACTTTATTGTTATCGCTAGTAGTGGTAATTTTATTGCTCGTCTTCTGTTTGTTATTACTATTGCTATCAGTTTTTTGCTTTTTGTTGGGGTTTTTGGGAGGAGGAGGGGTTTTCCTCTTTCTCTTTTTCATTGCTAACGGATTCACTCCCTTCGCTTTTTGCTTCTGACCCTTTGGCCTTGGTCTTTGATGCAACTGTCTTTCTTTTCGTTTCTCAGCAAAAAGTGCTTTCTTTAATCGAGCCGTCTCTTTATCCAACGCCGTCTCTTTTTCTATTTCCTTTTCTTTAAGGACCTTTTTTGTTCTATCCGTCATAGGCTCTAAACCAAGACGCTTGTGCTTAACATCGACGTAAATGATTGGCACGCCAGGTATCTTTCTCATACGGTCTCGTAATTTTGGTTGTTGTGATGCAACACAATAATGTTTGTTGTTTTCTTTTCCGACAAGGTCTCGAATACACTGATATGCAGATACTAAGGTGCTATCATCTTTGCTATCTTTATGGTGGTGTGGGCATTTGCGTACTTCAAAACGTTTGGCAAGAATGTATGCACTGGTGAATTCATGCCCTTTGTCTTTAATGTCCTTTAAAATGCATTCAGTAACAACTAGAAGGGGTACAACAGTTACGTAAGAACTTCAGTACAAAGGAAAGACATTTATAGTGCTTATAACCTTACATATACGCGTTGTGTCGTTCATTAGTTCAGATAAGGCATCTTTAATATAGATCTCTTGTTTCAAAGCTGCTTTGCAAAACTCCCCATCCACTATTAAAAGATAAACTCATCAGTCCATCGTTGAAAGATCGGCCAGGTGTCTACTTTGATACTTACAGACAATTTGGTATGGTGGTCTAAATCCGAATGTTACTGAATAACCGTGCACGATCTTTTTGATCGTCCTTGAAACTTTTGTCATTTTATAATTTATTAGAGTTCAAGCTCTGAAGGGAAAAAAAAAAAGAAACTGAAAGAAATTAGGATTTTCTGTGACCTGCACTTCTACATTTTGGAGAGTCTTAGGAAACTGTGGCGGACAATTAACGGGGATTGGTGTGATAATGCTCCAAATGATTGATAGTGTCAAATAATAGATTTGTTACCTCACTATGCAGGTAGTCTTGTATCCAATGTAGGGTAAAGTATCTATTATTGATAGCTTATTAGAAAGAAAATACGAAAGTGATTTCATAGTCTAATATTGCTTTACAGCAGGAGCAAATGATGAATCGTTTTTGGGCGGCGATAAAGCAGTGTGAAGGACAAGCGGGTGCGGGGAAGCACTTCTTTTTTTTTCAAGGGGCCTGCTTATTGCCAGAGTTGTCAAATTAATAAACTTTTTTTTTCTTGGGTCATAATCATTCTTAACCCAACATGTCTAATCTTTCAAAATTAGTACGCTGCATTACTTCAGGTGTGACCAGTCGTACTGTCAGCAAGCAACCTGTAGCAGCATCTCTAGGCGTCTCTGTTACCAAAAGATTTGCCACAACCGTGACAACCGGTTATCAAGCACAACAGGACAAAAATGACATATTGAAAGAAAGGGAAAGACCACAGTCGATGTCTTATTTCACTGGAAATTATAGATATAATGATCTTATCATTGAACTTTCCTCACTTTATAAGCGTTTCGAAAAATGGGAACCAGTAAAGACAACGCCAGAAGTTACTGCAGATAATGTGGATGCATCTCAGGAACAAACGCAACAAGTCTATTCATGGAAACTTCGTGAAAAAATGTCAGAGACGTTAGATATTCCACTTACAACTTCTCAATGGAGAAAAATTACCAATCATCTCAGTGCATTAGCCTCTCTACCAAAGCCTTTACCACCAGCTGTTGTGAAAATACTTGAACCCTATCGTCGACACCAAGTTGATTTAGCATCCAAAAACAAAAACTCTCAAAAGTTAGACGATTGGGGACGTGCTTATGGATTAGGACGCAGAAAGGAATCAAGCGCTAGCTGCTACCTTGTAGAAGGAGATGGTAAAATCCTAGTAAACGGTATGGAATTGGAAAACTATTTCAGAAACATTAACGATAGAAATGAGGTGACAATGCCACTGGATATAACGGAATTGAAAGATAAATATAACGCTTGGGTGCTGGTGAAAGGAGGGGGTACTACTGGTCAAGCACAAGCAATTAAACTGGGTATCAGCAAAGCATTATTAGTGCATCAATCACATCTAAAGCCCGTTTTACGTAAAGGTAATGGACGCATTAACATCACACGCTTTTCTCTGCACATTAAGCTGACACAATATTCGCTTCTTTTGCAATAGCCGGTTGTGTCACTCGTGACCCAAGAGTTGTTGAACGTAAAAAGGAAGGCCAAAGAAAGGCTCGTGCAAAGTATACCTGGGTCAAACGTTAATGTTTCTGTACACCATATACTTCAATGTTCGATATAGTTTAAAATATGTGATTTAATAAAGAGAAATGTATATAATAGACGTTACAAAAGTACAGTTTATCTTTAAATTCTAAGACTAGCAAGATCAGCAACAAGATTAGTAGGGTCGAAATCCCAAATAACGACCTTCCCATCTGCACCACATGTGGAGAATTGAGACACATTATTACGCTCACCAGCGTATACACGAATTTCACTATACGGAGAGAAAAATATGCCGATGTTAGTCTTCTTTGTTTTTTGAGGCTTCTTACTCTTCAGAATGACTTACTTGATAGTATTTTGATGAACTGTGTTCAATTTGGTATCGTTTTCAGTTTCACCACGAGAATCCATAGTTTTGAAACGAGCCAATACAGATGCAGCTTGAGAAACCTTCTTTTGACCAACATCTAAAGATCCAGCATAGTGCCAGTTTTGACCATCCTTAGTTTCATAAAGAATAGGCGCACAATCAAAACCAGCTGCAACAATTTGTTGTTCATTCGTCCAAATAAGAGAGCGGAAAGGAAGGGTGTTACTGGTGATTGAAACCATAGTGTGGTTACCATCAGCTTGAGAGTAAACGACATTGATTGAGGAGTCGTGGCCAGCAAAAGCTAGCGCATCACCAGAGGGTGAGAAAGCAACGGCGTGAACCCAACCGCCGCGACCAGTGCTGAATTCACCGCAAACAGTATTGAAGGGCAACTTGTCTCCCCAGTTAGTGGGTGCGGGCCTAATGACAAAGAAATGTAAATATTAGTAACCTTGCAGACTTAACGCAACTTAAGAAAGAATTTACTTTTTATCAAGGCCCTTGATGAAAGAAGAGAATACACGAGCTTTCATATCAGCAGAACCTGCAGCCAACAAAACATTGTTGGGATGCCAGTCGAGTGATAGTACAGTACTACGAATAGGCTTTTTCAAATGTTTACTGGCCCACCAGTCATTATCTTCCTCGAAATAACAGACAGAAATACAACGTGCACCACTGGCTACAGCAAACTTTTCTTCGTTGGGTGACCAACGAACGTATGTAGCAGCACGGTTGATACGCAGTAAAACAAGTCCTGGCTTCCAGACACCGTCTTCATTTGTCCAAACATAAGCATTTCTATCTTGTGAACAAGTCACAATACGGTTGGTATTGGGAGCAAAGTCAATACTGGTGATGACTTTATCGTGCTATACAATAAATAGGAATGAGGAAATGCAGATTGAAATTTCTCTGAACAAAGAAGTACTTACACCCTTCAAAGTGGCTTCTAATTTCGAGTTAGCTTGACCATATTGATAAATTTTGGCGTCATTTGTATTTTGGCAAACAACCAATTCTAAATTGTAGATGAATAGCTGTCAATATTGAAAATGACACGAGTGGTTTTTAATTAAATTGTTTGACAATATTACGGTCTTTGTTAAATGAATGAGCTGTGATGGGTGAGTTATTTAGGCTGTATACGGTAGGTGGCATGTTGACGTTTGTATAGGGGTTTATTTTTTAAAAAGAGGACTCTAGACAGTCGACTACTTTTCTGATTATCGATAAGTAAAGGTTACGAACAAGCAAAGAACCTACTTTAAGACAAATTTAAAAGCAAGATCCCCACGTTCAGACACCGAATGAAATGCCAAGCTATTCTTGACTAGCAGCAATGATTAATTTTTGGAGCGTGCTCTGTTAATGCTGTGTTGACTACAAAGCTAGGTGCAAATTATAAATGCGGCTTCAAGAGTTGATAGAGTAGATAAAATAGGTGAATCCACTGGTAAAAGTAGATACGCATTATACTGTTTTATTGCGGTTTTTAATACTAACCATCATACCCTTTCGTGTTTACAATTTCTGTATGTATTTACGAGAAAACTCCACCTTTACAAAGGATTGCGACCACTCCGTATTCTATTCAAAAGAAACTATATATATCTTTTAATGATCAATTGTCTCTTTCAGCAGCTGTAAAAAATGACATGATCGATTTTGTGCGCTTGAGCACTGCGCTTGAGCACTTTGTAAGTTGCATTAACAGAGTTTAAAATTGAAACCGAAGTCTTTCAAAAATAACAGCTCTCTTCGTATTCCGCCGTGTATGCGTGCTTTCCTTATATTATTTCCTTCTTAGTTGAATGATGCTTTGAGGTAGATGACAGTGAAAGCTGTGAGTCAGTTATGGGATGCTACCTCTATAGTTTGTGAGCGATACAACGCACATTTATAGGAAAATGAAAGATTTTAATTGATAGAAAGGATATGACACTATGGTTTTTGTATGAATGGAAGAGTATGCTTCTATGTGCGGTATAGAGTTAAGGATGATAAGGCTGTATATATTGCGCGTATATTATTCAAATAAAAACACTATTTGCCTGATCGTATAACAATGGGTCAGCAAGGAGTTTAAGGAATCGGTAGCTTTTTTTTTCGCACGGAATTGAACCCATCTTCTCCACATTTAGATGAATCTCAGAGCCCAATAGATTTATAAGAAGTGCCTGGAATGGTTTCTTGTGTGGTGACTTCCTCAGTTTTTTATTTCCTGTTCTCCATTTAAGGGTAAAATTCAATGTGTCTCTCTTCATTCACCTTCTGTATTTACTTTACTTTATAATAATTGTTAGTACTTATTGGAATATATGATGACTAGCGAAAGACAAGCTTCCGTTGGAATTGTCGGAGGTGGTCTGGTTGGAGCCCTTACTGCTATTTATTTCGCTCAAAGAGGATGGAAAGTTGAATTATATGAAATGCGTCCAGGTAAAAGGAAAAGCGTGCGCATACTATTGTACAAATAGACGAAGTAATATTTGTTTAACATAAATGAGTTTAGACATGCGCTTGCCAGTTAACAAAGAGAACAGTCGTGGCAGGTCCATCAATTTAGCTTTATCAGAAAGAGGCATCAGTGCTTTGAGAGGAACAGGGCTGGATCTTGATAAAACCATTCTAAAGGCTTCAGTTCCAATGAAAGCTAGAATGGTGCATGTGGGCAAGAAAGGCACTCAAATATCACAAGCATATGACGTAAATGGTCAGGTAAAATGAAAAAAAAAGTCGGTCAATAGTTGGAAACTACATCTGGCTGTGCGAAAACCTGACACAGCTCACGTTTGCTTCATTTCAAAACTAGCATATTAATGCGGTGGATAGGGCAAGACTGAATGAACTTCTATTGGATGCAGCTGAGGCTATGGAAAATGTAACAATCCACTTTGAGTATCGCTTGTTGCAGGCAGATTTTACAGAAAACAAGCTTCAATTTAAATTAAGGTAGGCCATGCTTAACACATATCAGCAGCTTGATTTCTTACTGATTATTAATGGTTATTTAATGTTAGTAATAATGAGATAGAAGAGGTTAACGTTGATTTTATTATTGGAGCTGATGGCGCATACTCAAAAGTGAGATCTCAAATTATGCGCTGTATGAGGTACAGGTGCTAATTCCATGGTTAAATATTAACGGAACGCAAAAGCTGACATACATTTCTAAGAATGAATTATGACCAGGAATATATTGACACTGGCTACTGTGAGCTATCTATGCCACCAGCTAGGGATAAGGACGGTAAGCCTACCTTTGCATTGGACCCCAATCATCTGCATATATGGCCGCGACACACCTTTATGCTTATTGCACTACCAAATCCCGACCTAACGTTTACTTGCACGTTATTCATGCCTTTCCAAATGTTTGACGATATCAAAACTGAAGATCAACTACTGACATTTTTCCAGGAACATTTCAACGATTCTATTCCCCTCATTGGTGAGAAAAATCTTAAATCAGATTTTTTCAATAATCCTAGAGGGTCTTTGATCACTGTAAAGGCATCACCACATCACTATAAGGATAGGACGATGATCATTGGCGATGCATCGCATGCTATGGTTCCATTTTATGGTCAAGGCATGAATTGTGGTTTTCAGGATGTAGAAGTACTGAACAAAATTCTTGATAAGCATCAAATCAAGCCAGTCGTTAATGGTGATGGTGTGATTGAAGGTTTACAGGAAGCATTAGATGAATATTCAAACGTCCGAGTCAAAGATGCGCACGCTATTTGTGATCTGGCTATGTATAACCACTACGAAATGCGTCATGCTGTGACCTCGGTGCAATTCTTAGCAAAGAAGAAATTAGAGAGCGCAATACATTACATGTTTCCCAAGTTAATCATCCCTCTCTATACCATGGTTAGTTTTAGTACGATACCTTACTCTCAAGCTATTCATCGATGGCATCGTCAAACCCGTATATTGAATTTCGTTTTGCTTTCAACAATTTCTGCCACAGCCGCTGTTACCGTTGTCTATGGCTTGAAGTATCGTGATCATCTACATTCTACAGCTGGCAACGCAGTCCGAGCCATCAAAGATCTCTTTCTCAAAAACTGAAAGCTCACCCTATAAAAGACATATCTTTATGCATACATTATGTGTTTATAGCCCAAGGGAGGGTGTTTTCAGCTGATGCCGTTCTACTGAATATGATGCAAAGTTCTATAGTTTATTATTTTTACCAAACGCCATGTTAAAATGATATGGATCATAGAATCACAGCCAGGTTACGGCTGTCACTATGAAGGTTATAATAAGCATATGGACGCGGTTGATCCTTGCTCACATGTATTTAAGCAGAATAAAGTGTTTGAAAATGAATCATTGGCAAATCATCGGTGAGTTGCCTTTTCCATGTTCGAATCGTATTTCCATAGTCGCTTAATAAAAAGATTCTGGCCCGTCTATGCCAACCCAAATGCTCAGCACCATATCCACCAACACCAGCACCGCCAGCGTAGCATAATTGAAGGCCTTCTTTTTCCAAACAGTAATCATTTACATGATTATGCCCACTATATTCATTTTTGTATGGATTATTACGTGTTTAGAATTGAAATAAAGGAAAGAAGGAATAGTTATAAAATAGAGGAACCTACCAAGCTGTAAATTTCACATCGCCTGTTGTAGAACAGAATAATCGAAGTATGAGTATACTTTGAATTTTGCAAAAAGATATTGGCACATACCTAATTTGAACGCTTCTATTGCAGATAATTTATTCTTTCCAGGGCTTGACACATGTTCACGAGCTGAACCCAGTATTGCACTTGGCTTATTAGTATTTGTCTCCTCTCTGTAATCCCTAATGTCCATATACGTTACTTCTGTAAATAAATTACACAAGTGCATATGAACTTCTTACCATATAGGTATATGAAAGAATACACCAGCATTAAGTTTCGAATTTGATGTTTCTCGGAAGACGGAGGCAGATTTCACGATCCAATCTAATTGATACGATTTGATAAAGTCAAAGCCTTCTTTGGTTTCCGCATAAGAATGCGAATCCAAAAAGTACAGCGTGAAAGCATGTGGCCTAGAATAAAAAAGGCCAGTCTTCAATTACAAAAGTCTGTCATATATTACTGAAAAGGCGGCCTGAAAGTTGATACTTACGCTGCCTTTTGTGTACTTTCAAAAACCTTAACGGCATAATTACCCCAGCCTGGGATATCCATTGGTCCTCTTTGTATCAACGAGTAAGGCATTCTCCGCATAACCTCAATCAATTCTTCTCGACTCAAGTCACTTTCGTCGTCATGTTCTCCAAACACAACAGCCTATTTCAAATGATTATCAAAGTTACATTTAAATTATCCTCTGTTGCTTCAAAAGAGATGCTATGGGCTCACCCATGGTATTTTGCGCTGTATAACAGGATCAGCAAATTTGAAGGTAGCTGCTCGAGCATCACTAACGCCTAACCAAGCAAATGTTGAAAACTTGTATTTTATAGCCGATAAGCAATAATCATATTCATTTACATACCTGCGCCATCTATGTTGTCCCCAGAGAAAACTACCAAATCAGGCTTTTCATGATCAAGCAACTTCTCAATGTATTTTAACGTTGTCATATCGCCATTGCATTCTGTCTATGTATGTTGAAAGACATAAAAACTTGTGAGTTTTAACTTTCGCATATGGTCTTTTGAAAAGTAGGCTATTTGCATATATCCATACGTCGGCTGGTACATCGCGACAAACGCCTTCTTCGTTAGTAAAATGTAAGTCTGCTATTTGCAAGATTTTAAAATCCCCATTCTTATCAAATGCTAAAGGCTTCATGTTTGGTAAGTCTTGCATTTAAAAAAATAGTCATGTGAATTTAGGAGATACGTTTCAACATTCATTGTCTGTTCTCTCATACATACCTTTATAACCTTTCTTCATATACAAAAATGTTGGTTCGCCGACGGTACCTTTCCCATTATTCCCGCTGTTTAAGTCAACATTAATTTTTGTCCACCCGTAAGGTGTCATAGTGTGCGCTCCGAACTCGATAGCTAACTCTTGAATAGCCTTTTTAGCGACGTCAGAGTTAGTGAGTGGTGTAGTTCTGTACCATAAATAAATAGCATCTCCTCTAAAGATTGAGTTTAGATTGACATCGACTTTTGTATAGCCTTCAGGAGGTGTTTGATCATTCAATATGACTACAGCACTTTATGTTAGTATTAAGAGTGAGTATATGCATGTCCACTTGTGATAATGTATTGATAAAATTATGCGTACTCTGTTACAGGATCATCTGTTCGACTCCTTTTATAGAACAGATAAACACTCATTCCAACAACAATGCCTCTATTTAAATCCTTTTCAACTCTCTCCCATCCCTATGAGAAGTGAAGAATGAGTTTATTTTAGTTAACTCAGGGTTTTCCTTATCAACAGCTTCCAACTTAATCACCTCCATATAACAGTTGCTCGTAAAGCATTGTTTGGCAGTAATTGCAGTGATAGGATCTGAAAAATGATAGGCAATCTTAATCACAAAGATACATCCATACTCAACACTCTTTAAAAAACTAAAAATAAAGGATCAACAAGCTAACCTTTAGGACCGTCTTGGCTATAATACATGAACAGGTAAGAGCCGTGCACATCTTTATTCAGATCAACTGGAATACGCTTATATTCAGCGCCAACCAGTGGACTTGTTCCCTCTTTCACGATGATGGATGTTATCGGATTTTTTGAAACTGTCTTATCTTTTGTATAACTCAACCATAGTGATGCACTGGCATCGTTCGAAGCGTCCTTTCTTTCATTCAAATCGACACTCAGCCTTGTCCATTTCGAAATGTTGGGTGCCGATGTATAGTTAGTACCTTGTTCAATTTTTATATCAGTTATAGGGTCGTCAATAGTGCTTTCTTTGAAGTGTAAGTAAACTGAGTTGCCTTTTTTTACACCTTTATTAAGGTTGATATCTATCTTTCTATAGCCAGGATAGTTCGGGCAGGCATGTTTTGCATCGCAGGATACAAGCTTTAAGTCAGTGATGTAAGCGAATATTTGGGTTGCATATAGTGAGAGGACAGTAAGAAATATTGAAAATAGCTGCAGTTGCATCACCTTGTTAATGCTTCTCTATTGTTAATGAGGAACTGTTTTACGATACGCGAAAGCGAAATTATCAGGAATGCTTCCTCTGCATTGAAGATACTAAATTATCATTTTTTTTTTTTAATTTCAGTTCAAGCAACTGAACAAAAACAATGCAAATTGAATGACGAAAAAAAATAAAAAAAGTGTCAGAAAACCTTAAAGTCATTGTGTTTCTGCTGACTTTCACTTTGCTTTTAAAATGTCGTTTCTGTACGAAAAAGGGTATTGCACTGTAGGAAAAGTAGCATATATCTCGTTCTTAGGCACTCCGAAAATTGTCCGTCATTTCGCGCCGAATTTGATTCTTTGTCGTCTTTTAATTTAGTACAATGAAAGGGATACACCAAAGGAACAATAAACCGTCATCTTGAAAATTAGATTCATCCTAAATTGGCAAATTTGTAACACGATTTTGGGAGCTTGAAATTTTTTAATTTTTTTATTTTTTTTTTTTTTTGTTTTCTTTTCTAATCATTGCCTCTTTCTTTCCCTTCATATCTGTAACCTAATGGTTTCTCTAAGGGACGGTACTAAAAGAAGAAGGCAAAATCTGAAATCGTTGTATAAAGACTTGCAAATATACGCGGAAGAAGTTGATAAGGGAAACGTTATGGGCTCAGTAAGTTGATGGGCTAAATTTTCATGTCAACTTATACTTGTAACCCCCCAACATTAAAGGCATCTTTTCCTTGATGAACAGACATTTGATATGCCCAGTCATCAAAGTTTGCGAGATTCATCAAATATTACCGAGAAGAATGGAAAGCTTAGCACTGCAAGAGACCGTTTTAGTTTTAAGCTAGCTGGAATTGTGACAGATGTCACAGACACTTGCACTAGTAGCAGCAGTAGCAGTAGTAGTAGTCGTGGCAGTAACACCACCATCTCAAATGTCATCACCACTGTTACATCAAAAAGTACACAGCCATCGAATAACCGAACAAGCATCAGTCAATCTATTATACCTCCAAAACGGTCATGTTCTACACAGTCGTGCAACAAAAGAGAATCAGTGCGTACGAATATAAGCCGTATTTCACTTCAACTGAACGACCCTTATATGCATACTCCCACTGCATTTCTCACAGAACTAACAATTCGTTTCATTTGTAAAGTCAACGAACTGATCAAAACACGAAAAATTTTCTCTTCTAACGAATACCCTAAAAGTTTCACTGGCGAAGAGGCTGTGGTAAAGTTTACACATTGAAACATTAATGTGGAATTTTTCGCTTGGCATCGGGAATTATAGCCAGCCTTCCATTCATCCGCGCCTTGACTTATCATTAACATCTGCTTTGTAGGACCTTTTAATCTTGATTGCCGGATCAGAAGTTAAGAGAAAAGAATATAAACGGATCGCTAGAATGATAATGCACAGTACTCCTCCTGTATTTTTACCTATTAATTACTCTGAAAAATCAATTAAAAACAATACACTTTACGATTCAGCAAAGGAAGCCTATACATTAAATGAAGATAGCTCAGACAATATTACAGACAGAACCCAAGAATGCTTTCCACAAAGCGTGTTTACACAATTTTTGGATTGCTATACACCTACTTGTAGTAGAGGATCCAACGGCTGTTACGCACCACTGTGTCCAAATCGAGGGCCACAAATACACACCAAAACCAAAATTTTGAATGTATGTGTTGGCATCCAAAAAAAGTGGGGGAAATCATTGATTAGCTCATCATACGTTATCAACCATCCTATAGAAAGATTTGCAAAGAAATATTTCGTTTTCGTCATCCATGGCTTCATCACAGGATACAGTAAGTGGCAGCTTCAAGTCTAGAACAATTTTCTGTTATTCACAAACATTTTTATCACATCCTGGACTGAAACTTTTCTCGTTCTTCTTTTAAAATATTAGCTTGTGTCTAGATGTTGGGCCAAAACAATACCGCGTGAGACACTGCAAAAAACACCGCCCAGAGAAATGAAGAGACAGGAAGCTATTTTTGAATTGATTTATACTGAAGAAGACTATGTTCGGGATCTGAATCTTTTGGAGGAGGTAAAAAAATGGACCCATTCTTGACTTAAGACGCCAACCCGCTTGTCACCAAAATGTTAATGTACATTGACAATATTTTCTTCTTTCCTATAGCTTTTCGTCAAACCGCTTTCAGAGGCACAATGTATTGAGCATGAACGACGAACACAGTTCTGCAATGACATTTTTGGAAATTACAAGCAAATTCTGGAAACACATAGAGATATGTATCGCGATTTGCGTGATCATCAATTATCAAGCCAGGAACACGAAACGAAGGAATATGGTATTGGATTTGTGGACCACATTGGTCAAGTTATTTTACGCTATGTTGATCAATTCTTGGGCCTTTACACCGAATACGGCCCACATTTTCTTATGGCAGAATACATTGTCAAGAAAGAGATGAGTCACAATATATTATTTCACAACTTCATTCGCGAAAAGGAGAAGCAGGCAGAGACACGGAAATTGCCCTTTCGCCACTTCATTATTCTACCAATCACTCGACTGCAACGCTACCCTTTATTATTGGACGCCATACTGAAACGGACCACTGACGAACAAGAGAGACGAACATTAGCCATCTGCATCGAACGCATCCGTAATGTGACGACGAGAGTAGACCGTCTTACAGACGATATGCGTCAAACGCTACGAATACGTCAAATCAACGATAAAATTCGTTTCAAACCCAATCATCCACGATACAATCTTGATCTATTAAGGAAAGGTCGAAAATTGATTTACGAGGGGCCATTAAAGCGCCGTTCACATTTCGTTGAATCTGTCGATCTTTATGTATTTCTGTTCGATCACATCTTATTGATGACGAAACCAAAGCGAGTCAACAGCAATAGCAGTAACAGTATAAGTAGTAGTAACAGCAGCATCCAAGGCCATATGGGCAGCAGAGATGAACCGGATTACTTTATAGTATCAAAGAATCCTATACCTCTTGATTTATTAATCGTGGGTGATGTCTCTGAAAATTTTAGGTTTGGAACGTTTAGAGCCAATACATCTAAAACCTCCAGCTCAAACTCTTCTTCTGGATTGAACAGTGGAGCCACAACTTCATCAATGAGTAGCTTAATACCCTCTTCAACACGAACATCTACCCAAGAGCTCAACACAACACCCTTTACATCTACTTCGTCATCCGTCGTTAATCTATCTTCCTTCTTAATCCGCCATTTAGGGCAACATGGCGGCGAATATATACTTTACACAGATACCCCAAGTTCGAGATTGATCTGGAAGCAAAAAATTTCTAAAGCTCAAGCTGATTTAAGCACAAAGAGGGAGATGAATAGCGCGTTTCAGATGGTGACAATTAGCGACACCAACTTTTCACTTGTCGGCACATCCAGCCACCATTCAGGAAAAGTGACGTGTGCCGCATCTTTTGGTAAGAGCCAATATGTTACTATCTGCTGTGTTATACCAATACTTTCTCACATAATACTGATGACGTATAGTCGGTAACAACGGAATGAAAATGGTTGCATTGGGAACACAACATGGTGTTTGGATAGGAAAGGAAAGTGATACGAATGGCTTGACCAAAGTTTTGATGGCTGATGGTGTGACACAAATTGGTGTTATCGAAACGCATAAGATTCTTCTTGTCTTGGCAGGTAAACTTTGCAAAGAAAAAAAAAGAAAAAAGATGGCTAATAGATAGAATATTGCTAATCGCTCACAACATTACAACAGACAAAATCCTAACAGCTTACCCACTTGTCCAATTGGATCCTTTTTCACCAACAAATACCCTTTCATCAAAAGCATCTGGCGGCAAAAAGTCTTCAGATAAAGAAACAGTAATCAGTTCAAGGATTATATCCCAGCACGCAATTTACTTCAATACAGGAACATGTAATGGAAAGACCTTGATAGTAACAATGAAAAGGAAGAAGCCGGATAGTCAATTCAAAGTATACGAAATTGTTTGCGGCAATTTGAGCGATCCAAGAAACGCTAAATATCTTGTGACGAAAGCATCGTTTATATTGAAACCACCGCCATGGTTTCGATTATATAAGGTAAAGAAAAGAGTAGGTCAGTAAATACACACAGAAGACTTGTGATGCAAACCATTACATCTATATAGGAATTCTATGTTGGAACTGACTCAAGGGCCGTCCATTTCCTGAGATCAAAGCTATTGGTTGCTTGCCCACATGGTTTTGAAGTAATTGATTTGGAGCATTTGGATGAAACACTACTCAATCTTCCCGATTTGAAGCGACGCGAATTCAACTTCATAGTTTCTTCTGAAGCCAAGCCTTTGAATATATTTCGATGCGATGACAATTTCTTACTATGCTATGATAAATTTGGGTTTTTAATCAGTACTCATGGCGATTATGTTGTTGACAAGTATAAAAGGTAAGTATGTTTAAGAGTAATACGGATAGAGAGATCGGCATGGTCTAATTATATATTTATATAACTACCAGAATCGAGTGGGAAAGTAGCCCACAGTCTTTTGCATTCTATTATCCTTATGTGGTTGCTTTTGACCATCAGTTCATTGAAGTTAGGAACGCCAAAACAGTACGTAGATAAATGTTCTCCTATTACCCATACTTTTGATCCATCTCTCATGCAATTGTATTTATAGGGAAAATTAGTACAAATTATCATAGCTAATAATACCAAGCAACTGCGCTCTGCTACCAATAACGCCAATACACTAACATCTACCATATACGGTTGCGCAACTCATGATTTCAAATATGATTATCAGCATATATTTAAATTGGAACCACTATTTTCATAACGTAAACTTTGGATTTAATTGCATAAAATTTCACTACTTCATTTACATGTATACGATCTGTAATTTATATTCTGATAACCTTGTAAATTAAAATTTCAAATAGAATAATGTTTAATGTTTTAGGATGTTTCCTCTAGTAAAGAGACTGCAATAGCTCTACATATTCTACATCTGAAAGTGCTTTACTGTAGTAACGGGGATTCGCTGTACCTTGGATAGTACTCGAAACGAAAGCTCAAACCTCAGGGAGATAAGAGGTCTAAAACTCTGATGTTAGCACAAGTACGCTTCAAAGTTCGTGTTTTGCCAGTCTTCGACAATTTTAGACCAAAAGTTTCTCATACAATTCGCAATGATACAGAAACGCATCTTTACTAGAGATATGGGACACATATTACTTTTCGTTTATTTTTGCGTGTTTTCCAGGAAAAGACGTCATACTTGGCTACGACGAGACACCCACGTATTTCGCCGCGCCGGAAAAGAATTATCAGCGTGTTTTCATAAAATTATATCTCTGTTTACACTTAAAAAGCGCGCATAATAGCTACACTATTGCCTACCCCAGCCATTCGCGAAGGAAGGCAGAGAGAGGTTTGAAGTTCTTCAATATTGAATTGATTAGTTTTGATTTGCAATAACCACAGAAAATAGTTAACAGAGCGTATTCCAATTGAAATGTTAATGCTCAAGAGAACTACTCATACAGCATCTTGAAAACATAGCAATAACTACAAAAAACTGTTATTTTAATGCTATTTTTTAATTTTCACTCATTAAATTTTCATTACTCCAATCAACCCATTCTTCATAAGTTATAATTTCTCTTTTTTTCCCACCAAGAGCTCTTTCAAATGATAATCGTCGATCGTTGTTTTCATTGATATATTTTTTGATTGTGTCTACAGTCGTTTCAATTTGACCTTTATAATATAACAAGGAACTGAATAACTCTTCGGTTTTTTGGCTATCATTCCGGTTCAATGGAATTCGCAATCTATCATTAACCCTGTAGACAACAATATTCTTGGGTTTCATCATTGTTGATCTCAAACAGTCGCCTTTTAACCCACATAACTGAATAGATTGGATTTTGATATCTGTTGGATTAATGAAATTGAACTTGGTGATGATGTTTTTGAAGATTATTTTGGCTTCCAGGATCAGTTTAAAATGATCGTTCTTCACTTTGATAGTGGTAGCAGCTCTACCCACTTCGATATTTGATACATCTATGAACGAATTTTTGTAATAAAAGCTGACTCGATAGTCAATTTTGAACTTATTCATTTTTGTATCTCCGCTATAAAAGTCAGGAATGTTATTCTTCTGTGTGTTTAACATGAAAATCTAAACTTACCTCTTTATTTGTATATCATTTCTATCTGAAAAGAGTAGCTCAAAAATTCTGGCATACATTTTATTGTCGTAATCTTTCTTTTTACTCAGTTTCTGCTGTTCATCAATATCATATATTTGTTGATTTATTTGATGTGTTTCGATCCTAATAATAACAGATGAAATTATTATTGTTTTACGTGTTTTTTATGATTAACACTGCACAATATTTACACACTTACAGGTGGGACAAGAGTTTATAAAAAAATATGTGTTCTATTGATGCATTTCTCTGATAGTCGAGAGTCTTGCGATATTGTATATTAATGTGCTCAGGCTAAAAAAATTAGTATGTACTGTCATAGTATATACTGCCATAGTGGCATTACTATATTTTGATATCTTACGTTATTGAAACTTTATAAATGGCTTTCTTAAAATCGGCGTTCATTTCAAATGAAACACTTGATGCTTCTTTCTCTTTTTCCTTCTTCCATACAATGATGTGCGATTGACTTGATGAGCCTATGTTACTGAGGTCCACAATGCCTTCTTCAGTTAGTCTGTAGAGAAGGTAGAGGTAAGTATTTATACTTAAAGAGAATATCAAATGCATACATACGAAGTGGATAACCTTCTGTCTTTGTTGCTCTTAACATTGGTAAAAAAAGTGTAAACTAGTTAATATTGTCATATCAAAATAAAGTCAAAATATATCAATAGATACCTTTTTTGGTACTGGAATTCGTGAGCTGCTCGCTTCCCCTTTTCTCTTTAACAAGTTGCTTTCGTTTACTTGGCGCTGCGTAGTAAGCCAATACTCATCAAGTATTGTGGTGTCCAAACACTAATAAAAATAATTCATTGACGCGTTTTCCATGTTTTTGTAATGTTCATTTGGTGATCATCGCCTTTGTCAATAAGATCGGCCATAAGTTTGGAGCAGACTGCAGTTGTATAATCCTTCAAATTTTGGATGCGAGCGTTGACCTTCTTCTTCTTCAACTCGATCACGTCTAAAGAGTCTGATATCTCAGGAACAAGCTCTGGCTGGGTAGCACGGATGAATGCATCGAGTTTGTCATTGGTAGTAGGCTTGCGATTAGCATGTTCGGCAAAAGTAGATGAGATATCGCGCTTGACAGAAGAGTTTCTATCGCTAGTTTGCGAGAAAGTGGTGGCAGTATTAACTATTGTTATTGAAGGGCTGCCAAATTATTCATTTTCAAAAAAAAAAAAAAAAAAAAAACTACCTGGAAGTTGTCGCTGATATACTCTTCCACGAGAAAATCTTTCATTTCTTTATAATTAGGAGTTGAAGATTGGGGGTTAATCCGATTATTCCTTTTTATTTATGATAAATCTCATTTATACATTTAACGAAATGTGAACTAAAAGATGCTAAACTATACTAAAAGACACTAAAGAATACTAATCATAATTACTTCTGTTTTCTGCATAATGTAAATATACTAAAGTCTTAGCTAATTTGTTGAAGAATAGTTATAGGACTCGGACTTGTTTTCTTGTAACATTTGTCGTATTTGAGGGTAGATGATATACAAATACTAAAGACATAATTCACTTTATGAAGGATAAAGATGAATTATACAATATTGCAAACCAGAAATAATTAGAAACTACATAAACTCTAATATATGAGTACCGTGAATTAAGTGTTGTGTTTAGTTGACAGCATCATATGAGATGTGGAGAACTCGTATACAAATTATACAAGATCCTCAGACCTCATTACTGCTGAAATAATATAAAGTAGAGTAGGAAACGAATATAGAATAAGTGATGATTCTTATACGAGATTAGCTACCTCGTATAAGGCTGAACAGGTTGTCATTTAGGATATATAGTTTACTTATTTTACTGTAATACGTTACTATATGACATAGAATATAGTAGAATTAATATATGGACATGCAAGATATATTGATTCAACACCAAGGTGAAATAGGTTATAAGTACTATTCTCTGCCTTCGGCATAACGAATGATTATAAGATAATAGACTGTGGTCATCCTTTACAATAACTGTTCCTTCAAGTCAAACACCACGCACGAATACCATTTTCCTAATTAATACTATATTCCTGCAAGCAGTGCTACCTAATGGTTAGCACGGGAAAATAGGTTAGTTGCATGATCACTAGATGAAGCCATGGATACGTTTACAAGTCCACCCGCTCCGAGTAAATGCGTAATCTCCTCAAGGGAGGATTCTATTCTTTTACGGTTCAGAAGACGTACGTCTTCTTTGAGTACTCAAAAAAATCAGTGAACATAAAACTGTGAAATGACAAATAAATCATTAAAATTTTTTTCGCAAGATCCTTGAACGACTGTGCCTTCTTGTTATGTGCAGGAGCGTGGCCGATGAACTTGTCCGGCGTGGCTAGAGACATCAAGCAGTTTCGGTGTTTGAAGTTTCCTTTCACTGTGGAAGTGAATTTTTTTTTTTTCTGGATTTTTTTTTTCGAACAATAGATTCACTTCCCTTCCGTAAAAAAAAATCTCTTAAATAAAGCTACAGGTTTTTGATATTCTTAAAAAAGATAGAGAAATGAGTAAAACGAAACACACATATATAGCACCACTTAGAAAGAAAGCATTGGCAGAGAAAAATAACGCGAAAGATTTTGTAGGTTTGAAGCGGCAACAAACCGATGTTGACATGGTGGATGCGACGGAGCAAGCATTGAAGCGCTCACGTTCCAATGAGAACAATAGCAGTAGTAGTCAAACACCAAAAAAGGCAAGGCATATCAGTGCCAATAAAATAGTTGAACCACCCACTCAACCCGGTAAAGTATTTGTATTTGGAACTGGCGATACAGGTCAACTTGGTCTAGGGGACGAAATGTTAGAAAGAAAAAGACCTATGCCATTAAAGGTTCTTGACAGTGAAAAAATTGTCGATGTTGTTTGTGGTGGTATGCACTCCATAGCTATTACAGAGGATGGAAAAGTAAAGTATTACAGTGGGCTACATATCATATCCTTGGCATATATGTGCCCTTCGTCAATGACGAATGAGCTCCTACTTTCATTTTATTAAACCAAGTATCATCCTATTTACACTGTAGTTATGGTCTTGGGGCTGCAATGATCAACGTGCTTTGGGTAGATCCGGTGAAGAATATGAACCCAACAAAGTGGAAAATATGGATCATGTCAAAGTCGTTAAAGTTGCTTGCTGTGACTCAGTTACTATGGCACTTACCGATGAAGGTCAACTTTATTGTTGGGGTACTTATCGTTCTGCTGAAGGCGCCTTAGGTTTTTCACGCAAGAAAGCTATCCAAGAAACACCTGCTATCTTTGAACCTTTTCAAAAATACGTTATTGCCGATATTGCTGCTGGCACCGATCATTGTTTAGCCTTGACAAGAGATGGCCGTGTATTTGTTTGGGGTAATGGTCAGCAATTCCAATTGGGCCGTCGTATCATGGAACGCCATCTCATCAATGGTCTTCGTCCAGAAGCTTTGAACTTGAAAAATATTCGACTTATTGGTACAGGCTCGTACCACTCATTCGCCGTGGCGGAAGATAATACTCTCTATGTATGGGGACTTAACAATTTTCAACAATGTGGTTTAGCTAACGAAGACAATGAACCAGCTGAAAACATTATAACAAAACCTACGCCTATCAGAGCTCTTCAAGGCAAAGGCACAATTAAATCAGTGCAGGGAGGTGAGCACCATTCGCTTGTATTGATGGAAGACGGTAGTGTATATGCTTTTGGGCGTGCCGACTCTAATCAGTTAGGCTTGCCTGAGGAAACACTCCAAAAGGTGCAAATCCGCGAAGAAGGCGCTGATGCATCCGCTTACAAAAAGGCGGTTGGTAGACCCACTCGTATTCCCAATTTAGAAAAGGTCGTGGAAATAGCTACTGGTACAAATCATTCAGTCGCTTTGACAGAATCCGGTAAAGCCTATACTTGGGGCTTTGGTGAATGCTATGCTTTGGGTAATGGATCTAGCGACGATGAACCAGTTCCAGCAGAATTGACTGGTCAGAAACTAGAAGGTCACAAAGTTATCCGTGTTTCTGCAGGTGCCCAGCATTCTATGATTCTTGCCGTTCCTCAAAATGAATAACTTCAAACCTATACTATTCTTAATGAATGAACTGTTCTTGTACAAACTGCAAACATTTCATATTCCAATTAACCCCGCTTTTATATCAAACAAGCTTTTACACAATGACACTGTCATATATATATTTCATTCAATATGAATGTTAGATTAAGTAGTTCTTTCACTCCAAACGACAATCTCTATATGTAAATTGATTTTTTAATCCGAAATGATTGAATAGCAACCTCAAATTTCCTACTGTTGTTGTAATTGATATTGTTCGTTATTTTGCTTCCTTGAAAACTGAAAGACCTCTGTCACAGCTTCTTTGAAACATTGGAAATTATAGTCGATCAGTCCATGTTTTTCAAAATTATCTTGCCGTAACAGACATATCAAAACCAACAGTCTACGAATGATGAAATATTATTTTTTGTTAAAACGTCAATTTCTCAATTTCTCCTGCGATCGACCATTATTCGTTTACCTATTCACTTCTCTCATATAGAGAACATCACCGTTATCCAATTTGATAAGACTTGATGCCTCAGCATCTGAGCCATCTGTTGCATGTTGTTGCTGCTGCCCCTTTTGTAATGACTGTTCAACTAAGCTATCCGTCTCATTTAAAGATTGAGCATTTGAAGTTGTTAACGCTGGTGTTCCTTGACCGTCTTCCACTAAAAAATCATCGTTTTTCGGTTCATTTATATCTGATATTGAAAGGACATTTGGACTGCTCCCTTGAACGTTGCTAAAAGAGCGATTGGTGAATTGACACTTCTTGAGCTTGACTAATTCCTTGTAAGCTTACCCATAGATACATTCAACATCTATACACACATCAATCATGTCGGAGCACAGCTCGTAGGATTGAATATCTACAGGTGAACTATCCGTTGCGATATAGATTTTTGTCAACGTGTCAAACAAGTATGCTTTATCAATGCTAGAGTTCTAATGCGAGGGAGAAAGAGATAAATTTAGGCTCAATAAGTAATATGCAAGTGATGCTTATTTTTACCGAGCATAAAACATTCAAGAGATTTTCTAGAGTCGGTAGTTCGCGAATCAGCTTTTGAACAATTTTACTGAAGGCTTCATAGATCGAGTTATCGTAAATACTTGTCAGATAATATGTTAAGTGGATATATTCTAATTGTGCATCAGCTAAAGCATCACTCATCCTCTGTTGTACATCACGTTGAGTATCTAAACACATCGGAAGACAGCACAATTTAGAACAGTCTCTAGGATGCCTAAAATTGCTGAATGCTTATACCTATTTTATAATCGTCTGACAAACCGTCCACTTTATGAATTAACACTTCGAAGCTGATATTGGAGTTTACACGATATGCGGTGGTGACAGTAGTAAATAAGCGATGCATTGCTTCGTTGTAATCATCCTGAGCATCAATTACAAATATGAGGGCGCCTACTTTAGAAAATATATCCTGAGGGTCTAAGGCCGTTTCCTCGAGGAAGTCTAACTGCCCAGGAAAGTCCCATATTTGAAAGTCTATAAAAGAGCGGCTAGAAATAGTGGAGAATTTTTGGTTAAAATAAAACAACTCAGTAAAACTATTATGATATCGAAGATTTACGTTATGTCCTCTTTCTGGATTTTGGTTGTGCTTTCTAAGTATAGCGTGTCATTTGGTGGCATTTTTCCAAATACTACACGTTGGATGCTAGACTTGCCGCTTCTATAAAATTGTTAGCGTAGCTGTAACAATATATTATATTTACATTACTGACCTTTGAAGACCCATCAGAAGAATGCGAGGTTTATCTGATAAGCTGTGTTCTTCGCTGTCTCTAAAAGATTATATGAGCTTTGGGTATTCTAACATCAACATCGATTCGAGATTCGAAGAACTTCTTACGTTACAAGGTCAGAGTCGTTCGTTGGATTTTCATAATCGTACTATTGAAATTTTTCTTAATAAATTTAAAATATTCCTTTGGTGATTGTCATTAGGTCTTACCTCCATTTTATACGAGGATTATAATTGAAAGTAACTTTAAGAATTAGCTTATTCTTTCAGAATCTTTGATCAAAATAGAATAAAAGAAGCAAACTCAGATCTGGCTGGATTGCTATTTTGCATGAAGACAGCTATCTCATCACAGATTTATTGAGCTTTTTTTCATTTTTTTTTTTTTTTTTTCTTGTTCGAACGCGTGTCGTTTTGGCGCATTGGCTATACACACTGTGCTTAACAGAAGACACTGAGCATAACTTTTTTGTCCTCTGATAATAAGCAGAAAATATGGAAGCTGTTACAAGCTTAGACTTGGTCTTTTCACATTTCGACATTGTGCTGCTTTACTAACAATGTCCAGTACTACCAAATATGTCGCTGTCACGCTAAGTATCTTTGTATTCTAGCTATCTGATACACGTTGACCTCCTACGAGTATTTGATTGAGTTTCCTCATATATGAATTCAGCTCCTTTTGTGCTATTATGCTAGCATTGCTGACTTGTCTGTCACTACTACAAGTCAGACAAAAAATAAGTCAAAGACATGATTTATATCACTACTGTTTTACATAAACAGTGTTCAATCAGGTATGATGCCAATTTGGCATGCTAGATTCCTTTCTACCACTTATGCCTTTTGCCTGTCGCTGTTTATTTATCCATCACCTGAACCATAAATCAGTCTGTAAGCGGCTAGCCCACAGAAAGATCAGCGCAACAGTTCGGAGACTCGCCAGACAGGCACAGTATCAAAAAGTAAAATCAAAATTTTTATGCAGGTGTCAAAAATGGAAACACTTCTCCAAATTTGTCCGGTCCGTTTTCTTATTGTTGTTGCTTTCACAACTGTTGAATGAGCCGAAATGAATCTTGAACTGCTAGGTGAGCAAAATTAATGGAAAGCATATGTTCACTAGTTGAATTTGACTGATGCAATTTCAACTGTCCCTGTTTAAATCAAGATCCTTGGGTAGCAGAATTTCCGCAGCTAATAGAAGACACACTAGAAGACGGTTTTGTGCTAAACTGTAGATTCAACAAACATGGTACCTTATTGGCAGCTGGTTGTTTAGACGGTCGTTGTGTTGTTTGGGATTTCGATTCAAAAGGCGTTGCACGTAACTTAGTTGGTCACGTGAAATCAGTAACAAGCATAAGGTACCTAGAGGGTTCAAAATAGCAACTCTTAAACAGTTTTAACCTCATCGGTATATGTTTGCTATAGCTGGTCACGGAACGGAAGATATTTGCTCTCGGCATCAAGAGATTGGAGTTGTATATATTGGGATCTTGCCAGTGGAACGAAGAAATTAAAGATCAGATTCGATGCGCCTGTGTTAATGGCGCATATGCATCCGAAGAATAAGTAAAATAGAAGTTCAATCATGATATAGACGTTGTGCAGAGGCTAATAATATAACTCAAGCAATCGATTTGTTGCTGCTCTGTTTCAACAGAATCCAGTTATTGTAGATATTGATGAGAATGGTGAAGCAGTTATAACACCCTTACCATTAGAGCCTCCGGAAAATGATGGGTCGATCAAGCCGTAAGTAAATTGGATATAGACGAAAGAAAACGAGAAGCGCTCTTCGTATATATAAAACATTATCTTTTTAATTTAGTCCAGTGTCTTATGTAACCGCAATTTCATGGAATAAGGCAGGCAATCGAGTGTATACAGGAACTGCAAAAGGATATTTGAGTATTATAAATGTCGATAAACTGAAGGTAAAAAGCTCAAACCGAGTATTTGAAATCTATTGATCCGCTTCGTTTTAATGGGCTAACTATTTTATACGTCCTTTATTGAATTACAGATGGTTTATTCATTAAAAGTGACAAGTAGTACCATTAAAAATATACACTGGGCTGGAAATGGACGGTAATTAAACAACTGTACCGAAAGTGATCAAAAGACGAGAAGTTTGTTACTGAAATGTTTATCATATATTCTTTTGTCTTTAGAGATATTTTGATCAATGCTACAGACCGTATTATCCGTTACTTTCGTGTGAATGACGATGAAATAGGAGCGCCAGTATTGTGTAATAAGTATCAAGACCTAGTGAATCGAATTCAATGGAGTCAATGTTGCTTTAGTGCCAATAGTGAACTAGTTATTGGAGGTTCCGGACATAGAGCCGAGCACAATATATACATTTGGGATAAGGATATGGGAAATTTGGTTAAAATTTTAGAAGGACCCAAAGAGCCTCTAGATGATTTAGCCGTAAGTCAAAATTTGAAAAGTAGCTTTTACAACAAGTATTAATCTTACTGATTTTTAATGGTAGTGGCATCCACATAGGCCGATTATTGCATCAGTGAGTAGTTTTGGGAACATTTATATATGGAAAGCAAAACATACCGAAAATTGGAGTGCATTTGCGCCAGATTTTGTGGAGTTGGAAGAAAATTTAGAGTATGAAGAAAAGGAAGATGAATTCGATGTAGTGCCAGAAGAGGAGAAAACAAAGCGCAAACAAGTAGATGAAGATATATTGGTTGATGTGACAACTTGCGAACGTATTCAAGCCTTTGTCGATTCGGATGCGGAGGAGGAGGATGCGGATAAAGAGTTATATTATCTGACAACAGAACCTTTAAATAACAAAAATAAAGATGGTCGAGCTGAATACAGTAGCGACGAAGAGTTTGCGAAAAGATCCCTGAAGAAGGCATTCTCAAGGAAAAGAAAGAAGAGAAGGGGAAGCAATGCCAACGATAGCAGTAGTTTTGATAAAACAAAAAAGGAAATAAAGAAACAGTGATACCCAACTATTATATCGTTAAGAAATTTGAAATATTACTAGAAAGACATAACTAGTCTTCGATTTTAATGATGGGAATAAGGCAAAGTTCGCGCTCTCGTTGCAGAATTTAACGAGCCACTGCATTAATTGAAGTTGATGTTCTGTGTCAAAAATTCACTGTTCGGTATTTTTTGAAGTTAGCAGCAAGCGCATTTGTTAAATTTTACAAAACAGAAGGGCGAATGCGCGTTCCATATGGTTCTTAAGATATTCATATAGATGTCAGTAAGGATATATACCATAATTTATTGGTAAAAAGGATTTGTTATTTAGCCTTAAAGCAAACCCCGGAAGTTACGAGCATCCTAGTTTTTCGAATATTTGTAGAAATATTCAATACTGCTTCTTATAACTCTGATGCAAGGTATATAAACGTCCAGTTCAAAAGGCGATACAACAATATGCTAATCAATATACTTGACCATAATGATGTGTTTGTTATTTTGACTCAAGCCTCCAGATAAATGTAGACTACTTCATTCTATAACTAAAACACAACCTTACAGAAAGCGGATGCTGGGTATAAGTTCTGCAGAACGTACAGAACCATTTTTTCAATTTCTACGGTCTAAAAGTCGACATAATCTTCGTCTTCTAAAACTTCAACTTGTGTACCATTTCCATCGTCTTCGTCCTCGTCACTTGTATCAGAAGCACCTTTACTCTTTTCAATCTGATTGGATGCAGAAAAACTCTCTTCAGTTTGAGCTGTGTCAATGTTTGCAACGCTTGTTGAGCTGGTGGCATCGCCTAGGAACGTATCCAGATCGTTGTCCTGATCATTCAAACGCAATTGATTTAATGCTGTTATCAAGCTGGCGCTGTCCAGATTCAGGCTGCTACCATTTTGTTCTAAAATGGACAAAAATACATCAATACAAAGAAACAAAAAATCAGTATGATCTTACTGCGTTTTGTGAGTTACAGAATGCTGGTATTTACGTGAATATATTGATGATACTTCTGATTCTTTTCTTCTTCTAAAATCTTCTAACTGTGCGTTAAACGTTGCTTCGTATACCTCAAGTTTTTTCTGGCGTTGTAGCTTATCAAATTCCTCATATTTTTGTTGTAGTACCACTTCTTTCTCATGTATAATTTGATGTTTTGCCTGTATCTCAGCCTGCAATTGTTGCTCCTGGTTTTGTTTCCATATTTCAAATTCTCTTTGATTATGAGTAATAGATACTTCATCGATTTGCTTTTCAAGTTCTGGTAATACATTCATTAAATTTACTAAAATGAATAGAACAGGGTTTCAATGCCTCTGTTTAGGCTCATTTCTTAATTTCATTTTCCAGAATACCTGCTGTCGATTGTACAGAATCAATGTCATGTAGCATATTCTCGAACACCTTATCAGAATTTTCTATCAAGTTATAAACCTCATAATGTTGAATACTGCTGGTATGTAATTGCCGTAACAAAGAATCTGCTACCTTTCGAAAAAGCATGGGGAGAAGTAGAAGAGAAAAAGGAAAGAGCATGAGTAGAAAAGTTAGATTAGATTTAATGGTTCAAACGACTACTGCTTTTGCACTAAACCGTGTAATGTACTTTTGATTTTTCAAAATTGGCAATGTCTGCGTCATGAACATCCTCGACTTTTTGAGATAGTTTGTTGAGCAGCTTTTCTGTAGACTTTAGTTGCTTTAACATGGGCATGTCATCCATTTGTTGAGGTTCAGGGCTATGTGATTGGCTATAGAAAATTCGAATCAGACATTGAAAATACCCAATTTGCAATGCAAAACTGAATACACTATATACCTTGAACCTGGCCTCGACTGAAAGAATGAGTTGAGGCTCTGAAAATCATTTCGAAGCTGCCCTATTCTGTTATCGCTGGTTTAGTATACAGATTATTGTATAGCTCTCCGATCGTATAAGCCTTACCTTTCAAAATTTCGACTCCATTCTGTATCATTGATACTATATTGGAAAAAGCAAAGGTTAAACAAAGATAGCTTCAAAAAGAGCTTCGAATTCCCTTTTTACCCTACAGACTCGCTTAAAGAACGAATGTTGATAGGCGTGTTTGGTAATATATTCTTAAATTGCTGAAACATATATACAATGCTGAGGAAAAAAGAGAAGCCCGCCCTTTGGTTGTTTTTTTTTTTGTATGTTTTTGGCGGACACTTTTCGTTTTCATTCATGCAAAAACAACTCAGAAAACAGCACCGCTGTCTGATTTTCATCATTTCCTTATTTTTTTTTTTGCATCTGGAGAAATTGAGACGACGAGCTTTTTTCATTTGTCCTCTACTTTTCAGTTTAAGGGTGTCAATTTACAGGTTTAAATTAAAGAAATGAACAGTGAGCAACAGCAGCCTCAATTACAAACACAACAGTCGACGCAGCTGGAGTACACAGCACCTTCGGCACCAGCAGTGCAAGTGTTTAAAGCGACTTATTCCGGTGTTCCAGTCTTTGAAATGATATGTAAAGGTGTCGCTGTGATGCGACGACAATCTGATTCATATTTGAATGCAACACAGATTTTGAAAGTGGCCGAGTTTGACAAACCACAACGTACACGTATTTTAGAAAGAGAAGTGCAAACCGGTGAACATGAGAAAGTACAAGGAGGATACGGAAAATATCAAGGTATTTCTAATTCAAAGTAAGCATTATATGGTTAACTGCAATATTGACTATATTGTTTCTTCTTCTGCTACTCTTTACATAGGAACGTGGGTTCCATTTGAACGGGGAAGAGCACTTGCTGAACAGTATAATGTAAAAAATCTATTGCAACCCATTTTAGAATTTGTGCGGGGGGATCAGAGTCCTCCTTTGGCACCTAAACATGCTACAGCTGCTTCCAATAGGCCACGTAAAATGCGTGAAATACGTGCTAGAAAACGACCCAAACACTTGGATGATGATATTGTTATGTCAGATATTGAGACAGCATCACAACAAAGCAATACCACGCCACAGTTAAGTGAAGCACCCTTACCACCAACATCGAGGCGGGAGGGTGACCTTAGCGGTTCATCGCCATTACCGCAAAAGAGATCACGCACCGCACGAGCGAAAGATAAACTGTCATCCGTACCGAAACTCCAATCAAAGATGAACACAACGTCATCACGGGCAGCAGCACAATCTCAAGAAGCTAGGATGGATATTGATGATTTATCGGATTCTGAGCAAGGAGCAAAAAACAACCGAGGCAATTCTGACGAGATGTTAGATACGTCCACTAATGAACCTTACGCTCAGCGCTTACTTCAATACTTTATGTCTAACAAAACCACTATACCACCCTACATATCGAGACCTCCACGTGACCTGGACTTGAACGTCATCATTGATGATGAGGGTCATACGAGTTTACATTGGGCAGCTGCCATGGCACGTATTAAGATAGTGAAACTCCTTATTGATAATGGCGCGGATATCTATCGTGTGAATTACAAAGGACAGACAGCACTCATGCGTTCCGTGCTGTTTACCAACAATTTCGACGTTAAAACGTTTGATTCATTACTAGACCTTTTACGCTCTACTATCTTCAATATCGATAAGCGAGACCAAACTGTGTTTCACCATACTGCAGCTATGTCAGATTGGAAAGGAAAGATATACGCATCACGCTATTATATGGAATGTTTGATCAATAAATTGAAGAATAACCAATCAGAACTGATTTCGATATTAAATGTACAAGATACCAATGGTGATACAGCGTTGACAATTGCTTCTAAAATAGGGAACAGAAGATTGATAAAATTATTGATCGAAGCTGGAGCCAGTACGGAAATTGCAAATGAAGAAGGGATGACGCCCAGAGATTATTTCGGGGAAATGGAGAAATCATTGTCTCTTCGTACATCTTCCTTCGCCTCTTCTCCTCCTTCACTGTTGCCTGTAACGGTATCATCGCCAAGTGAATCAACCAGCACTGGTCTGTTAAACGAAGCAAATATCCGTGAAATGCTACAAGCTCGCGTTGAAGCGATATATAGAAATGTGAATAAGGATCCAACCCAGCCACAGCCTATTTCCGAAGTATTTGACGATTTGGCCGAGAGCTACGAAAAAGATTTGATCAACAAGGAACGGTTGATTGAGAAAAAGGAAATAGAATTGGACCTGTACAAAAAGCGGCTAGTAGAAACGAAAAAGATACTCGAATCCGATATTTTAAGTAATGAAGACGATAAAGAAGAAATCAATGCCATTCTGCAGAGAATGGAAGAGAAAGGCAAAACTCTGGAATTAAGATTGCGTAAATGGCTCATATACCGACAAAAGGAGAAATTACGAATATTACAAAACCAATATCTGAATGAAGAACAAAAGCCTCCGTCGCCTCCCAATACAAACACTTTGGAAGAACTGAAAGATATAGCACAGAAACTGAAAAGTGAATTAGAAGAGCTGCGACGCGAAAGAAAGAAAAAGACTGAGACATTAATCGAATTACATTCGCGCACACCGCCTAAAAAGCATAGAGCTTATAAACGATTAATTTCTGCGTGCTGTAATGTCGCCTATGAAAATGTCGACGTTATGTTAGGACCCTTACTGGCTTCATCCGATATTGATAACAGCACTAGCAAGATCAGAAAGCCAACTGCTTCAGAATAACAAAAGCTGACTTATATAACCTGAAAAATTTACAAGCAAAACAAAACCAAGATTCCCCGAAACACCATCATTAACTTAACCTCCTATAACATAATTAGTTAAATTGCTAGCGCCACTTACTCTTACAATAATTACTTTGTTTCAAAAGCTACAATATTTCTACAAATTGTTAGCATTTATTTATAAAAATCGCCAAATAGTACAAGTGGTATGTCGTAAATGGCTAGAAGTTGTTATGAAACTATTAGTGTAGAAACGTAGTAGCTGTTATTAATCCTGCACAGCTTATGTTATAATTGTGTCTGCAAAAAATAGTTATAGATTGTCATTATTGCTACTTATTTCTCTATTACTTCTTCCATTAGCGCTATACTTTCGTCTGCGAATTTTCTTCGTTATTCTTCTTTAGAAGAGGATAATGCTGTACTTGCAGGATGAGATTCTTCGTACCCGGTTGGTATCACAAAAGATTGCGTCGCGAAGGAGTTAAGCATTATACTTCCATCACTTGAATCTGCCTCAATTATTGAGGCGTCAATAAGCAAATTACTATCCTTCGGTTCATGACTGTCTTTGCTTCCCTTAGAATCATCACTGCGTATTCTATTCTCTATTTGAGAATTTTGTTGAGCCTCGCACAAACTTTCCTTTGTTGATAAAGTTATGCTTGAGTTGGAAGAGCTACCAACAGCAACAACGTTCGGTAAAAAATCATGACTTAGCGATGGTGATGAGTTTCCAGCATGACTAGGCAACTCTAACTCTGGAGCATGTTCATTGATGAATAAGTTCAGATCTTTGGATAATTCTTGTCGTATGGATAATAAGATTTTGCTTGCTTCGGGGTTTCGTAAAGCCAAAAACAAAGGTTTTATGGATCTGGAAGAGGTTGTAGGTATGCTTCAGCTTGCATTCATACTTCGTTTACAATATCAACAGTTTCTTACCTATAAATATCCATGCCTGTGTCGCTTAGACGCATGACAAAGTAATACACTATAGGTTGAATTACCCAAAGTAGCATAGAACGAAATAGCTTGGCGCGAGTAGATAACAAGGGTTTTCTTCGGTGTAAATAGATCAAGTAAAATAATCCATAAAGCCCATACAACATTGGAGCAGCAAATATGGTAACAATAACTTTCCATGTAGCCAAAACATCTTTCCCAGCTATTTTAACCGATGAACCTGCCAAAGCCTCTATAATCCAAAGTAAATAAAGATTACGCATCAGGTGGGTATTGTATATGTATTCTTGAGGATCGTGTGAATGATGCTCTTACGTTTTTGTTTCATACGACTGATGAATTTTGTTATCCAAATCAAAGGCATATTTAAAAGGAATCTGAATTATAGAAACAAGATGTTTTCTAGTATATCTATTCAATGGTTACGATATAGTAATCTTTTCACTTACGAAGGTGCCCCAAAACCTGTCACAATAAGCAACTGAATAGCTTGTTTCATCAGTTGAACGGCTGCTTTTTGCGGGGTTATGTTCAATTTCTCCACATGATGATCTTGGATACCGAATAATTGTAACAAGCTATTGTAATATTTCACCTTTTGTTCTATTTTCTTCAAATTAGGCTCATCCTTTAATTTGGCCCATAAAAGCCCAAAATGACGATTGAGCTGAACAACGTCCGCTATGCTTGGAGGTTTGGAGTCCTTTTTATGGCGGTTGGGAGGAACATACAAGCGTCTAGCGGTCTGCACCACCATAAGCGTATCATAATCCGGCGCATTAACGGTGACTGTTCGGAAAGCCTCATCACACTGATCTAGTAGTCGTGTAACTGCTTCTCGTTTGTCTTTGCCTCCCTTTTGATAGTCTTCCGCATCGCTGGAATGTACAGAAATAGGTTGTCCAAATGAAACAACAGCTCGTGAACGAAATCGATCTGGATGGAAGTAGTTGAGGCCTTTCGATGTCAAGAAATTATACAATATACTTTTGATTAGTATAGCAAAAGACAATGCTTGATGACTGCCAACTCCCTTTTTGTTATATGAACACGCACTGTGCACAATAGTTTCTGTTGACTACTTTACCTACAGGCACAATTTTAATGTCCAGTGATGGGTTAGTCGCTTTCGCTCCGAGAGCCATAATAGCGAAACCAGCTGCGATATTGCGATCAAGAAACAGCATCAGTAACAATTAACAGCTATTAGCTTAAGCAAAATGTCATATTACTCATCATTAACTACCTTTTAAAGGAAGCATCTCTGAACGATCGTGGCTACCGCCCTCAGGAAATACTGTGATACATTCATGTCTGTTGAGATGTTGATGTACTTCTTCGTAAACAGTTGTCTGATCCACATGAGGAGCGATTTTGAACGGAGCCCATTCATCTTTAAGTGAATTTTGCCCGGGAATGATTGCATGGGACACCTCCAATAACGTATCAGAAATGATCTTGGCCACATGTAATTTGTAATTGTTTCCAAAGATAACGAAATCACGCACACCGATCTCAGAAAGGAACTGTGTCCCTTTACCCAAAATTCGATATGGATTGTTGATAGCATCATAATGTATGCAACCTGTGCCGACGTTGACAATATCTTGCGGTCTAACTACCGGAACTATATTCCCAAACAATTATTTTTAACCCTTTCTCGGCCTTTTTATACATCTACAAAGATTGGATTAAACTATTCTTGATCCTCTTACTGGCATTTAATATTTTCCCAACATGCCCAATGAAGGGTTTCTTATATGATACGGCTGCCATTAAAGCGTATGAGGGGCGAGGATTCACACTAAAGAAGACAACACCATCTACGAATTGATTGGCATGAGGCCCCACAATGAAAATGCAAGGACCTGATGAGGGAACATTATGGAGATCAGTTACTTTTATTTCCCTAAAAAAGATGTGGGTAACAAGTTTGAATGCACCGCGAAATGCTTTATAAGTATAAGGTGATAACAGCTCGAATGGTGTTTGAGATTTCTTTATATCATTCATTGCGTATTTTTTTGTTATCAGTTTTGACAGTGCGTAGATCAAAAAAAAAAAAAAATAATAAACGAAAAAATTGAGAAATCGATTAAAAAATCAGGTACAAATTAATGTTCAATGAAAATGCAATCTTTAAATTGTTTATTACGCAATTTTATCAACAGAAATCAAGAAATGCAACGCCAAGGCGACAATCTGGTAATTATAGCTTATGGAAAAAGCACATAATCTGCGACAATGAAAGAGAAGATAAAAGCTGTATTGACTAAATTGCTATCTCTTAAGCCTAATGAAGATGTAGCCAACTGTTAGCTGGAACATCTACGTTGTTTGCAGCAATTACTGGTTCTTTCATTGACTGTTCATTGTTAACAGTAACGAATACCATGTTTGTAACAGGGAAGTCGTTTATCCTCAGCTTCACGATATAACTTTTTGATTGGCTTAAAAAAAAAAGATATAGCTTCTAAGAACTGCATTTTAAAAAAAGCTCGGAAAACGAAAGTAAATCAAAAATCCTTTTATTTTTTTATTTTATTTTTTTTTTTTCCTTTTGCCCCAGTTAATCCTACACGAACGTGGTTTTTTTTTTTTTTCTTATTACTTTTCCTTCTGCCGTCTAAAACGTACAAAATGCCTAGTAATACAGCAGCAACCAAACATCCAAAAATCGATTTCACAAAATATACTATGGAAGATGGCACTGTTGTTAGTACGACAGACCGTATTTATACAAGTAAGCAACCAATTACAATTGCGTACTGTGTAACCATGAAGGCTGATGCAAGCTTATTTTACGAATTTATGCAGAGGTTGAGGCGCCAGCTTTTAATAAACCTACAAATGAAGAACTATTCTCTAAAGAAAGACCTGGTTTGCCCAACTTAGAGTTTCTAAGAGAGCATTTTCGTAAAGAAGGCAGGCTGACAGACGAACAAGCCTTGAAAATTTTGCATGATACAAATGAATTATTGAAAAAAGAGCCCAATTTGTTGCGTATACCCGCACCTATTACCATTTGTGGTGATATTCATGGACAATATTACGATCTTTTGAAATTATTCGAAGTTGGAGGCGCGCCTGCAGAAACAAGGTATTTATTCTTAGGTGATTATGTGGATAGAGGTTATTTTTCAATCGAGGTAGCGTATTGCTGGAATCATGGACAAATGTGTACAAGTGATTAATGCACCTACATTCATAGTGCGTGCTCTATCTCTGGGCTCATAAACTATGGTATCCGGATACATTTCACTTACTACGTGGTAACCACGAATGTCGACACCTCACAGAATATTTCACCTTCAACTTGGAATGTAAGTTTGTTTTGGTTTTTTTTGCCAACCCTGCCACTTGGGAGCAATTTTTAAAATCGCGTTTATTTTTATCTTACTTTATTTATTTATTTTTTATTGTTTCATCCTCTAGGCAAAACAAAGTATTCAGAAGAGATCTATGATGCTGTTATGGAATGCTTTGACAGTCTTCCATTAGCAGCAGTAGTAAACGATCAATTTTTTTGTGTTCACGGTGGTTTATCACCGGACTTGAAAACGTTGAAGGATATTGAAAATGTAATGATGATGCTATATACGCACAACTTCAGAGTTAAACCGACAAAAACCCCTACCCCTCCTTTTTTAAATCCTGAAGGCTAAACCTTTTACTTCTGCCTCCCATAATTTGCGCTAGATTGATCGTTTCGTAGAAACCCCGACATCTGGTTTACTGTGTGATTTACTATGGAGTGACCCTCAAGAAGAATTTGATGCAGACACAGGGCCAAAGTATGAACATAATCATGTTCGAGGTTGTTCGTATTTCTACAGGTAAAAGAGATTAAATCACAAAGTGAAGCAGTGATGAACATTGAGGTGCCCGCTGAATACTTAATAGTTTCCCTTAATTTTTGGCATTAGTTACCGTGCTACTTGTAATTTTTTAGACAAGAATAATCTGCTATCAGTAATTCGTGCCCATGAAGCACAGGCTAATGGGTAATTATATGCATTCAGATATCAATAAGCATTAGTCCATGGGAATAACTGGATTTACTTTTCTTCTTATTCAAAACAGTTACCGCATGTATCGTAAAAGTAAAACAACAGGTTTTCCAGCATTGATGACCATTTTCTCCGCACCAAACTATATCGACGTTTACAACAATAAGGCTGCTGTTCTTCGCTATGATAAAAGCGTGCTAAATATACGACAATTCAACTGCAGTCCTCACCCATATTGGTTACCGAATTTTATGAACGTTTTCAATTGGAGTTTGCCATTTGTTGGTGAAAAAAGTAAGACTTCTTCCTTGTACTTATTCTTATGAGAAAGATCTGGTAAAAGCTAATTTTTCCATTTTTGCTATTCCGCTTCAGTCACAACGATGCTTTTGGCTATGTTGAATATTTGCTCACAGGAGGAGTTATCAGAAGGAGTTGGAGGAGAAGGTAAAACAACTGCTTCCGCAGCGGGCCCACCTACTACCATTACAACAGACAGTGAAACAGAGCAAAGAAGACAAATCATTAAGAATAAAATCATGGCTATTGGCAAGATCTCCCGTACCTTCTCCGTACTCAGAGAAAATTCAGAGCTTGTTATGGAACTCAAGAATTTGTCAGGAAGTGGTAAATTACCAACAGGAACGTTAGGTCTTGGTTCTGAGGGTATTAGAAAGGCTATCACGACATTTGAAGAGGCTAGACGATGTGATATTGAGAATGAGCGTTTACCGCCTGCATCACGAGAAAGTATGGAAGCTGTTCAACGAGAAACGACACATTCTAAGGTTAGAGATGCTGTAGGTGAACAAGACAACGATCTTTCTCGTATGGCTGATGTATTAGCGTCTGAACCCAATAAGGCGGAGCGGTCTATATCAGCTTCGCAATTTTAGAAAGACAGATTTTCATTGCCGTTGCATATATACTTGTTAATTATCATTTGCATGTAATACTTCATATCTCATCAACTGTTATATCTCCTTGTAAGCATATTTTATTATGTAAATTTGGTATAAAGATATTTATAAAAAAAAAATGCGTGTCTTTTAGGAGCATTTAAAGTAATGTTCCTTCGAGTTGAAAAGGGTTTTGAATAGATAGAAAGTTGTAACAGACATCTAAAGGACTTACGGATTCATTCCTTGTTGATCCGATTCAGGCACGTAGTTTATGCTAAATTATCATATGTGGGCTTGTGCAATAGCTTTGTTTTCTATAGTATAAATCTTAATGCTTGCAATAGGCTAACAAAAGATTGTTGCTCTGGTAAATAAATGCTATTTTTTGCCAAGAAGTTTCAACTTGACGACCATCTTGTTGTTATTACTCCTCGTTAAAGGCAACGAGAGAACTTTTTCTTTGTTCTATGGCAATGATAAATGCCATCAATACTGTCGAAGCATGAACGGTGTACAATATGACTATCGATGAGCTGTCTATTTCTGTTCGTTAAGGCGTCGCTTTTTTCATGCCTTAATGCTCCCTCCCCCTTTATGAAATTGGATTGATGGTGTATATCTATGATATCGATCATTAAGCGTCTATCAATAACAAAATTAGTATTAAAAATGGAGAGCAATTCCAGCCCACGAATCGATTTGTCTGTCCACAAGAAGTGCGCGAAACTAATGGTCGAGCAAGTGGTTACCGTTATTTCGTTTTCACTCCCCTTTTGGTTGGCTTTACATCTGCAGTACCCTTTCTTTTCGAACAGCTCAATGAAGCATACAGCTTCGATTATTCAAGCAATACTTCAAAAGGTAGCTCACTTTATAAAACGTATTTTTAAACGTTGCGTACTAAACGCCAGACCCAACTTCATCAGTTTTGGTATTCATTTACTACTGTTTGTAAATTTTCGCGCCGGACGTTTTTCGGTTGCAAGGATTAGTCCTTGGCTATCTTCTTCAGAATAGGTTCTACCATATTGTAACAACTTATACTGAACAAAAGCTGAGAGCTAGTATATATTCTAAAAGAATGTGTCGATAAAAAGTCTCGATTATGAAGAGTGGTTAGCAATTGCTAAGCTTTATTACCTATATATCAGTAATTCATACTAATACTTAAGCATAAAAACGACCTGATGCTTTGTGGAACTAAATAACAGTATAAATAGCTCACCTAATTGTAGCTATATTTGCTCTATCATTGTTTTTCAGTTAAAAATAAAGTCTCATTAATACATTTAGCCCTCTCTACTGATACATATCATGTAGGTATTCCATACTGCAATACACCCACCCATTGTTCAAGTGCAATTGTCGGGACGTAAAATTTGGCAGGTTAAAAAAACCTTCCATGTTCTTTAAAGCGTTTTCTTTGCTAAAGATCTGCTGATGATCCGTCCAATGCTTAGTAGAAGCAGCTCATACTAGCACTTAATGTCGAAAAAACTATTTTCACAGCACGCAAAAGAAGAGGCCGACGTCAACGAGGACTATTCTAAAGCAGCCATTCCACTTAGTAAAACAAAACCAGATCTTGTCAATGGAATTCCACTGTCTGGAGAAGACTACCTTTTGGTCGTACGGTAACTATTCTGTCAGCTTTCTGAATGTAACTGGTAGCACATTTTATTCAAAGCTTCTTTTCTTTGATTCACTTTAATACAGTCAACAAGCGAAACAATGTGCTCAAACTGTAGTGGCAGAGCGCCCAAAAAATGTTAAAAAAGTTCAGCTGCCTCCCCATCTTCAAATGCTCTTACAGGATAATACGTCAATAAGCACAGTTGAGCATGCTTCTGAAGTTTGGCGAAAGGGATATGGTGTCGTTTTCAAATCCTATCAGTCAGTGAGTGTTAGTCTTTCCAGTTAAGCGGTTGTCAATACTATAAAAGCTCGGAGCACTCAAATTTCTTTCTCCTACTCCACAGTATATGCAGAAGCAAAGAAACTGCATGCCAACAACACGAAAAGAATTGAACTCTATAAACGAGGCATACAGCATACTTTATTCAAATGGAGAAAACGAATGTAGTATTACTGATTTTGCTCCATCGCTGACTCAGGTTAGTTTTAATTTCTGAATGGAAAATACTTATCGTATATTAACTGGACGCTTTACCTTTTAAGCACGATATCCTTCGTTTGCTAAAGTATCACTGTCAGTGGTTGAAACTTCATGACAATATTGATTTGAAGGTATCATCGGATTGCTTTTTGTACCAATGGAGCTTAAGAATGAAAATCACTGAATTGTCATCTTTAGTGTAAATGGATTTTTAGTCTATTAGTTTATCTCGATCCTGTTTTAACATCAAGTAACATGACCATTTTGAGAGAGTTATCGAGAGAATGTGGCAAACTCAGATCAGAACTATCAGAGACACATGAAGCGCCATTAAATACCATTATTACAATTATAGCTGTAGCTTTTGGTCAAGCAGACCTTCTCTAACATAGAAAAAAAAAAACGGGCTGCAAAGATCATTTATACCCTATGTATCTTGTACATAAATTGTCGTAAATAAATTCACAGGGTGTGGCCAACGTTGTAGGCTAATGTATATCCGAGCTTTAAATTATATATAATACTTAAAGTGCTGTCTCATCAATAAACAATTACCAACTCACAGAAGCAGTGTGTATATATGATTCAGGGAGAAAACGAGATATTGTTTATCACATAAGATACATAGCAACAAGCGTAAAAGGTATTTGTGTCGTAGTATGGCATATGTTATTCATTCTTTTGACAAAATGAGTTGAGAATTCTACAATAATAATGATAATAACGATGATATTAATAATCAGGGCAATTGCAAGCGGGATTCTTTACAGCCATAAGCAGATGGTGTAATTTCTATCATAAATGATCGAGGTATAGAAATGAATGGAATTTCTTTGGCTGGTCTATCGAACAAATAAGCGTATAAACAACGCAAAACAGTTTCGTGAGCAATAATGAGTACATCATTTTTCTCACGTTCCAATTCCATGATAACACTCTCTAATCTCACGGCCAAATCATGATAAGATTCTGCTCTTGGGTATCGATGGCGATAAGGGTTTTCACGCAATTTGGCAACTTCTTCGGGATACTTAGCCTCCAGTTCTTCTTGAGTTAGTCCATCTGATTCTCCTGGATTCAACTGATTGAGAACAGACTGCTGTCTTACTGGTACACCCGCGTTGACAAATGGAATAGCTGTCTCCAATGCCTTTTTTTGTGTCGAGGTCCATACAGTCAAAGGTCGTTTTTCTTCAGCTGGAACTTTCGAGTATTTTTCTTTATGGTAAGCTAGCATGAACTCTGTTAACTTTTCGGCATAGATCTCTCCTTCTGGTGATAAATTCGCGTCTGCTTTGTATGAGTTGTCATTGAGAGAGTTACCACACTATATCAATAGACGATAATTAGGTTCCCTTCCATACAGTGGACGCTGTCCTACAATAAACTTACACGAGCAAAATAAACTGTTCGTGGATGAATATGAAGATTCATCAGATAGTAGACGATTCTCGACTGGTCAATAAAGACAAAATTAGCAAAGGTTACGCAGACATTGCCTTTTTGTTGAATTCGTTTTTTTTTCTTACCTGTAGATAACCCATGACGTTATTGACAATAAACTGCTCTCCTGCATTCATATTCTTAACAAATGGCAATGTTGTATCAGTGATTGTCTCGTAGTTCTCTTCATGTTGCTTTATACGTCGTTTATAGTCTCTAACAGCTTCTTCTGGATCCCAACCAACATACTATTTTGCGTGAATTTTCAAGTCAATGATGCGTAACTCTGATCATTGTCATATGTTTGCTTACATCGGGTGATGAAATCTTGACGCTTCGAATGTTAGCCAGGATGATATCTGGTTTGTTACATATAAACTCCAAGAATAAAGGCTATTGTTGTTGTAAGGTATCAGACAATTAGCACTAACCATACTAAATTTCTCAGCTCTTGATAACCTTACATGTATGTCGTTGTTTAACAGCTTATCGTGTATGTGTTTTCTTCTAACTTCTGTAACGTTATTTCCGTCAAAAATGGCTACTTGCCCACCTCCAGTTTGTAGCCAATGAATGAGATCGTCCAAACATTCATCTGCTACTTTAATACGTGCTGTTGTAGCCTTTGTATTATCTACATTTATTAAAGGATATTTAGTTTTTTTGTTCACCCTTTGATTCCGTGTTTATTCAATGAAACCATCAATTTACTTGGGTCAAACCATTCTTCAGATAAGGATCCCAGCCTTTCCCGCCTATAATTACCAACACTAAATACTTTGGTCGAAACACCCAACCAACGCATATAACGACATAAAGAACGTGAAGCATGTGTTTTACCGCGTGCGGGTAGACTTTTTATATTAGATATACAAGGCAAAGGTATTGTAACATCAGTTAGAAAGTGAAATCGAAACGTGTCAAGCTTCTAATTTTTTCTATTTGTTGCGCTGTCCTTAATCCTTTTCCCCAGGCGATTCAATTTACCCAACTGTAATAACTGCAACTGCGCCTGCGTGGAATAAACGTCCACTTGTGGTTTCGTAAAGCTGAGCTGCCATTTAGTTTTTTGTAGGAAATTATGTGAAGAGATTGTCAGTAAGCAATTGCTTGAAGGGAACAAGAAAAGCAAAAATAGAAAGGAGTAGAGGGTGGAGTGGCAAATGTCGGCTGCATAACTGGGCGATGGAACGTTGTAACTTTTTTAAAAGACAATTGATACCCCGTTCCTGACTCAAGAAAGCGAAAAAAATTGCCCTGCTCATGCCTGTCAGCAACATGTCACTCCTGGTCTCTTCTGCTTTCGCTTCATGGTTCGGAAACATTTACAGACTATTAGAAACGAAGTCCATAGGAAGACTTGATAACATCACTAAATGTTTTGTGTCTAATAAAATAAAGTTCTGCTAGTGCCGAAACTGCTTAGTCCAAATTTTCTTTTGGAATGATAATATGAATTGGCCCAGGTTTTCAGAGTAGCTATCGAACGATAGGTTTACTATTTTGAAAGAATAATAACAAAAGGGAATTCGCATCTGATAAGCACATAAAGAAAATTAGTGTTACTGGCAGTAACAGATGTTTTATATGAACTAATATAGTCGCTCAATCTCCTCAAGTTGGGTATTATTCATTTAAAAGTTCAAATTAGCTTATTTCTATTCAGTTTGGCCATTCGTTATAGAGCTTCATTGAGCAATTGATGTAAATTGCACAGTTAACTTTGAATATTCGAATGCCAGTAAGACCAATAGTAATTTTTTTCTCACAACCAATGATGCTTTCGTTCTACTTGATGGCGTACCTAATTACAACAGTACCTGTTATCCATATAATTGATGATGTTGACGGAGTAACTGTTGTAGTGTTGTCAAATATACTTTAGTAATACATTAGTCAAGCAAGTTTCACATTTGATCCAGTCCCTAATTATCAAATCAGAATTTGACTTAATGAAATGCATAAATAATAAGCTGTATTTGTTACAACTTGTTCAATATTAACTTTGTGTCAAGAAGGATTATCATCCTATTCAAACGTTGATGGATAATTTAAAAGATCTTTGATTTAATATGATAAATGAAAGCCCGCGAAATTTGAAGCCATATTTATATAAACGTAATTGGCTTCATTGTCACAATGTTCTTTCAAAGTGCCATCATTCTTTATACCCTCATCTTCACCCTATATTCCTTCACATATATATCCTACCATAACCGCAAATATGCATTTATTCATATCAAAATTTGATACCAACACTGTACAAACTTCTGTGCAACATAAATCAACGTCAACATTCAGCACAGGAGCCATTATTGGTATCGTCATAGGCACTATCGCAGCTGCTGCGTTGATTATATGTACAATATACCGTATCCACCGTCTAAAAAAGTACAAAGACAAACTGCGTAGAAAGCAGAACAGCATGTATCGATTTATACTAGACCCATCAGATGAAAATTCTTGTGTTGGGACAAAGAGAGGATCGAAGGTAAAATCATCATACAGCAACACATACCTCAGCACGTGTATTCACTTATGACTTCTCTATCATAGATTGAAGTTGTTGATAATTATCCCTGCTATCCCAGCAACAAGGAGAAGCAGCAGCAACAGCGTCCAAAATCCTTTTTGAAAAAGGTACGTAATAAGCGATCTAGTAAACATCAGTCAACAGCCATCAGAAGCTCGTTTAAGCTTCATATATCTGCCCTGATGAGACCAACTTCACTCTCACTGAATGATACTCGCTTCAGCAAACTTTTCTCCAAAACAAACAGCAACAGTAAATGCACAAGTAGCAGAAATTCAACTGTGTCGCTGCTTCAAACACCTTCAGAAACACACTGTTCATCCATAGCTACAAAAACCAATTCCTTTTTTTCATATAGCTTCGGTTCTTATCCCGATGAAAGCTCTATTCCGCCTCTAACCCCTTCTTCATTTAGCGGTAGCAGGAGTAGTAGTGGTAGCACGGTTGTTGCTGATTTGTCAGACACCTCTTCCCAACCTCCATACTTCCATGTCTTAATCAATGATTTTGAAATGACAAAGAATCAACAACTGAGAGAAGAACAGCTACAAGGGTATTCAAAGAAACAAGAAGAGGATATTTATATATTGTATTAAGATAATAATTAGTAGCAAAATATTAGTATAAATCTGCATCGTATCGTTTTAAATTTATAATTATTGAAAGGGAATAGATTATTCAATTATACCATCAATAAGTAATAAGCCAGACTAGAATAACTATGTCGTTTCATTGTGTGCATAATTTGACCGTTAAACCAAACAGGATCAACCTAGTCTACAGGTTGGCTACCCTTGCCATTGCCATATAATTTACTTGCTGCAAAAATGAGATGGTGGTTGATCCCGTCTAAAGTGATAAGGTAAGGCTGCTTTGTATGCTTCCGACAGAGAAAATGTCGATTTAGCAGCAGCATTCATCGCTCTCATTTCCACAACAGAAACAGCATAAACAAATAGAAGCAAGTCTATTATATGCAAGTTTAAAAATGATTCTATCAGTCTTCATGCATTTGTTTTCTACGATATTTTAAATTATAATTGCTTTACAGCGCGGTTAAGCAAGCACAATCATTATAACAACAATCACAACAATCACAACAATCACAGCAACTTCTTTGTTGATATACCGGGTATGGCTGTTGTTGAACGATAATGGGTGGCTGTCCATTTACCTGCATTGCGCCCATACTCGAATAAGGATAGCCTACGATACATTTTCATGAGTTCTTTCCTCATATAGGATACTAACAAATTAGCGTAATTGCAATATACTTGGTGTTGGCTGGACAATGGTCGGAGTATACGGTGATGGTCCATTGTAATAAGGTGTAGCCGAGGCCATTGATTGAGGTAAAGTAGGAGAAGCATAAACCGGAGTGCTGGTGTAAATAATGTTAGACATGTTACTGCGGGTATGATTGTTTGAGAACAATGAGGAAATATGTAAAAAGGAAAAAGAGAGAAGACTTAACGTATAATTTTCGGGGGAAAAGAAAAGAAACTTCTTACTAAAATGCGATAAACATGGCAATCTCTTTTTTGCGAATGGCAGAACTTGTTTTCACGCTGTTTGTTTACTAGGTTACTACGGCAAACGGAGATCACGGAAACGTTTATTTTATTTCTCTTCAACCCGTGATCATAATGGCTAAGCACCTCTTATTAAAAATGTTTCGAATATATGTAACCCTATCCAACGAAAATCTCTCTTTTAGACATATTCAAGATGGTCAAGCTTATACCATACCTTTAAAACTGCTTAACAGCTGGTTATAATAACGGCTCAAAGCATGTTTTCGAAAAGAGAATAGCTATTTTAGAGCTGTAGCGTTGATGTAAATGCTGTACAACTATAACGTCAGGTGTGTGCTACACGTAACACTTTTTCAGTCATCTCAAAAGGTCTATTCACTTGTTAACCCATCCTATGTGATGCCCTGCATATTCCGTACCGTATGTAACCTTCAGAAGTATTTAATGATCAGCCTATTCCCCAATTGATAATGAAACGATTACTGATGACAACCTTACAAAAGCCTATAGGGAGGCCAGTAAGCAAAAGTAATTGTACAGCAACATGGACTAGCATCCATAGCGTTGGCGCGGCTTATGTGTTTAGGCATGCTTTCACCATTCTCAAGTAAATTGCTCGGGTATATGATGGCTGACTTTCTATTGTTTTACTTCTACGTTGAAGCATTTTTCTGCTCTTTTAATAAAAATAAAGAAGTAAAGGATTCTCTTCGGGCAAAAAAAAACCTTTGCGTATACATTTATTTGAGCCTGCATCCAACTGCTGCTTAATGTTTCAAGTATACTCTGTAATGCAATTGGAGGTAAGTGAAATATTTCGATGTTCATCAATACAACACAGTTCGTTAGAGCCCTTTTACGACAATTCTTTAGTTACTGTTGTATGCTTTTAGTCTTGGTTTTAACATATCCAAATCATTTGAGTAAGCAGTTTTATCTGGACAGGACTCAATATGTTTCAATACATCATTTACTAACTGTTTTAAAGAGGGTGAGTGTGCAGTCGTTGTGAGAATTGATGGTAACGAAGCTGTCGTAGCAGTACTGCTGCTATTTGGTAAAGCCACATTGTCGTTTTTAGTGTATGCATCATTGTTAATAGTAGTCGGAGTATGGACATAATCTATTGAAATCGAAGGAGTCGAAAGGGCCTTGCTCTCAATGGCTATACCACTTGTCGCTTGATTGGTGGATAAATCTATACGTTCTGATTGCTGTTGCTGTTTGTGACGTTGTGCCATAAATACTGAAGGAGAAGCTCGGGTGAAGAAACCCTTTCCAGAAGCTATCCCTAATTGAATATCCACTGGTTTTTTCATGGAGGATGCTTCAGTCACCTTCCGAGAAAAGTTGACAAACTGATGACTATTATCTATTGTTGTTGATGTCAATAGATCGTCATCGTTCAAGTCAAGCATAGTAGACATTATTATGAAAGGTTTACAGATAAAGGGGAGAATAAGCAAAGGAAAAAGATAAAAAAAGAGTACAAACAGCAGACTGCACTAGTATGTCATTTAAGAAAATAGATGATTGTCGTTGCTAACAAACGCCAACTATGCAAGTTCGTATCACACGAATTACGAGATTTTAAAGAAGCCGCAAACAGGAGTAAGCTGTACCAACACTGGCAACGAGTAACTATTTCTGTATTCCTCTACTTAAAAAAAAAAAAAAAAAAAAAAAAAAAAAAAAAAAAAAGAAAGCGCTCAATCCTTTCATTTCCAAAGCAATTCTATTCTGAAAAGCATGCATAAAATATACAGTTTTCATCCATGTGCTCCTTTCTCGTACAACGGGCGAATTGTATTTAAACTCACATCTCAATGCTTGCATATACTAACTTGAATATTTGATCAACCATCATGTACAGTTATTAATTAGACATAGAAAGTCTTGCTTTATTCAAAGTAACTAAATGGAAAGAGCACATTCCTCTAATTAGTTCAGATTTGGAAATGTTATTGTTGTTGTGATGGCTGCTGTTGCATTGTTTGTGGTGGCTGCGTTTGCGTCTGTGTCTGTTGGGGAAGTGTTTGTTGTGTTGGTAATTGCTGTGGCTGCGAAGGTATAACAGGATTACTATTATTATTCTTATTATTGGTAGGAGCGGCAGTGGTAGTATTAGGGTTGCCATTTGAAACAGCAGCAGCGGTGGCAGCAGCAACAGCGGTATTCCTCATTTGAAGATGAGCTAGATAGCGTTGTAACTGAAGTTGTTGATTTGCTGGTAGTTGCGATATAGGGTATCCCATTTGAGCTAATTGAGCTGCAAACATGAGTGGATTGGCTTGGGCAGCCTGTAATTGAGCCGCAAGAGCTGCTTGTTGTTGTTGTTGCTGCGGTGTAAGTTGTTGTGGTTGCTGTGGTTGTACTTGAGGTTGTATTTGAGGTTGTGGTGATGATTGAGGAGTTGTTTGAGAAGGAGCAGGAGGGTGCGGTTGAGGACTTTGTTGCTGTTGTGTAACAGCAGGTGATGCCATTTGAGAAACTTGCTGAGCAACTGTTTCAGCGCTGGGAACTACAGGCGTTTCTGTGAGAAGAAAAAGTAATAGTAAGGTTAATCATCTAACGTCAGCCGATGAAGGATTTTTCTATACGCTTACGTTGGGTAGTATGTTTTGCTAATTGCTGATGTTGTTGAGCGGCTAGTAATTGTGCTTGCTGGTGAGCCTGAGTCTGAGCCTGCACTTGTGCATGTTGTTGGGCTAGTTGTTGCAGCTGCGCTTGTGAGGCTGTTGGATGTTGGCCATGAACTTGTGTTTGCGCCTGCGCTTGTTGTAACTGTAATTGCTGCTGCAACTGTTGTTGCTGTTGTTGCTGCTGTGCTTGTAGTGCACTGGCGAATCGTTGTAATGCGGCTGGAGTCAATGGCCGGGCTTGCCCATTAGCTCCTGCAGCCTGCAGTTGCTGCTGTTGCGCTTGTTGTTGGGCTGCTGCCATTAACATCATTTGCTGTTGTCTCAGTAATTGAAGCTGGGCAGCTGGGTATCTATTTACAGGAAGGCCTGCAGCATTTGCGGTTTGTGGTATAGGCATTGGATGAGGTCTAACTTGATTTTGAGAATCGACGGTTGGACTTCTTGTTGCTGCGACTGCTGCGCGCGCTTGAGCAGCTGCAACTGCAGCAATATTGGAAGGTAGAGGAGGTCTTAACGGCGTCTGTGCCTGAGGCTGTGGTTGAGGAGTCTGAGGTTGTGGTTGAGGAGTGTTGTTCCTATGACCCAGTGCAGCAGCTTGGGAACCTAGATTCAATGCGGCGGATAGTTGACGTTGTTCCAACATGGCTTGTGCCATTTGTCTTTCTCTTTGTGCTTTGTGTAAACTCATTTCCATTGCTGTCGGTAAACGTTGACCTGCACTGTTTGTACCGTGTACTTCTATTGTTTGGTGAGGAGGAGCGGAAGATGTCGATGAATGCGTTTCAGCTTCTTCGCGCTTTTTCGCCGTTTTCTTCATAGCCTCAAAAATGCCAAATTGTCGTTGACGTTTCTGTGCCGAATCAAATCCCATAGACATTGGTCTACGGTTGAGTTCTTTGATGAGTTTTGATGTATAAGCATTATTTACTTGTCCAAAGAGATTTGTCAAGTTTTTACGTCTCCAACGCTCATGGCATTCCCAAGCTGTTCGTTTATAGCCTGTCATAGGATATCTTGCTGAATTGAAAGCATCACAGATAAGGTCCCAATTAAACGAGAACTCGGCGATGAGAGGTATCAAGCACAAATCATCTTCTTCTGACCACGGAACAGATGATGGCTGTGCATCTTTGGGCGTTTTAGGTGCTGTAGGCTGTTGTGCTGGTAGATCCCTTTGCTTCCTAGAGGCGAATAAAGCTAATAGGATAAAAGAGGTTATTGTTTGATCTAGCGCTTTTTGGAAGAAAACAACAAGTAAACTTACGTGACACGAGTGATGTAGTATTATATCGTTCTAGTTTTGGTAAAGTTTTTATGTTGTCTGTAATCGATTCGCGAATGAGGATAGGGTTGCCTTGCACATCTCTCTTTCGACTATAACGCTCAGGAACTTTGAGTTTGATGTTTTCCAAACTAAGTCGTGATATAGGTGTAATTTGACTGAATTCGAGTTCGTTGAAATAGGGATCATTAAAATCAGGATTTGGTGGTTCATAATTAAGTAGATCCGGAAATAATGCGTTTGCACTGAAATCTCCAAGGTCTTCCATAGGTAATGTTATGATGGGCGTATAAGGATCCAGGTTTTTGATAGTATTTCTGTATTCCTGAATAACGTCTGATGATAAAGAAGCAACAGCTGTGTTAGGAGTAGAAGGCATGGAATCAGAAATCGCGGATGCTGCTGCTTTCTTTTCAGTCTCATCCATGACGAGATCTGCTGTGCTGCCCATCATCACGTCCGTCTTCATTGGATCTGTAGACTGCTTTCCAGATACGTTGTCACTAAGTTCCTGCATATGATTTGGAGAAGTTATACTATCCACCTGTTCTTCTATGGATTTGGGTATCGTTTCAAGTGTCATTTTATCATCTGCAATCATGGATGTAGGAGAATCAATTAAATTCTTGGGTTCAGGAATTCTAGTTTTAAGGCATACAGTTGATTTATCTTCCGCGTTATGCCACTCTAATACGGCTTTTGCTATCATATAGGCTGATGCTATTTTCCACTTTCGCTCCTCTTTAAAGTCTGTGTGCATCCATTTCATTTCGTCCAACATACAATCCCAATGACTCTTCGCTCGAGGTGGTGCTTTATGCTTTTTTAACTGCCTTAAGCTCCATAAATTCTTCTTCTTCAATGCCTCAATTTTTTGGATCGCTTTGACAGATTTTAATTCATCTCGAGCAAGCAACCAATCATGTGTCGACAGAGTTTTTCGAGCTGTTTGCAACTGTTTGTATAGTGGAAAATAGGTTGCTTTCAAATGCCAAGCATAAAGATTGAGTGGTTCGTTTTCTTTTGATGACGTTGCGCTAGTAAAATCTGATAATTTAAAGCCGTTATAAACAATTTCATTCGAGTCCTTCAAGTCAGAATCAACCAAAGTGCTGTTGATTTTGATTGTTGTTGTTGCTTTATCTTTACGGCTGCTGGGAGATACTTGTGATGACTGTTTTGAGGGTGATGTACTTCTTGGTGTTGGTGTACATGGAGCGCCTAAATCTTTTTGCTAATGTTATAGTGTTACATTAGTCGTTCATATTTATGCACATGCTAAAAAGGCGCATTTTCTTTTTTTTCTTTTTCTTTACATCTAAACTAGATAAAATCTCTTCGACACTCTTTGGTCGAACTGCACCACTCACTCCTCTAGTGACCATTCGAACAGGCGGGGGAGGCACACGTCTATTTGGTTTATTAGACTGTGATTCTTCAGGTGAGCTACTGATATCAGGCGATTGTGATTCTTGCCTTGACTTTGTACTGCTATATTGACAAGTATTCAATAACATCTAATAAGGATAAAAATGCGCTGTTCAAGGTCCTATTACCTTAGTTTATGTTTATCGAGATACGTGGCCCATTTATCCTGGTCTATCTGGGTTATATCGCCTCCATTCAGAAAAGACATCACATGGTCTGTTTCTTCACGATTTCCTTCGCCTGTCATTGTAAACAGCTCCTTCAAAAGTATTTCTCTGTGTGTCACAATGGTTCTTTTTTTTGGAGTTGTAGCAGGAAAGATTGTATTAGAGTCGATTAAAAATTTCATGGGTAAAAAGTACTTTGCTTCTGTGGTCTGCATTACTTTATTTTTCTTTTTCTATCTTCTTCAGCATTGTTTCTTAATTTTTGTAGTGTCTTCTAGGGAGGAATGGTTATATAGCAAAATGAGTGTTGTGATGATGTGAGTGTTTTTGAGCGTTTTTTCTCTCCCTTCTTTTACCTGCTGTGTTTCATTGAGATTATCCATAATGCTATACAACACAGTATTAGACACGAGAGCTTATTTACAAGGGTTGTATAAAAAGTAGAAAATTCGAGGAAAACGTAAAAAATAATCTTCTGTAAGGGAGCTCCCTTATAATGTTTCTAATTGATATAAAAAATATTAATCACTGGTTTAAGGAAAAGGGTTAAGAAAGTTGAAAGAAAAAAAAAAGATACATGAGCCAAAAAAAAAAAAAAAAAAAAAAAAAAAAAAAAAAATAAAAAAATAAAAAGGATATGGTATCACCAAACGGGCAGATTAGAGAAATGATAAAAAAAGTGTGCGAGACGAAAAAGCCTACGCTAAAACTCGTATCTTTGAAAGTCCTAAGCCACCCAATTAGGCAATAGTATTAGTGTGTTTCTTTCGCTCACACCTGCCCAACTATTTTCTGCCAAGCACATTAATTTTGAATTGCAAGCTTCTCTTTTTGTTCAGTGATGAGCATCTGCTCTTCTACATAGCAAACAAAATGTTTTTGGAAGTAATCAGGACTTTGATAGATAGCACACACAAAAACTGTAGGAACATGGACAAGGACCAGAAAGCAACAGCACTTTTTCTTGATTTCTATCTGTAATCACGTTAGGCTTTATGCTTTACTTTTTTTCTCCAGATATGAGTTCAACGTGTAATGAAGCAAAAGAGGGAGACAGTTGTATTGCACATACACTTGCAACGTGTAAAGAGATGTAGCTTCTTTGTCTCAACTCACTTCTCATAAAGGAATTGAAACTGTTGACGTCATTACGGAAAGACAGTCAATAGGATTCCGTCTCTAATTTTGCATGCGGGAAGTGTGTTTCGTATTGACCATTCCGTTTTAAAGGCATTTTGCAGTCTACCGAAAGTTTCCTGCTTCTAGGCTTTTCGGACTAGCAGAGAATCTTTTCATCATCTTTGCTGCTGCTTTATGTACTTGTCAGACGTCTGAATTTCCACTGCGAATTTAATTATATGCGCTCCTTTCAGTGCCTTTGATAAAATTTCACTTTATGGCAGAGTTTGTGTGGAGATAATACAACATGCAGATTTGATTTATTGAATGAATATATGAAATAAACAAAAAGTTTTACAAAGCTTCTATACAAAAATTACAAAGAAAAACAAAATGACTCTTCTTTAACAAAAACGTGCTTGAATCATTTAAAGATAAGAGGCCTATTCATGATGATCGAAAAGAAAAAGGCTATGAACATACTAAGTTCATTTCGAAGCTTAACTAGGATTCGAAACTTACGCGTCTGCTGGCTTCTTCAAGGTCACTATCGGAAACCTTGTTCTTATCATCATCGTTAGGGATTTCATAGACACCGCCCAAAATGACGTAGGGATGATAAGCAAAGAGGTTGAGGTCGCTCATTTCAGTGACGCCAGAAAGGACAAGGACGGGATCGATTTCAGAGGAGATACCAGCAACAATACTAGTTTAAGGTAAATGACTGTGAGTTTCTCCCGCTTTCCCAAAATAGTTTATCGTCGTCCTCTCAGCTTTTTCCCTTCCACTTTATATAATACTTACTCAGTATCCATGCGATCACCAATGATACAAGTTTCCAAACGAGATAAACCAAGGACACGTTGAGCATAACGCATAATCAAAGCAGAAGGCTTGCCACAGTAGAAAGCCTTGGTCTTGGTGACCAATTCAACACAAGCAGTGAAAGCACCAGTGGCAGGGATCTTACGACCTTGAGAGTCGAGGGTTTCAACATCCAAGTTGGTAGAGATCAACTTGGCACCGTTTTGAACGAGTTGAACAGCCTTAGTCAACTTTTCAAAGTTATAAGCAGAAGATTCACCCAAAACAACGTAATCGGGGTTGTGATCGTTCATGAAGAAACCCTTATCGTAGAGAGCCCAAGAAAGACCAGGTTCACCAATAACATAAACGGTACCACCCTATATTCATAGCGAAAAAAATACAATAAAAAGCGCGCATGTGAGCACTCACTATTCTCCAACTGTTTCTTTCATCCATTTTTTCCGTCTCCTACCTCAGGCATTTGAGAAGCAAGGAAGTAAGCAGTAGCTTGACCGGAAGTGAAGAAGTGATCTTCAGTAACATCAATGCCAAGACGTTCTAACTTTTGCTTCAATTCACGGGGAGTAGGAGCAGAGTTGTTGGTCAAGAAAAGGAACTTTTTATTGTTCTTTTCTAGGAATTCAACAAATTCCTTAGCACCAGGCAATAAGTTGGAACCCTACAGTTGGAAGATTTTTTAAATAAGCGCACTGTCCTTCTTGTACAACCCACTTGTCAAAAATGTACAACACTGAAGAAGAAAAAAAATAATTTCAAATTCATGCTAAAATTCTTGAGCTATAACTTACGTGATAGATAACACCATCCATATCGATGATATAACCCTTCTTTTGACGAATGGCTTCAAGACGTTCATTGTGAAGAACAGGATCGCGGAACAAAGCCCAATCTCTGGCAGAGATACCATCTTCGTTGGGGTTGGCATTGCTACCGTGATTTTGTTGTTGTTGAAGAGAAGCGGCGAAAGAGGCGGCTAAATCACGGGTTTCTTCGACAGTGGCGAATTCAGTTTGAGGGGTGTTGGTGTTGGATGAAGCCATGATGTTGGACTATAAAAAAGTAAAATCGAAAAAGAAAAAAAAAAGAAAAGGTAGAAATACTAAGCTATTGCAGGTTTTATAAAAATGTTTCTTCTTTTCCTCGTAAGTGACTCAAAAAAAAAGAAAAAAAAAACGTGCAAATCTGGGCTGACCCTCAAATTGCAAAAAAAAAAAAAAAAAAAGAAAAAAAAATTGAATCTGAAAATTTTTGTAACAGAGCCTGATGTCATATAATTCAGCATGTATTGTTTGTTAATTAATAGTTATGAGCTAGAACTGGTACCCCCCCCCAAAAGGGCTTGAAATAGATAATGAGGCCTCAAAATCACACAATTTGTAATTTGTTCAATAACAAATTATGTTTTTGCTCCATTGTTTGATTCATCATATCCCAAATCTTTCAGAATCTTTTGAGTTTACACTCCGTTCGTGAATGCCTTTTTATGTGTTGGAGAATCAGTCAATTTCACCGAACGATATGGAAACTCGATAAACAAAATTACTTTTTTTCATTTTTCAATCAATTTTAGCAGCTTGTTAAAGAGGCTCTAAAATATGATGCCATGAGTGCAACCTTATGTTTCTGAACTCCGTTTACTAAAGCTGCAATCTATATTGCATTACGCAAAGCTCCCCTTTTTTGCTTATCAACCTACTGATCGTGATGAGACTTAGTAGATATTTTTCGTTGTTTCAGGATCGTATGGCCAAAATGATTGGCTTCCCTCTTTCCTGTGTTTCGTCCCTTTCTTACGTACACATATACATATCACGCACTCATGTAATAAACTCGATCTGCTAACAACCAACGAATGGAGTCAATTAGAGCATCATTCATATTCCAGTAACTTGGGGTGCAACCTCGTATTTTATACAGCTCGAACTAGTTTACTAATATATAAGCTTACGTCAATACAAATAATACATGTGTCCTGAATTACGTTCTACTAAAGAAAAAATGACACAGCAGTAGCGTCTTTTGAATTGTCTCTCCGCACGAAAAAAGGTCGTCCTTTTGAGATCTGGGATCTGACAGTTAAATATACATAGAGTCTCTTTGCAACGATCATGTAAGGGGGCACCTTAATCTAATAAATCAACAGCAGCTGCATAAGGGAAAAAATGATGAGATTGCTTGTTCGTATATAGAGAAAGAAGGAAAACAAAAAATATTTTCTACTTACATTGGAATAACAAACAAGCCATCATCACGGAGACCATGCCTAATCCATCCAAGTGAGCGTATGTGATGGTCGATAGACTAAAAAAGACGACGGCATTCAGTATACGCGAAGAGCAAATGATGTATGCCTTGAGACTCGCTTTAAATATAATGTTTGCATGATTTCCCTGTTAGTACTAGATACAACTTGTGTATAAGTGTGTCTATGTGTGAGTGAGTGCGTATACCTTTATTAACAGGTGTATTGACCAGTTTGATGAACGCATTGAAGCACAAAATCAGCCCGGCAGTGATCCAGAAGATTTTAATAGAAAATGAAGGATCACAATCACCATGACCTGCTGCTTCACCAGAAGAATGCGATCCAGCCTCCGCCGATAAGGAAAGGACTGAATAATGTTCTGCTGCGGCTGTTGCTGGTTTTTGCGCCGTATGCTCTTCCCCTGTTGCATGACCTGATACAGCTGAAGCGCATGCTTGTAATGCCGCAGTTAAATAAGCTGCTGTATCCTTTTGTAAGGTATGATTAGAAATAATCTCAGTCAAAGCAATACCAAATGCCACCTGAAATAGATGGAGTGGGAAATGCAAGTACATCCATAACTGGCTCAGTCGCGTTCGAGCCATAAATTCACCGCTAAAATCATCAAAGTACATAAAGAAGTAGCAAAAGATGATTGTTACCCCAAACACATTACACGCAATAGTGCTTGGTGTGGAGTCTCCTTCAGCTACCATTTTGATAAAGCCCATGCAATTTTCCCCCAGGATGATCAAGGTAAAGAGACCAAATCGCTCACCCAAATGACTAGCAGCAAGAGATACACGGCTATTACCTTGTAAAAATAAATGAACCAACAGTTCCATACCGATACTGACGTACCATAAGGTATATCTCTTTCCCATGTCGGCTTGTGATGTGTAAAGGAGGGACACACCCCACATAGCGATGGAGATAGCACTTGCTAAAACATATATACCCAAAGGGCGACGAGAAGATTTGAAATGTGCTCCGAGGGATACGACGAAAATCACAAAATATTGAAATAGTAAAACGGCTTTCATGACTGTCAATCCACAGAAATGTTTAGGTGAGTATTCGATTCGATAGCCAACAAAATGTAATTGATTTCATGACTACACTTTACTGATGTAACCGATGATAAACCATTTGGGTGTTGCTTCGAACTTTGCCTTATTACTTGAACCGGCCATAATAACTAATCATGTCATGTTAATAAAAATCAAGCTCGCTCAACGTTATTTAGCATGACAGAATCGAGCGACTTACTTAGCCCGCATAACTCTATGATTTTATAAATGTGATGTGCAACATCTATGCGTCGTAGAAAGAGTATCAGTACTCTTGATTTTGCTTGCTCACCAAAGATTATGGATCCCTTACCTTGTCTGTCATACCGCGATGAATATAGAGCACTGGAGCACCATGTCCACCACATAACGACAAACCATGCCGCATATGTGTTCAAGTTACTGTAACTGTCAATATGAACTGAGTGTGTAAATTGGCTATGATTGTAAACACGAATATGAACCATTCGGACGAATAGAAAAAGGAAAGCATAGGGTTATATAGGTGTGTTGTTTGCAAAACCGAGGGAGCTCTAGGTTTACCTTAACCAACCCACATAGAATACATCTCCAAAAAGCTCCACCCAAGTGGCTGAAGATTCTTCTCCAATTTCATCCGAAAGGTCTGGATCAGGTACTGCAAAGATAGCTTTTCTCTGCTTTTTTTCAGCGTGATGTTGAATAATAGGAATAAATTGTATTTGGATATAAACATTGTCATTCAAGTCGATCAATAGATCAGTGGGTAATCGGTTATTGTGAGGGTATGCTTTCGTACTACTATCGTCGGAAAGGTTATTGCCAGAGTCCGAATGTGATGAATTGGTATTGTTTCTTTCTCCCATATCAAATGAGCTTTCTAATCATCAACAAAGAGATAGCAATTTCAATGCTTACCTTAGTGGCAGCATCTAGTAAACGCGCGTGAAACAATAGTAACAACAAGAATAACTTACTTGATGAATCATGAAATAGGTCACTTTTTGCTGAAGCGAGTTGTTTCTTAATTTTAACAGTTTTGTGAATCTTGACAGAATAATTTCTTTTTGTCTTTTCTAAAAAGTCAATGAAATCATCTGTATCTTTGAAAAGGCGCAACTCTTCCTTCTCTTTTTCACTGAGTTGTAGCTATACGAAAGAATAGGCTAGTGAATACACTGGATCCATTGTTTTTGTTTGAAAATGGATAACGATTTTAATTACTGGTCTTTCCAAGGCACTGATTTGATCTTTTGTAAATTGAAAGTCCTGATCTCCCACCAAATGCCGAAAATGTATTGCTAAGTAAAGATAAAGAAGCCGTATGAGCTATGTTTTTCCATCTTTTTAGCTTCTCTATTCTTGATATACTATTCATTTACTTAGCCTTGTCCTGATCTCTTCGCTTTATCAGGATGAAAAGAAAAAAAAATTGGCATGGAGAAGTGAGTTGAGGATAAAGATAAAAGTAATCGGGTAATTTCTTTCTTTACATTAGTGGTGCATCATTTTCAATTCTCACTTCGTCCATATCAGTCGCTATAGCCTCTGGATGCTTCTCGTTCCAGGATACCTTTTCTGCTTCATAGGCTTCGGAACGCTTTTGATGCAATTGAAATTCTTTCAGAGGATGTAAAAGCAACTCACCAATCGTTTCAGATCCATGTCTACGAAATGGTTTCCCACTGGGGTCGTGGAGTGGAGCCACAAGACGCTGATGATGCTGGCTGTCGTAAACAATATCTCCGGAGTGCGTAGAATTACCGCTACCATCACCCATACCAGCACCAGAAGTAGCATCTGCAGCAATAGGACAACGTTGGCTAACGCCTGCTCCACTTTTTACGGAGGCAATCCGACTCAAACGGCTTCCATTCGCTTCTGTTCCTGTACTAATGTTGGATCGATTTCCTAAAATTCCCTCTTCCACTGCTAGTCGTTCGTCGTCGGTGGCAATGGACCTAACCCTGCTATTACGTCGCCCGCCAAATGCAGGACCTTGATACCCTCGGTTGTAAGTATTCGACATTTGATACTTGGAATGAAGCTGTACTGTAGGTTAACGGGTAATTTCAAGGAACTTTAAGCTAAACTTCGTTGCTTTCGAGGGTACGAGAGATCGACAAAAAGGAAAAAATAAAGGCAAATCGAAATAGAAGACAAAGAAAGCAAGGAACAAATCAAAATAAGCTTTTTGGGCATATCTATTATATCAAGCCCACAAATTTGTGTATTCGATACCACCAAAGATTTACATTTTGTGATACAATGAATAAGAAGGACTAGGCTCTTTTACAACAGCCGTACACCCTCGCCCTATTTGGCCTTAGAGTCAAAAAGATTTCGTTTAATAATCCCCAATACCAGCAGCAGCATTGGTTATCATTCACGGATACAAGCGGATAATATTAAGTTTGCCTCACCTCGAGGTCTATATACCAACAAAAACGCTTTGGTAATACTACAAATCTCAAAATACTCGTTTTTTTGAAGATCAGACCTGAAAGTCGGAATTCCTTCAAATTGCAATCTTCTTTTGTTCCCAACTCGTCCTTATAAGACACATAATAAAGGCCTGATCCTCACGGTACAGTACTCAACTCAGTATTTATCACTTATCTCAATCGCCACTTTATATTTCTTCACAAAACAAAACAATTCGCAACTTTGTCCCGACTATCCATTCACGTGCATTTTTATTATCGACTTGCTTGTAGTGATCAGCTACTCTCTCCGATAGCAGACATCCAGATTCTGCTTCTTTAGAACTCAATAGATAAAGCTGAAATAGGAATACTGAAGCGTAATTATTTTGAAAAGTTTGATCCCTTGACTACCTACGAGAGTAACGCAAAAGCAATGATACGCTTCCAAAGGGTATTCAAAAGTATATTGCATACTAGCTTATCTCATAGATAGGGTTGAAACAAATCATAAGGGCAGCTCCGTTTGTCTTTCCCTCTATATCACCATCGAAAGATCACCATCGTTCCTCCTAATGGGCAATCAAAAATATTTTTCCTACAATTATTTGAAATCGATTCTAGGGATTGGATGTAGGATGCGTATGGCGGCGATTTAATTATGAGCTATGAAGTGAATCATAGTAAAGAACGCTAATATATATATGCTTGTTGTTAAAATGTATGACAAGAAGCTAAAAAGCTCGCCATTGTCATTTTGGGAACAAGTAGATAAATGAAAGGTAATGAAAAGCTCTGAGGATAGATTACATATTATTTTTTATTGGTTGTCTCTTGTTTACAATTCAAAGTAACTGTATTGAAGAAAAATAAAAACACTACCCTTGTTTCGTTTTATTGAAGGATGTGATAAATGAATCTTTACGTGATATAAATGGTGCTAAGTATAGGAAACTAAGACCATCTTGAAAAAATAGTGGGGGGTATAAATGTATGATTCAGCGGAAAGTGACATTTTCACCGAAAGATATGGTAAATCATTCTAGAATTCAGGCACAGTAGGCTTATAGTGATTGTTGCTTGTCAAGTATAAATCGCCACAATCGACCATTTTGCCTAATATGTTATTTACTTTGACCTCACAGAAAGCAAAGTCTTCAAACTCAGGGGTTTGCTCGACCCGAGCAACTATAAAAGGAGAAGTGATGCCACCTATTTCAGTCAATAAGCCATCGTTCATTTGATTAGCACTACAGGTTACCATCAATGATGTTGAAAGGTTGAAATACATACGGTAATTATTAGCTAAAGCTAGCTGCATTGTAGTCTCATTCACGATCTTTAGAACAAGACTTCTCAAGTATTCATCGTCCACGGGCTGGTAAAAGTCAGACTGATTTTTTACTTCCATGATATCTCCTTGTCTTATTAACAATCGGTGTGCCTCTTTAATTAGTTGCTTCGCTTGAGTTTTACCTTCCTATGTATCACATAATAGAACAAATCAAACTTAGAGATAGAGACATGACAACAGATACAGATGTAGTCACTTTGCTTTTATTACCATGCCATTTGCCACTGTAGTCGCAAGCTGTATTAGGTGCGGATCAGTAAGGACTCTATCCAACCGAGATATTTTCAACGTCCGGTACTTTTTAAGAACTGCTTCTTGGAGGGTCTTCATCGTTGGCAGGTTTTCACGCAATAGTAATGAATCAAGTGTAGGTATATCTTCGGTGGAACAATTATTCAAAAATGCCTCCAAAATAGCTTCTTCGTTTCGGACAATAGCTTCAGACAGTGTCAGTGGTTTTGCATAATGCTCTTTCAATTGAATGGTGAGCTGTTGATTGGTATGCTCTTGGGATGGACTGCTAAGTGCTGTCATTGTAAAGCAAACAGAATCAAAAGAGAACGTCAGTAAGAAAGAACACCGATTCTCCAAACATCTTAAAAGAGTGTGATAGGAGGGACTTACTGACGGCGGACGCTTTGATCTTTCGTTTTCCTTCAATCTCAGTCAACGTACCCACAACGCTTACGGCTGTCTTTGGAGCTATCATTTCAAAATCAGGCTCCATTCCATCATCCCAATAATGAATACAAGGTATCGATCCAGTGCCGTCATCCACTATGGAGTGCAGCAAAGCACTTTCTGAGTTACGTTTTTATACAAAAGAAAACTATTTTTCTGACAGCCACTCTAACCTGTGTAAATAACTGCATTATTCAGTCTGTCAATGCCTGTCACTTCGCCATTGACCTCCACCAGTTGTATGTAATGTGAGTATAATTTAAATAATTCTGTTTGAAAAAAATGAGTGTTGACTATTTCATACTAGCTGTTGGGAAGAATCTGATTATTCATAAGTTGCCTCCTACCCATGGGCCGATCAGTCATCTTTTTCAACTCCAACACGTCCTTGATGAATAACATGGCGTACGATGTAAACAACGGATCGAGACTCATAAACGCTTTATCTTTGACAGATAAACCCTGTGTCGAGTCATTTGTCTGCAGATCCATACCGATCATCTTGTCAATAAGTTAGAAAGCAGGAAGGAAAAAGAAAGTATAGGATATTTGAAATACAGCTTTCTCGTTTTGCGGCCATTTTTTAATCTCACTTGCTAAAGTTCAACATCAATGGAACGATGTCGGTTGAGAATGTGCATCTTTTTTATTTAAACCATGTGCCATTCAAGTTGGATACTTTTGATTGGAATGGATAATCTACAGCATATCCATTTTTTTTTTTTTTTTTTTTTTTGGGTGTATCGGGTGAGAGATGGAATGTCATTGGGTCAGCACGCTCGGGTGTTGCTTTTATCTTTTGCGTTACATTGATCATGCATCAGCAGCAGTAGCACACTCACGGCAATCCATCCCCACACTGCAGCTGCAAATCAAATTGGATCACAGACTGCATGAAAACTTGACTCTTTCATTCTGTCTGTTTGCTCCACTTTTTTTCTTTTTTTTTTTTTTTTTTTTTTTCAGTGAACTATATCAAGACGTTGCTTTCTTCTTGCCGTAAGGTTCTTTACTACTTCAAGTTCTAGACTGTATTTATTTTTGTGGCCATCTCTTATATAATCATACAACCTCAGCCATCGGCTCATTGTCAAGTTTTCCACCATTTGAGAAAGAAAAAAGAGATCCAAGTAGCGATGTCCAAGTCAAGGTTATTGGGGCCGACAAATAACAACGACTATTATTCAAACGAGGAAGAGGATACGGATATGGACGAGGAGGAATTCATTTTGCACCCTGTTCGTTCTACGACGATCAACCAGGATTATCGATCCTATCCCAACTTTCATAGCGCACACGATGAAGAAGTAGAAGAGGAGGAGAATTTGTTAGAAGCGCCTCCATCCTTGTTGGTGGACACTCAACAAGCACAGCATCAACAACAGCAACGGCAGCAACAACAGCAGTATCCATATTTTCAACAAGAACATCTATCTGTAGCATCATCTATATACCCTTCCAATACCTCCTATCCATACCCTACCGATTCCACCCCATCACCAGCATCACCGTCACTACCGCAGTATCACATTACTGCGCCTACCTCCACAGGCCGAGCCAAAAGCAGAAAGGAGACGCAGCAGGGACGGAAAACGCATCGTCATGGCTATCAACAATTACCAAAAGTGAGCACTTATGATCGAACCATGTGGAGATGGGCCAATGTTCAAAATATGGACGATTTTTTTCAGAGAGTCTATGAATACTATCAAGGGAAAGGACTTTATTGTATATTGCTAGCGAGACTTTTAAACCTGCTGTAAGTTGAGTTGATGAACCCCCAAGGAGGCAAAAGAATACAAGGCTTCACAGCATGGCTCATACTCTGTGCACTCATGTTCATTTTTCTTTTTTTTTTTTGCGGTAGAACACTTGCCTTCATTATCATTTTTTCGACCTTTTTGATCGGCTGCGTCAACTACTCTGACATTACATCCCATCACAAATTAGAAGAGGTCATTGAACCTCAATGTATATCAAAGTGAGTATGCACATTATCCCAGAAAAACAATGTATAAAGTAAAAGGGCTGGCTAACTTCCAAATGGGAATCCATAGCTTGTCTGCTACAAAATTTTTATTCTTGTTAATCTTCATTGCTTGGTGGGCATGGCAATTGATACGATTCGTTATCGATTTACCCATGTTGCGTGAAATGCATAATTTCTATACCCATCTCTTACTCATTCCCGATCAGGATATGCAAACAGTATCATGGCAGACAGTGTTGGAAAGGATTATCGATATACGTGAAAGCAATCCGCATGTGAATGACATTCGATTGACAGAACACGACGTAGCGAGTCGAATCATGCGAAAAGAGAATTATCTCATTGCTTTGTTCAACAAAGATGTACTCAACCTCACTCTGCCCATTCCCTATTTAAAAGATCGGCCTACGTTTACAAAAGATCTTGAGTGGAATTTATCGTTTGCTTTGTTGGGCTACGTCTTTGATCACAAGGGCCAGATACGAAAGCGCTTTTTAAAAGAACGCAACAAACCGTTTTTGGCAGCTGAACTCAGAAGACGCTTCATGTTTATGGGGTTATTAAATCTGCTATTAGCTCCCTTCATTTTTGCTTATTTATTACTCTATTTCTTCTTTCGGTACTTTGAAGAATACCATAAGAATCCTGGTGAAATAGGCTCAAGAACGTATACTCCTTTTGCTAAATGGAAGTTTCGTGAATTCAACGAATTGCCGCACTTTTTCCGTAATCGAATCAGCCAAAGTTATGAGCACGCCAATCTTTATATAAACCAGTTTCCTAAGGAAAAGACAGTACTTGTAGCAAGGTATGTATCGTGTTGAGAGAAAAACAGCGAGAAAGAGAGAGAGAGACAGAGAGAGAGAGAGAGACAATAGGGCATGAGTTAATTGTATCACTTTTATAGATTTGTCGCCTTTTTATCAGGCTCCATTGCGGGTGTTTTGGCTTTATTTACCCTGTTCGATTCTGAAGCCCTACTGAATTTTGAGATATCACAGAACGGCACGGTCTTGTTCTATCTCGGTGTGACAGGCACTTTGTTTGCCGTGACACGTGGTATGATCCCGGATGAAAATCAAGTTTTTGAGCCTGAAAAGTTACTAAGAAAGGTGGTGGAGCACACTCATTATTTGCCAGTGGATTGGAAGCATAAATTGCATACGGATGAAGTAACGTCAGTCACTGATCACTTGATCTGAAAGCCTCTATCTATGGGTGTGTGTGTGTGTGTATGTACGTAGGGCATAAAGACTCATGGTCATTTTTGTTTTGTCTTCTCTAGGTACGGGGTGAATTTTGCAAGATGTTTGATTATAAAGTAGGCATCTTCCTTCAAGAGCTACTGAGTGTGATAGTTTCACCTTTAATCTTATGGATCTCTTTACCAAAGAGTGCAGATCAAATTATTGATTTCTTTCGCGAATTTACGGTGCACGTCAACGGATTAGGCTATGTCTGCAGTTTCGCACAGTTTGACTTTGAAAGGCATGGCAATACCAAATACGGAGTGCCAGGAATGATAGTAGAAGATGCGTACTACCTTAGTAATCAAGGAAAGATGGAAAAAAGCTTTTTGAATTTCAAGGCCAACCATCCGAAATGGGTGCCAACCGATCCAGCAGGCTCGCTCTATCTGTCAAGGCTGGCTGAGTTTAAGAATCAAAAGCACCAACAGCAATACATTAGCTCCAACACCTCAACTACTTCCAGCGAGGAGGTAGATGCGGATCGAGCAGGAGTGCCTACCAAAGCGTCTGGAAAACGAAGGATGAATGTGAACCCATATGTGTCTGACAATTTACGCAAAGGCAAAGAAAACGAAAAAGAAGAAGAAGAAGAAGAAGAGGTAGTGAAAGGCAAACGACCTATTCAGCTGAACCAGTACGGTATTCCCGCAGATATTGTACCTAGCAATCTAGGAGAACCCTTTGCGCAAGGACACTCTTGGAAAGAACAACAACAACAAGAAGAAGAAGCTCAAAAAGAAGACGATGAAGAAGAAGAAGAGGAGGTCAGTGGCCGTAGTGGAAGACCCCATCGAAGGGGAGAGGGCATGCTTGGGCTATTAAATCAATTCTATGATTTAAATAACAATCCAACCGTTTAAGCACGCTACCAACGTCAATAAAAGCTTCTTTACAAAAAAGCTGTCGAACGGGACTGTTCATGACTTGTCGCTTATAACTAGGTTGAATTCTGTAAAAAATAGGCAAACATAAAGAAACAAAGTTTTTGCCTCAATGCAGGATGCACAGTGATTTCATTTCGTGTATCAGTAGCACCAAAATGAGAATAGGACAAAAGGGGAAAAGCCCTTTTTTTCCACGGTTCGTAGGACAAAACTTTCTTTTCTACAGAGCGATACACCCGAGAAAGAGCAGGGTTCCCTTTAGCAGCTGCACAGTAGAATGAATAGAGGTCTAACCCATAGGAAATGCGCTCTATAAGTCCTAGTGGATTTTTGTGCTCTTCTATATCCTCTCTAGCGCAGTCCAAATGCAAACAAACAAAAAAAGGACTACCACGTATTTGAAATGTAATTGAATGACGCTATAAGGACGGGAAGACTCGGGCACTAAAAATGAACATGAAAACCACCAATACACAAACAACATAAATAAACAGGTGTAGGCATATAAATCTAGAACTTTAAATTTTTTTAAAGTTTGCGGGGAAATTGTTCAAGAATCGCACCCCTCCCCTCCCCCCACTTTACAAAGGTGGGGTTATTTCAAACCAATCAAGCTCTTTTGACAGCCGTGAGAACGATAAGGTGATTCTTTTGGAAAAGTGCAGCAACAAAAGCAAAAGAAAGCAGCTAAAACAGCAGTCAATTTCTCGGATATCCTTTATAAGCAGTGTTGTTACTGAAGTATTAAGCTTTTCTCTCTCTCTTTCTTTTCTTTTCTCTTTGACTCTCATCTTACAACTTCAATTCTCGGAAAGTAAAAAAGATGGCTACTCCTACACTTGCAAACTTCAAATTGCCTCAAATCGATAATGAGCCTATGGTAATTCAAAAACGACGTTTGACTAACTGAAAACAGAAAAGTTGAACCTAACAACCTATTGTTTTATCAGCTCAACTATGCACCAGGTTCTCCTGAACGTGCCAAACTTGAAGCTGCCGTTAAAGAAATGGCAGCTCAAGGACCTGTTGAAGTCCCTGTCGTTATCAACGGTGAAAGAATCTTTACCGGCAAGACAGCCAATCAATTGAACCCTTCCAATCACGCATCTGTTATTGCCAAGGTTCACGAAGCTGATGCTGCTTTAACTCAAAAGGCAATTGATGGTGCTTTGGCTGCTAAGGCTGAATGGGAAACTCTACCTTTCAATGACCGTGTTGCCGTCTTTTTAAAGGCTGCTGATCTTTTATCCAAGAAATACAGGTAAGGTTTGCCGTGTAGGGTATGAGAAAAAGAAGAAATTGGGTGTCGACGAGTGTATATATATATATGTGTGTGTGTGTGTGTTTGTGTTCGTATGTTGATGTTGGATTGGGTTGGGTTGGGTTGGGTTGGGTTGGTTGGATTCCATCGGAAAAAGGGTACTCACCCTTCCTTGCACATCTTTTATTCGGCAATGGGTAGATATAAGCTGATGGCCGCCACGATGCTCGGTCAAGGCAAGAATATTTGGCAGGCAGAAATTGATGCTGCTGCTGAACTTTGCGATTTCTGGAGATTCAACTGTAAATATGCTGAAGAAATTTACTGTCAACAGCCACCCAAAAACGCTCCTGGTTCTTGGAATCGTACTGAATTCCGTGCCCTCGAAGGTTTCGTCTTGGCCATCTCTCCCTTCAACTTTACGGCTATTGCTGGTAATTTGCCCGGTGCCCCTGCTTTAATGGGTAACGTCGTTGTCTGGAAGCCATCCCCCATGGCCGTCTACTCCAATTTCCTCGTCTACGAGTTATTAGAAGAAGCCGGTTTGCCCGCTGGTGTCATTCAATTCGTTCCTGGTCCACCCGAAGAGATTTGCGGCACAGCAATCAACCATCCTGACTTTGCATCGCTTCACTTTACTGGCTCCACCCATGTCTTCCGTAACTTGTGGCAGCAAATCGGTAACAACATCCACAAGTACAAGATGTATCCTCGTCTCGTGGGCGAAACAGGTGGCAAAAACTACCACATACTGCACTCCAGCTTGGACGAAGCCGGTGTGCGTCATGCAGCTTTGCAAACCCTTCGCGGTGCTTTCGAATTCCAAGGCCAAAAGTGCTCTGCCTGCTCTCGTGCCTACATCCCTCAATCCTTGTTCCCTGCTTTCAAGAAGGTGCTTCTAGAGGAACATGCCAAGATCACGCAAGGTCCTGCCACCGAACTTCACCATTTCTGCGGCCCTGTCATCAACAAAGCCTCCTTTGATAAAATCAAGAGCTATATCGACCACGCTGCCGTCGACGACGATTGCGAAATCATCGCCGGTGGCCAATGTGATGATACCACGGGTTATTTTGTTCAGCCTACTGTCATTCTCACCAAGAATCCTATGGCGAAAACCATGAAAGAAGAAATCTTTGGTCCCGTCCTGACAGTGTATGTGTACGAGGATGTTGATTTCGAACCCACGTGTCAATTGATCGGTGATACCACAGAATATGGATTGACGGGTGCTTTGTTTGCTAAGGATCGTGCATCGATCGTAAAGGGTGCCAATTTATTACGTCATACAGCAGGTAATTTCTACATCAATGAAAAGTGTACAGGTGCTGTGGTCGGTCAACAACCTTTCGGCGGTGCTCGTGCTTCTGGCACCAATGATAAGGCTGGTTCCTGGTCTCTCTTGGTCCGCTTCATCTCGACTCGCACCATTAAAGAAAACTTTGTCCCTATTGAAGACTTTGCTTATCCTTCCAACGCTGTCTAAAATGGGGGGTGGTCACTCTACAAGCTTCTGCTCTAAGATAGCCCCCCTCACACTATAACATTATTTTTATTTTTTCGCTTCCACTATTCTAATATGACATTCTGTAATTTCTCTTTCACATGACTGTTTCTCTCGCTCTCTCCCTCCCTCCTCATTTTTAAAACTTTCAATAGCTAAATTGTAAAAAAAAAAAGAAAGAAAACCGACTTTCTATTGACACCCATACTTTTTCGATTTGTTAGAAAAAAGAGTGGGGGAAGAAGGTTTGCCGTGAAAGGGTCTCCCTTCTCCAAGCCCATTTTGTATCATGTTCATGATCCATTCCTAATAAAAAAAAAACATAGGAACGGACAATGGGGATAGACATTGTAATGGATGACATTTCCAATGGAGAGTCAAACATCTTTTCGTGAGCTCCAGTGAGTGAAGGAAGCGTGCAAGCTCATTTAGACACAAATGGGAAAATAAGGGCAAAGGGGTGAGGCTAAAGTAAGAGGCAAAAGTCTCTTTTTATTTGCTTGTTCATAAATATTCTACAAAAAAAAGATAAATAAAAACAAATAAATAAAAAATAAAATAAAATAAATAGAGGATGGGATATAACGCAATAAATAGCATAGATCGGTTAGGCCCAAGTACCCAAGACAGCCATGAGAGCCGCACCACAATACATAAAGAGGAAGCAAAATAGTTTGCGGAACCAAGGAGACTTTCTGAATCCGACATTATGATTAATTTCAATGCTCATCAAAGAGACGTAGGCATTGTAGAGCAAGATACCCGCCGACAGAGAATCCAAGATGCCCTGAGCAAGAATAGACGAACCAGGGTTCAATGTGTTTCTAATGCCGATGCCAATAGCGATACCGATGGGAGTCATGATGATGAACAAAAGGCCCATCAGGACGGGTTTCTTCCAGCATTTGCAGTGCAAATCATTGATACGGCTTCCGAGGGCAATGCCTTCAAAAAATTGATGGAAGACCAGAGCAATCAGGAGGGTCATGACGCTTTCTTCATCTTCTGTACCCAAAGTGATACCAATAATGATAGAATGCATGAGAATACCCAACTCCAAGATAAAAGTACCAATATTACGCATCGATTGATCACTTTCCAAGAAACCAGCAGAATGCACATGTCCTTCTTCGTGGATACCGTGATGACAATGTTCGTAGGGAACAGGGTGCTTATGTGTGTGAGTCGGCATAGGGACGAGACCTTTCTCCACCATGGCATCATCTATAGGACTGCTTGCAGTCACCATGGCGGCTGTCACAGGAGCAGCAGCAGGAGGAGGAGGAGGAGGAGGCGTAGAGGTAGTAGTAGTAGCTGTGGTGGTGTCAGGAGCAGCCACCACCAATTCATGGCTGGGTTCATGATGATGGTGAACGACATGAGGCGGATGGAAATGATGACCATAGCCTTCGTCACCGTTCTTTTGGGCAAGAGAGTCTAGTTTTGAAAGGGCAGCCAATTCCACCAGTTGCAGTAAGAAAGAAGAAATAAGGCAGAACAGACCACCAAAAGCATGATAGGAATGCCAGCCTTCGCCGATACATTCAGAATCAAATTTTTCAAGGCCTTCTGGTAGCATGTGTATAAAAGCAGTGGCAATGATGACACCCGTACCGAAAAATTTACCGGCTGTGAGTGTCCAATCACGCAATCCGCCTTCTTTATAAGGACTGATACGGTATATAAGGATGGGAGCAAATACACCTATTATTTGTTCGATAAAAGGGAGTTTAGTCAAAATAAGAATTTGAAATTTTTTTTGCTGCAAAAAAAAAAAACAAAACCAACTTACCAATAGCCGATGTGCCCATAATGATGAACAGGGAGCCTATTCTGAAAGATAGGTTGTAATTTTCCATGACTTGAGCTTCACAGGATGTTTCATGAGAATGACCATGGTCATCTGCAACCTCGACAGCAGCAGGAGGAGCAGCTTCTTGTACAAAAATGTCATGCACATGTGCATCATGGACGTGTTTTAGGACTTTTTCTTCTTCTTTGGCTTTTATGGCGTCGTCGTCGTGATTGTATGCCACTGTTGCCTCTCTTGTTGGACTCAAAGTCGCAGCACTGTGGGCGGATGTGTGATCCATAACGGGGAAAGCATTGTGTAATTGCCTTGGAGTCACCACTATGACAACAGAGGATGGGTTTTTTTTTTTTAAATCAGCATTTTTGTTGTCTTGTGGCACGTCTTTATAAAAATGTTACACTACCTGCTTCTTCGTTGCCTTGCAAAACATCTCGAATGTTATGACGACCTGTTATATCGATTGGATGAGACTTTGGCTCTTATCGGTGGATCGGACAAAAAAGTCGACAATGACACTTACTCGTTGAATCGGGCGTTTGGGCTTGAACGCAGGCAGATAATGTAGCGACAATCAAAAATCGAATGGATGCTCGTGTAAAGGATGCTTTGCAAATCATAGAATCGAACTCTAGGATTGAATATGGGGCAACAGATAAAGATAAGAAAAGAAAATGAACAAAATCCTTTAAAGAACGAAATAAATAAATAGAACGACTTGAGAGAGATGACAGGAGATTTTTTGAGGCTTTATTGTATGTTATTTATATGAACATTTTTTTCCAATAAATTTGTGATTCAAAGTTGAGACACCACCCGGATTTCTGTCTCAAATGAGAGTACCTTTGCGGTTATACCCCTCAAAAACAACCAATGAGATTCAAAAATTTTTGAAAGAATAGGGGATCACAGATTGTAACCGATAAGGTACTCGCACGACTTTTTTTGTTTTTCTATTTCTTTCAAAGATCTTCTTCTATAGAAAGGGCAGAAATTATACGATTCGTAACATGGATCTTCTTACAATGACAGGGGAATAGCAGTGGGGTTATAGCGGCTTTCTAATATTGGTAATGGTTCGTCACCTTTAACATGTTGGATAGACAATGTATGTGTAGTTTGCATACATGAAAAGCGTCGGATCTAAATGGTAAGGACTCGTGTTGGATAAATATACCTAACACCTATTTGGGCGCAGAATGAGGCTTGTACTAAATTTGTCTCCTTGGCTTGTCAAGAACAAAATGGGCGATGCGCACCATCGAACCTTATCAGAAATCTTTATATAAATTTTTGAACCTTCTGTTGTGTCCCTTTTTTTCTTTTGATGTGCGATGGTTTCAGAATAAGCAATCCCGGTCGTTCTATACAACGCCACTTTGTGAATCAAACCACACAGCTGCATTAAGAAATACGCGCAATCACAGCCAACTCAAATTTTCTAGACTGAAGAAAAAAGAAAATAGTTCCAAGATGAACCAAGATATTGACAAGGCATTATGACTTATTACGACTGTTCTTTAACCCAAAAAAAAAAAAAAAAAAGAAAAAAAAGCCGGTTAATAGGCTAGTTCACTTCTGACTCGTACAATGATCCTAGGACAACACTGTTGAACTGTTGTTTCCCATCTATCATCAATGGATGTTGGTGTCGTGTTACGAACTATGTATGACTTTTGCATTCCTGTCCAAAACTTAGCATAAGACAACGGCTAAAAATTTCCAATATTACAAAAAACCCCGTCACTTAATTTTTGGTCGAGATAAACGCCAAATGCAATTCATGCTGAAAACGAAAAAAAAAAAATCCAGACCCAAAGCTTCCACCATCGCTAGTCATCTCAGGCTTTTCATCTGATTACTTGCTATTGAAATGGGGAAATTCACAGGAAAGAGACCCGCAGTGAAAACAAAGAGTGCTGCAAAGAAAAAGAAAGAACCAGAGACCTTTGATGAGTTTATGGAAGGTATTCAAAGAAAGCTGAGGGTCGATGGTCAAAGGGAAAAAAAAGAAATAAAAACCAATGCTTTTATGATTGATCTGTAGAGGCGATCAATAGTGAAGAACAAGGCGATCGCTACCAAACCGGAGAAAGAGCTGAACGTCACTATAATAGAGCGGCTACCATGTATGGGAAGGCTTTTGAATTGAATAATACGGATGCTGACTGTGTCTATAATTGGTAAAATTCTCGTGGTTTTTTTTTTCTTGTTTTTTCTTCTCCAAGAGAAGCAGATGTTAAGCTGATCCGGTTTTGCTTTTGTTCCAACAAAGGGGTCGTATCCTATTCATCTTGGTCAACTTCTTACCTTCTCATGTATCGCCTGAGGAAAAGCTTGAAAGAGTCGAGCGATCTATCGAAAAGTTTAGACAAGCTTTAACGTTAGAGCCTGATAAGACAGACGCTCAATTCAATTTAGCCCAAGCACTACATCAGAAATCAGAAATACTACAAGATACCACGGAAATTAACAATGCTTACGGGGCTTCAGCAATGGCTTTGCAGGAAGCCATCAGTCTATTTGACAACGTATATAGTCTACAGGAGAAGGAATATTTGGAACTGACAACGCAGAAAGTGGATCAAGAGGACAAAGAACAAGGAGAACAAGGCGAGGAAATCAAAAAACTAAAAGAATTAAGTATAAAAGAGGAGGATGCTCATCACGACCCTGATCCTCCCGAGCCTGAAGAAGCACCGTCAAGCACCGGCTCTTCTAGAAGCACGACGCCAGCACAATTCACAACAGTAACAGCGGTGGAGGCAACCACTGCCTACTCTTTGATTGAAACATTACTCTCCACGGCCGAGACAATGACGACCATGGCATCCATGCTGGCTGCGTTTTCAGCTTCCATGGATCTCTTCAGCCGAGCCAAATCAAAATTAGCTCTTGCCGAAAAGTGGCTAGCCAAAGCCAGCGATGAAACAGGCAATGATCCCGAGAAAGAAAAGCAGCAAAAGACAGCGCGTATCCAGATTCATTTGAAGGAAGCGGCTACTTATGCAGCGATGGCAGACCGAACCTTCCTCGCGTCTGGCACAGTAGAGGGTTCATTATTCGAAAGAGCCATCGAACGACTGAGCGAAGTCATCGAACAGCATGATGCACGCAACGTAGAAGCCATGTGCGATCGTGGTGATATCTACACGAGTTATGGACAAACCATCTGCGAGTGTATACACAAGAAAAAAGCTTCGCTTGATCCTGACAGAGAAGGAAAAGAAGTATGGCAGCTGTATGCTTCAGCCACCAAGTCCTTCCAAGCAGCTCTGCAATTGGAACCTAAAAATCTACGTATTCTCAACAAAATGGGCGATCTCAGTTTAATTCGTGCCAGACTGGACCTACCGATTGCCGAACGTAACAAGTTGCAGTTGTTGAAGAACGCAGCATTCTATTTCAAACGCGCAGTAGAAATAGACAAGGAAGTGCTGACCAGTGGCTACCTTGGATGGGCGATGAGCGAATGGGCGCTAGAGGAATGGGCTGAGATAGCTCATAAAAAAGAAGACGCACTCAAGATTGTTCGTGTGTGGGTGAAGCGTGGTGGATCAGGTCATTTGTTCAGAAGCTTAGCGGAGGATAATGAAACCTGGGACGAAGAATTCGTGGAATTTATCATAGAAAACTTGTTTACCACTGATAGTGAGGATTCAGAGTAGATGGCCTTATTGATTGTAGATAATACTAGGCTTTTTTTTTTTTTTTTTTTTTTTTTTTTTCATCCGTTGACTCATTTGTAAATACAACCTTAAAGAAATTTCAACATAATACGCGGAGGATAGTGTTAGGAAAAGCAGACGACGCTTTCTCCAGCTTCATCCATTCCATCGTCGGACTTTCGATCATTTATGCGATCGTGATTTTTTTTATCTTTTGAATCTGTGTGTGTACTCTGAAAATCGCTAAAAGCCCCGCTCGTTTAAATTTTGAACAAGGAAAAATTTCATCGAATGAGAATGGGTTATTCCAATGATTACAGATCAACCAGAAACATTCGAATCAAGGCACAGAAAAAATTTTTTCTTTTGCGCTCTCTCAATCTATCCCACTGATGCGGGTGCCTGTTGAAGCAACTTGCAGCCAACCTGTTTGTTGGCACGTGCTTTTGACGAGGAGTATGGGAAATGTACGATCTAGGTTTTTTATGTAACATAAAATGCGTTGTCAGAACCCTATAGGTCAACGACCATCAATGTATGTACCAAGGAGAAAAAGGGATCACCAAAGATTGATAAAAGCAATGGGGCCATGCATCTTGTGTCGCCCTGTCAAAAAGCTTGATAGAATATTGAGATAGACCTGAATGAAAAGATAGGAAAGCGCATGGGTCTCAAAAAACACTCTACGACCTCGGACAATTTAACTTTCAATGGGCCTTTGGTTCATCATTCGTATATAGGACAAGAGAAATGCATAACATCTTTAGTTGCTAGGACACAGCATGATGTTAGGCACAACAACGAAATAGACGTGATGCGTCTTTTGAGAATAAATACGGTGTGAAGATCAAAAACTGATGAAGAATGTCGCGATTGAGCCTACAAACAATTTTGATTGGCTGAATATATTACTTTCGAATCAGCCTATTGGATAATTTGGGTGGCTTTAATTGATGCTGATTTTTTTTTTCTTTTTTTTTTTTTTTCCTGTGGTTAAAAAAAAGGGATTGCACAAGTCTACACGCAACTTTTTTTCTTTTTTTCAAACGCTTTTTTTTCCTTCGTAAACCCTTTTTCGCCAAAAAGCAGTATCCTTAATAACATCAAATATGAGCGACACTTTCCTTTTCACTTCTGAATCTGTTGGTGAAGGCCATCCCGGTAAGAATACTTTGAACGACATTTTTCATGAACGTTTTATCGTTCTCATTCTTACCAATTCTCTTTTCTTTTTTCTATGGGGGGAAATGCATTATACATGATACAAACAGATAAGATTTGTGATCAAGTTTCTGATGCTATTTTGGATGCCTGTTTAGCCCAAGATCCCATGTCCAAGGTTGCTTGTGAAACTGCTGCCAAGACTGGTATGATTATGGTCTTTGGTGAAATCACCACCAAGGCCAACCTCGATTATCAAAAGATCATTCGTAATACAATTAAGCAAATCGGCTATGATGATTCTGAAAAGGGTTTCGATTATAAGACCTGTAACGTTTTGGTCGCCATTGAACAACAATCACCCGATATTGCTCAAGGTCTCGTTCAAAAGTCTTTCAACATTGAAGATATTGGTGCTGGTGACCAAGGTATCATGTTTGGGTACGTGTTTTTTTTTTTTTTCTTGTCCAGGCTTAGTTTTGCTAAGTTGTGTGTTGTTGTTCGTTATCCTCATATTTCTGTTGTTTTTTTTTTTTTTTGTTTTCATTGCTAATACAGTTATGCTACTGATGAAACTCCTGAAATGATGCCTTTGACTGCTGTTCTTTCTCACAAGCTCAACAAGCGTATGGCTGATCTCCGTCGTGACGGTACCCTCTCTTGGTTGCGTCCCGATTCCAAGACCCAAGTTACCATTGAATATAGAAATGATAATGGTGCTATGGTTCCTCTTCGTGTCGATACCGTTGTTATCTCTGTCCAACACGCTGCTGAAATTGAAACTGAAGATCTTCGTAAGGCTTTGATGGAACACGTCATCAAGCCTGTCATCCCCGAAAACCTTTTGAAGGATACCGTTTTCCACTTACAACCCTCTGGTAAGTTCATCATCGGTGGTCCTCAAGGTGATGCTGGTTTGACCGGTCGTAAGATTATTGTTGATACTTATGGGTAAGTTACTTCAACCTATATGATAAGCTGATGTCGTAGAAGCGATCCAAAACAAGGGGGGTGGGGAGGGAGAGAGGAATAGGAGCGGAAGGGCTGGATAGCATCGGTTCTTCAAATTCGTCGGATGATTAACACAAGCGTTTCCCTTTTTGTGTACCTTCTTTAGTGGTTGGGGTGCTCACGGTGGTGGTGCTTTCTCCGGTAAGGATTGGTCCAAGGTCGATCGTTCTGCCGCTTATACCGCTCGTTGGATCGCCAAGTCCCTTGTTCACGCCAAGCTCGCTCGTCGTGCCCTTGTTCAACTTTCTTATGCCATTGGTGTTGCCGAACCCCTTTCCATCTTTGTTGATACCTACGGTACCTCTGAGAAGTCTACCAACGAATTAGTCGAAATCATCAGAAAGAACTTTGATCTTCGTCCTGGTGTCATTGTCAAGGAACTCGATCTCTTCAAGCCTGTCTACCAAAAGACTGCTGCTTATGGCCACTTTGGTCGTGAAGAATTCACTTGGGAACAACCCAAGGAACTCAAGTTCTAAGTCCTGTTTATTCTATTTTAATCATTTTTTTTCTCTCCTCTTGTGTATGTGTTAACTTCATATATATACTGTATCGTTTAATTAATTTGTGTTTCTATTCTCTCAGCAAACCCTCTCCCCCCAGCAATTGCATGTCTCTCACTTCAACCCAATCCCCCATATCCCCTTATACTTTTTGTTTCTTTTGAAAATCATTATTTTTTATACATGAAATTTTTTTCCCGTTTTTTCAAACTTGTAGAATAAAAAAATTAAAAAAGTATTCCTTTTGTACAATTTGAAATGCCGCCTCTGCGTGTTTATGGATGTTGGTCCGTTCGTTCAGGTGTCAGAAACATTGAGTATGCATTTTACATTTGTAGACAGGAAGGATTGATTTTTTACTTTATCATTGTCTTCATTTTCCGTTCTTGCGTTTCAGCCATTTAGTTTCATTCAGTAGCACCAAACTATTTATAAAAAAGCAATGTCAGATCCTTACGGAACACCTTACACTTACAATGCCATCGACGTAAAGTACATGCAGCTGGCCATTGAGGAAGCCAACAAGTCCATCCCCGCACCTAAAGCTTACTGTGTTGGCGCTGCACTCGTCGATGCCAATGGGCAATTACTTTCGACAGGCTATTCACGCGAACTACCAGGCAACACACACGCTGAAGAATGTGCTTTAATCAAAATTGCAGATAGTAAAGAGGAGATAGACCTGAAAGGTGCCACGATGTATACCACTATGGAGCCTTGTTCGGTGCGTTTATCAGGCAACCGACCTTGTTCTGATCGAATTGTTAAAGCTCAAATCAAACGTGTGGTGATAGGCGTACGAGAACCACCCCATCTGGTATCGTGCGAGGGTATTCAGTTATTACAACAGCACGGCATCCAAGTATTTATTGTGCCCGATGTGCAAGAAGCCTGTTTGGCTCCTAACAAGCATATATTACAGCAATAATGATACTGAACTCTATTACAAACCTGTTTTATTTCTTTTACTTATCTTTGACACAGTATAAACAAATAAAGAGAGATGAGATAGCCCATCCTATCCTGCCACTCAGAGATCCCTCTACATACCATGAATAAGATAGTGAACGTAGGATGTGCATATTGGTTTATCTTTATCTTTTTTTTTTATGGTGTTTGGTGTAAGAGTTAGTTCATTGTATAGAATATTAATTTATTTTTTGGATTTTCATAGAGCCCTACAACCTATTTACAGTTTTCTTTCGTGTGCTTCTCTTTCTTTGTTGTGCCCTGACTCGTACAACGAGATATATGAAAGGCCATTCTGAGTGTCAGTATTATCATCTTTAAGGAGAAATGACACCCAAATAATCTTCTTTGATAGTGCCAATAGCAAACTAGGATCCCAAGAAAAAAAAAAGTTTTACGTTAAACCTTTGATCTATTGTACCTTTCTCCTTACTAAACTTTTTCACTTTACAATTTCTGTTGCATCCACACGCGTACCAACCAATTTTAGCCGAACCAATACATCTTTTTGTATCACCTTTGGTGAAAAGAAAAGCAGCCATTCAGTAACAAAACTATAGCATCACATTATACGCGCATTTTAAATTGATACTTTTTGAATTTTACCTGATCTTCGGAGGAATAGCAAGGGGGGTTACCATTAGCGTCAAATTTCATGTCTGCTGGAATTAACTGCAGATGTGGAGGAATGAACACCTGGTTTTTTAGAATCAGGAAACCCCAACATCACCCTTTCAATATAACTTACGTGGTTGGAAACGAAAACTTGTAATGGCCCGACATCAGCAAAGAAGCCCATCTTTTTTTTTCAATAAGATGTGTATATGTGTTCGTATGATTAACCCAACGATGCCACAAATTTTTTCTTTTACGTTAATAACAGGTAAAGCTTTACCTTATTAACCGTTGTCACAATCGCATCAAGTACTTCACCCTTGAAGGGTTTAAATAAGATGGCTTGATACGATATTTTAAACTCTGCTAACCCTGAACCAGGTAAAATCTTTCCTTTATCGACCGTATTCACTGATAAAACTGTAATAAGGTATCCATATCGTCCAGTACATGTGCCTTCCACATCAATAAGTAGTTTTTCTCTGATTTGACTTTGCATATTAGGCCCAAAATAGGATGGGTGTAATGATATTGTATGGGTTAATTCCTTCTGTTGTATGTATGTGTGTATGTATGTGTGTATGTGTAAGTCCAGATAGAGGTGAGTGTGCGCGTATAGGAATAAAATCAACACGAAAAAAAGTAAATCATGAGAAATCGAACGATCTTTTTGTATTGCAATATAATGGCTGACCCATTCGTTAAAAACAATCTTTACCAAAAAAAACATTGTGTATATGTGTTTGTGTGTTTATGTGTGTGTGTGTGTGTGTGTGTGTGTGTGCGTGCGTACGTAAACGTGAGTATGTAGTGTAAGTGTCTATAGCGTATTCTTTATTATTCTGTCATTCGCCAAGCGTTTTTGATTAAAGGGATGTTTTGGTGTTAAATAATTGAAATGAAGAACGATCTACTAATCATAGTTTGAAACTCTTCAAACCTTTTTTTAAGCGTTTAAATTCGGGTTCTCCTATTATATGTACAACTTATCAACTGAGGATATCGAGAAAACTTTAAAGAGCTCTTTTTAACAAGTTGACAAGCGATTGAATGGTTGTTTGAAAGAGTTGACTCCACCAACAACTCCTCAATGAAAAAAAAAGTATACAATTAGCGGAAAAAGAAAAAAAAAAAAAAAAAAGAATAAAAAGAAATTTTACGTCATGTTCCCTCTATCCAGTTGCAGTTAGTGTACCAAATTTCAAAACACGCATCATGTTTAAATCGCTTCACTTCTCGTACAACAATAGTGCTGTCAAAGTCGATTATCCTACAGATCTACTATTTGCAAAGACAGACTTTTTGTTAGCTTGGCCACTGAAAATGGTGCGTATTTAAAAAGAGGACAATTTCTTGACCATGTTCTTTTCTATGCTAGTTCTCGATATAGCGCGAGTAGAAGCTGAACATATGGGTCAATTTTGCTGCATTTTCAAAACAGTATTGCTTCTTCAGGGCTTGGAGTGAAGCAAAACCCGCTTCATTGAAAGTTACAAAGTTATAGACCAGCTATTATATAGTTATTATTATTATTTTTGCATTTTCCTGATAAGTTCTCGCCTGAAGTCATTCGATATCTTTTCAGAATAGCTTTTGTGCTTCAGCCACATTCGAATAATGATACAAATGCACAAAACTGCAAAAAAAAATTGGAAAATAACATCAATTCAATGGTTAGCGTTGTTGTTTAGCAAGTAACCAATGACAATAACAGACAGCGAAATCCAAAGAAAGCTAATAGTTACTGTTAAAAATGGGGAATAAGAACATGCAGGTGGCACAACATTTGATCACATTCAAAAAGGTACCTATCTAATCAATCGTTGTAGTCTAAAGGCTCCCATTAACACCAAGTTTGAGTTCAGTTTTACCAATGGATAATCGTTATCAGTTAGCTTCTATGTTACGCTGCCTATAATCATTAGTCTTCCGTTTTGCCAACAGAAAGTACTGTCCATTCTTCCACCATACTTTACGTATCAGCAATATAACATACCTACAGGGAAAATGTTAGGCGTCGTATCCTAGCTTAAAAATGCTGAAAACTGTTTTCAATCTGTGCTGCTTAAGCTTTAATGAAACACCTTGAATTTGAACTTTTTCAGCCAAGATTAAACGAAAGCCAAATCTATAACCCACCCCCCTTTTCTTTTTCCTTTACATGTATAGAGAACCGTTTTGCACTTATAAAACCGTTTATATGTTCTCTAAATACATTTAATTATAACATTGGTTTTATTTGGTGCTCAGAAGAAGTCCAAGTTTCTAAAGAAGTATCAAAACTGTCTAATGCAAGCTATTCTTTCATTGAAGACTACTTTATGAATGTTTGGGGTCAATGTTTAATCTCGGACAAAGAGAAATATCTTTGCTTACATCTTGAGTAATATAAGGGTATGAGTATTACTCTAAAAAAAGGGCACTCTCTTTTCTTTATCTATTTTTTCACTGAATCTTCTTGTCCTATTTTCTTGCGCTTATCTTGCTAATGGGTTTTCGTTCTTCGTAAGGATGCTGCCATGCTTTACCGCGCCTTACTCAAAACGAACGTTTTATAAAACAGCGTGTTCATTATATACTTGAAGAGAGGCTGTCATGAATGATATATACAATTTTTTCTAAGTTCAATTCGAGTCACAAGTGCATTCCATCCATATAACAGAGCTAAAAATCAGTCGACATGTGGTTTGAAGAAAGAATAAGCCTTGCAGTAGAGCGAATGCTTTTTATATTCAGACAGAATGTCGTTTTCAATGCAGTTTCTTAGATACATTAGTAACTGCCTTTTTTTGGGTCCCATTTCTAACTTCTAGCAGTGTGAAAGAAAGGCGTTCATGATATGTACCATAGTGCAGTGTCGATGTCATACCAATGGTTGCTTACTGAGCAATGGCTGTGCTCAAAAATAATACTCTACTGCTTTTTTTTTATAGGGTTCTCCAGATCTACACGCGGCATTCATCCTATGGTAGTATCAAGGTTTTTGCTTGCGTTGATTTCTGAAGAAAACGCCTTTTCTCCAAATGCCTCTTACGCCTTGTTGATAAACTTTTCAAGACTACGTTTATCTGCTTCGATGCAATACTAATCAAAGTGCAAAAGTACTTATATTATCGTTGACACTATCCATGGGGACAGCGGTATGAACGTACCTCAAAATAATGCCATGTAGAAATGAATCAAATAATCAGAGCTAGTCAACAACAGACACAGGTTGCAGTTCCTATATAGGAATGACTAACAAAGAAGGATTTGTTGAACAGTGTTCTATCTTTCCCGTTCATTATGACGTGCATTCACTCTTGTTTTCTGAATCCAAATGTCCATTATATCATCTGTGGAAGTGGGTACAGGTTTCAAGAGCCGCTTGGCTATGGAGCTAAACAACAATGCTTCTCAAACTTTTGATTTCTGTCTCTTTTAAGTTTGCAATATGTCACACTTTCGCTTTCCTCGAGCCGCTGGGCCTATGGAAGAAGATATGATTAATTCAGTCGTACATAGTATCGAGCCAAATGAAAGAACAGCAACATCAAACGGTAATGGTCATCCTATCACCGGTTTTATTTCGACTAGTGACCGTGCTGTCAGTAGTAGCAACGATGTCGAAATGAATAATACAGACGATGAGTCATCAGGATCGTCCACCATTCTTGCTTCTTCGAAGCAACAGCGACAACGACGCTCGGAGCAGCGACATAATTCTACCCAAGAGGAGCAACGTTGTTGGATTTGTTTTGGTGACAGTTCTGATTCCCAAGGAAAGTGGGTCAAGCCATGTAAATGTTCACTAGAAGCTCACGAAAGTTGTTTGTTGGACTGGATAGCAGAACTGCAAAAAGCCTCGCCGACAAAGAAGGTTCGAGCTCTATGCCGAGCATCCATTTTTTTTTATCACTGATTACTGTATCTAACCTAGAGCATATGGTATTGTCTGTAATTATAGGTGAGCTGTCCTCAGTGTAACACACCTTACAAACTCGCACAGCAGAAAAGCATTCTACTCAGTATTTTGACGGCAGTGGACTCATTCGTTCGAACAAGTACACCTTATATCACCGTTGTAGGATTGGGTTGCTCACTATTAATCACATGCACAACTTACGGAGCTTTCTCTGTGTTGACTTTATTCGGCAGTAGAGATGGAGAGAGGCTGATAGGGAACCCGAACACATGGACCCTCAAAACCTGGATTGGATTGCCCCTCATCCCCGTGATACTCATTTCCAGTAAAACCAAGTACGGAGATGCTATTTTACCCATTGCCTCCATGTCATTATTGACGGCTACCGGTATCACACCAGATACTATCCGATTTACATGGCCAATGTCACCTGCTTTAACGATTGGACTGATGCCTTGGATTAGGTAAATTTTGAAGAAAGCGAGTTATTCATAGATGCTACTGATATTAGCAGGGCTTTCAGCTGACCAACACTGATATACAATCATTAGGCTGTTTTACAAAAATGCATATCGACTTATTCAGCGTTATATGACGAAAAATCTATCAGTAAGAGAAACTGCCTCTCTACCAGCATCAAATACAGCGGCTTCTTTAAATCGGCAACGACGACGGGAATCTCTGAATTCAATTCATACAACATCGTTAAGTGATAGAGAGCGCGATCTGGAAATGGATATGATCAATGGTAGAGAAACAAGTAGTATTGGCATTACATTAGTCGGAGCTTTGTTATGGCCAGCTATCAGTAGTAATGTTGGAGGGTAAGTGTTTTGAGTTTAACGTTCGATACAAAAAATACTAACGCTGCATATAGACTTTTATACAAATTTAAATGGGTCAGACATAACTTTCCACTTCCTTTTCAAAGAAACATTCTGGGTGGATGTTTATTCGTCGTCATGAAAGATATAGGCAATTTATTATACAAATATGAACGTATAAAGCAGTACCGATCACGCCGCGTCAAAAACTTTGACGAAGTCAACTGAAGGTCTTTTCTTATCTACTACATATTTATTGGTTACCCTTGATAGCTGTCAACGTTTTTTTTCTTTTCCCTTCATCTACATATATTATTTCAAATTAAATTCATACTGGACAATGATACCAGCAATAACAGTGTCGTAATAGCTGATTATTTTCAATGCCAGTCATTTTTAATTCAGTTTTAAAGCAACAAATTTTTCTGGACTTTTTCCATCCTTTTTTTTTTTTCATTTCACAATGTCTTTTTACAGGGCTTCTCACCGTAAAGAAAGTGGGTGAGATGGTCTACACTAAAGACAAAGATTGAAATAACACAAGTACAGATACACTGAATGTCGCAAAGCCATTGAGACAATATCAGTCATTTTCATACCTTGTACATCACTCTACTTTTTCCTTACGAAAAAACATTTTTATTGAAACTTTTCGACAATCACATGAACGAACAGCTAAATATCTAATCCTCTTCCATAACATCCATATCCGTACGACCCTCATTTTTATGTTTTGCATAGTATCCAACAGCCTTCAAAAATGATTTTAGGTCTGATATACGGAAAAATTGAAGAACGAGTTTCTATTAGGATAGGACATACTTGTATACGAAAGAAAGTTGAAGCATTTACCTTTGTCGGTTTGTAAAGCCTCCACTAATGAGTCAAGTTTATCTTGTTCAAGTGCAGCATTGATAACCTGCAGTCTTCGTTTGAATTCTTCGCTTTGAACTAATTGCTCTATCTCCTCTTCTGAACGTTTGTTTCCCTCATTGACAAATGGGAAAAGGGCAGATCGAATATCATCCTCACGAAGAATTGAGTTGAGTGTGTCTGCGGCTAAAGCATCGCCTAATTCAAGTGTGACAGGTTGTTCTGGCGCATTTGTTTCTGCAAGAGTGGATTCTGCTTCGGTCCATTTGGAAGCAGGTATTCTGGCTTCTATATCTATGGAAGAGGAGAGATTACTTTTAAAGAGACAATATCGGATGATGAGAAATTGCTGTCTCCTTTCATATGAATGGAACTTGTGCGCATGTATACCTTAATCCACCAGCGTTTTGAATGAATTGTAAAAGATTATCTTGTGTCATATTCATATCCAAATCCCCTTGTCCACCACCCAAAATCTGCATTAAATCGGAGTGGACATTGCCTTCGTATTCTAGGTCGTTACCATCACGATGACCACTGCCACTCATCGCACTTTGAGGATCGTTAATGAGTTGGTTCACTCGGTTCACTAACTCTTCATCTTTCTCATCATTTTTGCTTTGCATCCAATAAAATACTTTTTGGCTTGAAGATTTAAACTTCAAGACGTAGACACGTCCAGTTGTGCATTCATGAACGTGGATGAGTTCGGCTTCGTCAGGAAAGATAATAAAGTCCTACAGTCGTAAAAGCAAAACGTAAGTCCACTACTTTTATGATTGCGTTGTGAGTAACCCAAACGTGGTACTAACATCTTCAGGGTCTGCAGCCTTTCGTTCCTTCCAGTAAAAATGCATAAGTTGGTCGTCACTCTGTAGAAAATATATCCCGATGGACATTGTCAGCTTTCCAACTTCTTTAGTCATTGCCAATCGTCGATCTGCACTATCTTTACCTGATCCATATAAATGACACTAAGAGATAAAAAGTGTTAGGCAGTTCATTCCTTTCTTCTAAGCACGGCCAGTATATCGCTCATCGTAGTTTTGCATAAATATTTTACGTTACCCCTTCCTAGTGTCGGGCTTCAGCATATTGCCCTCTTTGATGACTTTACCAGCATTAAACTCAACAAGGTGATTATTGTTTCTTTGAGCTGTAGGGAAGAGACTCATTGTGTATTCAGTTAGTAGATCGGTTGATTCACCAGTGTTTGGTTTTAAAAAGAAAAAAAAGAACAAGAAAAATGCAGGAAAGTCGTGTAGGCACTACGAAGATGACGCGGCAAACAAAATTTCTGTCGGCGGGCTAACCAATAGCATAAAAGTCATTTGGACTTAGTGTCACCTTTGATACGACTGTTCAAGAGGAAGAAGAGCACTACTCTTCGAATTGAGATGCCCGAAAAGAGGGGGTTTTTTTTTCCCTATATTCAGCTTGTCTGAACACAAATGGTGTGTAGAGATTTACAAGCATTATAAATCGAATAAAACGTGGACATAAAGCCTTACAAAAGAAAAGGAAACTCTCTATTTATGGCTCGCCTTATCTATATTGTACATCTTTTATCATGCTTGACTTGAACCGCTTTCAACTTGGTAAGGAAGTACATTGCTTTTCATGGTCCGAAAAAAGCATGCCATCGGCACTTTAGATCCATCAGGGCGTTTGATACCTTAGCTCAATCATTCTTACAGTGGATAATGACCTTTAAGCACTATACCGATCTTTTATTGACGTCCGTACCAAAGACGCGCCTAAACACTTAATTTACCAAAAAACTGGGCATTTCCAGATATCATCGACATATTCCTTTTGAATAGGTTCTTGTTGCGCTGCAAATAGCGCGTCATTGACATATAAAGGGTCTCTCATACCTGTTAATACAGTTCCTACATTTTTGTGGGATAATAATAGTCTGAGCATTTTGATTGACAATGGTGAATAGGCTGACGGAGGGAGCTGATCTTGTAAAGCTGGACAAAGAGCGTTAATAATTCGGTCCAAGTCATTATTCTTCCGCAGTGTGTCGATGTAAGCATAATCAATAATGTTTTTTATTAACGCATGCATATTCTAATCAATGTTGAAGATTTAACCGTTTTAGCTTTTATGACTCGGTCGCGAAGAAGGTAAGTAAGCCGTTTTTTTGTTTACCTCCTTATAAACTTTCATCCATTCTTCCAACATATTGCTACTATCTGGGTTATCCGCGGCTTGCAAACGAACATATTTTGAAAATTCGGCCATGTCCTTATCCAGTGTAGGCAATACTTGTTGCGTCAAATAATGCCGTGTAGCAAAGTGATTCTGCGCTAAACGCGCCAAATTCTCGGACAGAACTTGACCCCACACAAATTTGGATGTCAACGATTCTTCCTCGACAGGCACTAATAGCAGTGCAAAACAAATTTACTGTTAGTATCATTGTCTTTAAAGCAAAAAGGCAAAATGACCCTTTTTTTCTATTTACATTCTGATACTATCTCTGATTCTAATTTGGCTATATTTTCAAAGGATTTTTGCATCTCGGCCATAATCTCATGCTCAGCTATGTTGCAACAGGAAATGCAAGAGTTGGATTTCGTCTGATTTCTTCTCCTTTGCGAGCTTGTTGTCTTACCTGGTCCTTTTCCATTGGCTCCGAGTTCATGATTAGCCAACACTCGCACTTGACCATTGGCAATAGCATTTAAAGGCCTATTTGTCATAATATAGATACCATTCGCTTCAGCAATTTGCGCTACCGTTTTTGCACCCACATCATCTTCTGCTTTGACAATCGCTTCACGTTCATAGAGGTTGAATGGCACCTGAATAGCCAACAAATTTTGATTGCTTTTGGGGCATGCTTTGATTATTTCATTTAACGAAATATGGTCTACGGCATTAGGGAATGCCATTGTATTGGAGCAAATACCGTATCCACCCATAGAGCCTATGGCGAAGAGAAGGGGCTCTTGTTGAATGATGGCTGCACTGTCTCTTTCTTAGTGTGATCAATTTTACCTGCTGCGACTAAACCATCAAGATATCTAAAAGTTTCTGCTAATTCTTTATACAGATGTGCAGTAGTGTAACTCTATGAATAGATCACTAGTTTAAACTTAAATTCTCGTCTACACGGAAGACTTGTAGGACGGTGCAACAATAAAATTTACCCTATTCTTCGCCATGAGCATTCTTTCGGGTGAGTTGATCATGAAGATGTCTATTTTGCTCGTTTTGAGTCTCTTCAACGACATTTCAAGCTGCTTTTCCAGTACCCTAGGACTGATGGAATGGAACATTTTGTCGCTCAACTGAATATAATCTTTTTGAGCATCGAAAGCTTGAACATCCGAGCTGCTTAAATATCCAGATTTCGTTACAAGTGTTATGGACTTGGAAGAAAAAAAGAAAATTGGTTGGGATCAAACTAAATCTATGGATTTTTTGTTTAAACATTCCATATTACTTCTCGAGATAGCTTGCTTGACGCGGATAGGTCTTGTAGCGTTTGACCAATGATGGTCTCGGAAGCGCCTTTGAATATAAAAGATATATATTGTGATGAATAACCCTTTCAATGCTGAGTGCAGTCCATCGGCAAGCTAAACCTTTGAGACACAAACCATTTGCAAAGTTACTGCCGGTATCAATGATATTGACACCTCCCTCTAGAGCTGCTTGTAAAGCCTTTGCATGTGTAGCGTTCGAAATACGATAACTTCCAAAGCCAAGTCGAGTGACGAGTCGTCCTGTTTTTGGAATAATTGTTTTTGGTATGGAGGCCATGGCAAAGCTGGGAGGTTTATTCCAACACAAAAGGCGTCTCCGGATGATTGATGTATGCAAAAGAAGACCCTGACATTAGAAACCAATGGACAGGCAACTAGAAACCATGATGGTGACTGTTAAATGAAATAATTCTGTGCCTGAAGAAAAAGTGAATATGCCGCCGCTTCCAAGAAGAAATTGCCTTTTTATTTTTTCCCTGACGTCTTTTTTCTTCTCGACAACAAATCATACAAGATGGTGATGGAATGCCCCTCTTGTGATGCCAATAGAAAGCAATCACTTGGAAAAAATAATTTAGTGTATGCATTTTTTTTTTTATTTTTTTTTTCTCCATCGCCCAACAAGTAAACGCGATTCGCCGATCTCACATTTTGATCATAGGACGTGTGGATACTGCCATAATACTTATCTATACAGTGAAAAGGCGTCAAAACATGATGTTGCGGATCAAGACTTTTCCGATTCGAGCTTTGACTCTGATGAATATATACCCTCACCTACTTATTCAAACGACGAGGATGATGCTGTTGATGCTGCTGCTGCTGCTGCTGCTGCTGCTGAAGCTAATGTTAACGACGACAACGACAACGATGAGGACGAGGACATGCTGTGGACAAAAGGAACCGAGAGGAAGACTGCTGCAAGATCTGCTGACCGAGATATAACATCTCCTTCCGACATGGAGTCATTAAGCAATGAAAATGAAAAACAAGTGTCGAAGAAAGCATCTGACAAGTCTTCTGATTCACCTGTAGAGTTCAAATTGGACTTTGGTGACGAGGACGCTGGAGACGTCTATGAGCTTGATAGTGATGACTCCTTGGACCAACAAATTGCAGCTATTCTGTCCAGGAAACAAAAGCGGTCAAAAATATTCAGTGACGATTCTGATGACGATACACATATAGCACGTTCACAAAAAGGAGCTAAAGGGAAAGAACGTGAGAGCAAGCCATGGTTGAGAGATGAACAACTACCGAAAATTTTTAGACAAACCGAATCTAGAAAAACAAGCAGCTCCCCAGCACCTTCTTCTTCTTCTTCTTTTGCCAAAAATCCTAGAAAGAAAGAATATGAGTTATCTTTCTCCGAAGATGATTCGGATGAAGTTTCTCAATCGCCCAGCAGAACATCTAGACCGTCAAAAAAAGCAGTAAAAGCAACACGGTCAAAAAAACGAAGCAGACATCATAGTAGTGGTAGCGAGTTTAGTGCGAGTGATAGTGAATTAGAAACTGAAAAAGTGACACTATACGACCCAAAGGAGCCTTCACAACATACAATACGTTCAAAAGACTCTACTCAGGGAGAGAGACCATTCAACAGATACAGCCCCTTTATTGTGTTTAATAAAATCTTTAGAAAACAACTGGCAAAGCAATTTCCACATATTGGCAACCTCGAACTCAGTGCAAAAGTAGCAGAAGCGTGGAGGAATATGGACAAAGTGAGTCTCTTTTTTTTTTTTTTTTTTTTGGGTGTTGGATCACCACCACCATTGTATTCTGTGTGTGAATGCTATAGCTAAAACAACGTTTCCCGTGTTCAACAGGAAGAGAAAGAAAAGTTTCTGCAAGAGCAAAAAGAGAAGCGGGAAAGTCTAAAAGGCATCACTAATAAGGCGAATTTCAAGGTTCCAGCAGGAAATGGATGGCTATTATACTCCAAAGAACAGTTACCAAAAGTTAAAAAGGCCTATCCTGATGCGAAGAATATCAATAGCCTGAGTGCTGTCATTGGACAGAGATGGAAAGAACTATCAAAGGTATGATTTACAGTGTTGCGTCGTGCAATCCCGAGATACTCACTGAACGTATGTCATTTAGGAGGAAAGAGACGTATACCACGCACAAGCAAAGAAAGAACGTGAGGAATGGATCAAAGAGCATCCTGAGGAGTTCGCACAACATCAAGAAAGAATGATTCATAGAATCAAAGCGACGAAAGCCGCAAGGAAGAAAGCAAAGAATAAATAATGGAAAGCACCAGCTATAAATCAGCCTGTATTCATGCCACACATATTTTTTTGCACTATTCATTCATCTATCATTATTATATTACAAAGGATACCTAATTTATCACAATTATCTAATAACAGCTACTATAGTTAATGCCTGTCCCCTTATATACGTTCCTATTTTATTCAAGTCGCGCCATGAAAAATCGTGATTCTGAAAATAAAAAAGGCTAAACCGGTTTCTCGGAAAAACAAAAATTTCGATGGAAAAAATGCCCCATTTATCTGACAAGGGATCAATTGTTCTGTGGTACAACAATTAGTTTGCAATTCCTGCTGCTGTGTGGAACACCATGAAATGTTCCAAAAGCACAGGCAAAGGACTCTGAGTTTCACTATCATTGCCAGACGCGTAAAAAGCTCATGTATTGGTATCAAGCAACCTATAGTTGATGCGCAGTATATCTATGTCAACAAATCTACAAGATTGTTGATTTATTGCATCATGTCTTTCATCTAAGCTATAATCGTATCTTAATTTTCCCAGATCCACACTCCAATATCTATTTTTAGGAAAAGATGATATTGAGTATAGCCCGATTAGCTCAGAAGATCAGCAAAAATATAAAAAATAGAATTTAGCATTTTCGATGCTTCCCTAAGACAAATACGAAACCTTCTCAGCAATAGCCTGTAATACCTTCTATTATATCAAGCTTTTCGCAGCGTGATGTGGAATCAGCTTATGACGGGTGCCTCATGAGTGCACGACTTTCTAATTTGATAGAAACGAATAGTATTCACTAGGTTACTATTTAGCACCCATAATCCATTTGCTCATGTGGATAAGAGAAATAACTTCCATGCAACAATGGTGCTGTTACCCATAAAAGAAAAAGTGAGCTATGGAAGGTGCCTTTAGTATTGGATTGAAGCTGCCGACTTGGCTTCAATAACAGAAACACGAAAGAAAAGTGGGATGCTTGTTTATTTAGCTTCCCATTGCAGTCTCCAAGTAGTTATCCCCACCTTCATGAATAATTTAACAAATATAGGAATGATGTTGGGCTTGTGTGGCTATGGAATCATGCTCAAGTTGTACTAGACGTGTCCAAGCAGAGTACAAGAAACTCATTTTGAGAAATACTTAAGCCAGCTAAATTCCCTGATGCATTATTATCTTCCATGTATAAAACTGTTACATTTGTTGAGAGCGAGCTCCGTATTCTACCTTCCATTTCACAGAGTATCCGTCAAAATGTAATACGATCCTTTGACCTACTAGTGAAACGTATATCAAATGCTTTCTAAGCTTTTTACTATATCTGTACTGACTATGATGGTTATGAGGAAAGTATCATGCTGCTAAGTGGGAATAAAAAGCAAAAGACACGATAGTTGACGGAAATACAATGAATGAATCAAGCATAGCATAAATGACAAACAATAGCACACAATCAAGAGCCTAGGCATATTGCCCAGAGGATGATGAGAGGGTTTACTTCGTGTTTGTGCCATCTCAAATAAAAGTCGTTGTTATTATTTGTTGATTTACAAAGAAAAAAAAAAGTATGTTCTAGTATTTTTTACTTTATTCTTTTGTTAGCCATTATTCCGTTTCATATACAATTAAAGATAAAACAAATTGACCATTTCTTGCCTGGTTTCATACGGAGTTTTGATCTTTGCAGATAGTATCAGATGATTGGCTACTACATTTTTAGGATAGGCTTAATTGATCGTTATCGCTGATGTTATCCCTTATTTTTTGGCACGCGATTTTTTAATGATTACAGTAAAAAAAATTTTTTTTATCGATCTCCAAAGAATGAATACTCAAATGACTATGACAGTATACATTTATTTATTTTTTTTGCATCTCTTTTATAATGGGTTCATGACGGTGATAAGTCCTGTTACACTTGTCGATAAGTAATGCATGTTTGTTGACAATTTGAGCTACTAAGAGTTACTGGATATAGTGTTTGTTAGAACGGCAACACACGAACAAAAAAAAATGATGAAAAAATATAAACTTTCATCCTCATGCGGAGTCTTTTAGAAAGCAATAGATTGTTGCAGAGATTTTTTCCCAATCATGGCATGGGTCTTACTCTTCCAAAAAAGGTACTCTTGGTGACTGCCGTTAAAGGTTTGGATTGTATCAAACAAGAAGGGAAAAAAAAAAGCATATAAATCCTGCGATTTCGTGAGCAATTTTGGTCTCTTTTTTCTTTTTCTGTTTTTCCTTTAATTCATTTTCTTCTTTAAAAATGTCCGCCGTCAGCAAGGTTTTCGCTCGTCAAATTTTCGATTCTCGTGGTAACCCCACTGTTGAAGTTGAAGTCACCACCCCCAAGGGTGTCTTCCGTGCTGCTGTCCCCTCTGGTGCCTCCACTGGTATCCACGAAGCCGTCGAACTCCGTGATGGTGACAAGAATGCCTACATGGGCAAGGGTAAAGTGTCCTATAACGCGTGTTTGAGTCAATGATTGCCCATGCATTTGACCCTCGTTGCTAACCATTGACACAACCATTTATTCCCATACATTAGGTGTCCTCAAGGCTGTTGCTAACGTTAACGACATCATCGGTCCCAAGTTGATCGCCGAAAAGATCCCCGTTACCGAACAAAAGAAGATTGATGACTTCCTCATCAACCTTGACGGTACTGCCAACAAGGGTAAGCTCGGTGCTAACGCCATCCTCGGTGTCTCTCTCGCCGTTGCCAAGGCCGCTGCTGCCGATAAGGGTGTCCCTCTCTACGTCCACTTCGCTGACCTTGCTGGTTCCAAGAAGCCTTTCGTTCTTCCCGTCCCTGCTTTCAACGTTATCAACGGTGGTTCTCACGCTGGTAACAAGCTCGCCATGCAAGAATTCATGATTCTCCCCACTGGCGCCAAGTCTTTCCGTGAAGCCATGAAGATCGGTTCCGAAGTCTACCACAACCTCGCCAAGGTCATCAAGGGTAAGTACGGTCTTGATGCCACCAACGTTGGTGATGAAGGTGGTTTCGCTCCCAACATCCAAAACAACGAAGAAGGTCTTGAACTCCTCGTCCAAGCTATTGAAAACGCCGGTTACACTGGTAAGGTCAAGATTGGTATGGATTGTGCCGCCTCCGAATTCTACAAGGAAGGCAAGTACGATCTTGACTTCAAGAACCCCAACTCTGACAAGTCCAAGTGGATCGACGGTAAGGAACTTACCGCCCTCTACAAGCGTTTCGCTGAAAAGTATCCTGGTACGTATGATAAATTTCGCGTTATTTTGTATTTTATGTGTGTATGTGTGTGTTTGTGTGCGGATGTTATTTTTTCCCAGCTTTTTTGAAAAATGAAAAAACTAGTCTACATTTGGAAAACCGTCTTTTGGGTCGGGTTTCAGTTGTTGTAACTGGCTTTTAATTTCTTTTGAAACTTGGAATTTTTTTGAATTTTTTTTTTTTTACGTCTGCTATGAATGTCATCCTTACTAATATCCCCCATTTTTTATGATGATATTCAATAGTTGTCTCCATTGAAGATGCTTTCGATCAAGATGATTGGGAAAACTGGACTCACTTGAAGCAAACCTCCGAATTCCAATTGGTCGGTGATGATCTTTTGGTCACCAACCCCAAGCGTATTGTTACCGCCATTGAAAAGGATGCCTGTAACGCTCTCTTGTTGAAGGTCAACCAAATCGGTACCGTCTCTGAATCCATCCAAGCTGCTCTTGACTCCCAAAAGGCCGGTTGGGGTGTCATGGTCTCTCACCGTTCCGGTGAAACCGAAGATACCACCATTGCTGACCTCGTTGTCGGTCTCCGTACTGGTCAAATCAAGACTGGTGCTCCTTGCCGTTCCGAACGTCTTGCCAAGTACAACCAACTTCTCCGTATTGAAGAAGAACTTGGTGACAACTGTATCTATGCTGGTGAAAACTTCCGCAAGGCTCACGAACTCTAAATTTCTTCTTGTAAATAATCATTAAATTTAAATTGCATCAATAAATTATTCGCATTTGTCATAAAGATTGATATATATCTGAAATAAAAAAAGGCCCTTTTTTTATTTTCAAAAATAACTTGCAGTTTATGGTTAAAGGAAAAAACGTTTTCGTTACAATGGGACCCTCTGTATATGGAAATTTTGTCATGAGAAATGTGTAAATGCTTCCGGGTCGCTCTCTTCGCTGTACTCTTATCTATTCATAAATAAAAAGGTTATTCAACACGGATACACCTTCACTAAGATCAGTACGCGATAGGATGAAGAACGCGTTGACTATTTGAAAGTGATTTGTATTTATTTAGCATAAAGAAGAAAATATAAAAAGAAAGCGAAAATTTACAAAGACATTCTTCAATGGAGGGGGGGGGGTGGGAGAGGAGAGTCGAAATGCACGGAACGCACAGGAAAAAGAATAATTACAAAACGAAAGATGGAAGTTCAAACCATTCAAAATGATGAATTTTGCAATTTCGGTAACGAAACAAGTATAACCGATCAGGGTAAACAAGCGCAGATTTTTCTTACAAATCAGATGGATGTAAGAACATACACTTATTGCCAAAAACACATTCGTCACCAGCACTGTACGGAAAAAGGGCAAAATCGGAAAATTAGCATGTGATAATACTCTTAAAAAAAAAAAAAAAAAAGAAAAGAGCGACCCACTTACCGGCATCGTTTATATGGATGTACGAACTTGCAGTTGTTATTGGTACAGAAAGGCCAGTGGCTACAGCGAGCTTTGGCTTTCGGAATATTATGTTGACGCTGCTGTTCAATCAATTGTTCACGGGGCAAGTGCTTCTTGAGCTGCTTTTTATGATGCTGATGTTGTTGTTTTCTGCTGTTGAGCACGGACTGAGGAATAAATTCAGGTGCAGTAGCTGTAAGTGTGCTATTCGACAGAATAGAGGATTTGCTACTGGCTAATTGGTCGTTTTCATCATCGCCTAAAAGTGTATTCGTACTGGCGCCAGGTGTGGCAAGTGTGGCAGGTGCGGCACTCACGGCTTCGTGTTCCGATGGTGGTGGGAAGGCACCAAAGAGGATGCTTGCATGCTCTTTTGCATTTGGCAGAGCATTATCAATGGATTCATTGGTCGGTAAAATATGGGGTAAAGAGCCGAGAGAAGAAGGCATATGACTGATATCTGATTTGATAGAATGATAAGAGTCCATTAAAGAGTCATTCCAGCTGAAATGTAGATTATGAATAGCAGTAGTAGGGATAGGTGCGGCTGTGGTTAGGGTATCGATAGGTGAGGCATCTTCTGTGCATTGCTTGGTGGTATTATGGTTATCAGGAGAAACATTGGTATTGAGTTCTTCTTCATGTTCAGGTGTACGAATGTCAGTATCGCCATTACTGCTGGTGGCTGCTGATAGACTATGGCTTGATAATTCATCATTAAAAAAGCCCAACTTCTCGGATGTGGCATGCATATCGGCAGCCTTGCCTGTTGTATCCACGTCAGCAACCGTTGTCGTCGCATCACTACGGTTTGTCTCGTCATCAGAATTATCTTCCGTTGGTTCCGTCAAGTGGAGCAACTCAAACTGTTCAGTAACTACATCAGCAGAGATTGAAGTATCCTCCTCCTCCTCCTCCTCCTCCTTCTCCTCCTCCTGCACATCCTCCACAGGACTGCTGGCAGTGATTTTATTGACATCCACGCCTGTATTCTTATTCACTGCAGATGCTTCATTTTCTGTGCTATCGGAAGAATCAACGGAACGTTCGAGCAAACATTCCTCAGCAAACACATAAGATTCTTCAACAGCGCTGGCAATTTCAGTAGCGATGGAAGCCTCCGATGGCTTTTCGACAGCCGTGTTGCAGATGTTTTCGTTGTTCTCTGAAGCTGCATCTACAGACATTTGCTTTGTAGCATCGACCGCCTCAACTGCTGCTGTAGGTGGTGGTACATGAGGTACATCTTTCTCTTGTGACTGTCTAGCTGCAGGCTGTACATTGTATTCCTTGTCCTTGGAAATAAACTTATCTGCTTTGACAGATTTACGACCTGTTTGATCTATCCACCGTTTTCATGAAAAGGATCGTTGAAAATGCGCGTCAGACCCATCATCCTTTCTTTTGTCATTTTTTCCCCCATCTGAAACACCGATAGACTCCTCCTGTTTGCTATCGTAAAAATGTACTTTGATCATCTTACCTTGACTATGCTTGGTCGTCCATTTCCATAGCGAGTAAGCCGTATACACGAGAGCGACACTTGCACCAAGTGTAAAAACATGTTTAGGTGATCGGATATAAGCGTTTAGAGTGGTCATTTGTTTTTTTCTTAATGATTACTGAAGATCAGTAGAAGGCGATTGTTATATAAAGAGCAAAGTGAGAAAAAAAAAAATAACTCTTAAGAAATTTCTTCTGTCACAATTTAGATAATGTGCAAATGTTTTAGTTAACTGCTGTTATGGAAATGTTATTCAAATATGTTGTAAAATAAGCTAAAATTATCAATCCCAAAAGTAATTTAATAGAAGAAAGGAAGAAAAAAAAAAAAAAAAAAAAAAAAATGGGCTTCAATAACAAACGTTCATAATAAAAATATAAAAGTCAAAGCTAAATTTTTCTGTATTTTGCGGGGGGTCTAAAATTTTTTGGTATTTTTTTTTTATTTTTTTTATCGCTGCTGTAAAGTAGAAGGTGGGTATGAGTATCCTTGAACCACTTTTTTGCTCAAAAGGCTTATTTTAGGTCTACGGCTGTGTAACTTATTGCTGTCTTGGACGAACGGCAGTAATAAAAAAAAAGGCAGACTCCCTAAAACTCTATTCTTTCATCCACAGCTTTGTGTACAGTGTTTATTAAATTTGTAAAATCAAAGCCACCTTCAAAGTCTAACAATCCTTCCAAGTTACAATCCTGTTGCATAAGCTGTTGCTATCACTGGTTGATTGTATGCATTTTGTCAAATGGTATGAGCAAAAGTATGAGAGTATTTTGAAGGGCAAAATACTAGTTTTCATGTCGTTTAATGAGTATGCGAGGTTTCCTTTCCATCTGTACAGAACTCTCCTGCTTTTCAGATAAAAAAGGAGGTAGTCAAGAGAGCGAGCGGGAGAATAGAATTTTACAGTATTCAAAAAATTGTAAGGAGTTTTATAGCAATGAAAGGACCGGCAAGGGTTTCTTTGTCCATGATTGTTCAACTTGCAAATAATTGATTTTCAAATGCTTTATATCATTATGAATAACTTATTAAAATAAAAGTGCATTGATTGAGCAGAGTTGCCTGAAAATCTACCATCATACTAGTAAACCCCATCTTAATTATCCTGTTAATTTTGTAGCTAGGATTTCTAAGCGGAGTGACCTCTGCTTTATACCCATCTATTCGCGAGTGAAAGTCTCTTTCAATGAGAATGCTGTGTTGAGCAATAAATTATAGTAAGGCATCCTTGAAAGGAGGAATCTCATGAGACGGGATAGCCGATGAAAATAGATAAGCTCATTTAAAAAAAGAAGCAGTGTATCTCGAATATACATCGCTTTAGATAGATTACAGGCAAACTGTCAACATAAGCTTTATTTCCAACCGTGTCAATCAGGATACATTCTACATCTAGTCATTCATTGTTCACTTTTGAGTTGAATGATATGAGGACTTAATTTATACAGACGCAATACATCTACAGGGAGATTTTTTGCGCCTGCCACTTTTCCTACACACTATGTTTATTCCACAATGAATGACTGTGAGAATAAATACTTTTCTCATGTTCAGAATAAACTTTATACCTTCTCTGCACCGCACCAGCAGTCGAATGGTTGTGCTGATGCGCGGAAAAAGCCCCAATAGCGAAAAATAATAAAGAAATGGGTATAGAGAAAGCGAGTTAGTTTATCATCATAAGAACAAAATGGATGTTTGTCAACTCTTTGATATGTACACATTTCCCATTCAGTCGAAGGATAGAAGAAAGTCAGGTCATCTCCTTTTTTTATATCTTTGAGAGCAACAAGTGCCTTGTCTGTGACGTCGAGATAAGTAGTAGGGTCGCAAGAATGGTTCAAATAAACCAAATCACTGTTAAGTTCAACATGTGTCGTTGGCGAAAATTGCACGGAGGTATATGTCTTTGCAACACCCGGTGTTACGCCTGTCAATTGAACAATAACTTCACCATTCTTGAAGTCTTTTTCGGCGACTAATCTGGATGTATATGATTTTGTTTCTTGATTGTCATGGATCGCTTTAAAGAGGTCAGGGTGTGAGCTTTTTTGTCCTTGTTGAAATGACATAAACGAAACAAGGTGAATAGAGAAGAAGAGGGAGAAGAAATTCAGCCTTGAACAAAAAGCAAACCTGTTGGGAATGTCACCAGATACATATTACAGGTCACACAGCTTTTGAAGAAGTACGTAAGCTATAACACTCAAGATATAAAACTTCGGCTGTTTGATAAGTAAGTCAGCTCTAGGAACCACAAAGGCGCACTCGCCATAACAACGAATGCTTCTATCCATCCTGTTTTGTGTTTTGCACTACACTTAGATTTCCAAATTGAAAAACTTAAAACAATAGCGATGTTGTCGTCACTGTAAGAATAACCTTAACACATTTTACTTGCTATGCAGCTATTTTCTGAAATTGTTCTTTGATTGTTCTGCAAGAGATGCTTTCAATTTTATGTATCCCTACCTTTTATTCCAGCGATTTTTTCATAGACAACGGATGAAGATGTGATCCAAAAGCTTGAACCAAGCTTATGATGGCCAATTGTAATTGTAACTACATAGTTCGAAAAATCCAATCAAAGGTATCAGGTTTGTTGTATGTAAACTCTCTGATATAACTCGCACATTGGCGTTCAATCGTTCGCCTTTTAAAGATGTTTATGCAAAATTATGGCACTGAATTACGTAATAGAATCTTCTCGTGAAAGAGAATAGTTTAGTTTAGCTTTCAAAGATGAGTTATCGCTAAGGAATTGTTCAAATTTACTCACTCGACTGATGAACGTGCGAAATCAGATCTGTATGAGGTCATGTCAGTCATGGGTTCCTTTGATAAACAATTCTTCAGCTGACTGAATAAGTCTTCTGATTGAAAACAGTTCTAAAAACATTGCGGAAATCGAAAAAGGCGCAAAAAGAAGCAATTAGGTAATGATTTAAACCACAATGACGGCTGAATAGCTGTATCATACAAAACACTTGTTCATCTAACGCTTGTGTAGTATATGGCTCTAAAATAACTATAATATTAATTACTTACACTAATTTGCCAAAGAATTGTGTTACCTACTATTACGCTCTTAACAACAAAATATCTGTTCAGCTTAATCAAATCATGACTACGATACTTATTTCCACATAGCAGGGTTTGTTGCTATGGTACGCACAAAATATGATCAAATACAGTGTTGTACTACTGCAATTGACATGTGAAAACAAGATGTCAGAGATTAAAAAACAAGGTCAACCTTTTCGTTATCCTTTTTTCAATTTATTATTGCCCTAATTTCATCTTTCAATTTCCTTACTGCTGTGGTTTCCAACTGGCTAATAATGCAACTACAACAAAATCTACATATAAACAATAAAAACCTGCAATGGTGGCTCTCGCTGCTTCACCTATTAAAATCAATGGGCTATCCTTCCTTTTTTACAACAATGATAAGCTTTCTTATTCACTATTACAAACGTTATGATCGCATGATAAAACGAAGCATAGCAAATGGTCCAACAACCAAACTAATGAATCCCTCAGCTTCTGCTACAAAAGTAAAGATTTCTTATAGCTCATAGGCAAACAGAGAGATTCATTGACATCCATTTCCCTTTGTAGCTAATACATAGACGAGCAACAACAAGCTCTCCACTGAATATCCTTGGTCACAGATTCCTGGATGCCTTCAGATTAAAAAAGAAAATTGTTATCTCTATGAAAAACGTAGGTCATAAGTACAAAATGTTATAAATGACAACGCGCCACTGATACATTTTTTTTTTTGCTCTCTAGACTCTTTTATGGAACCCATCATCAGATATTAATGCGCCCAACTACGCTTTTAAGGAAAACGCTATCAATCTGATACAAAAACTAAGCACATCACACCACTTATACTTGCTCATGCATTACAATTCTACTGAAGAATATGCTCAAATACAACATATTTTCGATAACAATGCTACTATTAATTGCGCTGTGCAGAAAGACAATATCCTATTTTGCGCGTCAGTTGCCGACAAATTGAACTTTTTAGACCGCATCCGGCCAGATATATACGTGGAAGGCGACACAGGACATAAAGATGGGTCGGAAACAATATGGATTTTACTTCAAGAGAATCATATTGACGTAGTACCGAAGGTGATATGGATTGACGGCTCGTTCGCAGCGCGTCCTCTGAATTTTATGGATCAAGCTACCAAATTACAAAATGACAGATTAGAATATGCAGAAAGTGTCTTTCAATCGTCGATCGCTTCCTTGACCAAGTAATACCTAATATCATGTCAACATCATCAATTATATGAAATATGCTTTCTACCACATGCGCTTTATGACAATGAATTGACGTAGAGCTCCGTCATAGCTGCATCAATTGTATATGTCCACAAAGTTCAAATTCACACAGAATATTTTACGCAAACCATTAAGCTAGTATTATGAACCTAATTGAGCGAATAACTGAAATACTTTAACCTAATTCATGAATAAAAAGTTACTTTTACAACTCGAAAGCTAGCCTCTCAAAATTTGCCTATAAACAGGAAAGGAATGTTTATAATAATCTGTAAAACGTAGCACCTAAATACAAGTTCAAGCTTAATACTTTAACCAGCAATGCAAATGTCGAAGAAACACAACAAGAACAACGTTTAATTCCTCAAACTGATATTCTGGAAATAAACGACTTGTTGGCTTCTATTGGAGCTTATCAGCAAAAACCCACAGATGTTAAGCATTGAACAAATCGCTACTGCACAACAGTATATTAATGGACTTATTGAGCTCTTGCAAACATAGGACAGTACTTGTCCAAAAATGTTGAAAATTTCTATAAAATAGAAAAGAAATAATAATAAAAAAAGGGGTTATTTTTGAAATGGCTTACGAACGGTGGTAGAGAACTTGAGAGACTGAAGACAACGATCGCGGCGCAGTTCTACAGCTTTATTGTTACGATCAGCAGGAGAAAGGGACATATACTTGAAGTCAGCAATGTATTGCCTGTCAGTAGGATTTAAGTCACCAGGAAGGGCTCAACATTGGCCTTAGCCAAAATGTGTACTAATTCTTATAAATATTGAACGTTAACTAAAAAGCCCTACAACATTATGCGTAGGGAACATGATATAGAGTATGCGGCTGGGTTCGCTTCTATTTCACGACGGTTCTAACAGCATTCTATATCAGTAAGGCGATGGGAGCGGTGGAGGTAGATATAGTCAAACTCCTGAGGGCAGTAAACGTAGAATGGAAGCTGCGCGAGAAGGCTTTTACCTTCTTTGGAGTGAGTTGACGCGTGTAATAACAAAGTGATATACATAAACTAAAAGAACTGCCGTAAAATAGGCGCCAAAACCCTGTGAAGGATGTATATGATCAAAGAGCAAATCTGCATCGGCAAAAACAGCAATAGATGACCTTTCATATTGTTTTTCGTAAGGAGAATGGTCCATTTGCTTTAACAGCAAATCCCAAATGCTCCAGTGAATTACCAAACTATCAATATGTGGAAAGGCAAATGTTAGAGCAGAAACATCGTCTGCAGTAAGTTGAATGTGCTTTAATTCCAATTGGCGAACATGATAACGGGACGTTTGATGTCTGAAAATGTTTCAATATTGTATGTAGCCTTTTTACTGTATCTATTATGATTGACTGATAGGGAAAGGCATGAAAATAATGATACCAGGCTTTGAAGACCTGCATGACTTGTAACACGTCTTGCTTGGTCGTGTAGAAACGATCAATTCCATTATTTCAACAGGCAAATCATGAATATTAAATGTAGCATTTCATTTCTCCACATTTTTAACCTTTCATAAAGTTGCATAATTGTTTTCTGTCAAGGGGCAGGGCTCATTTGATTAGTTGCAGATGAGTAATAGATATTTAACACAGTTTTCATTGACAAGTGTGATATCACGCTACCAATCTTTTTGTTTTCTGTATAGAAAGCGACATTTCTTGTCATAATTTGTCCCTATCAAATTTAACATTTACCGAATCCGTGCATTCGAGCAGTTCCTTTTTTTTTAAAAATTTGTAATTGTGGAGTAACAGAATTTTCTGTTTGAACATACAGAGAAGTAGGTTTTTAAATATAAAGGCGGCCTCTGAAAAGTTTCCATGGGCGGTTTTCATTTTCTCAAAGGCGGCTTTAAATGACCACATAGTTTTTTTTGAGGATGGACAAGGAAGAATTGTTGACGAAGGAGGCCGCGATGCAATGGATCGGGAGAAACGCTAACGCATCTTAGAATTTACTGCAAAAAGCAAGGTTCAGAGCAAAAGTCAACTGACAAAGGCTTAGATGTTGAATAGGAAGAAATTGCAGTTAGAACAAAGCAGCAAATTGAGCCATATAAAGGCTACTACAATAAACAAAAACTGCTCTTTGTCTATTTGATACGGTAAAATTGTTCAATACTGCTAAGTCTGGTAGTCGAAAGGCATTTGAATATATCTTCAGACTCACTTCAGATGGTTATACAAAAAAAGACATAAAATAGCTAGGTTATAGCAAGGGCTTAATATTAATATCTAGCCAGGACATAACAGCTTTAATGAAAAAAGCACTGCTTAGAAAAATAAAATGTTTAAACGGAAGACTTTCCGACAAAGGTGTCGTATTTGAGGCATGATGGCAATATAGCATATGAGTAATTCACTCAAAACGTCTAACGAATTGTAAAATAAAACTTGATCTCAGATATGAGTACTGCTCATATCTTCGTTCCCGTTTGGTAAGCGATGTGTTCAATTGCATACATTTGAACCTTCGATCAAATGTATAACAAATAAAGATAAAATAAGAAAAGAATATGGATTAAGGATAATTCTTATGTGAGATTAGCTACCTCACATAAGATCTGAACGGGGAGAAGTAACTTTTTCAGCAGTATTAAGTTCGACTGCTCTCCTCTTTCAATCGTCAATTATTCTTGCCAAGTTTTCCATCAACGCCTTTCCCATTAATGTGACCTCCAACATAGGAAGGAAATCCATTCTAATGTTTTCTGGCTTAGACGGGAAAGAAAGCTTCTTGGTACGGGTGATTCTGGTGACGGTCTTACCAGCAGGAACATTCAGTACCAAGAACTCGAGATTCAGACCTTATAAAGAAAATAGAAACACGTCAATAAAAGAGCATGATAAAATAATCGTATCATGTGTGCTACTTACCCATCATTAAGAAACCGATTGTATACAGTTGGTTAATTTTGTAAGGGTTGGCCTGGACAAGAACGCACAGCATATCTCTTATTGTCCTTGGTAACTTTACCATACCATTATCAAGGTATTTATCATCGATTACCAACACATCCTGCTTACCGACTTCGGCACACCCGATTTCATTAGTGAATTTTGTAAAGAGGATATCCACCTTTGCACCTACTACTTTCCTCTCTCTTCTTTGTATGAACTCCAGAGATCTACCTTCGTTTTTGCCTAGAGCAGAAGAGACACTCATACGCTCACCCAGCTGGGCTTTTACCTCGCCTTTCTTGAAAACTCGATATACAAATGTCCAAAGAGTATGGAGCAAATCACTCTCGGAAAAATCATTTGTATTCAACAGTTCACGTTCTTCAAATAAACCAGCGGCATTCATAATGGATTCTTAATCAGTTGTGGTTGTGTGAGGTCTGGGGGTCAACCATTGTAATAAGGCGAAACCTAGTGGGGGGACTGGTGGGGTGGATCAATTCCATGATGCAAATGGTTAAGTTCATAGAGAAGATGACAAATGGCCAAATAACCTGGCGGTCTACAGTATCGTATGCCGATTTTATATCCAAGAAAGCAAGCACTGTGGAAGTGTCATAGTGTCGTCGCAGAATGTGCAATATTTCAGCTATGCAAAGGGCTTGATCCAAGGAGCTTCGAGCCAATCGAAAATCCCCTTGAGCTAGATCGATGGGTGGGCCAGATTTTAAGACAATATCTTTCAAATAGTGCTTGAGTATCTTACGGAAGGTAGAGGTGAGGCTAATTGGGCGATAATTGACTGGATCAAGCGGATTTCCTTTTTGGTATATAGGGAGGGTTTGTGCTATTCGTCAATTGATTGGTGTATACGTTTATTGCCAGGCGAGTTGGAATAAGTAAAGGAGATTTGATGCTAAACGGTCAACGATAGGGCGAAGCATCTCAATATGAATATCATCAGGTCCTGGGGCTTTCTTCGTGGGTAATGTAAAGATGGCATCCTTGATAACTTCAGTATCAATGAGAAAAGGGAGTGTATCGTGGGGTGGCGGGAATGTTGAGGACAGGCAAGGGTGGCTGTTGTCGGGTTTGCTGTGGTAGGAATCGGCCAGAAATGGTAGACTGCATGTGGGAGGCCATAAGATTCGCAGCAGCTTGCGGACCTTCTACACAGGAAAATGAAGGTTTGAGCGGACGGGACTTTTTTATTTTGCTAAATCGTGCTATAGATTTTGTATACTCCTGAGAGCTCATCTGTGGGCAGAACTGTCGCCTTGTTGATTTTCTGTGTTGGTTCATCATGAGTCGTAGCTGGGCCTTTGTCTGCTGATGGAGAAGCCAATAATGTAGGGTATTGATGCCTGCCGCTTTACGCTATTTTTTGTAATAATATTGCTTTTTGTCAAACTTCGGGCGCATTGCCGGTGTCCAAAAATCCTCCATTGTTTGCTTCTTTGTTGATTTCTACATCCACATACTTTGTCCAAAGAATCATAGATGGCTTGACAGATTGCTATATTAAAGAGTTCTATATGATCAATGGCGTGGGCTCTATCCAAAAGGTGGTTAGTATCTTCAAGTCGGCTTGGCTGTGTTTCGCTGAAGCGCTGACGGTAGGATTCACTATGTTGTCATTCTCGAAGTTTTCCGAAGTTCCAAAGCCGTCGCTGTGGTGGCATAGTAGTTGGAATAGAAGTAGGGATCCCGAATTTGAATGTCATAAATTTATGGTTTGAGTTGAGTGATAGATCATCCCGAATGTTGAGGGACGTGGAGCTGAATTCAGTATCACTAAAGAAGTAATCAATAATACTCGTACTGTGATAGTCAAGGAGGTAGGTTGGCCGTAACATAGTCACGCGTTCCAATTTGTTGTCGAATTTGAATCCAGTCATAAAGCAGTTTACCCATTCGGGCATTAAAGTCGCCGCTTACAATGGTACTTGTGCTTTCTGGCAGCGATGGTGAGATTTGTTCTAAGAGGGTTGTTATATCTGGGGTTGAGATAGATGGGGGAGATAAATACAGTGTATAAGGATCTTATGAATAGTGAAGGGAAGTGTATACTTTGCTAGCAGTGGGTGATCACGTTGTAGGTGATGTACTGGTTAGAATTATTGGGGATTTATCAACAGAGCAATATTGTTCTTGCCACGGTATGTATTCTCCACTGTTTCACCATGAGTGTGATATTGTTGCCAATGTGTTGGGTATCGGTTAGGGCTTAATAGCCAAGTTTCTGTGATTAATAAAAATGTAAATTTTCAGCTATATTCTATGCTGTTTACGTTTAAACGAGGATTTTTATTACTGACATTTTTAAGCCCAATGGACATGAGATATTACAGCTTATCTACATTGCCCGGGGCAGCTCGATTTTTCACCGTCTGCTTTAGTATCCATTCGGCAATATGGGCATCATTCTTTCCAATGATATTGTATGCCATTCCGTTTGACCACCCCCCCCATCCGTCTTAGTAAAGCTCACAATGTTATTGCATTGAGCCTGTCTTCTTCGCAGCTCTTGCGGGAGGCGGCTGCCTTAGATTAATTATCCATCACAGAAATTGTCTTTTTTCTTAGTCATCATGTTTTTGGCGGCCATTTGGTCACGATTCCAAAAAAATATTGCAGTTGTTGCAAATTAATATTTGATGAATCGTGCGGCCTACTTCAGTTGTAAAATACGCAAATCGGCTTGTCTGCAACTGCTACATGTCTAAAAAGAGCGAAAAAGCTAGTAGATGAAGTAGAAAGAGGTTCAATCTTGTGATAATTTATCCGAGAGGTACGGGACTGGTCTATCATCAAGAGACATAATCACCCTTGCTTTTCTTTCGATTTCAAATGCTTCAGAACTTTGTTTGCATACCATGACGCAGACCACTAAACTTTATGCTATCTTTGTTGATGAGTTCATTACCGAATACTATTAGAGGCATTTTAGTTTTAACACCATTGCTAAAAATACTTCTATGCTCCTTTCTGTGAATAATATACATATTGGATTTTCTAATAATGAAAAGCTTCTGAAAGCAGGATTTCGTCCTTTTATTTCAACTGAATTATGGTACATAAAATTTACAAAATAGGATGAGAGGAGGAATGATATAGTGGTTTTAACATTTTTAACGTTTAGATATCAAATAATAATGGTCTAGGTGGAGGGATATTATTCTTCATAGATTTGAGTAACAATTTGAATAAACCTGTACCGATTGACATAGGTATACCCTAATGAAGGAGAAGAAAAAAGGTCTCTATGTTAATCCTATAACGAGCAAGATTTTTTACCGTGTTTTACTGCTTACCATAATAATTTGCTCAGAAACACCAACAATGCCATCTTTCTTCGAGTACAAAGCTGCTTCAAACAGATGATCCGTGGTCTTTTCAAAGGACGCGATACTGAGAACACTATCCTTCATCTTTGAAATACCGAAACGTGTGATACCCAGCACTTCACCTTTACTTGTCATAATATCACCAAGCAAGAAAACATGACGATGATCGATAGTCATACCGTGAGACTCCATGGTCATTTGAATTTCATTAATAATAGTATTTCTATGAAAAACAATTTTGAGAATTACGCGTATATTAGCGTTGAGCTTTTTTTTTTGCCGAATTGGATATGGCATTTGTTATCCTGTTTTCTTACCTTGCAGCTTCAATACCAAGCACTTCAGCAACCTCCATAATGTGATTTGATGTAGTTTCTTGGCCAATAATACCATCTGTAGTCATAACTTCCAGTAAACCATAACCTTCGACCAGCAACTGTTTAGCGCCTTTACCGCCTTCTTTTTCACTGATAACAGCACGGACAACCGAAGGCAAGCCTGTAATAACGATCGTAGACAAGACACGTTTCAATGCCTTTAGACTATAATACATAGATTCATCTTGTTTAGGATGAACATAAACACGGATGATATCTGGTCTACTAGTTTGTACATCCTATTCAACAACAAAATAAAGAGTAAGTCTCCATTGCTCAATTTCGCATCGAGGAAATTGACTGAATTATTGTACGTACCAGTTGACCCATCTTTAACTTGGGTGCTGTCTTAATTGCATGTGCAATCTGGTGAAGGTTGGTTTCCAATTGAAGACGGTTGATAGCATCTAAATCAATACGCAAAAGAATGTAGGTTTCATTGGGTTCATACACTTCATCCATATACATGGCAATATCTCCGAGAGTCGTCTTTTCAACACGACCCTTGACCACACGAGCAGCTCTCACATCCTTATTCGAGTGAAGCTCACATTTAATAATAGGTGTAGAGATGGCCTTTGCAGCGTTAATAATTTCTTTGATACGAGGTACACCAAGAGTAATATTCATACTAGCAACACCAGCAAAATGGAAAGTTTTCAAGGTCATTTGAGTACCAGGTTCACCAATAGATTGAGCACCAATAGCACCCACAGCTGTACCGGGTTCGATCTTAGCTCTGAGATATTTGGTTAAACAGGTATTTAGATATTCACGTAATTGATGCTCTGTGATAACAAAAAGATTGCGGACCACAGAAAGCACAGCCTCATCTTCATCTTCGTCAATGTCCATATCCATAAAATCTTCGTCTGGAATAGCTAAACCAGCTTGAAGACCATGCTTCTTTCGAATGCCAGCCAATTTACCAGCAATCTTCTCTTCAACAAATTTGCGAACCATTTCAATGAAGGAGGGCATACAATTCTTTTTCCAAATATCTTTTTCGATTTCTTTTTCAGTAATATACATGATTTCCCAAGGTAAAAGTCCCTTTTCTTGATTGGGAGGAACAGTTTCTTTGACATGACGTAAGTTACGAGCGAACTCTACAGGAATACCTTCACCTTCGATAGTCATAGGATCTAGACCATCCGCACCGTAACAGAATTGGACCATAGCACCTTCAGAGTTACGGACAGACAAATCATAATGAGTGACTAAATCTTCAAAGGCCTTCATCAAACGTCTCGCCATATAACCAGTTTCAGCAGTTTTGACAGCAGTATCGACAAGACCTTCACGACCTGAGATAGCGTGGAACAAGAATTCCGTGGGACTAAGACCAGTATAGAAACTGTTTCTAACGAAACCCTTCGCTGGTGGGCTCTTGGAATGCTTCAAAAAGTGAGGCAGAGAACGATCTTGGAAACCATCTGGAATACGTTTACCACTAATAATTTGCTGACCGACACAAGCAACCATTTGAGACACGTTAATTTGCGAACCTTTAGAACCACACCGGGCCATGATACTGGGAGAGTTGTACATGTTGAGTTCCTCCATACAGACTTTACCCAAATCACCACGAACGTTAGACAAAATACCAGATACAATCGATTCCATAGTTTGTTCTTCATCGCAACCTGCCATCGTCTCTAATTGACCTGAATTATATTGAGCAATAACATCGTCACATTTAGCGTAGGCGGTTTTAACTTCTTCATTTTTGATACGGCTGAGTCGTTCACCAGGCGTAACATCACTGATACCAATAGAGAACCCACGGTTGGCCAACCAACGAGCACAAAGCTTTGCCAAACGGTTCATGCATTTAGCGGCTTCGATAGGTCCATAATCACGCAAAATAACATAAAATACAGAGTTCTTATTACCATCACCAACAATAGCCTTGTCAACAAGACCGCACATAATTTGACTGTTTTGTACAACCAACCAACCATCATTGGGACACATGTCAGGAAGACGTCCATCCTGCTTGACAAATGATTTCGTCTTGGCTTCCACATTGAGTAAAACATTACACTCCTTGTTAGGTCTGAATAGAAGGTTGAAAATCTGTTTACCAGTCCATAAACGTTGAGGTTTCCAGATCACAGGTGGAGGAAGATCAAATTTGATTTCGCCGTCACTCATCATAGCACAACACTGAGCAAATTCACCACGGGTATAAAATGTATCTTTATGAGACAATAAATAGGATGCTGTAATGAAATCTTGAGTGGCTGCAATAAGTGGTTCACCATTACGAGGAGTAACTAAATTATTTTTAACCTAATGAACCAGTGATAAGAAATCATCAGCTTTTTTTTTCTTTCCCCCTCATCAAACATCTCTTTCTTTGCTTTTGATAAATAGACAACTTACGCCCATCAATTCAATAGCTTCGGCTTTGGCTTCTTGGGTTTGAGGCAAATGCATATTCATTTCATCACCATCAAAATCTGCATTATAAGGCGAGCACACACATTCATTAAAACGGAAAGTTCTCCAAGGCATGACTTTGGCAAAGTGAGCCATAATAGATAATCTATGGAGTGAAGGCTGACGATTGAAAAGAACCACATCATTATCGGATAAATGACGTTCTACAATATCACCGATCTCTAGCTCAGCTGCGATCTCCTCTCTTTTACCAAATTTCAAGAAACGTTTGAAGCCGTTTGCTTTTTCAACGTAGTTAGCACCTGGATGCACAGAAGGGCCGTTGATAACATTTTGTCGCAATTTATGAATATTATGCTGATTGACGCGTTCAGGGAAAGTCAAAACTTTTGCGACACGTTCAGGTACTGCAACTTGATCGATACGCATATTGGGATCGGGTGAAATAACAGTACGTCCCGAGAAATCAACACGTTTACCGGACAAGTTACCTCTGAAACGGCCTTGCTTACCCTTCAAACGTTGACATAAACCTCTACTAGGTTTGCCAGAGGTGGCATTAGGTACACCCGGTAATTCACTGTTGATATATAAAGCGGCTGCTAACTGTAGGAATTCCCATTGTTCCATCAAATTCGTTACTGTAACACCTCTCTCAATACCAGCACGAATAATGGCATTGGTGAAAACAATTTCTGTCAATTTAGCTGTCAAATCATCTTCGTTACTGCTATTATCATCTTGAAGCACAGATGGACGAATACATGCTGGTGGTACTGGTAAAAATCTCCAAATATACCATTCAGGTCGACCATGTTCTTCACTCAGACCCAATAACTCACAGTCCTCAGGTGAAATACGTTCAAACAATCTTCGTACTCTTTCTGGATTCATATCGTCTTGTGCTTTACTGATATGAGGTTTGATTTCTGGCATGGTTGCTGCTGCTGCTTCAAATGACTTTCTAAATTGTTCTGCTTCTGCATCCACTCTCTTCAAACGATATTTGTCGTGTGTAATCTTCATTGGGCCCACCTTTTTGACGACACCGTTGACGGCATTGCAGTGCATACAGTAGGTAACTTTTTTACATTTATCTTGCACTTGTTTGAGAATTCTGTTTCGCTGTAAATTATCAAGGCCGGGCATCCTTAATCGACGTAAATACATTCTGCGATCAGCTTCATCCAACATAACATGAGCACATTCCTTGAGTTAAAAAAAAAAAAAAAAGTTAGCAATAGATTCATAGCTTCTGTTTCAAGCATCTCTTGTCCATATCAACCGCAGTAGATCGATCGTTTTGAACGTGTTTTCTCCTTACCTTGCAAATTTGCTGCAAAATATTAATCACTGCTCTGAAATAACCGATATGGAAAATAGGAAGGACAAGTTTGATATAACCCCAATGACCAGCACATTCCTGCATCTTTTGTCCACAAGTCTCACAGAAAGCGTCTTTTTGTGTTGTACCCTATTGATAAGGATTGTCAATAAACGACGCCACGATTGAGCGGTTGCTGTTTCAATTGCTTGATTTGCACTATAATGTAGGGATAGTTACCAAACGTAAATCCAGGACACCACTTTTAATAGGTGTACGACTTTCTGGCATGTAGAGATCTCTTTGTGTAATTTCCAGCTCTGCAATTTTCACCATGCTTTGTGGCGAAAGTACACCGAACTGGATGTAGCGACTATTGTTTTGAATCAGCAAAGTTTGATGGTAAGACCATATTGTTATAGTATAGCTTTAGCTGTTCTAAACTATTCTTACATTTTTTTCGGTGTGTTGTCTATAACTTGTTCTTTCATTTCGACAGGTCTACACTTGAGAGCTTAAATCGTTATAGAAAAGTATGAAGCGGGAGAGAAAGAAAGAAGTAGAATAAGAAAGGAATATAGAAAAGGCTCAGAATAAAGAAGAAGATGCCTTTTCCCGAAATAAAGATCGATTGCTAATTAGTTTCCTCCCGTCCGATGGAAATCGATTGCCTTTCTAATTAGATGTAGTTTTTTAGCCTGAACGACCCAAGAAAGGGATCTCCTAACTTTTTTTTTTTTCGCTGCCGCCAAAAAAAAAAGAAAAAAAACTAGAAAAAAAATTACGCTGTGACTTAAGGCAAAAAAGCAGTCGAATGGCTCCAACTTCTTTTTGCCTCATCTCCCAAACCCTTCTTTTACCTTTTTATTTAGCGTAAAACGATATACTTTATCATTGAAATTGACATGTGTGGCAGGAGTTATATCGTCTTCATTATACCACATACGCTCAATAAAAGTAACATTATCATTATAATCAAGTAGTACAACTGTACTGGTTCGAGTCGCATAGGCTGAATTTTTTAGATTGAGGTTCTCTGGGAAGTTGAATAATGGAATGCATATACGTTCTTTGAGATCTCCATAAATGTGTTCAACATCTCCTGTATTAGTCATAGGTTTTGTTGTGCTGTAATCATTTATAAAGATTGTTGCCAATGTTACTAAGTATCTGTAGCATGAGATTTGGAAATGGGTCCTTCGTTTTACCTTAACAGTTGAAAAAGAGCCTTGATCATTTCGTCTTCGTTGTCACTCTGATGCTTGCTGATAACTTCCTCAAACAACTTTTTACCGTCCACAACTTTCGGCCAGGGGTTCGTCAATATCGAATTTGAAAGACCTGAGAAATCGAAACAAGATGGTAACTACTACTGTTTAGGTGTTAAACAAAGTAATACTATGTACCATATATTTCGCCTGGTTTCAAGTCATATATCGATTGATGCTCTCTATTCGATATATAAGCCATATCTGTAGTATCTTTCTTACTAAAGTCTAGATCGATCAGGTTGAAACCTCCAAATTGATTAAAGTAATCATCTTTCAATAAGCTTTCCATATGTTCATGCACCGTAAAATTTCCCCATAAAAAATCTCTCACAAGGATGCCTCTGGAGATATGACCTTTGAAACTCTTCTCTCTGTAGTTGGTGAGGGCAGAAAAACGACCGTCTTTTGTAATGCCAAGCCATGTACCATTCTTTATGGTTTGGTCTTCAGGGTTTACTTCAAGATCAGTGCCAGCCAAGACATTCCCATGAGGCTCATTCCAATAATGAGCTCTTGCAGTAGGTCTTTCTAAAAATTCGTCTCTATTACTTGCAAATATACTTTTTTTTTTATTTTTTTGGCCCACATAAAGGAATATTTTCATGCAGGAGTAATTAAAATCAACAAGAACCTGCTTCAACATCTAATTATTTTGCAACTTACAAACGGTATTTAGGATGGTTATCGACAGTCCAGAATAAGATGCACATATTTTTTCACAAAACAAGTGGAAAAGCGTACGGACATTTGGTGTCACATTGAATAGGCTTTTTCAACACGAACACCATAATTTGGGGCTGCATAATCTAAGATTCTTTCTCGAACTTTTTGACTTTCTATTGTGTATTGAAAACGTCCGTTCAAATCGGGCAGCTATTTACAGAAAAAAAAAAAAAATGCCAAGCATCAATGTTCATTGTTTGTATCTGTGGATCCTCTGAATTTTGGTTTCCTTGGAAGCCTTCGGGTTCGTCTGATAAGCATGTTTGGTGAAAGATCGGCACTCAACCTCCAGTTAAAGTAAACAGCGTTCATTTGGAAAAGTCACAAGAGTTAGTGGAAAAGTGCATCAAAAAAAAAACCCCCCACCCAAATTGTTATATAGAATATCAATGGTTCAAGTAAACCGTATGAAAAAAGATGAATCTGATTTTTAAAAGGAATTATATTTCGGTTATATTTTGCAATTGAAATTAGCTAATTCTACACAAAAACTCAATACATCATCTCATCATCAAGCCTAAAAGTTGCCACAGATAGTCAGTTCTCGCATTTGCTGTAGCACATCGTCAACTCTCTGATCGGCTTCTGTGCTGCTCGGTGGAAAATAGTTTCTTAGCGACTCCAGTTGTTCGTAACTCACTTGACTGAATCTTAACTGTGATTTAACAAGTGCTTCGAAGCATGGATCAATATAAGGTACGCGTAACTCGACCACTTTCGGTAAATCGTTTACGATAATAGTATTCAAGTTTTCGTATAATTCACGAGCCACATTTGCTTCTTGCTCGGCCTGAATTGGCAAAAAATAAAGGAAAGTAACGACCGAGAGTTAATGTGGCCGAGCATTGTTATAGACATTCTGCTACGGTTACTTACTCTGGGTAATTTTTGTGGATCTTCGCTTGGTCTGTCCACCAACCTTCTCACTTTGGCTTTTGCTGAATCATAATCCAATAGTTTCTTCTGTCTGCGTTTAATGGCTTCATTGATTTCGGGAAAGTAGGAGCAGAATCTAGCCAAAGGCTCGATTACGGTATTACGATAGGCATTATCCTGAGGTCGATATATGAAAAAGTTCATCAATATGTATTTTGAACAACAACAGCCTTTCCTCTGTTGTCCTATCGGGTCTTGACTTACCAAATTGGTTCTGGTTTCTTCATCCAACCTCTCGATGGCTTTCTTATACTCGATACCAGACTGAGGCATCGGTGTACTTTCGTCATAGAAACTGTCCAGAATTGTACAAATACGTTTTTGAGCCTGAGTCATGGCTAATTGAAGTGAAAGGATGAGTAATTACGTATATGATTGTATGAGTTGAATGCTGTAGGCTTTCAGTAGACGTTACCTCGAAGGGAGTCAAGATATCCTTTTGCTTCTTTTGCTAGTTTTTCTGATTTTTTCTCAAGTCTGGAACGCAGGTAAAATAAAGTTAAATTCATCTCCACTCTGATATGTAAACGACACACACACAAATTAGCCAATGTCCTTACTGTCTGAAGCGTTCGTATTCTTCATCAAACTCGTTATCCACGGTTCTATCGTTGCCGCTTCGTCTAATCTATGAATCGGCGGAAGCTGTCAATATGGGATTGTACTACATAACAAATGCAGGAATATTTCATAGCTTACACTTTGACCAGCCCTATTGAGGTTTTTCTTGAATCCGTGCCTATATCAAACTTGATCATAAGTCCATAATTGTCTGTTATTGAATGTCAACACTGTAGTCACTCACAAAAAACTCATTGCTTGTCAATGGTGTGAATGAACTAGAGATGTCAAAGAGGAAAACAAAACAGGCGTGCAAACCAAAAAACAAAAAAAAATCCAACAAAATTGAGCTCATAGCGGTGCTAAATCCATAAGAGCTTTTCATTAACCGACGTTTCATTGGGAAGTCTGTGCGAGCGGCCTCCTTCCCCTTTTCATTCGGAAAGGGAAGATGAAAAGGAAAAAGGAAAAATAGAGGTTACTCTATGCAGCTATCCTGCTTTACGTTTGACAGAACAAGCTACTCTGCTGCTTAACATTCTCACGATAAAGCACAGACGAATGCTATTTTCTTGACCTAAAGAAAAGTGAAAGCTATGCCAAGCATTCATTGGGCTATATGCTTTAAAAGGAATATATGAGTTATCATCATAGCAGCTTATTGCTGAAGTGCCTTGGAAATTAAGCTTCAGCACTGAGAGTGTACTATGGAGATTTTTCGTTCCATTCAGTGTATGGGGGAGCCAATAAAAATGTCAGTCCGAGTCTCTCTCTCAAAGGTATATTTCTTTTTCAGACTTGGCTAGTTGACATTTTTCTTCCTTTTCTTTCTTTGTCCTTATTCCTTTCTCCTTCAGAATAAAAATACAAATACCTTTCTAAGTTCTGAAGAAAGAATGAGTATACCAGTCAAAGGTAAATAGATGGGAAATGAACCAGTCTATAGCCTTATTTGGTATCATGAAGACTCAACGAGGCAATGTTAATTTTTTTTTTCTTATCAGAAACACCCATTTTAGAGAACCTCATCATTATTCGACATAGACTATACGCTCTGAAAAAAGATAGAGATGCCTATCCTGATGCAGACCTAATAGTATCTCTATACAAGCAAACGGAGGAACAAGTAGAAGCATTGAACAATGTGCGAACAGGGGATATCTGGAATAAATCGTGTCGAAACAAGCTGAACGATGTTTTGGATGATATAATGGCATTATTGTCCTTATTTTTTATGAGCATTGGAAGGAATAGAGAAAGTATGTCTTTCAACTATTTGTGTGATTCTATTGTGCGTCTGCATGCATTTTTGTATAAATATATTGATGAGTCATTTCCTAAACCGTGCAAACAGGTCCTGCTGTGTATGTCCAGTTGATAACAGCCGAGGTATGTGTTGGTTCAACGTACGGGTACTTGTGATGACATTTTGATGGATGATTTTGTCTGAAACCAAAAGATAAATTGCCCAACGAACAAAGCGATATTTAGAGCAATTAGCACTTATGGGAACCTATACGGACGCTGTCTTGTTGAAGAATCAGGAAAAGTTGAAAGATATCGAAAATATTCTTTATTCTGATTCGAGCGATTCAACGTTCGTTAAAGTCCTGAAGCATAAATTGGAAAGTTGCGGTAAATACCACCATGGATGGGGTTGCTCATTGCCTTCCTTTCTTCGTGTCGATCACTTATGAAGGAAACCACTCTATCTTTATAGAAAGCTCGTTGTCCACACTTCTCGCGAATGTTCAAGACGTTTCAGAACAATTGTAATTGTAACAAATGGGTGAATGCTGATATAGCCCACTCAAGAATGTATTGCTAAACTCTTTTGTGCTCTCTCTTTCATGAATTGTTCTGATGGTAGGCAACCCATACAAAATGAGTTGGTCAGCCTTAGAAGGAAATTAGCATCCTTAGCACAAAAACCGAAAGGATATACGGCAGCAGAAGTGGATGATGTCTTGGGACAGGTGAGCCATTGGCAGAAAACTAGATCTATTGCCTTGAAGAAATTGTTATTAAGAGCGATTCCATTACTTACAGGTCAGAGAGCTGGACAATTCAAAACTTGAGCTTCTTCGAGCAGACGATATAAAAGGAAAAGAATTGATTGAAGGGTTATTAGAACAAATATATGAAGAGATAGAGGACATGAAAGCTGCAATAAATAATGTGGCGGAGCCACTAGTGCCTATTGTCGAACGATTGAAGCAAATACGATCACAGCTGGACAAATTAGCTTTGACGCACAGATGGACTTTGAGAGAAACTGATTTGTATGCGTATCTTGTAAGTTGAAAGAAAGGGTGGGGGATCAAGTCGACCAATAGACGAATATAGGATTCATTTACTTGATTTTTCTGAATACGTTCACATCTATTTCTTCACCTATAGTTACAACTTCAAGAAATAGAAAAACTTCGAAAGGATGGGAGTTTCAGAGATTCGCAGGCAGCAGACAATTCGATTCCGGAAGGTCAAGCTGTGATTAATTTCTTACTGCGAGGATGTTACCGTTTAATGGCAAAGATGTTGAGCGAAAATGTACCAGTAGCTGAGGCTTTGATGCCTGTTTATAACCAACTGAGCACTGTAAGGCGTTGCCTAATAGAAGTAACCAAGTGGGGCAAACCTGATTCAGGTAAAAGGATATAGAAATGCTTTAAGACTCTTATGAACCGTCGACTCTGACTTCGCTTATTTATTATTTTATCGATGGATGCTCCGCAGTACGTGATCTTTACCCGTAAGTGTTACTACAAGTCTCTTCTTAGAATGGTTTAGATACTTACTTGTATATTCTTTTAATAGTTACCAAATGAAGCTTGCCAGTATTGATAATATGCGAGTCAATGGTACTTTCTACGATGTGGAAGGCAATATACCCGAGGGACAAGCAATGTGCGTGGCATTATTGAACGAGTGTTACGACATGCTTCATGAACTTATTTCTCTCGCTGATGCCTAATACAACCAATAGTCAATGTTCGTATTTTATGTTTACAGTGAATAGTTTGGTAAGAGTTCCTTTGTCGACCTGTAAATCATATTTTGAGGCGTATTCATTGTATGATGAAATGCGTTATTGTATAAAATGATTCAGAGATCTTTCTCTGTCACTCAATGTATCATGGCTTTCCTCTCCCTCCTCATTTATCAGTATGATACATAAAAATACTATGTTAGCGATGCTTTATTCTCTTTCCTGTCTTTCGTTCATTATTTTTTATTGTTCATCACGCTGCAATGGTCCATATTCTGAAGAGAATTTCAGAGGTTCTTTGCTGTCGAAGGACAAACAATAACGATCATGTTGACCATTTCGAAGGCCCTCCTCCCACCGCTGAAAATATTCCCAACACTACTGCAGCGACGGTTGACAGCGGTCAAGTGGTCCCTCGTGATGATTTGTCTATCTCGCCTGCCGAAACTCAACAGCTCGAGCAGAATTTTGAAAATTTAAAAGTAAAGAAAGCTCTCGTTTGGAAGACCGTCGATTCTTTTAACGAAGATGCGTATTGGCATCCTGAAGCACTTTGGCACACCTAGACTGACAGTAATATCACCGATGAATTCAGACAAAATATAACCTCGATTGAAAGAAGACAAAGAGCAACTACCGTTGGCGTATGAGATAGCGTCTGTTTAGTTTTTCATGTCATGCAATGATGGCTTTATATAATATATGCTTTTGCATTAAAGTGATCATTTAATATCAAACCATTTCAGTATCATTGATTTAGATTGTTGAATTTGGAGGGAAAAAGGTAGACAATGGGCAGAGGTCGCGCTTGTTTTGCCTTTCTTTCACCCCCCGCTAGTTCTGTGATTACCAAAATAAAACTCCTTCCAGGCACAGATAGTGATATCATGCCCTCCACCCCCACCTTCCCCCGTCCCTCACAAATTTTGACAGGTTCATTCCTCTCATACACAATGTTCCGCCATTTCATTTCCAATGGTCATAAATATATTCCTGTTCATGCAAAGCGTAATCTGTCGACCATAGCTAAGCGATACTATGCTATCAGAGCCCCACCACCTCCACCGCCAAAGCAAACAAATACGCCTAGTGTACCTGCCATGTTGGCTGTTGCATCCATGGGTTTTGCAGCTTACTGGCAATTGGTCAAATCACGAGAAGGCAAAAGTAAGAAGTTTTGCTTTTTTTTTTATTATTCAATGCGTTCAAAAGAAACCGTTTTAATGTTCGTATATATAAGCTATGCCAAGACGGAAAGAATACACAACAGTGGAAGAAGAAGAAGCTCTTCGACAAAAGCGACTAGAAGAAGTACAAGCGAAAAGAGGGAGGCCTTTGAAGCCGATCCCCGCATTTTCACCGGATGAAGTCACTGTTGTGTTTTTTGTAGGTGGACCAGGCGCTGGCAAACGTACTCAGAGTGAAAAGTTAGCAAAGGAATATGGATTTGTGCATCTATCAGGTAAACCCTTTCTTTTTCATGTATGCACTTGGGTAGAAGAACTATTCTCTAGTTGCATGTACAAGTATCCATTCGTAACGATGATGTTCATTGTGCTGAATACAAAATATTAGTGGGAGATTTGTTACGGACTGAGTTAGAGAAAGGAGAAAGATCGAAATATAAGGATGTGGTTACAGAATATATTCTTCGTGAAAAATTAACAGTACCAATGGAAGCTACCATCCCACTCTTGGAAGAAGCGATGAGAGCAGCTATAGCAGAAGGCAAACCAGCACGCTTCTTGATTGACGGCTTCCCGCGCAAATTGGATCAAGCTATCAAATTCGAAGAGATGGTGGTGTCTCCACGATTAATGATACATTTTGAGTGTCCTGAAACAGTGATGCTACAGCGTTCAGTAGCTGGTTCTTCAGAGGAGGAGTCCAAGGCAGGTGCCACTCATAATAACGATATCGAAATGTTCAAAAGACGATTGAACATGTATCAGGGATCTGCAGAACCTGTTTTTGAGAAATTTGAAAAGGAAAATAAGCTTAGGAAGGTAAGAGTCATTGTTGCACTTGGGTTTTTCATTTGTTTGGGCTTTTATTTCAAGCGGTTCAACTGATTTTATCGGCCATATCGACAGATAACCTGTGATCAACCTATTGACAAGGTTTCTGAGAATATTAAGAGCTTGCTCGTGGAACAGCTTGACGAAAAGAAGACAGTCTAAACATGCATGTTTGTTCAGTACGCAAAAAAAAAGAAAAAATGTAAATACTGTATGCACACACTACTCTATACATAATAAAAATCGAATAAGAATTTGTTTGCCTGTAGGCAGATGTCTTGTTTTGATACAAGGATGAACAATGTTTGCACATTTATTGTTGAATCCTGCCAAACGAGCGATGGTAAAAATATCTACACTCGTGCTGTTCCCCCCCCCTTCTTCTAAAATTCTTATATGCGAATGCGAATTTGAGATTATATATACAAGCAAGAACTGGTATTGTGGAGTAAATCCTAATATCCTTTATGTTAATTAAAAAGCAGACGATCAGAGACACTTATTTGGGCTACTTTGTCTCAACAGCGGGTAAGAGAGTTATTGATTTCGACCAATCACTTCGTTTTGTGACAGTGTTCCGATCCATTTCCAATGTGCGTCGGAATCAGGCCACCACGGGTTGTGGAAGGGGGGAGCCATATTATTCTGAGGAAATGGCGACTCTGTGATAACCTTCTTCTAAAAACTAGTAACAATGGGTAAGCTGCACCATACAGTCAACGTGAAATTGGTTTAATGTTGAAATAATGATTGTCATGAAGTGAAAGAGGCAGATGGATGATGAATGCATAGATAAAGTAACAGATGGATGTTTTTCAAAACTGTCAGTCCAACTCATAGATAGCTCAACTCAATTCTCAACATTAAATGAAGATTCAATCATTTCGACGATGGTTCAACTCAACCTACTTGGAAATTGGAGAGTTCAATCACCAGAAACTTTCAGAGTTTGGGAGCCATTCATAGTAGCGATGCCATTTCATCTTTCAAAAGCCTCCATTTCACTTCATGATGACCCATTTCACATTTCGCCAACTATTTTTTTTTTTTTTGTTACTTTTTTTCTGACACATGTAATTATGTTTCTTTGTCTTAACTAGGTAAGGGTCAACCTAGAGGTTTGAACGCAGCTCGTAAGCTCCGTATTCACCGTCGTGATCAACGTTGGGCTGATAAGCAATACAAGAAGAGAGCTCTCGGTACTGCTTACCGTTCCTCTCCCTTCGGTGGTTCTTCTCACGCTAAGGGTATTGTTCTCGAAAAGATTGGTGTTGAAGCCAAGCAACCTAACTCTGCCATTCGTAAGTGTGTCCGTGTCCAACTTATTAAGAACGGTAAGAAGGTCACTGCTTTCGTCCCCAATGATGGTTGTTTGAACTACGTTGATGAAAACGACGAAGTTTTGATTGCCGGTTTCGGTCGTAAAGGTCGCGCCATTGGTGATATTCCTGGTGTCCGTTTCAAGGTCGTCAAGGTTGCTGGTGTCTCTCTCCTTGCTTTGTACAAGGAAAAGAAGGAAAAGCCCAGATCATAAATTATCCGTCTCTTCTTCCACTGGATTGCAAACCAAAAACCTTTACCTTTTTTTTCCCTTTGTGTGTTTCTATTGTGGTGCATTCTCAATGTTTAAACGGCATTGAAAAACACAATGTTTTGTTCTCTCTTTTTTTAAGAAACAAAAATTTGGAATAAAGAAAATTAAATGAACGATCTTTTTTCGGCTCTTACTCAATGCTTGTGTTAGTAAAGTAGAGGTTCCTCAGTCAATGCATATCAATTGAATGATGGTCTATCTTCCAGCTACTTCTGGCACTTGGTAGAAAGATAGAACAAATTTGCTGTTGGCGGATGTTTAATGACGGAACTCAATTCATGGGATTTAGCGTTATATCATTGGATGATACCGTAGAACACGCTGGAAAATTGAGTTCACATTTTTGCATTAAACAATCATATAAATTTGTATCTCGTACTTGCAATATATCATCCTAATTTTCTTTTTTTTTTTTTTTTTTGTCTTTCTGCATTGACCTTTAGAATTATATAATATAAACAATAAAAATGGGTAAAGATTACTACGCTATCCTCGGTATTCCAAGAGATGCAGACGATGATACAATCAAGAAAGCATACCGTAAGCTTGGTAAGTAACTTTTGACTTTTTTGAATTTAATGCAAAAGTGTTGCACTATCTATTTTTTTGGTGAATATTGTTACTGACACATAGCTTGCTTATTGCAAACGTAGCTTTAAAATGGCATCCCGATAGAAATAAAGACAAAGCAGAAGTGGCCAAAGCAAAATTTCAAGAAGTGGGTGAAGCTTACGAAGTATTAAGCGATAAAAATAAACGCGCTATCTTTGATCAATATGGTGAAGAAGGCTTGAAGGCTGGACCACCTCCAAGTGGAGGTGATGGAGGAGCAGGTGGTTTCGCTGGTGATTTTCCTAGTGGTGGTGGTACTTTCCGTTTCTCAACCTCTGGTATGCCAGGAGGCATGGGTGGAGGATTCCATCCTTCTGATGCCGAAGATATCTTTAAGCACTTCTTCGCTTCGTTTGGCGGAGGTGGTTTAGGCGGCATGGGAGGTATGGGAGGTATGGGAGGTATGGGTGGTATGGGTGATAGCATGCCCGGTAATTTCTCCTTCAGTACAGAGGGTGGTATGCCTGGTAGAGGTGGTGGCGCTAGAAGCCGTCGCGCTGGCGGTTTTGGTGGTTTTGAAGACGAAAAACCTCCCGCTATCAAACGTCCATTCCCCATTTCTCTTGAAGACCTGTATAAAGGGGCAACGAAGCGCCTTAAAGTGACCCGTAAATTACGAGATGGTGCTACGGGTCGACCAGTGACGACAGATAAGATTCTAACAATCAATGTAAAACCAGGCTGGAAAGCAGGCACAAAGATTAGATTCCCTGGTGAAGGCGACGAATTAGAGAACGGTCAAACACAAGATATAGAATTTATTGTCGAAGAAAAACCTCATCCTGTGTACAAACGTGAAGGCGACAACTTGCGTATGACAATACAATTAACGCTAGTAGAAGCATTGACAGGCTTCAAGAAGACTATCAAAACATTAGATGATCGTACCCTGAGTGTTAACAATACCAAATCCGTCATTCATTCTGGTCAAGAATCCCGTGTCGCTAACGAAGGAATGCCTAATTCGAAGACCGGCAAAAAAGGTGATTTAATTATTACATACGATGTCAAATTCCCCACCAGCTTAACGGATTCACAGAAAGAAGCCATAAAGAAGGCTCTATCTTAGACGGGGATTTTTTTTTTCTAGTTTTACAAAAAGTAACAATTTGTACAGTTTTCTTCTAAACCACATAAGTCAGTCACCTATGTAAAAAACAAGACAACTCTATATTGTTAGATATCTCTTTCCCATTATCTCTCCACTATATATTCTCCTTTTCATCCTAGCTAATGTGTAAATACTTCCCTATTATCACTCGTCTTATTACTTATACTCATCGATTAAAACAGACCATTTTGTCAGACGCTTACTTTGTGCTTGTTTTTCATTAGAATTCCTTATCGAGATGAGATTCTTCTCTTCCAAATATTTTCATAAATGCTGCTGCTTGTAATACGATTATATGAAGTAGTTCTTTCGAATAAAAGCCAATTTCTAAAATTTGGACAATAAATCCATTATTATCTCTCTTTTTCACAGAAGTTTGAGCAAATAATATGTATAAGCAATTCACTTTTTTTAAACTCATGCTTTACTGTAGCACAGTTGGCAATGATGTGGTAATTTTCAAGTAAAGTAGTAAAACAGACCAAAGCACCGTTTTCTCTTCAGACATCACACAGGCTGTTGTGAATCCTCTGTTTCTGTTACGTTCGTTTACAAGATGTCATCACCGTTCGTTGTCAGCAGTTTGCCCCTCTCAGAATTGAAAGAGATTATCTGAAAGAGAATAAGAAATCAGGAATAGCGTTGCTATAAACGAATCTGCTGTCGTAGGAAAATTGAGGCCGATGGATCAAAAAACAAAAAAATTGGAGATGAATATATCCAAATCTTTAGTTTGCCTTTTTTGAAGACGGCCGCTTTTGTAACCAATCCCTTAGTATTCTTCGTTGAGCTTTCGTGCCTGGTAATCTTTAAACTAAGTTGTCTGTTAGGTTTATAAAAAACGATGCCACAACGATATTGGATTTAAATCGTTTTTCAAAAGGAGTATAGCTTAAACTTGTTTGAATATTGTTTCTCATGGAATTAATTAGCAAATGTTGTAGCAAATGTTGTATAAGAGAAAATGCTCGAGTCATACTGTCCTTTTTCGAAACAACAAAGGTGCGAAATCCTTCATCAATTTCGTAAAAGTTGTATATTCGATTAATCATTCATCATAATGCTATGTATTTTTCGTGTTGATCAAAAATAGTACATATTGCAAAATTTCGATACTTTATTAGAGACAAAAGCGTGAGTATATCCGTATGAATTGTCTACTTTCTACAATTTATGCTTTGCATGACATCTATATTAATCCATCTCATATTGAACAATGAGTTCTTCTTCCATATAAGCCACATCTTCCATATGCCCAGGATGACAGTCTTTTTGGCAAACGAACACTAAAACAGTACCAAATTCCATGCCGACATTCCAGCTGTCTAGTAACGTTTTTTTGGTTTGTTGCTGCTGTTTTTGCTCTTCTTGATTTACTGATTGTTCTTTTGAGGCATACTCTGTTATGGGTAAGACGGATAAAATGTTGGGCATCAATTGGAATTCAAATACACGAGGGCTATTACAGTGAGGACAACGTCTCGATGCTATCTGTTGTTGCTGAGGTTGTAAAGCAGAATAGAATAAAGGTTGGCCATTAAAGTCATACCGAACACATTGGGATGGTGCATATTCCACTCTTTCTGTAAACTTTTTAAACTGTTTATCCACACCTCGTGGTAATGCTTGTTTTTCGTAAGTTTCACCTTGCCATATTTCGCCTTTACTGTCATCCGCGCCATCCACTTCCATAAGCAATTCCTTCTCCATATTCAAATATTCCTGATATTTTGTCATATCAATCCCGGCTATGGTGTTGTTTGCATCTGCCAGGACCGTTGTTTCGTCTTCAATGTAAATGTATCTACTAGGAAATTGAGGGAGCGCCATGGTATCGACAGGATCTTGAATGCCTAGGTTCGTCATCTTCTCAACAAGTTGATCTGTTGTTGAGGGTATATTAGAAGCAACAACAGATGCTGCTGTCTTGTTTCCAAATATGGGTGCGGTTGGCTTGGTTGTCGTTGACCCAAATAAAGGTGCTGGCGAAGTTTTCATCATACCAAACCCACTTCCTACAGCTGCACCGCTTGTTCCAAAACCTGACGTTGTTGACGTTGTCGCCATATTATTGCTATTGTTTCCCCACAAATCGCCCAACTGAAATCCATTTCCGAAGGGTGAAGTATTTTTCGCCTTGGCAGCTGCTTCTGCCTCTGCTTTCTTTTTTTCCTCTCTTTTGCGTTTTTCTGCCTCTTTCTGACGCTGAGCTTTTAAATATACTTCGTCTACCAAGTGTGAGCGCAGAACTTTAAAGCTATAAGCATTCAAGAAAGAAGAGTGTTAGCGAACGGTCCTGTACTCTACTATAGTGTTCTACTAGATTTCAGAAAAAGCGGTTACTACTTTACCTTCCTTCTTTCCTCATGCAGGATCGTTTGTTACAAGCCCACACATACATCACTCGATGGTAGGGTGAATCTGGTAAGGGTGCATATGTTTGAAATATTAAATACATCGGTTGCTTACAAATTTTGCAGTGACAAATTTGTGATGAAGGTGGCGTTTTGGGATCGAGCCAGATCTAAAGTAAAACGACAGATCGATCTTGCAATGAGCGAAAAATTGAACCTAATCTATTTGATTCTTTCCTTGAGAAAAAATCATAAAGGCTTACAGGTAGACCACCTATTTTTGTAGCATAAGCATCATTATCAAGCTCTATTTCTTCATCTGGAAACCCCAAAAGAACTGTGGAATCCTTGTTTGATTGTTTTTTGTTTGACATAATCTGGTAATTTATTGGGAAAATAGACGATAACAGATGCAATTATGCTTTTTTTTTTTCTGGGTTTTACTTTCAAGTGCGGAATCGCAATTTGACCTGAACTGCTGCAGAACAAAGCAACGAGTATAAAGATAACAAATTTAAAACAGTACGCTCTTATATTTTTGCATCATGGCCAAAGACAATTCTGGCTTCTTCTTGTATTTCATAAGGACCAACAGGAATGATTGGCTTTGTAAATTCAAAAGCCTTGCACCACCGTTGAGCTACCAAAATATCTTCTTCGGCGTCCTTTAGGTCATGAGCAGTATCGAAAGCAGCCTGCTCTAACAATAAAGTACCAGCCAGTGTTCTTCCCAAAGCGAAAGTCAACTGCCGAGCATTAGCTTCCACTTCTGCCTTATTTTCTTGTATTGATGAGCTTGCAACAAATTTTTTGATATTTTGCATAGCTGTATCAATAGCTTGAATAATTTTGGATGTAGTCTGATCATCTTTGAAAATAGCTTTAGCATACTTGGTTTTGTCTTTTACGACCTATATAACACCCAAAAAAAAAAAAAAAAAAAAAAAAACCATGTCAGTGGCAATAGGGCAGAGAATCATCAATGATAGATTGAAAATATAACCTTTTCAAATGTCAGCAAACATTGTCCTTTCGTCTCTCGCATGACGCGTAAGACATCCATGGCCAGTACATTGGTCGTACCTTCCCATATTGTATTGACCTGCGCATCACGCAGCTGCCTTCCAATGCCTATTTCTTCCATATACCCTTGGCCTCCTAATGCCTCCATAGCCTCGCTACAAGCAGTGACACCCATCTTACAAACATAAGCCTTAGCAATGGGTGTTAGGAACCGTAAAATAACCATGTCCTCATTGTCGTTGTTGCTGCTGCTGCCATGATGAGAGCATTCTGTACGGCCTAAAAGTTGAATACAGTAGAAAGCAAGTTGTGCACCAGCACGAAATACTAACTCCAAGTCAGCCAACGTCGTAATATGAAGAGGTGTCTGATCCAAGCGTTTACCGAACGCTTGACGTTTTCCTGCGAAATCCTTAGCAATAGCTAAAGAACGTCGTAAAGAACAGACAACACCTAAGCAAGCATAGATACGAGTAATATTTAGTATAGCAGCAATACAAGGTACACCACGGCCTGGCTTGCCCAGCTAAAAGTTGATATAAATTAGTTATGAATATCCATTTGTGGATCAGCATTCCATCTTTTCTTCCCTCCTTACCATTTTAGCTTGCATCCTGTTTAACTCAAGTTCGGCAGTGGGTAACCCTTTCGTCCCATATTTATTCTTCAGTCGATGAACGCGAACACCATTAAGCTGACCATTAGGCAATCTCATTTCTGCAATATAGAGAGACAGGCCTTTACTTCCCTATGATCAAGAAATCGAAACGGTATCTGTCGATTGTTAGGAAAATTGTTTCTAGTTTTATACCGGTCAAAACTAGCTTAACAAATGATTACGTTACAGTCTTCACGGTGCCATTCTGGGTATTCACGGAACGTGCCAATAGCATGGTTAGATCGGCTGTTGTAGCACTAGAGAACCATTTGAATCCAGAGATAGACCAAGTATTTGTGGTTGGATCAAGTAATTTAGCTTGCGTTTCTGACCGACTCACATCGCTACCGCCAGGCCGTTCAGTCATCCACTGACCGCTTGTCCAGAATTTAGCAGGGTCACGACTGCATACAATAATAAAACATCATCTGAGAAACAGTACCATCAGAATCTCCTCTGTAAAATATATTATACAAACCTAATGAGCCGAGAATAATATTGTTTTTTCATTTCTTCTGTACCTATCAACTCCAAAACACGAGCAGCACCATCTATTGTTTTGACAAATATATATATATATATATATATATCAACAGTTTCTCCCTTGAGATTGATTTGTTATAAAGACATAATGCTAGGTTACCTGTCATAGATAGCGGGCATGCATACATTGCGGACGAAGGAGCGTAAAGATATTGTTTGGCAAATTGATAAACTCTTGAATACTCTTTGTATCTGCGTTCATAACCGATGGCAATCAACCTGCTCATTGTTTGGGTGTTAGCTTGATTTCTTGTTCAATTATTGGAATAAAACAGAAAAAAAAAGTACCCTTCTTCTGCGGCGACATCGTTCAGTGCCTTCCAACCTGGTGCGGTTGTTATTTCGTCTACACGTCTACACCAAGCATCATATTGTTTTAATTTAGGATAATTATCCGGTGTTTCTACATTATCACCCATGGCAGCAATATCTTACATACGATTGAAACAAGTATAATTGAGCTCCTTTTCCATGTAGCTAGCGTTTCTCCAAGCTATCATGCTACTTTACCTGTGACGACTCTTTCACCGAAGTGAGATAAATCAGATTCAATTTCTTGTAAAACAGACAAAGGTAAAATTCTTTTCAGAATATTTTGGAGTACAATATCATCGTCATATTGGTTTTTTAGTTCTGGTGGTTCCTAAATATTGAACAAGGAGCTGTTTATTAAAGGTTCCTTTATGGTACATAGAGATGGAGTGTTCATATTCCGTGCCGCACCTGAAGGAAGCCTTGATCCGAGTTGGCTATTGGACCTGGTTGCTGAACAGACATAGCTCACTCTCAAGTGAAAGAAAAAGGATACGAATTACATCAAGAATCAAGAAATATAAGACGGACCACGTTTTTGCGGCATATGCATTTCCCACCATAATCTGTGGAGAAAGCTGGATATTAAAACACATAAATCGTAAAAATGGCTTACTAGTTGCTGATGCTTTAGCTCGCTACTCTAACAAAATCAAACAATTTCTGATTTGTGTCAATTATCTTTATTGATATGAACTATGACCTACATTCTTTCCGCTACTAGTTTTTGCTTTCTCCAGCAATCTTACGTAATCTGATGTTATGTTTCATGATCACCAACAAAGGGTCACCATGGATTTTTTTTTTTATGAATTCATGCTCCTCGATATTTTTTTTTGTTCCCAAGCAGGGCAAATCCATTGTTGCTGCTGGCTTCAATTCCGATCCTTTTTTTTAGAAAAAGCCCATCCCCTTTTGCTGTACCTGCTATATTCCTCTTCTTCTTGTGAACAATGAATGATAGTATTTCATTAGAAGAGAAAACGTTAAAAGAGAATCAGACCGAACATGATACGTCACCTCTGACTACATCCACTGTGAAAAATGGGGTGCCACCTAACAGCAACAGCAGTACTTCAAGCAGTAACAACAGTAATACGGCTACTTATAGAGATCTTGTCATTTTTGAAGAACGATTGCGAGGCAACATGGCGAGATTAAGGAAACGAAAAAGAAAATATGAAAGTAAGAAACTTACAAAAGAGTGGTAAGAATAGAAAGCTGACACCTAGTTTCCAGAACTAATCGTAACCTTATACTTTCTGACATTACAAACTACTTCTAGCCTTGTTGATCAGTTTATTTACTTCGTTAATATACTTCTTTTATGCCGTTTTCATCGATCCTAGCAAGGTACTACTCTTTTCATGTGTCTGAGTGCTACATGCACATATGCTAAAATAATTCTTGTAGGTTTTTCTGATTCACTTACTCAACACGGTAGCGTTATTAAGTATAGCCGGTGGGCTTGTCTTTTTCTATCGTTCCGGGCTTTATTCAGAAAAGATAGTTTATGCACAAAAGTAAGAGCGAATGGTAAAAAAGAAGTGATAGAATCCCAGTGCTTACACACTATTTTTGCGTAGATTCGTACCTCATTGTAATAGAGCATTGGCAGCTTTTAATTTGGAATTCAACAAAAAACGGACTGGAGGGTTAAGCTTCCTATCCAATATACCACAACAATTTCAAGAAGGATTTGAACAATATAGAAAACAATATCATTTGAGAAAGAAAGCTAGACAAGCGAAATTAAAGAAGCGAGCACAGGCAGCAGCAGCAGCAGCAGCAGCAACAGCACAAACACCACAATCTTCAGTTTCAGATAGAAAGTGAACCACCGTACCCCCACATTCTCGAGGTCTGTTATTTTGTTGCTGCGTTCATGTTCCTTTATTTATTATACATATACATAGTGAAACTTTTCTTTGCGTTCTATTTATTCAGTCTATATACTGTAGTTATCACTACTTCTATTGCTACTTATCCACGACTATTAAAAATCTGTCACTCTTCCTCCGAAGCTCCAGTCGTTGTATTTGACAGGTTCGTTTTTTGGTCCATTCACTTCCCCTGTTTGAGGATTGACGTCTCCTTCAAATTCAGGTTTTGGCTTCGGAATCGCATCATCGTGTAAATCACTACTTTTGGCATCTTGTTGTGCCTTTTTACGAATGAGTTCAAGCATTTCTTTTTGTTGTGTTTTGTTTCCCAAGGGTAATGGTCCTGGTCGATTGAGCGAAGTATATTGGCGTTGTCTGGTTACAATCGAGGCTGTGTTTGTTACAGACCTTCTGAACATTTGCTGATATTTTGTAGGGTTGTATGGTGTGGGGTAATAGCGGGAAAAAAAAAAGAAGAGACCAACAAAGCTGAATATGAAAGGCATGTAGGCAATAAACCGCAGTCAACGGCAGCGGACAGTTACACCCACAGCTGGTTTGTAGAAGGGGAAGCCCCCTTCTCTTGCATACTGCTTTCTACCTCTCTTCAGTAGCATACCATAAGCATAGATGTTTTGCCAAGTTCTTCACATTGTTCTATTAGACGACGAAATGTATTTCATGTAATATTATTGGAAAAGAAAAGGCGCTCAAAAGGACGAGATGTTGCCCAAACAACATCCATAGAATTTGTTGTATTCCACATCATTGAGGAGCCACAAAGAAAGCTTTCGGTAGTGAGAGAGCTTTTACGCCATTTGGTAAAGGGTGAGCTGGCAATCTTTGATATGTACTTCTCATGACCAAATTCCCTACCTGCGAATTTTACGATTTTATATATACACATATAGTACGATTGCCCCTTTCCTTGTTTTAAAAGCAAAATTTCCCTCTCATATTGGCATCTATACTCATAAAGAAAGATGTAGGTATATGCTTATTGAATACTTACATAGTTGAATCGGTATAGCGAACCTGCCTCAGCTCGCATAAATTAGCCACGGAAAGGAAAAAGAAAACAATGCGGATTTGTAACAGATTCAGTAATCATGTTGTACAAGGCCAGCAACTTTATATTACGACAATATACACCAGCAGAGGCGAAACGAAGAACGTGGAGATAGGTTGATGAAGGGAACTAACATAAGTATACAACAACTTGCGTAACCATCATCAGCATGTGATTACTTCTAGGCATTTCTGTTTGCGTAGTATTAAATACAGAAAGAAGACGTAAGGGGAGGCATGTCTGACTAAAGAATATCAATTTTCGGTTTTTTGTCATTTGTTACAGAAGGGCTTGTGTACACTTACGAATTCAATGCAAAACACTCAAACAAATAAGCCAGGTGATTTATACTTACAGTTTGATTATTGACCGATAGACATAGTTACATAGGTTGAACAAAATTCTAACAATAAAAAATAAAAATAAAATTAAGCTTGCAGAAATAAGATAATAAGTTCCTTAACGCTAGCAAAGGGGTTAGAGCTTTTCTTGTTTAAAGCGTGAAAATTACCAAAAAATACCTGATGTATGTATGCTCGGAGCATGCAAAAATAAGGGAAGCCAAAAATATACAAATAGTCTCGTTCTTTTGATTTCTCTGATGATGGGCTCTTTCCTCTTTTCCTCTTTTTCTTTTATTCTTTGCTGAAACAGGAATACTAGACTCTATACCATTGTTTGGCAACTTTTTCTTGGTAGAAAGTCGATACCAGTCTCCCTATTTCATTCTATATATACATATATTTTTTATTTTATTTTTTTTTCATTTCTTGAAAAGAATCGAGCAAAAATATGGTCACAGTCAGAAGACGGCCGCTCAAAGTCGTGACAGACAGTGAAGATGATCAGAGCGATTCCAGACAACTTCGCGATCTGCATCTCACCAATAGTTCGAAGCGCAACAAGAGCCATAAGAGTACGCCAGAAGAAGAAGAAATAGACGACGACGAGGATGAGTATGAGGATGAAGACGGCAACAAGAATCAATCCAAAAAGAAGAAAAACAACAAGAACTCAGGCATAGCCCATCTTTTACCTATCCATACCATTACGAAACCTTCTGTATTGTCTAAAGAAGCACCACCTGAGAATTACAGTGGGTTTTTACGACTTGGTAGTAAGTTTCAAAAGTAAAAAAGACATGCTCAAATAGAAGATGAGCTTATAAACAACAATTCTGGCTTTTTCTCTAGTGCTCGTTTTGGGTGCAAGTAACATCAGATTAGTGATTGAAAATTGGATGAAATATGGATTATTGATTGGATTACCACATAGTCATATACCCTTCCGTGATTTCGGTTTGTTTCTCTTTGCTTGGTTGTGCATACCGCTCAGTCTAATTGTTACGTTGGTGGTGGAATATGGAATTAGTCAGTTGGCAATGGTAGCGGCTACAGGGAAAATGGATAACGGCAAACCGGATGATGGAGACACAGCGGTACTAAAGACGGCAGTGTTTCAACAGCAATTTAGAAAGAAGTTGAGTCTTTTGGAAAATGTAGTCGGATTCACTCATTTTTCACATTTAGTGCTATTGATCAGCTTTCCATCTTATATCACGTATAAGCACATATATCATCCAATAGGTAAAGAGAGAAAAAAAAAAAAAAAAAAAAAAAAGTAACATACTAGAAATAGACTTGTTTGCTTGATCTGCGACTAAAAATCCACGTTCCTGTGTTTCTAGTTGGCTCAGGACTTACATTGATTTGCTTGATTACATTCTTGAAATTGATTTCTTATGTCCTCACCAATAGACAATTACGCCAAGCTTATCTAAAAGCGCATCGTACAAGAAGCAACAAAACCGCTGCTGATACAAACCCTACTACATACGACAATTCTCAGAAAATCACTGACAACCAAAAAGCCAGTAAAACAATAATCAACCCAGAATCATTATATGATAAAGAAGCTGCTTATCCCAACAACATCAATCTCAAAAATCTTTTATATTTCATCTTTGCTCCTACATTATGCTACCAACCATCCTATCCACGTTCACCAAAATTTCGCAAAACCTTTTTCTTGAAACGAGTGGGTGAACTCTGCTGCTGTTTAGCTATGATGTATATCCTTTCTGAGCAATACGCTAAACCCACTTTGGCTAATTCCATCAAAGCGCTTGAAGACAAAGACATCATTATTATCATTGAGCGTGTGCTTAAGTTGTCCACGACTGCTGTCGTTATCTGGCTCTTAATGTTCTACGCTCTTTTCCATGCTACTTTGAATATTTTGGCTGAGGTGTTGCGATTTGGCGATCGCACATTCTACTTAGCTTGGTGGAATTCCGGTAATTTGGCCACTTACTGGCGATTATGGAATCGACCCGTCTATTTATTCTTCAAAAGACATGTCTATATACCCTTTGTTCAGATGGGCGTACCTCCATTTGTATGTCAATTCTTGGTGTTCTTAGTATCTGCTGTTTTGCATGAGGTATTAGTCGGTATACCTACTCATTCCATCACTGGGTTTGCGTTCTTTGGTATGTTGGGCCAAATTCCGCTTATTGCTATTACAGCTCTCTTAGAGAAATGGAGAGGAAAAGGTACAGCTTTAGGCAATACTATATTTTGGTAAGTATCGTCATAATAAGGGAAGAAGAGTGTGGCATGAGGGTAAGTAGACATGAACTAATCAAGCGTTAATGCATATTGTGAACTCTTGAAATAGGGTTACTTTTTGCGTTGTAGGTCAACCTACCATTGCTTTATTGTATTACTATCAATGGACCGCAACTCATAGAATTTCAAGCACCAGTTGATAATTTAGGCTTTTTTATTTATCCTTGCTTGATCCGTATCTCTCTTGCGAAGATTGACTCATATTTATTGATAATATTATGTTGAATAAAAAATAAACATTTTTAAAAATTGTTCGACATAGCAAACGAAAAATAAGCATTCTCCAACGTAAAACCTTCAGCACGACTATCAACGGGATCTCGGTTAGCAGCCGCATCTACTGGTGTGATTGTCACTGTGTTCATGTTACGAATAGTCATATGGATACTGCATCGTGGGGGAAGGATTCAGGGGAAGTGTAGAGCAGTAACATTATGCAGAGATTTATATCCACTTTATCGTTGTGCTACCATGGAAAGACAACTTAAGGTATCAAAAAAACCAGACATTTCACTTTTTCATTTTCTTTTTTAAATCTTTTGAGTTTCTTCTTCAAAGTTGTAGAAAAATGACGGCCATAACTGCTATCAAAAATGTTAAAGCTTTACAACAAATGTCGGCTGACATAGAAGAAGCTCGCCAAAACGCCAGTTTTTCTACTCAATCTATGCTTTTCTTACTACACGGAGGGAAAGAAAAGATTGCGAAAATCAATCAGTTGAGAGCTTTGATCGAGCAAGAACCTCTTTTAGCAGATAAGTCGTTAACACCTTTTCAAAGCAGGCAAGAGGTAAGAGCAGTCATCATTAAAGTCGCCCTCTGATAATTAAATAGTAACTAACGTTGATTTAAAACAGCAATTGCATCAAGCTTTATTATTATCGAAGCGTCTTGTTGAAATAATTGAGGAAAAGAATCTAAGCGATGCAGACTTTGCAATGTTATTCGAGCAATTGGATATTTTGACTCCTGTAAGTGATGACATACTATTAAACAGTTTATTCACACTCAAGTGCCGTTCTAACCATGCTAAACTAAATGTTCTTTATAGCTTGCTTTGCATTACTCAGGTACTAAACATAATCAGATGTAATTTGAATTGAATTCTATAACATTTATATTTTCTTTTTTTCTAGCATTTATGCCAGTTATTAAAAGTCAAGGAACCACTGAACAAGTTGAGAAATGGTATAACGCTTCTAAAAAACACGCTATAGTTGGGTGTTATGCACAAACTGAGTTAAGGTATTAAAAACGGGTTGATCTGCATGCTGCTGCGAAAAAGTTGGATAGTGCAGAGATATAAAGAATTCCATTTGCTTTTGAAATAATTTGATCAATAGTCATGGATCTAATGTGGCTGGTCTGACTACTATGGCTATTTTTGACGAAAAGACAGATGAATTCATCATTCATAGTCCAGATATCACTGTAAGGGAGAGTTGTTTTGTCGAAAATCTCAAGATCGACGATATTGATTCTTCACATCTTCCTTTATTACTCTTTATTGTTATAGGCAGCTAAATGGTGGATAGGCGGTTTAGGTGTAGCCAGCACACATGCTGTTGTACAGGTAACAATCAAAAAAAAAAAAACTAGGAACACAATTTTACCAACAATGGGCGAAAAATTCTTACCACCGTGATATAATCAGGCACAACTCATTTTGAACGGAAAATCGCACGGACCCCATCTTTTTATCGTTCCGATTCGATCCCCAGGTAATGACTCCGTATTTAAAAGCTTTATCCACATCAGAATTGTATTAATGAAAGTGATTGCTTTGCGCGTACATAAAAATAGTTGATTTGAAGCCTTGTAAAGGAGTTATAGTGGGTGATATAGGCCCTAAAGCTTATGGCGGATTTTCCACTACTGATAATGGCTGTAAGCGCCTATCTTATAGTTTACTTTTTTTCGTTTTTCTGTTACTAACGTTGTGCCTGCACCATTCGCACTATTGCTACAATAATAACGATAGTTGCTCTGTTTGATCATGTCCGTATCCCTCGCGATAATATGCTTATGAAGTTTGCTAAGGTAACTCGAAACGGGCAATACATACCACCGGTTCACGACAAGCTCTCTTACGGTAGTATGGTCAAACTTCGGGTTGACATTGTCCACAACGCTGGTTGGTTGCTTGGTAAAGCATGTACGATCGCGACTCGTTATTGTACAGTGCGTCGACAATTTCATCCGCTGACCCAAAAAGAAAGAGGAAAGGGCTTGGAAGCTCAAGTTATCTCCTACTCTTCTGTTCAACACCGCCTCATGCCATTGATTGCCATGTCTTACGGTATTATCTTAGTAGGTGAACAACTCTTCAACCAATTCGGTGTTTTGATGCAGCAGTTGGAAAGAAATAACGCTGCTTTGTTACCTGAACTGCACGCTACCTCTTGTGCGCTTAAGAGTTGGAGCACACGTCGGTCTACGGAGGGTATCGAAGAATGTAGAAAATCAATGGGGGGCCACGGATATTCTATTTTTAGCGGTGTTTCGGAACTGTTTGCTACATTCGTCCCTTCTAATACATATGAAGGGGACAACTTTGTTTTGGCTCAACAAGTAGGACGCTTTTTATTGAAGCAGTTACAATTAGTCGCCAGCGGTAAGAGCAGTAGTTCCACCACCGTTGACTATTTGAATAAGTTAAGCAAAATAGGCACAATGGGTCACTATCAGTTCCAAGACAGTGTCGTTGAAGAAGCTATTTTAAACCCTCAGGTTCAGTTGGAGCTGTTTGGTATTCGCACTGCTAGACTAGTGGCTGACTTAGGCCAACAGTTGCAACTGGGAAGGCCTTGGTCAGATGTAAATATGGAATGCTGGACTGTTAATCTGGCTCATGCAGAATACTTGGTTCTGAAGAGTATGATTGCTAAAGTTCAGTCCGTACGCGAAGACAAGGAATACGGACCATTGGCATCCATTTTGAAAGCAGTAACTGATCTGGTAAAAATATGTTGAATGTGTATATCTCTTTTGGCGTTGATCATTAACGCTTAACACTTTATCAAAAGTTCTGCTTATCTACTCTAGCAACAACTTCACTGGCCACTTTTCTTTCTACAGATACTATTAAGAACTCTGATCTCCCAGAGATTAACGCAGCTTACCGTAAAGCTATTACTACTGTTCATGAGATGGCCATACCTTTGACCGATAGTTTTGGATTTACCGACCGTGAATTAAATACAGCTCTGGGACGGTATGATGGCCGTGCTTACGAAGCACTTTGGAGCGCTGTTCAAAAAAATCCCGTCAATAAGAAAGAAGAAAACGCTAAACTTAGTGTAAGTATACTCTAATGACAGTTCGTCACATGTACGATGAACTTTGTTGACTCGATGCAATTACTTTTATTTACATAATAGAACTTGGTCTTACAAATTCTTCATCGTGGTGACAATCTAGAGTATATCAAATCATCTAAGTTGTAAGCTTCAAATAAAGGAAAAGCATACTTATGGTGAGTATGCGGCAATTGTATAGCTACATAGTCTCGTTATTAAAGAGCCATTGTTGTAAAATGTAACATTATATATGACACTGTATTGCCTCTGGAATTTTGCGAGCACACACTCCTTGTTCTTATACTACATGATTTATCATAAGCATAATCTAATTATGCACAGCTTACCTGGTTGTAAGACAGTGGCCTTTTCTACTCTACATGAAAATAGCTCCCTGTCCTTCCATTTTTCTTTTGCAATCGCTTACTGAAGTCGTTAACGACTTTTTGTGCTTCCCAAATGACTACCATAATAGGCTGCATTGTAGTAGGCTAGCTATATATTTGGTGTCGTAGAACTGCTGTCACTGCTTGTCAAATCATATACAACTGGCTATCTTTTCTTTCGTTCATGCTATAGTCGTTTTCTCCACTATTTCGTATCATTTGTAAAAGGGGATGTTTCGTTTAGTCATTCATAGCGAGCACATTGCACATACCAACTCTTCATCCTTGTAGGCATTACTGATAATATTGTCAAAAGTACTAAGGCTTTCAGAAATATTGCCAGAAACGGAATGTTGATGAATGGAGTTTACTTACTGATAGATCGCATAGAAGTAGCCCTCGGCTGCCTTTTAGCAGACGATTAAACTACAATCAAGTCATAGAAAACACTAAAATACAACACTCCACTTATAAACAGCATCTTAACGATATTGAATGAATCAAAATTAAGATTTATTGGTAAAACGTAACATGGAAATTGAAAGCAGGTACAAATATAAAAGTACAGTGAGGATGTTTGAATTTGAAAAGAAACTATTTACAGAGGTTTAAGCCTAGTTCATCTTGTTTTTGACTTCTTTTTTAGCCTTGTCTTTAGTCTCATCCACGTAATTAGCAGCCTTCTTAGCGTTTAACTTGGCTTCATCTTTGAGTTCATCAACTTTGTTACCGGCTTGCTTAGCACCCATACCTACAGATTCTTTTGCCTTATCGTACATATCACCAGCCTTTTTAGATCCTTCCTTCATTGTGTCACGGATAGTTTGCTCATTAGGGGTAGCACCGTCCTTGAAACCCTGTGCGGCATCCTGTGCTTGCTTCTTCCATTGCTCTGACTTTTCAGAAGCAGCACGACCCACGTCTTGTGCTGCTTCAATACCATCACTCATCTTCTCACCGACCTTCTTGTCAAGACCGGATGCACTATTTTTCAATTGCTCAGAGGTGGAGGAGGCTTGGTCTTTCAGTTTTTCTGCTTGTTTGCCAGCGACATCAGCGACATTATCCTTAACATTTTCAGCAGTTTCGAGTGTATCAGCCAGTGTTTCACCCACTTTTTTGTTCACCGCATCGACAGCACTCTTGGCTTTGTCAATGATAGTTTCGCGTTGGATAATAGACGAAATGTGTAATGAGGCGGAGGGAACATAGTACATTGATCTTTGGACTGCAGCAGCGGTCATGGTGTTACGGCCAATGGCAGCGAAAAGAGGAGACTTGGTCAACATGAAAGGGGACATTTTTTGTTATTGCTCGATATGAACTGTTGTTGCTATTGCTGATTTGTTTTGTGTTGCGTTTAGCTTGAGTCTTGTTATAAGAAACGTATAAAAACAAAAAAAGAAAATGCAATGAATAGAAGAAGGCATTCCTTTATATATCATGCCTTCTTTCGGCAGAGGAAGGGAAGCAATGATAAAAGTGTTATGTCATGGTGATCAGTGTGATTCTTGTGGCGGTGTGTCAAATCAATTAAGCAGCAGAAAATTGTATGATGCAGTCGTTTCGAACCCGCGTAACTTTTACGTCGCTGGGAACGTTTTACTAAAAGTAAAGATTGCTCTTTATTCTCTTTATACCAGAGCGTTTGACAAACATATACGCACGTAAATAGCTTTCAGCGTACGGCTCTCTTGAATGATACCATAGGTTGTACTGATGACTTTTTCAAATATTTATTTGACAGAAAGTTCCATCTGAGATTAAGTTGTCATGTATTCTCTCTCAGAAACTTTAAACTTTACGTATTTCTGACAGGAGACTCGTTATACTGTTCTAATGTCTTTATTGTACCGGAAAATATGTGTCCGCAATGACATATGGTTATAAGTAGTTATACAACACAGTGCTTATGTCACAGAGGATTTGAAAATGAGTGGATTTAGATAGGTGAGAATACTTTCTACTCAAATTTTTTTCAATTGATATCAACTACTGGTTTCAGAATTATCATTCAAGATCATGTAAAACACGGAAATCCTTGTCCGCTACTGATTAGAGAGTAACAGTTAGTAACCAATTTCTATTTAAGCTGAGAGATCTATTAGGAATGATAGTGATCGATGTGAATATTGAGAAAATAACCAAAGCTTGATTTCTTGGTTGGCTTTTTTACCCCACAGAAAATTGTACTTTTTTTTCCTTAATTTGACAAAAACTCAGTCAAATCAAAAAAAAAAAAAAAAAAATGCATTCCTTTGGTTCTTTTTCGACTGTCTACTCAACTATAATTAACATTTTGTAATGCCTTGTCCATTCTGCGTCGATCCATCAGATGATACAAAAGTTCACTGGATCCTTTGTGACGTTTGTGAAGTGTGGTGTCACCAGAAATGTGTTAATGTTGACAATGCACTTTTCATTGATCAATTTCACTGTCCTCATTGTGAAAAGACTCATGGACTCTCCACTTGTAAGACGAACAAATTTTAATTGACAAGAATATAAGCGAGACCTAAGAAAAAAGCTGATGTAAGATCGTTCTGTAGTCAAAGAGCAAAGACGATCGCGAAGGAGTTCAGCTGCAAAGCTGAATTATGCTGATTTAAATGAAGGAACCTCAACAGGAGACGAAAAAATCTGGGGCAAACTCCTTCGAGCCAAATCTTTTGCTCCGGACAAATTTCCTCGATACAAAGCCCGTGAAGTCAATATGAAGCTGATCAGGAAAACTGGTTTGCGAGAACCGTTTATTGTAAAAGAGAATGAGTCAGAGCTTCAAATGAAAATGCCTCCCAAAGATATTACTGTACATCAAATTGCCGACCTTGTGGGGGGAAACGATTATCCAGTGGATGTGATTGATGTTGCTTCTCAATCAGAGCTGTCCGGGTGGACAATGGGTCGTTGGGCAGATTATTTTCATAGTGAGGAGAAGGACAGGATACGCAATGTAATAAGTTTGGAAATATCAGGATCAGAATTGGCAGAACAAATAACACGGCCAAAGATTGTGAGAGAGCTGGATTGGACAGAGTTGATGTGGCCAACAGATTTGCATCCAAATGAATTCCCGCGGGTACAGCTTTATTGTTTGATGAGTGTCAAGGATTCATATACAGATTTGTAAGCTATGGATGATTTTTGATTTGAGTCATTGAGCAAATAGTCACGGTTAACGTTATATATTACTTGACAAAAAAGTCATATAGATTTTGGTGGGAGTTCTGTAAGTTATTGATACTACTATTGGATGTCGTGGAATTGAGAATCTGTGGCAATTTACTAACTTGTGCATGTAGGTATTTTATCATGTTCTACGTGGACAAAAAATATTTTATCTAATCGAACCAACTCAAAAAAATTTGAAAAAGTATCAAAAATGGTCGTCGTCTCCAGATCAGTCAACAATCTTTCTAGGTGATGAAGTTAAGGATTGCCACTCTGTTGAGTTGTATGCAGGGAATACAATGTATGATCTAAAATATGCTAGCTTTATAGAGGATAGAAATCTAATCTCTAATTCATCATCTTAAAAGGATTATTCCATCTGGATGGATTCATGCGGTCTTCACTTCAAGAGACTCAATTGTTATTGGCGGTAACTTCTTACACTCATTTCATGTCGAGGCTCAAGCCCAAGTTTATGCTATAGAAGATATAACGGATGTTCCTCTGAAATTTCGATACCCTTTTTACAAACGTTTGAATTGGTATGCGCTAGAGAATTTTAATAAGTGGCTCGACGATCAAAACAAACGCACCGAACTTTCGCATTTTGAATTGGAAAGTATGTTTGCCTTAGCAAACTTCCTCCAAACAGAACTCCATAAAGCCAATGATTCTCTTGTAACGTCTAAAAATGACGCCATCAGTAACAAAAATCTGCTAATAATGCCTTCCCAAACATTAAAAAGGAAAGAGCAGATACCAGAAACAGTTCATAATCCTATAGCATTAATAGAAAACGTACGAAGAAAAGCTAGGGAAATTCTTAATACCAACACGGAATCAACTGCCAGTGGTATATCATCATCTCCAAATAATGAGAAACTTGAAATCACGAACAACAATAACAACATTAAAGAAGTGCCTATAGTCACAATCAGAGACAGTGATAACGCAGCAGTAACACCTCCAGCCAATGATACTAATGAAGCAATATCACAATCAATAGGAATAACAGCAAGGACTGAAATGGATAATGACGACGTGACTAAATTGTCAACTGTTGAAGATCATAAACCGCACCGTGTAAGTAGTATGATGAAGTTAAACACAAGGAAACGGAAAGAATCTTCTGCACCATTCGTCAAAAATGCTAGTAATGATACAGAACTCAAAACGATGAATCAGCGAAGAAAAATTACTGATAATAATGTTACAACCACAGTAAAAATATAATTATACTTCTTCCTGTCTCATATTATTTGAAAAGATAACAGATAATACCTAGATATGCCTTTCCCACCTTTTTGGAATTTTTGATTTAAAGATAAAAATAAAATGATTATTTATTTCATTATTATATTGATCAATAGACACGAAATGTAACTAGACTGCCCAACAGTTCCCAAAAGATATAGAACTATTAGACATTTAGTCGTTCAAATGTCTAAGTGGACCCAAATTCCAAACGTCTCACGAAAAAAAACCCAAGATAAAAAAATTAAATCGAAGCTACCAGGGGTCGAACCTGGAATCTCCTGATTCGTAGTCAGACGCCTTATCCATTGGGCCATAGCTCCTATTTGTTTTAAAAATTACAAAACTAAAAAATATTTGACATAATACATTTAAAACACAGAAAGGGAAATGATTGGCTAGGTGTTGGTTGCTCCTAGTTGCTCAGTAAAGAGATCAAGTTGTTAAGGCTGGAGTTGAATGATAATAATGATATGTACTAACAGAAAATTATAATGATAGCTGTATTTGAGCAATAATTCAATTAAAAGAATGAACAGGCACTTTTTTCACTCACGTAATACTTAGTATTAAGTTATACCTGGCTATTGATATCCTTTTTTTTAGATATTACTTAGCATTTTTTTCGCAGCGGATTTTAGGCTGATTAAAAATTTAAAACAGCGAATCATATGCCTGGCGCTGACTTAACTGCAGATTTGGATGACGACATCAGCATAATCAAAAGGAGGTCCCTTCGGAGTAAGCTCACAATCTCGCCAATGTTCTGTACAGTACATGCCAACCCTCATTAAAAAGAATATTTAAGCCTAATTTACTGAAAGCTAAAGATATACAAGAAAAACTTATATAGAATACTTGTAGAATGTAGATAACTTTAAGAAATTTTGACTATATGTATAATAATAGAATTGAAAGGAAATGGCTCAACCTAGTTACACCATATCTAGTGTCAAAAGGCAGCCTGAGACTACTTCCATAAGATAGTGTTAGCTATACAGAGCTATTTAGGAAAAAGGAAGTAAAAGTAAAAGAATGGTAATTTGTGTAGATGGCCAAAAACGTTGACGCATTTTCGTGAGCCACTGTAACTCTACAACGTATCAAACAATCATTAATTCAAAGAAAGAATTTCTATTGTCGTGAATACTTCTCTGCAAACAATTGTTTTATATTATAGTTTCTAGTACTAGAAAATATGATCTGACCTTTATATAGCAATGTCAAGACATCAAGCATATTCTACACAAATATTTCCGTCAGTCGTCTGATCGACGGGAACGAAAATTTTGCCTCGATGATGATGAGATTTTCTACCCGCTCGCGGAGTAAGTCTTTCAAAAAGACCCTGAGTTTCCATTCATTTCGTTCATTTCTCCTACTATTACAAACCATGTCTTCTAGTATTGGGGTCAACTGCACAGAACTTAAAAAAAAGTATGATAATTGTTTTAACAAATGGTATTCAGAAAAGTTTTTGAAAGGTGATACAACACCTGAATGCGAGGAGCTGTTCAAAGACTATCGTGCCTGTGTCATGGTAAAGAAACAACAACCATAAAAAAAGATATGGTAAAGTGCTTTTCTGAGTTACTATGCTAACGTTTATATACTTCGACTAGGCTACATTAAAAGAAAAAAATATCGATAAGCTGTTAGATGATTCTCGAAAAGAAGCACCTTTCCCCTCCGTTGATCAAGACGATGACTCAAACAACAACACCAGCAGCAATGCATAAATCCAGCCATGCACTTTGTGAATTTGCCTTCATTCCAAGTGTCTATCTACCTTGTACTTTTGTTTTTTACCGTAACTCTTGGGCTCTTTGTTCAACAACATATACCTATTAATAAAGCTTTATTGTTGACATCGAATACTTCGACGATGCTCCTTCGGTCTCGAGTCCTTATTTCCTGAGCTTGAATTTTGACAATTATCGTATTGTTAGCAGCAAATGCATTTTCTCACTTTCTCTTTATATTGTGTATAATTTAAAAATGGCAACCATTATCAATTCACTTGCAGTACCCTCGAGTTATCGTGATCAGCTATATCAAGTAATGTAATCAGCTACGGACCGCTGACTACAGTGGGGCATTCCTGTTAAAATGTATATTCCTTTCTTTGATACTTAGGGATCTTCGGATCAATTGAGCGACGATCTTGCCACCACAGCAACGCTATATGTGGGTAATTTATCCTTCTTTACGACAGAAGAACAAATCTACGAACTCTTTTCCAAATGTGGGGAAATCAAACGTATCATTATGGGCCTCGATCGTAATCAAAAGACTCCCTGTGGATTTTGTTTCGTAGAGTAAGATGTATACAAGTTTCACTGAACGAAGCCGATTTCAACTTTGCTTAATATCTTAAATTATGCATGTAGATATTATCATCGTAGCGATGCCCTCGATTGTATGAAATATATCAATGGAACGAAACTAGACGAACGTGTCATTCGTTGCGATTTAGATCCTGGTTTCAAAGAAGGACGACAGTTTGGACGTGGTAAAAGTGGTGGACAAGTTCGTGATGAATATCGTACTGAATTCGACGTTGGTAGAGGCGGTTGGGGTCATCGTATGCGTTTACAACTGGAACAAGAGCGTGAACGTAATATTAAAGAGAACTATGAAGCAATCAAGGATATTCCTCGTGGCGCAGATGAATATAAAAGTAGAACAACAAATACAACAGCAGCATCGGCAGGGCAAGGTAAAAATTGTGATTGAAAGGGTATCTATATGAAATTTTCTTTGCTTAAAGAAGACAATCAACTAGGTACAAAACGTAGAATGGATGATAAAGCATACGAAGAAAACACTAATAAACGTACTAAGGAGGTAATACCAAAAGCGCTATCACATTTCCTTTTTTTTTGTTGCCCCAAACTGAAAGAGTTTCTTTTCATAGAATCCACGTTTCAGAGAGACTGAGGATGATGAAGAAGAATAAATATGTTACGAACAGTTTAATGCTATTAAAGTTGACTGAAGGGATGAGATGAAATATTGAAAATATGAATAAATGTAAACATGAAGTCATTAATTGCCCAAAGCATAGTGTTTTTACGTGTATCAATTCCACAAACAAGGTATATCCAAAATTATACATGCATTTTATCAAAGTTTTGACATGAAAATGGGGGCGGGCTTAAATGTGCCTCAAGTGAATGCGAAGATTTGTTCACACTCTTTGTTGGCTTCACCACAAGCTGTGTTAGAGGTTGGAGCGTAACTCTCTTGACAAATTGTGAGAGCAATCTGGACTTCATGCCTTTTTGCTCGGCAACAAGATTTTCAAAATAGTGAGCTTTATCAGAATTTGGAACTATGTGGATGGAAGACAGTTTGTCTTGTATAGACCCTAGTGATTTCGTTTTTCTCAAAGTAGTCGATTTGCTACTATTCCGAGTACTTATGATGGATTCACTTTCAAAGCTCCAACAATGAGATGGGTTGGGTGATACTGGCTTTTCCATATTGTAACTCATACTGTTTTGTTGATCTTGATCTGTATATGTTTTTCTTGTATTGTGCAATGCTGACGTTGGCCATGGATATAAGTTACTGGAATGTCTTTTTCTATCAAATTCAGTGGCTAATTCAATTTTCCAGTACGTATTTTCCACAAAACGCTCACTGGTTATATCCTCATCAACGCAAAAGACATTCTTTTTGCTGTTATAATTAGCATGTGCTAATCGCTTACTACGATTGTTGCTTTTACTGTCACTAATACGTTTCGCTGTTCTAAGACTAAGCTGAGAGTTGTCTTTCCTCATTGATGCATTAATACTGTTTATATTCTCTGCTTTGGTCATTGGGTCAAAGACTGTTAGTAACCCTATCTGTTGCAGCTGTATTGTGTCTCCTATAAGCACTGGTTTCATTTGTCGAATATGCTCATTAAAGTTGATCCTAATATTGGTTTGTGCATTCGTAATATATCTTAAGCTACTGTTCGGATATTGAACCGTCCAACTTAGCTGCTCGTTATAATAATAGTTTGGTGGTAATGTCTCCGGAAGTAATAGGCGAAGCCCACGCAATTTGGTAAAATCTCGATTTACCATTGACTGATTGCCACTTTTTTCATTATTACTGTAAGAGCGACAGCTCAAAATCATCTTATGAGTGTCTTCGAACCCGTCTTCCGCTCTGAGTCGGTCTCTCACTGCCCATTTTGTATTAGTATTATCGTTGCTGTCAACTTTTTCCATTACTCTTCTGCCTGGACTTGTCGAGTTTTTCATAGTCTGAAAAAAGGAAGGGGATTTACAAGCGGGATGAATGTATATCTGACTCGATCCTCGAACTGGTCTAATTATATTACTTTTGGAGTACTGTGCACCACCTATTTGCTGTATCTCATCTTCGACTTTTGCCTGGTCATCTTCCTTCGTATATATTTTTGTTATTGAAGGCAGTGAAGCTGAAAGTCTCCATAGGTATTGCGTAACAAATGATTTTTCTGATACTGTCGCTTCGGCTGAAATAGCACGAGTATTGTAATGATCGTTTGCTTGTGGATACAATGCTGGATCCCAACATAAATAGCTGTCCGTTAGTGCATTATATAATTTGATAGGATGGTGTAATGGCACGCGTACAAACTTCCTATCTATGATAGCTTCTATCGCGTGCTTATAATTTGGGGCTAAAAAAAAATGCAAAGGCGCTAAATCCAATCGAGATACAATACAGCAATCTTTCAAAAAATCGCCAATACCATTAACTGACCAGTTATGTTCAGGTGGTGGACTGGTAGTAAGCAATTTTTCCTGTAAAACGTTTAAATGATGATAATAAGCGCTTAAACTATCCATATACCGAGATTTGTAAGTTATTGATGTATGTTTCTTGTAACCCAGCACAATTTTTCTAGGCCATAGGTAACCAAAAGTATCCCACAAATCAAGCAAATCTAGCCATTGTATATTTGGGTCTGCTTCTTCAGCAAACACTTTATCTAATTTTTGTTGCAATGCTCGTGTAGGACGCTCGACATGATCCGTTTTGAACGAGGCATGCTTGAACAGTTGCAGAAGATGTAACGTATTCACTTTATTTGAGCTGTCCGACGAAGCATGAAAGATCATAAAAAATTGAGCAATCGTTTTAAGCATACTATCGTCGTTCAGATGAGTGATAGCAGCACAATGATGGATGAGGTCAGAAGCCCAATCCCATTCTGTGATGATTTGTGCTGTTGTACTATGCTTGTACTGTAGTGGAATGCTATGAGTGCAGTCAGGATGGATGTAGATTGAGGGCTTCTTTTTTAACACAAAGCAAGGCTGAGGCGCAAGCTTTCCATTAGGACAAATACCGCTACGCCAGTCTGAAAGACGTTCAAGAAGTTGAGTGCTTTTTGTTGCATCCAGTTTGTGGATATTCTGGGATTGCATGACTGCATGAAGTATTTATTTGTAAAAGTTGAAGATGAAGGAAAGTTGGTCATTAAACTACTTCCTTTTTTTTTTTTTCAAACCTTTTCATCTATCTGTGTTACAAGTCTGATGACTATCAAGGATTTTATGTTTTCTTTTATGACTAGATATAGAAATTTCTTTGAAACAATCATTTCTACGACTAGCTTATTAAACAGTGGAATGTGTTGAGGATGACACAAACCATACGCTAACTGAAGAGAGCCAGTTCATTACTACAGATACCCATTCAGTTGCGTTAATGCGGTTCAACAGCCATGCTTCACTTTGTTGTTTTTGAAGATCCTCGCTGAATATAAAGTCTTTCGCTGGACCATTAATTTCTAGTGTTTCATTATAGATTCTTACGGCCTCGTCCATATTTTCTCGCATGTACTCTATCCTTTCTAAACTAGGTGGGTGACTAGAGCCAAACCAAGAACTGACAAGCGAGTCCAAAAACTCACGCACACCAAATTCCAAATCCTCATACGTTGGTGGTGCCGTTGAAGGCGATGATGAATTTGCGGAACTATTTATGGTCGTTATTGCTCTTCTTCGTGCATTTTTTTGACTACCTTCATTGCCACTCGTCACAGCGGCCTGGATTTCAGAATCCAGTTCTGCCATCCTCTGCCAAACATCAATTGCTACTCGAGGATCATATCCAGCTTTTGCAAGAATTTTTAGTCCTACAAGGTCCGCCTACAAGACAGATTAGTACCAGGTTCAAATGTCGGCACTTCCTCAGTAGACATAATTGAGAAACATACTTCTTTTTCTAACTTTCTGTTGTAAATTGTTTGAGTTTCCAACGTTACAAAAGTCGAAATACATTCGTTAATTTTTTGGTTCACGTAGGGGCCTAATGATTCTGTCATGATCCAAAATACACCTCTTGTTATATCACCCAGCATAAGCATAAGCGACGCAAATCCATGCTGCTCAACAAAGTGACGCTGAATAGAATGCGCAATTTCATGAGATAAAATAACAGCCAATCTCGTTGAATCATATTCCATGTAATCTAGCAACAAGTTATAAACTACGATGCGAGAACCAGCACACATTGCATTTACAGTACTAGAATCACATATGACATCTACTTCAAAACGTCGTGGATGAATAACAGGACGAGAGACTTCGCCTTCTTTTTCGATGTCTCCTCGTGTCGGGGCGGTTAGTACAACATCACTAGGCGAAGAAGGCGTTGTTAAAGATGCAAACGGCTCCTGTTGTATTTGGTGCTGGTGGAGCAGGGGTACATCATTTGCTTCATAAAGTCTCACTGGGTCACGTATGTCATCTACGGCTGAGGCTGCTAAATTATCAACAATTGTTTGTAACCACATGACGACTTCATTATCCTTTGGAGCTACCAAACCACTCTGTGTTTGTAATAGCTCATCTATTTCTGCATTCACAATCGCTTCTTCTTCTTCTTCACTTAAATAAATCAATCTCAGTCGAGATGTATTTGGTGCCTGACCACAATAAAATTATTAAAGGGTTTCAGATCAAAACATATTGCTCGTCCCTGAATTTCCAGTTATTTTTTTGTGAAATGGGGCTGATTGTTTACACTTTTCCCCCCTATTTATCACTATATTACCTGATCTAAACCTATCACCAATAATAAAGTGAAACCAAATAGTGGTATGCCAGCCAATATCCTCGCAATAGTCTCACTCTTATTGCCTCTTCGGAATGTATGAGGAAGTAATGTCAATGAGGTTTTGGATGAAAGCGATACAAAGCTGACAAGCTTTCCCGTTTTCAGTGCTCCTAATATGATAGCAGGGATAGGTACAATAGGTGCAGCGACTGGCTTTGTAGTGTGGAATAACCGAATATGAGTATTTCTTTGCTGTTGTAGGTTTGTTACTGGATGCTGGCGAGTGTACAGCGGTAGCAGCCTTGGGCACTGTTTCTGTGCTACTCTCGATGAATATTGGTCCACAATCGTAAAGATCTTTTTAATTTTACGGCCACTACGACCATTACTATCAGTTTTGTGGATTGCTCGGTAACAATCGAGGCATATCGGTCCTCCAAAGTTCGACCTTAAAAATCGCAGAATCATATAATTTAGCGGTAAGGCAGTGGAATCCTGGATTATCTGTTCACAGTGACACGATAAAAAGCAAAAGAAAAAAAAAAAAAAAAAAAATTAAAGAGAGGAAAGAATTTCAAAAAAAAAAAGTTCAAAGGGGATAAAAAGATAGGTGCCTGTGTTAATTTGCGTCACATTGGTTTTTTCTTTTTTTGCTTTGCTGCCTGAAGCACAACACTTTATAGAAATAGGATGAACAGCTAAAGAGAGGAACAGCATTTACAAGCCTTTACAAAAACGGTCTAAGGTTCAAGTGAAAGGTGATGCGTTACCAATCATTCTTTTATCAATCTTTGTTTTATTGTCATTTACATTTGCGGGAGAAGTTTAGCGGCCTCAACACAAGCCTTTATTGCAGAGGCACACTCTTTAATAGATTTGAATAGATCTATCAGATGAACTGGGTCATCTGTATGTTCGACTAATTCGGCCAGATATTCCATTTTACAAGTCAAAGCAGATATCATTAGTTCGCTTGATGTATGGGAAACACTGCTATCGACTGTCCTTTGTCTCTTATGCTCTACAACTCTGGATTGTTCATTAATGTCAGAACTATTTGATGAGAGAGTCTTATCATGTTTTTTATGCTTTCGACGATGTGAATGTTTCTTTGATGCTGTTGATGATGCTATGGACGTGACACTCTTTGGTTTCTCTGTCAAGTGATCAGCACTGTTTTGACGTGCCACTGTAGTTTGCTCCGTTCCTGTGTGTTGTGTAAGTAATTGCTTTAACTCTTGTTCCATCTCCTTTTTATCACTCGGGCTTATTTGATATGCTCTTCCTTTGTCTTTATCTATATCTTGTCCATTCTGATCAGTCACGGCTTTGTTCTTCTCTAATTCTTTGAGTTCTTCTTCTGTTAGAATCACATTCTCGCAAATTACACAATATTTTTGTTTTGTTTCTGGATTGCGAATAAGCGGGATCTAAGGGAACAATTGAGGTTACAATCTATCGTCAGATACTTTTTTTTTCTCATTTCTCTTTGATAAGACCATACAGCATAACACGAATTATTGGGACAATGTTCATTTAACAAAGCCCAACGTTGTAACATTTTTTGACCAATAAGTTGTGAAGCTCTAGAAGATTGTTCACGCATCTCTCTTCGTCTACGTAATTCAGCTTCCATATCGTCGTCGGCCTCTGTCGCACCTTGTTGTGAAGCTTGTAATGGTTCTTGCTTGTTGTTATTATTATTGTCTGCTGAGGCTTTTTTATTGTTTAGCCTCGGTTCATAGTGATGATTGGCTCCTTGGGTAGGTAATTCATCATGTAAAGTACAAAAAGAGAGCGTTCCATCTTTTGATCTCATCAAAGGGTAGGAACAATTCTCAACTTTGCAGAGTTCATCCGTCATGACCTGTTTAAAATCATGTGTTCAGATAACAGTCGGATTACTACTTATTTATATAAGCACACTTACCCAACCTTGTAATAAAAATGTACTCAGTAGATCGCCAGCTTCTTTATCGCTTCTCAAAGGTTTAGTCATTCGTTCAGATCGATTGAAGTAAATAAGGGACAGAAATATCAAAAATCCCCACCAATTTTCGCTGCCTTTTGAAAGTAGGCGCGACATGAAAAATCTTTTAATGCAGCTGCAATAGCTTTTGCTTTTCACGCCACCAAAAAAGTTCTTGATAAAGTCCACGTCAACAAAGTAATATCTTCTACATATGAGGCCAATACTTGCGGGTTCTTTATTTGAATTGGGCTTTATAGATACCTACTCTCTCTTTTTGTTATTGTATCTTTAACAGGGTTTACGTATAAAAACCTTTTGTAGTCCAACAGTAAAACCCATGGATGATGAGCAACTTGTAGAAGTAGAATTTGAAATATTATGCCTGCATCAATTATAGCTGTTTGATTTCTGCTAGAACAATACAGACAACTCTTAACTAACTACTATACATATAGTTATTGTTCAAGTGTGCCCACTCATGAACATTATCATTTTCTGATCAAAAGTTTTAAAACTTTCTTTTTTGTAGGCTGATAAGGCCGTTAATATGGTTGGTGAGCGAAAGTTTTACTGTAATACAGATAAAAAGCTAGGGGAAGCCGAGTGTTGCTTTAATGTCACTTTAAGACGCTCTAGCCACGGTTATGCTCATTATCCAACAGCATCATTTTGACAAAAGACATGCTAAAACAACACCAGCTCAATTTACGGTTTGTACTGATTATTTTCAATGCTCGACCATCGTAAAAGATTGCTTATTCTTGCCGCTAAACATTGTAAGCTCGAGCGCAGAATACTGTATGAGCCAGTACTGGGCGCTTGCATTCTAAAAGTTCAGTTTCAAAGTTAGTAACAAACTTCCTATTAAAAGGTCGTTGGGATATCGTTCACAATATCTGTCTAAAATGAAAACTCATACAACATGTAACTATCAGAGAAAGCAGAACTGCAAAATGCAAAGTAATGAACTGGCTGCTCTAATGAAAGGCTGAGCAAATGTCTAAGCTGGAATATACTCACAGCATACGCACTGCAGGAAGCGATTATTGTTGTCATTCCTGCCCCTATAAACTCTGCTCGGTAGCAATACTCTACAGCAACCTTGTATACATAAGAAATTGATTAAAATAATGATACAAGCTGAGGCTGTTCTCAAATATTATTTAAATTGGTAGGATACAAATAATAGAATAAAATGGCATGGCTTGCTTGCATGCTGCAGTTGTGATTTCTTCTTCCATATACTGTTTTTTATTATATCCAATGTACATCTGTAGGTGATATGATTCCAGGGTCGCCTTTTTTAATGGTCTTTTCTCATCTTTTGTTTCGATACATATCACATAGCCTGTTTTTGTTTCTGTGAAATGATATACACATATCTTTGATAAGACATATCAATCTTTTCAAAATGTGATTGCTTTTGTTGTTATCAGACAAAAAGCACGAGATCAACAGTTAGTGGGTTGATATAGCATTATAGATGTGTTGATAGAGTATAGGAAGGAGGAGGAATGGTAAAAGATGTAAGGCATGCTTTCGTATCTATGCTATTAGCAGGACTACTTACACAAGAAATTAGACTCATCGTTTTATCATCCTCGGGGTGTTTAAACTTGCCGCCGTTCACATTTATGCAGCAGCAGCGGCAGCTGCAGGCATTTAAAACAGTTTCAGACAATAATGCCTATTTTCTTCTTCAAATAACCTTCTTCTTTAAACAACCTTTTCCTCGCAGATAACAGCAGCAGCTCTTTTTTAGATCACTTTCTTTTTGTTTTTCGCCGTGTAACTCACTTGAGTATTTGTTTAATTTTCCAGAGAACCATTTATCATACAGCACTTTTCTTTTTTCGTCATTTTTTCTGTTCACGCCACATATAATTAATTTCCTGCTGCGAGAAGATGGGGATTACCTACAGAATCTATTTAGACATGGAACAGCATCAATACCACAAAATATATGCATGTTCAAAATGTAAAAGCCACCTAACTACGGCCCAACGATTGATATCGAAGGTATGCGGATATAAATAGTTTGGAAACGACGAAGCACACCCTTCACATGCTAAAGCACTCTATGGTTATCATGATCAGGATTTTCATGGGCTTCATGGAAAAGCTTATTTATTTGATAAAGTGTATGATACATCTACAGAATATTGCAATACTATATCATCTCATTCTCACTCACTTAGATTCCCTTCTACCATCTTGAGTATATCAGTGTGAATGTGAAGGTTTCTAACGAGCAAGAAGAAAGGTAAGAATGTGTGGTTACTTTATCTTGTGCATTATCGCTTAACATTTGCTGTAGAATCATGACAACAGGCAGGCATTGTATTAGTTTCATCGCTTGTGCCAACTGTGAGAGGGACTTGGGATGGAAATATGTAAATGTGCAGAACAAAATAGATAGAATTGTTCTTTTCCTGTTACTGACTCGCTCAATTCATGACTTTCCGTTACAGGTAAGAGCATATGAGCCAGATCAAAAGTACAAGGAAGGAAAGTATATCTTAGAAAAGTGCTCACTTCGAATGCTGAATTCTCCAATATCGTAAAAAAAGAAAAAGATTTCCTTATCAGATAATTCCCAAACCATTTACACCCCAGCCAGCTGGCTGAAATTGTAAAGAACCTCCTTTCAGCTTTTTCAATTTGGCTTTTTTTTTTTTTCTTTCCCCGTTGAACACTCTTATTCCAATTCTAAATGTGGCAAGAAGCAAAAGCAAATGATAAGAGGGTACTATTACATATGTTCCATAACCTAAATAAATAAGCCAGCTCATCGTTGACTATGACAAGTTTTGCAATCGAACATTCATTCTTATTTCGATAATACTACTTAAAAGACAAAAAAAAAAAAAAGCTACTTCAGGGTGAATGAGTATATTAAAGAGATCATCGCTTTTAGATTAGAGAGCTCATGGTAGATCATCGGAAAAGGGCCGAGAGAAGGCGTGCCTATTATGAGTCCAGAGTAAAGTCTTCCTTAAACGATTGGTAGTTTATCATCAATTCTAAAAAAGAATATTCGCTTGCATGTAGCTCGGTGATCCTCAGCAACTTATTCGTGTTATTGGTTCATCTTCAAAATTATATCCTGACGCTGAACAATTCTATTATCATGAAAATACAGATAACCTGTAAGTTTGGTGCTCTTATAAGTCGTAAATCCTTCTTGCGTCCATTACCTTTGCTAACACACACAAACACACACACACACACACACACACACACACACACACACACACACAAACACACGCATATACAGCATGCCTTGGCCAGGAAATCCTGAAATAAAAATTGACCGGTAAAATGAAGAGGGTTTCCCAATCAATTAGATTGGACTGAGGCATTTTTTTTTACTATTTTATTTTGCTTTGGCTCATCGTACTCTGTATATTTAGTTTTGATGGTCGATCACTCTTGGACTTTGTACCTGAATCTGTTGAAACTTACAAGGTCTCCAGAACTGAAGAAGAAATGTCAGAAGAGCTGAACTTCGAACGATATCATGATTTGATAGAAGCTGAGCGATTGAAAAGTAAAATCAAGGAAGCAGATAAAGGAAGTCGAGATACTTATTCATAATGATGGATCCTAACCATGTCTTTTATTTCAGTTACCGAGGCAGAGCGATTAGCGACAGTCGAAGAAGAATGGACAAAATTGTTAGACCGGCATCAAGCCAAGTTGGCTATGTTGGAGAAAGATCAAAAGTAAGTAAGCAAAAGGATGAACTGGAGGTTTTTTTTTTCTTTCTCGTACGGAAACTAATCGAGTATGGAAAAAGTAGAAAAAACAAAGCTTCTTTCGGCTTTGATTATGGCACTCGTAAAGTATCAGCAGACGAAGAAATCGATGATTTAGACGATGAAAAAGAATCACGGCTTTTAAAGGAGGTCAATATATTGCAATATGTGGATGATCTTACTGATAAAGACCGACAGATTTTGAACGAAATGTCCAGCAAGTATGGTATTCGCAGTTATGCTCGATTATTGCGAGTTGCCAAGAAAGATCAGGATAGTGAGCTAAGAGCTCTACGAAGAAAAGAGAAGGAAAAGACAAAGACAGATGATGGACTGACGCGTGCTGAAAGGAAGAAAAGAAGACGCAGAAAGAGAAGAAGAAGAAGAAGAGAAACTCTTGGAAAGGATGAGTATGGTAGACAAAGACGACGCCATAGTCCCAGCTATAATGCTTTTGATGATGACGAAGATGATGACAGCGAATACACAGATGATAGTGAAACATCAACAGATGGTTCAACAACAGACAATGGCAGTGAAGATTCCGATTTTCAAATCGAATTTGGATCAAATTCACCAGAAGACCAACAAAAGAAAGAGGACGACAAGGAAGATACTACACATGATAGTCAATACAAGAAAGGCAGTAGTAGTGGCAGTCAATCATTATCCACTGAAATAAAACTCACACCAATGGAAAAATTAAAGTTGAAAATGAGAGCTGGTCTAGCAAAAACAAGTGAGTTGTTATTTTTAGCGATTTGAAAGGTTTAACCATGTATTCTAATGATGATGTTGTTCGACATAGTCGAGTCTGACGAAAGAGACAGAAAGCAGAAAGAGAAGGAAACGGAGCTTGAACAATTACAAGAATTGGCCAGGAGCCAGGGTTTGCCTATCAATGCATACCTTGAGCCTGATCTTGCATTAAGAGATAACGCGAAAGAAGAAATAGGCAGTAGCACTACATATAGAAAAGAAAGGTATCGCTCACCTTCAACGTCCGCCGATGAGAAGGAGCCTACTGTTTCTGCTAGTAGCAGCATGAAAAAAAGATATCGCTCACCTTCAACCTCAGCTGATGAGAAAGATCACAAACTTCATGCGGCCTCGGCTACATTGAACAAACCTAGCAGTGGTAGATATCGCTTTCCTTCTACACCTCATACTCGTTCTCGTTCTCGCTCTCCGTTATACGCTTACAGTAAAAATAGTGGTTATAAAAGAAGAAAATATCGCTCACCATCTGGGTCTCGTTCACGTTCACGTTCACGATCGCGTAGTGAAAGGGAAAGACGATACAATCAACAACCCCATGCTGTTACAACAAGGCGTAATACCAAGCATCTTTCTCCACCAGCCTCCTCTTCAACGTCTCGTCACCGATATAGGTCACCAACCACATCGGATGAAGATGAGCATCGTCGATATAGAAGCATAGAAAGAAAGAGAAACTCTTATCATGGTAGCAGTAGTAGTCGTAGTAAGAGATACAGTCGAAGCCGTAGTCGTGACCGTTCTAGACGAGAAGGAAAAACTCACAGAAGATGAAATGTTACGGCTGTTTCTTTTCATTTCTTTTAACGGAGAGTGTTCATTCTTGTTTCAATTAAAATTAGAATTCCTTAAGAAAAACTTATATACGCTTCTTGTGTATAAAATATTGATAAAAACGATCCATGAAATGAAATTTCGGAAGAATACTAATACTTCTCAGTTGTAAACTCATTATAATTGGTTTTAGAATTCCTCTGCTTTTTGCACCAAGGATTCCAGAATTAAATAAATTGATAAACTGATGAGGCTCGGACTTGGACTGGGAAGGGAGTTTACTGAAATGCTGGTACCAAGCGTTGAAAGATAGAAAAAACAACCAAAAAACAACTAAGGATAAAGATTGGCACCTGCTTCAAGCGACTTAAATTATTGCCATTACTTTCCCTTTTCAGATATAATAAAACAATTAGTTATTTTATACTAAAGTTCACAGAAGGCTTCAGAATGTCCACGTTTCTGTTTAACAATTCCCGGAGCGACACAGGTCGCTCACTAAGCTTATTGAAATATAAACGGAAGAGAGATTGTTTTTCTTTGACCTGTTTAAGATTATGGTTCATGGAAAAAAGGAAAGGGACTGATAGTACTAGATAAGAGTCATCTGATCGACTACAATAAAAGAGCACCGCGAACACAATGGCAGTCTTTCCTTATTCTATTCTTTCCCTCTCTCCCTAAAAAGCAAAGAATTACAGCATTTCCTATCAAATGATGACTGAGAAGAGCCATGTTCCAGTAGATAGCTCTAAAAAGCGCACTGTAACGTTACAGGAATTGTTGGACAGGGCAATGAATAGAAGTAGTGTTAATGCGGTTGATAAGTTAATGGACACCTTTATGGACGTTGATAAAGATGACGATGGCTACATCAATCGGGATGAACTTGCTTCCGTGTTGAAAACTGTACTAGAACTGGACGACCAAGAAACATTGTCTGATCAAGACCTGGATGAAACTATGCAATCACTTGATACAGACAAAGATGGCCTCATTAACTATACAGAGTTGTGTGACTTGCTGACTATCCTAGCATAATGATTGACACAAGTGAGCTTTTACATATGCTAAACTTTTATACAGGCATTTAAATAAATTCATGTATGGATTTTGGTAAGGAGAAAGGGAAGGCCTTGAGTCACTTCTGTTTGGCTCATTGAATCAAAACATAGCATTGGCAAGCTGCAGTGGAGAAAATCTATACAGCAGGCCCTGATTTATCATAAGATTCACTGCATCAAACCATAAAGGTTCTACTTATAGTACGTTCTTGAGACAAAGATATATGTATTGTGTCCGTAGGGCAATGAACCTTTATGATATTCCTATTCGTGGTCTGGCACGTCACACAATTCACGCTTAAGCGGGGAAAAGCCTATTGCATTTCAGTTTTCCCCGTCTATCTTTTTCCTCCTCAGCTTCTCTACTTTTTTTTTGTTTGAAACGTTAAAGTGTCCTATTATGAAGTTGTTGACTTTGACAACTGCAGTTGCAACACTATTGTCAGGTGTTTTAGGTAATAAAGGAAAAGCAACAGCAGCAACAATACATATGATACAATTATATACACACAGAGTAGGGAAGGAGACTAAAATGTAATTTCACTCTTGTCATCTTGAACCTTTTCAATGTGTTTCAGCTCGTTCCTCCGTACATTTCACAACCAATAATGTCAATAATAACGCATTGGACAATGCACCCGAAGTTTCGATGAACGCCTTTTCTATGTTTTATTCACATATTATGGATAGTACAATTAAGCACCCTGCTTTACGTTTACAAGATAAAAGTCAGATGGAGGCCATGGAAGGTTTCGAGGAGTTGAAACCTTTCATACCTACAACAAACAGTCCGTTTGAAAAAAAAGTGGACGCCAGTTTAGTGGTTCTTATAAAAGGCGTCAACTCGCCTGAAGGTACACTTGAATGGTTCTCTGATTAGAAAAGGGAAAGTGTCGCGCATTTTTAACAATCCTTTGCAACCATTGCGTTGTTGTTTTCCACAACAGAATTATTTGCTACTTCATTCTACGTTTCTGATGACGAAGCTGAACACTATGATTCCTTGTTGAAGAATATTGCGCAAGAATTAGAAGAAAAGAACGATATTTCTCTTGTCAAATATGAAAATCAAAAGGTAAATGCACTGTTGCTTGAAAGATGAAACGCTGATATTGAAATAACACGAGAATGACTTACACACATACACACACACACACACACACACTCCGGTTCTAAAACAATAATAGACTGTTGTTCATCGTGATAATAAAGCTGGAGAATCTACTATTTCTTCTGACAATATGGATCAGTTCGAGCAAGTCTTTGATGAAATTGACTTTACATTATTTGACAAGAAAAATGAGGTATGTTTCAAAGGTGCGAAAAGGGCTAGAAAAATCAGAATAACAGAAAGGCTAAAAAGTATGGCTCCTATCTGATGTAGGCTGATAGACTGTTCATGATCGAAGTACAAGCTTTATATCAGTTGGAAGCAAGTGATTACGAATTCATTAAAATTAATACCTTGCAGGTAAAGGGAAAGGAACGGACGCTATATTTGCTACTAGAGAAAACAATGGTCTAATACGCTGGCCATCAATTATATTTTACTTTAGTCTCTCCTCCAAACTTATGGTGCAGACTCTGAAAAATACAAAGAAGCTCAATCTATTTTGAAATCACTTTTCATCAAGCACATTATACCAAACTTTCAACAACGCCAGTCCCTTACTACCACTCCTACTACCACTACCACTACTTTTATTATGACACCTCCTTCTAATAAGCAATGTCGTGTAAAGCGTGATGCTGTTGTGAATGGTGTAAAGCAAGATTCTTGTTTTTTATCATTGGAAGCTTGTAACAATGCTACCTCAGGTTGCCAAGGTCATGGTCAGTGTAAAGCTACTATTGTTGGGGGTAATGACAAATGTTATACTTGTCAATGTGAAGCTTCCTATTTAGGTGATTCTTGTCAGTATGTGGATGCTGTGGGTGACTTCCAACTCTTATTCTGGACTAGTGTCTTTTTGGTTGTCGTTACTTCAGGTGTTGTCTTTTGTGTTTATCAAAGTGGAAGTAATTCCGACGGTGGAATTATCATGACACAATCCGCTCCTAAGCACGAGTAAAGTCCGTCGCTCTTTTGAAGTATACATATACTATATATACATATACACATGTATGACTTTCATTAAAAATATCCCATTTGAAAAATAAACGACCAGAATTTTTACCCCATCTTCCTCTTAATACGTGATTGTAACAAGTCTAGTGCGATTATTTTAGAAAGAGATTGCGACACATGTAGTGGATAATATGAAAGGAATAATATAGCTGTATACATGTGTACAATGAAAAGGCTGATTTTTGCATTCTTCATTTGATTCTCTATCCCCCCTTCCTTTCCCTCCTTTTATTTTCCATGACAGTGTATATACATTTTTGACAGATCTTCCAAAAGTAATATAAAGCATTATAGACAACCCAATAGAACAAATTTGTATGGGGAAGTTTTATCTCATCGTTTACAAGAAAATGAAGGAGCAAAGATAGGTAGGAAGACTGCGCAAAGTATGTACTAATATTGTTTTTCTTGAAAAGAAAGAGGATATCCATGCTTCATAGTGATCAACATGAATTCTATGCCATGGCTATTATCAGAAGATAAATTGGGGTTGATGCAGACCTTTCCTAGATCATAAGATCAGTAGGAAGCTTTTTTTTTTTTTTTTTGTTTTCTTTTCTTTTTGTTTGTTTGTTTGTTTCTTTAGGTCAAATTTGCACCATGGTAATAGAGAAAAAGAACGACGGAAAGAACAGCTCTGTTTCTTGTTGTTAAGGAAGCCTACGTACATTATGGTTTTTGTTTTCTACATTGACAGATTTAAAGTTATTTTCAAGTTAAACTTTTAAAAATCATCAAATGGATAGAAACATATACACCGTATCATCCCAAAGCGAATTGAAAATAAGCAGCAGCAGAAGCAATGCTAAGTAGGGCTGTACAAATATGAAAGAATGGTGATGCAATGCTTAAGAATGTGGGGGAGGTGAGGGTGCATAAATCACGAAGTTCGCAGTTCATGTAATAGATCACACAGAAAGACACGGACATCCGATGATGCATTGTAGTTTAAGATTGGTTGAGGGTCTTTTGTTTAAAGAACAGGTTTTATTAAAACAAGAAAGGAAGCAACTATAAGTTTATTACTATAGAGAGATGCATTTTATCTACAAAAGAAATTTCGGATATGAATGAAAGGAGCAGGAAAAGGGGAGTTCAAAGCACATTTATGCACAAGTATCAAAAAAAAAAAAAAAAGCTATTCGTTGTTAAGTGAATTATGAATTACGTAGTATAGGGACTTAATAAATGGAAAAGGAATTGGCTATAGGGTGGTATCTTGTATGGGATGGCTTTCATTCGCTTGTTTGTCAGAGAATTGTTTCAATTTCAATAAACATGTAAATGAAAAATAAAATAAAGAAAACAACCATTGTTAATGAGAGCCATTACTACTACTGTTACTGCTACTGTTGTGTTCAATATAGTTATAGTGTAATGATAACCTTGTTGGTAAAGGTGCCACTAATGTAGGATACTCTCTGTTTTCGGAATGACACGAAGAAAGATGATGATGCGGATGTTGATAAGGATGATGGTGACGTCGAGCATCACTTATTCTTGTAGGAGGCGTTGTAGGTGTCCAGGATTTGGAAGGAGGTGTTGTTGTAGTAGCACCAGAAGTAATAGTAGCCATTGTTGCAGATGTTGTTGTTGTTGTTGTTGTTGTTGTTGCTGCTGTTTTTTTGGTGAGAGCAGGAGGAGTGACAGGTGGTGATCTCATCATACTGGATTCTCTTTTGAACGAATGATTGTGGCTATTACTGCTACTGGTATTGCTATGGTTGCTGACCATGGTAGCCAAGCTTTCATTACTTGAAGAACGACTCGATTTGTGGATACCGTTGTTCGTGTTGTTACTGCTGTTACTGCCACCACCACTACCAGCACCATGACCACCATGACTGCTGCTATTGCTGTTACTACGTGATTTACGAATCCCTTGAAGTGTACGATATCGATTAAAACAAGTGGCGCGTTTACGATGGGGTAGTTTTCCTGAAATTTGTCCCCAAGTTAGCCCTTTTCGTACACCATCACATATAATCGCATCTTCAAAATCAGAAAAACGACTACGAGGTTTTCCATTGTGGCTGTTACCCGTAGGCGCACTTGTGGTGGTAGCGGTAGTTGTGTTGGTGGTGTTGGTGGTGATGGTGGCAGTAGGCGTGCTGTTACTGCTTATTGTAGAAGCAATTGAACTGATACTGGATGTGGCACTCAACATATGATTGGATGCTCTCGTTACGGTGGGTGAGGATGATAGTGATGAAGAGGGCGATGATGAGAAATAATCCATCGCTTGGGGCTGGTGGTGATGTTGATGAGGAGTATGGTTGACGTGATGCTGCTGTCGCCGTCGTGGTGAAGGAGGTGGAGAAGAAAGTTGGCCAACGACAACAGTTGGATTAAGCATATCAGCAACTATGAACATAGAACGACAAAAGTAAGTAAACATTTTTAAGGCTTTCAATAGAAGTTGACATGCTAGACGACTTACTTTTCATTTTTTACGAGTAAGAATGACTATTTGCCAATGAGAGAAGAAAAGAAAGAAAGAAAAAAAAAAAAAAAAAAAAGAAAAAAAAAGAAGAAGGATAGATTATTGTAAGAGCAAAAAGATTTGTATTGTTATCTACATATTTATATATGCTTGCAGTAAAGTTAATATTTGTATTGTACATATAATGATTTTCATATCAAATACTTCAATCACTAAAAGAAAGAAAGTGTTGATTTAATTGACAGCAATGGAAAACAGGTGATAATAAACCCTATTTTTACATCAACAGTATATCTCTAAAGGGTCATTCAAGGGGGTCCTCCACTATTGGAGATAGGAAAAGAAGGATCATTGTCACTGACTATAAGTCCCGCCAATTTCTCTTTTGGTATGAAAATCGTGTGTTTGGGAGCAAGGTACATATTAAGTAGTAATAGCTTTTGGGTGGCAAAAAAAAAAAGGACCGACGTAACGTTTACGGGTCATCACGATTGCGGAAGAGTTGGTGAGGGGGGGGGGAGGGGATGTACCATAAGAAGAAATATCCAGACACGGACATAAGCACAGGTGCAGACGCAGACGCAGACGCAGACGCAGACGCAGACAGAGGCACAGGCACAGACACAGACACAGAACATGCAGCATTTGTTGATCGGATTTTTGGTATTATGCAGATTTCTTTATTTTGCATTATATAACAAAGAACGTTTTAATACTTACATCAAGGTGCTTTGGAATGTATAATGACAAATAATATATATTATACGTATATATTATATTGTATATATATATTTTAATACGGTAATAATCCCGTTTTTCTTTTTCCTACTTTTTTTTTTTTAATAAATAACTTGCTATCCTTGTTCATTCTTTATGAAATTTATTATATTCTTGAAAGTGTGTCCATAGAATGAGTTTGGGTCTAACGTTTGCAACCTTTTTTTTTTTTTTTTTTTTTTTTTTCCTTTTCTGTTGGTACAAATAATGATAAATTAGTGTGAAGTGACTATGACAATAAGAGATAGAATAACGTAAAGATGAACGATCAAATCATATTGGGTTTCCTTTATGAACACTTTCTCTAGTTATCGAGAGAATGAAACCAATTTTTCGTATCTAACAATATGCAATCCTTTTATGCTCAAACATAATAAGCACAGTAAAGCACGGGCCCTTTGTAATGCTTTAAATAACCCCTGACAGGGAGTTTAATTTGTAACATTAACTTTTTTGTCAACACAGATATTTATTGTTGATTCTTCATGCATTGCTCTGAATCAACAAACGCAAGATGTACAGATCCTTTTTCTGCTCGTTTCAAGTCATCTCAAAATGATCATTTCTAATATCGATAAATGTACAAGTTAGGTTTAATGGGATGAGGAAAGGAAAAAGAAAGTATCTCTAGAAAAAAAAAAAGATAAAAAAGGCAAGCTTTGGAGCCTAGGTGTATGTGCATGTATATATAAATATATAGATGTATATGTGTGTATGAGTGTGTCAGTGTGTAAGAGCGTGAGTGTATATGAGCATGCGTTTGTGTGTACGTAGATAGATAGATAGATAATTGACGAATATTATTAAAGCAGTTGATACCTGATGTGCCAATGTATAAGTTTGGCACTACCTCGTTTTTTGGTTTCTAATGGCCATTGATGTCTCTACCCTCTTTTTATACATATATTCCTATTACTCTGATTGAGTTACAGTTTGTTACTCTTCCATAGCATCTTCGTCATCAAGATCAAGTTCTTCGTCTGCTCCCTCTTCATCTGCTGCTGCTTCAAAGTTGATAGGAACAACTTCATTAATAGATGAGATGAGTTCTTTCGCGTGATCAATCAATGCTTCATCTTCAGAGCCCACGATATCAAACAACTAGTTGTATATACAAGAAAACAAATCAAATGTTTTTAAGCTTTCAATTAGTCATTCATTCTTTTACAACATGAGTATGTTTTCAATTTGTTTTCTCCTTCTTCTGTGTAGGATGTATATATGTCATCACTTTACCCTCACTGCTGTTTCTAAACAATCCCTTGCATCTGCCCACAACGTCGTTTTGTCTTCTGGTGATCTGTCGTCTTCGTCTCCCAAGCAATAATAAGTCCAACCATACAAATACCACAGGTCGACGACTTCTTCATTTTCCTTTTGCAGATTCTCCAGCACAGTAAAGGCATGGTCAAACATACCGACCTCCAACAAAAGTTTCACGAGATTCAGACGACTTTCATAAATGGGTATCGCGGGATCGCCTAAGTCTTTGTGAATCCATAATTCCATCGCCGTCGTCAGCGCTTGACGTGCCTCGTCCTGACGTTGTTGACTCAGTCTTACAGACGCAAGCGTTTGATACACTTCGGAATTGTTCGGGTCCACTTCAAGAGCGTGTTTCGTATATTCTTCACATTTCTGTTCTGCTTCAGGTTCAAAACATAAATCTGTGAGATAGAGTTCCGTCATGGAACAAAGCGCGCTGGATATCTTTGATGCAATCACTTTGGAGTCTTCAGAGTCAGCTGGTAGTTTGTTTCTTTCAATGACCATCAAGTCGACGCCTTTTTGAAAGGCTTCAATAGCATCTTTGGCGACTGACATTTGTCCTAAATACATGTATTTACTGTAACCAGCATTCGGTTCTAACTGTATGGATTCTAATAAATGCTTTTTGAATAGTAAAAAAAATAAATTAAGTCTATGTTTATATGATACCTCGTGGTCTCATAAAGTAGTTTGAATGACTTACTTTGCGTGCTGATTCATAATATCCAAGTTCAAGTTCAACTTGGCCCATCATCTCTAGCACTGTGGCATTCTTGGGTTCCAACTCTAATGCCTTTTTACAAAACTTATATGCAGCTTTGTATTCTAAATCTTCAATATTTTGCAATATTCTTGGTTTTAGATCTTCGACTGTATAATTAACAGAAGACATTGGAGGTTGAGACTTTTTTGAACGGGAAGATAAGGTAGGGTTGAAAGAAAAGGTGAGGGTTGGGTGGGGAGTTGAGATGTGGGGAGGAAATGAATAGGGAAAGAGCCAAAGTATGATTTGTTTTAGTGATGATATTGTATCAAAAAGTAGGCCATAAGAAAGGGCGTCACAAGCCTACGATTTAGGTGAGGAGAGGGGGGTGTGAAGCGGGGACGGGCAAGAAAGCCACTGCCGGATCAAAAAAAAATCAGACGCCGTCAGCCCAGTTCCTAAAATTTTCTGTGATTTTTTTCGGCTTCAAAGCGAGTAGTATGTATGTCAAACATAAAAGCGCAATGATGAAACCAGTGGGGAAAATATATGTTGATAAAATCTGTTTTAAGCAGCTTTTCTTTCATAAGGAGGGAAGTATGACTTCTCTTTTTGAGCTTATTCTTTCAGAAGGACTGCTTGAAATGACATGGATGCAATAGGGTATAGAATATACCAAAAAGTAATGACACTCAAGCATAAAACTAGATTACCATAATTTTTCTGCGAGTTCTGTACTAAGCATTCGTACGGACAATTCTTGTAGAAAGCATCAAATCGATCACGTGGGATCAAGAAGTATCTAATCGGTTGGAACTACATATGCTAACCTGCATAGAACTATCCGCTTTAAAAGATGTTCAACAGAACGCTTTTCCGTTGTACAATGGACGCATTGTATAGGTTAAATCGCTTAAAAAGAACTCCCGATTGGATGCTTTCCATCTGCAACCGAACTGAATAGTGAAAAAGATGGATCAAATGCAAATAACAAAAAAGAACTGTGTTAAACCATGAAAAAAGGCCTCAACAAAAATTTAAAAGACAGCAGATTTTATGACATAAAAGTCTTCTATTAAATCTGCAAGCTAAAAATATAAAAATAGACAACAAAATGTCTCAGGTTGACAGAACTGGCTCACTCGTTATACATGGTCTTTTGATAATCCATAAATGAAATCAGTACTGTCTGCTTCTAGGGTAAGTACCCGTCGGCCAGAAATCAAAAGAGACTGACGAGATAGGTACAGTATTTTTACTTGAAATTGAGATGTTTCTGCAATATTTCTAGAAGAATTAAATTTCATTTTGGACTATCTTATTTATTTTCTGGACAAATTTACCTAACTGATTTAGACAGGTGTAATATATTTTTAGACAAGTCCTTTTTTTTGAGACGAGTGTAATAATTGAACTCTTTGTCAGGATCCAATTCCAATTTAGATAATACCAGTGATTGTTATTTTTTTTTGTTCATCTTGACTCGTAACAATTGCTGAACACTTTCAAATGACCCTTGAGATTAAACCTCGTCAAAAACTTGACTCCTCAGTTGTAAACTACAGAGCTTTTCCTTTTGTCTACAAGGATTCTAATTTATTAAAAAAAGTACCACACTGGTTTTTTTAATCGTAAGTTATCGTCTTAGCAAAAGGTGCACGAGTCAAGAAGTCTTCATAAAGAAGTTCTTCAGTTCACTTTATACGAATATCAATATACCGCCTATGTATTTTATCACTACATCTATACAAATTTTTTTTTTTTTTTTTTTTTTTTTTTTGCTTGAGGGTGTTTATTGTATATAAAAATGGACTTTCATACTTTATAGCTTTGATTTTTCTTTTTCTTTTTTTTTTAAGTTACCTTAAGCAACCCCCAAAAAGAGGAATATAAAAGTAGACCCGCTTTTACAAAATGAAGGAATATAATATAGTAACCAGGAAATATAATAGTATTGTTCTTCCAGCATCAATTGGTCACCCCACTCTTTCTGATTTTTCATTTCAGCATTTCACTTGGCTTTTTTGTCATTTCAGAATTTCACTTGGCTTTTTTTTTATTTCAGCTTTTCACTTGGCTTTTTTTCAGCATTTCACTTGGCTTTTTTGTCATTTCAGCTTTTCACTTGGCTTTTTTGTCATTTCAGCTTTTCACTTGGCTTTTTTGTCATTTCAGCTTTTCACTTGGCTTTTTTGTCATTTCAGCTTTTCACTTTGACGTGTTTGGTGAGATAATAACTACAATACTCGAGTACGTACAACCAGGTAGAGAATACATTCTACCACGGTCTATCTATATTGCATCTAATATAGGTTATGTACAACATAGAACAAGATATAGGCCTAAGTATAATAATCACCCAATAAGCATCTGAACCTGAAATTAGTGACTAGCATACGCGTCCTCAAATAATATAATTCCCATTAAACCTCACAAAGTAAATAATCCTTCTACTTCATCTGAAGAATAATAAAGACACCTAAGTTCATAGTCATCGACTTACAACTGTTATCAATTTTTTAAATAAGCAAATACAACACACTTGGCTTTTTTGTCATTTCAGCTTTTCACTTGGCTTTTTGTCATTTCAGCTTTTCACTTGGCTTTTTTTTCATTTCAGCTTTTCACTTGGCTTTTTTGTCATTTCAGCTTTTCACTTGGCTTTTTTTCAGCTTTTCAGCATTTCACTTGGAAAAAAATCATGATTGTTATTTCTCGCGAGGAAGCAGTATGTTTGTTTTATGCTGTGCCATACAATGAAGAGAATGTTAGAAAATATACCAAGATCCTCGATGAAACGAAAGCTATAACCATTTGTTACTCTGAAGATCCTAGGCGCCCATTTCTTTGCTCGCTAAAGTCGATGGAACTTGATCCATCAGAATATAAACAATACCCTGCAATTCTGCAGGTAGCCAAACATTCAAGCAGTTTTGAAACAACAAGTTTTTAATGAATAAAAGAATTTTTTAAATGTAGAGTTAATTGATTTAGTTTAGGAGTGAGAGAGGGGCAACATCTTTGAGCGATGAAACTAGTTTTCTCTACCATCGAATCTAAATAAACTTCTTTTTTCAACAATTTCGTCCTCGGATTCTAATATATGTATTTGGTTGTCATGTGCAATAGTTTCTATGATTATCTTTTTTAAACTTGGGTATTTACTGAAGCCAAAGTTAGTTATTTGTTTTACTCAGAAAATAATGTGACACTTACGAAAGAAATAATTCCAGATCTTTTATATTGGTAGTTAAACCTGCAGAATCAATAACTACTAAGCATGCTTTTTCTATCTTTGCTAAACCCTTTAGTAGATCTACAATCAAAAAGTTGGTATAAAATGCAAAATTGTATTACATAATACTTTATATAAGATATTGGATACCTTGGGCGTCACCAGCCACACCTGACAACTCATCTAGTATTTTGTTCTTCTTTAAGTCTCTTTTACTTATCGGAGTCTTTGAATTGCAGCTGACTGTAACATAAACACTTTCTACTAGTGATCTCTCCTTTAATCCGACTATCATCGACTGAAGTGATGCAACTACATTAGTATTATCCTCCTTCGTTCTTGATTTGCGACAATAGCCCAATATATTATATCCGTCTTGTTTGAGTCAGTTATATATTCTTTATATCTTTCAGGTAGTGTAGCAATATATGCCGATAATGCATCTACGATGTGATAATTATTAATACTGTAATAGTGATAATAATAAACCCGTTACTTACCTTTAAAGTGGTCTTTTAATACATATATGCCTCTTAATGATAATCTTGTCCCTAGCTTTCCATGTTTTCTCTTAACCCCCGCATCCAAACACTTCAATTTTTGTGAGGTGCACCATACTCTGAATTTGCTACAAGGTTCGTCTTGAAAAGCTAAACTGTAGTTCTGTATCTCTGACATGATATCATCAATTGACAAATATCTTAATTCATACGATATTGATTTGGGGTCCATTGGTAGATACGCAGTATCTAAGAACTGTTTTAGCTGCTGTTTGGACTCTATAAAAAGGATAAGCTTAGTCATTGAAGGCAAAAAAAATACTTCTGAATACGTACCAAGCATTATTTTATTATTCGTATTGACAACATCATGTGTTTCTTTATCCTCGTCTTCATTTATTTCTTTATTTTGTTCTTCGGTTACTTCTTTATTTTTTTCATTTTCTTCTTTATCTTCTTCATTTGTTTCTAGATTAATTTCAATCGTCGTTTTTTCATTTTCTTCTTTATCTTCTTCATTTGCTTCTAGATTAATTTCAATCGTCGTTTTTTCATTTTCTTCTTTATCTTCTTCATTTGCTTCTAGATTAATTTCAATCGTCGTTTTTTCATTTTCTTCTTTATCTTCTTCATTTGCTTCTAGATTAATTTCAATCGTATCTTTTGACGTATACAAGTTGATGTCGAACCAATTCGCGTAAATAACTCTTGTGCACAAAAGTTTTGGTTTCTTAGGGTTTCTTGTAAAGCATATTTCTACATCTTCTAATTCATCGATGATCTTGGTATATTTTCTAACATTCTCTTCATTGTATGGCACAGCATAAAACAAACATACTGCTTCCTCGCGAGAAATAACAATCATGATTTTTTTCCAAGTGAAATGCTGAAAAGCTGAAAAAAAGCCAAGTGAAAAGCTGAAATGACAAAAAAGCCAAGTGAAAAGCTGAAATGAAAAAAAAGCCAAGTGAAAAGCTGAAATGACAAAAAGCCAAGTGAAAAGCTGAAATGACAAAAAAGCCAAGTGTGTTGTATTTGCTTATTTAAAAAATTGATAACAGTTGTAAGTCGATGACTATGAACTTAGGTGTCTTTATTATTCTTCAGATGAAGTAGAAGGATTATTTACTTTGTGAGGTTTAATGGGAATTATATTATTTGAGGACGCGTATGCTAGTCACTAATTTCAGGTTCAGATGCTTATTGGGTGATTATTATACTTAGGCCTATATCTTGTTCTATGTTGTACATAACCTATATTAGATGCAATATAGATAGACCGTGGTAGAATGTATTCTCTACCTGGTTGTACGTACTCGAGTATTGTAGTTATTATCTCACCAAACACGTCAAAGTGAAAAGCTGAAATGACAAAAAAGCCAAGTGAAAAGCTGAAATGACAAAAAAGCCAAGTGAAAAGCTGAAATGACAAAAAAGCCAAGTGAAAAGCTGAAATGACAAAAAAGCCAAGTGAAATGCTGAAAAAAAGCCAAGTGAAAAGCTGAAATAAAAAAAAAGCCAAGTGAAATTCTGAAATGACAAAAAAGCCAAGTGAAATGCTGAAATGAAAAATCAGAAAGAGTGGGGTGACCAATTGATGCTGGAAGAACAATACTATTATATTTCCTGGTTACTATATTATATTCCTTCATTTTGTAAAAGCGGGTCTACTTTTATATTCCTCTTTTTGGGGGTTGCTTAAGGTAACTTAAAAAAAAAAGAAAAAGAAAAATCAAAGCTATAAAGTATGAAAGTCCATTTTTATATACAATAAACACCCTCAAGCAAAAAAAAAAAAAAAAAAAAAAAAAAAATTTGTATAGATGTAGTGATAAAATACATAGGCGGTATATTGATATTCGTATAAAGTGAACTGAAGAACTTCTTTATGAAGACTTCTTGACTCGTGCACCTTTTGCTAAGACGATAACTTACGATTAAAAAAACCAGTGTGGTACTTTTTTTAATAAATTAGAATCCTTGTAGACAAAAGGAAAAGCTCTGTAGTTTACAACTGAGGAGTCAAGTTTTTGACGAGGTTTAATCTCAAGGGTCATTTGAAAGTGTTCAGCAATTGTTACGAGTCAAGATGAACAAAAAAAAATAACAATCACTGGTATTATCTAAATTGGAATTGGATCCTGACAAAGAGTTCAATTATTACACTCGTCTCAAAAAAAAGGACTTGTCTAAAAATATATTACACCTGTCTAAATCAGTTAGGTAAATTTGTCCAGAAAATAAATAAGATAGTCCAAAATGAAATTTAATTCTTCTAGAAATATTGCAGAAACATCTCAATTTCAAGTAAAAATACTGTACGTGGTACAACTGCACCACAGAATATTCTATTTCATTTTTGAAACCCAGCTAAAAGACTCGTGTGTTTGACCCAATGAACTCCATTTTTATTATATTTCTAGGTCAGTTGAGGGTTGTTGATTCAGTTCAAAAGGACAAAAAGCAACAGCAGTTACGTATTTTTACGCGAATAAAAAGGTCTTGCTTTATATGAACAAAAGCTTAATTACATTGCAAATAAACAAAAGATTACTCTATCTGTATGTTTAACATTTGAATGTTGTCTAATAGTTAAACACGTACTTTTTTATATCTATACACATCTATTTCATAAGTCCTATAAGCTGGATGATCGTTTGCAATCATCTCCTCTTTTCTGCTTCAAAAAGAGTCACTGGTTTCTGAAGAAACGGAAGCAAAAATTTTCAAGACACACAGTGCCAAAAATCAGTTTTTCTTTTAAAGGTCCATTCTAAAAATAAATAACTCCATTCTAAGGTGAGACTTTATGAAGTTTAATTACTAATTTACAGTACAAGCAAAGAGCATAGCTTAACTTTATATAATAGTTTTTTCACTCGACAGACGTTTTTAATCTGTACCAAAAAGGTTTCCACGCGTCTGTAGGTCACATGTTTTTATAACGTAGAAACAACTATAGAAAGAATGGTTTTTTGAATGCATATATGACGCCTCATATGAGAAGAGAAAGGGACCATTGTTAAGCTTGGTTTTTTTTTTTTTCAATAACCGATCTTTTTTTTTTTGTATCCCGACGCGTTTTCCCAGTTGCTTCACAAGGTTAAAAAGTATTTACTGCTTTTTTTTTGGATTTCAGATTCGATCCGCTATGTTGGAAAACCAACACTATAAAAGGGGAGCCGCGTGTGTATAAACGTGTGTAGGTTGGGGATTTTTAATTGAGTTTTTTCTTTTCTTTCATACATCGTCTCATCTTTTCGACAGAATGAAGTTTACTACTCCTCTTTTTGCTGCTGCTGCTACTCTTGTTGCCGGTGCTGCTGCTGAACTTTATATTACTTTGCCTGACGAAGATACCGTTTGGGTCTCTGGTCAGCCCGGTCAAATTGCATGGAATACCTCTGCTACTGAATTCGGACTCTCGTGCGACATTCAATTGATCGACGTCGCGACCACTGAGGCTGTCATGAACATCACCAACCATTCTATTCCTTGTTCCATCAACCAATTCACCACCGCTCCTCTTCCTGTGATGGAAAACGAAGAATTCATGGTTAGAATTGGTGAAACCAACAACAGAACCATCTGGTCTTATACTCAAAACTTCAAGATTGTGAAGGGTGCTCAGAATGATGGCAACGCTACCATTGTGTTGGCTAACAGCACTGCCACCAATCAAACCACTGAAGCGGTAGAGGAAGATAAGAAGGATAAAAAGAAGAAGCACAAGAAGAACAAGCATCATCATCATCATCATCATGAAGAAGATGAAGAATAAGCGTTCGACTTTTTGACGGTTACCAAACCTTTTTTCCACCATTCATCACTATTATTATTATTATTATTATCATCATCATTATTATTATAGCCATTCTATAAATTATCAAGCTCATTTTTTATTTATCTCATATTTAACCATCTCCTTTATCTTGTACAGTCGTGTATCTATAGTTATTCTCAACCCTCCATTAATAAACAGGCTTGTCTATTGTACAGCAGTATTTGTAATGAGGCTTTCATTGTCTGTGTCGGAAAAAACTTTCCCATCGTATATATTAAGAAGAAATTGCCCGCGTGCTTCCTTGACAGTAATGGATTAGTCTTTTTATTCTTTCATTCTGGTTTAGAGTGCTTGATCAATGCTTCCAAGAACGGAAGTACGGCTAGTGAAACATCCCTGAATAGAAACGAAGGGGTCACTGCCCCACACCAAGGATATGTGTGAGTGGCCTTGATGCATTTTTCAACACAAAATCAGACACAATGTTCATTAAAGTTAAAGGCAGCGGGGCAAGGGATGCATAACAAACAGTACCGGCTTTCTGTTATTCTTGAGTGGGGGCCGTGCGCGATGGTAACACATCAGTCACTTTGGGTACAAAAAAATGAACTCCACTGCTCTGATCACCACTAACGACCATGGAGAAGAGAACGAAACAAGTGTATCGCAGTCTGTTGCTCTTCATTCTCCGTATCGGTATATAGTAACCAGCTTAAAGTACTGTTTTCCTTATAAAGTTTTCTTGGATGGGAGTGTCTTGGAAAAAGAAACCACACTACTTTGCTTGTTGAGCTTTCCTCTTAATTGTGACTGTAGCTAATGCCCCGTTTTCTTTTATCCATTTCCAGACGTTGACACTAGGCAATGCGTGGTGATGTAGACAGACAGCAACTTTAACGACGAAGCAAAGAATGGCTATAGTATCTTTCAACTGGAACAGGTCAAAAGAAAAAGAAAGAAATGTTTATATCGGTGTTCTCCATCCTTTAGAGAATAAAACATAGCTTTCCGTATGTAGTTTTGATAAGAATTACAAACATGTCTGACAAAAAGCCTGTTTCGTAACAGTCATTTGAAACGATCAAAACAGACGGATAGAAGCATTTAGACAGATGGAAGGACAGCACCCTTTTTTCTGAAACAAAAAATTGCGTAGAATTTTTTTTTTCCTACGTTCTTTCCGTGCTTAGGAGAAAACGTGCAATAGCGTGGTGCCTGAAATGACGTGTGTTTTCACATTTTTGTCCAGGTAGAACTTGCAAGGAACGAAACAGTGAAACAAATGGAAAAATAGTAGCCAGAACATCGGAGAAACTATTTCTGCTTTTTTAGACTCTTTTCCAAGATGTTTGATAAGATGTTGATGCTGATAAGATTTTTGAAGCTTTGCATAAAAACTAAAAAAATTGCCCTAGTGACATTTTTTAAAGTAACAAGACGAGTTTATAAAATTAATATTACAAAAGAGAAAACAGACGAAACAAAAGGAGCATTAAGGATCAAAAGTGAGATATACATAGAGTAAGAGGAAATCATGACAAGATGTGTGTGCGTGTGTTTATGTGTGTGCGTGTGTGTGTACCATGGCGTGGTGTAGAGATAATAATGCAAGAGGAAAGATAAAGATTTGACTTAATAATCACTTTCGTCAGAGAAAGCCGTGGTGATTTGTTCATCTTCATTTGCATCGTAGGCAGCACTGGTTACAGTAGCAGTGGTAGACGCGGATGTGGAAATAGTCTTACTCGATGTTTCGGCCTCTGAAGCAGATACGGTAGCCGTGGCTTCGTCAAGCGTATTGTACTCTTGAGTGGACCAAGCAGTCGCAGCTTCCACGCCGTCATGGACAACCTTGAATTGATTGGAGAAAGCTTGTGCCCTAATGGATCATAAGCGAGCATGTGTATTTCATGAGAAAATACATCATAACCACCCAAAACGAACACATCAAACTCATCATCACTTACATGGCACCATTGAGGTTATAGACGAATTGGAAAGCATAAGTACCGCCGACAAGGTTAGAAGGAACCTAGTGTTTAAACATCAATATGAGTAGGTGAATTTTACCCGAGGCCCTTTCTATTTCTCCATTTTTTCCCCCTCCCGTGTCTGCTTTATTCATTGATTCAACTTACCATCCAAGCATAACTACCGGTTTTACCATTGGCTTGGAAGGAGACATTGGTGAGTTGCATTTCTCTGGGGTTGGTACCCTTGATGAGATTAATCAAAAACATTTCGTTGATACCGTTCAACCAAGCTATAGTGTTAAAGAATGAACCCCATGTGAGCAAGGTTATAAGCAGGGCGTATCAAGATCGTCCGCATACTTACTTGTAGTAACACTATCAAATGCAATGGCCAGCACAAGAATTAAAAAAAAAGCAAGATCAGTCAATCAAGTGCAAAATTGACTACCTCCTTTTGCTGAATTGTAGAATACTTACGTCTGGTTCACTGTGTAGACAGTACCCTTCAGAGGAGCAGTGATGTAGAATGGAGTTGACTTTGGGTCACCATTCTTTTCATTCATATCAATGATGGAGGTAGCATTGGAAGGCGTCACAGTAACAGGTAAAGCGGAAGAGAGAGCGACAAGAGCACCAAGGATGGCAGTGGAGACACCAAAGAACTTCATTTTTTGCGTATTTTTTACCAAGATTGATTTAGAGAAAAGCAGAGAACAAAAGGATCACTCGCGAATAAAGCGATACTTTGTTCTTTTATATAGACAGGAATCAAGAGTAAAACCTAATGGTTCTTTCTTTTACCTTTTCCCTTCTATCCGATATTTCAGAGTTTATTTTGGGGTTTTAGTAAATAGGCGTAGATTTTTTTTTTGCTTGTTATCATTTATAAATTTTAAGAAACAGGAAAACAGAAAAAAAAAAAATCTCCTGCGCTGGGTATCTGTTATTCGCTGAATACATCTCGTTACGCCGCCCACACAACATTGGATTCACCGCACTTGCTGACTGTTTGGGATTTCTTCTTGATGGTGTCTGATTCTGTCTATGGCGCCTCTCTTTCTTTTTTTTGATGTCTTTATGGCTTGCAATAGTTCTGTTCCACCCGCCTTGTCTTCTTCCTCGTACTTTTCTTCATAGTCTCCGTCTTCCAACATGGGATGCGTGTGCCATTCTGCTTTCTTTTTCCTCTCTCTTTCTTCTATGTACTCGTCCAGTTTCAATTCGAAATAAGCATTCGCGGCTTCTTGTTCGCTTTGTTCTGCTCGTCTTGCTTGTTGTGCCTGTTCTTCTTGTTCTTTCTTGTTTTCGTTATCAAAACGTAAAAGTGAAATAGGATACTGCCAATGCGTATAACCAAAAGAACTATCCATAGGAACGTTTGGATCAAATAGAAATAGGAAAAATGAATGAGAAAACGGAAAAAAAAAGTGGAAAAAAAGAAAAGATAAGCGCCATGCTTCACTCTCGCCAATTGTTGTATTTCTGTACCCCGCGCGTGATGAAAACACCACCCAAAGTTGTTTAGACTGCGAGCAATGTTTAATTTACAAATTGTAACGTGAGCCACTTCCCCTCGGGTTTGACATGCTTGACGGTGAGGAAATCAACTCCTTAAGCAAACATTTGCACACAAAAAAGTCATGTCATGCGCTTCGAACAATAAACAGTTTTTTTTGTGGTGTATGGCAGATGGATAGAGCTGTGTGTGGTGGGACAAGCGTTGTGCGTCGGAGTATTGAAACTCAGACGAAGGAAGGTCCCACCCCATTCCGGTGAAGGAGGGAGGAGGGAGGGGGAAGCACACCACCCACAGGAAAGTGCAGGCAATTGAGAGAGAGAGAGAGGTATGAGCAATAAGCAATAGTTGGCGCATCCGTTGAACACCCTCTTTCTCATTTGTAGCCTTAAAGGTATAGATCTTTTTTTTTTTTTTTGTTCTTAAAGGGAAAGGCCATTGAATGAACGGATGGATGATGAATGGATGAACGCTATGCACCTAGCGAAAACACAAAAAACACTATAAATGATAAAGGAATGTATGGATGCTGATGGATCATTATCTTGGCAGTAAAAATATCAACAAGGATCAAGCCATCGTCTTTTCATCCCCTCCATGGGGTTATAACAGCGAATCTTTCCAACTCATCAACTCTTGCTGATCAGTTAAACAACGTTTGCAGCACATTCAAAAGGAAAAAAAAAGACACTGTCTTGTCTCTTGTTTCTATTGCAACTATCAAAAGATCTGTCAACACTTGAAGTACTGATTCAATAGAGTCAGATTATTCACGTTTCTCATCCGTGATAACAGTCGCATTCTACAGTAAACGCTACTTTTATACACAACATGGCATCGGGTTGACAAAGAGATGTGGGCTCATCCAACGCCTTCATTCAAACCGGCCGATTCTTTCATAAAAAACCAATATACTTGACGTTTGTCCTAAACCCATCATTTTAACCGTTTTTTCAATTGTAGCTGAAAATGCACTCTTCCAGAAATAGCTTCCTTGTTCCCGGCGTTTCTCGCTTTTCTCGTTCTCGTATTTACGCCAAGAAGGCTCAATACAAGCGTAAGCAAGCTACTGTTGCTGCTCCCGCCAAGCCTGAAGCTTCTGATAAGACCGTTGAAGTCAAGGGTGCCAAGAACGGTGGTAAGCGTACCATTCCTGCCCAAAAGGCGCCTCGTTTCTATCCCGCTGAAGATGTTGCCAAGCCCAAGACTAGCCGTAAAGCCGCTCCCAAGACCAGCCTCCGTGCTTCCATCACTCCCGGTACCGTTGTCATCCTTCTCGCCGGTCGCTACCGTGGAAAGCGTGTTGTCGTCTTGAAGCAACTCGAATCTGGTCTCTTGCTCGTTACTGGTCCCTTCAAGGTCAATGGTGTTCCTTTGAGACGTGTGAATCAAGCTTATGTCATTGCTACCTCTGCCAAGCTTGATATCTCCAATGTCAAGGTAAGATGGTGGAAAAGTAGTGAAGGAGGAAAGATGGGATGGGGGGTTGTATAGGAAATGGGATTGATAATGAGCTTGCTGAGAAAAAGGACAATAGAGTAAAAAAAAGCTGAACACGATGAACGTTAGAGAACTCAACGTCTCTCTCTTTTTCGTTTGTAGGTGGATGAAAAGTTCAATGATGCTTACTTCAAGAAGCCCGCCAAGGCTGAAAAGGCCTTCCTTGAAGGTGAACAAAAGAAGGCTGCCCTCCCCGAATCCAAGGCTGCTGACCAAAAGGCTGTTGATAAGGCTCTCCTTGAAGTCGTTGCCAAGACTCCTTTCATGCGTCAATACTTGTCTTCTACCTTTGGTTTGACCAAGGGTCAATTCCCTCACGACATGAAGTTCTAAACCCATGGGGAAAAAAACAACTAGATATTTAAAAAAAGGTCAACGATGTGTGAACATGCCATGACCGTTTGTTTTTGTAGTAGGGGAAGAAAGCTATCAACAACCAACATAATAAAAGCCGAATACACATGGTTTCTAAAACAGTATCTTTGGAAAAAGGGAATGGGTTTAGTTTTTGAAATTTTAGCGCAGGACTACTTACATTGTTGATGGGTACCTTAAAGCTGAGAGGGTCTTTTTTTTGGAATGAACTAAGCATCAACACAGCTCATGAGGTTTGATATACAGAGATCAGGTCAGTGCATTGGCGTTATTGTCTTTCATGTCACGTTTTGCTCACGGAAGATACCCAGATGGCGAATCTTGCATTGAGAGGAAAAATAAAAAGGCTAGCCAATAAAAGCGGCTGATGGTACCCGTACCTTTTTCTTTCTTTCTTTCTTTCTTTCATTCTCCTTATATCAAACTGTTTTCTGTGATTTTGTTGGTCGCATTCAGAAAAAGTATGATAGGGTCACATTTATTCAAGCAAAAGACGCTCGAAGAGACTCGATCATTACTACCTCGTTATGATAGTCAGGACAACAACGATGAACAAAGAAATCATGCTTTTATCAGACAGTATCATACCCGTGATACTTCCGTGCATATGGAAAATAAAAAGAACATTAAGGAGCAACAACAACAACAACAGCAGCAGCAGCAGCAGCAGCAGCATAACGTGGAGGAGTACATGAACGATTTTGGTGAGGACAGGAGAACAGGAGGCGAAACGAGTATAAAAGCAGCTGCTGTTTTCCATCCAACGACTGCTTTGGCTTACCATCGAAAGCACATCATGTATTTCTTTACTTTACTCGCCACAGTATCTTGTTGTCTTCTTTACTTTAACTTTGCGCTTCCTGCACTACTTCCTCTCCGTCCAAAGACGCCTTTTCAATACGACAAGATCAACACACTGATATCCTTTGGAGACTCTTACACAACTCGGTATCTTGACATGGATTCTTTGACGTATGCTTGTCGAACCTGCACTTCAGCAGGAGGACCCAATTGGGTTATCTATTTAACAGACGAAACACAGTGGATAAGTTGGGATTTTGCTTACAATTCAGCGCCTGTCAATAACAGTATAGTGCATCAGGTATGACCCAAGCGTGTGACTCAACATTAAAAATATAAAAAAGGAGACAAGTAACACTAGAAAAGAAAAATAATGAACCTCTATTCATACAACAGGTGCCAACGTAAGAAAACCTAAAAACAAAATTCGTGCTTACCTGCATGCATATACTATGCTGATATCAAATGAATGCTGTCATTTCTTTACTTTATCATGTATATATACAGTGTCATTGATGTCAGTACACAAATGCACAATTTATATCCATCCTTGTTTGTGACACCTACAGACAAGATAGCTTCTATTGTCTCTGATGTTTACAAAGACCAAAAACGGACTGCTGATTCCACTTTGGTGACGATATGGGTTGGCATCAACGATATTCGATTGACTTATACATGGGACGATATAGACACACTTGATGCAACGATTATGAAGAAATACGAGGGCCTTATTGTAAGCATAGAACGAGTTTGTAAGCTTTTTAACTATCCGCGAATGGTGGAAATCGCTGCCTTTCATACTCACTCACACAGCCACACACGCCATTCTTTGACAATGGATAACGTAGGAAGAGTTAATGCAAGAAGGAGAGACTCAATTTATGATGATGAATATGCCGCCACTGGATCGAGCGCCTCTTTGGCATAGTACAGATGATCAAGTTAGAATACAGGAACGTGTCAAAGGTGAGTTTGAAGCGTACAATGCTGACACTACACATAGGGTAGATATACCTATGGGATCAGCAGCTGATGTCTCTTTCAACGGATGACCTTTCTTTTTTTTCCATAGAATTCAATAAAAAGTTGAATGACATGATAGAACGTTTGAGAACGAATCATCCCAACTGTGACCTTTTTGAATACGACGCATGGACTGTTTTCACTGATATGCTAAATCATCCAGGAGATTATGGTATGACAGACGTAGATAACTACTGTCCTGACTGGTAAGTAGAGACGAACAAAATGCCTCTTTGGTTTATGTTTGCTGACCATGGCTGCTCTTCTGGCTAGGTCACATCCAACAGAAAGAGGCTGTAAACCAATAGAACAGTAAAGTATAGCAGACACACACGGTATATAAGAAACAATGACATTCACCCCATAGCTTATCCTTATTGTCATTAGATACTTTTGGCTTAACGACCTTCATCCTACCTATCATGTGCACGACTATTTGGCTAAACACATCCGCCAATACCTCATCATCCAGTCCTCTTCAGCAGCAACGGATGCCAAAGTCCAGCATTTCCACAAAGCGACTGGTTATCTTATGTAAGAATAGTGTGACATTGTATATGATGGACTATCTATGGATTTAGCTCTTGAAAGGAAAAAGAAGGCACGAAAAAAGCCCTTTCGATATTTTTCTTTTCTTTTTCGTTTTTTATTTAATTCATATTGAATCCAAGTTGGAGTAAAAAAATCCATTGCGCGTCATTATTCTTCCAATCGGGGCAAAAAATAAACGAAAGATTTTTTTCCCATTATTTTTTCCCTTTTTACTTGCTTTTTTCTTTTTTCCCTTGTTTTCTTTTTTTCCAACTGATTTTTTTTGCATTTTTTTAGAAAGAAAAAAAAAAAAAAAAAATACTTGATATAAACACTTGTTACCAATGGGCGACTCTTTCTTTGGGTAAGTCTTATTTTACAAAAAGAAAGTTGACGCTGCAGGGTTCAAACCATGTTTCTTTTTTCCTGTGGGAGTAGTTTTAACACCAATTTACCGCCTTTGACTGAAGAAGAATTACGTGCATTAACTGACCAAGGCAAAAGAAACAATGAAGAGGAAGACACGTTTGGCCTTGACGACACCAACAACAAAGACATCACGGCCTCGGGAAGCCGTGGAAGCGGCAATGACCCACCCGTTGATGTTGATGTGTATGATTTTGCCACATTACGTCAAGAACTCGGAGTCGCTGATGATGACGACGGCTATGACGACAGAGATAAAGAAGAAAACATGGATAATTTAGCTGATGAGCTTATAGAACAAGGAGACGACCTCAATGACATTACGTTTGGTGATGCACCAGTAGGTAAAGTAGTGTTCTGAAAAGGGTTCTATGAAAAAACCAGCGGCACTGGAAGTGATGGGACAGTAGAAAAAAGAGAAAGGAAACAAACAATGACTGATGTCTTTTTCATAGGCAATGACTTTGATTTTTCTGGAAATACACAGCGTTTAACTACTACTTTGGAAGAAGAAGCTTTCTTTGTAAAGCCAAAGCCTAGTAGAGAGGAACCAAAGAGTAAATATCATTTTTGTCAAAACAACCATGCCAACGAACGAGGACTGACGGCATTCCCTTTTTGTCATCTTTAGAGATGGGTTTCTTGAATCCATGGGCAGATAGTTCAGTTCGCTCTGGTTCTAGTCTTGGAGGAAGAGGCTTTGGAGAGCCTTCTCCTATCGCTTCCACCAAGTCTATTTGGGGCAATTTTTCTGCTGGATTTTCTTCCTCTGGTAAGTGTTTTCTAAGAAAGTCTGCAAGGGAAAAAAGTGCGCGTCATTTCAAGTAGAGAAGAATTCAATACCCTAATACACACTCCTCTTCTCTCTGTTTTGTTTAAAAGCTGAAAACACAGGTTTTTCATCTTTATCTGGCAGTCAAACCAGTCATCTGTCACCTTTCAATTCAGATACCAATAGACAGTTATTGCGTTCTCAACAACAACAACAACAACAACCACCACCACAAGCTCAGCCTCAAACGCAGCAGCAACAACCACAACAACCATCTCCTTTTGTTCCAGAAGGTATGTCACCTACTGCTTCTTTGAATTTTCAACAACAGCAAGGTAGACCGGTCACTCTGGAAGACCTTGAAGCCAATATTCAGCGTGAACAAGCTGCGCAACGTTATCGTGCTGCTGCTGTTGCAAATGAACAAGCTGTACTTGGAGGAAAGACAGCACTTAGTTTGGCCGATTTAGAAGCCGCTTTACGTTCTCAACAGCATCAACAACAACAACAACAACAGCAACAGCAACAACAACAACAACAGCAACAGCAACAGCAACAACAACAACAGCAGCAACATCCCCCAGAAATGGGTATGCCGTTAGGATTTAATGGACAACCTGATCCTGTTCAACTTTTGGCTTTGAAGCAACAGCAAGAATTGAGTGAACAACAATTGTCTCGTGAAATGAAGCGTAGAGAACAACAACAACGCAAGGTAACAAAATAAAGTATGGCTGTAAAAAAGGATGATACTAAAAAAAGAAGGGGGACCTTTTCCTTTCGTTTAGTCCAAGTATGATGGTTTGATGAGCCAACATGACAAGGATTTTGTGAATCGTATCCAGCTTTCTCAATTAGCTTCGGGTGATCCCTACAATGATGATTTTTATTATCAAGTCTATTCATCTCTTTGTCAGCGCGCTGGCTTCCCATTGCAAACCTCTCAACAGCAGCAACAACAACTTATGGGAAACAATGATAGTCATCATACATCCTCTAGTGGAGGACGTCATCATCGAGGTGGACGTAGTAGAGAAGAGAATACGATGCAACGTATGCAGCAGCAATTGCAACGTATTGTCAATGAAGCCAAGCGTCGTCCAAAGCAATCACAAGTGTCTTTGGAAGGTGCCTTGGGTAAAATTACTTCCTTGACAGTACGTAATCCTCGTCAAGTGTTACAGGTCCCTCAAGCCAGCAACAGTAGTACCACGAGCGACAATGCAAGGGACAACGGTAAGGACGATGAGAAGGAGGAGAATGCCTCACCCGCATCCACCTCGACACCCAAATCGGACGGCCATGGTCATCCTGGCGGAGGTGTCGCTCATCAAAAGACGACAACCGCCATTGCTATGGATCGTAGACGTGTATTGATGATGACGGAAGAATTGTACAAACTTGTTTTAGAAATAGAACAGATGCGTCGTCAAGGTCCTCCTCGATCCCATCCACAGCCATCGCAACCATCACAGCAGCAGCAGCAACAACAGGATGACACTTCCTCTTCCACTACAGAAGAAAAAGCCCTTGTGGACGCATTCCATCAAAAATTCGCCAACAAGGTGGATAAGCTCTGGCATATCCTCACTTTGAATGCCGATCCATCCCATGCGAGTACGCATCCCGCTTTCGCTCATCCTACGACTACGCTTCCTCCGCCTCCTCCTCCTCCATTTTTGATCTCCCTTTTATCGATTGCCAAGGGTAAAAAATTGATCCCTCGTATCGTTCGTCAATTGAACCATGAGCAAAACCAGACCCTACTCAAGCTCGTTTTGGGCCATTTCAGTCAACTTCAAGTATGCCGTCATGTCATCTATCCCGGTACAACCGTCGCTCAGGTCGATGAAGCACAACGCCAAATGTTTGTCAAGTATGAAGACGTGGATCTCTTTATGAACGCTGTGGTGCCGCCTTTGTTGGCTTTCATTGCCGAATCTCCTTTGGTTATCGTGAACAGCTTACTTGAGCTGTTATCACACAATCCCATTTTAGCCATTGCCCAGACCAAGCCTGGTTTAGCGTTTTTGACCATGTTGTTGAGTCGAGCGGAAATCTTGAAGCAAGGAGGTGGCCAATTGCAAGGTTTACCTCCACCCACAGCGGAGGAAGTGCATCGCTGGCAAGAATTGTATGCTCGTCTGTTTAATACTCTGAAAGGCCGTTATTTGACCATATTCCCCTCTTTGTATTATTTGGTACCCTTGAATCCTAACACTCCCATGATGCAGTTATCGTTGGCCGTGGACGACATGTATGTTTGGCAATTTTTGGCTGCCATGGCTGTCGGTGCCTCCATGGATCAACAGCATATTCTTGTCACCGAAGTCAGAGATCGTGTCATGGAAAATATTGTCCTTGCAAAGAGAAATCGTCTTCCAATGGGTCAAGCAAATCAACGTATTTCAAATGTAAACTTATTCTTACATGCTTTGGGTCTTGATGCTTCACAAGTCTCTGTACCTTTGTAGATATATATGAAAAAAAGGGCGGAAAAAAAAAAAGTACATAAATAATGTTTTCATCCTTTTACTCAAAACGCGCGCACACACACACACACACACACACACACACACACACACACACACACACACAGACACACACAGATATATACATATATAGGTGTACATATATATTTTTTTTATTTTTTTCTTCTCGATTTTACCATAATACTCTCTCTTTCCACTTATAAAGCATCCAAACCGACTTTATCTTTTTTACATAAATTAAATAAATAGTTACTGCAAGATAGAAGAAAACAAAATTCACTGCAATCTTGGACAAAAGAAAAAAGGCTTTGGTTTAACGGAAAAAAGTGGGTGATTATGCATTTGCTGAGGGATTACAGTTTAGTATAAGAGTTACGTGGGACGTTTCTGTTATTCCACCTATTTACTTTTTCGCTTTGCTTTACCCCGCTTTTTTTTTACATTACACAATGTCTACCCAAAAATATAGTGGGTCCAACACTTGTGTCCGGGTCGAACCAAATTTCGCAATGGTTTCCATGTTAATAAACATTTGGAGGGTGAAAGGCGGCGGACCAACGCATGAAAGCATCGTTCTCAACTACATATCAGAAAATTGCTCTGGGCAGGTCAAAATACGTGCAGGAGTTAAAGAATCCTAAAAGGTACTAGGAAAAAAAAAGAATAAGGGATCACAATGAAGACTAGGTTAAAAAAAAAGGGACAATCAAGTAATGATCGTAGTGGACGCATAAAGCCAGTCTAACAAGGGCTGTCCTAATGTTTCTGACGGGGTAGGGGCATTTTCTCGTGTTGAAAATAATCGATTTCATAAAGAAGCATTTGGACAATTGGCCAAGATATACTTTAGTTAACTGGGGCATTGGTATGTTGTTTTATGGGTCAAGTGGGGAGTTGGTTCAACAAATGAGAAATGGGGTCAACGACGATTGTCGGAAGTTGCAGGCGGTTATGCATTTGTAGGCATTCAATGGCGTGGGCTTTAGTGAGAGTGCATAGAGGGTGGGGCTGAGTAGTTGTTGGGGAGCCAGCCCAGTATATATTACTACAATTTTACAGGTAGAAAATACTCGTTAATTTTCTAACCTAGCAAAATAATTGCTTGTGATCCTTTGAGTCTTCCATAATGCATCAGTGAAATATTCTCAAGATAAAAACCAAGACAGAACGAGACCCAAAAGAATTTGAGTTCTTTTGAAGATTGAGAACATGAATTGAGCTTAAGAGTATGTTAGAAAAGTGAGATTTCCAAACCTCCTATATAAAATAAGACACGAATTAGGCACACCTTCAAATACCAGACGCGGATTTTTTATAGTAACACTTGTACATGCCATCTTCTCTATAGACATGCGCATATATAGTTGAATTCTTACTGGCTGAGATTCTCAGGAACGAATATTTCTAAATGAAAGAACTGAAGAAGACTCATTTCATCTTCCACTTTATATCAACTAATAAGCCGCGCTCACTGAACATCGATTATAACAAACCACAAATATCGCAAGAATAATGTAGTCGCAACCAGTGAACACTGAGATATTTGCTTAAGCTATCAGCAATTGATAACTGCTATAAGTCGATGCCTATGAACTTAGTGTCTTATTACTCTTCAGATGAAGTAGAAAGATTATTTGCTATGTAAGGTCTGATTGGAATTATATTAAAGTGGGGACGCGTATGCTGGTCACTAATTTCAAGTTCAGATGCTTGATGTGTGATTACCTGCACTTTGGCCTGTATCTTGTTAAAATGTTGTACATAACCTATATTTGATGCAACATCAATAGACTGTGGTAGAATGTACTTCCTGTCTGGTTGGACGTACTCGAGTATAGTAGTCTTTATCTCAAGTACTATTGGAATGAATGAGATATTAATGAAGGACTAGTTATGCACCGTTAATGGATATTGTATTCGTTTGAAGTATGAAAAATTGCTAAACCAGCAATTCTCAACCTGGGATGATAGTCGTTTACACTGTGTTTAATTTATTGATTATCAAATTGTGTCTTGAAATCATAGCACATAACAATCACACCTATCTAAAACTTTTACAGATTTATTTGTTACTTTTTTTTTTGAAAAAAAAACTTAATCCTTCTTACTCGAGAAAATTTATCCATGATGATAAAATACTGTGCAAAAACAATGGTTTATCTCTGACATCATGTCCTATAACAGGGTAGAAACTATATCCAATATTATTTAACTTATCTCCCGTGCTTGAATAAAGTATAAGACAGGGATAAGAAACAGAAAGTTTTACTCGATGGAATTTTTCTTTTTCTGCTCTTAACAAAATCCACTTAACACATTCTTCTGTAACATCCATATCATGAACTTGAATTCGAAAAGTATCGACATAGAGATCGGACAACATAAATTTAGAATCAAGGAAATAATACTCGAACAATGCTTGAATATGGAGTGGCAACTTATACATTTCCCTTATATGTTTTATGGAAAAATTTCCTTCATCGAATTCTCCGGGATCAGGAAAAGAGTACATACCACAAACTATCCTAGACGAGAGAGTATATTTCTCAGATTGCAATTTGTAAATAGTTTCTGTATATAGTTCTTTATCTATATTTTCTACAGAAATATTTCCCATAATACGTCTAACAAGAATTTCTGGATCTTGTAAAACATAAGTTGTTTCCATTATATAACCAGGTAAGGGATCTGGTGATTCTACATTATATTCTTCTAGAGAAATATATTTTAGTGCTGCCATGACGGAGAAGTATCAAAAGGGAGTGGTGGGGAGAACAGGTACTTTGACCGAACCCCTTGATATGTAAAGTCCTTTTTTACGGAAGGAGGAAACCACGACGCTCGAACCCAGCTGGTGTATTTTTCACTATAAGGCAGCCGACTTACGAGAAGAATAAGACGACAGTGATGAATCCGAACTGTTGCTGTTGAAATTATTTTCATATGGAGACCTCGTTTTGTTCTGTTTGGCTTCCAATGATTTTTTTTGAGCGATTCGTTCATGCTCCATCGCATCAAAATGCTCACGTTGGCTCAGAAGGTTATCCTTTAACGTAAATAATCTCTCTAAAAGAGTACGAGTTTTCCTCAAATCAGCTCCTGATGAGGGTAGTCTCAACGAACCAACATGATTGGCGACATACAGACCCTTGTCTACAAGGCGAACTCGGCTAATGGTGCCTTCAGTACCTGAAATCTGGATACAATAACCAGAAATGATTCTTTTCTGGTGTGGTTTTAAATAGCGGTTCCTATGAAACCTGTCAATGTTTACTTTGGCCTCACGGAGCACTTTCCTATGGTCCATAAAGTATTTATCATCATTTGCGTCTTTGGCAAATTCGACGCAAAGGAGATCAACAACTTCTCCACCAGGTGAGGTATGGCAGACTCTCAAATCAATCCTGTCGCCAATTGCATTAGAAGAATCAGCATCGAGAGCCTTATACATGCTGGATTCTTTCGGTACATAATCCCCCCTAATAATACGTGGTTAGATTCATACGAATATGTTATTTTTATCCAAATTTTTACAATACCAGACGCAAAACATATTGTTGCTTCTATCATCGAAGACTGCTGAAAAAATCCTTGACCATACTTTGATAACGTAGTCTTGTTCCGTGAATTTTTTGGAGGTTGAGGAACTGAGAATTGCCCTGTCTCCATGTAAGACCTTCAAGCTAATATCAAATAAAGTTAATTCCCGTTACTATTTATTGTATAACACAAAGCTTACATTGAGGTGTATACTTCGAAGTACGCTTCCTTGACACTTAAAGCGTGCTTGAATTGAAATTCTAAGCTTTTTACATAGGCTGCTTGAATATCGCCTACAGCAAGCAGCTCAATTTTTTTCAAATTTTTTTGTACTTCATCCTCGATGGGCTTCCATACTTTTCTCTTGTTCCAGAGGAGGTTCATCTCTCTCCATTGGCTGTCTGTGAATGGCCTTCTTTGACTTCCTTTGTTACAGTCATTGTCTGTAAGATCCAGGATGCTATTCAATCCGTTGCTGATTGAAATTTTTTTTTTGTGTTGTTTAATTTATGATAAAAGTTATCAGTGTATAATTTAATAGCCTTGATTTTTATAAGAGTGCCAACTGACTCGTTGAATCCCTCCAGGATTTTATCGTTTTCCTTGGCTGTGTCTGCCCGTTGCCTCTTTCGGGGCGTATCGCTTTTGCTGTTATCAGAATGTTGATTGTTTAGAGAATCAATACTAACGTTTATGTTAGAGCGTGTGCTTTTTGTAATATTGATTGTAATATTAGACATATTTAATGTTTTAGAGAAGGAAAACAACCTTTGATCGAAATAGACAATTAATTCATTCAGGGGGCTTTTGCTACATACCAATCCTATTATAGTTATATTGAACTGCAATGCGACAGCCCCCCTGTTGTATTTGCTTATTATAAAATTGATAACAGTTGTAAATCGATGACTATGAACTTAAGTGTCTTTATTGTTCTTCAGATGAAGTAGAAGGATTATTTACTTTGTGAGGTTTAATGGGAATTATATTATTTGAGGACGCGTATGCTAGTCACTAATTTCAGGTTCAGATGCTTATTGGGTGATTATTATATTTAGGCCTGTATCTTGTTTTATGTTGTACATAACCTATATTAGATGCAATATAGATAGACCGTGGTAGAATGTATTCTCTACCTGGTTGTACGTACTCGAGTATTGTAGTTATTATCTCACCAAACACGTCACCCCCTATTCACCTGGGATTATTGTGCTCAAGGTACAACACTGACATGTCGATATCATTATCTTAACATAGGAACGACATGCCTCACCTGAACTGTCGCAATTCAATCCTATGCAATATTTAATTGATTTGTGCACATCCATTTATTAGTCGTATTTGAGGCACGATGGCAATATATTATATGAGTAAATCACTCAAAACGTCTAACGAAATGTAAAATAAAACTTGATCTCAGATATGAGTACTGCTCATATCTTCGTTCCGGTTTGGTAAGCTGTGTGTTCGATTGCATACATTTGAGCCTTAGATCAAATGTATAACAAATAAAGATAAAATAAGAAAAGAATATGGATTAAGGATAATTCTTATATGAGATTAGCTACCTCACATAAGATCTGAACAGGTTATCTTTATGAAATATATTTTAATAAGATTATCTATGGCTATATGACGTTTAGGTATATAGCAGGATTGGTATATGTACTCGTAGAATGTATTGATTCAACAACCAGAACATAGTAGGTCGCGGTACTGCTCCCTGTTCCGGAAATAAAGTATGGTTGGAAGATAAAAAGGCTCAATCACTCTTTATTAATACAACAACTGTTCACGCATTCAAAAGAACACCACGCACGAATATCTCTTCCTAGCTAACATCTATAATCATTCCCACAGTATCTGAGCTACACAACTGGTGGCCGATAGATATTGGATTATAGATGTAGCTGCATGATCACCCTGGATCTGCCAGGATAGCACATTACAAATCAGTCCGCTCTGGAATGGACGAGTGATTATTCACTTAAAGGGAAGATCTATCCTTTTACCGAAACCTCTGATTCACTGACCATAATACATCAGTGTCAGCAAACACAATAAGTCTTTATTAATCGCAGTAATCTTCTTTTTCTTTAGTTTGTTTTTGAAAGAGAAGTAAAGACGGTGGTTTGATTTCGTTAAGCTTTCGTGTTTATTTTCTCTCGTGTTATTCTTTACCTCATATCTAATAGTTAAAACTAGCGAATACCACAAAAGGTACAGGTTCTTTAAATGATACGAGTTCAAGACATCAATATCAGTTTTACTAGTTCGTGTTTTAAAGATGTTAAACCAGACTATTTTAATTCATTCAATAAAAATATCACTCCTTTTATGTCTGGTCATTTTAAACCGTCCTTTTATATTGTTACTATTATACGGATACAAGTACGCAATGCACTGAAGCTAGTAAAACCCGCTCCAGTCCATCACCTTTTCATAGCCCTAGCAGAACTCGCAACACTGCTCTTTTTGTCGTCAATAAGGTTGTCAACATTTTTATTGATGACATTTACAAGTTGAAAAATAACTTTTTTATCTAAGAACATTGTGCAGCTAAGTAAAAAGAAGAAGAACTCCTTTTTTTTATCACGTTTGACAAACAACAGTTATATTGAAAACGGCCAATTAATGTATGATCCTATAGAAGATGTGTCTTGTCAACTGTTCCTAATATTGATTTGGGAAATACGATAGAAAAACTTATGAATTGGAACACGTAACGTGATCTTGAAGGGCTACATAAAAGTATCGGACAAAGGCCGAATTGCAAGCGAGAATACTGTGCTTTTCAGAACATATCCTTTGCCACTTGCAAGACTTCAAACAAACGTGAGGCTTTATTCATATAATGGCTGACATACGGAACGATTATACAACTTTCAGAATAATATGTTTCTTTTAAAATTTATAGGCAACTCGTTCTAGAAGATACTTTTTATGGATCAAAATCGAAAACCAGTTTTAATAGAACGATCAAAATTGTGCCATGGCTCTTTCTAAAAGTCACTTATAAATCCTAGCCTTTAGGTAGCAGTATTCTGTTTGAATGTTTATCCTACAACACTCGACTTAATAAGAAAGCAAATAACTCATAGTTGGGCCACCGACGAGCAGGATAATGGAGTTACTGATGACGACATTATCGGATCTTTTACTTTTTAGAAAGCATTATACCAGAAATACATGGTTGAACTATATAAACAGGTGGCCATCACAATGCTTTGCTTGATAGCTATAGGATGGTTCATACAACTTAGTGTGAAACTGTGACATTAATTTAGTTCATCCAGCAAGTTGGATGCTTTTAGAAACTCAGTTTCGAAAATTAGTAAGCAAACAAATGAACAGCCGCATAAAAAAAGATTAGGGAATTTACCCTTTCTGCTTTTTTTTTTTTTCTTCAAAACCAAAACACATATTTTGTAGTCATGCGTGCTGTGCTTGTTAAACAACCTGGTAAAGAATATTTTTTTGTTGAAGGCGATACAAAGTCTTTGACACTAACCAGCCATGAGTGCTTCTGAGCAGGTGACGCGTCTCAGCTCACGATTGGCGACTATGAAACACCCACACCTTCAAAGACTCAAGTGTTGGTCAAAGTAAGTATTTAATGATGCCGCCAAGAAATTGAGACATGACCGTAAAAAATAACTATTTTCCATACGCCTAGGTTCACTGTTTTGCCTTGAATCGTATGGATCTTTTGCAAAGAGAGAATAAATATCCTGTTCCACCTGGAGCAAGCCCAATTCTCGGTGTAGAAGTTTCTGGTATCGTTGAAAGTGTTGGTAGTGATGGTAAGTTTGCTTAATTGAAGTGGGGGAGAAAGGCGCACTTTGAAGGAACGGGATCGATAATACCCGTACTATGTTCAATAGTTTACGACTTTAAACCTGGAGATGCTGTTTTCGGTCTGATACCTGGTGGAGGTTATGCAGAGGTAATTTTTCATTTTCTTGTCATCGTTGTATTCTTTCGCAATGATTCTTATAGTTGAAAAACAAACAATAGTATGCCGTCATTGAAGCCGCTTTAACGATGCATAAACCAGATGCATTATCATTTGAAGAAGCTGCTGCTATTCCCGAAACATGGTTCACTGCTTATCAAGCGTTGTTCTTTGTAGCTGAATTTAAGAAAGGACAGGATGTTCTTATTCATGCTGGCGCCTCAGGCGTTGGTATTGCCGCTATTCAATTAGCCAAGTATTTTGGAGCGTACGTAGTTTAATTCCTTTCCCTTCGATATTGAGACTAAGCAAACATTATTCTTTTTTCCAATAGTAATCATATTTTTGTAACTGTTGGTTCTGACGAAAAAGTCAAGTTCTGTGAAGAGCTTGGTGCTACTAAAGCCGTCAATTATAAAACACAAAATTGGTCCGAAGTGGTAACGTCATACTTGAGAGGATTCCATAAAAAATCCTTGGGCTAACGATTTCCATATCTGCTTTTAGATTTTGAAGGAAACAGACAATAAAGGTGTAGATATTGTCATTGATTTCATTGGTAAAAACTATTGGAACCAGAATATGCAAGTTCTTGGATTAGATGGTCATATGGTTATTCTAGCTTACATGAGTGGTAAAAAGTTATATAGTATCAAAAAGACAACCTAGACACCATGAAGCTCATAAACCATACTGTCTTGCAATAGGTACAATGGTCGAAAACTTTGATATCTCTGTCATGCTTCGCAAAAGGCTTAGAGTAAGTATAATTCCCTGCTCCCCAACTTTCTTCTCAATCTTTCTCATCATAATGTTTATTCAAAATGCTGTCCTCTTTCTCTTCATTAGATTGAAGGTTCTGCTTTACGTTCTCGTACAGTTGAATACCAACGTAAGCTGCGTGATGCCGTTTACGATCAAGTAGTAAAAGAGCATTTCGCAGAGGAAAACGGAGGTTTGAAAATCTACGTTGATAAGGTCTTTGACTGGAAAGACATCGGCAATGCTCATAGATACCTTGAGAGTAATCAATCCATGGGCAAAATCATTGTTAAGGTTACTTAAAAATAGAATCAATAAGCCTCCTTTTTCTTCTATTTGAACAATCCATGTCAAGACCTGATTTAAAAACAATAAATTCCCCCAACTTGTCCTCTAAACAAAAATGTGTATCTATTTCATCTGTGAATACTGTTTATTAAATTCGTTATAGTGAGAGAACACTAAAGAAAAAAGAATGGCAGCATTTATTTTTCCTATGAAAAAGGCAGAGAAAAGGAAAAAAAAAAAAAAAACCATTTTAGTATACCAAAAGCAAAGCATCGATAACTGCTACTACTATGAGAGACTTACGGGAATCTCGACTTCACCAGCATCAATGGCGGCACAGAGATCTTTAGGGTTTTGACCATCAACGGTACAACCGACGGAGAAAGCGGTACCGAGAATTTCCTTGACAGTACCAGAGAGTTCACGAGCCAAAGACTTGAAACGCATGGTACGGGCAATTTCAATAACATCTTCCAAAGAGATGTTACCGCTGTGCTTGATGTTCTTTTCCTTCTTACGGTCGCGGACAGGTTCCTTAAGAGCCTTGATGACCAAAGAGGAAGCAGAGGGGACAACGGAAACTTGGGCTTGACGGTTTTGAATGGTCAATTGAACGGTGACACGAAGACCCTTCCAGTCCTTAGTACCCTTAGCAATATCTTCACCAACCTTCTTGGGAGACAAACCAAGAGGACCAATCTTGGGAGCTGTTCATAAAAATAAAACAAGGCAAGTTAAAACTATGCAATAAAACTTTTCAAACAGTGCTATTCAAACTGTAAACGTACCAAGAGCACTGGAGGCACCGACTTCACCACCTATAAATGCAACAAACAGATAAAGGTGTATGTGTTAATTAGAGTTGTTATACAGAAACAATAAATATTTTCAGCTGTCCAGTTTTAACGACGCTTTACCAGTAGCACGAAGGTAAATAATCTTAACCTCGTTGGGATCGAACTTGGGAGGCATCTATATTCCCATTCAAAATTAACATTGACAGATCAAAATGTTGTAGCGATGAAATAGTGACGTTATTGTTGGATGATAGGTTGCAATAATCAGTTGTCGAGTGTACATAAAATAAAGAATAGCAAATATTTAGTACTTGATGACTGATGCAATTTAACACTCGATTGATGGATCAATGTATGGATGTTACGATATCTATACCTTTGTACTTGGAAAAGGAAGGTCTATCAGAACTCCAATTGCAGAGTCCACATATTGGGACATCCTGCTAATTTAAGGACCGCCTTGTTCGGCAAAGGGTCGGATTGATTCTACACACACCCCTCCCCCACTTTTCCAACTGCTTTTTTTGGTAAGCTCTGCTGTTTTGGTTAAATTTGAAGCCACCGCAGTGGAAGGAACGAATATTCGTTGAGACAAGATTGTATCACCGTTCCCTATCAACGACAACGATCCTAACGATGATCAATTTTGTATTCTTATGCTGAGGAAGTTGTAGTCGTTCGGCGTATATCATGAATTATGGAGCTATAAAGAAAGCTATTAGAACTCTTCTGTATATGGGCGAACTTGAACTATAACCATAAGCAGTACTTTGTCAGGGGAGTAAACTCTTTACCCTTCATCTAACCCGCCCATCCTTTCTCGAAACAATCTTTTTCGAATCGTAGTACTAAATTTGTCCACTGAAGAAAGATAATGAACAAAGCCATTAATAAATGCTGAATGTTTATTAAATAGGTCATTGTACGTTAACTTGCGAAAATGTGTTAATGATTCTTTTTCAAACGTATGGCCAAAAGTATCGTCTGTTTTACTAAAATACACAGCGTCTGTCCCATGTATCATGCAGTTATCCATGTCATTTGAAATTACACATATTAGCTAACTGTGTCGCTCACAAGCTGATCAGTTCTAGTGTATAATATCTTTTGCTTTTGGCAAATTGGCTACAGTTACTATACGGCTTTTTTTCATGATGTAGGAACATCAGAGATATCTTTTTAAATGTACGCAAAAGCAGCGTTGATAATATTAAAGTTATTGACAGGCGCCAAAAGAGATGTGTCGCCTAATTTATCAAAGCAGCCTACTTTAATATAGTATGGCCTGTCCGTCGTTCTCATAATTGCCGGAGTAAGTGTCGATCATTCTGTAGCCTTTTTAACTATGTAACCCTCCTCACCTATTTAGTATTTCCGATAGTACAACAATAACAAAAACGGATTCATGGCAAAGAAAACTATAATTAGTTCTGAGGCGTCAGCAATCATCAAATCTATATGGATGATCCATTCATTACGTCTGTAAATGTCAGCTCTTATTTTTTGTAACAGAAAGCATTTGTCATACCTGAATTTCCAACGTCTGCTCTAAGAAATATTCATCCTTTGGATTATCGTATGCCATAGTCAGCATCAAAATGCTTCCTCAAGGAAAAGTAGCAGCGAGTCAGCTAGTTGCTATAAGTGTTCGCAAATAAATATTGAATCTGTTACCCAGGACTACAACTTTTTTTTTTGATTTTTGCAAATGACAAAATTCTGCTTTAGGGAAGTAACTGTAACAAAGAGGAAAAAAAAAACATTGACCTTAAAAGGACCTTGTTGTTATGAAAAACGTCTTGAAATAGAATTTCCATTTCGTATGATAAGAATATCTTAAGAATTACATATTAAAACATAAGGCATAATGCACACTCCACAATAAACACAATTCAGTAGCCTTCTTTTTTTTTATTTATTGTTTAGCGTTGCATTTCCCAAGCCTCTCTCTCTCTCTCCCCTTAAGAGTCATTAAAGTTGCAGTAAGATGAAATTCTCGGTACAATCACAACTGTTGATTGTATTGGCTACGCTAACGCTATTAGCAGTTGCATCTCCAACAAAAGAAGCAACTACTGCAAGACGAAGAAGTGTTGCGCATATTATTCACAATAATAAAAAATCCTTGGAAATTGAATATGAATTACCAACAAAAACATATCACTACTTTTCAAAAATGAAGAGAGATGTCGTTGATCTACACAACACAGGCGGAAAGACCACTACCACCACTACAACAAGAACACCGACAAGTACAGCAACTCATAAACCTTCACCGACTACAGCACCATCTTCTGATCCCGGTAGAGTAATTTTATCAGACGCATGGCGATAGAAATAACAATTTTCCTTTGACATACACTAACGCGTATTTAATAGAGGATATTTATGGCGGTAAAGGTATTACGCCGCAAAACGGCGTTGCAGGCGCATTTTTGATTGTCTTGGGTCTCTATTTGATGATTTTTGGCTTTCGATCGTTTAGAATTACGCTGGCTGTTTGCGGTTTCTTGACATTCGCGTTGATAACCTGGGTAGCCATGGCAAATAATCAGCCTTACTATGGATATATCAACAATAATATCACAATGATTGCTGTTCCTGCTGGTTTAGGTATTCTCGGCGCTATCATTTATGCTATCTTTTGGAATATATCTATTTACCTCATTGGAGGTAGGTTTGCTTCCCCCACCCCCGCCCCGTTTTACACAGTTTTATTGCATTGAATGCATATACATTGGCAACGTTCTCAAACTGAACCACATCTTTATTATAATTTTAGCCATGAGTGGTTTTACACTCGCATTATACATTATGTGTTGCAAAGAGAACTTACTTATCACGCCAGTGGTGGCAAGGGCGGCATTCTTAGTAGCACTTCCTTTCTTCATGTCACTCATCACTTTCTTTGTAGAGCGCTATGTTCTTCTGTTCACATTTGCATTCGTCGGATCGTATTGCTTCGTCGTTGGCATCGAATTCCTTGCTCACACTGGCTACTTGGCGGGTATCAAATCCATTTTGGATGGCAATGCTTACCATCGTGTTGTCTATGTCATCTCAAGAAACGTCATTATCGTGATTGCTTTCATTCCTATCATCTTCTTGATCTCTTTCGCTTGGCAATATTTGTACAATAGAGGACAGAAGTTTGGTGTCATCTTTGTCGTTCCTCCTTCACAGCCTGAAAAAGGCAAGAAAGGTGGCGGCCAAGAAAAGCCTCCATTTGCAGCAGGTGACCCTGGACCCGTAGATAAGCATGAACCTCATATCGAGGTGGACACACATGTTAAGGTGGATGGTCACGAAGTATAGATAGACTCAATTAAAATATGAACCGTTCCTCCACCGTTTCCCATTCCTTGTTAAGTCCAACATTATATATATGTCATGTATACAGAAGTTATATACCATTAAAAGACAATAAACCCCATCTATCATCTGTACTTGGGTCTTTTCTTTCGCAATAGCTCCTGATACAGGACAAAAAAACAATACCGCTTGCACTCCAATAGACGGTGCTCAAAAAAAAAAAAAAAAGAAATATCAATCCAAGCTTGATGGTTTTTGTACGAGAAAGTGTTACTATTGTCAAGAACGTTATTCATCCGTACTATTAAATCAAACGAAACAGTCAATAAAAGGTATGCAGTAAATTATAGTCTAATAAGGGTCTAACAGGGTGAAATAGTGATAGGTGTGCATCTGAAACAAATCATCGAAAATTTTCTTAACGTCATTATAGACGGCTTCAATGGATTGTTCAGCGTTGATCTATATCAAAAAGAGAAAAATCAGCTTACATAATCCATTTTATATGTCGAAGGGGGAAGTAAAAACCACCAGCACATACCTCACGAACTTTGTTCTTTGCAGCGAAAGCATCAATGACGGGCTTGCTAGTATCTTTGAAAACACGGAATCTCTTTAAAATGCTTTCTTCGTTATCATCAACTCTTCCAGATGTCTCAGCACGCTTGAGCAAACGTTGCTTCAGAGTTTCCTCAGTACAATTGAAGTATAAAACGAACTTGCATTCTACAACAGCTTCTTCAAACTTTTCAGCTTGATCCATCTTACGGGGGAAACCATCAATCAAGAAACGAGCTTTCTTGCCAGCAGCAATGGCTTCTTTCATGGCATTCTCAAGCAAAGCAATGGTGACTTCCATAGGCACAATCAAACCCTCACGAATGTAATTTTGAATAAGTTCACCGTATTGAGATCCTTCACGCTTTTGTTCTTCACGCAAAAGATCACCAGCTAAACAATGTTGTGATCCACATCCAATTTTTATTCAGTCAGCCCTTACTCTCTCTTTCTTTCGTTCCAAAGACATAATAAAGCTTCTCCGGTCATATGATGAACTACTCACCAGAAAGATGAACAAAGTCATAATCTCTCTTGATATTTTCACATTGGGTACCCTTTCCTGCGCCGGGACCACCTATATATCGTTTCATACGTATGAACCGGAAACAATTTTAGAATAAAAACGAACTTTGCGCATACTCTTCCATTAGATTAGAAGAGCCAAAGTGACTCAATAATGCCTGCTTACCGAGAACGAAAATAACAGTAACGTCTTTAGGATCGAAAGCAGAAGTGATGGGTGCCATGTTGAAAAGCTGATGAGGTTAAAACGAAGGAGAAAAAGGAAGGAAATGAATTTGTGAAACTTCCTTTTTGTTCCTTCAGTTGTTCAATTGAAGGACAGCAGCCACAAGTCTTCACCACATGCACCTGAAACCTTGCCTGTTGAATAGCTCATTCAAAAACTTTTTGGGACCTGAAAGGGTCGGCCTTTTTTTTTTTTTTTTTTTTTTTTTGCTAAACTTGTTTTAGTGATTGCATTCAAACGTTTTTGGTGTTCATTCGGCTGTTTTTGTTTGATGACAGTGTAAAAAAATAAAGAAAATATGATACGCTTGGACTAAACATTATTGACGTTGCTTCAATTCTCTCATTTTTTGGGAAAGAATTTTGGTTCAGTAGTTTATATTGCAAATTGTACAAAGCTTCTAAACTCATTTTAGGTGTTAAAAGTTAGAAAGTCACTATTCCCAGGAGTCGAGCTATTTGACAGTGTTAAATACCAGAGCTATTATCATAAATGAATTATTGAATGTCACTTTTAACAACGTACACAAAAATTTTGACTTTTTTTCTTTTTCAGGAAGGCGAATCACTCAGCAAAAAAAAAAAAAAAAAAAAAAAAAAAAAAAATGGATTGATGATCGAAAGACTTCAAGCGAAAGCTGTACATTCTCTCAGTTGTCAATGCGATGTTTTTCTTTCTATTAATTGTTCGATCTCGTGTTGCGAGAAACAGGATTAAGATGTGCAGTCAATGGCACACTTGTCATATCTCCTCAAGGCCATTACGAACGTGCACTGACGTCTTTTATAAATGAATAACTGTTGGGTTATACAAGCAAACTTCCTACTGTCAGTCATTAAATCTCGTTACAATCTGCTGGAATGACGGAGTGCCTCTATGATTAAATTGATGTAAGAAATGATAATGCCGTGCCTTGATCATACCAGAAATAAATATCCTCGGCTTTGCAGCATACTCTGTAATTCAATTCAACCTGTTGCTTAGCCGTATTACCATGTGGAATATATAACCTGCTTGGTATTTATGCTTCCATTCGCCGTTGTCTTTCCCATGACAATACGTAAAGCTTATACTACCATTTTTGCTACTGTTCAGTTTTCAATTAAGGATAACATTCTATTATATTATTACAGACGGATCTGCTTCCTTTGTTAAGCCTGTCGATGTACAAGTTTCTTTCAGGTACAGTAAATTCAAGCATAAAGTAACATTAGACTGAAGAGCAGCTGCATATGGCCATTCGGCATGCCCAGATCATGTTCTACCTTGCTATTTTTAAAGAGCCGAAGAGTTCAAAGAAAAAGGGAAGGGCATTCTTCAGATGGTGAACAAACGAATGTATATTGAGGAAAGGACATAACCAACAAAGACAAAAGCAGTAATATCTTGATGCAATCCACTCTTATGATATTGAAAAGAAAGAATAAATAGATTGTTTATTACCGGGGAAATGATTAAGAAGTACAAATAAATTAATGTATGAAAGCGATGATAATACAAGATGCATGTTTGAGAGTGATGAATAAAGCGGGGACGGGATATATTGTAAATGAAAATTCTATAAAGAAAAGTTTGGCTATTAAGCTCTAGAATGACAGTTACGGGAGCACTCTTTACAAGTCAGCCTCATTGAAGACATTAAAGCAGCTTTATCTAGGAGTGCTCTGGTTTGCTCATCATAACCACTAAGAACAAAGTAACCACGGCTACGGCCATTTTCTTCCAAGCTAGTTGCCATCATCGCTCTATAAAGATCTTTTGCGTCCACCCATACGCTAGGGTATTTACCAAGGGCAACATCCATAATGAGAATTTGGTTTTCTTTTCTATTATAACCACCGATGGGACTAAAGTTTCCAATTTCTCCCCGCTGTCCAAGGATCGCTCTCGAGTAGTTCACCACCATTTGCTTAGTTGCATCAGACGTCACATTTCCTACATCCGTCAGGAATTGTTGATAGCTCACACCTCGATGTGGTTCTACTTTACAATGTGTCTGCGCCAAACAGATAAATTCATCAAAAGGGATACCACGTTCTTGAATAAGCTCAGCTGGGGAACAAGTTTTCATTTGCTCAGCTAAAAGAAAACTTTTAGTAAAAACTTGAAAATCTGATAAAAGATGGAAAAAAAGTCTGTAACACACACTTACAAGAAAACCAGCGCCAATTTCCTTTCCAAGTGCGTTTGGGGTCAATTTCTAAAGCATTTAATACCATAGCCACTATTGCAATAGAAAAAACCCTGTATTGTGAGATTTATGACAATAATGACTGTATCAAAAATTGCATTGAACTCACAAGTGCTCACACCGCCATAAGATGGTGATGACTGATTTGAAAAGTTGCCCATCAGTTTGAAAAAGCTTTCGGCATGACCCTGCACCATGGCTCCTCGGAACAATCTCTTGCCCTCAGTTGAAGTGAAATTTACAAGCGTGGCAGGTTTTGCACTTTTCTGTGCGAGTCTACTTAGTACGGAAGGCGAAAGAAGGCGAGGTTTTGCAATTGTTAAGTTATCGGCGATGCTGCTCGTTGTTGCTTGTCGGGCTGCCTGACAGCCAGTGACATGAACAGTTTTATTGTTTAATACAGTACTTTTCGGAATAATTTGTATAAATGAGGATGACTTTAGACAGTTTTTTGACAACACTGTTCTTGCAGCCATTTTTGAAAAGATATCAGAAAGATGGAAAGAAAATCGTAGTTTTTCGTTATCAGATCCTTTGGCTTCGTCTTATTTATTGGGTGTAAGTCTTTTATCATTGGTGCGAGATTTTTAACATTCATTATCAGATCTGATAATTTTGAGTAACAATCAGAGTGCACAAAAGGAGAGAAAATTAATAAGCTTGGGTTTGGACTTCAATTTGGTAACATCGGTCAGTAGCAGGATAATGTAGAAACAGAATAAAAGCGAAAATTTATAGATGATAGTTTAGTTGCATTTTGATCAATGAAAACTTGTAAAGCTTACCTATGGCTCGTTGCTGAAATCTAAGCCATTTCATCCTGAGTATAATTAAAAAGCTCGAATGTGTCACTTATCAGATTGTCACGTTATTTTAGAAATAGAGAGAAGCGATAAGCTACAATCACCAAATTTAGAATATGGCACCCACTTAGGGTTTGCTTTCGGCCGCTCCCCCCCCACCCCTCTTCAATGAGATTGATCCTTTTAGTGCGCATCGAAAATTAATATAGGTCTCGTTATCGGGGCGCACTACGCTCCATCTCATTGTTTAGCACCTTCCTATAGCAAACTGTGGCGGCCTGAATGAAGATTCGCAGTAGACATCATGAAGAACAATTCAATGTATTGACTGACTCAAAAAACCATGCATTACAGTTTTACCTGGGTATGCGGTGATTGAAGTTACGAAACTTACAATTTTAGAGTTAGTGTGCTAAAATAGATATCCTTATGTATTGTTATTTCTTTCTGTTTCCCAAATCCTTCATTTACTTTTTATACATCATGAATACGATCTTCATATATTCGTAATGTTCCCCGCTTCATTATTGTAAGGCAAGACACATATAACAGACTAGTTTGTATAGGAGGAATGCGTGCCACTTGATGTACTGCAATTTTCAATCAGATAAGGAGTAGCTAGCACAATAGAGACAAAGTTACACAAGGAAAAAATTTTTTGAATCAATTTGCTAGGTTTTGCTGTTCAAATATGAATCAGTTATAGCCTCTTCTGTAGCCAATCCCGGATGCTAAAAGCTACATGTTCGTTTTCGGGATTTATCAATCCGGGTATTTCTGCATCCACTTTCTGCAGAGCCTTGTCAACCGCTGAATGGGAATATGGCAGGCCTAAACAGTAGTCAAAGAATGAGTTAGGGTTGATATGCTAGTATAGTTGTTGTTCTGACTACCTTCTAGCGCGACAGATATTGCTGCTGTTATCGTAGGCTCATATACCAGATTATTGTTTGTTCTTATATCTGCTTTTGTAATTATACCGTGGCGAGAAACGATTTCGGCATGCTAGCGTCATATGCAAATCAAAGTTATGTTATTGTTAACGTCCAATTTCAGGATGACTACAATTCTCCATTACCACTGGTCCCCAATCCAGACGTCCTTCGACCGTGTTTACAAATTCCGGTGTTTGGCCAAATATCCAATCCCAAGTTGTTAGTTCTTCCCTTATCTTCAGAACTTGATCAGGGAAAGTACTATTCTGATCGAATATGATTGGCTGAAGAGGCATTTATGTAAGCTTGGGAATAAAGTAGACTTGAGAAAATAAAAGTTTTCCTACGTTTACCTCTACTTTCATCCCACTGTTATACGCTAAAGCAAATTCAGATGTGACTGATTCGCAAAAGAACTGATGATCAACTGTATAGGAATAGTTTCTCAAATTTGTGACAGGGGAGGGTACAGAATCGACTCCCTTTGATACAATTCCTGTCTACTGTAAACATCAATACGACAGTCTTTTTTTCATTTCTTCGTCTAAGCATTGATAACATACATTGTGCATTCTACTTTTAGATAAACAACCTTTCAAATTATCTATATCTGCATCAATCAACATCGTGCCATGATGGTACGTTCTCGAACTGGTGAGTTTGTAAGCGCTTCCTGACACTTTATGGCCATGAACAACAATGTCGTGTCTGTGGTTGACACTCGCTGGAATATCCAGTTGATTTAACGATCGAGCCACAAGTTCAGCATTTTTTCTGCGTGAAAAGGCATCACGTGGCATGTAGATAGTATATAAGGAATTGCCCATATCCTGCAATCAAGCCCAACATTATATTAGTTATCATAGATATTTGGACTCCTATGATTATGCTTGCACAACCGCTGAAAAAATCTTACTATCTAGGGGAAGTCTTACATGATATACAGCTCCTCCACCAGATCGTCTCCGCACTAAAGGTATATTATGTTCTTTCATAAAAGGTAAATTGCACTCTTTGAAGGGGTTTTGATTACGACCTACAACCACACAAGGCTTGTTTCGCCATAAATAAAGAACATAACTTTCAGGACTGATCGTTCGTAAAAGCCATTCTTCAATGGCCAGATTCAGGTACACATCGTGGATCTTCGAAATGTAACACTGCACATTGGCAGTATTAGCACTGTGTATAGATGAATAAGTTCTAGTAGTCGTGCATTTGGCTTTACGAAATATCAAATGTCTAAAAAGGTTTAAACCAGTTGCGTAAGGGTTCATAGTACTAGAGCAAAATCACATGAGGCAGTGTTGACCCCTTTCATTTTTTGGCCTTATTCCGGGGAATAAAAAAGAAAGATGTAGTACCATAAAAGGAAACTCAAAAAGGAAATCTTTTTTTTTACCCTTTTGCTCTTAAAATTTACAATTTATTGTCAGCAAATTGTAAAGATACAAGATTTTCATTGGCCTCCAGAAACTTTCCCCCTTTGGTAACAGGTTAGTGCAGTGGCTCTCAAAGTACTAATCTACTCTATTTTGCTATATTCTCTTCCTCCTCTTCCTTTCTATATTCCTTTTGTCCATTCAATCTCACAATGATTACTGCCTATAGGGATCTAACATTATTTGCCAATGAAAATTTTGTTTAATCGTATAACGAAACGGATATTGATGCTTCTTTCTCTACAATATGAGGACATCCGAGAAAAATTGTTGACCTGACGCTCTAAAGCAATTTCATAAAGACGAATCTGCAGAGGAAGTCATAAGAGACTGAACAGCTAATGTAAGCACTTTGACAACCACGGAAACGCGTAATAAGAGCAAGAGTTACGCTGAGAATGCCGTTGTCCGATTAACGAATGCTTTTCAAGACGAAGAAATTTCTCAATTCCAAAAGCTCACAACTCTGTGATGACCTCCAAACAGTGCTTATGTTCTCGTCAAGGGAAACAATGAAAGAAACGGCTCAGTTGCTCAAACGTTGTAAAAACTGCTGCCTTCTTGTACTAACTGCATGTGCACACACATAAAGTCACTGATATGACACTATGTCCTTGTGATTCGATGTTGAACACCTATTTGATTATTGTGTAGTTATACTGGTAATACATTAATTTAGTATTCTAGTACTAAGTAGAGCAATGAAATGATTCAGTAACCACCAGTGCTATTTGAAAAAAAGCAGTGTACTGAATTGGTATTCAATCGTTGAATACAATTCTTATGAGTCAAGCATATTTTTAAATCGCTAGTTTACAGATATTTGTATTCATTCGTGATTAAACTGAAATAAAGAATCTATCGTCGTCATCATGAGTTTACATAGGCGTCCTTTAAATATATCGCATTACGTCCTAAATGAGTTGACCATGAAGAACATAGAATAAAACGCTTTTTTGAGTGACATGCTGACCATTTCATACTTTTAAACCCCCCTTTGCATTCAAAGATATTTATAATCTTCTACACTATCATACCTCATTCGTATAGAATACTATATTCTGACATACAGTTATAAATATTGATATTTGTAGTTTTTGCTGTTGTTGAAAAAATACTAGTAGGATAGAAGAAGATCCCCGACATTCATATCATTGTACATCGTTTGTAATGCATAGTAGCTTTGTGATTCCGAAGCCCTACTCCAGATGAATCACAATTGCCTGAAGCAATTTTGTGTGATGGTAGGTGGCGTTCTAAATTCAATCACCGACAACGTTTCTTTCTTGCAAAGGCTCGGAGAGGGCGGGGAGGCCAGACCAGCCAATTACTACTACAACGCTGAAGGGCACATATCATTGAATCCCCCTCTCTCCTTGCGTATTCTAAGTATGTATCATGGCTGCTTGAGAAAGATAGAGCACGATTAAGAGAAATCATGTGGGATGCGTGTCAGATAGTGAAGAATATTGGATGGATGGTTATAGGGATGGATAGCATGGATTTGAAAATGCTCGGAAGATGCAACTAAAGAATCGAATGGGATTTTGGACAGATCATCAGTGTATTAATCAGTCCTCTTTGTAATTTTCTCTCGTCCATCCTGTATAGATTTTGAGCAATAATGGTCAGATACGCTGCCACACCAGCCAACGCCGCTAAGGGTAATTATATTTTACAACGATGCAATATTTAATTGGAGCAATTGACAAACCACTAAAATCGACACTTTTTACAACATTCATTGACTTAGCCGCCAAATCCAGAGGTTCTTATCTTCGTGTTCACGTAAGCAACAATGATACGCAGCTATTCTTATAATTAGAAAACAGCGACACTAAATTGTTACTCTTTCCGATATTACGATTATAGTTCAAAAATACCCGTGAAGTCGCTGCTGCTATCAAGGGTTTGAAGTTGAGCAAGGCTTATGCTTATCTTTCCAACGTTACCGAACAAAAGCAATGTATTCCTTTCCGTAGATTCAACGGTGGTGTAGGTCGTACCGCTCAAGCCAAGGAATTCGGTACTACTCAAGGTCGCTGGCCCGTTAAGTCTGTCAAGTTCGTCACTGATCTCTTGAAGAATGCTGAAAGCAATGCTGAAGTAAGTTATTAGATTTGGATTGAAATTGTTCATGGATAGAGAAATCTGGAATTAATTGGATATCTATTTTGTGTTCGGTTTTTAAGGCTAAGGGTTTGAATGTTGAAGAACTTTACATTTCCAGCGTTGTTGTCAACCAAGCTCCTAAGCACCGTCGTCGTACTTATCGTGCTCACGGTAGAATCAACCCCTTCATGTCTCATCCTTGTCACATTGAAGTTGTTCTTGCTGAAAAGGATGAAGTTGCTCCCCGTGCCGCTGATAAGAAGGTTGTTAAGCTTAATGCTCGTCAATTGGCCCGTAATGCCCGTCTTGCTCGTGCTTAAGTATTTTTCATTTATTCAACAATAAAACAATAACGACTAAAAGAAGAGGAAACTTATCTCTCACTGCGCGCTACTCTCTTTCCATTTTGATTTTATGCAAAAATAAACTTTGTCACTGAAAATAAAGTCGCCGAACCCATGTTTGGTTAGTCTGTGGCATCATGAGGAATGCTTTAGTATTTCATGTATTCTCACAGTGTTAGGGAAACTAGTAAATCGATTATATGAATATCTACTTTCATCAGTTTCATCAATAGAGATGGAACGGTTGGCAATCCTTCTTTCTTTGGGGAAAGTGGACACAAAAATGAATCCCAGCCCAAGAATGTTTTGACGTTCGCAGGGAACCAGATAATATCGAAAATCGTTGACTGCTAATCTACTTCAGCGTACTATATGCATGAAAAGGCTACGTTAGATATTGATATTGACAGGTACTGAGCAAATATGCCGTTGTTAAGCAACTGCAATGATGGCCAATCGATTCCCTCATTTGTACATAGACTCCTTAAGAACAATGCATTGTTCCTGGCTTCACATGCATTGTTAACTATTTGGAACGTGAGAGACTTGCAAGAAGAATTAATGAGCGCTATAAATGTAATGCATAATGGGACCTTATTAAGAATATCAGCCCAACACATTATGGATAAGGTAGTCGAACCATGGCATTATTTATTCCTCGCTTTCTTAAAACAAATAATTTAAGTACAAAGTATTGAAATAGAAAAGGATGAGTTCTGATTAGGTGTACCAACCATTACAATGATTTTATTTAATAAAGTAAATTTAGTATGAAATAATAAAATTCTATTACTGAGATCATCTTTACAAGAAGGATGAAGGGGATATCTTGAATTAATTACACGGATTGTCTGAAAATAAGCTTTCCTTGTGCTCTGAATGCTAATGTCTCTCTACGACCGAGAATACTCAGTGCTTTATTGACTGCAGCGTCAGAGAAACCTTTTTGTCTAAGATCTCCTTTAAGAACAGCAACAGCAACTTGCGATCCTACAGGCAAACGCTTTTGAATTTCATCCTCGATCATATGTACTTCGCTCATAAGCTCACTTTGAGTCATTCCTTCACTTCCGCCACTTTGGATGGCATCCATAGTAGAGTATTTGAACAGTCGAATGGCTTCATCTACATCTTGTTCAGTTGCTTCCGGCGAGAGTCTCAATTTGGCTAAGGATTCAGATATACGGATGATAGCTTCCAATTGTCTATACAGCAAGAAGGTGAGTTAGTATACTGGTGCTGCAATCATCCCATTTACTATGTCGCACGAGATGTACCTAATCGTGATAGGGATAGTAGATCTGATTTGGCTATCTCTTTCAGCCTCTTTTAGTGTTTTACGGATTTCGACAAAGTAACTGCTTAATTTATCTGCTGCTTTTTCTGTTAAACGAGGTGCACATTTACTATGTAATCAAGATAGGTAAGCCATTTGTTTGAATAATAACTGTTGCTCTTTTGTCAGTTTCATAACTTACGCTTTACAATAATTGATATATGCTTTCATCTTTTCAAGCGAAATTTCAGGCATTGCAGCATCTTGAATTGTACGGTTCATATGGACATTTAAGACGTGTTTAGCAACCGACTATAATAGTGTGAACCAAATATTTAGAATCATCTACATGCTTTCATTTTAAAAAAATCTTAGACATTACCACATCACGTAATTCATTGTGTTCGTCTTTGACAATAAAAATCATATCAAAACGAGACAAGATGGTGGTTTGAAAATCGATGTTTTCACCTGCGGTTTTCATTTCATCGTATCGGCCATATACAGGATTGGCTGCAGCGAGAACTGAAGTACGAGAATTAAGAATTGTTGTGATACCAGCTTTAGCGATAGAAATTGTTTGTTGCTCCATAGCTTCGTGAATAGCAACACGATCTTCGTCTCTCATTTTATCAAATTCATCAATGCATACGACACCACCATCTGCAAGAACCATAGCACCACCTTCTAAATAGAAATCACGCTATACACAAAGTCAGATGTCTACACAATTAGCTCCCTATATAAGAATATACTTACAGTACTAGGATCACGTATAACCGAAGCTGTTAAACCTGCAGCACTACTGCCTTTACCAGATGTATAGACAGCAATAGGGGCAACTTTTTCTACAAATTTCAGCAATTGGGATTTAGCAGTACCTGGATCACCGAGCAACAGCACACTGATATCTCCTCTGAGCCTCATGCCATCTGGAAGAATCTTTTTGGATCCACCAAATAACAAACATGTGATGGCTTTTTTGATATCCCCATTTCCAAAAATGGAAGGTGCGATACTTCTGGCGAATGATTCGTATAAATCAGGCTGCTTGGACATTCTGATGTATTCTTCCTCTTCTGCATTGGTGAATTGTGGTTTACCCCGCCCACTGTTATGCTTATCCACTTCTAAACCTACAATTCTAATATAGGGTGTTCTCACAGCAGAAACGCCTGTTCCTTTCTATAGAGTTCGTAAAAAAAAAAGGAGTCAACTTTTCAACTTTTCTATGTTCTACCGTTAAGTATAGTAATTATTACTTACAGTTGTCTTGGATTGATAAATAGAGTATATACCTAAAACAACTGCCCTCATGCCAGGGACAATACGGTTCGTCAACCAACGGTCAGCATTCAAAATTGTATGACGAGGTAGATCACCAACTGGGACCATATCAGGAGCTTCTTGTAATTTGATGACTTGAGAATCAACAAATCGACACTTATCGTGAACAATAATATAAGGGTCCTGCGAACATTGATTTTTTTCTCCTGCTAATGGTTCTTTATCACATTTTCTTGGTAGGGTGATTCCTGCAAATCCGCCTTTGACAGGAATGACTTTGAGACTACGACAATCTTTACACATGGCTGTCACTTGTGTAGCTCGGCAACTGAGTGTAGAAGCGCCGATAACAATGCCTGGAATACGTACAAGTTTACCAATATAATCAGACTAAAATCAAAGTTGTGCCGTGTTGCAGAAAGTGATAATAAAATGCTAAAGGTAAGTGCCTCAGAAAAACTCAATTCTCTAACCTGTAATCTGTATTAGAGATCTCTTACATTCAAATCACGAATTTGAGTAACATTGGCATCTGATTTCAGAATAATTTGGCAGTCGGGTACGTCCGAATCAAGTATTTCTGTTGGATTGACGTGAAGAATTCGTTTTACAGCTCCTTTCGCAGCAATTTCAAACTATAAAGTGGTGCAGCTGTGTAAGACTAGCAGAACGGATGTGCGTTGATTTGTTGGGTTTTTTTTTTTCTTGTTCAAGAAAAAAAACTTACCAAAGGTAAAAATTCTGCTGGTTTATTCATAAGTTCATCTGCTAGTGCATTGTCCCAACTGATGAGATGACTTAAATCAACTTCCACATAGTATTCCTTCATACGCACATTGTTCGCTAATTGATCTCTGCAAAGTTGTCGAAGATAAGTCAGCTGATTACTTTCATAGGCTCAAAACATACTATAGGATGTGAAAAGAGCAGTACCTGTAGACAAAGCTGTTGTTAATACGAAAATTTTGCAGGAACTCATAAAAGAATTTGCTGATTTCAGAGGGTGATTGTTTTTGTTCTTCTCCAGGTAGTACTGAGGTGGCAGTAATTCTACCTTGATCCCAACCGAATGTAGCCATTTTGCTTTACAAATGTAAAAAAATTTAGGTGCAAAGAGAAATAATAGGTTCGGAAAAAAATTGAAAAAGATCTAGGAACGCGTTCGCGTTTTGAAAATTTGTCACAGACATGACTTGCAAAAAAGCATATTTTCGCGTTCATTGAGCAGATTCCCTTTCAATCTCCATCGATGTCTTCGTTGCCCTCAAAAAGCTACGCAAAGTTTGGGATGGTACTTAGAACGTTCCCCTTCTTTATTGATATTACATTTTTTTGATCGGCTTGATGCCTAATAAATATAATCCGTTTCTAAGAGTGGCACGAGCTGACCAAAATAGCAACAAACGCGCCTTTGAGGTATCTATGTCCATGTCTTTCACTCTGAGAAATTTGCTTGCTGTGCTTGTTGCATGTGACAATTTAAATAAATAGTTTACAATGGTACATGGTTCTAGAGTTGAAAAAGCTGATTGAACTGTTTCAGGGAACTGAGCAATCAATTCTACTAGATCGATAGCTTCTTTTTCTTTAAGCAACTCAAAGTTGCATTGAGGATCAACAGCTATTCCGGCTTTTCGTTCGATTCCACAGGCTCTAGCATGAGCGTATTGCAGAAAAACACCAGTATCACCCTTCGCATCCGTAACTCGATCCCATGCAAACTCGTAATTTTTGTCCCTTTTGGACTTCATATCTTGGATCATTATAGCTGAAACACCTAATTGATCGGCTATATAGTCGATATTCTCTATTTGACTTTTGTCAGAATCCTGCGTCATGTATTCCAAAATTCTTTCTTTGGCTGTATCTAATATATCTTGCAGAAAGACTGCAGATCCTTTCCTTGTCGACATTCCTTGAATTCGTCCAAATCCTATATGTTGCAGGTCCAATTTTGAAGAAGGAATCATTTTCTCCGCTATTTTGAACACTTGCTTGAAATAATTAGATTGCTCTCTTCCAACGACGTAAAATGCCTTCGCAAAGGAATATAATTCTTTTCGTCGAAGGATGCTCGCTAAATCACGCGTTATGTATAATGATGTACCATCCGCTCGCTGTACCACTGCATTACCTAATTGATACTCCTCTAAATTTACTGCTGAGGCACCGTCATCTGTATGAGTAATTAGGTGTTGATCTTTCAGCATAGCTAACGCTTTTGGTATATAATTGTTCACTTCAGATTCTCCTGAATATACGTCGAACTCAATATTAAGCCGTTTGTATATGCTTGTATACGACTTTATGCTCATGTCTCTGAAGCGCGTCCACTGTTGTATTGCCTTTGGATCACCTAATTTTACAAATGAACATTAGTTGAATATTCTTGGTACAAAACCAGCACGGATTTTACCTTCTTCCATTCTTTTAAAATATTTGTTTGCTTGTTTACTAATATCTTCGCTTATCGAAGCGTCCGCGTTGATTTTCACATAAACCTGATATAAATGATGAATAGGATTTGAAAGCAGTAATTTTTCATCCCCGTAACGTTCAAACCCAACTGCCAGTAGTCCTTTGAGTATTTATTGTACGTGTTAGAGTTGATGTTCATTAAGTATGGATTAAGGTGAAGGTTAACATATAACTATACCATACTGTTTGCCCCAATCACCTAAATAGTTAATTCCAATAACACGGTAACCTAATGCTTCATGTATACGCTTCACAAAATTACCGATAATGGTGCTTCTTAAATGGCCGGCGTGGAAAGGTTTCGCAATATTTGGTGAACTGTAATCGACGAGAACAGTATTTTCCGTTAAGGAAGGTTTAGGTATATGTGACCAGCCATAGGTTTTGTCGTCATGGTATACTTGTTGTAAAACTTGTCTAACAAATTCTGGTTCGTTGAAAGTGAAAAACAAGTCCTTTTCTGTGCTTGTAGACTTGTTGATCAATCTGTTATTGCAGAATTGGAACTGAAAAGCAGTTGTGGGCACGAAGATGCACGAAATTAAAAATAAATTTTCATAATAATTATTCAAAATTCTCAAAGATAATTTACGTCTTTAACCATACTTTCTGACCATGGCTGGAGATCACGCTTATTCTTAACTGGATTTCCTAAGAAAGCGTTCAGTTTTGGTAATGAGATAGAAATATGTCCCTCTTTTCTTGATTTGGACATTCGCATCAATTGCATTAGCTCCTCCGGTTTGGAGTGCGTTGCTCTACAGATCTGATCTGCAATTGCATGCTTGAAGCGAGAAAGAGCTGTCATCGAGGGGTTGAAAGGTTTCTGAAGGGCTCTGGCAGTTCAACAGTCTATTTCCTAATACAGTTTTGTTTAGGCCCCAAGCCAAAAGATAATTCAACATCAGCTAAAGTGCGGAGAATTATCCCCGATAAATACAGTTTTTTTAACTTACGATTCGGACTTTCATTCTGTATGCTTCAGACGAACAGAATAATGGATTTAAGAAATACCATAAAAACTTTTGAATTTTGAAAAATTTTAGTTTGAGATGATTTTTTTGAATTTGAACTCAGGGCACTATAAAAACGGAGGGGTGACGAGGAAACAAGAGCAATAACCAGCGCGCTTAACTACCCTGTGTAATATGTTAAGCATACTATAACATCTAAAAGTTGAGGAGCAGGGACACGTCACTGTCTGTATATAGCAATGATTTTTAAAACTTTGGTGCATGTTGGTAAGAGCCGTCACTTATTGAGTGATGTTGTTAATGAAGCAGTTCTTTGACAACACGATACGTAGCAGAACATACACAATTTTGTGAACAGATCTTGAAAGTAGCAGCCTATAATTTAAAAATTTTGTACTTGGGATCTCTGTTTGTCAACTACCTGTTCATCAAGATATTTGAAATCAAAGATGCTGATGTTCCTGTTATTGAGCGAACTCTGTTCAGAAATGGTAAGAAGTCACCGGACTACATCAAAGAACATTTCAAAATCTTCTGTGGCCTGACGACTTTTGACCCGCAGCTGTTAAAAAGTATAAAGTACTCAAGCGTTCTTTCCATTGCGGTAAACAGTACGAAACACTCACCAGAAACTACCTACATGAAACGTGTTGTCTGACAACAATTCTGTAAACTTCTGTAAAAATTTGACGGTAGCAAAACGAAAAAATTAGCACATTATATCTATGGAAAGAAGCAGGGATCAAGTCCCTCATGGCCTGCCTCTCTCTCTAGAAGTGATGCTCTGGACAAGATAGTTGCCAATCTCACTGCCATATGGGAAAAGTATCAGCCAAGTGATTGAGACTCAAAAACACTGTATTCTAAGCCGCACTTATTCTTCAAATGGTTCAACTTTCTCTCTAAGGAGGTCCAAAAGAAGGTTTTTATTATGGAGCCACAAGCAGCAAAAGTTGTATCAAAGGCTTACATTCGTCGAAAACTTCTCGAAATTCCATTTGCTTCTACGTTGAATAGGAAGAAGTTTAGTTCTCTACTTGAGCAAACATTAGCAGCATTCATTTCAGATAAGCCTTTTCTCCCGGGGTAACAACTACAGAACCTCGTGCCACAACAGATATCGGTGATCCAAGTCTTATCGACACCGTAAAAAGCAGAATCAATGATGGAACTTTTAGCCCTACAAAATACACAGATACCAGAGGCCATCGCTTTTTTGTCACTCGCACCATTATACTCAGTCAAAACCAAGTCAATCCAAATCGATGCCCGGCGTTTTGGAGATTAGCAAAAGAAGCAACGTGGATGGCTGCAAACACGGGCAAAAAAACTGAATCTGACCTTACAGATATGTATTATCAACTGTTCAACTTCTAAGGAATTGGGCTTCAGGTCAAGATCAAAGTCTACAACTAGGAAGAAGCAATTTGAGTAAGTTACATTTCAATAAGCCTTTAGTTTTTACGTCAATACTAATCAAATGGCAATTAGTAACGTCATGGTAACAGATGGCTATACAGTCTCCTTCTTATGCCAGCGTATAAAAAAGCGTGCCTCTTCTAATGATCATTCAAAAAAGCCTCCTGATTTCGCTGAGGACATCAATGTCGGTTGTACCGTTTGGGCCGTGGACCCAGGTGTAACTGATATTATAACAGCCGTGAATTCGTCTGATACAGAACGGCTAAGAACCGCATCGCTTGATGAATACTTTCACTTGTGCGGCTTCAATGATGCGAACATTGCTAGAAGACAGCATCAAAGCAAAAATGAGACCGTCTTCAATACGATCAACAACTTTTCCACTCTTAAAACAACTCTCGTTGATGATTTTGTCAAGGCTTCTAAGGAACGCGTCATAAATTATCAAGCAATATACGACTATTATTCTGCTGATAGCTGGTAAAACAATAAAAAAATAGAATGGGTCCTTTAGCTGCATAGCGTCCTAACATAAATAGGCTTTCAAAGTTGAATTTCAAGTCTTGTCGAGGAAAGCAGAAAGCTATCACAGAAATATGTCGACGTCTTGTAGGCAATAGCAGCAACTTACAAACAGAGATTGTGGAAATCTGCATCATCGATGAATATCTAACTAGTCAGATATGTAGTGCATGCAAATATCGAAGTTTGGAGAATGTTACGACAGCAGCAACAAAGCGAAGAGTACATGCTGTATTGCAGTGTAAAAACTGTAATACAATTTGGAATCGCGACGTCAAGGCTGCCAAAAAAATCTATGATTTTCATGTTTGCTGCAGTAAATGACAATCAAAGACCTGCGGTTTTCAAACGAGATTAGTTCTATTTTCATGTGTGATTGATATCACTCCTTCACACATTTCTACAGTGTAAGTTAGTAAGATATTCATAAAGTATAACCAAAGGCTGAATGCTTACTGTTTCGACCTTATTTACTAAACTCACAATTCGGTAACAATTTGGGTAATTTCTGGTAAAGTACGTCTGAATTTATAATAGAATTTATCTAAAATATGTCAACATTTTTTCTCATAAATTGCCTAGTAGTATTTCCGAGTTTAATAGAAAAAACTGTATCAGCAATATTACCCATGTCCTTTAGTGAGCATAGCCGGATGATTCGATGGCGCCTTGGTTGGCTACCTGGTGGCCTTCCACAATCCCGCCCACGACATCCGTCCTACACCCTCTCACGATCCCATGCCATAACTTGTCTCAACATGCACGACCGTCTGTTCGTCCTTACCACCATCCCGGATCCTATGTCATTCTTACTGAATATGCTCCCCACCAAGAAGCCCCATCGTACCCACATAATTGCTACTTGGCGTAGACGATGGCCTATAATGTGCTCAATTCTTATTGAATTAGACCACTTACAACATCGTCTTGACTCCCACCCCCCACCACCACTCTGAGATAATCTCCCCCGCCAACACTTTATAGACTGGTTGCTATCATAGCTGTTTATTATTTGACTGTTACCTTCTCCCTCTTCCTTCTCCTTTCCTTTTTACCTTTTGTCTCTTAATTTAGTTCTATACAACCACTGGAACTGACCAGAGCAGACCCAATGTGTTAAAGGCATTACGTGCTCACAATTCATTAAAAAAATTTATCCAATAAAATGAATTATTTAACCGTATCAGCAATATTATTTTGACCAAGTACTTCGGTCTAGTCCTTGTATACCAAGTTACTTAACGCTAGAAGCATTTAGCATCTACAATATTGTTTTGTAGTATGTGTGCTAAACTGTTTTCGTTCCTCATTTTAATGACAAAGCATAATCTTTTAGGATAAATTTTCCGGTAAAGAGAGCTGTCTTCACGATGGAGCTGCAACACTGGCTTCTTATTGATAATGGTTCAACATTTTTATTCCCCGTGCAGCTCCTCCCTTTGAAAATTGAGACGGTATGTCAATTATGAAACAACAGATCATGATTTCGTTCCCTAATCCTTCCTTTTTGCACTGGATAAACTCATTTTCTGTATTTCCCTTTGTCTCTCTTTTTTTACCCTTCATTTTTCGATTTATACGATCCTTTCCTATTTTCAGCCTTTTAAAACATATTACCATTCCCATTGGTTTGACACACTTTAAAGCGTTATGCTGTATTTTACAGCGCCAACTCTAGATTGTGATGATCCTGCGGTTCTGTTAAGTGTCTTCAATTCTACAAGTGAAGCAGCAAAAGAAGAATGTCTTGTAGAAGAATGGAAACGCTATGCAGCTCGTTATTACTTTGCAGGATGCATCATCAATGCTTTTCTAATCATCGCATCTACACTTTTGTTTATCTATTGTGCAACAGCGCCGCCCATTGCAACCGGCTGTATGAATTTTACGTCAAAATCGGATATGAGACGATTGCGGCAAGCTGCTAAACAACAGTCTCTAGGAAAACGATCAATTGCAGCCACAACGTTAGGTGCTTTAGGACATCTTATACTCAGCACCAGCCTTTTTCTTAATTTATGTTTTGACGACGACATTGGCTGCCAATTATCATTGTGGGGCGTACTGTTAGGATTTTATACATGGTTAGTTGCCATCGCTATCCGAGCCTACCGACTGAAATTCTTATACAAACTCAATCGCTTACGAGTCAAATACCTTCGTATGACTCGAGCAGAACGACTCGCTTACGTCAGTGACAATGATTACCAATGGTATATAAAGAATAGCCGACAAAAAAAGTTCAAACTGCTGATACCATACGTTTTGTTCGGGCTCTCTATCTGTATTATGCTTATTATTACTATTCCTACGGAAATAGCTTCTATGAAGGCTAATGATGGATGTTATTTTGCTTGGGGTTCAATCACTATGATCTGTCTGTATGCATTCTATATCTGTGTTATGGTCCCTGTGATGTTATGGACATTGAGACATGTTTCTGATGCACATGGTATCCGGAAAGAGATATGGGCTGATGCTGTGGTGAGCATACCTTTTTTTACTGTCTACGCCGTTCGACTCTCTTTAACTGGTTACGGTCATTGGTCGTTGGTATTTGATACCCTGAGGGTGGCTGGTCCTGGCCTTTTTTCTGTATTCTTTACCATGGTTGCTCATTTTATATCTGTAGTCGTACCTGTTATTGAATATTTTATTCCTATTGAGCAAAACAAGTATTATAATCGGCTGAAAGCAATGCTATTGAAATATATTTGCTGTGTAAAAAAGAGGAAATTGTCGAATTGCTCTCATATCACAACAGCAAATTTTCAAGAGCAACCACAGCAACAGCAACCGCTTGAACAACAAGCAATTATACCCGAATTATCAATTGATTCATTAGAACTTGTATTAGCAGACCATGAGATGATGGAGCAATTGCAGGTTTTGGCTATCGAAGATTTCAGTTCTGAAAATGTAGTATTTTATGAAAATTATCTCACCTTACAAGAAATGGTGAAGAATCGGATATTTTTGAACCAACCTTTAGAGCAAACAAGTTTTGGACCACGAAAATTGATTAATGCATTGACTCCAACTACAATACCCTTTAAAAACAACAATAGCAGCAATGTAGAAGATGCAGAAAAGGCTTTGAAGACTACAACATCCGCCACCGTCAAGGAAAGAGGGTTTAGCCTGGCCGAATTTCTATCTTACCCTGTACCTTATGATACATACCCGTTGCTCGTTAGGTTTTATGAGAGTTTCATACGTGATGGAGCAGCAGATCAGGTCAATATTTCTCACAGAGCACGGCGGAAAATAGACGATGCCTTCTGTGTCGTGTATGAAGAATACCCAGAATTAAGAGAGTTCAATAATGTTCCTCATTTGTCTCGCCGTACCAGTAGCTCACCTAAAATTCGTATGACCAGTAGCTGTACTAGTAGCAGTAAACTTCGTCAGCACTCAGTCATCAACAGGTCCACTATTTATTTTGATCAGCACGATACCACAGATGAAGACGTCAAAGCAAACAGTAATAACGACAACAATATCATCCTGAATTTGAATATTTTTGAGGCGGCTCGAGTAGAAGTTTGCTGGAACATCTTTAATAGCATATATCCCAAATTTGTAGAAATGTATAAAGAATCTAATGTAACCATTTAATCTACACTTTTTTTTAGACTTAATAAACATTGATAACAGCATAATTGTTAATTGTATGTTTAGCCGTTGCTTTTACATGTGGGTATCGGTATAGGTCTAACTATGACTTTTCCCTTGTCGTTGCCAATCATCTCATTTGTAGCCTACGTTAGCGTTACATCAAAGCATGTACCATCATTGTTAAACAAAAGCTGCAAAGGTTGTGAACATTTCTCAACTTTCAGTTATTCATTTTTTTATGCTTAAAAGCAGCAATTTCTAGTATAGTTTTAAGTGTATGATATAATTATGCTTATTTAAAGCGATAGGTTCATTCTTCTCATGGATTATCAGTGACTTTAAATTCTCATACGCCTTATTTGCAAGCTCTCTTAATATTAGTCATTGTAAACTTCTTGTATGCATATCCTATATTCTAGAATTTTATAACATGTGTGGGGTGTACGAACAGGTGTGTTTTGCTCTACTCAGCCAATCAATAAGGACCAAGTCAACTTAACATTTCTGGGTCTGAATACGAAGCTGCTATTGTTATGATTGTTCAGTAACTCTTTTTTTCTTTTTTCTACTCGTGTGGTGTTCATAAATGAAAGCAGGATTTTTGAGTTTCATCGTAGCTCTCTGTGCAAATATTGGCTTTACACAAGCATTCTATGGGCCAAAAGATAATGTGAAGAATTTGACTCCCACAAATTTCCGTTCAGAAGTGATGAATACAAATGTAAGACTTTGTTTACATTCTACGCCTCCCGCTTTTCTCCTGAAAACCTCTTCAATTATTGACATCAATTATAATATGCATTTTGTAGCATCTTGTAGCAGTAGAATTTTATGCTCCTTGGTGTGGCCATTGTCAGCGTCTCGCACCCGAATGGAAAAAAGCTGCCAAAAACTTGAAAGGCTTGGTATCTGTAGCTGCTATAAATTGTGATGAAGACGCAAACAAAGGACTTTGTAGCCAATACGGCATTCAAGGCTTTCCTACAATTAAAGTATTCAGTCCGGAGCTCAAAAAGGATAGACGTACTGGGCAGATTAGCAAAGTACCGACAGGTAAACGCGGAATATTATGGGAACAATTTTCTGTTAACAAATTCAACTCGAGTCCTTGATCGTACTGAATGTGTTCGAATTTATAGACTATCAAGGTCCGCGAGATGCTCGCTCTATTGTTGATCATCTACTGTCTTATCAACCTTCGCAAGTTTTGTTTGTCAAATGGAACGAAAAAGACGTGAAATCAAAGAAGGCTATAACTTTGGAGAAATTCTTTGAAACTAAGGTTAGAACGAAAGAGAATTACATTCCTGAAGAACAAGTGAAGAGCTGATGATACAGATTATTCCTAAATTAAATAGAACCAAACTCTTCCCAAAGTACTTTTGTTTACCGACAAACCCACCACTACACCACTGTACAAAGCGCTATCTGTGGATTTCAAAGATCGAATGCTTGTGGGAGAAGTGAAGCATTCAGAAAAGAACATCATTGATGAATTTGAGGTGCAATCATTTCCAACATTACTTGTCTTTTCTCCTGAGCATGGGGCCATCAAGTTCGAAGGCAAACTTAACCGTGATAATCTCAAAACATTCATGGAAAAATACGCGTTATCTGCGAAAGATAAAAAAGACAACAGCAGTGATGAAAGCAGTGGATCAAAACATAATCAATCTAAAAAGGAGTCCAAGAAAGGTAACCCAAGACTCAATTCGACTGTATAGAATATTGGCACTGAACTCATCTTCATTACGCTTCAGTTACGGCCATTAATACCACCGAGCAATTAAAGAAGCATTGTCTTGATAACAAGAATTCAAAGGCAATTTGTGTTATTGCCCTAGTTAGCGATGATGATAAAGAAGATACACTAACCACCTTGAACAACTTGAAGGACAAAGTGGAAGAAGAAGACGGTGTAGAGCTGACCTATGGCTGGATTCATGCAAGCCAATCAAAAGGAATCAAAGAGTCTTTGCAATTATCGGAAGACTACCCTTCTTTATTCATTCTACATCCAAGTAAGCAATTGTTTAGAAATTATATCGGCTCATGGAACGACGATAACTTGTTAAAATGGCTCAATCAAGTCGCATCATGGAAACTTCAAGCTTGGCCTTATAGCAGTGATTTGAAACTGACGACTGCTAATACAGAAAACAATGGAGAGGCTGGTCATGATGAATTATAAGCTGATGAGTACCTAATGTAGAATAGATATCATTTCATTATTAGCCAATATTCGTATAAAGATTTGAAATTAAGAATCCTGTGTGTCGTCTAAAGGTTAGAGAAGATATTTTTTATTATACTGCAAAGTTTGACTCTTTTATATCACCAAGCAGTTAGAAAATTATTAATTACAGTAAAGCATTTGAAGCATTTCTATGCCCAATGAGTTCATCCCTACCATATCACAATAGACATAAGATTACTGCATTCACTTCTATCAAAATGAGAGTCGCTCAAACATTATGGTGAAGGATGAAATACAGTATTCTAAACTTCTGTGGTTTTATAATCCAAAGGAGGAAGATGGCGCAAAGTATTTTAATGGCTAAAACAACAACATAGTATCGGGTTGCTTCTATGCGAATATATCTTTTATTTTTACTCATGCACTACTTTCCACATACGAAAGTTAAAAAGTGGGACGTTATTGATGTTTTATATGATTAAAGAAAAAACATACTCCAAAAATACTTTTCTCAATGTTCTTGCAAATTCTGATTTGAATCCGTTTGAAAACGCACAAGCTTCATTAAGGAAGTATGCCGTTCCTATCCTTGACTGGTTTTCTTAGAAACTTTCATCTTGCTTTGCCACGGACAAACCACTCCTTATGATATCAATCTAGCAAATATACCACAAAAAAGCATTCGAAAAGCAAAACCTTCCTGTTGAAGCAGGCAAAAATTAACGCGCGCCTCAAAGTACTGACGTCCAATGACTTCTACTTCTTCTAGCGGTGAACTTTGCGCCTTCACTTCTATTTTTACCAATCCCGTCAAAATCGCAAAATTTTTTGCCAACTTTGCGAATGGAGGTGAGCCAGTACGCATAAAATACTTCGACAACACTGAATCACAGGTTTTATTGAACTCCAATGGTAAACAAAAGGAAATAAAAGAACAAAAAAGCCTTTTCCAAGTGCGAAACTGAATTCATTTCACACAAGCATTTGAAAATAAGCGAATCCGACTACAACCAGCGTCGTGGTAAGTATGTTGATGCTCTTGGCTTTTTGATGAAAGAAGTTGTTTTGAACAGAAACTCGTCCATTAACTGCTCTCAAGAAGCTGAATATCGCGTATAATCAAGAATCAAGACACCTTGCCAGAGTTATGTTATGAACGATCAAAGACGTTGGTGTTTAGATGAGAAACAAACGGCAACACTTCCTTCTACATGGCCTGATCGTATCTTACTTGTTCAATATCTTGAAATATAGCCACATTGTTTGTATGTTAAATAAAAAAAGCCACCCATTTCATAAACATATACAACTAAAGTATTATAATAAAAAAAGACCCTTTACACTTGTCAAAATAAGACAATACGCACAATTGTTGCAACCGTCGAAGCATTCTTAGCTTAATATAGCAGTTTTTTTACACTTTGTGAAAGTTTGTCTTTTACTCCGGTAGAAGGCATTTGTTGAAGATGCCCTTTCGGTACTGAGTATAATAGAATTGGTCACTCATATCTGTTAGTAGGTTCCATTCAAAAAAAATTGACGCGATCGAGTTACAATAAAACTGATATCTTTCACTGCCTAAAATATTATCGAGGACTTTGCCAAAATATGAGTAAATCAGTGTTTACCTTGGAGAATGTAAAACGCATTCATTCAAACATTTTTGAAGAATACGTACGGCGAATCTTGATACAAGAGCAATATACAAATAGCTGACTCCAGACCCAAGCAAGTCGAGTCACTTATTAAGAAATTCTTAGAAAACCTTGAATTTCAGAACTGTAATCGGAACTTTTTAAGTTACAGCTTGTAAATTATTTCTTTCAAACTTTCACCTTTTCTAAACTTGTTGAATCCTTTTCAACTACGCACATAGAGATAGAAGACAGCAATGGTAATATCAATAATACTCGTTAGATGAGTTGGTATGATTGATGATAAAAGCACCAGTTTAACATTGTTTTTATCGTTCTTTTCTTTTCTCTTTAACAACCTTAGCAAGAAGGAGAAGAACCCAATCCTCAGGCTCAGCAGTTTGAAATAGAGGAACCCCTCAACAGTCAGCAGCCAACACCATCACCTGTTGACATTAGTCCAACTCCTCCTTCCGCGCCTTTTGATCAGGACAGAACAATGACTGAAGTTGAGCCTTCACCTGCTCTGTCCATTCTCGATAATGGTAGGCATAAATTGATGCTTGTCATTTGAAGCAGCATTTGCTATTACGATTGCCCGCCTTTTGCGTTGCAACACTATGAACATTTATATTGACTCGTATTTAAACCTAGTTGACCGAATCATTGAGGAAGAAATGCAACCCATTGACAACGAGATTATCGAAACAACAGTTTATCACTGGGACATCACTAATTGGAGTCAGTTAGAAGAGCGTGCGTTGAGTCCTGTTATCAAAGCGGCTGGATATCAGTGGTGAGTAGAGCTCTAATAGGAAAAAAGGAAAGTGTAAAAGGAATTCGGATAACAGATGTTGATTCACTCTCTTTTATTCAGGAACATACTTCTATTCCCCAGAGGAAATCATCAGATGAATTTCATTTCTGCATACTTAGACCTGAAAGATGTAAAAGATCCCCAAAAAGCCGAAGAATACGTTTGCGCGCAATTCATTATTGCGATTTCTCGCCCTTCAGATCCTACTGTACATATGATCAGTACAGCCAATCATCGATTTACAGTTGATGAATCGGATTGGGGTTTCACACGCTTCTTACCTATTCAACAATTAATGAACGAGTATCTTGAAGATGATGCAATCAGAGTGACAGCAATCATACGTGCTGTTAAAGATGAAACAGGCATTCTTTGGCATAATTTCCAAAAGTAAGTTGAACAGTATGTAATACAAGTATAGATGTAAAAGTAGAGTCGGTGAATTCATGTCCTTTTCCGCTTCGGTGATCTTTTTCAATTCAGTTACGATTCCAAGAAAGTGACAGGATATGTTGGATTACAAAATCAAGGTGCTACCTGTTATATGAACTCTTTATTTCAATCTCTCTATTTCACCAATTCATTCAGAAAAGCCGTTTATCAAATACCAACCGAAAATGATGAACCGACTAAGAGTATCGCATTAGCCCTTCAAAGAGTGTTTTACAATCTACAGTTTTCAAGTCAAGCGGTTGGCACAACAGAGTTAACAAAATCTTTTGGCTGGGATTCACTCGAAGCCTTCAGACAGCATGATGTACAAGAATTTAACCGTGTTTTACAAGATAATTTAGAGATCAAAATGAAAAATACACCCGCTGATGGTGCTATCAAAAGACTATTCGTTGGCAAGATGAAGAGTTATATTAAATGTATTAATGTCGATTATGAATCATCAAGATCTGAGGATTATTACGGTAACAACGCAGTTTGGCATTATTTTTGAAAAAGAGGCAGACAACTTATATCATTTATTTATATGGTACTGCATGATGTAGACATCCAATTAAACGTGAAAGGCTGCAAAAACTTGGAGGAATCCTTCAAAGACTATGTTACAGAAGAAACATTAGAAGGTGTGAATAAATATATGGCTGAAGGTCATGGTTTACAAGATGCTAAAAAAGGTGTTATTTTTGAGAGCTTTCCTCCTGTATTGCATCTACAATTGAAAAGATTCGAGTATGACATGTATAAAGATATGATGGTTAAGGTAAAAGCATGGGACTATTCTATCTGGCTTTCACGTGTTACATGTGCGTACAAGTTGCTAATCTTTTCTCCTGTTCAATGTAGATCAATGATCGCCACGAATTTCCTACAGAAATTGATCTGGAACCTTATCTCAGTGAGGATGCAGACAAATCACAAGGACATAAATATCATCTACATGGGTAAACTGCAAACTCTTCCTTAGAATAGTTGTAAGAAACATTATTGATTCCTTTTTCAATACTTTTAGTGTTCTTGTTCACAGTGGCGACTTAAGTGGTGGTCACTATTTTGCATTTGTTAAACCTGAAATAGATGGAAAATGGTTTAAATTTGATGATGACCGCGTCATTCCAGCCACATTAAAAGAAGTGCTGGAGGAGAATTATGGTGGAGAGCAACAAGGATTAGCCGGTATTAGACCTAATAACAATCGACTTATGCACCGTTTCACCAATGCTTATATGTTGGTGTACATTCGTGAAAGTATGATTAATGAAATATTAGCGCCGGTCACCAAAGCAGACATACCGACACATCTAGCTGAACGTCTTGAAGAAGAGGCTCGACTTCGTGAATTGAGACGTAGAGAAAAGGAAGAGCAGCATCTTTATTTGAAAACCTTCATTGTTACTGATGAAACATTTTTGGCCAACACTGGATTTGATTTTGCTAATTTTGCGGACAAAGACACGGGCGAGAAGCACATCGTTGTGTCCAAGGTTCGAAAAGACCAACCTTTTGCTGATTTTGTAACAGATGCTGCCGAAAACTTGAAAGTAGCACCATCAGATTTTAGGTTTTGGTTAATGGTAAATCGACAAAATAGAACTGTTCGTATTGATGTGCCTATTCCAGTCGGATATTACAACTCAAGTAAACTATACAAAAACGAAAAGCTCTTAGGAGACAGTTTACTTTGGTTACTAATAAGTTTACTTCTCTCTCTCTCTCTCTCTCTCCACCCCCCGGCAATTGTCAATAGCTATGGATGAGATCCGAGCAAAATATGCCACGAGTCAGCTTAATCTAAGGTTATATTTAGAAAGGGCTTCAATGTTTGATGAGAATAATCATGCTATATTCCCCGCTGCGCCTCCAAGTTCTTCAGTTATATTAGTCTTCATTAAATTATACAACCCTGAATTACAGAAAATACAGTATGTTTATTGTGCACTAATACGGTTGTATGGAAGCTTTTGCCCTCTTTTTATTAACTTGGCACTTTTATTTTTGTTAAATATAGGGGCATCGGAAAAATGTATTGTGAAAAGGAAGCAAAGGTTGCTAAATATATCAGCGGCTTCAAACAATTAGCACAGTTCCCAGATAGTGAAGAGATTTTAGTTTATGAAGAAATCAAAAATACGATGATTGAGTCGGTTAATATTGACTGGACTTTCAACAGAAATGAGCTTCAAGACGGAGATATTCTTTGCATACAGAAGACGCTGTCTCTAGAAGAAAGAGAGGCAATTGTTCAGCAAGGTGGGAAACCCACGGTTGATCAATACTTACAGTACGAAGCTGGCAGAATTTCCGTGTCATTTGCGCCCCTTGTATCAGCGCAGCCACAACCTGTCGTAGCAGCAGGAGATGACGATATAAAGAACAACAGCCAGCAGGATTCCCCGGAATTCCGATTATCTTTACATAGAGATATGACTTATGAAGAAATGATTAAAGCTGTTGCTAAAGAGTTAGATGCCGACGCTAGTAAACTACGCTTAGTAAGCCCTTATGCACAACAGCAATACGGTCGGTATGCATATAAACGCTATGCAGGTCAAAAATTAAGCAAAATCATTCAACAGAATTTCCCTTCGAATGGTGGTATACCCAATCGACCTAAATTTTTGTATGAAAAATTAGAAATGACACTGGCCGAAATGGAGGCTAAATGTCCTGTTACTGTTACAATTTGTTTTCCAACAATGAAAGATGCGAACGTTGTTGAACTCTTAATGCCTAAAGATAGTAATCTAAACGATTTGAAAGAAGCTCTGGTAGCTAAAGGTGCTCAATTCGGTAGCACAGAAGAGAATGTGGATTTAAATCACATTAGAATCTGGGACGCAGTGGATGGAAGGTTTGGAACTGAATATGACGACAGATTGTGGCAACCCTGTATCAACGCGCGCCCATTTATGAACGTCTATGCCGAAAGAATTCCTGATGAAGAATTCAATTTAGTAGATCAGCAATACGCTTATATGCCTGTTTTCCATTTCCATCGTATACCAAGTCATACTCACTCCGTCCCATTCAAATTCTTTGTTATTCCAGTAAAGTGTCAATTTTGCATTGCGGAAAACTTCGAAATGCGTCTAATAACCTACCTTTATCTGTTTTAGAGTGAACCTATAGGTGAAACTAAAAAACGCCTGCAAGCACGAACTGGATTGGATGATAACGAATGGAGTAAAGTAAAATTACATATTGTTAATGAAGACGATAACAGTACTACTTTAGTGAACGACGATGACAGTACAGAATTTTACACACTTACTCATTATAGCTCTGACATGATTGGTTTGGATCATGTTGATAAAACATCTAAAATCGATAAAACAGGTGCTATTTTTATAAGAGGCTAAAGAAGCGCTGAATATAATTACAACTATCTATATCTATTACATATATATCTTATATATATAAGCTTGAAAACTTTTCTTTACGAACAGCAAGTATAGTTCGTATCATCTTTAAAGTTATACATACATATTAAAATAGTACGTTCCTTCGAACAAGGAAGCCAAACGCAAAAATAATAACAGTTTAAGTATAAGGCGCAACATGTCCTATTCGATTAAAGTCGATATTTCAACGTAAAAAGTGCTTATCGCATTCGATGTAACTAGCTTCTTTAAAAAAGCAGACTCTGACTGTTGCATAAATGTATATGATTATAGACAGCCTACGTAATAACACCTCCTATAATCATTTTCTTTATTGCATATATCCTCCGTAACCGTAGAAGCATCCAATATTTGATCTATCGCTCTTTTCTGATCCTTTATAAATTTCTCCATCTATAAACCGAAATTCGCCTGCCAACAATTCACGTATAATCATCTACAACACGATGACAAAAAAGGAAACAATACCAATTTGGTAAGATATTCTTCACCACTCCAATTCTTGATCTACCTTCTTCTTTTTTCCTTTATTCTATTTCATTCTTGCAGTTTGCCAACCTCAATGTGAGATTTTTTAGAGCGATATCAACTTAAATGTTGACGGACAGATACAAAAAAGATCTTGAGAACAATCAACAAGAACAATTTACAAAAGTATTCTTTAAATAACGGCCAAACGCAAATGAAACGATCGGAAACCGGGTTGAGATAAGTGCTCCAATTACAGTGGATAATCTACATCAGTATTATTGCAAAGTAAGTAAATTTATGAAAGAATGAAAGACAGAAGGAGCTATAGACACTTCTGTGGCAATAACGTCTACGGTAAATTTAGCAACCGACCACTCTGGAGCAGACGAAATGGATCAGTGTCTCACAATAAGTACTGCAGCAGTTCCAGCAACGTACAATTATAGACCTACATTTTTGGAACAGACCACAGCGTTGGGTCATCTTAAAGCTGCTACTATATCCCTTAAAGGTCTACCTAGCGGTACGCAACAGGTGGAAAACAGTGAGAAGCAAGAAAAAGTCAATCGAAAATATATTGCTTTGCTCGATCGTTAATTACGGTTTACCATATGAATAACAACCAACCATAGAAACATGAAAACAACACAGCCAGACTGGAACTATCTTAACCGAATCGAAAAGCTATATTCACGTATCCCAGAATTTTTTGCGGACAAATAAAAGATATATTACTCTAAATACAAATATTCTTGTACAAACTGTAAATCTTATCAATTAGGATATAGTGGACTAAATTAAGTAGCATGACTATAAAAAGATGTTGATTGTCTTTATTTCGAGTTAACATTTGGGTCTCTTTTATATCTTTTGAGGTAAGTAATTTGTTAAGAGAAAAGGCATCCCTGAGATGTTGTAAGTAAATATGGGCAGATAGTAAAATACATGTGGTGTTGTTTAGGTGAATAATTACATATATTTGGCCTTGGTAATTATAGAAGACATCACACAAGCAGAAGGTGCTACTGAATGGAAAAGTGAATCGAGTCTAAACATACTGACATTGTCGAATAGGATTATTAGAACCGAACTCCTGCCCTTCGACTATATATACGCAGTAGAAGCTTAGTACGAAGGGATCTCCGACGGATGAAGCATTCGCAAACTTTTGGATCGACTCGTTAACACAAACATCACGTTGTAGCATGCAAGTACCTGTAGTGACGATAATTTCCTGTATCAGACAAACTAACTTATTCAACAATGAGTCATCCGTTACAATGCGCCATTACTAATGATAGCTGACTCAAGTTATTAATCCTTTGTAATGGAGTTAGTCACCGAAACGAACGAAAAATAAATGTGAAAACTGTTCCAGTATCACATTTGAGCTTCCTAGAAGGATATACAGGTAATGTTTTGCTTATTGCACATAAGTGAGTTAAAGTGAATAATAAAGTGCTGTGGATAGTATAGCTATCGCTATAAGTTTTACTCTAGGCGACCGACACCGACATCGACGCCGACAACGACGTAGTGCCATTCTTATAGAAATGGAAAGTACTGTTATGCCGTCTTTTATCAGTAATGTGTTGAAGCCGGACAATAGCATTAAAAACGTCAAGAAGTTATCGATTGTTAGTTGTTATAATTCAGAAGCCAAAAAGTCCACTATTCAGTTCCTGAAATTTCATACCTCTGTAAATTATGTAATTCACTTTTCAGAAAAAAAAAAGGCGCCTTATCTCTTTGAGTTGCGCTTTGCTTTTAAGTTCTTCCATTTCCGTACTTTTTTTTTTTTCCTGGACAACTTAAGTTTAGAATAAAGATGGCCTATATCACTCACTGTATATTTGACATGGTAACTTCTTGAAGCAGTGAACAGTAAGGAAAACTTGCTAACTCAGGTACTCAATATCAAGGATGGGTTGCTACTAGATACAGAACGTGTTTATACGGAAGTTACTCAACAGATCTTGGACAAATATGCTAATGGTGTAAAATTTACTTGGGATGTGAAAAGCCAGTTAATGGGTCGTTCGGGTGACGAGGTACAGTTGCTATATGCACTTAAGCTTGCTTTATATGTACAGCATATTGAACTGACTACTTTCTTCATATAGTCAGCTAGAATGGTAGTGGATACCTATAAACTACCTATGACCATTCAAGAATACCTCGATATGACCGCCATTATTCAAGAGGCTTTATTTCCTAAAGCAAAACTCATGCCGGGTGTAGAAAAGCTAATCAAGCACTTAAAACAGCATGATATACCTATTGCCGTCGCTACTTCCTCTACACGAGCAAAATTTGAATTGAAGACTTCGCTAAACAAAGAGATCTTTGACCTGTTTGACGTAATTATATGTGGTGATGACCCCGAGATCAAAAATGCCAAACCCTCTCCCGATCTCTTTTTGGCAGCTCAGAAACACTTAGGAAACCCACCTGCCGAGAATTGTTTAGTATTTGAAGATGCTGTGAATGGTATTCAGGCTGGTTTAAATGCGAAAATGAATGTAAATAAGAATACTGTCGAATACAGCAAAATACCTTCTACGTTATATCTTCTCTTTAATCTAATAACTTTGCGCTCTATTTATGTAGGTTGTATGGATTCCTGATGAGAATATTAAAGCATTGACTGGTGAAGATACGCATGGTGCACATTGTGTCTTAAATTCTATGGAAGATTTCAGCCCAGAGGCATTTTCCTTGCCACCATTTAATGAATAAAGCCCATGAGTGTATATAAATTGATTTAATGCGTAGAAGTCGAACTGGAAATGATTAGTGCTTGTTTTGCTGTGTAATTAAATGTATGGAAGCAAGATACAGTCTTAAATCACGTCTGAACATCTCGAGATCGTTTAATTTATAGATTCTGCGGCTGTAAAAGGTTGTTGGACCTCTAGATTGCTTAAGCTCGTAGAAAAAGTATAACTCTCGCAGCTAGTTTACCATTTTTCAGTTATCTTTACTTACAATGTAAACAAGCTTGTCTTGAAATGAAGCATCGTATTTCAATTATATAAAGAAAGTTCTTTCTTTTACCCCCATTAGTTCAGATTTTATAAAGGAAGGCTTTGTATTTTACCATCTATTAAGAAAGAATGAACATGCTATTTTAATAGTACAATCCGAAGCGAATCGATACCGTGTACAATATAAGCGAACAAAGTGAAATGGAAGGAAGCTTGCCTACAATGGGTGTATTCAATGTCACAATCCTTCTATTCAAGCAAATAGCACTAAATTATTCTGTCACTGCCACTGGCTTTGGTCAGCGGTCTATGATTACAGCAAGAATCCAATGCAATTACTTGTTGCTGTACGGGCAAAACAGATCTGCAGCTTTTTTTTTTAAGACATAGTACTGTTGCGCTACCAGTATATCATATGCTCGATAGATATATATTTGAGCCGCAGATGGTATCAAACATGTAAATAAAATGATAGGAAGTCAAATGCTTTCAAGTTTGTCATAAACGAAAACTGCTTTGTTTAATTTTGTCCTTTTTACCAGCACTCATAATTGCATTAGCGATTGATGTGTATTCACGATAAAGAAAGTTACTCTACTTATGTTCAGAAATCACATTGAGAAGAAAAAAGCGTTGCAGTAGAGTATAATAATTGACTATTGTATTACGAAAATACGATGAGATAAGCATGGCAAACAAAGCCAAAAATACGTTATTTTTTATTAAACAACCCTTTTTGCAACCATTTTGGAATGGGTTTAGATGTTTTGGTTTGTGAAGTTGAACTGTTAGACGAACTGGAAATTTTAGGAGAGGAAATGCTTGATGCAAGGGATTGAGATGACGAAACATGTGTCAACTCTTCTTTCATGTCTAGATATTCTTTCCTCAAAGCATTATCACCTAGGTTAAATGCAAAATTTAATTACACGTATCTACAACATCTAAAACGATCCTTCCGCTTATACCTACCTTTACTTCCCTTCTCAATCCATCCGAATAAAACATTGGAAGCAGGTGCTAAACCTGCTTTATATAAGGTAATATTCGGTTCCACTAACTTTGCTCTTGGTGGTAAACATAGAACAAATTTACGCTCCGGCGTTTCTAAAAGACTACGGACAAGACCGTATAATGCAGAGACTAATACCATCCGAAAGTAGACATAATATGTCAGTTAAGTGAGTCTGTTGCGATTGTTATATCAATTGAACATATACCCTTCTCTTTTGAATAGAATACAGCTTGAACAATTGTATGATCAGGCATACGGACGCGAATAGTTGTTTTGGGATATTTCTTCAGTTTCTCTTGTTCCTCCACATCTCTCATCTTTTGTGTCTTCAAAGGCCTAAGATAAAGGATCTTTGATTAGCATGACTAATGTTAGCACTATAATGAGTATTTCTCAAAACTTACTGACTTTCCAAAGCTTGTCGTCTGTCAACTGCTGATTGATATAATTGTTTAACCTCATTAGCGCTCAACTTATAAACTTCCTCAGGAAGATCAGCTATTTTCAGAAGTAATTATAGTTACTACTGGGCAATTCAAGGCTAAATTGTTCTGTCGAATTTAACTTTACGAATGGGAGAGGAAGTTTTTGGAGGGCTTAGAATCTTTAATTGTCTGTCAAGAACTGTTGCATTGTTGTCTGTAGCAACGGTTGATGCGGACATGTTCAAGTTGTTCGCTTCGAAATTAACAAAGAAAAGGCACAATGTGCAGGTACACACGTTCTGACTTCAAATTTTCATAATATCATTGACTGCGGACCCAGTACCGACGCCTCGCTTAATCAACTACTTATAAATTTGATTGCCCGGTCCTTGCATTTTTTCAACCAACTTGATTGCGTTTGGTCCTCGGTTTGGTCCTCCAAAAAAAAGCATAAAAATGGTACTTTTTCTGTAGTTTAAAAGCTGCTACAGTTTTATAACATATATAAGTATATATTTTTTGAATTATATTGAAATCTATATATTCGTTTATATGTGAGAACGATAATTTTTTTTTTTTGTTTTTTTTGTATTTAATTCACGTACTTTATTAAAAGCGACTATACGGACAATAAATTATATTTTGATAAGTGGCAATAAAAGAAGTGAAGAAAAGGCATACATAAAAACTACGACAAAGAAACCATTAAATATACTACGAGCTCGTATTGAGTGTTCTGAATCGAACCTCGTCTTGGTAGACTGTACGAACTCCTGCTAGGGACCAAGAGATGCAATCAAAATGGCAGCGCCAATGATATTTCCAGATACTTAAAAGTATCAAACTAACCTGAACGATTGTGTGGTCAGGCAGAGGAGAATTATCTAACGGGGAACAAAGTGTTAACAATATATGCCAAATGCCAGTAGGTGTGGCAGGAAAAGAGATAATTCTATTTTCCTCCAGTGCCGTGATCCAAAATTGCCATTTAGGTGGACAACCAACGAAAAAATGAAAACCATCCTCAGGGGAGTCTCTGCAATGGCGGCAAAGAGGGGAGTCAGCTATGACAGGATTGATGGAAAACAGCCAAGCTCTGTACCCAATGCAATTATGCCATAAACGCCACCATGGAGTTAGCACTGCATGAGGGATTGAGAGTGACCAGAACCGTTTCCATTGAGCCGGAGGCCGATACCATAAAGGAAACACTTGAGGAATCCGAGGAAGGTCACTAAAAACGGAATAATCAGGATGCCAGTATAGCCGTAGCATACCAAGCGAAAGCTTTAAAATGGTGGTATTGTTCTGAGAACCAGAAGGTACACGCCACTGGGACATATCAGGCAACCATAAGGTGCTGTAAGATACATTAGGCCATCGTGAAGTGGGCGTAGGAGCAGCAGCCGTAGGAGGGGCCCGGACATCAATCAATCGGTTTTGAATAAAAGGAAGCCATTGTATTACACCTTGGGAAAGCAAACTAGGTATCCTTTTCAGTTTCGGATAGTCCTGGAAATACGTATACCCTAGCGTGTAGAAGCAGTTAGTTATCGAAGACCAAAGGAGAACAGTAGAGACGATTAAATGCCGTGGGAGGCTATTGAGATCCACGGGTAAGGGGCCTACAAACGAAGGGGAACGCTGTAAGGCACTACGAAGGGGCAAATCAGCAATTCAGCGGCCATGCCATGAGGAGGAAAGAGATGATGAAGGAAGTTTCATCAGCAGAGAACATAGGTGGAGCATATTCGGAAGGAAGCGAAATGATGAACGATAAGTGGCAGTCGATAAAATCCATGGTAGTAAGGACAACTGACCGGTGTACACTTGGATACAATGTGCCAGTAATGGGGAGACAAAATCGGTTGATGAAGGGGGCTGTAGAAGGCGCTGAACATACACAAGATGAAGAGCTAATTGTTGTCGGTGCAGATCCACTAAGCCTAGACCACCAAAACGTTTAGGTGAGCACAAGCGCTCCCACGATGGAGCAGGCCAGAAAGGAACCACAAAAGACCGGACAATGCTACGAAGCTTATCAAGCCAGTCCACCGGAACAACTACAACACGCAGGAGATGCCATAACTTACTAAGTATCAAGGAATTAGCAACTAGTGAGGCACCTCGGACAGACAATCCCCGTTGTTTCAGGAGGTTACAGTGACGGACTATTTTCAGTTCAAGGGAAGCTAGATAGTGTTTTAGTTGAGCATTGGTTGAGAAAAGAGGATAGCCAAGATATTTGGCAGCAGATGGACTTTCAGCTGTATGAAAGGTTACAGATTCCTGATTAGCAATATGGAGCCATGCCGTATGCGGATGACCAGAGAGGGAAACAATTTCTGTTTTTGTCAAATTGACACGGGCATTACTAGCGTTACCATAAACTGTAAGGAGGTCTTTCAAGACACGCCATTCCGTAGGTGTGGTCAAGAAAACCTCTAAATCATCCGCATAGCTCAATAATTTGAAACGAGGGGTGTCTTGCCAGTCAAACAAAGGCTGTGGTTCAAAACGGACACTCAGACTGCGAGCTAGAAGTTGTCCATATCGACTAGAGGAGGCGGAGGTTGAGAGCAGTGAAACGCCTTTGATGTCAGAGCTCGACAAAATGGTACGTAGTAAGGGTTCGAAAGCTAAATTGAACAACAGTGGTGATAAGGGGTCTCCCTGCCGAAGGCCACGTTGTTGGCGAACGGGAGCACTTAACCATCCATTGATGTGAAGGGATATTTCTGTGTCAAAAAATAGGCTAGATAAACAAGATACGAGGGAAGCAGGAAAGCCGAAATGCTTCATAAGCATCTGAAGGTAGGTAGGATGTACTCGGTCATATGCTTTTTCTTGATCAAGGAGGACAGCAACAACAGGGTAAGACATACCACAATGGCTATAATGTGACATTAGTATTTGGTTAACCCACCCATTATCCGAGATTAGTCGGTGCGGTAAAAAGCCAGTCTGATAGCGATTAATCAGCTGTGGTAAAACGACATTGAACCTATTAGCTAATAGTTTTGTGAAAATCTTCGCATCAGTGTTGATCATCGATAGAGGCCGCCAGTTCTGTAAGAGTTCAGGATCTCCCTTTTTGTACAGTAAGACCATCCGAGTTTGTTTCCAGGTGACTGGGAAAATATTTTCAAAGGCGTCAGCATACACTTGAAGGAAGAGTTGCTTAAAGCTCGGAATGTTCCAGGAAAGCAGATGGCGGTAAACCTCATACGGTATGCCATCTAACCCAGGACTTTTTTGTGAGGGCAAGTGGTTAACTATAGAAATAAGTTCTTCTGACGTGGGCGGTGCTGTAAGATCATTCTGTTGAGCGTTTGTAAGACCAATCGCCTGCGTAACATTATCGAGTAACGTTTGAACTGCCGACAGGTCGATAGGATCAGGGCGATAAAGGTTGCTATAGAACATATGAGCTTCCTCAAGGATAGCATTAGTACTAGTTAAGACAGGGCCATCTTGACCACTTTTTAAAGAGTGAATCGTTCGTTGTGCTTGTCTTTCTTTGATAACCCTGTAAAAGTATCTATTATTGCGCTCTCCTTTCTCATGCCATCGAGTGGCTGACCGTAAAAGATGTTGCTGCGCGGATTCTTCCTGCAATTTGTCTAGTTTCTGTTCAATAAGCGACACTTGTCTGTTGGTTATATTGAATGCTGGCTTATTTAAGGAAAGCAGGGCTTCCCGTTGGTGTTGAAGTTCGGCAATGGTTGTCTGCCTTTTAGCAGTAGATCCATGGGAGAATAGGTCTGCAATGTGTTTTAATAATTGTTTTAGAGCCTCCCAGGTACTTTGTGGGTTGGAGGTGATATTATTACGGACTTCAAAGAACTCAATGAGGGCAGTCTTTAATAAATCCACAAATATATCGTTAGACAGCAGCAAAGGGTTGAAGCGCCATACCCCGGGTCCTACGTCCAAACGATCGGGTGACAGGTCAGCCATCATGAGGACATGGTCTGTCCAAGCGCTAGGTAGGTACCGTTGAGTTCTGTTAAGGACTCGTGGGGTAATACTTCGGTGACAGAAGAAATAATCGATGGTACTGCGAGTGACACCACGCTGGAAAGTAGGAATGCTTGCAGAGAAGCAGTTATCATAATAATGAGTGAGGTGACGATACCATTCATGAAAACTAGGATTGGTTGAAGTGGTTGATAGAGAAGCTAGCGACATATTAAAATCGCCAACAATAAAGCTGACATCTGGAGCCTCCTTTGTAAAAAACGGTTGTGACATCAAGGAGGCGAGGAAAGGCATTCTATCATGGGTAGTTGCTGGAACGTAAATATTAGTTATAGAGCATATAAAATTACGGGTAACTGTATCGATGATGGTCGCTTGTAAACAGCGTTCATCGAAAGTGACAATTTCATCTGTTAACAATAACGTCGGGTTTAAACAGATAATGGCACAATACTTAGAGAGTAGGATTGCACACTGGGGAAAGAGGAAGGAATGGAAATATTTGATTTGATCGATTATTCATTGCCCTCCTGGGCGGTCATGACTATATTGGGAGGAGTGGTATCCGCATCTATTATCAGATCCATATCATCAGTGTGAGCAGGAGTTAAACGACTATGAAGGGGTGTAGTTGCCGAACTAGTGTTGGCATCGGAAGGCGCAGGTGTTGCAGGCTCGTCCAGAGCCATACTGGCAGCAACAGTGATACTGGCATATTTTGAGCCGGCAGTACCAGTGGGTGTATTGAATGGAGACAAAGTATGATCTACAGAAGCCTTAGCGGTCGTTGATCGGGTAGCATATCGTTTTGCCTTTTTCGGGATGATAAGGCCAGACTCATCATTGATGGTAGAGGAATGTGTAGGGCTATCGGTGGGGCGTTCTTTATGGGTGAGTTCACTCAGGACTTCATATTCGGCAATGGCGTCAGTATCACTTTGCTCATTAACGTTTAAAACAGGAACGGGGACGTCTGCCATGCGGCAATTTCGGCGAATATGACCCTTGCGATGACATTTATAGCAGGTCAAATTTTGCAAAGCAGGACAGTCTTTACGAACGTGCCCGGCTTGGCGACAGTAGTAGCAGACAGGAGGTGCGCCTTTCCAGCTGGCAGGGGCTAACGTATCCCATTCAGACAAGAACAGTTTACGGTCCAATGGTTGTACGGGGGAAGGGTCATCGTCATCTCTACCGCTGGTGTCAAGCAAGATGGAAAGTTCGCCCTCAAAGAAACCTCGATTGGTAAGCATCTTGATCTGGCACACCTTGCCATAAATGGCCATAGATTTCTTAAGCTTACTTATCAAGGTTGCTTCATCCTCAAATTGAAAGAGGGTGAGGTTGACACGCGTGAAAGTGGTATCAACCTTATCTACGAAGCGGCTGGCTTTGTAGGTGACATGCTCAACAGTTACGCCATGCGAAATGGCTTTGGTGTTGGCATCATCGGACTTGAACTTTGTTGCAATAATTAAATCGGAAAGGGGACGTGTACTACGTAAAGAGATAGGATTAAATCCCCCAAGGACAGGGCCAAGCTGATCAGTGATCAATCTATACGCGTCGGTATAATGATCAAAAATTTTAGAAGGAAACTTGAAGATAACTGACCCACTCGTAAGAGTTGAGTGGACGATCGACGTGATTTGTTGTGAACGCAAATAAGCAGCCACGTCAGGTGCCTCGTAAAGCAGCTTAGCAACGAAACGTTCACGTTGGCCATCATGAACCTTTTTTAATGGCGCCGGGATACGGCTGGCGCTTTTCCGAGCAGTTACAGTTGCCCAGGTAGCCTCAGAAGATGAGGATGCAACACTCATTGTCAAATAGGTTGAGATGGTGTTGGCAAAAGTGGTTACGGGTTAGGAGGGGTATGTCGCGATTTGATTGGTGGATTTAGTTGAAAAACAAAATACACGGAAGAGAGCTGAGAACGATAATTCATTTTTCTTGCCTTAAGGCAGGTAAAAGCTATTTGAGACACACTTTTTGAAATTCTGAAACACAAAATTTAAGATAAAATTTTTACATTACATTAAGTTTTTGAGATATCTTTTAACTTTTATGGTCTCAGGTAAAAATTTTATTTTTAGATATTATTTTCTTTTTTCCTGTTTTTTTTTAAACTATTTCTGTTTTTTTTGGATAAACTTTATGCATTATGATACAAGCTGCAATTGAATAAACCAACCCACCACCATTTTAAACTCTCTTGAAGCATTACAAGAAACAATGATTACTATGTAATGTCTGTAGTAATGGAAAACTTCCTCTTCTAGGTTCTTAGAACAGTTTCAAAACTAATTTTTGCGTATAAGTATTCTGGCGGTCTTAATTTTCTTTTGAATCACTCAATTACTCGATCAATGATAACAAATTACTTACATAATTGTCGCAAACTGATGCATTACTTAAGTAACAGCGATAATACTGTAGCACATACAGCCAGACAGCATACAGTCCACCATAGCTTATTTATTTTCGCATTTTAATGACTTTTTACATAACCATCACAAAATTATTGTAAGAATATTTAATAACATTTAATATCAAGCCCACGATGTTGACGTAATATAATAGCTGCTTACTCCTATAGATGTAAGAAGAATTGCTGCTTCGTTTTCGCTCAAATGGTGGGCTTCATTGGATGTTTATCTGTGGATCGGGTTCAAAATATGGAGGACCTACGTCAATCAATTTGATTGAAAAAAAAGCAAGGACCAAACAAACAAGTTGATTAATTTTGGGCCTTCGGTCCTCGATTCGAGCTGCTATCGTTGTTACATATGAAAGCGCCTATGAATCTCAATATCGTTCATTTATAAGGTTTTTATATACGCTATAATAATGTAAAAACACTTAAACTGTAGAAAAAGTACCATTTTTATGGCGGCCCAAAGTAAGGCCCAAATGCGATCAAGTTGATTAAAAAAATGCAATGATCGAGCAATCAAATTTATAAGTAGCTGATTGAGCGAGTGGCGTGTTTGGTGAGATAACACTTACAATACACGAGTACGTACAACCAGGTAGAGAGAACATTCTAGCACGTCTATCTATATTGTATCTAATAAAGGTTATATACAACATATAACAAGATACAAGTCTTAAGTATAATAACCACCCGCCCAAACACCCGAACCTGAAATTAGTGACTAATTTCTATACGCGTCCTCAAATGATATAATTCCCATTCGACCTCACACAGTAATTAATCTTTCTACTTCATCCGAAAACCAATGAAGACACTAAGTTCATAGTCATCGACTCATAACAGTTATCAGTTTCAATTGACTAAATATCTCAGCGAGACGTCGACGCCTGCGTTTAAATAAAAGTCAACTCCCGATTCAATAATCTACAAATTTCTTCAGAATAAGGAAAGATATCAAGTTCCTAACTATCGATTCATGTAATCTCCATAAACACCATAACGGTAATCCATCCATGCAAACAAGCAAATATTGCACACATTAATGAATATTAAGGCTGTTTTTTGCTGTCTTTCGGCTAATGATACTTCCCTTCTGTTAACAATCCTCACAGCATAATGTCTCCAATTTGCCCCATGTCTGAAGTTAATGATAACATTCGTTTGAAACTATTGATTGAGAAGGTTAATGATGCTTATGAAGAATATACCAGATTGCCTGAGGCAGATATTCAAGCTGCAAATGTAGCTATCATGCATTCTGTTCTGAAGCTAAACCAGGATGATGTAAAAAAAGTGGTCCACAAAAACCTTGGCAGAAAGCAGCCAACTGATTATTCGTTGATGCTGGGCCACTTTTGCCATGAAAGATTGATCAATTTGACCAAGATCGCCCCAAGCGAAGTGAAGGAGGCTGTTCAGGACCCCAATAATAAGGAATTGGTTGAACAGCTTAAAAAAAATTCTTTCACTAAGCGTATTCAGGCCATTCATCCTTCTTCTTATATTGCCAAGGAATATAAGAATGATCTCAAGGGATTGCAAAAAGCCATTGATGATATGTATGTTAAGTATAAAACGAACATACTTATTGGCTATTGCACCAAAACAGAGACAATTGCCACATTCCCTTCTGGCACCATGCATAATTCAGGTTAGACACTTCATTTACCATTTAAATGATGAGGACACATCAATAACAGTTTATTTAGTGGGCTCAGCGAATGCCTTATCATTCGTAGAAAAGAAACTGAATGCTGATCTTTCCTTTATATTGTGGAACAAACTTCCGAATAGCGCACCCTATACTGGTAAGTGGAAATCCCCTAAGGTACATATTACGACTATCCTGTTGTTGACATAGAATCGTAGCTGTGTCCGGCAGTCTACCTGTAGTCGAGTTTGTTCCAGCAATGCAACCAGTTTGTCGGTCAGTTCCCCCTCCTGTTCTTCATAATTCCGCTGCTTCCTCAAACTTTGTAGAACCTTATCGAAAAGGTTCGAGAGACAAGCTTAAAAGAGAAGTTCGAGGAAGGATGTTGGGCTTGTACAGTAAGTCATCAAATATTTGCGGGTTTGAACAATGGCAGAAACACTAAAAAAAGTTTCTGATAGGAGAACAAACTGGTGAGGCACAAGCTGATCATGTGCCATATAAACAGTTGTTTACGGAAAAGCATCCTACATATAAAATTGTGGGATAGCCGCGCGATGTTCGTACCACCGTGCCATCTTCCAATTGGAATTTATCAGAAGTAAGATCAATTGAAGCTTCTCTTAAATTCCATAAAATAAACTTTACTCGTAAATGATGTTAAAAAAGAATTTCAAGTCTCATTGCACAACTATGATTTGAATTTTCATCTCCGATGTTGGAGAGGTAGTGACAGTGATTAGAGCAGTCAAGTAAAGAATGTTTTCATAAATTCGTATGATACCGGATTATAGTATTGACGATGTAAAGCAGAGAAAAAGTATAAAAAGATCGCGCTTCAATGGTTTATGGGATGCAACCAAGACTTAAACAAAGGAAAGCTAAAATGTAGCGTCGTCAAAAGACTGATTACTGTTGCTTTCCGCTCGAATAATTTGACGCTTTACCTCTATTTCAGACCGACTTTCGCCAAAGAAGCACATTAGCATAATTTATTACACTTCTTCGAAATTCAGACTTCCCTTGTCAGACCAGTTAATGCTATGACAGTATCTGATTCTTGCTCTAACAATTGCTCTTGCAATTCTATGTTACCATATTCAATCGGAAAGCAACAATAGACGAAATAATTATAATGGACGCCCATTACTTAAAAGGATCTATCTTTTACATATCCAAGAAATCCCTTATTGGCCGTCCATAAATGAACCAGTTTAAAAGATCGAAATTCATGTTGATGGTGATGCGATAATCTAAGTAAAATATATTTCATAAAGATAACCTGTTTAGTTTTTATGTTACGTAACTAATCTCACCTAAGAATTATCTATATTCCATATTCTCTCCTCTTTAATCGAACTACTTATTCAAGCTTTTTAAAAAATCAGGACCAAACTTTACTAACGAGAAAAAAAAAAACTTTTTTGAATGCTCAGCCAATTAGCCTCTGAAGTTGTCCTTAACTGCTAAGTACTACTTTTTGTACCGATTAATCGTAGGTAAAATTTATGACGTGCCATTGCTGGTATCGACATCAGTTGCTTATGTATTTATTACTTTTAAACATAAGTTTGAATATATACGTTGCTGCAACTAGCATGGTCGGAAAACTCCATTGGTTTACTTCATTTTTTCCTCTTCTGATCAATTCACAGTAGCATCTTTGTGGATGAGATACTTGTTAATTCTCCTTATTCGATAACGGTTGGATAAAGGTCCTTCATGTTCTTACTTGTGTATAATAGCTCAAAGCTAAACGTTGATAAATGCTTTATAAGAGAAAAGTAACATAATTCAGTTAATACGAAAGATCAGTTGGTAAAGTATGAGAATGCTGGATTGTGAAAATGATTGGTATCTGTATCAATAGATAATTACTATGAACATAAAATTGATATTATTTATACATAGTAGAGCATGCTACTGCAAATTGCATCTAAATATAAGACTTCTACATAACATACTTTGATAAACGGTAAAGAGAAGTATTCATTGTTCTAATAGGACTTTGCAGTAATGTTGTGTTCAGTAAACGTCCCACGCAATAGTACACAATATTTCTGAAATAAACACATCCTCATATCAAAATGAAATTGAAGTAACTGTTATTTCTAATACTGTGTCGAGAGACTGTTTTTATTGTTTATTATTATATGTAAAAGCTTTTGATTTTCATTCCTTTAGTAAAGCGTATGCTTGAAGATGTGGAAGGTTTGTTATTCACGACTTATCAACGTGAGAATTATATAATGTGCCGTTTCTATGCCTGACACGTCGGTTTCAACTAGGTTTCGTAGTGACAGGATTAGAAGTCGTGATTCGAGCATTTGTTTTCCCCAAGGTGATAAGACCACAACCAGTATATACCAGCGCCATTCTTCATTTGATATTATTTACGATCAAATAATAAGTAGCAGTAAACAAAATTCTTTTCTTGGTTTACAGATAATATATGTAGAATTATATAGCACGCCTTGCAGCAAAAGTAGCCATAGAAATGCAGTGTGGAATTTTTATTCAAAGTAATACAAATAAGTACGCCTGGCATAAGTGATAATATACAACGCTAGTTTAGTAGCTTGTAGACTTTATAGGGCTGTTAGACTCTTAGACAATCTATTTACAATTAGTAAGTGTAAGGACTGTATAGTAAATGCAAGCCATCAGAAGGTTGAGCCAAACAATAACATTTGTTTTAAAAGACTGAAATGCGTTGAGAAATAACGTGCTGATATAGAAGGCTGGCGTTTGATAACAATCGTTTGGTAATGTAAACGCTTCATTCCGATGAAGAAAGATAAATACAAGTGTACCTCGTTGCTTCAAATTTTTAATACACTCTAAGAGCAACCAAACGTTTAATGCCATACAGAAGTGCTCATATTGTGTTCTTTCCTTAATACCGAATATTGTAGTTGTACTTTGCTGGTAAAGAGTATTTGAACAAAAGGGGTATTGGGCTAGGAGCAAAACAAAAAATGGCCTGCCTCTATTTACTCAACTGGTGTCTACATCGAATTTTATTGGCAAACTGGGTTCAAAATACGGAGGACCAACAGACAATGAAGTTGATTGAAAAAAAGCGAGGACCAAATAATCAAGTTGATTAATTTTTGGTCCTCGGTCCTCGGTACGCGGTGTGACTGCGAGTTATTTTTGAACTTTTAGCTTCAATTTTACACTTTATACAAATTTTATTGGACAATATATATTTTTTATTCAGATACCTTTGAATTATTTTAAGATGAATGGTATAATATTCTTGGACGATTCATTGAATAAATAATTGGAGACGTTATTTTGAAGGTCAGTGGACATTTTTCAATTGATAGTGGCATTACGTTAAAGTACTACGAGACGTACTGGGTATTTAGTGTGACACGCTTATCAGCAATAGATACAGGGTTGTGGTTTACGGGACTTTATTTATGGATCATATGGATTGATCTACGCGTTAAACTGATCCCAGACACGTTCTTCCGCCACGTAGATAACGGTTGTTGTTGTCAATCGTAATAAAAAAAAATAGATGTTGTCAAATTCGAAGCATTTAGACGTCCTTTCTTTGACTTTTCATCATCATCTTCTTCTTCTATACTTTCTTTCCTCATCCTGTAAGCTACTACTCACCATGTACAAAGCCAAAATCTTGCAAAAAATCAAATCGGTGGCAGAAGCCCATAAGAATAAAGTCAAAGATGAGTCCTTCCGTAAGTAACACATGAGCGCGCTGCCACAAATAAGTTATAGTGGTAATCCTCAAATTATGTTTTGTATGACTAGTAAACATCGAATGCACGGATTGCAAAACACTCGGATATTTCAACAAGGCATACCATGAATGCAAATTTTACAAAGCAGTTTCTGCGGCTGATGGTAAGTATCATGCTCTCATTGCAAGACAAGTTTATGTTTGCTTAACGGAAATTTAGTTGGAAGTAGCGGCAAGAAACGTAAGCAATCAGCTACAATCAAGGAAGAAAAGAAGCAAACAACTGGAGATATCAAGTGCATCAGTTGTGGCCTAAAGGGTCATTCTACTTCTCGTTCCCTCGAATGGAAAAGTTGCCAAGGGTTATACAGCCCAACTCGAACAATTCTGCAAAGTCTTCAACTTCAAAAAGTTCGGTTTTAAAAGGTAAAACCTATAGAAGAACTTCCTCAGCAAAAATATTATCCCTAATAGTAAACACACCCCTATTTTTGCTTGTGGCATAGTCTAACCGCTTTGAAGGAGAGTTCTGATGTAATGTTTCGAAACATGGTTAGGTCGGACGGTTTTACTGTAGACTTTTTGTTCAGCCGCAAAAAAAAAAGCAAAAGAAGACATGACCATTCATAATTACACCTTGGCTTTGGAAGAATTTTCTTATGACGAAGTAGAAGACGATTACAGACCCGCTTTCATTGATCCAGGCCGAAGATCTATTTTCACAGCGGCAATAGGGCTGAATCATAGCAAACATCAAGTACGCAGCTGCTCTACCAAGGAATATTATCATATGACCGGCAGTACCAGATACGCTGCAAAGCTGGAAAAGAAGAAAGCAGGCACAATTAAAATGATCGAAAGTGGCATAACGACCGCCAACCTTCTATCATCGAACAACATGACCGTCATGTACAATATATAATGCAGCACTTCGAAGCCTTGTTCTCTTTTTACGGCGAAAGAGCTGCTGAAGACAGATTTCGTTATACCAAAATCAGGAACGTGCTGCCAACAACATAGTCAATATGCTTGTTAATGGAACCCACAAAGTACAATAAGCAATTGAGGTTGAAGAAGAAGAAAGATCGAAGCAAGTGGCCAAAGAAGAATACCGACAGAATGGCCTTTTGTAAACGTAAAAAGAAGAAGAAGAAGAAGCAAAAGGTTCCAGAAGAGAAGGAAGAAGCAGATGCGAGAGAAGTAAGCGATGTTCTCGCTAAGAAAGATAGGTAAGGTTTTTAAATGATAAGCAATTCATCCACTATTCGCAGAAATATTGATAGAATTTATGATTTCTACAGCAATTCCCTGAAGAACAAGTGGAAGCCTGAACCCTTTAGTGTAGGCGACACTAAAAAGATCCCTCTGATTGTAGTTGGTAATGGCATGATCGGGAAGACTGCAGTGCCCATTAAAGGCCATAAGACTGGTGTCGTGGGAGTTCTTTGGCGTGCCTTGAAGCGAAGAGAGGCTGCTGGCGATTTACTAACGATAACAATTGATGAATACAAAACCTCTCGAATATTCAATAATTGCTGTTCCAACAATCTTGAAGCATTGAAGACTGTTCCCGGCCAATGTATCCTTGCCTGCAAAACCTGTTCGAAACTTTGGAACCGGGACGTTAACGCTGCTAAAAACATGTTGGCAATTAGCGTTTCGATCTGGAAGTCAACGGGAAGACTTGTGGAGTTTTCTAGAAAAGCATCAACCACTTAACCCGATCGTCTAATCGCCAGCACGAAGATGTTTTGATTTTTACAGGTACGCGTCTCAATTTTGTGTAGTTCGATCTTGAAGCTATAACTTAATCGTCTCAAAAATTTACTTTTTTCTAGTTATATTGCGGCTTTGTCTAAACCCAAAGTTAAAAAACTGTTACAACAAACCCCAACCCTTTAGTCCATAATCCTTTTTACCCTTGAGCCCTAAGGGGTTTTTAGATTCTCCTCAGCCTTTGGAGCTGAGGAGAAGTTTAATATCCCGTGTCCATTGGGCTTTTAAAAATGTCAGTAATAAAAATCCTTTGTTTAAACGTAAGATCATTATATTACAATTTAAGATGCTGTGTGTTGCTCTAATTACAACTAGTAAATATAAATTCAAGAGTGTAAGAAAGTAGTCGATATGAAAACCTCTTTCTCAAAGATTTGTATAAAAAGATAGACTAAATGATAGCTTAGAGCTCGTCTTCATCGCTATCTTCAATAATTCTTTTTGTTTTGTATTTCTGTGTAAAGAGGAATATGATTCAGTTAGTGTTTATGCGACCTGTGGATCACAGAATTAATGGGTAGTACCTTTCTTTCCTCTTTTTGTACAATAGCTTCCGCATCTTCCTCTTCGACTGGTTCTTTTCTCTTTCTACCTCGTCTTTTCTTCCCTTCATCATCATCCTTTTCTCTCTCGTCTTCTTCCTCTTCTTGTGCCCTCGCTGCCATCACTTTATTTTCTTCCCTGACACGTTCCATGAGTCGTTTTCTTTCTTCTTCAATTCGTGCTTCTTCCTCTCTTCTTTTATTTTCTTCTTCTTGTTGTTCCCTCTTTTTCTTAGCTTCAGCTTCTTCTCTCTTCCTTCTGACAGCTTCTAACTTATCATTCTTTTCTTTATCTATTTTTCTTTGTTCTTCTATCTTTCTATCAACCTGACTGCTTAATGTCACACCATACCTTTGTCTTTGCTCAACGATCTTTCGATCGTATATGACTTGGTCTTCACTCTGCAGTAAGTGTTGGAATATCTCTTGACTAGAATTGATACAATTTTTGGCTTGCTGTAATAGTTCTGAATTTCTCTCTTCTTGGCTTAATTCAGCCACCTGCTGAGCATAAGACTGTTGGACTAGAGCTAGGTTATACGAGATAGTTTTATCGCTAGGTGTAATTAACAGTGCTTTTTGCGTGTTTTTCATGGCTTCATACATCATCTTATAGTCCTTTTCCATTTTACTGAAAAGGTACTGTGCTTTTGCGAGACAGAGTATTAAGTTAACATCCTTGTTGTTGAAAAATTTCTTGAGGGTATTTTCATACTATTAAAATAAAATAATAACAACTGATGTTAATCACGATGCAAAAGCCAGCCAGGATTACTTTTATATATATATATATATATATATATATATATATTACCATCACAATGGCTTGGTTGTATTGCTTCATTTCAACATAAATGTGAGCAAGATTAACCCAGGCATTGGGATTCTTCACATCCGCTTCGCGCACTTGCGTGAATAAGTCTTGCGCTTCGTCTACATGTCCATTATCGGCAAGTACAATAGCTAAACCATTTGCTGCATACACGTTGGTTGGATCACGACGTAAGGCTTGAATATAGAAATTCACAGCTAACTTGTATTCATTAGCTTTCACCTTCTTCATCTTATCCCCCTTCATTTCTCTTGCTACTGAAGAGTGATAATTGCCGAGGGCTACGTGGGTATAAATATCGTCTTTATCACAGTCTTTTAACACTCGTTCGTAGGATCTTTTAGTCAATTTGTCAGTCTCTAGCACTTGTGCTTGTCCAATCATGATCCAAGCTTCTGGGTCATTTGGATCAGTATCAAATACTTCCTTGAAGTAATCGATAGCATCAGTACGTCGTCCTAGCATCTGCTGAATTGCACCCAGGCGTAAATGAGCATCTTTATATCCTGGATAGTCTTCAACAATTTTTCTGTAAATTGCTGTAGCCTTTTCAATATCGACGTGCTCCTCATAAAGTCTTGCCAGATTGTAACTTATAGTCAATTTCAAGTGTTTATCCTTTCCGGGTGCTGTTTCGATTTCTTGTAATGCAAGGCCATAATAATGTTCTGCCTCATTCAAATTGCCTGTTTTCTGATGCAAAACAGCCATATTATTCAATACTTCAGGTTTGACTTGCTTGACCTCGGGATCTTCAGCTGGCAAATCATTAAGAATTGATATCGACTGCTCATAATCTATATTGAATACAATAGATTAATTTTCGATTCAACGTTACCCATGTAGCACTCATTCAAAAATCCATTGTCTTACATTTTAATGACGATTTACTGTCTTTTTCCTCATTCATTTCGGCAATTTCTATGGCTAAAAATGGATCCTCATTTGCCTGATCTATCAACTTATTGAACAGTTCTAAAGACTTATCTTTTTTTCCAACCAATCCATATAGTGAGGCTAAAATTTGCATAATCTCTGGGCTTTCAGGTTGCAATTTGAGGAGTTTTTCGAATATTTCTATGGCAGGATTGTATTCTCCCTTCTTCAATTTCATCTGGCCCAAACCAAACTGTGATAACAGATGCTCAGGGTAGTATTCTACTGCCTGCGCGTAAAATTTGTATGCGTTTTCGTATTCCTGCATTTGATGATGTGCTCTAGCAATCTGATAAGAAGCATTTGCTTTAATGACTGAGCTTGTTGTTAAATCCATGGCCTTGGATGCTGCTTTCATTATCTAACAAATAGAATATAATAAAGAGAATGAGACGTAGTAGAAAGGCAATTTCTTCCACTAGTTTTACTAACCTCTTCTATTTCTCTGGTAAGGAAATAATGATCTGCTAGCATACTTAATACAACAGGATGTTCTTTATTGGCCATATAGGCTTCTCGTAAATGCTGGATACCGTGCTCTAAAGCTGTCTCTTGTTCAATAAGATTGGTATTAGGTTGTTTCGATTCATTTAATTCGATAATGCTGAGTAAAATAAGTGCGTTCGCATCGGATTGCGGGCTAACATCTAATACTCTTCTCAATGCTGCTTTGGCTTCTGAATACATTTTTAATTTTGCAAAACAAGTAGCAATACCCAAGCGAATCTCTACACCCGAGTACTTGCCACGTGCATATTTGAGAGCTGTTTGATATGTAATTAAGGCTGCTTTGTGTCTCTGAAGGTGATATTGAATTTTGGCTTGTCCTAAAAGAGCAGGGATACAATTCGGTCTTTTTTCCAGGACCATACTGAATGAACGGGCTGCGTCGTCAATTTTTCTGCGCTGGAGATATAAGTTGCCTTTGATGAGAAAGCTGGGCTCATATTGGTTGTGAATTCTGTCTGATTCGTTTATACATTGAGTAGCCGAATTCAAATATTCTTCGCGTTTTTTGTCGTCTTTTTCGTATCTGGCTAATCGTAAATAAAGTGTGGCTCGTAAATTAAGAAGAGGTAACTTTTGTCTTGGTAAGGTTCTTGAAGACTGACTCGCTATATGGAGAGAATTTAGTACATACTGAAAATGTGAACAGAAATCGATGACGACTTACCATAGTCTAAGCCAGCTTGAACTACTTGAATACTCTGTTCAATCTTATTTTGGCGATAATACTCAACCTGAGAAGAATAAGCAGGAAAAAATTAAATGTAATTTAGTCAAAGAAAGTAGCTGACGGGAATCAACAGTTCAGCTTACAGCTAATGTGCGATAGTAAGGAAGCTCGACAGATTCTTGACGAAAAATATCAGTCAACTCTTTCGGATTTGAGGGCAAATCACTACAAACAACTTCTAACACATTCTCTTGTTGGAGTGGTACTTCAATTGTCTTTGGTCGTACTCCGTAAGGGCTATCAAACATAGTAGTTGCCATGAAAGTATTCAGCCTAAAGGAGGTTTCCTCGTAAAGAGTATTATGGACTACAAAGGAGAAGAGACTGCAAAATCTGTTTAAAGAAGTTCGGAATTTCCATTTTCACGCTCCGCTTTGACAATCGTGGAGGCTACGTCACGCAAGTAAACACGTAAGTGAGAATGACTTTCGAATACAGCAGATACGTACAGAGACAGACAGAAAAACGCGAGCATTAGCATAGAGCCTTATTCTTTTTCGTTTTTTATCTCCTTCTTTCCTTTATTTGATAAACATAAATGACAGCTCTTACATCAGCAAGTAAGCTCATTTTACGACTTGTAGGATTTCATCAGAAACAAAGGGGCAAAATATCCTAACGTCAATTCTCCTTAACGATAGATGGTATCATTGCTCTACTCGATGAATCACAACCTGAATTAAAAATCTATGCACTGCAACAATTAAACACATTGGTTGATGAATTCTGGGCAGAAGTTGCTGACTCTATTGCTAAAATGTAAGCTTTTCTGTTCACTTATTCAACACCAAAACGCTAACCTAGATCTGCAATTTTTGAACTGATGTGCATAGTGAAATCCTTTATGAGGATACTTCGTTTACTCAAAGAGAACTAGCAGCTTTAGTGGCTTCTAAAGTAATTAATACTTGCTGTTATGGACTGACTATCACATTCTGTTATTGACGAATTCGCATCAATTTAAATAGGTCTACTATAATTTGGGCGAATTAGATGACTCACTTACTTTTGCTCTTGGTGCAGGTGAAGCTTTCGACCTCTCAGAATCCTCAGAATATGTGACAACCATGATTTGTAAGTTTTAAAAGCGAAAAAAAAAGACAAAAAGAGCTGATAGAAGTGTCAAAACCATTTGTATGTTAGCTGAATGCTTACAATATATATTCATTCCGCGTATAACAGCCAAATGTATTGACAAGTACATCACCCTCCGATCGGAGAGTGAGGACCCTGACAGCGCTGTTGATCCCAGATTAGAAGACATTGTGGAAAGAATGTTTCAACGTTGTGTAGATGATTGTGAATTTGAACAAGCTATCGGTATTGCACTTGAATCCAGACGTCTTGATATTGTTGAAGCTATGATTAAAAGAGGAGAAGATTCAAACAAACTTCTGTCTTATGTCTTGGATGTTTCAATGACACTTGTACAAAACCTGGAGTTCCGTAATGAAGTCTTGAGACTTTTGGTAGATTTATATACCTCCCTCGAAAATCCCGATTATATTTCAATTAGTCAATGTTTGGTTCACCTGAACGATCCTTCTTCCTGTGCAGTTATGCTTAAAGAATTGATTGAAGATAGTAATGAGGTAAAAAAGAAAAGGAAAGAAGGTGTGAGAATTACATAGTTGCAGATCATAACTAATCTTGTGGTATGTCGATATAGCTCATGGCTCAACAAATTTCATTTGATTTGGAGGAAAACGCAACTCAAGAATTTTTGTCAAAGGTCGCAGCAGAATTACCTGTTGAACCTGAAATTGAGGAAGAAAAGGCTGAAGGAGCAACTGAAGACGAAAAGGCAAATATTATTTAGAGTAAGAATTTAAACTATCTAGTCCGATTGCAATAACGTGTATTTTCATGTATTATAGCCAAAGAATGACACGCCCTTCAAAAAAATCAAATCAATTTTGTCAGGTGAAGAGTCAATTCGCCTCCACCTCGAATTCTTGTACCGTAACAACCATACAGATCTTCTGATTTTGAAGAATACAAAGGTAATCACTAAATTGTATAGGAAGAATTGCAAAGGGTGTATTATATTGAAAATACAACATTCGATCTGTGCATTATAGAATGCTTTGGAATCTAGAAATTCAATTTACCATACAGCAGTTACTTTTGCCAATGCATTCATGCAAGCAGGTACTACCAGCGATGAATTCTTGCGTCAGAATCTTGATTGGTTGTCCAGAGCCACAAATTGGTCAAAGTTCAGTGCTACCGCCGCCCTTGGTGTTATTCATAAGGTAGATTCAAATATATGGAAGAAGGAATTGGGATTTCAAGGAATGTTATTGATTTTTTTTTCTTCAATATAACTAGGGACAATTAGCTCAATCCATGAACCTTCTGGCTCCTTATTTACCTCAAGAAAGTGTTGGCAATAGCTCTTATTCTGAAGGCGGTTCACTATACGCCCTTGGTCTCATTAATGCTAACCATGGTGCTAAGGTTCTTGATTATTTAAAGAATGCCTTGAAAGATACTTCTGATGATGTAATTCAGCATGGTGCTTGTCTCGGTTTAGGTGTTGCCGGTATGGCTACGGCTAATGAAGCCATTTATGAAGAACTAAAGAATGTCTTATTTGGTGATGATGCTGTTGCTGGTGAAGCCGCTGGTCTAGCCATGGGTTTGATCATGCTTGGTACTGGCAATGAAACAGCCGTTGACGAGATGCTCCAATATGCTCATGAAACTCAACACGAAAAAATTATTCGTGGTTTAGCTATTGGTATTCCTTTCATTATGTATGGTAAAGAAGAGCAGGCGGACGAATTGATTAAGAATCTATTGGAAGATAAAGATCCTGTTCTCCGTTACGGTGGTATTTATACTATTGCTATGGCATATAGTGGCACTGGTAACAATAAGGCCATCCGTCGCTTATTGCATGTCGCTGTAAGCGATGTTAATGATGACGTTCGTCGTGCCGCCGTTACAGCTATTGGTTTCGTATTGTTGCGTAATCCTAAGCAAGTTCCACGTATTGTCCAGCTCTTGGCTGAAAGCTACAACCCTCACGTCCGATATGGTGCTACCCTCGCTTTGGGTATTTCTTGCGCCGGTACTGGCTATCTTGATGCTCTTGAATTACTTGAACCTATGACAAAGGATCCTGTCGATTTCGTTCGTCAAGGTGCCTTTATATCCCAAGCCATGATCTTGATTCAACAAACTGAAAACACAAATCCCAAGGTTGCTGGCGTTCGTAAATTGTTTGAAACAATTATCAGTGATAAGCATGAGGATCCGATGGCCAAATTTGGTGCCGTTCTCGCGCAAGGTATCATTGACGCAGGAGGTCGTAATGTGACCATATCCTTATTATCCAGAACTGGCCATGCCAACATGCCTGCTATTGTGGGTATGGCTGTCTTTACACAATTCTGGTATTGGTATCCTTTGACACACATGCTCAGCTTAGCCTTTACGCCTACTGCTATCATTGGTCTCAACAAGAACCTTGAAACACCTCGCTTTGAATTTGTCTCTAACGCCAAACCATCCTTATTCGCATACCCACCTGCCATAAAGCCTCCATCAGCAACTGTCGTAGAGAAAGTGGCTACTGCTGTCTTATCTACTACTGCTAAAGCAAAAGCTCGTGCTAAAAAGATTGAGAAAGAGAAGGGAGATCAAATGGATATTGATGAAGATAAGCATACTGGTACGAAAGAAGATGAGGAGATGCAGGATGATGAAAAGAAAGATAGTGGCCATAAGTCACCAATTCAAAAGAAACAACAAAAGAAGGAGGAAAATTTTGAACTGCTTGAAAATATGGCACGCGTTGTTCCTGCTCAATTGAAACACATTACATTTAAAGAAGATTCACGTTATATTCCAGTGAAGAAAGAAAATGTCGGTGGTATCATAATGATGATTGATAGAAAACCAGAAGAAGAGGAAGATTTGATTCAGCCACGTGTTCCAGCTGGAGGTAAGTACTCTCTATCGTAATTTATTAATTTTTTAAGCGCTTGTTTTCTGATGGCTTTCTTTTTACGATTTAGATGCCACAACAAGAGCTGCGGCAGAGGAAGAAGCAGCACCATTCGAGCCTTTCGAATATCCTTTTGATGACCAATAACTGTCTTCTTTTTTTTCATTTAACATTTAATGTTCTTGCCAGAGTTTTAATTTGTAGAAATCGAATAACAATAACTGAACATACTTGTACACAATAAAGAAATTCTTAAAAAAAATAACAAGATGCATGGCATTCTGCATGTGAAAATGCAGCAGTAGGAACTCATGAAGATTTCTTTAGCCCAGGGGCAAGTTAGAATCAAATCAGTAAAGGATCGAATAAAGTTTGTAGGCATCTTTCATAGGATAATAAAATATGAATAACTGTGAACCAACCATTATTGTGGATATTTCGTATGTCGAAATTTTGCTTTGTCATACATTTTCACAGTTATGACTTTCTCTTCACATCCGTCTCATTTTTTATCCAGTGTCTTTCCATTTCGCATATTATTCACAAGAATAAACGACTATTTGAACTGCTTTGAAAAAATTCTAATAGAAACCGAAAATACAGAATGAAAATAGAGAAAGCAGTTGCTCAAAGATACCCCCAGATTCTACAATTAGTAGAACAATTTAATATGAGAGAAGGCCAAGGAGCCGTTTTTTGGGAAGATAACGTTATTGAAGAACTCCACATTGTCGGTGCAGAGCCTGATAAGCTGATTTGGGAGTTTAAAGTCAAGGAAGTGCATTGTAATAGGTATTCTTCCGGTTAAAAAAAAATTAGAAGAATGATATTGATAATAATAGTTTACTAATGATGCGAGCAGACTAGGAAACCTTCATGGTGGTTGTGCTGCTACCCTCATTGATATATGTAGTAGCTTTGCTGTACTGACTAATAGTGGTAAAGCACGTTGGAATTTGATTGGTGTCTCCACTGACTTATCTGTCTCATATCTCAAAGGCGTTCCAGCAGAAACTATGATTCGACTTGAATGTGAAGTTCAAAGAGTCGGGAAAACGTTAGCTAACATATTCACCAAAGTTTATAACGATCAGGGCCAAGTTTGCTACACAGGCTCCCATACCAAATTTAACATTGATCCGAAGTTGTAAATTTTGATGATAATAAATGGAAGTTTATACATACCTTCGAAAAATACAACGGTTGTAGCAAAGACTTAGCTCGTAGCGCTGCAAATATTCCAATAATACATGGATGAGGGGAGTGAATTAGCGCTTCTACCTATCAGTAATAATAAAAGACCAATACTAAATCATCATAATGATTTGAACAATAGCTAGCCGACGAAATAAATCTGGCACTTTGGTTCTATCGATCAAACGGTAATAGATAGATCGCTATACCCAATTAAGATTGATTTAAATCTGATCTTTTACAATGATGAGTTTGAATAGCACGTAGAATAATGCGCTGTAGAAATGTTGGTAGTGGTAGTTTCCTTCTTGGTTGATGAGGGGCACTGAAGAAAGGGTAATATATTATCAATTAAATAATCGCTGCTAATTTTATTGCTCATTCTCAATCATAAGGAGATCCTGTGCTGTAGCAACTTCGAACATCTCAGACAAAGTATAAAGAACGAACTATTGAAGGGAAACAACGCCCTTCTCAATTTCCATACTAAGCTTTTTGAGATACTTTTTTATATAACAAGTCATACAAAAATTGCACAAGCCTTGTTTGCACGGAATGATAAAGTAGTCTGAGTACCGGAACTGATCACCATTAATGAATGTTTGGGTAAAAAAAACCTATTTTGCTTAGCTGTTGTACTTTCTATATGGGCGTAGATCCAAATCAATGTCCTTATTCGTATTATGAACATATATCTTCTACTCTTTAGCAAGCATAATTTTACGGAAGTACTATAGATCGGGTGTCTAAGCTTGAACGACACAAATCAAAAACGATTTATACGTTCAATATCATAACTAACCAAAACTTTAACAACGAAACGTCTACACTACTTGAAAGACATATCAATACCATAAAATGCATACCATGAATGATGCCTGAATTCTTCGGTGGTAGCAGCAAAGGATGTTTAATTGACCAGTTCCAACTATAACCCATAAAACAAAAGGAATACAGGCATTAGAAGCTATTACATGTTATAGCATAGTATTGGGTATTCCCAAAAGAAGGAAGAATGCTAATGGTGTGTTACCAACTTTTTTCTGCTAACTCTTTTACACGAAGCCAAAAAAAAAAAAAAAAGAAAAACCTTTATGATAAATTTTAGCACTATCTTTAAGTAGAGGAAATAACGATATCCTTAAAGAGCTGGAGGGGGGTTAGTAAAGCAAATTTAAGCTGAAGATCGCCTTCAACGGTGGTTGAGGGCGAGCTAATGCAAGGTTACATTAGCATAAGGCATAAGCTTCAATTTTTTAAAAAGTTGGTAATTTCTTGTTGCATGTGTAGATATGGACAAATTGTATATTTCTAAGTATGCTCAAGCACTATATATATTGTATGCCAATCTACTATTGAAAGTAAGAAGTAGATGTACACTTTAATGAATAATCAATCAGTAGGTTTACCTTCCTGAAAAATTGAGTGTTATACTACTGTATGTAGCTTATATTTTGAAATGAAAATTGATATTGCCCACAGATACGGTGACACTGATGGCGTTTTCCATCTTTAAAGCATTTGCTTTGAAAAATTTCGCAATAATCTTCAAATTAAGCAACCATTGCTAGCTCATGAATACCTTGGCGGATTCGCCAACCCGTAGGCAAATACAGGATGCATTTTGCAAGGTCACTCATTTTCAGCATGTTTATTTCTTCCTCTGGTTAACGCTGCTATATGTATAATAAATGTTATGCTTGCCAAAGAAATTCAGGCTATAAAATTTCTCGTAGTACTTCTTTTGTAACGCAAAAAAAAACTAAAAGACAATTTCTATACTTGCATTTGGACAGGTAGGTTATGGTACAATAAGCAACGGCTACTTTATTTTAGGAGCTTTACGGACGCTTTTGAAAGTGAATGAATTACAACATATAGAAATGTCGAAAACACTGTGAATTTATACGCGGATCTTCTTAATAATAACAACCTGTGTCAACAACTCCAGATAGGTCAATTTGATTGAGTAATCCGATTTTGCGATAGCAAATTTAAATGCCCTACTGCAAGGCGTTGAAAAAATGGTCGAAATGAAGAATAGTAAACCAAACGGTATGGTTCATTTATATTGTGAAGGTAAAAGACGTAGCCAGTTAAAGCATAAATACTATCAAGAACAGTAATAAGGGATCAGTATAATTTGATATCCATTCGTACAGAAATTCACGCCGCAAGAAGTAAGAATGCAGTTAAGCTGGTTGATTATCTGTTACTTCGACTATACAGGAATCCTCGTGTACATTACGTGAAGATCAAACGAATATAATCATTAGTGTCATCAAAGCAGACGCTTCTTCAGCAGTAGGTGTAAAACCTCTACCTTCTTAGCGTCACTGTTGTTACGACAATTTTAATGCTAGATAGAAGTTGGTTAACGGGATTATTGTACTACAGAGGTATGCTTTATATTAGCCAAGAGTGTTTTGCAACCAACAGAAGTTTTAAAGTTGGCTGATCAACGTTGTATGTGGTAATTGGTATACGGAATCTTCAGATTACTTACAATGTAGCTAGGCGAAGAATAAAGTGAATTGCTTGCCACAAATGAAAAATCAGCGTTGAAACTATTTGATTCTTGCACATTAAACTTTCGATTTGTGCGACTGTAACAAGAAAAAGAGTTTTTCCACGCTTGTCAATGATACACTTTTTCATTCTATTTATTCTTCTTTTGGAGATTACAAAGGATTTGCTGATTTTGGCAGGCTTGAAAACCAACGATAATGCGTGTATCTTCCTCTGTCTCGGGAAATGAATTTATTTTTTTCTTTGATAATCTATGATGATTTCCTTTAAAGAAGAATAATAGATGGGCCAGGTCTCTCAATTCTTCTGCTGTTAAATTATTTTTTATTATTATTTTTTTTTTTTTTGTCGTTTTTCAATTCTTTTTGATTCTTTTTCACTCATTCCCTCAACCGCCTACCTTTCTGCAGCAGCATAGATCATCATTTGGAGTATTTGAATTAGTTCCTCTTTTGAAACATACGCATAGATCAGAACAAACAGACAGCAAATTAGTATAACATTTCATCAACTGATCATGTTTAAAAAGAACAAGAGCAATGCAGAAGGAAGTAGCAGCCGTAGCTCAAACCCTTTCAATCGTACAGAATATGTAGAGGAAATAGACATGAATGATATCAAAATGGACACTCTTCGATCACGCATATCTAGTCCTGATATGAAAAGGGGAGCCCCAAGTTTCCATGAAGACGTAGGCTCAATATATAGTCGATCTGGTCCAAGCGGGTCAATTGGCGATGTGATAGATGATAGACCAAAACTGCAAAGAGGTTTAAAAGCTAGACATGTAAGGATTCAAACAGTGGCCATTCCTTTACACATTCGAAAAATTCACGTTATAATATGTATAATAGCCTAATATTAATCATCTTTTTATGATCCAATGCAGTTAACAATGATTTCACTGGGTGGTACCATCGGCACAGGTTTGTTTTTGGCCTCAGGTGCTTCCGTAGCTAATGCTGGCCCCGGTGGTGCGCTAATTGCTTATGCTTTAATCGGTATCATGGTATTCTTTATGATGGAGTCTTTGGGTGAAATGGTAAATGCCTGAATAGCTTATTTAAAAAAAAATGAAAAAAGATTACTTAGAAGTGAAACCTGAGCTATCTGTTCTGAGAAAGATTTTTTTTAACCATCTCTTTTTCTTTACCATTTTTAGGCAACATATCTCCCGATCTCGGGCAGTTTTAATAATTACGCTGGCAGATTTGTTGATCCTGCTCTTGGATTTGCCTTGGGATGGAATTATTGGTAAAGAAATCGTTTATATGAGGAATGAGGGCTATAGTGGAAGACATTTTTCAAAGAATGAAAATGGGTTGACAGGATATGTCAAACTTTTTTAATAGGTATAATTGGGCTATTACTGTTGCTGTAGAATTGGTAAGTATCGCGACGAACTATTTTTTTAAGAACTATATACTGAAAAGGTGTGCATTTTGTTCTTGTAGACAGCAGGCTCCATGGTTATGCAATTTTGGCTTCCTTACGTTCCAAATTATGTCTGGTCAATTGTCTTCCTTGTCATCATCCTTGGTTTGAACATGTTCTCCGTTAAAGGCTATGGTAATTATACATGATATGGATGATATGCGATTCTTCTAAATAAGGCACTAACATTTGGGAATTGTTCGCGTGTAATAGGTGAAGCAGAATATTGGTTTGCATTAATCAAGGTTTTAACGGTTATTGTCTTCATTCTCCTTGGCATTCTCGTTGATACCGGTGTCTTGGGCGGTGTATACTATGGTACTCATGTTTTTAATTCTGGCGGCGTACAAGGTTTGGGCGTACTTACAACCTTCTTGACTGCTGGTTTCTCATTCCAAGGTACAGAATTGATTGGTGTTGCCGCTGGTGAAAGTGAAAATCCACGTAAGAACGTACCTGCCGCTATCAAGCAAGTATTTTGGCGTATTGTCTTGTTCTACATTCTCTCTATTCTCATCATCGGTTTGATTATTCCATACGATGATCCCAATCTTTTGAAGAGTGATGTTAGTGATATTTCCATTTCTCCCTTCACTCTCGTTTTCATTAAGGCTGGTATCTCTCCTGCTGCTCATATCATGAATGCTGTTATTTTGACCACTGTTCTCTCTGCTGGTAATTCTGGCTTGTACGCTTCCAGCCGCACGTTACTGGATTTGGCGCAAGAAGGCAAAGCACCCAGATTTTTTAGTAAAATCACTAAAAATGGTATTCCCATTTATTGTGTGCTTTTAACCGCTGCTATTGGTATGCTTGCCTTTTTGACTTCTCTCTTTGGTAATGGCGTCGTCTATAATTGGCTTATGAATATTTCCGGTATTTGCGGTTTTATTGCCTGGCTTGGTATTGCTGCCTCACATTTCCGATTCCGTCGTGCTTACAAACTTCAAGGCTACAAAGAGGAAGATCTTCCTTTCAAAGCAAGACTGTTCCCTGTTGGTCCTATTTTTGCTTTCGTCGTTTGTTGCTTTGTCATTGTTGGCCAAGGTTATGATGCTTGGACAGCTGTACCTGTTAAAGCCTCAGATATTATTGCCTGCTATATCGGTGTTCCTGTATTCGTCGTCATTTACTTGGGATATAAGCTTATCAAGAAACCCAAACTCATTCCTTTAGAGGAAGTTGATTTAGTCTCGGGTCGTGCGGAATTTGAGTAAGTATCTAAATTGTCTTTTGAAATTATTATATGATTTGGAGAAAGATCATAGCTTCATGTATCGTTATCTAAATATTCAAGTTTCTCCATTAGACATACTCTGGAATCAGATACAGACAAGAAGATGGACCCTCTGGAAGGTGTTAGTATTTTGAAGCCTGCAACTTGGAAGAGAATTCCTTCCAACCTTAAGTCCTGGAGAGATGCTTTGCATAATTAGACACAGCTGGCAGTCATTCTTCCTTTTTATTGTTTCCATTTTGTGTAATTAATCCTTGTATATATATTTTATACGTCACTTATATCCATATCTTGTATTATCAATTTTTTGTTATTTAATTGAAACGTCTAATGTCTTTTTATAAATTACTGAATTAAAAACACGTCAAAGAAAACAGAGTAAATGTGTATCATCGCACCATTTGACCGAAGTGTTGTGTTTTCTTGGATGTCCTTCATTTTGTGCTCATACTCTCTGTAAGAAATTTTCCATGGAGTTACCTACCAAGTATTTCATTTGTTGACCTTCAAGGTAATGGTAGAAACTTTCTCAGCATTTTCCGGAATTGATAATGTAGAATAAGATGAAACGTCCGAAACTGCTATGTTCAATAACGGCCTTATGTACAGATTTCAAGGCACTACCTACTTTTGAACAACTGTACAAGTCTACGCTACTTCCGCTACCGCTTGGATTGAATGTGCTTTGTGTTCACATAATTTCGTGTATGGGCAGTTGAAATCGCTTGTAAATAAAAAATTCGCATAAAGAACCGTAATTTTAAGCCTTAATAAAGAATGTCTTACAATATAATGGTAAACATCCCTCTCACTTTCATCCTTTGATGTATAAGCATGTACGTAACCATGAGTTAATGGTTTATAAAAATATCAATCCAAAAAAAAGAGGAAGAAAAGTGTATACTCTACGTAGGAAACTTTACATTATTGTGTAATATTAAAAATACTTTTGCTTTTTACATATCATCGTCACTGGCAGCAACGGCATCACCTTCATCTTCATCACCACTGACCAATTCATTTTCCTTTTCAGCTTGGGCCAATAAAGCAGCAAAATCACGGTCGTCTGAATCAGAGACCAATTTAGCTTCCTTTTCAACCTTGAACTTGGTCCAAGAATACTTTTCTAATTCTGCCTTTATCGCTTCAATACTCTTTTCAATCATTTCAAAACCGAGTTTCTTATCCAAAGAATCGACTGTGACGACATAGAAAGGCGCGGCCAAATATGTGATTTTGATAGGTACTTCTTCTGAACCAACAGATTCACCGGCCTTCAAAGCAGCCTTAATGGCATTGACACCATCAATACCTGTACATCTAATATCAAGTTCTGGAATAAAAGGGATATTCAAATAAGCCGATATTCTCGTCAGACAATATAACTCTCTTTTCTTAGGAAAAGGAACTAGAATCGAATCACTTACGTGCACGAATCTTAACGGGATGAGGAGTCATTCTGCGCTTAATAATGGCTAATAATTCCTTCAAAACTTCATCAGGAATATTCATACCGGCAAACACAGCATCAGAATCACTAATTTACAAATAAACTCGTTCGTTAATCCTTGTCTTTCAGTTTCACTTGAACCTTATCCAAACAAAAAGAAAATTAACAAATGAACTTTACACAATAGCCATCTTGAAAGCATCATAGGCATGTCCAAACTTTTTATACAAAGGCCAACCGATAGTTTCGTATAATTCTTGCAAAGGCATGTCGTTCTTTTCAGCAACATGACGTAAAATAGAGTGAACAGCTTTAGATTTGTTGTATTTCTCTTCACATTTTACAATATCTTCAGGGGTGACACGACGCTTAGACAAATCGATATAACCTAAATATAAAGCAGGAGATTGATGAATGAATAACTTCTTTTTTTTTTTTGTCTAAACGAGGAAAATATGCAATAAATATTTCCAAACTAGAATGTGTACTTATATTTACCCTTTTCTTCGTCAACTCTGAGAACAACAACAACTTCGTCTCTGCCGACACGAATCAACTTTTGAACTGAACGAATACGTCTTCTGGACAATTCTGAAAGCAGAATCATACCTTCTCTATCGCCATATTCGAGCTAATACGGCCGTAAGCAATTCAAAATAGATGCGTTTAAAGAATGAGTAAGAAAAAAACGGTCAGTAAAGCTGGACCTAAGTTTGGAAATTAGAAATGTCTCGTTCGAGCGATTTAGAATGATATATTTACAAGTTTGACATAAGCACCCATATCGGCAATTTGACGGACGTTGACCATGACAACATCGTCAACCTTGGGAAACTCATTCTCGTACATGCGACAGTGGAACTTATTGTCGGCCATCTTGTGTGCTATGTCTGTCTAATTTGTTTTAACAGTGAAAAAAAAAAAAAAAAAGACTTAAAAATAGTCGACTTTGCAAAACGACAATGGTGCAGAAAGCAAGAACAGAACAACTCTTCTCAAATTCGAAGACAGCGAAAAAATTTTGCGGCTTATGCCCAACCGAACTTTTTGCACCCCTTCTTGATCTCTACTGTAATTGGCAATGGAATGCTCACTGAGGAGTCATTTAATTTAGATAGCAAGTTGAAGTAGAAAAATTGATCCAGTAAATAGTAATGATATAAATAGCTGGTGAGAACTTAACATTTATCAAACCGGGCACCACAATCAAATTTGTTGAGCCTTCTTATTAGCTCTGATTTCATTGTTGTTTATGGCTTTTAAGTGCTCAATTATACGAAAAGGGCTTTTAGTGGGAGGGCGCAACTTCCTGTTGCCATTTTGAGTTGTTGGTGAAATAGCTATGGTAAACATTCTAGTGGTGCCGGTTACACTCTTATTAGTAGGAGCTTTTGGGAAGCCATTGACAATATTATAACTCATAGCCGTATTGATGTCGCTTTACCTTCCAGGAGGAGACGCAAACTCCTTGCACGCAGTAGAGGCTGCTTGCTATATCATACGAAATGCGCATCAAATTATCCAATTTTTGAAAAAAACATATTGCGCTTTAGACGCTACTTATAGCAGATACTTACATGTTTTAATTGAGCCGCTTCCTTCGCAGTAAGATTTTGTCCTTGCGATTTAAAAGACAACAAGAGGGATATTCTGGCAAATAAAGAATAACAAAGAACGAAAGCTACTACTACTGTCGAAGTAAAATCGATCCCGTTCACATTTGGAAGGAAACTAGCAATCATTTTTTACAAGAAAATTAGAACCGTTAGCGAATGCAATATGTAGGCAGGATACGGAGAAAGTCCATATAGGATAAGGGCTATATATATAATCCGAAATACGGGCCATTGTAGATGGAGCCAATGCAACAACATTCTCCCAATTCCTGATATAATACGTTTCTGCAACATATTAAAGGTTACATTTTAAACTACCACTATGGTTTCTTGAAATAATTTTGCAACGCAAACAAATGCATATTATTGACATTCTCTTAGTTCTCATGGTAGACCAAAAGCATTCACCACGAGTAATTAACCTACCTTCAGAACTCAAAATGTATACAGCGAAAGATCTCTGGCCGTCATTTGAAAGATTGTACTCAATTTTGTACGACCCGTTGCATGGTTTTACGAGAGAAGCAATTTTGTAATCCATTTCCAGACATATTTGGTAATGAAAGACTCCTGTTGAGTTTACTTCAAAAACATTGATATTACTACATAAAGAAAGCTAAGGTTATAATGTAGCTTTGAACCAATTGATGAAAAGCGGTCTCTACTAAGCAGATCATGACATAAAAATTTATCAGTTGCCGTAATAGCTGTAGAAATAGCTTGGTTTATACACGGATCAAGTTACATCTCACCTGATACACCCGACTATTTGAAGGGAGTGTAAGTTGGATTTTGTATCATATGATTTCGAGCAATTCCGGTAGCTGCTACTTGTCGAAAAGATCGACTCAATTTGCCTTGTTTGTATCGCGTCTTACGACTTCCTTCTGAGTGAGGAATTGTTCACACACACGACGACAAAGCAGCAGTGGGTTATAACAGCAGCCGCTTTGAACCGCTTAGATTAAATGAGAAAAAAAGGCCGTTTATTTCCTTCTTTATTCTATTTTGGTTTCTTTCTCTTCTTTTTCCTCTTCTTTTTCTTTGTTTATTCTATTTTTATTAGTTTTTTTTAGCTTTTGAACTTTGAGGTTTGATTCTTTTTTTAATTTAGCAGCACCTCTTCACTCCACTGATATCACCATTATCCTAGACAGCATATCCCATTCTTATTAAAAAGCAAGTTGAATCGAGCGGTAGAAACAGTGAGACAGAAGTAAACTATTTGCTTATACAAAATCAAAAAGTTTTTTGCCTGCCTTTGAATATCGTATCTAATATAGAAGTTTCTGTTATACTAAGTGTCATATCCTTATCAACAATACCCCTATTTATCTTACGGTGGATACGCCAATCCTTACCAAACATCTCTCTATGGTCAGCAGCAGTTATTGGGTTATCCGACCAGTAACTACTACAATAATGGAGGCATCAATCCATATTTAGGAACTGCAGCAACAAGTTATTACCCTACTGCCACCGCTGCTAACACAGCTTACTTGGGTAATACAGGCTATTATAATGGCACCGGTTACGGTGGCTATGGCTTATATGGTAACGGTATGACAGGTTACGGATCTGGAGGATATTACATGCCTTATTACAAACAGAGTACTTTACGAAATATTATCAATCGGATTCGACATGGTTCGAATTATGGGTATTATCCAGGTTACGATTATGGAAGACATCATTATCATGGAGGAAGTTGGCTTGATTTATAGTTAGTTTGGTTTTTTAGTAACCTCTTTTTTTTCGGGTTGACCTGCTACGTACATATACACGCACATACACACACTCAATACACGATGCATAATAAGTAGAACACATTTTGACACATGATATATATCCACAAAATTAGTCCTCACTGTTTCGAGAGAAAAAAAAAACCTTACGATTGCAAAACGTGTATAACATCTCTCATCTTTTCATATCTTTTTGGAAGGTTCATCTGCCTTTCAATAAACTGAATACCATCTACATGTATAACTTTCAGTCCTTTGACTTTTGCTACTAAGTTCATGGAAAACAAGCACCTAATTTAATCCATAGAGGAATGTATGTATGCTGTGAATAAAACTCTTTCCACCGTTTGCTGTAGAGGATCTACAAGGTTTTCTTGCTTTTTTCCCATTTATTTGCTAGCAAGGGATTGGCTTTTTAGAAAGAATAAATGTACAGAATGGTATGAACAAAAGAAAGCCTACAACTACGTAACTCAATTCTCAGTAAACATAGTTGTGGATTGAAAGAAAGCTTTCTGCTATGCAGTTGATATAGTGTTGCTAAGGCTATGGAATTTCAATGATGAGCCAAGGTATTATGGGAAATATGGTTAACTATAGAAGGATAAAACGACTAGTACTAAAAGTAATAAGAGATATTAACAGAGATAGCATTTAGATATAATAAGATGGTTAATTGTACAATGCAAAAAGTAATAATGAGATGATGCCAACAATTATTGAGGCTAAGAGCAGTGATTCTTTGCTCTATAAGTGTCAATGAAATGGATGTAAGCTTGAATTGCTATGAGGACTATATAAGAAAGCAATATACCATTTCAGCTACTACCTTTTGATGTGTATTGTGCTTTAGTAATTGTTCAAGTCTCTCCACTTTCTGCCTTTCATCTTCTAAGGCTTGTGATAATTCTACATTTTTCTTCCCTTGTAGATAATAACGGTTATCCCAACTGTGCAATTCCTTTTTGGCTGCTTCGATGGCTGCATGCTGTAACTGCCATTTTTTATCGTATGAAGTTAACCGTTTTTCTACCATGGCAAGTTTTCTTTCAGTTTCATCCTATTTGAACAAGTAGACATGCGTTTAGAGATTGCCCAACTTCTGGCTCTAATCTTTTTAATGAGCTGAAAGTATGTTTACAGTATTGTTATCATCTTTTATCAACTTATTCACTTCAGTGACTGTCTGCTTGATATTCAAAAGTTCGGTTTCCACTTTCTTTGACTTTTTCAATTCGTCCTTTATGAGCGTTTCAATTTGTAACAGTTCCTTTAATCGCTGCCTGTCTTGTTCAGAATCAATTGGCAATTTATCGCTTTTTGAAGTTGTGGATTTATGATGTTTTGAAGATGTTCTAGCCGAAGCTAGCGAATTTGTAAGTGAAGACATAGAGTCATTTTTTGAGGATATGTAAACTGAAGAAGCTGGTGATGATGACGAAGAAAATCTTGTATAGGAGCCATTTGTCTATCATAATGGAGAAAAAAGTAAAATAAATACAAAAGTGGGTCGGCTAATTGTTATCCGTGCTTGATTTTTACATCATCTTCCTCAAAGTTGGCAAGTCGCTCCTCTATTTGTGATAAGGGTTCAGGATACAGGAATACTTTACAAACAACTTTATGGAATAGCACTGAGAAGAATAAAAAAATAAATAAAAAAGAGAAACTGGTATAAATCATATCCCTTCTTTGCTGGCAAAATACAGCTTGCGCTTACATACCTGATCCATTTTCATCATTTATAATATCGATGCCGAATTCAATAATGTCTTCATTAAATATTCGTTTGGGTAGACTTGGCTTCCCTTCATCTGATAGCCTCTCTCCATTCACAAATGTACCATTACTTGATTTTACGTCTCTAATATAGACCTTTGACGTGAAAGGGTAGTTCGAAATCCTCGATATGCATTTGTGCACACAGAACAACATAATTGTTGTGTTTTAAAATACCTTTCCATCCGCACAATATAACTCAGCATGCTGTCTTGATAATACTTTAGAGTCAAAATAGCCATTACGTCTATGAGGTATTGTTCTTGCTGAGATCTGTCTTCCAATTCTGATTCTATTGCCATCCTCTCTTAACTCTAAATGCCTTGTTTGTAATGTTGGATTTTTAGGTTGAAGAACCACAGTATAAACTGATGAACTGTCTGAGTCGTGGCTGTTGGCTGTACTTGTCATGTCGTAAATGAAAGGAAATCGTGCAGTGTTGTTGCAAGCGGTAGAGTCTTGACAATAATGGAAAAGGGAAGAGATTATTGAGAAAATGCTTTTTTGTTCCTGAATTATTTATTCTGAAAAAAGAGGAGATATTCTATTATCATCATTGTCTTTTACCTTTGGACTTTGATGATATTTTGAGGGATGAGCTATGACTACCAGAGCTGTTGTTGTTACTTTCTACAACAGCAATCATTTTAATATCCAGTCAGTACTGGAAGAGGAAAAAGCACCTAGCCGAAAGGGAAATGTAACCCAAATAGACAAAAATTACTCAAGTGATACAAGTGGACCACATGAATTTTTTTAAAGAAAGCGCTTGATCAATTCATGCGCAATCATCATTGATTTTCTACCTCATTATATGTATTCGTTGTGGATGATTACAGCAGTATAGTTCGATAAAAGCTGATGATCAAGGATTTCCAATTTTCGTATAGAAAAATGATCATAATTAAGACTGGGTTTGTGAATAGCGATTTTATTTACGGGTCCTGCCTAATTTGATTCTAACAATAGCTTGTGGTATAGGTATCTTCCTTGGTCGTCCTCTTGGCCTTTTGAAAAATTTAATGTGTCGCTTTGGAGATATTTTGCTACTATTGGCCGTTGAAGTAGGTTTGGTGTCCTTTCGGTTGGATATGTCCGAAATGATGCTGCTACTACTAGTGGTAGACGAAGAAGATGAAGGTGTAGGGGAATAATTGGTTGAATCAGAAGAATAAAATCGAGATTGTATCGTTGTTGGCATTTTTGCACGTCTAGCTAAAGTATGAAATTCGTGTGGGGATAAACCTTTCATGGCGAACGATCGTTTTGCCGTCTCTAAGTACCCCTTCTTTTCTTTGGAAATATTTCTTCTTTTTATTAACACTTTTGGCTCGTATTTCCTTCTCATCATACTGAGCCTTCTAGCATTTTCGTCTTTTAAATGATTTGCTCCAAGTGTTTTCGGTATCGCTATATGTTGCGTGTTATCATGATTTTCTCGGTATGCTATCACTACAGATGGCTCTGGGACTTGATAACTGGGCGCTGCTGATGAAGAAGGGCTTTTATTTTCTACAACTTCCATATCATCGTACATATTTTCTATTTCTTTATTGTTCACTACCGTGTCATTGGTACCATCAAATGCCGGCTCTTTGCTGAAATGATTTCTGTCCAGCACTAGTTGCTTCATCTCATATGGAGACAGTGCCTTCCGCTTCCCTTTATCCTTTGTTGTATTGTTGTTGTAGATAGGATCCGTATCGTCGTCGTATAAATCTTTGTTGAAGTTACCAATATCATCGCTGTTGAAATCGAACGCAAAATCATCATCCATACCGTCAGTGTAATCGACGCCGTCAAAGGAATCGTCCGGAATGTCATCTTTGGAATTGTTATCATCTGTTATTGTTTGCGGGTATTGAGGTTGGAATGCATTCATTTGTTGTATTGTTCGTTTTGCTTGACGTTGTTGTTCGAGCATCTTTTGCTTTTCTTTTGAATGTTTAAACGATGCCTTTGCTTTTTTTTTGCCTTCGTCAATTACGTAGCTATGATGAATGCCACTATCAACACCATCATCATTATTGCTACTATTACGGTCATCAACATTTTCTTGCAAGATTACCGGTGAATTTGCTTTAAATTTGGCCACCGTCTCAAATGCAGTCATACGAGCCTTTCTATACAAATCAAGCTCTCTATTAGGCAAAGTTGGATTCTCTCGTAAGTGTTTCCGAAGTACATTATCATTTTGTGGGATCAAGTTGTCGTTCATTTCGACATAAAAAGTGGTTAAGTTCGCAGTAGGGCTTTTATCTAAATCAATGGGTTGGCTTGCAGTATTGCCGAGCTGTTTAAGTTGTTCTGAAATTGTGGATGCTGTTCGTGATTTCGCTTGTAACGGTAATGACGATGTGGTAACTGTTGTTGTTGTTGCTGGTCTTTTAAGTTCATCCGTTACCATGTAACCTATCATAGAACACTATCTGTCAGTAACAGAACTAGCAATCAAAGCAAATAACTGTAAATAATAGACTTTGCTCTCTTGTTTACTTTACCTTTCGCTTTAGGGCCCTCAATAATACGCACTTTTTGATTTAACAATTCTTGTTCTTTTTCCTTTTCTTTTCTCAACTTTGTCCATGCATCGTCAAAAATCCCTGACTCACTCACTAATCCGATGCCGATCAGTGGTTGTTCGCACTTTTTGGCTTGACGAGGCCACAACATGAGACACATTCTCATCAAATTTTTTACATCAGGATCGTTATTCATTCTGTTCAACCATGCTGGGCCATGCAAAGGATGTTTGTCTAGGTTTGTCATATAATCACAAAACGTACTACAACGAGCACGTACTTTCATATATCGCAGGAGCTTATTTTTGGGCATTGGAAATGGATCGTCCGCATAAGTTGCTGTCGCAAATCTCTCGTAATGGGCACATTCTTCAGACATTAAGAGCCCATTAGCGCTGCTAGTGCTCGTGTTGGCAGGGATGTGTGGCGATGTACCCATATTTTATTCAATGTACGAGATATTTTCAAAGGATTTTGATTTTTGAAGACTCGAGTGCCTCTCTCTATCACTTGTGCCTTTCGAAATCAATTATAGAAAGAAAAAAAAAAAAAAAGGAAGAAATAAGGGGCAAGATATTGCTTTATGCTTTTTATTTTTGTGTGACCAGTTTGACTTTGTGTGCATCTAATGGTAGCCATAAAATTTACATTGTTCTTTGCCCTATCATTATTATTCAAAGTAGATTCTATTATTAAACAAGAAGAGTAGGTTTTATTGACACATATCTTTCATATTCAAACTTGTGGCTATTCTAGTTTATCTGCAGCAACAAGTCCATTTTTGACAAGGTAATTTAAAATTGATTGCACACCTTCTTCCACTGAGACTTCGTGTGTTTTTATATGGATTTCTGGATTTTCAGGTGCTTCATAAGGTGCAGAAATACCAGTGAACTCTTTAATTTCACCAGCTTTGGCCTTTTTATACAATCCCTTGGGATCACGCTGCTCAACAACATCTAAAGGAGCATCGGCGTAAACTTCAATAAAGGGTATACCAGCAGCTTCGTGAAGTTGACGAGCAGATTGACGATCAGCAACATAAGGACTGATAAAAGCAGTGATAGCAATTACAGTAGCATCAGCGAATAGTTTGGCAACCTATATGACCCATGATTGAAGAATCGGAATAAATAGGTTAAATACAAGCACATTTCTGGGCGGGATCCCATCGTTTACCCTTTCACTATTCTTTTACCTCTGAAATTCGTCGAATATTTTCAGTACGGTCTTCAGGTCCAAAACCCAAGTTCTTATTTAAACCAAAACGAATATTATCTCCATCCAAGCGATAAGCATTGATACCTGAGTGTAAAAGTGTTTGTTCTAATGCAGTGGCTAGAGTAGATTTACCAGAAGCAGAAAGTCCTGTGAACCATAAGGTGAAGCCCTATAAGCATGTTTGATTAACATATTTTCGTTAAGAGAACAGTCTGATACTGGTAGGTAGAAGCTTGATAGCAATACTTTCAGGATGTGTACAGTTTTCCCCTAACACAAAATAAAACCCATCCCACATATACTCTTGCCCATTTACCTTTTGCTTTAATAGTTTTTGACGTTCTTCTAAAGAAACGCTGCCAGCATGCCAAGTAATATTTGTAGCCGTTGTCATTTTATACACTATTCTAACTTTCCTACGAGTTTATTTGTCTCTTAATGTAAGGCTATCAAGCAAAAAGCGAAAGAGCAACGTTGGGAAGCTTGAACCAGCCATATCATAACTTTGTCGGAGATGCAAGTGAAAAACTAACCACTCAAACGGGTGTTCCTGAAATTGCGCAATAAAGCGTTGATTTGATTTATATTTCTATTTTCTGACACTCGCTGTTGGTCTCATTTGCAGCCTGTTACAAAAAGAGTTGAAGAGCTTGATATGTGCATTATCAACATCAGTACTCAGATTATAAGATATGGTCGCTGAATCCTGCATCATCCGCTTGAGTCCAGACATCAGCTTTGCACGTGTATTTTTTTGATAGGTTGACGCCGGCCAAGGGTATCCATAACGAAATTCCAAACTGATAACAGATATTATGCCCCAATGTAGCTTTCGCGTTAGATGAAATGATAATCCATGGTGCCCCCCCCATCCTTCGAGGTCTTGTAGCTGTTAGTCTTAAAGCCTCGCAGCCATTGTGTTGTACATATGATTTATGCTGTGAAAATGGGACGTCACGGATAAGAATCCAATCATCGGCAATCATAAAATTTTAAACAGTTGTTTGCTCTCTATCCTTTTATCAATAAAAGATAAAAGTGATTCATTGACCTAAGTTATTAATTAAACTAATGTCGCTTTCAATCATCAAATTTTACAGACGTCTCAGAATACATCAATTAGAATTCAGAAAACTCAATAAACAGATCAACATTTCCTCAAACTGTACATTGTAGTCATTAAAAGCGTTGTACGCGGGAATCAAGCTAAATAATAATTGTGCAATACTTTTCTAAAGAACGTTGCTTGATGTCAGCGGCTCGATCAGATTTTGAAAAGGCAAGCATCCTATCTACTGATGAAGCAGTAACTGCGAGTAAATGTAACTCTTAAATGCGGGGAAGGCCTGAATGGTACAAAATTTTAATGCAGCACAACAGAAAGTTGAGGGGCCGACAACACTGCCTTCTTTCAACCACAGCAGTCATTCTTTCATTGACAAAATTTAAATCCTAAATTTAATGCTTGGGGTCCATAGCATTTTGTTTTTCCTCCTCAACCTCACACTTACGAATATCCATCTAAACCCGTAAGCATGTCACAACAACAGCAGCAACTTCAATTTTCTCAGCAAGATCAACGTGAACTTGCTCAAGTATGTATTTTCAGTCAAGGGTCAAAAGAGATATTTGAAACAGCAGCTAATTTTCTAAATCCCTTATCACAATTCAGTTTCTTGAGGCTGAACAAGCCAAAGCTCGAGTTCAAGAAACAGTTCACAGTTTAACAGATAATTGTTGGGTAAGAACTTATAGTTATCAAGAAGAAAATGATCGATTGAAGTAAATCGATCTAAAACAATTCATTCTCTATTTGCGCCACGCAGGATAAATGCATCGCCAAAGTCAACAATAAGTTAAGTAGCTCTGAAGAAAGCTGCCTTGCAAATTGTGTAGATCGATTTCTAGATACCAGCATATTTATTGTCAAGCGTTTAGAGGATTTACGATCATCCAACATGTAAATAGATAACGAGGCAACCCAATTACTTCAATACAGGATACACCGAAAAAGTTGGGTTTTCCATGCAATTAAATATATAGAATATCGTCTACAGCAGTCAGTACCTTGACGCCAAATAAATCAGTGTGAGAAATATGGCTGTTTTGGCTCTCATTAAGTTAACAAATAAGCGAGGATACGCCATGTAACTCTTCACGGAGTTCATCAAAGATTTCTAGGACTTTATCAGTTGCTTCATTCAATCTAGTTCATTTAACACGAGAGTTGAGTTCATTGTTACATTATAACAGTTAACCGAGGCGGAAAACTATACCATCCAACTTACTTTTCTTTCTGTTCTTTGATCGTTTCATCATAATCCTTATCAGATTCTTTTGCTTCAATCATTAATATTTGAAGTTTAGCTGTCTAAACAGAATGCATCAATGCAGTTGATTTAAGTGACAAGAACACCGAGGGTGAAAAATGAAATCAAGCCTGGATTCTTCTCTTACCTTTTCCAATCTATCTTTTTCGGCTGTTTGTAAAGCTCTTATCATTCCAGATATCACTTCATCAGACATATCCTTTTCAATAGATTGCACTTCCGAGGACACGTCTTGAAATCCCTCAGTAACGATTTTACAGATAGAGTGGTATTGATCTGCAGGGCATTTGCCGCTCATGTAGTCTTTAAAAGCACTTGATTCAAGAGGAGCAAACTGTAAATCGCTAGCACCAAGGAAGGGAGGCTAAAGCAAGATAGCTTACATGTCGAACTCTTTATATAGCTCCATGCGAGTGTTTTGGGCTTTCATCAACTTTGAAAGTTGTTCAGATAACAGTTCGTTTCTACTTAGGACTTCATTCTTAGGCTGATCGTTCATTTTGAGTGTAAGAGTGACGATTAGACCGATTGGGTGATCAAGGCAAAATTGATTTTTTATTTTTATGAAAGGAGACGTGTTTTTAGTTGATAGATTTTGTTCCGGTACAAGCTGCTGAAGCCGAGTCGAGAAAGACATTTCATTGAACCTTTTATCGGTGGGGTGATTGAAATGGCATAATCATTACGTATGAATTCTTTAACAAGCATACAGTGATGCAATGTACGGCTTTGCGTTTATTTTTTATTGTTCTATGAGGGATGTATTTTATTTCTTTTCTTCCTTAATTTTCAATTTTGAACATGCCTTATAATTCAGAAACATTTAACCCCTCCGCAAATTGTGCTTTTTGCCATAAAAAGATTGATTTGCAAAAGTCTGCCTTCGCAGAAAATGAAAAGTGTGGCCATAAGTTTCATTCAAGGTGGTAAGTATAATTTCGGTTGTGTTGTCTTTTTGTCGCGAAGACTGTGCCAAAACATATATTCACACATCCATTACAAATGACTGAAGCGTTTCTACCGTTGCCGAGCCGGATCCTTGTCCTGAATGTGCTCTGAAAGAGCCTTCAACATTATCGGTTCGAGAAGAAGAGCCCGCTCCTATTAACGCTGATATGGAAGTTGGTCAGTCGAATAATGACGCTGTCAAAAACACTGAGCCTAAGAGCAGCAGCCATAGCAATAATGTAAATTTAGACGAGGCAGAAATTAATCATTTACACAACAGAGCAGCTGAAATACAAGAAGAGAAAAACATGAAAAATACTCTATTGTAAGCTTTCGCAGCCGCAAAACGTGCAGCCATCAACCACATTAACACTTCTGCAGAAAAGCAATTCAGCAATTTTTTGTTCAGTTTGTGAAGTGATTGTACTACTTTCTCAGATAAGCATTGCCATTGTAATTTTGAAGCGTGAAGTACGTGAATCATACCCCTCCAAAAAAAAATAAAAAAAAATAATGACGCGTTGACATTGCGACTACGTTTACAAGTATTGCTAATAATTTAAGAATTGATCTTATGCTATTAAAAATTGTTTAAAACTAAAGACAAATAATGTCTAATCAGGCGGTTAATAGTGATTCCTCACTTCCATGAAGCCAGTACACTATTTAATTCATAACTTTTACAATATAGCTCTAAAACAAGTGCATAGCGTGTTCTAATTTGTTCAACTTATTCTTTGTGTTAATGCTCAAAACATCACAATAGTCCTTTGTGTGGCAAAGTTAATGTTCTTGATAGTAACTTTCCTTTTTAATTACATACTTCTTCATTCCTTACAAAACAGCAACGCGTGTGTTTACCAATGGTTTATTGTTAGTTAGGGAACTTTTCCGTAGCTGGTTATGCTGTTAAAATTACTTCAACAGCGTCTCAACATCTTCGCATACCGCATTAGAGAGTTTATTACACGTAGAAAGTGTTCTCAATTCACCCAAACCAAAAAGAAATAACGTTAGTTGCTGGAAATAAGTCGAAAAAGTTGCCATGCTGGTTAATATACACTAATTATTGGATATTACTGAGTGAAGTAAGAGCTTTTCGTTTGCATATTGAAAAGACCTGTAATTCATGTGAATTGAATGCGAATTAGTGACTTGATACCTGAACAATCGTCAATAAGTCTCGCCTATCCAAACAGTGCAGAATTATATTAACGCCGTAACATCCTCCTCATATAGAACCTTTATTGGCATACTTAATTATATGTGTGCCTATGATGACAAGTAAAATCAAAATAGATCACGAAGCTTATCAAAATGTGGGCTAATTCCCGTTCATAAGAGAATATAGGGCAAATAAGACAAAATTCATGCTGTCCGCTGCATGATGCTGGGTATATCCAATGAACGAGCATTTACTTGATTGTAACATTGCTTCTTTCTGACATCTTGAGTATTTTCAATACAAAAGCAGGAGTCCAAGGCAGAAAAGGATATTATGCGAACTTTTTTTCTGTTGTTAATTCCGGTATATTACTATGACCCATAGAAATGGCATATATAGTGTATGTATTCATTTTACAATGTACGAGCTGTTATATTTCGTAATACAGAAGATATACGAGAATGCATTCTTTTGTGGATAAATAATGCATCAAATAAGGATATGCTAAAAGATTTGGAGATGAGCATGTTGACCCCTCTCTTTTCTAACCATTGATCCATGGCCTTCTTTAAACATTAAAAGTACTGATATATGTTTGGATATGCATGATGCCTCCTCTATTCTTGCTTTAAAAAACGGACAAAGGACTCTCTTGTGCATTCACCTCCCTTTCTTGGATCAAAGTAGAACTTGTAACAGCTTCCATCAGCACAAATGGCTAGATAAAGAGTCAGTTTCGACGTTAAATACATATAGCGAAATAAGGTTGCCACTTCAACGTGCTTATAATCACGATTTTAAATGTCTTACCTATAAGCGAATTTTTCTGACTACCGAAGGCTACTATACACCTACTTTCTGTAGCCAGTTTTGCATTGGCAAAACTCCATTCCGAACTGAAATACTTTGGTAGCAAGTCTTTCATAAAACTCAGGGCACTCCCTCGATTCCCTGAAGTAGTCAACCCATAATTCGTCGGTGATTGCGTGGGGTATGTAACAACTTCGCCATAGGTAGGACCACGAGGTTTCTGATCTATCTGCGTCACTACGGATGGATCTAAATTAAAGATATGTATGGTGCCTTTATCTGACGACACACATAACCGTGTTGATTCGTGATTAAATGCTATTGAATATATTTCCGCCCTATCCATTCCTCTTCTTAATTCGTGTAATAATGAGCCCGTAGCTGTATTGAACACTCGAATCAGTGTACCTTTATCGCTCGTGGTAGCACATCTGGTGCCGTCTTGATTTAACGATATACAGCTAAGCTTCCCAGAATGCGCGGCGATGATGTTGACGTTTATGGATCGTCGAGTATTGCTTTGAGGCGGTACATGAGGTTGTTGAAAAGGGTATAATGGCGAGGTAGATTGGTCAGATTCTCCAACAGATATATAATAACCCAATGAGTTGAGGTCAATAATTTGTAAATGCCCCTTTTGTCGACCAGGAATAACTAAAATGGCATGGGTTAAGGATTTGGATACTGCCGCTAGACCTACAACAGCAAAAATATACCCGTTTTATAACGACATGACGTTAATACATTATTCATATTAAGAGTAATTTACCTTTTGGATTGTCGCAAGTATCGAAAGTATAGAGCAGTTGCAGCGGTAAGCTAAACTGATAAACAAAGACTTTATTCTGCAATACAACAATTAATCTTTCAATCTGGAATGTCAGTCAAAATTATTAAACACTTGCTATAGTCTAAACGTATCTATGACGAAAGCTTTATAACTTTACCTATCACGCCTCAGTTTAACATTCTTCACTTCACTTTTATATTCGACTTCTAGTACTGCTTTCCCTTTCATACTGTCATATATAATAACCTTATTGGGCGGATACCGATGATTTCGTCCGCCTCCAACTAATGCAAGATAGTTTGTTCTATATAGCATTTCTACTATAGCTATGCCTCCTTCGTCGGATTCTATAATTTATTAAGCATAAAATTCAGTATGATTTGTATTACTTAGTATTGGAGATTGTTCCAATTACCGTCTCTTGCTTGCTCAATCAAAGGATCGCAGTTGTAAACTCGGAAACCGTTATTGAGTCCCACGGCAAAACAACCATAATCTTGGTTAAAGCCAGCATATAATAAACCTGGAGCGTCGTTTATGCTCGGCGCGCTTCTGGACAAATTCATTGAGGAATTTTGAATCAACTGGCTATAAGACTAAATGAAGCGATTTACAAAGTGAAAGGTCTACAAAAGAAAATGAAGAAAGGCTATATTAAACCAAAAACTTACATTTCCAAATTAGGCAATTTTATGCTTTAACGAAATATCCTCTCGGATTGTAACATATTGCTCCACATTTCCCAATCGATTGGAAATATCATTCTAGCACATCAAAACTTCCGAGCCAAATACAAAGCTTACTAGAGCATCTAGGTCAGTTCTCCAAACAATGGTTTTGATAATGAACGTCGAGGAGTTGTAAATGCAAAAAGCAACATCGTTATTGTCATGTTTGTGACACCTCTCAGTGGTTTCAGTTCCCTTCAACATGAAAATGGGAATATTTTTCATTTTATATTTATGCTCATCGTTACATATAAGCAGCAAATGAAAATGTCAAATGTAAGGAAACAGCTGATAGTTCTTCTTGAGAATAATGGGATTTATTAACAACTATATGTTTCTACTATGGGAAATGCAAAAAAAAAAGAAGTATGTATAAATGTGAATAAAATGATGTATGTATACAAAAAATATATGTTGCAGAAAAGATAAGGATGTACAATATGAAAAAGATATTGATGTGGATAGGCATAGATTAAGCAGATTCTTCCTTATCATTGGGCAAATCATATTCATAAGCCACGTCCCAACGAGAGCCAGGAGCTCTAGCGCTGACATACTTGACAAACCTCAAAACACCTTCGTCCTTCATAACAATGGATAACTCATTGGCACCAGCACCTAAGGTTAACAAGGCAGCATCTTCATCGGCAGTTTGACGGTAGGTAGCAGGATCTTCACCACCTTCAGGAGCAGCCATGTAACATTCGTAACCACCGTATTCGCAGGATTCCCATTTTTCAGCAGCATCAACGTCAGGAGTGGTAGCCATAGACAAGGTAACGTCCAAAATAGGTTGGCCTCGAAGATTAATCTTGGCCAAGGTATAATCATGACCAGGACGGAAACGACGGGCATCACCTCTATAACCGCGTGGCGATAATTGGGACAAAACAGCTAACCAGCGGCGGAAAGACTCACTTTGGAATTTATCACGTAAATCCTTGAAAAGCACGGAGGTTTCTTCATCACTCTTAACATCTTCAGTCAATGTGAGGAAACGTTGATAAACAGGAGGACCTTGAACATACCAGTCACCACGAACACCACTACCGTGAGGAGGCATTTCAGGCTTAAGGAAATTATCCTTTTTATCAGCATTGTAGGTAGCAGCTTTAATCTTGGCGTATAACTCTTCCTTTAAAAATTCCTTCATTTGAACTGCTGAATCGTCCACGAACTTATCAGTAATTTGCTTCATATATTTAGCGTTGAGGTATACGGGGTTGATCCATGTGGCAAGTTCTTTGAGATCTTCTTCAGACAAACCTAAGAGAGCGGTATCGTCCAATTCATTGGTATAGTTGACGAAATCTTTACCGTCATCCTTGGGTTCTTCAACTTGCTTTTGCGTGGAATAACCCTTGATCTTTTCAGCATCCTTCTTGTAACCGAATTCACCTTCTTGAGGGAAGTGGAACCAACCTTGAATACTTAAACGAGGCTTATTTTCAACAACAACTTCTTCGACGGAATGGAAGGAATATCCAGGCAAGACAGTAAACATAGCAAAAGAGTTCCATTGAGGAGGAACAGACACAGAGGGTTCGGGTGCAGGTGTATCAGGTTCAATAGTAGGATATAATTCCAAAGCACCACCAAAGGCAGGGTCCCAATGTTCATCAGGATCACCAGGCATGTACAGAATGAAAGAAACACGACGAGTACCAATAACATCATCATGATTGAGCAAATGACAACCAGCAGTGTAAGTATTAACACTCATATCCATTTTGCTGGGAGATAAAGGACCACAACCAGTAACCTCGGACACAAATTCACGGAATTCTTTGGAGTAAATAGCATTACGAAGTTCAAAGAGGGAAGCAAGCTTCTGGCGTTCTTCCTCTCCTAAACCATCCATGTTAGCTAAATCACCGGTTTGGTTAACCTTATAGATATCGGTTTCTTTGGTGGTGAAGTTGAGGTGAGTAAAAATTTCTTTTTGAACACGGCGTAAAAGGTCGTCGTTGACAAGCTTATCGATTTTACAGTGAGGGTATGGTTTGGAGCTAGCAACGTATTTACGGATGCTGTCACGGTTTTCTTGATCAAAGAGTCCAGGATAAAACTTGGACTTAATGAAATCAGAAACCTCAGAAGACGCTTTCTTCATACGCTTAACATCTGTACGATCTTCTTTGGTAGGTGGTGCTCTGATATTTGCAGTTGAAGGTGCCATATTTATTGTATCCTGTTCCTGTAAATTGATAAACAAAAAAAAAAAAAAATTGGACCTTGAAACGATTAATAATAATGAAAGAGAAACACTGGCATTGTCCTCTATTTAAAGCCTATCTGATGGCTATAAAAATATTTTTTTTTCGGGAAAAATTTTCTCGTATGATAATGCTTATTCGCTTCTCTTACTGGTGGACCTTTACTTTTGGAACAGGAGGTTTTTCGGTTGTTGAAATAGCCAGTTTCTTCTTTGTCTGTAAGGCTTACAATGATGCTTCTTTGGCTTATCAGATAATGTCAAGCAGAATATTAAAAGCAAAGCAAAATGATGCTTATATTCTATATGTCTGCTATCAGATATTGGCATTGGCCTACAAACGTTACACACAACTGTCCCTTAACGTCAAAAGTGCAAAAAAGGCAATCCTTTTGGTGACACCCACCGAATCATAGAATTTTTTATTAAGAATCGGCATGATTCGTGAGGTATGGCTGGTAGGTCAGCAGCTTTCGATTACGATTGAACAAGATTTCTATAGACAAATAATTTTAAAGCCACATGAGCACATAATCATTATGAGATTGAATTGCCCCGGGGAAGATCAGATATAGGGAAAAAGGGAGACTTTTTGATTAGTCAAGAAAAGCAAAGAATATCATTACCCCGTTTTCGCTTCATTCTTTTATTGGCTGAAATCAGACTTATTTGGCAATCTGTTCTGGACGCTTTTTAGAATAAATTGGATTAATGGCAGATGTTCAGTCCAAAACACCGTCAGGACTGCAAGCATAACAGCTGAATAATCCTTCTTTTACATATTTTCCTCTTAGAGCCCCCTCTCGAAAAGCTACATTATAGATATTACTGAGCTGAAAGCTCTGCAATTGCAGTAATCCGTTGAGTATACGGCAACAGACAATATCGCAGACTATCAGTATATTTACAATGCAAGCATTTGATAGACTGAAAGGGCCATACAATCGAGAACTCAGTAGTGGAGCAATTATCAGCTGATTTGCCTATTGTATAATAAATAATCTCTATACTGAAGACAACTCTGTTTATAACCATATAAATATACGTCTACGTTCATATTTATCTCCTTTTCTGGAGCTATGATCAACGACAGTCGCTGTACTCAGTTCTCAAAATATGTTGCTTTATTCACAAGTGTTTAGAATATTTTCAAGAATAGGTATGCTATACGTTAAAGATTTTTATTGTGTCTGTAAAGCTATACAAAGACGCAGTTCACTGCTGCATTGCTCAAGCCTGCTTCTGCTATAGATTGATCCAGCACATCAATCAGTTGTGTACGATTGAAAACCAACTATTTTAAAGGTAAAAATAACAAAAAGGGTTTTCAGTGGGTTATTCTATAGAGCTCTAAAGTTTTGTCGTGTGGACTTACTTCAAAAGCTTGATCCTGCGCTCCGGGTACATCTGCCTTCACGAATTCAAATATGTATCTCACTGGATCGGTCTTTAGGAATCGTCGAATAATTCTGCTACCATCGCCAATTCTCAACTGGATACGTGTTGAATTTGTCATATCTGTTGTTTCATCCCTCTTTACGGGTTGGATGGCATCGAAGGCTGAACCAGCTTGCATATCCTCATCATCATCTGCTTCCACTTTTTCAAGTTCCACGTCCTCTGACTGCACTGGCACCTTGTCTTTACCCTTATCCTTATCTTCACCCAGTTTTATATCCTCATCCATTGCAACGGACGAAGTGCGTGACGACGTTTGAGTACTTGGCGATTTACTGTTGTTGAGAGACGCTGCGATAGCTGCATTGAGTTGTTCTTCTTCCGTCATATCGGATACCCTCTATATACATGATACAATCAATATTTACCGTCTTTGTTATTTTGTCTTTGTCCTTTATCCAAACGTGTATTATTAGATTCTTACCTTTGATACTTTTGCTCGTTTATTGGCAACCTCATTTGTTGTTGTAGAAAAGGCCGTTGGGTGATGATCTAAGAATTCGGTCACTTCCATCATGAAATCAGTAGGCGACAAGGATTTTTCCCAAACTTTCATGCTTTCGCCTGTTATTGAATCAATTATGGCTACATGAGGATATTTCCTCACTGAATAATAGTTTGCGTATCGAACACCATCTGCACTAGTATTTGCATACTAATTTGAAGTCTTATTAGCACATGGATATAGGTGTCTCATTGTATTCTGACGTTTACCTGGAGAAATATAAATGAGGCTTTTATGATATCTTTTACGAACGGATCACTCCATAAATCTCGATTTAGTACTTGACAAGAGAATTCTGAAGGATCTTGGATATTAATCATCAACCACTTATTTTTCTCCTTTGCATCTTCTTTAGCCTAATTTGACATTGATTTAATCATCATTATCCAATAAATTCGCTAAATTTGATCCGTCCATACCTCTTCGAAAGAGCCTCTGAACATAATATCGAAAGGTGGTCTAAATAAATCTGCTAATCGTCTGGCTTTTGCTGTTGTTGGGCTACCAAATGTGTCCGGTGAACTCGATGAAGATTGCCCTATCAAAAGGAATCACATACAATTGTTGAGTTTGTATGAACAGCGCAAAAATTATTTTGAACGGTTACCATCAGCTTGTAGTCTACTAACAAAATCCGCAACTGATCCAGTAGCAGAATCGCCTTGGTTGAATACAGAAGGACGTGCTATGAAAGTTGATAAAGTTCCAAGTCAGTTATACTCCAAAATAAACGTGAGTATAATATTAAATATTTACTGCTCTGTTGTCTATGTGAAGATAAGGCAGGAGGATGGAATAAACTTGGCCCTCCACCAGCCAAAATATCTGTTTTGGGCGCAATGGGTGCTCGCACATTGTCACGTTCACTTTCCTGCAATTGTCGGGCAAGTGTCTCATCGTCAAAGGCGCGATTGTTACTGTTGCTATTTGTACTACTGGTGGAAGAAGCAGGTCTGGTATTGTTTTGATTAGTGGCTTCACCACCACCACCAGCAGAACTTCCTCCACTTTCTAAATATAAAGTAACTGCAGTATCCAAATTATTATCTGCAATCTATAATTTAGGTTATTGTAAGAGAGAAGGCGCGTTCTTAATACTTTAGATGTTGTGCAATCGTTTCTCTATACCTCTAGAAACCTTTGAGCGTCATCGGGGGTAGCTCCAGTAATTTCAACAAACTGTATAACGTCTTGTTCACTCATTTTGTGTTAAAATAATTTTTTTCTTTTTTCTTCTTATTTTTGTTGGTTTAAAAGTAAGATAAAACAATGAAAGGATACAAAGATGAATGCACTTTTTCCACCAAATCAGAAAAGTAAGGCAGTACATCAAACTTCAGACATACGTCAAGCTTGGCAGTCACCTGTTTTTTTCTGAAGAAAAAGTTCAACATTTTTAATGCAGATGTCCTCCGGGTTCTGAATTTCCATCTCTTTTACCAAAACCTCCTCATATTGATAAGGTGGGCATTTCACCTTCATAAACAAACATTTTTTAAACCAAATTCTATTAACTTTTCTTCTCATACAGTTTGAAGCACCTTCAAACTACATTCCTTTAATTACAGAATCTCTAAGTCATCGACAGTCGTTTAACCAATACCTGAAGAATGCGTTCAATGTAAAAGAAAGGATATAAACAACAGGCAACGTTCTATAGTAGGATGTATATTTTCAAACATAAACACAAGAGGAAGAGAATGAATAATGATACTGTAAATAATGCTCAAAGAACAGCTACTAGAATAGATTAATGACAGTATGTGCCTAACATAGATTTATAAATCAAATATGAAGAAATAAAAGCTCTCGTTTCTGATCTAGTAAACTTCCTTGCTTCTCTCTAAAGGTTGCATAAATTGAATGACAATATCAAAGTTTTCTAAGTCAAAATTTCGACACCGTCTTCTGTAACAAGAAGGGTATGTTCGAACTGTGCAGAACGCTTGCCATCTTTTGTTGTAGCTGTCCAGCCATCAGGCCTAAAACAAAAACGCGTATTTTAGAATCTTTCCACTTGTAGAAATCCATTTCTGCAGGATAACATTTTACCACATATGTTCTTGATGGACACCTTCACAGATCATAGGTTCAATGGTGAAGATATGATTGGGTTTGCAGACACCAATAGCCTTATTGTCTAAAAAGGGAAGAATTACAATTACATGTTATTGAAAGTTTGGAGGCCACCGAATTATCGTTTTGAGATCTTACTAGCATAATGAGGAACATTAGGTGCACAATGGAAAAGCTGATTGATACCGTGGCCGACAAATGTACGCACTACAGAATAACCATTTTTCGTAGCATGTTCTTCAATCACTTTACCGAAATCGCGATACCTTGTACCTGGTTTTACTATTTGAATAAAAAGGAGGGAAGAGGAGTCAGATTTCAATACTTTCGTATTTTGTTGCACTTTAACATTTAACTGTGAGTCATTACCGATAGCGATGGCCTTCTCCAAACATTCTCGAGTAACTTTAACAAGCCTTTGACCGGCCTCATCTACGTTACCAACAAAGTAGGTACCATTACAATCTCCATGGAATCCATTATAATAACAACTAATATCAATATTCAAGATATCGCCGTCTTCTAAAGGTCTTTGGTCCGGAATACCGTGACAAATGACTATAGTAATTCATAAAACAGCGTTCAATTTACACGTCAAAAGCTTTTCCGCTTGAATTTATACAGTACCTTCGTTTACGGATCTATGTCACATTAATGAATGAATTGATATAATAAAAACTTAACACCTCTCGTTCATCAGTTAAAGGTTTGTATTAACGTGATATACTTACGTGCAGCAAGACTTGGGGAAATAGTTGTAGTTTAATGGAGATGGATATGCGCCACGTTCAATAGTAGCTTCATGAACAATACGATCTATTCGAAGAATCAAGCATATAAAATTAGTTGGTTCATTTTTATAAGCTTTGTATATTATTTCTTTGTCTAGCTGTACCAATTTCATCTGTTGTAATACCAACACGAATCGCTTGAGCGGCAATATCAAGAACTTCACGAGTAATCTATCAAACGTTTTTAGCAGAAAGATATTTGAGTTTTAAATATTTCATCAAAATAAAGAAAATACAAGCATGCAAATGCAGCGTAAAAAGATTTACCTTACAAGCTACACGAATAGCTTCAATTTCTTCAGGTGTGCATACTTTGATATCAGAGTTTCTCGCTAAAATCTCGGATCTAGGAATACCTATATATGGAAGGATAATTAATAATTGAGTGTCTAGCTAATATACGGTCGAAATGATGTTGACAGCTTTACCAGTTTCGGCATAGTCAGGTCTAGCAATTTCTGGAGGGACTGCACGACGAGGTGAAAGAGGATAAACAGCACGAAGAGGGCCTGTATACTTGAAGGTCTTGAATGGTTCGTATAGACCTGTTAAGAAATTCATTAATTTTTGCTCTGTACATGACATGCTTCCTATCTATATCTTGCTTTTACCTTTTGTGTTTCCATGAACAGCTTTATGAGCACCCTAAATTGTCATATGTTAGTGTCTCTTTCGGTTTGATTAGCAATCAGTGAGGTCAGTCTTACCCAGCTCTTCTTAAAGCAGTCTTGAGAACAGAAAAAAGAACCTTCAGTATTTCCCAATTTTACACAAGTAGGGCACTGTAAATGAGCTTCTTTCCGGCATTCGATGCTGGAACAAATGGGTTTTGTCTCTGCCATTATTAACTGAGTTACTAAAGGGAACGAAAGTTTTTCTTTTTTAGCCTTTCAAGCAAATCAATAAAAAAAGGCACGTCTTCAAGCAGAAAGGGAGTCACAGAAGGGCATTTTGTTTATGGATAACTGTAGTCAATTTTTATTCCTGCGCTTAGGAAGCAATAGTTTATGAATAGATGTATGACCTTACTTCTTCAGGAAATGGTTGAATAAAGACAATTAAAAATTATTATGGAGTTCTATAGCAGGGTAGGTGTCTAAAGGTTGTAAAAATAGAAGAATCTCATACTTTAAGCAGAAAAAGAGGATGCCTTTTCACTGAGATCAATTAATCTCTTCAAACCAACGAGCCAGTGGCCATTTCTATCATAATCTGTAGTCATCAATTGTGTATGAATTTTCAAGGCAGAATTGAACTGTTTCGCATCCAATGCTATAATTATTCATGTGTAAATTCGTTAATTCTCGCTGTTTTTCCCTATTTGAAACCTTTCTGTCAATATACCTTTCAAAATATCAGATAGTGATTTGAGGACAACATTCGATAAACCGTTTGTCTGTAGTCGTTTTATCAATTCTTGCAATCTACCATCAGTATCTTTTACAACTCTGCTTTGTGGTCCCTCCTATGGGAAAGCAAAAGGAAGTAAGGTAAGACTGCTAAATTCATCTCACAGCTTGAGTAAGCATAATTCTCTTTCTTACTTCAAAAGCCTTTTGACATATTTCGAAATGTTGAGTCAAAGCCTTTTGAATGTCGTCATTACTGAGTAATTCTACTTGTTCATCTTCAGATTGATTACAAAAGATCTGTCAGAGATCAAAGTAAATGATGAGTTAACAGAGACTTTATTACACATGATAATTGCTAGGTCCTACTCTCTTCGGCGGATCATTCTTGATAATTTAATATTGTCAGACGTTGGTAATATATAAATGGACGTCAATTTTCAATAGAGACTTTATTCATATCAAATTTCTTCATACCCAATGATTTTCTATAGTTGCATTACGAAAGTCAGAGCTGGGTGGAGGTGGAGGCGGAGGCATTTTATTGATAGACCTTGGAGGGCCATTCTGTACTGGCAGCGGTGGCCTTATAGTCGATATAACATCTGGGTTTGTCATTTATTTACAATTTTGTTAAAAGGAAGAATGTGAAAGATAGAATCAACATAAGTAATTTAAAGTTTGGTAACTGACTGAATTTTGGTCGAAGTTCAAAGATTACCAAATTAGGTATTTTCATAGAACTTGTGCAGATCACAGACCTTGGTAAGAATGAAACAGCGTCAAACCATCAACCAGTAGGACTTATTCATGCTTTGAATTACGAAAAGCCCACTTTGTGCTTAGAAAAGTTAACTCTTAAAGAACACGGATGCTGACGCTTACACACTATGCTATAAAACGGAACGAAATTAGGAAGGCATTAATCAATCTGTTTAATAATCATATAAAGCTCTTATCCGCCCGTGAAAAATTTATTAGAAAATAATATATATGAGCAGCACAGAGAAGTACAATTATCAAAATGATGTTCAATTGTTAACTGGGTAACAACAATTTAAAATTATTAACCTTTAGAAGTTCCTTATCAGAATTTTTAGTAATTCTTCCTGCGGTACACATACGCAATATTAAGCTAACAATGTGTCTTTTAGAGAAAGAAGAGAAGGTGATTTTGTGTATTGATCTGTTTACCATCATTAACTTCTTAAATGCTACATCTTTGAGGTAAAATTCCAGTAATAAAAAACATTGCAGACGATCATTGTCGAATCGAAACGGCGAGGTGCAGCAGGAAATTCTAATCCTGCTTTATCATCATCCAAACAGTAGCAAGTTCACCACTGCTACGCTATCACAATTCCAAAAACTATTACGGTTATGACGAACAATATTAAAATGAATAGATGTTTCATTGACTGACAAAGATTGTTTAAGCGCTCTTGCGCAAACGAGTTGAACCCTTATGCAATCAAAACCAATGAATACTAAAATAAGATACTGGCTGACAAGAAAATTATAACCATCGGGATAAAGCAAATACATATGGCTGTGAATCTCCTTCCTACAGTATTTATTACAATATTAATGTGAATAGAAATACCATTCAAGTCTTGTAATCGTACCTGACTATGCCTTCAAACGGGCTCTGATAACTATTTGGCATATCTTTTCAACAATCATCTTCATCAAAAATGCCTCTCCGCAGATGCCCATACATATAAAATGAATAGATGCCTCCTGTCAATCATGCACTTCGCTTATTGCAGCAGTTACTTAATTAATGCCACTCGGGTATGAGTAACCCAATATTTCTTCAATATTCATCTCTTCCTGCTTCCTTCTGTCCCTGTGGGTAGTTACCTTGCACGAATCCCTATAGTTATACTTCTCAAAGTATTGTTCAAAAAAGGACATCACCCACCTTATGTCGGATTAACGGTTATCTTAGAATTTCCTGCTGAGCGATACCTGTAAAATAAAAGGAAATAAAAAGCTGGTATGATATGGATGTTTATATGATTTAAGGTTCTGAGAGATGAGATCTGTATTTCTAGCTCTATGATACCGTTTTTTTTCGTTGTACTCATCTTCTTTTACGACGATCAAGAAATCCATTTATTACAATACCCATTCACAGACACTTTTCGGATTCGTTCATCCTATGATAGGAAACATACACGTCAATACGATTGGGGCGACAATGGTAGGAACATCTTTTTTTTTCTGCCATAGATTCACTCTACTGCTTGTAACGGATATGTAAAACCAAAAATGTTTATTTCTATAGATGTAATTTATCTATTGACATCGTCATCCGATCCGTCTTTTTAAGGGCCTAATCGCCCTTTTGCTTTCTGCCTGCACCTCCAGTGGAGGATTTTCTCAAAGATGAATCGCCTGTCTTTTTTTCCAATTGCATGATCGACAACAAAGAAGAGGCTTAAAAAAAGTGCTCTCCCTTGACTTGTCGTAGCCGCCAACGCTGATAAAGCATCATTTTCCAAGCTTTATATACATAATTGTATGTATACTTTTTTATAAACAGGTGGAGGAAGGGGAAGTTCGGTTGTTTTGGTAACAAGGAAAACTCACCTACATAGTACAAAGCAGTCAATGAGCTCAGCCTATCTTTCCATTACGAGAAATCGAGATAAAGGATGATCATTTCTCGCCAGTACCATGCATTATGTTTCTCAAAAGGAGCAAAAACGAAAAAGGGAGTAATTTTACTTAAAGATAGGCATGAGCAGAAAACGAAACTTAAAAGCAGTGCGTATATATACATACATACTTAGTGGAAATAGGTAGATAACCATTTTTGCCTACGCCTCTTTACCTTTTTTCTTTTCGATAACTTACCATATGACTGTTTCATCCTCATCTGTGCTTCTAATCTTCATCATCGCCGCCGTTTTGCTTCACATCGGTGAAGCGTATACGGAAGTCCATCTTAACTACTATCAAGCCCCCAGCAGTCCACAAGGCTACATAGGTTATGGCGGAACTGTGTGTAGTTTGAAGAACAGAGATATCCCTTTTGCCAATATTTCAAGTATAGATCCTGACTTGGATTGCCAAGAGAAGAAAAGAGAATGTCACCAATTCGTTGGCTGTTTTGGTGGTAACGTCCAGTGTAAGGTCAAATCCGATTACTCAAATCCAGTATCCTGTGAAAAGGTGAAGCGTATATGTGAAGTAAGTGCTATACTTTAATGTCCGTAGAGAGCAAATGGGTTGTTATATTCCCAAGGAAGCTTACTCATTGTCATATAGGTAAGTCTAGAGGGCGAATTAGCTTATGGTACCTGTAAAAAGGTTTCAATACCTCCAGGCGATTGCTGTTATGTGTTGAAAGATCGTGTAACTGGACTATGGCAAAAGGAACGCAATTCAAAGTGTCCTTGGGGTTGCTTTGGGGTCATCTCGGAGCCATTCACTCAATGGTGCAAAACGTGCACATGTGACAAGGGGGATAGCGGTACCGGTCAAGGTGGTGGCAAGTCATTTTCTGACCTGTGTTAAAGAAACCAGAAGCAGTTCATCGTTCTCTCACACGATGATTATAGCAAAGAATAACAATAATAATTTTAAACATATATCAATTTCAGTTTAGGATAATTAACAGTCTTTGAAATGTGTATCAACACTTTATTTGGACAGATAATAAAATTGTATGGAGACGCTCATCATTCTCGAAAGTTGAATGCTTCTAATTCTTTTTCTTTTCTTTATTACGAGCTACACATGAACTTGAAGCTAATGTCAAATAAACATAGTAATGAGAATAATGCTGTAATGTTGAATGCGGGGGTGCGGTGCGTGCGGGAGAGTAGAGAGATCAAATATGTAAGGGAGTCTGGGTGACTAGTATCCTATCTTGAAAAACAAATCTCAATTTCGCATTCAAGAAGCGAGGCATGGCTGTTGCTGTAAATAAGACAGATGAAAGCATGGAAGCTGCTTTATTACCGAAAGTTAGCGTCACCGAGGATGCAGATGCATTAGTGTTACTCATACTCCTAGAGCAGCTAGAAGAAAAGGCAAAGCTAGTGGATTGGATGATCAAACAAGTTTTGCAATATCAAGATGATGACTGGGTACAGCATCGCTCAAAGGAAAACAATAACTTATTTCTATTGTTCACTTGCTTTTATTGCTCTTGTATTCACTTTATTACGCCAAAGGAGGTTTCATGAACCAGTGTTAGTAGATATAATAACTCCTTCAACAGTGCGAAGGCAAGGAAGGGCATTCATGTCAATTATTATGTAGCTGACTTACATGATCATGAACGAACAAGAAAGAGCGAAACCAAAAGTGCTTGTCTCGCCTGTCAACTCTTCTCAACATAGCATTTAAAATCGCTCAAATGCGACTACGCTTGGGCGTATCATTTGATAGATACTGAGTGGTTTTTATTCTGTTTGTCAGGGATAAAATATAGGAGAAGGTTTGAGCGGAAAGCATGCGTCAAATAGATAGACGGACGGAAGAAGAGTATTTGACATCGTGAATGGATTCAGATCATACCGCATATCAAGGGGTGGCAGAAAGAAAGTCCACGACATAAATCAATGGGCCGTCTTGAATTTCAATGCAGTTATTGTAACAGCTCTGAATTTGGTGTTTTTTGAACAGTCTATCAGTTGTTTCCAGCTTGTCACGCTTAAATACAAAGGTTATGTATCCCGCCTTAAAGATAAGGCAAGAAGGTAAATCCAAAAAATCTAGCTACAGATCAGGAAAAGGGGTTTTCGTTACACGACAAAACTTAAGCGATCATTAAAGACAGTGTTTCGAACAAACGAACACGCTGCTATTATTTTATTGATCATATTATACAAAGTAGATTTAATTCTATGTCTGTACCAGTAAACTCTTCAAGCCTACAATGGCCTTTTTCGATGTCTCTTGATCTTTTATAAGTGACAATATCAACACTTGAATAGACATCTCGCCGATCAAATACACCTTTGTCTCTTCTGCATCATATTGATTTTTAAGCTCATTAAACGCTTCTATAATTTCTTTGTAATCCTCTTTATTATGCTGGAAAAAGTCATCGAGGGTCTTTGTCTTGAAACCGTGTTCCTTGGTACTCATATTGATCAAACCCATTTCCATCAATTCTTCCTCAGAAGTAGGCAATGATTTCATGTTGTCATCAATAGGTGTCGCATAGATCCATTCAAACGGTTCGTCTGATTCTGAAGTAAGGTATTTGTCTTTGGCAGATTGAGTCAACAATTCTTTCGAATGCCGTACTAATTTGGAATAGTGGCCGCTTTCATCACTGCTTTTTGACAGTGCTTCTGGGCCGGTTGAGGACATTTGATTTGTTTTTGTGGGTTGTTGTAGTTGCTGTTGTTGTTGAGGCCCGGGATTGATGATGGGGTTTGTTAGCATGCTCATAAAGCTTTTATCTGCTTCGTCTGAGGATAATAGTGGCATGATGCAAAGTAAATGTTTATTCAGTTGTTAGTTAGAAAAATGAAAAACAAAAAAAGTGTAAAATGAAAACGAAATAACAAACCTCTCCTTTGATTCTGCTTCCTTGAAACTCCGTGTCTTACCCAAGCCGTGGGTCTTACATCATTTCCTGTCCTGCGCATGAACGTTTTTTGCCAATGCGGGATCTAATATCATTATTTTCGAGTTTATTTGCACAAGCATTCATATGTTCGTAAACTCATCAATGAACAAAGCGTACAAAATCGCTCCAGAGTCTTTTAACATTTACTTTATCCATAATGTAGTAACTAAAACGTTGTCTCATTCTTTATCAGTTCGATAACAGATATTACGAGTTTTTGACCTCCATGCATTCGTACTTGGTTTGCAACAAGAAGAAAAAGAAAAGCTTCTTTCTGCCACTAATGGATACGGTTATAAAAAACCGTCTACAATTCAAAACTGCTTTATTGGACGCCTCACCAAAAGCAAAATGGAAAATCTAAAACTTTTCGGAGATTCAATAATACACCAGCAGCCTTCGTTAGGAAGATATGGGTGTGCTTTTTTGTTATTATTCGACACATGCTAACAGACAGAATATGTCGTTACGTATCGCACATACAGTGTGCATATAGATTGAGAAGGAAAGGTTATCAGCTATGATGAACAATTCTGAAAAAGAATTCATTTCCTTCTGACCGAGCATTCAACAGATTTGTCTGAGTATGAGGCAAAGGCGGGGGCGGTGGGTGGAGGAGACGCTTTGATCGTTGTCGAATAAGATTGCTGTCCCTAGAATCGCTGTAGTCGCCGCTTCACATTCATGTTCAATTCCGATCCTTGTACCCATACTGAAGTATTTCTCCTTTTTTTTTTTTTTTTTTTTCTTTCCTTTACTGATATTCCCCATTCCAAGCACATCACACATACTATGGCCACTGCAAAATTGGAAACAAAAATAAATACAAACAATTGTCCTTCTTTGAAGGACTCCAAGTCCTATGTTCATTTTATTGCTGGAGGGTAAGTCTGACTTTTTTGTTCATCGATGAAGAGAAAACACGAATCCGATCGCTTACGATGGCGGGTTTGACAGGGTTGGCGGACTTATGGGTGCCGTATGTACTTCACCATTAGACGTCGTAAAGACGAGACTACAAGTAAAGTAAAAGTTCATTGTCAAGAACGAAACATCATTTCCCTGCAAACACCTTATTCATCCTTTGCGTCTTTTTTAGTCCACATTCTATCAACAAAGTTCAAAACAAGCTGTGAAGCATACTGGATCTATTTGGTCACATTTTGCAGAAACGGGACGATTATTAGTGTAAGTGAAGAGGACATCATGGTTTTCAGGGGAGAGGTCACTCATGGGAAGCAAATAAAACTATGAATAGTCAAATCAAGAAAGTGGAAGGAATACAAGGGTATTTCAAAGGTTTAGGTCCAAACCTCGTGGGTGTCATTCCTGCTAGGTGCGTATACATATTGATATGCTTTTGCTGTGCTCTTGTTCAAAGTTGATTCATCTTTTTAAATCATTCGCTAGGGCCATCAACTTTTATACTTATGGCAATGGCAAGCGTTTTTACACAGAATTGAACGATGGAAAGGAAACGCCCTTTATTCATTTAATTTCTGCAGCGACCGCAGGTAACAATTAAAAAAAGAAAGGAGGGGGGAGGAGAAGAAGAGAACGAGCCTCTGTGACAAAGAGAATGTATCGTCGCTCATGTCTCTTCTAAACAATACAGGTGCGGTCACCTCTACCTTGACAAATCCTATCTGGGTTATCAAGACAAGATTGCAATTACAAGGCAAAGAAAAGATCTACAAGAGCAGTTTTGACTGCACAATGAAGATTTTAAAAGAGGACAAAATTAGAGGACTCTTCAAGGGCATGAGCGCATCCTACCTGGGCATTGCGGAAGGCACAATACAATGGGTTATTTACGAAAATTTGAAAAAACGGTGGGCCACCAGCTCAGATACTGATAAAATGAAAGATAGATGGATCATAGGTGGTAAAAGTGCGCAAGGTGAGTCAATCGAGTTCACCGGTCCTATGTTTATACGAGGCTAACGATTCAAACCCTTCTCTCATAGCTTGGTTTGGTAATTTGGGAGCAGCGGCTATTGCAAAATTAATAGCAGCCTGTATAGCCTATCCACACGAAGTGATTAGAACGCGCTTGAGAGAGCCAGCGCCCAAGAATGGCAAAGCGAAATATACCGGATTAGTGCAAACATTGAAACTGATTGTAAAAGAAGAAGGAGCCATTGCTCTCTATGGTGGTATGTCAGCGCACTTGATGCGTGTTGTACCGAATGCAGCAATCATGTTTTTCTGTTACGAGGCTATATTACATAAATTTGGCTCAGAATCGACCTCCACACCCTCAGTAGCAAAGACAACAATAGAAACAACAGCGCTCACATCGCCAAAGAACAGCCATTAATTTCGATACATACATATATATATATATATACATAGATAAATCATGATCTCCACAAGTATTCCTACTAGACGCGTTTATTGACTAGACTACCTTCTTTTATATATTAGTGCATAGGATATCACACTATCCAACCCTCGAACCCCTCTTTCTATTTTTTTTCTTTCTTTCTGTAAATAATTATGTTAGCAGATGATGTAGATTACTTCTGAACCAAATAAAATAAGGTTATATCATAACGATGAACGAAAAATTATGCAGATGGTAACACACCCCGCCTTCGAGTGGACCTTCAAAAGATAAAAATGACGTTCTGTCTCCATCTTTATTTTTTCCCAGTATTATATAACCATGGTTAAACTTTGGACATTAGCAGCGGTGGCAGCATCGCTCGCGTCATTTCAGTGTGTTCAAGCCCTCAACTTGGGTGAGGTCGATCCTCAAACACTTGGCGATCGCAAGAAAGGAACTTTGTAAAGGTTCACTTGAGGGGCAAATGGTGGGGGGGGGGTTTTCTTTTATTTGCTAACAGCAGGCGCTTCGTTCTCATTTAGAGTAGTCGAATATTTTATGCCTAATTGCAAACGATGCCATGATTTTGGTAAGCTGATGGTTTCCTTGTCGTCAATGATGAGGACGTATAGCACGTACATACTTTGAACTCTTTTATATTAAACAATGGATTCCATTTGTCCTTTTCTATCGTATGATGGACGACCCCCACCTAAAAAGAACCAACATGGAACGAACTTGTCGGGAAATATGAAAAGGAGGCGATCGATTTTGCTCGCGTCAATTGCGCGGTCTATGCCAAATACTGTAAAGAAAATGGGTTCATGCGCTTGCCGACGGTGCAAGCGACTGAGGATGGCACGAAATGGAAAGAGTATGATGGCGACTATTCTCTCCCTACGATGGAGCGGTTTATTGCTCCAGATAGGTTTTCGAGAAGAAATGTGGACGGAAAAAGCATCGAGATATCGACATCGAAAAAGATGAAGGAGATCATTGAGAGTAAAGAGCCCTGGTTTGTAAAGTTTTACGCGCCTTGGTGTGGACATTGTAAGAATTTGGCCCCTGTTTGGGAGACGATGGCTGAAATGTTGAAGGATAAAGTGAATGTCGCTGAAGTGAATTGTGAGGACAAGAAAGGTAAACAGAGAGTTGCTTTGCCCAAATGAAAACCACACTATTAACTTGTCTTGTGGGGGGTCAATGTGGTATAGCATTATGCTCAGAATATAAAGTGACAGGATTACCTACGTTAGCCTAGTATGTGTGTTGAAGGATTCGTTTTTATGGTAGTTTTATGGCTGACACTTTTTTTTTTTTTTTCCCTGGAGCTTCGTTCACGGTGCATCCAATTTAAAGTACAATGGCCCCCGAAAGTTGAAAGAATTGATGGATTATGCGGTTCACATGTCGGGTTCGCCAGTGCATCCAATCGATTCTGATGAGAAGCTTACAGATGTTTTGAAAGAAAACGATGTCAGTCTCGTCTATGTCCGTGATACGGATGATCATAAGATAGACAGCTATTTCGAAGAAACGGTTGCCCCTCAATTTATGGAGACAGTGCCTTTCTATACCACGAATAACAAAGAAACGATTGAACGTTTTGGATTGTCGGCCTCTTCGCTTCCAGCAGCTGTCTTGGTGAAAGATGGTACCTATGTTGTGTACAGCGGCAAAGACAAGCAGAGGGATTGGCAGCATATGGTACAGTGGCTCGAGCAAGAGCAGCACCCCCTTATCACTCGCGTATTAGGGCACAATTCGAATCAAATTTTGAGATGGACGGATGCTCTTGTTGTCTTGGGTATGGTTGGGGCGGACGGTCGTGATGCAGAAGCAGAAAGTAAGCTGCGTCAAATGGCACAACTCTACAAAGAAGAATACAGCAGCCTTGACAAGAGCACGAGCAAGCGACCTGTCCTTTTTGCTCAGATGGACGGAAAATTGTGGGAACACTATATTTCCCGTGTCTACGGTCTTCACAGCTATCAATTGCCTGCTCTGATCATTTTGGATCCAAAGCACCAGGTGTATTATGATCGACATGCCAATGATGAGCCTTTTAGCTTTGTCAAAGACAGACCCGAATCCTTACTCAAGTCGCTTCAAGCGTTGGACAGCTTGAAAGGAACGTCCATGGCTCCCTCGAAAGTAATGATGAAGGTCGACAGAGTGTTGACCTATTTCGGTGACCATTGGATCCTTATGACAACTGTCTTGGTAGGTTTTTTGGGTGTTTTCTTTTACCTCATCACCCGGGACACGGGTCATGAAACAGAAACAGCCAAGGTAAAGAAAGTGCTAAGAGACGCCTCCGAAAGGACGGCTGCTGCTGCTGCTGCTACTGCTGCTGCTGCTGGTTCTGCTGGTTCTGCTGGTCCTGCTTCTCGTACAATTACAACCGATGAGCATAAAAACAAAAAGAATTAAAGATAGAAAGTTGTTACTCTACCTAACAAAAAGAGTTTTGCTTCTTACTGTATATAAAGTCATCATCATCGGTGAACCACTTTAATAAAAATTACAACACATGAATAACAATATCTACAAAGCACAATGAAAGGGAGTGAGGGCGAAAAAGAAAAAAAAAAAAGCCGGATATATTGTTTGCGAAAACAAAAAAAAAAAAAAAAAAAAAAAAAAAAAAGGAATAGTCAAAGGGAGAGTGGAAAAGGAGTATGATGTTCATTGTTAATGAAAAATTGTGTTTCATCAAAACGAAATACATCTATGAAAAAGCCAATGTTTATGTTTATCTATCTTTAGGGTCGACCGTCATGGAGGCTATGGCTGCTGCTGCTGCTACGGCGGTAGTAGCCGATGTAGCTACAGCGGTAGTACTGGTGATGAAGCTGTTCAAACTTTCGACATGACTACTAGCACTGCTTGTACTGTTCGTACGTGGTGTTTGTATAGGCGATAAGCAAGCTGCTGAAGCAGGAGGATGAGAAGCAGTCGTGGTAGCAGTCGTCATAGTAGAATGATGCTGCTGATGAAGATAATGATGATGCGGAAGCATTAAATCTTTTGCGTGAGTCATCGCGGAATGAGGCGATAGGATACGACCCATACTGGTGTCGATGGGCGGGAGTATAGGCTTATTAGTAGAACGTGGAGAAGAAGTAGAATGAGGATGGTAAGTAGGATAAGGGTGGATTTGCGGCACTTCGAAAGGTGGTACTGGGGGTGGTGTGGCATCTGTCATGGCAGTGGTTGTAACGGTGGGCTTAGGCAATGTTCTCTGTCTTTTGTCAACGTGTTCTTGTGTTTGTAATGCCGATGCTATAGCCGTTGGGGTAGCTGTCATAGCGGAAATAGGAATGGATGAAGCAGTGGTTGATAATGGCGTAGGTGCTGAGGGTGGAATGGGAGATGTTGTTGTCTTGCTTTTACTAGCATTGACTGCTGCTGCTGCTGCTGCTGCTGCCAGTGCTCCTCTTTGGTTGATTTTGGCTTTTAAAGCTTCCATGACCTTGTCATGAGATAACTTTACTTGCTTGTTGTTGCTATGATGATGATCAGTATAGACATTAGTAGCTGTAGGTGTATAGAAAATATCCGCATTAGTATTATTATCATTATTATTATCAGTAAGAGCAGTAGTCGGAGTAGAGATAGTAGTAGTAGTAGAAGAAGAAGAAGTAGTAGTCGTGATGGGTGTAGCATTATTGATAGCTGAGATGGATGTATAATACCGTTTTTTGGATGGATCATGCTTCTCATTTGCTGTGGTAGGAGATATAGGAGTTGTCGGTTGCTGGGAAGAAGAAGGAGTAGGTGTTCTTTGTATCGATTGTTGATAGTGACGAGGATGTATGTCAGGTGGACATAATGGGTGAGCAGAATGGGGATAAGGCATGGATGAGGTAGCAGACTCTGGTATATAATAATAATGACTGTTAGAATGGGTAGTAGTATAAATAGCAGTGGCAGATGGAGGGTGATGATGGTGATACGCGGGAGGTATTTCTGGTGACAAGGACGAGGTGTCTACGATAGGTGCTGTTGGTTGTTGTTGTACAGGAGTGAGATGATAGTAATAGGGATGTTGCTGTTGGTAAGATTGTAGTTGTAGTACGGATGGATAATAAGGGTAAGGTGTACCTGATGAAATCATCCTTGATTGCTCTTTTATTAATTCCATTTCCAAGTGTTTTGAATAGATTCGTGCGTGTTCTGTTTTCAAGACTTCTTGTGCGGTTTGTTTCTGTAGTCAAAGAATGGAAATAAGTCATCTGATAAAATAAGGAGACAACAAAAGACAATGATGTTTGCTTACTTTGTCTTCTTCTGCCTTTGCCATCAAGACATGCTTCAACAAATCCTGATTGTTCTCAGCGGCATATTTGTCAAGGACTTCCTTTAAAGACAATTCCTTTGGCATACCCGACGTACTGGCAGTAGAAAACCATGATTCTTCTGCCTGTGGATCATTCGACTGTTTGGTGCTCATTGTTTCAAGTGATTAGAGTCGTTACTGGTTGCTTTCTGTAGTAGAATTCTCTACTTTTTGTCTTTTTAATGAATATCTGTTATAATTTCACTCTAGAATTGAATTGCAATGTTGGTATAAAAACGAATAAAAAAGACCCACGTAAAGAAAAAGAAAGAAAGAAAGAGAAAGAGTGTTGAAAGAGCAAAGAATGAGAAAAGAAAGAAAAAAAGGCTTGAAAGCAAAAAGGAAAATGATAAATATTGTGTGGAGTTGCCCTTTTTTTTTTTTTTTTTTCTTTTTTTTTTTCTTCTCTGCCTTTATCTGTTTTCTTCTTTTTTCATTCAAACCAAAAAAAGGGCCACCAAAATAAGATTACGAGATCGCCGCTTTGAGTTCCTTAAATTCTTTCCTCGTTTTTTTGCCCACATTTGGTAATACATCATTTTAGCTTTTATTTTAGACAATTTACAATTTTTGATGGACAACGTACTTTTAAATTTAGATTTATTAAAAACAATTTTAGAATAAAGTTCATAGTATTTTGGATATCCATTTAGTTACTCAATTATTCAGTGCCATCCAAGCAGCATTAAGGATGACAAACAATCGAACCCTAGAAATGAGTCTCTATCAATAAGAAAGTTGTCAATAATGGTCTTATTGACGTTACCTTGCAATAGGACAAACTACAAAAAGCTTGACAACTTTTTTTTTTTCAATGACAATGTGTTCCGCGACAGTTCTAAAAAAGGTCAACTTTGAATAGATTGACATCAAACCATTGATAGAGGGCTGAGGGCCATAGTATAACAGATACCATAGCGGAACGGGATGGCTATATTATCTGTTGTCAATGTTTTTGTGTGCGTTCATGGGTGACTTTCAAAGATAAGCACTATAAAATATATTGTTCTCTTAGAGTCAAATGTTGTCTCTTTCACTTTTATCTCACGTTTTATGATACTACTATGACCCATGTTCAAAAGGTAAAAAACGCAAACAGACTTTGAGATCAAAGAAAAGGATGAAGACCCAAATAAAGACAGTTGTACCAAATGCAAGCAACCAGGACATAAATCGGTGCGTTCTCCTCTGTGACCTCAGCATGTATTATCAAAGGCAGAGGTCTTTCAACATCATTTGGGGAGTCATTATAAGGCGTTGACAAGAAGGTTGCCTCTTGCTATTTGTGTTTTTCGTGACTATCGCAACACTTTCTAATCAAAAGTGAAGAAGAAAGTATCACCGTAGTAAACACGGTTTTCCTTATATTTTAAGGATTTAGATCATTACAGGTGAGGAATAGTATATTTTTATTTTTTTTTGTTTCTTTCGCACTATTGACAAGTTTTTGAATTTGAATCATTGTTTGAACGGTTTATATTTTCGTCTACAACACAATTGCAATTTGTCTAAAATAGAAGTTTTAAACGTTCAAAAAAAATTGTACTTTATCTAAAATATTAGTGAAAACACTGTATAAAAAGCGTACCTAAAATTGGCCGTATCTTTAAATAAGAAAAAAAGTTTTTTTATAGCTCACTATTTATGCATTACATCCTTTGAATCATAATGCCAAGCACATTCACTGGATCTTTATATTTTATCAAAATCCGTTCGTCTTTATAGAATTCATTAGCCAAAACCGTGTTAGAATACGATGGATGACTCTGGTATAGTAAGAAGGGATTTGGGAGGAAAGCTTCATTTTTTGCATACAAAAAAAAAAGGGGGGGTGTGGTTTAAAAAAAGAAAGGCGCATCTGTCCGCTAAGGATTGTTTCAAAAAAAAAAGTAAACCATCCAGAAAATGCATGATCTGAAATTTGCTTTAATGAACGCGCGATTTGAATTTTTTTTTTTTTCCACGCGAAAGTTCCATTCCTATTTTCGAGAAATGTGCTTTCGTTCCCGGAGTGAACAAGGACGCTCTTTTGGAGCATGTGGTTGCTATAAGATACATGTTAGGTTGAAAAGCGAGTATTTTGTAGATAATAGGATCTTGGCCTAATGTTCCGTTTCAACCAGTTGTTCTAAACGAGGACGAATATAGCTTGAATGTATGCAGACCTTAGATGACCTGTTGGGAATGTGTTGCAAATTGCTTTTTTGTTCCGACATCCGGTACAATTACATCGCGTCTTTTTTTTTTTTATTTTATTTTTTTTTTTAGATTTGAGACGGTCACTTCAAATCAATGAAGAGTGCTTGCTACTCTTAGACAATGCAAATGCGGCCGTTTGACCATCAGCTTATCATTATTAGATAATCTATAGGAAACAAGTCTTTTTGGGGTAATAAAAATTCAGCAGCGAACTCATGCGTCTCGTAACGGACATAAAAGTGTATACCCCACTAACATCTATTAGATTTGCACTAAAGATAGGTAGAGATCCACTCCATCAAGATGGCTAGAGCGCCATGAAGGACGTTCATCGTGAATTCATCCATGTTTTATTGTTTCTGATAGATGCAAAATGCTATTGAAAAAGCTTTTCATTTTATACTCTGCATGTAGCATGGAAATTTAGAATGAAAAAGGGGAAAAGAGGCGTGGAGGGGATCAGACCACCCTTTTTCAAAGCACGAAGCCTCTCAAAATAAAACGGCGGGCGATGAATCAAATTTGGGATTCTCTCGATCAGTACAGTTGTTTTCACTGCATCGGACATTAAAATCAAAAAAAGTTCAAACAATGGGAAAAAATGGATAAATGGTCCAACCTGGGCAAGCCGGGATGGGAGGGTGGCGTTCAATGGCGTACGTCAAGTTTTTTTTTGTTTCATTACCTTTATGGCATATCTTGTTACTGACAAGTAGTACATATCAACTTTCTGTGAAAAAGTAACATCTTTTTTGAAATGGTTTTTCGTCTTCAATGTACGGTGTGATATACCCGTGCATACGACCCAACGACAGTCTTTATTGCATTTTTTCTCTCTATTTGCGTAAGGTTGTTGATAATGGATAACTGTTACAAGTCAATGACTGTGAACTTTGTTTCTTTATTCGTCTTCAGATAAAGTAGAAAGATGAATCACTCAATGTAAGATTGAATGGGAATGATATTATTGTGGGGAGTTGGTCACTCATTTCAGGTTCAGATGCTTCTTGGTGTAGTTGTTTGTACCTGCGTCTCTCTTGTCCTGTATTGTACCTAACCTGTATTAGATGCAATATCGATAGACCGTCTCTCACTGGTTGCTTGTTTGTACTGGAGTAGGACAGTATAGAAAGAGCGTAGGAAAAGGAAAGGGACAATCACGTATACACGCCAAGATGTATGTGCCAGCAAAATTCATAGTGTGAATACTGCTCTTCACAACACTACTGTATATCATTCAACGGATGCAAAAATGTAGGGTTCGGGTAATGAATACGAGAGCCGTCTCGAGCTTAAGCTTTGCGGTAGTCTTGAATAGGCTTTTTGAAAGAAAGAGTATGTCTGACTCTTTAGCGAAAACATTCTATTCTCTTGGGCATGAATGGGAAATCATACCCCCCCCAACCATGTGTAGGTCCGCCCAATGACCATGGAAAGCGCGGCTGGGACAATGGCTAGAAATCGTGATCCGATAACAGGGGAGATAGCTTATCTCTTTCTCTCTTTAGCCATGAGTACATAATAAATAAGTCATGGCATGCTCTCTCTGAGGTTGAGTCGCCTACTCTCAGAGATGCCCGTGAATGAGAGTCATTTTCCCGCGTCAAATTGGCCATCCTTTTCTTTGATCCGATCCGACAAGGGGCGAAAAGGAAAAAGAGGGGGCGCATTGGAGTGCCTTTTATCTGATTGGATTTCAAGAATAGAAAGATCGGATAGCATATGGCTTTTCCCGTTATTTTTTGGTAAAGCCATATGGCATTTTAGGCGGCACTTCTTTTTGGTAATTGTAATACCAAAAATAAAATAAAATAAAAGACAGATGCCCCGAGCACACCATTCTCTTCTTGTGCTTTGCTTTGTCGCGTTCTATTTGCAAAACAGCAATAAGCAATATTCGTAAGAAAGTCTTCCTAGTCCATCACTCCTCTATGTTGAATAAAGATGTCACAAAAGCACCTCTGTCTGCTGCAATTCAAGTCTCTACGGAGAGGAGCGAGAAGAAGGGCGCGCTCACGTATTGAAATGAACTGTAATGATTGCTAAAGTATTGGCCCGGAAAACAGAAATAAAAATAGAACCCATGAATAGATGACAAATGTTGGTCGATCCGTTTGAAAAAAGAAAAGAAAGCTAGGCTTACGTAATCGGAGGTGAAGAGGGTGATGATGGCTGATAGAGCCAAGGGTGCAGCAGAATCAATGCAACCGACAACTATTTCAATGCATACATACAATAGATCTTGGAAAGTTTTTCTTCTCAATATCTAATCTCTGATTTTGATTTGGCTTTTAAGAAATCCAACAACGAAACATTCTTTAGCCGCCTTTTTTATTTTCTATTTTTCATCCGTCATTTGCTGTTTCAAGATGTCAAAGTCTATTGCTCATAAGCCCGTGATTTTCACAAGAACAGCTCAATGTACTTTTTTTTTTTTTTTTTTTTTTTTTTTTTTATTCTCGATATGCAAGATAGGGACTCCATCGTTGCTTTTTTATCCATTTCTTGGTAGGTGCATGTCGATGTATCTTGTCAAATTTAGATGCAAACTCTAGTAAAGAGTGCATTGGCCCTTTGACGTCTATAGAAAAGCTTTTTCTTTTTTAAAACAAACACGTATTACATCGTTCCAGTCAGCAAAAATGGAGGATGGCGCGAATGTGAGGGGGGGCGTCGTGGGCTGAAGAACGGCATCGCACTCTTTTCTTTTTTAGCTTGGGCATTACCAAATAAGTCCAGCGTGTAACAGATTTAGCATCGTAATAGTCTTTGTACTACAACAAAGATAAAATATCAAAAAGAAAGAGAAAAAAAAAAACAAAAGGGGGAAAAGGAAGCTGGATTATGCTGCAAACCAACATCGAAAACAGTAATACTGTGCATCCGCACGTACGTGTGTCTATGTGTGTATGTGTGTATGTGTGTGTGCACTCTACTCTTGTTCAAAGGCGATAAAAGACGTTGTTGGATACATGATGTGGAATGACGACTAACACGAAATTGTGTGTACTTTATGGTTTTCCTTAAAAATAGCTTAATTCCTTTAAGAGTGTTTCGTTTTTTTTTTTACGTTTGATAACCATGTAAACAAGGAAAAAAAAAAAAAAAAAATTTTTTTTGTCTTTGTAACAGATATTTTGTAACCCTTTGTTCGGCCCCTTAGCTGTTGTTTGTGTATATATTGTTTACGTTGTGTGATTTCGATTTTGAAAAAAAAAAAAAAAAAAAAAGAAAAGTACCTTACACAGAGATTCATAATCATTATTTATATGTATTTTTCTTTTTTTTTTTTTTTCTTCTTTGCCTCTCTCTTTTGTTTTTTTTTTTTTTTTTTTTTTTTTTTCCTCTATTCTTATTCTTTTCATTTTAATATCTTGATCGTGTCTTGCTTGGCTATTTTTCTTTTAATTACAGAAAAGAAAGAATCGTCAAAATTACACCTTATCTGAAAAAGAAACTTGCAGTAGTAGTGCCTCTTGCTACTGCTCCTGCTGCTGCTGTTACTACGACAAACCATCTGACGAATGCCAGCAACAACTACAACAACTACAACAATAGTAATAACAGCATGAACGCCACAACATCTTCAGGAACAACAGTCTGCGCAACAGTGACAGCCACTAGCCCTACAGCAAAGATGTTGCTGACGGGTAAAAAAAAGGACGACAACAGCAATAAAAAGAAAAAGACGGCTAACAAAAACCCAACCGTCAGCAACACAAAGCCAAGTACTACCGTAAAAAAGGTAGCGAATATAAACAAATAATATAAAATAATGCGAATCAGCAGCCATCATGAAATTCTATGGTTTATTGGTCCTTTTCTGATTTCTAAATTTTTCTTTCCCTCCCCCCCCTTTTTTTTTTCAGGCACCATGGCGTGTACCTGGCAGTCATTTCGAAATCCCAGACATTATTAAAGAAGCTTGGGATAGGAATAAACATAAAATCACTCAAAAACTGCAGCCAAAAAAGAACAATGACAACCCCATCCACACAGATACCAAGAAACAAAATACGCATTATAAAACACAACAACAGACGTCCGTCTCACCTTCGTTCATGGCAACACAGGCCCGTAAAAGCAACAAAAAGAGCACCACGACCACAGCCACAGCCAAGAAAGCCAAGCCATCCTCGTCACCGTCGACCAACACCCGTCGACCCTTGCAGCCATGTCAGAAAGCCAAAGGAAACAATCACCGACCTACTTGGATACCTGTAGGCAAAACACCAAGCATTTTCCCTATGCCTCCGCCCCTCTTAAAACCCTGCACCCAGACACCCTTCTCCTCCACTTCAAAATCGCGACATCCAACTACCACTACGACTAAATATAAGCAACCTTCTGACGATGATGACATTGTATCGGATGATACAGACCATGCTGTCTTTTTAAGAAAGCTTTATAAAGTACTTCCAAAATCAAAACGTATGCTCATGCATCCCGTCTGTAGATACGAAGGTCATGGCACCGTGGGTAGTGGGTAAGTGATCCATTGAAATGACCCCCGCACCCCCCCACCGCTTTTCCGATAAAAAAAAAAACCAAATGGATTCATTTTTCTTTCTTTTTCGCAAAAAACCATAGGGCCAACGGTGACGTTGTTCGTGCTATGGTCAAACCGTCCTTTGTCGTCGATCATCTCTCTTCAGCATTAGAGAATCGTGTTCCCATCAACGCCAACATCATGGCAGCAGCAGCAGCACCCTTACCTGCCATTCAATCCCCTGGTAAATATCAGATAACTGTTCAAATGAAGAGTAGTCCTCCTTTTATTAATGGCCCAAGTATGGCTGTAGTCACGACACCTCCTCCGCCTGCTATCTCGTCGCTTGTAGCCATTAAACGTTGCTTTATTGAAGACGAGGACGTTCAACACCACGCCTTTATCCTGCGCGAAATCAAAATCATGAGCCATTTCCGCCATCCCAACTTGGTTCATCTCAGAGAAGCCGGTCTTTATGACGATCATCTCTTTATGTGTATGGAGTTGATGACCTGTTCCGTCTTTAGTCTGTTGGTGCAATGCCAGAATAGCGGACTATCAGAGCCTATTGCTGTTCGCATTGGGCGAGAGGTAAGAAAACACATTGGGAGGGGGGAAGGGAAGGGGTTGGCTCAAGAGGACTGATTTTTTTTCTCTGACATTGCGGGATAGTGTTTGGAAGGTATTGCGTACCTTCATTCCAAGAATTACATGCATCGTGACATCAAGTCTGAAAATATCTTGGTCAACACGCTGGGTGAAGTCAAACTTGGTAAGGAGACACACACCCCCCCCCCTCATCTCTTTGTGAAAACAAGTCTCGTCTTTTTTCTAATAGATAACATGTATCTATCTACCTATTGACAGCTGATTTCGGTCTTGCAGCCTCCACCAACAGAATCAATCATGCTCGATTAGGCACGGCCAAATGGATGGCGCCAGAAGTCGTGGATGGCAAGTCCTACAAAGCCAACGTCGATGTGTGGTCGCTAGGTATTACGATGATTGAGATGATGGACCGCGTTCCTCCTCTTTACCATCTGGACGATCCTGCGAAAATCTATCCTGAAGTCACGAACCCTGAACACGAGCCCGATTTCAGTTTCGCAACACCCACAGCACCCCTTCGCAGTCTTGTGGAGTGGATGCTGGTAAGAGATCCTCATGCTCGTCCCTCTTCCAAGGTGGTATTGAGGAAATTCAATCAACAGCTGAGATCAGGCGCATTGTATTCTATCTCACAAGACGAACTTGCTTATTTGATGCGTCATGCATTCCCTTCTGCTCTTGTTTAACTCATTCCTCCTTGAGCCCATTGACCAAAACCCCATATCCAACCCAAAAAGAGAATTTTTCATTCATTTATCATCGTATACCAAAAATTGCCCAGACATTCGTACTTTCACCAACCCCCCCCACCCTTTCATCTATCCTCCTTTCAAGACCTATTGACGTTCATTTTTCTTCCGTTATTCTTATTGTATATCGTCGCCACAAAAGAGAGACTCTACCTTCTCTTTCACACCGTTTGCTGTACATCTTTCATTTTTACCATTTTGTTATTACTAGTGTTTCTAATTATTTATTTATTTAATGTTAACAAGGAAAAAGTTAACCGCCCCGCTTTTGCTTCTTTGGAATAATATACCTATCGCTTGATTTTATCAATAAAGAAAAAAAAAATAACCATTGTATAAAAATCCCAATGGACCTGTGTCAGATGGGTCCTATGGATAGAGCAAAAGGATATCGATTTGTTTAGAAAGAAACAAGGCCCTGCCTTTACAATCGATCTTTTTACTTTTTCGATGGATACTGTACTGTTAGAAGAGAAGAGGAGACGAACCGGCCATAAGCACCTGTTTTCCTATCGCCTATAAGATATCATGTAGGAAAGCCAACCTCCTTTTGACCCTATCCAAGGGCTATTGATACAACATCATCCGTCTTTGCCTTTCCATCCTTTATCCCTGTGTCGGATCACCTCTAGAGTGCGATAGTCAATTGAGTGCCATCTTTTACAAAGGCCGAAGCAGTCTGATTGGGTGTCTTTTTTATTCGCTTTTTGCAAACAAAAAAAGGGCGAGGGTGTGCCCAAACGAGCGGGCGGCGAGGGAAACAAAAAAAAAAAAAAGTTTTCTGGAAGAAAAGCTTTCTCCCTCTCCCTCTCTCTCTCTCTCTCTTTCATTCTATCTAAAACATCATGGCTGGTATCACTGTTAAGGACGTTAACCCTCATGGTGAGTTTTCCTAAAAAATAAATAAATTTGAAGCCATGTGTATCTATAGAGACATACATGTCTCTATGTATGATGGTACAAGAACAGAAAGACGGACAACCAACAAAGAGGGAGAGACAACATGGATATATAGTAGGCAACGTCGACCCAATGTCTTGATAGATCCATGGGTGGATTCAATACCAAACACTTATAAAAGTCAACATGGAAGAACATGATAACAACCCACATCCAGTTCAGCTCACTGCCAGCATGGGCTTATTCACATCCACGAGTGGACTCATGTTAAAAATGGGTGGCTTGGCTCCCATTCCATGTTCGTCATGGACAGCAAGAGATGGCTCATCAAAGCGTCTTTGCCATCCCTTAAAGCTCCCCCCCCGCCCTTTTTTTAAAGCAAAATAGAAATCGCTGGATAGGCCTCTTCCTCTCACTCTGTCTTTTTCTCATCCTTGTCCTTAGACAACACGTTTTTTCTGCTAAAAATCGCATTGTATGCTAACAGTCACCCTCTCTTCTCGTCCTTTCTAGCATTCATCAAGGCTTATGCTGCTTATCTCAAGCGTACCGGTAAGCTCGAAGTCCCCAAGTGGGTTGATATTGTCAAGACCGGTACTTTCAAGGAATTAGCTCCTTATGATCCCGATTGGTACTACGTCCGTGCTGGTAAGTGTTTTTGTTCTACAAGTGAATGCGTTTGCGCGATAATAAACTCATCCTCTCTTTTCTTGTTGAAAAGCCTCTGTTGCTCGTCACATCTACATCCGCAAGTCCGTTGGTGTTGGTGCCTTGAACAAGGTTCACGGTGGTACCGTTAACCGTGGTTCTCGTCCCTCTCACCACGTGAACGCCTCTGGTTCCGTTAACCGTAAGGTCCTTCAATCTTTGGAAAAGATTGGTGTCCTTGAAAAGGATAAGAAGGGGTAAGGCATATAAACATCATGTTGGAGTTGAATGGGGGGAGGTAGGATGATACTGACACGGCAATGTTCTCTCGTTCCTAGTGGCCGTAAGATCACTCAAGATGGTCAAAGAGATTTGGATCGTATCGCCATGACTCTTGCTGAAGAATCGGACGAAGAGTAAATGCAACAGCCCCTTTGTTTGATTTACCCGCTCCCCTTTTTTTTATATCTTTCTCTTTCTTACTCTCTCTTTTCTCGCTCTTTTTCTCTCTCTCTCTTTCTTTCTTTTTGAAATATTCCAGCCCTGTATTAAAGGTCTTTCTTATCTGTCTCTTTGGACAGTGTTGCATAGGAGTGTCATTGTGTGTCTCTGGGGAACCCATGGTTTTGATGTTGTTGAGATTAGAAACATTCAATCATTGTTTGACATCAAGGCATGAAAGGATCCGCTTAGGGGGGGACACCTTGAGATGATTCAAACCAAGACAATGCCCGCCCATCCCTACTTTCTCCAATGAAAGTGGAAGAGCGCCCCCCCCCTTTTTTTTTTTTCTTTTTTTCCTTGGAGGGCGTTAGGTCATACGCTCAGAGGGGGGCTACGGTTGAGTGGGGGACCCTTTTTTGAAATGCCGTGGGTGGATGGCGCGCATGAATTTCTAGAGAGAAAAAAACAATATGGAGGGTGAGCCAATAGCGTCTCTGAAACCTAGCATGGCAGGCGTGTGCATTGCTGCTGCTGTTCTTTTTTGTTATTGTCGGAAATTAAACTGATCCAAGTGAGATCCTATGGACCAATCAGCATGACGCATCCTGCCATCTCCATATTTTCTAAAAGAACGAAAAAAACCATGTGGGTTCTTTTTAGGTCCATTTATTTTATTCCCTTTCCCTCATTCCCTTCCTCATCTTACAGCACACACCTCTTCTATTTCTCTATACCAGCTTCAACCAAAAAAAAAAACTAAAAGATGAAATTTCTTGAAGTCGATTCGTTGGATAAAATAAATACGGCGTTTGTTTGGGAGACGTCAGAATGTATATTAACAGGAAGAGTGGAAGCTTATTCTTGTAAATCGGCTGGCACAGACAAAAAGTTGTTCCGAACACTTGAAAACCGATACAATGGCCATCCTATGGATACAGCCTTATTCACACCTGCCAATGCACTGGAAATGACGGCATCGGCGGCGGAGGCGGCGGCGGCGAGTACCACCACCTCCGCTCTTGCCACGTCGTCGTCTACGGCTGCCTCTCCTCCTGAAGCCGAGGACCATTTCATGACACATCAAAATGTGATATCGCCTTTTGGTCGTTTAACAGAAAGCGCACCGAGAAAAACATTCTTTTATTTATTGGCCACACTGAACGCTGCTTTTCCTGATAATGATTTCGAGGATGTCAGGCCTGACCAATTCATAAAGCTGCCTTCGGTCGAGATGGTCATCAATTCAGTCAATACAACACTGTTCAACTTGGGAAATGATGTGATTGTCAATAAATACAGGTACACTTTTTTAAAATTCAGTTCAGAAGAAAGAAGGAACAGCCGAACGGGTTTTTTTTATATTAAAAATACAATACACGGATTGATAGACTTTGGGACGTCCTGGATGAGATTGTTCAACTGGGTGAATGCGATGTCTATACGTACAATTCAGATGTGGACGACGATCCTCTGAACGAAGAAGATGGATATCTGTAAGTTAGCATTTCACACTTTGCTTGGATGACATGATAACACACGATTGACCCTTTTTCCTGGAAAAAGGTGGTCTATGAATTATTTCTTTTTCAACAGGAAACTGAAACGAATGGTGTTTTTCTCCTGTAAAAGTGAAAGGTAATGCGCTGTGTATTATCAAGCACACTTTGATAAACAGAAAGACTTATAAGTGGTTTATTTATAGTATGAATGCACCCAATGCTGACGAACTGATATTAGACGATGATGATAACAATGAAACTACAACGTACAGTGAGGGGGAAAAAAAGGAAAAAAGAAAGAAAAAAAGGCTCAAAATGTCTCATTGTCTCTGTTTTCTTTTTTTTTTTTTTACATAATCATTATCTAGTAGACGTTATGATGAGCTTTCCATGGAAGACATGGAGTAAAAGGACTTTCCTTTTTTTTTCGGTTTTTTCATCCATTCCGTCCCTTTTTTCGAGCAACACCGTAAAAAAAAAACCATCATCACTATGACGAACAGCATTCATCACTTTTCTTTATATATATATATCTCTTCATTGCACACCTTTCCGCTCTTTTCTACTTTTATTCTATGTGTCATCTTATACTCCCACACGTAATTCGTCAAGATAATTATTATCTCAAGTTGACTTCAATGTTATAGTTAACTTACACTCATCATGATTTTTATTGTGTTGTGCCTGAAAGGAGTCCATTTTTGATTTGGGGAAAAAAAAAAAAAAAAACTACAAATCAAACTCCTTTAAATACATGAACACAGAGAAAAACGCCATCTGTCCTTGTTCTACCAAGACTCGTTTTTGTATATATAGCCAAATATCAATGCCAGAATAATAACTTATCTCATATTTTATCATATCACATCTCCTTTTTTTCCTGTGTAGGTTACAGCAATTTTTTTTTTTTTTTTTTTTTTTTTTTTTTCCTTTTGGGTTGGGCGTAGTGTAGAGTACCTGAATTTTTTTATCTTTTTCCGAAAATAAAAAGGCACAGCCATGATATCCGATCCCCTTTCATTCTAACTCATTCTCTTTATTTTCTTTCCTCCATTCTCCTTTTTTCTTACAAGTTTTCCAATTATGAAAGAGCAACAGCAAAGACGTAAATCGAGTAACGGTACTGGTCCAAAGCCCAAAATCTTTAAATGTACCGGTTATGGTGATTGTAATATGGTGTTTACCAGAAGTGAACATCTTGCACGTCATGCAAGGTAAAAAGAAAAAACAATACGATAGATGGATGTCAATGGATAGCAAAACTAACCCGTGCTTTCTCTATGGCCATTAGAAAACATACGGGTGAAAGGCCGTTTATGTGTATCGTGGAGGGTTGCAAGAAAGCATTTAGCAGATACGATAACATGATGCAACACACACAAACGCATAAAAAGAACCCTTCGACGCCCTCCTGTTCGATTTCTAGAACAATCAAAAAGGCTCCCATAACCACCCACACTCACCAGAATAAGGTGATCAAAAAACAACCTGTTCCCGGTACAGACACCCCTTCATGTGACATGAAGGAGGAGCCCGAAACGGCCACCCACATCCATACCAACACCCATACCAGCACAGGCACCCATACGCATACTCATGCCATGGTGTATATTCAAACAAATCACTATACACATCATGGGCTGCCATCGATAGGTTTAGCGTCACCTATCTCTTCTACCTCCTCCTCCTCCTCCCTGTCATCTTCTTTTTCACCTACCCTCCATACCTTTTACCATCTCCCCCATTATTATAATTCTTCTTCTGACGAAGAGGAAGACGAAGAAGAAGAAGAAGAAGACGACGATGACCATGGTTATTATCCTTCTTGCTTAACCAACCACACCAGGAGAAGAAGACGCCTATCCATAGCTGATTTATGTAATCCAATAGAAGAGTCACAAACGGCGAATACACCCAAAGGACGGCCATGGCTACCACTCACTACTACTTCTATCTTGACACGAGATGAGTGTGAGGCATTGGAAGGTCTCGATCGGTTCCGACAACAACAGCAACGTGCCGTGTGGTCTCATCCTACTACTACTACAACTACTACTACTACTTTTCATTGTACATAATCCCAGATAAAAAAAAAAAAAAAATGATAACATTGCCCCCCTTTATTTTTTGATGGAATAAAAATCAATTACGAATCGACCCCATTTTACATGCAGGTCGAAACTTATCAGATCAGGTACCGACAAAAGGGACCATCGTCTGTAGAAGCATGTCTTTTTTCGTTACTCTTCACCTTGCGTAACATCACTTTTTTGTGCCATTGTAGCACTGAATTTTGCCTTTTTCCAACACTAGGCCTTGTCCATTGGAACGAGTTGTTTGCCATCCATGAGCCGAATAGGATCCTTGTTTTCCATAGGCAGGCGTTTTGACCCTGCGTTCGCTTTTTGTGTACAATCAACAGATGCTGTTGTCGTTGTCTTTTTTTGCATGGATACCAAGCCAGCAAAAAGCCAATGGACCGAATCCGTGATGCATCCCTTGATACAAGTGAATAATCACCGTTCCTTATCCTCCTCGTTGCTAGGCAACCCTCATGGACCAGAACCTCTCCCCGTCTGCATCACTGATGTGGGGCTTCACCTATCCGGGCGTCCATTTTTCCTGGGCACGACGCTGTGTTGGCACGTTAGAAGCAACTGTCTATCTCATTGTCTCTCTCATGCATCCATAGCAAGAAATTTCAAATGATCACGAAAAAAAAAAAAAAACCAGCGGCGATCTCTCGAGCGAGAGAGGTACAATGACCCTAAAAGAACAACCCATCTCCTTTTCATAGATGGCAACCCCAGTTCTTCCCCTTCTCCTTCCCCCCCCTTTACCCACCTATTGGGAAGTGACACATAGGGTTTAGTCTGTTTATCTTTAGGAAATACAGCATTCTTCAAGGTTCCTTTACATACTCTATCTGTTTGATATCAAGATGACGTTTTTGGGAGCAACATCAACACATGACTTGGTTACAAGTAGTAGTAGTAATCCGTCCCTCATGGATACGGGTCACATGATCGAAGGAGAGGGGGCCTTACCGCTCTACACAAAAGAACAAAGAAGGCTTCTAAACAAACGAGTCAATGTACTTTTTTTTTTTTGCTGTGGGTGATTGCAACAAGACGGTAGCATGGGGGGTCGATCCTATGTCGCTGTGCATTGACTACTCTCTTGCACAAGTCGTTTGCTGCTGTCACTCAAACGAGAAGTGTCCGGCAAGTAGAAATCACGATATCGGAAAAAGAAAACCTTTTTCCTAAACACAGGAAACACACAGACCTTTTTTCCTTTTTCATATTGTTATTGTGTTGATGTGACGGAGGGTGCATGGAGAAAGCCCCGTTGCCAATCTATGACTCTCCACCCCAGTACACACCCTATCGTCCTTCTTTTCTTATGTCATCCATGAGTACACATCGTTGATGGGCATTCAAACCAAGTCGAGCCCCTTATCTTTTTAAATCATTTTATCCAGAGATCCAGATCCGACACTAAAAAAAAAGAAATTGGGTGTGGAGTTTGAATAGAACATTCGCATTTTTTACCCGCTAGTTCCGTTACACTTGATTCTCAAAAGCAAAGAAATTTAAAAGGTTTTTTTTTTTTTTTTTTTGTCCAACCGCTTTTTTTCAACATGGAGAGGGGAAAAGAACGAGAGGAGGAGTAGCTCAAGGATAGCTTCTTTAGATAAAGGATCTCTCTCTCCCTCTTCCTTTAGAACGTGCATTGGAACAGCGATGTCATCCTCTTGCCGACGATCCAAATTCCATTTTGTCATTCTCTATCACGCTACAAGTTTCATATTCGATGGATGAGGTGTGTGGTTGAACTAAAACCAAAAACCCCGGTGTGGGTCGGTGACAAAGTGACTTTTTGCCAAAAAAAAAAAAAAAAAATTACGAAAAAGTGTAATAAGGACACGCTTTTTTTTATTTTTTATTTTTTTTTTTTTTCTCTTTGTTCTTTAACATTCAATAACTTTATATAACAAAAATGGCTCGTCAATTTTTCGTTGGTGGTAACTGGAAGATGAACGGCTCTGTTGAGCAAGTCAAGAAGCTCGTTGAAATGCTCAACGGTTTCAATGTCCCTGCCAACACTGGTAAGTAGAGAGGATGTGAGAAGAGTGTGTGTGTTAGAAAGAGAGAGAGAGAGTGTGTGTGTGTGTGCGTAGGGTTGCATGGACCTTTTATCATGTAAAAAAAACAGAGGTGCTCATCTCTCTTTTTTTTGCTTGTTTCAGAGGTCGTTGTCGCTCCTCCCGCTCTCTACCTTGACCGTGTCCACCAAAACATCAAGAAGGAAATCAAGGTGGCCGCTCAAAACACCTACATCAAGGCCTCTGGTGCTTACACCGGTGAACTCTCCCCTCAAATGCTCAAGGATATGGGTCTTGAATGGGTCATCATCGGTCACTCTGAACGTCGTGAATACTTTAAGGAATCCGATGAACTCGTCGGTGAAAAGACCCAATTCGCCATCGAAGCCGGTGTCTCTGTCATTGCCTGTATCGGTGAAAAGCTCGAAGAACGTGAAGCCAACATCACCAACGATGTCGTTGCCCGCCAAATGAAGGCTATTGCCAAGTACGTCAAGGACTGGTCCAAGGTCGTCGTTGCCTACGAACCCGTCTGGGCTATCGGTACTGGTAAGGTCGCCACTCCTGAACAAGCTCAAGATGTCCATGCCTACCTCCGTAAGTGGTTGGCTGAAAACGTCTCTCAAAAGGCTGCTGATGAAACCCGTATCCTTTACGGTGGTTCCGTCAACGGTGCCAACTGCAAGACTCTTGCTGCCAAGCCCGATATCGATGGTTTCTTGGTAAGTTGAATCCCATCGATTTTTTTATTTTTTTTTGGGTTGCAGGTGTGGAAGAACACAATGGATTGACTTTTTTTTTTTCTTCTTTTTTTCCAATTAGGTCGGTGGTGCTTCTCTCAAGCCTGAATTCGGTGATATCATCAACTCTCGCCAATAAATTATTTTTGCAACCATAGCACAACTGCATAAATCCCCACCCCCCCTCCATTCAACAAAAGCATGCTCATTTTTCCTTTTCTAAACCTTGATAAAAAAAAAATGTATCATTTCTCATCTTTTCTTCACATTATTGGAAAGAATAAATAACTGTGTACTATAAAAATTGGGAATTGGGGGGACTCATTGACCATCTGAAACAATGGATTTCAATTAAAAAAATTTTTTTTTCTTTGGATGAGATATGGAACCAAAAAATTGATCGATAAGCTCTGATCTTGGTGAATGATCATGGGGAGAGAGGATGGATAAGTAGTTTTTTATGTTTTTTTTTCCTTGGAGAGAGAGTGTGTGTCCTTGTAGAGGATGAACTGTTTTGTGAAGAAGCGTCGTGTTACTCTGACATTGGGTCGTTGGTAAAAAAAGAAAATCCTGGTGACACCAGAAGAGGATCGATTCGAAATGATCATGAAAGAAAAGGGTGATCTTTTTTTTTTTCGGTTTTTCAAAACTATTTTGGTATTTGTCAAAATAAGAAAGTAGGTCGAGGTGAAGTGATTAAAGCGGGTGAAGTAACACTCGCAGCCATCGTCGTCGTATGATGAGTGGCGGTGGATGGCGTAAAAGACGAGTGAGAGGGCGGTAAGGACATGGAAGCTGGCAATGGTAAAACAGAAGAAGCACTGTCCTTCGTAGCATGGCTGTTGAATAAAAAATCGGTTAAAGGTCTACCCATCAAGGATCGGTTGTCTGAAGTCGAATGAAGGGAAGGCAATGGGGTGGATAAAGAGGAAGGTGGTAGTTGAGACACGGGCGTGGACGAGAGACGATGATGGGGATGATGGGGATGGGAATGATGGTGTGGAGTATTGTGGTGGTAATGGTGATGATGATGGTGGTGGTGGTGGGGGTGGGGATGGGGATGGGGAGGTGGAGGACGGTTATTCAAAGCTGAAGAGGGAGCAGAGTGGGGTAAAGAGGCTGGCAGTGGTGGTGGTGGTGGTGGTGGTGGTGGTGTGGGTGGTGGTCCTGGAATAGAAGAAGAAAGTTCATGTCGAATCGTAGGATGAGATAACCTGGGAGAAGGAGGTAATCTATAGGATTGTGTCGTGGGTAAAGAGGGCACGGACGGTGGTGGTGGTGGTGGTGCAGGTGGCGATGGGGGTGGAGGAGGCGGTGGTGCTAATGAATGCCGTTGCTGTTGTAGTGGATAGGCATGGTGAGAATGAGGTTGGGAAGAAGGAGAGGAATACCAGTTGGGTATATGAGTGCCACTCAATGGATAGTGTTGTTGCTGTGGTTCTTCTCTCATGGAATAGGTGTCATTCTTTGGCTCATTCTTTCTCTAACAAATGAATATACTTACCCATATCAATGAGATTGTTTATACTCTATTATCCCGCTTTAATGACATACCGTAAACACTGAATACGGCTGTTGTTGTGAACGAGTCATATCTGTGTAGATCATGTAAGTAATATAGGCATGCATTGCATTTCTTTTGATACGTGGATTCTGCTTCTATTATCAGGGCAAAAAACAGATCATGATGAGTTTAACAATGTGAGCTATTCATTCCAACGGATGCAGTCCCCCCTTACCATGGATAGATATTGATAGGAGAATGAAGTGGAGTGCGTCGACGGTGTTGGCATGGGTGCGGGTGGTAGGGTTGCTTCTGCCACTTCCATGTGGGTTGACGTGCCCTTGTTGTCGTGTGTTGTTGATATGACCTTTGCCGTTGTATCTACTACTACTGCTGCTGCTGTTGCTGTTGGAGTACGAGTGGATGGTTCCACCCTTTCAACAGCTCGGGTAATATCCTCTTCCAGTTCTTTACTAATATTGGCTGTTGCTGTAGATGCATCTACCCAGTTTTCTGTATAATCTTGCTTGTTAGCAAAAGAGGCCGTTCGATTGGTTTGTTGGCTATAGCTATCCGTATGCTGACTTTCACTAGGACGACGGCAACGACGACGACGTCGACTACTGCGAGGAGAGTCATTGTGAGCGGTAGGGTTACTGATAGGATGGTTTGTCAAAGCTATATGGCTGCTGCTGCTGCTGCTGCTGCTTTTATTACAATCATCTGCATCGTTTGTCTTTGGTTGATGGTGATGACGGATATGCGTAGCACCCTCATTGTATGGTTTTCTCTTTTGTGACCCTAAAAACAAAGAGATCATGTCAATCGTGGTGTTGGAGGATGCTCAAGCCACACTGGGAATGATAAGGGTTAGGTTACCATGACGACCATGCAACCGAATCTCTCTTCGTTCATAGTAACGGCCATTAAAGTCGTCATCCACCACAGCTGCTGCTGCAGCGAGCAACATAATGGGATCGGGTGGTTGACGCTCTAATTGCAAATGATAATTGCTATCTGTCCTTATGGGTAATGAAGCTTATCCCGAACAGTGGGGTTATGGGAATGATGTTGTCAATCCTAGGTTTTCTATTTCCGGCCCGGGTAAACAACATTTATTATTTACCTTTTCTTGGTGGTAGAGCATTGGCACCTTTTCTTCTTACTGGTTTTGAGAGAGGATGACTATCTGAATAAATGATATGAGACCAGGAAAAAATTAGAGTTAAGCTCATGGATGGGGTTTATTTTATTTATTTTTTTCCACACACTTACCATTGAAGATGATTTGTGCACTGATATCTTGATTCGCCAAATCAATTAAAATTCGGCTAGCCTCCGCATCAATTTTATCAGTGTTGGCTGTCATTGTTTCTCCCGCAAGAGTCACTGCTATTGCTGAATTGGAATAAGAAGAATCTTCTGAGAAACGTCCTCTACTGCTAGTTCCTGAACTACTGGTCCCGTTACTGTCTTCTAGTTGGACGACTCTTGTTGAAGATGACCGAGGTTGAATCTGTGAAGGGTATTCTTGCAACATGGCGAAATGGCGGGTAGGTGGACTCGAATAGGTTGATTGTGGAGAAAAGAAAAAGGAAAAAAAAAAAAAAAAAAAAAAAAAAAAAAAAAGGGAAAAAAGAGATAAAATGATTGAGAAGAAAGCAGAAAGTTTATTCTGTTGTTGGAAAAAAAAAAGGATATTGTAATAAATAAATACAAAAAAAGCTGTAAATGTGTTTGAATAAGAGAGAAAAAAAAAAAAAAAAAAAAAAAAAAAAAGGAAAAAAAAAAAGGATCTCTCTTTCCTTCTTTTCTCTCTCTCTCTTTTTTTTTTTTTGTGTTGTTTGTGTGTTGCATTCGTGCATTGTGTAACTGTGATGATGACTTTTCTTTTTTTTTTTTTTTCGTAAAAGATGCACATCTGAAAAGGGTTTTTAGAAACGTCATCTTTTTTCTTTTTCTACACCTCTTTTCTGTAGCCACTATTTCTTTTTTTTGCTGGTCACTGTAATGAAAAAAATAAATGAATGGTGAACAAGGAGAAAAGTTTGTTTATAAAAAAAAAAAAAAGGGACATAACCTGTCTTACCATTAAACTATCCATACAAATTTTGCAGTTTAAACGTAGATTAAATTAATAAAAGAGCTGCAACCCTATACATACAGAGATGCATTCTACACGAAAAAAAAACGTACCTTAAAGTGGGCTATATCTCCATCCTCCATCAGATAGTCTTTGCCTTTTTGTAGGCATTTCCCCACAGATTTTACTGCATTTTCTGACCCCAGCTGCTTTAAATCAGCATATTTTATGATCTCAGCTGAAATAAACCCTTTTTCAAAATCAGAGCTATTTTTTTACCCGGAAATTGAGATTTGTTTAATAGGGTCTTTTTTTTTGTTGGACACTCACTGCATTGGATGGATGAATGACTTACTGAATGACACCTGCTGCTTGAGGTGCTTTGGAATTATTCTAAGCCATGGTACGAATTGAAAAAATGAGCTCATCTATCCCACACTCCCCTTTCTCTTTACTGATGCATTTACCCTTATCGTCCATGCTCTCACTTCATCCGGTCCACACGTAAAATAGTGAATCAAATGCAATGCCTTGTAACCTGCCAAAATGATATTGGAGAGCTGTGACGCAGCACTCTCCAACGATGGATCGTTTGCATTGGCCCATTTGGTCTCTAGAGCCACCGAGAGAGGCAACACGATGTCGCCTTTATTATTCTCTTCCACCCACTCTTGGATGGCTGGCATCCATCGATGATGGCTGGCGCCGTTCAGGTAGTCTTCCTCTGACATATTGCACAGATAAATCATCGGCTTGGCGGTCAACAAGTGCATCGAATTCAACAGTTCAATCTCTTCGTTGGTCCAATCGCCTTTGCGGATATCACGGTTTCCTGTCGACATGAAAGCAGCCATCTTTTCGACCCGCTCGAGGTCCTTTTTTTTGGCGGGTTGGGCCCTCACCGCCTTGGTCAAGTCCAACAGATGACGTTCAATCGTCTCTTCATCCTTGAGCCGCAGTTCGGCTTGGATGATATCGAGGTCACGGATCGGATCGATCGTGTTGTTTTCGACGTGTGTAATGTCTTGATCGTCAAACACACGGACAAGGTGGTAGATGGCGTCGACAGAAGAGACGTTGTTCAGGAAAGCGTTGCCCAACCCTTCGCCTTGAGCCGCTCCCCGTACGAGACCGGCAATGTCTACCACGGTCAGGTGGGCCGGTGTGCGTTTTTTAGGCTGGTATGTTTGCACGAGATAGTCGAAGCGAGCATCAGGCACTTCGACACGAGCTTCGGATGGGTCGATCGTGCAAAAGGGATAGTTTTCGGCGGGGACACTGCTATGTGTCAATACATTAAAGAGAGATGATTTACTGTGGGGCGCGGGTGATGATGAATCCAAAGAAGACGACAGCAGTGCGAGTGATCACCGGGGGAGAAAAAAAAAGAGAAAAAAAAAGAGAAAAAAAAGAAAAAGAACGAGAGCCATGAGTTTTCTTACTGTGTTTTGTCTACCACAAAACTGAAAGAAAAAAGATGCTGAATACATAATGCGGGATACCCTATGTTTGGTAAACCTACAATACCCATACGAAGGTTATTGGAAGGCCTACCCAAGAGCATTTTCTGCTCAGGAGCCGTCTGTTGTTGTTGTTGTTGTTGTTGTTGTCGTCCTCCTCCGCGTCTTTTAGCACGTACAAAGGAACTGGTCGAAAAGAAGGAATGACCTAAACAAGGGACTGCTGCTGCAAGACTGTTTTTGTAGGAGCATAAAGAACGTAAATGAAGAGAAAGCATAAAAAAAGAACAGGGACAAAAGGAAAGGGAAGCCAAGGGGTTACAAAAGGATGTTTAAAATATGAAAAAAAAAGGGTCAAGGAAAAGGGACCCTTTCGTTCATTTCTGGAGAGTGACGGGTGAATTGCTTTTTTTGACAAGTGGTGTGGAGTCCAGAGGGCGGGTTCTTTATTGGAGATGTCAGACCCATTGATTGGCTGATGTTGGACCGGTTAATTACGGCACTGAACAGATGAAGCGCTTTTCCAGGAGGGAGGAATGTCTATTTAGAAAGCATGCAATATGGGTCTATACGATCTACGTGGTCTTTTTACGTGGTCCACATACACTTATAAATTTCAATAAAGAGTCCAAATCTAGGATCGCAAAGACTTTTATTTTCTCACCAAAATAGCGGGATTTCTTTTTGACGAGAGGATGAAACCCCGTGAGCTGATTGGTTTCTTGAATGTAAATGAAGGATGAGCACAGCTTTTGCTTGCAAATCACATGACTGAAGAAAAAAAGAGTCATTAAAGTCTTTCATTGCCATTGCACAAATGATGCCATTATCAAAGCAATGAGCAAGGATTTTTAGGTTTTACAGAAAAACCTGAATAGTACTTTCTTGGCCTTATCTCAAGAGCAAACATCATGAATAAATTTGACTTTGAAGTGCTAATATTCTCAAACTCACCGAGCAGGCTTAAAATTCGCACGTGCGCAGTACCAAAAACCTGTTCCTGCTTCCCTATGGAAACCTGCTTTGCATTTGTTTCTCTCCCTTCCTTTATCTGACGCTTCTTCCCGAGCTTTTTACCAAAGAAAAAGAAACTTGCTCTATCCGTAGATAGATGTATTGCAACAAAGTCTAATGCACAAGACTTGCCATGTTTTTCTGGCTAGTGAATATATACCAATCCGAGGCCGCTTCTTTGTTCATTTATGGAAACTTTTTTTTTTTTTTTTTTTTGCCTTTTTTTGGATCCCCTCCCCACCTCCCCCTTTCCCGTCTCTTATTGAATTACATATCCACTTTTCGCAGACTTAGCAGACAGTAAGCTATTTCCGATAGTCTATCATGTTATCCGGACCATCTCTGGAATAATAAAGTAAATGATATTGAAAAAGATCAAGCATGCAAAAAGGGCTTTTTTTACGTGACAAGGCAAAGAGAAATCGTCTTTGCCAAGTACAGTATATGCAAAAGGACAATCGTGCTGCCGGATCTGTATTTTTTTTTTTTTTCCTGAACAAAAAGAGCACAAATGAAGAAATTTATTGAATGCTCCAATCATGGGAGAGCTTTTTAGAAATTGAGAGAGTCTCTTTTAAATCGTATCTAATTACAACCTCTTTCTTTCCCTCTTTTATCACTCATTTATCTTTAACATTCCTATTCACCTCTCCATACGCGCTAACTCTCTTTCTCATCTATCTCTTTCTTTTTACTGATCTTGTATCCCACATCGCATACAGCAAACGCAAGACTTTATCCATCATGGTCAATACAAACACTCGATACAGTACAATACCTGTCTATCTTGAACCAGAAGAAGAAGAAGATCAGAACGGAAGGAGCCAAGAAGAGGTCTCTTTATTGAAGTGCTCTCCACACTCGTCGTCTCCATTCTGGGTAAGAAAACCGTTGTTGGCCAAAATGCAACCATTATCTGATGCCGAGACAATTTTTTCTTTTTATCTGATTTTAGAAACGACGACCCTGTCTTGGTATTTTCATCGCTATCCTAAGTACATTTGTCATCACCTCCACCACCATCACGCTTTACAATAGAAAACAAACACAACAAGAAGGTAAACAGAGGGGCTAAAATATATCAGCATGAATGACATACACAGAACAGAAATCATGTATAACGTGATCGTCCCTGTGCCTTAAATAATTCATTTAAGGAAATTCAACAAAACAAAACAAAAAAAAAAAAAAAAAAAAAAAAAAAAAAAAAGGTACTAAATAACCTTCCTCATGGATTGTAGCACCCATTCTTCAAGGCAAGAAAAATGTCATTATGATGATCAGTGATGGCTTTGGACCTGCTTCAGAAACATTTGCAAGACAGTATTATACATGGCTCGGCAACCGATCGGTGACTACCATGCTACCTTTGGATGAAATCCATATTGGCCATAGTCGTACCCAAAGTTCCTCCAGTCTCATCACCGATAGCGCAGCAGGCGCCACTGCTTTCGCATGTGCGAAAAAGTCCTATAATGGAGCGATAGGAGGTAATTTTTTAATTTCTTCTTGGCCTCAGACGGGGCAGCACCCGCCTCACCTTTTCTTTTTTTTTTTTTTTTTTCTCAACAGTGGATCCACACGAAATTCCCTGCGGCACAGTATTAGAATCGGCCAAGATTCATCAAGACATGCTTACAGGTCTTGTCGTCACTTCCCGTGTCACTCATGCTACCCCCGCTGCCTTCTCTTCTCACGTCGCTTGGCGTGATTGGGAACCCTTGATCGCTGAACAGCAAATAGGTTTCAACCCTTTGGGTCGAACCGTCGATCTCATGTTTGGAGGTGGACGTTGTGAATTTACACGCAACTCTTCTGCCAATAGTTGTCGTGCAGATGATCGTGATCTCTTTCAAGAAGCCCAAGACAAGTTTCAATGGAATATCATCTTGTCGAAAGAAGAATACGATCAATTGAATACGAAAAATGTACAATTGCCATTAATGGCACTCTTTTCATCTGGAGTAAGGCCCCTTTTTTTTTCCTTTTTCCACCCAAACTTTGGAACTAACCCTCACTCTATTAGCATATGGACTATGAAATGGATAGAAAGCCAAATGAACAGCCAGCACTTCATGAAATGACACGTAAAGCATTGGACATTTTAAAGGCAAAATCAGAAGAACAAGACAAAGGATTCTTTCTCATGATTGAAGGCAGTCGTATTGATATGGCCGCTCACAATAATGATCCCGCAGCCCATTTCCATGAAATCTTGGAATACCAAAGGACAGCTGCCCTTGTGAAGGAATTTGTAGAAAACAATCCTAATACAGTGATGATTTCTACCAGTGATCACGAAACCGGTGGTTTAACGGCTGGTAGACAAGTGGGCGAAGATTATCCAGAATATCTATGGTAAGCGGAAAAAAAAAAAAAAAAAAAAAGAAAGAAACACTTTCGATAGACCCAGGCAGGAGAACACTCATCCTCCCGTGTGCCCCCCCCCTCTCCTCCTTTAGGTATCCCGAACGTCTGAGTCATGTCGCCAACTCTTCTGAAGCATTGGCTTTTGCTTGGGATATGGCTTGTCATAAAAAAGACGTAGACGAACAAACCAATATGGATTACTTGAGAGAAATATTGATTCGTGCAGGTCTAGGCATTCATGATGCTACCATCGAAGAGATTGAAAAGATCAAAGGTTGGATCACTGCCAACAAGACCGTCTATGATTTGGCCTATATGTTTTCTGACATGACCTCCCAACGAGCATTGATTGGTGTAAGTTTGCCTTCATGACTATGTGTCTCACTCCCTTTGCTTTTTCCACACACACACTCACCCTATAGACAATGCTTATGTAGTGGACGACTCATGGTCATACCGCTGTCGACGTCAACTTGTACGCTATGGGTCCCGAGACAGAAGCATTAAGAGGAAGTCATGAAAACATTGAAATCGGTGAATTCATTTCAAAGTTCCTCGGTTTGGACTTGGACGATGTTACCAAGCGCTTGGTAGATGGAAGGTAAAAACCAAAAAAAAGAACCCACCGCATCCCATGGATCAATAGAAACGGATAGCTAAAAAGGAGCATGGGCTTTTTTTTTATTTTTATTTTTTTTTTTTGCTTTTTTCCTATGGCTAGTGCTGCCAATATAAAGGCCTTGACTGGAGAAGGCGAGAGACACCTTCAAGAGGAAGAGAGATACCATTTCTAATCCACCCTCACCCATAGCCAACGATCTACATCTATAAGAAGCACAACTTGAGTGCCTTTCTTCTCATTGCTTGACTTTTGCATACCCCTCTCTTTTAGCTCACACAGTACGAAAACACCTTACTGTTATCTGTTGAACCCGTATCATGCATGCTTTATGAAAAAATAAATTTGAACCCATTCCCCTCTGTGCAGAATCTGAATTTTAAAAAGGCTTAACTGAGAATTTCTTGCGTAATGCAATGATCATTAATTTACCCGAGAATTGATTAAAATAAAAATAAAATAAAATAAAATGTGGGGTCCCTTTCTTTCTTCTTTTTTTTTTTTTTTTTTTTTTTTTTTTTTTTTCTTTGTAAGCCTTACATTTTTTTAAAAATATCAACAATGCTTTCTCTTGCTGCACGCTCTATCAAGTCTTCCGCTTTCAAAACAGCTTCTCTTCGTCCTTTGACTGCCATCCGTACAAAGGTTACTTTACCCGATCTTCCTTACAAATACGATGTAAGTTGACAAAGTACACAAAAAAACGCGTCCATGACTCGCAAAATTAATTTTGTTAACAATGATATACAATGGGGGTGGGGCGGGGCATGAACAGGCTTTGGAACCTTATATCAGTGGTAACATCATGGAGGTTCACCACGCCAAGCATCATCAAACCTACGTCAATGGTTTCAATGCCGCTGAAGAAAAGCTTGAAAATGCCTTCAAGTCAAAGGATCTTACTGAACAATTAGCCCTTCAAAATGCCCTTAAATTCAATGGTGGTGGTCATATCAACCATTCTTTATTCTGGGAAAATTTGGCTCCTCATGGTAAGGGCGGTGGAGATTTGCCCAAGGGTGCTTTAGCCTCTGAAATTGAAAAACAGTTTGGTTCCTTTGACGATTTTAAGAAAAAGTTCAATGCTGCTGCTGTGGGTGTTCAAGGTAGAGTCTCTTGTATTTTTTTTTTGCGTTGACTTGTAGTAGTAAAAAAAAAAAAAAAAAAAAACACATGCTCATCTCATCCTTTATTTCTTTCCTGAAGGTTCTGGATGGGCTTGGTTGGTAAGTTGCAAAATTACTGTTGTGAAAGCACCCTGATGTCATTTTGTTTTTTTGGGTTTTTGCGGGGAAGAGCTTCCCACAAAAAGACAAAAGACGACTACCCTCCACCAAGAAAAGACCCTTACTAACTAGCTCTTTACAGGGTTATAACAAGGAAGCCAAGCGTCTTGAAATTGCCACAACACCTAATCAAGATCCTTTGCTTCGTAAATGTCGTTATTTTTCTGTTTGTTTTAGTGTCGAAAAAAAAATGGATTAGTAATGGTTAACGTTCTTACATTTTTTCCGCTTTCTGTATGACAGATTTGACTCCTCTTTTAGGTGTGGACGTCTGGGAACACGTGAGTGACCTTTTTTTTTAATTTTATTAGCGTCTTTTGCATGAATTTCTCTGACCCCTCCCGTGTTTTACTAATATTCTCTTCCATAGGCTTACTATTTGCAATATAAGAATGTTCGTCCCGACTACCTTAACGCCATCTGGAACGTCATCAACTGGGAAGTTGTTGCTGAACGTTTTTCCAAGACACAGTAATGACGTCTGGACAATAGCGTCGACCACTGAACGAACTTGTAGCGGTTCATAGGGCTTTCTTTTTTTTTTTTCTTTCTTTATCACTGCTCATCCTCTTTTTAAACCAAATGATATCTTGATAACAAAAATAAAAAAGAAATGGGTTGATACTGAAATGAGATAAATATATGTCAATGTCGGGGTAGATAAGTTCCCTTCTCTTTATTGTTACTACTATATCATGTTGACTACGATATCAAAACATAATGACGAGATGGGTGGCTGTTAAACTCATGGTGCGTAGAGGGTGAGGTTGACGTAGGGTTTGTGAGGGAGAGAAGAGCCAGAGAATGTATCTGGAGTATAGAGAGTGCGTATAAAGAAAGGAACATGCTTTCCACAAAAAGAGGATCATACACTCTTTCTTTCTTTTTTTATTGATACGAGTTTTTTCTTTTTTTTTCTTTTTTTTTTTTTTTTCTCCATTCAATTTAACATGCGCAACCATTACTGTAATCTTTGTTGTTATCACTGTCAATTCGAATAGGATCGCTGACATCACTATAGAGCTCGACATCGGTTTCCTGTTGAAGAGCGTTCTTTGCAATCGTTTGGAAAGCTTGTTCTACGTTAATAGCGTCCTTAGCTGAAGTTTCAAAGTAGCTAATGTAAAATGCATAGGGGTAAGTTGGTTTGTCGAGAGCTATGTATCGATAGCTGTTGCTATCTCCACTTACGGAATGTTTCCCTTGGCCTGACAAAATGCCATAGCACGCTTTTGAGAGACCTACAAAGGAGTGATAACCCGCCCCCCTCATCAGTTTATGTGGAACGCTACGTATTTTCTATTTTTTTGCCATGCCATCTTTACCATACGCTTAGATTCATCCACATCAATCTTATTACCCAACACCACAAATGGGAAATTTTCAGGATCACGGGGCGATGCTTGTACTAAGAATTCATCATGCCACTGACTGAGCGATTCATAACTCTTATTGTTGTTCACGTCATAAACAAGTACACAGCAGTCGGCACCACGGTAAAATGCAACGCCTAAAGATTGAAAGCGTTCTTGGCCAGCAGTATCCCAAATCTGTTGGCGTTGTAATAAACAAGAAAAAACCGGCCGTCAGTGGAAAGAGATACAGTAGCCCCATCTACTCTTCCTATCGCCCTCGGCATCCATCACTTTTTTCCCTTTCACCTACCTGCATCGTAACTAGTTTGTCATCCACCATCACTTCCTTTGTCAAGAAATCAGCTCCGATGGTAGCTTTGTATTGTCCACTGAATTTTTTGTTGACATATTGGTTCATCAACGATGTCTTACCGACGCTATAATCACAGAGTACATAGTTGTTACCCACAGTAGGCAAAGTGAAACAAGACAATGGAGTAAGCATGTGAGAGGGCCCATGAGGCACTCATTAGGTCATAGACTGGGATTTTTTTCTTTTTTTTTGTTGTTTTTACCCACTATCACCTAGAATGATAACCTAAAACATGGAATAGGGTCTGTCAGTTGCTATCGTTTCTTTATAAAGTTGCTTTTCCGTCTCTCATCATTTACTTTCAACAAAACTTTCTTTCTGGTAGCCATTGCAATGAATTTATAGAAAGCAGATTAAAACTTCAAAAAAAAAAAAAAGAAAAAAAGAAACTCAAATTGGGAATAGAACAATGGAAAGAGAAAAACAGAAAATAAATCACATAGCACACTTGCTGTTGGACAAAAAAGAACCAAAAAGCAGAGAAAGAGGCCCAGTGGACCATGAACTCCGATCATCGTCCTCAGCAAGCACACCCCCAACCTGAATCACCACCTCTTTTTAGAGTCTCGCTTATGACCAACGAGGAGCAAAACACGAGGTACAGTGATGTACCTTGCATGAACCCCCATACATTCTAAAAGCCGTAGAAAGAAACGGTCTATAAAAGACAAGTATTTAGCAGTGAAGCAGTTGTTACATTATATTACTTTTATTCTGTAAGTGGTAAAAGGGTTTTAAGTTATGAAGGGTAATATGAGATAAATGGTATGTTAAAGACTTGGTTTTTCACAAATAAATAGGCTGTGTAAAAAGGTTACATGATAGTACAATTACTGTCTTTGCTCGAATTTTTCGCTGCAACGGCACTAGCTGAGCCATGGATAAAAGAGAGCTTTTTGTCTGGCAAAAGCGTTGTAGCGCGTTTTCTTTCATTCTTTTGACTTTTCACCATGGTTTCCAATAATTGCAGACGAGTCGTCGCTTCTTTATGCCCTTTTCCTTTTCGAACTGCTTTTGCATAATAATACTGTGCTCTTTGATAATCGCGTGGTACACCAATACCCACTTCATAATACCATCTATAAAATTCTCTCTCTTTTCAATATCCATTACCTTTCCCTACAATGATAACAACTCAAGTACTTACCCTAATAAATAGCAGGCATCGGGCACACCTTTATCTGCAGCTCGATGACACCATTTGAAAGCTGCGTCTTCATCACGCGGCCGAGACTTGACCCAATGGGATTCGTCTTGTTCAAATAAAGCCATTTGCTCTTCTAACTGCTCGGGTGGTACTTGAACACCTTGATTATACAGCCGACTCAATCGAACCATCGCGTACACGTTATCATTGGTTGTAGCAGCAAGCTCATAAAAGTGGAATGCTTTAGCGAGATGAATACGAACACCGTAAAGGCCCATTTCATAGATGTAGCCTAAACGATATTGGGCAGCCGACATACCCATCTCAGCAGCATGTTCAAGATAGGTTGTAGCAGCAAAAGTACCACCGTAATTTTGAATGAGCTCACTAAACAAAAAAAAAACAAAAAAAAAACGTACACACCTTGATGTCAGTGAAAAGAAACGCGGAGTAGCATCATCATTTTTTCCTTCGTTTTTCTTTTTTTACCTGGGTATATCAACGGAAGGGTAATCGTTGGTAAGGAGCAAACCTAAAGTGTAAGGTGCTTCTGGGCATGTTCCGGTAGACTTTTCTGACGCTTTGATGAGTAATTGTATAGCACCTACAATGTTTTTTCTGGACCCAAATTCACCATTCAGGTTGATCATAGCAATTCTCTATTGTATGAATTAAAGTACATGCATGCATGCATACCATGCATACCATGCTCAGCATCCTTTTTTTTTTTTTTTTTTTTTTTTTTTTTTTTTTTTTTTTTATCTTTCTTTCAAATGTATTCAACTTACATAAAATGCCTCGACTAATCCCAGACTAGCTGCGTCTTCGTAGAGTTGGAATGCAGTCATATAATCTTGCTCCTTTTCGTGATATTGGCCCACGGCAAACATGGCTTCTGGCACCTTTTCTTTTGCTGCAATTTCGTAGTATTTCAATGCTTTGGTCGAGCTCTTTCTAAAGCCATACATGCCTCGATCCACCCATAATCCTAGCAAATAAGCCGCTTCACCTACATGTTCATTGGCTAATCGTTTAATCCATCGAATGCCCTCGTTCTCCAGCATCTTTCTCTTTTTACGTTTGCTCGCACTCTCTTCATCCGCACCCTCCAGTAGTTGCTGAGTAAGCGCCGAATCTCGTCTCATCCCTCCGCCCGTCGACGACGTGAAATGCGTCTCCATACTGCTACGACGGCTTGCTGTAACCGCTCTCTCGTCTCCGTTCACTGTATGGACACTGTGCGTTGAATGCAAACTGGTGTTACTGTACCGACGCTGACGATGGTAATGCTTCAAGGAGACCGGTAAAGAAAGGGACAGATGGGGTCGGAAAGCCTGTCGCTTTTCGTCATACAGACTGGCTATTTCTAACAGGTACTTGGCGTACGTCAGTTGCACTTGTCGATCTTTGCTTTTGGTCGCCATACTACGGTAGAGTTTAATAGCGTCTGGATGGTTCGTTAAGCTGTAAGACGCTTTAGCATAGCGAGAAGCTGCCATACCATGTTGTTTTTGCATATACTGCTGCTGTAACATACGAGTCGACAAGGAAGGTGTCATCGACGGTGCCATGGAAGGAGTCAAAGAGGCTTTACGATGGTGTTCAGAAAGTGGAGGCCGTGCACCTGTTTGTCCGAATTTCTCTTGTTGTTGTTGTTGTTGTCGTTCTTGCTGCTGCTGTTGCCGCTGTGAATGCTCGTTGTCAGCCGTTAAGGCTGGTGTGGAAGGAGGCTGCGTCAATGCTATGTCTGGCACAGGCTTGCCTTGCGTTATCTTCCGTTCCTGCACCTTCAAGCCCTCCACATCAAGCTCCTCTGGGGATTCCGTCAACCCATGGACCGTTGTCGAGACAGTTGTATGAGTAACAGATGAGGATGGAAGACTCTTTCTAGCCGAAGCTAGAAATTCTGCTTGGTGTCGTGGCAATTGCGGAGGCTGCGGAAAAGGTGCAGTAAGAGAAAGTGTTGAATGTCCCACCTTGTCCTCTGATCTGCAGCTGTCATCACTACAAATAGTAGCTTGTTTATTGTTGTGATCACAGTCAAAAGCAGACTGATTGCTATCCAATGTAGGGGACAATAAATAAGATTCATTGATTGTTAACAAAGATGGAAATACGTCGATAGGAGGCAGCAGTTCCAACTCTTTTTTCTTTGCCGCATATTCATGTTGTTCCACTAGAATTTTCGATTCCTTCCTGCCAACAGATGCTGGTGTGGATGTGTTATTATGTTGCTGTTGCTGTATACTCCCTTCGATTCTTTCATTGACATGATTGTTATTGATGTACGAATTGGGCGAATTTATGGGTGGTGATACTGTCACCATAGAATTCTCCTCTTTTTCTGTTCCTAATTTGTTGTCTAATGGCATTGGCTGTACTGTTACACGTTTGTATTCGGCTGCAGGCATTCTTGTACTGTGGTGGGGAAGAGAGCCCATGGATGTGTTATGGGAGCTTAATTCACTATGATAGCCATTCTCATCCTCCTCATCCTCCTCCTCTTCATCATCATCATCATCATCATCATCATCAATAATATCAGGGTTCACCACTCTTAATCTGAAGGGTGAAGGCATATTCGTAGTAGCCGTGCCTGTATCAGATTCTACGGTGATTTTACTGTCGTTCATTATCAGATCGCCATTACTGCTTTGAGTCGTTGATCTCGTCGTATCCGTGTAATTCTCAGCGTTCGCTGACAGCATGTTTATCGTCATTCAATATTTGCATAAAATGGCAGCTGGTGAAAAAATGCTTCCAAAATAATGAATAAAAAATAAAAAAAAAAAAATTCTTTGTTTTTCTACGCAAAATAAATAAAAGAAAAGAGATGCGAAGCACAAAATGGAAAGGAAAAAGAATAAAAATAAAGCCTGATTCCCATTAAAAGCAAATAATTCAAGGCACAATGGATTCCATGTGATGAATTGAAAACGAGCTTATTGGTTTGTTATTCAATGGCAGACGAAACGATTCGTTGACTAAAAATAGCATACCTTTTTTTATTATCAGTAACACGATTTTCGCAGATTCATTCTAAAGAATAGAAAGTACACTTTATGGGCTAACATCTTATAATGCGTTTATCAAACAGTTCCAACTTTTGTTGGAACTTTAATAGCTTCAACATGCAATTGTAAACGAAATGGCGACATTGCAGTGGTTCTAGACCCACTCTTTCGAAATGACGAAATCACCCAATCAACTATTATGTTTATTTCTTTTGATGGAACGGAAGAGCATATGCTAGAATATTCTGTACCACGCAAAGCACACGTTGTGTATAAATAGCACTACTATCCTACATTGGAGACAGTAAATAGCTGTCTTGCCTTACATGCGCTTGCTGTTGAGCCAACTTGTCTAAACTTTCTTCGAGCTTCTCAATCTTGTTCAACAATGCTTGATTCAATTCTTCCAGTCGGTTCAGTCTTTCACTGTCGTCTTGCTCCTCTTTCTGTAGTCCAAGTGCTCTGTTAATAGGGAAGAAACTGTAATCCGCATTCTTCAAACAACCTGCAACATAGGATTCCGGGCCTGTGTATTCTGTGCGATCTTTATTTTTCAAGTGTACCAAGAAAAATAAGTATTGCCTACAATTTTTCCATGTGTAGCCCAACAAAAAGTACGCGGATCAGACTATGCCGCATGCTTTCTATCTGTCTCTAATTTTGCACTTGTATCGGAATTTTCTTACCAAATATTGTGATCATTCTTTACGTGATCTTCGAAGCCTTTTTTCGAATGACGCTGGAACTCCACGGCTGGTAGACTACAAATAAAGCAAGCTATCCTCTCTTCTAGTGAGTTATCTCACATGAGCTCAATGGCTTTGTTCAATTCTTTTGAAATTGAAAGACCTACATTCTTTGATATCCTGCTGAATAGCCGATCTCTCTAATAGAAAATCGATAGCATGAGAAAATGATAAGATTCATTCACAAGTATTACATGTCAACAAGTATCCTTACCATCACGAAGATACCCAAAAGTATCAAATATAATACCAAAAATGGCGTTCAACAAGAATACAACAACGACCAAATAAAAGGACATTTCAAATATGGTTCGCCATGCACTAGGCTTTTCGACTTCACTGGGCTCGAGTATGTCACCTATACCTCCTCCTGATCTTACCCTTGAAAAGACCATTGTGGATTATCAAAAGATACATCATGGATCAATCAAGCCGCTCAAATGAAACAAATGCCTTTTTTTCATTTTACCCATGTGATAAAACTGTAACGAAACACTCTGCAAGCGACCCACAGAACAAGCCTTTAGACTGATCAAATTCCTTCCTAAAATGCATATAAGCAATAATACTGTGTATATAGATGACAATTATACCCAGTACCGCCTAATTAAGAATAAAAATGATATGTAATGAGAAATAAACAAGTAATGTCCCTCATGTTTGACCTAGGGAGCAGCCGCCAGTTTATACTTACTGTTCGAGAGATTGAATTGACATTCAACGTGATGCTTGAAATGACACCTTGCAATATACTATCTCTAAATATAAAATCTAACAAGTGGAGAGCATAAAATGCCGGGTGCCTTAAACCGAACATGGAAAGAATGGTCATCATGATATGATACAAGAAACGGGATTAAGTAACAGTCGCCCAGAAAGGATGGATCATTTTAGGGCCATATCGACGGTTAATGAATACAGGCAATTGGATAAAGTAAAACTCAATGGTTAAAATCATCCAAAGAGTAAGATGTAAAAGCCCGCCAACCCACCAAGAAGAGAGAGCCAGTAAAGGAACATGAATATCATCATGTGTAAGGTGATCGAGCAATTCTGGGTAAAACATGAGCAGTAAATTTAAAAAGATGGAAACACCATACGCAGATTCCCACCAGAATGTGCTATGGTTGGTCAGAAAGGACAGATACTTATTATGAGCTACCATTGCCTGATTTTCTATCCTAAAGAGTATAATAAAAACTAATTGAGCACGTCGTTCATTCACGCTTGATTGTTAGTAAAAAGTGACCTACTCGTAAATAATCATCTCTGATTGTTGGACAAAATCTTCAATTTTACTGGAAGGAGATTCTCGATTAACATGCCACAAAAATCGATCCTTGGTTTGCGGACGCAGATACTGGCACACTTCAGGAATAGGGAATAAAACTCTACTCAATTGCTTCTCCTGCCCATAGTCCATGACAACTTCAATTGTCCCTGTATGGCTTTGAAAATATTCAAATGCAATATTGTCTTCGAAAAACATAGATGCCTAGTTCAAGAACTTTCAATACAACATCCCCTTTTTCGATTGCAAGATGTATGTCAAACAAGTTAGTATCGTTACCTGCTCCTTTTTCAAGGCTGGAGATAATGTCAGCACAAGAATACAATACAAAAATCCACATTCTAACTTGTCAAAAATATTTTTACTTCGTAACTTGTCTGTGTTTTCTGTGTAGATTGTATTCATGTTGCTTTTTATAGCACTCAAATCCAAAGACTCTGTCATCTCTTTGAAAATAATCTCGCTATTTTCAACTCCACCTTCCAACAGACTAAGCAAGCAGATCACAACCTTTGACTATATATTCAAGAAAGAAACGCTTTAATGGAAGCTCGTCAATTTCAAGCTCGTGAAAATTACTTTGCCTTAAGTTCATTCACTTGGTTATAATCGCATGATTCGTAGTTTTCTCGTAAAATTGCATTCATTGGGTTTATAATCTTATTATTGAAAATAGTAACTTGATTTTCCAAGCAACCCTATCAATGAGAAGAAAAAAAAAATAAGAATTCAAACCTCCCTCATGGGCGTCGATGGAGGCAATACCTGAGCCAGCTCTGTTATGGTATCTAAAACTTGTATAATTAAGCGAATATTTTTCTCGTCGCAGAGAGGTACAATGGCATGGAAATATTCTACTACGTCCAAAATAATATTGAAGCTCTTCAGGTTATCAGGTTGTTTTGCCAAATATCTTTGTAAATGAAGATTATGGCCCTCCGCCATTAACTGCAATACTCGCATAGTATCTTGCATTATCTTGTAATCCTTCACTGTTGATCCAAACTCGGACGTAGATTCACTATTGGTCACCATCAACAGCGAAATTTCTTGATATAATTTGCTTATATCGTCCGTTATCAACTGTGGTTGAGAAAACGATGGGCTTTCAATGAGACTTGCTGCCTTTTTTCTGATGAGTAACAAACTGCTACGTCGTCTTGTAACAGCAGTACTGTTGTTATTCTCCATCCCAAAGTCAATGAATTCGGCTGCTTCATTGTCCTTATCAAAATCAGTTCCTAAATGATACTGCTGTAACTGTTGAAGCTGTTGTTGTTGCATAATATTCTCCAGTATATGCTTTTGTCGATTTAGTTTGTATAACCTTCTAGATAGGTAGATCTGGGAGTCTTTTGAAGAGTTGATACCACTCTGCAGGCGCTGATGAAAAGAATAGAAGAAGCTCTCCTCTCTGATGCTATAGAAGTATTCTTCCATTTTATCCTACAAAAAAAAAATTATTCATGATCAATATCTCATAGTAGTAAGCATTTATGAAGCATATGTATTCAAAAATACTCACTTGAACGTTCTTGTTTCCACCATCTAATAAGGATATCAGTAACCTTAATGTTGCATCAAAAATTTGCTTACGAGGGGAAGACAATAACTTTTGAGCAACAAGTGTGCACCCCAGATTATTAAGCTTGTTTTGTGCATATTGCTTTTTGCTTTCCAACACCTCATATAAATCTGAATTTTGTTTCGGATCGTTCAAGGCCTGTTGATCAATATATTGTTTAGGAATTTCCTCTAATATCTTCATAGTAGCCACTTGGAAACATTCCATTCGTCGAGAAGAGTTAGTCGTTGTGATGGTTGAAAGATAGGTAATCAAGGATTCGATACTGTCACTCGCATCACTCTGCATATCTGTTAGATTGAAATGGGAGCCTATTTGTACAGGATAAATTAAGAATGTGAAAATGAAATACCTGACTACAATAGATATCTTAAATAGAAGCTTGAACTCTTGATGTTCATATTGCTCAACAGATTGACTCAATTTAATGCTGTCAATAAAAGCTTGGAAACTCTCATTGATGCTGTCTTTCAAGGGCTTCAGCCTACTGGATGTTGTTACATTCAATTGCTGTTCGTAACCGCGAGCGTAAAGTTTATTCAACCTGCTGGTAGCATCTTTAAGCGTATTCCGTAACTTATAAGGATTCATATTGCCTCGGAACCCAGAAACATTGATCATGCTATCCAAACAGGCTAGCGTTGCTTGAAGTGCCTTTTCGTCATCATAGGCAAGCGGTAAGAGTTTAACAATCGAATCTACCAGCGACGAATATTTCAATGCAACATCGGTAGCCACTTCTATTGATATATGGTACTCGAAGGCAGATCGAAGAAAAGCAAGCACACCACGAAAAACGTAATTGTAGAATGTTGTGTTGACGTTAGGCTGCTCTGTAAGACATTGTTGAATGGCCTGCTCGCATGTATCTACAAGCTTTAATATATTTTCATTATCATGGAAGGAGATGTCTGATGATAGTTCCAGGTCTTCCAAATAAACTGACGCCAAGAACTTCAACATGACTGATTTGAGACTGATGCAGATGTTCTCATCATCGACAACTTCATATATATCTTTAATAGAAAATATGGTTCGTGCGAATGACTGCCCAAAACTATTCTCACCTTGTGCGCATATAGCCAAAATACTGATAAAGTTGATACAGTAAGCTGAATTATGCATACTTTTCAAAGAATCCACACTATCAAAGGGTATATAATCCCTACGGTTATCCATGAAAAATTTCATCACAATATCCTGATTCTTCTTGACGAATTTGCCTTGCGTCTTCATCAGATCATGCAATACCAGTAAGTGATCATCCTGTTGTCCCTTTGAAGATCTTAAGATACGTATGATGTTTTTCTCCCTCATATGAATGCTCAGATAGAGATTGTTGGAACATAACTGAGCAAAATCATATGCCAATTCCGGTAATGTTTCAATAAAACTGATGAGCAACTCAATATTCGCCAAGATGAGCTGACTTTGAGCTTCTTTATCATGCCGAAAAACGTTGCATAGTAATTGAAAGGTAGAATGAAAAATGTCAAGATATATGGGAGAGCAGTCGATAGACAGAGTTCGAAAAGTTCTAAGAATATCTATCATTTGTTCACATCCGTTCAAGTTTTTGAATATACGGCAGTACAGTGTTTCATCGTACTTTGGCTCTATCTTATCACTTTTAAGCGGAACGATAATAAGTTGCTGTAAGTCCTTGATAGCATCCTTGATTTGATGTAGCTGATTTGAGCTTTCGTATTCGAAGCTATGTTTGTGCAATATTGTCCGGAGAGCCGCCAATCGCTCGTGTATTTTATTGTAAGTTTGATTCTGCTCTTTTTCTACGAGGACGATGGCACTAGCTGCCAACCTAAATAATTCTACAAAAGAATAAGTGAATTTCTATTGTTGATGAAATCATCAACTTTGGTACAAAGATACATGGCTACTTAGCTTACCTTGACTATCACTAAACAACCTGTGCATTATGATGACTGCCATCTCTTTTAACGGAGTATATTGATATTTCAATAAATCCTTTAAAATGGGCATCAGACCATTTTCTCGTTCCCGTAGCTGCGTTTCCTTAAAAATCGTAGTAATCAAATGCAGCTCTGATTCGCCGATGGATAAATCAATAGCAGATTTTCCACTGTTATTACATTTAACAAAAATAAAAAAAAAGTTTAAGCAAATAATAAGCGATGATCAATTTCTGTGGACCTATCAATACTTTTACCTATCAGTTTTACTCTTCCAAGCCTGCGCTAATTTCGACATACGTACACGTAATCTCAGATCAAATATTAAGTCAAAAATGCGTAAAATTTGGATCTTTGTGTTCATCGCGAATAGATTCTTCTCGGTCAACACATATCTCTCATACCATGGTCTGGGATTGGTTTCGTCTTTTATATACTCGTAATGCTCCTTATTCCTATAATATATCATTAACAAAATGCCATGTTATATATTTCTTTTTCCTTATAGCCACTAACCTTGCATCCGTACGACCGTCCAATATGTGAACAAGTGAACGAAACAGAATTTCTATATCGCGTTTAGTTTTAAAGAACCCAAGTTGCAACTGCGCATGAATAAGGTTTAAAACCGACGACAATAAATCGATCTCGTCTGTATTGTCTGTAAACTGTATAAATAGCAACTAAGTTATTCTAGTATTTTGGTGAAAGTGATGAGAAATAAATAGTACCTCATGGTGAATAGTATCCAAATATCTGAACGTCCAATGCTTTAAACTTTGAAAGAAGTCAGAATCAAATCCAACAGATCCCAAAGGATAATAATTGGAACCTTGTACAATGGCATTTGCGTCCATTGTGAAATCATGTAAAGCCACCTTTTCATAGCTACAGTTATCGACATATAAAACTATGATTCTTGTTAGAAAATCCTTGTATGTACCAAATATTTTAGTCTATTTACTATGGTACCTTTCAGTAAATCACAAAATTTTGTTTTGAGACTGTAGAGCAGCTTATTATTTTTTAAGCATTTTAAAATAACCTCCTTACTGATTAACTGACAAGCAAAATTGTTGGGCTGCGCATGAGGTTCGTCAGAAAGAGCGTAAACCAAACCGAGAAAGCTTTCCATAACGGATGTCATTTGTGGCTGTTCCTCTAATAATGAATTCAACTCTCGCCATATATCCTTTTTGAATTTTACCTCAACGAGGTTTTTATCTGAAACCCTACTTTGCATCAGACAAACGTTATTTTGATCAAAGAGCCGGTCACTGACTTGGATGCGATAAGACGTCGTAGTTATTGTCTTAGGTTCGAGATATTCTATGTTTGTTTGAGGAGGAATAAATTTGCTTCTCTGGCATAATGCACCCAAGAGTCGAATACTAACAATGTAGTCATGCTTCTTCATAACCCTATTGCCTTTTCCAAGCTCTTCAATAATCTCATCGGTTTGAGTAGATGCCTTCTCTATGAAGGCATCAAGAATAGTTTGTGAGATAAGACTATGTTGTTCAACCACTTCTAACAGATTGATCATCATCGATTTTGCACCGATATTATACGAAAGATGTTCGATGAATAATGCCATTCCTTCTTCACCTGCCTTGTGAAAAATGTAGTACTGATTTCTCAATGCGGTCTCATGTGTTTCGTGATTCTGCTGCCCACTTGTCTCAATTGTAGCTGGCCGAATCAAGAATACACGTAGCAAACTGTAGCATAACGAGAGTATAATACGTAGCTTCTTGTTCGATACTATTTCGTCACTTTTGGCTTCTTTTTCAGTTCCCTTCAGATATGACTGTTGTTGTGTACTTCCACTATAAGTTTGACGTGCTCTTCGTCTAATCTCTTTCCTTTTTTGGAGGCTGAAAGGTGCCATGATCATATCAATCACTGTTTCAATAATCCCAATGTCGCGTAGCAAATCCTGATGTGCTTCGATAGGTATACCTTTTCGGAATCTGAAGTCGTCTTCATTGCTTTTTGTACAGAACCGAATTAAGGCGTCTAATATATTAGCTACCGATTCAAATTCTTTCTCACTGATGGTGTAGGACAAAGATGAATGACCGGAAACAGTGCTGATTTGTCTATCTTTTGAAAGGTATAGATGGAGTTGAGGTAACATCTCGTTAGCGTAATTTACTTTATCTATTAATTCTTGATCGACAAAACTGATCGAAAAGCAATCGTGATAGTACATATCGGGGCTTGACGAAATTGTATAATAAGAAGTATCTGGGTCAAGGTTGTTTTCAAGAACAAAAGTTGAATTGAAACTTTTTGCTTCGAGTTTGCCATCGATCAATGATTGATTGCAGACAGATGACTCTATTGAATTTAAATGATCATAATGTGAATGGTATAATGTTGGTCTGCTAACTGGACTCGTACGCCTTTTGATATTGCTGTAAGGATACAGTTTTAAATACTCATTGGCGACAGAAGGGTTTAAAGAGAGCGTTGAATCATTCTGTTTCTCAACACCCGAATCGATAGACGCAACATCTTCCTCGCCTATAGGAGCATGTAACCAGCTGTTGGTAAGGACATGCTGAATGCGCACAAATGATCCATGTGGAATGCCTGAAACTGTAGGTGATGATACTGGGACAAACTGAAATACGGTGGTATCCTGCATCGAGTCAATAGGACGAGCAGGATTTCGTACAAGTCTTGATTCAAATATTGTTTTTCCAGTTTTGATATCAATGCGAACATTATCAGTATCAATAGACAAGTAGGCTCGAGAGATGACATGGCGAATTCGAACTTTACTGTTCCATCTAATTTTCGAGCCTCTTGATCCGTCTACATTTTCTAACTTCAAGCATAGATAATGACAATGACTTTTTAATTCAGGCAACAGTCAATATGATCCAGATTTTAATTTTACCTCAGAACGCTTGTGGTGAGTCTGTCTCCTTTGAATCCAAGGGGTTGATGATATGTTTTTTCAACAATACTAGATCCTCACTAGTCAATACGAATACTGATTAACTAACTAAAAGACACTTCGCTATCTTGAAGATTCCAATCTACCTGTTAGACGATGGGCCTTCTAGGTAAGCTTCAATTTCCTTATGATACATTCGAATATATTGACCAGACATTGAAAATTTATACTTCTTTATGCTCTGATTAGCAACGGAAGAACATTGTAGTGTTACCAACCAAGCCGACATTCGTGTATGAGAAAAAACGTCATAGCCAGTACTGTCTGCTGCCAAGTCATAATCTATATTTAAATACCCCTCAGGTTTTACACATTGCAAAGCGACTGTCTCTCCAACCCTGACCAGGTCTCCTACAAATCTGATACGATAGCGCGGCATAATGCGGAAGAACCCAACTGAGTCACTTGACAGAGTAGATCGTAGACGGTGTGGTTCTGATGTACTACCATTTAACTTATCTTTCCCTCCACCTGTCACTGTCAAGTACTTTTTAAAATGATGATTATGAATTTGAATTACTTGGCCGTACAGAATAGGTTTGCCAAAAAGTCGGCGCTCCTCTGCTTTATTTTGTGCTTTCTCCTTTGCTGCCTTTTGTTGAAGGTACTTCAGTTGCTTTAACTCCTCTGCCGAGGATTCGCAAAGAAGAGTATCTAAATCATCGTTGCCTATGAAGACGTCCAATTATTTTTGAGCAACGTGCGATTGTTGCGGTTCTAATCGGAAAATGGTGGATCGGATGGCATCGTTCGAAGAGATGAATGCCAAATTTTTTGGTCGAATACAAACACGGGTATTGAGTGAGTTTTCGGCCGTTAACACGTTATTATTAAGGTCGGTGAATGTTATCTCATCACCTAATCTCAAGATATCTGAAGATAGGTGCTCTAATGCAGTTGTCGTCGTGAACTATAGTGCACCTTGGTTCCCGTGTTCCTGTCAGTACCTGCAGCATGAATGGGCATTTAGCAGAAAACCAAAAATAAGGCTGTGAGACACGAATTGTCTGTGTACAAAGATTTATTGGGTAAAACTTTAATTCCAGAACACAGGATTGATTTTTATGGAAGGTATACGGATTTTCATGAAGATCATTTTGAGTGCTACAACTACTATTGTAATGCAAGGAAAAGTCTAGAATAAATTAGCAGAGTATAAGACATAAATAAAACAATGACGTGTATCAGATGGCTAAAATCGATCGTAATATGATGATTAATGTCTGATGCCTTTTTCAATGGTAATGGTTATGAACAAGCAACCATAATAAAGAATTTCTAAGCAGAAAGGACAATCAATCGACAGGCTACACCAAAAGTGTTACTAAACCGTGAATAATTCCAAAAAGGGGCCTACAAGTTTGTACAGTGAGTAATAATCGCTATTAACTATAGCATTACAATTGCAGAAAGACAGTTGAACATCCCATCCACATGTAAGATATTATTAGAGCAAAAAGGCTTCATCGACGATGTATGTTTTACTAAACAGAAAGAGATGTCAATTTCTCTACTTTGATTAGCGTTGAGGTATCACAATTTTCTTCGAAAAGAAGATAAACATAATAAACATACGTAATAAGTTGATACTATAGCACAATATTTACCAATAGGGTAGCAAATTAACGCAACAAATCTTACAGACTTCGACAGATAAAAGTGCGAATGGCATGTTTAAGTACTGAATTTCACAATTGTCAATAATAATAAACCTATTTGTACGTAAACACACGTATATAAATTTATCTTCTCTTTTCTTTTAATGGTCAATATGGCCATCTATGTTAGTACCCCTACTTATTATACTTAATTTGAAATCATAAACTTTGCTGAATAATACTCATACGTTACCTATATCTAGACAGAATAATTCTTTACAATGCTTCAAGCCTTATGTAATATACTACTATCTACTAATAGCTTTAGTATACTCGCTTTATTGAAAAAGACCAGGAAGGAAGAAGGGGTAGGGAAGAAAAGTCTTTGTATTCAAGCCTTTGATACTTAATGCCTTTTTTTTTTTTTTTTGGACAAAAAACGGAAATGCTGCATGGCCGCAACTGATATGCTTGTTATTCACATAAAAAGTGATGTGGGTATCTGGTTAACCCTATTCTCTGGTTAACTATATCTTCTTTTGAAAGCCTTGAAGCCAAAATGGCGCCTATGATGGCTTTCCCTAAGTCGGCCCTTTCCTTACCCTTCCAGAAGAATGTGAGCTTTTTAACAAAATTTATGCTATCCATTGCCTAGACATGCATAATCGTTTGTTTATATTTATCAAATTTAAATGAATGGCGCTACTCCAGATTAACAGGTTGCCTATCATATTATGGAAACTCTCGACAATTTCGGCAATCATCTGCCTCTCACAATGGCCGTTTGAGTGCACAATACTTCATGAAATGGATTATTTAGTAATAGTCGATTGTTAGAGCAGGCAAGAATGTCCAGTACTATTATTTGTTCAGCAGTTACTCTCCCTCCTTTATAGACACTAATATTATATTTTCTTTCCTCTTCATTTTCCCAGTCAATCCAACTGAGGATTTCCTTTCTGAAAACACTTTTTGACCTAACGAGAGCAATGCGGCATATCATAGATGCCTTACGCTCAACAGTCATGAAAAGAATTCCAAAGATAATAATTTTTTTTGTTTAAATCGTAATGTGCTGTTGCTGAATTTAGTGTAATATTGACTCTGTGCGTCAATTAGCGAGGTTTGTTACCAAGCTGAACGTGATTACATCCCTTACATAAGCATTTCTGGAAGCAAAACAGAAATTCCATTTTGGGGTAGGCCCTAGGGGGACAGAATTAATCTGCGTACATGTCGTTAAAGGAAGTGGGGAAAACGTTAATGTCCAAATCCATTTCTTTGTTTGTGTTTCTATATTTTCATTGTTTTCTACCCAACCCTTATTTATTTTCATTTTTCTTTCCCTTCATTAATCATTTATTATTTATTGCCATTCCATTTCTTTAAAAACCAGAATGCCTTCCACAATGCAAATGCAGTCCATTTCGGGCATCATTACCCAGATTCATGCTTCCTCGAAGGAAGTGCCTCCAGCTTTAGTGGGTGCATCAACGAATATTATTGGCAACAAAATATATGTATTTGCAGGACGACTCGCTACGTCTCGAAAAATGACAAATTATCTGTATATACTTGATTTAGACACACTTTCTTGGACTCGGCATATACCTCCACCCGATTCCGATAAACCACCTACACCTCGTTATTTTCATTCAGCCAGTGTCTATCAGCAGCAATTGCTGATATTCGGAGGTATGGGCTATTCAAAGGAAGAAGCGACATCAACAGTAACAACAGCCGGTCTTTCTGTATTAGATGATATGATCATATTTGATACAGAAACAGCATGTTGGAAACGGCCAGAAATAAAACCTTCTCTATATTCACCTCTAGCACGATACGCTCATCTTTCTTCCGTTACTGAGGACAAGTTCCTAGTTATCGGCGGACAAGACCTAGACAATAATTATTTAGATGAAATGAGTGTGTTAAATTTGAATACTTGGGAATGGGAGCATCTGAATACATTCGATAAACATGTGGGAGCCTATAAATCTATTGCTGTGAAAGCTCCTGCGGGTGCTCGACTTACAGCAACAAACGGAACCAATACTATTAACAATGGATCTGCGAACGGCAGTACAGCGAATAGTTCAGAGGTGACTATAACCGAACCAGAAAACACTTCAAATGAAAATAGTACTGTTAACACAGCTACAGAGGACACCAAGAACAACAACACTAACGGTTCTAAGCCGCAGCAACAACAAAGGCAACGTAGTAGTAATTATTTACCGTCTACAACTACCACTGTACGCCAGACTCGACCAGCTCCTATACAAACAGTAGATGAAGTGGCACCAATTTATTTATACACCAACTACAATTTCGCTGATGTTAAACGAGAATTAAAACTAATATTCCCCAGCAGTTACAAAGCAAACGTACTGAATGTAGAAGATTATTCAAGTACTATGAATGGAGTAACCATGCCTCCAGGTTTACGTTTTCCAACAGGACATGCTTTAGGCAATCACCTTATATTAGCAGGCACTTATCTATCTCCAAATGTTCAGGCGTACGCTATTTGGGCATTTGATATAACCAAGCAAACTTGGTCACGCATAGAAACAGGCAATGTTCTTAATTCAGGCTCATGGAATCGTGGTCTTTTGCATGAAAAAACCAATCGATTTATTGTGTTTGGCAATACAAACAGAAATTTATTAGACGACTATAGTCATCGACAGATCAATTTCGAGCACATTGCTATCGTCGACCTGGAAGCATTCGGCATCTATTCCTTACCCATGTCAACATGCTCATCCTTGGCACAAGAGATGGGATTACGACTATTGAACGAACCAGCAGTTTCCGACTTCTATATTATCACACAGGACGACATGACTATTCCTGTTAATTCAGCTGTTTTATGCCAGCGTTGGCCTTATTTTGCTGATCTACTAATAGAGAATAAGAAAAAGATAGAGACAAAAAGGGCAGCGTCTAAGCAATCAATAGGTGAGACATCTGGTCCAATCGAAGGCGAACAGAATAACAGCGAAAATGAGTCCATCTCAGCGAATACAAATGGAAACATGCCTGAGGACAAGGGTGATAGTACAGTAATGCAGGAAAAAGAAGAGGAAACACCGATAAGAAGTCAATATATGCTATTTCCATATCCGTATTCGGTCGTTATCGCTCTATTACAATTTATTTACACGGATAACTTACTAACTGCTCAGCAATATCAGCCTCCAATTTTAGCCCAACTCTTACTACTATCCGATATGTATCACTTACCTCGACTGAAAGAGTTGGCAACACATGCTCTTCACCAAATGTTAAATATTACTACTGCACCTCTTATTTTTGAAACAGCCGCATTATCGCATCAGACTAGCCTGCAAGTACGCGCTTTAAAAATGATGATAGCGGCTAAAAAGATGATCCAGGAACAGCAATTGCAACAACAGCGAAATCCACAAAATACATACCCATCACATCCATTTCAGCAGCATAGTGTGCTGAGGTCAAGAACGGTATCAACACCTGTGTCGTCCTCAACCGCACCTCATATGGATCGGACATCCAACATCACACCCTCACCATCTGTATCTTCAACAAGCTTCGCCCGTCTTCTTAATAATGACTCCTCACCCATAAAGGCAAGCACGCCTATTCCGAGAACATCAAATGTCAATAATTATATTGATCCACAGCAACAACACGAGACACCTTCTGGCGGACTAAGTCCAAGCAATAGCAGTACCATATTGTCCCCGACGTTGCCAAAATCATTCATAGGGCAATCTGCTCCTCCCTCCTCCTCTGCCAGTAACAATTATCAACGACGAGCTTCCACTATAAAGTCCGTTTCCTCTATCCCGTCATCCCCTCGGCCATCTCAAGCACCACCTGTCAATAGCAATCTCTATACTCTTCCTACATCTGAAACAACTTATCAAGCAACACCAGTGAACACTGCATACCCTACTTCCCCCGGTGTCATTACGAATACCACTACTTCAGCTGATACAGCAGCTATAGCAAATGAGCAGCATAATCTACAACGACCTGGAAGCCCTTTACAACAACAAACATCACCACTTAGTCAAGATAATGATAATAACACTATTACCACTAAAGTTCCAACAGTATCAAAACCTACAAAAGAAAAAAAGAAAAAGAATGCCTTTTTAGGCGCTTTCAGCAAATTCTCTTCAAAATCATCATAACCCTTTTTTAGGAAAGAAAAACTTTAGGTATTCCTAGTTGTTTTTTCCCCTTGTGAATAATACATAATAAAGTATATAGCAGAATTCTCATCTACATAGTTAAAAAGATTCTTCAGAATGCATATTTATTGCAACACTGTGTAAACGGATTGACTCTTTTGTGTCTAAAATCAGTTCATATCTAGAGCTGACCATCTTACTTCTTTTTTCTTTCTTAAGAACGAATTGGAAGGACTTAAACATGATTTTCTAAGGGTATTATTTATAGCGACTGGATGAACGGTTGAACTAGAGGTAGTAGGGGTGGGTGAAGATGGTATCGTTCCGCCTGCTGCAGTGTTCTTTACTGGTGAACCTTCCATCTTCTCATTTTTACCGTAATGCCGCTGCTGATAATAACTTAACTTGACTTGCATTTCGTCCAACTGTCTTTGCATCTTACTCACCGTTTGTTCCTTTTCCAACTCGACCTGCCTCAACTTGGACTTCAATTCTTCAATTTCTTTATTCTTACGCTCCAACTGCTTGGCCCTGGATTCAAGTTGGGCTTTGAGTGTCAGGCATAAATCGCCATCATCTTGTGCACTGGGATGTGAGAACAACTCAAATTCTAAAAGTTGATGGGCGCTTGGGCGGTAGTCGGGCCGTTTATCCATCATCCACAGAATTAATGCGCTGACTTTAGGATACAATTCTAAGAAACCCTCTGGGAAGATGCCTCGTTTGAGTTTATCAATAGTATCTGCTCTCTCCATGCCCGTCGAGAAAGGTTGAAAGAGTTCAAAGAGGATGATGCCGAGGGAGTAAATGTCAACTTTTTCATCGTAGGCTTGAGCAGGAACCGCAAGTTGTTCTGGTGAAGCGTAGGTACGAGTACCCACACCGACAGTACGCATTCTTTGCGCCTTGGGTCGTTTGGGTTTGTTCTTAATGCGAACAGTCGCTGCTGAAGTAGTGGCACTTTCAGCCTGGACACCGCTGGTATTGCTGAAACTCATACTTGTCATACTTCCCGGACTAGTGACTACTTCGGCAAGGGTTGAGTTAGAGCTATTTGATGCAGCAGAGGTGGAGATAGGGGATATTTTAGGGCTCGGAGGTGTTGAAGAGATAGGAGTAGGAACAAGAACGGTATCGCCACTACCTTCTTCATGTATCGCTTCAGCCGCTAAACCGAAATCACCGATCTTCGGTACCAAGGATTCATTCCACATAGTAAAAATGCTGTTGTTGCTATTGTTGTTATCAAAGACCGCTAAAAGGGCGCTGTTGGGATTGGGAGAAGCAGCAGATCCCAAGGTCATAGAAGCAGTTGGCGTCGGATTGTTGGTTTGCTGTGACAGGCCTACATTACTCACTCGTCGACGCCTTTTTCCATCCACGTCGTTCACATAGGTTGAGCCAGAAGGAAGGGTTAGGAAAATATTGCTTGGCTTCAAATCTCTGTGAATCAAGCCTTGATCATGGATATAAGCAGTTCCTTCTAATATTTGTGCGAAAATTTCAATATTGCGTCTACTGTCTACCACGCTCAAGTCACCATCTTCTGCATATTGTTTATTACGAAAACGAATATAATCGTGAAGAGTTGCTATAGAAATTGCATACAATGAAAAGCTTAATTGGTATAAAGTTAAACTCACTCTACATTGTTTCTTTCGTGTAACCTACTTGGGCATAATTGCATTTGAATAAACAAAGTCCAGCCTGTACTATCATTACTGCTATTTTTTGTCTTTGTATTTTTGTTACTGTTGCTGTTACTGTTTTTTGTTGGTTTTTTGCGATGTTCTTTTTGTTGCGATGGGTGTATATTACAGTTTGTGTTTTTGTAGGGTATATTCATTGATAATGATGTGCTAGCATTTGTGGTATCATTTGCGAAATAGTCACTGGACTCGCCAAATTGTATCTGAGACATGCCACTTACTTCATCACCGCCGCCAAAAGAGATATCAGCACCTGCAGAGAAGGAGAATGAATGTGAATGATCGTCGCTACTGAAAGTTGGATCTCTTCCTCTGAAAATGAAGCTTTCATCTTCGTCACTTTCAATATAAGATGCCGCTGTCGAATGATGTTTATGGTATGATTGTGATGTATCTTCTTCCCAATCCGACTCATCGGTGCCTACTTCTTTGTCGTCATCCATCTCTGAATTCATGTCGTATTCTAACCAAGAAGAATAATAACGAATCACGTTATTGTGTTCGAGTCTCGCCAAATTCTTTATTTCTCGAAATATCTTTTCGTAAGGGTTATCTTCCATGGAGGATTGTTGTGCCTTTTCTTCAATATCACGACCTAGCCGAATTTTTTTTATTGCGTAATCAACACCGTCTAATTTATTACGTGCACGGTAAGCGCTTGCAAAACCTCCTTTACCAATCAAATTCAATTCGATGAAATCATTATTGTATCGTGAATTTTGTACACTTAAATTATAAAAGAAATCCACATGCGGTTGATGTTGATGCTGAGCACCGCAGCCGCTCATAAACGATTGGAAACTAGTTGAAATAGGTGAATGCATTTTATGACTGTTGCTGACTACTGAGGGGTAAGAGTTACTAAAACTAGAGGATAATAGATGCTCTTGTAATTGCATATGTTGTTGATGTAATGACACGTTGGCAGTTTCAGATGATGTCGCTTGTACTGAAAAATAATCTGGCACATCGTTTCTGAAAGAAGTTCTTCGACTGTTGTAATTACTACTATTACTACTAGTGTCACCACTACTGCCAGGCTCAGCACTAGTAGTGCTACTGCTTCTAAAAGAGCACTCCTCCTCTATGTCTCCTTTTTCTACAGCGTTTTCATTGGCCGGTGCCGATTTAATCCTCATTGCTGGTAAAGGATTGTCATCAAAGCTTAATAAATCTTGATTACGGACGGTTTGAACAGCGGTATAGAATAATTTATTGAAAGCTTGTTGAAAAGCCGAGCGAACGCTTGTCATTTCATCCACAAACTCAGCGTCAATAATTCCTAAGGAACGTAAGGTTTGACAAATTAAGAAGAATACTTTTCTATTGGCATCGGGTGTATCGCCATAGCTTCGACAAAAATGCTCAATGAGTGAGGCCAGTAGCATTTTTGTTTGATATCGTTTTGTTGAATTATCTCTATCTTGATGATTGTTGATGACTGGTTTGGCAATAATATGCGTTGACGTAGCTGTAGCTAAAGGTGGTGGTTGTTGTTGTTGTTGCTGATTGCTGATACTGTTGCTACTGTCGTTGGTACGGGTATATTGGTATCCAGGGGAGTGCGTCTTAACATCTTTAACCATGTGAGGAATGAAGATAGTAAAGAGCAAATTAGTTTGTTTAGCGTTTATTTAAGTTCATTAGCCATGTCTACTCCGTACCTTTTCTCTTATTTTTTGCAAACATGATATATGACCCTTCTTCAACTTCCTTCTCTAAGTCGTCGCCGTCGTCGTCGTCTGTTACTGGTTTTCTCCAAAATTTATTGTCAGAATCAATAGAATCTTCATTGCTACTATTAGAATCTACATTGGCCCTAAAAGACATTGCATTGAATTTCCGCGTTTGTGTATGAGAGTGACAGAGTGGGTGTGGTATGGATTTATATTGTACGTTTTCAACCAAGAAAGAGTAAGAGAAAGAGACAGAGACCGCAGGGAAAAAAAATGGAAGTTTGATAGTTTTCTAAAAATCGAGAGGAATAATACATTATTTTAGCTCGTATTTTAGACAATTTACAATTTTTGATGGACAACATACGTTTTAAATTTAGATTTATTAAAAAAACTTTTAGAATAAAGTTTATAGTATTTTGGATATCAATTTAGTTACTCAATTTTTCAGTGATATCCAAGCAGCATTAAGGATGACATACAATCAAACCCGAGAAATGAGTCTCCATCAGTAAGAAAGTCGCCAATAATGGTCTTATTGACGTTATCTTGCAATAGGCCAAATTGCGAAAAGCTTATTAACTTTTTTTATTCAATGACGATGTGTTCCGCGACAGTTCCAAAAAAGGTCAACTTGTGAATTGATTGACATCAAACTATTGATAGAGGGCTGAGGGCCATAGTATCATAGTGGAACGGGATGGTTATATTATCTGTTGTCAATGTTTTTGTCTCACTTTTATTTCACGTTTTATGATGCATACGATGACCCATGTTTAAAACAATAATTTATGTAAAGAAAAAGCAAATCTTTGAAAAGAAAAAATAAAAGTGCTGTTCATGGTAACTTGCCTTTTGAATGCCTATCTACCTGATCATATATATACATATAGATTAATTATTGTGTACTGTTAGACGTAACATGTATTGATTGCGGTAAAGGGGGTCATTACACCCAACAATACTTTAAATGTGACTTTTATGAGCCAGAAACTGCAGATCAAGGTAAGCACGTCATGTGGCTTTAAAAGTTGGTAAATTCATCATTAGTACGCGACCTTATTGTACCTATGATTGGTTCGAAAGGTAGAAAACGCAAACAGAACTTTGAGATCAAAGAAAAGGATGAAGACCCAAATAAAGACAGTTGTACCAAATGCAAGCAACCAGGGCATAAATCGGTGCGTTCTCCTCTGTGACCTCAACATGTATTATTAAAGGCAGAGGTCTTTCAACATCATTTGGGGAGTAATTATAAGGCGTTTACAAGAAGGTTGCCTCTTGCTAATTGTGTTTTTAGTGACTATCGCAACACTTTCTAATCAAAAGTGAAGAAGAAAGTATCACCGTAGTAAACACGGTTTTCCTTATATTTTAAGGATTTAGATTATTACGGGTGAGGAATAGTATTTTTTCTGTTTGTTTTGCACTATTGACAAGTTTTTGAATTTGAATCATTGGTTGAACGGTTTATATTTTCGTCTACAACACAATTGCAACTCATCTAAAATAAAACTATTAATCGTCCAAAAAAAAATGTATTCATCTAAAATATTAGTTAAAATACTGTATTGGATGGGAAGGGGCCTAGCCCGCGGTGGAGGTAGTTAACACCTTTGGCTTTCCAAACCAACGATTGTTGGTTCGATTCCTGTAGCCGCTGAAATTTTTTTAGCTTTAATCCCTTTCTCTCTGCTTCCTAGGGTTTTTTAATGCCGCTATCAAGGTGGTTCTCGGTCGGTGTTGGTGTTCAAACAAGTTATGAATAATTGCGGTGCCCGCCCAGGCTTAATTAAGCAAGATCCCGAACCGCGCCCAAAGTCTTAGCCTACCAATTATAATGATTAGTTTAGCCCCTTCCCCCTCCCCCATTTAGATAGTATGCTTTTTCGCCCACCACGGCACCCTGACCGACACTATGCATCGCTCTATTCTCAACTCGAGCTGCCCCGGGCAATTTTCTGATATGTAGTTTATCTGTGTGCCCATTGGGTTTAAACATTGTATAATAAAAATCATGTTTAATCGTACTTCATTGTTAAGCTTTTATAGAGCGTTGCAATTATTCAATAGATAGCGTGACTGCTTCAGGCCACTCACTTACTTGGTATAAAGTCTGAACAAATAATTTGGCTGATAGATTGTATTAAAAGAAATACAAGGATTAAACTAGATGAAAGTACTTTTTGAAATATGCCAAAATGTGGTTATTTTTGCTAATATGATCTACAATAAAGTGAAATAAAATATATGCTTCTTTTTTTTTATTGCTCTATCAACACATGATTGCTATTTTTGAGTTGAACTTGGACTAGTCTAGTAATAAAATTAACTAGCAAATTACCTATGCAAGCATACGCCACTTATCAGATTTCATCATAGCGCATTGAGCACAGCATGAGTATACCACCTGGTTTATTTTTGATATTTACCCTGAGAACTTTATCAACCAAAGGCTGTACGAGTATTTCTGGTGGATTCCTGACTACACACTTTTATCACCTATTTAATTTTTTTGAGCGAGACGGTTGGCGTAGCCAATTATTTTCTCCTGTATGACAAAACCTTACAACAGACTCAAATGAGGCATTATACAGCGCCTGTATACAATGTAAGAGCGCTAGGAAGAGATATACTATGAACAGGAGTTATATTTTTTTTTACTATATATAATATAAATAATAATAAGTGTCAGAAACTAGGATAAAAGCAATAAGTGAAAGACAAGTTGAGTTTATTGAAAAGGGTTTTCAGCATAGAGGAGAAAAAACTAGTCATTCTTCTTGAATCTGTTGTACTGTACGCGCAATACTTCAGCATTCTTGTATTTAATAACATCGGTTTTCTGTTTAAGTTGAGCATAGCAATCGCGCCAGTTCATGCGTTTGCGAGTTGATTTATAGGTTTCGACAAACCTCATAGTATTCTCGTATCTTTCTTCATTTGCACTTTTACCAACTGTCGTATCGTAAGAGGGTTCTTCAGTATCCACTTCCTCAAAAAGTCTTTTTACTTGTTGTAGCTTTTGTATTCCAGAAACAGATTCTTCTTGTAATGAAGGCGAGTCGTATTGCATACGTTCTGTAGTGTTTAATATTCTTTCGTAATGTTGGATACCAATATTACATATACTTATTAACGTATTTAAGAGCTCTGTTTCGTGTTTGATAGACTGTTCTAGAAAATCCTTGGCTATTTGAAATAGTAATTGAGTTACAGGATCCTTCCACGAATTGCTTTCCAATGGAGGTCGTTCGAAAACCACATGAACGAGAGCATACTACGGGAACAGGGTTCATGCCAGTGGGGACTGATATATTGGGAGAGAAGGAGCGATTAAACCCCTTGGCTTCATCCAAAAACTCATGCGTGACGAAAAAAAGGGAAAAGGAAAATTTTAAAATCGCGCAAAATTTTGTGGAGTATTTATAGTTTTTCGGTTCTGCCTCTCTCCAACTTGCATGAAGCCTGTTCCCATAGTATGCTCTCGTCCATGTGGTTTTCGAACGATCTCCAATAAACATGTTTGTTGTTTTATCAAAAAAACTGCTATTACAGTGAATGGGTGAAGCTCGTTGTTGGTTTCAGAAGAAACACTCTTCGCGTTGACTAGATAACATTTCTTCGCCCAATACTCGCACGATAAAGACAGAGCACTAAACTTGTTGAGGCTAGATCTATCATTTGTATTTATGCTTGTAGTTTGAGTGTTGAATATAAGCAAAATAGGCAATACTTTATATCTGCGATACGCCATAATACAGTAGTGTGCTACCCGGTTCATAAAATCAGCGTTAACCGTTGCTTGTACTTCTACAATAATGGGTGGTTGATCAAAAGACACATGCATAGGCTCATATACGACATCAGATCTGAGGCCGTGATCCCATTTTGAGTCGCCGATTCTATAAGCATCTCCATTGGTATCCATTAAAGCTCTTGTGATTATGCTCCTCACGTCAGGATGTTTAAGAACGAATTTACTCACTTGATCAGAACCAGGGCGTTCACCGAAGGGTGTTTTGTATGTGAATAAGTCTTCTATTTGTATGGAGCAATATTAACTTCTCAACCAAATGGAATAAATGACACTAAAATCACCTTGAGAAGTCATGAAAACGTAAGAAAACCGTAACAGAACCGTAACAGAAGTCGCGGTTATAAAGTGATGTGTCTGCCCCCATATTCGCTTGAACTAAAACCAGTTGAACAGTTCTGGGCAATTGTAAAAGGAAGATTGAAGTGTCACAGGTTGTTGACTGAAGAGAAAATGTCTGAGGCTTGTAATGACATACCTGTTAAAAATTTGTACCACTTTGCTAGTCATTCTAAACGACAAATCATTCATTGTTACAAGAAAACCCCATTCTAAATATTCTAATTGTCTAAAAAAACAATATATTAATCGCAAACTTATATTGCAATTGACAAGTATATTTTTGTAAAAGACAATTTAACTTTTATTTGGCAAATCGGTTTTATTTGGGGGCAATTGCTTTTGGCTTTTTAGTGTCATTTAATTTTGGCAAAGTGACAATATTTACCGTTCTCACTACCCATGACACAGTTCGCAACCTTGCAAGAAGCACTCTAACAAGCCTTAATGTGCTTATAAAGCTACCCACAACAGAAGGCATATGGCTTAAAGCGAAAAGGCTGTAAGATAGTTACATACTGCTCTTAATATTGCGATACATAACCATTCAAATCTTGCTTAGCATACGGAATGAGGAAGCGCTCGACAGCGCTTCTTACTACAAACTGTATTATCAGAACAGATGAATTTTATTAATATTGAATGCTGCAGTGACGATACTTTGAGGTAGTATTGTTAATCATTTGGAGTAATTGTGTGGCATGGAGACTTTCAGAGAAAGAAAAAGTTGAGTTGTCGATTGGTGATGATTGTATTTGGTAGCAGCAATGCCAGAATAAATGGGTGACGCGCAATAAAGTACGGATATTTTTTAGTGTTATGAATGAGTGAAGAGAGGACAATGAATTAGGCAGGGTGATGCGGCCAATTTCTGTCATGGTAAAGAAATGATTATGTACCATTTGTGTCATAAAAAAAACTAATTGATATCCTACAAAGCATTGTGAAATAGTTATGATCCAATATCAAATGTAGTAACGTTTTCCTTCTTACCATTGACTTGAAAAGTGAGAACGGGATGGCCATACTTCAAGACGCTGTTGCGCGACAAGACGGAGAGCCTGAGAGTGTCCAGGCAAAGGGAATGGTTGGTGGTGCTGTCGCCGCCAAGCTTGACTTCCCCAAAACCAAGGGATTGCCCAAATGTGCGTTGGACCATGGTGGATACAATGGCGTCCGGTCGAATGTCATTGGTCATTGTGTCCGCTTTGTTCGGCCATCGTAATACAACTTTCCTCGTTGTATCTGCCAACATGGACGACAGCAAAGGATCAAAATACCTGGTTTGCATGTCTACTTCTCCAAACTGATTCTTGTCTGCGATGGCGTCGAACGGTAGTTTGACTAACCTACAATGAAAATAGATGGGGGATGGGTAAGGATTTCATTTTAGTACTAAGACGCTCTTTTCTCTACCACACTACAATATTTACAAATCAGCAATGCCTTCAACAATTGGCCGATGAATATTGAAGCAGACGGTGAAAAATCGAGATTGTTCACACGAGGTTTGTGATGGTGGCGGGTGTAATCTTAGAGCTTTGAGGATCAAAGCAGAATGAGGGGAAATATACCGCGAGGCCTTCTTGCCATATCTGCCAGCGTTGAGGACAGTTAAGTGTGAAATAATCAAACGTCGGTGTCATAATTACAAAGTCTGCAGGTGTCAGATGGAATTACCCCTGCGGCTTGTAAGACGTATAAGCATGGTAGTTTTTTCAAAATAGTACAATAGCCTAGGCCACGAGTCGGAAGAAACAAAGGAAGAGACCAGTATGATATTTGTAGTTGTTTTATGTTTAGTGAACGCGACTTATAACTTTGATATAAACTGTAAGGTGAAATGAGTCTCCTTTAGTCCTTTTATTATACACTGAAAATCAGAGAGGGAAGCGTTCATAGCGAATTGGATGTTTGTATTGACAACAAAAGAAAGAAGGAAAGGAAAGAGATACCAAAAAAAAGGAGCTAAATACTCGTTCTTAACCAGTAGGAATGCAGCATTATGTATGCGTATGTCTTTAGAGTACACGACGACGTGTGCAAGTGTTATTATGATTCTATGATCATAATAACGAGTCAAATGCTTGAAAGTGTGTCTAATTCGTCTTTATATATTATAGGAGGTATGGAAATACCACAACCAGAACAGGTTGAATATCCATTTGGAAATTACCCCTATTCCTGATGCTTGTTGTAATTGTTTGGTATGATAGAGCCTGGACGATGAAGCCGAATAATGATGCCAAAAGGCACTGTTGACCAATTGTCGAGTAGTAATTTTTCCAATGCCATATCTGAATCGTCGGTAGCTATAGAAGAGCTTACCAGCAATCTATTAATAAAGGGGTGAAGCTGCACTGTGGAATCTGTGAGTGAAATGTGAAAGCAACCGCGGTTTCACATTATATTCTCCTGGTCGTTTCAATAGAAGATGGTTGGTGAACTGACCGTGAAGGAATAAAAGTGTTTGCAAGCATCTTCGGATGGCATTCTACCCAGTGCAACTCCGGAAGGCTTGTAAACAAAGAATGTAGTGGGAAAAGTAATAAGCTCTCTAGTGGAATATCCTCCAAAGGGAGGGTAACATCCAAATGATCAAAGGCTGTAAACATAATCGGTATAACTAAGGTTGGGTGACTAAGATTGGGATTTCGATAAATATCACAAAAGAAGGGAAGTATGGGACTAGTAAATTTAATGCCCATCAGCCGAAAATGGTGTCGAAGGGATGCTTGAACTGAAGAAGATGTGGTGAAAATAACATTATTAACCATTTCATTTGCAGTATTAAATGTTGTACCGCAACGAGTAACAAACCAGCTCCTCCTAAGTTTTTGGGCATAATCAGGCGAGCATTGGAAACTAGTGGGAACTTTTTCGCCACACAAATTGATAGCTAATTCGCTGTATGGTGATGTGGAAGGCTTTGGTAGGATGGAATATACGAAGACAGTGCTAAATGTGGACAATATTAGTGTATCCACTATCGTTACTCGACCGCGCAGTGATAATTTGTCTTTGTGAGTATTTCATTTTATTGGTGACCCGAAACTTATTGGAATTGTAGTTTATGTCCCATTTTCAAAAGCCCAGCTCAAATACTTTCCAATGGCTGTAATTACATTTTCCATGTGAACGAGCCACTCGACTGAATTGCCTGTTATACGCTAATGATATGGTATTGAATGCAGACCGTCACCATCTACAACGTCTATTACACCATTGTGAAATCACATTTAAGTCCTTGGTTACCGCTGGCACCCTGATAAATGTGTTATTCTCGACTCTCATAATGACTCTATAACTTATAGTTTTTATGAATCTCCCTTAGATTCTGTTAATTCATTCCCCTACTATGGTGTTCCTTTCCGCTTGGGCGGCTATTTGTATTACAACGAACTCATTCGTATCAAAACCACGAAAGCATTGGCTACGATGAATATCCTCAGCTCTATTGGCCTAAACAACCATGACTTTGAGAAAATCTTGGCCCTCAGATTTTACGCTCAAATAATCCGACCGCAACTAGAGTACGGTGCAGCTAAATGCCTTTTCACCTCCGCAAACATCCTCAGGCTGGAGAAGGCCCAAACTACCTGTATTTGAAGGATCTTTGGTGGTTCGTTCGGTTCCTCTGTAAATTCATGCTCCACATGGCTGAACTACCATCTATGACGGAACGCTGTGCCATTCTCCAGGCTAAATACATACTTCGTTCTCATCACTACCAAGTGATGCTCTCTTCACTTTACTGCTCCCCTATATACAAGATCCATCCAGTAAATTAACTTATAGTTGTATCAGCCACTCTCCTATTTGGAACCGAGTTCAACAACAATCTTCTACAACCACAAAGTCCTCAGCCAATGCATTCATGATTTTCGCACAGAAACCCTACATGAACAGCAATAACCACGCCAAAATTTAAAGTTACTCTCTGAGTGTCGGCCATTCATCAGCTTAGACCCTATACTCTGGCTCCCCATGACTAGTGAAGAGCGTAGCCGCTGTATCCAATGGCGTTTCAGATGGCTATCTAGTGGTCATTCCAACTTCTGCTTCCATCATCCCACCACCACCATGATCAAACAATATGCCATACACTGCTTACAGATTCATCAACGCCTGATGATGCCACATCAATTTTAAATCCATTATTTAATCATTTAATCAACCTCCCACCCGCCCTCCGCGATCAGTTGCCACTTGCCAATCATGAAGAGTCCGTTGGCCGGCCATTTGTCACATTCTTTATGGACTTGACCACTTGTGGCATGGAATTGATCCACTAAATGAAAATAAGCTTAGTACTATCGCTTTTGTCAAAGCAGCAGCAAATTGAACTTATTTCATGTTCGTTAAAAAGCTATATTAGTTATGAATATACTAGGGTTTTTTATCAAATACCTGTATAAATTCTTCTGACAGATAAAAGATTGTTTTATCCAGTGATTGTATTTATCTGTCAAGCAACCAATATTAACGTAGCATCATTCATTAAAGCATTTTTATCCTCTATTCCTTTCGAACACAGAAATTGCAGCAGCATAAATATTATCATGTCAGTCGCACAAACATTCGATAAAACCATAGAAAAGTGAAAAGAGTATCCATAAAGCCTTTTGATCTCAATACATAAATTATCGAACTAGCCTTACTGAACATAATTTATGTGAAACATCATGTCAAAGATAAACAAGCTTTTCAGCCATGTACTATCAACAACCTACAACTAATCCATCATCCTCTCTTCATTCGTCTGAGCAAATTAAGGTAATATAAGACGAGATGCTTCTATACATACTTTCATTCAATCTTTCTGTCCAAGAAGAATCAACTGTTTAAATCTAGAATAAATATTACCACACTTAAAAGAAGGACATGGCATTTCATAACGAAAATTTAAGCTTTATAGAAACAAGAATGATTTGAACTTAGCACAAGCCATTCAAAGATAAAATATTTGAACTATAACAGTACTGATAATGATATTGCCATACAATTAATTAATGGTGCTAGTAATCGTAAAGCATTTGAAATACATAGCAGTAAAGTCGATGAAAATATGAAAGCCATTAGAGAATAAGTGAATGTAAATATTAATCAAAAACAATAAAATTTTTAAGTTGCGTTTAGTGTTGATTGTGGGGGATCAAAGGATAAATATGTCCATCTGATTTTCCGAACAAGCCCATCCGTTAACAGCACTCGACACATCTTTTTGTCCGGAATACATTCTTCAATAATGCCTTTTTCATAATCACCTCCTGTCCATTTGATGTAAATATCTCGATTCGCTTGAAATTTCTTACTTAGCTCTTCAAAAGCGTATTCTTGTTCGATTCGTCGTTCAGCAATCCGTTTCTATTATAGAGAAAAAAAATGGTTACAAACTAGCGATTTTGCGTTGAAACAAGCAAATTATAACTTTTACCGGATCATGTAAAGGACAATACGTATTGTATAGTGAATGTTGAGATAAAAGGTCACGGTTGGATAGTCGCTCCATAGTACCATTTGTATTCAACACGCAAGTGGCATGAACGGCTCTATAACATTTACCAATGCAGCATTGTATACAAGCTCCTGTTTTTTGCTTGCAAATGGTGCAGGTCTATATGTCATATTTTAGTGATAAAGGTTGTTTGAGCATGTAGCTGTTGGAAATTGTGTATATTGAGAATAACTTACCAAATTCCACCTTGATTTGGGTATTCGATCGATACCGTACACTACGTTGCCCTTGATATGTATTTCAGGTATAGCTTCCGCACATAATTGGTGTACCTTGTCAATAACATTGTCGGCTAATTGGAGCAGAGGTAACGTCTTATTATTCGACGAACAAAGTTTACATAATGTACTGTTGATGCTGCTATTGTCCATCATTAGTTTTCTTTTTTTTCTATTCATATCCTTAGAACGTCTGCTGGCACTGCTTGGTTTGTTGCTGTGACTAATATCATAAGTACTGTTCTCTTCCTCATCGTGCTGTCGTCCAAACAAGGAAGTGACGTCTATTCTTACTGAATCATCATCTAAACAAGTGCATCGTTTTGCCCGTTTGCCGATGTCTAACCAAGCTTCTGTAGCAAAATTAACACTTTCTGCACAATTGAAATCCAAGTTGTATCCTGCATGATAGCCATACGGGTAAGTAATCATGAATTCGCCTGGTTGTTGAACGCATCTTTGAAAAGGTATGTTATTCTCTTCCAGAACCTTGGGCGAAACAATAAATGTTTTGTGTCGTAAGAATTCATGGCAGCCTTTATAATGTTGGTAAAATGTATCTATAATTGAATAATAGTGGAAACACATGAGTCAGCATATATCATCTTTTACATATAGACATGATAGATATTATCAAAGCTTATAATCATACAATATTATAACATACTTTGCATAAACTTTTCGAATTTTTGATATGAGGAAGTAGGAATTGTATACCATTGTTTAGGAGCACCAAAATGTATATAATTGATAGAGTAGAGATCCAAATCCTAAAAGAAGATAAAAAAATTCAGCAACTTCTTTATACAATGGTTCCTTCAAAAAACCGCTACTGGCTGAACTTCCTGAATGATGGCATTTTATTCATGCACGTACCTCCACATGCCATGGAAAAGTTGCTTTCCACATACCAAAGTATAGATATGGCTTATTCACGCCGGGAAGTGTTTCCTTCATCGTGTTTAGCAGATTATCCAAATTATTAGGATTCCAATGCTCAATTGTTGTATCAAATAATGCTATCATCATTAAGGGAACGAGAATAAGAAGGTGACAAGCTTGATAAGAACTCATGTGGAAGGTACCAGTTTGTAAAATCATAATTACTTCCTGACATATCAGCACCATATAATGGCTGATTAAATGTAATATTTCTCCAGTAATTTCTTTCATATTCTTTATACTGATCTACACTTAAGTGACACGTTTCCGATACATAATCAATTGGGAATCGAGCATCTTGACTATTATCAATGAACATTGAAGTAGCAATAGCATTATGTGATGCTATCTGGTCAATTTTATGCTTTCTATCAGTCTTAATCGCTGTAGCAGCGAGGTTCATTTTCGGCGTTGACTTCGTGCGGTTGATCTTTGGTGGACGATTTTCAGCCCTTTGACATAAACTGAACCATTCCTCCACTTTAAATTTCTTTCTCTTTTCGACGTTGGTTTGAAGGAACAATCCTCGGCTACCTAGTATATGCTGCGTCTGAAATATCAATTTTAGGGATGTAAGGGGAAAAAAGGCAATGTAGATCAGAAACAGACGTCTTCTTGTTAAACTATAATACTAATCACTAGAGAAAGAAAATGAACGACATAGAACGAAAATACTGTACAATTGGCTTTGTGATGGTGATTTCATCAATTTTTTCTGCACAAGATTCAAATACATCCTTCCTCCTGAAGTATAAGAGTGGGTATGAACCGATTAGTGAAAGAATATTGTCATAGTAAGAGGACTTAATACAACAGCAGTGGTTTACCATTCTGGTGGTGGAATGACTTTGACAATACCCGCTTTCCGACCATAATGATCAATGCTTTGTGTAAATACCCTAAAATCTTTGAACTCCTCAAAAGTCGGTTTGAAGATTGGAACTTGCCCACCATTCTCCTTAAACAATGAAAAATAATCATGCAGTAACAATAAATAAGGTGCATGAAGAAAATATCGTTAGGTTACAGAATTTTGTTTGGAAGCCATCAGTTGAGTTGAGTGTATATAGGCGTGTTAGGCTTACTTGGTCATAATATCCGACTGGCTTAAGGTTTAGTGTCATGCTCCTCTTCACTGATTATGATATGAAAGAGAGACAGAAGAAAAAGGGAAAGAAAAGGATCAAACAATAAAAAATCAATATCAAAGAATCTAAATATGTCCACAAGGGAGCAAGCCTGTGTTGAATAAGCGAAAATAAAATAAAGAGACCCGAACAATAAATCCCCATTTTTTCCTTTCGTTTAAATTCAATATTTTCTATTTGCTAATGTTTGTTAAATCAAAGAAAACAATTGCATTGTTACTCTGAGACCTCTATTTTTTGCATAAAAATTATATTCCACCACTATCTCACTTGGATGGTCTATAAGTCAAATGAATTATCTTAAGATAATCACTCTCTTATGTGAGTGATATGCCATTAGCGCACTATACGATATATCCTAGCGAGACAAATTCTGCAATGTTCAATAAGCAATGATCTTCGAACTACTTTAGCAGTTGCGTTCTATCTACTAGTGTAAATTAAGCTTACATGGAGGTACAAGTTTTATGCAGTCTGTCTTTTTGCTTGTTGTGGCGTTCATGAAAACTCAGATGAGCTTTGGCTTGCTATACGGCGAATTCTTCAAAATTACTATATTTGGCATATGGTAGGCTCATTACATATGAGAAGGGTGTATTTATTGATTTATATGTGTATACAATAGTCAACGAACCTACTGTAAGCTTAAGTATACTGGCTGTCATAAATAGGCTTATTGTGCATGTGTTTGTATTCATTGTCTGTGCTTAAGAACAACCCTTTTCTTTACTGCTGTCTGAATTTGAAGTCTTGCTTTTTTCGACAAATCTGTTGAGCAATTTTATACGCGAACTTCCTTCCGTCCCTTCGCATCTCGTTTTTCTTCTCTTTCAGACTGTTAATCTCAATCTTCGAATCATAGTATACAAGATGACGATTTACTACACTTTAACATTTGCTATTCTCTGTATTGAGGTATCGTATCTATGATCAACAACGAATAAATTCTTGGTTTGGTTTGGCTTTTCTGATTATGTTTCATTTTTTCTTTTAGATGTTTTTATTTTGTCTGCTTGTTGTAAGGAACAGAACGTCCATATGTTCACTATCAACAGAAGCACCATTTAATCCTCTTGAAACATAGGTACCCCTTCCTGCTCGTTGGCGTAGAGCAATCCTCAAGTTCAGTGCATCTTCTCCATTGGTAAAATATAGTTGATAGGTAGCAAACGGATCCAAATGATCACATTGTATTCATGTACCATTATTTTAATTGTTAAATTATAGGTTGCCAAGGCTTTATACTTTTTGAAGATAATCTTTGCGTAATATTGTATATCAGATTATAAAACGAAAGTTTTCTTCATGATTCAAAGCTAACTTATCTTGCATAACTTCTTTAGATTCATTTTCGTTTTATTCATAGGTAAACATTTTTACATACAGATCAAAGGTCGGATTGGAAAAAAGGGATAAAATCTTAAGTAACTGTGTTCATTCAAATGTTCATAGATGCCTTTAACCGTTTGCAACATATCAGCGAACGTCGTAATGACGAACATAATCAACCTTCATACCATGATTATAACGCTGAAGCTGCTCAAAAGGCCAACAGATTCTATGCTCAAAGAAACCTTTATCTGTGTGGTTTCACTCTCTTCTTATCACTGTAGGTTATCGAAGATCGCATTTCACTTTGAGCGAAAGTAGAACATAGCGGACCGTTTCATTAACAATCCAAACTTTATTTCCCCATGTCTGATTTAGCATTCTTGAACGTACAACTACCGTTTTGAATCAAATGATCCAGCATGAGGATGAGCTCAATGAACATAAGACGAGAAGCGCTTCAAAAGAAGCCGACGAGAAGCGCTTACTCGAAATTCAAACTGGCTACGAAAACGAAATTGAAAAGCTTGAAAAGGAATTAAAGGAACTCCAAAGTCAGAATAAGGATATGAACGCCTTGAAGATGCAAGCTCAACAACAATCAGAAGAATACTCAAAACTTGCTGCTCAGAAATCTAAACTTGCCAGTGTAGATCAGTTACATGCCATTTAAGAGAAGCAGTTTATTGTATGGTTTAATATACAGATGACAGATGAAATAAAGATAAAAAAAAGAGTAAAAACTCTTTTACAAATGATGTGGATTGATTTGACACTAAAGACTATTTTGCTGCACTAGCTGTTGATTGTCGATAGTTGATCACTGAAATATTACAGTGCTAGCATAATATAACTACAATGATATTGTGGTTTACTTTTAAAATTGTCATATATAAACAGATGAATGAGGGTAATATGCTGCAGAAAACAAGTGGATGGTTTTTCAAACAGCAATGCTGGTATCTACTTCAAACGCTGTATCTTCATCCTCTTCTCCATCGACAAAATCTTCAGGATCGTAAATAACTCTGATGACGAGGGAACAAGTAGGGCAGCGAGCTATATCGTCACCATCCTTTATATCGTCCTATTACGAAAAATATTAATACTTTTTTATATACAATAGAAACAAAGTGAAACAAAGCTGATCACTTTACCAAGTATAACTCAAACTTATCCCCACAAGGACAAGGATATACATAAACTTGGTCTTCTTCAATGAATTCCATATCTTCAATTTCAACCTGCAGTAGAGAAAAGTTTACTAAAACCAAATCAGAGAAACTTCCAAAAAAGATTTCGTCTCTCTACCTCATCATAGAAGGAAGCCATGTTTTACGATCTGTTGTGGCAAAGTAAGAGCCGCAGAAATCAAGAAAAAAACAGGCACTTAAATCAAGTGAGGAAAACAAAAAAAGAACCTACCAAGGCCTTCAGACCAATCAAAAATCGTCCTACTGAACAATGAACTGTCTTTGAATATGCCAATTCTTCTCTACCATTGGGCGTGTTTCGAATCAAAGAGCAAAACTTCATACAGGATAAATGTGAAATGTCTTTATTTGCTATAACCAATAGGGAAAAAAAAATAGTAAACGGCTACTTCAGAATGGTTCCAAAAGTAGCTAAACAATTGACAAGAAGAAAAAAAGGGGTGCGAGAAGCAATGAATTATTGACAAAACCTTGTAGGTAGTGGGAGTGTTTTGAGTAGAGCTAGGACGGACCATGGGTTAAAAGGGAATTTGGCGAACTGCATTGAGATACTGCCAGGCCCGTTGGCTTTGGTAAGAAAAAGAATAATTAGTAAAAAAAAACCATTCCAGATTTAAAGCAAATTGTGATTATTGATACTAACAGTAGTTCCTGATAGTATCGTTGAAGGAAGGTTGAATAGTCTTCTAAAGTAAGATCAGCTTGCTTAACATTTTTGTCATTGGAAGTAGTTGATACTGCCTGTACAATTCCTAATAAACATAATCCTAGTAAGAAGATATGGTAGCCTGCACAGTGAATTTTCATCTCAACAATTTGAAGAATAATAGGGAAATTTTTCAAATGTGCTAGCTTAATATAATTCGCAGGGCCAACTTTTTTCCTTGTATAATTTATCAACAAATGCTATTGTCTGCTAGTTTTTAACCATGACGATTTTAAAAATAGAATAGGACTAAATTTCAACCTACAAAGATTTATATAAATCACATGCCGTCTTATTGTAGTTTTGACCTCCATTTGAAAGTTGCTCAGGCAAGATGAGGCAAAGTTAGTGAGTGCAAAAAAGCCGTTACTGGCATGCTCTGTCGTTGCTAATACTTCTTCAGAAGGATTATATTATAAGGTGGTATATCATTATACATCGATACATAAGAATCCGATATAAGACGAGAGAACGGATTTTATTTCATTATATACGAAATAGATTCAAGTACAAATCGAACTTGATGATACGTCATTATTGTTTGGGTGCTAATGATTGCTACTAATGTCGTTGGGAACCAATTGGAAACAACGGCGGCAATGGTGGAAGTGGTGGAAGTGGCGGAAGAGGTGGAAGAGGCGGCAAAGGAAAGAAAGGTGGAATTGGTATAAGACGGTTGCTGGTCTCAATTGCAGCAGGTCGAGCTCGTCGAACCGCGTCAGCATATTGAGTGGTCCTATCGCTTTAGAAGCCAAAAGAGTAGCGAATTTAATAATGGCTTGTAATTAAATCTGCATGAATGAAACTGACCGAAATTCTTTCTGATATTGATCATATAGCTTTGAGTAATCATCTGCCGTAACAATGCTAGCTTCCTTACCACCACTCCTACTATTCGTTTTAGCAGTCGTGGCTTGTGCAATCACAATTAGAAGGAGTGTTAAGAACAGTCCCAAAAGGTTAGTGAAATGCAATCTCATTGTAGGTTCTTGACTAGAAACTGTAAAGTATTTACTGGCTTTTATGTTGCAAGTATTCAAAATTTATAATGGATAAAACCAACTTTCATGAATAATTTATCATTGCTGCATTTTTCGACAATAGATGGTATCTTGTAGATCACATGGAGGCTAACATAACAATTAGATGCTTTCTTTAATATGGACGAAAGGTTCAATTATTAAACTTAAATGATATACAATTCTCAACTGATAAACAAAGTTAAAGCAAAGGAAAAGCTTAGCAAGCTTATTGACTATATCTACAGGTTCAATATTGATCGTCTTCATCTTCATTATTGTCCATCATAATATCTGCATTCTCATCGATGTGTTGTCTCTGCTGCCCTTTCAATACTCTTTCCGCTTCAATAAACGATTTTCCAATTCTTTCCTCTACCCACTTTATCCTTTCTAGATTACCTTCCTCTACCGCTTCTACTAACCCAGGAAACTGTATCGCCATGCCAGTACGAATGTGCGGTCCGTAAATTCTATGCTTTAACCATCGACTTTCAGGTGGGTTCAAACCAGCTTCATCGCAAAAGGCGCGTTCAAATCGCATGAGCCGATCATTGGCGTCTGCCACGCGTTCTTGTAATTTTCTCGAAACGTGCTTTTTCTTGATAATCCATTGCCGAGCCCATTTCTCTAACCTTCTGTCAAATTGTATACTTGTGTAACTGAGAGATGGTAAAGTAGCAGAAATGAATGGAAACATGGTGGTAAAGCAGTTCCTGATATTACCATCCCTCTGTACGTTAGAAAGTGCTGTTGAAGTCAATGATGTTAATGATGTTGTTGAAAGGGCGGCATTATTAAGCTGTTGTAGTGCCTGTACTATGTTGTTGGTATAGTCATGAGTCAACATGGGCAATATAGGGTCTGATGCCAAACGTAATAACAGCAAACCCCAGATACGTGTTAGTGTTTGGTGATATTCAAAAAGAGGATCAATATCATCTGATGACAGCATATGCTGAATTGTGTCCAGATTGCTGTGACGCAATGAAAATACTCCTTCAGTTGTACTTGTATTTTGCATTAATGTGTCATTGATTTCTTTGTTGCGAAAGCCAATCGAAAGGCTGGAAACACCTAAATGATGAAAAAAAGCTGTATGATCTAAGCTCGGTTCAAGCATATCTATTAGAGGAGCTAGGAACTGCGGTGATAATTGATTTCCATTTTGTGTTCCCTCATGTTCCTTTTTCACTATGGTTGATATCATTTTATCCTGTGCATGTTGTTGACGAAGGCGAAGAGAATCTTTTTTCCATCTTTCATACACTGTCTGACTGGTTTGAGGATCAATAACTTCATTAGTGACTTGATAAAGCAATCTGCTCAACAAGGGTGACGCTTGAGCTACGAATTGCTTGCCTGATACTGCATGGTCAACATTCAGATAAGCAACAAGTCGCTCTTTCAACCAAGATGCATTATCCTCTATCCATTCTGTAGAGCCGATTGCGCCATACTCTTTAGCATCCCATGAAGCAATCATTATTGTGCGCTTCGGTTTCCATCCGCGGCTTACAAGTATGCCAATTGTTCTTACCAATTCCATCTATTGTATTGATATATATAGTTAAAAAAAGAGAGAAGATATGAGCTTTTTAAGGATACCCAATAAAAGATGTGATTCTTTATAACATAAAATTACCATGACAGCAGATCCTGAAGAGGCATCAATGGCACCATAACTCCATGCATCTCTATGATTACCAATCATCACAATACGGTCTGGATACTCGCTTCCTTCTATTTTACTAATGACGTTATAAATTGGCCTAATTTGATACTCGTTCAAGTTGATTAAATTAACTAATGCTTCACTCGGGCCACTATGATATGACCTGTTCTTATCAAACAACATATGTTCTGGTTGTCTGCTTGCGAATCCATGGCCTTCTAATGCTTTCAAAAAAGGTTGAGCGTCTTTCCATGAAATAGGTAAGGACGGTATTTTGGGAATGTTTGTCAACTCATCATAAGGCATCCGAGTGATGTTTTCTGTCGCAGCAAAGTTAGGTGTAAAAGGATCACCTACACCAATACTATTGTATTGTACAGAGCCACGTTCAACATAACTGTATCTGTACGCAAAGATAAGGATTTCTCAATAAATACGACAAATAATTTCTAAAAAGAGATTGCATTACGCTTACAAAGTTGGCGAGATGGTTGATAATGATGAAACAACTCGAGCCATATCAGAAAACAAAATGACACCAACACAGCCCTGTTCTTCTGCCATTTTCACTTTCGAGCCCATGGTTATACCACCGCCCTGTCGAATCAAAGCAATGGTTCCGTTCAATAAAATACCTTGTTGAGTTAAAGAATCGAAATCTATCAAGCGGCCATAGTTCACATAGACTAACGGGCCTGTTACATTGCCATTTCCTGAATAAGCATGGAAAGCTGGTGTTGCAGTCCCTCTGCTCTTTCTTTGATAAGCTTCTGTTGCTGCTGTATGTTGTCCTGATGGTCCCTCTTCATGACTATCCGTTGTATCGGTATCTAGTACGGCTTCATATAAAAGATGTTCAGGCCCTTTGATGATCGCCAGTCGACGACGCCTAGGATAATTTAAGGTGGGATAATATGTTTCAATTTCTGTATCATTAAGTCCATAGTCCCGAATCCAAGTATCGCGTGTCCATTCTGCTAAGTGTTTATCTTGATCTGAACCAGCTAGATGAGGTTGAGCAGCGTAAGTTGAGAAATGATGCCTGATATGGTCGGCAGATGGAATAGATTGAATAAGGTCAGCTGCTGTTTCACTTGGCAGTACCTCTACAAATAAAAAGTCATATTTGCAACATATTAAAGGAACAATATATTTTCGTAGGAGTTTCTTTTTTGTTGTTGCCTTTGTTGCTATTCTTACCAAAATGTATATAGTGGCCAATAAAACGTTGAATAAAATATGAAGAAATAGCAAAGAAGATTACGGTACATAATATTCTTATGCCTTTACGTCTGGCTCGTAAAATTAAAGTGCGTGGTGTGGATTTTTCTTTTTGTCGGGAAGTGAGTAAGAAGTAACTTAAATAAAGCCAAACTTGTGAAAACCAAGATGTCGTGGTATAATTCCATCTATTGGCGTCAACAGAAGAAGAGTAGTCATCTTTAGCAGCTGAGATAACATTATAAGTTGTGGAAGATGTCTTCTCATGTTTGACGAGAAGAGGTGATGTGGAATAGGCAGTAGTGGTTAGAGCAGGGCTGTTGTTAAGGTAATAGTAGTTGGATTGTTGATGAATGTTTAAAACCAAATCTGCTTCTTTTATAGATTGATAAGATCTCTTTTCATCTTGGTCGTCTGAACGTATTGGTGATGTTAGTGAAGGTATCGGTTTAGATGAAGGAATGAATGAGTAATAGTGATAGAGATCTTGATGCTGTTCCTTTTTTTGCTCAAAAGTTTTATTGAATGGTCTCATGGATTATTGCTGTGGAGAGTAAACGAATAATAAGCGGTACTAAAGCAACATTGTTTGAAGGGTAGCAGTTTATTTATATAGTTTTTTTGTTACAGAGTTTTCGTTGTGTATCCAAAATAAATAGTTGTTTTACGTTATAACAAACTAGAACCTTAAGTCATAAAGCGCGTTCATGCGAAAACTTTAAAATGACTCAAAAAAGAAGGGAAAAAAAAAAAAGCATTCTGGCTTATGGATTAGGGTATGGTATGAGCATTTGTTACAATAGTGACGTATAAGAGCGTAAATCTTTTTATTAATTAGATTGAAATCAACCAGTGATTGAAATTGGTATATGTTAAAAATAGCTAAAGAGATGTCTTTTGCATAACTATGGTAAGCAATGAATATGCATGTTTACTCCAACAAAAAAGGAAAAAAAAAAGAATCCAAATCGGATATGATACAAATAGAAGACAAAGGTCACTCCTATCAGAAAGTCGAGATTGCCGTTGTCAAACAGAATCCTTGGTCTGGATCTTCGAATACTTTACCAGTCGTAGGATTAACACGCACAACATCGCATATGGTGACGGACTGATGAGAGTAAGGACTCAGAAAAGCAAGAAATGGTTTATACTTTAAAACACCTCTGACGACGAGACCATAAGGATATCTGATGATACGAGACCACCGCTCATTTCCACTTTTATCCGCTCCGGGTGATTTTATTCGGATTTGACTGGTCGCAGTTACCATTTTCTTGCTGAAGAAGGATGAAGAAAACGATAAAGGTTCGTCAAAATGGTAAAACCCACCCAAGTATTCAGCAGGATCTACACCTTGGTATACAGGAGTGCTGCTGCTGTCGTTGGTCGAAAACATCATACCTATTGCCCCATCATGGTCACCATCAATATCATTATCGCTATCTGGTACTACTTGACTAAAAGCAAACACGCTAATATCCGCATCAGCAATACGAACAGTCCACAAATTGGTATTAATTGCATTGATATGAAGGTCGAAAATAAGTTCCTTATCAGACGATAAGACACGCCCCATATCCACAGTAACATCTTTGAGAGGTTGTGAAATATAGGTCACAAAGATGAATAAAAGAATAAGGAGAGAGACCAGACTGATACAAATATTTCTTAACCACCTTGTACATGTATTTGCTTTCTGACCATGTTGCTGCTGTAGTTTGGTATGGTTGTGACGATAAGCTCGATGTTGTCTATAGGGTGGTATGGAAGCTCTTCCTGCTGCAGTTACTTCTTCGTCATCCGTTATATAGCCACCATCTATATTGATGCCACCATAGTTAGAATAAAATCGTCTAAAACCATTCAAAGGTTGTTGTTTTGTAGAATTCTGTTGTTGTTGTTGTTGTTGTTGTTGTTGTTGTTGCTGCTGCTGATATAAAGATGAGCTGTGTTTTCCTGCTGCACCTTCGAACCATTCATGCGCATGATGAAAGAGCTTTGATTGACTAAAAGGGTGATCCATAATGTAACTTCGTAATTTGGGCCTATTACTGGTACTGTTAAAAGATGGATCTTCATTTTGGTTCACATTATTATTGATATTGTTCATCGTATTTGATACTGCAGTAGATGGTATAATACCCAGCGAAGGGGTTAACGGAGGGGGTATAGGTGATGATGATTCCGATCTGCATTTTGATAGAATGGGTCGTAGTAATGTATTAAAAAAGCCTGTGGGTGTCAGTCGACCACCCTTATTATTACTATAATAGCTCGTCAATGTAGTATTCGTCGCAGCAGGTGTAAGTAAGGTCTCACTTGTATTATTAGTTGTTAAAAGAGAACGCGTCGACTGAGGCCGATAAAGAGACGATGTTGTTCGATAGAGAGTATCAGTTGAATTCATGTGATAGACAGTAGAGTCCGTATTATTACCTCCACTGTAGGGGTAAACGTACTGTTCGTTCTCGTCCGAATCTTCAGCATTAGAAACTGCATCGACGAGATTTCGGTGAAAGACTTCTGAGGGCGTCGCTGTATTACCACTTATGGGCGGAATTTTTTTCCTTTTCATATTGTTGTTATTTCGACGATGTTCCATCTCATTCTTCACTTTGGTGAGGGTTGACTTAGTTTGCAGAGCTGTGCTTAGATTACACGTTGGTGTCGTAGGATTACTACTGCTGTTGTTGCTACTATGAATATTATTGGTGGTCAAAGATTGCAGAGTAGTAACAAGTGGTAAGGTAACAGCCGAGGTTAAAGGAGGAGGCACTGCAGTAATGGTGGACAGTGCTGGAGTATCTGGTAATTGATGTTGCGATTGAGAAGTGGGAGTGGAAAGACTGGTAGTCGAAGAATGCGGAGGATTGGATATATTGTTATTATGGATATAATTAGTCGGTATATTTGTGGGAGTTGTCACAGTTGTATTTGCAGTTGTATTTGACGATGACGTTGCTGTAGTAGTGGTGGAAGTAGAGGTTGTGCCTGTGTTTACATTACTGGAAGTATCAAACCGTGCTTTTTCGGTGATTAGCGTTTTGTCAAATCCACCACCCAAAGCAGCAGCAGCCGAGTTGGACGCAGAAAATTTCTTCAAACCTTCGCCATGATGTGTTGTTACATATTTCGGTAAAATAGGTCGACTCACATTAGGTTTAGCTGGATTTTTTGAAGAGTCTTCTTCGGCAGTACCTGCTGTCTTATTCATGCTATTATGACTATTGTCAGCTGGCATTGTATTTTGAGGTTTTGATAGGAAATTCAAAAAGAAAGTTGTTGAAGATCAATGTAAGGAATGGAACAACAATTAAGTTGTGCAATGGACGAAAATGATTCAACCGGAATAAAAAGAGAGATATAAGTGAGTGAAGGTCCTTTCAAATTCTCAATTGCCTGCTTTTACGTAAGAAAGTGAATGGTTCAATTGAAATTTGGAACAACAGTTTACAAAAAAAGGGGACAGAATTTAAGAATTTTCGAAAAAGAGAACGAGTGAGAGAGAGAAGGAGAACAAGATCGAAAAAGGGCCGTACAAACCTGTCCTTGTTTTCCGTTTTTCTCATTTTTTTTTTCTTTTTTTTTTTTGTTTGGCTTGCTTGCTGTGAATAGCATGATTTTTTTTTTTGAATAAAAAAAAAATAGAACCGTTTTTTTAGGCCCCATGGAACCTGAGCATTGAAAATGAAGGGCGGTGTCTACTTTTTTTGGTTTCTCTCCAGCACCCTTCAAGAAGCAGGTTGTAGTCCGCGCAACCATTGTCCAGCAAAGTTCCCCTCTTTTAGCAAACCGTGGACAGATGTGCTTTTTTCGCTCTGACTAACAACGCCCAGACACCGATCATTTGAGTAGAATCATATAGCAAGCAGCTCATCCTGTTCAGCTGTACCTCTTCATACTATTTATTTTTTTGTTCGTCCACCCCTTTTTCAGTTTATTCCAAATAGGCTATAGTAACATTAATGATAATGGCACCCCACCCCCTCCTTCTTCTCCTTTCTCCTTACAATTATCAAAGTAACTGCACATGTTACGCAAAAATTTCAATTCGTGTCATCCTGCAACCCGTAAGACGATAAGCAGGTAGTCTGCATTGTTAGTTGTTGAACATTTGTTTGCACGTTAGTCTCAATTTCACAACTTGCCTATAACTGGTATCATCGCTTCCAATGAAGCAAGTAGCGTATCAAAAGTAGTTACCAGTAATTGAACACATTTTATTCATAAAGTTGTTAAATAATTCAAAAGTAAAGAAAACTTTATACAAAAACAAAAAGATATGAGGACTATATTTACAAGAAATTAAAAAGGTAGACAAGAGAGTCGGATGGTAATCATGAGTTAACCTAAAGTATTATTCCTTCGCATTGCTATTCTTTGTTGCTGTGATGCTGAGGACGAAGAGGATGAGGAAGACGACAAGGGATGTAGAGTATTAGTATTGTTCGTAGACTGTAATATGTTGTTGTTGTTATTATCTGCAAAATGATTGAAGAATGGCGTATTTGTCGTAGGTGAGGAAGGACTTTCCGCCTCAAAGTAATCATAATGGCTTGCAGCAATAGTAGTCATAGTGGTAGTAGTCGTACTAGTAGTAGTAGTAGTGGGTTTATAACTGAAGGATCTTTTTGGAAATGTATTTGTATAATTCAAATGATCATCATTAGTGTTCTGCTGCAGCTCGTGAGGATTCAAGCTTAGAGATCTTCTGACGCTTTCCCTAATCCTTTCCATAGTCAGTTGCAGGCTGTTGCTGTTGTTTGTATTTTCCGTGGTAAATGATGGGTTGCGAGAAGTGTCGACAGCTGTTGTCGTTGTTGAGTGCGCAACAGGATGACTGTTCGTCCTATGACAGCTACTACCACTACTACTTCTACCGCTGCTAATTGAATAAGCATCCTCCATATGCAATAGCTGATCCAAGCTTTGTTCTGGTGCAGGCGAGATACAAACCAATGGGAATGCACCTTTTTCACCCGTTGTCACGTTGTATCCCAACGCCCAACCATCATCAAAGTGAAATGCTATACAGATAATATCTCCCATATTGAGTTGTAATTCATCGGGCATCCGAGGCGGGTAAGAATGCACAACTACGAAGAACTCTTCATTCAAAGGGTTCGACGTCGTCTCATCCATGCTTTTGTTACTATCATTGTCAGTAGTTTGTGATAGTTGATTGTTCTTGGTATCAATGATTTCTAATTTATCATTAATAAATGGGACATTTCCCGGTTTTGTTGCTGTAGTGGGTGTTTCTGTGGTTGCAGGTATGCCCGTAATAGTACTGCTACTGGTAGTTGTCGTGAAAGGTATATGATGAACAGTATTTACAGCTGTTGCATTTGTGGTCGAAGAGCTGGAAGATTCTGTGAAAAGATGAAGGGATTTCAAGATTCGATGTCGTTTTTTGAAATAAAACCATAGTATACCAAAAACAATGAAAGAGGCACCTGCTAAAGAGCCAAAGACAATACCAACGATAGCACCTGACGATAAACCACAATAATCTACCATCTGACAGCAAGTATCGTCCGGATGCCGTTTACAGTGTCTACAAGCACGTTTTGTTTCATTACCAAAGCCTTCCCGTAAAAAGTAAAGTTAGTCTATGCTATTTTTGTTATCACTTTGTAACCTGCTTTTTCGCTAGGTATTCTTACCACATGAATAAGGCTCATTCGCTACACCCGAAATGCAATTCTCTGCAATGGTTCCATTATAGCCGGCCCATGTTTCACATTGGTCCTGAAACGAATTTAACGTATTATTGCGTTGACTCGTATCTGAACATACACGATGCGAGGCTGTGATCGATTCTATACTATTCACCCATTGTACACAAGTGGTCTTACATAAAGGCGGCGGACTTAGCGCATTTTCGTAGTTGCATGGTAGTGAATAGGTAGGATTTTGTATCATACCAGCACATAACCGAGTCAAAGAATAACGTGCATAAGGAACGGTAGGATTGTAGTTGGAACTGAGACAGCCTAAAGGGAATAAATAATCACTGGTCGAATCAGCATAATCCAAAAGTCGTTGATCAAATTCCTCAATGGTGGTAGTGTTTATTAAGAAAGGATAGTCGTACTCTAACCCTGGTAGACCGATATAAAATTGAGAAAATGCTGTACAGACTTTAGAGCGACGAAGAGAGACACAGTTGTTTTCTTTAGTTGCTGCTGTTAAGGAGATATCAGTATTCAATAGTGATATATCGGAAGTTATTGTTGACGTTGGTTTATTGGTAAAAGTAGCAGGAGTCGTAATTGTAGAAGTAGTAATAGTGGTAGTAGTAGTAGTAGTAGTGGTAATAGCAGTTGTAGTAGTGGTAGTAGTAGTTGGTGCTGTTGTGCTAGTTGATTTAATGGTATATTCTGTCAAAGCAGTGGTTGTGAATGGTTCACCTTGCACAAAGGAATTATAAATAATGAATAGAATGCAGAGTAGAATTAGCTTATACATAAAGAAGTAAGTGTTGTTTTAAGTAATAGCATATCAGCTATGAAAAGACAAAGAGTAGTAAAAGTGAGGAGTTGAAATAACTATCAAATAAATTAAACAAAGCAAACAAAAGGAAAGGACGCAATTAAGAGAACTATTTTGGGTGGCCAAGCCTGGTTTACTAAGGAAGTGCTTTCTTTAGCTCTCTTTCTCTCTTTATCTCTCTCTGTCCACCGGTGATTAATAGGTGCGGATAGGTGCGGATTGGTGTTTTACCTGGTGTTTTGGAGGAATAAAATAAGATAGCGAACACCAAGCAGAAAAGATAATAACGTTGTATTCAAGCGAAAGGAAGAGAAACCAAGAATAGAATGGATTCACTTTCTTTTCTCTGGTCAGATAAGTGGGTCGGTGTTCAAATTAAGTTTTTCTTACTGATTCTACAGTCTTTTCACATCAGATTCAGATACTTTATTGACAGTTTCGGACTACTCTCTTAACTAATTTGGAACTAATTTTGTAATTTGTTTTAGATAAATTTTAAAAATATTTGGACATTTTACCAGACTAGTTTAAAATACTCATTACCTTTTCAAGCACGTAATCTACTATCAAGGCAAACATCGTAATCTGTCTCTTTTAGTTTTGCAGCTACAATTATCAACATTGCTGATTCCGATGATCGTACTAGAACAGATGATGTAGCTACTCAGTACAGTAATTAGAAACACTCGTTAAAGTTACCAATTTGAACGATGACGTCGATATAGCGGAGGTGGCGATGAACAACGATTTAGCAAATCGAAGAGGTGCGCAACAATAGAAAGCATTGAACAGCGAGGCATCAGTTAGCGTACATTGAGATATTGGTTTCATTAACTCTTCAATCCAAAGAGAACAATATCTCTGCGAAAACTTACGGGAAGTACGGCACTGAACAGATTAAGCAGCTCTCTATAATTACCTCCGCTTCTTTTCTTTCTTCTTCAGCTAAAGCAGGCGCAATCCTTTCTTATTATCGTTGTAAGCTTTCACAAAACGCTGAGCTAATCGCTCCGTGAATCCTATGGTGCTTTGTCTACCAGACAAGCCCAAAAACTCAATGACAAGATACAATAACTTCTGACTCTTAATAGGATTATAGTTCGGTAGCTTCCCCATGCTTCACGTATAACTTTATTTTCCGTCTACTGAACCATTATTTTTAACTGAAACTGCTTTGCTGACTGACATAGCCTTAAGAATTGAAGATTAAGTCTGCTTAGTATTAGTAGGTATGAGCTACCCAGGCACAGAAGAATTATCAGCTTGTCTACGAAATAGACATAAGCATCCAAATCAACCCGATGTTCCATATCTGGTTTTAGTTCTTTCGTAGGAGGATTCTCAACCGCTGCTTGCTATTGAATCCACTGAATCTGTGGTAATTTTGTAAAGATCTAGAGGTTGGTCAACTGACAGTCATTGAACAGCCTCATCGTAAACGTTGAAGTTGTTCATCATTCAGTTGTTACACCTCCGTGATTGTTATTCATTATCAAGTGTTATATTGGGATGGCATGGAAGAAAAGGTACTCTATACTCTCACCCTCTACTAAAAACTTTTGAAACGCCAATCAATAGAATAAATCCGCCAACTTAAAAAGAAAAAAGCATCCGCCAGAAAATAATTTAGATCCCCTGTAAATCTTATCAATTAGGATTATAGTGGACTAAATGAAATAGCGAGACTATAAAAGATGTTGATTGTATTTCGAGTTAACATTTGGGTCTCTTTTATATCTTTTGAAGTAAGTAATTTGTTTAGGGAAAAGGCATGTTTGAGACCTTGCGAATAAATATGGGCAGATAGGAAAATACATGTAATGTTGTTTAGGTGAATATTTACATATATTTGGCCTAGGTAATATAGATGATACCACATCCCGCAATCGATCAACATAATAAACGGAAATGCTCATTGTTCCCTTTTTCCAATAGCATTAAGAACGAAATGCGTTGAAGGGTCCAACACTATGTAAAATGTTGGTAATGATTTAAAAAAGAAAAAAAGAGGTTTTCTATAGACTACATATAATAATTTTAAAACTTAGTACTTGATGGAAGGCATGCCAGGGAATAGCAGCGTATTTGTCCATGACTTATGCATACTGCCTTTACGGCTGTTACATCTTTCAAAGAGAGTCATAAACAAACATACTACCTAGACACACTCCATTACACCAATGAGCATATTTTATTGCGGTGAGTGCAATACGGTTGAATTGCTTTGCGATGCAAGCACTGAGTGATCAATTGTCTCCATCAGCAATCTCTCATTGACCTTCTCTTGTACTGTCTGCGCTAACTAAGTTAGAAAAGTATGTCAGCTTTCCATCCACCAACAGCATTTATAACCCACATACTAGCAGCGTTGCCATTAATTCATACATTGTCATTCAAGCAAATCTTGAGTTCCAATCGACTGGTATACATGAGGAGCACATTCCAACTATTTTCCCACTTCTTTTTAGATTGCTTGAGACTCAATTTCGTAAGGGTGAGCGTCTAGAATATCATTCGCAAACCTTTTCACAGGTTGTATCAATTCGATGCGTTCTTATTTTTTTTGTATAATGTAATTCATGGCGTTCGAACATTCAACGATCATTTTGATGGTACTCTTCAAAGTGTGTAGAACAATTTCTTTGTCGATGCCACTACTACATTCAATAAAAAGTTCCTCATCGTTCGTGTTCACACTTACGCCCAATCCATCAGAGAACTTTCGCTCGCAATCATCGAAGGAATAGCCGTTGAACTTCAGACTCGTTTCAACTTGTGTCTGAAGTTGTCTTTCACACCATGATATAATTGTAAAGCTAGTTTCCTGGGGAATATATTCAAAAGCAGGGACAAGGTATTTTACAAAGCCACTTCGTTCATGGCTTCCAAGGAGTAACGGTGACTGAGTACAGTTAGATGCAGAGTCTGTCAAAGTTAACGCTACGACCCTTGCAAATGTTTGGTCAGACCAGTAGAAGTATCATGTATGGAAAGAGTTCAGGCGGTTCATGGTAAGCTTGATACATCGCTCTGAATACAATCTTTGACATAATCGACGATTCCGAGGAAGTACTTCAACGGCTTTGAAGCAGCCTAATTAGCTGAATTGCTCTTGTATTCTTCCATTTCTTCGGTTCAACGAGGGTGGATTCATCTTTTGTAAGACTGGAACTACTCTCCAGGAACACCATTTCTATTGTACATACATCCTTCAATTGTTCTTGATTGGCAATCTGAATTTTGGGCTTGTGGGGGTAATGTCAGATAGGAAGCTGGGTGTAATGACCACCTGTCTCGTTAGTTACGCTTCAGACTAACCGCGTATAAATATCAGTCTGAAGTCCACTATTCTGTTCAATAGTGTTTTTATCTGTTCTTTGCTTGGCATAACCTTGCATTCTTGTCATAGTAAATCTAATTATAAAGTGATACCACATCTGTCCTATTGTAATTTATCTGTTCAGAGTACTTTTAACACCAATTCTAGTCTTGTCCTGGGCGAAGATCTTTCGGTCAACTTAGTAAATCACTGACATTACACTGGGTTGTAAATAGTGAACGTCTTTTGCTCCTTTTTTAACAAACTTGCTAAGAAATCAATGCCATTAGTGAAAAAGGTAATGTGTATATTCTTTGAATAAAATACCTTTTGCGTTCGGGATACGTCAAGTGTAGTTGCAGTTGTGATTCTTGCTGTGGCATTACTAAAATCCGTCAACATGGTTGAACAACGTATTCTTGTCTGAAATACACGATCCGACCGACTTGTCAAATCCTTTCCTAAACAACTGAACTTGCTGATATGTTCTTTTTCTGGCGGCATTGATTTCATTTTCTATTTGTTCTTCTGCAATGCGATTTTTTGTTCCTCCGCCTCTTTAACAACATTTTGATGAACTTTTTCTTGGTTTTTTCCAGTGAGAAGTCAAAAAAATTCAATCTGAAGGTAGGCATGAACATTTTCTCGTATTGTACATGGGCCATCTTGGAAACGCATCAGAGTCTACGAAGCATTTTTTAAGTCATTGTAAACATATTGCGCCTGACTAGGCGTCATGATATTCTTTGGTAATGAATTAACATGATTTTCTAACACAGACAGTTTAGATACAGGAGAAAGAAGACCCACTATTTAATCAAATTTAAATTTTTCAAATCAGATAGAGCTTGAATAAAAGATGACTCTATGTACTTACAAAGTGTTTACTGAATAGTTCAAGATGGGAAATGAGAAGTGATTTTTTCATATAAGTTTTTAACATGGTTTTCGGGCCATTTTTATTGGATAATTTTGGATTACGCTCAAACTCTTTCTTCTTTTTGTACCCATCTCTTTTTGCAAACATTGTTCTGAGTAGGCTTCAATATGCCTAATTCAACCCTTGCCATCATCAGGAGTAACGGTGTTACAGGCTCTATTAAAACGTTGTGTCAAAGTGTCATTACTCTTCAAAAACTGCCTCCTAAATGTTGATCTTGATATAGCCCAGCACCCCTCAACGAGCTCGAGGAAGGGTAAATTCGGCGGTCGTGAACAAAGATTTATACCCTCTTTCGTTGATAGCATCCATACAAACGAATTTTACAAATATTCAGAACGAGTAAGTAACCTTTTTTTCCGCACTTTTTCCAAAAAAAAATAAAAATTACAATGCCTAGAAATATCACAATGTAAATGGCAGTTGTGCCCTTTGGTACAGGTTGTTTGACAGTAGTACTTCCAACGGTCTTCTCCCTTGTTCGGCTTTGGTTGAACAAAATACTGTCTTTGTAGGGTTTCCGGAATCAGCTGACTTCATCGGATTGTTTTGGCCATGTACAACCGATGTTGACGCTGGTAGGTATACCTACTTTGATCCACGCTCAGCATCTAAGTATTTGCGAATTAAAACTAGCTTCATTACAAAAATGCAGTTATTCATGAAGACAGCAGCTGACCATTGTAAAATGGGGTTGGCGCGAACTCAAATGTCCTAGGAGCATTCCTCTCGTTAGTGTACTTGGTGGTCTTTTTGAGGGGAAGACAACATTTCTCCCTGACGTGTGTATACAGGCTCAATAAAGCGCTTCTCGTAATGTCCAGAAATTTTGCCAGAAGTTAGATTCTGACTTCATCAAGAAGCTCGACTAAAGACTTCATGTGTTCATGGAAGAGTTTATATAGAACCATTTCCGTTTTTTGTAATATTTCCTCACTGTGGAACAGTTTCGTTGTACCCCTTACTTATGTAAGAAACTGTGCTTTTTTATATACGCTATTGCAGCTTTTTTGACGAGACATGCCTCCCTCCTGAAGCAAATACAAATATCACTTAATCTGTTCAGTGCCGTACTTCCCGTAAGTTTTCGCAGAGATATTGTTCTCTTTGGATTGAAAAGTTAATGAAACCAATATCTCAATGTACGCTAACTGATGCTTCGCTGTTCAATGCTTTCTATTGTTGCGCACCTCTTCGATTTGCTAAATCGTTGTTCATCGCCACCTCCGCTATATCGACGTCATCGTTCAAATTGGTAACTTTAACGAGTGTTTCTAATTACTGTACTGAGTAGCTACATCATCTGTTCTAGTACGATCATCGGAATCAGCAATGTTGATAATTGTAGCTGCAAAACTAAAAGAGACAGATTACGATGTTTGCCTTGATAGTAGATTACGTGCTTGAAAAGGTAATGAGTATTTTAAACTAGTCTGGTAAAATGTCCAAATATTTTTAAAATTTATCTAAAACAAATTACAAAATTGATTTGAAAATAGCCCATAAAATAGTCAAAATTGTTAATGAAAAGTCCCGATCTTCACAATAAAGACTGTATAAGAAATGGTCTTTTGGGATATTTCGGGATTGAATTTAAGTCAGATAAACTGCGGCTGTCCTTATTTTTTTCTTTTGCTTCTGATACACGAATAATAAGCTCGCATTAGATTTTTGTTATTTTAGAAATGATGCTCGTTTTAGAAATCAGAGATTAGGAAACAGTAGATAAAGGATAGAACTGTAGGCTATTTCTCCACGATTAAGAGTGAGTCTTTTTCTTCAGTAGAAAGGAATAGGGTGGTCCAAGCTTTTGAATCGCGCTACAATCTTACCTTTTTTGATATAGGAAGTACAACTCACATCCAGGCTTGTAACAGTAAACGCAAAAACAGGGGCAGATGAAACAGAAAATCGTCCAAAATTTATTGCCAAGATATTTTTTAGAACATGCAGATGATAAATCAAAAACAAATTATTGTGCAAGTACGCACAGTTTAATGCGTGTCAATACGGCCCTACTTCTGCGTACATTATATACGCTGAGAACGAAAATCAAACCATATGTCAGCAAAAGAGTCTTGTGTCCCTTGTTCGTATGCTTATTGAAAAAGTAAAAGTGCGTAAATTCTTGTTATATTAACCACCTCAAGTACAAAGCTGCAAATATTCAGCACATCCAAATGAACAGCAACTGTCAGAGAACCACCGTCCTACAAACCGTATCACATGTTGTACAAGTGTCTTACGAGTGATCTCATTCAAGTTTATGCAGCTTTAAACACAAAGATAGTTTTCACATAGATATATACTAAGTCATAGAAGCTTTCTTTGAGGAAAGACTTTAAGCCATACGTTTAAAAAGTTTAGGGGGAGTTTCAAGTAGAGGTTAGAACAATATCTATTTGGTTGTACCACATTGTGACTTTTCATATCTTCTAAAGCCACTTTGCTGATGAATGGATTACACATGCATTTAAAGATCTAATTTTCCCTGTGTCCAACGGTCAAACCCTTTCCTCAAACCGTAAACTCAGGCTCATAATTGCTTAGTTAAGGCTGTATAATCAACTTTTCTTTTTCATTTGCTTGCCTGATCTGCAGTACTCGGTTGCATGAACGACAAGGATGGAGAAAGATGCTATACTTTCGTTCTTTCCTTTCACATCACACGTTTCGTAGGTGTGCGCTGACGCTTGTTTGAGACGTATAGGAAATTTGTAACAATGAACCCGCTTCTCGGTATTACGATTCAACCGACAAGCCTGAATTTTTTTCTATAGTAAAACAAAAAAAAAAACAGGAGCGAAGAATTAGTTCATTGGTAAACCATTAACGAAGGTAAGGCATCTTTAAGGCACCGGCGAACTGATCATACCATCCTTCGTGTAGCTACACTGCTTTCATTTTGTGCTGACTGTTATTACAACTCTTTGCAAACTATATACATAAATACTGATTAGTAAGTGTAATTTTTATCGTACGAAAATACATGCTGAAGGAGGATTTTGCTTGAAAGATCAGTCATATCGAACATCATTAATTTTTGAAAGGATTCAAGTTTTTTTTTTTTATGAATTAAAGATATTCTTTTGCTCCTACAACTTTTTTGGTGGCCATTCAATTTTTTGTAAGGTAGTTTACATTTTTTAGGAAAGCAATTCCAAGTTGCAATCTAGGTTATGAGCTTGTGAACTTTAGCATTGGTCAATGATGATACTATGACTTTATATCTTGAAAAAGAAAAAACATGGGTCTTACCGTAAAGCAGTGTATATATAGGCGCTACGCGCCTCGTTTTAATTCTGGTGAGCGTCTAGCGCTTAGTAGACTAAAAAACGGTCTAAGAGTAGCAGCTAGAGTAATCAAGCACATGACAGAAAAGTAAAATTGCAAAACTATTTTCAATCCAATCAAGGTCCACATATTTCAGATGGAAAACTGACAAAGAGAAGAAATGCAAGACGTAGTTCATGTACTTGCAGTCATAAAAATGTATTCGACAGATGAATTTTATCAATATTGAATGCTGCAGCCACGATACTTGGAGGCAGTATTGTTAATCATCTGGAATAATTGTGTGATATGGAGACTCGCAGAGAAAGAAAAAGGTTGAGGTGTCGATTGTTGATGAATGTGTTTGGTAACATCAATGCCAGAATAAAAGGTCAAACGCAATAACGTACGGACGAATGTCAATGGTCCTCGTGTCCTCCTTGTTCGGCCATCGTAATACAACCTTCCTCGTTGTATCTGCCAACATGGACGACAGCAATGGATCAAAATGCCTGGTTTGCATGTCTATTTCTTCAAACTGATTCTTGTCTGCGATGGTGTCGAACGGTATTCGGAATGAGAGCAAGCAGTTCTGAATCAAAGCCTTTCTGCAAAGCTACAGTTCGTCAAGTCTGTTTAATATGCCATTCACTCTTAGGTATTGTAGGTATTCAGGTAAACATATCTAAAATGTCAATACAGCTCCAACCAAGCTTAACCCCGTTCTCATGTACGATCTTCAGTATATGGAACTATGATGAAGTCGGTATGTTTTAAATGAAAAAAGTATTTTCATTCAATTTGTATGAAAGCCTGGTCACTTACCTTATTCCATACCTGTTCACATAATCCATTGGTTCAATTTGAAGTTAATAAAAAAACCCAAGTCTGGATTCGAAGAGCCAGCCATTCTGATTCTTCCTTTCTTCCGCAAGATCTGAAACTTGTTTTTGCTGAATTATAGACTTAAGGGTGTCCTTTGTCATTTTCAGCACTAATTCTGTATATTATAATTGATGGACATAAGAGCTTATAAAGGTTATAATGACAAAAGAAAAAAATAGGAAGATCAAAAATCTGCAGGATTGTGTACCTTATAATATAAAGTGCTTTCATAAATGACGTAGTTCAAGGTCCGTTTTCTTTCATCGCAGTTATGCGTTATCCTTGATTTATTGTATATCACGATCAGTTAAATTAGTTTAGCCATGGAGAGCAAAGTTAGCATAGCATGAATTTAAAATGCGTAAAGCTGCTAGATACAACGCCATCATTCTATCAAGGTATGTCACCCTTTTATCTTTAAAGTATGTCCTTCTTTCCAACGTCAGCAGATTTTTTTATCTCTGAGCCGCAGCGTCTTTTTCCTTGTTAAACGTTTTAGCACAACATTCGAACACTTCACTCTTTAACATATTCTTTGTTTACCAGCAATGACAGCCGAAATAGCTTCATTATCAGCTGACGATACTGTTGATAGTCAGACTTATCACGGTTGAAGACGCTTCACTTTGAATATTCTTTCAATCATTTAAAAAACGTTAATAGAGCTACAATAAGGTATAGCCATCCTTGAACAAACTCTGAATAGCAACAAGAGTTCTCGTAACGACCACGAACATAGTGGGAGGTTCGCCAATAGTTCATTATTGATGTTGTTCCGTAAGAATTGCCACTACGTGTTCCTTAGGTTGTGTGTTACAATATATGTTATTTATTAAATGATACCGTGCGTTCCGGTAGAAAGTTTTTCTTTTATCAAAGCAAGAATATATTACCTCTGCTATAGCATAATTTAATGAGGTGGATAACATAGAGATATACAGAAAACATTCACAAGGGTAATTCCAACAATTGGTTGTTTGAAGAAAAGAGTAAACAGCGTTGGGTAATATAGCAGTATTTGAATGGGGGTATTATTGGCGTGATGCAGTCAGCAAGCGATGCTCCATTTCCAAGTTTTGTAGTTCGAGTCTTCTTGTTTTTGCTCTCTTATGTCTTCTGCTGTCTTCACATTCCCGAAAAGCTAATTTACGTTCTTTATAGGCTAATTCGCGCTCCTTTAAAGCCAATTGTCGTTCATGCAAACTTTGTCGTCTGATATCGTTGTTATCCTCCGTTAAGGTAGAGTTATTATCAAAAGGATTATACTGCTGCTGTTGCTGTAATGGAGATTGCGAGCGTACTCGTCGCTGTTGCTGTTGGTCTTCTCTTGTTTTGAACGATTTGCTCGCTCCGGTAGCATTATGTGATTCGAGGGTATCGATGGCTACTACAGGATGAAGTGGTGCTGATGTTCTTGTTTTATTATTTGATACTAGCGTTGAAGAGTTTGGTGTGTGGACGCGCTTGCTGTCACCTGTTAGATCTAGAATTAAATAGAAATCAGGGCATCTTTTCTTCATATATTCATTGAACGTTCGCTTTCTCGTGTCTATCTTTTTCGAATCCTTGCTTTGTTCGCATAATTTACAATAATCTTTGTAGGACTTTAAGACCGCGTTATAATTGTCCAAGAAAAATGTATCGATATGAGATCGAACAGACCCTACTCGTCTATAGCGAATACCTTGGTTTTCGAAATATTTGACAATTTCATTGTATAACATTTGTTTCTTAGTAAACGGAGAAGTTTCTAAATCATACAGATATTTGAATAGTTCGTTGTCATCCTTTTGTAGGCAATCTAAAAGCCTTTCATGTGAGGTTCGTTGATCTTTCCCTGCTCTGTCGGTGAACCAAGAAATGGTGTGCTTTATCTCTGAATTATACATATCATGATATTTCTTAGTAGCAGCATCCATCTGCCACTCCTCCTCTATCTCGTCTTGTTGCTGTTGCTTCCCCTGCTGCTGCTGCTGCTGCTGGTTCTTTTTCGTATCATCGACATAACTTTCGTTGAGAGCAGCACGGTTCTCTTCTGCATTTCCATAAACAATATCTTTATCATTTGATTCATCATCCTGATCTTCATCGGAACTGTTATCATGCACTATTACTTGTGGCTGTTTCAAGTGAACTCTGATAGATTCATTATTATCATCAAGGTCTTCTTCGATATTGTTGAAGTCTCTATTCATGTCCATATCAGAAGGGGAAAGAGCATCAGCAAATTCTGAAGCTGTATCGTTATCTGTAATATTATTGTCTCGTTTTTTTGACGTAAGTGTATTCTGTCCTTTAAAAGGATGATAGCCCATGATGCCAGATGAGTAAATGTGGAGATTGACAGAGAGGGGCAATGGATGGATATTTATACTGTGTATTTTTCTTTTTCGTGGGATTTCCCAAGCAGTCACCATGGATGAACCTCTTTTAATGTTGGAGTCCGCACGAAGGAGGTAGTTCTAGGTGCGATATTGTACAGATAGCACGCTATCATGCTCTCTTGAATTTTGTTAAAAACCTTCTCCCAGCCACAACCATGGTTTTCTTTATCATACATTGCCAAATCGACCTTGGGCTGATTTCAATAGATGTTTCTTTCTTGTCTTTTAGAAATATAGAGCTAAATCTTTGTAAACAAAAAAGCTGTCTGAACAATCAGATACTGTGAATACTTTATTCCAAAATCGCTTAGACTATATGTGCTATATACGCGTATATATATGTATATATATATATATAGATATATATAGACTGGTAGTGCGGGTAGGGAAGGGATAAGGGAATTCGGAATTAAGTGTTTTTGCGTCTCTCTCTCCGTGTATGTATTTGGAGAGGATAGTACAGGTTTAGGTGATGAAACAGCGAACTAGGATGTATGTATTTGTATGTGAAAAAAAAAGACAGTAAACCAATAGATGAGACGTGCATCAGCTTGATAATGTGTATATATATTTACCACAGACGCGCAGACACAAATTCATTACTGAGGCTGCTGTAGAGAGAAGTTTAGTTTCTTTGAGGGATTAAACCACTACTATCCTTTCCAATTTCCATCAAAATTTTTCCTCTATCGGTTGGCTGTTTTGGTTGCTGTTGATGAGGATTAGTGATGATATGTGGTGGTTGACCTCCTCTAGCCGCTGCTCCATTGGTCATACCAGGATGATGTTGCTGAGGGATGCCTGGATGTTGAACCTGCGGTTGCTGACCCAGGGGGCGGAGATGGGGTGACCCGTTCATAGGACGAAATTGCTGATGTTGTTGCGGAGGATATTGTTGCCATTGTGTAGGTGGCGTTTGATATGAGGGATGTTGTTGTTGTGGTGGACGTGATGGGTGCATGTTGGGTTGTTGATTATACGCGATTGCAGAAGGATGTTGTTGGTACATGTTTGGACGAGGTGGGCGATGTTGCTGTTGTAGCTGTTGTGTTTGAGGATGATAATTAGGAGGAACTTGTTGAGGATATCGGTTAGGGGGACCGATTTGGCCCTGCTGTGTGGGCTTTGAGAGAGGAGGACTCGAATGCTGCTGTGGTTGTTGTTGTTGTATCGCCTGTTGCTGATAACGATTTGAAGGCATAGGCTGATATCTTTCATCTGATAATCCGGGTTTGTCAACGCCGCCAATATTCAGTTTCTCTAACGATGGAGTCACTTCTGTCACTGCGTTTCCCTTGACAATCTTACCATCGCTGTTTAACTCATTTTCTATTACTTCCTTGACGTCTTCCTCCTCCGACACATAGTCATCTTCATCATCCTTATTCTTGTTCTTCTTCTTTTTCTTTTTCTTTTCCTTTTCCTTTTTATCTTTCTTTTCTTCTGCTGTTAATTCGTTATCATCGTCCTCTCCGTCTTCTTCATTTTCAGCATTCTCCTTATCCTTATTTTTCTTTTTCTTTTTCTTCTTTTTTTCTCCGTCCTCGTCTACGTCGTTGTTATTGTTGTCGTCATCATTGTCCTCTCCTTCTGCCTTTGCTTTCTTCTCCTTGTCTTTCTTCTTTTTCTTTTTTTTCTTTTCCCCAGACTCGTCTCCGTCAGTATGAGCTAGTGGACTTAGACTAGACATACTCAAAGCATCATGGATATAATGTGCTTTTACAACAAGCATAGCCTCGTCATATGTAAACTGTAGAAATGACACCATATTAGCACAAACAAATGCTCCTAGGAAGATATCGAAAATGAAACAAAATACTATGGTTCTTTCTTACCCAACGTCGTTCACGCTTTTTTTGCTCAGGAAACTTTTTACAAACTTCCTTGATTTCCATCTCATAAATCCAATGATGCGCTTTTACGCCTCCTCTGGTCTTCTCTGCAAAGACACCAATGTGTCTAGTAATGATGCCTTTCACACCTGCTTCTTCCCATGTTTCTCTCATCGCAGCTTGTTTTTGTGTTTCATCCTTTTCCCAACCGCCTTTAGGCTATTTAAAAAAAATAGAAAAGTTAAATACTATTCTTTTCGGTTCTTCGCTGTTCCAAAGGCTCAGTTTTGCATTTGTTAAAGACTTTACAATAACCCACACTGTAGGATCACTCGACGACGAGACGAGCAAGAATCTTTTATTGATGGGGTCTATAGGTAAGCAACCTGCTACTTGTCGAATGCCGTTTTCATCAAATACATCTTGCGCATGTCCATGGCGAGGTGTCATGCTGTAAATAACTTCATCTTTCTTTTCCATCCCATTACCGGGCGGTGTTTTGGACTTTTTCTTGAATAGCTTCATCACCATAAAGATGCTACTCTTTTAGCTTCAAAATAAAAAAGAAATAACAAATATAAAATATGTTGAGTAATGGAAAAGAAACTGCAAAAAACCAAAGAAAAAAAAAGTAGAAGAAAAAAAAAAAGGATACTTTTTTCTTTATGGGTTTCGCCCGTTTTTTTTTTTTTTTTTTTGCTCAAAAAAAAGAAAGATTTCACATATGATATTTTTAGCCTTTTCTATATTTAATTTGCTACAACGTTATACAGACCCTCTTTTCTTCTTCTGACAGATGTCTGTATCGTGTTCCTTACCTTGTTCTTTTTTGTAGCCAAGGAAGTTCTTACGTTTAAACCTCTTCCGACTGACCGATGACGCTGCCAAACTCCTAATGAGGTAGGTTGGCATATGATCAACTTGTACACACACACACCGAGAGAGAGAATTGGTTTTACTTTATTCCGAACATATAACCTTTTAAGGATATAGCCCTTCTTTTTAGATGAAGGACCGTTGTAAAAGGTTGAACAGTAGTAGTTTACATGATTTATTAAGGAGTAGGTCATTATGTTTAATGTCGTAGTCTACGTGTAGGTAGTTGAGCGTTGATGTGTCATTGATTTATAAACTTCAAACGTCATTCATAGCGTGCTGAGTAGGAGTTGTTTTGTTTGTTTGTTCTTTTTTGGTAGTGATAGGTTAGATTGATCATCCTACTACTATAAATTTAATACGAGTCCCATTTATTACGTAAATTCTGATGACGTCGTTCTATCCAAGCAGCTTACCTGCAGCAACGATGGGTTTCTTTATTTCTGCAATTGCTCATGCATAACGAACAGTAGCATGTTGCCATTTGCACCACACGAATGCAGCTACAAAATATATGCAATGACTCGTATGCGCCAACGATCAACTTTCTTTAGGATTGATTGTTGTATTGTTGCCTAGACAACGAGGCAAAAAAAAAAAGTGTTGCTAAAAAACCTTAAATTGACTGAACTCGCCACATGTGTTTTATTCTTTTTGCACGACCGGAGCGGAGAGCTGCAGAATCCAAAAAAGAAAAGCTCTTACGGTCGGCGTGGGGCGACTATCGACACGATTTTTTTAGCGGGAGTAGAATAATCCTACCATTTTCGTTTTGCACACAAGCCCATAGTCAGTCTTTAGTCAGATATTTGTAAAATGATACCAGGTATAAAAATAAAGGCGATCTTTTTTTAAACAAACAACTGTACTGCTTTATTGTATGAATAGAAAAAAAAAAAAAAAAAAGAAATCATACGTGGTTGAGGCTTCATGGACGTCCTCCCCTTCGGCATCTTTTACAATACCATTCTTCAATCGGATCCGTTTCTGCTATACCAATACAACTACCATGAAACCAAGTACTACATTGGTCGCAAGCAATCATAAAAGTACCATAATCCACTGATGGGTTTTCACAAATACAATTGATTTCTTCATTTCCTGTTGCTGTTGCTGCTGTTGATGGGTATGCGGAATAGTCATTAAAAGAAGGAGAGGAGGAAGAAGTAGTAGTAGTATTTGGTATCGTAAAATGCATAGGATGGTTATTGTGTTTGTTCATCTTGATACTCGCTGTAGGAGTAGGGGAAGAGGTAGTATGATGATTTTTATTCATGACGGTTGTTGTGGGTACGGGTTCACTCACGGTATCAGCATTAACGAGTGACGAGGGTGACGAGAATGATGTAGAATAGGGGCGTGAGGTATTCAGTTGTCCAGCACTCACTGGTTTTGTTGAGTCGGATGGTGCTGTCGTGGTAGGCTTCATCGCGCCACCATTAGAGATAGGCTTTGCATTATCAGGGCTTTCCAATGTAGGTGTTTGTTGTTCAGGAGGTTTTAATTTGAATCGAATGCGTGGTGTGTTACCTGTTGGCGATGCTGCTGCTGAGTTGTCTCCGTTCGACAAACGGTGCTTATTTTGTGATAAATTTAATGTTAAACTAGGTGTTTTTTTTTGTTTCTTTTTCTTTTCTACGACGACAGTAGATGATGTGGAAGGCGTAGTCGAATTGGCCAGATAAGACGACAAAGAAATAGGCCCTGTTTTAGCGGTTGACGCGGCAGCTTCATTGGGTGCTTGTGGAAGAGGTGAGCTTCCCACAGACGAGGACGACTCATTCGAACCGCGTCGTTCTTGCTCTACGGAGAAGGATAGTTTTCGTTGTGGGCCTGGATTATAAGAATATGAATGGTCTACCGTGATATTGTTGGGTGGCGATGTTGGTATCTTGTGTAGAGGATGATCCTCTTGCTGTTGCTGCTGTTGCTGCTGCTGTTGTCGTTGTCGCTGTAGTTGTTGTAACTGTTGTTCCCGTTCAATCTCTGCTGTAAGTGTCGCAACGTCGGCATTAGGATTTTCTTTCAACCTTTCCTCTAAAAGTCTCTGACGTTCCAAAGCGGCCTGCTTCTCTGCGAGCATTTTCCTCTTCTTCATCAGATATTTACTCTCGCCTACTTTCTTTGCATTAATATCCACGCTGTGTTTACTGATTGCCAAACCGGTTTTTCCAAACTTCTTATTGTAATTCTTCTTCACGCTCGCACCTTTGGCCAAAGCAGCCAACATACTGTTGGATTGATATTTACTCGGTTTATGGTGTGCTGTCTCTGGTGATCCTGCTCTGGAGGAGACCAACATACCGCTCGTTTGAGTGGAAGTCGTTGGTGTCCCGGGCATCGAGGAAAGGTTGTTATTGCTACTGCTGCCACTCGAAACAATAGCCACATCCGTTAATAAGTTGGGGGCCATCAACTTTGAAACAGCGATCGGAGGAGCGATACATTGGACAATATCATCCAGCATGCGATCTTCATGGTAAAACATATGATTGCCAGGTGCTGCTGAATTTTCCACCTGTTTCTGTAACAACTGATTGTATTGTTCGCTACACACCCTTCTACCCTCCTCTGTTACCATAAGTCCTTCGCCTAGCTGGTAATCAGACTTTGTCAAATGTTGTAATGCATGTGCTAAAGATCGTGTCGTAGTTGAATGCTTCGACTTTCTTCGTTTACTGTTGTGATGCATGACATCCGTACTGTTCTCCTCTTCTGCATCCGCTGTGTCATTGCGTTTTGTGGATTGTTTGAGTAATAAGAACAAAGGCTTTTGTTGTTGCGCTTGTGATAAATGCGAAACGGGTGATGGCTGTTGTGCACCTGACTGCTCATTGCTTAAAGCAGTGCTTTTCACAGTATCCACTTCAGTACTTTCTAAAGCTAAACTGGAATCCTCGTATGGTATAAGATGGGTAAATGGATTATCAATCGGTTTCTTCCTTTTCTTTACGACATTAGGTAAAGGTAATGCGGAAGATTGTAATTGTTGCTGTTTCTGCTGCAGTTGTTTTTGTTTCTCGGCTTCCAACTGCTGTTGCTTTAACATATTAGCTGCTGCTTCATCTGCATCTTCGTCTTTCATTTCAGCAGGGAAAGACGGGAAATAAGCTGGAACATAGTCTGGTAAATGCTTTCTCGCACTATTGGAAGGCGTTGCAGGTGACTCTTCTGTATCCTCTTCGATATCATCTGTTGTGGCTGTGGCTGTTGATAAGTCTGCATCTGGGCATAATGTAGGCGACAAAAGCTCAAATTCCGAAACATCGCCAAATTGATACTCAAGGATATCCTCAAACGTTGGTTTACCACCATTAATCACGCCTATTATAAAAAAAGAAAGAAGTAAAAACATAATATATATTATTAACTTTGTTCATCCATAAAACTAGGACTACTCGTTTCCAGCTGAAAGAGGTTCTGTGTGTTTTGTTACAAATCTATGTATTTTTATTTACCTTGTAATAATCGACCAGGATCCGATTGTGCTGACCAAGATGGACTGAGTGCTTTACCATCTTTCTCCGTCCATTCTCTCAACCCTTTCGCATCAATATTCAGCTCCTCTAATGTTTCAGACACATCTCTTGCAGTGCCTGTCGTTCTGTCATTTAAGTTTGCGTAAGCTGTTACAGTAGAGCCTAGTAATTCAATATATTTTTCAAAGACTTCCGTGAGCGTGTCAATAGATTGATTATTGGCGCCTTCGAATCCTGCACTTTGGATAATTTGCTGTGTGGCGGTTCTCAGAATGGAATGACAAACGTTATCGGCCATTGAGTAGAAAAAGAGAGAGACAAAGAAAAAGAAAAAAGGGACACGGTCAAATTCTTGAAGCGGGGAAAAAAACCAGATTAGAGAAGGGTGGTTATTGATATCTTTTAGCAGGTATTTGATAAGTGCAGTTAAATGTGCCTCTCTTTTCTCTATTATGTAAATGTTGGTAGTGAAGTAAAAAAAAAAAAAAAGGAGCAAAAGTCAATATCGTGAAATTTAAAAAGTTACGGTGGGCGTTCATTGGTTGATGTCGTCATCAGCCATGCAATTTTAAAAGAAAAAAAAGCTGTACCCTTTTTTCCCAACTAAGGCGGGGAAAATTTTGAGGTAGTCTCTGTTTCTCGCCCTGAATTCTGGGTTGAATCAAACTCACATCAGATTTATTCATTTATTTTGTCATCCATCTTTTTTTCATTCATTTTTCCTTCATCTTCGTTCGTCCATATTTCTGTAGCTTTATAGTCTGCTTGAATACAATGACTTTGTCCAAATCCGATTCAGTATCTGACATTGCAGAACTTTGCACTAGCAATGATCCTTATCACCCAGCCAATTTGATACCTGAATTATGTCGACTCTTCTACCAATTAGGCTGGGTGACAGGTACGGGTGGAGGCATTAGTATTCGAAATGGGTAAGCAAGAGCTCCTCTTATTGATGCTGATGATGAACATCTCTTTTTCCCTTTCTCACTGACGCTTCACTACTAATGAATTAGAAATCAGGTATACATTGCACCCTCTGGTGTCCAAAAAGAACGTATGGAACCCCATCATCTCTTCGTTATGACCCTACAGGGTCGTACACTTCTGCGGTCACCTTTAACTTTCAAGCCTTCCGCTTGTACGCCCTTATTTTACAACGCCTACACCTTGAGAGGCGCTGGTGCTTGCATTCACACACATTCCCAACATGCTGTTATGGCGACCCTTTTATATCCAGGAAAAGCATTTAAAATATCTCACCAAGAAATGATTAAAGGAATTCGTATCGGTTCTACAAAACAGAATTTGAAGTATTATCACACGTTGGTTGTGCCGATCATTGAAAATACACCGGAGGAAGAAGACTTGACAGATAGAATGGCTAATGTAACGCTTTCCGGGTGTACTATTAAACCTATGAAGAGAGGCATGATCTAACAACTCACATTATTTTTTATAACAACATGGATGGTAGGCTATAAAGGAATACCCTGATACAAATGCTGTGCTTGTACGTCGTCATGGCGTTTATGTTTGGGGAGGTTAGTTTCGTAAAGCTCACTATTTGCTAAACATTTGGGGCTTTACCTCATCCTATCGTCATTTACATTTTCAATTCAAACATATAGAAACTTGGGAAAAAGCAAAGACAATGGCAGAATGTTACGATTATTTGTTTGAGATTGCAGTCAAAATGAAGTCGATAGGTATTGATCCTGCTGCAAAACCTGAAAGCGAGCCAGACTACGAAAAAGAAGAACAAGAACAGATGCAGCAGCAGCAGCAACAATGAACAAATATCCTAAGCTAGACAGACAATCTGCTTCGAGGTTCAATCATCCTATGTATATACAAGTATGCTCTCACAATAGATCTGTCATATGATTGAATATGTCAAAACATAAAACGAAATATAAAACGAGATGCCGATCATAATAGCCTTGCAGCACCCGGTTGATCCATTAGATATCAGTCCTATACATTTGACTTTTAAAAAATGAGCAAAAACACTGCTTTAATCCAATTAAACTTTTAAACAACTATAGTTTTGTTTTTAACATGGCCGAATTGCTTGTTGATATTTGTGTCAGTCATACAGGATATCTACATGCATCGTTATTGTTATGAATGCAAAAAGAGCCAATCAAAAGGACAAAAAAGGAAAATTATTGCATAACCTTTATTTTATTCTATTTTTTTTCTATAACACTTTTTTTTTCACTTCTTTTTCTTTGAAAAGAACGTTCCTTTCACTTATATACCTTACATAATGGAAGATGATCTTGTCAATTTATACAGCGTATTAGGTTTGACTAAAAAAGCATCACCCGATGAAATTAAAAAGGTATCATTATTTCGAAGGTCTAGCCTTCAAATCAATTTCATGAACCCTTGTTATATGAATTGCTAATATGTGTCATTCACAAAACTTCAATAAGGCTTATAGAAAACTAGCTTTACGCTACCATCCTGATAAAAATCCAAATTGTGAAGATAGGGTGAGGACTTGGTTCATAAATCATGTTGATGACTTTAACAATCAAGGGCTTAAACAATTATGTTTGGGTTGTCAATAGTTTAGAGAAGTAAACCAAGCGTACGAGGTATATTGCAAAATACAGACGGAGACAAAAGATGGTTGTATAAGCATTCATGCTTATCAATTATAAACAACTGTTTCGAACAGCGTAGATTCTTTCCGATACGCAGAAGCGACGTATTTATGATCGCTACGGTAACTTAGGGTTGAAGATGGTAGACGCCATGGGAAGCAGTGCATTTTATTTTGCTGATCCAGGAATAGAATCGACACTACTCTCATTTTTTTGTCTCATATCCATCATATTGTTATCTTTATTGATCTGGATTATTCTCTTGTGCATCAAAATAGACCGCACAGTACATTGGTCGTGGACCATTGTCTTTCTACCGATGTGGTTGATTGATTCAGTGGTACTGTGGGCGACCATTTATCGTATACGACATTATAATTCAAACACTTCCACCGAACAACAGCATCGTTGGAAACTATCAGACGAAAATGATCAGAGTATGATGGACAATAATAATACGGATGAGGATGAAGAAGAAGGAACGACATTGCTGGGTAGTCACCGTCGAAGGAAACAATGGAAATTAAGAGATAAACAACAAATGATACAACGGTTTCGCAACCAATATTTACCCTGCGTTAATACTTGTCTCTTTATTGCATTCCAACTCTTTATCGTGCTTCAGCTAGATACATATACACGTTGGAGCCCATGGACACTATTTTTGCCTTATTATGTTTACGAACTACTGAGCGCCATCCTTCATTTCTTCAGCAATGCCAAAGGAACGAGTAAACGTTTCAAACTAGCATGTATTCTACAATTGACATGTATAATGCTGCAATTGACTCACCGACATTCTTACAATACAACAGCGGTGTCATGGGCCATAGTCTTTATTCCAACTTACTGTTTGGGCTTGTATTACACTTTTTTAGTATGGAAACAGTATAAGCGATTTGTGATCCTACCCAGAGCAAATTCACAACAACCGCAGCCACAGCAGCAACAAGCAAAATTAATAATGACAATTGTTTGTGTGGTCTATGGATTTATTTTTGCTTTGAGCTTTACTATGTTGGGTCTGGTAATCGTCAAATTAGACGATACCTTCAAGGTTAGGCTAAGCCTAGTGTTCATCCCTGTCTTCATTGTACTTGTAAGTAGGCCTTTGCACTCTTGTATGAATGATAGGTGTGGATATGAATGACAACTTATTATGTTCGGAACGACTCATTTTTCTCTTTATTTTAGAGTTTGTTACTTTGCTGTTTTGGCTGTTGTCTTCCTTGCATGCTGATCGTACCAACCTCTGATGATGATGAGGATGTAGAAAGCTCTTTTGTAAACCAACAATTACCGATTTTGATCAATGCAAACCGAAGGATCACGCAAGGATGAGGTTCTAAGGGAGATATCTGTAAATACAATATAGAATATTGATGGTATGTATTCTGCATTACAAATAACAAAATGTAAACGAATACATAAGCTTTGTTGAGATAGTAGTAGAGAGGTTACTTTTAAGATATGTTGAGAGTTTGGATTAAAAGGCAATATGAGTTGTTGTGACAAGATGGGAGATAAGTAAGCAAGCATTCAATATGTGGACTCGTTGACACGAAACGAAAAATTAAAATCAAATCGCTATTTCCACCACTTTACTGAGTATAAAATTGCTTGCTGCAAAGTCTCTGCTTTCAGCATTACTGCTTGTATGAAATTTGACCTCAAGCACTAGTTTCGATTGTTGGGCCATCTTTAGCCATTGTTACTAAAAATAGAATCATGCACTGTGTTTGGGATAACTCTTTTTTTTTAAAGTATTCTTTCCCCTGAAAAATAAGAAAAATAAGCTTTTCCTTTCTATTTTTTTTTCTTTATAACGGTTGAGCAGACAAAGCTCTTCTACCTACTCTCACGTCATCATGTTTAAAGTACTCAATGATCCTTTTAAACGAAGGTTGACTATCTCTTATGTATACGACTGGTTACTGGTCGTCATTATGACAGCTGTCTTTTTCGCCATCGACAAGATTACGCCATTTCACAGAATGTTTTCAATAGAAGATAAAACTATCATGTTTCCCCATACAGAGAAAGAAACCGTTCCTGTGTGGTTATTAGTGGTAAAATATCGTTATCTTTTCACTAAAATTTCCGTCATAATCCCTCATTCATCTCTAATAATTTAATTAGATCATTTGCCTCTTGATACCTGCTGTCATTATAGGGGCTATCTCACTCAGTGGCATAGGCTATAAGAGGAGTCTCCACGATTTTCATAGTGGAATTCTTGGTAAAAAAGAAAAGTTGAATGCATCTTTCCTGTTTGTTTTATACTAATACAACGAATTCTTTTGACGTAGGCCTATGCTTGGGTTTATCTATGACTATTATGCTAACGGATATCATTAAAATCACAGCCGGTAGACCTCGACCAGATATGCTATCACGTTGTAAACCACCACCAACCGCTGTAGATCCCCAGTTCGGACTATTGAGTGTGGATATATGTACAACGGACATTCATTCCAGCGTTATGATTGACGGGTTCAAGAGTTTCCCGAGTGGACACTCATCATGTAATTAGAATAAAGAAACAACGATATATATAGAGTGTGACACTAACCATCTTGTATAGTCTCTTTCTCTGGCTTGGGTTATTTAGCATTTTATATTGCCGGCAAAATGAAAATGTTTGATGAAAAAGGTGTAAGTGTCAACCATATACGGTTTATCCTAACTCTTGTAGGATACACTGAAATCTTAAAGTACTTTTTTTAATTATTAGCACACGTATAAAGGCTTCATCTTTGCTTTTCCTATCATTGGAGCACTATTAGTAGCTATATCTCGTACTGAGGATTATCGTCATCATTGGCAAGATGTCACTATTGGTGCTTTATTAGGCACTTTTTGCGCATACTTTGCTTATCGCCAATATTACCCTAGTCTCGCCACAGACGGCTGCAGAGATCCTTACTTGACCCGAGTGGCGCATATTAAAAAGTGTGACGAAGAATTAGGCATGGTCCACCATAGCAATGGAGGCAGAAGACATGAATCTGATATTGCCCTACTACAGCCTCACCACGGTATACCAAAAGATACCACCATGCATAACAACTACGACGACTATTTGAATCACAACAGTGAAAACGATACGGACCACATGTCATTGAGTACACAACAGCATCAATTCCAACAGAAATACCCCTCGGAATATGGAGACAGTAGCAACCATCTTACACTGTACGATACCAACAACTCTATCAACAGTAGTGAACCTTTAGTGACTACTACAGATAGCAGCAACAATTACATACCCTCCAAATGAAATTTAAGCCATCCAAAGAAGTGCTCGTAAAATAAATTTATTGTGATCATTTATGTGTACTAATCTAGCTCACGTATATGTTCAATGGTATCACTTAACAACGGGCCAATTCCAAATATACAGATAAAAGTCATGATGAAGCCAATCCAAAAGAAGAAGTTTGAGTAAGCATCAAATGGTATAAACAATTGAGGATGGCTGATGGAACCTTTCACTATTGCCAAACAATAGGGTAGAAAGGCAGTAGCTGACATATGTGTATCTTTGTATCTTTGATTGCTCTACAAAAAACGCCTTTTTTCCGGTTGATGTCGTAGCAGTTTTTTGAGTACAACCTTGCCGTTGCTGTGAGGTTTCGCGTTTAATGGAATGAAATGGGTTAAACAAACGGTCTTGGTTATCACAGTGAGGAAATAGCTGTACAATTGAAGTCATCCAATCTCGCAGTTTATATACTACAAAAACAAAAAGATCTTCATTAAACTCAGTGATCGATGATGCTATATGCAGCAAGAAAGATATAAAGGGGTGCGTGGGCGGCGGGGAAAGACCTTTCATTTGCATTATGCAACTTCCAACTTACTTGTAAGGCTGTGCATTATGTAAAAAGGACAATAGACCCAGTTTTGTGAAACCTTAAACCAGACATTGAATTGCATACATGTGGAACACAAGCACTTTATCTTTCTATTTTTTTATTTTTTTTTTTATTTTTTTTGGTTTTTTACTATTTTTCCCGCTTTCGAGGAATCTTATCAATCAAGAATAATGAGTGATTACGATCAACGAAAATATGATATTGGTATACAATAGGACACTTGTTCTCCTTTAGTTGCATTCATCAACTTTAAACTCATCGATTACTAATGTCCTTACATCGTGAACCAGTGCTGTTTGGCGCTACTGGATTCACAGGCCAACTCACAGCAGAGTATTTAGTCGAGGTTCATAAACAAAATGTAACGGAAGAGAAACTAACGATTATATGGTCAATAAATGAAACAAGGAAGGAAAATTCACTGCTAACCGTATGATGATGAAAACATTTAGAACTTTTCTTGGGCACTTGCTGGTCGGAATCTTGGCAAACTTGAAAAGGTGCGAGATCGGTTAATTGAATTAGATTCATCGTTGAAAGTAAGGCGCAAAGTGTTGATTTTCTGATTACGTGTAATAACTGATGGTGAGCAAAGAAACAACCAAAAATATTAATTTGTATTACAAATGCAACCACAGGATCTTGATCTGATCATCGCCAATACGAACCAACCAGACAGCCTCGATGCTGTTCTTTCGCAAACACGTGTTGTCATCAGTACAGTCGGCCCTTTCACACTCTACGGCACCCCCCTTGTCGAAGCCTGTCTTCGTCAAAAAACGCATTACGTTGATATTACAGGGGAGTCGCCATGGATAAAAACAATTATTGATAAATATGACCAACAAGCCAAAGACAACCAAGTGATGATTGTTCCTAGCTGCGGATTTGACTCCGTTCCTAGTGATTTAGGCGCCTATATGGTGTCGCAATACATGCACACTCACCATCATTTGGATTTGGCTTCTCTTAAAATGTCCGTGACAAAGTTGAAAGGTGGCTTCTCTGGAGGCACTATCCAGTCCATGATGGAAATTATATACCAACAACAACAACAACAACAACTGCACAATGATGGAACGAAGGAAAATATGAATGATCCTTATAGTCTAGCCACCCGTCGTGGCGTAGACAAAGGAACCCTCATTCCCAAATTGCAACGAGACCATGATTTTGGGCATCAATGGCAGACGTTCTTCATCATGTCCGCTATCAATGAAAAAGTCGTGCGTCGTAGCTGGTCTATTTGGACAGATCGCGGTCAAAGTTACGGGCCTCTTTTTACCTATCAGGAACGAACAAGCGTTCCTCACTTTTTAGTTGCCCTGCTCCTCACCTCGGCGGTATGTACCATCTTTCCATTATTGACAGCTATGGCAAGATATACACCGTCGTTCTTCAGGAAGCTGATGCATTGGTTACCTGGCTCGGGAGATGGACCCACTGCTGAACAGAGAGCGAAAGGAGGTTTTGAAATGCAATTTGTAGGCGTGTCAGAGAGCGAGCCGTACGATGAGGCTAAGCGCATTCGAGCCATTGTCAAAGGTAAATAGACTGCTCCTAGGAAAAAGGGTAATGTATAACATAAAACCGCTAACCATTCTTGCGCTTTCGTTCTCAGGCTTCCGTGACCCTGGTTATGGTGACACGTGCCGTATGGTAGCTGAATCCGCGTTATGTATAGTCAAGAGCTTACATCAATTGCCGGGCAATAAAGGTGGCATCTTGACTCCCGCCACAGCATTTGGCCAAATCCTGATCGATCGCTTGACGAAAGATCAAGGTATGGTTTTCCAAGTGAAGGATTTGTAAAATCTATTTGCATTCCATTCTCCTTTACAAACGACAAGTAAACTTCCAGAGATATATGTTATTATTATGTAAGTTTTTATTCAGAATATAATGACCAGCAGATTATATTTCCTATCTTGAAACGTTTGTCAAACAAAAGAATTATTGCTTCAAATTGATATCCTTGGCGATGAGTGTAGCAGCGATGGGATGGTAAAAGTTTTTGTGTTTTAAGAATGTTTCTTGAGCCAAAGAAGCGCCATTCTTAGCATTGTAAAGATAGCGATACAAAGGACGCACAAACTTCATGCGGCCCTGTTCTGTGATAAATTCAACGACATGAGGATAAATCTTTTCATAGCTGGCCATGACACAGAGTTGTTGCCAGCGGAAACGAATATCAGCATTACGGATAGGTGTCATTTCATAAAGTTGATCCATCTTTTCAAGCAAATGATGAGGGAGGGGCTCACAATCTGTCAAACGTTCCAAAAAGACGACTGGTGGAAATTGTCAATGGTATTAGTACACGCGGCGCCGAATATAGATTGCAAGAACATGAGTACTTACTCTTTTGCGTAGATGTAAAGCTTTCGACATCCTTAGATGAGAATCCTGACAAGTCATCTGATTGACGAGCTTGGTCCCAACGTGCAGCCAAATTATAACAAGCATCAGCCAAGCTGGTATCAAATTTGGGATCTACAGGTGGCATACCAGGACCAGAAATCCAACGGTCCCAATCAATCTGCTTCAACTTATCAACAACTTCTTGACCGTGATGTTTTTCCATATATTCATGAAGATGAGCTAACCATTGATCTGTAGTAATTGACTTATTAGCAAAACGCTCCACATGAGCCTTCATATAAGGCTCAAAGACTTGTGGACCACCCACGGTTTTTTCAATATGATACAGTAAATTGAAACCCTTTTCGTAAGGAATAGAACTGAAATAGTCATCAGGATCAATGCCGCTGCTTAAATCAGGCTTCAATACAGTGGCGGGTGAGTTTTCACCAAAGAGTTCAACACTTTCTTTCAATGCCTTCCAACCAATAATAGCGCTGAATTGTCTTTCAGGTTCACCATGGAGACGAGCTAAAATGAAATGTTTGATTGAAATTAGCAACCTTCATTACCTTTATCTACATTAAGATAGAGCAACGAGGTACAAAGACACTTACAAGCAATTTTACGTTCGATGAATACAGTCCAGCCTTCATTTAACCAAAAGTGCTCCCAATTGGATGTGGTAACTAAGTTACCCATCCAACTATGAGCAATTTCATGAGCAACGACATCAACAGCACTCTTGTCGCCTATAAGAGTTATTCTTTCAGTTTAATCAAAAAGATACCTTTTCCGCATACGTCTATTTGTTTTGCTTCTTTTTATTTTACCTGCCAGTAATGTTGGTGTGACAAATGTCAAACAAGGATTCTACGCAAAAAGAGCAAAACAGAAATTATCAATAAACTCTGTAACAAAGTAATATAGAAGGGCATTTATATTACTCACCTCCATACCACCGTAAGGGAAAGAAGGTGGTAAGACGAGAAGATCATAGCGACCCCATTCATAAGGAGTCAAAAGACTTTCACCAGTAGCAATGAACTTTTCTGTATCCTATTCGTCCAGTCGAGAAGTTTCAATATCAAATCCTTATGTCTACTACACTAAAAATCCTTACCTCAAATTCCCAGGCAGCTTGCTCAACAACCTCGGGCTCACACCAAACGGTGGAACGAGGACCAATCTCACGACCGGCCAAGTTACCAGCGGCAATAGCAATCAAATATGAGGGAATGGTCGTATTTTGTTTAAAGTGGTAAGTCTTTGTACCATCATTATTATCTTCTGATGTACCGGATAAAAGTGCTGACATAACAACAGGCAAAGGAGAAGTGACGGAAGCGGAATAAGTTACCTTGACAGACGGAGAATCTTGAAGAGGAGCCAAAGCACGGGCGTGGATCTGAATAACGAACACGAAGATTAATAATTAGAACTTCTTTAACGGGTATGATTTCTCTTTTGGAAGTGACAGGTCATATTGATACATTACAGCTTGACATTGGGAGAACAAATATGGATGCTTTTTACCAACTGTTTGTCTGTAAACGATAAAAACTCGTAAGCACGCTGTTTCAAGGAATAAAATTCAGGAACATATCGCGTTAAAACTTACTCAGGTTCCAAATATTGAACAGCTGTGCATTTCTCAGTGGTACTATATTCAATCTTTACTTGAAGTTTTGTGCCTTCCTCAACTGTTTCAGGAAGAGTGATGGTCAAAGCAGAACCAAGGCTAGGGTGACGATCAGCGACAGTGTACTATGGAAGGGATGGGAATAAGCAAAATGAAAGAATTTTAAACTCTCATCCTTTTCAACAATTGCTGAGACGCTTACTTCCAAAGGCTGTCCGTTCAATTGAACACCCTTAATATCCAAATAGCTTGAATCCAAAACAATTTGAGCTACACGAGGAACCAAAGTCACCATGTCCAATGTGACATGACCGTGGATTTTCTTTTCAGTGAATGAAATGGTCCAATCAAAATGAAGGTGTTTAGTGACGACCTCAGAGAGGTTGGCAAGACTGCTAGGGTCGATGACTTTATTGCTGTTGGCCATTTTTTCCCTCTTTTCAGTAAAATAAAAAGGTTACAACACGCCTAAGTATTCCTCAGTTAAGAAAATATAGAGAAGTGTTTCTTTAAATTTTTTTTTTTATTATTTTTCCTTTATCTCTTAGCCCGTGGGATACTGAATTTAACAAACGCGCCAATAACGATGATCGCAGAAAGGGATAAGCGAAAATTTTAAGGTTATGCCCACGATGTTTCTTACCCGATCTCAGATCCTCTTTCACTTCTGCGTTAGATGTTTGTTGCTCTGTGAGAAAACATGGACCTTATTGTTCATTCCGCATGATGTTCAGCTCGCTCTTGCCTACTATATTTTGGGTGTTATACCACGCATTGCTTAACAATCTATTTTTGGGTTATTGGCTCGTCGATAAGAAGCAAAAGACTCAATAGTGCTATAATTTCTCTCCGCACACAGAGTCCCTTTTTTGATTTGAGAAAAAAAAAAGACCAACCAAAAACGTAGCCTTCAGTTACAAGCTTGTACATCCAAGTGGCCCGTTTTCTTCTATTTTCTTCACTCTTCATCCTCAAAAATAAGACACCCATGTCCCAGGTATAAGCCGACTTTGTTCTGTCATTACTTAACCTCTCTAAGTGTAAGCGACTAACCACACAGTAGCTTGTTCCTCAAGATAAATTTGCACCTTCAGAAGTCTCTTTTGGTGCAGGTGCACTTTCAGGATCTTACGATGACTTCACCCAAAACGATGCTGTCGAAGCTTGTAGAGAAGCTTTACTCAATGGTGCGTAAAAAAAAAGAGAAATAGTGAGAGGAACGATCTGATTCTTATAGATATGTTTCGGTTAGGCATCAACTGTTTTGATACATCACCTTATTATGGACGTAGTGAATATGTCTTAGGAGACGCCTTACAAACAATTTCTAAAGAGTTTCCTCGTCAACATTACTATATTTCAACAAAGACAGGTCGATTTGGTTATACCACTAAAGATTTTGACTTCAGTGCGAAAAAGACATATGAAAGTGTTGAGAAAAGTATGAACCGACTTCACACAGATTATCTCGATGTTGTTTATTGTCACGATGTAGAGTTTGTCCCTATGGAGAACATCGTTGGCCCTGGTGGGGCACTTGAAGCATTGTTTAACCTGAAAGCACAAGGCAAAGTGAAATACGTCGGCATTTCGGGATACCCATTGGATGTCTTGTTGAAAATTGCGCAATACCAATTCGAACAGAAAAACCAACCTTTAGATATCATTCTTTCTTATTGTCATTATACCCTGCAGAATACAAAATTGGCCGATTATGCACCGAAACTACGCAAAGCAGGTGTAAAATACATCATGAATGCCTCTCCTTTGTGTATGGCATTGTTACGTGAAGGAAAGACACCAGATTGGCATCCTGCCCACAAAGAATTAAGGGAAGCTGCTGATAAAGCAGCCGTAGTCACCCGAGAACAATATGGACTTGCCATTTCTGATCTGGCTTCTCGATTCTCATTCCAAGGCAAGGATGAAATCGGTATCAACTCAACCTTGATTGGGCTAGCCAGGAAATCTGAAGTGCAAGATGCTTTACGGTGCTGGAGAGATGGGAAAGAACGAAAAGAGAACTCAGAGAAGGAAAACCAGGCCTATGCGCTTATTTTTAAACTGTTGGAACCCTATAAAAATTACTCATGGCAAAGTCCAACCACGAAAGAGCTAGCTCAATGATATTAACCAACTTATTGGCCTTTTTTTTTTTAGTTGACTGAACCCATTGTAATATTTTGAACCTTATCCATGAGCCCATGCATGGTCATTGCCCTCTGTTCCCTCTCTCCCTCTTCCCAATAAACTCAAATACACTCGTATCGCTCAGATATTTCTTTGTGTGCATTACTGTGAACACATAGATTAATATAGTTCGGTTTGGTTTATTGTTGCATCATATACTATTCCTTTCTTTTTCTCACACAGTCTTAAGCACCATAACCACGAATTTTTTCTGCAAATGACCATTCAGTATCCAATGAGTAGGGTTCGGTGATTTCTAAACCGCTTTCTGTAATCTTTGCTCTTTGGTACTATTGTATTGATGTCAGAATTATGCAGAGTGAGTGCCTTTGTTTTGTATATATACAAGCTTCTTCTGCTCCGTTACATTTCATGAATCAAATTTACCTTATTCAAAGATCGAGCATCTCTGTAGAACAATACACGTAAGCATTCATTCATAATCTCAATTGCTTCTTCCTCTGTTAAATCATCCTCTCTTCCTTCAACTCTTCTTCTTAAAATAGGCTGTGCTAAATGTGCTCCGAATCCAGTGGCAATGGTTGTAGATTGATATGTTGTGCCCCTTAAATCAACGTAGCCAAGGAACTTTTCTCCTTTGTTGATACCACCGACAACCAAGGCATTCCAAAGAGGATTCATCTTTGATCTTCTATTGTACATAACTCTCCACAAATATTCATAAATGTGTGGAGTACCCAAAACATGTCCATCGTCAGCACAGTGCTCCTTTACCCTAAACATGCGTTTTTACTATATGAGTAACAAAAAGAATCCTTGTGCTTTGTTTTCCTTCTGCTTAGCGGCATAATTTCTTTCTTACATAATTGAATCTAAAAGATGTTGAATATATTGATAGTCTGAAATATCACCCGAAGCACCCACGACTGTATGTTCTCCAACGGGATATAATCTTTTGATATCACGGAAGCGAGCCAAAGAGCCGTATGAGCCTAAAATTGCAAAATGATCAATATACAAACGTTAATGTCAAAGCTAGGAATGATGCCTGCGAGATGGATTAGTCTGTCAGTTTACCAAGCATATCCGCTGCCATCATAATACCGTCTCTGTATTTGAAAGCGAGAACCGAAGTACCAGTAACCAAAGGTTGCCTTTAAAGGTGAAATGGAGAAAAATAAAATTAAAAGTGTTGGTGAATTGTGTTGGTGGCAAATCAAGTTGCTTTCCATCATGTCTAGTGTTGCTTATGTAGAGCGCATTTTAAACTTACTGAGTTCTAGTCATAGGCCCGTATGCTGATTCAGTCAAGTTGTCGGGAACACTCTTATATAAAGGAACTGTGTTGTAGGTATCAGTGTTTTCGGCACGAGGTTTGCCCCAATGTGAAGGAAAGTGATCCATTTAAGTTCTATTTTTTATATAATGTGTGTGGTAAAAGAGAATTTAAAAAAAATGCAGTATAGAGTGCGTAATGCTCGGCCGTTTAAGAGAATGATTGACGCGTCGTCGCTTTTACAAAATTCTTTAACAGCAAAGCGAAAAAGAGGGGACAAGAGCAGCCCGCCCCACTGCCGGCAATCAGTTGTGACGTCCGCACAATTTCTTGAACCAATCAACAAGAAATTAACGTAGAATGGAAAACCGTACTTACACAGAGTCTTAGTCAATGCTTACTTTGTAGCTTGAGCTACATATAAATATATTAACATTGTTATATGAGCCAAAGTATTCAATAAATGTCATATAGTGTTTATGAAACATAATTATATTCGAGGACATATCGTCTACAATATTGATAATACGCTGTAAAAGAAGATGTCCAAACAATTGTGACCACTTGAAAGGGCTAAGCGCTGTATTAACTCATTAATATCTGGCTAGATTATCATCATTCATTCTCACTTTCGTCAAAACGTGACGCGATCGTTGTTGTTGTAGTGATACCCACATCATCACTGTCGAGCTTATAAATATCACAACATTTTTGGCCTACTGTTCTTTTATTTGAAGTGTTTCCTGTATTTACTGTAATGCGATTTGCTCAATTCGTTCAACATAGCAGTAATCAAAAGTACTTGCGGTTCCCTTTCAACAATTTCACATACTGTTTAACTCTCTTTTCAAAGTTTTTTTTTCATCTTTCCCTCACGGTACTTGTTCGCTATCGGTCTCTCGCCAATATTTAGCACCCTTTCCATCAGAAATTTGGGTTCAGTCATATTACTTAATATCTGAGAAAAACGATGATGTTGGAGGCGATCCTCTTGATATTCTTCAAGCAATATCTTCTTTTTTCTGTCAAAGGAAGGCAACGCTTTTTGAGCACTCACATAGCGAAGACAACGTCATAAAACTTGAATAGCCAAAGAGACAACAGTTGAAGAAACTCAGTGGGAGAATAACTTGCGACACACTTTTGATATAGTCTTGTCAAGTAATGAGAAATGCTTGAAACAAATTAAGAAGTCTCTAGCAGGTGTTCCTAATATCAAAAAAGCAGAAAATGTGAATGAAAAGAGCCTTATGCACAATTCTAGAGTGAAAAGGCAGCTTTCTGATACCTCCACAGATTCTGAAAGTGTTTTAGAATTCCCTGACAAGTGACCTGTTGGTAATAAACGTTCCGGGCGAGGAATCTCACTTAGCAGACGAAATCACATTTGTAAACAGATTTAAAACGAGGGCTGGTCGTATGGATTGGACTCAATGTCTCAATGAAGCACACGAAAATCATCTGTTATTACGTTACTCAACTGGAAACAGCCCTAATTTCAATAAATATGTTGAAAATGCGTAAAATAAATCATTTCGGTAAGTAAAGAAAACCAACAGGTACTATCATATATATCAGGTGTATCAGGAGCCTTAAGTGTTTCCATTTACATACCATATTGGAATAAGATTATGAACCCTTAAGCGCAAAACTTTAGTAATACTAGTTTTAGTTGTTGACCTAAGGATATATTGTTTGGAATTGCTTCAAGAATCTTTACATTTTAGCTTGATACCAGTTTTTAAACGGCTATATAACGCTTCTAACGAAAACGTGTTTTTGTTTTTTGGCCAATTAAATACGTTGTATCGTTCGCGAAGCCATTTGAGTATATATTTCCTCAAAAAGAAAAAGCGACTTTAGCTACAGTAATAACTTTAGAAGTATTTGAATTAGACTTAGCTTGTATATCTGCCATAGTTTGGACACGAACAAAATATAAGCCACCTGTAATGGCTGAACTCATTTAAAACTGCCATAAAAGCCTAAAGAGAATCTAAATTTACTTACAAGCGCCATACAGAATGGAGAGCAAATGACGAAACAGTATTGCCTGGAACATTAAATTTACTGAAAACCATTCATAACTCAGTAACAATTACTACGAAAACCACCCAATCTGTATTGTCAAAGATGCTATCGACCTTCTTTCTTGATGCTTTTGATAATTTGACAATGAGAAGGATAAAATGTCTTCAGTTCACACTAGCAAAGCTGGACATTTTGGAATGTATGACGATTTTCTCAAGAGCAGGTTTCGAGAATCAAAAACTACAAAGGAGTGCCAGAAGATTTTGGTAGCAGAGAATGCTCTTCTGCATTCATGGAAAGCTATGGAATGCTTTGGGAAGCTTAGGAAAAGTTTAGAGGCCTAGAAGCAATGCAATCTGTCACAGTGATCGACATTCAACGAATTATTGTTTCCAGAATGATACACAGGTATATTACTCACATATACTTTTGATCTCAGAATCTTGGTGAGCGGTGCTTCAATTGCAATATATTTTAACTTTTTTCCCCTTTCTTTTCTTTCATTTTCTTGCTTTCTTTCTACCATTAAAATTCAACGCTTCGTCAAGAATAGAATGAAAGAAAGACAAATGATAAATTACTCAATTTTTAATGGACTTTTTGTCGACTTTCTGCGTTGAATATACGCCAACTTCAAATATGAGTAACTAAGCTTCACAGTAGATTGTACTACAAACGCTTTGCAGACGGTAGCTTTTTTTTTTTTAATTGATTTGTATTTTTTGAACGAGAGAAGTAAACGTATCCTTGATACTCTATCTAGATCGTACTTTACGTTGGACTCAGGCACTGCGGCATCTACCAATATATTTACTTTTCCTCGTTTTCTCTCCTCATTTGCGCGACTGTTGCAATCCATTCGCCTGTCTGTTTCTGGTCTCCACAAGCTTTTCAATGGAATCAAAAAATCAAAGGTACCTGAATTTTAAACTTAACACACCCAAATACTTGTTTGGCAACGCCAAGAAGGCACCATTACAATAAAAAGAAGCCTGTAACCTCTGCGGATCAAGATCCGAGGACTGGGAGCAAATGTTACTTTAAAGTAAGCCTTCTTTTACTATTTTTAGTGGTGTGTAAATATTAGGTACGTTTATATATGACTTATTTGACATGTTTCTTCCTTTCCCTCCTTTTATCATTGACAATTGAGAAGAAGTATTTTACGGCCGTCGCGTGGATCAATATTTCATTTTCCCTCTAACAATGGTGAATATACCCGCATTAAGAAGGTAAGGTAAAAAAAATGATTATAAAAATTTAGCATTTTGCACAGACTTACAACGTTCTTCTATAAGAAATTCGAGCAATATATCTGTGCCTATGGGTTATTACAGAAATTTCAGAAGGACAAGGACAAACACAACATTCGAATGGTCCGTGGACTAACGGATGACATTGAGCATAGGCCCGCACATTTTTTCTTGGAGCAGTAAGAAAATACGAAGTGCTTTTCCCCTTGTTTGGCGAGCATTGTTCTGTAAATAATGCTTAACTTTGTGGGACCGCTTTCGCGATCTAGGGGCGTCCGGGAAAAAAAAGAAACGCTGCTATAAGAAATGTAGGATTGGTCGAGCAATCAAATGGCAGTCGTATCTGTAATTATTGATAAACTTCCTGAAAACGTCCACCTAGTCACCCAGGCGGCTGAGTAACAATCACTGTAAAACTGCTATGAACTTCATAGCAACACCGCTATCGGATATTCATAACAAAACTTCGAGAAAGATACCCCATAACAGCTACTTTTAAGGCGTCGACATTATTGTATCGTCCTGTTCTCTCTCTTTCTCAAGATCACAGGCGGCTTCTACAGCATTGAGGTCCTACTTTTTTTGCCTATTCAATACATTTGTGGAGGCGGGGGGAGGACTATAAAACAGCCTCGGAGAAAGCTATAATTTTTTATTTTAGTTGGTTCTCAAATTAACAGATCTCGATTGCACACGTCAATAAAACTGATGGCAGCTTTAAACTTTCTCAAATCGATATTTTCTTCCCTTCTTTCTTTTTGGAAGAGCGGATGCTTGTTGCATGTTTATAATGTATTGCAACTGACAATCTCCACGCCACAATGGTATTTTTCTCCGTAGTAAATAGTAGTATACACTTATAAGAATGGAGTGTCACTTGCAGGATAACTTATTCTTGCTCATCTTCCTTTGTCTTTTCTAACGATGGCTTACGCGGTCGAATTGTAGGAAAAGCGAGAACTTCACGGATATGCGTTGCTCCTGTCAATAATTGAACAACTCTGTCAATGCCCATGCCCCAGCCAGCTGTGGGTGGTAAGCCATATTCCAATGCATTGCAAAAATCTGTGTCTGGTATAGGTGCTTCCAAATCACCATTTTTCCTATCCTGTAGTTGTAATCTGAATCTGTCCCGTTGTTCTTCCGGGTCATTCAATTCTTCGTAAGCATTCACAATCTCCTTCCCTCCCACAAAGAGTTCAAATCTGGCTGACACAGTCCTTCCCTTAAAAATGATTAAGTTACTGATTCAGTGCTTAAGTCTTTGTCTACGATTACATACATTCCTACGAACCTTCTCGTCTGTAAAACTTTTCGCCAAAGGGCTGAGTGAAACAGGGTGATTGTATAGAAAGGTAGGTTGTGTACATTTAGGCTCAATGTGTTCTGAGATGAGGCTGTCTAGTAGCTTTGGCACAGTTATTTTAGAACTTGGCATTAGTCCTTGTTTAACGCAAACAGACAATAGCTCGCTTATCGAATCTGTTGTTTGATCATTTTTTTTTCAATAAAAATATCTAACTTTTAATGTCGAAATTTCGCATTCATAATATCTTACCAGGCTTTTCTAAAAATGATAATGACCTTCCTAGCTGTTGTTCCAAAGCTTCTGTAACATCAATTTTACGAAAAGGGACATCAAACTTTATATTCACTCCGGATTTCAATTGTAGAGTATTTCCACCACAAATAGCTTGCACCATTTCTTTTAGTAAAGTCTCTGTATCATTCATCAGGCTTTCCAAGTTACCATAGGCTTGATAGAATTCGCAAGTCGTAAATTCAGGATTATGGTCTGCATCAATACCCTCATTTCTAAACTGCTTTCCTATCTCATAAACACGGTCCAGGCCGCCTATCACCAACTGCTTCAAATACAATTCTGGAGCTATTCGCATTTGCATATCCATATTAAGAGCGAATGCGTGTGTTTCAAAAGGGCGCGCATTTGCGCCTCCTGCTTTATCAGACAGAATGGGTGTTTCCACTTCCAAAAATCCGCGTGCATCTAAGAATTCTCTAATGAATTTTATAATCCTTGATCGTGTCCGTAAAATATGCGCTGACTCTGTGTTCACCAACAAATCCACATGTCTTGCTCGAAATCGTTTTTCAGGATCAAGCAAAGACTTTCGCGGAAGGTCTTGTAGGCAAGGTGTTAGAACCTTCATTTCATTGGTTACAAAAACACTGAGCTGTCCATGCTTTGTTTTTCCCGGTACTCCTGTAAAAGCTTGAAAAGTCTAGGTTAGACCATTGGATGGCCTATTGATAGATGACAATATGTATAGAGACGCTTACAGACAATATCCCCTCTTCGTAGATGTTTTGTACATTCACTAAATTTGCTTTCAGAGCCATGGTATTTTCCTTGTGAGGCCACCACCTGCATTTTTTCTCCATTTTGCATAATATCATAAAACACGAGCTTTTGACTCGATTCTCGTTTGGAAACTATTCGACCTGTCAAAGTCACTAAATCCTTTTCTGCCTTTTCTCCATTTTGCAATACATCATATTTATGCAATTCTTTTACAGTAATCCATTTGCCGTGCACTTTAGGATTGATGCAGAAACGAGGATAGTCTAACGGTCTATCTCTCCGTGCAGCTGCTAGTATACTATTGTGTACCTCTACACTAACTTCCTGTCAGCTCCCTTCCTATTTTCATACCGAAAAAGTCGAACATTTTTCTTAAATCTCTTCCCGCTACCTGTGGTATAAGATCGCTGTTGTAAGACGCACTTGCTGCCTGCTTGTGTGAATAGATTAAGGATCGATCGTCTTCTCAACATGTCAATTAGAAGTGAATAAAGTGAAAGAATCTCAAAACGAAAAGGGTTGCCCTTGTTCAATTTCATATTGGCACAGCTTATTGGCTGTTTATTTTTGAAGCAGCACAAGTAGTTCCCCTTTAACTGAATTTAGAATTTGGGAACCTGAGGCTACCACCATATTAACATTCCGCCAGCGTTTTGAAAAGTAAACTCAAGCAAATCCTGAAATTTGAACTTTTTGTAGGATATAGATTAGTGGGGGGGGGTGGGCAATGTCACTGTCATCAAAGGACGTTTACATCTTGCAGAACTGGCAGGTTTAATCTGATCACAATATCCATGTTTGCATAGTGATCAAGATAAGAAAGCTTCATTTTACTTCTCAGGATTCACTCACTTTTGAAGCGATCGAGTGAAGATACAATTTTGGAAGCGCGACGTGAGGTACAGTTCATAGAATGGAACTGGTTGATTTAAGAGTACCATCTGACATTTCGTTGAAGTACATTTGACTTCACAGTCGTTCAGACAGCTATATCTGCCTTACAGTAATTGCAACAACTTACCATATGAAACCAGAGCATTTTAAGTCTGTTGAGGCCTGAAGCGTGAATTGAACAAGTCCACAAACCTACTTTTTAAAAATGCAAAATCTATGAGCAAGAATTGAACTAGATTACGGCACGATATCACTCTCAAGTTCAGTGATTAGGGATCGATCAGTTCCTGGAATAAGTTAAAAGGATAAAGTGTTAGTAGCGCACGAGCCTTTTATTTAAAAAAAAAAAGAAAAAGAAAAGAGTGCCTTCTTCAAGGGTCGAGAAAATATTGATCAATGCATATAACATTACATATGTGTGTAGTATTTATCTTCAGCCCATAAGTAGATGCCAGAATATGGAGATAAATTGGTGTAATACTTTGTAAATCTGACCTGTCTAACCTACTGCCGACATTTAGTGAATCAAGTCTTATTTGCAAGGAGGTCAAAACGGCGCGTTTTAATTTCGATTTGAGCGATTAGATTAATCCTATCTGTTATAGAAGACCGTTGATAGCGTCCATCTTATCAACAAACAATAATGCAGTTAGGTAAGGATGTATTGAGCGGGCTCGTAACTGAGACTCCTGGTCAAGAAACCTCAATAGCTCCGATAAGAAAGGAACCAACCTCCGAACTTTTTCATTGTTTGCCAGCTGTACACTTGTCGGTATTCCTCTTTCTCCTTTTACTGATTCGCGTCCGAAAAATGGATTCACCTTTGATGAGGACAGAAAGTCCAACACCTTTAGGTAATTGGAGATACCTCCTCATTGAGCTGTTTCGGCTTTTTATGAAACTTTCCTTCGCTCATTGTGCGACCAACAATAGGGAGCCTTTCACAATTCTCCCAAACAAAGCCTATATACCCCACACGATGCATTCATACTATTTCACAAGAGGATCGTAATTCAGTTTTATCTCTCGTTACCAGTCAACGTTATCTTTTCAGTGGGAGTCAAAGCTCTCAAATTCATGTAAAATAAGCTCTTTATTGAGAGACATCATATGTAAAAAGGGTTACTAACAGGACAACGGCAAAAACAATAAAAGGTTTGGGATCTCCAAACTTTCACTTTAGTTACAGTCTTACGAGGACATAAAGGGAGTGTACTTGGATTAACATTATCTGAAGATGAAAAATATCTGTTTAGCAGTTCTAGTGACGGAACAGTGAGAGTAATGTCATGCTTTGCTTCCCATATTCTTTATTCAGCGAAATTGTTTTAACTGATAAGGATTGTTATCTTCAATCATAAACATAGGTTTGGAATACGGAGACATTAAAATGCGCCTACCTTATTCAATCGTGTCATGATGTAGGCGATGTTTTTTCAATTTGTTATTCGGATTTGAATCATATGGTTTATTTTGGTAGTCAGAATACCAGTATTCAGGTATTGCATTTCCCTTGGCTGGTACAAGAGAAGCAGGCAGATTATTAAAAGATTTGATAACTAATTTCTAAAGTGGTACAATCTTACTGATGCTCAAACGCATGGTGTAAGCGTGGATAAGACTACCATCACAAGAAGATGTAAGAGCCAAGTGATCAATTTCTTCGATAAGGATGAAAGTGCAGACGATGAAAAAGAACGATTATTACAGCAAGAATTGGATAGAGATGTGATAAAGTGTATTGTAAGAGAGAAGAACATATGCAATAATGCCCACAATGGTTATGTTTATTGCTTACTGTATGCAACTGACATTCCTAATGTGGATGGGGAAGTTTTGATAAGCGGCTCCGGAGACGGTGATGTCAAGGTAAAAGAAACATAAAAGAGAGAAAGGTTGAATGTGATGAATCTCATAAAAGTATGACTTGTGTATCTAGATATGGTCTATCAAAGAATCTGGAATTGAATTAATCCATACATTAAGCGGTAATCCAGATAAAGGTATCTTATGTCTTGCCCTGTCCGAGGATGGTTATTTATTCTGTGGCGTTCAAGGTGGCGATATACAAATTTGGGACTTGGAAACTTTTCAAATGATTCGATCTGTTATGGCTCACAATGATGATGTGCTAGCAGTGTCTATCAAGAGCCCTGGTTTTGTTAGTGCTTCAGCTGATGGGACGATCAAAATATGGAGTGAGGGTTTCCTGCTTACGGAGAGCCTAGTAGAGCATCAGGGCATTGTTTTATCATTGGCGACCAGTGGTAATTACTTGATATCGGGAAGTAATGATCATACCATCAAGTTCTGGGATATGCCTTTGCCTGTGCAAACCGGATTCGAACCTTTCCGTCGGAAAAGCACAACTATTAGTGAAACACCCACGAGCGATACTATGCTTTACGTGCTCGAAAAATGGATTGCAATGCGTACTGTTAGCGGTGATCCACGATACATGGAAGAATGTAGAAGGGGTGCTCGATTCCTCAAAAATGTGTTTCAACAGCTTGGGGCTGTTAGTCGAATGGTAAGAAATCATGGAAACTATTTCTATAAAAAGGCGGCATGTATCGTTTTTTAAAACTGATGATCATAATAGATTCCAGGTGCTAGTGGCCGGAATCCTTTGGTTTACGGTAAATTCACAGGCAAGCGGAACAATCCTTCCAACGACGCTAAAAAAGTACCTACAGTCCTCATCTATGGTCATTATGATGTTATTTCTGCTGAAAATGAGAATAAGTTGTGGGGAAGTCCTCCTTTCAATTTGACAGGAAAAAATGGGTATCTTTATGGCCGTGGAGTTAGCGATAATAAGGTACTTTAACCTTTCGCTAGTCGTTTAGCATCCATATTAAATAACTTTTTTTTTTTAATGTATAGGGACCTATTTTAGCATGTGTATTTGCTGTGAATGAGCTATTAAAGCAAGGACAGTTGGACGTGAATGTGATTTTCCTCATTGAAGGCGAAGAAGAAAGCGGAAGTGTGGGTTTTTATGAAGCTGTTACGGAATCTGCAGAGCTATTTCAGGATGTAGACATGATTCTGTTGAGCAATTCATACTGGCTTGGTGAAGATGTTCCTTGCATTACTTATGGGTTGCGTGGCGTCATTCATGCTACAATTGCGATCAGCAATAAGCGTGCTGATTTGCACTCCGGTGTGGAGGGCGGTGCTGTCTCGGAACCACTCATGGATCTTATTCATGTGCTTGGCAAATTAGTAGATGATGAACAAAACAAGGTTCTTATACCCGGTTTTTATGACCATGTTCGACCTCTGACACCATCGGAAGAAAAGCTCTATGACCCAATCGTCGAATGGATGCGTACATCAAAAGTACCAGCAGCAGCAACAGCACCAGCGCATAATCATTCAAAGCGTGCCACGGCTCCTCATCAGCAGCCTAACGTTGGATCACCTATTCTTGGTAAGCAATCGTTGAACCAAGTAGACCATCCCCAACAAATCAAACAGCAGCTTATGTCTCGTTGGCGTTACCCTACATTAACTGTGCATAAAATTGATGTGTCCATTAACAACCCTACCATTATTCCTCGCAGCGCAAAAGCCGCCGTAAGTATGCGTGTTGTACCGGACCAAGATATATCCGATATCTGTAAACAATTTGAACACTATGTACATAGCGTGTTTTCAAAGAGTACACACTCAGATAATACCATCTCGGTGATTATTGAAAGTGCTGCTGAATATTGGCTAGGAGACTTGAATAGTAAGTACTTTAAAGCCGTGGAGAGAGCTATTCAAGATGAATGGCAAATGAAGCCTTTATACATTCGAGAAGGTGGCTCTATCCCGGCCGTGAGATGGCTGGAGAAATTCTGTAACGCACCAGCCGTTCATATTCCCTTTGGACAATCATCGGATCAAGCTCATCTCCACAACGAACGTATTCGTTTATTGAATCTTCATGCCGGCAGAAGAATCATTAAAACTCTATTAAGCGATATCCCTCATTTGTGATTTAGTTTTTAGTGTATTTGTATTGAAAATATTTACATGATTTGCTTTGATCTTTTATTGCGATATAAATAAATTAGGTGTCCAGTATCCCCTTCCGCTGTTGTTTATCGTGTGCAAAGGATCAATTGTTCTATGTAGGGTAAAGAATTCTATACTAATGATTATATTACAAAGTTCGATCCATCCGTTGAGTAACGTAGGTTACAAAAGAAGCATATTTTTTACTGAACTGTCAAAATTGAGTAGAGGATAAAAGTACTGGGATATTTACTGTGAGTCTATACATAATTCGACTATTTCCGATGATGACGAGGATGATGACCTTTCGTTTTCTATTCTTAAATTTGATTGAAGGTGTAGGAGTTGTTCATAGACTACAAACATGATGGCACTTTGTAAGCTTGTCCAAAATACTCGTGGGCCAATTCCTCTAAATAATCCTGACAGGCCTTGATGCTTATAATTCCACATCATTCCGTCTATAATGCCACTGTAATGTTTGACAGGTGGATCGCCCGGCTTCCGCGGTGGTGGAGGAGGAGCGAGAGGATCTTTCTTAGAGTCATCGACTCGTTGTTGTGTTTGTAATAAAGTCTTCATAACGTCCAACGGTGTTGTAATGGCTCCGGCAATACCACCTGCCAGTGAACCTGTCACTAAATCGATGGTTACAGGTAATTGTTCACCGGGCTTTACAAATCGATTCTGTGCAATTTTTTTGAATTGTTCTACAAAAATGAATCGACGTATTAGTAACCAATAATTTATTTGCAGATGTAGTCAACAATCATTTGTGTTTTTTTTTTTTTTACCATAGCAAGCAAACTGAATGGCTGAGTAAGGAACATCTCTCAATATGGTTGCTTTGAACCCATGAAATAATGCTCCAAATCCGTCTTGCTTGATAATCATCCTTGTCGCATGCCATGTATTTTTATAGTTATATCCACTGATAAACTGGGTATTGTTATATCTTCCTTGTAATTGTAATCGTGTTTTTAAGACTTCGGACGGTACATATATAACTGAAGCGACTAGGTCACCTATAGAACCTGCACTCAAATGTGAAACCACTTCAGGAACATTAAGTTCGTTGAGAGTACGTTTCGTTAACTCGTAGATTGCAAAATAGAGTGTTGTTCCTGGAACTACGATAAGTCCAAATGATTACAAATCGATGTTAGTCAGCTATTGCCTTTTATATTCAACATGAGCGGAAGTAGGAAATGATATACTTTACTGGATCCAATCATGGCAGGTGTAGCGCCAGCATAGAGTCCTCTCATAACACCTTCTTGCTTGAATATCAGCTTATAAGCTTGGACCATACTTTTATATTTCTTCACTCGAGTATGGGGTTGTCCTTGTAGTCTAGTCTTGACTGTATCCACACTAAACTTTCCGGAACCGATCCCCAGATTAGTCAAATATGCACCTATGGAAATTGACAGGTACAGCCGTTTGCACTTTACCTGTGCATAATAAAATCAGCAGTTGCTCCACCAATACCACCCGCAATACAGGCCTATGAAGGATAATATGTCGTTTAATACAAATGGACGTAATAAAGAATCATCATTGCTTGATTTACGTCGATGTAAGGCGGGTATTTTGTACCTCCATCCATTTGAATTGATGGAATCACAAATGGATATAGTGTCGATCGAGTGGCGGTGGTAGTGGTACTTTGACTGGTTTCAGGAGGATGAGTCATAACAATGTGTGATAATTCAGTACAATAAATAAACAGCAAGAAGTAAAACAGAAAGGAAGGTGAAGGACTATTTGAAAAGGAAATATATAATAAACAAATAAAAAAGAGAGAAACAAGCGACGCTCTCCAATTTTTTGTTTGGTAGGCATTTCGTTTTTTTTTTTTTTAATTTTCAGGCCCATCCTCAGGGAGGGAGTAGTGTGACCGTAAGTGATTTTTGGCGGTGTGAAGTGAGGACAGCAATAGCATTCAACCATAAAAAAAAAAAAAAAAAAAAAAAAAATACCGGGAAAAGAACTTCACTTTTGGGCTTTTCCGCTTCTTTTTCTTTTGCTTGACTCATAATTTGAACTTCCATAAAATGTCAGCTGTTGCAGCCGTAACAAATGACATTGCTACAAACCCAGTAAACGATACAAATGTATCAAAAAAAGCCAAAGAAGCACAGCAACATAAATTGAGACGGAAAAACAAGAAGAAGAATAAAAAACTGCGTAAAGAAGAGGAAGCTAGACGTAAAGCAGTAAGTACAATCGGGCGATCGATAAACGTGTATGTCTTCTTCTACTGCTTGCAGCATATTCTTACCACAACTATTTGATAGGAACTCGAACAGCAACAGAAAGAGAAAGATGATTCCCTTGATGTTGAAATTGAATATGTTGTTCAACCCGTCGATATGTCTTCATTGAAGAATATTGATGGCTTGTCCAATGTTGATGATAGTACTCTACAGCAGTTTTCTGAAATATTCAAGCATTTTCAAACTGGTAAAGCAGAAGAAGATGAAGAGGTAGTTGAACAAGCTTTGTTGGAATGATGACAATTTCAGTTTGGCGTAGACTTTGTTTTTTTTTTAAATATCTGTTTGTTGTTTTTTTCATAGGAATTTCCTGTGCATGATAACTCTGCCGCAACAGATCGCAACAAGGACGATAAAGATGATGACTCTGACAAAGAAGGCGAGGAGATGGATACAGATCAAACATTATCAAAAAAGAAGATGAAAAAGTTACAGCGTTTGACAGTAGCAGAATTAAAGCAGCTTGTGAAAAAACCAGAAGTCGTAGAATGGTGGGATGTTACAGCAAACGATCCTAAATTGTTAACATCCCTCAAGTCCTATAGAAATACAGTACCAGTACCCGCACATTGGAGTATGAAGCGTAAATATTTACAAGGAAAGCGTGGTATTGAGAAGCCACCATGGGAATTACCTGGTAAATAAGATATATTATATGTATTTTTCGGCAGAAACGACGAGTATTTCTGGACTCGTATTTCAATTTTCTAACATCAAGTTTCGGTTCCTTCCTATTTCAATAGATTTTATTAAAGATACTGGTATCATGGAAATGCGTGATGCTGTTAAAGAAAAAGAAAATGCAGCAGGATTAAAGGGAAAAACCAAAGAAAAAGTGAATCCGAAAATGGGTAAACTTGATATCGATTATCAAAAACTACATGATGCCTTCTTCAGATTTCAGACACGTGGTAACTACACTAAGCATGGTGAACTTTACTATGAAGGAAAGGAGTTTGAGACGAAAATAAAAGAACAAAAACCCGGCCAACTGTCAGAAGAATTAAAGGAAGCCCTCAACATGCCACCTCTAGCCCCTCCACCATGGCTCATCAATATGCAGCGTTACGGTCCTCCACCTAGTTACCCCAATCTGAAAATACCTGGCTTGAATGCTCCTATACCAGAAGGGGCGCAGTGGGGTTATCATCCGGGTGGTTGGGGCCGTCCTCCTGTAGATGAATATAATCGACCTCTGTATGGTGATGTGTTTGGTGTGGCTCAGCCTTCTGCTGCTCCACCAGAGATTGTCGAGCCTGTCGACAAAAATCTGTGGGGTGAGCTCGAATCAGAGGAAGAATATGAAGAAGTAGAGGAGGAGGAAGAATCGGAAGAAGAAAGTGAGGCCGAAGAAGCGAAGGAAGAGGAGCCCACAGGAGCAGAGATGGCCGATGGTTTGGTCACGCCTTCGGGTATGGCTTCAATTGCATCCGGCTTAACTACTCCCGATCATATAGAATTGCGTAAAGATCGCAAGAAGGAAGAAGATGAGGGTCCTAAGCAACTTTATCAAGTATTACCAGAAGTATCCAAGAATATTACTGGATTTATGGGATCACAGCATGGATATGACTTATCAGCCGTGAATAAAGCTACCCTGGGTGTCGAGATGTCAACAGGAAGAGCTGGTAAACGTAAAGCGGAAAATATTGACGTGGCTATTGATCCAAGTGAACTAGAGAACGGCGGTTTGGACGAGGCTACCTTACGTGCTAAATATGAGGCTCAAATGAGAGCCAAGTTACCAGTAGGTGCAGGTAGTGAAGATTTATCTGATATGTATGCTGAGCATGCCAGTAGACAAGCTAAAAAAGCAAGAACTCAGGACAGTCGAAAGGAAGCTAAAAAGAAGGAATTTAAATTCTAGATTGTTTCCACAGCCTCTTTTTTTTTCTTTTATCGTTCTATAAGAGATATTTTTGTTATGCTAAGCCAACAATAATAAAAATGCCAAACAGTAACGTGAAAATGACCAACTGTTTCAATTAAATTAGTCGCAACAAATTAATACTCTACGATATAAACAAACTAAATAAGTGATAAGTTCTCCGCTTACCATAGCTTTATAGCTGAGTGGTTCTATGAAAGCGTTCATTAATTCACCAAATACTTGCGCAATGATCCTTGTCTTTCCGAAAAACTGCGGTCGAAAGGTACTGCATCTATCCCACTCTTCACAGTATTTCTGCCATGTGGGTCCTATCAAATCTGGCCCACACTTGTGTGTGATATAATTGCTGTGACATATTTTCGCTTGTTCAGACAGATCTGTCAACGTACAAGTCAAAACATAAGAATTTCCATTTTATTGATATCTAACCGCTAACGGGATTGGGTTACCTTGTAACTTCAAGTAATATCTTGCTTCGACTTCACTATGTAACGATTGAAATAAGGTGTACATCATATATAATATTATACTTATACCAACGCAATGATATAAGACTTTTGCATAACTGAGAATAACTGTTAGTTATTGTTGTTGTTGCTGGCCGAACTTTCAGCGATCTATTGTTTACCTTGTAAATATAAGAGGCGCATCGGGTGTGATCAAAAAATTCAAATGACGTGCCATGGTCCTTTTGGCTAAAGATTCAGTTCTTGTTTTTGGCTCTTGTAGTCTGCGTCTTTTCACTGGTCTTTCATCTGGATTAAGACTGTACATTCACAATCAAGAGTGAGAAATCAAAGGGGGAGATAGTAAGGCAAGTTGGGTAATGATGGAATGATAAATGTTGGCCAATTAGAGCTTAAGGAACCTGCATGAATTTCGTGCACTACTTCTAAGCAATAAAAATGCTGGGTTTTTTACTATTCAACTCTTTTAATTGATCCAGCCCTGTAGGGTAAACACAAATGCAAAACCTACAAGAAGGCTTCAGGGACTCTTTTTGGCTATCATCTTCTTCTATTACAAATGTGTCTTCCCACTCCGTACCTTCTGTAAATACAGAGTCCAACATTCCGAACTATATAGCGGGTGTTACCAAACTTTTCCACAGGTTGACATCTTGCATCAGCGAGAATAAGTCCATCATCGAGTATGTCCAATGTCGAATGGACACTGAAAAAGCTTGTGCTGAGTTATTTGAAAGAAGAGCGCAAAATAATTTGAAGAGTCAAGTTGATATAACAACATCAGATATGAACGCTACTTTGACAGGTGCGTTCACAATGTTGTGCAACGAGGCGAAAGAAACAGCACATGCGCACCGCGTATGTGCCAGCTTAATGGAGCAGGATGTTTTGGAACCATTATCCGATTTCACAAATTATTTTGAAGAACAGTTGAATATAAAGAAGTCCGAGATTGAAGACAAGATACATGACTTTGAGCATGCTGCTCAAGCCGTTTTGTTACTTCGATCGGTTTATTGGTCAAGGTGCCGAGCATTAGAGATAGCTAGCCCTGATTTTAGGCCGCCTTTACCAATAGGATTTTACGAAGAAGAGGAAGACTTAGATATTGTGGATCATAATGACGCTGATATATATAGTGAAAATGATGATTTCATGCAGAGTGATACATTTGTGAGCGGGCGGCGCCGATCTAGCTCTGTCACCTCGGAACTCAATGTGGATAAAGGAGGAGTTAGGTTGGGTAAATTTACGATTGTGCCCTATCAAGCAGTGGCACAATCTATTAATCGAATGCAAAAACTGATCGAGGGTACCCTACAGAATACGACAGCTATACACCAAAAGAAGTACCGAGGACAGAGAATTTTTGAATATATACGTGATTATTTCGCCTCGCCACCACCCGTCTTACAGCAACATCAAGAGAATCAGAATCTTTCTATTGATACAGAAGCTTTTGAAATATGCCAGCATTTAATCAGCCTGAAATTTTTGAAGGCTGCAACCTTAAAAGATAGTGGGCCTTTCAATTTGGAAAAATTTTATGTGATACAGCAAAATGTCGTAGATCGATATATAAGGAAGACGCGTGTTAGACGCAGTGTGGACCAAGGAATAGGAGTTGATGTCTCAAATAATGATAATGATTCTGAGACAACCACTTTGGCAGTTCCTTCATCTTCGCCAACGAATGCTGCAACTACTGATCTTATCAGTAACATTTTTTCTGGAAAGAAGGGAAACACTAAAAAAGTCTCACTTTCAGATTCGGCAGCGAAAGCACACAGTGAAATGTTAGAAGCAGATAAAGCTTACAAGAAAAAGATACAGACGCTTGAAACGTCGAGAAAAAAGCTTGAAGAAAATCTGGTAAGGGAAAAACAATACAATGGAATTCTTCAGAATGCTTTTCACTAAAAATCTTTATCAAATTTTCGGTTACATTTAGCTTGCCTACTTTGATGACATCGAACAGTTAGAGAAGGAGAGAGTTGATTCAATAAAGCAAGGTGCGCTATTTAATAGGATTTTGCAAATACTTGATGTAACAGCTGCCTCGATTCTAACAATAATGCCTTTTATAACAAAAATAGCGTTCACAGCAATGGCTACTGCACTAAAAGGCACTGTACCTATGTTACAAGAAACATACAACAGTATATCACTTGTTCAAGAAACCTTAAAATCTGAACAAGACATTCAATATATCGTAGAACAGAATAAGTTGGGTCCTTATTGTCCAAAACCATATATCTACGAAAATTATTATTATGGCTCGGCTATAGACCAAATATTTGGTGTACCATTAGAAGAAGTAGCTCAAATTTACGGAACTTACGTACCACCTATCATCAGTAAAGGCATAAAGCTTATAGAAGAAGGTAGTATTTTATTCTTACAGAAAGATGCGACTACGAATTTAAGCAGTAACATTTCTCTGTAAAACTATACATTAGGCCTACGACCAGATGAAGCAGACATCACTTGGTCTAAACTGATACCAATGGAGGAAATGAATAGAATTATTGAGCAGATCAACAATTTAGCTGGATCTAAATTGAAGAAAAAGTTAGAAGAGTTTGACAATCTTATCATCCTAGCAAACATTATTAGGGTCTACCTGTTAGAATTACCCGAATGTCTATTGACGTACGACTTATACGAACCCATCAAGATTTTGTATGCTTCCCAATACCATGATGACGAAAGCCGACTACTATCCATTAGTAAATTATTAGCTACTTTGCCTTCGCCAAATTACTATACCTTAAAAGCGTTATCCAAACATCTAAACAAGTAAAATGCGGGAAATACATTGCTTTACGGTTTTTGTGCTAACATTCCCTTTTCTCTTTTTAGAACATTAAAGGAAATGAAAACCGATAAACTATTGAATCATCTTATATCCAACTTTGCTCATATATTGATGCGACCAAAAGTATCCACGCCTGTAAATGTCCATGATCGCCACCCTAAGCGAATTGTACGCGACTTGTTTACACAATACGATATTCTTTTTACGAAGAATATGAATTTGGTACAAAAATCTAACGAGTCAAGATCAGCTATTGTAGCTAATGATGAATCCTATTTTGCAGCTACATTTGAATCAGCGCCAAGTCGGTTCCAGCAGCAGCCTCCAGAAACAAATACGAGTACAGAATCAACTCTTAAACGTACATTTTTTAGTATGATACGGCATAATTCGTCCAGTGCCTTGAATACCAATTATAACCGACAAAATAAGAGTAACAATATAAGCTCATCTGTATCTACAATTAATAGTAATGCTGGCCCACCTATCGTTCCACATTCAGCTACGAGCATCACTTTATTTGAGGACCCTGAGTTTAATGAAGATGATACATTGTACACTAAGCAGCAAAATAGCAATCCATTGATACATGTTACAGAATTTTGTAAAAATGACGAGGATCTGAATGGCCAGACGGTTAAATTCGATAAAATTAGCAATAGACAGAACAAAAAGGAAGAGGATGATGACGTATCATACAAGACGAACGTCTCTTTTATGCTAAATATGGAAGCTCAGGATGATGATGCTATTGAAATCAATACTGTAAATGATGATATGGTAACAGCGTCTAGTTCTGCTGCTGCTTCACCAACAACGGCTAATACAAAAGAGGTAATAAAAACGCGCTCGCGTTCCTCCACAAAAGACACGTTAGAAAATATAGCGTTGGACCCCTTTTTTGAAGATTGAAACTTTCTTAAACGATTAAAAGAAATGCATAACCAAATCCAAATGTACACAACCAAATCCGAATATACACTAACAACAAACATCCATAAAATTAGTAGCTTATAAGACATACAAGAAATATATTCTGTACAAATAGTATTCAGTAAATAAATATCCTTTGCAATGAAAAGCAACAAAACTGATAACAGGTGCTGTTTAATGATTTTTTCGTGATTCAAACGGAAAGTTAACTATCCGTTTGATTGTTTAAGCCTTGCTTCTCGTTTTTCTTTCCAACGAGGGCCAAATTTCAGTAACACGGGAACAGCAATGTTAGAAACTGTTACAAATAAACTTATAACAGTGAACATCCATCCGATACCTATACCCTCAATTCCTGGATCAATAGCAACAGTTGCTATCGCGCTATGATAAATTCATGTAAAGCAGTTTAGTGGTCAGATTCGTTTAAATCTATATTCTAGTCTCTTACCCGAGCATGCAGCGAATAAGATTGTTTGAGGCGGTAATCGATGCACCTTTTCCAGGAAAAAGATCAACAATAAGCGACTGCACTCGTATTGTTGTTGAAGATGTGCTAAACCCAGCTATATGAGATTTCATAAGTCTACATTGTAAGGTACATACAACTGTTTACACATTTGAAAAGGTACATAAGATTATTGAGCTTACCAATAAACTGTATGATTAAAGCAGCTGGTAAAGGAGCGTTTGCATGCATTGCCCATCCATATACTAATGGCATGGTATCTGCAAAGAATAAACTAATCCAACTTGATCGTAGCCTTGCGGTGTATATGGATGGCTGAAGGTCAGGCTGATCTGGATGCTTCAAACGGAATTTTCTTCTCACGGATTTATATTCTCTGTCAAGAAACATACCAGTTATATACTAGTTCAAAGAATTTTGAGTTAGATTAAACTAACCTATGTCTTAGAATGGTGGGTTTTCAGAAGTTTTCGACTTACTGATCCTAGCAATGTGCCTCCGCCTTGACACAGAAAACAAAGTCCAATCTGAAGCTCGGACAAACCATAGTGAATGTTGAATTGCTTAGTAGTTGAAGTTAAGAAAGAGTAAAATGATGTATAAAATATTCCACTATGCAGAAGGGCAATCAGAACATCAGGTTCTCTAAGATAGATGAAGGGTGCCAAAAAATTCATACGACTACGAGGACCATTTGCTTCTTTGATAGCTGCAACTTTTTGTTCGTCTATTTTCCCCCTTTTTTTCGCGTAATATTGATAAGGCGTTGGGTTGGCATAGCCGCTTCCATTACCAACTAGAGAACGCAATGTTTCAGGCACAAAAAAGCCAACGAATGTTATTGAAGTTCCTCCAAGGATCACTAAAATCCAGAAGATCCATCTAAATGATGCCGTTAGAAAATAAGTAACCGAGTATTATCTAAGTCAATTGGCTAATACCTCCAACCAAGTTCCTCCGTTATTATACCTCCAAGAACCTAATTCCGCCAGTAAATGGACGCGAAAGCTTTAGTAAAATTTAGTGTTATGCTCAAGATGCTGACATGAGAATTACCGGTCCTAAAGCAGGCCCCAGCAATTGCCCCAAGGAATAGACGCCAAAATATGAGCCACGTCTATACAAGAAAAAAAAAAGCAAATGTGAATAACAGCTTTTTTTGTCAATAGAGGAGTTGAATCACTCATGAAAGGCTATACTTTTTCGAATCGACAATATCTCCCAACAAACCAGCACTGATAGCTATGACAGAGGATGATCCAAAGGCTTGTAACATTCTAAAAATCGTTAAGGCTGCATAATTAGGCGCCAATGCTAGACCGGTACAAGCAGCGCAATACACGAGCATAGTAATCATTAATACTGGTCTTCGTCCATAGCTGTCAGCAATTGTTCCCCAGAAAGTCGGAGATACTGCTTGAAATACCATATACACCGTAATCGTTAGATTTACTTGTTCTGTGCTTATTTTCATTTCCTATCATAGGGAGAGAGTATGTGTTACAAACGCCGTTACTATCTTGAGCAAAATGAGGGAATTCATAATATTGACAAAATTATACATTTTCGATCTGTAACACTGCTGGCAAATAAATACTAGCTGTCAATGGAGAAATCATCGCGGTCAACGAACAGATAGTCAACATTCTTATCAATTGTGGGGTTGTGAAAATGCTGTAAGGTTCTTTTACGCTTTCGCCTTTATCCTCTTCTGTAACAGCGTCCTGTATGCTGTATTTTTCTATATCAATGTTTACAGGAGTTGCTGTGGCTGGCTTGTGGCAGCTGGTATTATCATTAAAGTCATCATTTATTTTAGAGGAATCGCTTGCTTTTGTGCAAAGATCAGCTTTGCTATGTGCATATATACTTGCTTTATCGACTACACTCATTTTAAACAATTTCAAAAGGGTTCTTGAGTAGATAAGTAGTCAATATAGATCAGGTAATTGATAAAAAAGAGAAGAAAGTCATATAATTTATGATGTAAGAGAGATCAAGGTTCCTTTTTAATGCTTGTTGGTTGCCTGGATTTTTATTATCCGCAGAATTCCGGGGAACATCAATTTCCCGTCAAGTGTGTTTGCGTTAAGCTATGTCGAAGAAAGAACCTGACAATAATTAATTGAATTGAAAAGCCATGCACTGCAGCTCCATCATTTATACGAGGATCAACATTGCTGTATACATGATACAACAAAGAGGCATTACGTCCATTTTTTTAGGAATAAAAGGACGATCTAAACAGTCCTTTCCAGAGATTAGTCGTTGGATTTTATGAAAAAGTGCTTGAAACATTACTACAAGTTCAGACAATGCATCAATATATGATGGCAAGGCTTTCAAGTTCTATTTGGGCGATCCCTAACCGGGATTAATTTTACCCTTAAACTGTCTTTGTCCAACATTGAGTGGAAACCACCTGTGACTACCGGAAAATTCTGTAATCGCTGCGCGTTTGTCAATGGTTCCTGAAAATCAGTACTCAAAGTAGCTTGTAAAATATGAAAAGCATAAATTCTTTGCTTTCATGCTTATAGTCAAGAATGTAGGAACAATATAATTTTAAAATTACAGATGGACTTTTATTGCTTGTTGATCACTCGGGAAAGGGGGGACCTAGATTGATTCAACATTTTTTTACGCTGTTCTTAAGATCAAATGGACACCACTATCGGTCCAGACAGGTTTACTCAGCTCTCCTACTTGAAGGGCAAATGTAGCGTCCTCAAATGGTTTTTGCATTTGTCCACGTTCGAAGTAGCCCAAATCACCGCCGCGTTTCGCGCTAGGACAATCAGAATAGTGAGTTGCCAAAGCAGATAGCGTTTCTTCACCAGCTTCAATTTTTCTTTGATATTCTTTCAAAAGCTCCAACGCCTCTTCTTTGGACCTAGTGATGTGTTCCTCTCTCCAAGAACTCGGTCTTCTGGATTCTCTGCTTTTTACTAACAAATGACTAGCCCGCACTCTTTCTATCTGGTTTGGCGTTATAGGGGAATCCCAACGTGACTCTTTTGTTACCATATTGAAGTAGTAGTCTTTATCATATGTACGAGAATGTCGTATAACCCAATTGTCTGGCAGTTCCTATGATTGTGAAAGAGCTGGTTATATTTTTAAATCTTGCCATAATTTGTGACCCTTTGAATAGCGCTGTTTATTCATGGCAAGTTTCCTAAATAAAAATCTGCCCAGCGTACGCTACTATTTGCACCGCTCGATCATTCCTTCTTCCTGTTTGAGTGAGCTACTCACCATGATTGTTATTTTTTTATATATATGGTAACTGTGTCCGTTTTTAATTTAATATTGAACTGGAGTGTTTTCAAATGGTTGAAATCTACGATCGCAAATAAGTGGTGAAGGTAGAATAAAAAGACAAGAAATTAAGAAGCATTCTGAAACTCGTCGGGTCATTTTTGCTTTGGAACGAGTTGAGGTTCCTTCTCCGCAAAGTACGATTAAACATGATTTTTTATTATATAATTTTTAACCCAGCACACAAATATACTACATATCAGAAAACTGCCCAGGGCAGCTCGATTTGAGAATAGAGCGATGCATAGTGTAGGAACCTTAAATTTTCAGAGTGTACTGCAGATACGCAAACCTGTATATCGCTATTATTTGTTAATTACTCTATAGGATCAAATGGTTGTTTAAAGATCAAAAGGTCGCACCATGAAAGACTATAAAAGCAGGATCAAAAAAAAAAAAAACGGGAACTCTATTGAAGGGAACCTTTTGATACATTTTATTTGCGCTTAATTTAATTTTAAGTACGTTAAATGGCGAAGGTATTAGAGAGCAACATACGATAAATGTTTGTACTATTAAACGAATTGCTATATATATGTACGTTTGACAACCAGCAAACCCTGGGGAGGTAAGTTCGAATGCAAGTATAGAAAAATATATCCGCAGGTGATATAAAAGGCAAAATGGGATATTTATTGCCACTTGAGGTATTGCATTTTTAATTGTGGAGCAAATTTCGCGTAAGATGATTCAACAGACTCTCTATCTTAAGTTGCCAATAACTGAAGCTGTTTACGATGACAAATGAGTGAGGACAGCAAGTGAAAATGCATTTACTCCCAGAGAGATTTCGCATATCCATAGCGCATAAATAAGCACCATTTATGTATTGTCGGATTGTATCAGCTTACGTTGAGGACGCGTATTATCGTTTTTACTGCTGAATCCACTTTTGTAAATGTCAAGTTTTATTTTACATTCACTGAGTTTCTCAAACGTACTTTATAAACTTATAGGAAGAATGATTGCGCTGTGTGCATACTGGGACAAGTTTTACCAATTGGTGTTTTCTCCCCACAGAAAAACTTTACTAAAGTGTAGCTGATAAAATCTTCTTAGATAGGTATTCTTCAATTCGGTAAGAAATGTAATCTGTCTTTTTAGAGGATAGTTAAATCAAGCAACTGGAGTCCGCAATGCTTTAACATAGAAATGAAGCCCATAGTATAGAAAAATTGAGAAATGCTTCATTTTTAAGTATATTTCTTTTATTTATTACAATCTTCGTATATTGATGAACAGGACGTGCTTTGTAATGAACTAACAGCTAGCGCTTTTTTTAATTCTTGTACTTAGTTTCGAAATAGTTAAGAGCAGCAGACTGAGCCATTTTTTGAAGTAAAGATTGTTTCTTTTCCTTTTGTTCCTCATCTTCGTCGTCATCATCATCATCAGTTCCGCGTTCAGTGAACATTTTTACCATTTCCTTGGCAGCGTAAGCAGCAATTGCTTCCTTGGCTCCTTTGAAGCGAACTTCTTCGCCGTTTTCTTCTTGCTTTTCCATATACATTTTCACAGCTTGTACAGCAACGGCACCAGCAATAATTTCGTAGCTGTGAAACACACAGATCAAAATTAGAAAATCAGGTTCTCACAGAAAATGTAATAATATTGTTGCGAACCTCAAATGCGATTTCTTCTTCTCATAAACTTTCTTGTGAGCCTTTTGTAGTTCTTTCTCTTGTAACACCTCGTTCTTTTCATTATGGCCCCAGCCAAACCAGTTGCCAAACCAAGCTGTTAAGCGAGCACGCTTGCAATCATCTTCTTCATCGTCGGAAGAATCTAAAACGCGTGGAGGATCAGCTAATTGTAAATCCCAGAGTTGATTGATACCTTTTTCAGGTGTCTCTGCCTTTTTATAAATCATAATGGTAGCACCAGCTTCCATTTCTTTTTTACGTATGTCAACAACTTGGTCTGTTTCTGACAGAGTATAAATGTGGCCGTGCTCACTAGAATATCCAAAACGTTGATCATCTGCCTATAATTACGGACAAAAAGGTTCATAACGTCAAACTTTAGTGTTACACTTTCGGCTTGTTATCCGATTATTTAAGATTTCTAGAAGAAGTAACATGCATGAAAGCTTACATTCTCCTCATGTTTCATGACATCAACATATAAATGGTCATGACCAGTAAAGATGTCTATGTACAATGATTGATTGACAAAGGTCCTGATTAAAATTGACTTGCATGAAATCACAGAAAGGAAGTTGCTATTTCATTACCTATAAACTTTTTGGATTTACCGACATCGAGAACAAGGCCGCTAAACTTATTAGTCAGAAAACCTTTCATAAAAAAAGGATGAAAATAGTTCTTTGGTCAGCATGAAAAAAGCAAGACTACGAAGTAAAGGATAAAGAAATCGACGCGTTTACCATTTTGGTGGATCCACAATTGGCTATCTCTTTCAGGCTTCCTTTCTTCTTTGAGTGCAGTAACAATACGAGTTCCAGCCTAATAATATTATAGATAGATACTAAGTGTCGAAAAATACGTTTCTTTTCAAGTCTTTCATATATTACACGTAATCTTTCTAGTTTACCTTGACACCATCATTCTTATCGATATCCATAGCCATACCATTCATTTTTGAAATGATATAAAAATAGCCAACAGGAAAGCTATCAGTTTCGACAGTCATCTTTAATATGCACCTTTTGTAAAGTGGCAGAGAATAAGTAAAAGAAAAATGGATGTACAGAAGGCCGAGTCCACGTTAAATATGAAGCTCGTAGCACAATAATTTAGAATTTGCAATAAAGCGGCAGTAGATATTGTTGTACATATGCGGTCCAGAGGAATTTCCTTTATTAGTAAAATGCCCGACAAGTGTTTATGAATTTGCATAAGCTGCCTATGAACGTAGAAATAGCAGCAACCGCTTAAAGCAGTGGCATAAGGTTTTATTAATGGATCACTATTTAAAGGGCCATATCTTCAAGTAATGTGTCCAAGCGTACATATGTGAACTGGGATAACTCTTTCAGTTTTTTTATGAATGTCTGTATTCGATGCACACAATCTGAACATATAATAAGCACGAGTGAGTACATACGACTAGACTCAAATAAACTTGAAAGGCTGCAGAGTTCTACTTACTTTGTTCAGTATCAGTATACTGTGTTCTATCAGTATCTACTTTAAATAATTTAAGAAGATGACTCAATTGTTCATACAATGTTCCTGCTGAATACTATAGATAGGGGAGGAGGAGGAGGAGGACGAACGTAAGTCAAAGTATAGCGTAAACAACTCTTTTTTGTCTACTTTACGACATAATTCAGCCTTCCCGAGCATAGTGGTTGAAAGCAACGATCGCCTTCGTGATAGATCTTGCTGTTTGTCTCACTCCCACACATTATATGATTGCATTTCAATGGGCTTCTATAATACCTTCTTATACTTTCATGAATCAAGGTTATTACTTTTGCCTCAATTTCATTTGTATCAAGCTTCGCCTCGCACTTTTTACAACTGAGACGAATAATCTTTTGCGTCAGATGGCAGTTTTTACATTCAATGATGGGCGTTTGTATAACCTCATACACTGTTTCCTCTTTGTCTTGTTCTTTCTCGGATACTACGCTTTCTTCTACTTCGTCGGTTAGTAAATTATCGAGATCGATATCTATAAGTGCAAAATAGATTTGGAAGGGTTGAGTAAGTGGCCCTTCGAAGGTGTTAACTACGGAAATTCGTTTACTTTACCGAGCCATTTCAGTAATTCGTTAAGTGAAATTTTATTGATAGGAAGTAATAATCGTCGAACAGGTGGCAAGATTTGCCTGACAATGTACCATCTATAATCTGAAGACAACTCAAGAGTTTACAAGATTGTTTTGGAACGATAATTTGCAAAATGAATTTGTCATATGTAATTAATACTTACCGAGTTCATACTTCCCGTCAGAAACATCCTTGGGTGCTCTTGGTTCGGGAAATCCCAAAGAGTTCGACCCTGATTTACACATAACGTAAGGTATTTCATCTCCTGCTTTAATTGTAAATCCTAACTTTCTCATATGCGAAGCAACAACAGCGTGAGGGTTGCGTTTCGGATCAGAATAGTTTTCAGGATTCCGGCTCAGATGCTGTTCATAGAATGTTAAACACTTGCAACGAAGAATGGCGCTTGCAATTATTAATTTACCTTTCGTATTATAAACTGACTGAAATCATACTCTTTGATTTGCTTGGTCACTCGGATCAAGTATTTACGAATACTTTGAATAAGTGTATCATTATCCATTGAGTTTGCAAAAATCAACTCTAGAACATCCCTTTTCATCGAATATAAATCAATTACTTTACTGAAAAGTCTGTTCATGACCAGTTCCTTTTTCATTACCTTGACACCTTTTTTGATCGTTCACACCAGTCTCTCCTCACCATATCCAAACCTTTCACTTCAAGCGTTTCCACTAATGTTCCGTCATATCTAGTTTGCACCATCAAGGCTGCATATTTCTTTTTTCTCAACAGTAAAGTACGTCTGAAAAACGCATCAATATCCAATTCTAGAAGCGAGTAATGCTTATTGACTTCCGTAATAAAGCGATGAGCAATTTCTTTTGCTTTTACCATACTTTTTCTATTCGTATAGAGCATCACCGAATCCGTATCACCATAAATGACATGAAAGTGACGTTCACGAGCTAGATTAACGGTGCTTTGAAGAATCTCCCTTCCTTTACTGGTAATAAACTTAGCCAAATGCCTCGCTTGAAATCTGGAGAACCGAGAACCTAAGCAACCATAAATACTGTTCGCTGTAAGCTTAAGAGCTGTCTGACGGGAATCATATTGAGCATAAGTGGACCGAGAAACTTGGTTATCTTTCATTTTGTTTTTTACAATTTTCCGTTCTTGTACAAGTTGTTTAAGAAGGTCTGGCAAAATGCCACGTGTTGTGGTAACTTCGGGGGTATCAGGTATATCGGACTTATCATTCAACGGCATCGTAGTGAAGCAGACGTTGTATTCTTGGATAATAGAGGGGTATAAACTGTTGAAATCTAGCAATAGAACATATTTATCGTAATAACCAATCTCAGGTTCAAGAACGAGGCCACCGCTAAAAGTACTTGCTGTCTTCATAATACGATTAGTGTCAATAACTCCAGTATAGTCAAAATTTACAAGATCTTGCTCAGCGTTTTTCTTCGAAGGCTTATCAGGGCAGATGAACCCTTCATCATGGAATTTATGCAAAAGTAAGTATTCAATACGTTGAGCACGTCCACCTTTCAGCGAGTCTGACCAGAGGTTTCCCGAAATATTAGTTAATTGCTTGGTAATCGAGAGGAGCTGGAATTTTATTGCAAGCCTACAAGTGGCATAGGCTTCAAACGATGTATCATTAACTACATTCATAATGTTTTTTGCGTCATTGTAGTATTCGGGAAATGATTGATTCAATAGTTTTGGGCGTTGTAGATGAAGTTGTGTCAATGCTAACTCTGTCAAATTGTACGACTTGCTTTTGATGTATTCTTTGGCGCCTTCGTATGTATCACATAGTACGCGCCCGTTCAGCTTTTCATAAATGCTATCATTTTCAAAAAATGTAGTTATGTGATTCTTTCGACGAAGTCTTCCTAATTTGTGATCTATTTGCATATTGAACGCCTTCATTCTTGAAAGCAGAATGTCAAACATGGTAGTGACATTATGACCAACGATAATATCAGGGTCAACCCGGTCCATGTAGGCTGAGAAATGGCAAAAGAGGTTCGGTTAACTAAAAGATGAGAGCGTTTTGAGAAGCGGTCGTGTACAAAAATGCAGATCTTACATATAAAGGTCGAAATTAAATCTTTTTCATTGTTTTCATTAAGAATTATATGATTTGTTTGCTCTTTCTCCCCTTGTATATGGATAGCAAGATCATCAGGTGGTGCTCTTCCATCGGGTGAGCTAACGGCTGTTATGAGTGAGCATTCGGACGACTCAATGGATTCACCATCGTCAACATCAACTGCATAGAACAACAAAATGTTGATTAGAAGCCTGCTAATACCGTTTAATCGAAGTCAAGCTTACCATCTTTGCAAATCAATAAACTAGCAGCGATAATTTGAGCTCTTTTGGTATTATTGTTAACAAATGTTTTCAAACTGATAGACATGATTGTTAAAGGTGGGTTGCCGTTCTCTTCTGCTATAATCATTGAACAATCCTCAGGTTGAGATAAAAGTAGATTGACTTGAGAATTCGTAAACTATATAGAAATGGCGAGATTATTAGTGAATAGTCTCGTTGCAATCATTGCAAGCTGACCTACAGGCTCTGATACTCTAGAAACATTCTTAAGCTCTAACCAACAGGGTCCCATGATTTTTCTATCAATGACAAAGTTCTCAAAGGGACCTGTATCTATTCCATAAATTTTGCTGAATGTCTTTCCATAGAGTCCATAAGGTAATGCAATATCTAACAATCAAGTTAGTGAGTGGGTACAATAAAGGAAGAAATCAGAAAACCTTTGTCACTGCCCTTTGCCCTTGCAAAACTTCCTTATTATATACCTTTATAACTATATCTCAATCTGACATAATCCTTTTTTTTGGCCTCAGGAGATAAATTCTTTCTTCTGACTGTATCCATCCTATACTTTTTGATGCCAAATTCAGCTAGTGTTCTGGCGATTTCTTTTTTAACGTCATTTATAGAAACTTTTTTGAAAATATCATCACTTTGTGCTAAAGGAAATGCATATAAGTAGGCTTGAAACTTTTAACGTAGAGGTTCAAGAAATACAAAGAAATACAAGACTTACAATCGAGCTCGAAAGGCCTTGGCTCAATGTACATAATCCTATCAATATTTGGGATAGCGACCGTACAGGTGACAGCTGCACCATTGCGATTCAAAATCTTGGTTTTCGTTTTTGTTGGATTGTGGATTGAAAGAATAAGAATGTTTCTTAAGTCTTTCTTTTTTATTTCTCGTTTGTATTCGTATCAAGATGAAACAGCTTACCTTCCCAAATAAAAGAATAAAGCTCTGTTTATGGACTTCGTAAGCATGAAACCACCACACCTTTTCTGTTTGCCCTACTTCATAGAATTGGTCGTTTAAAGCTTTTAAGGGAAGTGATTTTTTTCCGCTTAATATCATTGTTCTAGCTCCTTCCCAAGGTTCGACAAGTTGTTGACTTTGGGTGATGGAAATAATCACATCTTCCATTTCTTTGTCATCAGCCTCGTTATCCATGTCAACTTTGTTATCATCCTCGGCATCCATGAAAATATCATCATCTGAATTAAAGCCAGCAGCGTCATTTCTATTTGGATCGCCTAGAACTGGTGATAAACTACTGTCGAAAGTGCCTATTACTCTACTTTGAGGCTCTTCCTGAGAGGAATGTTGAGGACTTGGCATTTCATCCGTTTGAGTAAGTGTCGGTGGAGAGATACTAGCAATATCTTCGAAAGATGAAAGGATCTGCTGGCCTTCATCGTCATAAATATCTGGTAGCTCAGTTGAAGACGTTCTCTGAGGTGAGGTGTCTCCATTTGGGTAATGTATATGATTTGTCGGATCATCAGCTTGCGTAAGATCTATTGTGGACATACTGGAGATGTCTAACGAAGGCGACTGGGCCTGTTGCTGCTCTATGGTATTGCAACCGTCCGGTTCTACCGAAGAGATTGTCTGCGTCGAAATGGCTGCAGCAGGAACACGTTGAGAATAACAAACAGGAGATTTACCCGAGCTTTCGTCAGTTAACTCATCCACAAGTTCGTCATCACTAACTTGAGCTGTTTCGTCCTCATCAAATTCGTCGCTTTCCATATTAGAATCGGCAAGAAGCATATTATCGTTGTCAACGCTTGGCTGTTTATCACTCTCACTATCAAGCTCATCGTCCATTTTCCCATCTTTTCTACCCTTGCACGCATTATCTTCAGGTTGTGCATCATTATTTTCCTCACCGTGCTCTTCATCATCGTTACTCCTGTCATGCTTAACGTCATAATTTTCAAACACATGGTCATTATCGTCCAGAGTCTCCTTATTGAATACTTTTTCTCCTTCTTCCTCTGCCTCTTCTATAGTTTCTGCCATTGTAATTATGTCGTTATTCTCCTCTGAAAATTCTCCCTGAGCATCAGAAACCTCAACTACCGTTGTTACAATAGAGATATCATTCTCGTCAGCAGTATGCTGTGATGAAAATTCTGGATCGCTCGAAGTGGTAGCAGTAGGATCAAAAGTTGTAGCTGATAGCCCATAATCTTGCTGAGATTGATGAGTGAGAGTGGTCGCTGTAGGAGCTGCTGTATTGGAAAAATATTCGGTGCGGTTTCTGTCGTTTAGCACAGCTAAAGCTTGCAAAGCTTCGTAGAATTCATCCCCTTCTTCGTCTTGCTTGAATTCAAAAGCAGTTCCTGCTATTTCAGGAAATACGTCCTTAGTAATTTGATAGAATATCTCATTCAAAGGGCTGGAAGCATAAGGAACAAGAGCATTTGCGGGTTCATTTTCGTCTACGACGTCTGAACAATTGTTGGTTGCATCAAGCTAAAGTTTAGTAGGAGAGAATTAGATCATCGATGGATCAAAAGATTACTCTTCGGTGAAATTAGATCTGCTTGTCTTTTGACTTCACCTTTCTTCTTTTACGCTGCGGATCTGCTTCTGCTTGTCGTTTCTTTGAAGTGTGCGACATGACGAGATCTATAACAGACAGTATCACAACGCGACAAACGAAAATGATAATGGAGAAAGAAAAGGCCCGAACATTTATGCGGCAGCAAAGAATTTCTTTATGATGTGGTTTGCTTCACCCCGAGGGTAACCTGTATGTGGTTTTCTTAAAACACTTGTTTATAAGAAAGAGAAAAAAAAACTTGGACTATGAAGCTAAACAAATGCGATCGACAAATACGACGTAGTGAACTACTGTTCAAATGTGATTGATTGACGCTATTTCTTATTCAGTGTAAATTTCAGAGTTAAAGGTAAAAGGAAAGGAAAGAGCAACTTTATATTCATAACGATTTCTTTCTTCCTTGCTTCTTTTCGATAGACGGTAAGTTTACCAAACTAAATAGCACAGTTGATAGTGTCAAAGATATGGACATATCACCCACTTATGACCTTGCTTCCTATATGACTTTGACCTCTTTTATCATCCGACTATTCTTCTGCCTCAAAACTGCTCATATATCAACGTTTCTTTTAACTACAATTCATATAATTGAGGCAATTTTGGAAATATTGTTACGAAAAAAAAAGGGCGCAAGACTGATATATACAAAGTACTTTGTCCTTTCAATGAATATCTGTACCCAATTCAGCAGCTCTCGTAAGGTGACGGTGACGATCAGGCAGTTTAAAAACCTTTGCAAGTCGGAGCCAGTAGCAATGTAAGATCAGCTGACTTAGCATCAATATGGTAGGTTACTGTTTGAAGGAGGTGTCTCATAGGTATAACACTAAGCCTTTCCGTTTTCCCCCCTTCGATTCGGCTTGAACTGAGTGGGTATCACACAACCCTGAATCTTTCAGGAATGACGCTACCTACAACTATGATTGCCTGAAGCTCAAAGTGAATTTGTTGAATACCAACTCCAGGTTCATGTGATCTATTTTAATCACTCGAGCGACATTAGAGTGAGTTGATTTAGAGCATACTATAGCGGGAAACCGCACTAGGAGGAAAAATGAAAATCTGGAAAAAAAAAACCATAATTGAAAAGAAAGTTTCGTTATTTGTCGTACAATGTCAATATTGAAGTCTTTTTTGTAACTTTTGACAATGAGTACGTTTTTGGAAGTAATGGGGGTAAGAATTTTCGATTCTGTTTTACTTTGGATACACATCAATCAAATGAAGGGAGAGACGCTCTTCCTAGCGTTGACTGAATAACCGTTATATGAAAGCAATAAATAGCATGAATACCATTGAAGACAATTTGCTTCAGGGTACGGTCAAACGATGGCACGGATTTACAATGTCAGTGCTTTCTTCTTAGAAAACAATACGCAACATCGTACGATACGATATGCCACTTGAATAAATTCAGGGGAAGAGAGAAAAGGCTTCTGGAAGAGCAACATAGACAGAGATGTTGTGTTACAATTGGTAATTTATTTCTTTATTTTAAGAGAAAAAAAGTAGAGGAAGCAAGTTGAAATGCAGATAAAAAAAAAGAGAAACGTACGCGTAGTCATAGTAGTAGTAGTAATTGGTTAAAAGCATTGAACGAAAGAGAAGAGAAAGTGATCGAGAAATACTTAAAAAGTGTATGTAGAAAAGAAACTATATACATTAAAAATTTTTTGAAAAAGCATATTTATGTGTGTGTGTATGTGAGTTGTTGCTGATGTGAGACTAAAAGAACGAAGAGAACGAAAGGTATGTTTAGGTTTTTTTGGCCGATTTTTTGTGCGTGTGTAAGTGATTGAGAAAGGCATAAAAATTCTACTCTGTGTGTGATTAGACAAATGTGTATGTTTTTGGTGGTTTAATAAAAAGAGGCGGAACGTAAGGGTATCAAAAAATCGCAAAGTTGCTATTGCCTGTGCATAAACTGATCAGAAGCAGTAGTTGTAGCATTCAGCATGTGTGTATTTAAGAATGTGTCGTTATGCATCATAGGGAAGGTTGTGGTAGTGCTTGGGTTAAACATGGTTGTGGTTGTTGTTGCCGAACTTGTCGTACTGTCAGAGGAAGGAGCACTCATCATGCTGAATGATCCAGGTAAAACGGTTGGTTGATGAAGAGCGGTTTGAAATTTTGGCATCATCATGGATGAAGGGTGCTGTTGTAAATTGAAGAATGGCATATCAGACTTCATAATAGTAGTGCTAGGTTCTGATGTAACCATAGCGGGAGTGGTCCAGTTACTGGTAGCAGTTGTAGATGCAGTGGTTGAAGCAGTATTATTGGTGCTGTTGGAAGTATTTATGTAGTTCGGGAAGCCTGGTACCGATGATGGTAGCACAGGAAACTGATTGCCTGATTTATCGTTGATACTGAGAGGAGGGGAAGAGAACTTTTGGTTGAAAGTGAATTGTTGTTGGTTGTTATCTGTGAGAGAAAAGTTATTTTGAATGGCTGATTGCTTAACAAAGAAGCTAGAAGATGTAGTAGCTGACGGTTTGATGGACTGCTGTAGATGATGTTGCCCGTTTTCTTCATCAAGGAATTCGTCGTCTTCGTCTCCATCTTCATAGTCAGACTCCATTTCTTCTTCGATAGTGTTTCCTTGAAGATGTTGATGACTTTTATCTTCCATGACTGGTGACGAAACAGCAGAAGAAACCATTTCAGGCACCATTTCTGGAGAGGCGGTACCGGCCATCGTTTCGTCGGAACATGCTTCGGGAACAGTCTTCTTGCTGTTATTGTTCTTTCTAGCCTTTTTCTTTTGCAAACGCTTGTCAGCCTCGGATAACAAGTAACTGTTGAATTTCTCAAGTTCACTGATACGACGTTGATAACGTTCTTCTTTTAAAAGAGCGTTTTTTACAAAGTCAAGAGTGCGGTCAATGATGGTACTTTTGGAAGGACGAGTATCGTTTTGTAGATTGGGCAAAGTGAAAGCCAATTGTTGGAATTTGACATTTAGACTTTCTCGACGAGCACGTTCAATAGCATTATGTTCAGCTCTACGTTCAGCTTTGGACAAAATCTTGGCTGAACTACTGGAATTGGTTGTTGTAGAGGCCGAACCCCCAAAAGCTGTAGTAGAGTTACCAGTAGTAGCTCTATCATAGGGGCTATTCGAAAACCCACGTAAGACTATTAGAATAAAAAAATTAAAAATAATTAGTTTGTGTAAGGCTGAACAAAGAAAAAAAAAAAAAACGACGAAAGGGGGCGGAAAGAAGAGTCAAAGGCGATAATTTACATTGTTGTTGCATAAGAAGATCTTGTCCATTCTGAAAGCTCAAAGGAAGCTGCTGTTGAGGTTGAGATCGTTGAGAAGAAGGACGAGGGGGTACTGAAGCAGCAAATTGCAAAGGTATTTCATTTGTGCCAAATCCGCCGTTCGCATTAAACTGCAAATTAGGAGTCGGCTGGCTAAAGAAATTGGGTTGAGACATAAGCGTTGAAAATAAGCAGAGAAATTATAGTGAAAATAAAGACAAACAAGAGAAAGAAGAAACAAAGGAAAGACGAAAGAGAAGAAACTGTTTTTGTTCCCCTATTTTATGAAGGCATTCTTATATGCTTTTTATAGCATTAGTCCGGTTTTTTTGAATGCTAGATATACTAGAAGCCTCACGTTACATTCCAATTTAGTAAGTCGGTCAAGCCATTCGTGGGTGTTCCGAAACCACATATTAAGCAAGAGAAGCAACATGATCATCTCTTTCTCATCATACATCATTTCTTTGTAACTCAAAATGCCGTCATTGGAATAAAAGCAAGAAATACGGTCCATAGTATTCGAATTGTGAGAGAAAGAGCTTTAGTATGTACTGAAGAAAGCAGTTCTAGGCATAAAAGGCCTACTCTAGCTTTCAATAAATGGAAAGCGTCTTTGGGCGAAATAAACAAAATTCGAAGTTTTACATGTACTATGTTCCCTATAAAAAAGAAAATCAAGAGAAGGCTTGTTCTCGACCATTACCATTGCACTTGATAGTAGAATTTGGTAAAGAGTAGGTAACTTTTGTCAGCCCCATGATTTTTTTTTTTTACATAATTTGTGATTCATTATATAGCGAAAAGTCGTTTTCCGCCTTACTGTACTTAGAATATAAGCAAAAGCAAGCGAGTTACAATGATTTTTGGGGAGTTAAAAAAATGAAGAATAAAAGCTTCTTTTCAGTAGAGTAATATACTTTCTGAGTGTAACCTTTTTTTGCAGAAGTGTGATACAGGACTCATCAGATTGTGTTATCAAGTACCGTGCAGATGTGCCTTTGTACAACCAGAAAAAGTTGCTTAGAGTCTCTGTCTTTACCAAAGAAAGTAACCTCACTTAAGCCTCTCGGTGGGCCAAAACGTTGTATATCCGAAGCAAAAAAAAAAAAAGAAAGAGAACCTTCCTCTCACCTTTGCTGCGTTGTTGAGTAATGAGAGGTGATGTGTAATCAACACATAACATCAATTATGAGTGGCCGTTGTATTCAATGGTATAACGAAGAACCCATGGAAAATACGGACATGGTCATTTCGATGACTCTATCGGATAGATAAACGCACTTTTTGCACTTAAATCGTTACATAGATCGACTTTAGATGATTTTTAACAAGAGATGTATGTAAAGTGCTCATTTCTCAATTTGGGAAATAGTTGTAAAAATAAAAAGGGATTTTTGGTAAACAGTGGAACTAGTTTGCGGGACAAAATGTCTGTGTTCTAGCTTTTCACAATGTACTAGATTGAAAACAATGAAATTGAATTCTTCTCTTTCAGTCAGCTGATCGTAAAAAGACCTGATAAAAAAACTTCACAGGACAGCAGGCTTATCAATGCCAGAATGCTACAACTGCAGGATCGCCGTATATGTTATGCATAGTATTGTAACTAATGGTCTACATCACGTCTTTGAGCTGGTAGAAACAAATATGTATAAATACCTAGACATCCTGTATTCTCTTTTCGATTACCGATTACTTGAGTTTATGACGATGATTGTTGAAAACATCTGTGTAATAACATCGGAACCATCCGGCACTTTAAGTGTTGATATAGAATTTGTACTGAAAACGTATCTTCTGTTGTTGGCCTTATTTCAATGTATGATATATACTTACAAAGTAAAAGTAGCTATGGCCTCTTTACAGTTTATTGTTTTATTTTCATATTGTAAATGTAACTGATCAGGGTCCTTACGTGAATAGTAATGCATTCTATCCATATACAAACACAACGTTAATTCAGCAAGAAAAGCAAATTACAATTAAGCTTCTTGATAAAGATGCTTTAATGTGTATTGTAAACATACGCGCACAGATAAAAAAAGTCGGATCTCGGTATTGTTAAACAGATAGCTTGATCGGGTGTTCATCCGATTAGATATAGTTTGTTGTTGGCGAAGGAGAAATTATAGGCCAATAACTAAAAATATGTCCAACTTTTTTGAGGAAGAGAGAAGCACTAGAATTTGCATGCTTGAGCATCTAAAGTTTTATATGCCAAGATAAGGAAAAGACGTCGCATAGTATACAAGTATTTTTAAAAGAGCAAATTCTCCAGTTAAACTAAAGTTATACGGAACAAAGAAGTTATTACGCTATCCTACCGAGGATTGTCCTGTAGGATATCAACAATAATATCGTCAAATAAATAGCTTCAAATTATATCTATTGGAGAGCACTGTTATGATCCTTCGCTCCCATGACTCTTTGTCTTACGTTGCATTTGTTAATCATTTTTGTCAAAATCATTTTAAAAAAATGAGGCAGAGGGCTCAAACCATACTAAATGAATGATCAAACAAGTCTTCTTCATATGATATATGTGTATATATTTTTAATCTGGTAACATAAGTACTGGAATAAAGGAATTAAATTAAAAAGATAAAGAAAAACATAGATATGTTTACGTACGAGAACTATAATGTATGCATTAACGAGATTTTGTATGAATTTCAATTTATGCGCAAGTTTAAGTTGAAGAAATGCAGTAACAATGGGAAGGTTGATAACAAATGGAAGTCAAACATGTATAGGGAAGAAAAAAAAAGGAAAAGATGAGCGAACTTAAAACAGAAAGATGAAATATAGAGCTTTAAACAAGTATGCGAAGGGTGACGAAAAGCTTTTTAGGTCCTTTTTTTTTTTTTTTTTTTTTTTTTTTTTGTTAAAAGGATGCGGGCATAAAGGTTGCTGCAGTAGTAGTAGTGGTTGATGTTGAAGCGGGTGTAGAGCTATGATTGGCATTGCTTTTGCTGTTCGTACCATTGTTAGTGCTCTTGTCCTTTCCAGTATGGCGATGAATACGAATATGTTGATTTAAATTGTCAGATCTTGAAAATCTTTTCGAACACGTTTGATAAGGACATTCAAAAGGCTTTTCTAAAGTGTGAATAGAACGAATATGACGCTTTAAATGTTCGGACCTTTTAAAGACTTTGCCACAGTCATCATAATTGCAAGTAAAGACTTTTTGACCAGCCACAGTGGGTGAGTTGGAGACTCTTCGGCCACGCGAGCGTGCAGGTTTATTGCCAGTGGCGCCTTTGTTGGCGCCCTTGCCGCGACGACCTTTTGCGGCGGTTGTAGGGCTATTTATTGTGGGTGCAGTGATGTTATCTAAGGGTTCCATATTATGTGTCAAATTTGTAGCTGTCATGGGTGCGTGAACTTCATTCATAGCTGAAGTAGTAGATGACGACGACAATAGAGAAACATAAGATGCAGCACGTTCACGGAAGGCAACGTCATCTGTGGCAGTGTTCTCCATCATATTCATCATTGGATTGAAAAGAGAATGATATTGTTGTTGCTGTTGCTGCTGTCCTTGACAGATAGAAGCAGCATTATTATTCAAATAGGTTTGTGGTGAATACATGTCAACAGCAGGATTGGCGTAAACCATAGGTGAAAGTCTACTGTTAGAGCTGTTGTAACTATTGGAGTTGTCACTTTGAGAAGTCGTAGTAGAAGAGCTTGCGGAAAGACTAGCTGAACTGGTATTGGAAGCATTAAACCAAGGATGAATAACCGCAGTATAACCGAAATCAGTAGTGGCCGTGGTACTATGAGCGTTAATAGAAGCCGTAGGCGTAGGTTGATGCTCAAAGGAAGCATAGTCATGAGGTTGATGATTCAACTCGACTAGTGTACTTAATCGGCGCTTACTATCCAAAGGGTGAGAGTAGACTTGCTGTTGTTGATGGTAAGGATGCTGATGAACATGATGATAGTCTTCATAACTATTGAATGGACTAGGAGTTTGCTGTTCATGATCAGAATAACTTGCTTCACTTTGAGGATTGCCGATCAATAAACCTGAAAAGTTGTAGCTTGGTCGACGACTGTAGTCAATACTGTCACGTCGCTCAGCAGAGTAACTGTCTGTAGAGTTTAAGCAATGTTGATCAAAATGAATGCTGGGAATTAAACGAGATGTTGATGTTGCAGCAACACCGGTAGCAGCAGCATTGGCATTAACTCCAGAAGTGTCCAAGCCAAATACACTAGGTTGATAAGTAGCAGTTGTAGAATACATTTTTCTAACAGAAAAAAAAGAAGATGAGAATTGAATATCTGATTTATTGTCTTTTGAAGAAAATACTAGCTTACCAGATAAGTTAGTTTAGTAGTTAAAGAGAGATAGGTCGACGGTTTATGTGTCGTTGAGGTATCGAGATTGATTTAGAAGGAAACAAGAACAAGTGAACGTAATATATTAACAAATTAGAAAGAAGGGAGAGTAGTTTGGGTCTAACTTTCTGCTTTGAGTAAGGATTGGACTAAGTTGAGATAAAGGATAATAAGAAGAAGGAAAAAGAGAACAAAACCGCATCGCCTTTTATAAACCTCAATGATTACTATTCAAACACATTGCTTTACAAGCTATTTTTATTTTTAGCTTTTTCGTATGGTTTTATAAGTTTAAATGGTAAGTATAGGTCGTGTAATCGACCATGATTTCGGTTATTTTGTTTATTTGCTCTGATCTTTTGAAGAAAAAAGGGATCTGTCCCCGCTACAAACCCCCTCTTTTTCTCGTAACTTACACTTATTTGGTTGGGATCACAGAATGCAAAAGGAAAAGCTTTCGTTTACTCCTTTTCTTTGTTTCAGTGTAACTCAACTATGCTATAAAGAAAATGAAAGACAAGCAAATTGCTCCAAATAAACAAGTTCTATAAGCCAGAATCATTATTTTGCTATGCATCCATAAAAAAAGCCCATTGACAAAAAGAATAACAAAAATGTTCTATGCAACTGTAAGTAAGAGACCTATAGATATAATCCAGACCAAAGGATAAAGTTTGCTGTTGGGTGATAGAAATTAATAATGTTGCATTGCAGTCGTATTAATTGGTGAAAAAAGTGGAGAATTGGAGAATATCCGACACTACCACGAAAAACGATAAGGCATTTGATTGACTCTTGATTTTCGTAGGGAGGTCCATTGTTGACAGACTTCAATAGGACAGTTCTACTTTGTATACCAAACAGAACGCTAACCATAAGTCAAAAAAGTCATTGGTACCATGTGTTGAAATATTCATTATACTCTTGGTGTTGACATATCTTTAGCAAAGCAGATGCATATTTATCTTTTCTTTTTGCCTTGTTTCTTATGAAGTAAATGGTATAGATTGACTACGCTGTGGAATAGTATGCTTGTGTATAAATTATCTTATTCACCGCTTAGAATTGATCTGTTTATCATATTGTGCTTATGCCCCTGAATTACTGCATTTAGTGTTGTCTCATATGGCTTAACTGCTTGCTGTTTCTTTCATGCAGCAGGATCCAACCAATGAAAGCATTGGCCTCATTTCCCAATAGATACCCAAACTAGGTGCAAATGCAAAATTCACGGTACTGATTTGCACTATCAGAATACGTAGGTTAGTAATAGTTATCAATGATCTTGATTGTCATTCAACGTACATATGTACAATTGAAGATCAAAATAATTGTTCGATAGATTCTGTTCCAGTATGTCCAACGTTTACTTTTTAAGAGCAATGCTCTTTTCACCACAGTTAGGAACGTGCTAATAGTTTTATGGAATCGTTGATATTTGCGAGAAGAGTCATTTATTGATTGTTCTTTTCACTCATAAATCGCGTGCTTTCATTTCCCTTTATACTTAAACCAAGTTGCTTCCTACTTTTTTAAATCATGATTTACACTAGTTAAGGAGAACAAAAAATGCCCGGTTGGTGTAATACATGACCGAGAATCTAAAATGTGTAAAGAAAAAAGGAGAAGTGAATTCTCTCGACACACACATAACTACACACACGCGCACACTGAGAAAGAAACAGAAAGCCAAGGTCAATTAAGTCAAAATTAAACGGGATTTGTCGAAATGAGGCCTATACTTGTCTAATCAAAACGTGTCATGTAAACTTTCTTTTATTCACAATACATACTTCTATACTCAATCTTCTTCTTTTTCACCCAGCCATAGAATGATTTCAAAAGTAAAAATCCAAGTGCTGCTTAACGGTAAACGCTCTCGTCAGAGTGAAATTACTGTTGCTTTCCTGACAATACAACATCCATGTTGGCCCCGTGCCAAATGCCGTATAAAGCTAGGGAAAGTCCCCAATTTCTTTCTTCTCGTTGATCAACAATCAAGATAAATTCCTGGAGGGTTGTATTACAGAAGCCATAATAGTTAAAAGTAGCTGTCAATCGAACATGACTAGAAATAAATCTATTTGTATCTACTATATCTAAAAATATCTATTTTTATATACTAAGGGAAACGTATTAAAACATGCAACATGTGGTGATTGCATTTGATCCTTATTGGTACCACCAACACATCAATGCTGTACATACTGTGCGCATCCGAAATTGTCATCATACAAATGAATTCAGATTTTTGTGCTATGTCTACTCAAAAGCCATGTACAGTACACTTACAAATAGAAGAAAACGCATAAAGGACATACATCTCTTGTATTACGAAAAACATCTACTTCTTTTCAACTTCTATTTTACCACCCCCCTGAAATCCTTCTTTCTTTTTCTGCAGACTATAATGACGTTGTAAGGAAAGACAGAACACTGCTTTTAGACAGCAAAACTGGTATTAAGTAAGGAGACTCAACACTTATTGAAGTAATCAATACAAAGCTAAGCGTTTAACCTTTTTAATCAGTAAATGTACAAGTAACTGTCATAGTAATCTTACGCTTTATTATTATTATACACGTATGTTTATTTTTTTTTTTATCTTACAAAGATTTAGATATCTAGCCTCAAAATATGAATGTTATTTTTTATTCGCCAAAAGCAAAGAGATACGCTCCATTACTTGATCGTGGTCTCTGTTCTTTATGATGTTATCATCTGTTTTTACAGAGGGTGTTTTGATATTATTATTGCCAGCAAAACTGTTATTGCTTCTTTCATTGTTACTGCTAAACTTGTTATTCATGTAATTCCAATTCGAACCAAGCTCTTCACTGAAAATGCTACTACTCCAGGCTGTGCGCTCTCTGGTATCTAATGCTACTTCTACGTTAGGTCTTCCACTATCATCAATTTCTGCATTACGTATAAAGAATTGACGCACTGATCTATCACTGTTGTTATAATTCATAAGACTGCGTTTATCCATGTAGGCTACAATACCGCCAATACCAACAGCATATTTGTCATTCATCATATTCAACAGGCGTCCTTCAACGGGGTAATCCATATCTACTTCATAATGAGAGTAAGTAGGGCCAACCACACCATCACCCGTACTGACAGGATCTGATCCCGTGCTTGCTGTGGTTGCTGTCGTTGAGTTTATCGCTGACGACGACGAAGAAGTTGAATCATTCATATTGAAAGTAACATTGATATAATCAAATACTTGGTCGGATGTAACTTCCTTTTTCGCTAGCTGTTCCTGGAATTTTGGAGCTTTTGATTTTTCTATTGATTTCAGTAGTCGTTGGAATTGAGCAGCTGTCATGTGAGCGACGTTGATTTTGGGATCTTCTTCTGATCGTGGTCGAGGTTTACGAGAGTTGGGGAAGTTTTCTTTCCAGCGTTTTACGAACAGGACTTTACTGTTGCCTGACTTCCAAGGGGTTTGATGTTCAGCAGTATCGAGAGCATTAACAATAAGATTTTTGGTTTGAATGACAGTGGGCAGATTACGTTTCAAGCCCCATTCACCAATTTTACGGTAAGTTTTAGGCGATTTGTAGACTTGTTCTAATGTACGATCATAAGTGGCTAAACGTGAATGTCGTAGTATGTTTGCAAATGACTTCTCCATTGATGTGTTCTTTTGTTGCTCAGCCCAATATAACTAGTGTAGAAGTTGTATATTGTGTCAATGTAATAGAGGTGTATAAATCAAAGGAAGGGGAGAGCAAAACTGCTTAAATTCAGTATGTCCCACATAAAGTTGCCCCATATCACCCCGGTTTCTTGAACAGGGAAATGAAACTCCACATGTGTTTTCAGTGGGATAGAATAAAGGCGGCGGATCATAAAAAAGCGAATTCGATACATAGACTTAAGACTTCAAAGCATCAATAATTTGTCCTCATACTGTTTTTTAGGAAGCTTTTTATACGGGCTGTCCGTATTAAAAAATGCAAAAGTATTTCTACTTCATTGAGTATCCCAAAACGAAGACATTAGAGTACAATTTAAAAGGAAAAATAACATTGCTGCGACAGTTGTGTGTCGTTCTGAACAGAAACGCTTAGCTGTCATTTATTTGTTTTTAGTTAACCGAAAATAAAATATACCATTGACAGATTCCGATACAAGCTTTGAACCTTCATGGCTTCAACAATGAAGCTCCAAGATTCCAATTTTTTGACTCGCTGTCTCACCACCTATTATTCATATTGATCATAATGATTGCTGTTAATAACAAGGTTAGTTATTAACAGTGGGTCTGAGATTTTGGTTTCTCTAATAAGTACATTCAAAAAAGGTATTAACATGAAGAATCTATTTTCCAACATTTTTACTTCCTGTAACTGGTATATGAAAGTATATCACCATGAATTTTCGAAATAAGAACCTGCATAACATTTTAAACAGTCTATGATAAATTTGCTCAAATAAGTGCTTAAACCTCGATCAATCATTTAGAAGAATGAAACGCTGTTGAAAAAATTTATTGTTGGTTTTTTTTTTTTTAGAAATGAACACAAGTATGAAGCGAATCTGACAGCATAAGAATGAGTATTGTTATTGACATAATAAGGAAAAGCTGGCTAGTACTCACGTAAAGAAGTTGACTAATCGGAATCGACGTCTGACAAAAAACGGGTCACTACGACACAGTAAGACATGCGGGTGAAGTGTATTAACAACGGAAATCAAGATAATTTCCAAACATGCTTTGGTTACTGTTATTATAGAAAGACAAAAAGATAGTCCTGCTGTTATTCTTACAAAGAGGCTTTTTTTATTCGTAAAATGCTTAAAGCATATAATAAGAGATATTATTAGATATTTGGATATAATTTACAATAGATGCTTCAAAGAAAGAGAAAATGACTTTTAAAATATACTATTTATGTAATGCATTTAGTATTTAATACCGATTAGGTTCAAATGATGTTTTAAGCTGCAAGAGCATCAAGCTTAGCCTTGATGTTGGCAACGTTGGCACCAACAACTTCATCAACCTTATTACCATCCTTGAAGTACATGATGGTGGGCATAGCACGAACTTGATATTTGGTAGCAACATCCTACGTATTAGACCAAAATAATGTATTTTAAATTAATATCTTTGCTATCTTTTCTCTCCCCTCCCACTACCGTACACTTTTTCGTTTGGCTGTACTTACGGGAACTTCATCAACGTCAATCTTGGCGAAAACAACGTTGGCGGTTTCTTCAGCAAAAGCCTTGAACTTGGGGGCAATCAACTTACAGGGACCACACCAGGTAGCATGGAAATCAACGACAACGAGAGAGTTGGAGTTGATCAATTGTTCGAATTCGGTAAGGTTCTTGGGTTCTTGAATGGCCATGTTGTATACAATATTATCAATAATGATTGAAGTGAAGTAAAAAAAGGAAAAAGGGAAAACTTTTTTGAACGCGTCCTCTTTTATAGGAAAGAATATTTGTATTTTTTCTTTCTTTAGTTGCCGACTTCATGGGAAGGGCTTACTAATAAATCAACTATTGGCCAAAGCCATGATTATTAATTGATGCTCCGCTGCGAATTAACGAATAAACAAACGTAATGACCCGTCAGCTTCAGCAAGGAAGACGCAAGAAAATCAAAGAAAGGAGCTTATCACAGATCTGATATCAATACACAGCCTGATTAATAATATTTCTTTTGCACCCATTCATTGGTGAAACCACAAAAAAAAAAAAAGAGCTTGGTATCATTATTCTGTATTTTACAAAAAAAAGGGTACAATAAACTAAGAAAAGAAACGATATAGATTTGGGGAATTGTTATAAGATAAATAAGATAATAAATAAGACATGGAATAAATAGATAATATCGAAAATTTTCAGTATCAATGCTTCTGCTGCTGCTGGTTCTGAAGATATTGTTGTTGTAACTGATACAATGGTTGACTAGGACTAAAATTTGTATTTTGCAAATTAAATTCAAAAGGTTGAGCCTGTTGCTGGCTTTGCAATAGTGCCATGATTTGTTCATTTGTAAGCACAACATCATCACTATACAATGGTTGTCCAATCATTTCTGCCATGCTCATATTGATGGTACCTTAATTTAAAAAACGATAACCGCCAGATTTTTGTTAAAGAAAGTAATTATAGAAAGATCATTATCATTCTCCTACCTTGTTGTAATAATAGATCGAGTATGGCAGGCTCAGACCAATCCATATCATCGTTTAGATTGTTATTATTGTTGCTTAGATTTAAATTTATGTCAAGCGACGCCCTGTGATGCCCACCGACAGCAGTAGCAAAGCCATCATTATGGTATAAATTAGCAGTGGCGTAAATAGGATTAGTGAAATTTGCTGGTGCTCCCGCAAGTGCTGGTGCTGGCGCTTCTTCTCCCTTTTCTTCGATAGACAGTTGGTGGGAGTCACTTGTGGCTGTTCTATTCATATAGTATGCATCAAATGGATTCACATCGTCATCACGATCTGGTGTTGCTAAGGCAGATGACGTGAAAGGTTTATACGATTTCTGATGACCATTATAAAATCGATTGATGGGCCTAGTTGTTGTTGCCGCCGACGCTCCTGCTGCAATTGAATAAGACGAGGAAAGAGTCGTGTTAAGGCTACTGTCGTTTGTGTTCTGATAACCGGTACTAACGTTTGGTAAAGAAGATTGTGTCGGGACTGACGATGAATAAGCATGTTCAGGACTGAGATGATACACCGTTTTCGGGGAACTACTGAGTCGAGGTGAGTAAGGTGAATATCTCCTTGACGAAGAGCTGTTCATTGGTGGAGATTCAATATGTAAGTTAGCAATAGATCGATATAATTGTCCTCCTGGAGAAATAGGCGGATGAGCATAGTTTGAGCCAGTAGACTGACCAGCTTGTAATGGATGACTATTGTTACTGTTGCTATTCTGTATTGAAACCGGTATTGAAGACGACGTGGTAAGGACACCTTGAAACGATAGGGGTCTTTGTTGTTGCTGTTGTTGTATTGATGTATTCCCATCACTGCTGCCATTACTATTAGTATTATATGACCTTGAATGAGGCAGAGGTTGTGAGTGACGATTTGCAACACGACTGCTCACGTTGATATTAGGACTTTTTGCAGAAGCCTTGGCTCCTGCTTTGACTAGTTCTCTCTCTACTTGCAATCGTTGGAGTAAGGCAGCCTTTTTACCTGTAGCTGGCTTGCCTCTTTGTCTTAATAGTTCCTTCAACTCTGCCACTGTTATATCGTCAAAGTCCACTTTGTCCAATTGTTTATCGAGCAATTTTTGATGAGCTTCAGCATCTTGCGTTGTAGATGACGTGAGCGATGCTGTGGACGATAGGGACGGTCGAGAAACGCGTTGAATTTGGATGGGCATCGTTCGTGAAGGAAAGGATGATGTAGACGAGGTAGAGAAGCTATATTCTTTTGAAATAGGACGTTTATTAACGGTATTTACTGAGATATGTGTAGTGCTATTTTCATAACCAGACTTGGCAATGGTATTGCTCGTATTGACTATGATACCATTCATAGGCATGGATGTTACGCTGCTACTGGTAGTTGTTGGCCGTTGTTGAGCGACTGGTATTTGAGGAGATAATTTGTTGGTTTGATCATCTATTGTTTTTTCGCTGTTCATAATTCCTAGCGTCGAGGGTTTTGATTTATGTGTATTGGCGACTGATTTTGCCGTATGCGATGTATTTTGCGTGGTTGATTTTCGTGCATAATTGACCCTGAATCGAGCTTGAAGTTCGTTAAAACGACGCTGATGATCAATTTTATTCGTATCTTCTTTTTTATCACCGCCATTGCTACATCCTGCCTTATGATCATTGATGGAGCTGCTGTTAACTGAATTGGTGGTAGTCGTAGTAGTACCGGGCTTAGCCAAAGCTTGTTGACGACGATTTACGTTACGTTTCTGTTGCTTTTTGACACTCGGCAACTCAGCCACTTTATTATTGGTTAGAGCTTTCACCTGTAGTTGTAGAGTTGAATTGATGGGCTCGAACATGATTGTCAAATTAGATTGCTGCTGTGATTCTTGCTGCTGCTGCTGCTGTTGATGCATCATCCATTCTTTTTCCTTTTCTTTTTCAGGTTTCTTCGGCTCAGCTACAGATTCTTCTTTTACGTTTACGTGGGATGGCCTTGAAGTATTTGATTTGCCTTGATCCTGTAGTATTTGGTGCTGCCCTGAGCTTTCAGATTCATAAAGTGGAAATTGTTCTTGTTGCACTTGCTGATTGATGGTTTCCCATTCCGTACTATTGTTGTTCCAATCAATAAGTGCATTATCATTCAAAATACTATCAGAGTCGCAGTGATAAGAGGAAAAGGAGTTGTCAGTCAGTTGATTGTTCAGTAACAAATCGGACGGTGGTTGCAACATTTGATTGAAGTGGGACAGATCCAGCTGTTGTTGCATGTGTTGATGATTGTTGTTTTGTTTGAAATTGTCCTCTTCTTCCTTGCCATAATAATCGATCATTGTTTCAGACGGGAAGAGCAGATGGGTATATGTGACGCAGAAGCGATGAAAAGAAGCAAAAATATGAAAAGAATTGAAAGAGAAAACTGGTCAAAGAAGAAGAAAGTAGAAGAAGGAAGAGAAGATGAAAAGAGAGAAAAAGGAAAGAGGGAGTATAAAAATTACGACAAACGCTGATAAGTCAGAAAGTCAATGAATGGTGCAGCTTCTTGTATCCGATCTATTGGCGTTAACAATGATACAGGAGGTGATCTTTTTCGCTTGTCTGCATCTTTAGATAGTCATTTGTATGCCACTTGTATGCCAACTTGCACATAATACGCATGAACTTGCTTCAAAATCTGAACTAGGGTCCAGTGGCATGAAACAATCTATTTCTTCAAGTCAATCTCTTCGATATTGAGTAGTAGTTTTGGATCGATTTTCTAGCTTTAGATCGATATTCTTCTATGTTTCTTAAGTAGTACAAGACTAAGGTTCATTTAGGCAAAAGAACCTTCTTTTTTTCTCACTTAGCTGACTGTTTCCTTGCACCGACGCTATATAGTAAACCTGCGTTTAACAGCAACAATGATAAGACAACTCGTGCTGTTACGGAAGCAAAGACATTAGGTTCCGTAAAAGAATCTACAAACTTCTGTAATACAAAGACGAAAAAATTTTCTGCAAAAAACCAAAATTACTGTTGTATTCTTTCATCGTCTACTTCATCTATGCCCTCAAATTTATTTCTGTTTACATGATGAACGTGAAAACTAGAAAGAAAATGATAATAGTTGCAAATATCTTCAAGAATAGCCATCTGTTCGAACTTATGCTTGTGTAGTATTTCAATAATTCTCTCTGTGCTCCCATGATATTCATTTCTATATCGTCAGTATTTTGATCGATTCTACAATAAGAATAGTGAACAAATAGATATATCAGACATACGCGGTACATAGACATAAATGTGTATACCTCTCATGTTTACCTTTGTACAGTTTCTCTTTGTTCTGCCACCATGGTCGCTAATTGTTGAAATATCGACCCTAATTCAGCAATCGTACCTTCAATGCTTTCTATCGCCGATGAACGATGGTCTATATATCTGTCTTGTTCTCGAACCATCATTTCTTGTTGCTGCTGCTGGGTTATCATCGGTATGCCCAATGAAAGAGTCGATTCCTCTTCTTTTTGTTGTTCTTCTTGTAATGCAACTTCTGCTTCTGTTTGTTCTTGTTGTTGTTGTTGTTGTTGTGTCCCTGTTGCTTTTCGGCGAGATTTCATCAAAGGTGAATTCACTATTTTCAACCATTCAAGTAAGCAAAATATTTGCTGATTTTGACAGAAATAATCCCTCATTCTACTTTATTTTACCTAACCCAGAGTTACTTGTTTGTTCGGCTGTCGAAAATAAAAATTGATCTCGTTTATCTTTGGACATTTTCATGTTCTAAGGATTGTATAAAAAAACTTTGGTTAATCTTTCTAGTAATCAAATTACAGGAAAAGAAAAGCACTTACTTCTGTTCTGATTTCCAACACATCTTTGAAATTCATGGAAGTATCTGCTAGTTTACTCTGTAGAGCAACCACAACATTTGCAGTATGTTCCGTTGCTTGCTTAGATGATTGTTTCTGCTGTTTAGTGTAGTCTTGAAGCATCGCAATTTGCTTATTCAATTTAGCAATATCTTGTTTTATGATGAAGGTTAATTCCTACGATGAATATTACTTAACACACAATTTGACAATTTTATATTTTTCTTAAAAAAAGCAGCAGTGTTGTTCATCGCTTACACCAATTTCAATCGGCTTGTCATCGAACAATGTCTTTCTTTTCGCCACTACAAAGAATTCAATGTGTCAGCAATTGTTGATGAGTTTGAAAGACAGAGCAAAACCATACTAAGCCAATGAACTGCGAGATTTACACTTGGTAAGTTTCTCTAGCTTTCCTGTTGTGTTTGTAATTTGTCTACTGATTTCGGCTGCCATCATTGAGAATTCTGAACGAGCATGTTTCGATCTTTTACCACTGTTGTTTTGTGAGGATGACGAAGCGTTGGGTGATAACAAAGCTCTTCGCTCTGAAACTGAAATGGACGTATTTGAACGTGTACGAATACGTTCGCACATAGACTGAAACTCATTTGTTCTGTCTTTAAATACGCTTGACATTGGTAATTAAGAGTAATTGTTTGGTATACGAAAAAAGGACTAAATGGTTTATAAAGCAAAGAAGCGGACGTCTTCACCTTCTGATCCCAAAACAAATTTAATTTCAGACGTTCTCTTTTGAAAAGACCTCTTTTTTAAATCAGACGTTGTCCTAAACTGTAGGCGGGAATATAAACTTCACCACCCAGAAACCAAAAAACAGAGATTCTTCCCCCATAACTTTTGGAAGACGACTCTACATTAAATCCATAAGAAACACGTTAGCCACCCTTCAGATCACCAACAATTGCTGCTAAGTTTTTAAAACAACCGAACTTTTGAAAAATGCTACGATCGGTAATGCAAAGTATAAACTATGAGCTGGCCCAGCGTATCAGTCTGTCTTCCAAATCGATCAACAGGGTCGTCCCTGTAATGTCAGTCATTTGTCGAAATAATTCCACTTTCTACAAGCCAACTACTAGTAAGAAGAAGGACAGCACTCGAACTCCTTCTTCTCCTGATAATCCTCAAAGGACAAAACGTCGCTTTGTGAAGATTGATTCCGCTTTGTCAAAAGAGAATAAATACTTGTATACTCTTCCAAAAGATCCCTACTTCTCAGCCAGTAAAATCAAGAGGATCCTGGAACTAGGAAAGGCTGAAGATGCCTTAGAATTCATCAAGGCGCTTCCTTTACGATTACAGGCAACTGCCACTTGGAATGAAATCATTAGTCATTGTGTTAATGAAGGTAGAGTTAAATTTGCAGAATCGTGTTACTCACAGGTAGTGTAAATGTTTATACATACTATTTCATTGGTAAGACCTTGCTCAAATCTTTAAAACATTGATTAGATGAGGAAAAGAGGATTCGCGCCGAATGAATATACATTTACACACATGTTGAAAGCTTATGTGAAAAGTACCTCACCGAATGCTGTTGAAGCTGCCGAGAAATGGTTCAAGAGAATGCAAGATTTCGGTATATCACCCTCAGCAATTCATTTCACAAATTTAATGCGAGTCTATAACCACAACTCACTACCAGACAAAACAGTTGAGTTATTGAATAGAATGTCAGAGCTGAATAGTGTTGCACCGGATACATATACATACACAGTAGCGTTACAGGCGTGCTCTCAATTAACTGATCCAATACGTCAAAGAGAAGAGACAAGAGAGATTTGGAAACAAATCCTTGAACGAGCAGGACAGCCTTTGAAATCGCAGAGTACGTCTTTATTATCGCGAAAAGCTTCCCAAGTAGCGCAAGAAGTGAAATATACACACTTGAAGAAACTGAAAATCGACGATGAACTAGTAATCTCCCTGATTATGACAGCAAAAAGCGTTGCTAAGAACAGTAATGATATGACGTTAGGCCTTGAGATGATCAATACGTTATTTTCGACGCTGCCGTCTACAGCAATCACGAAGAGCAAAATGGTCGGTAATTTGGCCTTATTGCGTAATAAGCAACAGCAAGGTACATCAATGCTGATTCATCACCCCTTCAACGTTAAAATTCTTGATGCTGTATTACGGTTTGCAAAGGATTTAGAGCAATGGGAAATGTGTAAAGAATATTTCGCGATGGCTAAAAAGTTATACCCAAACATTAATCCTGACGAAGTAATTGTTAACATGGTTCAAACATGTGACAAAAAATTGTCTTTAAATGGCAAATCATCATCTAAACGAAGCCGTTAACTAAGCAATAAACGGCACGGATGCAATTGAAAAGACTTGTTCTAAATTAAGGATAGATCGAGGAAAGAGCTTAAATCAATTATATTGATATAAGCTCGTGAGATGAGGCATATGATTAATACTTCAATCATAAACTTGAAAATTTTGTTGAAGGTACCAACTCTTCGCTAGAGTCTTGTTGTGGGGGTTATGGATTATTTTTGTAAAGAAATAATTGCAGTCGTTTAAAATAGCATCATTTTGGCATATTGTCCCAAGAATTTAACATAATTCATAAAAAACAAGTTTGCCTAAGACAAAAATTATGTCAACGACCATCGAACAGTAAGCGATCAATGCATCATGTCTCTGAACGATTCAGAAATATGACAAGAATATATACCCATATTGATCGCTCTATAATGGGTTTGTTACCTGTTATTTTGTAATCCAGGTCTATTTTAAATTTTAAAAAAGTGCTTTCATATGAATTTCAATAGAACAACATTGTGTCGCGTTTTGAAGCTCATATTTTTACTAAATCAGTGCTCAGAGAACAAACGTTTGTCCTTGACTATGATTACCATTTCGTAACAATATATCCAAGGCATTAACATACCTTTTGATAACAGATTTGATAAGAAAAGCCGAGTTATGCATGAAATGGTATACCTTAACATGATTAAACATCCACTATATATGCTTTTATTCCTTTTTTTTTTTTTTTTTTCTTACTTTGAGATTCGCTAGCCTCTTTATTCAAAAACACGGCATACCATTAATTATTGGTACATTCTCTATTCGACGATTTCTAACCCGTTGTACGGCCCATCACAGTCATATTCCAGTAGATTAGGTTCGGAGGCTATTGATTTCTTTTATGCAGCTCTTCACTAACAAACCTTTTCTTATTTGTTTTTTGTTGGGCTTTAGATAGAGAGACAACTCTGTTAACAAAATCCACAAATGTGTTGATCGCATTTTGTTCAACAGACCGGTCTTCGATCAAGTATTCAGCAAACAGAGGCCATAAATGGATACCGGATGGTTCTTGAAAAACAACTACATCTTGAATGCCGGCACTTCTTGCTCGCGAAGCTAGAAGACCGCCTTCATCTAATAGCACTTCTTTACCTCCCAAGAAGAACAATAAATGTTGAGGTAGGAAGGTTCCTACATCTACTGTTGTTGGAAGATAACCGAACGGCTTTGGCTGATGTGGATTTTTATCAGAAAAGTCAATATCATCGTTTTCATCAAAGACATCTTCGCTTTGTGAGCCTAAATACGACAATTCCATATACGTGATAGCTTTTTCATTAATGAGATCTTCACCTAGGTTGGCCCTCCATGATTCACCACCAGCTTCTAAACCAGTATAAGGCGAAACACAGATCATGGCTGAAGGTCGCTGCTCAATTGATATCTTTGACGACGTGAAAAGGGTATCTAAAGCAATGGCAACGCCGGCGTCGTCAGCACCAATAATTATTTTTCGAGGAACGATTTGATAAGTGCTAATAAGCCAACCATAAGCATCAGCAATGTCATCAACAGCGGCAGGAAATATATTTTCAGGTCCCAGTTCTAATGTTTGGAGGACAAGCATTAGACATGCAAAGATAAATAAAAGCAAAAATATCTGACATCATTATTCACTTACTATAGTTCGATACAAAAACCATACTCTTTATGTTCTTATCCGCTTCTAATGCTCGCATCCATTTAGCAAAGGTTGGTGTATACAATTCGCCCAAGTTAAACCGAAATCCGCCACCTTTTCAAAGAGTTAAAATTGAAAAATTCCTAAGTATTGTTCTTCCCAGTTTTTCTTTCTTCCCTACCAGGTATCCAAAAGAATATAACGTCGGCTTCACTAATTCTGTCCAGCAAGGCTTCTTTTTTTGAATTAGCTTGTAGGTCTTCAGCGATCCAATAACCGTATGGCTCATGTCTCTGAATCCAATCACTTCGTGTATTAAACAAAATCTTTTTCAAGCAGTGGATCGCTTTACGCGCGTAAGCGCCATTAGGGAATGAGAAGGCAAACCTTAATATCCACACTAATAGCCACCTTTTTAGTCTTTCAAAGATGGACATTGGTGATCGTTTTTTTATTGCTGTATCGATTTCAGCAGTAAAATAAATAAATAAAAAAAAAAAAAAAAAAAAAAAAAAATGAGGCGGGGAGTGTGTGTTCAATAATGGAAAATGGATTCATTCAAAAAATGGTTAGGATCAGATGGGGACACTTGGCACTTGATTCTCGCTGATAAGTCTCCTTCTTTCCTCATCTTCTGTATTCCATTTAACATCGGGTGATTCATGACTGTACAAGACGTAATGTTGCACTATAAATAAAATATCAAACGATATTGACAAAAGTCCTAGTCCACTATGGTTATGAAAAGTCAATAAAGATTTTTGATTCATAATCTTCCCTAATGATACCTACAGTTTTGCTGGATTCTATGTAATTTTTAAAGTTAGCAATTAAGGCGAACAAAAAAGCCAAGGACAGACACTTACTCCTGTAATCTTGCTCCATTCACCGTCTATGAATGCATCCAGAAATAATTGTGTTATAGACAGTAGTCCACCGGTGAAATCCTAGAGAAAGGATGAATAGATCAGTAACCTCAGACCTCCGTTTATTCCCACAGCAATAGTCGTGTTTTACCAATAAAATGTTATGGATACTCCATCCAATTGTTGACTGACGCTTATAATTCAAATAAGCTTGAGGTATATATTTGATAAGACTGATAATCAGTTTGATATAGCTCAAAAAGTATAAAATATCGATCCACATTATTAATTTTTGCTGTCCTATCAATGTTTTGACAAATATAGCGAGTAACACGCCTGCCGCTGATAATGTTATAAAATATTTTGCACCTTTTGATAATTGTTGTGCGGAATCCCTCTATGATTGAGACAGTTTGCTGATTTAATCCTTGTGTTCTTAAAGCCCTATCATTTTATTTCCTTTTAATGTATCATTCTGTTTACCTTGTAATAAAACGTTTGTGATAAAGTAAATGACGAGATAAGCAGTGCATGACTAGCGAACATGACATCGTTGAAACGCACGGTAGAGTCTCTTGAGGAATTCCGCTCCTTATCTGTCGAAATTTTTAAAAAGTTATACTACAACCAAATGTCTATTTCCACATATAACAGCTTACATTCATCCTTAATCGATTCGCTAAAATAAAATGACATATTGAAAACCTACGGTGATTATGATAAAAGCTGGTCATGAATTTAACAGTGTGGGGTAACTTTTTATGCAGCGAAACTTAGTCTTTCCTCAAAAGTCATACCCAATAACATAGGAATCCATAAATGTTGTAGTAAACAAAATCCATTGAAAGTCCTTGTACACTACATATGGGTCAAAAGTTCAGAGAACAACAATATTAGTGAAAAATATAATATAGTGGCTTCTACCTCTTCCTTTGCCAATTTAAGATAGCTTGAGGATAAAAGCTGATCGACCAAGCGAGAAAATAACCCTGTGTGGAAGCAAGAAAATATGAGACTTGCTCTGCAGTGATTAAGCGGTAGAATATAAAAGTTACCCAGCCAACGATTGTTGAAAAGATCGGCAGTAATTCGACATTTTGTTTCTCGTCCATGATTGTTGATGGCTACAAGGAAAGCAGCAAGTTCATAAAATAGTGCTGCCGTTTTAAGAAATTTGTTTCACACTCCCTTTTTGTCGCTCGCACCCTTTAACCTCAAACCGTACTTCTAATGATCCTCCATTGACGATGTCTCAAAACGAATTCAGTTTAATAGAAACCATTCTATTTGAGCCCAAGAAAGGTTACTTTTATTTTCTTAATATTTGAAAGCAGAGAAAGAGATGAACAGCATCCTGAAGCAATTTTCGTATAGGGTTCTATCTTTTGGATTTACACTTGAAACGGCTTCAGACAGCAATTTGTGATTTCAAAAAGCTATTCCCTGAAAGTTTTCCAAAGAAGTTATCAAATACCGAGATTGCAAGTACTCTAAACGAACAACTAAAGAAAGCCTGTGATTATTACCGTGTAAGATTTAAAAAGAAGCAGTGGGTACGGTACCTTTTCCATGTTTATGCCTTCAGTTATTTGTAGGTACGATTACTTGTCGATACTCGCTCAGAGATTTCCATAGAATGTGCAATTTTAGATAAGTCAACTATAATGTACGACAGTCTGAATGATGCTACTATGTCTGATCCACTTTGTCTGGTTGTCCTTGATAAGCAAGCCATAAATACTGATACAAGAGATCCTTTCCTTTCGCACAAAACAACTAACCGAAGCGTTTACGACATCGCTCGAGAGAGGACACAATGTACTTGGGATTTGAAAGCGGTTGGAAAGCCGTTTGATGTTATCCTGTGGAATAAGAATAATCATATCACCGAAACCAGTATAGCTAATATTGCTGTACGTTCTAAGGATGGGCAAGGGAACATGGTATGGAAAACGCCCAAATTATCATGCGGTTTATTGCCTGGTGTCTTTCGCACATCACTCTTATTAAGCCAGCGCGAACCCTTGATTGAAGATATAATCACTGTAAATGAGCTAATCAATGTACACAAGGTATAACAATGACAGTATTTTTCGAGATTGTTTAATTCGCGATAAGGAGCGCTGATTGTTTGTATTAAATTTTTGTAGAGGGGCGATCCCATCCTATGTTTCAATTCTGTAAGAAAAGCGTATAGAGTACAGCTTTTATTGACAATATAACAATAAATTGTATTTCTTCCTTTCATAATAATCTTTTAAAACCGTTATCCCGCATGCGCTTTTAAATACTGTGACCAATATAACGTAAGTAGGTTTCTTCAAATCAACCCTAGATATGAAAAGTGAATTTGAGCCATCATGACCTGCCTACTCTAATGAACGTTCTCACTTACTTATACTGAGGTGGTATCATGGGCGCAATAGCATTGATAATTTCTTCTTTTGTAATCAATATATTGTTCCGTATCTCGGTGATGATCGCTACCGTCTCTGTTGTATCAATTTCGTTATTCTGGAAGTAGTCTTTCTTTACTCTCTCGAAACATGATATGATACGCTCTGTAGTTGCGGGGCAAATGTAATCTAAGGGTATCCAACGCTAAACATAAAGTCAAACATAAGCATACCTCACACTGAGCGAATTATTTGTATATTGTCATACGTACAGCACAATGTCGTAATTTCGCTAGCTCTGCCTTACGCTCTTCATCTGGTAGTTGTTTAAGGTAATCTGAAAAGAAACGATAATGAGAAACTCTAAAAATCTGCTTTCTATCCTATCCTTCTTACCCATCAGTTTAAGGACAAAGTCAGTGGGTTTCACGTTGATTCTGAACCTGTAAAACACCAGGCCACCGCAGGCGGCATCGACAGCTTGAAATTTCTTCTCCTTACGACTTTCAATAATCAATTTCTTTTGCTTTTCTTCGTTTTCTTTCTTCTTCATTTTTTCTTCATCACCGTCTTTATCATCGTTATTATTGCTCGCTAGTTTTTCGTCATCGTCGTCGTTTTCGAAATCGATTTCGTCAATATCCAATTTCCCCTCAAATCGAACCCAAGTTGTTTCGTGTTCAGGGAATAGTTTAACGATATATTGCTCTAAGCATGTCGATACTTGACCAAGAGCACGTGTTTCGGCATTGACATTACAGGAAACCAATATACCACATGCGTCGTCAGAACGCTTAAGAAGGTGGGAATGTTTAGTTAACCATCGTTGCTTGAAACGTCCACGAAGAATAGGTATAGTATCTGTTTCTTTCTTTTGCTTTTTGTTGTTATTTAGAAGCGTCTGGTCATCATTTTCGCGTTTCGTTCCTACTGTTGTTGTTTTTTGTGAGTCTCCCATATGTCAAAAGCTGTAGTTTTACACTCCTTATGACTATATTCGATTCAAGTGCCGTAATGAATTATATTTTGTTGCTGTGGCTTAAATTACACTAAATACCGAAAAAAAAAACGAAAGAGAAATCTTATGCGGGAACGCGAATAGAAAAAAACCAGGTGAACTGTTATCATCCTTCACAGAAACAGCTTTATAATGGCCTTCATAATTTTCGATATTTTATTGGTTGGATATCAGTCGAAAAACTATTTTCTGGAACTACGCATGTAGGTCATTAGATAGGTGTATGTATTCGTAGAGCAATAACCATTATTAAATTCACAAAGAGTCGTGTTGGAACGAAACCTTTATCTAATGATGATATGCTTTTTAAGCGGGAGTAGAAACTGACCCCTCCTCGTTTGGCATCTTTTCTATTCTGAATCTGAAACCCGGCATTTGTAGTGCACAGTTTCGAATGGGCTTTATTTTCGTTTCCTTGACTTTCAATCGAACCTTATTAGCGTGTTTTCCAAAGTCTTGCATTGACGCACAACATTATCGGACCAGAAATATGCTTATATGGCTACCCATGCTTTCTTGTATTTCAAGACGTTGGTAAGTCCTTTCGCTTTTTTGCTAAGTTGTTTACAACAGGTGCAAAACGGTAACTACGTAATCATATCGTCAATGCGAAAATGCACAAAAAAAAAAACCCCCAATTCAAAAGCCGATAAAGAACAGGAAAGAACACGATGACCCTTTACCAAGCGAGCAATAGAGAGACAGTGAGTGAAAAAAAGAGAAACACTCACAGAACACGCACAACACACAGACGGATTATGAGATTCATGGAAAATTCGTCGAATATGTCATTTTCGGGCTGAATATACAATACAAAACATCCACAGTCACCAACCGAAAGTTCATAAGGGCTTTCCTTTCTTTTATGTCAACTGATCCCTTTTTCCAATATCTTTCTATCCTTTTCTTTTTTTTTCCCTTATAAAAAAAAAACCACACCTTCCATACTTGATACCTGACCTTTTCCTTTTTTGATTTATTTTGAACTCTTTATAAATAATCTAACAGTAAGTTTCGAACTATTTTTGCTACACTACATGTTTAAACAGTGACAAAGATGACAGTTCTCTAACGTGTCATTTACTGATATTATGCAACGTTTAGCACAAAAAATGGCAGCAGATAATACAGGAAACAAAGATGAAAAGAATCTTCGCTTATTAGTAGTATCCAACAGATTACCTGTTACCGTCAGTAAGAATAAAGATAGTGGAAGATATGAATTCAAAATGTCTTCTGGTGGTTTGGTTGCTGCTTTGAGTGGTTTGAAAAAGATGATGTCTTTCACTTGGATTGGTTGGCCAGGTAAGCAGAGAGAAAGGGCATATAAAGACAGAGACGATTATAGTAAAATTGCTTTCTTATAACCGTACCCTTTTTGTATTTTTTTTTTTCATTCATTTTTCCAGGTTTGGATGTTCCTGCTGATGAAAAGAAAGATCTTGAAGATAGATTGCTCAAAGAAACCTCTACCATGCCTGTCTTTGTCGATAATGAATTGGCCGATTTGCATTATAATGGTTTCTCCAACAGGTAAGTAATCTAAAGCGGAAAACAATTTTAAGAGAAAAGTGAAACAGGGCTTTAAACAGTGTAGGGGGCATGACACTTCGTACATAAACGAACTATTTGTTTCTTATTAAGCATACACATATCTGACATCGCCGTTTGTTAGTATTCTTTGGCCTCTCTTCCATTATCATCCAGGGGAAATCTCTTTCAATGAAGAATGGTGGGATGCTTACCAAAGAGTAAACACTTTGTTTGCCGAAGCTATTGACAGAATTGTTGAAGATGGTGACCTTGTCTGGATTCAAGATTATCATCTGATGTTGCTTCCTAGTTTGCTCAGAAAGATGACCAAGAAGAATATCAAGATTGGTTGGTTTTTGCATACGCCTTTTCCCAGTAGTGAAATTTACAGGTAAGGAAAAAATTAACTCAGATGAAAAGCATAGTAAAGGAATTTTTATCCACATTGCGCTATAACACCTACTCATTTTCAATATCGACGTAGAATCTTGCCTGTTCGTAAAGAAATCTTATTGGGTGTTTTAGAAAGTGATCTTCTTGGTTTCCATACATATGACTATGCTCGTCACTTCTTGTCTTCATGTACTCGTATATTGGGACTATCTACTATGCCAAATGGTGTGGAATTTGAAGGAAGATATATTCATGTCGGAACTTTCCCTATCGGTATTGACCCCGAAAAGTTCACAGATGCTCTAAAAGAAACAAAGATTCAAAACCGTATTCAGCAACTTAAACAAAGATTTGGTGATTGTAAAGTGATTGTTGGTGTTGATCGTCTCGATTATATCAAGGGTGTGCCTCAAAAGATGCACGCTATGGAAGTTTTCTTGAGTCAACATCCTGAGTGGGTCGGTAAGGTCGTCCTTGTGCAACTTGCTATTCCTTCTCGTGAAGATGTTGAAGAATACCAGCATTTGAGAAGCACTATCAACGAGCTTGTGGGCCGTATCAATGGTCAATATGGTACTGTTGAATTCGTTCCTATCCATTTCATGCATCGTTCCTTGCCATTTGATGAATTAGTCGCGTTGTATGCTGCCGCTGACGTGTGTCTTGTCTCTTCTACTCGTGACGGTATGAATTTGGTATCTTATGAATACATCTCTTCTCAGCAAGAAAAGCATGGTGTCTTGATCCTTTCTGAATTTGCTGGTGCTGCTCAGTCGTTGAACGGTTCTATTATCGTCAACCCCTGGAACACTGAAGAATTGGCTAACGCTATTCATGAAGCCGTCACAATGCCCAACGATCTTCGCAAAGCCAACCATCAAAAGCTATATCGTTATGTTACTAAATACACCGCTGCTTATTGGGGCGTCAGTTTCGTCAATGAATTGAGACGTGTCAGCGAAGAATTTGGTCAACGTATGTCTATTCCTCAATTAGATACAAAGGTTGTCATTCAAAAGTACCGAGAAGCCAAGAAGAAGAAGTTGATCTTGTTGGATTACGATGGTACACTCACTACTACTCACAAGTTACCCGAATTTGCCAAACCTTCTCGCACTGTATTGGATCATTTGAAGACTTTGGCTGAACAACCTAATACCTATGTCTACATCTTGTCTGGCCGTTCTCGTCATCATCTGGATAGCTGGTTCGATTCCACTGGCGTCGGTCTTTCTGCTGAACATGGTTGCTTCTATAAGCATCCTGCCAACATTAGAGATAGCATCAGTCCTGTAAACGCATCGAATGAAAACAAATTGATCAAGGAAGAAGACAATAAATGGTATTGTCTCGTTGAACAAGTAGATCCCAGTTGGAAGGAAACAATTCGTCCTCTTTTCCAACATTATACAGAACGTACTCCTGGCTCTTTTATTGAAGAAAAGGAAATCAATTTAACCTGGCATTACCGTAACGCTGATCCTGAATTTGGTTCATGGCAAGCTACAGAATTGCAAGTCAATCTAGAGAAACTGTTGAGTCATATGGCCCTTTCCGTAAGTATTTTGTGTTCTGAATGGGAGAAAAGAGAGTGTGACAATATGAACTTCACGACCTGTAGGAATACTAACTGAGTCCACCTTTTTTCCATCATTTACCCGTCTAGATTGTGCTTGGAAATAAGACATTGGAACTTCGTCCTTCTTCTATTGATAAATCAACAGCTGTCCGTAATATTCTGAAAGACCTTGATCTTTCATCTATTGACTTTATTTTGTGTGTTGGAGACGGAAAGACGGATGAGGTTGTATTCTCTCTCTTAAATGAAATTCCTCAAGCCATCACCAGCACCGTTGGCAAGAAACAAACTGAAGCACTTTATTACATTCCTACTGTCGACCAAGTCAATAGCCTCATTGAATCTCTTGAGGAAAAATCTTCCAAATAAAAAATAGACAGATAATAAACCCACTTTTTTCCCGTTATTCTTCACTTCGAATGCAATATTATGTATTAAAACCTCCCATGAAATACTAGTGTATCATCATCCGAATTGTATAAATAAAGTCATTTGAATTTTAAAAAAAAGAACATTTGCTCTTCCAGAGATATTGAGAAATTACTGCTTCGTATAAAACGAGCCTTGCATACAATAGTGTAGTATTTAATAAAGATATCACTTGTCCATATAAGCATTAGAGGATAATTACGTAAATATACTTAATCAGAAGCAAAAATATGCCCTTGTACTTGTATTATTATTGGCTGCCCAACCTACTTGCTTTTCACCTTGAATGACTTATTAATTAGTTGAATCGTTTTGGCTACATTCAGTTTTACATATTCCAAGTCCAATGATTTCACATGCTCTTTTTGCTATGTTGTCCAAAAAGGAAAAAAAAAAAAATAAAGGCAAAGGGGTTAGATAAATGATGCTCCACGTGTTCCTAGCCATACATAGCGCACAACATACACACAGACATACACACATCTTTATATGTTTGTTTATCAATTTACCTTCTCTAACAAGTCGTCTAATTTTAGGTCAATCTCCAATATTGGTTTTTCTCTTCCTTTATAATGTAAAGAAATAATGAAGGTTCCCATGATAGGCGACTGAATCATTAAATAAATATTGGCTCTTCTATGATTTGGTACTTCGGAATCCAAGATAATTCCATCTTTTTCTAACTGCTGATGTGAAAACTTGAAGGGGCCATTATTTGATTTCTTTTTACTATGATAGTTCGAGTTTATATTCTTCCCATTGATGCTAGGTGTATTTAAATTACTACCCATGCCGGCACCACCACCATTTGCTATATCCATATCTAAACCGCCTTGCATATGATGGTGATCATGATGCTGCTGCTGTTGCTGTTGCGACTGCTGTTGCGCATGATGATGGGGTTGATAATTTTGTGATTGTTCAAACGTTGCTATTTCAGACGATGGCGCCTTGGTGGTAGAGAACCCAGGCACAACTTTGCTCGTGGATCCTCCGCCTTTGCCACCACTTCCACCCGCACTTTGCATTCGTACATTTTGCAGATATGCTTTGTAGGTCTCTAATTGACTTTGTAGATAGTTGTTGTGATCTTGAATGGTTCTGAACACCTGCTGTAACGACTCCACTTCTACTTTGACACGTTCTTTCAGATCGCCGAGATGGATAAGCTCTTGTTTTATCTCCTGCACAAGTAGCTCATAGTGGTTTTTCCGGCTCACGACACCCGCTTCTTCCAATTCTTGAAGCATGGATTGTACTTTTATTCCTTTACTCACCAGGAGCGCATCCTTCGCAGTACCAGCTGCTTCAGAAACGCGTATAAGGTCCAGATGAGACGAACTCGTAGTGCACATTTTTAAGATGTGTGGCATCGACCGCAGAATTTGCACAAAAATCGATTTTGTTTCCATGTAAAGCAGATCGTTTTGAGTGATATTATTCTCCGGTGTGGTAAGAATAAGCGCTGTGTCCTGTTGTTGCTGCTGCAGGCCCATCACAGGGCCTCTTTCCCAACGGCTGTAGAGAGGTAGTTGGACGGGCCGATTGGCTTGCCGTGGTATCTGTGGAGGCACAGGACCTAAATCCTGAAGTAAGATTCTCAATCGATGCATTGGCTCAGGCGCAATTTTCTGAATATGCTGCGATAACAATGCCTGTGTGCTGTACATTTCGTTGGGCGTGATAGAAATAAAGATGTCCTTGCGAGATAGAGCCATGTATTGGTCCATCTCTAAGGATTCGTAAAAATCGCTTACTTCGCAAATATCGTTTAGAAATTTTTGAATTCTTTGCTTGTTTTCTTCTACAAACCGATTGGTGGGTATCATATATGCTTCTTTGGCGTAAGTCGGCTTGTTAGCTAAATTCTGTAAGAGTTTTGCAATCTGTGTCAAGAAGAAGAATAGAAATTAGATTGAGTGAGCTGTTTGAAAAGGATACCGTGAAAAACGCGTTGATTCAGTGTCACTTTTTTCTGGAAAATCTTTACAAGTGTCAGAGTTGTTCTGGGATTACTACTTGGATAGGAATCAATCAACATATAAGCTTGTGGGGTGACAATAGCTGGATTGACGAAACGTAAGAAGAAGAATCCTCCTATAAGCGAGGAGATGGCTGTCTCCGTAGCCTGAGGATATTTTCTTTTTGTCAATGACCTTATTTGCTTGCAGATCCAACGAATGCCATAGGGTATATTGTTTAAAGAACGGATGATGGTCGTTAGGAATTCATTGGCGACTTCGATGAGCTTGGTTAAGCGTGGCTCAATGATCGCCTGCACTTCGGGGTTGGCCGCTGCTATTTCGGGTGTGACACTTTTACTCAAATTGGGTGGCAGAGTGCCTTCTTTACTTAGCTTTTCCGTAATAATCTCATCATACACCTACAAAAAAGAGTCAATGTTAGATAAATAACAGGTCATCCGTCTGATTGTCACTTTTACCTTCAATGGATTAATTTGGAAATTCATATCTTTCTTCTCTATCAGTTCATTAATTTTTTCTGAAAGCACCGACTTTAAATAGGACTGTCCAGGTCCTCGACGGGTATAAGTCATGAGCATCCTTGACACTGGTGTGTTTGCCCGTAAAAGCGATCCAAACTCAACCGTGGATTCAAATTGTGCTGCCAAAACATTCTTATTTATAAAGAAGACATTGAGCCTTTATATCCCTCTATTTCCTTTGCAAAACGCGTTTATTGTGATCTCTCTCTCTACCTGAAACATCGTCAACAGTAAATTCTCTTCTCTGCTTTCGTATTGATTACCATATAAGGTGAACATGACTGTTTGCAATAAAGTGTCAATTTCTGATAAATTTACCAGTCGGCATAAGGAAGCGATATAGCCTGGTTCGTTCTGCAGTAAGAAAAACAAATGACTATAATGCTGTAATTTTCTATCGTCCAAATGGTGTTCCATATTCCTCTCGTCATGGTCGTCCAGCTGAGATGATATATCATTTTGCTAATAACATGATTGTACAACTGTTCAATGCACTTTTGATCTGGACTTTTGGTTGCCCCTTTTCCAAATGAAACATACTTACATCATCCACAGCCATTCTATTTTGAATAAGCAGAGCTATTCTGGAGTCTAAAAACCTGACATCCTTTTCTAATAAAAAATTATTTTTGGACTGTGCTGAGATATCTGCTTTCAATTCGCGTAATGATTTCTGCACTAGAACAACAGAATTATATGAACATATTGGCAAAAAAAAAAAAATTCTGATATTTTTATCCAATAATAAATTACCTCGAGCCAGTTCGTCTTCAATTTCGCTATCTTGTTCGGTGGCCATTGAATAGAACAGTGAGACTGAATAATGCTTTGATGCTCTACCTGACGGTATCTGCTGAGACGTTCGTTTTATGTTGGCAGCAGCAGCGGTGACCGCTCTACTGACTATTCCTCCGTTGGCGGGTATCCCAAAGGAATGCACCATCCCACTTCGTCTGTCAGACTTTCTCTTGACGTTGCTGATCAATTCAGTCATGAATTATACACCAAGTTTATAATAAAAAAAAGTTGTAAAAAAAAGGGGGTTGAGGTGGAAGAGAGAGAGAGAGTGAGAGATAGAATAAAATTCAAATTAAAAATATAATAATGGCGAAGGAACAGGAGGTGGATGAAATGCGGTTTGTTTTTGTTTAAGGTGTAGACAGCGAAAAAGGAGGTGTTATCGCAGTATTAGAATTAGTTGCTTCGACAATACTAAGCAGAAAAAAGAAAGAGGGGGAGGCTATCAAAAAGATATTTCTTTAGAAAAATTAAAACAAGCAGGAAATTAAAATACAACATTACTAGTAATCACATACAAACACACACATTCCTTTTTGATCTCGTTTCAGTTTAAATGATTATTTGCCACTTTAAGAAATTACAACTGGTACAGAACATGCATAGAACGTACTGTTTGTGTCGTTCTTTTAAATGGTCTCTGAGCTCCACCAAAGTTATCGTCTGTTTGCCACTTTCTATCCTAACCTTAAGTTTTGTTCCCATTCCGTATAAATTATCCTCATCTTGACGGAAAATAAAATAACCCGCAGACATGAGTTTTAGACGACAGCTCCTAATTAAAAAGCTGCATTAAACCATTCTATTCATATCGCTTCATCCTACATAAATTCAGTGTACGCCAATATCACTGATACCTTATTTCTGCAGCGTTTTGTCTATTGCCACTGTTTATAAGCAAATCTTACATTCAGCTGATAAAATTGTTTTCAAAAAAAGCGTTGTCGACAAACGCTTGCATAGTGTATGTGCGTAATTTACACTCTTTCCTAAAATAATATCGCACTTTGAAAAGTTAAATACAGCATTTCTACGATGTAATTTTTTTGGATGAAATAAAACTTATTCGCCAGATGTTTAGCTTAATTTTTTGGATGAAAAAAATAAAATAAATTAGACAAAAAAGTTCAATTTGAGACGAATAGGAAATAATGTTAGGCTTTTTGCCTGTAATAATTAGTGAAAACTTCATATATTCGAATACTGTCGTGAGCTTGATTATTTTAATATCCAGCGAATAAAACGCCTCAGAACTTTGCAGCCTCTGCTATTCCACCTTCGGTGCTGTCGATATCAAAGGCTTCCAGGGAACAGGTTGTTTGTCACGCAAAGAACGCCAGACTGTCTGACAGCGGGATGTTAATGCATCTTTGAATATGATGACGATATCGTTGTCGATTTGGTTAAACAAGAAAGACCAGCAGGATGTCAGCAGCTTAAAAAGAATTACCTAGCAAACACGGCTCGATTTAGGTCACTACAGGTAAAAAGTCTAGACATAAATTCCTATTCGTCTCCAAACTGAAGTTTTTGTCAGTCCTATTTTTACTTCATTTAAAAAACGTAAGCTAAATATCCGAAAACCAAGTCTTACTCGTCCGAAAATAGTAAACATCGCCTGAATTTGAAAAAGCTGCCCATAATTGAAAATAAATTTGTCGCATAATTTGGGAGAATTTATGCAGTCAAATACGTATCGCAGTGTGGATAAAGAAGACTAAGTACGGTCAGCGAAAGTAAAACATTGTACAGATTCAAACGGCAGAGTCATCTAGACGAAGCGCTAAAGAATTACAATAACTATAGCAAACAAAAATTAAAGAGAATACCGCGTATGCTATAGGTCTTTTTTTGTGGGGCAAATCAGCTCTTACAGACGTACCATGTTTAATGTGTCCAAGATGGCGCTGAATCAGTCTTCTTCAGTATCAATCTTGCGGCTTTTCTCTGTAGATGTCTAAAAGCTAGAACGGCGGCGAGATCTCAAATAGAAAGCCAAGTGCCCCAATTTGGTTATCAGTAGTTTACTTGTCCAAAACACAAGATTAACCATTTGACGCTATTGTTTGCTGCTGACTAATTAATAATCGAATAGAAACTCCTTTGCTGATACAGCAGTTGTCATTTCGAGTGCAAAGACCTTGCACCGCTAACCTAGGATGGCAATTGTATGCGTTATGAGTAGAAATAGACAGTCAGGCGTTTAAAAGTGACATGGAATGAAAAGATTGGATGAAGAACACAATTACAATACAGAAGCAGTCAATTTTTTTGATCAAAGAGTGTGAACAATACTTACTATTAAACAAAGCCTCAACTTGATGTGAATTACTGATTTTCATAACGCAACAAATGAACCTTTAAATAATCCAACGTTCAGTCTTCAATAAGCAATGTTCTATTGTTTAAACTGTGCATCAGGTAGCTGCTTCGAACCAATTCTTTTTCTTTAAAAAAAAAAATTTACTTTACTGAATATAAATACAGCAGCGCAAAAAAAGAACCATAAAAAGAACATCTAATTCGACGATTTCTAATGAAGTCTTAGGAGGCTAGAAGAAGTAATGATAATTGTTAATTTATAAAAGTGATTTATTCGCTTGGTTGATTTATTGTGGTTTTTGTGCAGCTATTAGAATAGTAGTAATATGCTTACCATTTATTTTCTTTTTCGAACCATTCAAAGACGAGTGAGCAACTCTCACAGTAGAAGTAAGATGTTTAATTGCTTTCTATAAATTTTTATCCTTGAGAATAGAAAAAAAGCTATTCGCCTTTGTCTTTTTTTTTTTCGATTGTCCGCACTACTTTGTCTGAACTAATATTGCTTATTGACAATTAAGATGAGGATGCAGGCTGTGACTCATATTCGTTGACAGTTGCTTGGACTTGATCGCTCATTAAGATACTCAAGCAAGGTATATTTGGACAAGTGCATTCAATTGAAGCACCTATTTCTGTATACCATTCTATATAATACACTTGAGATGGAACATGTGCATATATGTGATAGCATCCGACGAAACAGGCAGCAGTAATAAGCATGAATTTGTGTTGGTTTCTCTATGGCATTTGTCTATGAAAGGCTTAGCAAGAAGCTTGCCTTTGCAAACCAACCTGGTACATTGAACACATCTAATCAGGAAATCTCAACAGCGAACACTACATGTGGACTTGAATTTTCATACCTGCAGGTTCATGTGAAAGAAACATCCCTCTATTCATTATTGAAGTAATTAAGTTAGTAGTCATTAATCTGATCTTTTTTACATTAAGTAGTCTTTTCAATCCCAGTACAGTTTTTTGAGTTTCACAGTGATTCGAATACGAGCCTTTGGTTGATCTATATAAAAAATCAAAGGCTTCAACGAGGATAACATCAAAGCCTTTGACAGCCTCCGCCCCACCCTGGCAAAGAGAATATACAAAGTAATTGCTTTGATGAACAAAGGCCGTGACAAAAATTTATAGAGAATATCGATGTTTAGAACGATGGTGAACATAGATAAAGCAGCTGTAGCAGCAAAGTCTGTAGAACCTTGGAGACATTCAAGAAAAATCTTAAAGAATTCTAAGTCGGGATGAAGAAGGTAGTCAATGATCATAAACTCATCTGTTTTGAGACAGGGCGACAATTGTGTTGAAAAAAAGGCGAACTTGAAACTCACTATGATATCACTCTTCAAAAGCCAAAGCTACATAGTGAACGTACGCTTATAATCATACACAGTTCATTTTATATAGTAAGCTTCCATTCTTCAGTAGATAAGGCTTTACATTTTTAGAAACTCACCGTCTAGCTGTTTCAAATCTTTGACAAATATTGGGTCTTGCAGGCCTGAATTACACTAGTTTTCCCAATCTCAGCTTGTTTAATTTTATAAGACGTTTTGTGAATCATACATTTAATATGACAAATGAATTATTATATGATTTCCAGTTAAAACTTGCTTACAGGCATCTTTTGTAACACCAATAGATAGCATTCACCCCACATTTTCGGAGCTCTCAGCGCAGGTTAAAAAACCACATCTCATTCTAATTCGATGTGGTTGATCGTCAAGATGCGATAAAGGGGGCAGAGAGGTCCCCAGTTGATATTTCCTTTTTCTTTTTCATCTTGTTGTTCTTTTACGCCGAACGTTTCTTTCTTCAATAACAGTTTAAGACTTATATAACTTTTGACTTGTTGACATAAGTGCTCAGGTTACTGTATAATCAAATGACCGGTGATTTGGAACCGAACAAGAGGCAGAGGGTCAGTAAAGCTTGGTAGGTAAAAAAATATTAGAATATAAAACATCGCATGAAATGTATGAGAGACGAATGGCTAGTCGCTTTAAGCATGTGAGCAAGTTAATCATAAGGCAGCTGTGTCCTGTATTTTTAGTGATCCATGCCGTAAGAAAAAAGTAAAATGTGATGGCGGAATTCCTATCTGTAGAAATTGTGAAACTTTGAACATCGCTTGTCTATACAAGGAAACAACAAAAAAGGTTGGTATTTAGGATATACAGAATTGTAGAACGTTGTAAGTGTTGATAGAGTCTATTGACGATACTATCTCTACATTTTAGAGAGGTCCACCTAAAGGTTATATAGAGGCTGTAGAAGGCAGATTGCATAGACTGGAGGCTCTGCTCAACAGCATTATACAAGAGGATGATCCACACTCCCAAGCAATTTTAAATGAGTTAAATTCACCACTCGAAACGGCTTATGGAGAATTGGTTCGCCCTCGTCCAATCTTTCGAGAAAGAATTCCAGATTATAACACATGTAGTGGTTTATTACGGCTGTCACCTGATCCATCAACATCACGTCCATCTGTTACAGCAAAAGATAACAACAGTGATTCGGACTATTCAAAGAGTTTAGGGAATTTATCAATTGATGAGAGTGGACAGCTTCGATATTATGGAGGATCTTCTGGCTTCTATATGTTAAAGACAAGTAAAAGCCTACAGAATCGAGCTTTTCATTTCAATTCAAAAGATTACATAGCTAAGAACAACAGTAGTAATGGAAAACGGAGAATAGACACAGGCCTTGAAGACAGAGGATATCGTACTGTGATGATAAACCCTTACGAATTACCACCAAAAGATCTGTCGGATCATCTACTTGAGCTCTACTTTAACAATTTTTATCCTCTGTTACCGCTGTTACATAAACAGTCTTTTCTACAGTCTCTCCAGGATGATAGAAAGGCAAACCCACCAGCGCTCTTGCTGAATGCAATTTATGCAGTTGCTTCACGCATATCGTCAGATGTACGAGTTCGGGCTGATCCTTTAAAAGCTGATACAGCGGGTGATATATTCTTCGAAAGAGCACGACTGTTGCTAGATTTGGAATGGGACAGTTTCAGAGTTTATACTGTTCAGTCGTTATTATTGATGAGCAGCCACCAAAATGGCGCACTTAAACCCACGAGAGGTTGGCTATACAGCGGCATGGTAAATATTTGGCAATATACTGAAAAATAGATGACAAAGGCAGCACTGGAAAAAAAAAAAATGAACGTTAACTTTTTTCCTCCCGATACTTTTATTTCTTGTAGGCAATTCGGATGTCTCAAAATCTAGGGCTCCATAGAAATTGTGATCATTGGAATTTGACCCCCAGTGAAAAAGAAGAGAGAAAACGAGTGTTTTATTGTTGTTTCGTGTTAGATCGATTGTCCAGCGCAATGCATGGTCGCTCCCCCATGATAGATGACAGAGATTATGACACGCCTTACCCCAGTGAAAATGATGACGATGACATAACTCGAACACCTCGCACTATGGAAAATTTCCATCATTTGATTCGAATATGCGAACGGTTGGGGGACGTTATCAGGGACTTATACATGGTGAGAGGCCGAAAACAATTAGCAGCTATGCCTTCTGCAGACATCATCGTCTCCAAATTAGACAAAAGACTGAACAGTTGGCTGTCAAACTTACCAGCAGACCTTCAATACCATCCTCCAAACACTAGATTGAACGAAAAAGCGCCAGCACCTGCTTTAGAAGTATGTCAACTTCATATGCTATTTTATACAACTTCAATATTGACACATCGTCCATTTATACCCGGTCCTCGCCAAGCAACCGCTCCTTCCATATTCCCATCCGCCTCTATTTGTACCTTTGCTGCGAACAAAATTCTTGACATAACTGAATCATTGATGAATGAAGGACGTCTAAAAAATGTTAACAACTATACACTTTTTTTCATGTTCACAGCAGGCATTATCTTCATTCATAACGCAGCATCTACAGATTCCATGTTTGCATTTGAAGCAAAAATCAGCATCAATAAAATTATGCACGCTATGGACGAAGTTGAAAAAACATGGACAACGTCTGCACGGCATTGTAATATATTGGGCGCTCTCGCCGGATTACGAGACATTGATCTGGATTGCGTTGATGAAAGTTATATCAAATTGCGAAGAAATGATGTTTTTCACCAGCCAGCATCCATTGCTGTTCCAAATTCTCCGGAACCAGAAGATAAGATAATATTAGATAACAATGTTAAAGGACAACAACAGATCGAAGAGGAATATTACAGAGAACGATTACATTCTACCGTAAATGACGGAGGCGTAAGCAGCGTTATTACATTTGATGATAGGTCGATCAGTAGTGATTTCAACATTCCATCTGTCTCTATTTATAATGGCCAGTCGCCTAAAACTACCCAGTGCTATACCCACCAACAACAACCGCAAAAACTCGAGCAGACAAACAGCAATGACAATATTGCCGAGTCTAATCCATTCGATCCAAATACTTCTGCTTTTTGGAGTGTACCAATGTCGTTTGATATTGATGAATGGAACAGTTATTTTGATAAGCAAAAGCTCAGTAGCAATAGCAACAATGAAGTAAACTATATTTTAAATGGCTCATCAGCGGTTTCTACCGACACAGTAACACCTACTTCTAGCTCTTTCACTACTACTACTACACCCGTTCCGCTTCCAATAAGCCAACAATTTCAATCACCTTACATGCAAATGCCCACTGACTCTAGCAGAAATACCAATGATATTCAAATACCTCATTGAGCTTTCTATAAATTCATTTTCTTCACCTACGGTTACGCTTATGCCATTTATTTATTTATCATTATTAAACATGCGACGCAATTAACCCACAACGAATAAAATGAAAATCAGATATGCCTTTGAGCGAAATAATCATAATGCAGTTAGACAGAACGCGCAGATCTAGATCGTGATTAGCGAACTCTTATTAGACCATGTTCAAAATAAGTAACACGCCAATCGGTCGATCTACATATTGATCGAAAAGCCTTAAAAAACAACTTTTTCAATTAATCATTCATAGCATATCAATTGACGCTGCAAATGATGTAATTCTGTGAAGAAAGGTTACTTAACTGTGAGCCTTTCATTGTGCAATCATAATTATTCTGTACTGCGCATAGAATTCAATTGGTTCCAAAAAATGCTTTTCTTCCATTTCCATTCGATGACCAAAGACGGAACGGCCAACTCTATATAATGGATATAGAAGTTTATATTCTTTCTGCTCATCACTATGACAACATTTACGGGGAAGGATGTACCTCTTGACAGTATATGTCTATGTATCAGTTCAGGTATGCAATCATTTTTTCTTGTTAATTCATACAGTGGTTTCAAATCTTATATATATGAATTTAAAAACGGGAAAAACCTTATATTAAAAAGTTGCCTTTAGTAAAAGAAGAAAACACATAAAGAAAAACCAGTTATTTTTTTTTGTATAGCGACAAGATTGATGAGACATATCATCATTCCTAGAGACATACAGGTGTCCAGCAATTTCACTATTCTTCAGATGAAAGCTTTATGCAATTACATTCTTATCTTTTTATTACAGTTCATCCAAAGCAACCTCTACCAAGTAGGTCATGGTTGAAAGGTATTGGCAGCCTTTAGCGTTTGAATTTAGGTATCATAGACTGCTGTTTATGATAATATGCTTTGAGTCACTTTATTGTTTATTGGAAATTTAGGGAACTGTAAGAGCCATCTTGTTCAGGACGATTTTTGACGTACAGTTTGTTAGCATCCTTAGTTTATGCTTACTTTAACGCGGGCCGAAAATATTTGAACACTTTTACAAGCTTTAGCTCTTGCATAACCACATATAGCTGGTTATAAGAAAAGGACGGCGCGAACAATACAGATCTAATTGCATAAGACTGAATCTTTTCATCTCTATTGATGACATAATTAAAGAAAAATGTACGCGGAAATGGTTGATAACGACAAAGCCTAAAGAGTCAATCACCACTTTGTCCTGTCTTTGATTACTTTCTTCTAGTTGATACTGCTAACGATCAATTGAGCATATTTGAAGCAGGGCATATGAGTGTTTAGATTTAAAAGAATACAGGCATAATATATCATAATACTACTTGGATTCTTTTGTATCTATGATCTGATCATTCGGCTTTCACTCCAGCCATTCCCATTATATGAATGTGTTAACATATTATTATACAGATGCTGCTGTTTCGGTAAGGTAGACTTTGATGCTACAGAAGATAGAACCTGTTTCCTTGCCAAAACATCGTTAGTACGTACTATCGATGCTGCATTGCTGTGCTTGGATTTTTCTGAAGTCGCTAGTGGCCTCTTTTTGTTATGTTGTTTAGGTACTTTTGAAGAATTGTAAATGGTATATTTTGATTTTACATTATCGTAAAAATCTGGGTGTTCGGACTGGTGACTGATGCCTAAGTTTTCAGCGTTGGTACCTAGTCGTGGAATACGCACATATGCATCTGTTCCGAATCCATCCATTGGTATCACTTGTAGTTCACCTCCCCAATATTCAGCGTATATACGGCTCATTGTTAGTCCCAAGCCTAAATGTCGATGGCCCATTTCGGAAGCCTGGCTTACTCTGTCATCAATAGCTACTGGTACTTTCGAAACTTGCTTCATCTCATTAAACTCTCCCATCTGTGACCGTGATTGATAGGACCAAAGTTGTTCAAAGCGTTGTGAGCTTATGCCACCGCCCTGATCGGACACTCTAAAATAAACATCGGACTCATTGGCACTGACAGTTACTTTAATAGGAGGGTAGTTTCCGTCAGGGTGTTTCAGCATGGTAAATCGCACCGCATTGTCTAATAATTCGTATAGAATGCGCTCTAATTGCTCAGGCACCTAATGAAAACAACATCAGTATACGTTTTGCATAGATACTGCTCATCAAACTACTCACGTAAGCGAACAGAATTTCACCATTCTGGCTTTCATTTATCGGTGTATTATTCTGTATAGCTACATCAATTTTTGGCGGTATCATCTGACAAACGTTGTCGCCTGTATGGTACCGATGTACATTTTGGAACACTAACTGTTGTGCCCTTTTTAGTATATCTGAGGCTGAACAATGAACGAATATAATCCCTACATAACCATCTCCAAACCCTGTGTGCAGATCCCACTGATGTTCACACGCTTCTGTCAAAGCCAAGTGCTGTTCTGCGATGACCCTTCTTGAAACGTACGACCTCAATATTCTATTCAAAAACAGATCTAAATCTTTCTGTTCAGGGTTCTGGTAAAAGCGGGCACTTTCGCCTATGCCTTGTGCCAGTCGCGGCAACACCAACAGCCCATCCTCTAACAAATTTTGTAGGAGCTGACAAAATTCTAAATTGTCTTCATGCGTTTTAATAGCTGGAAAGGCGCGGATTGATTTGAAAGCTCCCCAATAGAGTTTGTAAACGTACTCAATGTGAGGATTAGTACCGACAAAGAAGGGTAATTGTTGAAAATCTCTAATGCGATGTGCTAAACGAACCAATAGCTCATCGCGTACCCAATTGCCTGACTTAAGCAGACGATCGGTATTCATTTGTCGACCAAAAAATATAAATTGCCGAAGGGTGCTCGCATTAACAGGCTGCGAGGCATACTTCTCAATTATCTCGTTTTCGTAAAAGTGATATGGTGATGTTGATTGTATAGTATCCAAGTGGATGGCTCTTGGTGCTTCGGTTTGCGGTTTGGCCATAACTGTGATCGAGTTATCCATAGTAGTTGAATTTGCAGAAGACGTCGTTGAAGTAGAAGAGTACGGTGGTGGTGTAGTAGTGAAGGATGATACATTCCTTATCAATGATGTGCATGTTCTTACTCTCGTTTCTTGACTTTGTCGCAGACCATTGATAACTGATCGATTTGTTGAACTCGAAAGGTGCTGAAACAGTAATTTTTTTGTCTCTGCTGTGAACGACATCTTTGTCAGTTATTAATTTTCTATCCTGAGGTATAGTTGAAGAAAGAAAGAGAGGCGATGCAACGAAAAGAAGGCTTGTCTTCAATGAACAACAGTTTAAATCATATTACTATAAAAAAAAAAATAAGGGAAACTTTTTTTTTTTCATTAACATAATTGAGTCATTGTCATGCTCCAATGATATTGCACATATGATTATTGTACGCTCTGTTGTACAGATAATCATTTTATGCAGATTAGCCTCATAATTTGTTATGCACATAATTGATTTCAAGATCTACCAATTTTGCATCCAACGTAAAGGAGCACTAACTGGTTTTTTTTTCATGCCATTTATAACGTGACGTGGAACAAGGTAGCCTCTTTTAATAAATATAATAAGTTTAGCTGATGAGGGTATGTACAAGGTATTCATTTCAAAGCAGAGATCATTATTTTGTTTTCCAATCATCTAAGTAACAAAAGTGATCTTGAATTTATTCAGAAAAGAACCTTTATAAGCCTTGATATGCTGCTTATCTGCTTTCACATTTTCGTGTTCTAATTTGTAACGTTTTTTCAATCTTTGTATGCCGTTGATTAAGCCAGTATCGCACATAAAGAGATCCAAACGCATCTCTTCTATGCATAGCAATGACGTTATGAAGTCTGAAAGAGCCATTTCAACATCATCAATATTAGTATCAAGGGTGATAGGGGTAGTAGTTCTGACTGGAGTGATATTTGTTTCCACGAAGGGTTCTGCTAATCGACGCTTGCTTAAAATAGTTGTGGGTGAATCCCGTTCACCTTGACCTGGCCATCTTTTCATGGAAAGATATGTCAGTTTCCCTGCAATTGGTATGTAACACGTCCGCCATACTTTTGCCGTAAATGAACTGACACAATCCAATGTTAATGATGTGAGGTTAGAAAGGTAGCTGAAAGCTTGGTATTTTGAAACCAAATGGTTCTCTGAGGCAATCCATCGATCCAACATCATATTTATTTTTCGCTGTTGTTCTTCATTTAGTGGAAATGGAACTGAATGGATGAAATCGCGGTCAGTAGGTCCAATCAGTTGCTGTTCATAGTCTAATACATTGATCATAGAGAAAGCCTTCAGTGAAGCAGGTAGTTTTCGTTCCGAATTAGATATTGACAAGGGAAACAAGCTGACATAAATGCTGCTTAAAACTACAGGCTCGGCAAATTCAACGAATAAATGCTGCAGTTGGTATAATTCAGAAAATATATTGAGATCAAATGATTGAAGTGGTTTGTATGTCTGTCTGGATTGGTGCGTTCGGATTTTTCGACAAGTAACAACTTTGAGAGTGTCCTTTAACCAAGTAACAAGGCATTTGATATCCACTAGGCTTATGTTGATTAAACAAAGCTCTTCTACCCGTTGGAATGGTCGGATCTCTATTTGTCTTCTGTTGAAAGCAATCATTACATTGGGAGCCTCTTTGTTGGTAATGGTAAGCCGTCGTATAAAATGCAATTGCTTGAAAGATCGTTGCAATTTGGGCAGCATGGCTAGTCTGTTGTAAAACTGTGTGTATTCGAATTGTGTATCTCTCCACTTTAACGAAGGAAAATATAGCAATTTTAGCGAATATAATTTTCTTTTCTGAGAAAGCTAGACTTACAATATGGGGTTGACTGGCCAATCGGCGCCAACGTTGGCATACGCTCATCATTGTACAATAATCCTCAAAGCATGAAAGATATCTAAAAATCGTCAATAGGCAGTCATTCGGTAGCTTGGATATAGGGGTATCTATTTCTTGAAAAATACTGCCTTGAGGTGAGCGTGTACTTGCTCGCTGTTGGGTTCGATTTACTAAAGGTTTGTGCTTTTTTGAAGTTTGTGATAGCGTTTGCATTGAATTTGCTCTTTTAATTAAAGATATTGTGGGTAACACTCGTTTGGGCTGGGTAGAAAACGACAGATTCTGTTTTAGTTTTGGTACTGTAGGTTGCTAGTGAAAGACAGATCAGTACGATTACAGCACTTTAGATCAGAGTTAAGTGTGGCCAAATAGTTCAGCTTACTGTAGCTCCAAAACTTTTCGAAGTGATCAGTCCGTGTCGCAAAGCGCTTTTTGATCTTTGCAACAAATGCTTTGTTGGTTTTTCCTCTTCAGTATTTTCGTCGTTTTTATGTGCAATATTCGTTTCAATCCGACTAAGGGGCGATCGTCCAGATGGCATACTACTATTATTATTTGAGGGTATAAGATTTTGGTAAAAGAAAACCTAATCTCATTAAATTCCGTCAACTGACAACCAAAGTCCTGCAAACGCGATTTTTTTTATTTTTTTTTATTTGGCGGCCAAAGTGACGTTTACGCGCAAAGCCGAAACTTTTTAAATTCTAGTTGTTTCTTTCTTCTTGTTCTCTTCCTTTCCGGAAATCTAGCCATAAACCGCAGACAGAATGAATGAACAGTTCTACAGACTATTACAAGAATACCTCTTACAAACACTAAACCCTTCGACGCAAAAAGAAGGTTGTAACAACTTCACATAAGAACAAAAAATCCTTCGGCCATATCTAACGTGGATCTCTTTGTTGTTACGGAATAGCTGCTCTGAACTTATCGCAAGCCGAAGGTCAACAAGGGTTTCCTATTCTACTTTTAAGAACCGTTAGCGATGAATCAGTTGATCAAACCATTCGAATGGCAGCTGCCGTTTATTTCAAAAATTATGTTAAGCGAAACTGGGTCAGGGTAAAACAAAAACTGCTATTTATTTTGAGTGCTTTCATAGTACTCACCGTTGTGTTCTACTACTCCACGCTTCTGAAAGGATAACGAACAAGACGCTGATAAGATCACTCAGCAAGATCGTGCCGAGATCAAAAACCAAATTGTTCAACTTATGATTACAGTACCTGAAAAACTCCAACTTCAAATCAGTGATGCTCTCAGTTTGATTGCAGACGCTGATTTTCCTGCTAACTGGGAAACCTTGCTACCAGTAATTATCTACATAGAAAAGCCTTTCCAATTGATATTGAAGTTTACTAACACTAACATTGTAGGAACTCATCAGTAAGCTTAGTCCAACTGACTACAGAGTCAACAACGGTATCCTTAGCACTGCACATTCTATTTTCAAAAAGTAAAAGAACAGCCAACAAATTTAAATTCTCAGAACGGTATTAACCTGAACATTTCTATAGATGGAGATCTCAATTCAGATCTGATGATCTTTTCATTGTCATCAAATATGTTTTGGACCTATTCTGTGAACCTTACAAGCAACTCTTTGAAGTAAGCAGGAGGAAACGAAAAGATGACAAAGAAACAATCGACCTAACTTGCAATAATTGATTGGTGAAATAGATCACGGATAAACTCATTCAAGAAAACAATAACAATGCACAAGCTCTTAATGTTCTAGCCCGCTCATTGAATTTACTTATCAAAATCTATTATGACCTTAATTGTCAAGATCTTCCCGAGTTTTTCGAAGATCGTTTGCAAGAATTTTCCAACTATTTGCAAAAATACCTTGTTTATCACAACCCTTTATTAGCCACTGATGATGAGGAAGAAGAAGGCCCCTTGGAACAAATCAAGACAAGCATTTGCGATGTGCTAGAACTATATGCTTCTCATTATAGTAGTGATTTCCCTCAATTAGAATCATTCGTTCCTATTGTCATCAATCTTTTGACCAGCGCTACAGGTGAAGCTAAATACGATGCTGTAAGTTGCTAAAAGTGACGGCATATTAGCGGTATCGTTGAAATCTACAAAAGGTATACTGACTTCTCACTTGTGATATGCATTACTAGTTGGTTTGCAAAGCGTTCTCAGTATTGAGTGTGGTTGTTAGACTTGACAATTCAGGAACCCTATTTGCAGATGAAAATTCATTGAAGGCTACTATTGAAAGAATCGCTCTTCCCAACGTTGCTTTAAGAAGTAAGTTGAGGAGTTCTTTCACTGTCGAAAGAAAATAAGCGCGCACTCACGCAAAATGCCCTTCCTGTACAATAGCTGCGGATGAAGAGTTGTACGAAGATAATCCAATTGAGTATATTCGCAGAGATTTAGAAGGATCAGACAGTGATACCCGCCGTCGTGCAGCCGCTGACTTTATTCGTAATTTATTGGAGCGATATGAGCAAAACGTTACCAAAGTTATGTCAGAATATATCAATCAGTATTTGCAGAAATACAATACTAACCCTCAAGCTAATTGGAAAGACAAAAATACAGCAATTTTCTTGCTCGTCGCCATTGCCAGTCGTTCCATAACCAGCTCACTCGGTGTTACTAAGGTCAACTCGCTTGTTGACATTGTTGATTTCTTTTCGAAGAATGTGCTGTGCGATTTGCAGTCAGATGTCAATACTGCAATTCCTATTTTGAAAGTGGATGCTATCAAATACGTGTACACCTTCAGAAACCAACTTACCAAGGAACAACTACTGACTGTCTTTCCTCTACTAGTGAAGCATCTTGAGTCCACTGATTATGTGGTTTATACATATGCTGCCATTGCTATTGAACGAATTTTGTTCATCCGTCAAGGCAAGACCATGATGTTCACTGCTGCTGATATCAAACCCTATGCCGAAACTTTGCTTACTCAACTGTTCCGATTGATCGAACAAGGTCAGACACCTGAGAAACTATCAGAGAATGATTATTTGATGAGGGCTGTCATGCGTGTCATCATTACGTCCCGCCAAGATATGGTGCCTTACGTCAACGTTATCATGAGCAAATTAACCGGCATTTTGGCTGTCGTCATGAAGAATCCCAGCAATCCCAAATTCAACCATTATGTGTTTGAAAGCATTGGTGCCTTGATTCGTTTCATCTGTCCTATTTCCAACGCGGCTTTAAGTGAATTCGAATCAATGTGCTTCGGTCCTTTCGAGAATATCCTATCTCAAGATGTCGCAGAATTCACGCCTTACGTCTTTCAATTGTTGGCTCAATTGTTAGAACAACATAAGGGTACTGAGTTGACACAGTCCTATATAGCACTTTTAAACCCTTTGTTGAATCCTTCACTTTGGGAACAAGGCAATACACCTGCTTTGGTGCGACTAACCCAAGCCTACTTGGAGAAAGGTGTCACTACCATTATTCAAAGCAATCAGTTAGAACCCATCTTGGGTATTTTCCAACAAAAGTTGGTGTATTCTCGTCAATTTGATCATTATGGCATGCTGTTATTACTTACCATTACATGTTGTGTGCCACTGTAAGTATTTTTTTGACGTGGGTCGCAGAAATTATTGGCTTTTCATTTCTCAACCCTAACCATCACAAATTTATCGGTCAAATTGTAGTGATATTTTGAGTAAATATTTTCCAGCTTTACTTTCAGCTGTACTTAAAAGACTCCAAAGCAAGAAGAGAGGCGATACGATCATATTCGACAGATTTACACGTAATTTCACATTATGGATGACCAATTGCTTCTTAACAGAATCCTTGGGTGGGCCTGATACCATTATTAATGTTTATGAAGCTTTACAGCCTGGGTAAGTATTCGAGCGGGACAGTTTTTCTTTTAAATCATTCATTAACAACCTATTTCTTTCTCATTCACGTGCATATGATAGTCTCTTTGGCCAGATCATGAACTTGTTTGTTCTCCCTGATATAAGCAGATTGAGTAAACCTTTGGATCGTAAGATAGGTGCTGCAGGCATGGTTCATCTTCTTACCAAATCCGCACTTTTACTGCAAGAGCCTTACTTGTCGAATGGACTTTGGAAGCAATCTCTTCTCGGTCTCTTGGCTCTTCTCGAGCTTCCTGTTTCAGCGGACGATGATGAAGGACCTGATGAGCTCTATACACTCGATTTCTCTGAAGACGGTGCGGAAGGCATTGGTTATCAAACTACATTTGCGAAATTAACTACCACAAGCCCCACACAGCGTGACCCTACTGCTCAACTCCCCCCTGCTCAAATTTATATAGCTCAACAACTGATGGCAATGCCTGCCGATAAACGTCAGGTGATCAAAACATTGATAGCACAATCTCAAGAAGCGACGAGCATTCTACCGAAGTATTTTGCTAGTGCTAATATTTCTATGGACCAATTGTAAGAGTACATCTTTTGCAATTGTACACTTTCAAAGAGGTGATATATTTTGAAAGTTTGAAATAAAGAAAGTGCCTAATGTTTTTTGGTATTCATGATCAATCGCATCAGTACGATTCCGCCTAATCCAATATAGAAGAGTGTGTTTCCTTTTTAGACAGGTGTGATGTTATTTCAGACTCTATTGCCTTATCTATATTGACCCAACCTCTCTTTATATACGTCGTCCCTGTAACTTTTAGCATGACATATCCAGCTTTGACAATCGGCAACAATAACTTGTCTACAAGCTTCAGCAATACGAGGTGTAAGCATGTCTGATTTGTCGAGCGGGATTCCCTGGTTTTTTTTTCTTTGATCTTGGACTAGTATTCTTCAATAGGGTTCAAAAAGGATGAGCGTCGGGGGAAAAAATAGTGGTTGGTAGCCACGTTGATTGATTGCATCTACGACAGAACGAAAGTGATGCATCCTACAGTTGTCCTTGTAGTGTAAAAAAGAACGACATTATTGTGAACAGTGTTCGAGACAGTGTCCACCTAGTTTAAAAAGGACAGTCTTCACCATGAAAAATAATAGCCTTGCTTTTTGCTTTCCTTTCTCTATTGTTTTGTATAATGTCTATCATTGCGGGGGGACAAGTAGTCGTATATTCTACTGCTTATAACAGTTATATCCAATATAAAGTTTTTTAAAACTAAACCTGCAGTCAAGATAGTCATTTGTACACAATAGTCCAAAATCATGAAGTGAGAAGAAAAAGAGGAGAAAAAAGGTATAGAGGATCAATAATGAATAACTATCAACATCGTCCATTTCTTCGATCCTTCTCTGGTCAAACATCTATAGCCGAAAGCATAACTTAGACGATTTTACAAACAACGTCGTCAAGAGACCTGGGATCAGTTTTGCCAACAGATCGTGAAGAATATCTAAATCAATTGCCCCACTTTTGTAGAATCCCAAAAAAAAACCGTAATCTAACTTTCATTTTATAACCTGGAACGTCCAAAAGTTGTCGCAAATATTATGGCCACTCATATGGAAAGCATTTATTCAGGATAATATTTATTATCACCCTATCGTCCTGTACAGCCACAATATAATCCCTAGATGACTTTCCAATGTACGCTCTTAAAACACTCCCCCGCAAAAAGGCCCTTGATGTGGATAATATAAGAATAAAAATGCTCCAACCCCTTTCAACCTTATAGCACCTGTTCTACTACGTCTGTACCAACTGGCTTGGTAATGGTCGTACACTCCTCAGACGTGGCGTATTGCCCAAACTATCCCATCTATAAAAAAGATTTATCCACAGATCTAAGCAATTATCGCCCAATAAGCCTTCCTCCATCTTCCGTAAGATATTAGAACACTATATACAACACTACCTGCTGATCAATAGCCCAGCGCTTGATATCGTTTAAGGTGGCTTTCGTATAGCACGAAATTCCTTAGACGAAGCATCTTGTTTAGCTGAAATTTATAACACACTCAAGCGTCGACACAGTATTGAACCAGTTCTTGCCTCTCTTGATATCAAATCAGCATGCAACACGGTTGATCATAATTTTGATTGGAATGCAATATGGTACCACACCCCCGCCCCTCTACTTGCACTGCTACAAAACTAGTTTGACGACGTACGAATAGAAGTTTTACTCAACAACACAAAGTCTGAACAATTTCGCCCTGTCATCGGCGTACTACAGGGTTCTATTTTGTCACTATTCCTGTATTCCCGTTACATCAATGAGCCACCGTCTACATTACGATCACAAGCACGTGATATCACTCAACCATCAGCGGATATGTATTACAACTGAAGTGTCTTCTCTACGCGCATGATGTTGTACTCATTGCAGAGCGACATGGTTTACAATCGCTTTTACGTAAACGCGAAGAACGCAGTCTTCACCTTGGCTATCGATAGCATCCCGGTAATTATGTCATTTTAGACCCTTCCAAACAACCGTTAGAATACATACTCTATTGTACTTCAATACAACGCCGACTCTTTCCATACCTTGGAATACCCTTTCAACCAGACGGTAGCAAGCATTACTCCGAATGAACTAATCCACATTAATACTACAAAATCTCTCGATTAATCAAATAAATGCTATTGGTGTTAACCCGGTAATTTTGATCATCTCCTTTCCTTATGCTTTTACGCCCAAATGATCCGCACAAAGATGGGGGGGGTGGATACGAACCAGCCCTCGTCAAATTAACTAGGAAACAATTCAAGCAATTGACAGACACCCAAAATAAATGTGTACGCAAAATCTTCGGGTGGTTCCACTCGCTCTTCGGCAAAAATCATGGTACAATTGGCTAACCAACCATCTATGAGGGAACGAAGTTACACTTTACAAGCGAAGTTTCTCTTTCGAACTTGGACTCTGCGTGCTGACACCCAACTGAAAAGCTTCTTCCATTAATCTCTCAGGCATCTACAAAATTTGTGTACACCAAGATCGCCCTCTCTCCAATCTGGCAATCATATAGAGCTTACCTACTACCGAATAAAACAAACCAACTTTGGTACTGCATCACCGAATACCGTACCCAAACTTCTTCATCTACAACAAAGCTACCTCGTCAACTCCAAACAAATCTCCCAATGCCGCCCCACCCTTACAATTAATCCTATCATGTGACTACCAATGAGTAAGCCAGAACGTAACTGATGAGGTGGCTCCCACGTGGGTATCAAACTTATAGTCTACGACACCCATCAACGATCTTTATTAAGTCATATACTATATCATGTCTCAATATGTATCGTTGTGTCTGTCCCATCTTCTGTTCCTGACCAATTATTGTCTATACTTAACTGCCTCTCAGCACATTCCTTCAGATCCCTCCCTAACGAGCTGAAATAAGGTATTACCGTTGGCTCGCTCTATGACACATCTTATTCGAACTCGATTACCTCCAAAGAACCTCCTCCACTGCTGCTTTTCGGTCAACAGTTTATTGACTGTTACCTGCTCCCCCAAAATTATCGCTAAGCTCCCCTTCCGTTTTACCCTTAAGCCCAAAGAGGTTTTTAGCTCTCTTAAAACATTTGGATCTTCCCCGAGCAATCTAGATAAGCTTAAATACCTCGTTTTAATTGGTTCTAAATAAGAATCTTGTTTAAAGGTAGACAAATTACAAAATTTGTAATCACTTCGATCTTTGGTACGTCCTACTTCGACAATTGAAAACCTCCAGTCTTTTCGGATCTCGTAATAGGTTGCAACAATCATAGACATTAATTGTATTGTTAAAAGGCAAATGATCAACTATGATTTTGGAAATGTTCTTGTTGTTACTATAAGAAAAAAATCAGTAATTTACTATCATGTAACATGTTTTTTACGACATTACCGTAAAAATCTTTCCAAATCTTTACAGTTGGTGGATAAACCAGCATACCCAAGAATAATCAAACAAATTTTATTTTTTTGCTTAACATATTTGACACGTCTGCGGTGCTTAAGTGTGAATTGTTGTGAGCTGCTTTGAGATGTTCTTGATTTTTTCTAATAGCCGAGACTGGTATTCGAAGGATCAAGAATTGTTTACTAATTTATTAAGTTTAACCTTTCTATTCTATCTTTATTCTGAATTCTCTATTCAATAATTCAGTGTTTTATTCAAAATTTAACAATATAAACTTAAAGGTACAGTAGGTAAACGCAAAAAGGGCTCATGATCTAATTTCATATTCGGATCACATTTAAAAGAGGTGATTCGAACTCAGTCTTCAATTTATTATCGTGTGATAATTCGGGTCGAGTTCTTACTGTCCGGTCTGCCGCACAATCTTTTGCTGATGTAATTTTTCCTATTTTCACACAACGTGTCATATTTGAGCAAATCTAGAAAGCCGCAAATCTAGAAAGCCGACTGGTAAGACCAAAGATAAAATGCATTGGGCGACTTATTTTTGTTTTTGTACCTTGAGTGTCCCCATCGACATCCAGCTGCTTTAAGAGATAACTTTTTTTCAAATCCCTTTCTATTATCTCGTCATTAGCATTTGAAAGAGGAGAAACAAAAATCTTATCGACTAGCGATCTTTCCTTTAGCCTCCTGCCCATCTGTTGCAACAAATGAATACGAGATTCGTCGTTTCCCTTAGTTTTCGACTTTCTGGCATAGCCTACTATTTGGTACCTTTCTTTCTTTAACGTTTCAATAAACAGCTGGTACTGTGGCAAGTAATCCTGTACTTTCTGTGCTATATCGTCTAAAAATTGGGTCAACACAGATAAATGATGCCCATCGCCCCCCCCCCCAAAAAAAAAGAACTTTACCAATATACTGCTCTTTTAGAACAAACAGTGGGCGCACGCTGATTGTCTCGCTGCTACTGCGTTTTCTTTTCGACTGAGCAGCTGCAAAGTCTACTTTATTTGCACACCATTTACCAAAAGCATGAACGCTCTTTCCGTCAAATAAATCGGTATATTTCCATTCCATAGACAGTATGTCGCTGTTGCTCAAAGATTTGAGAGGTGGGATGACGGAAGCAGAAGTTGGAATGACCACCAGGTAGCCATCCGAGACGCCATCGGGTGCAGCGGCTACGCTCTTCGCTAGTCATCGGAAGCCAGAGTATAGGGTCTAAGCTGATGGATGTTCGACACGCAGAGAGTAACTTTGAGTTTTGGTGTGGTTGTTGCAGTTCATGTAGGGTTTCTGTTCGAAACTCACGAACGCATTTGTTAAGGACTTTATGATCAATAGACTGTTGTTGTTGGACTCGGTTGCCAATAGGAGAGCGGCTTTGACGAGAATAGGTTGATTTGCTGGATGGATTGGATGTAGGGGTGCTGTAAGGTTAGGAGAGTATCATTTGGTAAGTGTGAGAACGAACAGAATATCGTTAAATCAAAAGTTTAGATGAGTTTATACATTCTCATTTTTTAGTGACACGTTGACGCGTGGAGACTATTTCTGAACTTTAAAATAAAAAATTCATGTTTAAAGCTTCAATAAACAGTGATTGGTAACTTTTGCTGCCTTTACATTAGAATAGATTAATGTCATGCTTGCAAAAACTTTAGAAATCAATTGGCATGACGGACAGGCTATATATTCAATCGACTTTTCTTCCGACGGCATACGATATGCAACAGCTGGAGCAGACGCTTCTGTTAGAGTAAAGCGCGCCTTGTTGATAAAACCCAACAATGCCAAAATAAGTAATCAGTTCAATTTTGAGACTTACAAAAATTGCAATTTTTTGCTTCGATTTAGATTTGGAATATCAGTAAACGTCTTGATACAGTTGACACCGAAGCAAAGAAAGACAATAAAAAACAAAATAATAAACGAGCGATGCCTGTGAATATTGACTTTTTATCCGAGCTAAAACGACATTCTTCACCTGTCAATGTGGTGCGGTTTTCACCCAAGGGAGATTTGTTAGCATCTGCAGGCGATGGTAAATACATCAAAGAAAGGCACATTCTGACTGCATTGGCAAATGCTTCTCTCACTAACAACTATCAAAACCTCTCAAACAAAATCAGATGCTTGTATCATCATATGGAAGTTATCGCCTATTAAAGAAAAGTCTTTTGGAGTCGGGGATAACGACGATTATGAAAAGGAGTCATGGACCGTTGCGAATATGTTCTAGTAAGTGTCAGTTGCGGGAATCATGAATGACAAGATAGAGAGAGGATCTCTTAGCCATAGTATTTTTTTATTTTATTTTTTACAGTGGACATAATAAGGAAATTTATGATTTAGCTTGGTCACCTTGCGGAAATTACTTCATAACAGCATCCATTGATAATACTGCTAGAGTATGGTCTCTAACTGAAAGTAAAGCATTTTCTATCATATCATGAATCGCTCGCGTACAAACTTACTTTGAACCTTTCAACTAATATCAATACTTCGACTAGGAACGTGTATACACGTGTTTGCAGATCATACCCACTATGTCCAAGGTGTGGCATGGGATCCCTTAGGACAATACGTGGCTACACAATCCAGTGATCGAACGATGGCTCTTTACCGATATAAAAGAAACCAAAACGGAAAAATTACATTCAACACACATTGTTCAAAACGATATACCAAAATACAAAAGGGGAAAATAACAACATCATCAAATACTACAGCAACAGTGGGTTCTATAACAAACGACAACCATACGGCGCCAACAACAACACCAGCAACATTTTCCTATAGAATCTTTCACGATGAGAATCTGGTATCTTTTTTTAGAAGATTATCATTCAGCCCCGATGGGGCACTTTTAATTACACCAGCAGGTTTAAATAAAGTGAAGGATACATCGACAGCAGGCAGCGAATCAAATAAGAATACTGACAACTTGTCTGAGGGAGATGAGCTAGAAGAAGGATTCGCAAATTGTGCTTACATATTTGCTAGGAATATATTACTGAAGTAAAAATACAACTTTATGCATTGCTTTGACTCAAAGTTACATGGCAAACTCATTCACAACTTTATTGCTAGACATCCGCTCGGATTGATTGGTAACTATTCAAAACCTTCCATAGCTGTTCGATGGTGCCCTCAATTATTCAGCAAACGAGAAGCGGCCAGTATGCTTGCACTACCTTACCGAATGCTGTATGCTGCAGCGACTCAAGATTCAGTTTATATTTATGATACCCAACAATTGCGTCCAATCTGTATGATGTCAGGAATGCACTTTGCTTCAATAACAGATATTTCTTGGTCTTGTGATGGTTCAATGCTAATGTTCAGTTCAGCGGATGGATATTGTTCAGCTGCTGTATTTTCAGAAAACGAACTAGGAGTAAAGTACGAGAAGCCGCTCTCTACATTATTGGAACACGATATTGAGATGATGGAAGTCGCTCAACCTATTGTGCCGAAAACAGCTGTACCTCATCAAATTTCAGCAGCTTCAGCACAACCGCAACAATTACAATTACCTTTCAAAAGGAAACCTGTTATGGCCGAAACAACCCCTCCAACTGCTAGTAACAATAGCAGTGACGCAGGCCAAGGCCAACAACAACAACAGAACAATTCAATAAATGCAGCAAAACCGAAAAAACGACGAATTGCGCCCATACTGATTAGTGCTCCTCTACAGTCTACGCCGTCTCTACCGTCGCATACCCTCAATAAATAAATTGTTGTTGATGCTAGCTGCAGTAAAATAGTTTAATATTGCTAGAGTATCTTTCAAATATTATGGATAAATTAATACTTTAAAGGGTAAATTTTGATAAATAGCATAAGCTTACGGTAGAAGGTTTCAGCTGGCACAGTACAAATGTATTCACACAGAGTATCAAGCGACCTTTCTGGTATCTTCTTTTCTAACAAAGATACCACAATTGGAATTGCTCTGGAAATATCGAATACCGTCTACTTTCCCATCGGTATTGCCCACTACGCATATGTGAGCCATTGAGTCAGTATCGAGAAACCATGACAAACGTAACACGTCGTCTACGTGACTTTACCTCTGCCATCTAATTCAATTCCTAACCATTCTTCACCTGTTGAATCAAAATGGACAGCGCCTCTATATTTGACCGTACCAATGATAGGTAAAGGTCTTTTGTATAATTGAACACGGCAACCAAGGACAACTTCATTGTTCTGCTTCTTTTTCTGCCTCTTTTTCTTCGTGTTACAACTCTGGCTACTACTACTGTTACTGCTATTGTTACTTGCATTACTTGTGTTACTTTTTGTCTTTAATAGTATCGCCGATCCCATATTGTTGAAGAGACTACTGCCGCAACCTTCCTCTTCGCCATCCTCTTCTACTTCTTCTGACTGTCTTCTGAACATGATACTACGCCCCCAGCGACTAATACGATTCTGTCTTTGTTGTTGATGTAACAGAGGAATATCTGGCAGAGACCACCGTCTATTGTTGCTGCTACTGGTAGGGTCCTCTTGTTGGTCACTTCCTTCAATACCATTGCCCCTAGTAGAGGTATCATTATTTTGGTCTGGTGACCGAACAGTTGGTGTGGCGGGAAGATCGAACCTTAACCTTGATGGCCTTCCGCTACTATTACTACTTTCGTTTGATTGCTCACTTCCCTCCCGTTCTCTTTGGAGCTGATCTTTTTCTTCCTGATAATCCATCCGAGCTTGTGTTTCCAACGCTAATAGCAAATCCATATCATCTGCAGTAATATCACGTAGCCTGTCTGCTAACTGTTGACTACTAGCGATAGCATCGGCATCCTTATTCTTTATATTATTTTTATGATGTGTTCTGACGCTTGGTTGATCATTCTTCTTGAGACTGCGATCCTCTAATACGGGAGGCAACGTTTTATTCTGTGATGATCTCATCTTTTGATCTGTCTGTTGTTGTTGTGATATTTGTGACAGTAGAGTTGTTTGGTCTCCAACATAGGAAGAAGAAGTTATGAGAATACTGCTTATAGTTGATTCGTTTGGGTTATTGTTTGGCGAAAGGGATGAAGGTCGTTGAATTGTTATTTTTCTGTTTCTACTAGCAGCGTTCGTATTCAGTACGGGTTTTGAATCCTCGATATCTCCAGTAGAGTGTGTTTTCCTTAAAGCAAGAGTGTCCGAGCATGACTTCTTTTTGGCATTTAGAAGCCCAAAAATTGACATACTGTTTATAAAGTTTTTATATTTGTATGTATATGATGAGATTGGGAAAAGGGGAAGGAAAAAGGGAAACGAAAGGGAAGTGAAAATAGTGAATTTTACCCTTTTTTGATTACTTTTTTTTTCTCACAAAGAAACAGACATATTGTCCTTTTTTGTGCCATACATAACAAAATCCTGTTCATAACAACATGCACGAAGCGCGGGCACCAATTCATGGTTGCGCATCCTAAAAATATGCTTAAACACATTGTTTTGCTTTAAGTTGTAATGACATTTAAGCTTTTATTTCCTCCTTAATACATATTCCTTCCATCTAGGGAACAAAGGAGTTTCTTTAATATTAGGTTCATTCTTCAACGAATGCTATACTATATGCTGTGAGTGCATGGGTGAGTGGCGTGTATTTGATAGCAATGTATTTCATGTTATGCGTGCAAGCTAGCGTTGATTATGGTTATTATTTGACCTTAACATTGGCGGGTTGAGTTGTAGAAGGTTGTGCTGCTTCTCTTCTAGCAGCATCTTGAAGTAACGCTGTATCTACTGCTTGAGGGGGAAGTTGAACATACCGAACTACTGACCCACGAATGAAGCAATTCTTCACTGAAGCCTAATTTGCACAATGACAGACAAGTTTAGGTTATTCTTTTCGTTACTCCTTGCCTCTTTTACACAGTTTCTTTAATTTTAATGCGAATTTGCTTGTTACCATATGAGGGTATCGTTCTTCATCAATAACTTGGATATCGTCAAGTTTGATGTTTAAAAACTGATCTACCGATTTTAGAATGCCTGTAATTGCAAGATCGTTCTTTAACTCAACTGTCACCTTCTGATCTACTAATGTTTTAAAGAAGGAATAAAACAACTAATTGAAAATAACAGAAGATACTGAGTAAACCGGGGTTGATAATAGATTAACTCAATTCTTTACCATTATGCTTTATGTATCAAATAAACTGAAAGAATAGACACCATCGTTTGTTTCGCGCAAAGTGTATATCGTGTCCTATCCTCCTCATCGTCACTTTTTTTTTAAAATTCCGATACTATTTTTTTTGGGATCTTTTTTTTTATTATTATTGTCGTGATAAAAGGCACCTCCTGTAATTCTTCTCTATCTCCTGCTCTTCTCTATAAAACATTATAATACTCATCTCATTCATCTATAACAATGGCTACCATTGACTCCCTTTTCAGAAAGAAAAAAGGCGCTTTAGCAGCAGCTGACGCGAATTATACCACGTCTGCCGTAACTGGTCCGTGTTTACTTGCGAAGAAACCCATTACTCCAACAGTAACATTACCCAAACAACAGAAACGTAGTTCAACAAAGAAAGTATGCAGCAATAGTAAAGAGAACAATACTTCTATCACCGATTACTTTTTGCCTGCTGTAAGAGAATTGCAAAAAATGGAGAATGTTGCAGATGAAGAAGAGATGACAATTCCCAAAATTCGCCCTACACAGCTAATCTATTTCGAACAGTTTGAGCAGATCATGAACGAATTTATAAACGATGATTTTTATGACGTTGACCAAAACGATGATAGTACTTCTACTAGTTTTTCCGGAACCGTCATGGTCAAAAGAAAACGAAGCTACAGTAACGATAGCAATGATACAACGAAAAAGAGAGCTATAGCCGAGCTCTCTGCAATCTTCAGAAGCTCTCTTAGGTTAAACAGTTATACAAACAACAATATACAGTCAATGCCGTCTCCTGTAAATCAATCTGTAATGAATGCAACTATTCCGCGTGCATTTATTACAGAAGTCGCTGACGAAACAGAAACGAATGAAACTCAAGAGTACCCCCATCAGCCATCCAACGTTTGATTAATAATAGATACAATAGTTTGTCAATACCTTGTATATATTATACATATACCCTATGCAAAATGAAGTATAAATTACGGGTATGTACATAAGAAATTGTAATTCCTGCAGCACTACTCATTTTCCACCATACATTATCTCCTTTTATCTGTCAAATATGGTATTTGGCGCTATACATCTCGACTGCTAGTCTATTTTATTATTGTACTGCTTTGCAACCTTGAAGCTCAGTGATTCTCATTGTACAAGAAAAGTACAATTGATGTAGACACAGCGAGGGATCTGTACCAATGAAGTGGTCGTAACAGTTGGGACATAATTTTCTTCGTCCCCTTCAAAAAGTAATTGATTATAAACCAAATTTTCTATTATATATACCATAAAAGTTGTTTTCCCTTTTCGACTTGAACAACCTTTCAAAGACCAACACAAATATGAATGATGTGCAATTTAAAATCGTCTATAGTGTGTACATTCTATGTAAATGTAGGTCACAGGAAAAAAAGTATAAATGCCTAGTAGTGTTGATCAGAGAGACAACTCTTATTCAAAGTATGCCAGTAGTGACCAAAAGGCTTTCTATCAGCAGCTGTGAAAACATTCCCGTTTTACCTTTCAACATCAACTGACATTTAGCATTCCATCATCCTCTGAGAAAAACCCCTTCAACAGAGCGAACAATCGCAAGAGAAAAACTGGTCACGCAATCATATTCTTTCATCCGAAAAGTAGCCCCAAAAAGTGGTTGGGTTTTTGGTGGTTGGTTTATTTTGGTTTTTTTTTTTTTTGTCAGGCTTCATCTTCAGAGTGCGTCTTTTTTTTTTTTCCGCTTTTCCAAAGAGGTCCTTTCTTACTGTGCTCGGCTGCTTCACAACAAAAAAAAAAAAACCATACAAGTACAGTAATCTACACAACAATGGATGCCTTCTTTGAGCAGACGTCTGCGAAATTAGGCGGGAATCCTACTGCTGATCAATTGAGAATTGTCGCATCTATTCTATCATCCTATCCATGCGCTTTACTATTCAAATTTATCCCTAGCAATCAAATTTTGTTGAAGCATCTGTATTCTATATGTATTACATCTTACATTATGGTCTCTGTGCTACATTATCACTACGCTCTTATTCATGTTGTTGCCGCTTGTATGTTCACTTATTTATTCATGAAGTATTGTAAGAGTAAGAAAGCCCCTTGGATCAATTTCATTGTCATTATGTTGAGCATGTCATACTGGTAAGCATTCCTTTTGGTATTTTTCTAGTAAAGAAGAAAAGGCTCACTTTTTGTTATCAATCAGCCATTATACTCGTTTAGCGAATACTCATAACTTTGACAATATCAAAGATTATTCGGGAATTTTGATGCTTGTCACTATCAAACTCACATCTTACGGATTTAACGTTGAGGATGGTCGTACACAAGATCAACATCTCTTATCCAGTTATAATAAGCGCATGAAAATCGATCGATACCCAACTTTAATTGAGTTTTTCGGCTGGATCTTCTTCTTTGGTGGATTCTTGGTAGGACCTACGTCTGAATTCATGGATTATATGCGTTTTGCAACTCTGAAGATGTTCGAGACCAAGGACGGCAAAGTGCTTGTACCTTTGGGTGTCAAGCCGACGATGCTCAATATGTTGAAAAGTATCTGTTTCATTGGTGTTATTGTTTTTATGAGTCCTTATTGTAACGCAGGCGCCGTGGATAGCGCACACTTCAGACAGTTGTCCTATTTTAACAAGTAAGAGAGGTTGAAAAGAACGAATGACTAAATTTAAAGAACACAGGGCTAACGCGTCTGTTTTGAATAGGATCGTATATTTAAATGTTGCTGCATTCGTTGCTCGTTGTAAGTACTACGTTGCTTGGCTCTTGTCTGAAGGCGCCTGTATCCTCTGCGGTTTTGGCTTCAATGGTTTTAGCGCTAATGGTACACCTCTCTGGAACCGCTTCACCAATATTGTTATCACTAAATGTGAATTTGCTCAATCTGTAAAGGAAATGGTTGATCATTGGAATATTGGTACCAATCGTTGGTTACGTTACTATGTCTATGAACGTGTTACTCCCCGTGGTCAAACAGGTGGTGCTTTTAGCGCTTCCGTGGTATATATTGTATCTGCGGTATGGCATGGTTTTTATCCTGGCTATTACTGTAAGGCTCTAACAAAAAAACTAATCATAAGAGGGACTGAGTGAACTAACATATCCTAAAATCTTATTTGAACAGTATTCTTCTTGTCGGTCACTCCTTTCCAAATGTTAGCTCGTAAAATCCGCAGATGTTTCCGTCCTCTTTTCCTTGTTCCTGGCACGAAGGAGCCTACGAGATACAAAGTTTACTACGATTGTGCCGGTATTATCGTCACAATGACAATTATCAATATATTATCCGCTGCTTTTAATTTGTTATATTGGGCCCCTGCCATCCGTGCCTGGAAAGAAATCTATTACACTCATTACATTTTATTGGTGTTAGGTCAACTCTTGCTCAATTTCACCAGTCAATCTGCAAGAAAATATCAAAAGGCAAGAGAAGCCAAGGCCGTGGCAAAGGCTACCCCTGCTGCTGAAAAAGTCATGCAACAAGATCAAGCAGATCTCAGTACTCCTTCACTTGAATCCACCAAACCTTTGGCAAAAGTACACCTTTAGAAATGTGGCGTTAATGTATATTAGCAAAAAAGGCTGCAAGTTTAGAATGTAGACCTTTTCTTATCATCTTTGATAAAATCTTTAGAATAATTTATTTTTATTATGTAATTTTGTTTGCTTTTTTTTATTTTTGATAACGGTTAGTGCACAAAGGTCAGGGGGTCAGTTTGTTGGACTATTGTGTCTGAGCTTACTAGTTTTTGAGGGAAGAGAGGGCGACTTTATGAAAAAAATGAACTTAGATGACATGAATAGCGATCACGAGAGGGGTATTGGTATTTACATGAATTATATGATTACAGCATAGGTTTTCCAAAATTGGCATGGTTATACACGCGTCCCTTTTCAAAACGATATGTACAAAGTACAGAGAACTTTATCTATTACCGGTACGACTTAGCTGGTGGTGTTGTTGGTTGGACTGCGGTTGAGTTGACCAGTAATCATTTTGATCTGGCAACTGAGGAGGTGTCTGCTGGTGCTGCAGATGAACGTATAAATGTTGATGTGGAGATTGAGAAGGCGGGTAGGGATTGGTTGTTGTTGTTGATGACTCTATCGGCTCAGCCTTGAAAGGATAAGCAACTGCACCTGTATTGGTTACACTATGATCAAACTGCTGATTGGGCTGCGAGTATAGATCTTGACTACTGCTAAAGCTTGATAAGGATGGAGAAGACTATGTAGATAAGAAAATTTCAATTTCACTTTTTACCCCCAAAGTTTTGATAGTTTTTGGTAATATGGCAATTTCCTTACATTGTGGTCAGGCTGGGTGTAAAGTTTTGTCGCAGATCTTTGGGAGGATGTTGGGTGATAAGGATGTGGCGGTGGTGGTGGATATCCCATTGAAGTGCCGACAGCTGCATTGTTATTAGCATCCACCAAACTACCACTGCTAGTGCTTGGTGAAAGGTTAGCGGCAGACGGTGAAGGCTATAAGACAAGGTAAAGGCAACCATAAACGACGACAAAAAGGTTAGAGATAAGCCTATTACTTTGAGGAGCTTCAATTCTTTTCCAAATTTACCGTGATATTCCCTTGATCATGTTGTTCTTGCTGTTGTAGCTGCTCTTGTAGTGATGGATCGGGTGCATTCAGACATTCTTGAATCAAACTTTTGCCTTCTTGCTTAGTTACGAGCGGTTGCAATTTAGGTGTTGTGAAGGTATAAACAAGTCCAGTTTCCGATACTACCAAAAGAAGCACTTGAGTTCCGGTCAAGGTACTAAGTTCGTAAGCCTGTAAGTAATATTATAGTCGAAGATTTCCTCATTAGTTCACTATTAGTAAGAGATAAAGTTGCTTTTACAATAATACCTTTTTCATGATGCCGGCTTTCCTTTTGGAAAATGTTATATGACGCCTTGATTTGTCTTCGATATACTCTATCTTGATTTTACGTCTTCCTGACCTTTTGCCTGGTTTGGAATCGTTATCATCTGAATCGACATCAATACTGCTAGTGATATGTATATCTGCAGTAGGAGTATTCTGTTGTAAAGGATGAAGTTGTTGACTAGGTACTGTAGCTGAGTGGACCATAGGTTGAGGAGTATGAGGCTGCTGTGGCTGATGGAAATTCATACTATGAGGTTGGCCTATAGAAGCAGGCGTTGGGAAGTTGAAATTGTTTGGATTCATTGTGCGTTATGTGTATCCAAACTACCTATGGCGACTATATACAGCTATTAATTGGTACGAAGTAAATATGAAATTTGATCAAAAGTGGGAGGAGAAAAATTACAATAACAGTGGAATTACAAAAAGTATGAAATGCTATATAAAGAGGAAGAAAAAGGAAAAGTCCTGAAAGCTGTGCTTTTTTATCTTACGCTATGATAATACGATAAAAAGTCATTCTACAACAATTATTAGAATGTTCAGCAGCCCACACAAATACACGCATTTTCACTCAGGTCTGTTAAAAAATTTGAAATTCAGGGCTCTGAAAAAGATTACAAAAACGGGATTTTCCACAACAAAATATGTGTTTCCGTAACTAGAGTAAGCGTCATTTTGCAGTATTATTGCAAAGAATGTATACATTCTTAGTAAAGAAAGATATGGTTATAATAAATCTTTTATTGTCTGTATAATAGTTGCAGTCATCATTGAGTAATGTTGTACCATCGAACATGTTATACAAGGGTTAAATCACAGCTGATATATTGAGTTGCACGGTAGCAGATCAACTCGGTTCGTATATATGCACTAAGGTTGATGTGAGGAATAGTTTTGATGACAAGAAAATGCTCTCTTCTCAAGCGGGAACACGAAAGGGCAAAAACATTCGAATAACAACGAAAGCAATCAAATAAATGAGATATTACCTTATAAAGTATTCTGTAGCAGGTATTGCCGCCAATATGTCCTCTCTATACCCTTTTGTTGAGTTTATAATTCATTCTACAAATCTTTGCGTAAGCGCTCTTGAACATTGTATAACATTATCACTCTCAAGAAATCCCATCAGACTACGCGCTATCCTTCTATAGCTCAAAATTAAGTACAGCTGTTCCAACGCCAAAGGGCTGTTTCTTCAGAAAAAAAAAAATCAGTGATCTATAAAAAGTCAATGGAAGGTTTTAGTATTTTTCAAAAGGCGTTTTTCGTTATAATTATACATATAAATCAAAACAGGCTATTCATCGAAGCACTTTTGAAAGGCATTAACAGAGTGCTGTACAAATACCCTTAAATGCTTGGGAGGAACAAAGTTACAAACTTCGGTAATTCCAGTGGCTAAGTTCTCAGTAGGTTCGAATTGACCACGCTTTACTTAGTGTATTCATACTTTTTTTGGGAAAGCATCTTACTCAAATTCAAAAGGGAAAATTTGGATGGATTCCCTACTTGTGTTTATTCTGGATTGAGACGAGATGTGCAAAAATTAAGAATGAACCCATTTTAACGTGTATTGTTTAGTACCAGTTGAACAACAATAAAAGTATTGATCCTCAAAGTATTTCCGCCACTCTAGGACTACACCCGCCACTGTCACAACAGTCTTGATTTTTCATCGCGTGCTTCAGTATCCATGGGCAATATGAACATCTTTCTTCCGAATGATATTTCATGTCATTCCGTCCCACCCGCATCCGTACTTTGTAAAGCCCACAATGTTATTTCCTTGAGCCTGTCTTCTTCGCAACTCTTACGAAAAGCGGCTGCTCTCGATTAAATATTCATAACGGAAATTGCCTTTGTCCTTTCTATGTACCACCCCTCTACGATGTGTGACTAATTTATTATTTTTCAACAAAAAAAAGAATAAAAAAGAATCAGAAGCCTGAAGGGCAACCGTAGAATCGAAACTGCTCGGAAAACGGTTTGTCTCAAATTCCGCTGGACACTTCATTACTCAACATTTCTCAAATCAACAACCAGAGAAAGATAAGATAAACGACATGGAATTCTAATGATGCGATTCTATCGCAGACATCTGTATATTATACTTTAATTACTCCCCTTTCCTTCATTCTGTTATATCATTGTGCAGTTGCAAAAACATGGCTAGCGTCGTACATCATAGCAACCCATGGTTGTGGATAATTGTCGTAGTAGTCTATATTGAACCTTTCTCCAGTCCCCAAAGTATTTATAAAGGCTAATAACGGGGAACTTTCTATCGGTACTTGATGTCCTTGCATAAATTATAGACTATCAATCTCGTCTAAACAAATCTTCATCATACTCCTTGCTTCTTTTGCAATATGACGATTGGGAGACAATGCTAAGAGTATCAAAATGTCAATAGCGTCGAATAATAAATCACTACAAGAATCACGTATTCACCTAAGAAACAATAAATTAGGTAAGTTTACCGAGCATTGCATAGCTTGTATAAAATTTTACGTAAAGAAACTGTACATTTTGTAGTAACTTCTTTTCGCCCAATATAATTAATGATATAAAGCATTGAGCGGCAGCTCTTCAAAGATTGATCCAGAGAGTGCTGTTGAACGTAAGGTAGTAGTTGCTCATTATCGCTTCTCAAAGCATTTGGCTGTAAAAGACTGGAATAAAGCATAACTTGGAATAATTGAAACTGCATAAAGGTGACTAACGCACCCCAATTGATTCATTCATCTATTGCTTTTTTTACACGCATCGAAGTTTGTAATATCATTGCAAAGACGAAACTCGTTAGGTAAAGAACATCCCCGTTCCTGAATCACTGCTTCTATCTGTATAATAGATTCTAAGCTAAGTGTACAGGTTCTTCCTAGATGCACGCAATGAATTTGTTCTATTTCAGATACATACAGCAAGTTAGAATTTACCTCTTTCCTCAACATTTGCTCCTTGAGAAATTTACCATGAAATGGAAAACAAAGGGATGGTTGTATAAAGGAAAAATCCAATTGAGCGCCATTGAATATTGCTTAGCAGATGCAGGCTCGTCTTCCGAATACTTCACCGTAGAATATTGACATCTTTCATCCAAACTTTCGTTCGCTATATAGCCCATCATTCGGCGCAATCCAATAATCATCACTGTATGCCGTGTATATATGACCTGCTGAATATCATCGCATGGATCATCATTGTTAGGGTTTTGTAAATGAAATCCTTTTTCTGTACTATTGGAAGCAGCTTCCCAAGAATTCATGTCTGGACGTTCCCTGATAGACATATTCCATTCTTTTTCTAGATCAACACATATATCATACGCCATACAAACGAACTGTTAACATTCCGTGTATTTTAAAGTAATATGCATGTATTTTGATATAAAGTTGATCGCCATAATATTTTCAAGTCTTTTATCACGGTTGTCGAATTGTTCCCATAAAATAGATTTGGCTTTCGAATAGAAAAAATCAGCCATATTGTGTCTTTCGCGCGGTGCGTACTTAACATGATTACAGGTGTAGAGCAAACAAAAGAACAGATACTGAGGGTTATTACATCGTTTAGTGGGTCATCTGTCTTATCATAATTGGCGCGAAAGGTGGATTCATGAACAAGTGGTTTGTAAGAATTTTGACAATTGAAATATATGGATAACAGTTTCTCTATAATCGGTCGATGATCCAAAACAAGTTCACAAGGTAGTAATGAAGAACTGAATTCTTTCATGCGTTTAGTGCCCAAAAGCCATGTTAGAAATCGAGCAATGTATGGTCTATTGTATGGACCACTACCAAATGTCAAGACTAAACCTTGATAGAGTTGACCATTGACATCTGCCTCATCAAAATACCCACTGTCATTACTACCAATACCACTGTTAAAAGGTGAAAGGAATGGAGGTATTGGTGTAACAAATGACAGTATATCACTTAATGTTTTAATACCCGTCTCAATTCGAAATGTGCCATTTTTGATACGTATTATCCATTTAGTATTGCTGAGGATATTTTGAAGAGCTGTGGTAGTTGAACATGCTGATTCTGATAATGTGACGTTAAGGGAGATTTAGAATGCTGCATAGCTGTAGTAGTAGCATTGTAACACTCATCGTTCAAAAAGATGCTGATAATCGAGTGTTTGAACTTTGTAATTCATGTTCCACTTGCTTTATGGCTATTTCAAGCTCTTGTAATTGCAATCGCAATTTTTCTGGTTCACAACGACAGTGTCATGGGGAGAACTGTCGAAAGTTTTTCGTTTCGAAGCTCGTATAACACTTTTTCAAGACGGTCGCAACGTTGGCATATATCTGAGCCTTCTATACGTGTACATCTACGTCGACGATTCCGACATTCTATCGGCAACCTATTTTAAAGTATGGATATGGAATAAGAAGGAAGAAGACGCTCGGAAGTTTGTATGACAATTGAGACTAGACAAGGTTTGATAATAGAGTTGAGACTCTATGTAGTTATATACCTGTACACGGTACGTTTCTGACACCCATACTTATTTACAGGTAATGTCAAGATTATCGATCTAATCGTTCAGAATACTCAATTAAAGAATTTCTATTTTTTAGAGCTTCATATCGGAGAATGAAACCCTCAATAAGGCTGAGAACAGTTTACACACCTGTTCCAAAATCGCAAGTTCTTCATTACGAAACAGATTGACAAGAAATGGTCGTTTTATTATATGGGGATAGCTCAAAAAGCCTGCCTTTGCACACTTTTTTAGTATATAATTATAGTTATTTCTATGCTCCTGTTGGAAAGCTGCCTTCATTCACTGGTATTAGTCAATAATCTGAAGTTAAGGAAGTGGGCTATAAATACATTAAATTGCTATAGTTACGCTAGCGAACAACGATTATTATGATTGATCTGTTACCATATTAAAAGAGGGAACGGTTATACTCACCGGACAGATAGTAACTGGTTACTACAGAGAGTGCTTATACCACAATATTGGAAGTATATTATCTCAATGCTGCTTTGATATAGGTATAATAGCTTAATATAGAATTTAGCTTGGCTAACAAAAGTACTGTTATGCTATCCAAGCACACGCCCCTCGGTTCCATTGAACTGCATGTTGGTCTTGGCTTTGGTTAAAATGAGTCGGGTATGTTCTTAGAATGATTACCGCTATTTTATCAGTCATTTCATTTTGTAAGAAATCTCATACTCTTTTTGCTTGTTATATTTGGATATGGAGTACGTTAACATAAATTAAATTTGTCAGGAATTTTTTGTTGGGCCTCTATATTGGCTGGGTTAGATGTAAAAGCGACATACAATGCACCTTTCCTGGAGCGTTGATGAATTCTCTATCCGTTTATTTTTGGGAAACAACTGATAAAACTATGCATATATATAACTACTGGAATTCGAGTGAATGCATAGCTACTGATAGATACTTAATTCATCTCAACCAAGTTTTGTAGAAACTTGTTTGCTCAATTGATGAGGCAGCAAGAGTTGGCTTTGCTTTCTATAAAAGACAGCCCATATATCTCATTTTCAAAACGTTAATTCTGTACTTCACTCATAACACAGTTCTAATGAAATTCTACTTGACAAGTATTCAACTCTTTTTGGCAACTTTCCTTGTTGCGATAATGCAACATATGGTGTGGGCAGCTCCTGCAGAAGCTAGCAATAATCACCAGGAGGTACAGAAGGCCGATGAAGTCGAAACGGCTCAGTTCCCTCGACCTCCACTCCCACCATTCCCCCCATTCCCACCTACCGTCGGTCCTGGTGTTCCTGGATTCCCTCCCCCACCTTTGCCTCCATTCCCTCCATTCCCACCTACCGTCGGTCATGGTTTTCCTGCATTCCCTCCTCCACCTTTGCCTCCATTCCCTCCATTCCCACCTACCGTCGGTCCTGGTGTTCCTGGATTCCCTCCCCCACCTTTGCCTCCATTTCCTCCATTCCCACCTACCGTCGGTCCAATCCGCCCTTTCCCTGGCAGAGGCCGTGCTTAGACTTGCTAGTACTTAGGTCAATATAATACTTGATTTACTAATTTGCCTTTCATTTTTCTTGTGGTTTTTTAGCTCATGGAGGCCATCAAGTATCCATTCTTTAGTTTTGCATTGCTCATAAAGCTCATAATTCTTCTTCTGATTTATATATGTTTTAACGGATATGTATAAATAAAAGAACAACATTTTGCTTTCTCTCATCGATTCGCATAATATTCAGCAGTTTCAACCAATATAACCGCGAATAATATACAGATGACAATGTATATATTAGTTCATGCCACTGAGAAATTTCCATCAAATTCAGAGATCCATGCAATATGAAAATATTTGGATTGACTCTTTACAATTTCTATCTATTCTTCACCACACCACAGTGATAGTCAATTTAATCGAAGAAACTTAAAAAACCTGACATATGTATTGGAACGTTCCTCCCTCAAACAATTCTTGGAAAGCAGAAAGAAAAAATAATTGTAATTTCCTGTAAAAAATCTATCGACCAGCGATAGAATTGATTTTATATTTATTTCGCGAATAGAATACTGTTCATTCTCAAAATGAACAACTTCCATAGCATATTTATATGATGTTCAAGTACGATAAGAAGATATTATAGAAGATCAACTTCTATAAGAGGGGGAATACATATCTTGATAAGAAATCCAATTTAAGGGCAGAAAGTAACAGTGTAACCATCAGACTTGCAAGCGTACATGGAGCTGCTATCATCATTGGCATAGGTATAGACATCAGGACAAACAGCCTTGACCTTGGAAGAGTAAGCATTATCAGTACAAACACCACGACCAGCAGCGCCAGTGCAACAATATTCATCAGTACCGAAAGCACTGCAGGCAGACTTACAACTGCTACCGCCAGCACCAGTATGTTGGAGTTCAGAAGGGCACTCAGGCAAAGAGGCACAAGTAGGAGAACCACAACTATAACCATTACCACTTTGACCATTGGGGGAAATAGAAATAGGAAGATTATAACCGTCAACGAAAGAGACATCGTAATAGTCTTCGCCATTAGCACCCTTGAAAAGGAATTCTGCGAGAGAAGCGGGAGCGCCGGCATCACAGTCAGCGCCACCGTCGCAGCCTTCTCTAGCCCAAACACGACCACCCCAGTTAGGAGCTACATTGAAAGTTGTGGAGCCGCCAGCGGCTACAGAAACGGATTGACTACCGCCACCATTGGTCATTTGATTGACTTGAAGCTTATTACCACATTTGTTTTGAATTTTAATGGTGACACCACCAGAAGGAGCAGCAAAAACAGTAGAAGCGCCGAGACTAGCAAGAGCAGCAAGAATAGTAACGAATTGAACCATAGTAATAAGTGTGTTGATAGGTATGGTGGTAAAGAATGTGTTTTTTGTTGAATTGAAAGATTGCAAAGGTGGAGCAAATTGAACTCTTTTATAGAATTTTGGAAATTCTGAAACAAAGTAACAATAGATGCTGTTGATGTCTTAGTTTTTAAGAATTAGGAACAAGGTACTGAACAGAAGAGCGAAAAACTTTTATAGCTTCTAATTTGACAGGTTTTTTATTCGAATGAGTCTAATTTTTACTTACAAGCATTCTACTTCGTAGGTTTTTTATTAATTCTAGATCTTTTATTTTCAAAGGTATATTATAGGGAAGGTCTCACTCAACTTGTTGTTCCTTTCTATTTGTTGAATTTGTGAACAGACTCTATTACAATGATATTGCTCGAATCAGACTAACGTTACTTAATTTCTTTACAATTTCAAACTTTTTTACATATTTCTCGCTTTTAATATCTCAAACATCTACCAGTTTCTGAACAGCTCTTTATGTGTACCTGAAATAGTCTCTTGAGGAGAGATGTTTTCTGATAGGCCTGTCAAATAAGGGAATCAGGTACTTGGTGATATTTCAGGAAAGATACAATTTTTTATCTTCTATTTCCTTTTGGGGTACTTTCAGTTAAACATTTGAGTTGCTCCTAGCCTTTGCCATTGAGTCACTGCGGAGTGATAAACTTTGGTTCTGATACGGGGGAAAATAACTGGCACGGGGATTTAGACTGAAATTAAAAAATATTGTAATTTGATCTTTCTGTAACTTATTGCTATTCTCGAAAATTGCACACAACTGCAAAACCCAATTGAGAAAAATGATGTATAAGAAAGATGTTTATTGTTAAAATAAATAGAATATAGATTAAGGGAAACCTGCAAAACCCAATTGAGAAAAATGATGAATATAAGAAAGATGAAACTTCTCAATTGGTAGGCAGGTAAAGCCTACATACATCAGCGGGGTTGTAAAAAAATATACAACACTCATCAGTTCCTCCGAAACTGCCTTTAAAAATGCCGCAACAGTGCTTAAGAAGTGGGCCCTACCCCAGCCGAGTACAAAAAAGCTGTTTGTCTGATTTTATCTTGGCAACAATTGCAGAAGAAGAAAAGTTCTAGATGTGTCGATTTATAAAGCACCACGGGACTTTTAAACGTCAGCGGCTAAGAAATTTCAACAGGTAAGGTATACATAGAAACGGCTATTAGATATCTCATATTTAGTATCTTCAATATAAAGAATACATTTTAACTATTAGCAGTAATAAGAAACGGAAATCATTTTATAATTTATGTGGCGCGCTATTTTGCCTTCTTTTTCATCTCTGTTTTTGAGACAATAGAGCGATTTATTCTATTCGTTAAGGAATATGATCTCCTATATGAATTGACGTAGTTCAATGTTACTCCAAGTAAATGCCTCAGATCTGAGCTATTTTTTTTTTTATTGTTTTCCACGATTACTTCTCAAAACGTTAGTGTCGTGGCTGGTAATCGATGATAAACTTGTGGATTGATATTCCCTATTCTTATTATGTGAAAGTCTAAACTGCGAAAGGGCCTACTGAGTAAAATCCAAGTCATGCTGTCTTCTTATCCACCGACCAAACACAATCAATGTACAAAATTCTAAGAATATTTATATAGATCACTTTTCAATTCTTTTGTACACTTCATAGCATCATTTCATTTTACTTCAATTCACAAACTTATCCTCTAAATTGAGAAAGTTAAGGAAATCAATCCCTTCAAAGCATGGAAAAACCGGGCAAAGCAGACACGGTGATTCAGTTTCTGACGCATAAGGACGGGGGAATAGTTCTTACCATAATATGGTTGATCCTGCATCAATAAGAAAACAACTACAACGTTCTGCATCTTCTGCAAGTCATATCATCGTCGCATATCGCACGCTATCAACTACTGTGTCTGAAAACCAAGCGAAGCAAAGCAGGCATTTGAAGAAGAGAGCGGAAAAAGAGCTCGCAGATGGTAAGTTTTTATCTCTAGCAAAAGAATAGCAAAAGACTAGGACTAAAAATGATTATACTGTTACTGAAACCTTCTTCATGTATGCATTGAATGTTCTTGAAGACTTGACTTTTGCAACATACCATACACTGTCTTTGCTTGAAATCAGTCAACAATACAGAACAGACCTAGTGAAAGGACTGGAAAGCGAACAGGCAGCATCCCGTATCGCACAATATGGTAGAAATACGTTTACTCCCCCTCCCAATAACTGGCCTCGAAAAATAGCCAGCTATTTCTTTGGAGGCTTCTGCAGTCTGCTGTGGTTCGCTAGTATAATATGTTGGATTTCCTGGAAACCTTTGGGTGAACCCAATCCATCCCCTCTAAACGTCGCTTTGGCAGTTATTCTTATGTTTGTTATTCTCTTGCAAGCCTTTTTCAATATCTGGCAAGATTGGTCCACAAGCCGTGTGATGAACAGTATCAATAATATGCTGCCTACTCAAACTTTGGTCAAACGCAATGGTGAACTCATGACCGTTGATGTTGCTTATTTGGTTCCTGGAGATTTGGTTTCTATTCGTATGGGTGACAAAGTTCCTGCAGATTTGAGACTGGTGGAAGTATCTGATGATTCGAAATTTGATCGCTCGATTTTGACTGGTGAATCAGAAGGCATACCAGGTTCAGTGGATGCTACGGACGATAATGTTTTGGAAACGCACAATGTAGCTATGATGGGTATACATTGTTTAAATGGGTCAGCTTTGGGTGTTGTTGTTTCCACGGGTGATAATACGTTGATGGGGCGCATTGCTCGCTCTTCTTTGTCAGAACCTTTTAGTCGTACCACATTGCAGACAGAAATTCTGAGGTTTGTCATCATCGTTGGTATATTGTCTATTTCAGTAGGTGCTATCTGTTTGATTACTTGGAGTGCTTGGTTAAGAAAAGATTATCCGGACTTTCTCAGTTTGTCAAATGCCTTAATTGCTGTAATTAGTGTGATTGTAGCATTTGTACCAGAAGGTAAAGAAAAAGAGAGAGGGAGAGAGAGAGAGAAAGCGCAAAAGGGTAGCTGAAACTGTGTGAAGATGTGCAATAAAAATTTTGAAAATAGTAACGTTTTGAGCATATCTGTATTGTCATTTAGGTATGCCTATTTCTGTAACTCTTTGTTTAACTCTTATTGCCAACCGTATGCAAAAGAACAACGTACTCTGTAAGGTTTTGACGACAGTAGAAACCTTGGGCAGCGTCAACGTTTTGTGTTTTGACAAAACCGGTACTTTGACAGAAAACAAAATGTCCGTGGTGGATGCAAATTTAGGTCCTACCATTTTCACAGTCGCAGACTGTAAGGAAATGGTCTATCAAATTCTGAACAGCAGCTCTACTAAGGATACCAGTATCAATTTAACTTATCTGCATCATTTACAATTGGCTGCTTCTCTCTGTAATGGCGCCAGTTTTGATCCTGCCACTGCTCGTTTACCTATTCCCAAACGATCTGTAATTGGTGACGCTACTGATAGTGCTATTCTACGCTTTGCTGAAGGGCCCATGAATATACTTCGGTCTACCGTCGATGAGCTTCGTAATCAAACAGAAAAGATATTTGAAGTTCCGTTCAACTCTAAAAACAAATGGATGATGACGCTCTGTCGACCAACAACAGATGCTATAGCTGTTTCTTTATCAACACAGAGTACCTGTATTACTTCTCAAGACTAGATCTTATTTTGTAAAGGAGCTCCTGATGTCATGTGGCAGCGATGCTCCAAGATTCTTCTTTCTAGTGGTTTAGAAGAGGATCTGAACGAAAAGCACATGGAGTTCCTCTCGGGGCTACAAAGTAAATGGGCTAACGAAGGTAAACGTGTTTTATTGTTAGCGCGTCGTGTGATTGGCTGTAGAGAGAAGCCCGATAACTACGTTTGCGGTACATCGTCTTTTGCTACTTGGGCTAATAATATGAACGAAGGGTTGCTAGTGCTTGGTATGGTAGCAATTGTAGATCCTCCTCGTCCTGAAAGTACTGAAACGGTAAGACGCTGTCGAAAAGCTGGTAATCGTTTCTTTATGGTCACAGGTGACTTTCCAACAACCGCTGCTGCTATAGCACGCGATATTGGTATTTTTACAACAGAGCAGCCTCACACAATTCAGAACTTGGATCCAACCATGAATGCTGATGATATAGTGAAGTATGTTACGCCTAATGAGATTGAACATCCTTTGGAAGGTACTCAAAACGATATAGAAAGTAAAGGAACTGTATGTTTCAATGAAAGAAAAGAAGTATCAGAGGATGGTAAATCGCTGCTGTTGTCAGGCTCCGATATCATTACCTTAAATGATGTACAATGGGAGCAAGTCTGCAGTTATGAAGAGGTGGTGTTTGCTCGTACTTCACCAGATCAGAAGCTACGTATTATCAAAGAGTTCCAAAAACGTGACAATATTGTTGCCATGACCGGTGACGGTGTTAATGACGCCCCTTCTTTGAAGGCAGCCAATGTGGGTATCGCTATGGGTTGCGGCTCTGATGTAGCCATCGAGGCCGCTGACATGATTTTACTTGATCAATTTTCCAGTATTGTAGCTGCAATTGAGAACGGACGGTTGGTCTTTGACAATTTGAAAAAAGTCATCGTTTACTTGCTACCGGCTGGCTCTTGGTCTGAATTATGGCCTGTATTGGTGAATATCTTTTTAGGCTGTCCTCAAACATTATCGTCTTTTCAAATGATTGTCATTTGTGTCTTCACGGATTTGTGTCCTTCACTTGCTATTATGACGGAAAAACCTGAAGCTGACTTATTGGATAGACCTCCGAGAAAACCCAAGAAGGATCGCTTGGTCAATGCTAAACTGCTATTGCACGCCTATGGCTTTATCGGTTTAATGGAGATGCTCTCGTCAATGTTTATGTTCTTCTATTATCTGAGTACCCAAGGTTTGACTCCTGGACAAGTGTTTTTGTCTTTCTCCAATCTGACGGACCCTGAAGGTTATATGGGTTTTTCTGCTAACGAAATTACCGATAAGATCAACACAGCACAATCTATTTATTTTGTCAACCTGATTATTTGTCAATGGGGCAATGCGCTTGCAACAAGAACAAGGCGTCTCTCTATTACTCAAGCAAACCCTTTACGTGGACTTAATCGCAATATGTATCTCTTCTCAGCCATGATTGCCTCATTTGTACTCACTCTTATTGTTCTCTACGTTCCCGTATTCAATATTTATTTAGAGACGTCACCGATTCCCATCAGGTTTTGGTTTATATCTTTTGGTTGGTCCGCATTAATTCTTGTTATGGACGAATTGAGAAAGCTATTAGCGCGTCAGTATCCAAATAGTCTTTTCAAGAAGGCGGCCTGGTGAATAAATCTGACAATCATTATATAACTTTATGAACTTACTATTCATACCAATTTTAATGTAAATTGTCAAGCTGATAACTATGTATAGAAGCATAATTTAAAATACAGTGTTTTAGCTTCAATTTTACAATTTATACATATTTTATTGGACAATACATTCCTGTTGCCATTGTCAACATCTCGTTATGTTTTCTTTAGTAGACGGAAAGAGTTATATATTTTTAATTTAGATAACTTTAAATTACTTTAGGATGAAGTGATATAATATTCTTGGAGACATTATTTTGAAGGTCAGTGGACATTTTTCAATTGATAGTGGCATTACGTTAAAGTACTACGAGACGTACTGAGTATTTTAGTGTGTCACAGGTCTTATCAGTAATAGATACAGGGTTGTGGTTTACGGGACTTTATTTATGGATCATATGAATTGATCTACGCGTTAAACTGATCCCAGACACGTTCTTCCGCCACGTAGATAACCGCCGTTGTTGTCAATCGTAATAAAAAATAAGATGTTGTCAAACTAGCATTTACAGAAAATAAGTTTGACATCTTTCTTTTGATTTCCATCTTCTTTTTGTTATACTTCTTTCATACTTTCTTTCTTCATCCTGATAGCTACTACTCACCATGTACAAAGCCAAAATCTTGCAAAAAAATAAATCGGTGGCAGAAACCCATAAGAATAAAGTCAAAAACGAGTCCTTCCGTAAGTAACACATGAGCGCGCTGCCACAAATAGGTTATAGTGGTGATCCTCAATTCATGTTTCGTATGACTAGTAAGCATCGAGTGCAAGGATTGCAAAACACGGGGACGTTTCAACAAGGCATACCATGAATGCAAGTTTTACAAAGCAGTTTCTGCGCGTGATGGTAAGTATCATGCTATCACTGCAAGACAAGTTTATGTTTGCTTAACGCAAATTCAGTTGGAAGTAGCGGCAAGAAACGTAAGCAATCAGTTACAATCAAGGAAGAAAAGAAGCAAGCAAAGAGAAAGAAGAAGCAAACAACTGGAGATATCAAGTGCATCAGTTGAGACTTAAAGGGTCATTCTACTTCTCGTTCCCTCGAATGGAAAAGTTGCCAAAGGTTATACAGCCCAACTCGAACAATTCTGTAAAGTCTTCAACTTCAAAAAGTTTGGCTTTAAGAGGTAAAACCTGTAGAAGAACTTCTTCCGCAAAATACTATCCCTAATAGTAAACACACCCCTATTTTTGCTTCTGTCATAGTCTAAACGCTTTGAAGGAAAGTTCTAATGTAATGTTTCGAAATATGGTTAGGTCGGACGGTTTTACTGGAGACTTTTTGTTCAGCCGCAAAAAGAAAACAAAAGAAGACATGATCATTCATAATCACACCTTGACTTTGGAAGATTTTTTCTTATGACGAAGTACAAGACAATTACAGACCCGCTTTCCTTGATCCAGGGCGAAGATCTGTCTTCACAGCGGCAATCGGACTAGACCGTAACAAACATCAAGTACGCAGCTGCTCTACCAAGGAATATTATCATATGACCGGAAGTACCAGATACGCTGCTAAAAACATGTTGGCAATTAGCGTTTCGATCTGGAAGTCAACGGGAAGACCTGTGGAGTTTTCTAGAAAAGCATCAACCACTTAACCCGATCATCTAATCGCCAGCACGAAGGTGTTTTGATTTTTACAGGTACGCGTCTCAATTTTGTGTAGTTCGATCTTGAAGCTATAACTTAATCGTCTCAAAAATTTACTTTTTTCTAGTAATATTGCGGCTTTGTCTAAACCCAAAGTTAAAAAACTGTATCTACAACAAACCCCAACCCTTTAGTCCATAATTCTTTTTACCCTTGAGCCCTAAGGGGTTTTTAGATTCTCCTCAGCCTTGGAGCTGCCGCGGGTAATTTAGATAAGTTTAATATCTCGTGTCCATTAGGCTTTAAAAAATTAATATTATGTAATAAAATCTTCGTTTAAACGTATCTACAACAAATAAACAATACACATATTTTCTTATCCCGACTTTCTCGGTCTATAACGAAAGGAGAAAAAAACCATAAAAACTTCCTTTAATCGTGTTTCTGGACGACAACCTATAAAAAATAACTACGATACCCAATCGTAAATATGGCAGTTACTAGATCTCTTTCAGAAATCGAAAAAGACATTGCAAATATAGATCATGCTCTCTCAACAGTATGTAACAGTCAAGGCTCGAGTTTTATTTTTATTTTTTCCACTTTTTTTTTAAGCATGCATAATGATTTTACATTGTTATTCTTTGGCCTTTCAATCATCGGCAAAACAAACAGGTATCAGAGATCCGTTCATCCTTGAAGCACTTTAAAACATTAGTACAAGATGAACAAAAAGGACCTTCCTTTGTTCAGTCTTTTGGTGACAAGCTCAAACATATCCGACGAGATCTAGGTATATTGTCAGCAGATAGCGAGATTTTGAAAGGTGAGAAGAATACCCAATTGCACAAGAAAATAGTAGAAAAGATTAAACATAGCCGTCGCGAAAACACAGAACCGTTCACTTACTTTATTACTTTTGGGGGATTTTTAGCCGCTTTGGAGCATGCACAAATAGCAGCCAAGGAGAACAAGTTTGATTGGGATTTGATCAAAAGGTACAATGAAACACAGCGATTAAACAGTACGTTTGTGTACTGACAGATTTCTTTTATCAGTGAAGCTGAAAGAGAAGCCGAGGAGGAAGAGATGCGATATCAGGAAGAGAAAGCAGATACAGGAAAAGCAAAAGAAGTAGGATCCACAGTTAAATCAAATGCAGATCATTTATACAAGTAAAGGAGAAGTAAGCATGAGACAATAATCAATAGAGTAGCGTTTTTACTTGAATTTTCTGCACAGAGAACTAGCGTCAATCGTATTAGAGCGAAAAGCAACCACAGCAGAGATGGAGTAAGGATTGTAAATAGAGGAAAGGATTATTAAAGAAAGAGAGCTTATACCGACTATCAACGGTTTTTTTTGCAGAGATAAATTCTTTACGAAACGCATCAATGAGTGGATGAACACGAATAAAATCAATTATATGGATTTTGCAATCGGATTTTTGAAAGAGGAGCAAGCCACGCTATCTGGTTCGATATGTCGTGTTAAGGTAAAGAAAAAAACCGTGCTCAAGCTGCATGAAATACGGAAAGGAACAACAACAGAGACTCACATCGTTCAAATGGGGGTAGATTCATATCCGTAGAGCTTTAGCAGCAGAGTTGGATATGGAATATCAAAGTTCATCTGATACTTTATTTATACATCATTATGACATTAGAAGTCCAAAGGAAGAGGTACTGTACTCATGGGATTTCCCGATTTGCGCATGCACTTACGGTTGATTTACTATTTCGATATGTAGAAAAACTTCCTGCAAGAGTCACAGCACCTCGTTTTTCAGAGATTGAATTTACTGGCGACTAATGCGCTTGAAGACATGCTGATGTTTTATGCAAAGGAATCTTTATTTAATGTCTTGGTAGGTGATACATAGATATGAACACGACATATAGGAAAGGAGTGAGCTTTTCAAATAACGATTTTATTCCTTTCACCAAATCAAGAATTGGTTTTACAGCTATAGCGATTTGTTCAGTCGTCCTTGTCAACGATGTCATAAACTGCTTCAGTTCGACTCACCACAGTACAAGTATTTGCCACCCTTGGTGAGGACATGGACAAAGAGACAATCAGCTTATCAGCACCATCCGAATGTCAACAGCTCACCGCAAAATAATGCGGGCACAGCCTACCATATGCGATGTTTTATAGAGTACAAGAGCAATCATATAGTCGATTAAAGTTATACTCTCAGAACAAGTATCTGTAAATATATACCATTTTATCTTTGAGCCATTTGTTTCTGTAGAATATTTATCCATGATAAATCAAGATATCACAGATAGGATATGGTTCGAAATGGCTCAAAAAATTCCCTTCTTCCCGCTGCATTTCAATGACAAATTCGATGGATCTAAAAAGAAATGTTTCGTTACTGACTTCAATGACACAAAGCCACTATGAACTAGGCACAGAGTTAAGCATGTGTGGTTATCTCCTACAGATTAATGTGTTAGTTGCTTCCTTTAACAATATCTTGAATTTCTTTGGTTCTGCTCAGTATTTGCCTCCATAATGTCTACAAAAAGAAGTGGCAAATAATCTTATTGTTTCGTTTGACAACGAAACAGTTCTATTAACAAAAATAGCCTAAATATTTCTGAAAACCGTCTAATTCTATTTCAGGGCCGATTACGTTTTAATGTTTTTGACACTTCATCCATTTGGCAGTAGAATGCAGTATTCGACTGTGACAAATGATTTACTATGGCGACGTTAAAGCTAATCATATATGTGTCGTTTTAAAAACAATCGTTTATCATTATATGTATTCTTGGCCAAAAGTACAAAAAGGATTGAACCTGTGTCATTTGCTTTTCCATTTCCGCCTTTTTTTAAGTCTTCAGGCCAATCGTTTACGAAAATGACAATTATTTTTGTGAAAACGCTCAATTTCCGTAGGTTTGACTGTAAACCCTAAAAAGCAAAGAAAAATACAGTAAGTTGAATCAAAGACAAACAAACACTTTTTCTCTTCTTTTCAATCTCGTTCACGGCTGTAAAGATCCTTAACCGAACCCTTTTCACCTAAGCAAATCCTCCTTCTTGATTTTTGCCTTTCGTAATACTACATGTATCAATTCAAAATACATTTGGAGAATGATACGCTTATTTTACGTGGCACGCCAGAAGAATCCGTAGGTTGCGTTCTTAGAGGCTGGGTTGTACTCAATAACAAAGAGCTCATGAAGGTGAAATCAATTACGATGAGTTTGACTGGAAGAGTCAGGGCGCAGTGGACAGAACGTAAGATAGTTTTAATCGAGGATGATGAGGATGAAACAAAGAAATTTTAATGGAAGAGATCGGTCTAACAAACAAAAAAAAAAAATTTTTTGTCTATAGGCAACCATCAACATAAGAAGGAATTCATTATTCTAGAACATCATTGGACTTTTTTACCTGTACAAAAAAAGCTTCATGCATTGGCTCCTCATTGCGTTTACAAATTTCCATTTGAGTATGTCCTACCTGGTGATTTAGCCGAGTCTATGGATTCTAATTCGTACGGATCTTTGTCCTACAAACTGAAAGCGATTGTCGACAGACCTGCTTTTTCATTTGCACCCAATTTGATAGACCGACGACAACTACGAGTGATCCGACAGATCATGCCTTCTTATATAGCCATGAATCCACTACAAATGTCAAACGAGTGGGCAAACAAACTAACTTATCACATCAGCGTGCCCAAGAAAACATTTTATCGAGGCGAAGCCATCCCTATAAATTTCTCATTGACGCCAAAACGAAATTCTGAACAACTCCATGTCCGATATTTATCTTGTTTCTTGAAAGAATATACGACTTTTGTACTATTACAAAATAACAGCAGTAATCATCATAACAACACAAATCAGCAGGAAAACCTTCATCCGCATACAGAATCTCGCATTATCCGATTCTTTAGAGATGAAGCTTTTCCATCGATTGGGCCACATTGGCAGAAAACCGAAACATTGAACGTTCCGCATTCTTTCGATGCTGTACAATGCGATATCCGTAACCGATACTTCAAAATTGAACACAAATTAAAATTCACCATGTCGTTGATAAACAAATATGGCGATTTATCCGAGTTGAGAGCCACGATACCCATTGACATTGTCAATCAACCCATGAACAATAGTATTGCTGCGATAGACAGAACAGCAACCTTATCATCTTTCGGCATGGTAGGAATAACAACTTCAGAAGACGATGATGAAGAAGGTAGGATGGATGGTGAGAATGAATTGCCGACATATGAAAATAGCTGGCGATCGGCGCCCTATCATTTTGACGGTCAAGCTGTGATTTCACCGGTACCCCAGCTTGACTATTCAGCGACTACTACCACACCACAACACCATCCTCGCTTCAGCACCTTGTTTAGCCCTGCTGATTTGGAAGATAATGTAATATACCCTTTGACACCACCTTCGTATGCAGATGAAGATGCAGAAAGATATTATTCACGACAAGGATTATCAGCAGCAACAGCGGGAGATTATTTCGGCCATCAATCTCCGTCATCCACCAACAGTAATAATGCTTTCATCCAGCAGCAATGTAATGATAATCTTGATTTGGGTATTTTACCGTCTTACCACTCGGTTATTATCCCACAAAATAATATTCAGTAAAAGTGAACAAGGTTGTCTATTCGTACTTTGTTAAAAAATCTTTCGATTGTAAATAAACCATGTGCATCTATATTCCAAGTTTGCCAATTCCATGGGAAAGCTATTTCTGTATTTGTAATACGAATTTTTTTTGGTTTTTTTTTTGTAAAAAAAAAGGAGCGACAATGGTGATCTTGATACGTATTAAAAAAAGCGAGTAGATTTTCTCAACTGTCGCTCATTTTCTTAATTGACTTTGTTATTCATGTTACTCACTGTTCCAAATCAATAGAATGAACAATTTTTGAGAATTTTTGCACAACTGTTATTTTTTGGGCACATGTCAATTTTTGATATTAAAAATAAGTATAAATGTGAATAATATATAAGATAGATAGAATTACAAATTAATGATAACTATATGTGTTTCTTAGAAAACATAAGGGATAAAGATATAAGGAACACGTTCACAGTAACGATCCCAATCTTCACCATACTTTTTGGCACAACGTTGCATATCTCTAGACACACGATGAACCAATACGATGACAAAGAAGGTGAAATAGAAATAAGGGAAGTAAGAACTGAAGCCAGTGATCAAACCCCAAGATAAGGATTGCACCAAATCAGCGGTATAATGAGGCTTACGAACAATACCCCACCAGCCAGAAGTCAATAAAAGATTACCATTCTTTGTCTTGATGTAGGTAGGGTTCTTGATACGGCCCCAAGGTAATTGAGGGAAAGCCTTACGGTCAATGTAAGAGCCGTTTTGTTCCATACGGAAACGATTCTTTTGAGAATTGCCAGTATCGAAAACATAGTAGGCGCAAAGTAAAGTGATGTAAAGGAAGATGGTGTAGCCCATGCTGTGAGAGATGGTCTTACCGGTTGTGAGCTCATACTTCATCAAGTAGAGGGACGAGTAACAGTAGGTAAAGGGAACACCTGCCATATTCCAGAAAATAAGCATGAAGCCTACGAATGACAACAACAGGCTAATGTTAGTTCTACCATATTTATTTACAAACAGAATTTCTTCTTCATGATTCCCTATTGCCACTTTTCCCCTCATCCGATTAAAGAACTTACCATCCTTTTCGAAAAACATATCCCATGAAGTAGGAATACATTCTTCACCCTTTTGACAGGCATTCGCATATAAGAAATGAGCCAAAACCATGAAAGCGACAGGAGCACTAACATAACCCTTCATTTCATATTGTTTTAAAGCACAAGAGACAGAGACGTAGAACAAAACGGGCCAGGGGACACGACATTCAGCCCACATCTTCAAGTCGACACGGCCCAATCGAGGGTTGAGAGGAGCACCCATGAAGAAATCATAAATGACGTTACCAGACATACGATGTTGAGTACCTTTGAGGATGGAAGAGATATAGACGAGGAAGGACATGGCGAAACCCCAGATGACAGCAACACTCATGATACTACCAAAATTCTCAATGATAAGAGTGAGACGGAAAATACCAGTAACATGAAGAACGACAGAAAGGGCCAAGGTAAGGTACCAAGAAGATAAAGCATTACAGAGGTAAGGAAGCTATGGTTTTCAAGAGAAAGGGAAATAACTATGTCAGAATGGAATCCTCCCTTCTCGTTGATATATTCTTCCTTTCCTTTGGTTCTCTTTCTCCTTTGCAGATACATCTATAAACTTATGTACACATAGGTTTCCTCACTCTTTTCTCAAGCCCATTTGTTTTGTGTCATCCCATATCCCCCTTTTTGATTTTCCCCGACATATTACCTTTTTACCCTTCAAATAAGGAATAGGAAGACCATAAACAACAGGTCCTGGCATGAATTGAGCACACAACAAGCTATAAATGACATGTCCCATATAAATCTTGGTTGCCAACCATGTAGGGAAAGCGCCGGTCTTGATCTTGAGCCAAATTTCATTGATTAAAAATTCCACAATAGCATCTTTGGTGAAAGCAGTAGGCAAGATGAAATGACCTTGGTGATATTCTAAGCAAATCCAAAAGTAATACATCATGGTAGGGAAACCCAACATGATACCTAAAGTTCCAAGGGGACCACCGAACTCGTAATGCACTTCTTTATCCATTTCAATTTCATGGCTGGTGAGCTTTGATTTGAATAAAGGTACACCATTTTCGTTCACAACGGGTTTTTCTTCGTTATTGTCTATAACCGCGTCACTTTTGACACTGCTACTCATCTTTTTTTTCTGAATAAAAAAGAATGAAGAATGAAAAAAAAAGTATGAAAAATCAATACAAGTACGATAAATACAAAAAAAAAAAAAAATAAAAAAAATGAGAAGTTCGCGCTGTCACCCATTTCCTTTTATACGATTTACCATGGAGAAAGTTTTTTTCATTTGTGCTAATGATAATTTTTTCGGTCTAATATAATGCCGGTTAAATTATTGAGTTCAGATGTATCTCAGTTGAAAAAAATTGATGATCAATGTATGATACAAACTTATCGTCGTGTTGAAACAGAAAAGCTCTGATATAGACATTGCATCTTCTGTTTAGAAAAGCTTGAAATAGTCTATACGTCTCTCTACTGTTTCGACAGATAATGAGCTTTAGTAAGCTTTGCATAGGCATCACTGACGTTCAACTTTCTTTCGGTTCTGCCCTGACGTATTTTTCATTCTATTGTTCCATTGTTCTTTGTTTAAAACAGTTACGCTTGCCGTCCTCTTTCCCCTCGGCACTCATTGCAGCGAGAAGCGGAAAGTATGACAGCTATGGCTGGGTTTAGAAAATCAGAGAAAAATCCTTTTATACGGAATAGAAAACGTGCGCGCACTGGGTGGGGTTGAAAGAGCTATCAATGGATCATCATTCACAGAGCTATCTAGCGTTTGCTCAAATGAATGATGTGCTCTGCAGCACTTCAAATACGGCACCCTGTACGCAGGTAAATCCTATTCCACGAAGGCAGTCTTGGCTCCTTTGCGACGCATATAAATTTTATAGAACCACCCTTTTTCTTTTTAGTCTATGCATCATGTATATACAAGTGTGGTCTTACAGCCGCTCAAATAAGATCTTGTTGTTTGAAAGGCATCATGCTTTTGTGTTTATCAGAGGATGTACTAAGCTGAATTGTAACGTCTCACGAATTTGCAAACATCAATTGAGTTCAAAAATTTAATGATCATCCATTCTGAGTTTTGGGAATTTTTTCATTTGAATAGCAAGCAAGAAATTTGATTTACTGGTGTTGGCTGTGCTGCTCGTGAATTTTCTTTGTTTTTGTTATCATAACCTACAACTTTTTTTTTTTTTTTTTTTTTTGCTCCACAAAACGCATCAGATGGGACAGACGAAAAGTAAAGAAAATAATATTCTATCAACAAAGACACACTGTAAGTCTTTATTTGTCGTTGCGTTTATCTCGAATCAACCACGGTTCATTGCCTGAACATTTACTTACAATGACACTTTTATTGTTTTTCCCACCATTTATCTATTCGATGAACGTCCATCTCTTCTTAGTCTCAGCAAAGGAAATTAGAGACATTCGTCGCAATGTGAAGGAGAAACATCAGAATAATATCACAGAAGATGTTTTTAAAGACGTAAGTTCGCTTATCTATCGACAATAGTAAAACTCTTGCTCACAATTTTATTTCTATCAACCTCCTCACATATACAATAACCAGTCTGTTAAACAATATGTGCCAACAGTTTCACCAACAGATGACATATTTTTAAAACGTTTATATCATGCATTTGGTGGTGATGAAGGCAAATCGATTGATTTTAGGTAAAAGACAGGAAAAGGCGCCTTTGAATGACAGTTGTATATGTTTGTGGGGTAATTGTTGCAGCGATAAGCTCATCATTCTTGGCTGTTGTTTTTTTTTTCTTTGTTTTTTTTTTTTTTTGCGATAGTAAATTTGTCGATGGCTTGAGCGTTTTTATGAAGGGAACACCTGAAGAAAAGTTGAAATGTAAGATAATATAAACAAATTGTGAAATGAAAGTTACAAATGATAAACAACCCTATGTGCTTATTTATTTGTTAGTGTCTTTCAAGTTGTATGACATTGATAAGGATGATCATATCTCAAAAGATGAATTAGAACATGTCATTTTAGAACTTGTAAATTACCCAACATGATAAGCATACAATTAGTAGCAAAGAAAAGATAGAGTGAAAAGACTTACCGTGCCTTTTAAACACACACACACACACACACACACACACACACACATACATACATACACACACATGTATTCACTATTCGGAAGACGAAAATGCAAGCAGAAGAAGAGGAGGAAACCGAAGAAATTCAGCGATATATTGACTGTATGTTTGATGATTTTGACGTGGATTGCGATGGAAAACTGGTAAGTATCGTTCTAGGAGTAAAACAAAAACGAGATTGTAAAAAAGTTAGAAGGGACGATTTATTACCCGCTTTATTACTGTCGTTACCAGTCATTTGAAGAGTATAAATTATCGGCTATGAAGGAACCATTACTTGCAGATTTCTTGGAAAAGTTTCTTGATAAACATAATCTGTCCAAAAAGACGACACCGCTATCACGACCTACATCGATTCGCTCAAGGCAATCATCAAGGTCGGTGCTCAATGTGAGCAGTATGAACCCTAGTAATCATCAATATCACCATAACAGCTCAAGTAGTAGCAACAGTAACAGTAACAACAATGGTAGCAATATAAAGGAACAGAATCGACTCTCTTTTCGATTATCGCAAGCCGAATTGTTAGATTACAGTCATCAACAGCAACAAAAACTGACTTCTTCAGCAGCTTCTACCAATCCGAGTCCCAGAAATTCTATCTATTTACCCACTTCACTAACACCTGCTATGGCTGCTTCCTCTGTTCAATCCATGTCTTCCAATACAACAGCATCTTCTCATAATAATACTACACCAACTAATTCAAACACGACAACAGCAAGTAATGTGCTTAAACGTGATAGGCCGGATTTACCGCATAGATTAAGTCGTGGAGCCAGTATGGCCAGCTTAGATGCTGCTATACAATCTTTATAATTTATCATAATTTTCATTATTGAAATCAACAATATTTGCACATCAACTCCCCTATTATAACTTATGATACGAACCAAATCAGTTATATATATATTTATATAAATATATGCATATATTACACATATTTCTTCCAGTTCCTTTTTTTTTCATAAATAGACACCACATAGTATCCTCACTATAATATAAAGTTTTAGTCATGTTTTCTGTTCACTGATTGCTTAAAAGGGATAGCCAAGTTCTGAAATGGATGATTGACTCAGTTAGATTGTACGCACCTAAGCGTAAAATTATATATTCACGGCAGTGCGAATTGGGCTGAAGTGAGGTTAGAATGACCGTACGCGCGTGAAAGGTTTGCACATATAGCCCTCTGCGCAGTATTCTATATGAACATGTATTTATGGTCAAGAGCTGAGTATCTTTCCTTTTTCCTCTATCAGAAATTCTTCTTCATATCTTTAAGGAGAATAGCATAATGAATTAAACATAAAAGTAATCTTTTTAATGACAGTTAATAGAAAATTGGGCATTTGTCGAAAGAATTATTCAAGTGTCATCAAATAAAAAGGTGGGGGATTTGTTGTAACATAAAGAAAAAAGTCTAGATTAAAAAGCAATAAAAGATCTTGAAACCTAAGATAGAATTACATTAGAAAAGAAGAAAATGCAGAAAGAAATAGTAAAAAAAGAGTATAAAAGTCTATAGCGGGTGCGTGTAATAAAAAAGAATTAGTTTGGAAAAGGGTATTTGGAAGAAAAAGAGAAACTAGTCTTAAGATGAGTGATAAGTGTGACTTATTAGCAGTAGATAGTAAGATAGAGAGCTGTTTGATCAAAGAAAGCTTTTTTTTGGGGGTTTTTTTTCGTTTTGGGCTATTTTTGTTTCTTCTTGGATGAACAATGTGTATATGTGCATAGTGGTAGAAATGAACAAGAAGTGTGACGTTTATTCCGCGCTTCTTTTGTTCAGATGTTTCCCATTGCATACATGTTCTCAAATGCTTGCTTTTGTAACACACTTTGTTGGAAACTAATATAATATACAGGGTTAGCTTATTACTCCCTTTGGTCTTTCTTGGGTTCTTGTACTACTGCTACTTTACTTTCTGAGTTGTTCATTTTCCTGTACGAGACGTTCAAGTTCAGCTAGTATCGTCATTTGAGTGGACTTTAAGTGCTTGATATGTTGGACAGCTTTTATATGATATGAAGTAGGGTTTTGCACAACATCCGCAAAAAAAAAAAAAAAAAAAAAAAAAAGTTAGAAATTTCTTTTGAGAGAAGCTGTTGCTTCCTGGGTAGATTTTTGAATACGTACTTTTATGTAACAAGTTCACTTTACTCATTTTCTTGTTTAAACAAGTAGGTAATTCAGCGCGTAGATCTTCAAAACCATCCTTGATTTGAGCTCGACGCTTTTGTTCCGATTGAATATGAATTTGACGTCTCAATTCACTCACACTTGTTGAATGGTCATCTGTTTTTCGTTTACGAGAGGGACGGCTCTCTCCCTCTTCCTCGTCCATCTCCTCCTCTTCTTCTTCTCCAACATCCTCGTCTTCGTCAGATGAAGAAGAGGTAGAAGCATTGGAGGTGGCATTGGCATTGCTTTGCTTTTTTTCTTTCTCTGCATTGGAAGTTGCTGTTCTAGCTCTTTTTCTACTCATACCATGATTGCGTTGTGAAGCGGATTGCTCAAAAGATTCTTTAGAGTACTGCAAAAATTCTGGATAGAAAGACTCTGGTAAAGCTGAAGCTTTAGCGATTGTTTCATTCAAGTAAGCAGCGGCAGCAGCCGATGGAGTGGTGGTAGTTGCCGTGATAAGTGGTGCTGCAGGTGGAGGTGGAGGGGGTGCTGTTGTTGTTGCTGTTACAGCTGCTACTACGCCTACAGTTGAAACAGTCGTGGTTGCACTACCAGTAGAATGAATCGTAGAACTAGAATGAGATTGCACAAGAGGTGGAGGTGCAATAGGATGCTGATAAGCGGGTGGAGGTGGTAAAGCATGTTGACCTGATGCAGTCGTCGTCGCTAACACAGCTGCTGCTGGGGCATTGGCAGAAAAGCCAGACATTAAAGAGTCTGGGCTTCCAGGTCCATAGTGCTGTTGAGGGTTCAAGTGAAAGGTTGCGGGACTAGTGATGAAAGGTTCGTTGGTGTACATGATGTTGCTGCTAGGAGAGGCAGATGGTGATGTAGTGTAGAAGGGTGAAACGGGATAGACTAAAGTAGGTGTATGTGACGGATGCTCGACTTCGAATTTACTGAAATAATCCTGTTGAACAGGATAGGGGCACTCTTGAAAGAAGTCTGAAGACCAAGTTTGATTATTCATTTTGTAGATTTAAGGAAAGGATGTTGTATTGTAACTATTTAAGGATAGGTAAGGGGTTGGGTAAGTATATGGGTGTCTTTAGCCCAAGTAAAGAATGGATTGGGAAGTAAGTAACTCTGTATTCTATTAGAAAAAAAAAAAAGAAAAAAAGACAAAAAAAAAGAAGCATTCAGACTTTTATGTGCTATCGAAAATTAGGAGTGTGTAGCAAAAAGAGAAAAAAAAAATCAGCATTAGTTGGTTTGCGTGAAGTGATCCTTTAGAATTCATTTTTTGAACCAATGGATAAGGTAAGAAAGTCATTTTCTCATGCACGGATAATACGTTGTCCTACGATGAGATACAGACGAAGAACCTTGTGTTAAAGGAGTTTTTTTTCTTCATTGAAATCCGCCCGGAAGTGGTTCCATCACCCACCCTGTTTTTAAGGCCCAAACGAAAATTAACATAGAAGCACCAGGCTAAATAAAATTGTTGATTCTGAATAAAAAATAAAAAGTCAGGTACGAACAAAAAAAAAAAATATATCGGCCTTTCTTTTGATGGACGATGACTGTCTTGGCAGAGAGAAAAGCATGGAGCATGGTACATCTTCACATCGTATGTCTGGTGCATTCCCACACCTGTGCATGTCTTCCAGTCGCAAATCCCTCATCTCTCTGTTGACCATCACGATGATTGTGTAGCAAGCCTGTACCTTTACGGTATCGACTTTTTTTGAAAGGACACAAACTGACGCGTTTTCAAATGCCGATATACAAATGTTTGAATCGCAAACAAGTATGAAGAAAGTGGTTAGTAGAGGCTGAAAATCTTGTATCGGTTTCCATACATATTGATTTTAGAGTTGTGTGCAACGCTCTTTTTTTTCTTTTTTTTTTTTTTTCATTAATTTCTTTGATTATCAGTGGGTTGAAAAAGAAAAAAGAACTATTTGCAAACAAAAACATTAAAGCAAGCAAACTTATTATGGCTAATGCAAGGTTTATCATTGGCCTTTTTTTGCACAGACGTGATTCACTTAAAATGGTAACTTGATCAAAAATAACATTGCCTGCTTTAATGTGTTTTTTCGCTTTTTAAAATTCGAGACAATAGAGATTTAGAATGAAATGCTCTGATGACTTGTTTCCTTTGAAAATCTGAATCATGCTTTTTTAGGGCTTTTTTAACCTTTTCGCTGTCCTTGCTTATGGAGGAGGGCACACTTATCTTGATGAACCCTAACTCTATTTTTTTTTCTTGTATTATGTAACTTTACGCCTTTATTTTTCAATTCACAAGCTGAAAAAGGGTGCTCTCAGAAGATTAGCCCTTTTAAAGCAAAGTCTCTCATTTTTTAACACTAAATGCCTTCTCCTCCTTCTTTCAGCCCAATGCACATGAGAGCGATGCACACACTAACAAGAAAATGCTTTATCCAGCAGCCAAGTCTTCACGAGCGCTGACAGAAAAGCTTGGATCGCCTGTATCTTTTAGAGTTTGGGCGTATTCTAAAATGACCAAACTGCTTTCTGCTATTGATTCAGGCCCCGGATAAGTGTGCGACCTACTATTACAAGACAGAAATGCCTGCAGATTGCCCAAGGCTATGGGACAGTTTCTCTTTGGATATTCTGTATCTATCGTAGAAATTCAATAATTTCTCAAAAACAAGTTTTGGATGTTGATAGCCGGGACACGATTTTTCAACCGATAATGAGATGTTATGGTATGAAGAAAAATCAATCACATGAAAAGAAAGGTTGGGAAACGATTGCCTTTTATGTTTTCATCATCAGTGGACATAGGGAATAAAAAGGTAGTTTGTGGAGGCGGGGGTATTATTATTGGCCTTCAGCTATACGTTTTCAAGAAATGTCGAATGTTGTGATGAAAACCTTTATTACCAGGCTTTTACGTATTTTTCGCTTGCTTCCAGTAATTGCACTGCTATTTGTAAAGCTCCCTCAATTCTTGAATTCAAAATTCCAAGGCCTTCCTTATTCTTTGTAGCCGTTGTGGCTGACGATGGTGATCCTATTGAGCCTTGTCTTTCTTGTCGTTCTTCGTCTACTGCTCTAGATTGCTTTTGCTTTACTTCAGTATTGATGATGATGGGTAATTGTAACAGTATTCTGCAAATAGTGATAGAAAGCCCCATCCTTTTCCACAAACTAAAATAAGAAAGTGACCGTAATTCGTGTTGCAATTCGTATAACTTCATCAGTTCGAACTGTATCGCTTTATAATAGTGATGTGTAGCTATCGAGTAAGTAGACAATGAGTTGTAGGTCATCCTCTTTCAAACTACAATCGTTTATCAGTGCGCTTGACTTACATAACACTAACTTCCGCATCTTTCGAAAGCCTAATTCTATTTGAGCTATGGTATCATCTGTAATATGTATTCCAGGGTTTGTTCCATTTAAGGCGTCTGGGGAGTATAAAAAAAAAAAAAGAAATATTATTATTTAGGTCAGATGATTTACACAGCTAATAAATTTGATGATTTACAAATAAATGCACGCATGGTTTCAAATTCTCCTTCTAGCATTTCAATGAATAACTAGCAATCATTTTAACAAACCATGAACAATCTGCATATGTAAGCATGACTATACAATAAAACTAAACAAACAATAAAAAATGATATTGGGGCAGGTGCATCTAACCTGATGTAAAACTCGCTGAAGCGTTTGATTGGCGTTGACTTCTTCATCTTCACTCTTTGCAGCAGCAGCAAAAGTTGAATATCGACATCCTGTAGCAGTAGTGGCTGATCTTTGCTTATGATTCGATAGATCGTATAATAATTTTGAAGAAGGATTACTCAGCGTTTCATAGGCGATCGACAATACTAAATACATGTAGAATGATAAATACTTTAATATGCATCTGTTGTCTGCACATTCCACACTTTTTCCTCTATGTACTTAGTAGTTTTACGTTGAAAACTTTCAGTTGCTAAAGGATAGGCTGGAACAAACTTATCAGGATGACATATTCTACTTTTCTAAGGATTATCAGGTATTAAGTGAGCATTCCATAGATCGAGCAATTGGATAGGGTTGCAATTACTTTGATATAAGCTCTTCTTATTTCTTCTGTTGATGCATTTCTTGTAACTCCTAAAATTCGGTAATAGTCTGGTGCCGCCAATATCTCATCTACAACTTTATATCTTTCGCTTTCAGTAGGATTACTGTAATGTTTTGGTGGCTTAATGAAAGGCATTAAAAGATTTATTTGTTAGATAAAAGAAAGGATCTTTGGAGGTCAACCTGAAATTCAAATAAAAAAAAATCGAAAAAAAGCTCAAGCAAATCATGATTTAATGAAATCGAATCAGCTCCCTAAATAGGCCCGTCCCTATCCTGTTATTCATCTTTTTCTCCTTTAAGAAAGAGGTTACGGATGATTCAATTAGTCTCGATCAATATCAACCATTACAAAACTCAGTATTTAGTATAGTAGAATTGAACAGAACGTTTTCCAGGTGAGACTTTACTCTTTGTTCGGCACGTACTTACTCCCAAAAGTAGTTGCAGCAACCGAGTGAAGCCGCTCAAGAGAATGACTAATCTCTAATATTGCGAAACGAACATACCATCGAATTTGAGCAATTTAAAGAATAGTATCCAAATCAACTCATAAAACTGCTTTTTTGCTGTCTTATGCAATGACAGCACACACACCGACCAACCCCTCTCCTTCACTCAATCTGCTATAGTCATCTTTTTTCTTCATCGCACCTACACACGCTATAGCTATAACACCATTAGCAGGTTCGACAGAGATATGTACACATTGAGTTCAATAAAATAACTCTTGTGAGCTGGGCTTTTAATTTTTTATTAGTAAGAAAAAATGATATAAATGAGATTCCTTATAACAAACAATTCTCCTTGGCCCCTTTTTTTATAGTTTTCCGTTGGATGAATGAAAAAAAGTTTGATGAATTGTTTCTTTCTCTGCCTTTATCAATAAAAGGTTGCAGTAGCTGCTGAAGTTGGTTAGATCTTTTGCATGGCAGCAATATCGACAGATTGGACATAGTCTTCAAGAGCAGTGATTTCATCACACAAATCATCCATCATAACCTTATCATCTTCAACAACACAGTTGATTTGAAGCTTCTTGATACCATAACCGATGGCAACGAGTTGGTGACCACCCCAAAGGAGACCGTCCATAGCAATAGCCTTGACACTTTCGGTCAACTTGTCCATGGGAGTTTCATCATCCCAAGGCTTGACATCAAGGGTAACGGTGGTCTTAGCGATAGGCTTGGGCTTGGCAGCCTTCTTGGCGTTGTATTCAGCGAGACGTTGAGCCTTGATTCTTTCGGCTTCTTCATCAACTTCTTCATCATCAGAACCGAAGAGATCAATATCATCTTCATCTTCAGCAGCAGCAGGAGCAGCAGCAGCAGCAGGAGCAGCAGCTTGCCTAAAGAAAAAAAAATAGAGATTGTAAATATGAGTAAATCCATGCAAAAGAAGGAATACATAACAAGAGGGTAGAAGAAGGGCTTCTTTTGCTTTTCATAACAGAGAATGAGTAACTTACTTGGCGTTTAAACCTTGAACCTTAGCAATGTGGTTGTACCATCTGGCTAAGTGAGGGTAGGCCTTGGGGCAAGGGCCTTCGGGCAAAGCGTTGAAGACGGCCTTATCAGCATCAGAGGCTTCGACACTATCAATGTTGTAAATGTTATGCCAAATTAAAAAAGGAAAAAAGGAGAGGGCATCCGCACATTAGTTTAATGAGGACATTAAAAAAAAAAGAAAAGAAAACAAAACTCTACCCCTTGACGTAAGAGACGTTTTCAAAGAAACTGTTGAGGATGTTGTAGGCCAAAGGAGCTTCAAGAGTAAAGGACATTGCTGTTATAAAAGATGTAGAATTGAAGAAAAAGAGAAAGGGAGAAAAGCGGAAATCTAGGCTGGGCACCTATAAACTATGAAAAAATATTTTCTGTCACGTAATTTTTTTCTGGGTCAACTGAAATAAAGAAACGATAAAAGGCTCTGTTGGCATAGGCATTGCTAAGCCACCGAATTACCCAAGAATACAAAGAAATCAAGCATATGTAAAGTTTATTAAGAAGGTATAATGCTATCATCATGTTAAAAAAAGAAATGAATTGTCTAGCAGAGAAAAGATCTATATACAATATTGTCTGTTTCTTCTTCGAAATGATAACCCAAACTGATCAAGTAACTATTGAATTGATCTGTATCTTCCGGTGGTACCTGAACACCTAAAAACACTTTACCCATATCTAAAAATGGAGAGCAATAACGCAAGAATTAGTACCACTGTTTAGGTGGAGGAGGAAAAAAACTACAGTCTTACCGTCACCATGATTTCGATAATGAAATAGAGATACGTTCCAAGTCGAGTCTAATCCTACCAAGAAGCGGAACAAAGCACCAGGTCGCTCGGGAAAGATAAATCGAAATACACGTTCATTCGCTGGTCTTGTACCTGCCTTACTTCTGCCACCCACCATATATCGGGCATGACATTTGGCCAGTTCATTGTCACTCACATCGATACCACGCATCCCCTGTTCCTTCCACGCTGCCAACACTTGTTGCACATCGGATTTGAGATCTTTATTGCCCATCACCTTGAACGAAATATAAATTTGGGCTTCTTTCGGATCAGAGTAACGGTAAGAGAACTCAGTGACAGCGCGAGGTACAACTTGATCGATCATTTTTTTAAAACTGCCTGGCTGTTCAGGAATAATGACTGTACAGAAAGCTTCAGTTTTTTCACCTAGTTCCGCACGTTCTGCTATGAAACGAAGACGATCAAAGTTGACGTTGGCCCCTGAAACAATGGCAACGTGCACATCATCTTTGGCTTCTGGGTGAAGTTGTAAGTATTTCTTGGTAGCTGCTAATGCTAATGCACCTGTAGGTTCGCAAACAGATCTTGTATCTATCAACCCCCACAGTCATACCATAGAACGATATAAACTGGATGAATGAATGACTCTTTGTTTTCTACGCAATTTTTGCGTCCTCTCTCTTCTTACCTTCGAATACATCCTTAATGGCCGCACATACTTCATCATTATTTACCAACACTACTTCATCAACCACTTCTTGGGCTAATCGGTACGTTTCTTCCCCTACCATTCTCACTGCGGCACCATCTGCAAACAATCCGACTTCATTCAACAATATACGCTTCTTTTCTTTCAAACTATGATCCATAGCACAAGCATCGAACGTCTCCACACCGACGATTTTGACATGAGGTGCAATACGTTTCACATAAACACCAATACCTGCGATCAATCCGCCACCACCGATAGGAACAAAAATGGTAGAGATTTTGCTTACGTCAAGCTGACGAAGGATCTCCATGCCAATGGTGCCTTGACCTGCAATAACGTAAGGATCATCAAAAGGCGGAATATTGATGAGGCCTTCGGTAGCTGTAAGACGAGCGCATTCTTTCTTTGCCTCATCAAAATCATCACCATGCAGAATTACTTTGGCTCCCAAACGTTGAACATTTCTCCATTTGATAGCGGGTGTAGGGGAGGGCATGACAATTTTGGCTGTGATGCCCAACTTTTGCGCAGAAAGAGCTACTCCTTGAGCATGATTTCCGGCTGAACAAGCAATGACACCACGTTTCTTTTCTTCTTCTGACAGGTGAGCAAGTCGATTATATGCACCACGGATTTTGAATGAGAAGACAGGTTGTAAGTCTTCTCTTTTCAAGTAGATGCGGGCACCGTTGAGCTTCGTATTGAGATTGACTGCTTCTTGGAGTGGAGTTTCTTGAATGATATCGTAGACTCGAGCTGTCAAAATCATACGTAGATAGTCAGGATTCTCGGGTTTGTGAGGATAGTTTATCTTCGTAGGTGGATTCAGACTAGCAGTGTTGATGTCTGCAGTTGGACTGTTTGCTGATAATTCATTTGCAGTCATCCCTTTTTGTTCGCTTTGTCACGTTTTCACAAAATTGAAAGAAAAAGAAAAGTATAATGAAAAGACAAAAAAAAAAGGGGGGGGGAAACCATGTGGCCTATCTTTTTGTTTCGTTACTGAAGTTGTACGACTTGGAGCCCTTTTTCTTTACGTTTTTGACATACAACAACATGGATAATGACTCAATGAAATTAACTTTCTTTCATTGGTTAAAAATGCATGAACTTGAAAAATCTCGAACCATACAAAAAAGTGACAAGTAATGCATACAAAAAACGAATGGATTGGGATACTCTGATTTGAAAGGGAAGAAGAAAAAATAAAAAAGTGTTTTCGTTTATAGATGATGATAGAAAAGAATGAAACAGGAAGGGTATATTATAGTAGATATATATATCTATCATAGTTACTCTATGATGTTGTCTTTACTGTTGAAACAGTGGGTGCCGGACGCACTTTTCTTTTCCATTCGACTACCATTTCTGGCCTCTTTAAAGCAGTAGCAGTGTTGGTACTAAGTTGTTGGATGTCGCTTTTACTGTAATTTTCATCAGATAAATGGATCTCAAATCGACCTCGTTTAATATATGTACAGCTGTTTTGATCTGACGAAAAGTTATTTGATTTTGCATATTTCTTTAATTCATGTAGAATGGGCGGGGATTCTATGATATCGTTATGACTGGCTAAAATGGCTATTCTTGGAATTTGTGATGTTGATACCGAGTTATTAGTAGAAGAAGTAGGGTTGAGTATGGGGATCCGTTGGTGAGGGAGTGTCGTTGTAGCAGCACTTTGTTGCTGCTGTTTACTATTGGGTACACGCCAGAAATCATCGTCCCAAATCTGAGGTGGTGGTGGTTCTTCCACATCCATTCCTTCATCTTCATCGTCTATCAGCATGTTACTATCATTGACATACAAGGTACTGTTATCATTACTAGAAAAGAGCAGAATAGAGCTATTATTAAATTGGCAGTCACTACTGTTGCTGCTAGTAAGGTGTTGTTGATGATGCTGACTTGTCATTGTAATATTGGAACTAACTTTGCTTGTTGAAGGTATGATAAAAGACGACGCATTATCGCTATCATCACCGCTGCCGCCACAAACGGAGCATATCTTTTTCTTATTATTCATAAAAAGGTTATTATTGTTGTTATTGTTGGATAAGAAGGATTGGCTATTTATAGCATCATGATAAGAGGAATAAGTATTGGTACTGCTGCTTTGCAGTTCGTCTTCAGATAAAATTCGAATTCCTGCTATGTCTGCAAATTCTTTGGCGGTCAAATCTTCTGAATTGACCGTTATGTTGGATGATGAAATGCACGAGACATGAGAATAATGACGAATATGCTTACTGCTGTGAGCAGCTCTTCTGCTGTTACTGCTTTTACTTATTCCTGCTGATGTTGCTGTTGGGAGCGGCTGTGATATAAATGCTGGTTTAGTTGTAATGGCGGGAGGTGTACTGTGTGTATGACGGTGATGTTGATACGGCTTTTTATTCATTTCGTTATTGTAGTTGCTGCTTTTGAGCATGAAGGAAGTCGTGCTGGGATTGTGTCGATGATGAGAGGATTTGTTCAGGAGGATACCGCCCCCTGTGGCCGCACTCATCCGCATAGGTATATTATCATCGTCGAATACAACATTGTTGCTCTGATGAAGGACGCTTTCAGTATTCAGCTTTTTTTGTTGTTTATAACGATTCTGCTCGAAAATAGCATCGTTTGCAAAAGGATGGTTCTTATCATCTGCTATTCTAAAGCAATCCACAATTTGGCTTGCGGAAGACTTTCTTTGCATGCATTTGCCATCTATTTCTTGCCTTCTCTTCTTGTTGTTATTGTCGCCATTACCTCCATAAAGCGATGAGGCTAGTTTGTTCAAAATGATGTTGATTTTGGATTCCTTTTTTGTTGACGCTGTGCTGGAGGAACGAATTCTCTTCAGTGTGAGTCCTGTCAACCCGTTTGCCATGTATTTTGGTTATGCTATATGCTAAAAAGACCAGGATATTGTTGGAAATAAAAGAGAATCAATATGTAAGAATAAAAGAGAGGACACCGAGGAAAAGGAGTGCCAAAAAAGATAAAATGGTAAGGAGTCTATGTGTAAAAAAAGTAGGGAAAGAAGGAAGAAAGAAAAAGAATATGCAGAAACAAGGAAAAGGGACCTCTTTAAAGTCTTTAACAATGCCAAAGCAATACATGTGAAAGAGGAAGGGCTAGACCATATTTCTGATTGCATTATTGACAGGTCTTTCCTTTTTTTTCCACCTCTTTCATTATACAGATGTACTAAATCACCTATTTTTGTTTTGTCAGGTCTATAAAGACCTATGCATGCATTCAATGTGTATTTTTTTTTTCTTTGAACGACCATGGAAAGCAGTGTATAGCTCAATCAAAATTAGGCCGCAACCTGTTTTCATCCCGCAAAAGTTTGTAGATAGAATACAATCTTTTCCTTAATTTCGATACTTAAAAATGATCACTGGATGCATTTTTATTAACCGGGATAGGATGGTACAAAGAGCAACCACTTAGGGTTATTACACTCGTTGCTTTGTTTATAACAAAGAAAAAAAAGGGAAAACTTTCCATGCTTACCCAATGCCCGACTTCAGCCCATCAGAAAAGAAAGGGGTCGTTATTGTAGAGAATATATAATGAGGAAAAAGGGGTGGGGAGCTCATCACTAGACTCATGAAACAGTTTGTTATCACTGTTTGTTCTGCTATAGAATGTGGTTTAATTTCAATCATGCCCATTGAGGCTATTAATACTTTCAACGGCCCTAATCTTAATTGCTCTCTCTCTCTCTCTTTCTTCTCTCTGGATTATGTCTTAGGATCTCATAGTTACTTTTTGCCGTTCAAGTCGAACAAAAGAAAAAAAAAAAAAAAGCATTCCCAAATATGTTATAATCAGCTTGCAGCTTTATTTATTTAATGTTTTAAGCTTAAGTGATAAGAGCAGTTCTTTACCTGTCAAATAGAAGCGTAATGTGATATCAATAAACCTCATGGAAAGGCCTTGTAGTATGCATTTTACCGATTAGGAAAAACTGTTTATAATTGTTTAATTTAAGTGAGCATTTTTCAGGGTTATGGATTTTAAACTTTCTTCAATAACTTGGGTTCTAGACACGTGTTCTTTGAACAGAAAGTCCTCTTTGTTTCTCAAGCAGGATGCCATTTCTAGGCCTGTTCTGTAATAATGCTTGTTTTCAACGCACATGCTCACTTTTGACGGATGATACAGGTATGAGAGATTTTACTTTCTTGCTTGTGCATTATCATTTGTGCAAAGATCATGTATAGTACTCACGTAAGGTATGGACCCCTCCACAACGTATGTAATGGTCTCAAACCGCCTTTAAACCCCCTTCCTCCTCCCTTAAACGAAACTGACAAGCCGAAGCCACATCCGACTTTTATGACTATTTCCGCAAGACAGACAAAAGCAACAAATGTAACAAATATCATGTAGTTTTAGTACATTACGTGCTGTAAAAATTAGTCAACTGCATCATTGACCGACATCATAATCATATAAGAATTTTGAGATGCCAAGCTCTGTCATATCGCCTTATCTAAGATGACGTCTCTTTGTCTATAATGCTTCCTGTTGCTTGTTTGTGCGATTGTTTTAAAATAAAGCACCTATCTAGCAGTTTTGCTTTTTATATGTTCTAGTATGATTCCATGGGTTTCTGTCTACGAAGGGACAACGAGCCCCTGGCTTCTTTATAGGACACCAAAAAAAGGAAAAAAAAAAAAAAGATGATGATTTTTTGCGAAACTGTATATAGATGGACGGTGTCTATTGAAACAGTAAGTATACTAATGACCACTCTGTCGGGGAAGGAAGAAGATTCAGGGCTTTTTTATTCACTGAAACCTCAACCTCAACAACAAGTCGCTGTATGGTTACGTAAATCTGAAAAGGATTAGTTTGTCTGGATTCTAACATTACAACTTACAAAGAATGATAAAAAAAAAAAAAAAAAAAAAAGAAAAACCGTAAATTGTAAGCGTTATGATTGATAAGCAATATATTACCGTAGCAATAATAAGGTATGAGTGATCTGTTAGTTGGCTTTTTTTTTATCTCCTGCTTGGGTTAATTCTGCTCGTAATATTTGCTATTTTTTTCTTTTAGCTGATCATTGGTCATTTCTACTGTTCATCGTTGCCTCCGAATTTTCTTAGATACCCGTTCAAAAGAAGTTCAGTTTCTTTTCCGGATGAAAGACACCCTTCAAGCCTGACAGTCACAGCTATCACCTATACTCACCATCAAATTGACGTTAAACGCATTCATAACTCTTATCGTCGGTTCGATCTTCGTGATGATTGAAACCAGCGGGAGAGGTGATAGGGAATGCATCTATTGTGGCAGCCCTTGGTACACTATTATACTTTTCCATTTCAACCCGTTAGTAAAAGAACGCTAATGATTGATTTGCAAGACAAAATAAATATTGTATCATGAATGAAAATATCTGATCTTTTTTATTGCTTATGGTTCGCAAACGAAGGTACAAAGAGTTGACAGGCTGCTAAAAATAATGGCAACAGAAAGATGTAAAGGTCAACAGTACCCACAGCAAATCAAGCTCAGGTTCATTTTTGGGGGAAGAGAACAGTCGATTTGTTCATCGAGGAGGAAATGGAACGGTTGAAGTGTCGTGAAAACAATAGCAGTAGTAACAATGCACTTTTACGGAAACCATTGCTCCTACAGCAAGTATGATCGATGCACACCACTCCACCTAATCGAATTCAAAAGGAGCTGAGCAAGAAAAAATACCTAATAAGACGCATACCCCCATTTCTATCATTCTATCAAATGGACAAAGAAGATGGAGAAGAACATGTTGATTCAAAGAGAAACTAGACTGATGAAATGGCAGAGAAGAGATCACCCTATCGGCCGCCGTCGCTAGCCATTATTTAATACGTGCTTTGACCTATTATTTGTTCTGTAACGCCCTTGATCCGCACGGCATCTATCTTTATGTTACTTTATATGCACACACGAATAGTCTATTTGAGTATTGCAGTTGTATTCTTTCATCCAAATTTTGTTTCCTTCACCTACACAGCTCTCTTTACGTTCGCTCTTCCTTTTATCCACAAGGCGCTTCTCTTTTATATTGATGAATTCTACCGATCAAGTCCAATTGAAAACTTCTAACTTGGGCTTTGTAAAGCTCTGATTTTTTTTTTAGTTTTACCCATTTAGCTACTAAGAGGTTCAACTGTATACGTTACATATCAATAATAAGAACGCTAAATATTACTGCTGTTTCGCCTACTGAATGTATTGTTCAAGAATGGCTGTCGAGAAATTATTTCTCATAGATTCAACTCACAATTTGTTAGTGAGTACCATAGAGCAAATAGGTGCTAAAATAAGCTATGCATTGTACTTGTTTGATAGCACGCATTTGAACAATGCTATACCGTATTAGTTTTCTAAGCTTAATTACGAAAGATGAATCGTGACATTGGCATATCCTGAACCTGATCCTCATAGTATCAGGCTAACTGTAAACACCTAATTGAGTTATCAAGGCTTGAATACATAACATACAGTCTGCTCATTTTGAAATTTTTACAAATGCCTCAGTAACGATAAATAGAGCATATTCCAACCGTTGATTATGCTCTCAATTTGTAACGTACTTTTTCAGGCTGATAGTTTAACTCTAGGGCATTTAGAAAGGAGAAATCAAAAAATCAGGTACAAAGTTTGCGTGGATTTAAAAAACAATTGCTGTAGTGAATAGTCTAGCTTCAAATGGTATATTGATTGCAACAGGAGCATTTTTAATAGGAGATACAAATATTATGACTTCTATTGGGTCGAAAAGCAGTCTTTTAAAAGGAGTTACAATTGTTTTCAAAAAGTATATAAAGGCGCTCATTTTTGTGAATTTCCGCTTCTTTTTTCTTTACTCAGAAATCAGCTCAGCACAAATATTGCAGTAGCTTTAATTTCTAAACTGGTTTCCTCTGTGTAGATGGGCCTAGTACTCCTATTGTATCATAATGGTCCTTCTATTCATGTGTAATGCTGGTTGTTGCCACTTGCCTGAAATAGGTGTCTGTCGGTTCCTCGTGAGCCGGTAGCATAAGGTTAATGTCAACCAGCCCCATGGGCAGCCATGTTGATGTCTCTCCTCGTGGGGGCTGCCTGGGCAACTACTCTTCTAGAGAGTAGGCTAGAACATCAACACCTTTTTTTTATATTTATAATGCAAATGAAAAAAAAAAAAAAAAAAAAAAAAATTTTTTACAGTAGGAAAAAAAGCAATCTACTTTTTACTGATTGACGTGTTTGGTGAGATAATAACTACAATACTCGAGCACGTACAACCAGGTAGAGAATACATTCTACCACGGTCTATCTATATTGCATCTAATATAGGTTATGTACAACATAGAACAAGATATAGGCCTAAGTATAATAATCACCCAATAAGCATCTGAACCTGAAATTAGTGACTAGCATACGCGTCCTCAAATAATATAATTCCCATTAAACCTCACAAAGTAAATAATCCTTCTACTTCATCTGAAGAATAATAAAGACACCTAAGTTCATAGTCATCGACTTACAACTGTTATCAATTTTTTAAATAAGCAAATACAACACTGATGGAAGACGAAGCAATTGGGCTATGTTGATTTACTTTACGTTGACTCTTTTAAAATAGTGTACCTAAAGCAAGTAATTGCATTGTATATGGTCAGTGATAACAATCCTCAGTTTCTAAATATATAAGAAAACTATCACCAAAACGCACGCAGCCTTGAAGCTTGCGCATTGATTTCAGTCTGTTGAAACGCAATACTGAAAAGTACCTGATAACTGTCTACTCCCATCTTGTATCTTCCTGTACGTAAATGGACAAAATGCTTTTCTTAGATTGCGCTCTACAGAAATATGCGCACAAATGAAAATAGGCATCCGCTTGAACGCCCGTTGGACAAAACTAATTGTCCTGATTCAACAGCGAATTTTTATCAAGTATTAAATCACTGCTTCATTTTCATCGGTCCAAAGTATTTAGAAGAATAAAACTGTCAATAGAATTGAAAGTGCCGGATGGAGAGAGAAGACAAGAGGGATCTTTGGTAATAGAAGCCTTATGCCCTTAAAGGATGTATCTTTTGTTTGGGTTGATCGAAGCTGGACCGCAATCACGCCTCTTACTGACGGGTTGGTGAGGTAACAACTACACTACTTGAGTACGTACTACCAGGTAAAAAAAAAACAAAAAACATTCTACCATGGTCTATTTAGATTGCATCTGATATAGGCTTTTGTCATGAATCCATGATAGAAAGAAAGTGAAAAAAAGTCCGTTCGTTTTCCTTTTACATCTAGAACCATTATTTCTTGGCATATCGTAAGAGAATCTATGTTCTTTATCGACTTTATTCTACAGCACACTCATCCTAAGAATGCCATTGTGTGACCTTTGTGAATCTCCAGCCCCAATAAAGTGACGAAACGCTGTTTTGAAAATCATGATTCATCAAGTGTGCTTTAAAATCAAATGTGTATCAATTTTTAGATGAACTGTTTCTAATGACTATTGTTAACAGAAAATAAAAAAAAAAAAAATAACGTTAAAAGTAGAGGTGTTGTCCTTTTTTAGTAATCCAAGTGCAATAAATTACAGTCAGTTTCTTTGCCCAGTCAACACCTTTTCTATTTATTATTTCTTTCTATACAAAGATAAGGACAAAATCATCGCACTATGCAATTACCAGGCCTATTTCGTTCATTATTGTTCCTATACACTATTCTAAACGGTATAAAATCTGATAGTCGCTTATTAGGAAAGATAAAGAAAGTGAGCAAAAACAAAACAAACTCATGCTTATGCCACGTATGTTTACGATTAGTCAACGCGTTATCTGTCGTCGACAAACGAGCCATCATGGACACCAGCCCACAATTATGTGCAGGAGATCTAGATTCTGTAGGAATGCAGTTAGGAGAATTACAAGCTGCTGTAAGTGAATCAATCGTTGGGCGTTTGTTGGCACCCAAGCACTCAAAGTCAGTACTGACCAATGGGTTTATGTAGATCATGGCTGGCGGTGTGCTTAATATCAAACACGACTACCATTCCGTCAATCGTCAGCTCGATGCAGCTCAAGACAGCTGTTGTGGTCTGAATCAACAAATGACTGCTTCTACCACAGATGCAAACATGTTGTTGCAATCCTTGGCGGCTGTGGTACCCAAAGCGCAGAATGCTCTAACAGAAATCAAAAATATGGAAACCAACTCTAACTTCTTGACAAGGCTTTTTGTAAAGTCATATTTGGAGGACATGGATAGAAAGACGGCTGCCTTACAATCATGTTTTAGCCAATTTATGCCAACGGCTAATGCAACGACTGTACAAGCTTATTTTAACGAAATGGATGAAGCCTTCAATGTCACCAAGTCTGCCTATGGTATTTAAATGATCATTGAAACCCCCCCCTCTTTTTTTCTATGTACATTATTTTGACGGCACAATAAAGAAGCCATCTATTGATGAATGAACTATTTTGCGTTTAACGTATGACTGACCCATGTACCTTCCATTGGAACTGCAATGTCACGTTTTGCATTCTTCTTCCATCCTTTTTAATGTATTCTGGATCAACCCATTTGTATACCCTTTCAGTGGTGGCAACAGCGGTTTGACCTGGGGATTGTGGAACATGGGGGGAGGAGGAGCAGCGTTGACAACAGTGATAGTTGCAACGAGCAAGCAAATAGCTGTGAAAACCTTCCTATTGAGCATCCTTTTGTATTTGTCTAAAGTGATATAGCCAGATGTTTGTCAAAATGAACCGAAAGAAAGAAGCAGGGGCTCTCCTTCCTCTTTTTATATTTCGTTTGATGCTGAAGGTCCTTATGTTTACGTGCAGATAGGACGAGGAGGAGCTACATAGGCAACGACAAGTAAAAACTACAAGCTACTGGAGAAAAGAGAAAGCCTTGGAAACGGGATGAGCATGGTTTAAGATTCATTGAATGAAAATCCACTCCGTATTTATCGACTGATACGCGCAATATGAAGTGTATAGATTGCATTTGAGCGATTGACTGCCATGTTAGAAAAGGAGATAGACACATGTTGGCGTTCGCTCTTCTTTGATCGTTCATGAATCATGTTAGTTGGCTCTATCTTTACTTTACATGAGTACACTTCTGACCACCCCCCCCCCTCCCGGGGCGCTGATGAGGGAGTGGTTCTACCTTTTAACACTGATTTATAAGACCTCTTTTGTCATAATAAAGTAAATAGAAGAGCAAGAAAAGCAAGTAAACTATAGAAAAAAAACATCGTTTTCCTCTGAGCGATGCTGTGTACTCATTCATCCACTTGATATTGCAAAACTTGATCCATCATTAGCGCCCAAGTTTATGTTTATCTCGTAATAAAGAAAAGAAAAAGAATAGAGGGACTCGCTAAGCTTTCGAGAATGATGGATGAGCGGTCTCTACACATTTTTAATATCTGTGTGTTGAAGTGTTGATGCACATTTTAAAATCTGTTCATGATCCCAAAATGAAATTGATCTAACATTATCATTATTATTTGTTATCCTTTATTGTCATCACTGGGTGAGAGAAGGATGAGCTGCTTCTGGGTTTTTTTTTAACACAAGTCGGTACCACCTCGACCCGGTACCAGTATCCCGCTTGTCGCATGTGCACGTTTTTGCACCATTGAGTGAATGGCTCCGAGATGACACCAAAGCAACCCCAAGGACAATTTGAATTGCGTTCCTTTTTGCCATCGTCCAGATACACGACCTTTCAACACATAACAGCAAATCGCCTGGAGGTATTGTCACCTATTTACAGGGGAGCCATAAGCTAATCCGTCCTCTAGACTTATCTATACGAGTATGAGTAAGGTTCCTTGGAATAGAACAACCCATGACATGAGTAGCAACCGTAGTTGACAGCAGCGACGCGTTGGATAAAATGCATTACACAAGTGCTTCACCAACCCAGACAAGGAGCTAAAGGCAATGGATGATGTCGTTTGTGTTGAGAGTATAGCCTAAAGTCGAAATGACCTATTCCTCTCTTATCGGATGCCCACCGGATGACCTTCGGGTAAAGGTTTCGCAGATTCATGAGAGCTGCGCTAGCGATGGGTTTCTGATCATGAAATTTGCATTCATGACGATAGCTACTCAGCTCTTTCCGCCCATCTTGATCGCTTCCCTATTATTTATCCAGGAGATAACACGGTTGTGACTGGAATAGGTGTTGAAAAGCACCCGATTTGATTAGACAAGGTTGAACTAGACACAGCCAACGTAGACAGACTCGCTCTTGAAGATATCCCTCATGAATGTCACAGAGAAAAGGAAAAACTCAACTCGATAAAGGACATATCATGGGTCATGACAGGAATGGCAGTAGACAGTCCTATTCGATAGATATAAAAGATAAATACGATTCTTCTCTCAAGTAATAATGACACACCTATCTACCATTGGATCTTTCTTCCGGGTAAACTTTTTTTTTAAACATCCTCCCCGCCTTTTTTTAAGGGTAAAAAAAAAATAACAAACAAAACACCAAGAAATGACCCTGAAGTTGCTGATCAGCTGTTGCATTGGGTGTGAACAGCAACACGAATTTGGTGAAATTTACTTTAAAGATACTCTTCTGTTGCACAACCCTACAACGTGTACTGCTGTTTTGTGGAGGGGGGAGGGGGAAGGGGGGAGGAACAGAAAGGCTTTAGTGTACCTTTCTCAAACACTGTATTTTTGAGACACTGAATTGCTTGGCTTTTCTCCATAGACTTTGAAAGAATGAATAGAACATCTATCGGATTCATGACATTGCACCTCGTTATTTTGGTGGTCCATCTTTCATGTCAAAGTACATCTATATATAATAATATGGATATGGATGTGTGTGTGTGTGTGTGTGTGTGTGTGTGTGTGTGTGTCGAATTGTAGGCAAATAAAAAATGGCTTAGATAGATGAAACAATAGATCACTTTATTAAAGTTCTTATCCTGCAGAAAGGGGATAAAAAAATAAACAAAAAAATAAATAAATTCAGAAACCCCCATTCGATATTGAAGAATCTACGTCAGCGACGTTGCCCTGGATGAAAACGTTTGGAAAAAGGGACAATCAGCGTGTGAACCTACAATGACCTTTTGCATATGTCATCGTTGGTTTAACCTTGACTGTGAGGTTCTTTAAAAGAAAAAAAAGGTATTTGCTTCACAAAAAAAAAAAAAAAAAAAAAAAAAAGGGCAGCTTCCAATCTACAGAGTGATCGATTACGTCAGCCTTCAAAACGTGAAAAAATAAAACCTTAACTTTTCAATATGCTTATGGTAAACAAATATGCAACAGATTATTATTAAGGGTCTGCGCCATAGAAAAGAGAAAATGCAAGTGTTTCATGATGATTGGGACAGGAACGGGGTGAGGGTCAACGAACTCTTTTTTTTTTTTAAAAAGAAAAAAAATTCGTTTTCCGAAAATGGAAAGAAACGATAAAAACGATCTCGCGTGAATCTTTTGAATAACGTTTTTTGTACGTCTGAAATCATTGGCTATGAATTTGTTTTGAAAAAAGGAAATCTTTTCTTTCCATGGTACTTTTTCTAGTGACCACCAAACTTGGTCACTTTTCTTCTTTAGTTTCGTTCCATTCTCTCTATGTTTAGCCGCCCTTCGCCCTTTCTGACAATGTGTGTATGCCTTTTTTTTTTTTTCAAGTTTGGATAGAAAGAAGAGGCCTTGTTGGTGACGTACTACAGCAAACAAGAGGTTCATCCTAAACGACAAATTTTTAGAAAAAAGGAAAAAAGTCCCGTCCTCCATCAATATCAGGCAAAAAATCCGAAACAAAACTTCAGAATATAGAAATTGAGAGCATTTAAGCAAGTTCAGACGCTTATCTTTTTATTGACCAATAACGCAACTCACATCGTTGAAAGCCGTAACACACAGTTTTTTTTTTTGGTTTTTTTTTAAAGATAAAATTTAAGCCGTCCATCCCTCTTTCCCTTTTCTATTTTAGATCTACATCACACTGTTCTATATTTTCTTTTTGTTCGTTTTTTCCCTTTTTTTTTTTTTTTTTTTTTAAATTCTTAAGAAAAAGAAAAGCAACATCTTTTTTACGAGAATTGCCATAAAAACACGTTAAACCAACCACTTGCATTGAATTCAGCCTTTACGGATCAATAGAGAGAGAAAGAGAAAGAGAGAGACAGAGAGAGAGAGAGAGAAAGAGAGACACTCACTTCACCACCATCACCACTATGACTTCTGTTGCTACATTTTCTATGCACGCCAAGCAGGAAAGCTACTATGCTAATGAAGACTTTTTGTCTTCTGAGAAATGTTATCAAGATGATCAATTGATTCCCAGAACGAGCTCACCTGACTGTTTAGAGGGCGAAGAGGTCCATGACCTTCCCTGTCCTTCACTGACGACAAGTAGTGGTAGCAGCCAAAGAAGAGAGGATCGTGCTAGCCGTAGTAGGGGATCCTCCAATGATTCCTCAGCCTCATTTTCCATCAGTTCACCTGCTGGCTCTCCCTCGTTGCCGATGGCTATAGAATCATCCACATCATCTACGCCCACTACCGCAGTAGCAACACCCATTCCTGTAAAAAAACCAAAGCGTCTCAGTGCCGTCTTCAGTGGCAGTTTTTTTGGAAGTCTCAAAATGACACCGGCCTCTTCTCCCCACCCCGATGGGCTGCTCGATTCACCGTCTCCTTCTGCTTCTTCTTCTGCGGCTGCCTCGCTGAATGAAGGTCATGTAGGCCGCAGTCCGAGTACGAACTCTGTCTACAGTCTCAGTTCCGTTGGAAGCACAGCCAGTCGTCTCAGTAAATCCTTTTCGAAACTCGTCCGAAGGCCACCACAGCACCGTCATCGTCCATCGCAGCAAGACTCGCCGCCGTGTGGTTCTCCGGGCGGTACGGTCTCCTTGCTGACGGATAAATACGGCGACTATGTCAAGCCCGACCCACAACACCGCGCAACAGCGAAAGGGATGGGATCGACTTCTCGAAAGAACATTGCAAGCGGTGCGACGGCCGTGATCCGTTTGGTACGACAAAGAACAGACGGACGTATTCTGGCCGTCAAGGAATTCAAGAAGCGTGACAAGACGGAAAATGAACGTGATTATCAAAAGCGAATGCTGAATGAATACTGTATCAGCAAATCTGCTTCCAACGGCCCTCATATTGTCGATACATTGGATCTTGTCAAAGATGACAAAGGACGTTGGTGTGTCGTGATGGAATATGTAAGTTGTTTTTTTTTTTTTTTTGCAAAGTGCAAAAAAAAAAAAAAAAAAAAAAAAAAAAAAAAAAAAACTCATTTTCTTATCATTTTCTTATGTTTTATTTTAGTGCTCGGGAGGTGATGTGTTCAATCTACTACAAGAAAAGCCTCACATGGCACCGGATGATGTCGCTTGTCTTTTCAAACAATTACTGCTTGGTCTACAACATCTTCACCGACTCGGCATCGCCCACCGCGATATCAAGCCTGAAAATCTTGTCCTGACGTCGACCGGTACACTCAAGATTACTGACTTTGGCGTGGCAGACGTTGTTCAAACCTGTTTTGAAAAAGAAAGTCATCCCTGTAAAAAATGGTGTGGTTCAGAGCCTTTCTGGTCTCCTGAGATGTGGAAAATCAAGGACGAAACGAGTCCTTATGACGGAAGAGCGCTGGATGTCTGGAGTGCAGCGACCACTTATTTCTGTTTACGCTTCCAACAACTGCCCTTTACAGCAAGTTTCTTCACCGGAAGACCAGCGAGTCAACCACCCGCAGGAGCGATCGCAGGCTCTCCAGCGGCTGTGGCTGCTCAGGCAGCGGACGGTGGTGATTTTGATTTCAAACGCTATATGGAACAACGACGCAAACTAGAGGATCCCAGTGATTGCGATTTATTCAAAGACTTTACGCAACCTGAACGGGAATGTCTGGCAGCCATGATGGACCCTGATCCCGAAACACGCTGGACCATTGATCAAGCGTTGGAGTGTCCTTGGATGTCGAACTTTGAAGTCTGTCAAAACGGTAAACTCTCCAATGGATATTATCATACCCACTGTATCTCTTCCAAAGGGGGTAGACGCTAAGATTCTCGCCCCCCATCGATACAAAACACATACACACATACACACACACACATACACACATACACACACCTTCTCTACACGCCACTTGTATTTTAAAATTCATCTTTCTTTTTGCTTGAATTTCTTTTTTCTTCTTTTCCTTTGCTGCCTTTGTTTACCCTATGTTTTGTTTTTGGCCTTTTTTTTTTTTTTTTTTTCTTGTAAAGTATACAACTCACTTTCTTTTACTTGGAATACTCAACCATCTCTTGCCCTCCCAACCCACACCTTTTTCTAGTTATTATGTAATCTATAATGTTTATTCCCCATCTCTCTTATCACGTTCCAATGAGACCAAGTACATCTCTTCTTTTTTCCAAAAAGAAATAAACTAAAATAATACGGGTCATCATTTTTCCCAGACAGAGAAAACAAAGTAGTGGGGATGGGGAGGGACATTTCGAAAGAAAGTAAGACTCGATCTTTGTTTGAAATCACATCACTTGAAATAGAAATTTCACACGCCTCGATTGGATGCAATTGCATGTTGTACAATAACAGGTAAAGCAAGCCCGCGCGCCCTTTCTTTTTTCCAGTGTCACGCTAACACACCATGGGGGAGGGTTGAGCACACAATTTCTCAAAGGGTTGACGTCAACTTTTTTTTCCTATTTCCCTCGCTCGGTGAACAAAACTTGCTTTTCTAGATCTTCTACCATAGGAGAGGATCGTACAAAAAGAGTGAGTTCCCAGAGGGAAAAGCGCGCTTTAGGGCAGCGAACAGTGGATTTCTATCCGTACCCAACCCTCCTCACCCATCTCATTTTAGCGTGGTGAACCCCAAGATGTGTACGACCCAATCTCTCATCGTGCCATGCGAGCACCCACTACCACTGTACCACACCTCTTAAAATGGATGCAACGTGCAAAAAGAAGGCTCAGACAAAGTTCAGATAGACAAACACACACACACGTACAAACACACCATGTCAACAGCTTTAAACGGGGTATTTTTTTATTTATTTTTTATTTTGCAATCATACAATGGGTCCCACATTGAAACGCAAACACTCTATCTAAAAAGCTAATCACTGTTCCATCACTGACTCCATCACAAGAAACAGGTCAACAACGCTCCCTTTTTTCGAGTCGAACCAACGAACTCAAGTAAGCTACCTAGAGAGAAGGGGCTCTATGTTACTAAAAAAAGAGTTACAAAAGAAAACAAAATGTTAACTTGGAAATCAAAAAATGAATGCGATGAGAGAGCTCGTCATCTTTCTTTTTCTTTTCTTTCTATGAATCTTCAGAAACTTGGGTATAGCGTGTTTTAATCTTCATAAAGAACATCAGACTGACGTGCAAATGTCTTTTGGAGTATCATCAGCTTTGTCAACATAGAAAGCAAAAAAAAAAAAAAAAAAGATGCTCACACCTCCACCCTTGTCAACAGCAGTTGCAAATACTATACCTTTTGGTTCAACAAGAACCCACCTCTTGACCGCCTTTGTGGATGAAGAAACTGTGAAATCAAAAAAGAGAAAAGAAAAGAGCAAGTAGAAAAAAAATTTTTTTTTTCTTTTTAAGTACAGTACCAGGAATTTGCAGCCATTTTAGCGGACTGCCTCGGATAAATGGGTGACTCTGTTAAGTAGTAGACATAGAGATCACACGATTTCTTTCTCAGACAAGAGGAGATGATTTTATTTTACACATTAAAAAACTGTATTGAGTAGTAAGGTGGGGAGGGGGGCGGAAATGAGAGCGTCATTGGGGTCGATGTTGCGACGGACTATTGTTGTATGGACAAAAAAAAAAAAAAGAGGGAAGCAAAAAGGGAAACAGATGGGTATCGTCTTACACCTTTGCAAAAGGATGGCGATTGATTCGAAGTTTAAGAACAAAAAGAAAGATGGCGGACAGGACATACGCAATGCCAGCAAACATTTTGTAACTGAAGAAAGGAGCAGAACTGACACCTGCTTCAACAGCACTAGCAATATTGGGACCGAAAACAGGAACCACGTTGGAAAAGAGCAACAACGACAAACCGGAGGGAAACTTTTCCATACCCAGTAAATGGGCGGTAATGGGAGAGATCATGGCGAAGAAGGAGCCACTGGTGAGACCGAAGACGACGGAAAAGCCCATCAGACTGCCATAGGTATGAGCAAAAGTCCAGATAAGCAAACAACTGATCGCCGTGATGACGGTGAAAACAAAATTGGTGTTGATTTTGCCAATTCTATCAGCAAGGAAGCCTGCGATAATACGACCTACAAAGTTGCAGGTGGCAGTGACAGCGACAAGAGCAGACCCTTGAGACGCAGAAAGACCAAGATACGTCGCGTAGGAGGGTATAAAGAAGTACGGGATAAAGTAGCCAAACAGACCAATGTTGGATGCAACAAGAAACAAGTTGTAATTGCCGTTTTTCAACACGTCCAGATCGATGACTTGAGAGAGACTTTTCTTCTTGTTTTTGGCCTGGCTCCTGTCTCGAGGGCGAACAGTGAGACAAGCAACCACATCGCATATCAGACAGATGAAACCAATGATACGGTAGGTCCAGCCGGATCCTAATGTCTGATTAATACCCGTCATCACAAACGGCATGACCAATCCACCAATACCCGAACCACTAGCAACGATGCCGAGTGCAAGTCCACGACGTTTAGTGAACCACTGAGGAGCGACACCCATGATAGACACATAAATAGCAGAAGCACCAGTACCAAACACAATGCCTTGCGTGAGATAGAGATGCCAGATTTGGCTTGATAAACTAGCCATCTCGAGACCCAGTGAGACGAGGAGAGTTCCGCCAATCAAGACACAACGCATCCCCAAGACGGACACACAAATTTGCATGATCGGACTCATAGCATTCATAAACACCATAGCAATCGTACCCACAAAACTCAGATTGACGGCGGTCTTGGGATCGTTATGCGATATGTTTTGTTCAAAGAAATCTTGCATCACACCTATTGATAAACAATTTTTTTTAAAAGGTTAATCATCGCTACTGATGTATCAGTAGACATCCAATTGTGTTCATTTTATTTTTACCCCTGTAGATAGAAAACAAGATAGATTGACATGATTCATTAGTAAGCATGGACGTCAAACAATAACCCTTTCCTTCCCGTCGCTTACCAACTAGTGATTGTACCAAATGTAGTAACTTGGACAAGAAAGGCTCCCAAAACTACAAACCAGCCGTAGCCTCCATCGGGCCCATCTTCTTCTGTGGGACCGTCAGGGGGTAGTTTTGCCTCTTCCTCAGAAAGCCCCATTGCCTTTTCCTCCTCTGTAGAGCCAAACAATGCAAAAAAAAAAAAAAAAAAAAAAAAAAAAAATGATTTTAATTGTCTGATCTAGAAAAAAAAAAAAAAAAAAAAAAGAGAGATCAATTTGCTACCAACATTACCTTCAATACCATTGGATACGGTGAGACTTTCATTCGACGCATCAGCAACTGCAATAGCTTTTAGGTTGTCATTGGGCTTTTCCCCAGCATTATCTAAGGTAATTGTACGCTCGTTTATCATGTCTTTACAGTTTTTGTTATTTGGGTGAAAAAGGAAGTATAACCTACAGAGCACTACGTTCTTGTTTCAAAAGAGGTTTTTGACAGAAAAGAAAAAACAAAAACAGAATTTATATCTGAGCAGTGGTGAATTTCTACTTTTTATCACAGATCTGTGACAGAAAAAAATGAAAAAAATCAAAAAATAGAGGACATGAGAAAAAAGATGGGCTTTTATTGTAAAAATAACGAATCACACCGAAAAAAAAAAAAAAAAAAAAATTTTTCTTTTTTTTTTTTTTTTTTTTGATCCGTTGAATCCACTAAACCATTTCTTCTAAATCAGCATTCGTAAAGTAACGGAGCTTTTCTCCGTATGAATCAATGCTCCATTAAAGCTTTGCTAAATATTCGGTAGCAGAGTGCTTACTAATACTACCAAAGGCAAACACGCCCGTATTTATTCATAAACGATCATCAGAATCATACCCCAGATGCTGTACCACGACTGACATGGAAGAATGGTTTTGCCTTTACAGCGCGGACCGCTCCAACGATCCTCTATTGAGCCAAGTTGAAGTTTCAGATCAAAAAGTGTGTAACGATCCTAAATAAACGAGTTAGACAGGATTTTAGAGGCATCTTTTGCCTCACAATGGAGGCTTTCTATTAAGGTTGCAGATGTCCGATTTTGAATGCACGACAGCTGTCAATGAGAATGCATTTAAAGTAATAGCTTTGATCTTGCATAGACATAGGCCCCTTCTCTTTACCTGATACAGACTAGTTACACTGAGTCGCTTTGTTTCAGCTGTTAAGAATTTGCGAAATCTCTGCTTCTCCTCCTTTATCCATGTACGTCCTTCCCATTCGTTTGGTTTCGGCAGTGCAGCATATCATTTGTCCCCCTTCGTCGCAAAAACTATTTGCTTTCATAAGGTGATAATTTTATGAAGCAGTGCGTTGAAACGCAGTCGAACATTCCTACGATCTCATTGATAAAAACTCATTCCACCTAAATACATATACGGCATAATGAAACATGATTTCCTTATACAGATGACTGAATTTAAATCAGGTTAGTCATCGTTTGTAAACAAAGAGCGCGTACGCATGTCAAGATTCCATTCAAAGCTAAACGTCATCTTTTTATAGCTGTACTAAACGTAAATGTAACCAATGTCATGATTTACCAAGTGAAAAAAGAGGAAGCGGAAAAAAGCAATGTATTCACAAAACGTGATAGATTGGTTTTTTTTTGGTTTTTTTTTTTTTTTTTGGATAGGATCAACCATTTTGAACATTCAACATATTATGAAGGAGGATAACAAAGTATATCAAACAAAAATGACGTGGAACAAAGCGATAATATCGTAAATAGAGGTAGTAGTGATGGTTAGATTGTAGTGTTCGTGCTAGTGTAATGGCGGTAGTGGTGGCAGTAGTAATAGGAGTAGGTGTAGTAAAAAAAAAAAAAAAAAAAAGAGAATATGTATAAATGTGTATAGGATGAATGGAGGTTTTCGTATCAAACAGCTGGGTTTTTTTTAACTTAAAAAAGAAAAAGGTACAAAGGATGTCACTACTTTTTGTTGCTGCTGGTGTGATGCTGCTTACTATTACTGTTACTGCTGCTGCTGTTATTATTACTATGACTAAGTATATCGGCTCTTGCCTTCTCTGTTAAAGAGTTCAATAACAAATTCGATGCTTCTGCATCTTCTTGTTGCTGTACTATCTTACTCACCGTCAAAGAACCTAATTTATGTGAAGAGAGTTTATTCAAGTAGGGTAAAAGCCTTGGGCATAAGACGCGGTAGCGTTCGGGTAATCCAGATGTGTCTAAAAACCAATTGAGCAGTAAAATGCCATTGGCGTTGGTCGTGAGTAAAACGGTATTCTGTACAATGGCCGCCGCAACGTAGACTTGCTGTTCTTTCGTCACAATCGAACTTTCGAGTATGGAGCGCACGGCTCTGGCGCCAAAACGTCCTTGTCCAATCTCCCAGCATTTATCCACAATAGCGTCAAAAATATACTGATTCTCATGTGAGCCTTTGCGTAAACAGCATTGCACGACATAATTACCGAATTGGTCCAAGAGTAAAAGTGGCACGTACGGTGCAATATGCTGGCGAACGCATTGTATTTGCTCAGGTGTGTTGGAGAAATCAATGATCTTTTGAGCTGCCCAAGTCCCGTTTTTATGCACACCTATCGATGCCAGGTAAGGAGCAATTTTTTCCAGCATTTTCAACTTTGTTTCTTCCGAGCAAAGTTCGAATAATTTTTGAATGACTGTATTACCAATGTAATCTAAAAAACATGGAAGCGGGGAATAGGATGAGTTTTTTTTTCCCTCCATGGTGGGGGCTCTTGATTCACACCCATCATTTCCTTTTGGGGTCCTTTCTCCTCCCACTCCCTCCTCCCCCTTCTTCTTTTCCCAATAGAAGAGACACACAAACACGTACCACTACATAATTCCACTATTTCATCCATGCATTCAGCAGCAATCGCTTCTACTTCCTCTAATACATTGGGCTGCTGCTCTTCGCTCTCTAGTTTCTTTCTCATTTCACGTAATCGAAGAGGCTCTAATTTTCTATCGGCCGTCCACTCGGGCACGACAGGCGTAGCCGTAATGTAGGTGAGAGGGACACGATCTTCTTTCATCTTTTCAGAAGGCTCCTGTCCAAGTTGTTGCATGATCAGCTGTCGTTCTGAAGCAATGGCTTTATACAGACTAGGTTGTGTCGTCTGTTGCTGACCGGATGCATTCAACATCATATTCGTCATCATGATAGCCGTAGCCCATTGTGCCGCTTGGTAATCGTTGTTATTCGTGATCACAGGCAACGGTGGCTGTATCGGATAGGGCATGGCTCCCGCAGGAGGGAGATGCTGTGGAGAATAAGCAGCCGCTGGAAATGGCATGTGTGGCTGTGGCTGTGGCTGTAGCTGTGGTTGTGGTTGTGGCGGCTGCAGAGGATAAGGATCTCTCAGCATCCTACTTTCGTCATTCAATTCTTCGTTCGATGCATTCGGTGAAGGCACCTTGGCGAACCCGATGCGTACGGTGCCCGTGCCTGCGCCCAGAATTTCCTTATTCTGCAAAGCTTTCCTTGCCCTGACAGCATCCTCTTGGTGTTCAAAATTGATGAACCCGCAATTTTTATGAGACAGCACGCGGACAGACTCAATCACACCAAACGTGCCAAAAATGTTGCGCAGAACGTTGGCGTTCATGTTGGCAGGAATATTGCCGACCCACAAGGCACGTGTAGGCCCTTGAGCATTCGGCCCTGTGTCGTTGGTCAAGGCCATGGCTAAATTGACATCGGCTTTACCAAATCCTACTCTGACGGGGGTGCCTCCTAATTTAGAACCCAAACGTGTTTCTAAATCATTTTTGGCTGCTATCGCTGATTCGACCGTCAGAAAATTCACAAAGGCGCATTCTTTATCTGAGAGGATTCTCGCACTTTCCACTTGTCCGTAAATTGAAAATTGCGTCGTGAGGTCAGCTACACTGATACTAGGGTTAATATTGCCGAGCCATAACGCACGTGAAGGGACTGTAAGTTGCGCTTGATGATTCGATAAGGAAGAAGGCGATGTGTCACTGTTATTATTCATCAGTAGATCATCCGGTGGATGAAAAGATTCCTTTGATTGACAAAAAAAAAAAAAAGAGGTCAGTCAAAAGAGAATCATCCTCTCTTTCTGAAAGTCCCCTAACAACTTACCTGCTCTTTTTCCAACCTATTGCTGCTATACAAACTGTTATTCGCACTCATACTATCAGTAGCATTGTGTTGCATTCGAAGTCGTGAAGAAGGCATTGCATTCTTTCCTGTCGCCACACCTGCTGCAGATACAGTATTACCCGTAGCATTCGGCGTAGAAAGATGTGAAGAAGTAGGCGAAGACATCATAAAGGGCGAAAAAGGCCCAGTACCCATTTCCCCCATATTTAAACTGATGGCACGAGGACGATTTTGTTGCAACAGTAAGTTTGAGCGCGCGTGAGGTGAGAAAGGATTGAAGGAAGCAGTAAGCCGTGATGACGGCTGCTGCTGATGATGAAGACTACTAGACGCTAATAAATCAGCCGTTGTAGAGGATGATAACGGCGAAGGGCCAGTGATAGTATAAGACCTTCCACGGTGGATAGGATGTTGAGAATGATCAAGCGAGCTAGCTGTTGTTGCTGAACCATTCGCAGTGGTAGTGTTGTCGTCCAAACCTAACGATGCAAGAGTCGAAGCAATCGTACTGGTTGCATTTTCGTCCATTGGACTTGAGGGATCGTACACATGACTTGATGAGCTTGTAGCTTCTGCTGCTGTACGGTCCAATGGCATGTGCGAGTAGTGGTGGGGTAACGTAACAGAACCAGAACGATGACGTAGAGAGGTAGAAGGTAAACCTCCCACGATGTTGCTGTTACTGCTGTTGGTTGAAGTAGTATCTTTTGCATTATTCAGACTTGCGACTAAATCACTGGCATAAGGAAAGACAGAAGATTGCGACGGCATAGTATCGGCACGCGATCTTCGCAAAGGAGACATTGCAGAAGAGTCTTGTGAAGTAGAAAAGGGTGCTGATGGTGCTAATCGAGTATTCATTGTGTTGATATCCATATCATTTGATAATCTAGAATGTTATATGGGAATAATTGACACTATTATTCATCGAGCTTTTCGACTAGTTTGAGAAAAATAATAAAAAAAATCAAAAGATTACCTGATAGAAGAGGAACCAGAGGAGGGTGACGTAGAGTGCTTGATATAATTATTCTGCCGGTCGTCCACCCAGGAAAAGTCCATGAATTTTTGAAATTCTTGGATGAAAAAATTATATTTCTAATGAAGAGACTGACGGTAGGATGTATAAGAGCTATTAATAATGAAGCTACTTCTGTAATAATAAAATAAAATAAAAAAAAAGTTTCAGACGGGTCTAAAATCTGAAAGAAAGAAAAGGAAAAAGTAAACGATCATCCTCAGTATACATCACAAAGGAAAAATAAACTTCTTGCCTGTTTTCCGTTGTGCGGGAAAGCCCGCCCTACATCTTCCCGCTTTAAGATCAGAATCGAGCCATTGCATTACGTAAAGAATGTGGAGTAAGTGGGTCAATGCTCCCTACTTCAATATTGTTTTCCGGCTGTTTAACAGACGGCGCTCATTGCTAATATTAAAAGAAACAATTTTAAATGGTTTTACTAAGGTTATCATCCTTCAGCAGTTTGGAGTGTTTGCTGACAACCGGCTCAATTTTAAAAATTTTAATAAATTATATTGAAACAGAAAAGGCATTTTCCTGTTCTTAGGATTTATCATTACCACAGGTTTCCATGTCACCTTCTCCTGTTGGCAAACATAAGCTCAAGTTTTGCTACTGGTCAATTTCTACTGCAAAGTCTGTTTCTAGACCTTCGATCTTTTATGATAATATAATGTGTAGAGACGGCCCCAGACATAATGATGTGCCGACTGACTATCGAATCGTTTTCGCTCAGACTAAAAAGAAATCAAATCATTGAGATTTCTATTTATGTCACTCATCTTTATGATTTGAGCCGTTGCTTATTTTGAACCAATGAGAAACCGCCGGTGACGTCCTTTTAAGAGCTTTGAATGGCTATTTGTCATAACAATTTCACACATTTTTAAAGAAACTCTTTGCTTCTCCATTGTACTGCTCAAGTAGGCCCTTTCTTTATAAGTACGGCAATACATTCTTCAAGTCACAGTCAGTTTCTTGTATATCGATTTTTTGTAATAGTCAATTTTCTTGGCCTTTGAAAAAAGAAAAAAAAAATGCCATCACCTCCAAAACCTTGGGAAGTGAACAATGCCAATGCCAATACAGCAGTTGTAACTTCACCTACAACTGCAGCATCATGCTGTTCAACGAATGCAGCTCCAGATGTTCCTGCTAGATCTACGAATACAACAACAACAACTTTAGATACAACAGCTTCTCCAGCGAGACCAACTTGTAAGTTTTAACCATTACCGGGCATTCAGTTTGTTAATCTTGGACGTTGCTTTTTCAAAAAGGAGCTAACCTCAGCCCTTTTTTCTAAATCGTTTTAAATAGCCATTGGCAACACAGGATATGGCTCTTTAGGTAGCGGTTACACTTCCGGATATGGAAACGGCTATGGCGGTTTGGGGTCGTATAATCGATTTGGAAGCAGTTATGGTGGTTATGGTGGCAGTTACGGTGGCTATGGTAGTTATGGTGGTTATGGAGGCGGATATGGTGGTTATGGAAGTTATGGAGGCTACGGCATGAATCGATACGGTGGTGGTTATGGCAATCGATTCGGTCCACCAGGTGCTGGGCCTGAAGATATGAGTCTTACACAGCGAATGGAGATGGGCACTCGGTCTACATTCGAAGTTATTGAAAGTATTGTCGGCTCATTTGGAGGTTTCGCACAAATGCTGGAATCTACTTTTATGGCCACACATTCAAGTTTCATGGCCATGGTAGGTGTAGCAGAACAGTTGGGTTTCTTGAAAAACTATCTTGGACAAGTGTTCAGTATCTTTGCACTCTATCGACTGGTCAAGAAGATGTTTTATAAAATCACCGGTAGGCTGCTTTCAGCCAAAGCAATGGAACTCAACTTTGCAGATTTCCAGCAATTCGAACAGAAAACAGCAGCAGCAGCAACAGCAGCAGCAGGACCAAAGATGTCCCGTAAACCACTTATCATTTTCTTTGCCATGGTGGTTGGTTTACCTTACATGATGCATAAACTGATCAAAGCCATAGAACGACAACAAAAACGGCAAATGGCTTTGCAGGGCAATACTCCTGCCAACCCTGCTACTAATCCATTGGCAGGTATTGACCCTTCCAAATTAGAGTTTGCTCGAGCTATGTATGACTTTAATGCAGAATCAGCAACAGAAATGACGCTAAAAAAAGGAGATATAGTAGCTATTATATCCAAGCTAGATCCTATCACGAATCAGACAAGTCAATGGTGGAGAGGACGATTGAGAGATGGAACAATGGGCATGTTCCCTGCTAATTATGTTGAAATCATTCATAAGAATGGACCACCAGCCTCAGCCCAGAATAATGACAATCATAATGCTTCGAAAGACGCCACCGGTGCTTTGCAGCAAGAAAAAATAGCTGCTATTACTGCTGGACCAGATACTACTACCAATACCATAACTGCAACAACTGCTTCTGAAGGAACTCTCCAGAAATCTACTTAACTAGCAAACGACAATGCAATAACAACGAACTCGACTGCCGACGATACAAAAATTTTTTTCGCAACTTTATTTATTTTATATGATTCCCCGTTCCTTTTTCATCATTTTATTTATTATTTTCCTCTTTACCTTTATAATCTATCATTTGCTTTCCGCTATGACTGTACAATATAACCCACTATATTTTCTTCTTTTCTATTGAACTTATCTGAAATAAACCTTTACCATGTCTCTTATTCATTGCCCTTTTTTTATTGGATACGGCAGTAATTATAAGTATGTCATTTGTATGTTTGCACTGACAGACATCCGCAACCTTACTTTTTGAGCATTATATCGAAGCCTAATGCAACTAAGCTGTTGGAATGGTGATAGAAAAAGAATAAAGGACAAGCCGTATATCCCTTCCAATGAATTAGATGAAAAGTTTTATTGAACCTTTGTTCAAAGCCACACATCCATAGCTTCATATTGATCGTTTTGTAACAACAAGTACATTGAAGTATTTTGGTCAATTTAAGATTTTTTCCATATGTTCCAAGCAAAAACTTTTTCGATGATGGCTAGAGTGCATTTTTAAATCCAAGTGCTATTGATAGCAAGGCACGAGATAACTATTGGAGGCTGCCGTCCCGAGGATAAAGTAAATCAATGAACCCAAAGTGAAAACAAATATTTTCAATAAAATGTATAAATGTCATAAATATCAGGATAGCGAGCGTTTTTTACAATATGAAAAACATGATGAACAGTGATGATGATTATCTATTAGTGAGAATAAACAGATGCTGGCTCTTCAAGGATCAAACGAGAGACAACAATCTCATCACGGACTCATTAATTGAACAAAGACAGGCGATTCATGGACTCCCTTAACGTCAGAAATATCTCTATAAGGCCTTCTTTGACTATTGATTGTTTCTAAAGTACACATCACAGACACTCAGATGTAATGGATAATATTGGAAGCATCGTTCGTTTAGATAGCCCAATGCAAGCACTTGAAGCTGTTCCAGCCATAACTGTAACGAGGTTTTGAAGATTTATCCTTACGCAGTAAAAGCATTACTGTACAACTAGATCTGTCAATTGCGGGAATTCATTTTTGACTGGAAATGTCAGCCATTTGAATCAACGTGCCTCTACACTGACTGACATCCTTTTAGATCTTATTGTCAAAATGTCCAAATATGATCCAAATTTCATGAAAGAAGCCTTAATTGTGGCTCAAGAGGCTTATGACAACCTGGAAGTTCCTGTCGGCTGTGTTTTTGTGTTGGATAATAAAGAGATTATTGCAAGAGGCAGTAATAAGCCTAATGCCACATATAATGTAAGAGCATCTGCCAATTCGACCAACATTCTTTTGCTTTCGAAACTGAATCAAAATACTGATAGGCTACAAGGCATGCTGAATTTGAAGCCATTGATGATATCTTGAAACAATATGACGTGGAGACTTTCAGCAGGATTGATTTATATGTTACAGTAGAACCATGTGTAATGTGCGCATCGGCACTTCGACAAGTTGGTATTCGACATGTATATTATGGTTGTGGGAATGACAAGTTTGGGGGCAATGGATCTGTCTTCAAGATCAATTCAGAGTAAAAATGGATGCTTTAACACCGGTTACATTGTTTACAATAATTAACTCACACCAATGTCATATAGTGAACGACTGAATACATCCCGATCGAAATGTTATCCTTCAGAAGGAGACTTTTTTTATGAGGAAGCAGTTATTCTTTTACGGAAGTTCTATGTTAGAGAAAACAAGCATGGTATGTTGTAAAAGAGAAGCGCTTGTAGCGACCCTTCTCACCATTGACTGTTCCTTTGTTTTGTTTACATGTACAGCACCTTCACCACGCAAAAAGACGAATAGAGTACTTAAAACAGAAGTGATACCCAAGAAACAGCAAACTTCAGAAAGTGCCTAAATACATGTCCTGTACAATATTTAAATGCGATCCAATCGTAGTGTATCCATATAACAGACTCTTTTTAAAAGAAAAAAAAAAAAATCAGACCGGTCTTCTTTTTAAGGAAGTTACACAAAAACACAATTTTCAACACCTTCCTTTTTTTCTTTTTTACTTCGATTTGGGCATACTTAGAGAAATTTCAATATTTTCTCTTGGTCAAGCGTCTAACGAACTATAAAAAGCTGGACCTTTTCTCTATTATTAAGAAGCTCAAAAAGAAAAAGAAACCTAGATACGAGCCTGAATTATTAAAACGATACAAACGATTGTATGTGTATAAAAGTCTCTGATCTGCTTGAGGAGATTTACAAGCGCTTGTCTCACAACTCATAATAACTTACGTCAATCTTTTCTTTTTTTCTTTTTTGGTTATCTTCGATCTTTTCCTTTCTCATGTCTGCTATTGCTCTTTACTTTATGGTCCTCTATTCCTAACTCAGAAAAGCTTTCAAAGAACAACGATTATTGATGGGACAAACATTATCAGCACCCGTAGTTGATAAATTAACACATCAAGGGAAAGACTCTCATTTCATATATGGAGTCTCCGCCATGCAAGGCTGGAGAATAAGTAAGTGCTCTTTCTGAAGGTTTGCTATGAACGGCGCACTATCTGTTTACTTAGTCTTACCTCATTTATCTTGCTGACACCACCTATTCAAGGCATGGAAGATGCTCATTGCACCGAATTAGATGTGGATGGCACGAATGCCAGCTTTTTTGGCGTTTATGATGGTCACGGAGGTAGAGGCATATTGAGTGGTGTTCATCCTTATATGACGAGAAGCGCTGGTTCATTTACATTTATTGTTATTATCAATTAATAAGAATAGGCTCTACAATTGCACAATATACTGGAGAGAATCTGCATCACCGTGTGATAAATAACCCTTACTTTGCAAAGAAAGAGTACGAGAAAGCACTTACAGCCGCTTTTAAAGAATTAGATAAAGAACTTTTAGAAGGTACAATTACAATCTACATTCTTTTGCGTGTATTTTTTGCTTTGAAACGGATAGCTAAACGATGCAATTGTTGATATAGATCCTAATTTCGCGTATGATCCTTCAGGGTGTACAGCGGTCACCGCGTTAGTGACTCCTGACCGTAAAACAATATATGTGGCTAATGCAGGTGATTCAAGAGCCATTATCAGTATATCAGGCAAACATAAAGCATTATCGTATGACCACAAACCATCTGATGCGAAGGAAAGTCAACGTATTACAAACGCTGGAGGTTTCGTTGAATTTGGACGAGTCAATGGTAAGAAGTAGCAATTTTCAACAATAGTATTACAAAGGCTGATCTTTATCTGATATTATAAAAATAAAGGTAATCTTGCTCTTTCACGAGCAATAGGTGATTTTGAATTTAAACAAAACAGCTCTTTATCACCTGAAGAACAAGCTGTTACGTGTAAACCAGACGTGATTCAGCACAATATCACAGCTGACGATGAGTTTTTCGTCCTTGCTTGTGATGGTATTTGGGATTGTATGTCAAATCAAGAAGTCGTTCAATACATTCGTGAAAAACTTGCACAAAAGATGAGATTAGAGGATATTTGCGAAGAGATCATGGAGGATTGTCTAGCGCCTGAAAGTGATGCTAGTAATGTAGGATGTGACAATATGTCAATCATGATCATCGGAATATTGAATGGCAAAACAGAAGAAGAATGGTATGATTGGATGGCTCAACGTGCCACACCAAAGAAAGATGCCTTAGGGAACGATATCAGTAATAGTGACGCTGAATCTGTAGGAAATGATGATAACGTTGAGGAGAACAATAACGGCTCTGAAGATGCCAACAAAGTCAGCGCTAGCGCTACAGAACCTATTGCAGTACCTGCAGAAGACATAATCGAGAAAGTTCCTTTGAATAATATGAATATTGATACTTCAACGGCCAAGAACGGTGAAACTGATCATAAAGCAAAATAGAATGGTTTGATATCATTTTAGCACAGCAGCTACTGGCCTACTATATTTTATGCTACCTTTGTACGCTTCTTACCTAAACTAATGCTATTTACCAGTTGTTTGAAAAGGCCGAACTAAATTGCTCAGCTTTTCGAAAATAAATCTACTTTTTATGGAATATTTTAACCAAACAGTAGAGTAATCATAAACGTTCTTTATTGAGCATTTGGATATTTCTTTGATCGAATGCTGCAGAAAGTTTTGTATATGCTCGACAGGAACATTTTCACTGCCCTCAATAATTTGTAAAGTATTTATGTATCTTTCAATTTTGTCTCAACTCGATAGAATCAAGTTCAACCGAATACGAATACGGAGGAAGGCATACTCGTATATAACCTTTTTTTCAAAATGATAGGGTTAACGACATCATCGAAATGGTTCTAAACGATATCCATAATTCTATCAATCCTTTTACATTAGAAAAATTGTAAATTTTTTGAGGAGACAGATACTGCTTCTTCCGCTATGTATTAAATTGATAAGGTTATAATGACATTAGGTAAAAGCAAGTAGGCATATATACGCTTTATCATACCCATTCAAATACCGAACGTGCAGGAGAAACACTAGCCAACCAATTATTGTCACGTGATCACTTTGTTCTATATAGTTTATAGGCGAAATTGCAAACAACAAAATTAACTAAGAGGGATTAGCTCAGCGGTAGAGCGGAAGATTGCAAATCTTTAGGTCCCGTGTTCAATCCACGGATCTCTCTATTTTTACATACCATGTATTTGTAGTGCGCGTAGCATATCTGTGTTTCTGGTTTTGTTGTGTAGCGCGCTGGGTCCTATGTGCCTCCATTGGAGGATTCAAATCAGTGATATCAAGATACTTTCGATTTCAAATTGACTCCAGGTATCGTCCTAAGTACTGGTCACAAAGATATGTGAAAGAGAAGCTAACAGGTCCGTCCGCTACACTAGGAGTCCCACAGGTCCCTTACCTCTGACCACCCAGTTTTCGTCATCTTTGCGTTTGACACATATAGTCGTTACTTGTTTATATGATCTTCTAAGCACTCAGCTATTCCCGCGTCGTCTCTTCCCTCTGCTTTGGCTTTCGTCTGCAATCATGACAACCCTCCGCTCAATCTGGAACCGCCAGCAAATGATGCATTTATAGAGAAATATACATTAGAATCGGTAAGCTACATTGTAGAACATCTCTGGGAATATCGCTGGTATAGGAATAATATCGAAGTTTGCTTTGTAAGCACTGTCTTGCAGCAGCTTTATTCCTCGGTTACCCTAAAAATTACGGTAGAAATTACATAACGTTATAGTTTTGCTGACATTTCTTGGAACATTTGTGAATCAGTTCACTTTAATTCTTCTTTTCTTATATTCGCATATTTCACTATTTACTATCATGTGTTTTTGAGTTTATATGAACTTAATAAATTATAACTTGAATTCAAACGAAAACAAACATACAAAACATACAACCAATAAAGTATATGGATAATGTATATCATTGGTTCTGTGACCTCTCCAAGTAACTGATGTCCTTCAACGCTGGGCAATTCCAAATCCAAAAATTTCACGAAGCTTTCGGTGAACTGTGTCAATTAATCTCTCCTTACTTTCAAACAATCAATATCAAACAGAATTCATGCCTAGATGCTCCTTTTGAATAGTTGGTTTTTGATGACTAGTTACGGGACTCCCGCTTACTTCATGCCTGCCGGGTACACCTGAGTGCTTAATACGAGTACTGACTTTTTTTTTTTGGGATTCTCCATTCGTGGATATTATAGCTATCTCAGTCAATACAGTTACATTTTACAGCTTATCCAAGTCGAGGCTTGTGCCAAAGGTTTGTTTGCTTTTTTTCTTTTCCTTTATTTCTCTAATCTCCATGGTAAAAATCAGAACAGAGTATATGAACAATACCATTAAACAAAAAAGAAAAAAACAACGACAAACGATAGACCTTTCTTTTTTTCACACCCATAACGGTATCTTACCGATGGTAACATAACTGTTGCGATATATATATGTTTTTATTACTTAAAAATATTCGGCATGCAATATAGCTAAAAGATAAGAAGAGATATGAAATTGGGGTAAGACAAAGGAGGACGGGCAAAAATTTTACTGAATGAGTACGATTAACGCCTATCATCACCATCACCAGCCAAACGTAAGGGATGGAAAGGTTCCATATCTCGAATCCATTGTTGATATTCTTCTACCTCAATTTTGTTACATGCAGCTGTCAACCGCGCAGTCAACGTAAGTTCAGCGTTTTCCGATCTGTCCAAATTTGTACGAGTTCTGGCCCAAAATCTTTCCATTGGGTCCGCAACGTTGGCCATATTTGGATAGAAAGCACAACGGAACCCGCCATCAACAATGACCGTCTTGAAGAAATGAGGACAAATCACCATCGATTCGTCCATGACTATATAACAACCACCTCGACCTTTTGCGCGTAAAAGATCCATGAGTTTTTTCAGGTAAGTCAAGTAAAATTGATTATTTTCAATCAGAGCGTAACGATTGTGTTCTTCGCGTAGTCCTTGTGGTTCCGCGGCGACTGATGTTTCAGAAGTATTATCATTACGATTAGAGGTATTGGTGCTGTTGATATTGAGTATATTGCGATTGTTTGGTGGAGGAAGCGTACTGCTAAAGTTGCTATTGGTGAAATTCATACCTGAATTATTGGCTGGCGGATAGGAACTTACAGGTGCACGCGTGTTGCTGGTGTTGTTGCCGTTATTATTATTGGTGGGGAAAACGTGATTGACAAACTGGAAACTGAAAGCAGATGGATTGCTGTGACTGGGATTCACGGAACTATTGGAATGCAGCATATTGGTCTGTGAGCTGCTACCCATCAGATGCTGTTGCTGATTCATGGGAGTACTATTAATCCAGTTTGCCATGTAGGCTGTTGGAGCAGAGTTGCCAGTCGGTATATTATTGTTGCTGCTACCGTAGTTATTGTTGCTAATATTAGTAGGGCTTACACTATTAGTGTTATCATTGTTATCGTTATTGTTGAGCATCTTTTCTGCTTTAGCATCCTCTTCTTGCTGTTCACGTATCAATTGCTTAACGTGCGGAAGGTTCTGGAATTGTTGATGGTGATATGTATCATATGCGTCTGATAATTGTGGCTTTTGAATGTTGACATCAATTAGACCTTGAGGACTAATAGCACCGAAGAGGGTGATAACGGTACCTCTCGAGGTGGATGGCTGATAAACACCCGCTCCTTTGTCAGCTTCCTCATCGTCCATGTCTTCCATTTCCGTTTCATCGCCATTTTCATTGCTACTGCTGTTGCCTTTATTACGTCCTTTATGACCCGACATTTTTTTCATGAATAAACCGGTACTCTTCCCGTCACCTTTGTTGAAGGTGGCTTGACCGACAAAAACTGTGTTACTGAAGAAATCAATATCTCTACTATCAATCCAATCGCTCACCACGCTCATGGTGTCCATGTCTGTTCGACTAGCTAATGCATCAAGTCTTTCAATTCGTCGCAAAAAAAAAGAACACTGAGCTTTGATATGCTTTTGTAATACTGCAGTGCTGACAGTAAAGCCAGGAAACTTTTCCTTGAGTATATCCCTCAAATCACCAAAGGAGCAGTTGGGTATTTCTGCTAGCTGGTTTGTATCTATCTCTCGGCCGGCAGTACGTGCGTCAGCGATCAGACGATTATTGGCTGCCTGAACCTCTGCTTGCTTTTCAACCAACTCATCAATAAAATCGACAATAAACATTGTCTGCTCCTCTGAAAACTTTGCCGATACAGAGTCGTCATTGGGGCCTTCCGTCTTTTTATGGCGCTTGGGTGGGCCACCTGTTTCATTCCAGAATTTACGGTAGCGGTAAGCAGAACTAATGGTGATGTCTAGTTTTTTAGCTGCAGTACGCACGGGTACACCTTCAATGCAGAGGTTGATAAAATCGATAATCTTTTGATCCGTGTATTTGTTGTACTCGGTAGGTCTTTTTTTATTAGAAGAGTGTTCGCTGTCGTCTCCACTATCAGCAGAGTTTTCAGCAGCGGTCATATTCGTACTGGATAGTGCAGTTCTACTGCTGCTTTCACCGCCTTCGGTTTGCCTCACATTCTCACCATCAGTGTCACTGTTTGCGACATGGCTTGATGAATTGGGTTGACTACCGCCATCAGTGGAGCTAGCGCTTTGGCCGTCACCACGGTTTCCTCTTCTGTTATTGTGGATGGTTTCTATAAGTAAGCGCAACCTTTCCTGTTGATCTAAGCGTGTTGATGGATCGTTACGACCTCTTCGTCGGTCGTTTGTAATTGCCGGAGGAAGTGCTGCTCCAGGTGAACTGGAATTTGATTGCAACGACTGTGGTCGTGCCTGTGTCGATGGTGTAGAGGATTCTGATCCTGCACCTTTTCTAGTGGAAGCAGGTCTTTTTCTTTTTGCGTTTGCCATTTTCTTGCTCTTTTAAAACTTGAAAAATATGGAAATATGGAAGGCAAAACAATACCAAAATTTATGGGATGTGTCATCAAATTTTATCCTAAAGTTTGTTTCATTCCTCATACGTGTTCATCTCGAACAGAATAAGCCGGAAAAAAGGCTGTTTTCGAACCGAACCACTGCGGTGATGTTAATTTTCTGACGTAGCGCTTTTCTCCTTTAAAATTAAATCACCGTATAAGCGAGCATGTGGGGGGTGAGCAAGGGGATTTTCCAAGCTTGAAGAAAAGAGTGGAGGGCATGAAAAACGACACTCATACAAACAGGTGTGCACCCTACCCACATATACACAAAAGAGCCAGAAAACATTACCCCTCTTTTTTTTTTTATTCTGTAATTTTTGTTATCTTTCTAACCACTGTTCTGATATATTTCAACTATGGCCTCTTCACTTCGTGCCGCAGCTATCAACTGGACCAAGTTAAGCGTTAGTCTTCCTCAAGAGACTGTCGCTTCTCTTCAAGCATTCCGTAAGCGTAATGATGAAGTTAAGCGTGTTCTTGGTGAATTAAAAGAACAAAGCACCAGTGTCGATTTCAGCCACTACCGCAAAATTCTTAAGAATCAAGATGTCATTGACCAAGCTGAAAAGGCTATCAACGGTTTCAAGCCCGTTGCTTACAATTTGGATGCTCAATTAAAGGCCATTGACCAATTCGAAAATAAAGCTGTAAGATAAACCATAAGTAGAAATCATACTGAACGAGGCTCAGAGATAGAGAGCTAGAGAGAGAGAAAGATTGATAGATACGGTAAAAAGCACTATTGACAATGCATGCAAACCTTGATTTATATAGGTTTCCAAGGCTCAAAAGACTGTTCAACAGATCGAAACTGAACTTAAGGATCTCCAAGCAACCCTCAGCAATATCGAAAACTCTCGTCCCATTGATCAACTTACAGTAATGTGTCTTTCAGTAAACAAGTTGACATAGTTATATGCTGACATACCCTTTTTTTTTTGTCAATAATTAGGTTGAAGATATTATCGTTGCCAAGCCTGAAATCACCAAGGAAGTTGAAGAGAAACTTCAAAAGGGAGAATACACCATTCCTGGCTACAAGGAAAAGTTTGGCGATATTTCTTACTTCTAAATTATTGTATCATTTCCTATACTTTTATATTTTATATATATGCAACACTTATACACCATGGTCTTTTTGTAGCCAAAATGCCATCAACACAAATTAACTTCAAAAAAAAAAGTTAATTGGAAGAAATATTGAAGTAAAAGATGACGTGATCAATTGTGATGTTTAAATAGAAGGATGTTCAGACCATGTTAAGCTTGAGAAGTAATAAGGGGATATGATAAAATACAGTCTTTTGGCGAGTTTGGATCCCAAAGAGTAATGAACCATTTCAATCATTGACTGAATGAGAAAGGCTCTGACTTTATAAAGCAAAATGATGTTAAAAGTGGCTATTTATCTGAAACCGTGAAGCTGAACGTCCATATAAATATTAAAAAAAAAAGAACCAACCTAAAAAAAGAAAAGAAACTGAAATGAAACTTACTCTCTTTTTTCTTTTTTTGAGACCTTTTAATTGACATTTTTAAATTTGCTTATTTCTTGTTCTATTATTCCCTTTTCTACTCTTCTTTACCCTTTAAGCAAATAATTATTTCAATAGCAAAATGGACGCCTCTTCAATAGCGGGCTACTTGTCGATATTATGTTGGCTTATTGTGTTTACACCGTAAAGAGAAAATTTTTTAATATGCACAGGGGAAAGCTGTCATCTGCTTTTAACTTATAGCGACTGTTCATGTTGTATAGACAATTATGGGAAAATTATACTAGAAAAAGTGGTGATGGTCTATCGGTCACCTTTTTGGTAATCTGGTTAGCAGGCGATGTGTTTAACTTGTTAGGCGTTATTATGCAGGATTTGCTAGTAACAATGTTCGTACTTGCGTTATATTATACCGTTGCGGATATGGCATTGATCTGGCAAGTCTTTTACTATAAGAAGAAGCGATCACAGCATAAGCATTATCACAAAAGGAGTTTTAGTGATGAAGAGCACGTTCATATACCACATCAATCACAAATTTCTAGTTCTTCAGTTTCAGAAACCACTCCTTTACTAAAAGATGCTACGTTATCGTCATCTTCCTCGTCTTTTACCTCAACTGTAACTCCTGTCTCAACTTACGATTCTTCATCTATTGGCAAAACCGATAAAGACACCAAGCGATCACAAAGAGCTTTTGCATTCTTCAATGCAGTTTCATTTTTATCCATGTTTCTGGTGACAACTTTCTCGTGTTACAGTTACTATCAAGTACACAATTCAGACAAAGTGGGCAATGAAATCGAATGGCTGCCACAAGTCATGGGATGGACGAGTGCTGTCTTGTACGTAGGAAGCCGTATACCACAATTAGCAAAGAATTGGAAGAGTCAAAGCACGGAGGGACTCAGCATGGGTATGTTTTTCTGTGCTGTTATGGGCAATGTGTTATTCTCTGCTGTAAGTCACATCACAATCAATCTCGTTCTTCACAGTGTTACTCATGTAGTGCTATAAGTTTAGTCTATCTTTTTGAAATCGACAGAGAGAAGTTATCTCTTGATGAATCTTTCTTGGCTAGTAGGCAGTTGTGGCACCTTGCTATTTGATTTTATTGTAAGTTACAAATATCTGCTACGTGTATATATTTGAAACTTCAACTAACCACGCCCCTTCTGTAACTCTTAGATTTTTATTCAGTTCTTCTTGTATAAGAAGATGAAACCAACAAATCTGTTTGTTGGGAAAGTGAATGTATAGATTGATTTGCCTATCCTTAGTGTATCTACTATACGTATATATATATAGACGAAACAGTCTCTGTTTACCAAAATTGAAGGATTTCACAGTTGTACCTTTAACTATTATAATATTTAAAAGATGCTACTTACCCGGCTCGTCTTTTTGCAACGCCCTTTTTATGTAACTAAACAAATTATATAAAGCTTCAAACTGCACATATCTACTGATAACCTGCTTGACAAGTGATTAATTGATTTCTTCAAAGTACAGATCGACATCGTATGGCTTTTTATTTACCTTTTGCTTTCATACAAATCTCACATGCCAATTTACATGCAGAGACAACAATTTCCTATTGATCTAGCTTATAGCACCTGAATGAAATAAGCCAACTTGGCTGTCGCAGACGCATTTCCTTCTTCTAGTCTGTCCAAAAGTGTTATGTAGTTCTACTGCATGAATTATGATCTGCGAATCGAGATAAAACTTGATATATCCGAAGAAGTATGTCCTTTGTTATGCCCATGCCTAGAAAACAACCTTCAAGTCTCTACTCATTGGATTTAGATTGTTCAATAATCCATAAGCAACCATATTGAGCAAAAGTATAGACTATACTCAGCATGCACAGATAAGTTCAATGCTAAACAAGAAACCTGAAAGCCGATGATTGGCTTATACTTTTAGAAAGCTCAGTCATAATGCAGTGCTATAAGATATGGATGATTGCATGTGTTTTTGTCAAGATTATTGAAGCAATCGATGCAGTTTATTCCATCAAATCAGCTTATTTTCGATGTAATGAAGATTGATAGTGGAGAATATCTTGAACTTGAAGAGAAAAAGAAAAATCCAAAAGTAATACCTATTTAGGTATGTGGAGGTTTCAGTTCATATGCCAAGTTGTAGATAAACCATGCATAGAGTTTTTTTTTTTCTTTCTCTCTTTTCTTTTCATTTTCATTATTATACGTGATTTACTTTCTTTCAACGAAACTTCAAAAAACTTTCAGATAAAGCATAATGTCCTCTTCGAATACGCAGCAAAATGACAACCAAACAAGCGAGCATTTTTTTCCACAGCATGATATACCAGCAGAAGGTCGAGATCCTATCATGCAAGATGACCATTTTTCACTACGCTTTGGCAATCCAATTCAAGTGATACATGATTTCAAAACGCATAAAGCTGACACTTTTGAACCGACTAAAGAGCATGTTCCTGGAGCCTTGGCCGATGCTATTGGAAATGCTTTATCCAAGCAGCAGCAGCAACAACAACAACAACAACAACAACGACAAGGTCATCAGCTCCACCATCATCATCATTTAAACGAACAAAACGGTGTTTCATCCCAAGGGAGCTCACCAGCATTATCAAGATCCAATTCTGGATTCTTACGTGACCCTATACTTTGTGCGGATTTCTACCACACAAAGTCAGGCGCCGTATCTGAAAAAGAGCACGAAGAGCAGCATTAAAAACGATATTACACACTCTACTTATAAAAACCCACTGATTTCCTTGCACACACTTGCTTTATGCTTCCATTGCAGACTCTGTGTTACAGCCAAAAGTTAATAAATCCCTACGAGTCTTCTTCTATTTTTAACTCGCTATTGTTCTACGCTAATCCTTTAGAAAGATATGACATCAAAAAGGAAAATTAAAATAGATCTCCACCTTGAACATTTTCTGTTACTGATAGCTCTTATTTTCTGACACAACGTGTAACAGTAAAAGTCAAAAACGCTTGAAATGGTTAAAGAGTATGACTACTGAGCAACAGTTCTCTATTGTTGAGTGTACAATCTGTAGTGTGTTTTATATATTTTTTTTCTTCTCCATTTAAAAAAAAAAAAGCAGGATCTAGAGCGTTCTTTTTGAAGTATTCTCGGTTTACTATCTTCATAATAGTTTTCGAATCGTCATGGCTGATCTCATTGTTTCTCATCTTCCTCGAGAAACTTCAGATAACAAGCAAGCAAAGCAGCAACAACAGCCAATTTCCTTATTGTCAGCAAAAAGCAAAATGAAACCTTCGGTTCTTATAACTCAGATTAAAGACAGAATCCCAGTGCCTCGAAGATCCAACTCGGCCTTCCATCCAACGCAACAGCGAAACCATACTATACAACTACCCACACAGTCGAGATCCTCATCTTTGACAGACAAAAAGGTATTGTATAAGTCGAGAGCGTATATTATCTTTGATGTTTGGCACGTGAAGTAGTAAGTTGAAAAAAATAATTTTAAAATAGCTGCCGATCCGATCAAAATCTTTGCCCCGCAAAAAACAGAATATCGCAGAAAACGATGACATGGCAACAGTAAAGGTACACTCTCATGGTACAAAAAATCATACTAACGCATTGTTTCCGCCACCAAACAATTCAACGACAACTTGTGTAAAATCGACGACTCAATTGAAGAGTGCTTCAAGTGTTGCTACTGCTGCTCCTGCTGTCCTTCTTCAACCAGTTTTCGGTCATAACATAGTTGTACCACCTCAGCGATCGTCTAGTTTACGAAGGAATAGAAGCCATACTCTTTCCAACACTAATACTACCACTATTACTACATCCGCTGATACAAAAAAGATAAAGGCGATAAAACCTCCCATCCGGTCAAAGACTACTAATAGCAGAAAGATTACCGATTTAGAAACGTTGAGCTTCTATCAGGACGGTGATCTATTCTCCCCTTCTGTTAAACTGTGGGGGGTGGAAGATAACATTTTCGGGTCCATGGAAAATCTTATACTACCAGCTAAATCATGCTCTGAGAGACGTTCAACGATACTGAAAATGAGATCGAGCAGCAGTAGCAACCTTAGTAAGGGAAACAGTGGTACTGACAATCATCAAAAATCAGCTGCTAAAACAGCAACAGTGGCAACAGAAGAAAAGGAAGCGACGGCTGAAAGTGTCGCAAGGTCTTTCTGGTATCATTACTCGCCACTAGCAAATGATGACAACGATAGCATTCATCGTGAGAGCAATGTTGATAAAAAGAATCAGGTTCGAGTTTCAGAAATCCCTGATACAGAGATAGCAGGCTATCTTGGTAAAATGTACGTATTAACACAAAACTTCGTCCTCATACGAGAATGATTGCTTATAATCTATCTTCACAGGGATACTTTTAGTCATCAAGTTTTGCTATGCTATATGGGTTTTTTCGATTTCAGTAACTTGACGCTTGATGAGGCATTCAGGTAATCATGCTGTCAAATACAGTATCAACGGAATGTCACAAACGTTAAATACAATACATACACTGTTTAGGAAGTTGTGCGCAAAATTGTACCTCAAGGCGGAAGCACAAGAGATCGACAGGATTTTAGAAGCATTTTCGAATAGATATTATGAGACTCTCAATTTAGACCATCAATCCATACTCAGGAATGCTGGTAAGATGCCAAGTGCTGTTTTCACTGTTTTGATTTGTGCTTTTTGAAAAAAACCTGATATAACACATATCAGCATTGATCTGTAGACATTGTTTACACTACCACTTATTCCATGATGTTACTTAATACTGACTTACACCATATGTCGCATCTCAGCCATTGTCATAATGCTATGACCTGTGAGGCATTTGTTAAAAATACTATGTATACCATATTGGAACAACAAGGCTTACTCCAGCAACAACAACTATTGTCATCATCACCATCACAAGAATTATCATCCATGATACAGCAGCAGCGGCAACACGAAAAAGAAGATCCTAATCTTGCTTTTTGGAAATGGAAAGAGCAGTTAGAGAATTTTCTAAGGGTAATAAATATTCTTGTGCTATAAGTCATTCATCTTTTCACTAAGAGGTTGAGTCATGAATTACTAAAGCAGCATTGAATAATCACTTAGGAAATCTTTTTTTCTATCAAACAACATGGTGTTATGCTACCATCAGCTTTCAATAATAGTAGCATTCCATCACCACCTTCAACTGCTGCTAGTGCAATTCTTGACAATGGAACGACCACAGCTGCAGAAGCAGCCAAGGTCTTTATAAAGAGAATGGGATCAATGTCAAGACGGAGGCGCGTAATAAGAGAAAAAAGATAGAAGAAAAGGATCATATACAATAGTAAACAATAAATCTGGAGTTCGAGTCATTTGAATATTCATAAATACTCTGAGTGAGTCATGTTGACCAATATAGTAGTTAAGAGTCCTGAACGGCATACGATCGCCAGATTATTCTTTCTTCGAATGCTTGTCCTTAATAATAGTCTGGCAGTTCATCGCTTAGCACATTATATTTCTCACTTTCCCGCTAACATACCCTCATATATACGCGGGGGCTCAATTCAATACAGCAAAAGAGTTATATGAGAAATTGCCGATAGCTTTTCAAATACAATAAAAAGAAAGCTGACTACTTTGCATGAACTTAACGCTAAATAAAAGTACGCGTGCTATATATTAACGTATTTTTGAATTCATCGATTATGGCTCAATATCGTTTTATAAGAAGCTAGCTTTCTTAGAGATAATACAATACCCAAGAATCCACAGCCTTAAGGCAGAAAAACCAAACCAAAAAAAGGTAGTTAGGGCTATGACTCAATCTTGTAAAGACATTGATATATCCAGTTACTTTAAAAGACTTATAAAATAAAATAAGACAGTAAAATGACCAGACACAACAAAGATACTCTTTATTCAAGTTTGTTGAGAATGATACTTTTATATGAGAAACGGGGTTATTAACGGGTATTTAACTATTAATACAACTGAACTAAAACTATCATGAGAATGATAAGATCTTAGGCGCAAGCAGGTGTCAAAGTAGATGTGTATCAGATTGTCAAGCAGGTACTGAAGCGTTCTGTAGTTTAAGACGTATAGTTGTATCTTGGTTACAACAGACATTTAAAAAAAAAAAAAGATTAATGAGAGGTTTGGTACCAACATCGATGCGTCTTTTTCCAGACATAACAGCAATCGCATAATAGAACAAACTCCTAAACAACATCCTTCTGTACAACAAATTCATGCGTGCCAAATCGTAACGTAGCGCACAGTAACTACCATCACTTCATCTATTGATGATAAAGGTAGCGAGAGGTACTTCAGTAATGCTCTACTAGACGATATCAATTCTTTAACAGCATACATTTGTGAAATTCCATAATTCTCTTGGCTCGTAATATTGAACCAAATCCCAATTGTGCAAACTGCTCAACCCACGCTGATTGAACAAAGCGGTATCTATTAACAATAGTAGTAATCTAAACAGGTCAATCAATAAACTAAAGAGCAAAGAAAATCTTTGTAGGTGTTAGGAGCGAGACGAGGGTTTATTCTTAAAAATTTACTTTGTGTAGTAGAATGAAGATAGAAGAATGGACATGGATCGACCGTAAACATGGACATATGGAGAAGATTAACAGGGTGTTTGCTAAACGTACGGTGGCGAACAGTGCTAATACGACGTTCACGATAGTAGGTTCAAATGTGCATATTAAACTGCTAAGCAGCAGAAGACTATTGGTTTCAGTATATAAAAATGACGATTCGCGCAACTGAAAACGAACAGTCGCCGATAAATAGTCTGAATGTGAGCAGAGGATTTATGGGGAAAATTGATATCATATACATATCATGGAATTAAAAGGGGTACTGACAATTCTGATAAACAGAATAGATCTGTCAGTAACTTTTCAATTTAAAGCTAATGACAGTCTATTCGATTCGAGCCATGCTGTGATTTCTGTAATATCCTTCGCTTATGTTTCTCTTAAGCCGTTATGATTCGGACTTTCATACTGTTTGCCTTCAGACGAACAGAATATTGGATTTTTGGAAATACCATAAATATTTTTTAGATTGTGGTAATTTTAGTTTGAGATGTATTTTTAAGAATTTTAACTCAGGGCGCTTAACTATCCTGTGTAATATATTAAGCATACTATAACATCACAAACTAGCTGAGAAGCAAAGATACGCCACTGTCTGTATATAGCAATGATTTTTCAGAACTTTGGTGCATGTTGGTAAGAGCCATCACTTAAAGTGGCAAAGGGTTTGAATGATTGAGCTATCACTCTACGCTTTAAAACCTGTCCAACAGCAAAAATGGCGGTACGTACAAGTCCTTTAGACTTCGCCGTGGGGGCTGTGGCACTTTATATGCACCTGTAATTTTTCTCTGTGAATATTCTGGAAGACTTTTCTTTTTCGAACAAAACTGCGATTGATTTTAGATAGAGTCCTATCCAGTCTAATAACTCCTTTCAAACTTTTCATTGACAAAGTCAATAAAAAATTTTTTAGTATTTTACGAATTCTACGCTCGCCCCGTTATCATTGCTCATCAACAAGGGTCTGAAGTGAGCATACTAAGTTTTTGTTTAATTTGAAAACCAAGTAAAAATGGAAAAATCCAAAAATTATCAACACACACCTTTGTCGGTCATTATAGCACTTAAGATTGAACTCAACAATGCTAAGCGAAAAGTTACCGCCTGATCGACGAAGAGATCGACGAAGAACTACGTCTTAACGAAAAGGGATATGTGATAAACTCGTACGCTAAAACTCTGGTATTATACCGTAAGCCATTTCTATGATGTATTTTCAACCATTATTTGTTTGCTCAGGTGAACTAGCAGCATATGGCCCATATGTCATATTTTATCCTTCTTTGGGAAAGGTCGATCTCTTTCTCTCAAAGGTCCTTTTTTTTTGAACGTTACTCAATGAAATAAAATGCCTCATTTATTGTATTTTGGTTGATTTTGAGTAACCCGGAAAACTTTCATAAATTCAATGCGCTTTATTGGCGATTGGCGATTTTATTCGGTCTTTATGAATTGTTACACTGAAAATCAGAGATCAGGCGAGATCAGAAAATGACACAGCAGGGCTACATTCAATGATTAGAACTTTATTACTGTTAATCTGCATATGCCACTTAATGAGGTAAAGCACTGGTGGCGCTGCTACAGAGAGATATACAAGAAATATATATAGTTGTCTGTATTTTAGTTTACGAAAAGCTATTTTTCTAACTACAATTGGCTTCATCAACATAGTACTGAAAATTCCATATGTACAGCTTCCATACAAAAGCAGTATTCCTTTGTTTGTATAGATGATTGCAATTGCGATTTGATTATTGATAATACAAATTGCTAACTTTTCGGTTAACCAAAATCGGCGTCTTTATACCATTTGCAAGACTCATGAGTGATAAAACGTGGACACAAACAACTTAAAATTCTTTTGATACACAACTGATTTAGGCAAGGGGAATAACAGCGGAAAAGAATGCAGTGCGCTATTACGTACTCTGACACGGTTACAAGGACTAACAGTCCTTTATTATATAAGATCCTTTCGCAAAAAGGGCGCAATAGACTCTCAAGCCATATTGCTCGAAAAGAAAAAGGCACTTCAGCCATAATCCACATATAAATAAGCTACGATGGAATTAACCCTTCACCTTCTTCCCCTTTTTTTTTGTTTTATTTCCTGTTCCATAGATCTAATAACATCTTCTAAAATTTTCTCTTCTTATCCCTCTTCCTGCTTTTCTCAACACCTGTGAAATAGCCACGCATTCAACAGATTCCCGAGCCTTAGTCCCCTCATATCTTTAGATACAAACTCTTTCCCTCTGCGAGGATGGATGAAAAATTTGTTAACGAGGACAAGCAACCTCAGGACATTGAACACGACGTTCATGTCCTAAGCTTTGAAGAAGACAACAAAATCAAATTTGCTGCTACACGTATACATCGTCCTGAAAGAACCAGAACTATGCAAACGGTCGACACTACTGGCTCCCGCAGACCTTCCATTAGCGCGCCTCATATACCCAAGAAAACAAAAGCCAAGAAGAACGTAGATATTGTAAGTTGCAAATCAAAAGTTTTGCTTTGTCTAAAAGTGTACATTGATTGATAAATTGGCTTTTTTAATGATCGTAAATGTTATTAGACTGAGCATCTGTTGACTCCTGAAGCTTGTGCTGACAAGTTCAATACACATATCAATATGAAAAAAGCTGCTGAATCCGAAGGCCTTACTTCTCAACAAGCCGCTAATGTCTTATCTGAAACGGGTCCTAACATTTTAACACCACCAAAGAAAAGACATCCCTTCCTCAAGTATCTTGACTGCGTTCGCAAGCTATTCAATCTCTTATTGATCTTGGCTGGTGTTTTGGACTACATCTTATTGGGTATTGACTTCAAGGGAAATTTTCCTAATGTAAGTTTAATCAACATGCAAAATGCAAAGCACTCAACAAATGATTGTAATTCTCATCCCAATGTACAAATTATTGTGTCATCCCCTTTTGTAATTAACAATTTCTTTTTGTACTATATGGATCTAGACCTATCTAGGAGCTATCTTAATTGGTGTCTCTTTACTTAACGCCTTTATTGAATTTTATCAAGAACAAAAGTCTCAAGCTCTTCTTGATTCGTTTATGAATATGGTTCCTGCTCGTTGCATGGCCATTCGTGACAGTAAAGTACAACAAATCGGTGCTGCTGACCTGGTCGTTGGCGATGTTGTACTTGTTCGAATGGGTGATAAAATCCCTGCTGATCTATACATTTTTGCTGCTTCTGATTTGAAAGTTGATAATTCTCCTTTGACGGGTGAATCGGATCCTCAAGAGCGTGGCCCGCATAACACACAAAAGAATGTATTAGAGGCAGAAAATATTGTCTTCAATGGTACCTTGGCTGTCTCTGGTGAAGGATATGGTATTGTCGTACGTACAGGTGATAGCACAGTACTTGGACAAATTGCTGGCTTAACGGCCGGTGAAGCAAAGAGTGAATCCCCACTTTCTCAAGAGGTAAGGTCACAATATGTTCGTTGGCTTCAAAATTAACAGGGATGGCTAATTAAAAAACTCTTGTATGTGTCCACTTAAAATAGATTTCTAACTTTGTTAGAATCATTGCTACTATTGCATTCGTTACTGCAGTTATTTTCTTCGGCATTGGCTTCCCTGTCAACAACAACAATATTTCATTGACTCTCAACTTTGCTATTTCCGTTTTCGTTGCTTGGGTTCCAGAAGGTTTGCCTGCCACTGTCACCATCCTTTTAACTATCTCTGCAAAACGTATGGCTGCCCGTAATGTTCTTGTCAAAGATCTTCAAGGTGTTGAAACATTGGGCGCTATAACTCTGTTGGCCACTGATAAAACTGGTACACTGACTCGTAATCAGATGACTGTTACTTACGTCTGGACTTGTCTTCAAATGCGCAATGTTATGGATAAACAATTATTGCAACAACAACAAAATAGACTTCAAGACACTCCTGGTGTCAGCGAACTGCTTACGATTTGTGCCTTAAACTCAAGAGCCAAATTCGATCGTGTAGACGTTCCTGTCGCTCAGCGTCAAATCTTGGGTGATGCTACCGAAACGGGTCTTGTTCGTTTCGCTGGTGAACAATTTGGTAAACAATTCGATATTCTTCCCGATACCTATCCCAAGGTGTTTGAAATTCCTTTCAATTCCGATAATAAGTGGGCCATGACGATTCATCAGAAAGAGCATGCTGCTGGACCACTCACACTATATGTTAAAGGTGCTCCCGAGCGTGTCTTGAAGTTGTGTAATCAGTTTCTATTACAGGACGATAGCGGTAACACATACACTGTGCCATTGTCTGATGAACATTGTAAAGCTTTCCAAGAAACGTATTCTTATATGGCTGGTCAAGGTCACCGTGTATTGGCTTTCGCTCAATATCAACTACCCGCTTCTGAATACCCTGCTAACTATAGGTTCAATAAGAATGAAAAAAACTATCCTATGTCTGGTCTTACCTTTGTTGGTTTAGTTTCATTGGAAGACCCTCCTAAGCATGGTGTTCGTGAAGCCATTGGTAAGTGTCGCGCTGCTGGTATCAAGGTCATGATGGTCACGGGTGATCACCCCTTAACTGCTGAAGCTATTGGTCGAAAGATTAACTTGATGATTGGTGATACCAAGACGATGGCTGCTCAAAAACTCAATAAGCCGGAAGAGGATGTGCAAGACTATGAATATCAAAGTATTGTTATTCATGGCGATACCATTGATAACCTGACAGATGAAGATTGGGATACGATTTTCTCAAAGGATGAAATCATATTTGCTAGAACATCACCCAAGCATAAATTAGAAATTGTGAAACGCGCTCAATCTATGCGCCATATTGTGGGTGTTACTGGTGATGGTGTGAATGATGCACCTGCGTTAAAGAAGGCCGACTTGGGTATCGCAATGAATATCTCGGGTTCCGACGTTTCCAAAGAAGCTGCTGCAATGATTTTGCTCGATGATAACTTTGCATCCATCATCCATGGCATTGAAGAAGGCCGTTTGATTTTTGTCAATCTTAAAAAGTCAATCATGTACACAATTACTCATTCTATGCCAGAAGTCATTCCTAATTTATTGTATATCATTGTTCCGTTGCCATTGCCTCTATCTGCTATCTTAATCTTGGTGATTGATTTGGGCTTTGAGTTGTTTGCTGCTTTAACGTTCGCTTGGGATGTTCCGGAATCTCAAGAAGGCTTGATGAAACTACTTCCACGTAAGCCTGCTACACCTGAATCCATTGACCGCCACCGTCGTATGTTGCATCGCACCCAACGCTATAAAACTTACGATCCTGAAACAGGAGAAGAAGTCCGAGGCTCCCTCTTTAAACGTATCTCCAACAAATTACATGAATTGTTTACGGCTGCTTATTGGAAGGAAAAGTTTGAGAAAACAGAAGATGAAGTCTTGGTAGACTTGCCACTACTGTCTTGGTCTTATCTAGAGGTTGGTATTATTGAATCCATTGGCTGCTTAACCGCATATTTTGTCGTATTATGGTATAATCATATTACACCTTACGATGCAGTGGTGATGCAACGTGGAAGCGGTGCTCCTACTTATTTTTTCTCAGATGGCCCTATTTATGCCCAGAATTATATCACTGCTTCCGGGTACGTGTTGGATTCTTCTGCTCAGAAGACCGCTCTTGGTCAAGCCCAATCCATTGTTTACTTCAGTATTATGATCATGCAAATGTTCAATATGTTTGCTTGTAAAACACGTTTTTCAGTTCCGTTTGGCAAGTACATGTTCTCCAACTTGATGACATTTGTGGGTATTTTTGGAGGTGCCTCTTTGGCTGCTTTGATTGTCTATTGCCCGCCTTTCAATATTCCTTTTGGTACTAATTGGCATCTTTCTCCACTCTGGTGGTTGATTGCTTTCGGATTCGGCTTTGTCATTTTGGCTTATGCTTGCTTACGTATCACTCTCAAACAAAAGTTCGATCCCATTCAATTTAATCCTGACATTCAAGGCTTACGTATGTACCCTACCATTCGTACAGTGGCCACTCAAGATTCTCGTTCTGTAAATAGAATAGTTTAATATACTTATCTCCTTCCTTTCATAAGATTTTTCTTCATTTAATCATTACTTTATATAATATGAGATCATTGACTAATTAATAAAAACGACTAACTATTTATTCTGAACAAACGATTTTCTCAATGCTTCAATTTTCCTGATATGCTTTCATAATCTCAATAGACAGACATTTCACACAAGTTTTGAGCCAGTTTTTTATATTTACATCGGCTGATGTATGTAACAAGATGTATCAAATAAAGATTAACTCTCCTTTTCCCTCCTCTTTCTTTTGACTTACCATGTTCCGATTATTTTTAAGAGTGTTTGAAATTTCAGATTAATGAACGTAATACTCTCATAAAAGAAGGCTTAGTTGTTATATATTCGATGTCTAAGCAGCGGCAAGTTACAGCTATTTGCTTTGTTTTAGCGCCATAAGAAGAACGCTTTTATCAAGAAGCGTTTAATGTGCTAAACTTATCATTGAAGACCATAGTGAGTCGACAGTCGGTCTAGCTTTCAAAACATCTTAGTTAAAGCACATCCATATCTCCTCAATATAAACATTGGAACCCAAATATTAACATAATCCGTCTAAGATGCTGATATTGCTATATTTAACCAGTATAAAACAAAGGAAATGAAAGCCGTTCTAGGATAAAAGTTCGATACAACCGAAGCGTCGGTTGAAAAATAAGTAACAGCCCTTCTGGATTGACCTAGCAGTACGTCAACCAGCCCTTCCTCTGCTAGTATGCTCTTGCCAGTCAGTGTACTCTTGTCGGCCAGCACTTGTTTAAAACTGTATAAAATAGGTCGTATATACAACAATAAGTATTTCTGTGCTTTATGGAGAGAAAAAGTAACACACAACCATGACGGTGCATCCCTTCAAGCAAAAGCCAAAAGGCCATTCTATGTGCACTAATGATGCCCACATTCTTGAGGGAACAGCTTTAAGGACGATACTCAAACGTAGGGTCGTTTTCGAGAAAGACGTGATTGAATCAACGTCACCAAAACTAATCTTATAATAGATGTGAATGAGGAGGTATGTACTTCAACAGTTCGTGTCTTGTAGATCGCGTACTTATATTTGGTATAAAATACTTGATCAAAGAGAACTTCCACAAGTATCTCATTTATTAACATTAAGGTATATAAATTCTATCACATGCACGAGAAATGGAAATCGTAGTTGTAAGGCTATACTCCATTAATGGTATAAGAGTGGAGAGAAATGACATGGAAAAACCTTACAACTGGAAAACGATTTAAGTTCAAATATCCTTATTCTGCGATTCTTATGAAATAGTCAATGATCTATGCGAGAAAAAGAACAATTGAATGTAATTAGTTTCTTTGTAAATTGAGTTCTTATTGCCATAGTGCTCTTACAAGTCCAGGAATCTTTTCTTTGACAGCGTCCAAGGGATGAAGGGAATTTTTGCCATCTTTCCAGTGAACAGTAACAAAAAAATTGGATGCTTCCGTATCGCGTCCAATATAAGCTACCTTTTCTATCATTGTGTTCCAATTTCTACTTTCATCTTGTTCAAAAGAGCGATCCATAATAATCGCTGCTTCTCGTGTTTTCTCTTGGTTTTCTTTATTGTCCACTATCTGCTCTGCTTGTTTTTCTGCTAATCCAATTGCTTTGGTCGCATCTTTCACGTCAATATCGGTACTGTCCTCATCATCCACCGATAGCTTTTTCATTTTCTTCTCATGTTGTTGTAGGAAATAATCACCTACAGACTTTTTGCGTTTTGAAGGAAGGATACCATCCTCTTTGACTCTTTTTTTCGCAGGCACAGAAGAGACAGTTATGGCCACAGCAGGCCCAGAAGCAGTGGAAGATGTAGTCGTGACTGATGCAGGAGAAGCTTCTCTTTCCTTCTTGCTTGCAATTTTCGCGGTTGCTGCTTTTTCTATATTATCGTCTTCATCGTCTGTCAGTTCAATTTCCATGACCTCTTCCTCTTCTTCTGCTTCATCGTAATCGTCATCGTCTTCACTATTTCCAAATTCATGAGGTGTAGATGTTGATGCGGTTAAGGTGGAGGTAGAAGCTGAAGGCATTACTGTAGTGTCCTTTTTCTCTTCAAGATCGTCATCATCGTCGTCGTCATCATCATCGTCACTAACCGCTGCGATTACTTCAGGCGCTCTTCGTGGTGTGCTAGTTGTGGATTCATTATGGTTAAACATCGGGGTTATTCCTTCCTTTTCTTTTCCTTTTCCTTTGTCTTCAGATACAGGAGATGGATGTTCCTCACCGTTTTCTTTCAGGGCAGTTTCATCTTCTTTTCGTATCATGATATCCTCTAGCTTAGATTGCTTCGCTTCCTTTTCTTTACTGGCTACTGGCTGCTTTGAAGAAGAGGCAATGGTTGATCTGTTGCTATCTGCCTTTTCAAACATGTCTGTCAATTTGTTCTCTCTTATTTTGCTCTTCTTCTTCTCAATTTTACCCTTTTCCTCCTTTGCTGCTGCTGCCGTCTTGGTGGATGGTAGGACCAGAGGCTTCTTTCTCTTGCTATTTATTTTTTCAAACAGTTGCCTTTCTGGGTCGTCCATAGGTTTTGCATCCCAATATTCAACAATTAAATTTTTCGCAAATCTGTATTGAAGATATAGCAATCATCCGAGAGTTATTTAGAAAAGGTAAAATTAAAGAAAAATTCACGCTATTGCATTACATGTTGGATTCTCTTTCCCATGTATTATCGTCTTCATCATATCCAAGCCACTTAATCAAATAGTAAATCTCGTATCTCTAAATTGTGAATCGCCGTATTCTCGTCAACGTCCGCGTTATTTTCAGCACAGATGTGTTCGTTTTTACCTTTCCGGCCTTAGTCATGCGATGATCACGAATCGTGTCGACTTCATAAACTTCTTCTACGTCTGAATCTGCCATGCTCGAAGTATTAGATTGGATTGCAGTTGGTGAAAGAAAAGTATCAAAGAAATGCAAAACTTAGAAGAAAATAAATGAAAAATCTCCACCTTTTTTTTTTTTTTTTTCAATAGCCGCCACTGCTTGATAAAACGCATTCTTTCTTGACGCGCCCTCTTTTTGCGCCCTTTGTGAAAATGATGAACAATAACCTTCCACTGGTCTAGAAAGACTTGTGCAAGATTTGTTAAATGAGGGGTAGTGCACTTTTGCACACTGGAAAAATAGCCGCCTGAACCTTTTTTTCCCTTTTCTGTTCATAAATCAACCAAAACTTTTTTAAGCCCTTTTCTCTCTCTTCCTTCAACATTTTTGTCCCACAAAGAAATACACGCTCTTTTTGACATAATTGCGTACATAAATTGATGAAAGAACGGAAAAGAGCACAATTTGAGCATAAAAACTCATCTCTTGGCATTGTTCAAGCTTTACAGAACGATAATGCTGTTTCTGAAGGAAGTTGTACTTCTCGCAACGGAAGGAGAACAACCAGCAGCAGTCGTAACAACAACAACGACAACCCTCTACGACAAGTGAGACCTTTCCGCCATTCTACCATTATGACAGATGCTATGTTCAAGACAGTACCTACATCTTCTCCTCACTCTTCAAAAGGACACCATGGAAGGAGCGCAAAAAGCAGCAATAACAGCAACAGTTTCTATATCTGGGCTCGATTTTTGGTATCCCTCTATTACAATAAACTTGCTGTTAATATGTTTGGATTTTGGACTGGTTGGTCATGGTACAATAAAATTGACGACTATATTATTTTGGGAGCTCTACCGACTCCCATTCAAGTGAGAGCTTTACATCAGCATGAAAATGTAGAGACCATTGTGAATTTATGCGCGGAATTTCCTGGTTATCAAAAACTGTATCGACGACTCCAAATAACTCAAATTCGATTAGAGACACCCGATTTTGCGATACCAAATTTAGATACCCTACTGAACGGTGTGGAAAAGATAGTCGAAATGAAGAAAAGGAAACCAAAGAGTATGATTTATCTACATTGTAAAGGTAAAAAAATGAAGGAATAATAACCATTGAGATCAGTTATAAGGAGCCAATATAATTTCATATATGTATTTGTACACATTTCTAGCTGGAAGAGGTAGAAGTGCAGCCATGGCCATATGCTATTTATTAAGAACATATCTTCTCAATTTGCATGAATGTCAAACACTTTTACTACACAAGAGGCCTCAGGTAGACTGAAAAACCTTGAAATATACCTCCACGAAAATTTGCTAATGTAAGAATCTATGATATCATAGATTGACACAAACCTAGAGCAGAGCCATGAGCTAAGATTATTCAGCAAACATGTTATTGCTGATGCCGAGTCAGGCAGAATAACGAGGATACCTTATATGATGGATAGTAAGGGCAAAGGGTCGTAAAGGCTTTCTAAATAAGGACATACTACGAGGCTAAACCCTAAAAAAAGGGCACCCCCTTTTTTTTCATGTATGACAAATGCCCATCAAACCAACAGCAGAAATGTCATTTTTTTTTAAAGTTTTTATTTAAATGAATTGATAAACTTTTTATCTTTTTCTCTCAACTCTCACACACTCTCTACCTTCTGTTTCTATTATTTTCAATGGAGGAAGCAACATCTCGGCTAGCAGCTATCGACTCAACTAATGACTTGCTTTTAAATAACGATGACGCTGTGTTTACAGCTTCAGCTCAAGAACTCAGACCGTCCAATATCCAAATTCAAAATTCAGGTACCCATTTCATCGATCAGCACGGCCGAGTTTTGACTTTACGGGGCATTAATGTCTCTGGCTCATCGAAGCTTCCCAGCCACCCACTTTCTTCTAGAGCTACTCACCTGTACGATCCTTCAACTTTTTGGGATCATCGCCATGTCCGATTCAACGAAAGGCCGTTTCCTTCACTTGAGGAAACTCACGATCACTGGAAACGCTTGCAATTATGGGGTTTTAATACAATACGGCTGTTAGTCACCTGGGAGTCGATTAATCACGAAGGGCCTGGAATTTATGATGATGAGTATATCGACTATTTGAGACAGATTATCGGAATCATGCCAGAGTATGGTTTAAGATGTATTATTGATCCACATCAAGATACGGTAAAGAAAGCATACAAAAGGAAAACCTTTTTCTTTCATACCATTTTAATTCTGAGCTTATACTCTAGTGGTCTAGGTATTCCGGCGGTTCAGGGGCACCTGGATGGACATTTGAAGTGGCTGGCATGAACATTGAGAATTTTAAAGAGACGGGTGCAGCTTATGTGCATAATACAAATGCTGTGCCTGGTGACCCATTACCGATGGTAAGTGCCGAGTCTGAACTGATGTCATTCATTTACTGCATACCAGTTTTAACCAACATCATGCGTTAAGGTCTGGCCAACCAATTACACAAAACTCGCATCTTGCACCATGTTTACTCTCTTCTTCGGTGGCGATACATTTGCCCCTCATCGCAAATATGACAACGACAAATCTATTCAACAATTCTTAAACGACCATTTTATTCAAGCTTACCAACATCTCGCTACCCGACTGGTCGACCTGCCTGCTATCTTGGGCTTTGAGTTCATGAACGAACCTCATCCTGGCTACATTGGCCTAAAGAAGCTTGACTCTTTTGACCCGGTCACCAACCTCATTTTCGGCGACTCACCAACGCCTTTACAATGTTTTGCTCTAGGTGATAGAATAACGCAAACTGTAGATGTGTATAAGAAGTCATGGCCTTTTCCTACACGCAAATCTCACTCACGCAAGATGAACACGCAACAAGTATCTGCTTGGCTTGATGCAGAGAAAGGGTGTATTTGGAAAGAACATGGTGTTTGGAAACTAATAGAGGGTGGCCAGCCACATCAGCAGCAGCCCGTATTGCTCGACACACAGTATTTCGCCAAGCATCCTTTGACAGGTGAAAAAATATCATTTTACAATGATTTTTATTTACCTATTGTCAAACGCTATGTGAACATGATCAAAAGCGTGAATAAAAATTGGTACTGTATGGTAGAGCCATTAGCAAATGAGGTAATGAGAGAAAGAATCCAGGCGTTATCTAGATGGCTCATTAGAGATCTAACCATTTAACCCGTCGTTATAGAGACCTCCTGTGTACAAAGACGCAGAAAACGTTGTCTTTTCCCCTCATTGGTATGATTTAAACAGTGTGTTCTATAAGAAGTTCAATGGATTGGTAACGCATGACGTACAATGCTTGCAGAGGGTACATTATAAAGCTGTGTTTTTGTTAAAAAAAAAAAAAAAATTAAGGCAAGTCTATGTTTATTGATGAAGCTATGATGAATAGGGCGGTAACGTTTTTCAAGCCACTTACTTCGGCCTCAAAGGGGCTAAGAAAAATTACCGAGGACAGATCCGAAATATTAAAGCAGATGGTATACAAAATATGGGGCAGGTGCCTTGTATATTGGGAGAAACTGGAATTCCAATGGATCTGAATAATGGAGCTGCTTTTACAGAAAAGCCTAATTTTGTTCACCACGAACAATTTATGGATGCTGTTTTATACGCTATGGAAACAAATTTGATGAACTACATGTAAGTATCTGTATTTTCTATCACATTTATTCAAGTACTAGAGCTGTCACTCATCTATTCTGTGAAGATTGTGGAATTATGACTTATGTAATGATCATGAGCACGGAGACCATTGGAACGGTGAAAACTTTTCAGTGTATTCAACCTATAAACTACCTAAGAAAACACCAGAAGACAATGATAAGTATAAATATTACGGAGGAAGAGTCTTAAAGGCTATACTGGTAAGTTGCTGTTGATCGGACCAGAAACCAAATAAAAGACTATCGAACTGAAGCAAATTTTGTTACTTAGCGTCCTTATGCTGTTAAAACAGCAGGTATACCCATATCTAGCGAATTCAACATGGACAAGCTATCCTATACCTTCTCCTTCAAGCCATTTACTAGTAGTAACAGTGAATCGCATTCATTCATTACTGAATTCTTTGTACCTTATTTCCACTTTGGTGGCCAATCTTTGACTATCAAGATTAGTAGGGGCGAATTTGATTATCAAGAAGAAAATCAGACTCTGTATCATACATATGAACCTACTGCTTCAGAGAGCTCTATCACAATCTCTCTGGAAGTACGTCAAGAAATTAAAAGAGGCTTATCTTCCCGTACAATCTGCACTTGATATTCAAAATTCTAGAAAATAAAATTCAAAGAATATCGAAAAAGTCCTTTTGTAAAACCTTATAATCATCTTTACTGACAATAATAACTTTATCAAGTCGGTATTATTAGGGAACAAACCATTCCTATCAAATTATTCTAATCGTAAGATTCTATACGAAGCTACTATAATTGTATAAATTGAATCAGTGGAGGTTTGCTAGTTAGTTGATACAGGTGAGAGTAGGTTTTTTTTGAAGAAAATAAGGGTTTAATCGTATAGCTCGAATCTGTTTTCAAGAATTTTGTATTCTTGATGAGTCTCTTATGGCAACACAGCAGCAAATTTTATTTTTCTTCTTCCCCTTAGGTACAAAAATAAAGCATTTTTCTTCCTCTTTCTTCTTCTTTCAATCTATTTTCAACATTAATCACAGCACACTCTTTTGTTCCATGGGAAAAGTAATTTAAATCTTTAACATTCCAACTTGCATCATTTGATATATCATTTAATTTGATGAGAGGCTCATTGAAACTCTTATCCTGTTGATAATAATTAAAATCAGGGACCATATGTTTCACCATCTACAGGAGCGAGAAAACTGGGCGGAAGTACCACTCGTTCACCAAACGTCAGCAATGTTTTTTCTCATGTACCTCCTTCGACTTTCAGCAACAATTACCGACCACCTACTAATCATAACGTTAGTATTGCAGCTCGAAGGCGTCAACAACAGCATGGCGGACAATATCGCAGTGATGAAGTTGATGGAATGGCCAATGATTTCTATGCTTCTGGAAACCTTGGAGCAGACTGCTTCAAAAGATATGAGTTAATGACAGAATTGTAAAGTCGCGGAAGAGTAACAGGAACGTAGAATACACTATTGGATAACCAGTGATTAAACGTGTCCCCTCTTTCTTTGCATAATCATTTTTCTCGACATAGTATCAACCTGAAGAATCCGAATCATTGTCCGCTTGGAATGTATGTAATGCCTTCTGAAGAAAATCTATACGGTAATAAGCTTGTTCTCAGCTGTAATCATAGTATCAAGACCGAACAATTTCATAACACTTTTTTGTGACATAGTATGGTATGGAGTTTTATTCGTGCACCAAGGTCTGTATCAATCGGGTGTTTTCAAATTTAGAGTCGCTATTCCTCAGGACTATCCAGAATACCCTCCCTCTGTTACATTTATGAGTGATATGTTTCATCCTCTCATTGATGGTGGTGGCAATCTATCTTTATCACAGCAATTTCTGACCTGGCGGCCTCACGAGGATTACATTATTTATGTGTTGCATTATGTCAAGAATATCTTTAAAAAAGCAATTTTGGATAGACTAATAGAAAAACATTGTCTGAATAAAGAAGCTTATAGAATGTACGTAAGTAATACAGTTTTATTTTGAAAAAGAGTGCATATTCTTTTTATCTAACCACATGTTGTAGGTATAAGCATGAAATAAATACGTTTATCAAACTATCAAAGCAATGTGCTGAACTATCTTATTCGGAATCGTATTTGTATGATCATTTTCCAGATGATAATCTGATACGCTTTTCTCCAATTACAGATGCTACACTTGGTAAAGAAAAGCTCGCTAATCAGCGCTGTTGCCACCAAAATTGCACTGCATAACTAAAAATTAAAAAATCATGATTCAATATACATTTAGCCTTTGTTCAGTCGAGAATATTCTCGGGTGCAACTGAAGAAGCCAATAGCAATAATAGCGAAAATAATGAAGGCAGAAACAACACAGTAATTGTTGAAAAGGAACAGTTATTAGAAGTAAGTGGCGAATTACTTTATTGAAATTATGACCATGACTTGCTTATTGATAAAAACGTCTAGCCACTATACACTGAGAATGCACTTTTCTCATCCAGTGAGACAGATTATGCTGCGCAAGGAAATCTTGAATATCTTTGTTGAATCGAAGGATGAAATAGCATTGAAACGAATCAAAATGTTGGATAAAAATCCTGTTTTTCATTTTAGCGTATATATGCTTTTAAACGGGAATTGATGGATGGGTATAAGTGTTCAATAAATTGTTTATAGATGTTGGTAGTCAGAGTCAATGGTATAATATGAAATGCTGGGTTAAAATGAACGAGCAATCAAGGATCAACATCAACACGCTTGTCAACCTACAGCTTCCTTTTTTATGGATGCAGTCTTTTGATTGTGTGTTGATTCAAAATATTTTCATGTTTGTCTTTTTTCTTCTCCATATGCACCAAAAATTTTAGATATGGTCACGCAGTCTTACCGGTGTAAAGCACTCGCGAATGCTGAGCAGATGGTGCTCGTTGAAACTGTAGTTCAGCAAGTTATCAATCCAGCGTTTGCCTCTTCAATTATTGGACTGTTAATGCATTAATCTTTTTGACACAATCGATCAACTTGCTATGTTACCAGCTTCCAAAATGTGTAAAATGGTCAATACATCGATAACCAGTATAAAAGAAAAGGCCAATTTTTTTTTGTTTACTTTTTATGCCTTGAGTGTTTTGTAAGCAGCTGATTATACAGGCGCTGATCTAGCAAATACTAACTTCTATTTAATTCTTCATATAAGGCAATACGCACAGTATCCTTTATTTCTAATGGTAGATGATGTGAGAAGAGACCACTCGTTGATTTTATGACAAGAAAAAGAGAAAAAGAAAATAACTGCTTTGACGGATTCATGTTTCACCAGCTTATTCTAGTACTTTTGATTAACATTCCATACGCTTGAATGAATGCTGAATATGAACTTGTTACAATCTGCTACTAAACAATATACTCATGAACCCTTTCATTATATGTAGTGAAAGAATTAAATTTAGATAAGGGTAGTTATATTCATATTATTTACATTAATACTACATAATTTAAAGTGGCAAAGGTATATATGATATGCTTTATACAGTCATTGTTCGCATTTCTTCTTCAATAGTATTGTTTTGTTCCAACAAGCCTATCAAGTCTTTTGTAAATTTAGCAATTTCGTAAGCTTCTTGAGCCAGATTTCTTTTCACCATGGAATTTATCGTAGCTCCTTGTTCAGCATCTGTTGCTAAATCATTTTTGAATGATGTGTCTCTGATATGAATAATCTTTTCGTTGCATCGATACAGGTCATTCAAAATAATTTGCCCTTGATGCTGAAGCTCTTCGGTGAGTGTTACCGCTTTTCCATTGAGAGTATGTTTGGCGGTTTGTACAATGTCGCTAACAGTCTGAGTGATTGACGTTATTATTTCGTATAAATGCTGTTGATTTTCATTCGATCGAAGTGCTATCAATAGACTCTGAACAGATGAGACGATTTCCTCTGTCTCCGTTTTAAGAAAGGACTAACCGTATATGGTGATTCAGAAAAAAAAGAAAGGGAATAAGTAGATGGTCTTTATTTTCGTAATACTCCTTAGTATAATGTCTTTACCGATAGTTGTTGAGGAGTTAATACGTCAATGTCCATCATATTATTATAATTAACACTAGTACTACTATTCTTGCTACCATCATCATGCTGAGTATCTGCAGGATTCTTATTATTCCGGCTAGGATTACGTCTCGGGGGTACTATTTTATTCACAGACAGTGATCGAACCGAATGCTCCCCTTCTGAATCCTTATTCATCGTCTCGTCGTTTCTAATATGATTACTATCGTTCATCTTTGTTTTGCTCTCGGTTACTATGCCTTCGTCTTCTTCTGCTACTATTGACTTTAGTCCTAACAACTTAACCAAGTCCACTATAGTGACTGACAAGTTTCCTGCAGCTGCATCCACTAAGCTGACTGGACTGATCCCCATACCCGCTGCATACTGTTTCGTCGCTATTAGTAAGTGATTCAAAGCCTGTGAGAATCGTTTCTTGATACCGTAGAGTGTTTCCTGGTCTGTGTCAGGAAGTCCTATTTTACGCTCGTGGTATTCAACAGAAGTAGTGACTGATTTGCATGCCATGACAATTTGACGCATCGATAAAAGAACATCAGAAGGGTTATTGGAGTAGTGCGATGTATGGATCAAGTCGTTAATAGCGGATTGGTAGTCAGTAATATGCTGATGAGGAATGGCACCCTTCGAAATAGGTTGGATGAATAGCTCTTCTGTCACATCAGCATGATAATGGTTGGACGCATTCTCAGCTAAAGTAGTACTAGTAGCCCCTTTAAAACTTCGCAATTCCATGCTGATTGTATCATACTTCCTCTTCCAAGATTTAACCTCTTGTGTCAACCTTTTCACCTCATTCTCTGCTTTTTCGTTTTGCTTCCTTAGAGTCTCATTTTTACCAGACAATGTCTTAATTTCCCCGATGAGTTGCTTCATTTCCGATTTAACTTCTTGAACTGCCAATTGCTGATCTTGATGCTCTTTGTTTAATATATTATATTTGATTTCTAATGCTTTGTAATTTTCTAGATCTGTTGATGAAGTCTGTCGTTTCTGCTGCGACACTAATGAATTGATTCTCTCTGTCATAGCCGCTATTTTCATTTCATATTCGTATTTCATCGTCTCTATATCCGTGTTATTGTCCAGAATGGGCTTGGGCGTCTTCACCATATTGCCTAAATCGGCCATCAAGCTATCCAACGATTGTATATTGTTGTCTTGCTCTGGTATAAGCGCAGAGGTAGTTGCAGTCGTCGTGGTAGAAGATGATAGTGATGGCAAATCAGGATGACGATAATGTGGATTTTGCTTTGGTGAGTACTGGTGCCCGTTACTCCCAGTATCATCGTCCGAAGAGTAATTCACTTGTGTTTCTACATTCATCGTTCCTTTCACAGGTATAATATTGGTTGATTGACTTGCTTGTGGTTTTACTGTACTTGCGGTTGTACCCACACTGGCTAAATCATCCATTATATCGACATGCGGATATCGTCGTCTTAACTCATGATAGACATCGCTGGCTAAATCTTTGAATCGTGTTTCGACCAACGTAGCGAGCTTTTGTCGTGCTTGATTCCGACGTGGATGGAAATCACCCCTCATAGATAAAAAAGAGTCTAGATTAAAGAAATTTCCTTCAGTCTAGTTATCATTACTATAGAATCGTATGTCTTTGTAGTAAGTAATTGATGTTACTGTGAGTGTCCATTGTTCTTCTTATTAGTTCATCATAAACGTCAGTAGCCAATTCATGGAATTGTAGGTTATTCAACCTTGACAACTTCTGTCTAGCAGCAGCTCTTTGCGGCAACACTCCTTCCTTGGCCTCTATTTCATTCAACATCCATTAGTTCTCGTTATTCCTTTGCTCAAAGTGGTTGGTGTGACCCTCACCTTTGGTTAAGGCTTGATATAGATATTTTTGCAACTCCATAAAATAAGTCTTTGCTGAGGACTCTTGTACAGAAATGTTGTTACTATTATTAGTACCATGACTGCTGTTAGTGGCTGTGCTTGTGCTTGTTTGGCGATGAGTTGACGAACTATTTGAGGTCATGGAGTAAATGGTGGTGGAAGTGGTTGAGATCGTCTTTGACATGGAAAAAAAAAAAGAAAGGCTGTAGTAATATATAGGCTAATCTGTCAAAAAAAAAAATTGGGTTTTAACTAATCAAATCAATAAATAATTTTTGGTGCCTTAATTAATAAGAATTGAAGATCCTTGGCTCGCGCTTAGTACAGCAGCAGCAGCAGCAGTAGTAGTAGTAGTATTAGCAAAAGTTATAGTTTATCGGCGTATCAGTAACGGCGTTATTAGTAATCTTAGTATACTGATAAAAGTTAATAGGGACAAAATTTATGATGTAGTGGAAAGCTACAAGGAAGAGAAAGAAAAGAAGGGATAATGAGTTAGGAGTTTACAGTTTTTTAACTGCGGGTTTAGACGCAGCTTAAAAATAACTGGATGGAATGACCAAAATTTTGAGACGATTGAGTTAGAGTTTGAAGATCGAACTACACTAAAATGGAGACGTTTACCTGTAAATATCAAGCCAGTTTCGTTCTGGCGATAATAAAAATCAAAAGACTAAGAAGTTGTCTTCCGGCTGAACTCCGTAGGACGTTCCTTGTCTTTCCATACCGAAATGCTGATGGCCACCATGTTTTTTGCTGCATTGACATCGCGGTTCCATAGTATCTTACAGGTTTTGCAAACAAGGATACTACAGCCACGCACGGTGTCTAATTTCCTTCTTTTTTTCCGTAATTTTTTGTCGTCTTTGACACCTCCATCAACAAGCATGTTCACCATCGTATCTGCCGCACGCTTGCTGCCCTTGATACAGACGGAATCTAGTTTCACCCATACCAGGCCCATAGAATGAGAACAGGATCTCTAAATGTTGTAGTATGTAAATAATATATCTCTTATACTGTTCAGGCGAGCCTGTTTTACTACTTGGTATATTGCTTTCTATCGCTTTTATCATACAACCGGCCTTTTTCCTTTCTAATTCTGCATTGACACGAGTACTACCCGTCATGTGATAATATTCTTTTGTCGAGCAGCGCCGTATCTCATGTCTGTTTGTTTCTAACCCGATTGCTGCTGTAAATACGGTCTTTCGGCCAGGATCAACAAATGTGGGTCTGTAGTTTGTCGTGATTTCTTCATAGGAGAAGTCTTCCAACGTCAAGTCATGATGATCAATGATGGCGTCTTCTTTTGGTTTCTTCTTACGACTAAATAGGAAGTCTACAGTGAAGCCATCAGATCGAATGAGATTCCTGAAGAGCATACTTGTGTTTGTCTTTAACTCAGCAATACTATGATATAAGTGAAAGAATAATCTTGAGAACAGAGTCTTTTAGCAGAGTGCTATTTACTTTACCTTCTGAAGCCTAACTTTTTGAAGTTGAACACTTTACAAAATTGTTCAAGTTGATTCCAATAGCCCTTTACAAGTCTTCCAGGAAATAAAAAAGGAGTAAGGGCGTTTATGCTGATGGTAATGAAGCGCCATGATACTGAGGGTGTTGGAAAAGGGAAGAAGCGATGAGGTAATGGTAACCTACGAACATCGTAGGGAAGATGATTTTAATGCTCTTCTTCGTAGTATTCTTGGATAAACCACAAGGGCTTGACAAATTTGACCGGATCGGCCGCCAATGATAAAAGCGTAACCTTTTCCTCCACAAGGTCTGCAAAGTTCTTGCACAAATTATCTATTCTTAATTTGTCATCACTGCTTAACTTGACTTTACCAGGCCATTTGGGTTCGCCTTTGCAAATCGCTTGATAGCAGTATTTTGTTGCGATTTCGTCAACATCGCGCTTTACCATGCTCTAAAGAGAAAAGAATATTGACTTTGCTGCTGTTTGGTTTAATGTAAAGTTAATCCTTACCGGGAACAAATTCTGCAAGGTATAGTATAGATATTTAAGCATTCGCTGCTCAAAAAGCTCAACAATGCTGTTTGTATATGTGGTACTGAGCTCTTTACAAGCTTCTGTCAAGCATTGGCTATAGCCTTTGGTGAAGCTATAACTTACTTCGACAGCTGGATGCTTCTCTTTGAACTGCTTATAGAAGTTTTTCATGGAATCATTTATTGCTTTCTTGTTGGTTACTGTTTTACCTGTTACAAGTTGTCCAACCGAATACCAGAACTGTTGGGTGAAAATTTCTTTTGGTGTGTCTTTCTTATTATGGATGAGATAAGCGTTAACAAATAGTTGCGAACGAAACACAATAGCCCTAATGTCATTGCAGCACGAAATGACTCTTTCTCTGAATTTCTCGCGGAAGGTTGGTAACACCGCACTGTCGATGGGAAGCTTTCTTGTGAATACAGTAGCATCATCACCAAGAACAGATGAAATAAGTTCATCTTTCGAAGGCGTGTGTTTGAGGCATTGCGGCGAACGAGCAGTGGTATGGCCATCTTGTCCACAGCTGAGGCACTTTACAGCTTGTGCGGTGGTCTTTTTCCGTTTAACTGCTTTCTTCTTCTCTTTCACTTGGTCACTCTGTTTTCTCTTTTTGCCACTGCTACCAACTTTAAGGAGGTTACTCACAAGCAATTAAGTGCTGTGTGTAAGATAGATTTAGGTTTATTGCTTACCATCATCAGCATTTACGGCTTTGTAATACTTGCATTTGTAGTAACGCTTGTCAAAATGACCTGGTTCATAGCAGTCTCGACACTTGGTATGCTCTAAAAAATTACAACAAATATCAGAATCCTTATATCTTGATCTGACGGTTCTCCTACAATTATCAAGCATTTTACCAAATGGGTTCCTTTTAACCTGGTTCTTATGCTTTTCTTTAATAGATCTAATCTTCTGTATAATGAAACTTTTGTACATGAATAGAGCTGTAAGTTACAAAAAAAGCGAAATACGGAAAAGAAGGGATCTTATTCTCGTTTAAAAGAACCCCTTCATTATAATCTAACTTTGACAACAAAACGCGAGAAAAGAAAGACACGTCTTTATCATTGGGCAAAGTTCCGAAAAAGGCACTGACGAACGGTCTTATAACACATCGTCAAATGACGAAAAAGTTGTCAAGCTTTTTGTAGCTCGTCCTATTGCAAAGTCACGCCAATAAGAGTTTTCTTAGCGACCTCTTTACTATGAGCACTCATTTTTAGGACTAGCTTGTACGCCATCCTTAATGCTGCTTGGATGATACTGGATAATTGATTATCAGCGAAATCGTCCAAGAATAATATACCGCTTCATCGTAAAATAATTGAAAGTTGTCTAAATTAAGATTTAATAGTGTCCAATAAAATTTGTGAAAAGTCTGAAATAGTAGTTAAAACACTGTATTCATAAATGAGACGCTCTTCTCCAGAAAACCCCGCAAAAATAAAGTTGCTTTTTTGTTGTTGCTGGTACAGCGGCTATTCAAAAAATGAGCTCAAAGGTCTAGCATGCCTACACAAAACAGCAAAAGTCAGTGTATAACCCAACAACTTGGGAGACAGAATCTTTGTTTGACGAAAGGGGTTTAGAAGATGGATATAGAATATATTGGGCTTTGAGTGGATGATTGTTGTGAATAAATACGTTAAAGATGAGAGGTATCATGAGGATTGGGAAAATGTTGTCAATAAATGCTCAACTTCATTGAGTAAAGTTCTAGCCTGTTCGTCGTACTATAGGATATACAGGTTTAGTATCATATAAAAAAAAAAAAGACGACTAACGAGAGAGTAGGGCTGAGTTGACTTACTGGATGTTTTGCTTTTAACGCACTCTTAGCAAAATATTTTGCTCGTTCGTAGTTCTCTTCTTCAACAGCATTCCTGGCTAGAAACATGGCCACGTATCCCAACTTCTCCGGCACGTAACCATCTGAATTCGCGGTGATAGTAGCCAGTTCCACATAAATGTCGGAGAAGAATTCTATTGCTCGGCTTTCATTGCCAATATCCCATAATAACTGAGCCAACCATATGGGTATTAATCTTTCATAATTAGCCGCATCTCTTTGCTTATCGCATTCTCTTCCCTTTTCATAACATGTCTGCGCTAGGTTTGCATTCCTCTTGCGACTGTCACCGGTATCTTCATTATCTAGAGTATAATCCAACAGAAAATCATCATGCAACTCGTCGTCAACTTCCATTGCCAAACGATAACATGCATTCAAAGCTCTCCAAGTTCGCGGTTCTTTAGGACACAAGTCAATTGCTTTCAAAAAGCAATGAATCGCTTCAATGTAATCAGTGTGACCCATAATTTGATAATATGCTTCACCCAGACTGTGCCATGGCCGTCGGTCATAGGGCTTAATAGTAATTGCTCGTCGATAACACTCCACAGCTCCTGATCTCACCTTGTAGTCAAGGTACGTGTGACCCAACAATATCCATGCCACAGCGTAATCGCGTTGTAATCGAAGAGCCATTTTGAACCAAGCAATAGCATCATGCGCTTGTTTCTTTATGCTGCAATAGTTGCCTTTCACGACAAATGATATCGGATGGAAGGCGTCGATACTGCTGCAATCAATATCAAGCTGGCATAATGTTTCCTTTTCACCTAAAGAATAAAGGACATTGGAAAAAATGTCCATATTCTCCAGCCGTGAAGGGTGACGAATTCGAAGTTCTTGAAAGACAACGCGTGCTTCATCAAGACCTAGATGTGTAAATGACGACTTTTAGCTCTCAAAAAGAGTGGTATACATGCATTGGGTTTACACACTATTTGACTTTACGGCTTTCGTTGTAAAAGTATTTGCCCCATAATGCTAAAAGGAATGCAGAGTTTGGAAAATAACGTGTCAAAGGTTGAATAATTTCTACGAACAGTGGTTTGCCGTTGTCATCATCGCATTGAATATGTGTACACATCTCTGCCAAAAATATATTCTTCATGATGTACGCGCTTTCATTCAGCGTATATCTTTTGCTCGTATGACCTTTCGCAGACGGTGCCACGAAATCTTGATCCAACCGTTTCTTCAGTTCAAGAAACATCTCTCTACTTTTAACTAGACTGCCTAACTCTAACCAAGCTGATCTTTGATAAGGAAAGGCGCGTACCGATTTCAGTAATACATGAATGGCTTTGTAGTGATAATTGAGACGCTTTAATACGACTCCATAAAGGTATAAACCAAAAGCATCTAAACTGTTCGTCTGATATTGATTTGATAATTCCTCCTCTAATGATTTAAGATAGGGGTTTTCAGCTTTGTCATCCTCTTCTACACCTAATATGTCTTGCGTGGATTTCAGCTTGATCTTTTCACCTGTCTTTAAAAAACAAAGATGGTTGCGTTAACTCCAGCAAGTTCATGAAACTGATAATTTGACAGATCTACGTTTCATTTTACCATGTAAGTAGCATACAGTTTGAGAAAGTTTATTGTCGGATGTGTTGTGTCATATTTCGATAGTACTACTCTGGCATTCGCAAATTCTCGTTTTTCAAATAACAATATCGCGTATTGATGTTGTAACTTCTCAAAGTGTCCCATTGGAGGGAAAGTGCCATCATCTAATGTATAATGACCAGTAAAATACGTGACGTATTTACGGTTGCGTAGTGCTGGTCGACATCCTTGAATCATTTCGGCTGCCCTAATTCGTTTTTACCGGACGATCGATGATCAGATCAGATTCACGTACGTACAAAAGCATTCATTTTTGTTACTTTACTGTACCAAATGGAGGCGAAGGACAAACAGTGATTTTCGCAAACATCTTTTGCTCGGTACAAGTTGCTAACGAATTGTTCAACAATGTCATCCGAGCAATCGTACATTGTTTCTATTCAGCTAAAGGGGGAACTGAGAGATTTGGCTTACAGAAAAATAACGTGAATTTAATTTGCGGAAAACATTCATGCGAATGATAGGCTCGGCAAATGATAGGCTATCGATGAAGTGAATCTCTCAAGTTTTAACTTCCTACTTAAATAACTGAATAACAGGTTATGAAGATTTTCGATAAGAGTCGTTCAAGCAAATAATTTTCTCAACTCTAGATGACGCTTTATTCTTTGACTAGCTCTGTACTTTGTTTTTGCATAATGACTCGTCACTATCATTAGCTGAAAGAAGCATGCTACAAAATGCTTCTTTCGAGTATCTGATGTTAAATAGAGCGTATTCATTGCACACCCATGACTCATGTGATTGGCCGTTGCTTTTTTGTGTAATTCTGTACAAAAGTCTTTAAGATGTACGTAGATTTTTTATGCAAATAAATTTCCGTTTCTTTTCGTAAATTTACAAGTCTTTTGCTTCTTTTCTTTTCTGTAAAGTAATAACCACGAGAACTAGAGTAGAAAGCAAAATGACCGTGTCTACTATTGATCGCCTCACTCGTCTTCGTGCTGAAATGAAAGTGCACGGTGTTAACGTCTTCCTCATTCCTTCTGAAGATGCACATCAAAGTGAATACATTGCCGATTGCGACAAACGTCGCGCCTGGATCTCAGGCTTTACCGGTTCTGCTGGTTTCGCTATTGTAACAGAAACTGCAGCTGCTCTTTTCACGGATGGTCGTTATTTCTTGCAGGCGTCTCAGCAACTCGATGACAAATACTGGACTTTAATGAAGCAAGGATTACCGGGTGTTCCTACTTGGCAAGAATACTTGGTGCAGAATTTGGAAGCAGGTAGTAAGATTGGTTTTGATCCTACATTAATAAGTGCTGTGGATGCACATCAGTTGGAAAAGCAATTGGCACCTTTAGGCTCCACGTTGGTCCCCTTGGAAAAGAATTTGGTGGATTTAGCGTGGGGTGAGGATAGACCTACACCACCCAAGGACAAAGTTTTTGTACAACCCACTAAATACACAGGTACTATGAGAGATATAGAAGCAGCAGAAGTCTAGTGAGGGACCGAGGAGGAGGGGGGGGGCGCAAATGAAAAGTCATGCACAAATAGAAAGCAGTGATAAATGGGATCTAACGCGAATGTTATTGTAGGAAAATCTGTGCAGGATAAATTAAAGGAAGTTCACGATTATATCGAGAAGGAGAACGCTTATGGTCTTATTATATCTGCACTGGATGAAATTGCTTGGTTGTTTAACCTTAGAGGTTCAGATATTGACTGTAATCCAGTTTTCTTTTCCTATGCTGTCATTACTGAGGCTGAGGCTTATCTTTATATCGACCTTGACAAGATCACAGATGATAGCGTCCAGTCTCATTTGAAAGAATCCAACGTGATTGCCAAACCATACGACACGTTCTTTGAATGTTTGAGAGGATTCAGATTTGAAGAAGGCAAAAAACTGCTCGTCAACAACAAAACCAGTTTGGCTGTTGAAATAGCAGTAGGAGGTGAAGCCAACGTCAAAGAGGAACCACGCAGCTTCGTCAATGATTGCAAAGCCATCAAGACAGCTGAGGAATTGCAAGGGATGCGTGATTGTCATTTACGCGATGGTGCTGCTCTTGTACAATACATTGCTTGGCTCGAGAACAAATTGCTTGTTGAAAAAGCTCAGTTGGATGAAGTAGACGGTGCTGACCGCTTAGAACAGTTCCGTGCCGCTCAAGAGCACTATGTTGGCCTTTCTTTCCCTACCATCTCTTCTACGGGTCCTAACGGTGCTATCATTCATTACCAGCCTGAAAAAGGAAGCTGCAAGACGATTGATCCAGCTCATATTTACTTGGTGGATTCGGGTGCACAATACCTCGATGGCACCACCGATGTCACACGTACATATCATTTCACAACACCTACTGCTTATGAAAAGCGATGCTTTACTCGTGTTTTGCAAGGTCATATTGCCATTGATCAAGCTGTCTTTCCAAAAGGCACGACGGGTTATTTATTAGACCCTCTGGCCCGCCAATTCCTTTGGCAAGACGGTCTTAACTTTTTGCACGGTACAGGACATGGTGTAGGGGCATTTTTGAATGTCCATGAAGGCCCTCACGGTATTGGTATCCGTCCCCATTACAACGACACGCCTCTTGCTGTGGGTATGACTGTCACCGATGAACCTGGTTATTATGAAGATGGTAAATTTGGTATTCGTATCGAAAATGTGATCTTGGTCAAAGATGCAGAAACACCCAATAATTTTGGTGGACGTGGCTATCTTGGTTTTGAACATGTTACTATGGCACCCATTGGTTTGAATCTCATTGACAAAGATTTGTTATCGCCCTCTGAAAAGAAATGGGTGAACGATTATCATAAAGAATGTTTGGAGAAGTTAAGTCCATTGCTTAGCCATGATGAATTAGCAATGAATTGGCTCAAGAAAGAAACCACACCCATCTAATGAATCAAAGATGAATCAAATGTATATAACAGATCTATTTGTAGTTAATATCTGAAAAAAAAAAAAAATAATTAGCAAAGCAGGAAAAGCTAATGTCGTTCCTGAATTGAGTATTTGTCATCTAATTTGCCGTGTGTTAAACGGACGAAATCAGACAATAATTAACGTGAAACCTTAGAAAATCGATCGACTTTTTGCCGTTTTGCAAAACCTCATACTTCTTAACTGACAGTGAGCCCAACGTGCTTTTAGACTTTGGATGTGCAGTAGACTAAAAATCATATAGAGGCACATAATACCATACACGTCAATCTTCTATGCCAAAACTGCGCTAGAGCCTAGGTCGATCTCTTGATCCCAGTTTAAAACTTTTTTTTTTTTTCCCACATCAATGAATCGCCGACGAAGGAACCAAACTGGTAAGAATGGCTGACAAATCAAAGGTTTAAAGTACAAGCTAACATATACAAGTGTTCAATTGTATGAATAACAAACTATTCAATTCTAACAGGGAAGCAGTAAACAACAGAATGTAAGTTGGAAGTCTTTTTTCTTACTCTTTGGATCAGCTTATTTTATCGAGTATTGTTTGCTTTTTTTCTATTTCCGCCCGAACCCTTTCCTATCATACGATTCTGCTTATTGAAACCTAGTGGCTTTTTTTAATATTTTTATTCTTGTTGATCTCATTTTGTTTAGTCTTGCTCTTCTTTTTTTCTTTCTTAAACAACCTTTCCTATACCTTCTTCAATATACAGATCTAACAATGATTAACAAGGATCAAATCAACTGGGATTATCTTGAAAACGCTCTTCAAAACAAATCTGGCGATGTTCCTCTTGCCGAACGTTTCCGTGCTCTTTTCACCTTGAAGGCTATTGGTGACGAAAAGGCTATTGATATTTGTGCTGGAGGTACGTATTCTGTGATATGGTTGTTGGGGAGTCAAAGCGTACAGAAGAGTAGACACACGCATCACTGCTTTTCATATCAGCTTTTTTACTGTGGTCCGTGCGTTTGTGTAGCATGGAAAGAGGGTGTGCGTGTGTGCTGTGTAACGTTTTATAAGCTGGACGGAGGAGAAGAGGGACAGCAACGATGGAGGAGGCAATTGTTCATTATTTTTTTTGCTATGATTTGAATACTCAATTCTATGAATCTATCTTTTACAGCTTTTTCTGATGAATCTGCTCTTTTGAAGCACGAAATTGCCTATTGTTTAGGTCAAACTCGTAACCCTTATGCCAAGAAATGCCTCACTGAAGTTCTTGAAAACGAAGAGGAACATGTTATGGTCCGTCACGAAGCTGCTGAAGCCATGGGTGCTCTCGGTTTCGAGGACTCTCTCCCCATTTTGGAAAAGTATGCCAAAGAGGATCCTGAACAAGCCATTGTTGAAACTTGTCAGCTCGCCATCGAAAGAATTAAGTACGTCAATGACCCTAATAACAAGAAGGATCAAGAATACCGCAGTATCTACAGTTCCATTGATCCTGCCCCTCCTAGTTTGGAACCCAAGGATGTCAAGACCCTTGGTCAAGAATTAATCGACCCCAAGTTGCCTCTCTTTGAGAGATACAGAGCTATGTTTGCTCTTCGTGAAATCGGCACCACGGAAGCTGTCTTGGCTCTTTGTGAAGGTTTGAAGGATACCACTTCTGCTCTTTTCCGTCACGAAGTATGCTATGTATTGGGTCAATTGCAAAGCCCTGCTTCTGTTCCTGCTCTTTCTGAATCTTTGAAGAACAAGGAGGAAGCTCATATGGTTCGTCATGAAGCTGCTGAAGCTCTTGGTTCTGTTGCCAGCCCCGAAGTTTTCGAGATTTTGAACAAGTACAAGGATGACGAAGAACCTGTTGTTCGTGAATCTTGTATTGTTGCTCTTGATATGTTTGAGTATGAAAACAATGATGCTTTCCAATATGCTGATGGTCTCGAGTCGGAAAAGCAAAACATGCACAACCTCAAGCTTGCCACTGCCACTAATACCAACAACTAAATCATCATCTTTGGATGAAGTTTCTTTTTGTTTTTTGCACGTATTCATTCATTTTATTTTATTTTTTGTATTTTTTAAAATTCACAACCCTGTCTTTTTCTTGTATAGAACATTTCCCCAATCATAATTTATTCTAGTGCCGTATTTTTATCTTTCACTGTTAATGAACTCTAATAAAACACTCATTGAATCAATCACTTCTCTCGTTGGCTGACTTGTGAAGTTACAACAGTGCTTCCTTAAAAGAGAAATTGAAGTACCTGAAATTATGCAGATGTCAGACTGAACGAAACAGTCACAGCTCAGCCACTTGACCATTTCCAAATGGGCTTCCTATCTTTTTGTCCACAACTCTTTCCAAAATCATTTCTTTAAATTAAGGCAAACAAAAATATGGAAAAGTGGAAAGGTTCTTTTGCCCAGTCGCAATTAGAAAAGTTTGGTTGGGAAACGTAAGTATAACATACGGGAATAGCTTATTAGAAAAGCTAACAGCTCGGTTTACTTACCCGTTTCGCTTTATTTACTTTTTCAAACAATAACAAAGTGGTGAAGGTCTTGGTAAAAATAAAGAAGGCAATGCCAAACATATCAGTGTCACTGTTAAGAATGACAAAAAAGGCGTTGGCGTCAATAAAGGCGATTGGGAATTTGCTTGGTGGGACCATTTGTATAATAAAAGTGCCCACTCGGTTGTTGTAGAAAAAGACCAAGAGAAAGGTGAAATCAAAGTGGCTACAAAGAAGAAGGGTGAAAACCGTCGATCCAGAACTGGAATTATATCTACACATAAACCAACAGGCAAATCTGTCATCACTACCACTACCACGACGAGTGCAACTACCACAACGAATCCAAGTAAAAGCATGAGTGCTATGGCAGATGAAAGAAACATGATGGATGCTGTGAAAGATGTTCATATAAATATCGCACAGCGAATTGCGAGCACTGCATTGTATGGATCGTTTGTCAAGGGGAGTGCACCTAGTACACCTGCAACGTCTACGCCCACGAGTGAGGCTACGTCTGCTGCAGAAGATGATGAAGAGGAGGAGGAGGAGGACGACGAGTTGAAGGATTATTCTATGAAGGTATCGGATGCAGAGTTATTTGCTGCTTGTGAAGGAAGAACTGCACGTAAAGGGGGTCGTGGTTTAGTTGAACAAACAGGCAAATTCAAGCGTGTCATGCAAGAGTTTGTTAGACAACCAGAGGACGACGAAGAAAATGATATTGATACCAAAAAATCCGAAAAGGCTTCTTCTAAGAAAGATAAAAAGAGAAAACGTCTTGACAAAGACGATGAAAATGATACCCATAAGAAATCTGTTAAAAAATCCAAGAAATCTGATAAAGAATCGAAAAAGGCTAAGAAATCAGAAAAAAAGTCCAAGGAAAAGTCAGATACTGGAGATAAGAAGAAGGCTAAGAAAGACAAGTCTTGTAAAAAGGAGAAGAAGAAAGCCTTGAAAGATAAGAAAGACCAAGAAAATAAGAAGGATAAAAAGGACAAGAAGAAGAAAAAGTCAAAGGATTAGACAAACCCTACTTTGACTACTAGACTTTCTTTTTTAAAAACTTTTATTTCACGCAAAACTGCACGCATATAAATTAACATTTAGATATTAGAAATAAGTTATTTATACATATTTGTAAGAAAGCATTACATTCCCCTATATCCTTCATCAAAATTTGTAAATATAATATTGGAAAGCTATACTCAGAATGGTTGTTTTACTGACGGAGGGCGGCAACACCAACGTATCAGTCTCCATATTATCGTAATTCCTAAAATTCCTGCAATGGCTACTCCAGCATATAATAGTCCATTGTGGAACACTTGACCGCACACTGTAACGTTATTTGGATCATTCCTATAGTCACTTGAGTTCTCGCACTTGTCACTTATGAGTTGACTCACTATGATCATAGCAACCCCGATGCAAAGAAATATAAACAAGATGAACGTCCAAGCACAGGCACGTAAAGAAACAGGCCAATGCCCGTTGCTGCTACTAGAAGTGACAATCTTTTCAAACATAGTAGTCGGTGATGGAGGTGCCGCCACTATGTGAGTGACATTTGAAGGAGGCGAGAATAAAGAAGGATGGCTTCCTTGTCGTTGCTGCGTTGGCAGAGTGTATTGATGATGTGAAGGATGCAACGGTACTGCATTTATAGGAAATGAAGAAGAGGACGGATTGGGAAAACCATGTTGCTGTGAGTAGTCTAAAGTAAGGGTAGCAGCAGGATGATGGTGCAAAGGCTGATGAAAAGGTGGTCCCATAAACAAAGCTTGAGGCCGTGGCGAGAATTCAGATGGCAGATGATTCATCCTGTTGCTATTGTTATTGTTATACAAAAATTCATTTTCGTACGATGCTGGATGTGGATACCTGTCATGAAAATAGGATACAGAATCTGATGTTACGGCTATTGGTAAAGTATGTGGTGCATAGTGTTGTTGGTATGGACTCGATGGCGAATAGTAATAGCTGCTGCTCCTTCTGTGATAGGATGAGGGTTGTTCATTGTCATGCACGCTACTGCCAAATGAAGAGTGTACATAATTTGATGTAGGCTGGCTTTGACGTAATTGCTGCCCATTTACTCTTGCTTCTTCTCGTAATTTCTCTTCTCTCTCGGCTCTTAAATACTCCCTTAGATCAACTGCTTCGGAGTCATTGTACTCACTGCTATTCCTGTTTGACGTCGTTAGAGTCGTAGCAGCAATGTTAGAGTGATGATGATTATCAGCTGAAGGGGTTTCATAGGAATGTCCTCGTTGTAGAAGAGACGCTGAAGGTATCATCGCATGCTGCTGCTGTTGTAAATGATTTGCAGAATTCGATGCTTTTGTATTATGTGCAGATATCACTGCTTCTTTCACTTCCTCAGTTTCAGTAGGGAAGAGAACGGATGACGATGGACGCGATTTTTGTTTTTGAGAGAATGAAAACGAAGAAGTTGTACTTCTTCTTTGACTGTTCATGCGATCATATGGGTGTGTACGATTCGATGCTGTGGAAGCTATTGTTGTCGTAGTTCCATTAGAATGATGATGTTGCTGTTGACTAACAAGGTGGAATGATTCGTCCTGTGAAGGATATTCTTGCTGCAGGTTTTGTAATGTAATAGGATAATTATGCTGACGTTGCTCTACGGCTACATCCTCTGGTGGTAATGGTGGCGGAGGAGGATACTGTCCTGCATAAGGGTCCGTTATATCCTCGAGAGGCAATCTTTTTCCATTATCTTCCTTTTCATTCAATTGCTGTTGCGTCTCATATTCATGAGCACTTGAGGACATATATTGTGTCTACGTACTTTTCTAAAGTATTAGAAGAGTACAATTCTACTTGGGATATTTTGAGTAATGGTAGAATATGTCCTTATGGGCAAAAACGAAAAGAAAAAGAGCAAGAAAGCATTTTTCTCGCTTTGCTGTATAACTCCCAGGCGTAAATTGTTTGTTGCGCATAGAGGAAGAATGGGCAATAGGAAAACTTGTTTTTTATTTTTCTTCTAATTGTCCAAATTAAGTTATTTTCATGCCTGTTTTGTAAGTTGGGACCCCAAGACGCCTCCAAAAATAGTCCTACTATACTATGTGATCTTTGTTAAAGGACTTGGTACTTTTACAATTTACCATGCACTGAGCGTAATAGTCTAGAAAAAATCGAACTTGACAAAATGTATACTGTTCGACTGATATCTCACGTTCTCGGTTCAATGTGTCTTACTTGCGTCGATTGCAATTAGCCTATATACGCTTTTTAATAATCATTGCACGATTGTATATCAGAATGTTATATCACCTTGAAAGCAAGAAAAGAAAAAAGAGTTAAAAAAGACTGTTAGAGGATATGAAGTGACCCGGGCAGTAATTAAAGCTCATAATACAGAATATGTTGAACTGCTCCTCATGTATTAACAGAAAGAAAACCAAGAAACAAAGATGCTCAATGAACTGTTTATCATGATCATTAGTTCCTTTATCCGAGGCAGGTTCTGTCTCCTCTTTCTTCGCCAAGAGTGAATGCAGAACAAGTAATGAAAGTGAAGCAAAAAGTTTAAAGAACATGCTTATGCTTTCCTTTTCAACCATACTATCAAAATTGAGAGCTGGTTGAGCCTTTGAAGCATCCATGTCTGTCTATCTGAACTCTTTTGAGTTGCTAAACTATATTCGTCAATACTGTTGTTTTCGGCTGTATCTGCAACTTTTAATAGTGAAGAATCCTTCTTCTTGCTTATCTCTAAATTCTATTGAGCAAAGATAGAAAAGCTTTTCATTTTCCTCTGCTCACAATAAACTCAGTCTCTCACCCTTTTCTCTTTATGTTGGTTCTTTAACCAGCAACAAATATTTCAAATGGACACATCTTTGCAGAATCTTCATGACACATTCATTCAAAAAAAAGAGCGCTTAGTGGAGCTCGCTTGTACTTTAGACAGAGTACAACACACGATCAGCTCGTTGAACGGGCAGTTACGGAAAACTGATCTTGAGCCTTTTATGAGAATGAAACTTCAAGATCACTTGGATAACGCTCTGAAGAGCGTTACTGCCATGACTCGAGAATACGAGATCTTAAGAAGTCAGGTTCTGTACATGGGCAGGCAGTTGAATGGCGGGTTTCGATAAGCGTTTCGAATCAAGCTATAGTGTATAGTCCAAAGACGAGAAGAAGTATTATTGAACGGTCCTGCTCCAAACAGGCATAAAGCTTACATATACCTTTCCAGATCACAAAATATAGTCATAGCCATCTCTTTGCAACATTATTATATCATACTAAACTGAACACACAATATACCCTACTCATACTGAAGTACATCATCTTGAAATAATAAACGAAATGGGATGCATTTAGATCATCAGGAATTTATAATTGGGGAAGTCTAGGTAATAGCCCTTTGTGCAAGGCCAACGAACAAAGTAAAAGAAGGACAAGAGGGATGCTCTCCTCCATTTCATTAGAACGTGTCAGCTTTTACACTCGACCAAGCATGCTGACATTTTTTTTAAACATTAAGGCGTTCTTATATCAGGTGGCTGTTCTACCACTCTCTTTGTCGAATCAACGACGGGGTAATACACTTTGGCTAACTATGATAATACCTTGCTATGTCACTTTTGATTGGCAGACATACTGGAACGCTGCTACATAGTTTAATAGATCATCACCGGCTGTGATGATACGGGAGCGTTGGGAAGGCCAAGAATGTCGGTCTTTAATAGAATCACCAGTGCCATTCTTCTGGTGATAGAAAAGCATAGTAATTGGATTGCCATTTTGCCAGCTTTGTTTCTTGTACAAGGATGTTCATGTATTTTATCCTTGACAAATAGGGGTGGCTGCTAAACGTCAGTTTGACGGATATTCATTTTATTTCTTCATTCATGTATATATATATATATAAATAATATATCTGTTCTCTCGGTATAAGAGGATAATCGCTCTTTGCTTCTAGTACATGATTCTTATCTTGATACAGTTTTAGAATTACAAGTAATTGCCGGAATCAATTGAATAGGATTACAATTACAAAGAGACTGGAATAGACAGTTGACGTTCAATGGGTAATAAATCTTAGTTCAAGTCGTTACGCACCCATTGGTTCAGCATGTCAAGACCACTTTCAGGTTGATCATAAGGAACCATGTGACCAGCACCAAAGACACGCAAGAAAGCAAAACGACCATCTTCTGTTCTACGTAATTCACCCGCTTGCTTTTTACCCTTCAATTCAGAATACCATTCTGTATCATTGGCGGAAGCAAATTCTTCATGACCTGACCAAGGTAAAGCCAAAGTCCAAGCCTTGTTACCCATCCAGTTACAGATGAAATCGGCATCACCAGCATAAATCAAAATACGGATATCGTCCTCTAAAAGTTTAGGTACTTCGTTGACATAAGGTCGCATCCAATCACCTGCCATTTGGAATCTAAAATTGATTTGCATGTTGCAGCTTTCATATTTATCAGTTTCAGCACCCACAGCTTTCTTTACATCAGGCTTGTTGAGATATTTTTGAACGGATTCGAGGATATCGTAGCAAAGGTTGCCTCCCTTACATTTCTCTCTGACGTCATATGGGTTCATACCGGTTTGTTGATAAGGTGTAATTTGATCTTTGTTACATTTCATAGCGGCAGGCAAACAAGCAAATACATTTTGGCTGTCATAGCAGTTTTGAATGAGTCGTTCACAAGCGGGGAATTGAACCTCCATGTTGCGGCACTCGGCTTTGCTTAAGACAGGGCCATAAGAGTTCTCACAAGCCATCTGAGCATAGTATTTGTACTGAATGAGAGGGTCGGTCAAACCATTACCGATAAGCAGACTCTTGAGGTTGATGTTAGAGAGTGAATGCTTCTCCTTTCTTAATTCCAATGATTGGAAGTTGCCCTTATTGTTTTCGTTGATCACACTACCGATAGCAGGGATATAATGTCCAGCATCTATCAATAGTATGTATATACATGATAGATTGGTTATCGGATGAGCGTCACTCTTTTCCATTTTATAGAGTTGGTTTCTGAGCAATTGAATAGCTTACATGATTCGCCAGAGACGTGGAAATCAAGGTCGGCATATTCTACATTTGGTAACAAATGACAAAAAAGGGGGTTGGGCACTCATTAGTCTATCGGAATTTTTTCTTTTTTTCTTTTTGTGGATAACTTACGAGGGAACTCCTTGAAGAAGAGCTGAAGGAAAGCATAAACGTCTTCCGCAGCAGCTACAGTATTCGTAGCCCCGTTGCTCCCATGAGAAAATCCAACATTCAAAGGCTGTGTCCATCATAAAACAAAACAGTAAAGATTTCAATCTACTTTTTTTCATAGGTGAAAGTGGGTTCGTATTACCTGATCCAAGAAGATGAGATTGGCATTTTCATTCCAGGAATATTGATTAATGTAGGTATCAGTGCCTTCTTCGTTGACAGTGCAGGGACTATCAAGATGCAATTTAGTATGACGTTTGGGCATGACACAACGTGAATAGAAATCTCTCTCAGTTTCATTTTTTTCTTTTTTTACCCTAGTTCCATTAAAAGACCGGTCAAAGAAGAACATCCAGGTCCACCATTCAGCCATAAAACAACAGGATCTTCTTTTGGCTTATTTCTTGATTCAAAGAACCAGAAGAAAAAGTGCTTATCATTGCCAACATCCAGATAACCAGAGATCTAATGATCATTGGTTTTTTTTTTTTTTTTTTTTTTTTTCCGTCAATGAAACTGATGAATACGACATTTTGCCCTCATTTTTGCATTAAATATTATCTCGGAATTTTTTTACATCATAAATACTTTACTTGCTTGACACTGGGGTCACAGATGTTGGGTTGTTTGTATCTTAAAGCATAATTAGAGAAAGCAGGATGTGTGAAAGTGGTGAAAGCATCAGAGGCTTGGTCGAAAGCATCCTTGAGTTTACTGGTAGCGTCATGGACTCTATCTGTGACACCTTTGAATACGTGTTGCACATCTTTCCATGCATTTTCGCCAAAATCAACAACTGCATTTTGCTCTCTGAATAAGATGGGTTCGGCGTAAGCACCAAGACCAAAAACACATGAAGCCAACAATGTGATTTTGGTAAGTGAAGTAAGGCTTGGCATATTTTGTAGAAAAAAAAAATAAAATAGAAAAAGAAAATAAGAAATGAAAGGATGGAGATGGGGAAAAAGAGAAATATTTAACAGAATTGAAAATGAAACCAAATTTTTTCGCATGACTTCAACTTTTTGTTACAAGCGTACCACCCACACACGCAACAAAATAGAAAAGATAAGCAAAAGTAATGAGCTCATGAGAATGGAGTGACAAAAGGCTGAGATTAGATCGAGTATCAGCGTATCGTATGGTGTCATCTTTTCATCTATCATTGGCACCCACTCCCCACTCCCCCACCTTCAAAGACTCTACAATAGCAAGCGACAATCGTGATGTGGGTTAGCAAGCTAGCAGCACATCTATCGATCATTCGTATTCAAGTACAATCAGATAAAGTCCGTGGACGGAATGAAGAACCTGCTAACTTATGCTGCTTAAACCGGAGTTTATGAATTATTATATTATGTACTGCCGCCCGTGCAAAGCGATCAAATGGTCCATACTTTAATAATTCTTGACAACCGGAGATCTACCTTTATCAACTTGTTTTTAGGCAGCTGTACCTCACCCAATTCAGTCATGATGATTGTTCTATTGCCTTGAAGGTGCCATCGTGTGGTAGTCTACTTTGACGAAAATGGCGTCGACCTGCTTTTATGCACGGGGCGTACATCGTTCTCCTGAAGCGAAAAATGTGAGCCTATTCTTTTGCACTACAACCTTCGTTTTATTACATTGTTTATTTAGAAAGTAATATCATTGGCCAACCGCATCAAAAACGATTTGCCTCTCACTCGACCATCACGGAAACCGCCCTGCCCTTTTTCGCCGCTTATCATCTCAGCAAATCATCTATTGGCTGTCATTTGTTTCAAAAAATTTATATATATTGTATCTCTTCTTCATCTATGCCAAGAATATGTTGAACGATGGCAATAGAAGGGCCTTTTGTGCAGCAAACAGTATCACCCTCCATAGCATCGCCTCCGGTCATGCGACAACAAAACTATCGATTACAGAAACAAAATGAAGATCTGCCTATGGATTTAGGAAGTCTTCAAGATATTTTTACTTTTAAATTTATTGAAGGACGACCTATCACGAATATCATCTTGGCTATTTTATGGAGTATAGGTCTACCGATTTTACTCTATCATCTTTTAAAGCCAAGACTAGGTCAAGTCGTAGCGATGATTATAGCTTCCTGTCCACCATTAGTGATAGTTGTTACGTAAGTGTTTCTCATTGAGGAAGAGAATCCCACTTTCCAATGGATAGTTTGTTCAATGCAGAACAGAGGGTTAAACGGAATTGTTGTTACAGTCGCATGATAAAGAACAGGACTTTGGATCTACTAGGCTTCATAGCAGGAGTTAGCTTTTTCATTACTGGGATAATTGTAAAGTATAAGCAAAAAAAGATCAGAAAGAGAGACCCTACGAAACCATTGTCTCACCTCATCGGATCCACCCTTCTGCCACCCATAGTCCATTGCACAACCATCGCCACAAGTCTCTTCCATTTGTGAATCTATCACACCACTGCTTGTGGGCGTATTCTGCATCCTATCCTTATTCCCCATTAAAATCGGTTCTTTTGAATTGCGACCTGCTATCTTTCAAATTACGAATCAACTCATGCCGCGAACAGAGAAAGGCGAAGAGTTACAAGAACACGATCAGCAAAGACTTCAAGGACAACAACATAGAGAAGAAGTGGATAAAGGGAAAGCATTGGATTGGATATATGTTCATTTGGCTCGATTTCGATCGGACGTTAGGATGTTGACAGCCTGCTGGGGTATCATGTTGATTGTAGGTTTTATTATCAAAGCCATCATTGCCTCCACCAACACAGATGTTAGCAAAGCGCAGGATTTCGGTTATGCCTTTTTTTCGCTAGCAACAGCTGCTATGGTTGTCGTCTCGTGGTTCTTTACCAAAATGATGAAAAGACATGTCCATGATGAAGCTATTAGCATGCAGAGAGAACAGCAATGGCGTGAAGGATGGGACAATGCTCGTTGGGGCATGCAAGCCATGTCCACCGGTTTTGAACAGATGGTTGGATAAAAGGAAAAAAACAAACAAAAACAGAGTTCACATTGCAGCTCTGTCTCTAAGATTCAAATGGGAGAGACCTTCCTATGAAAGAGAGAGATGCAAAGCATACTTTGTATTCGTAGATGTAAAAATAGGATCTTTTTTTTTTTTTTTTTGCATACACATGACAGCTGAAGAATTGCTTCTACACTACTTGGTTCAAGTACACAGATTGTAACGCAAACCCATGTTTTTTGATCTTTTTGAATAAACGGATGCTGAACGACAAGAAAGTCAATTCATTGGCTCTCCTAATGACAAGCAAGAAAATCTCTAGGGTGGTGCAGCTACCGAGTGATGGACTGCCCGTGTGATCGTCCACTTTAGGAAAAAAAGTAGGGAGTTTTCAAGTGCTTTAAAGTGATAAGAGGCAAATGTATTTTATTCTCTATGTTGGGATGATGGGTATCATGCTGTTCCATATCAGAAAGTTTCGCCTTTCTCTCCGGGTTGGGCCACACGGCCATGGAATTCTTTCTTGATCCGTTTCCAGCGGTTGTTCTTGAAGACCAGTTCTGAACCAGAGGCCATCAGATCACCCTCTTCTGAATGTCCGTGTTTACCTATCTTGTCACTTTTCCAATACAACCACAGCAGGTTACCCGGCTTACCCAACCGGGCCTCCTCTTCCTTTTCTTCTTTTGCTTTTTCGTCAAGCGTGGGCGCAACAAAGTCTAAATAGGGCACGGCAACAGAAGGGTCTGGGTATTTTGGCGGCAGCGGCGAGGGCGATGGCCCCATGTCCGTTTTGGGTCTAAAATTCGGATTGAATCGTATTTTTCCTCCTCCTCCTGCTGAAGAAGGGAGGGGTGGTGGATGGGTGTATCTCTCTGGTTTCACCATGCTAGGCAGAATGCCTTTCGCGACCTCTTCTCTTTCTCTTAGTGACATGGTTTCATAACGTTTGACTTGATCCCAGGCCGCGTCGATCGACGTGGCACCGTCCTCCTCCTCCTCCTCCTCCTCCTCTTTGGCTTTTTTTGTCGCCCCCTCCTCCTCTTCCGTGTCGTCTTTCCCGCGCGTCTTGTTGTCGCATGTCTCCCTGACGGTCTGCAACAGGTAATCACACAGCACAGCATGACCGGCCGAGTCGTCTTTGAATCGTTTACCGACGAGGAAGAGGGCGACCAGGAGCTGTTTGGAGACGCGTTTCGCGGTCTCTTTTCGCAAACCTTTGATGAAGAGTCGTTGCGTGGTCGTCCCTTCCATGCCGTTCACAAGGCCTGATACCATCATGTCGATGAGCTCCTGGGTGGACTTGGTTTGTTCGGGTGTGATGGTATCCTGCATAAAGACCTCTTGTAATTGCTCCAACAAGTCATGAATAAGGCCAGAGATGATGGCAAATCCAGAGTGTAAAGGAATGCCGTTCAACACATCGATCGCCAAGTCCTCCATGTTGTCTTGCGTGTCCACGGTGACAGGGAAACGGTGGGTTCCTCCGCAGTCACGAAAACAGGTGCGCCAACGTGTTGCCTTTTCTATAAAGCGCATTGTCTGCATGGCGGATGGCGTTTTTGTGGTGGCGGTGGTAGTGGTAGGGGTGGTGGTTGCGGTGACACTGTCGTCGGTGGTGGCCGAGAGGATGGCAGAGGAATGGATAAGAGGCAGGTAACGAGAATAGCGCAGTGGATGGATGTTGACCCGTCTACATAAAGGATCTTTTCGGGGGGCCTCTATGAATTGTTGGATAGTGTCATATAAATTAGGACGGATAATCGTGTCTATCAACTCTGCTATTTTCAAGGGATTCTCCTCGGGCTTTAAGGGTCCATGAAGCGAGGAGAGGAAGCCCTCGTCATGGTCATTTTCTGTTTTTACTCTTGATAGATCGAGGATATCATTTTCAGCCTGTGTGAATTGTTGTTTCAGTGGGGTATTCAGACAGTGCAAATAGATGGTTTCTAGAATAGGTTGTACGATGGGTTAAAAAAAAAAAGCTAAAGTAAGAAAACGCTCATTTTTTGGGAGGATGGTAGGGCTTACTTTTATTGCCTTGGGGTTGTACCCTCAACATGTGTGTCCAATCGTTTGTATGACTTTGGTTGGGGGTTGTAAGGTAAGAAATACTGCCTAACCATTGACAGTTGTGTGGAAACAGTTGAGTTAAAAAGAGGGCATAAACCAAAATAATTGGGCCCGTGATGTGTACCTTGTGTTGTCATCCCTACATAGACTTGAGTCGCTACATCTTCTTTCTGCAAATGCATGCCAATAGAGTGGGGGGGTAAGTTTTCAGAAAACCACTTTTGTATGTATGTTTGAAAGAAGGAAATACGTCCCGTAACAATTACCTTCATTGGCGCGACAGCATGAATACATGAGCACCATTCTGTATCTATCACATGGAGAACAAAGACACGGGGGAGGGGGGGATTGAGCCGTCTTTCTTTTGGCTGCAATGATGTAGGGTCTCATTTACCTGACAAAGCACGCTTACTACGTTTAAAATAAAGTAAAGTCAGACTTCTGTGAGAGAGATAATCTGGTTCATGTATATATTGGTTTGCCAATGGTGCTTGTTGATTGATGAGATGAGATCCATTGGCTTGATAGTAAAATGTGACAGTATGTGTTGATTGCTGTTGTGCTGTTGAAGACTATCAAAGCAACAACCATGGGTGTTGGGAAATGAAGGAGAGTAAGAATTCTACTTTATATTTTTTCTGTTTTTCGTTTTAGGATGGTATAGATTCTACCTTCATGGGTATATTGGTGATATGTAAGGTGTTAATGTTATAATACAGTTGTGCTAAATGACGCATCGCATGCAATAAACTATGTTGATGGTTGGGAAGGGTATATACAGACATGGTGATTTCTGATGATATCTGTTTTGAGAGAATGCTGTGTTCTAAAACTGTTCCTGGTGTGTTTGCATAGGGTAGTAGACGTAGGACATCGACCTGAACATGACTTAACCTTTCCATCGTTTTGTGAGAAACATAAACTGGGTTCAAAGGAAAGGGACTGATGCCTTACCTTTTTGTAGGATTCAAACGGTTGATGTTATCCAGTGCGTTATGCACCATAGCCCGTATATCTCTCGGTGAATCACCCACATTATTTCGAAACCTAAGATGGGAAAGGTTGAGTGATAAGTTAGCAGGTGACACGAAGTTATCAAAGCGCACGTGATAAAAAGTGGATCTTTAACTGGAAGGGTTTTTCTGAAGCCTCCTTGACAAGTGTCAACAGGATCACACGGCATCGTCGTAAAGTGACATTGTCCTGCTGATGGTGTTGTACATAGAGCGCAAGTGCTTTTTCAATGCATTTTTGCAGTCTGTCGTCCGGAGAACATTCTCTCGGTTGAGCATGAGGAAACTGTCTTTCGAGTGTGGTGGTGTTTTGCTGCTCTACGTGATTAAGAACGATCGGCTGCTTGTTGGCTACAAGGACGTTAATCTGCGGATGGAGATCGATGAAAGGTTAATGTCACGTTCAGAGTTAGCTTGTTTCAAAAAAAAAAAACTTGATGCTTTACAAGATAGGGCTGGCTGGATTGAATTTCCCAGACGATTCTACAAAATTCTAACGAGCTCGACACCATACTCGTCCATAGAGGAAAGTATGGCACTTTGACTTTATATATTTCGATAAGGGGAGAGGTAAGTGATGTTGCTCTGTGATGGACAGAAAAAAAACAAGTGGAAAGCGAATGGTCTTTTACGCGTTGGATCTATATTTTTATCATCCAGTCTACTCGTTGTAGCAAATGTATCCGGATGTCCATCCAGTATAAGAAAAGTATGCAGCATAGTATGAGGAGAAGAAGATGAGAGAAACAGTGGACAACCCCCCCTCATCTTTTTCCTTATTTTGGATCTCGGGCGGGGTGTTAAATTCAACTTTATATTTTTTTATTTTTTTTTTTTGTCCTGATGAAAATGGCTTATGTACACATAGGGATACTGTGTTCTACCTCAAAGATTCAACCATGTATGCAGCGTTTCCGTGGCGGAGTCCACTTTTGTTTTGTTTTTATGCGTTATTATCGACATCCACTATTTGCGATAAGGTCAAAAGAAGCAAGTCTTTGCAATCAAGATGTTCATAGGTCGCATTCATGCTTTTACTCTATTTGTGATGAGCAAAGTGATCTATTGAAGAGACTGTTAGTGTTGGAGGGGGGAGGGAGAGGATGGGTCTGGAGCTTATTCAATGTCTGATGTTGTTGACTGTCAAAGAATGACCATGATTGGCTTATTCTCACTCACACACACACACACACACATCTTGGAGGATTGTGTTTGTGTATTTCAGGAGATGTTTATGTTTGTTGCATGCAGCTCCGTTTAACATATCAACATGATTCCCACTCGGTCATGGTGATTCGTCAAGAATGAGTCCATTGTCTCAAATGTCCCTTTGTATAAAAAAGTGGCACCAAGGGCAGATGTACAAGTGTCAGCACGGTGAGCTTCTATCACACACCTGTCAACCAGCGCTCAAGAGGAATAAGACGTAAAAAAAAAGGGAAAAAAAAAACTACGTTGGTTATACAAATAGGATGCATTTAGCAATAATATAAAAGCGAGAATATGTATCGTCCTTTCGGCACGACCGGAAGGAAATAGCTGCATTTTTGGAAATGTCTGTTTTTGAAGATGGCTGTGTTTAGGGCGTACAATTTGCGAAAGATGGGCTTAACAGGAAAAATAATGAGAAAACGCAAATTAAGGTTTTCACTAATCAGATCAAGTTTTACTTCTTTTAAAGCTCTCTCTCTGTTTTGTATGGTTGAAAATGGGGAAGCATGAAAAAAACAAAAAAAAAACCTGCAGACTGAGAAAATGAAAGTTCTTTTTTTTTTTTTTTTTTTTTTAAAAAAAAAAGCCTACCATTATAAACATCTTCTTTCATCCTTTTCCTTTTTCTCTATTCACTTGTCTTTTTACCAATGCTCGTCAAAGCCTCTACTGAAGATTTCCAACTGAAATTCAAACCGAATCAAGTGGAAGGTCCTGCTTCTCCTAGAGAATATCTGGAATGGAGTAAGCATCTGAGAAAGTGGCAGCGAAAACAACAACAGGTGGATGCGGCCAATGTCACCACCAAGGCTTATGATATCCCAGAACTGGAGGTAATGAAAAAGTATGGAAAACCAATCCAAACAAGAAATCTCTATTCACTCATCGTAATTCCGTAGTGGATTCAACGAAGCTATCTTCAACCACACGTCATGATCAATGATCTGTACCTGTTTGATAGCAAAACAAACACTTACACTGTCGAAAAATACTTGAGAGGTGCCTATCTGTAGAGGGTGGACCCCCTTCTTTTTTCCTTCTTTCTTCTAACGCAATGTGTTTCTTCATAGATGCGGAAGAACGTTATGGCTCTATTGATTCTGTCGTTGTAAGATTCAAACTAATTCATGCATAAATTAAAAAACCATGATGCCAACCAGATGATAACAAAACAATGAACGCGTTTCGTTTGGCGGTTTTTTTCTTTTTTTTCCCCTTAGGTCTGGCCCACTTTTCCTAATCTGGGTTGTGACAGTCGTAACTCTGAGGATTATTACCGTTGTCTTCCAGGAGGTAAATAGAAAGACGGGCTTTCATCTATATATATATACATAGAGTAGTCGAAAGATTTAATTTTTTTTTCATTACAAACATACAGGAACTCAAGGCATTCGGACTTTGGTTACTGAGTTTCATAAAAGGAATGTAAAGGTGTTATTGCCCATTGTAGGATGGGATAAGGGAACTGTAAGCATAAAGAACCCTCTCAGCCCTTCCAAGTGCTACTCATCACTGATCATTGATTGTTGACCTTAGCGCGATCCTAAAGCAGCTTGGAGCTATATTATGCCCAGATTGTTCAGTAAGTCAATTTCATTGTTTTACGATGGAGAAGCTTTTCCTTGTCCTGACAAGCAAATTTGTCTTTTTTTTTTTATTCTTATTATTATTATTTCCACAACGCTTGGTATAGAAGAGTACCACATTGATGGTATGTCGACAGAAGCAGCTTACTTTCCTCACGACTTTTGGAAAAACTCTCTTGCTATTGGACATCCTTTGGCCTATCACTGTCAAGGGGACAGTGAGCAAACCTTGGAGGATGAGCCCAAGCCAGATGACAGTGAGGTAAGCTGTATTCTTCCACTTGAGCGCCTAGCCATCTATAGACATCCTACTCATCCATCGCTCCTTTGTTTTTTTTTCCTTTCTCAAAACCAAAAGCTCGTGCAGTGGAATGTGATGAATATGAGTGAGTACATCATTTTTGAAATGTACATTCTTCCTACTGAAACTAATCAGCCCTATGCTTTTCCAGCTAAATTTGATTTTAGATCGTAAGTATTCTCTTACCCTATGAACCTAAACACATCATAGCTGTTGCAGAGCTAAACATCACGTTCCGCCTCCTCTTTTCCCAGACATGTTCCTACTGTGGTCACGAAAAAGTTGATCGAACCCAAGCATATGACCCGTGCGTGTGATAAGTGGTCCCGAAACAAAACATTCATGATCCAACATGGCTTTTTCAATGGTAACGTCCATGAGGCTGAGAGAGAGAGAGAGAGAGAGAGAGACGCTCATGTTTTTTTTATTGTTGATGCAGGTATCGGATTCGAGCTATGGGAAAATATCTTTGGCACTTGGAATCAAATCACTCCACGTGATGCAGAAGCCTTACGCCGCACGAGCAGCATCTTGCGTTGTTTCGGACCCGACTTTTTTGCCTCGCCCGAATGGGAGCCTCACTGCCCTTGTGTTCGTTATGAAACTGTCTTTTCCAGCAAGTTCCCAAGCCGCACAACAGCTGACCAAATCGTATGGACGTTTATCAACCGCGGTGCTGTCCATGCTACAGGCCATCAAATTGTAGTCAACTATCACATTGGCCTTCAATTCTACGATGTCTGGCATGGCTGCGAAATTCAACCGGCCAACATTGTCGATGGATTGGCTACGTTGAGCTTTGATATTGAACCTTACGGCTATGGTTGTATCTTTGCTACGTCGGATACTGCTCCTTTGCCTGCTGAATTCCACGGTCTGTTGGATAGGTTGAAGCAACGTTCCAAAATGCCTCTTCACCGATACCCTCTGAGCAACGCCGTTTTATGGCAAGAGTTGGATGAGGTGGTCGTCAGCAAGTACTCGGATGAGGAGTATTGTGGTATGGTGCGTATTGAAGGTGATGTCTTTGACTTTCACGTGCATGGATTGGAGCAACATCCTCATCGTAACTGCAATTACCCTGGGTAAGGAACAACGGCTTTTTTTGTTTTTTTCTTGTCAAAGGAAATACTCACCTTTATATATATATATATATATATTATAGTATCGATATTAGATATCCTTGGGAGTAACGTATTTGTTTCTTTTTTTTTTTTTAAAAAAAAAAAAAAAAAAAGAGAAAGAGAGAAGCCTAGCTAAAGTACTCACACACACCATTTCCAACATAGATATCAGTCCTCTCATGTACATGCTCCTTATCGTATGAAGATCCATACTTTCTACATGGACGCTTATCCCGTCACTGAAAAACAATTCAAGCAATTCCTTGACGAGAGTGGCTATAAACCAGCTGACTCTACCAACTTTTTAAAGCATTGGGTGGGCGGTTGTTACCCAGCCTGTCGTGCTAATAAACCTGTAACGCACGTTTCCATTGAGGACGCAAGAGCTTATGCCAAATGGGCAGGAAAACGGTAAGTGCTCGTCGTGGCCTCGTGACTCTAATGAAGAGTAGCTCACTCATCTTTTTTTTTTTCTAGTCTTCCACATGAATGGGAATGGCAATATGTCGCTCAAGGAGGTCATGAATACCGTAGCTATCCTTGGGGCAATGAATGGGATTCGAGCAAGGTGCCTGAAGTTTACAGTGGCCGTGAAAGACTCTACCCTGACCATCCCCCTGCCGACGTCGATGCCCACCCTGCTGGCCGCTCTTGTTTCGGTGTCTATGATCTTGTAGGCAACGTATGGCAATGGACGGATGTTTATCAAGATGAACATACGAGAGCTGGTAAGGGGGCTCTTTATCCCAACCACTTGCGTTTCTTTTCTTCATGCACTCACTCTTTTTTTTTTTTTTTTTTTTTTTTTCTTTTGCTTTCTCGTTAGCTGTGATTCGTGGTGGCTCCTATTATCAAGCAAAGAACAGTGAACAGTACTTCCCTCAAGCCTACCATAATGAGCAACATGGCAAATATCTTTTAATGTCTCCTTCGGTTGACAGAACGGCCACCATTGGTTTCCGGTGCGTTAAAGATACGGCGGAAAGTGCTGCCGCTTTAGGAAATTGCTCCTTTGATCCTGAATGTTATTAAACATACCCATGCTGCCTATCGCTCTCTACGTCGATGAATTGAAAGATACCGAAGAATAATAATAAAAAAAAAGTCATGGGATTGACTCTTCATAAAACGAGTGAAAATTGAATGTGTTATCTATCTAAAATGAATACACAACATGGAAAGAATCCAAACATCGGGTGATCATACTGCTACAGACAAAAGGAGGAAGCCTCCGCTCCTCATTCACAAAGGGGATAGATTAAAAAACATAAAACAGAAAAAAAAAAAAAAAAATGAAAGGAGATCGATCTCGCATGGATCTGCATTGCATCTTTTTTTTTTTTTTTTTTATTAAGCTTTCTACCTGTTTTCCACCGCAGTCGTATTGTGCAAGTTCATAAGGTAGTACCTGTCGGTCCCTATTGTACTTACAATGACGTAAAAACAGGCTACTCCTGCTACTGCTACTACTACATCTCATCTATCTCCTTCTTCCGATTTAACCTATCTCGCGTTTAGCCTTTCTATTTTATATCACGGAGATTTCTCTTACTCGTTTTGTCCTCAATGACGGAAACGATGAGACTCTGACAGTCCCTTTTGAACGTGCATTTATCACACATACCCTTAAAATACACGGTCTTTTCTTGGTCATTATTTTTGCAAAAATTCAAAAGGATTTCGGTAAAATAGCAAAGAGCACAGCAACCAAAAAAAAAAAAGTAAAATAAAATAGAAACAGCCATCTAAGACAAAGGCACACAAACACACATTTCATAGGCTACCCTTTTTCTAGGGCATGTTTATCCATAGAGAGAAGGACAATTCTAGGTGAAGCTATTATTCTTTGCCTCACATCCAGTCCCTCTTTTCTTTTTTTTTTATTTTTATATAATACACATCCTATTGTGTGCGCCTATAGATGAGGATGGAAGGTTCATTTTAGCCTAGAGTTCATGGTGAGCAGACCCAAATAGGTTGTTCTCAGACAGATAAAAGAGAAGGTTTTCATGTCCAAACCCGGCCAAAGAATTTTCGAACAACGATCAGAAATCCAATTTTACTGAATAAGGCAGGAACCAATAGCTTGGTAACAAGCTCCGATAAAATCTCATTTCTCGTCCAATCTTGGGGTTACTTTTTTTTTTTTGAAAAAAAAAAAATAGAGGGCAATTTAAGGTTCCCTTTTTGTTCTGTTTCCCTGGATTTTCTTCCAGGCTGTCGTCGTGTATTGCACAAAATCATTTTCGCGGCCAATGAGGTAAAAAAGTACGTTCATATTTCATGCGCTTTTTTCTAAAAAGCCATCATGTAGAAAAATGCACTAATGCACGACAAAGTATTTGTTGAAATGATTGGAATGTGAAAAGGCAATCAAAATTAAGCTAAGCGAATCAAAAAGGAGGGAGAGGTACTTGGAGAAAAAGAACCCTTAAAGAATGAACAAGAATGTTCTTTTCTGATTGGAACCATTAGGCGTTTCTTTTTTTTTTTTTTTTTTTTTTCTTATATTTATTTTTTTCTGCATTCTATTTGGCTTATTGCTTATTGAACCAATGACGTACCAACAGCCTATGAGTAAGCTATATTCACGACTTTACTCAAAAAGTCAAGTATCGAGAAACGTCGCCTATGCACTTTTGACGTGTTTTTGTATAAGTTACCCCTAATTCAATCGTGCCCTGAACTTTGCGATATCTGTCCTTTCATGTCAATAATTTCCTTTGAATGACCCAAGATAGAAATGGGGCGGTAAGGAGAGGAGGAACACAAAAATAACAGAAAAAAAAAAAAAAAAAAAAAAGTCAAATCACAGCACAAAAAGTTTTTTTTTTTTTTTTTTTTTTTCCTTTAAATGTCATGTTTGAGTATCATACATTATCAGCCAGTCGCACAATTCCAGTTTGGAGACAAAAGAACAAATGCCCGTTTACATAACCTTTTTTTTTTTTTTTTTTTTCTTCTCTTTAGTCCCCTTTTTTTCCTCTTTCTTCTTTTCAGTTTACTTATTTGAAAAAGTGCGTTTTCTTTTTTCTTCTTTTTTTTTTTTTCCCTATTTATTTATTTATTTTATTTATAATCCCCTTTCCCTTAAAAAGTAAACATTGAAAGTGTCCTTTTCCCCCATTATTCTTATAAATAAAAACAAGCAAGACAACCCACTCAGAAAAAGGGACTATGGATAATTTAGATGCTGCGTTTGAGAAGTTTTTGAAAGATCAAGCATCGCAACAACAGCAACAACAGCAACAACAACAGCAACAACAACAGCAGCAGCAGTATCAACAGCCATTTCATCATCATCATCACCACCTACAGCAACAACATCCATCCACCGCAACGTCCTCAGATTTTGATTTGCACCGTAGTCAACCTGCCAATCATCCGAACGGTGCTAACTTGAACCTATTTAGTTTAGATGCCAACTATCCTTTTCCTGAGAACTTGGCGTACGACCACACAACCAATGATCTCTCAGGAGCTACTGGTTTTGATCTGTCATTATTAACGGCTACGGATACGCATGCCGTGGCCGATACATCCACGCCGGCGCATGGGATGCATACGATTCCTTCTACACCTACTACTACTTCTAACTCTACTAATACGAATAGAAATATACCTTTTAATACAATCACTACTGATACATTCCATCCACCACATGACCCTACGACTGTCATTTTAGCTCAACAGCAACAACAACAACAGCAGCAGCAGCAGCAGCAGACATCGTCCTTTATAAATAATGTAAAAAATCTACTTTTTTCTTTCGAAAGAAAAATCGTATGTTTATGTGTGAGCCAGTCAAAGACTAAATTCAAGAAACCTACTCTTTTTCTCTAGCCTGCCATGATGGATAATGGCTCGCAAGGATTGGATATCCTTTCGTCCACATTCCAAGACACACAGATACCATTTGCAATAGACCAAAACGTTTCTCTTTTGCCTCTTCATCATCCGCCTCCGCTAGCACCACCACAGCAACAACATCAACATCAACAACCGTTGCCACCCCCACCGGCATCCACTCCTGCACCAAGGCAGGAACAAGATTTATTCAATGAACTATTATCCATGGCTGCTAGTAGACAAAGAAGTGCAAGTATAGATACATGGCAAATGCAAGGTAAGAATCGAAAAAAGAAAAGAAAAAAAAAAAAAAAAAAAAAAAAAACTCTCTTGGTATTGATTTTATTTACCTTGAATTGAAAAAAACAAACAAAAAGTACAATACCCGCCATCCGCATCCATACATCCACCTCAGTTACATTCTCATGGACAACAGCTTCATCGCCCTAGTTTTATGCAACCCATCATGCATCCATCGCCATCCCATGCTACATCTCCAATGTATCCGTCGTTGCCACATCAACCACAATTTCTGACGCCAGAGCAACAACAGCAACAGCAGCAACGCGCTTACCCCCCAAACCAACCACCGTTAGAGGGATATGTTTATACCTATCCAGCCATGCAACAACAACAACAACAAAGATATCCATCTCAACAACAACAATTATATCAACCCACGACATACCAACCACCACAACCACCACAACCACCACCCTCATTACAGCAAAACTCAAGACGCCCATCTCAACCATTACAGCAACAGCCATCACCTTCACAGCAGCAACATGTGAAACAAGCTGAACGATCAAAGCATCGAAAAAGTAGTAGCCATATGGCTGCTACTTTGGCACGTCAACAGCGCCAACAACAGCAACAACGTGATTCTTACGCGTCTACTACTACTACTACTTCTATTGTAAAGCCTATGGGTGAACCCCATGCATCTCCAACCACCGCCACGGTACAGAGAAGAAAAAGTAGTAGTAGCAGTAGCAGTAGCAGTCATAGTACAAACACGATGGCCACCAGCACGACCACGACGACGCCTACAATGTTGCCTGTCCCTCAAAAAAGAAAAGAAAAACGCGACTCTACCTCTACTACCACCCATCTTTTAGAAAAAACAGCAGTAGCATTGCGTATAGAGAGTAATAGCAGCAGTAGTACCCATAGCCAGGATCAGCATGCTGCTGCTGCTACTACTACTACTACTACTCCTACTACTCCTACTACTACAAGTAACAGTAGTAGCAATCACTCAAATCTAGACGTCAATCTTACAGCTCTGATGAAACAAGTAGAAGAAAAATTCATGATTGCTGAAAGAAATACCATTCCTTCCTATCGTGGCAGGTAAGAAAAACAAAAACAAAGCATTTCCTTCTTTCTCTCTCTCTCTTCTAACCCCCCCCCTTCCTTTCAAGACTTTACAAGTTAGAAATCGTTCAACAGCCGAATCGTGCTCGCATGTGTGGTTGCGGCGATAAGGATCGAAGGCCCATCTCTCCTCCTTCTATCCTCAAGTTAACCGTCATGACACCGGAGGGTCAAGTCCTCAGTCCAGATGTCTTTGACCCTACCTTCTTGGTCGTCTTTTGTGATTCTCGTCAAGAAGAATCGGGTGCTGTCGGGAGCTGCGAAAGTAGCTTGTCGACCACGGCTGTTGATTCGTCTTCGTCTTCGCTGTCCACGGTAGGTACAGCGGGCAGTACAGCCACAGCGAAATCGCTGGCTAGCAACGTGAGCGCCAACGCCACCGCTACAGCGGCGGTTGGACGTTCTGCAAAAAGAATAGACAATATCATCACGTTCCCTACCACCCGTATTGATGACGACGGCATTGAGCGTGAAATCTCTCAAAATTTGAAGAATCTTGTCGGCAATGCATTCGCATCCGCTCAGAAATTGTATGATCCGGAAGGTCAACTGGGTATTTATTTCGTCTTTCATGACATTAGTTTAAGAGCAGAAGGAATCTACCATTTGAACTTTTCATTGATGCACTTGGGATCGTAAAGTATTATTCTCACACACGCTAGTAGATAACCTCTTGGATGATCTTTTTCTGACTTACTCTCTCTTTTTTCCTTCCCCCCCCAACCCCCCTTGTAGACCCACTTCTTATACACTCAATACTTCGAGTACGTCTCACATTATCACAACCATTGCCTCCAACTCTTTTGCAGTGTATACGCCAAAGAAATTCCCTGGCGTCGCAGGTAAGAAAGATCATGAGTACATGTTTTGTCCGTTGTTGTGTACTCACCACACATGTGTATGTATAACAGACTCGACTGAATTGTCAAAATGTTTTGCAAAACAAGGCGTCAAAATACCCATAAGAAAAGAGAAATCATCAGAAAGTCCATCGAGTAACTCGCCTGCTAGAAAGCAGCCACCACACAGGCAACCCTCGCCTCCACTAGCAGATGACGATGACTACAATAGCGTCTGATACGGAGAATGGATGTCTTTTTCTACTTTTAAAAAAAGGCATCTATACACACTCTCTCTCTTTACAATATTTAAATACTAATCTATCTATAGTTTTATCTCTATATTGTTGGTTGATGAAGTATTATAAATATATATAGTGTCGTCCCTTTCTTTCTCTCTGTCTTTCTTCTTTACACTTTTTGAAATGCGTCGATAATCGCTCCTTTTCACTCGTTACCATCCTACTGGTCCGTATTTTCAGATCTAAACATCGTTCCCGCATCTGTTGTGGAACCCGCCAAAAAAAAACCAAAAAAAAAAAAAAAAAACCAAAAACCAAAAACCAGCAACAACAACAACAACAACAACAGTGACACGGGGATCTCTTATCGTACATGTTACTAAATATACCTTATGCTCTACTTCTTTTTTTGTACAACAGAAGAAAAAAAAAATACAAAAAACACATTTATCGTGTTACAAATGAACAAAAACCTAGACCAAGAAAGTGGGCAATGAGGGACTTGAAACACTTGGCACCCTTCCTTTTTATTCTATGCTTATTCCTTTGAACCTCAGGCAAAGTGCAAAGCCCAAAGAGAGTGGCTGTGGATGAATTGTCCCTTTACTGCGAAACCCCTAAGCACATGGTAGCATGAAATAAAGACCAGCTTCCATTTGCCCATTTCGCTCTATTCTTGCGTGATCTGGGAAACGCGTGATTTATCTGATGCATACAGTCAAACCATACGATGCCATTCGCTTAAAAAGCCCGCGCTAACCATGCATTTGTTTCAATGATTGACTTGTATTATACTCTCTTTTTTCCAGCAAAGGTGTATCTACGTCTGTCGGTAGGTTCTACCCTATGGGTGGTGGAAATGATTCCCCTCTCCTTTTCTTTTATTCATAGGAATGTGAAAAAAAGACAAGCGACTGTGGCAGTAGCACAGCCCACAGGTTCAATCAATAAGAATGTGGTATCTTGGAAAGGGTACAAAGAAAAAACCCCCCAACAAACGGCACCTAAGGTATGATAGATACACAGTGTCTTTCTTTAAAGCGCTGCCTTGTCTACAGTAAATAGTTCAGCTTCACCGTTCGAGAGAATCAAACGTTCAAGACGCTTACATTTGACAGAAATGACAAAAGGCACCTCTTTGTCGAGTAACTGGTTACAAAACAAGGGCAACAGATCATTCATCTCGACCTTTTGCGAAAACCTTTTGAAACAACGATAGAATGTCCCGTCTTCTTCCGTCTCAATTTTAAGCAAATACATGCCATTCTGCACAGATAAACCGTGCAAAAGTTCAACGTATTTGTATGGGTCATCTTTTGAATAATACGTCGGTAAAATCAATATGAGCGTGTTGACCTTTGTAAAAGGCAAGTCAATACACAAGGACTTTGCCGTTTGGTTGCCCCCGTCTTCAGGGTCTCCCCTCGCTCCATGACCGAGACCACGACTCATGGCTTGAGGTGTCGTGTTTTTGAACAACCCATGATGGAGCTGTTGTTGTTGCTGTTGCTGTTTGTGCTGCTGCTGCTGCTGCTGCTGCTGTTCCTGTTGTCCTGTTAAATCACACATGTTCAATCGAAGTGTGTCGACTGTATCCACTCGTCGAGATAAAAGCGGTAACGCCATACGATGAAGGACCGAATGATCCAGGGTCAATTGTTTTAGCCTCTTCATTTTGGGATACTCTTCTTCTTTGGTAGACGTAGACGTATCTCTCAAAATGAGATCGCCGAGTGTCAACTGCAGATCGGGAATGTTTTCGCATGCTCTTAAAATAGCATCCACCGTATTAAAAAAGAAGGGATGGTAGTCCTTGACCCGAAAGTGATGGAGATCTTTTTCTTTGAGTCGCTTGTAATAAGGGCCAAAATAATTCAACCCTGTCACGACCACGTCATGAGGAGACGCTTGTCGGATCGTGTCCGTAAGCAGCTCCAGATACTTTTGAATGGCGGTGTGTCCGCCGACACGAAATCGCATTATTTCTGTGTTTGCATTCCTTATAAACTCATTGAAGGCGTAGATGACAGTGGGCGTATTTGGATCGTAATTGAGAGAATTAAAGTGAATCTCGACGACTTTTTTCTTGACGCGACCGCTGCTGCTGCTGCTGCTGCTGCTGCTGCTGCTCGTTTTGTTGTAGATATGACCGACATACGCTTTCAGAATTTCGTCAAAGTGCCATGCTTTCGTCACGACCTCGTAGTTTGGAAGGTGTTTGATGGAATGCATCAGTGCCTCCCATTCGGCCATCAAGTACTGTGTGTGTGATACTGGCAGTTGTGTTTTGAACGTTTGCAAATGAACAAACTTTTTCGTCAGGTACTCCAAGATAGACACATCATGCAGTGACAAATCAACGACATGCAACTTTTGCACGTTCTTGTGATACACCAAGCGTTGCGTCAAAACGTCCACATGGGTGTCGTGGATAAAAGACAAGTGCGAGATCGAGATCTCTTCCAACTGCTGACAGCTGTTGACAATGCTGTCAAATTCGGCCAACGAGAGACTTTCTGTGACCTGCACCACGAGTTTCCGTAACCCGGTGTAGTCGCCCAAATAGGCCATCAGGTTTTTGTAGAGAATTTGCTGCGATAGGGACCACGTGTTCGCTTTTCTGATATAGATCCGTGCCAAAGAGCTTTTGAAAGGAAAAAGACTGTTGAGCGACATGCTGGTATCTTCGTGAGCACTTGAAGCGGTGGGACAGCAGATGGATTGGAGGTGTGGCAGATTGCCGCTGTGAGCCGCACCAAGGCAAGACAGGATCAAATGCTGTGATTCTTTGGCACAGGTGACATGTCGAAGGCGGCTGCAGACGCTAAACAAAATTTTGATCGGTTCAATATACTCGAGAAAATCCACCCTTGAAAACGTCTGATCAAAATGGATATGGTGCACAAGCAAGCAAGCTGGACGCGCGGCGGAAGTGCCATTGGTAATGACTTGAATAAAAGAGTGGATATTTCTTGCATTCAGGTCTACTTTTCTATAAAGCATGGCTTGCGCTGCTCTACTCCATGATTTACAGACATGCTGGCATTCAGAGAGTAGGTTGCGCTCCGTGTTGAAGAAGCCACGATCCATTTTCTCATTGGCAATCCAGAGAATACTGTTGAGGATATCCGTAGGCAGATCTGCCCATGAGAGCCGTTCTTCTACACTCTGGCTTGCGGCTGTAGTTGTTGTACTAAGCATGATTCTCAAGTCTGTTTTCTCTGAAACCCAACTTTGCTGACACCCAAAAAAAAAAAAAAAATAAAAAAAAAAATAAAAGCTCTATTCTTGAATTATAGGATAGGCCATCATTCACTTTTTTTTCCTTTTTTTTTTAAAAAAAACAAATAAAACAGAAGCTTACAATCTTCAACTCAGGATAGTCGTTATGAATATTTTCAAGCTTGCAAACAAAAGAATCAAAAAATGAGGATTGAAAAAAAGGGGCAATAATCCTGCAAAAAAAGCCTTTTTTTTTTTTTTTTTTTTTTTACAAACAAATACAGTGATCTAATAATTTCAAGTGCAACGGATTTGATTGGTCAGATTTCTTATTAATTTATTCGTTTTCCATTTTCTACCTCAACACTTATGGATGTAAAAGTATGATATCAAGCGCCTATCATAAAGAGTTTGGCTGTTGAAACTGAACATGATCGGGGAAACGCGATGGTCTGATCCTCTCAGCGTCCGTTGAAAATCTTTATTCTCAGGGGAACTTGTCAATTGATGTCATACCCCCACACTCAACTTTCGTATCAGCTTAGAGATATCTTCTTCTTCACTAGATAGGGTCATCCTTGACATACTTTTTATATGTAGAGAGCAGCCCGCTTGATGACGTATTTTAAAAATACTGAACGCAGGTAAATGCTGGTGTCTTTCAACTATCAATATTCCCATGGGAAGCATTCATTCATTGGATAATGTTTTATATCGCCGTACGAGATACGATTACTATTATAGGTTACACATTTGTTTAAAAAAGATCAAACGGATGTGTCCCAAATGAATCCTTCCTTTCGTCTGAAAATGACTTTTTCAAAAGCGAAAACTGCTTCATTCACTTATGGAATTGTAGAGCAGCATGGCTTCCTCCTGCGTTATTGATTTCAAATGTAAAGAATCATCATACCCTTCCCCTTCCTCTTACTCCCTCTCTTATATACAAATCAACAAAAATTTCCTTTTTTTTTCTCCTTTTTCTTATCTATCTCATGTCTTTGCTTGTATTTATTCTATGCTGGACACACCACAGAGTTTTCGGCAAAAGTTGAAATTAGTGAGTCAAAGTCCATCGTCAGCCTCAACGTCCTTATTGACTACAACTGATGCTGCTGTTGCTGCTGCTGCTGCTGCGACAACCACATCATGCAAAATTTCAGGTACACAAGGTTTTTTTAGTTTTAAAAAACATTTTAATTCACTCCAACTCTCCCCCACTTTTTAAAGAGAATAACAGACAAAAGGATGGCCATTTACCAACTTTTTTGCACACCTCTCTTCCTACTGTTGTAAACAACGGTAATGAAAACGTGGCAATCATGATAACGAATGAAAGTCAGAACAATAAAACTCTACCAACGAACCGTTTCAAGTAAATAAAGATGCTGCTTATATGAAACGTTTTGTTATGTGAAAATTTTCCCTGATGCCTCATTTTTGTTACACATACTCTTCACTAGAGATCATCAAAGCAATAGTAGCCACCATCATGAGCCATCACCTAGCGTCCTTCCAGCAGCAATGACTACCATGCTGAGCGCTGATCTGCTTGAGGAACAGCAACAGGAAAAATTACGAAGAAGTTCTTGCATCGTCCCTCCCAGATATCATCGTAAAACCAACTCGGACAGAATACATATATGTTTATCAGACATAAGCCTAAAGAGTATTGAAGAATAACAACCTCTTACTTTATATGTTATCGGTAGAGACAATCAATAAGGCTATCACTTTGACGAACCATGGTCTCAATACTGGTAAAGGCATTTTTTGTTTGTATTAAGGGGGGGAGGGAGGGCGGAAAAAAAAGTTATTGTTATTTTTTTTTTTTTTGTGAGCTATAATTGTTTCGATAACAATGAAATGTATCATTACACACATTAAAAACATACCCATATCTTTCAGGTTCTACCAACACCACCATCATAAACAAGACGCTTAAAAGAAGAAGCTTATCAGATGCTTTTTCTTCCGTTCCATCCACCAATCCACCCATGCTCCTCACCACTGCTGCCAATACAACAACAACAACAACAAGATTACCTATGCCTGCAGGGCCCATCTTACCCTCCGTTACCAAAAAGCATTCATTTCACGAGCGTACGACAGCACGTAAAATACCGTCGCCAACAAATCTTAAGAAAGTAAAAAGTAATCAATTCATCAAATCTACTACTACAACAGCAGCAACAGCTCTCCATCAGCAACATCACCGCCGTCCTCATCACGGTAATATTCTCAAAAGTAAACCCAGCTTTGAATATAAAATAAACCAAAAAGAATCAAAGAAGGAACCTTCGGCCACCACCACTACCACCACCACTACTACTACTACTACTATTCCGCCTGTTCCTTCTTCTCCATTGACAAAGCAGGTCACTACTACAGCAATAAAGACACGGTCATTGTCACGAACCACAAGCTTTGCAACATGCAACACTACTTTGTCAGCAACCCATACTTATACCAGTAACAACAAAAAATGGAGGATTGGCAATGGGGATAATAAGCAGGACAACGAACCCGTACCGTCATCGTCCACATCATCAGCATCAACCACCATGTCGTCGTCAGCGTCATTGGTAACAACAAAGACAAGTGACAAAAGTGAAGACCCTCTTCTTCATCTTACAGGCACCAATGCCTATCGAAGAAAAAGTAGTTCTCACAATTTAAGAGACGTGAAACGTAAGAAGAGCAATCAACAATTACCAGTGCCTACGCCTGCGGGCGCTACAAAAGATAGTTGTGGATGCAAAGCAATCATTGACCATTTCCAACAAGAGCTGGAAAAGGAACGCTTGAGCTCACAATCCTTGATGAAACAGAAAGAAGGTAAAAGCAAGAGAATGGAGTCCTTTTTTTTTATTGTAGACCTTTGCTCTCACGTACCCAACTCTCATTTTTTCATTTCGTTCTATTATAAGCCATCGCTAAGGATTTGGATTACTTTTTCAACTTGGCTGACCAATTGACCGAGGAAAGAGATGCATTCAAGCGAAAATATACGAATGAAAAGGTAGTCCTATGATGATTCAAAGTACAAAATATAGTTCTGTCACCTATCAACGCTTTGCTCACCCCCATTTTCTTCCTCTTCCATAAGCTAAAGAATGAAAAATTAGCCAGCCTCCTTAAGAGCGCACATCATGGCACAACACTGGAGTCAAATAAACTTTGGTCAACAACCCTACGAGTCGAGGAGGAGGATCACGACGACAAATATGAAAACAACCCTTTGATGGTATCCAAAAATGAAGTCATCATCTCTCTGAAAGACGATCTGAAATTCGCACAACAACAAATCCAGATACTTAGAAACACCATGGAACGGCTACTCAAGGCGGATGGCAGCGAAAAGTCGCAAACAATGGAGGGTAGCTACCCCGAGGTAAAGGAACAGGACAAAGCCGTCGCTAAAGAGTAAGTTGATCAAAAAATAAGCTTCTACGTACAATGCTTTTGTTAATCAAGTCATCGCCTATCATCATCGTTACCCGTGGTAGCTCTAAAGAAGCCGACAGCACAACGAGTATGACAAAAGAGCCCAACGGCTCTACCTACTTCAAGCTACATGCTTTGAGCCCTCCTGTTCAGCAAAATGCAATGTTGAGCCCCTCCTCCCCTACCTCTTGCTATAGTTCGGGACTAGCCCACGGTAGCACTACGACGGAAGAAGAAGACGACATCATGTCCATCACATCCAAAGATTCTTATAGCAGTCATAAAAGTCATCGACTAAAAATACAATATGAGCTTTTGGATGATGACAATGCACAAGCATTTGCATTTGACGCTCTTCGAAAGGTAACTATCCTACTCAATAGCTTCCCCAACACGAACCTCAACTCAACTCATTCGTCCCTATTACCATAGTCTACTGACAATTTCTCCAGAAAAAACGTTGTATCTCAACGCAAGGATCAAATAGAAGAAATACTTGTTGAAGTTGATCTTCAATTAAATAGAGTCAAGCGAAAAAATGAGCTGTTGTATCTTACTAATAAACTGTCCTAAGAACTTTCTATTTTTTTTCAGAAGGATGCATTTAATACAAAAAAAAAAATAGATTAAAAAAAGACAAAAAAAAAAGAGACAGAAAGATAAAGTGGCTGTTGTGATAGAAAGAGTAGCAAAAAGTTTCATTCCCTATTACACACTTTTAATGGATTTAATGACCGAGTTGAGCAATGGAGGCATTGATATCCTTGATAGCATCAGCCTTGGATTCAACAGCCTTCTTTTGAAGAGCGGCAAGAGCAACCTTACGTTGGTAGTAGGCAGCAGACTTGGCCTTACGCTTTTCTTCGAGCTTAGCAACAACATCTTGGTACTTCCAGCCGACTTCGTGAGAGATACGACCAATGGTGGTGTACTTACGACCAGGCTTGAGGCGGAGGACACGGAGGGCATCAGGGATGACCATACGCTTGACACGATCATAAGGAGGAGGGACACCTTCGAAAAGCTTGATGCGGTCAAGAGCAGCAGCACCACGAGCGGTCTTGTGAGGAATCATACCACGGATAGCCTTATACAAGATACGAGAGGGAGCACGGAAGTGGAAAGGACCACGCTTGGGGTTGACAATGCAACGCTTGTTGAGATAAGCATGGTACTTCACTAAAGACATTTAAAAAAAAAAAAAAAGTCGATTCAATAAAAATATCATCTTAGAAAATGGGTGTGACAGTAACAAAACGAAGGAATAGGCTTCTTTGATCTACTCTCATTTTTTCTTTCCCTTTTCCTCTTTCATACGACACATATTGACATTATGTTCATCTCATCTGTCAAACTCTATTTTTTCCTTCATTGCCCACCCCATTCCCTCATACACATCTCTACGTTTGTACTTTATAAAAATACATACACTTGTTACGGAAGAATTCACCAGAGACGTTCAAAGCTTCACATCTGACAACAACAACCTTTTGACCGTTAAGGGCTTGCTTGGCGATGACGGAAGCGAGACGACCTAACAAATGGCCTTTACCATCAATAACGAGGGTCTAATGTAGACAATCAACAAAAGAGAAAAAAAAAAAGCGTTGAATAAGGTCAATGTCAAGTAGCTCATACGTAAAACTGTGGGTGGCTGCATTCTATTGGGAAAAAAAACGGTTTACCTTTTCGAAGGTAGACATTGTTATTGTTCTGTAAAATAAAGAGACAGAGCAAAATTTTACAAAAATGAAAAAAGGTTTAATTTCTCGTTCCCCCCTCGGCCACTCAAAGAACTAAGCCACCCAAACCCAGCTTATCACCCCGCAACTACAAATTTTTTGTTTAGAAAAAAACCAAACAGCCCGTGCTTCTATCCGGCGCGGACGTTTTGAACTGCCGAACCGCCCCCCCCCCTCCTCTCCCCTTTTGATATGGCCATCATTTTTCGCTTCTCCTCTCTGCTGCTCATGGTATTCGATTCGATTTGGAATAGGACGATACGCTACTACATAATAGGAGAACGAGAAGCCATACATTTGGTTCTCTCAGTTTATCAGAATAAACATAGTAAAGGATACAATGATTAGAATAGAAAAAAAAAAAAAATAGAAAAATGCAACATGTGCAAGTTATGATTATATATGAAAAGGTTCATTTTTCATGCGATAATGGCTCTTTCTCTATAAGTATTTCTGTTTTTACTTGATTTAATGGTGGTGATTCAAATTGAGAATAAATGGTATGCACATGCCAAGTAGGACAATGCCATTCTGACGCCAATTGAACTTGTGAGTTGTGCAGTGGGTATGAACAGTAGGATGGGTACCAGCCATCGTTGAAGCCGGAGTCGTATGAGCAGATGGACTTAACGTGTGATAATCCTCTGAAGAGGAGGAGGGTGCCGTGGAAGGCAATTCCTGGATAGCATGCATTGCAACGTACAAAAAAGTGCCCCCCGAAAACAATAAAAATATGCCCGTCCAGTAATTCACGTTCAATTCTTGCATCGACTCTGAAAACAACTGTAGTAGTGCGTAAGTGGACAGGGCACCTGCCGGAGCAGACATGGAAAACAGGAGCAAGTGCTTTCTCACATGAGCCCGGGAAAGTCCTTCGTTGAGGAGGACGGTGGTGAGGGCAAATGCTGAAGGGGCTTTGTGAAGCATGATGGCGAAAAAAACGACCATGGAGAGCTGAGGGTCTGAGACGGAGGCACCAAGGGCAATACCATCTGCTGCTGCGTGTACAACAAGTCCAACGGTAGGCGTTGTTACAGCTGCATGGGTTGCTGGAGAGCTGTGAAGAGGGTGAATGTCGTTATTATCGGTGCTATTTCCTACTATCGAAACAAAGGGTGTTTTATCGGCTGCATTAGAGGAATCAGCAGTATTGGTGAGCATAGCATCCAATTCTAATGAATTTTTAATTTCTTTGTCATGATGGTCGTCAGTGTTAGACGACGAGGCGGACAAAGGAGACGATGTATGATGTGCGTGAGAATGAGAGGAGGGGTTGAGCTGATCTATAATAAACATGAGTGCAAATCCAAAAAGTAGTGACAGGCCAACTGCCGTATGCTCAGGTATATGGTGGTGACTAGAGTGGTCAGAATCTAGGAAATCCGATGTGTCAAAATCGCTGTTGCTGTTGTCATCGTTACTATATAATGTCTCCACTCCCTCGGGTATAATGACGACTAAACTTGTCGAAATTAATAAACCTGCACTTAACGATGCTAGGAAATGTAATTTGGATTCGGACAACTTTGTCGATAATGGTATACATCCAGCTACAAAACTAGCTATCAGCATCGATAAACAGAGTAGTAGTAGCCATATTAGCGGACTTAGCATGATAGTTTGTGCCCTACTTTAAGAAAAATAGAGAGTAGAGAACAATAAAAATAAAGACGAATCAGTACTTTAAAACCCAAATATGTTGAAGGAAAAAAAAATAGGAGAACCAATTACTTTACCCAGTAGAAGGAGAGGTCTGAAACCCTCTGTATTCCAAATTTGGAGATGTTGATCCAAGCAACGAGATGGGGCAGCATAGACAAATGCTCACGTCAGCAAGAACCTCCTTGTTGAGCAAGAAATAATTTCGACCCTTTGGATGCTGTCTACAATAGAGTAGACTAGAGTCTGGAAGGACCATATAAAAGTAACACGAAACTATAAAAAAGCAGCCAGCAGCTTACATGATGCTCTTGGTGGTCAACCAAATCTGCGTCCATTGATAAAGCTGTATGGCAACATAGAATGAAGAACACTTTTTGAGTGAGCTTATGAGACTAATAGCAGCAGTAACAGCCATTCTATGGCACTCCCGTTTTTGTTTTTGCTTTTTTGATCCATGTTGTACGACGCTCAAGCGGATGAAAGGCATCAACAGCATTGGACAGATCTGTTGAAAATTAGTGTAGGCTGCTGTAAACTGAGATTGTATATATTAGTTCATGCAGTAAAAAGCATTGTTACTTCTGCCAGCATTGAGCCATTTATTTACATTAATCGACGTCAAGAATCCAACTATAATGATTGTGTAGAAAACGTTATTATCGCAAAGCACCATTTGTTGATTCAAGAAATCATTGTTGTATTTCATTGTCAGTCAATTTCAAGCGCATCATGTTTTTATCAATGAGAATGGACAATGTTAAGAATTGGTTATAACATACAAGGTAGTATTTATATCCGAACTACTATTGTCTTATTTCCAGCTTTACAATGCTGAGCATGTGCTCATCAAAAGAACCTATATCGTCATTTTTAAATGCAAAGCACTGTATCGTCTTTTAAATCCCTCTATCCAAACTTGAAAATGATGCCATACCAGCTTGATACGTAGATACACTGTTTTTTCTAAAAAAAAGTTAATTTGTATCAGCAGGTTTAACACTCAAGAGTACCTTACCCTATTTTTTTTTTTTGGGCTGCTGCATAAAACTGAATCAGCGCTAAAAGTGTTTGTTGAATCGGAGGCGAAAACAGCTGTTTATATAATAATGGTAAATAATTGATTTGCAGAAAAACACTCTGACGAAATACTTAAAGGTATGCAGCCATATTTAATTGTGTCATGGGGCAGTCTACTTGAATGCTTATTTTTTCTACCGTTACTGTTTAAGGCATATAAGGTATACTACATTTGCCGTCTATATCTTTTAGGATGCTAATCCATGTGAAAGGTCAACAAGCATTTTCATCAAAGCTACACAATAGAATTAGGTTCTTTTGTTGATTCTAATACTTATCCCTTTGATTTTCAGCAGTCTACATGGATGAGAAATAAACACGTATAAATATTGTACATGTTACTAGTTTTGGTGTTACTTTATGTGAAAAGTATATGCTTTTTTTTTAGATAAGAGGGCTGCTTTGTTATCTGAGAAAGGGGGCCCCTTGAAATACCGAAATGTTATATTGCACGTACTTTTACAACTATGGTAGGAAATGGTGCATAAAAGACAAAGACAGAAAGAGAGGAAGATGGCCCGCTTTGCAGCTTCAAAAGATGCGCCTTCTTTTATTACAAGTAGGTGGAGCCACATAAATGAACCGTTTGCTCACTTTACTGATTTCTAAAATCAGAAGCCAAACGATGGAATAGTTCATCTGAAGAAGTGTATAGTTCGATAAGTGAAAGACGTTGAAAGTTACACTACAAAAAAACAGTCTATAAAATATGTACAGCTTAGTCAAACATTATAGAACCTCAATATTGTTCACATGCTCCCTCTTTAGAACTGGCAAACGATGCAATATTCTTCACTGCTACACAAAGCTATACAGTACTGCTTTACAACTAAATAAGTGCGGGGACAAGGTAGGATTGTAAGTTTTGTCAATGACGCTATATATTTACCTATTTCGGCAGTCAACTAACTATATTCGGAACAATAATAAAGATGTGTGTCCCTTATTAACATCTTTATCAGTTTGATCATACATATTTACCTATACAAGAGTTCAGTACGGTTATGCACTTTACGTCAACGCAAATCTGGAAAAAAATTAAATATTATGCTCAATCTATTAATAACCCGATTGTTGCCTATTAGTGGTCTCTTTTCAATGGAATTATGACGGGCAAAAAAAAAAAAAAAAGAAAAAAACTGTGGTCTAGATAACCTGCCTGATGTTTCAAGTCCAATATAAACGTAAAACAAAAAAACCAAAAAAAGATACGATATATTCTGCTACTCTGTTTATAAAACCTTTTTGTTTAGATGTTGTTTTAGCGTCTAAACCTTTTTTTAAAGGGGAACCTTATCTTGAGCCAGCCAAATTCACTCACACAGGCACGCTCAGAATATACACACTTGTAAACAATTAATAAAGTAGAAAATCTGTCCTGTGCACAGGGCTCGATTTTTTTCCTGGTTTTTTTTTTGGCCCCTATGATGAAACTCCGAAAGACGAGTTATTCCTTTTCGGGAAATCTAAAAAAGGGGAAGATGACTTATATAAATGACATTTAAGCATTTGATTCACTGCCTTTCTTCTGTACTTATAATATAACTATAACACACAAGAAAAAAAAAAAATAAATAAGAAAAAGAGGGAACTTGTTCAAATTTATTACTCTGAGGCCTTGTCAAAACTGTATTTAGTATTTCTATTCTCATCAAGAAAACGAAAAAAGACGCAAAAAAATGGTGGTTTATCGTAATATCCAAAATACTCGTCGCCCAACGAATACCTCTTTGACGTTGGTTATTAAAGTCGGTACGTCGTCAATCTGTGACGAGGTCACACATTATCCTTTGCTTGGAAATTTATCTCGTATCGTGGAAACCATTATTCAACTCAAAAACTTGGGGCATCGCGTCGTTCTCGTCACAAGTGCTGCTGTAGGTACTGGTTTAAGAAGATTGAATATTACCGAAAAACCAAAGAAGCTTGCGTCCATCCAGGTAAAGCATGTGAGCATCAATTCCAAGTACTCAATTTCAAAGAAAAAGTATAACAATCATTCAGCAATTGAAAACACCTATAACTGATCAATGTCATGTTTCTCTTTATTCATATAGGCTATCGCTGCTGTTGGCCAAGGCCGTTTAATGAGCATGTATGATGATCTCTTTGCTCAATTTGATCAACCTGTCGCTCAAATGCTACTTACACGAAATGATTTAGCTGAGGTAAATATCATATCTCTCTTTTCTAGACTTGTTTTGAGATCTAACTCTATCAAAAACATTTCGTTTTTTTTCCTTTTCTACTACTTTTATCCATCCTTGTTATTAGCGTTCACAATACCTCAATGCTGTTAATTGTTTGGAAGAGCTGCTTGATATGGGTGTTGTTCCTATCGTGAACGAAAACGACTCCATTTCTGTGAAAGAAATCAAGTTTGGCGATAATGATACCCTTTCTGCTATTACTGCTGGCATGGTAAAAGCCGATTATCTCTTCTTGATGACGGATGTCGATTGTCTTTACACTGATAACCCTAGAAGCAACCCAGATGCCCGTCCTGTTCTCGTCTGCGAAGACATTGACCGTTTAAAGGAAACTGTAAAAGTCAGTGCGCCCGGTTCCGCCCTTGGTACTGGAGGTATGATTACAAAATTAGTAGCGGCTGATCTCGCCACAGCAGCTGGTGTTACAACTATCATTGCACGTGGCTCTACGCCTGAAAATATCATGCCTATCATCGATCCCGAAAAATACGCTGATAAGATGCCTCTTCATACTCGTTTTGTCGCGAAACCTCAGCCTTTGATGGATCGTAAGTGGTGGATTCTTCACGGTCTACATACTGCCGGAACTGTCTATGTCGAGAGTGAAATGACAGAAGCTATCCATGACGGCCAGATCGATCATGATCTTTTTGCTCAGAATATCTCCAAGGTGGAAGGCAACTTTGTCGAACATCAAGCGGTGCGTCTTGTCGTGCAACATAAGAATGCCAAGGGCTTGGTCGATAATGTTACTATTGCTAAAGGCATTGTCAACTACTCTTCAGCGGAAATCATGCGTATCATGTTGGCGCAAGAACAAGATATCGTAGACAAACTTGGTTATAAAGATGCCAATTGTATCATTCACCGTGATAATATGGCTATTTCTATATAAGAAGACGCCCTCTTCATCGACGTTGACATTCTTCTCTTTCCTGTTTTAATCATTCTCTATAAGCATATCTATGTTACTTTTCTTCTTCTTTCATGTTTTCTCATCATCTCTATTTATCGATTTATTTGCATACTTCTTCCCTTTTATCTTAATCACAACATTTCATCCACGCTTTATTTTACAATTTTTCACAACGACGATAAAAACCTCCTTTAACCTTGTCGTTCTTCCGATTTGATATACGTATATACGTATAAATTGGATGCACGTGATAAGATATCTTGATGTCCAGCCATCATCCTCCTCTTTGAATTTTACAATTAAAAATAGATTCTTGGCTTTTTGCGGGTAGTCTAAGTTAGGCAGATTAACCAAAAGGCCCGCTCGCACACTTTAGCTGTAGTAAGTACAGCGCGTGTAGTAGCTGTTCCTTTTACTGATTACAACAACAACTAATCTAAAGTAGCCTTACGACTCCCTACTATTCGTTCAGAAACGATTTTTATAACTTACGATTACTCTCTCAGAAGAATCGTTTAGACGTTTTTTTTTGTTGTTTCTTTTTTTCAAAAGAAGACTTCTTTACTGCAGTATTTTCGGTTTCCATTTAGACTTTTTTGTACACAAAATTGAATATTTTGATTGATTTAATTCAGAAAATTTAAGCCATTATTTTCGGACTAGTTACTTTTTACATTTGGACACTTGTAGTAACCATCTGAGGCCCGCCTCTTTTTGCACGCATTTATTGCAGTAAGTTTCGCTGTTTGATCGGCCCAGAAGAATTACCTACATTCTCCTTAGCTGCCATTTGAACTGATAGTCCAGTTGTATTCTATGTAAATGACTCACAATCCTGTATTCTCATTGACTGCTCAGCATCTCTCTTGATCTAAAGTCGTGTCACTTTAGAGTCATTTTTCCCTTAAAGAAATCAATAACAATAGGTGATTGTATAAATTAAGTTAAACGCCTGTTTCTTGTCAGTAACTGATGAAGTGATAAATAAACGTGTCTTGGTTTGGTGTCAAAATTTAGCGCGTCGAAAGAAATCTGTCTAGATTGTTTTTGTTGTCAAAACTTCTTTGTTGTCCAAATAATATTCTAACAAAAAGTTTCAGTTTATAGAAAAATAAAAACGTTGATACCTTTTCCCCTTTTTTAACAGAGTCTAGTTAGATATCCTTTAAAGAATTATCAAAGAAGTGTTAACAGTGCATCATCAGGTAGATTGAAATAAAATCTCATCACGAGCTACTCACAACGACTGTACTGTACATATTTTGTTTGTAACTGAGTGTTTGTATCTTTTGAGTAGCTTTTTGTTTGAATAACAGTAGTTCGCACATTTGGCATTGAGCATTTTAACAGAAAAGGTATAATCCCAAAAGCTATACTTTTCATCCAAAATAATTTTTTGATTTAGTCTGAGCTTAATTGTAATATAGTCTTAATTTTATAGCCATTTGGTGCGAACGTCAAGCGAAAAAAAAACCAATAGAGAGCTACGACACAGAAGTTACGGCATCTTTTACGCTGGAGAATTTAATCATGTCAGATCAAAACTGATGAATCTTTTTTTCCAGAAATCCAAAAAAAGTAAGTTTGAGAGGACATTCTATTATTTGAAAAATAAGTAAAACAGAAAATGATACTGTCTTATTTAATCAATACAATAAAATGAAAAAGTTTTAGAAGATAGGGATGATCCTGTCTATATTTTAACATTATTCGGTACCTGGAATGCTGATGTCAGACAAGAATAGGCATGACATCCTCAACTACCACAAGTAGTTTAAGCTTACAGTAGAGACTATAATAGTATCTTGAGAATTGCAAATACAACAAGTATTAACACTGTGTCTATTTATTGCTTAATAATGTGATCAGCGATCGTCGAAACAGAAACAACACTAAAAACGGAACAATTTTATTTTTATTTTCTGTAATTCAGTTTCTCATAAATCAAGATAATATCCTGCAATAACCCCCAATTTAGAAATAAAGATGTTGGTTATTTGACTCTGTTGATACTGAACGTTGATGTTCATGCTGTTGGGAATTACGTTGACTACCACTACTGCTACTGCTACCCATAGGTTGATTATTAGGGTTTTGATTTTGATTCTGATTTTGATTAGTGCTATTAGGAGTAAAGAGATTAGCTGATAATTGCATATAATCCGACGGTGGTGGTGGCGGTGGTAGTGGTGGTCGAGCACCATTGGCGGTCATATACATGGGTTGACCAGGTGAAGATCTAGACGGTGCTGTGTTATCGGATGTAGGGGCAGCGGGTATTATAGTGCTACTGGTAGGAGCAGAAGCAGCAGTAGTAGTAGTATTAGCAGGAGCTGGGGATCCATTGATAGAAGGTACCCAAGTAGTTGATGACGAAGAATCGGTTCGAGAGTGATGATGGTAATGCTGATAAGGCGGATTATTTGCGGGATGCTGGGGTGAATTGGTATGTGTCGGAGGAATATTATTAGTACAAGTATTATTAGCAGTCATTTGTGAAGTATGTTGAGGGTAATGGCGATAAGTATCACTCTTAATAGGTACTGCTGTGCGGAGTAAATTAGGTGGAGTAGTATTAGTGTTAGTATCAGAAGTATTATGAATAGAGCGGCCAGGAATATGTTGTTGTTGTTGATTCAAGGTGTACGTGGTAGTATTATATGGCTGGGTATGCGATGGCGGTGGTGCGGATAAGTAACTATTCGCTGTGCCCGCCTTATTATTTGTGTCCGTAGTCGACCTCATTGTAGACATGATGTTCGTATCATTCAGGGATGTGTCATAATCGTTCAAAATCGTGGGTGTATAAAGGAAATCTGAAAATGGCTGCATGTCTTGTGCAAATAAATCTGCTTTGTGGATGTCAAAAATAGAAGAGGCTGAAGCAACATCAAGTACGAAAGGATTCCTCGATTGCATGAAGGGGTTATCAGACGCTGCGTGTGGCATTAAATTTTGATCGACGCCTGACATAGGTTGTTTATGAAGTATATTTGTCTGGTTTTGTTGTTGGTAATGCGGCATAGAAACAACAGGTATCGATGTGCTCGTTGTAGAGGGCACAGTAACAGGTACTGGTGAAACATTCTGATTGGAAGAAGAGGTATCTTTTTCACTGTTACTCATACCTGCCCTTTTGCTAGTAGGATTGTCGATCGTTTTATGTTGTGGATGCAGTTGACTATTTCCTTTAGATTCCTCATCGAAAAGTGAATCGACATTTGCAGCTTCTTTCAATACAGCCTGGATTTTGTTCACTAAAGTGAGAACATATTTATGATGACGAACAGGCGATGAAAGAAGAATTTCCGCCATTTTCTCCAAATTTGTTTTCGCCAAGTCTCGTTCCGCACTTTCATCAGATTGCGCCAAGACGTTGCCATAGATAACGACGGTCATCATCAGGTTTTCCAGGGAAAAGTGGCACCATAACTGCTTCAGTTGCGCCCAACACTGCAGCAGCTCTATTGTACTGTGAGCTGCTTTTATACAAACATCTTTTGATAACAGTTCAATCGTCGACGGCTGATAACTGCTATTTCCACTTCCCTCTTCCAAACTTGATTTCAGAAACATGCCATGGAGTTGACACAATTGGAAATTATATTCGAAATTTAATTTGATACAGGCTTGTTCTCTAAAAGACGTAGAATCCCAATTTCGTTTATACAAGTCCCCTGCTTCATACTTAAAGTAAGGCGGAAGTTGTGAACGCCATGTTTCTAGCTCCTTATCAATGGCTGTAATCTGTGACAGCAAAGGTTTCTCTTCTGTCGTCTTGTTGATAATGTCACGATAGATGCATGCAATTTTAAACCGATTTATAATAAATTCTCTCTTATATTTCAATTCTCCACTTGTTTCGTGGTCCATTAGCGTTGGGAATCCAACACTGATCATCTCTTTGGGTGGCAAACAAAATGCTTTATCGGAATGTATGGAGCCTAATGTCTCAATAAAGTAAAGCACCCAGAAAAATCGGCGATTCAGCTCTTTTTCGTATGGAACAGAACTCGTTGACTCGACATTCATCTTCAAATCCAAGCATATGCGAATTGCCAATCCCAAATAGATATAGGCCTCTGATTCTACTTCAGCCTTGTGCTCACTACTACTTGTAGGCATACCGATCGCATAAATGTACATGACGAAGACACTAAGCATGGTATTTACGTTGCTGACCATAAACCGTTCTTTCAGCAGTTCCTTAGCTTTCAGAAAAAAATAATGACCTATGTCGTTGGGATCGTTGTTGGGAAATAGATTGTGATATATAGCGGCATGTCTGGCCGTCCACGCAAATATCGCATTGGCCAGCATGGGATCCAGTGTGTTTTTCTCAAATCGAGCAACAATGGAATTCACAGGATCGGGCCAGGAGAAACACAAAAAGCATTCCTCAAAAATAGTAAGCAGTCGTTGTTTTGTTTCTCGAGAAATCGTTTGAATAAAGACATCAATATTTGACTTTTCAATGCCCCATCTTTCGTTATCATTTTTCATATTGTTGTGCGTCGAAGACTGCTGGTTTTCTGGTTCCCAACTGCTATATAAAGGGTGTGCTTTCATTCGACTCTTCCATAAGGGTTTTTTTCGCATTACCGTAGCTGCTTCAGGTCGTGGACTTTCGAATGACGTACTGATAGAAGATTGAGATGATGTTTCTAGAGTACTCGCTGCTGCCTCAGACACACTATGATTACTGTTGCTGTTTGCACTGTTGCCAAAGTCGAAATGTGATACGCCAGAGAGCAAAATATCATACAAATCATGTAAAGAAACTATGTCTGTATCAATCCTCAAACCTTTTGGCGTCAATGAAAGTGACCATTGAGCACTTCGAGGTGATGAGATGAGTCCCAATCCGTTCACGTTTCTTTTCGTTATGTTGCTGGTCATGCAACTACTTGCATGCTGGTTTTCTTCGTCACTGCTACACTTACAACTACTACTGGGATCAATTGACTTTCGCTTTTTGTCATTGGTATTTGATTCACGTTTCGCTCTCACTTCATCGGCAACGATTTGCGTGTTATTGCACACATCCTTCAAATTAGTCTCAATGGTTCGAAGCTTTTCTTGCAAAACATCCACAGTTTCATTCAATTTTACTAAATTAAATAGATCGATTTGCGTAGCACTTCCATCATAGGAGCATTCGACTGCAGGGAATGAGGGCGAAGAAAGAAAATGTTATTAAAAGTTTGCAGTATTCTCTTCCATTAGAAGATATATACATGGTATCCTTTTTACCTTTCGCATGTTGACACCTTGAGCATTGAGGGTGTGTAAAATCACATTTAACTGTACAAAATTAGAAAGGACACATCAGAAAACACATACATTGAGAAATTTATAAACTACTTGCAAGTTACCTTTCTTAGCTCTTCATAAAAACAAGAATATACAAAGAAGAAATAAAAAGTTCAAAGTCAATATATATACATTATTGATATGAGAACATAAGGAAGAGAAAGAAAAAGGATATATAGAAAGAGAGAGAAAAGCATACCTGCAACGCTCACAGGCCATAGTCATCCTAATCTTTTTAGAAGCAGAGCCTCCAGCGTTGGCTGTTTTGGAGGATGAAGCGCTCATACTTTGACAATTTGTGAAATATCTTATAAGTTGTTTTCGCTATCGATATGAATATCTTCTTTCTTTCCTTCAACTCCAATTTTGAGAAACTTCCAACTAGCAAAATTACTATTTCACTTCAAAAAGCTCGTTTAGCAGTAAAAACAAAATAGACGTTACTTGAGAGCACAAATGGTCAGGTATTATATATAAACGTAACAAAAAAATTAAAAAAAAAAAAATAGCAAAGAAAACTTTCAATATGAAAATCAAGAGAAAATAAAAAGTACAGACAAGCAGAAGACAGAAATGCATCATTGGTCGTGACTGAGTTTGCATTGATTAATAAACTCTCTTTTGCACCAAGAACTTGGATCACAAAAAGGCAGCTTGGGAAGCTGACAATTGTACTACATATAACTACAACAGTCAATCCGGCTTTGTATTGTGTAAATTGGATTATTAGCAGAATACTTTGTACAGTGAAAGATAGAGAGGGGAAAACCTTTAAAAACATAAATATTTTATTTGTGAATGCTTTACTACTTCTTCAAAAGCTTCAATTGATGATTCACATCGAATTCTAGCGGGGAGCTCACGGAGATAAAGCCTCTACCAAACCGCATCTCCCCTACCTTTTTTACTGCGAAGGATATAAGAGGCAAAGTTTTTAAATTCAGAGTTTTCGATCACCGAAAATAAAAAGGGTTTTCTGTTTCAGCAATCAGATCAAGAGTAACGAGAACACAAGAGGAAATACTATGGGGCTGTTTGACGCGTTCCATTACAATGCTCTGCTAATAATTTGTAAGGACCCAGCATTGTGGCAATGAGTTTTAAATCCACCCACTTTACATTTATAATTGTGATCGATGCCAATTAAACAAAAATACAAAAACTAATTTATTCGAGTTGATTTTTTAAACAGCCCATCTTGGGCTTATCTGATTCTGAGACAAAAATCTTTGATTTTTTTGCTAAACTGATAGAATATGCTATAACGATAGGAGAGGGTTAGGATACTAAAGTGATAGAAAAATACGAAAGAAGAGGAAATATGAAGTTGAACAGAATGAAAAGGTATAAAGGGTAACAAAAAAAAGTACAAATGATGTATCGTATAATGTTTTAGCAACCGTACGATATGGTAAGTATAATGGAGAATGGGTAATTCACCAGAAAAAATAGGCTAACATCAGTATGACAGCAAAAGGGTTAGTGAATATAATAAATGGAACTTGCTGTCTGATAGAACCGCTATACGGCACATAATCTGCAAAGTCCTTTTTTGCTGAAGTATCATTAGCATTCATTGAAGCACTACTAGCATTCATTGACATTTCATTCGACGGTTGCTCATTTGTTCTGGTCTGTAGATTCGCGACTTTCATGTTGACTGTTTCTGCGAGTGATGAGGAAGTACTAAGGATGTCGTCTTTGGGGGTGTCTACTCTGCTGGGTAATACTGCTAACTCAGACACTGTTTCTATCCATTCATCTGTACTATCAAAATCTTGAACATGACTATTATTGCAAGGTGAGAAGGAAACACTTTCAAGACACCAGCTCTCACTTGTTCCTTTTGAATCTTCGTCCATGTCGCTTTTTATTGATATAACATCGGTTTGAATGTTTGCGTCGATGAATTTAGTATCGGTGTTACTATCTTTCACTGCTTGTTTTGCCTTTCTGCCTTCCTTTAAATGATCAGAGCTACAACTTTGAACACCTGTATCCATGGTCTTAGCAGTAGCAATTGTACACTTCTCTTTTAATGAATCACACTGAACTCCTCTGTCGTTGTATGTAATTTTTTTGGATAAATTAATAATCTTCTTTGAGGCATTCGTGATAGCTTGTTTTGCGTCGAATAGTTCCTTATTAAGTTTGTCAATTTGATGGTCGCGTTTAGCTAATGTCTCTAAATGCTGAGCTTGAAGAGCCTCTAGCATTTTGATTTTAGCTTGCAGTTGGTGTTGTTCAGTTCGCATTCGTTGCACTTCTATATTATGAACATCGAGTTGCGCTGCTAGAGTTTCCTCACACCGACCAACGACTTCATGGATCGTCGAAGCATTCAATATATCGTCATCCATCAAGTTTAGATTGCTGGCATTATTGATGCCAAGAGCCGTATCGCGACTGCTGACCGCGTCTTCACCATCTTCAGCGGTCGTTTTAGAGCTTTTCAAGATGAGACTCAGTAAATTCTTCAAACGTTCTCTTGTTTCTGCTTCTGAATCATCCTTCTCCTTCACTTTTGTTTGCAATTCAGCAATTTTAATAAGGCAATTCTCTAATTCAGAATTGTCATGGATATTAGTTACTCGGGCCGCAGTCTGCATTAACTTTGTACGCTGAGCAAATTTAAGCGTATTTAACGATTCGTCCTTAGACGCATAAGTAGGATTAATTGTACATATAACGGAAATACGCGCATTGCCTGAAAGCGCACCTTGCAATATTCTTGTCAATTTAGAATTACGGAAAGGAATATGCTGTGCTGTTTTAGCTGTTGTCAACTTATGAATGACGGTACCCAAAGTCAGTAAACTCTTGTTGATATAGGCACCTTCTTTCCTTCTTTCTACATCTGAGGCTACTTTTTCAGAACCGGCAAGGTCAATCAGATTCAACTGTGAAATTTGCACACCATTAGAAACGCCTATATGCCGACTTTCAATGACGACCTGAAAAACAGTATGGGAGCGACTACTTCGTTGATTGTAGTCAGTGGCGCTAATGTGTCTGTTTGCTTCTCCCTGGTTGATTATATCAAATACTTCTTTAGGACTCTTGACTTTGACTTCTGTGAGATTACGAACATGAACACCTTTTTTGCCTTCAACGATACTAATATCTTGGTTGTCGATATTCAATAAATCTTTAATCTTCTCATTGTAGATTTCTAAATAAGATACTCTTAACAAGTATTCACGGCCGCTGGTATCCTATATTAATTTGTTTGCAAAGTTTATATTAGCCAATGAATGGGAAAAACAAAAAACGAAAAAAAATAAAAAAAAAATGCATGCAGTATTCAAAATTGTTACCTCTTCGATGTAGGTAAAAACATCGTTGATTGCTCTTGGGATTATTCCAGGTTGCTGATCATTACCTATTTGTATGTAAACCAGGAAAAAAAAAAGCGAACGTAAGTATATACTATATACAAATATATTGATTTATAAGTACTTACCCATCTAAATTGATTGTTAAATTCATTATGATACATTAGAAAGCATTGTTGGATAAAGTCATTATTTTGACATGTTTAAGCTTACCATTGTCTATAAACATATAAAAGAATGTATTAGAATGAGAGGTTACAGACGAGCAAAAGATACATCAATTACCCACTTACGTAAGTTTTACCACTAGCTGTTTGACCGTAAGCAAATACAGTTCCGTTATATCCCATCATGGAAGATCTGAAAATAGAAAATAACATACAACAACAATAAAGTTGTGCAAGTATAAGCAATTGTCATCAGATACCATTATTTAATCAATAAAAACTCTCTTTCAGGATTGACTCACTTGACCAAGTGACTTATTCCAGCATTATAAACTTGATCGTTATCAACGCCCATATAAACTTGATCTATTGTTATACAGATAAATATAAACAATGACTCAATAAAAAATAAAACTATTGCCATGATAGATAAGTGTAGTTTCTGTCGTTCGCTTTTACCGAAATGGAAAAGATGGCTTGAATTCGAAAGCTTTGGCTTTACTAATTCAATAGATCCAACGTCAGGTTTTATGCTCCAGCAAGGTGGAGCATCTGCGCCCTCTTCTTCTGCTTTGGACTTTGGCCGACAGCGTACAATTACTTGTACATTTTCACGGATAGAGGTGATAGAACTACTAATTGTTGCTGATTTGGAAAAAGCTGGGGTGATTGAAGGAAATGAAGTGCTCATATCAGATAACGAAGTTGTTAAATTGTTTACTGGAGCTCGACTGTCAGAAGCGCTCGGAATAAATGCATCAGAAGAGAAGCTACTATGAAGCATTCTGCTATTGTTCGTATCTGCTTGATGTTTCTGGCCAGGTTCGTCCCATACAGGAGTGAGGGGAGGTGAATAAGAAGCCATTGTTTGGATTTTTTTTTTATATATTTGTACTGTTACAAGAGGAATTGCTTTTGATTTATAGTTTGTAGGAAATCAGTTGTAGCGGTAAGTTTTATCGATAATAAGTGGAAAAAAGAGAAGAAAAAAGTAGACAGTTCAATATGATAGAAGAAAAAAAGAGTGCATTTCATGTTGTCTTCGGGTTCCTGTACCTCGAAACTCATCTGAAACCCAGTCTTCAATTTGCCAGAAAAGGCAAAATTCAGATTCAGAGGGGGAGGTGCTAAAGTGAATGAACTTATCACTATTTGAGTCAATTGCTTGTAACAATGATAAATTTGTGCAATTCCGCCTCAAAGATGTACTCCCTTTGATTTCCTTTAAGAAAAGAGGAAGCCAATAATACAGCCAGCTGTATACCACAATTGCGATTTTACACCTTCTCTACTTTGAAAGCCTCATCAAAGAGATGTGCATCCGTTATACAAGCTTCGATTTAACAAAAAAAAACAAAAAAAAAACAAACAAAAGCTAGGAAAGAAAGAGACCATTTTAAGATGCATTTGGTTAGCTATTTTAAGGGTCAAGAGATGTAACAATAGTTGCTTCTTTAGTGTCAATTTCAACATTGTTGAGTTAAGGAAAGGGGGCGGTGATGCATCATGCTGTATGGAAGAGGTTAACATCTAGGAAATATCACCGAATTATTTTTCATAGAAGTTCTTACAGGGAGAAAGGCTCCTCTTTCTTACCTTTTTTTTACCAGATTAGCTGCATACATTTTTCGATTATACGAAGCAAACCGACTTTTCCTGCTTTAAGAACATACACATACCTGTCTTTTCTTAGAACCTATACCAGACTTTTTTCGTAAAGATGACTTAGTTACTCCTTCTGCAAATGTAACATCGCAAATTAATTCTTTAAATTTTCGAATACATTCTCTTATAGACTGTACCTGATGCTTAGTACAAATTTCAAGCTTCTAATTCTCAGTTAAAGAGAGAGATATGAAACAATATAAACAAAATATAGTTCACGATCAAACTTACATTGATTAACAAGCAAACACGTGAGAAAGGGAGACAAATATTTTGAACTGTTCTACATTGTCTTTAATTCATATGGATAGCTTAATATGCCTGCTTTCAACATTGTGAATATACTCAATATTTCTGACGACAATTGAAACTGTCAAGTTATTACGGATACTTAATAAAAATAAAAACGCTATTGTCAATCACTTGCCCTTTCACCGGCATAATACACTTATGTGCTAATGATATATTTATTAAAGATATGGTACAGTTTATTACATAAGTGAGGTTCTACAAATTTTAGCACACAAGCTAGTCTACTGTATCCTTCAATTTTTAATCAACCATTATTTATTTGTCGTTCTTTCATTGAAAGGCACATTCAATGCTGAAAGTAATAAACGACCTTCTGTATTTGTGTAGGCTGTTGTACATAAAATCACGTCAAAACCTGTCATCTTAGGATAGACATCGAAGGAGCCTTCTATTTCTGGGAAAAGTGCCAAAGCAGAGGGAGGAAAACCAAACGCCAAATTACCATTACTATCACCAGATTTCATAGACACACCTTGCCATTCCTTTAAGCGTGGTAAAACAATTTCAACTAATTTGTCCATGAATTCGTACATTTCATCACCCCTTAATGTCACCTTAACACCGATAGGCATACCAGCACTATTTCGAATATGTTAGCATAACAAAGCAACAGTCCTTCTTCTCCATCCACACTTCTCAGTTTTTTTTGGTTTTTTTTTTTTTTTTTTTTTTTTTTTTTGCTAGCTTTATATATCAACTTACCGAATCTTCCAATTGGATACTGAACTCTTTGCGTGAACAATTTCTGGTCGAATACCTGTTATACTTTGGAATGCCATAAAGGCAGATAATAAATGACTCTTATTTGTGATGGCCTCTTTAACCATAGCATGGAGAACAATCTTATCCAGTCGAGGTATAATTTTAGAAGTCTTCAATGGTGGAACTGGTTTGACAGGTTTACCGCCCTTGCGTGTACGAGTTCGTTCTACACGAGGTGGTCCAGGTGGTGGAGGTAAGAGATCTTCTTCTGTTTTCACTTCTAAAGCACGATTCAGTTGAGCTTCGAAATCAGGAATCTTAGAAGTGGGAGGAGCAATACGGCTGTGATCGTAAGTAAGCGCCATCAAATCTTCTGACAGGGTACTATTATAGTATTCTTTTAAGCGAAGTAGTCCGCGGGCTGCTGCCGGCGCTGTTGTTGAGGAAGGTGCAATAGCAGAACTGCTGAAAGCACGTCGAAGGAGTGGCTGACTAAAAACTTGCTGCTTTTTACAGAGTTGCCTTAATACTGTCGACATTGTTTATATGTAAATGGAGTAGATCCTTATGGTAGAATTAGGGTAAAACTTTGAAAAGTAAAATTAGATTTTCTCCACATAGAAAAAGGGACACAGCGCTCTTTTTTTCGCTTTTGCCTTAAATGAACCCTGGTAACTTTTTTTTGTCTCCTCTTTGATTTGACAACTCGGAGTGATGGTGCAATGATTTAGACTTAGCGGATAATCTCATGTGTTGACTATTATTTTAACAGCATTGCAGAAGACAAATTATGGAGAAGCAATATTTATGAATGTACAGAGAGAGTAGGGTCGTTCTACATAATACTACGCATTACGCGATGAAAATAACTAAATTACATTCATAGGGAAGTGCCACCAGCAATAACAATACCAGGTCCTCGAGTCGATGAAAGTACGACATTTTGAAGAATAGCTATAGACATGTTGTCGTTAGCTTTTTTTTTCTATTTCCTTTTCTTTTATTGACATGTATATTACAGTAAAGCATATGATAACTTACTCTTAAGGTTATTGGTCTTTCCAAATGCTCGAAGTTCTTCTAAGATTACTTTAAGATTTGCTTCAATATCTTCGGCTGAAAAATCAACTCTACCAATACCTAACAATACAAAATAATGTTTAGAGATACATGAGCTATTCATAAGCACATCGTCAAAAATTAGAGCCTTTTTTTCTCTTTCTTTACCTGTGTGTAGCACACCCTTTTTATCTGCTTTAAAATCAAATGAACCCTTTGACATCCTTACAGTATTGGCAATATCATCTGTCACAGTTCCTTTCTTTACAGTAGGCATTAAACCCTTTGGACCCAAGACTCTCGCGATCTTTGTTACAGCTGGAAACATTTCAGGCGTGGAAATACATTTATCAAATTTCAATTGTCCAGCCTGCACTTGCTCGATCAACTCTTCTCCTCCTACAAACTGAGCCCCAGCTGCTTTCGCTTCTTTTGCCTTCTCCCCTGTTGCAAATACTAAAATGGTAGCTTCTTCTTTCAAATTTTTAGGTAGGATGACGCTGCCACGAATTATAGGTGTGGACTTTTCGATTTTACATTGGACATGGGCCTCGATTTGATGTTGAGGATTGCCAACCTCTAAAGCTTGGAGGATTGAAACGGCTTCTTTCAATTCAACAGCATTGGGATCGACAACTACCTTTTTTTTACTGGCATAAGTACGAAGCTGGTTCTGTAAAAAGGGTCGATTGGTAAGTAAACAACGAGTGGCCAGCGAGCGTGTAAGCATGGTTGTATACTAATAAATAAGTTTAGGTTAAAAAGTCTCTCTTAGAATAAGGTACTTGACAGGGCCAACAACCCAAATGAAAAAAAAAAGAGCCCCACACGATACGATTTCGGAGGTGTGGTCTACAAGCGGCGCTTGCAAATTTGACTTCATAATTGCTGTCCTTTTTTTAATTTTTGACAGCTAGTTGTATTTGTTAACCTCCTTCTTTCGCTTTACTTGAATTTAGCCAATTAGATGTAGGCAGAAATATAAGTACTACTTCTCAACAACTTGCATATATGAGTAAGGCATAGAAATAGGCATTAATTAAACTTGAATTTGCTCTCAAAACATTGCTGTTAAAAGTGATCCATATTCTTTAGAAAATCAACGCTTGAAGCATATTTCTTTATTGACGCTGGTAGTCCAGAACAGTACTCTCATATTAATTATGAGATATACCAGAGCTAGCGTCTCTTCCGACAAATTATATTTGGCGTCTACTGCTGTGTTGATGAGTGAAATAATAAAAACAATATGTTTTTTTATTGCTATATACTTTCTATTTCTCTCAACATTTTCAATAACTTCGTCTGTATCGTCATTGAGTTCAAGTTGTATTAACCTACAATATTCTCGTCGACAACGGTACCTAATACGCGCCTTTAAGAAAACAGTCTGTTTTATAAACCAATAGTTAATTATTCAATGGAGAGAAACGCTGAAACTAGCAATACCTGCTGTACTTTACTTGATACAGGTAATAAGGAAGAGAAGTTGCCTTTGCAAATCTGTACTCACAGTAACTGAAGCGCATCTAAATGAATACAGAATAACTTGCAATACGTAGCTGCTACCAACTTGGACGCGGCTACTTTCCAAGTCACCTATCAATTCAAAACTTTGACTACCGCCTTTTTCTCCGTTGTCATGCTTAATAGAAAACTAAGCCATAAGCAATGGATTGCATTAGCCCTTTTGACTGTGGGTATTGCATTTGTCGTTTTGCCGAAAAGTAACAGTCCACAATATAATACCGCTAGTCTGTCGACACCATATGTATTAGATAACAGTCAGGATGCAAAATCCAAGCAGCATAGGACGGAGTCAATGATAGCAGATAATGCAACGATTGGAAATCAGTTCAATATGGAAGGTCTATTATCTGTATCCATGGCCTGTATTCTATCTGGTGTAGCGGGAGTTTACTTTGAAAAAGTCATCAAAAAACCATCCTCAGTTTCAAAGCATGGGAACAATATAAATACACGATAAAACCGTGAAAAGGTGTTCTATGGCGATAATGATGATGAACAATTAGAAGAAGCTCTTTCTTATTGGATACGCAACATGCAATTATCAATGTCATCTGTTCTTTTGGCTGCTGTATTTGCCGTCGGCATACAAGATGGATCAAAAATCATAGAAAACGGCTTTTTTCAAAATTACTCTTATATGACATGGATTGTGATTTTCATTCAAGCAGCAGGAGGTATCATTGTAGGCTTAGTTATGCGTTATGCTGATAACATTTTAAAGGGCTTTGCTACCAGTATCAGTATTCTTATATCAAGTATGATCAGTTATGGACTGTTTGAATTCCAGATCACCTCTCTTTTTATTGTGGGTGCAGCTTTTGTTATCTATGCCACATATTTGTACAGTAACTGAAATATATGCAGACTAAATTATACTATATACATTAAGCTTTATCATTATAATCCTTTCTTCTACGTTTGGCTAACGGTTTTTCCCAAGGTGAGTCTCTGGAAGAGGTATCTTGATCCTTCAAATGAGTATATTTGGTTCGTCCCGCCAAACCAAAATTCTTCACTTGCATCACTTTCGGTAATAATTCTTTATGACGCACTTCATCAATCGTAGGCGCTGTATAATCACGTTTAAAGACTTCATCGTCGGTATCTTGGAAAAAGGCACCTTTATGGTAGTATTTTTGCATAAACGTGAATTGACCAGGATCTTTACTTTCTTTGGTCTGTTTAGCACGTTCCAGATCTTCTTTGAGACGCACTTCTTCGGGTAGTGCTCTTCTACGTTCAAGCTCTTCTTCCTCTTTTTCTCGTTTAATACGTTCTTCGCGGTCTCGTTTAATACGGTTGAGCTCTCTGATTTTCCAAGCATTGTATTCTGCCTCTTCATCTAGACCATCTGTGTCATCCACTTCAGCCTCATATTGATTCGTATTCTTTTCAGCAGCTTTTTCTTTCTCTCTTTTCAGTTCATCAGCTAGTAAGGCATGCGATTGTTTCTTTCGTTCTTCAATTTCTTCTTCTAGTCTCTTTTCTCTCTCCTCTGCTTCCTTGGCCAGCTTTTCTTGTTCGAGTATTGTGGCACGTTTCGACTTTGGTATAAACACTGGTTTTGGTAGTCGAAGTAATGTATCCTCTTCCTCCTCACTCGATGATTCATACTCGGAAGAACTTTCCTCCTCTTCCTCCTCTTCTTCGTCTTCTTCTTCACTTGATTCTTGCTTGATAGCTGGTTGCTGAATACCTCGATCGAGATCTTCCTGCTTTATAGCATTACCGCTCGCCTGATATTGTAGTGCTTTTTGCTTCAATCTTAATCGTTCTCTTGCTTTTGTTGCTTCATCATCACTTGACTCCTCCTCCTCTTCTGACGATGAGACGTCTCGTCTTCTTCCTTGTGAACGAAATCCACTACCTTCTTGCCGTTGTTGTTGCTGTACCTGTTGTAATCTTCTTAAACGTCGATCATGGCTTGCTTCTCTATCTGAAATGACCGTTTGTTGAATACCTGTTTGCACGTCTTTTTGAGCAAATTCCAATTTTTTTTTCTGTTGTGATGGTTGCTGTTGTTGCTGTTGCTCCTGTTTAATCAATACTTCTTCTTCTTCTTCTGAAATATCTTCGTCAATATCACTATGGTAATTCTCAGGTACTTGACCTGCTCTGTATCGTCTCACTTGTTTTTTGGGTGCTGTAGCTTGTTGTTTTGTTGGTGGTCTGAATGACATGATCTATAATCTTATGTGTATGAGTGGCGGGGAGGAATTCAAGTCAAAAAAAAAAAGCCAAAAAAAGCAAGAGAAATGGTTTTTATTCTTTTATTTTTCATAAAGAACATAGATGATTACTATATACCATAACTATCCCGAAATAAAACGATGTTTTAGGCTTTTCATTAACTTAGTGAACAACCCTACCGACTTTTTTTTTGAATTATTGTAGACTTGATAATGATTCTGCTCATTAGAAGAATACCTCTTTCCGTTTTTTGTGCTTTTCTTATTTCCGCTCTTTTTACTACTACTACTACTGCTGTTGTTCATGAGGTAACGCTGGTGAGAGTCGTGACCAGGTGTACCAAAATAATGCGAATACGGCCTTCTGCTTTCATAAATCTCGTTGTAAAAAATCAATTTATCAGCATTATTTGTATGAACAGGCACACTATGAATACTTTTTGATGCTGAGTCGTTCGTACTTGTAGCATTTGTATGCGTACTCATATCCGCAATAGACGGCACAGGTGATGAAGACGCTGAATGATCGATTGTGGTAGGTGAAGAGTAAGACAAAGATGAAGCAGGAGGATCACTCAATTGGTATTTCTTGGGTTCTTCTTCTGACGCTTCCTCATAATGGTAAGATAAAGCGTGATTGTATGGCTGATAAGGAGCTGATGAGGAGGCTGAAGGAACACTGGATTGATGATGCAGTAAGTTTGCACTAGCTTGTAGTTGAGGTTGTGGTTGTGGTTTCGGCTGCTCACCATAACGGGATTGTGCTTGGGTATGGTGGCGATGCGCCAACGGATCTAAATGACGGTTGTTCTTAGGCGTGAGGAGTGGTGAAGGTGAAAGCGATCTAGGTGCAGATGGAACAAGCTTTGGAGTTGGAGAATAGCGTAAAGGCAAGGGTGCATTAGTATAATATGCAGTAGTAGGAGATGTAGGCGATGTTTTTGTTGGCACGGATTTGACACTACATCTGTCCGATTGTTGTGCTACCTTCCAGCCATCGCCTTGCTGTTGCTGTAAGTCGCGTTGACTAAATCTGTCACTACTGTGTATTGAAGATGCAGTCGACATTCTTCGACTATGACACGGACTGGAGTTGAAAATATCGTTCTTGTCGTTCAAGATGATTGAGTTTTCTAGGGGTGAGATATGCTCTACCCTTTTTCTATGGTTGAATGTAGTTGAGCTGACCGTAGTCGATTGGACTTTTTCTTTTTGCTGTTGCTGTCCTTGATACTGTTTTTTCTCCTTTGCTTGTTGCTGTTTTTGATGATGTTGTTGCGGTGACGGTGGTTGATGTAGTAGTGTAGTTGTTGAATTGTTATATGGAAATTCTGAATAGGTCTCAAAACGCTTTTTTAATGTAGCTACTTTTACGCTTGTGGTTGCTTTAACAGGTGTTCTTTTTCTTTTTAAAATAGAGTGGGACAAACTTCTCATGAACTTATTGGTAACAGTGGGCGTTGAAACTGCTGAAGAGAGCAAAGTACTGCTTGCGGAGGAAGAAGAAGCGGCTATGGCTTGTAACTCCTCCCTTTCCTCTCTAAAACCAGGCAAAGTAGGACAAGTGAATGCACTGCTGTTTACTATACTTTTTTCATCCTCCTCAGCATCAAGGACCGGGTGATGGGAGACTTTTCTGTTCTGTGCTAATTTCTCTTCAGTGTCATCTGTGGATTCACTATCCTCAAGCTCAACTGATCCTGCTGTACGGTCTTCATCAGAATGGCTAGGAGTGCTGACCCAATGTCTCCTTAATGGAGAAGAAGTCGTTGGGTATGACTTCATTACTTTTTGCATTTGGGCGGAATAGGTTGGGAAGGACTCTAGACAGAGAGAGAAATTGTCATCATCCCAAGGAATTTGTAGCTGCTGTAGATCTTCTCCAGCTTCTTCCGCCCTTGTCGGGTTGTTGTGGATCTCTTCTTGATCATCTTCTTTCAAGATTTTTCGTGTGTCATTATAGCAAAATGGTTTCTGACAAATTGTACTATCAGTAGTGGCGGTAGAAAGAGGAGTAATAATAGTAACCATAGACACTTATTCTGCGTATATATATATATATATATATATATTTGCAAATTGCTGTCGAAACTAAGAAGGTCTTCAATGCGAAAAACAAAAGAAGAGTAGGTACGAGCCAAAAAATACACATTTTATACTTGAGAAACAAGGATGATCAAAATGTTGTCAATGAACCGAAAAGATTGATGCTTTACTGGATAAGTAGAATAATAATGAGGTCGATGATAATGAGTATGAATACTCTTAAAAAAAATCCAAAAGCGGTTTACTATTATTACTGACTATCTATTAAAAAGATGTATGCATTATGGAAGGATATATTATTATGAGAAACTATTTACAGTGTCGGGGAATCAGATAAGAGTTATTAAAGGTTGGCACCACTAAGTTCTGGTACTAGAACCATACTTTTAACTATTGATAATTCTGGGTTGTGGCTGTGTCTCTTCAGGTTCATCTTCTTGTTCATTACTACTTTTCCTTTTTAATCTTTTGTCAAAAAAGATCATATTTGGAGGTAACCAACGTGGATTTCGCGTTGGATCAGCATCTTTCCGTAGCTTTAAAATGTACAGAATAACGGCTGTCGTCAGTAGAGTGAACCCCAGTACACCAAACGTAATACCAACAGCAAGTTTTTTTATACGTGAAGAGGAACTATCGTTATCATTCGACAGTAAAGTAGTCGCCGTATTTTCATCTCCTGTATTATCGCCATCGTCATCCGGCACGATCGCAGGAAACGAGAATCGACACTTCGCTTGCTGTGGAGAGTTCGCGTCCTTGTCCTCGTTGGTAATATTGGGAGCTATTGAGGGTACCCACGTCCACGTCGTCATGTCTAATATAGCAATATCATCTGTATGTATCTGGCCGATGCCCTGAATGTAATTTTGCATGCCCATCAAGATTATCATATATTGATTATTATGGTAGAGGATCGCTTGATGACCCGCTCGTGGAAGAGGACGTGTCCCATGAATTTCCGGTTTTGACCAATTTAAAGAACAAGTATCCAACAAGTAAATATCGTTGCTGGCGTCAAATGTTTGCTCTGAGCTTACGTTTTGACCACCGAATAATACGATGGATTTTCCATCAGGAGCTTTTGCGTAGAAATAATAAAAAGAATTAGATGATACGCTATAATAATGAGGGAAATGCCAAGGTTGCTTTACCATTTACTGCAGTAAAGCTATAGCGCGCTGGTGGAACATCACCAAATGTGGCTGCAGTGATAGACTGATGCGTCACGGTATCAAAAATCAATACACTTTGAAAATCACCAGCTGAAGTCATGACCCACTGCTTCGTATCGGTTGAATGAATAACCATTTTACCACCTAACACAAAGATCCTTCCTGATCTATACAAAACCGCACATATTCTCATTATTTGCTAGAAATCTCGACCCTATCATTCATCACTCGACTTTGATCGCTTACATTAAATTGCTAGTGTGTCCATAACGAGCCGGTCTATATCCTCCAGAGTATCTTATCGTTGGCCAATCCCATGCATATTTATTGATATCAAAAGAATAAAACGAGTTGGAATATCGATCGACCAAAGTTCCATCTGGAGCTGTAGATCGTCCTCCAAAAAACCATGCTATATTAGTAGTCGAATTAACTGTAACTGACATTCTTGCTCTTGGTGAAGGCTGATCTCCCTGGACACTGGGATGAGTTGTCCATACATTTGATAGTATATCATAAGTCATCAATGAAGTGGGTTTGAGAACATTTGCATCATTAACACTGATATTGTCACTATTACTTATGTTGTAAATACTATAACTGCTATTACTGTTGGCTTCCCAGGTATCATAATCTCCTGCTTGTAACGCAATAGATGAAGTTGTTAGGGCAAAACCAACACCATGCTCAAAAGCTTGGATAATTGCATTGGATGATGAAGTAGGCGCTTTCGACCAACAGTTTCTGTTTACACTGAGTCCTTCTTTCATTATATCTTTTGTCCATATTTCTACAGTATTTTCCTGAATAATAGATTATCTTAGCCACAATTTATATGCCACTTATTCGGTCAATAAACGTACGCTACTACCACCAATAATTATAGCAGTATTGTTCATCACGAAAGCGTTGAAGTCGGAATAGTTGGTTGGGTGATTGCAATCGAAATGCGTCGTCAATGGTTGTGAATGGGTATATTGACATAGCAACAGGAATAGGAACAGTAACGAAATCAATTGCAATCTATAAAGGACAATGTTTGCCATTTCCATAACAAAAAAAAGAAAGTTGGGTATTGAAGTCTAGACCCTCTTTTTCTGTTTTCCTTGAGCAGTGTTTCAACAAAGAATTGAGTATACGGTGCAAAGAGAAAGGGGAAAGGAGAAGCGAAAGAAAAAGGAGCCCAGAAAGCAAAAATGTGTTGAGTAAAATTGAAAGACATCATTACTGCGTTTCGGCCTTTTCTTCAGTCAAGCATCATTCTCTTATACACCTTTCATAGTGTCTTTGTGATTTTAATCATTCCAAATAATTATCTGTGTGTGTTGTGCAGGCTCTCTTTTTTGCAACTGTAACACTACATCTCATTGGCTGATTCATTTTGTTGAATATGCAGAAATTCAAAAAAGTTGCTGTTTGTTTATTAATTTACGAATGCTTAAATCGTGGAGAAGAGAAGCTGAATAACCATACCATTATGAACTTGGGAGATCGGCTAGTTAAAAGAGTTTTAGTTCACTTCATTATAGTTTTCAATCAATCTGTTAAGTGGGGGTATTGCTTGCTTTCGTTTTGTAGCTTATAGTTTGATTGACAATATTGATATACAGATTATAATGAGGCTTTTAGATAAGTCAGAAGTTTCATCCTAATATACACTGTAACTAAGCAAAGAGTACGAATATGAATTGATGTTGAGTTTTTGATACGAGCAGTGGGCGATATGAGTACATGTTGCGTAAATCATAGATTAGCAATACATATCATAACCGCGTGTTAAATCATGGCTTTTGACCAAATTTGACAACTAATTAACAAGAATGTGTATGGAAATTCACTCCATGGTACTCTATCAATTTATATTCTAACTTGCAGTTTTCACTGAAATAAACAACAGATAGATGATTTGTATAATTAACCTAGTATAATAAGCTTTGTATGGGATTATCTTTGGTTCGGCAAAAGAAGCTCTGGCAATTATATCAACCTGCATTCATAATGAGAGTCTCATTGGGAATCCGATTGTTCCGGTTCAATTGATTACAACCCCTTGTCACTGTTGCCGTTACCAGCATGACCATAATAATCATAGAAGAAAATTTCAACTATAAACTAGCTCCTATATGTTGTCTTATAATAGTATACTCATTTTAAACGCGGGTAAGAAAGAAAAGAATATTTATCAATAATAGGATAGATAAAGGACGAGACATTCGACCTTTGAAATGACTTCGTGCAAATTGTGTCTTTGTCACAAAGTAACTGTTTCAGCCGACGATCTTGATGCTATAGTCGATGTTGAACAGCTTTCTTTGAGTGGTGGAACTTTTAGAACTGTACAAGTTTTTGAAGGTGTTTGCGATATTGATATGGCATGGTAACTATAAGGAACAATCGTAGAGGGAGTAAAAAATTCATGCTTGTTCTCATTTTGTTGGACAGTTAAACAATTTCGACTAGGCAGCCAAAAGTCCATAATATCCTCTTCGTACACTTCTACCCAATGATCTCTTTTACTATTCGAGGAAAGCGGTGGTGAAGGTGGTTCATACGTGCCGTTCTGGTCGATAACGGATAGTTTGAAGACTTCAGCCTGTCTTGATTCTGTTAATGCAACAAGCGGTGTTACAGGAGAACTACTCTTGGTATTTTTTTTAAATGAAAGTGAACTGCTACTGCTAATCTTATTGATACTAGAATTGAAGTGATTATAAAATTGCTTGAAATGATAGCCTTTTTCAGTTCGTTTGAGCTGTTCATTTTGTTCCTTTTCGGTGACATATTGTTGAAGTCGTTCGTGGTCTTTTTGAATGAGTTTGTCTATATCCGACGTGGTTTGTTTACGACTATCCGTTGAAGTTTGCCAAAGCTGATTAGAGTCAACAATAGCATTGCAATTCATTTGCGAAGATGACTCTCGCATCATATTTGATCTATCTAGCAGCAAGATATTAACCAACCTTGTCAAATGACGGAAAGAAAAGGAATGGAAAGAAAGAAAAAATGCCGATAGTTTAAATCGTTCTTTCTGTGCTTGTATCCAATGATATTCGTTTGAAAATTCAAAAGCACATAGCAAAGAATAATTAAAAGCAGTGGCAGGCCATGTTTCTTAACGTTATCTAAAGATGTATATGCTTTCCATACCATGTATGCATTGTAAGTTATTCAAACTATTCATCTTTTTTCTTGATTAACATTGGGTTTGGAGTCAAACAAGTAATTATGATTATAAATATCGTAGTCTGAGTATCATTTTTTTACTCGTTAAATTATTCTTGACTGCTGGCCCTTTAAATGATACCTTTTGAACAAATCAATCGAATCTTTTTCAGAATTTATCACGTTGTTCAGAATAGGGAAGGGACTTGACGTCTAAGGCTTCAACATCAAATGACGGTTTAAATACCTATGGCACGAATCTAGGAACATACGAAATATAGGTAAATTAGTAGGTTGGAGGGAAGGTTGTTAAAATGCTGGATTCATTGGGCTTACAGGCACTTACCTCGATTTCAAGCATCTTTCGTTGAATCGCGAAATTACAAGGAATAAAGTGTCACGGGACGAATGGATGGTGCGGACAGAATCCCGCTACAAAAGGATCATTTTCACGCTTTGTGTGAATTAATGTCTCGAGTCTGAGATGAATTCAACGCTGTAAAATAGATAAATATGCATTTATTGAGCTAGGCGTTGCTCATAGTAAAATATTTTTATTCTCAAATGTAAATAACAAATGAAATATGGATTATGTTGTTACAAAACAAAATGTCTGTTATACAGTGCTGCAAATAAGTGACCGTTAAACCAAAGCATTATGACCAAATGTCTCGTCCATTTTAGGTGCGATTAGTTCAAAGTCTTCAGGATTAAGAGAATGCATAGCTTTAATATCATCTCTAATACTATTCATAGCCTTTGCGTCCCAATAATCTATCAGCGATCCTTTCGATTTATTTGCTTGGTTGAGAATGTTGGACGTTCGGTCATTACTGATGGCGGCATTATTGGTTTGACTACTCAAAGCATTAGCATCTTCTCCGATCTCTTTGTTCAAATAATCTTGAGTTTTGTTAGCGGCCTACATGAAGTGAGAATTCGAGTCAGAAATCATATACATCTCAAAAAGAGTCAAACAGTGCGATATATTATTACCTCGTCGATCTTATCAACCAGTTGGCCAAAGTTTTTTCGCAAATTACTATTTCGTTCGTTGAACTGTGCTTCCAACTCTAAAAAAGTAAAATGAGCGTCAAACAAGTGTTGCTTTTATAAAGCCTGCTTCTAACGGAAATCACTCACCAGCATCAGTTGTATTGGTGTAGGCAGTGTTTTTATCCATTTTGTATAGTGTTTTTATCAATATAGATGTCGTATAAATGTTATTGATCAGCAATTTTCTGTGTTAGATTTATATCCATTTTTATAATGCATACACTGCATTGAAGTGAAATCATGATTGTCTAATTTGACAGATTTGCTGCATAAATCTCGTAAAAAGGTATAGTGCTTCCACATCCAATCAATCGATTTTTGAGAAAATCTGCCCACGCTATTCGAGATGATATGTGCACGTTTGTGAGATTGAATTGACTAACGAATTAACCATTATTCAAACACTTGAAAGCATTTATAAAATGAATGAAATCTGCAAAATTTCGACACGAATAGCTTCACTTCAAGACCTCTTAATTGGAGTTCTCTGCAGCTGTCAACTGAGTTCTTCTTCCTCAGTCCTTTAAAACCTTCCAACACTTTCAATGAGACTGAACTCAATGACAGTAGTTACACAGGCATGTGTCCTCTTTCAAAGATGACACAATCAACAAGTTCCGACTATGATGGATTGGGGGCATTATCCATAATAATATGAAATCCTTACAAGATAAGAAACTCATCCATAATTCCTATGGTGGGCTGTCGTTTGCTGCGGGTGGTGGGCGCCTCATCTTGTTGCTTTTCGTTTTGTGGCTCCTACAACTTTTATTTTATTGACATTTCCATAGATTCCCTTACACTTGCTTTCACAGTACCAAATGTTGAGATGGCGCCGATGATAATATGAAAGGCCGCTCGCAGAGTGCGAGTCTACAACTGCCGTAGTTTCTTGCGTTGATTAACCTCTAGTACGACGCGACGCATAATTATGACCATTCTTCAATGAGTTTGTCCGAAATTGTAGAGCGCTGTCAATTTTTTTTTTTTCTTTTTTACAGGATGCCGTGTAAATAATTCTGAGTCTATGATTGCTCTTGTCCTTCATAACTTCAGTAACTCTGATCGTTAATGTGTCAAAGTTCTTCACCGCATTTTAAACTGCATCTTGCATAGTGACTATTGCAGTGTCGTAGCAGAACTCGACTACATAGGTATTGTGTTGTTCATTCAAATGGCTTTTAGGTCGTTTTAATGTACGGTTCTTTTCCTTCTCAAAGATCTTTGTTCGCCGAATGCTTATTACGTTCGTAACTCGTTTCCAAATTTTCACATCTACAGAACAGGGCTTATCAGCTTTTGCTGAATATTTCCACCTATATAAAGCTCCTCTCCGATTTCCGTCTAACTGGACGTCGAAATCAACGTTTTCTTCTTGTACGATTATTTTAGAGATAGTGGTATCTTAAAACGCTTCATTTAGTAACTGCTTTTGCATCTAACGCATTCATGAAGGGTTTAAATCGGTCAGACGAAATGATGAATCTAAAAAGAAAGTAGGCACATTCTGTTTTATCTTCATAAACAATTTCACTTCTACCATTTTTACGAAAAAAATTTCATTTTTAGATCGATGGAGAAGGGAGCACTGTATACAAGTATTTTGAAAGGGCAGATACAATAATCCCTATGTCATTATTGGTGATACAGAATTTTTTAAAGGTACTTAAGAAAAAATGGCCAGCTTTTGTGACACAAGTTTGACAATATCAGTGAGAATTGAGCGTAATTTCCATATAATAAGTAGACGTCTCAGTGGTTTTCAACGCTTTTTCGTGTATGCTTTTGAAATGTGATTAAAGTATACGGGATGTATTGGACGAACGTTCTATAAAAAAAGGGTTGAATTAGTAAGTAAGTGTAATCTTTTTAAGGGTGAAGATTATCAACTCCACAATACATCTAATAACGCGTTACTTTTCACAATTTTAAATTTTGATTTACATAAACCTACGTTGGACAACTACCTTCAACATTTATATAATAGTTTATCGTGGCTCTCTGGCTTAGTTTTCTTGTATTCTACGTACATGTTGGGTAAATACGTTTATAAGCCTTCAAAGTAGTAAATGCATTAGCAAACATCTATGCAATATGAGCCACACAAATTGAAGTAGATGCTGTCTTGACGTTGACTATGTAGTTTTTTAAGATGGACGAAAATATATGAGGAAAAAAAAGTTTTACTAGTGTACAGTTGAAATACAATATGATGGCTTCTTGAGTGGTGCGGCCCTTAATCGTTTGGTTCAACATCCACAGAATTCGAGCAAAAAGTAGATATCGTTAAGGATTTACAAAAAGTATGGAACACTTTACGACAATGCAACGCAAAAAGTACAATTACTATGGACAATAATTTGTTTAAACTGAATAGATAACCATATAGTGCGATTTTAGTAAAAATATGTAATTATAATGTTCCTACAAAGTCCTAATTAAGAGCTCAATATATTTCAATATTTGAAATTATTGAAGCATTCAAGTAATATTGCTCATTTCATAAAATATAAGCCGTTAAATCGTAAAATTAACTACGGTGTTCAGCGGACAGCGAGTGAAACGACAGTGAAGTATTATATAAAAACTTCTGATAGTCTTTCAAAAAGGTAATACGATTTAAAGTAGATTCAGGTGGGGGCAGGCTGAGAAAACATGGCTATCATAACCTAAGATTTATTGAGAGAATTAATTTCCCTATGTTTCGTCTTTGTTAATATTGCGACCTACAGATTTTTGAATAAATGCATTAAGTGATTCTATTACTTCTCTTATCTTATCAAAAAGGAAGAGAAAAAGAAAAAAACAAAAAAACCTGATAGTAATCATGGTATGAGATCGATGGAACGAAAGAAAGGCAGACAGACAGGCAGAAATGAAAAGAACTAAACGGAGAAAGACAAATTATGGTATAAATAAGGGCAAAAGTAACTCACACGTTCTTTTATGTATTTGCAAATAAAAATTCCAAAAATTACAAGCGATATAATGGATGTGGCAAAAAGGATTGGAAACATTATACTCCATAAACAAGGGTACTGCTGTAAACTAAGCTACTGTTCATCGTAAATAATTGGCGCAGGGCATATATATAATATGTTTTATGGAGTTCGACACAGTTGACTAAGAAAGAGCAACTATCCATTAGTGTGCATTTATATAATACTGTAGCTAACTTCAGTCTGAAATAATGTAACAAATAGTCTGCTTTTGAGTAAAGTAAGGATGAGCAGCCATAACATGAAACAACCGACAATCCCTTTCCTCTCTCACCCACACAAACGCTTCTTCTTTCACATGAAAACATTTGGAAAACAGTATAGAAAAAAATAGACTATAGTAAAAATGAATAACTACATGATTTACTTAGTTTAGCTTATCCCAGGACTCGAGCCTGAATAAGAGTAAAATTAATTACTCTTGTTTTGACTTGCTAAACTAGATAAGCGGGTATGGAAATCTTGGTCTGATGTCTCCTTACAATCCTCCTAACATGTAACCACTTGCCCGAAAAAAAAAAGAAAACTATGGAACGTGGAGAGGCTTGGATTATAAAAGTTAAAGTCCTAAGCTAGGTCATAAAAGGTACTCTGCAAAAAAGCAGATGTTCGGTTTGCCCTTCTCGCCAAGCGTTTCTCGATTATGATTAAAGCTTCAGACAGACAAAACAACTCTTGAGAACCAAGTGATACATGAAGGGAAACATAAAAAGGGGAAGATGTGGAGGGCCATGAAAAGCAATCTACCGCCGTCCTTCAGTGCTAGAATCCTAGAACACGACAGATGACCACTCAACCCCAACACTAGCGACAGAGGGATCTACAAGGCCCAGTAAATTGTCCTATTCTTCCTGTCACGCGACCTTTAAACAATCAATGAGACAAGCCTCCCTATTCTTATGTAAGTAGTCCTTTCTTACTAGGACATATATCCACAAATTATTGGGGATATATTTTTTAACCAAAATTTGGTTACAGAATTCCGGCAGATACTGGCGTTTTTCAACCAACTGTCTTGGTAAAATAAGATACAAAATTCACTTTTAGAACGACTTACCAAGATGGTTAAAATATATGATAAACCTAGAATGACATAGTGATCTGTCCAGTTCAGATAAGATGATACTTTTTAAGCAAGCGAAGACCGTGTTATTTTCTAGATTATCAATGCAAAAGCTGTAACGGAATGAAGAGGATGTAACAAGGTGTCTTATTAGCATTTCTTTGAAGGCTGTTCTTCGAGTGAATATCCTAGTGCTGGATTTCACGAAGGAGCTTCTATATCAGTTATATCATTGTACTGTAAGACAGGTATAATATTTTTGCACTTTAAGAATTGTATAGTTCTGGATAACAATGAGTATAAATAATGTATATTTTGCTTAACATTGGCAACTTACCTGTGGGAAGAATCCATACCCAGTGGTACAAGTGGCGCTGAGGTCCTTTGATATTCATCTTGCTCATCTGGTAAGATGAACGGTTTGTAGCTCGCTACTGTAACAAAATAAGGACGTAAAGACAAAAATCTCATAAGAATACTTGGAAGGCTGTCGTTTGATACACATACTGCTTTGATTGTCCTGCTTCTATAGAGAGAAAGCCACTGCGACTTTCCAATGAGGAATAGGAAAAGTTTTCTGCAAGATGGAGCAATAAGATTGCATTATAAGGGAAAGGCACATTGCTATCTTTGAATTCCAACATATACTGTTATTGATGTCATCAGCAGCAGTAGCAGGCACGTAGAAAGGTTCTAGTAAGTTTGATAGATCAGAAATTGCATTTGAGAAAGCTTTAACGAGGGATTTCATCCGCCGATTGTAAAAGTAGGCCAAGCACCTATTTCTGAGAACCCATAAATTTTGTCTCTATCTGTCTAACTAAGTAGACGTGTGTGAATGTGGCTGGTTTTGGGCTTCCTTCCATTTTTCGTTACAAGTCTAATCGTCCTATGATACAAGGCTAATTTAGTAGCTTCTATCCGACAGTAAATATGCTAAAAACAGGGTCCTACTTTTTTTGAATTGTATTCATGTGTAACCGTTAAACCGTCAAATTGTTGTCTTTCTAATGACTCTCCTCTAATTTGTATGCCACAACAAAAAGGAAAAAAATAAGGTATCTTTGCTCATGCTCAAATAGTTCAAGTAACTACAGAGCCTCGCTTTTTAGTATATATATAGGAAAAGAATGAAAATAGGAGTATTAAGAGCAACGCAACTTTGCTTGTTGCCGTGGTGTTCAAAACAAAATGACGAAGTCAAGAATGTTCAGTTCACTTAAACAAAATTTCAGATGTCCATACTATAAGACGCTCATCAATTACCTTTTTTAAATGCATTGATCCATTGATTAGAAATGTAGACTATAACATATGACAAAGTTAAACGAGCTACTTGGAATCACAATAAAGTATTGATTTCCATAAATTGCAAGTCAGATGGAGAGTTCGTATTGAGCTTTTCCTTCCAGAGTAATCAGCAAAGGACTTATAAAAAGAGAAAATATGAGCGCTGTACAGGCTACCCATCTATGTCAGTGAACTTAGGGTAATGTTTTAGACAATTATAATTGAAAAATCTCTTTATACAGTATCTTCAGCTTGAAACCAGCCATAACGATAACTCTGCTTCTACTACTTTGCATCGTACAAAGTCCATTATTCTATTTTTAACAGGCACATGCCTTTTTGAATAGAAAAATCTTAATATTTTTGAGAATTCTATCGTCTCTCTGGTGTATTTACAGCTGACCTTGGAATATACCTGTGTTACCTCAGGGAGTAAGTTGGTGGACAACTGGAAAGCTGTGTAAAATTAGCGGGGTTAGCTAATTTCCTTCCATACCATACAACGAAACAATCAAATTTTGATAGGACTACCATATATGCACTTTAAATCCTAACAAGCAGAAAAAAGAATGTATCAACTTTTAACATCTTTTTTTTTTTTTTTTCTTTCTCTTTTCACTTTTTCAAATTCGCAACTTTCAAAAAAGGCAAACCCATCTATTCTAAAGCCCATGAAACCATCATCTATACTCTTAAGTACTCTTATCATTCTGCTTTACTGTACAAGTTTGGCAAACACTCAACAATCATCGAATGATGCGATGAGTGCTCAGCAGGTACAGACTGATACCAACAACCAACAACAGCAACAACAGCAACAACAACAGCAGCAGCAGCAGCAACCGCAACCAACGAATGATGTACCGACGACACCCGCACCTACTAAAGATACTACTCCACAAACTACCCCGGTGCAACCACAGCCGACTACTACTGAACAGCCACCGCCAGCGCCAACGACCACTGCCAATAATAATCCAGCTCCAACGACAACAGCAGCACCGCCGCCAGCTGTAACCACTGAAAATAATACTCCTGCTCAACCCACCAATACAAATACCAACACCAACCCTAATAGCAATACAAATAACAATACAAATAACAATACAAATAACAATACCAATAACAATACAAATAACAACAACAATAATAATCAGAATACAACTTCAAAAAAGGGGGGCGGTAATGTAGACCCATCGTCGAACACTACGGACGACCGAGGTAATACAGTTTCTACAGATAGCCGAGGTAATACGGCTGCCACGACCACCAATGATGACAATAAGGTGGCTACAACAACGAGAGGTTCTACCAGTTATGGTAGTAGCGATGCACAGGCAACACAGCATCAAGGAACACCTTCTTCAAACAAAACTTCGAATCAATCAAGTCAGAATGATAATAAAACAGCTATTATTGCAGGCTCAGTTGTAGGCGGCTTAGGTAAGTAAATCTTGATAAACTAAATGTTTAACTTTATTATACTTGGCATAAAAAAGAAACTAATCTATAATCGACAATTTTATGTTAATTATTCTCAGTGGGTATTGCTGTAATTGCTGGTATTTTGACATGGTTGAATCGCCGAGGTGGTTGTACAAGTAGAACCAGAAACCGCGGTAGTATAGAAAATGGAAGCGGTCTGGATGCTGATGATGATGATTTTTACAAGCAGCCGTCTACTACCGTTGACAATATACCTTCTACTATGGTGAGTTCGCCTTTTCAACAACATGCCCGTCGTTTTGTACCTCCTACAAATGCAGCGAATACGGGTTATATCAATCTAACAGATGATGAACAGCAACAGCAGCAACAACAATATCATTCAATGGGGCCAACAATAGTAGCTCCGTCTACCCCTATTACTGCAACACATATGTACATAGATCAACCAGCCTACAATAATAGTAGCGTTAATGCAGATTACTATTCACCTCAAGGACAATATCAAGACTATCCGGGTTCTCAACAGAGTACGAGTGGACCCGGCAACAACATATATTACAACCCACATCAACCATTAGCATCTCCTGTTACGCCTACTATGCATCAGTTCAAACCAGATCAAGTGGAACAAAAACCAAACGCTAGTTAATAACATAACTTTCACTTGCCTGTTACCCTCCTTCAGCACCCTAACTTTATCTTTAAAAATTTAGATTTCTATTACTATACATCTAATCCTCTTTTACGATTTATACTTTACATTCAACTAATACGATATTTAGCTAAGAAAAGAGACAGAAAAAAACATCGGTAGCTACATACCAGCAGGTGAGAAAGTAATCTTAGTTGCCTGGACTTGACTGTTCCTTTCCTCCCCATAATTGAATAAACGTTGCTTTCAAAAAAAAAAAAAAAAAAAAAAAAAAAAAAGAAAAAAAAAAGAAATAGTTTTGATGATCATTTGAAGTTTAGAAAGCGTAACTTAAACTCTCAAATAATACAGCTGAACAGAACAGATTTAATATACGTCTTTCTGCCTTTGTGCATTTTGCTCAAATAGGGAATACCTATTTTCAAATGATCGTTTGACGTGAAAGAACAAAGGCAGACAATTATCTACCAAGCCGAAATTGTCAAGGCTTTTAATGTGATAGTTGATCGTAATAGTTGAACTAATGGGAGTAGACAAAATTAGGTTACGAATAATTGATGGTTGAACCCGGTTTAAGTATATCCTACATCAAGGACATCAGCCATTCTACGTAAATTTGATTCGTTTTATAATCTAAGGGAGGAGTCTATGTTCCGAATACCTCACCTCCCTACTGTACCGAAAGCAATGAAAGTATTTATTTGATATGATAGATTGACATTTTGTCCTTTTCCTTTTCATGGGCATTTAAACACACAAACTATATTTTTCTGAAGAAAACAACAACATTAGTGTGGATTGACTGAAGGAGAAATATGGCACAGTGATCATCTAGACTAAGAAGAGTCAGAAATACCAACAGAAAGTGTATATAGTTTGAAGAATGGATTCCTCCGTTGCATACACAAAGATGGAGTATTAAACTCAATAAAACGTACAAAAATGTAATTAGCCAGCGAAAAAAAGGAAACATATTCAAAACATGTTCAAAAATAAAGCGTGGATTAAGCTGGTAGCTGCCCGTAAGTTAATTTGTAAAGTGATATTTGTCACTTATCCTAACGCTCATGCTGATAAGACCAGCTTTTATTACTGATGAAAAGGTCTCAGGACTGTGATTTGGTACACTTCCATTCCCAAAACGAGAATAATAAGTCATGTTCTTGAACGTATTAAAAAGCTAGCATGTTTAATTATTGCGCCATGGAAACAATATAAAGGAATGAAGTCAACATGATCAAAGCTGATTCTACTGTGTATTTATTGAATGACTGCAAAACTTCCAGTGATAAATCAGCTTGCCCAGCCAAAAGGTGAAATATTTATAGAGACTTTATGCAGACAATAACAAAAGAGCCTTGCAAAAAATGAACTGTTCTACTTGACAATATCTACGTCCGTTGCCTATTGTTCGAAATCCTGCTCCTTTCATGGTGTCTGTACTGTTATTAAACAGTGCTCCATTATCTCATTCGCTAGCGAAGGAGGTAACAAAGACAAAGATAAGGATTCATTAAGCAGTTACTGTAACAGAAGGCCAATTGTATTTATTTCAGACTTTACATAATGGTCTATTGTAAATACATTAACAATGAAGAAGATTTCTTTTCTAACACCAACTTTCAAATATAAGGCGTATCTCTTTTTTTTTTTTTTTGAGAGAGATTGGGACGGAACGAAAATCCTCTATTTTGCAATTCTCATATACATTCCATATAATACAGTTATACAAAATGCCAGAGAACTCTTCAACTAATAACAATGAAGTAATCAATATGAGAGACGCCTCTTTTGAAAACTTTGCTCGACAAGAATTCAAGAATGCAGAGACAGAATCTAAAGTGGTAGTTTGGACATTATTCTCTTTTATCGTCCTGGTCTCATCTGGTATAGGTGTTTTCTTTTATTTCAAGAACAATGGTGGTATAAATATTTAGCCAACCTGATGGGGCCTACCTACCATCACTTTACGTTACCTTGAGCATTCTAAAAATGACTTATACAATAGTCTGTACAAAAACGGAGGAGTTCAGTGCAATAACTAATTCTCAAACAAATACCATTAGACGTTTCCTACGAATAAAGTTGATCAAACTGTTAACAGAAATCTCCTTTTAATGGTAGAATTGTATTGGATAAGGATCCTGTATGATACATATTGGGGCCTAATTGAGTTAAGGCAGACAAAGCTATTTTTGTTAATCATTGGAACGTATTCATAAATCTCATATCATGAGCTATCTGCAGATATGCTAACACAGTCGCTTATGCAGGCGGATTCAACAATATGTTTTCAATGCTAATAATGCCGAGGTATGTTTCTAAAGATACACTTAATATGCATAATACAGTAATGGGAATTAACAAGGCTTCCAAACCCTAAAAAAAGATATTGGTAGATAGGTCTTTCTTTTTTTCGCCAAAATAGATTCACTGAACATTTCTTTTTTCGATGCACACCATGATTAGATGTTGAATGAAGGGATGGGCTTTCAGTCCGTTTTGGCTATAGTTTGCTAATATTACCTTACCCTGATAATATCACATTATATACAAAGAATAAATATGTATATTGAATTCATCCTTCTACATTTCAAATGCTTAACGCCACGGACATTATTCATTAGTTATTTTGTTTGCTTGGTAGATCTGTTTGATAAAATGATAGTCGGGAAAAAAAATTAGAATTTTACAGAGGCATCAAATCTTTTCCCGTCAAAATCGTGTGCACCGTATCGGCCTGCTGTAAGAGAGTTGAAGCATCAATGTATGGCCGGAGCAAGTGATTGGTTGGGATACAAATACGGATCGCATGGATTTTTTCCTTGAGTAAAAGATTCCGCTGAACCTCATCATGCAGCACATTTGCGATTATTAAAATAGAAGAAAAAGATCCATGACCCAAGCAAATAAATTTTACTCATAAAGTTTTCCGTACTTTCAACAGTAATGTATAGAAAAATAGAATAGGTAGGGGGCCATATGGGAATTCAGCTGGTTAACGGGTTATAGAGATAGATTTCTCTATAGAACAAAATTTTGTAACCTGTGAACACATAATGTCTTAAATACATTGTGTCTGTTCTGGTCAATTCCAGTGGTTGTAATGAGGACAAAAGGTAAAAAAGAAAGGAAAAGGTAAAGGTAAAAGTCAGTATCCCAACAGCTAAACAGAAAAACCAGTCTATTCATTGTTAGCCTGGGTGATCCAGGGGTAGTGAGACAACGCGATGTTGTAAGTGATCCTCTTCAAATAGAATAGAACACATGACAGGTCATCGTCTTCTACGCTTAAGTAGCAATTATGTAGGGACGACAGGGCTTACAGTTGGTAGCATCTTAAGTAAGAAGGACATGGGTTTTTGACGATGGTAGTGGGCAGGAACTTTAGAACAATACACTGACTTACTTTTAAATTGTTTGAAGATTGTGAATTTTGCATATACAAAAATCATTTTATTAGACAGATCATTATCGATCCTAATTGTTATTTAAGAAATGGTCTTTTGTTTACAAGGAGATCAAGCAAGTATTTATCTAGTGCCTTAAAGCGTTGAGAAATGACAAACTTCTCATTTATGAAAGCTGTAAAAAAGAAGACAGAATCAGGTGATCAAACCTTCTCTCTTAGTTGGAGCGTTGTGTCCCTATGCTCTTTACTGATATGCATAATTTTTTCTAATCTGCAAGTCAAGTTTACACAAGCTCTATAGGTGCATCGCTAGTGTCGCAAAAGGATTGTCTATCCGTGTCAGTATCTATCATAAAGTAGATTGAGCCTCATTTCTTTCCTTAGATGTGAACACATCTATATATATATACATATATAAAAGGAAAGCTTGCCGAGTGACACATGTACTAGGCAATGATAAAACGATATCATGTCTATAAATTGAATAAATACTGACAGATAGAAGATGTACTTTTGAGGATCAAAGTGCTTTGAAAAGTGGGGAAAAATAAAGAAAGGCTTAGTATGATCCATCTTTGTTTTTTATATCAGTTCAAGATATGTTCCTTTGATCTGTGTAGGTTTTGCAAGGTTGTTCGTTTTGGGCAAACACCACCTTTAAGGGGGGACGTGTGGAGCAGTATAGCTGAGTGATATTTAAGTTTGCATAAGGAATATTTCTTGTCTGTCAATCATCCGTGTCAAAGATTGTGTGTCTGTTTTTGTGGTGAAACAGCCTTTTTTAAGTAATTGAATGCGGGAACCTTTTAGGGGGAGACAATGAATCTCACGATTTCCCCACAAATAAGAAAAAAAAGCGCCCTTCATTGGCTGTGTCCTTCCTTACAGAGACAGCTGGTGTTGGAATTCCCTCCGCGGGAAGGCTTTTTATTGTAGGATCGTCCTTGTTTACCTAATCAATTCGTGCAATAAGTTGGCTTTCCCGTTGAATACTGTACTCAACCACAATAAAACGTAACACATGAAGTAACAATGTCTCAAATGTTATGACTGAAAAGCTTGATTTATCATTCCAAATAGGTTAGCTTAAGTAATCCTTTATAATTATCCAGATATATGTGTAAATCAATGCAATGCTTCCCTTTCAAACTATGCTGTGATATTTTGAGTTCTTATAGAAAAGCTGATTTGAGTATAAATAAGTGGAGAAGATCCTTTCTTTTACGGTTCTCTCTTCTCCAAATAGTTCTGATCGCTATCCCTTTTTTCTTTCTTTTCATTTTCTTTTTTCTACATCTTTTTGTTTCCTGACCTGCTTATTATAGAAGCTATTATATTCGTTACTGTTCTATCCTTGTTCCTCTCCCCCTTTACAAAAGCTCATTTACAATAAGAAAATTCAAATACTAGTTGTTTGCTTCCATCATGGGTGTTCTAACCAGATTCTCCACCAATATCTATGTGAGTCTCCAAAAGGAAAACCAAACAAGCATTATGACTTGTGCATTAACGCTTAGAGTACTATAGGCTATCGGTACCTTTGCCGCCATTGCTGGTATCATGTTTGGCTTTGACATTGGTTCCAATTCAGGTGTCATTGGCACAGAACAGTAAAGTGGCAATCCATTGTAGTAGTAGAAAGAATGAGGAGCTCGTACCTAGAGAAACTAATATGCTTATTTCCCCCCCCCTTTTTGATCTGTCTAGATATCAAGAGTACTTTCATAGACCTGATCCTTTGTTGCAAGGTGGCATCAACGGTGCTCTTTCAGCCGGTTGTTTCGTGGGTGCCTTAATTGCAGGTTATTTTGCGGACAGATTTTCTCGTAAATTTACACTTATCGGTGCATCTTCTTTGTTCATTGTTGGTTCTGTGTTTCAGGCTGCTTCTAATGGTGTTCCTTTACTATGTGTTGGACGTGTGTTGAACGGTCTATCTGTCGGCGTCACTTCCATGGTAGTTCCCCTTTATCAATCTGAAGTGGCTCCTCAAGAAATTCGGGGTCGTATTGTTGCTGTTCAACAATGGGCTATTACTTGGGGTATTATGGTTTCGTAAGGCTTATTATACTCATACTATTTTCGCAGCTTACAGCGTCGGATCCCTTTCTCATCCTTTCCCTTTTTTTTTTTTTTTTTTTTTTTTTTTGATGACGATGTACAGTTTTTGGATCCAATATGGTGCCCAATTTGCTAAAAATACTGCTGCCTTCCGTATTCCTTGGGCTATTCAAGCTGTTCCTGCTCTTGTTCTTACTTGTGGTATGTGGATTTTCCCTCATTCTCCTCGATGGCTTGCAGATAAAGGCCGTATAGAAGAAGCTACCAAGGTCCTTGCTGACATTCACGGCAACGGTGACCCCAATCATCCTCGTGTTCAACGGGAAGTCGAAGAAATTATGGCTGCTATCCACTTTGACAGAGAAATCGCCTCTCACCGTTATACTGATTTATTCAAGCCTGGTATGGCCTACCGTGTCTCTCTTGGTGTGTGTCTTCAAATTTGGCAACAATTGACAGGCATGAACATTATTATGTTCTATGTCGTTTTCCTATTTCAACAAGCTGGTATCGGTGATAGTCAAGAAGCACGTTTGGTTTCTTCTGGTGTTTCTTACGTTATCAACGTGGTAATGACTGTGCCTGCTATTCTCTGGGTCGATAAATGGGGACGTCGTCCTACTTTGATCTTTGGCGCTCTTTTTATGTCCATCTTCTTATGGACTGTAGGTGGTGTCTTGTCTACAGGCAACTGGTCGATCGGTGCTGATGGTAAATGGGGTGTCAAACTTACAAGCAAATCACAAGCCGATGGGGTTGTTGCTTGTATTTACCTTTTCGTCGCTTCATTTGCTACTACTTGGGGTCCTTTGGGTTGGATTTATCCTGCTGAAATATACCCTCTTCGTGTTCGTGCTATGGCCGTCTCCTTATCTACAGCCTCTAATTGGTTGTTCAACTGGGTTTTGAACTTTGTTGTACCCTTGCTTATGGAACGTATTCGTTACGGTTTGTACCTCTTGTTTGCTGCTTTCAATCTGTTGATGGCTATTCATGTTTTCATTGCTTATCCCGAAACAAAGGGCTTTACTGTAAGTTTCCCGCCCCTCCCTTCCTTCTCCACTTTTTCTTCCAATGAGCAAAAGAGAGTTGAAACATCGTTGATGCAGCTTACTAACCATTCTTTCATTTTTTCCTTTTTGTAATCCTATTTTATAGCTTGAAGAAATTGATATTGTCTTCCAACACAATCCTCGTAAGAAGATTCCTCGTGAAGTGATGGACAAATGGATTGAAGATAGAGGCATTCAACGAGAGAACAGCCACGCTGATAATTTCAGTGAAAATAAGACAGAAGTTACTAGACATGAAGAGGCTTAGTTGTTTGTTTTCTTCCTTTAACGTACTTTTTCTGACCTTTGTTTATCTATCTGCCACAGCTTTTTTTTTTTTCCCCCTACCTTTTCTTACTATTTATAGTATTTTTAATTCTGTACTCATTCTTATATTAATACATATGCCTTTTAATTTAATGCCATATCAGCAAGTAACAATAAAGTATATCTCATTTATATCCGTTGAAATGGCACTTGTTGGGACATCTGCCTTGTTTATGAGAGTAGCGGGGAGTTGAACAATTAAAAAAAGTCCAAAAAGATGACAGCTGTTTCTTTTTCAGTGACCTATTGCCTAAACTTACACACGCACGCACGGATAATGTTTTGTTACACATGCACCAACCCAACGCACCTATTGAACCTAGGTGTCTTTTATTTCAAAGTAGTATGTATTTTTGTTTCAAAAAAACGAATCATTGTATATAATAAAACAATCGAATGGTGGGTTTTATGACACATGAACAAAAAGACCTCCTATAGGAAGTCCCTTTCTTACCATTGAGTGATATCCACTTCTGCCTCTCCAAAAAGGCTGGTCTTTGTCGCTTTTAGATTCTCTTCCATCTCAGCCTCTTTTTCGCTGATGGTCGAAGCGCTGTATATTTCATGAAGAACTCGTTTAATAAAAGTAAGGATATGCCGGTTAATCTGATCGAACTCCAGCAAAAATCCATCGTGGCCATCAGGCGACTGAATCACAATCATTTCTGTATCTGCCATACCCTCCGCTAATTCGTATTGCTCTGATATAGTGAACAAGCCGTCTGACTCGATACCGATCACAAGCGCTGGCTGGTCGATAGAAGCCAGAATAGCATGATAATCCTCGTCTCTTCCACGCGAAAGATCGTGCGAATCCATTTTTCTTGTGAGTGCAATATAACAATTAGCGTCAAATCGATTGATGAATTTGTTTCCTTGATATCGTAGATACGACTGTGCCGAGAAGACAAAGGGTGTTGGCATAGGTGGGTCGTTGATGGTCACATGTTCAGGTTCTCGTTCGCCCGAGACGACTGCTACTGCTGCTGCTGATGATGATGGCGGAGGTGGAATTTCATGGTGTCCATCATTGTGTATTAAACGGTTGGCTTCACCAGGTGATTGAGGCCTCACCTTGGGTTTGGATAAACCTGCTGCCTTACGTCCAAATCTCGATTCAAATGAATTTCTTGATCTGTAAGTCAGTAATGCTGACATACGTGCGGCTGAAAGACCCACGTTTGGAGGATTTTCTTCAGTGTAATAACCATCATCTAGAATAAAGGAAAACCTTTTCTTGTTAAGAAAATGGGGGGGGGGGAAGGTTGCGCAAAAAAAAAAAAAAAAGAGAGAGATTGGCATACCATAATTAGGGTCACTATAGATGGATTGACGCTGAGCTTCTCCCCAGCTGATTCCCCATGCTGAATGTCTTCCTGAAGTAGCTATGGGTACAATTGTACGCACATATTCCTTTCCAAACTGTGCCCATTCTAATACTTGCATTCCTCCCATAGATCCACCGATACAGATAGCGACTTGCTTTACACCAAGATAATCCAATATCAAACGATGAAGTCTAACGTCATCTCTCACACTCACTAATGGAAATTCTGGTCCATAGGGTTTATATGTTTCTGGATTGATCGTCAAAGGTGAGGCAGACCCATAAGGCGATCCCAGAACATTACAGCAGATAATAAAAAATTTTGTAGAATCGAATGCTCTTCTGGCTCCCATTAACGGTCCCCACCTATATATTCATTCGAATAGGGTTACATTAGCAAAAAAATAAGTAAAAGATAACAAATTTTCGTCATTTGTATTCCCGCTCGTTTCATACCAGCATCAGCTACTTACCAGTCCTCTACATCTGCACTACCGGTCAGTGCATGACAGATAACCATACAATTATCTGCTCTATCATTCAGCTTTCCCCAAGATTTCCAAGCGATGGGTATATTCGTCAATGTAACGCCTGATTCTAACGTGTATTCGGGTATGATGGAGATATTCTGATCAGGGATCAGTTTGACTAATTTGTTGCTTGATAATTCCGCTGGCAGCTCCTCCTTGGTGTCGTAAGTCTTGTATTTCTGCATAATATTTCTGTTTCAGTTGCTCGTTTTTCCCGATTTGATGGCACTTTTTTCTTTTGGAATCTTGAAACCCCACTGAATTTTCAAACAGTATAAGAAACAGTCAAGATATAGAAGAACAAAAAGATGTGAAAAGGTGCGAAAGATGTAGTCCTATTCACATTGGAACCAAAATGATTTTTCTTTTAAAAGAAACGGTGATCAAAAAGCTAAAGCTAAAGATGAATAGACTTTGTTTGACCAATCATTTCCTTTACTGATGACACAAAATCGCTAATCAGGAGCAAGCCCACGAAAAATAAAGACAGAAAAAAAGCAGGAAAACCCTTTAAATCTCCGATCAGTCATAGATCGTTCAGTACAAACTGGAGTTGAAAATGAAGGCACCTCCAAACTTTCATCTTTCTTATTTCCCTCTCTCTCTTCGCTCTCTCTCCCTCTCTTACTCCACCTGTTTATCTTTTAACCACTTTTGGAATTTTTATAGATAAAGAAAAATGGCCGTTACAGAAATGACACCTAGACCCGAATCACGCACTCGCGGTTCTTCGTTTACACAGTCAAAGCCTAAAGTGCTAAGACCATTCGATACAACAGAAGTTAAGATCCTGTTATTGGAAAATGTAAATTTAACTGCTGTCGAAGCTTTCAAAAAACAGGGTTATCAGGTAAAAAGCCAATTAGACAAACATAAAAATTGGAGTCCATGACCATTGACAGATATTTTGTAAAGGTGGAAACTTATGCGAAGGCGTTAGTTGGCGATGAATTAATAGAAAAGATTAAAGACGTTCATATCATTGGCATTCGCTCCAAGACAAAACTCACAAAGGCTGTTCTTGACGAAGCTAAGAATCTTATGGCTATTGGATGCTTCTGCATTGGTACAAATCAAGTGGATTTGAAAGCTGCAGCAGAGAAAGGTGTAAAGTGAACCCATTCAATTTCTTTATTGCTCTTATAACCCCCATCGAGTTGTTTTTTTTTGCTCATTCTTCCATATCCTTTCTTTGTTTTAGATATCTGTATTCAATTCTCCTTTCAGTAACTCAAGATCAGTAGCAGAATTAGTTATCGGCGAATTGATTGCGCTTGCTCGTCAATTAGGCGACCGCAATACAGAAATGCACCAGGGTATTTGGAATAAGGTTTCAAAAGGTTGTTATGAAATCAGAGGCAAGGTATTAGGTATTGTAGGTTACGGACATATCGGCTCTCAACTGTCCGTGTTAGCTGAAGCCATGGGCATGACTGTCTACTTTTATGATATTCTGCAAATTATGCCCATTGGTCAAGCCAAGCCTGTCGAATCACTTGAAGAACTCCTCTCTATCTCTGACTTTGTTACTCTGCATGTGCCCGAGACGGAAGACACGAAGGGTTTGATTGGTGAACGCGAAATCATGCATTACATGAAGAAAGGCTCTTTCTTGATCAACAACGCTCGTGGTAGCGTTGTTCAAATTCCTGCTCTCGTCAATGCATTAAAGTCAGGTCATCTTGCTGGTGCAGCTGTCGATGTATATCCCAAAGAACCTGCCAGCAACGGTCCTCATTTTACAGATTTCCCTGACCTTTTAAAATTGAAAAACTTGATCATGACTCCTCATATTGGTGGCTCTACTGAAGAAGCACAAAGAATGATCGGTATGGAAGTATCCACCGCCTTGACGAAATATATTAATGAAGGCTGTTCTCTTGGTGCTGTTAACTTTCCTGAAATTGATTTGCGTGCTATTTCACAAGAAGAGAAGAATACTGTTCGTGTGCTTCATATCCATCGCAATATACCCGGTGTACTTAGAGTAAGTGCTTCCCTTCCTTAAAGTCATATCCCGTTGACATTGTTCAAATCACTGTTTTTTCCTAATCTCTCTCCTCCTTTTTTTTTTTTTTTTTTTTTCTATAGACGATCAATGAGATCTTTGCAGAACATAATGTTGAAAAGCAATATTCTGACTCCAAGGGCGAAATCGCTTATGTCATGGCGGATATTTCTAATGTTTCCCAAGAACATTTGGAGACATTGTATAATGCCATTGTTGCCACACCCGCCAACATCAGAACTCGCGTTCTTTATTAAAAGTACATCCATGCAATATGCATTTTCATACATTTTATAATGGGAAATTTACCAATAAATGGCTTTCATTGCATCTCAAGTATTGCTCTTCTCATTGCGAATAACAGCTAATATTCTGATGAATTGTGAGTCATTAAGAGCCTTTTTTTTTCTTTTTTTTTCTTAATTATGTCGCCGACTATATATTGTGCCTTGATGAGATCTTTTTTTTTTTTTTTTTTCCTCCTTTTGACATTTTTCCGTATAGGAGCAATAGTCTTTACAAAGTTAGAGCTGATTAAAAATATTAGCCAATCAAGCCGTAGTGGGTTCAAATGTATTTACAAGCCTGTAGATCCCGGCCAACATAAAGTTGGGTCCCTACTACAAGCTCGTACCTGAGATCAAGCTTATTGCATAAAGAGAGACAGGATCTAAAGACGAGTTTAAAAAAAAAAACTCAACCTATTCATGCTACTACTACTACTAATACTACTACGAATGACTACTACTGCTACTATAAAAATCAGGTCTACCCTCTGTTAGAATGTACATGGAAACCATTTCTATTATATTGTCTTAACGCTTTTTTTTTCAATTTTTATCTTTATTTTATCAAACATAAACTTGAGGTCGTACAAAAGAAACGGGTTTTCCTGATTTAGGCTTGAATGCTGATAAGGATATTGCACGACTATACTATAGTTTTTGGATAAGAATTAATACTCAGTTTTCTACTACGTCTTTTTGCATGTGAAAAAGGGTTGCTAAGAAGAAGAAGGCTGGGCAAAAAAAGAATTCCCAAGAGGGAGCGCAGCCTATCTACTTTTGGAAATTTGTAACACTTTCAGTTTCTGATATGAGTGGCGTAGGTAAAATAAGTAGATAGAAGCCTTCATGGTTCCTTGCTTTAATCTCGATAACAATTTGCTTGTAATAATTCTGTCTTAATTGCTATTGACATGACTTTAAAATGGAGTAGAAACAGCACCTTACCTGCCTTAATTCCCAGATTCGACTTGTATGAACGCTGTCGAAAATCATATGATAAGAAATTCGATACTGCATGTTATTATAGTTAAGATGAGGCTTGAAAAAAGTCTGTGCCTTGACTGTGCATGCGTACAAAATAATCTAAACCACACAATGGAGTAAGGCGGCGGCGAAGCACGTTTTTTCATAATCGAGAAATAGGAGAATTGCATGCATATTATCAAAGAAGCATCAAATCAAATTCGTCGGGTTCGACCTTGATTTGGAAATGGAAAGATTACTTGCCCGCGTGGCAAAATAAAAAAAAAATAGAGAGCGCGAGGTGAGGGAGATACGGCAAAGAAATAGGAGCATATCTAATCTTATAGCCTCTATTATTCTTATTCTATTTTTTGAATGACAAGTTGATATATTTGCTCCTTTATTCTTCCAAGATTTCAGAAGTATACCAACTCTATCCAAAACCTGCCCAAAAAAAAAAAACTAAAATTTGAAAAGTGTATATATATATAGACCCTTCTACTTCTTTTAACATCTCTTTTTTTTTTTTTTACTTTGCCACCCTTTTCTCAATGTCTACGTTTTCTTTCACCCATCTTTCTGCTCTATCTGATTTGCATATTAATTCAGCTATATTTTCTGATATGACACGTTGGCTCAACTCACCCTTAAAGAGACGATACAGCCAAATTTGGAAAGGATCATCCAGCAAGTCGCAACAGAAGACACATAAATTCATAAGAGGTCGTTATAAGTTTTTACATCAGCTTGGTCAAGGAACATCGGGCACAGTTTATCTTGCCATCGACATTGATACAAATAAGCAATATGTAAGTTTAAAGGACTATTAAGACAACAAATATAAAATACTTATTATCAAGCAACAGATGTAATCTTAAACCTAACCATATCTATGCATACATTATATTTAGGCCATAAAAGAGATAAATAAGTCTTGGCTCGCCAAGCAACATCGTTCAAAGTTACTCCATCGATGCGGTCCTCCATCCAGAAAGAGTAATCCGACGTCAAATGATAAAGTAGCATTTTTAGATGTGGCGCAAACGAAGAAGCGTAGATTAAACAATGCTATCGTGCCACAACAGCATTCAACCGCCCCATGTACAGAAATAGTAACTTTGAAAGAATTACCTCATCATACCAACATTATACGCTTCATCGACACTTTTGAGGATCCCCAGTATCCAGATGCTCTATACATAGTAATGGAAGTTGCTGAAAAGGGTATCGTCATGGATGTATCCTCTTACGAAAAGTGCAAACCTTACTCAGAATCAATGTGCAAAACAATATTCAAACAGTTAGTTGAAGCCGTTGAACATCGTAAGTGTCTATTACTATTACTACTACTGCCACTGTATTTCCTGCTATCAATTGACATGATCCTAAATGCTGCGTTTCTTCTTTCGTTTTTTCTTAAAAAATAGTTCATAAGAATAATATTGTCCATAGAGATATCAAGCCACAAAATTTAGTCCAAACGAAAGATAACATCATCAAATTGATCGATTTTGGAAGTGCTATGGATGTAAACAAGTGTCACAACTATCAAATTGGAAAATCACCAGCATTTATGGCGCCTGAACTTTTGAACAAAGGTACATAGCAAAAAAATGGATGCAAATCATCAACAAGGGAAAAACACAGAGTCATTGAACAGAAATGGTTGCTTTTTCCAATGAATAGCTTATAGAACCAAAGAATATTCTTCTTTCTCCAGTGATATTTGGGCAATGGGAGTAACGCTCTTCTGTTTGATAAATGGTCATTTGCCTTTTCAACAGTTAAGCCTTCCGGACTTATACCAAGACATTCTAATTGAAAAGTAAAGTAATTGTGTCATTCATTTCAGAGCCTTTCATTCCTCACAGTCCAACTCATCACGATCCTTTAGTGTTAGACATGATAATACTAAGGCTAGCATGGAACTTTGCGATTTAATCAACCAAATACTTGAAAAAGACCCACGAAAGCGACTTACATTAAACGAAATAAAGGTAGGATTTACAGAATGATCAAGCCGATTGCCAATTAGATACTTATCATGCTTTTTACAGATGCACCCTTGGTTACAGACCAAATAGAAGCATCAAAGCTCAGATTCTCTGTGCTAATATACATACCATTCCTATTCGGTTGTAATAGCGAACAAGTACACCAACCTTATAACCATATTCGTTGCATTTATGGAGCAACGTTCTCACCCTTATAATATATGCTGCTGCTACTGCCATTATATCCACTTTGTATATGAGCACCTTACTTTCCTCAAATTTTATGATAGCAGATTACGCGCACTATACCTGCATTAATACCATGTATTTCCTTATATTTCTCCTTTATGTACTATTATGTTTGTTTTAATATAGGAAGGCTTTCGACCCTTCTGTTTTACATTTGAACCTGCTATATACGTTATGCTAGCCCATCTTTTGTCTTTTACAGTTTATTTTGTTATACCTTACCGTACTCAATATTTATAGTAAACTGTATGTTGCTTAATGATTATTGTTTTGTATTTTTGGTTTCTTCGAAAACATCAGCGTCCCAGGACAAGAACGGCTCACCGAACTTCTTCAATCCGTGAATATCTACTAATGAATCCGCTTTCTGATGATCTTGTTTGTCTAATTTGGTTTTTTTTTTTCTAAATTAGAGCGGGTACACGAAGAATTTACTGACTTTAGTAGCGCACAATAGCTACGCATGAGGCCCTTAGAAATGAGTGCTTGAGCGGTAGTTACAATTTTCGCAATATTTTCGTTTTTCAAGATAAAAGAGTTATTACTCTCAAAATTAAACACGGCGAAGTCGTGTTTCAATGGCACTAGGCGTCACCCGAAGCGCAAGCGCTAACTATCCCGAAGAATAGGCAGATACTAGGTAGATATAGAGAATAAGAGATCACGGAACGCTTAGCTAATATTCGCATTTGGAAATATGTTTGGTTTTTTTTGCTGAACTTTATCCACCATGTCGTGCTTTTGGTAGAGTCTCGATAAGTCTCATTCTGAATATATGGCTGATAGTAATTCTCTTACTACCTTTTACTTTCGAGTCAAGGAAGCTCCCCTCTCTCACCTTCCCGCGCTTTCTACTCTCCCTCTAATATCTTATCCCAGTTTTCGTATTCTGATGCATGTTGCTTTCACTAACAGTTGTATAACGTAACAGATGTCTCCTCGGGAGACTCGAAAGACTCCCTTACAATTACTCCACCAATTGCCCTCGACATCCATTGGATACACTCACAATAGAAGACGCCCTCAAATGTCTCAACATGTACCATCCTTTCCAATTGCCATCCACAGTGTCTGATACAATCCTGAATTTCATCAAGATCGCTAACCTAAGCATCAGCACCACAATAGGACCTAGACAATACAATACCTTGTTATTTAGTAGTTTATCTTTATAGGGAAAAGAATAATCACCGCCACAAACGCACTTGGACAACAACTTCTGGACTGGTTTACGCACCCTCAATAACTTGGTAAATGATCCCCTCATAATTAATCCATTCATGGTAGCTTTTTCTTTTTTCCTTTATCCACATCAAAATTTCTTATATGCCTTCTACATATACAGAACTTCCTTGGGCAATTATCTGCGTGCCTGATGAGCTTGAAAATCAAAATTGGAAAAACTCCACTTTAACAAATAAGGTTATGTGACAGTCTTGAGCGTGTCCTTGCACCATGCCTCCTTTGTATGATTTCGGAAAGATGTTCTTCTTCTGTGACAGCTTTTTTGGTTCAAGCATACAAAGGTTACATATCTACAACGTTTGATCTTATCTTTACACTGTAAAGACTTTACTCAGCCTTCATTTTGACAAATATCATGCGCATACTTGATGGTTTGTCTCCTTTTTCCTTCCCTTATATGTCAGAAACGCTATTTGTATTCTGAAAACATCCGCCTCTCCTACCTACAGAGACAACCCTTAAATTTCGATAGGTAAAGGATATTAGTAGATGTCTCAATTCAAAGTCAAGTTTGCTGCTCGTCGTTTTCAGTATCCATTAACAATGAAATCGAGGCCATAAGGGTTTTTTGTCAGGGAATTCAGTCACGATCTGTTTTTATATGGTATTCGTGGTTTCAAATTGGAGATGGGTTCCTTTGTGTTTTTTGTAACTTGGTTTGTGTGCTTCTTTTGTTTTTTGATATTCTTCCATACTTGTCTTCACGCTTGGAATGCTTTGGCCGCACTTCTCATTCTCATCACTCTATTGTCTACTAATTACAACCACTTTATCTCTTTCAAATGCTTGAGGCGGATATCATTCGTTCCTTCAAGATTCCATAGTACTGCGTTTGCAGGAAGTCGCACTGAGCGATTGCCTCGATTCATTTAAAGTAGTACATCCAAACAGTCTGATTGGGCAAGCAAAGTTCATTCGAACTCCAAAATGGGCTCAGCCTCCCGTTCAATAAAAAAAGGTTTCCTTTTTTAAGCTTTTGATTTTTTTTTTAGGCTTAATTTATATATAAAAAAAAAAGAGCTTCATTAGATCAAGGAAGTAAATCCCGACTATATTTCATTTTTTTTTCTTTCCTTTCTCCACCCTTTTCTCCCTCTCTTCTTCACTTATCCACTCAGATAGTAACCTATCGCTCTTGCTTCCCATAAATTATTACAAGTATGAGCGTTAATAGATTAGCGGAACTCCATAAAGACTCTCGTACAGGTCCAGGAGGAAACCAAAATCAGGCACCAGGTGCTCACAACAACGGTTATGAAATGCATCCACTATTGTCCTCGAAAGGTGATATTACATCTGTACAGGGATTTCTTGACGAAGTGTCGCTTGTAAAAGAAAGTATTGGTCAAATTAACTACAATGTCAGTCGTATCCAGTCCTATCAATCTACTATGCTTCAAACAGCAGACGCTGGAGAACTAGCAAGGAATCGGCAAGCTGTAGACGAGCTAACCAACGAAACTCAAAAAATCATGGCACATGTAAAGCAAAAGTTGAAGGAAATTGAGCCTACACCACGCCATACAGATTTGGCTATGAGAAAAAACACCTTCAGTGCTGTCATGCGCTCATTCATGGACGCCATTGAAAACCATCGTCGAGTGGCGTTGGAATTTCAAAAGGCTGAAGCGCACCAATTAGAAAGACAAATAAAGATTGCTAATCCCCATGCGACACAACAAGAAGTCGAACAAGCCGTTGCGGATGCAGAACAGGGAAGAGGAGGTGCAGTTTTTGCACAACAATTGATGCAGTCTGTGAGTGGTGAGTATAGACGTCAAAATGCTCAGAATACATTAGATGCCGTTCAAGAACGTCATGAAGATATTCGCCGCTTGGCTAGAAGTGTGCAAGAATTATCATTATTGTTTCAGGAAATGCAAGAGATGTTGGAGGCACAATCAAAAGTGTTGGATACAATCGAACAAAGTGCATTTGAGACGACGGGTCAATTAGAAACAGGTGTTCAGTACGTCGAGAAGGCCAAAATATCTGCTCGCGCCACACGAAGAAAGAAGTGGATTTGCTTCGGTATCTTCTTAGTTATTATTATCATCATTGTTATTATTTTAGCTATCGAAATTCCAAAGAACAGGAATTAATACCACATAAACAACCTAGTAACATCGCTTTTTGCTTAATAATTTATTATTGTATACCTCTCTTTGTTCCCGGTCACTTGAAAGTAAAGAGAAAAAAAACTCGACGAGTTTTCTCTGAACCAAACTGTTTAACAGAATAATAAAAGCAAGAACAGGACTTGGGTCGCTTCTGATTAATGAGACATTCATGTAGAATGGTTCTACATTGTTTACAAGTGATGGCTGGCGCTTATTGATACAATGATAAAGCACTCAACCTTCTTACAAACCAATTTTGGATGTCTGAGAATTGTTTTTAAAACTTTTGTAGTGCTCGAAAGTTAAGACCCCCCACCCCCATTTGTTTATCTTTTGATATAGTTCGTCTAACAGGAAAGAAGAGAAGGACTTCCCTATGATAAAATAATTTTCCCGCGAAATGAAATTAAGCGGTTCTGTTTTTAAAAGCTGAGAGATATACTCAACTGCAATCAAACAATGGTACAGATAAAGTAGGAGAAGCGAACATTTGAAAGCAAAGACTAACTTGGGTAGTAAAGGAGAAAGTAACTGTATCAAGCAAGCTTGGTGCAAAACGATTTGTAGCCAATTTACACGAAACAGTACATGTCACTGGCGTTTATCCGATAATAATAGTATAGCCATAAAAGCATTATGAAGAAAATAAGAAAAAAGCTGGAAGAGTAGTAAGTGCGGTTGTAATTGTTTAATAAGCAATCTGAAAGAATATTTATGCCACCTAATAGTGTAATTGAAGAAATGACAGACATATTGAAATGTAAGCACTATCGGTCTATGTCGAAAAACGATAAAGGCACATAGTGTTATTGTGCATTTGCTGCTTATCCATACTATTTCAATTCGTTCAGTAGTTGCAAAAAGCGACACATATGAACAGAATAGAGTACAGATGAGTGGATGCCGTTATATGCTAGCCTCTTCTGCAAATCTGAAAGATATTCATAATCCTGTTTATATTCGAAACAAGTAACCACGAGCCTAATAAAGAAAGTCGTTTTAGCGTGAAGTTTCGTAAAGTTTCCTATCATGTACTACATTTAATGAAAGACAGTTACAGCTGGTGATCTTTACCACATCCTCGAACAACCTATATATGAAAGTAATGATATGAGAATCAGACTACTGCAAACAAGTTTAAGATCTGAAGTGCCTACAAAATGAAAATAAAGCTTTGCTTTATCAGGTCAGATCACTTGAATTAGAATCGAAAACAGAATTTAGAGGATATGGGGCATCCGTTATGTATATCGCGCTTTTAATTGACGGAAAGAGACGATATGGTTCCTTGAGTTTTCATCTTTTAAACGTAGATTAGTTCCGTTCAATAACTTAATTGCGCATGTGTGATAGAATATTGAAGTAATCTATCCATATATGCAATCGTGTTTTCCTGAACCACACTGTCTGTTGGTCTTTAAAAGATAGCACGTCGTCCATATTTAGAAATATCTTTCTCCAATATGAAGTATTTTTGCCAAGTATGTTTGTACTACAGCAAAACCATTACTACACCAACACAAGAACAAGTTCGAGGTTCCTTCGGGTAACGTAACAAAAAGAAACAATAGAGAAAAAAAAAAGGTCAGATTTTGCTAAGCTTTTCTTTATCTTTATTTACAAGTGCTAAAAGTAGAGCTTGAGGAACAATGAAAAAATAAGTGTAAAATAAATATGTTGTATGATATTACAGAATGCAGATGAAAGGGAATGTGAAGGGGTATTTGTTATCAGGGTTATGTAAATATGGGCTAGTTGTTAAATGTTTATACACGTTAATCAGAATGAGTACCTATACATCCTTTTTCCATACGCAAATGACGATTCAAGGCATCCATTCGAGCAAACGTCTTATGGCAATAATGACAAGCATAAGGTCGAACACCCCAATGTAACTTTTCGTGACGGTTGCGGTCATGTTGACGAGCAAATTTTCTACCGCAGTTAGAGCAAGCATACGGACGTTCAGTTGTATGGGTGCGCATATGAGAAGTGAGATTATATGGTCGCGTAAAGGCTTTACCACAAGTTTCGTGCTGACAGACGAATAAAGCACCGTTCAAAGGTTTTCTTGATGATGATGAAGAAGAACGGATTTTCATTTTTGGCGTTGCTGAGGTTTTCTGCTTTAAAGCTTTGGTGGCGGTATCCATCGAAACTTGTTCTTTATCAATTGATGATGAGGTAGATGATGAGGTAGATGATGAGGATGATAAAGACATCATATGTGCGGCAGCAGCAGCAGCAGCAGCAGCAACTATATTTTTATTCGCTATCGTGTTCTTCTTCTTATTTTTCACACCTTTTCCACGACCACGACGTTTAGTTATCTTCGCTTCAGGTTCCTTGATGTTTACCTTATCTGATGCAGCAACTGGTATGGTTTGCGATGATAATAAACCGGAAGTATTATTAATATCGTTTGTAGGTTTAGTGGTATTAGCAGTTATGGATTCTGGAAAGGAAGAGGAACCATGAGGAAAGGTCCAATATGACCAACAGTTTTCAACTACCATGGCTGTACCTTGATGTGGTACTTCCGAAAGCGATGATGTTGGCTTATCTTGTTGCTGTACAGCTTCCTCAAGCTTCAATGACGGCAAACTGGGAGAAGAGGAAGAGCAAGGCTCAGGAAGGGGTTCTACCAGTTTGGCTTCATGCTCAGCAATAAATCGGTCAATGTAATCAATGGTGGGAAATAGATGAAGCTCATCATACTCGTCGTTTTGAGCCATAAGGGGGGTTGAAAGAGTGGAAGAGCCAGAGGACAATACTGCATTATTATTGTTGTGGTAATGAGCAGATGATGGTGGTGAAGCAGGTACATCACAATACATGTCAAAATAACTTATAGGCGAGGTACCAATAATATTCTGCTTTTGCATCATGAGATGTGAAGACGTGTATATCGACTCGCATACACTATTGTTATACGCGCTGAACTGGCTCACAGAAGGAGGCATGATGGGAACAAGAGGATCGAAAGACATAACTGGCTGATTTTGGTGTGGAAGATAAGCATTAACAGGTATTGAGGCTCCAATCAGATTACTATTATAGCAGTCCGGCGCGAGAGGCATTAGGAACTTGTCTGTAGGATACAGAGATGGGTCCCAAGTGTTTGTAAATATTTGACTGCTCAGATTGTTGTCATTCATAGCAATAATGCTTGAATTACAAAAATTAGACTCCAATATAGCGGAAGAAGGCGTCGAAAATACTTCCTGATAGTTAGAGTCAGTATTCATACTTAAGAGATTTATAGCAGTAAGTTAGATTTATTCAAATAAGATTAGGTCGATAGAAAAAATTAGAAAATAAAGAACCGTTGCCCTTTTTATGTCAATTATTTATAGGCTTTTTTGTTTTCTTTCGTTATATCACTTTCGGTGCTCTTGTACAACAGTTTCGATCCGTTCTTTTTCTTTTAAAATAGACTTATTGTACACCATGAACTCTTTTACAAACTTTGTTGTGATTCATATGACTACAAACTGCAAACTTAGTACTTCCTTTTGAATTGTGGGTCCAATAATTTCAAAAGAAAGACTGCCAAGATTGAGAATGTAACCTATGATGATAGTTGACCAGAAGACGAAGAGTAAATAAGAACCAAGATTGAATCTGTTATAATCGTGAACACCTAGCTATGTGGGTTTAGCAAAATGTATATCAGAGACAGTCTGCATCAGATAACCTGTGATTACCTTCACGTAAACAGAAAGAAATTTTAGTTACAAAAAAATCTATTATTAGAAAATCTCTATTTATACATCCTTAGATATGTGAGCATAGCATCAGCTGCTGCTTATGCACCTGCAGGTTTGTAAAAATAGTTATTAGGTGGTAAAGAACGTAGAAACGAAAGGCTGAACATTCTAAGTAGGTATTTAAAAAGCCCATCAAGGTGAGTTTATTATAATACACGAAGTTTGTAGTTGAGCCTTGTTTATTGATTGCCCTATATTATTCTAGACATATTTTCTTTGAGCAGGATCGATTCCAGGAAAACAATTTGACGCCATTTTGACATTAGAGCATTAGCAGTGATAAGTGCGTAATAATTTATTCAGGCATTAAGCGGAGCTGCGCAATAACACAAGAGACCCTCAGTTGTCTTTTATCGTCCCTAGAGGATTAGATGACAATCCTATCACGTCTTTGCTGAAATTGTCTATGAGGGATTTTTTTGAGAGTTATGACCTTCCGCTCAATTGACAAACTTCAGTTTGGTTTTGTCAGTCAGAAGTAGGACAGATTAACCATTTTAAGTGAAACGTCCTTGACAGTTTCTATTGTTTTGGCTGTTTGCAATATCACGATTTCATTCATGAATCGAACGACTTTTTCTTTGGCATCTCTGCAGTTAACAAATATCAATACAAATCAGATGCTGTTAATCTCTCTGTTGTTAGTGAATTCGCATTGGTTTGCTTTGTTATGGTCGCACTTATGTTTAATCGCTTCTGTACTCTCTTTAAGATCAAAAACATTATCACGCTTGTTTCAAGTTGTTTTTCTTTCATTTTTTATTCTTACAGTTTTTAAGATAACGATGACTATTCAGGTACACAAAGTTACAAAGATCCGGATGTACAAAGAAAAAAGGCGCGAAACTGGTTGTAGATACAAACCTTGTCTGTCAATTAAAGTCGCCATTAGTACTTCAAAGTTACTCCAACATGAAACACCTTTTCTCGGCTTCTTGTTCTTGCCGTATAGCCAATCAAGTTGCATAAATTACACACACGTACGCACAAACTGCCGACTTTAAATATAACGTGAAAGTTTATTTATAGTTATTTTGTAGAAATATGTAAAAGGTGTATGCGAGATACGAAAAGCCACTGTTTACAAATAACCTTAAGCCTATTCTTTCATAGAACTATAATCTTCTTGTTGTAAACAGTAAATTATTCACTAAGGAAAAGCGCCGATCTTTTACGAAGGTGCATTTACTCTATCGTTCGTAGGTTCAGTAGAACACTGGATTAAGAAAAGCACGAGTAGTGATCAACAAAAGATTCTAGTGTTAACATTTGTCTACCTTAGCAAGTACAACTCTCTATGTGACATAGTCAACAATACCATAGCATATGTTAAATAATAGCAATCGACACTTGTGAACGTGTTCATCCGCATTTATTATCCATTAAAATGTAGACTTAAGGTAAAACGAACCTTGCCAGTATTTTTAAATTGAGAAAATCGAGAGCTTGTTGATTCTTCGTACAAATGGGAAGCATGCGAGAAAAAAATATGACTGAACGTTTACTGATGGAATGATAAAGTGTAGTTAAAGTTATATATAACGAATAGATGAGAAATTGTTATTGTTGTGTGATAATGGTATGCTCAAAAGAAAAGACTTATTTCTTTTTTGGAATCAAAAGGTATGAATAGCACTTTAACCGAAATGCATTTTGAACTGAGCTCCTCCAGGGAAACCATTTCCAGCACCTCCGAAAGGACCACCGCCACTGCTGAAAGGGAATCCACCAAATGGGAATCCACCACCTTGAGCGAAATGGAAGGGGAAACCATTAGGACCAGCCCCACCATGTTCACCACCACCTTGCCCGTGCTCAGGATCAAAGGGATCAAATCCATTATCATATTGTTGTCGTTTATCCTCGTCACTCAATACTTCATAGGCCTGATTGATCTCAGCCATCTTACTTTCGACTTCTTCTTTAGACAGATCACCATTATACTTATCGGGATGCCATTCATGAGCCTTCTTACGATATGCCTTCTTTATTTCACGACTGTCTGCATCGTGAGATACACCCAAGATCTTATAGTAATCTCTCTTCTTCGACAGTTTCAGTTTTTGTTGGGCTTTTTGTAACAATTGACGCACGCGGTTATCTCGTCCCTCTGATATCTCATAAGCCTTTTCGAGATCACGCACAGCTGCTTCGAAATCCTTTTTGTTCAAATAAACCTCACCACGGTAAGTATACGCATCCAAATCATCAGCAATTTCTAATACTTTAGAACACCAAGTTTCAATCTTTTCCTCGTTTTTGTTTTCCTTTTTCTGAGAACCGTAGATTTTACAAGCCATCTGATAAGCATTGAAGTGTAGTTTGCGTGGCAGTTTACTAGATTTCATTTCTTTTTCAAATGCCTCGAATTCAGCGTCAACATTTTTTAAAATACCCTCACGGTTAGCTGTGCCGATTAAGTAATTAGCAGCTGTTGTGTACTTTTTCAAATTGATATCGTTTTCAATTTTTGTCAACTCTTTGTCTAATTTTTTCATCTTTCTGAATAGAGCTTTGCATTGCTTTTGTTCAGGATCATAATGTAAGCATTGTTTTATGTGCTTCAAGGCACCTTGACGCTCATTAAGTGAATAGAAGTTGATCTTCGATAACAGGATCAATATGTCTGGATCGGATGGGTTCAACTGTGCAACACGACTATTCAATCGAATAATAAAGGAAACAACAGGATTAATCTCTGCTTCCGTTTCTCCAATTAATTAAATTCGCACTTACGCAAAATCACCAGCTGCTTCATCAATTTCGCCTTTAGCCACATGGCATTCAGCTCTTATTAAACGTGCATAAATATAGGTTGGAGAAACACGAGAGACGGTAGTAGCAAGATCAATACATTGATCAAAGTTTCCTTTTTCCTTTTCCATCTCAGCTTGCTTAGCAGCTTGTTTGGCAGCTTTCATTCGACTTAACTATTAAAAAGTTGGTAATAGCCAAACGTCAGTTTAAAAAAGATAACAGAGGGCTCCACTGTACTAAATCGATATACGTTACCAAATTCTTCGACTCCTCATCCTTCTTATTCGTCTTTAAATACTTTTCTAAATCATGAATAGCTAAATCAAATTGACCATCCTTAGCATAGATGCGCGCTCGTTGCAATAAAGCTTTATCAAAATCAGGCTTCAAGTCTAGAATCTTTGTAAAATCCTCAACAGCTGCATTATTACGCCCTAAAGACAAATAGGCTGTGGCTCTCTTGAAGTATGTCAAATAATTATCGGGCTCCATACCTGTCATAAAAAATCAAAGAGCTATGAGTTGAATTGCTACGATGTTTTTTTTTGGAAAATATGTATATTTACGAATAGCAGCATCGAAACTGCTTAAAGCGTTAGTGAATTGACCGTTGGAAAGGAAATCACTGCCTTCTTGTAAATGAACTTGGACATTCTCTTCACCAAAAACGGAATATGGGAACAGAAATGGCAAAATGCATGCAATGAAATAACGATGATGCTTCATTGTTTTTTAGCGGATGCTGTATGCTGAATAAAGCAAGAAAATATTTATGAGTGTAATGACGATTAAGAGCAAAGAGAAAGAATTCGAAAGAGCAAAACAGCAAAGTTGAAAGCTCTGGAACTTTTTCAAGTTTATTTATAAAATCAAAGGCCAGCAGATCAGAAATTTAACACTTCCTACATCAAGACAATGTGGATTTTTTTGATTGGCTAGATTTCTATCGTTTTAAATGGTTTAGCCAATGCTTTCATGTTTGGATACGACGCTGATTTGATTGGGAAAGACCTGTGATTTTGCAGTAACAGTAGTTCCCGACGCCAAAGAGTGGCTCTCTTTTTCTCAAAGTCGCTTTGTTTCCTTTTACAGTTCGTTTTCACTTTTTCCAAAGATTTTTTTTCAGCCTCTTCGTAAATCATCTTTATTCCTATTCTAATGATACTACTACCGCTTATACTATTGATTGCATTGGTTTATTATACGAATAATAAAGATCCTTGTTGTCGCACTTAACTCCATACAGCCATTCAGAGTAACGATGTCTTATGTCTTTCAATTTTGGAGTTGACGCAACTGCTTGAATGGAAGCAAACTGTAAACACTACATGACTATAATATGCTAGAACGATCTCCTTGTTGAATTCGCCGAATGCGCTTCTTGATCCTTCTCATATCAGTTGCTCAGCAATTCTCAACTGTCTGAAAAATGAAAATGAAAATCCGCCCTCTGTAAACTTTTATTACCCGCTCTTTGGCGGTGGGGAACGACTGCAATGTCTGATATTTATTTATAAAGGAATTGAAGTGTGGAGCAAATAGGAAGTGCCATTAGTGCGAACAGAAAAAAGAACAGAAAAAAGGAAAGAAAAAACACGTCGAATAAATGACTCTGCCTTCAACAACACCTCAATCGAGTCAACTGCAAACCAATGAGTTTATGGACAGTTTGTTACGATCTCTAACATCGAATTTAAAAGATGCTGACCTGCTGGGCTCATTTTCAGAACAAGTTATTTCATTCTTTAAAGCAGTAAGCTACATTTTCATACTGCATAGTAAAAAAAGCTGTACCAATTTACGGTGATATCAATTTTCTTTGAAAAGGTCAATTGGAATCAGTCATGGATTATTGCTATTCTCGCGTTTCATGTATTATGCTTTATAATGGCTGTCTATTTAAGAAACCGCCATACGGCAATTTCTGTCTACTTTTTTATCTTATGTAAGGAACATTTTTTGTTAGGAGTTACGGTAGATTGATATTGATTCAACTTATTGTCTGTGTAATCTAAGTGGCATTTGCACTCATGTCACAGCCTTTGAATGATATTGGAATAAGGCATTGGAAAATATTTTCAGATCAAAAATACTTTGATAAAACTGGACTGTTTATTGTATTTATCTATTCCTTTCCTGTCATTATAAATGCATTAGTCGCACTGGTAAAGGATAGCATTTTGATTGATCATTAACTGCTTGTTATACATCGTTGATTGATACTCATTTCTCTTTCATACACCGAATATTACAGGCATTCATATTGAAGGCGTCCGCTACAATCCTTGTCCAAACAAAGATCATGCAATTGAAACAGAAGAACAATAGCAAAACGAAAAGAAAAATGAACTAATTAAATAGTAATAGCATTTGTGTAGCCACAAACATATTAATTTGTTTGACAGGAACCGTTCAAATAAAATGAATCTTGCGAAATGAGGAACTCGTAGCTATTCCTTTTCTTATTTCTTCTTATCCTACTGATTCCTTCTCTGAATACACATTTTACTTGCTTTATTACACGTTAAACATGTTCAAAAATCCTCTTCTTTTCACTATCCTGCTTATTTGCTATTCCTTAACAGCATGTATTGTTGTTGCCCTTTCTGAAAAAAGCATTCAAACCATTTTGAAAAAACACAATGACTTCCGCATCAAACATCACGCTCCTAGTCTTAAATGGGATACCACTTTAGCTTCTTATGCACAAAGGTGGAGCAATAAATGTCAATTTAACCATTCTGGTGGCCCTTATGGCGAGAATTTAGCTAGTGGCTATCGTAGCTGGGCTGATGTTGTCGACGCCTGGTACGGAGAAGTAAAAAAATACGATTTCGACAAGCCTACAGGATTCTCAGCAACGACTGGGCATTTTACCGCTGTGGTGTGGAAGTCGACCACGAAAATCGGATGTGGTGTCAAAACCTGTAGAAATCTCAATGGAGCCAAAATTTATACTTGTTCGTACGAGCAACCGGGTAATATTGTAGGAAGCAATAACATGTATTTTATTGAAAACGTTTTGGTGCCTTAAAAACCATTTGTGCATGTATCTATCATTTGTCTGTAAAATAAACGTTTTTGCATTTCACTATTTTGCTACTCTATAATTGCGTACCGAAATTTTTGGCCTTGGTGATCCAAATCAAAAATTTATGGCATCTATTCGCCCCTTACGATACTCTTCAGTTGCAGCTGTACCTCCTCTTTCATTTCGAAGCATAGACAGCAGGAAACGATTAAAATACTTGCAATTTGAGTACATATTATTGGCTAGATAGTGTTGTACACACCTGCCCTTTTCTTTGTACTTATATATTTTTTGGTTTTTGTTTTTGTGCGTTTGTGCTTCACTCTCCTAATTTTCATTTTCATTTTTTGAACAAATAACTCTTTCCCTTCCTTTTTGAATACAGATTCAATCATTGCTAAGTACTGTCCTTCTATTTACAAACGATTAAAGAAACTCTCGAAGAATTTAGGAAAAAATGGTAATATCGAAAAATTGCACCACAGCAAATGATACGAAGTGTAGTAATTGTTTGACAGATTTTCCTACTTAACACTAAAGTGTTGTGGAGGCAACCGAGGGCCCAAATGGAAAAGAGAAATTGTCAAAGATCATAAATTCGACTATATTGACCTGAAAGAGTTTTATGATCCTTCCTGTACAGCACGAATAGCCTACCTGATCATGTATATACTTATTTTAAAAGGCTTTTTGGTTTATGTAGCAGATTTATGGACAGCTGGTAAAATATTATGACACATTAAACGTAGATCTGGAGGGCACAATCTTTTCGAAACTAAACAATTGAGAAACTACCAGTGTCTTTATTAGTTATTGGCAACTCCAGTATTAATGCAGATGCCTCTATCCCGCCAGATGTAGCTAAATGGATCTTCTTGGGTGCCATTCTGATATCGTTTGTATTATTATTTTGGGATATTAGGAAAGCTCGAGGCATTATAGAATCAAGGGACATCTCATTAAACTTTTTCTCGGTTATTGCCAATCGCTGGTATTCTACGAAAGACTACAAATATTTCTGTTTATTTCGAAGGATTGAAAAGTCACGAAAGTCCGTTGATTCTATAGCTATATTTGTTTTCTTTACCTTGAAAGGTACTCGTGTATACTAAAAACGAACTCTAGCTTTCTGTATTACTGATCACTCCATGCAATAAAACTAGGGTGGAAGAAGATATTGTTGGCTGAAGCACCTAGACAAGTGATCAACGTTGTCACTTTGAAAACGATTATACCCAAATGGATTCAGATCAACAATGGATTAATTATATCGAATGAAAGCTTAGGAAAAAACACGGTTCAGCGATTGATGACAGGAACAATGATCTTTTCAACTGCCATTTTTGCAATGTCATTTATCTTATTATGTGCCGCCGCAGTAATTTATTTACCTGTTCTATGTCATATACAAGGAAATTTAAAAGAGTATTGCTGTCATAAAGTCGACAAAAGGTAAGGGGACAGTACAGCTGATCATCGCTTCTACAAATCGTACTTAATATCTTGCGTTGCTAGAATTGAAGAAGTGCTCAGAAAACAAGCACGTAAGAGGATCGAGAAACATAAGCAGTTGGAAGAACGACTTAAAAATTCAATATCTGTCCACAATGGAAAGAGCAAGAAGACAGCTGGCAATAGAAAGAAGAAATATGATATTGAAATGCAATCGTTGCCTCAACCAACTCTGCCCAACTTACCGGTGGATACACCTTATACTAGTACACCTTATACTACTTCTTCACCTTACAGCAACGGCATAGTAGACTATAACATTCATCAACATTTACCGCAGTATCATCAATACCATTATACTACTTCTCCTTCACCTCAGCATCATCATCAACAGCTCCCACTCCCACCACTCCGGCGAAATAACAGTTTCACGTCCATTAGCAGTGACCAATTGGCCCTAACGGCTCATGCTCAAGGCGAACCTTATAGCCATTATGATTATAATCATATGTCTCCATCACCTTTACCAGCAATGCAGCAACAACAGCATTATTATCAGCAGCAATCACAACAACAATATGACAAGTATCAACATTATCAAGGCTATTACTAGTCAAAACATGTTAAGACGATGTAAAGTATTTATTAATGTAACACACTACACTTATATTTTCTCCTTCCTTAAGATAATGTATTCTCGCCCGAGTGAGCTATTATACATTTATATACATCCAGTACGTTTAAAAGATTTATGTACGGCATAGATGAAGTACAAAACTTTGATAAATGTGCTAAAGAACAGATAAATAAAGGAACACTTCCTTAAAGTAGTCCTCGGCCAAGACACAATAACTGCTGTATTACTTTACCATCTTAAAACTTTGTATTTTAATTAGAAAATATGGGCACTTAATGATATACTGCCATTTAGCAAACATTTACCCTTAGGCACATTGAAATCCAAGCCAATGACTGCATATCCTAATTCCATAGGTTCTGTAGTAGGCTCAGTAATAATGTCTAGGCTTGAGGCTCTTTTGTAGGCCGCGCAATAATTCTTCATGGTTTTAACATTAGGGAGATTTGTAAGCTTAAATTTTGTGGTTGCTTTACTGTCGTTTGTCGTTTTACAAATGAAGAACTGTACTCCATTAGGAGAAAGTCGTTGCTGTCATGACTGATGTATAATGCTATTATGCATTCTTTCAAAATAATAAGAGCAATTAAGAAAGTAATGGGCAAAAAGCTTCATATGTTAAACGGTTTTGTTATTTTGGAAGGTATCATTTCTTCACCACATTTTCATGATTCAGTCGCTTTAGCAAGGCGACCTCAGCCAAATGCAAATTTCCCTCGGTTTCAGACAATTGGATTTCCTTAGCGACAATTGCTGGGGTTGGTATATGCTCAGCATCATTTACAACTATAAAGCCACCCTCAAGGATTTTGGCAATCTTTTGGTAAGGAGGAGAATTGCCAACGTCCTCCTCACCATCGTTACGTTTTCTCTTGTCGCCGCCAGCGGCAACAGTACCACTATGCACAACGCAAAAAGTTTGTGATAGGAAGCACGTACGGATATTTTCCTGCTTTGTTTCAGCTAAATTTCGCCACTTACAGTCCTCCTGCAGAAGCGTATGCATAGCGAAGTTGCTTCAAAGCGCGGCCTTCCTTATCAGCAAAGAATGACTATAAATATCAAAAGCGGCATCAGTCACAAAGTTATTTGGGAGTCGTTCTACAAAAAGTAATGCATCCTAGAAATTTTAGTTAGCATTTCACAGCTGCTCTGTAGGGGCTTTTATTGCTTGTTATTTTATGAAAGACGTTATGAAATTTTTATATTATGTACAAAGGAAATAGTGTGAAGTGAAAAAGTAGTAAATGTAGGGATATAAGAGATTGTCTACGAATAATTTTACAGTATAAATATAAATAAGGCGGGATTATAACAGGTATTTTACCATTTAGTGGCGAGTGGGTTAGCAAAGTTATTGGTAACAGCATGATATTGTGTTCGCAGCAAGCGTTTTGCTCGTTCACCGGAAGGGTTACCAATCCAATCACTATCAAAAGGTAAGAAAAATATTAGAAAAAGATTTCATAAAACTCACAATAAGCCACTAATTACCTGTAGATGGCCTTTATAACCTCATTATCTTCAGGCTTGACACCTTCGGGTGATCTATAAATATTCTCTACTTGAACAACCCAGTCTTTAGCGTTCATTATTTTTGTTTCTCCATCGCCGGGAGGTAATTGACCGCCACCATTAGCACATCCACCAGGGCAAGCCATAACTTCTACATAATGATACACACATTTTCCGCTTTTCACCTTACGTACAATATTTTGAATATTTCGGAACCCGTAAGCTGTCGCAAATCTGAGTACGACTTTACCTTCTTCATTAACAAGAAGATATTCTTTCACATCCGAATTTTTACCCGTCTTGACAATAACACGAGGTGATTCTGTTGTAAGGGGATCTGCAGGTACATCAGCGATATTGAATAACTCAAGCGCCGCCCTAGCAAAAATATATTCCAAGGCACCACCTGATGACGAACCTGCGATACCATAAAGCACCTCTTCACCAGTAGTAGGGTCTACTTTGATTTTGTTGATAATATCGTCAATAACCGCTTCAGGCAACGTAGAAAAATCCAAATCTTGTTCCTTCAACAAATTCTCGATTTCAATTGTAGCTAATACGCAATCCACTTCTCTTGTATCATATTCCTCCACGTAAAAATCGGGTCGGCTTGCCTCTAACTTTTTGTCAAAGCAAGGCATAATGCAAACATGATAAATTTGATGTGGTAGTCGCCCTATCTTCTTTGCAAAATAATCTTTCACTAATGAGCCCATCATTTGCTGAGGCGATTTGGCGGATGTGATTAACGGTAGCACTTCACCATGAGTTTTTTCTGCATAACAGATCCAACCAGAACAAGATGAGGCTAGCATTGGCATATATTCATTCGGTAATTCCTTATTCTTATCGTTCCGAGCTCCAGCTCCAGCCCTTCTCCTCGTACGTACTTTTGGTTTATCCTCGTCGTTGGCTTTATCTACTTCTTGTTTGGCTGCTTCTAAAATGTCACCCCCATTTTCCATGTAATGCTTGAAGCGATCAATGAATTCTCTAGAAGCCTCTGCCAATGATAAATCTTGTGTGAAAGCCGTATCAAAAACATGATGGGCACCTAAATGGTTTTTGAAGAAATACACAAGTTTGCGGTGCACTTGCAGAGGTGATAGGTTGTACTTTGCTGCGAAAGATGCTCTGGATTGAGGACTGATAGATATTACAACAGTTCGGTAATCTTGAGGTCGATTTTCCTTTAACGCTTCCTTATTATTTGCTAGTACTTTAAATAGTTCATCTTTAGATTGCATTGAGATTAAAACACTTTCTGCTGAAGTAACGCAACCACTATGGATAAATGATACATTCGCAGTTTGTAATTGTAGCAGCCAAAAAATACAGATGAATAAGCCTTGATATCGTACCTGCAAGCTAAGCAGTCATTCAGTGTTATTGTTGCTTTCTCTAACTTTTCTTCCTCGCCGTCTTGAGAAATTTCGTAAACAGCACCATCGCTGTCAACTTTGATCTCTGTCTATAAAAGTATTGTAAGTTAGATTTAGCATAAAACAAATTCAATTCAAATCTGCTTAAACTTACTGGTCCTTTATCTTCTGATTTCTGAATCTCAACAGGTTTAATACAAGCCTGCGAAGGAGCGATATAATCGTTTAAGTCGGTGAGTACAAGGGCAGAAGAAAACGCCATTGTAAATGTATGACTAATGTAAGTGAGTGTGGAGCAAAGAACAAAAAAGTTGATTTTGTTCGATTCAATCGTCCTTTCTAAAGAGATCCGAAAAGTAATTAAAAGACTTCTTAGCCAATCAAAATTAAAGCACTGTGTTTCTAAACAAAAAAAGAATGTTATCCCAAAACTTTCTTTTCAAAAATATCTGCTAAGCCTCTCCCCACTTACTGAAGTAAGAACTTAGGAACCCAACGTCTATGTTAGTTTTGGTTCGATTCTTAGCCACAAAAACTGAATATAAATGCAATAAGCAAAGCTGTATAGTAGACGGGCTCTTTCAGAGCAGCAATTTTGAAATTCCGCAGGATCATTCAGCAACATATGTTTTCAAAAAGCGCATCGTCCTTCTCCACCCCCTAAAAGCAGCAAAGCATGAAAACTGGCACCTAATTTTTTTGGATTGATATGCGGCAGTGGAAATGAATTATATTTTCTGCTCAAAAGGTCTTCTGTATCAAATGCCTGTGCTAACATTTATTATAAAAGCTGAAGCAGATAATGGGGAGTTCAGATGGTTTAGATAATGATTCCCGAGAATTTCTCTTTAAACATGCTTGACTTTTGTGATAATACCGACTCAAGATGAGAATAGCTAAAGCATCTTCTTAGTAATGATATCACAGTAATGCTTCTTCAGAGGTAATGCTTTTTGCTGTAAAACTGACTGACGTTTATGCTTCGATACACTAGTACTCTATATTGGTGGCATTCCTTCAATGCCATTAGCTAGTAAAATACTGCTTTGCTGAAACTTTATTCATATTTTCATTTAATGCTTACATGTGGCCCTATTCGCCAGAATTACTAAGTTGTCAATTCCAATAAAATTGTATCACCAGTTTCATAAAGAGAATCACCATCAAATTACCGTAAAATATTTGCATTGAGACGGCGTTAAATCATTGTATTTAGTTTGCACCATCTTTTCTACTGTTCTTATCAAAACGCGCGGATTTCGAAGTTTGTCATCAATTTTATATATGTATTTTTTATATTTTACTGTTATGTGTGAAGACTGAATATACAAATCAGTTTGCAAGGAGTAACTCACAAATGCGATCTATACATATTCTAATTGTAAAGACTCCATTTATTTATTTTGCAGTTAGTACTTGACGTATCGTATGTAAAATTACTTATATATAGTCTCTATAATGCATAACAATTTTATGTAATAATGATACAATTTCTGGCTTCTTGTACCAAAAGGCACTCGGCAGTTTTCATAATGCATTCATCATTTTCAGTTCGAAATTACGTTTCGAATTCGCATACATACTAAAATTATGCATTTTTGAAGAAACTGCTGATGTGATTGAGGAACACGATGCATATCGCCGTGACGAAGAGTAATAAGGAGAGGCTTTTTTTTTTTTTTTTGTTGTTCAAGAACTTTCTACAAAAGGATTAACTTTAGTCCATTCGATCTGATTAAAGTTGAGGGATTTAGGGTTTCATCATAGCATGCACACAATAGGAGCCCGTCTTACACATCCCCACAACGTAAGTTATACAGATATAAAAAACAAACTTTATATATTCAGAAATAGTCGATCTCTTTTTCTCTTTTCAGTACCGTGAAACCACATACCTAACCTGCAAATCATTACTCAAAATGGAACCATCATCGTTCTGTTATTTTAGCTTTCCTCGCTACTCTACTACTAAAAACCTATATACTACTGTAACTCTCGAAGGATCTAATGACAGCAATACCTTGTTTGATAAATCGAATAACTGTTATCTACCGTATCAGCAAGATGATTTTGGAATGCCTGGCGATACGACTTACAATTTAGTACCTACAACAAATAATGCCAGCCACTTAGTGAACGTAGACAATAAAGCTCAAATTTACAATGATCAAAGTGCATTATCTGAATCTAACTATGCCGTGCACACCGTAGAAGCCATAGATTCTCCTACATTTTTGCCAGATAGCGCGGCTTTAGACTATTACATTACACAGCAACAGCAGCACTACAAACCGATATTAGCATCTTCCTATTCCGAAACTAATAATTATAGTGATAGCATGTCTATTGGGGTTAAAGGTCTTGTCAAGTCGCATGTGCTTCCAATAAATTCCTTCCCTGACCATGATTCGCTGCAACACCAGTCAGCCTTTACAATACAGAAGCAACAAACTATTAATAATGCGGGGAAGAACCCCTCCTCATCTTGCCCACCTACTTATAAACAAAAAGCAACACCAGAATCAAGCTACGATAATCGCTCCAATAATACTAAATGCGGGAGGAAAAGGAAATTTAAGTCTTCCCTTACAGAAGCATCGTGCACTGCCAACAGCGGCGATCATTCAATATCATCAAATGTCAGCAGTAATAAGCCAATATTAGCCCATAACGATAAGACCAAGCAAGAACGTACTACTGACTCTCGTACCACTTCTTCCACTCATGACAATGTCACAATTTGCGCTAATTGTCTAACAAAAAATACGCCCTTGTGGCGAAGGGATCCACGGGGTCAGCCACTTTGTAATGCTTGTGGTTTATTTTTAAAATTACATGGTACAGAAAGGCCTATGAGTCTTAAGACGGATATTATCAAAAAGCGGAATAGAACAAACGGATACCAACAACAATGGAAGGGAGAAAATACTGTTATTGATCCTAATGCTTTCGTAAACTGTACTAGTACCCTCACAAGAACGCCGTCTGACAAGGCCATCGCTTTTGTCGCTACTAATACGTCTAACATACTAGTTTGTGACCTTCGATGTTGCAATCCAGCGTATTATTCTTATAACAGCAACGATAGCAAGAGACGGAAAAGCCTTCAGTTTGATACGGATTCAATCAGTTCATTGACCTCTATGACATCGTCTTCGTCGTCGTCAACATCGCCGATACCATTCATATCACCCTCATTGGCAGGAAACCCCCAAAAAGATATCACTCGCTCTTTTGTGAATTATTCCTTGCTGGAAAGCCTAGAGCAGAATATACCCTGCTATTACTATTATAATTCAATTGTGCATGATCCTCCCCGCAGCCAATATGTTCCCATCAGTCATACTTAAAGGAGAAGGAGAAGAAGTATCGCTACATCAAGGAACAGCAGCTGTCACTACTACCAGCCCCATAACTTTACTTTCTACAATTATAACGAACAGAGCGATGCTTAATAACTCCTCATTTTTGACTTTTTATAATGTATACATGTACATTCTGTTCTGCTCTTCATGTTTTAATTTTTTTTTCGAAAGAGAGAGAGAAAAAAAAAAAGAAAAAAAAATTTAACAAATATCAACAATACTTTTTCTTATTTCATAAGTTCGTTGCGAAACTTTAGTAGAAGATTGACTTTCTTGAAACATGCTCGTTTGCTTTTACAGAAGGACCTCAAGCTTTCTAATTTTTGCTGTTTTTCCATGACAGAGTATAACACAGCTCACCATTTATGTACCCCTCGTTAAGTACAGCGATCCTCACGGAAGAGGCATGTTATTCTTGTGTGCTATAGAATAACATAGAAACATGTTGATTTTAGAAATAGCCTGGCTGTAGTTCTTCCATCATCATATGTTACATACAATAAACCAGAAGGTGTGAGAATTGTGGAAGTTCTGCAACCTCTAGTTTGTGTAGATTTATACGCAGAACTGTTCTTAATATCAAAGATGGTTAAATTAAATGCAGGAACGACCAAAAAGGCCTTATATTATAGCACTCATAAAGGGTTGGGTAAGGAGAATGGAAAAAGAAAAAGGACTGTGAAGATGAGGTTCCTGCATTGACATACAACGGAAAAGATTCATGATATCTCAAGCGTTAGATAATCGTTATACTAATCAGATAGAAAAGGAGGAGTTGTTGGTTTAAGCTACTCACTGGTGTCGGATGCTACAAGGTATAACACCAAAGATAGAACATTGTAGCGAACGACGTGTATTATGCCTGACGAATTATTACGGGTAAGACAAGATCTGAATAAGCGCTTTATAATGATTACAAGCGTATGGATCGTTTGAAATTTATTTTATGTTATCAGCACTTATCCTTTTGCAGTCGGTCCAACGCTAAAGAGCGGCTAATATTAACTCAAAGGACGGGATATTTTTCCTGCAGTTTGATACCTTTAACAATTTCTATTCATTCAGTGTTGATTTCAATACGCTACTCGTTAAAACGCTTTTCAAAACCGTTCACAGAATGCTGTACAAAAGCATAGAAGATGAATGGAAGGTAATTAGGCCTTGCTTGTCCTCAAACTTACAACGTTTGACTTTGTTCTTCAACAATTGCCCAAAACTGCTCGATTGGGTTGAGCTCCAAAGAACAGGGTGGAAGGTAAAAAGGCTTATAGCTTCTCTTCTTTAGCAGTGTAAATAAACGCATTATCCACAACTGTAATGGCCCTTCATCTTGGAGAAACAGTCTATCTCATCGAAAGTTTTTCAAAATATATAACGCAATGGCCAGTAACAGTCCCATCAAGCGCAGACTATTTGTTACTAGATGGCGCTTTGCTTTTATGATATTAAAAATAATTGTAACGCGTTTGTACCTTCCACTTGAGGGTTTCAAAGCCACATGATGGATACAGCTAATTTTAGAAGAAATGGCACTCAGAGTCATGCGAAATACCGCTCTCGTAAAAGCGGTTACAATAGCTATATTGCTACTAAAGAACGATATTTACATTTTCTGAATTCATTGAATTCAACTAAATCTTTTACCAAACCAAGGAATAGACATGAAACATCCGCCTTTTTCTAATGGCGTTGAAACAACTGTAACATTGATACTTAACATTAGGACAGCCCTTGCTAGACTGGCTTTATGCGTCCACTACGATCACTACTTGATTGTCCCGTTTTTCTTAACCTAGTCTGCATTGTAATCCCTTATCCTTTTTTTTTCCCTAGTACCTTTTAGGGATTTTTGATTCCTGCACGTATTTTGACCTGCCCAGGGCAATTTTCTGATATGTAATTTATCTGTATGCCCATTGGGTTAAAGATTATTCAATAAAATCATGTTTAATCGTAACATTGATACTTTAAATGTCAAATCACACGAGGTAGAATGAATTTCATGGTATAATCCAACATAAGCAAATATTTACACTCTTTCGCTATTTATTATAGGATAACATATACATTTTCAATCAATAGATAAAAAAGACGTAAATGGAAGATACTACTAAGTAGTCTTAGGCTACAATTTAAGCAGTCTTGTTGCGAGGGGCACGAGGACCACGAGTGTTGTTGCGGGGAGCATTGTTTGCAACGGGAGCAGTAACGCTGACACCAGGAAGGTTATCAAAGTTGATAGCCTTAAGCAAAGCCTAAATAAACAGAATTCAGCGATTAGGTTCGCGTTGAAGTGTAAAAAGATCTTGACACCTTCAAAAAAATAGTAAAGAATTTTTTTGAAACGAAATGGCCATCGAAAGATCTTTTTCACTGACTACACACGAACTTTTTTAAGAGTTTCCCTTGCTACTTCTTTAAAACCGCAGATTATCTAATCCAAACCCTCAGGTAAAAAGAGCATTGATCCCCTTACAGATAGACTGATTTTGAACAGCATAGAACCTGGGCCTGAAGAAGTGAGGGAAACAAATAAAAAAATCCGGGCGATCCAAAAAACTACTCTTATTTGTTTCTTTTATATTTTCTTTCAAAGGTGCCGCAAATCTAGTGTCCCATTCATATTGAATTAAATAGCTTACCTCAGTTTCGGGATCAATTTCAATGTGAGTGGTATCCAAAGCAGAGAATTCGGGAACGTAGTTGTCACGACGTTCACGCTCCTCTTCTTGTAATTTGAAGGAGATACCACGAACAGGGCCGCGAGAGATACGCTTCATCAAGTGAGTGGTGAAACCAGCGATCTTGTTACGAAGACGCTTGGATTGAATGATGGAGACTTCATCAAGAATCTTCTTGTTGACTTGGAAATCAAGAGTGAGGCGAGGATAATACTTTTCGATAAGAACACGAGAAGCTTTCTTGACAGTCTTAGTTCTAACGCGACCCTACATTTCGAACGATATTTGATAATGGTCAAATTAATATACACCTTCATAATTCGAAAGATGACTCTGAATGATTTGTATTTATCCCAGTTTATTCAAAAGCACCATCTACAAACAAAGCTTCGTCCTCTGTGTACGGATGCTTAATAGATGGATGCTTTGGACTGAATGAATTATCTTACCATTTTTTTTTAATATTATATCTTAATAAAGAGGAGGATTTCAATGAGATGTAAGCTATAGCTCTTTTTTTTCAAAGGCTGAATTTCGAATTTTGCTCGAACAGTATAGCTGTCGGACCGCCAAAAGCAAAAGTTCTGGCTCGCAATGCAGCAGTATAAACAGCTTTCTCAATTTTTGGTGGAAAGTGCAAATTTAGCTCTTTTTGTAAGACCCAGCTCTACAACCTCCGTTTGAGATTGTTTTGCACGGGTTAAAATCAAACGAATCAAAAGGCGTGATAGGAAATAATAGCCATAAAGCAGCAGCTTTTACTGTTATTAAATTCTTTACAATGAATTTAAAGTCGAAAAGTGTATTTAGTTGTGTTTATTGATATTGATGTAATTCAATTTAATATGTCTAAATCTTTGAAAAGTATAGAATAAAGACGCTTCTCAGAAAAATGATGAATCATCATGAGAAGTTTTATAAATTATTGTTTGATTTACGCGCAAGTCAAACAATTTTAATTATAGCAGATATAGACAATGGTGATGGAAATATGGTACAAAAAAAAGAATATACAGAAGCGAAAAAAAAAGAGAATAATAAGAGCAGAGAAAATACATTAATGAACATGTAATTGGTAGTAAAGATGAGTCAATGATGGTATATGGTTCAAAGGAACAAGGGAAGAAGGTGCATTTGATTATTCTACATGGTCTTGAAAACTTCGGGATATGACATGTCACAAAGATGAGGGTTGCTAGCGCACCATAAAGGTTGTAATGCTTCGGCTTTAATGCCTCTCTTCAGCATACGATATCGCCAATCAAACAATCTGAAGCCAGCATCGCTTAAATCACGCTTCAACTTCCTGTCTTCATCACTATAACGACCAGACCATAAGACTTCCCCAGCAGCAGAAGCTCTAGGCCAGAGCCTCATATCCAAAGAGGCATCATCTGTTTGTTCAGCCCATAAAGCAACCTCACCTCCCAACACATTCTTGGCTTCCGAATCAGTAAGGTTGAAGGTCAAGTCATAACTATAGATACGTTGCCATGACTTGAAAGGGCTGCACCAATCACCTCCTCCACCACCAAAGTTTTGAGTCACAAATTGACCATCGGCATCAAGCCCTAACTCATCAAATAATTCAACGACCTTTTCAGGAGTCTCAGGCTTGATTTGTTCGTCATAACTGTCGTCGTTCGTTTCCCAGCCGCTATGTCCACAGTCAAGATACCAAAAATTGGCATCTGAAGCAATGACCTTATAACCTTGCTTGATAGCGGTACGTATAGGGTGTGTCCAAACTTGCAATACGACATCTTTGGAGATAGGCAGCTTATCGGTTGTGGCAGGATCTTCCCAAATGACCGTGGTTTTGTTAAGCTTGTTGATCATATCGATTTCTCTCTGAAGGAACGTGTTCAGAAGATCGGGTCCAGTAACATTGTTCTTTTGCATATAATCGCGAACAGAAGCGTCTTTTTCCCAGCAGTTGTAGACGGGTTCATCACCGCCGCCGTGATACCAACTATCGGGGAACATGGAGGCGACCTCATCAATTACTTTGTTCACGAGTTCATAAGTTTCATCTCTAACAGGGTTGAGTTGACCAGTACCGGGTTCAGCGGCATATCTTTTCTCCCATTCATTAGAAGGATCCATATAATGAATGCCATGACATGTACTTAAAAAAAGAACAAACAAAAAACAAACAACCAAGTCAGAAAAGAAGATCAATAAACATACTCATACACAATAAGGTAGCTGATGCTACTTACATAAGCTCTTTGTGTGAGAGAGCCCATGAACCTGTGTGGGCAGGCATATCAATTTCGGGAATAACACGAACGCCGCGTTTATAAGCATATGCAACAACCTTTTTTACATCTCTGGGAGAGTAAATCAATCTTCTTTGATGTAATCTATATGCACCTTCTTCAGCAAGTTCAGGAGTATTTTTGAGTTTCAATGGAAAACTTTGAGAATCAGTTAAATGCCAATGAAAGATCTGTTAAAAATAAGGAGAAGAGGGTAAGTGAGTGTTCGTTGAAAGTAGAAAAGCCGAAACTTGTTGTTTTCAAAACTTACATTCATCTTATTATAAGCTAAAGCATCAATTGTACGAAGAATATCCTTGACAGGAAAGTAGTTTCTAGCAGTATCTGTTACCGAGGAAAAGAACGTCAATTAAATTATTCTAAACTCGAGTAATACTATAAAAATTACCTAACATTAAACCTCGGTGAGGGAATAAAGGAGCATCTTCAATCTTTATAGGAGCATCAGGAATAATAAGACCATCAAAATCCTCATTATGATTATCTTCTTGTTCGTCTTCATCGTTGTCATCATAAATTAGATCACGGCCCTCTTCATCTTTTTTAGGTCGAGCTTGGATCAATTGAGAGAAAGTTTCAAGGCCACGAATAGCACCCCAAATAGTGTTGGCTTCAAGAGTAGCAGATTCTTTATTGACAGGAATATGGAGTTTGTAAGATTCATCAACACCGTACTCAAGAGGCTGATCCAGATCATCCACCTTAATTTCTAAGGACTCCAATGCAGTTGTAGATGTGGTTTTGTGATGGGTGCCATTGTTAGGAAAAGGCGCTTGCACCTGTACAGTGAAATGAACCATGTTCATTATTAACATAAGCAAAGTATTAATTGATATACATATTGTTTTGAAGAAGAAAAAAAAAAAAACGTACAGGAATCCATCTTTCTGAGGTAATGATTTGCGTATAACGATCAATAGCATCTTGAAGATAATCTGAGTCAGGACCATATATTTCAAAATCACTCTAATCGTAAGTGTAATATGTTAGATCAACAGTAATACAAAAAGATACTACGGATAAATACAATAGATTTATGAATACGAACATCAAGTAAAATATCTGTTTTTCCTGTCTTGAGTGTACGAGGAATAGGCCATAAGAAAGTTGTTGCAAGCGTAGGAGCAACTAGTGCTAATGCAGCAGTTAGAGACAAGATTTTCATTATTACAATGAAAAGAATGAGTAGATAAAACGCAAGGAAAGTTAATTAAAAAAGAAGGAAAGAAAGCCTTCAATTTATATAGTGCCATTTTTGGCCTAATTAACCAAAAAGGAAGTTGACGCATTGGGCAACAGCATATTAAGATACCGCTTTTGGGGGAGATAGTCCGTGTTTATTCTCAAAGCAGTAAAGCACCAGAACTGAGAGAATTTGAAATGCAAGAAGCTCGGAAAATAGTGCATGAGTCGCCATACGCATTGTCGAAGGAAAAGATATATAAAGAAAACAAAAGGGCCATAAAAATGCGTATGAAATGAGAATAACCGAGATAATATTATTAAAAAGAAAATATTGTGCTCTTCTTTTGATTAAACTAATTTTGAAAATTTTCTATGGAGTTAATGAAATATTTTGGTAGCTTATGCTGGAATGATACGCAAAAGGGATTATTTTAGGCATAAGTTTCTGTGAAAACGTGTAAAACAAAAAAATTCGAGCTGATGTTTCGGAGCCACTTTTTACCAGCAGCAGAATGTGGCGCAAGATCTGATCGCAAAATGGCTCAAAGAGCAATTATGATCAATACTTGTTGTCATGGTATTTGATAAATAAACCTTTATCTTCTATGCAAACGCGCTATTTTATTGTAATCAAGACGACAAATATTGACAATAACAAGGGTAAAGGCTTAAGAGCCTCATTACCGGAAAAAGACAGATATTCTTTTGGGTAACTTTGTTTCAGATACCCTTTTTTGGTCTGCTTTACTAAAGTTCGAGAAGCAACTTCTAAGAGTGTATTGTACATTTAGTTTACAACAATAAATGAATCACATTATTTACCATGCGATTTCATTTTTTTAATAGATACCGCAAGATGCATGATGCACTGGACAATGTTGCGCTCATCAGTTTTTCTGGTAAACCGAAAGAATTATCTGGATTTGCAACGTGCATGAGAATACGAAAAGAAATGTTCCGTTCCTTTTATGTTTGTTCACTTAGAATTATGAATGTTGGGCTAACATAATATATGGTGTATATCTATTATAGATTGGAATAATAAGCGTTTGTGTGTGGGGGGGGAGCGGACGGGGTGAGTAAGCGAGACCCTTCAAATTACTTTTTAAGGACCGTTTTGTCCAGGCTGCTGTCAGCTATAGTTTATTGATTAAGGGGGAATACGAGCATTGTACAGTTTATAGCAAAACGAAACTATTTCTCTATTTAACTTTCATTGTCTGTCTTTTGCCAGATCTTCGCAACTATTTGTTTCAAATATCTTACTGTTTATTACCGAGTTATCTTAGAAAAAAAAAGTTAAGGAAGCATATCATGAGGTCTAACTTCCAGAAAAAGAAGCAAATAAAAGTAGCCTCCATACAATTAAATGATATTGTCATGGACACTTTTATGTACTCCAATTGATTAAAGCCTTAATACGAGCCTCTATTATCATCGGTCTAAGTCAGCAATGATGGAGAAAGTGAAAGTATGCATTTACATTATACATTTAATTAAGCAGTATAAGCTACCTAAATTAAAATTCCATTGGAATCAATTTAAAATGTTTATCGTTTATGTTATTGTTATCACCATGTATGTTGTCCGTTCTCATGATTCATTACATATTATCTACAACTCCGTTGTGCCGTATTCTTTAAGATATTGCTTTTTTGCAAGTTGTTCACAACCGTAGAGTCTGTTGTTATACATGCTTTATCTTATTCTAAACATACTCACCAAAAGGAAACAATAATGGTGATTCGTCTCCTCTATCTTGCTCAAGTTCTTGATATGATTACAGTTGTTTTAAGAATTCATAAGTTATCAAACAAAGTCAATTTACATGAAGACAAAAAGGTTTGCTTCTACTTTAGTTACTTTTACCGTGAACCTAGTATTATTACAGAATTTAGAAAATTTTCAAAAAATGTTCGTTAGCTTTTTATAATGCTAATAAAGGAACTTTCCAACCAGCTCTTGATTATGCTTGATTAATAAGGTTTACTGATACTGAAGGTTGTTTTTCAAGTATTTAGATTAATAGTAATAGTTTAGCTTATTTGTAATTTTGTTTATAGTTGGGAGAATTGTAAACAAAGTAAATAGTATAGAGTAAACGGTTTATCAGATACTGCTGAATTATTTTGATAAGAAATTTCTTTACTTGAATGTGCTCAGTAATATCTTCTTATTTCATATTCCTTTCCATCATTTCCAACGATTGTTGTTCTTTGGATAGGTTTTCCTGTAATTATTCTATAAAGGTTCCATGAAATCACCGTGACCATGAGAACAAGGAATATTATTATAAGCACCAGTCCATAAGTAGGTATCATCGATTAAAAATTCTTGAACTGGAGGGAGTATGCAAATATTCTACTTGCAGAAAGAAATTTATTTCAAATCTCGCGAGTAACAGCGCTTGGGAAGATAGAAAGGGACATATATAAATGGAGGACAAAGGGTGTACTACCATTGATAGATATTCCTTTTCAAAATTTTTATATGATTTAAAGAATTTTAAATATGGTTATACAAATTGTTTGCGTCTTTTCAGATTTATTCAAATGTGGAAAGTTTTTCTTAATAAGTCTCACTTTGCGTTTTGGTAAGGAGCACTTTGTATTTCCTTACGTTGGTATTTGAGTGTATCAATCAATTCAATCTCTCGACTTTAATTGGATGTATCTAATTATGTACATTTATTCTTTGATTCAAATCACTTGTTCTCTAATTACATAGATGGAATTCTTTTTTATTTTTGCAGTTTCGGCTGATTCTAAAATCTTTCATATCTCAGCATGTTAGTTACAACCACAAAAGGTATGCATAGCATTGTCATTTAGCCTTCCATCGAACTTACCAACGCGTTTTTTGGGCAAAAGATCTATGACATTGGATCCAGGTACTCCGATTGATGCCGGTGCTGACAATGTTTTGGATCTTGTCTGCTAAAAGTTCTATTAATGGTAACAGATGGTGGCAACAATGTTTGATGCCCCGGAGAACTACCTACCTGCTATTCATACTGTCTCCACTCAGGCATACTCATTCGTCAAATAAATCCTTTTGGAAGAACTTCAACAAGACCCTAATTTTGATATTTCTCGCTACGTAATAAGGCCCTCTTTCCGAAGCCTGGCTTTCTATGACGGAGTATATTGGAGGAAAGGGTAAGAAGTGCAGCAACTATCGACAGACGCGCGCTGATCCACCGCCATTTACCTTCAAAGCAGTCAGCTTACCCGATAACCTATTAAATTTGGACAACAAACCCCTATCTACAAAGAGACAAAGTTGGCCGTTGCACATACTAGTAGTATTAAGATGCATTTCAGTAACTGCCTCCGAAAAGCTGTCAACGTTTTTACTGGAGGTCCGAGAAAAAAAACGCACTAGTTACGTGAACCATTGATGAAACACGGAAATTAGGCTGAGGAGTAGACCAATGAGGCAATATCAATAGATCAACCAACCAGCCATACAATTCAAGCTGGCTATCAGCTTACAACATGTTACGTTTAATGCACTCCAGCGCGCCCAGTTTCCTGATCTGGTTAATGCGAAAATGCCCTTGAACCCATCCTCACTTTGTACAACCCACGTTATGCCTTCTGTTCAAGCAGCATTTATTATGATTGTTGTCACGTTCTGACCTCTAAATCATAAAAACATTCTAAGAAACTGTCTGAACTCAGTTATAATACACTGAAGCAAATAAGATTTCAGGAACATTTCAATCTTACTGGCAATCTGGATATATTACAGTGGCGTTGTACAATTCTTTACAGGAACAATATTACGTTTAAAGAAATCTTTTATTACAATATTTAAAACCCAATGAGCACTAAAAATTGCCCAGGGCAGACCCTAAAGTTTCTATAGTATAGACTATGTATTGCTAAAAACCCCTTCGGGAACAAGGATAAAAAGGATTCAATCAGTGGTTGTTGTGTGTGAGGGCTGGGTCAACCATTGTAATAGGGCGTAGCCTAGTGAGGGGTCTGGTGGAGGTGGATTCAATCCATGAAACAAATGATCGAGTTCATAAAGAATGTGGCAAATGGCCGGCCAACGGACGGTCCATGATTGGCGAGTGACGGCTGATCGAGGGGGACGACTGGGAAGTTGATTCAAGAGATTAGACAATGGATCTAGAATTGATATTGTCATCATCAGACGTTGATGCATCTGTAAGCACTGTATGGCATGTTGTTTTGACATGATGGTGTGGGATGATGGAAGCAGAAATTGGAATGACCACCAGGTAGCCATCCAAGACGCCATCGGATGCAGCGGCTACGCTCTTCGCTAGTCATCGGAAGCCAGAGTATAGGGTCTAAGCTGATGGATGTCCGACACGCAGAGAGTAACTTTGAGTTCTGGTGTGGTTGTTGCAGTTCATGTAGGGTTTCTGTTCGAAACTCACGAATGCATTTCTTAAGGACTTTATGATCAATAGACTGTTGTTGTTGAACTCGGTTCCAAATAGGAGAGCGGCTTAGACGAAAATAGGTTGATTTGCTGGATGGACCTTGGATGTAGGGGTGCAGTAAGGTTAGTAGAGCATCGTTTGGTAAGTGGTGAGAACGAAGTATGTATTTAGCCTGGAGAATCGCACAGCGTTCTTTCATGGATGGTAGATCAGCCATGTGGAGCATTACTTTTACAGATGAATGGGACGAACCACCAAAGATCCTTCGAATACAGGTATTTTGGGCCTTCTCTAGTCTGAGGATGTTGGCGGAGGTGAAAGGACATATAGCTGCACCATACTCTAGTTGAGGCCGGATCATTTGAGCATAAAATCGAAGAGCCAAGAGTTTCTCAAAACCATGGTTGTTTAAGCCAATAGAGCTGAGGATATTCATCGTAGCCAATGCTTTCGTGGTATTGATACGGATTAGTTCGTTGGGATCCACATAGCCACCCGGGCGGAAAGGAACACCAAGGTAGGGAAATGAGTTGACTGACTTTAAGGGGGATTCATAAAGGCTATGGGTCATAGGGTCATTATGAGGATCGAGAATAACACATTTATCACGGTGCCAGCGGTAACCAAGGGCGTAACTGTGATTTTCACATTGGTGTAATAGATGTTGTAGATGGCGTCGGTTTGCAATCAGTACCACATCATCAGCGTATAACAGGCATTCAGCCGAGTGGCTAGTTCACAAGGAGGTAGATGATGTACAGGTTGATGTGAGCGTAGGATAGCTGGTAGCTCATTGATGTAGTATGAGTAGAGTAAAGGAGATAGGACGGAACCTTGCAGGACACCAGTTGTGGGGTGGAATCGGGCTGATTTGGCATTATGCAGGATGACTTCGATTTGTACCTCGTCAAAAGGTAGTGTAGCAGATGTTGAAGGGGGATTGGTATGTCAGAGGTACGTAGGCTATTCCAAATAACCTGGCGGTCTACAGTATCGTATGCCGATTTTATATCCAGGAATGCAAGCACTGGGGAAGTGTCATAGTGTCGTCGCAGAATGTTGCATATTTCAGCTAAGCAAAGGGCTTGATCCAGGGAGCTTCGAGCCAACCGAAAACCGCCTTGAGCCAGATCGATGGGTGGGCCAGACGTTAAGACAATATCTTTCAAACAGTGCTCGAGTATCTTACGGAAGGTAGAGGTGAGGCTGATTGGGCGATAATTAGCTGGATCAAGTGGATTTCCTTTTTTGTATATAGGGAGGGTTTGTGCTAGAGATCACCATATATTTGTATATAATAAACACTTAGCATAGCGTCTATAATATGAGTTATGATGTATCTGTAAATATGTAAATAGTGTGTCTTTCTATATAGTATACAGAATGATATCTTATATGTCTGTACATAATGCAGTTAGCACATTAAATGTAATCTTGTACATAGTTGTTATACAATTTAGGAAATTGTGTCAGTCAGGTGCACTTGTATATGAATAAGGAAATTCTATGTTATGTATGAATCTGGATTTCACAGCAGATAAACATTCAGTATAAATAGTTTTATTTTAATAAACATCTTTAAAAAAGTCTCAACGTATTTCATATACTTGTCTCTTTTTTTATTTATTTTAACTTACCTTAAAACGTCACACGAATTATTCTGTCACTTTACCATTAACTTCAACTCTTTACATAAATTGCAAAGCACATTGCCATAGACTCTAACCTAGATTATTATATCATATTCTAGCATTATATAGTTACTTTATTCTTATCCAATATTCATATAAATAACCCCCACTTTTATATAATAAAATATCTTATCGAATTATAACCCAATCGTATTGGTACAATTTGCACTTATCTCTTTTTAGCTATAGTTTATAACCTAGAATATTACACGTTTGAAAAAAAAAGACGTATTGTACAAGCAGAGTACAGATGTATTAACTATGGTATATGGGCTCAAAGTAAGATACTGTGGGGCGAACATAAGGCTTGTAGCGATCCCAGATGCTTGGACAATCTTGATCTTCCACTTTCAGAATCGATTTCGAAATTTGGTCCTATATATTTATAAACAACATGTAAGTACTTTGACCACGAACTAGCTTGAAGAAATCGTTACATATTTACCTTAAAGTTGCTGATGACCTCTAGAGCAATATCCATATGTGCATGAGTGTGATATGTAGTAGGAAGAGCGAATGGATTTTCCTCATGATATATGTATACACCGTTTTCAAGATCCATTTGCATTCTCAGTAATATGACCGTTGTACCTTTGTAAAACAAGTTTGCTAAGAAGCATATACAATACAGTATCTTCTATAACCTTACCTTGAACGAGAATGCCGAAAGTCACTGCTTCATACTCTTTTTTAGCATGGTAGAGGCGTAAATGCAGTTGACGCTTCATGACTTCAAGTACACGCATTTTGACTTCGTTTAATAGGGCTTCGGAAACACCAGACTTCTTCACTTCTCCACAGCCTACTTCCACAACCACATCTTGCTGTTGATAAAAAATGATATCAGGACGTAAACTCTCATTGTCATTAGCATCTTGTTGTTTGAAGATCCAAGAAGTGTTGTCAAACTCAATTTGGACTTGGTCGTGAGCAGAAAACAGTGGACACAAAAACGTAGAGACAGACAAGGCGACTTGGCTTAATTCCGATCCTTTGTCTTTCATTCTCGGTTTACCATGCAGCAAATAAGTGGAAGAGATGACATTGTCGAGAGCCATTTGATTCAAGGTTGTGTATGTATGTGATGGGATATACAGTGTGCCTCTTTGCATAGCTCGTTTAAAGGCATGAATATTTTTATAGACGTTCTCCGGCAAACGCTTAGTACCATTATCATCATCATCGTTTAACAAGAAAGGTTCATCAGTCTTAAAAATGGCAGAGGCATGCAAACGGGCGACACAGTCCGTAGGAAACAGTTGGTTTTCATCACATTTTTTCATAGCACTAGCTACCAAGGCAGCAAAGGGCGAATTGCGAATGGGAAGAGGAGTACATGGAATATCTTGAAGCTCACACATCTCGATTTTGCAAGTATAGCCAACCGGTGTGTTCATTAGATCAGATGGAAAGAACGACGATCGTGAAGAAGCGGTATCACTATTGTTATCATGTATGCCATAAAAGAAATATTAGCGGGAGAAGCTTCAATTAAATAGGCATTATACTTACACTATCAGTAATTATTTCAGAAGATACAAAAAGTTCGTTTATGGTATGTCTGCAATTTCTTTTTTTCCCGCGATGAGGTAGAGGATTGCTCAGATATTGATGTTGGGAATGTTCAGGTGTTCCTTCCCTAGAACGCTTTCTATACATCAGTGTCATGTCCCGACCACTGTCTACGTATCGAAACACGAGTGAGCATAAACGGCTGTCAACTTAGACTTCGATTAAGCAATTGTTCACAAGTCAAACTGGTATCAGATCCATAACAGTGTAAGAACACGCCTTCACTAATCTCTCATTAGATCCAATAGTACTCATTGGTTGTAACTACATCTTCCTAACATCCTCTATAAGCTCAGCTAACTCTCTGAAAAATATATAAAGTCTTCATGTTCTCAAAATTGAAATAAAAATTATCTGACTTTTTCGGTCTCGTTCTATCTTGGTCTATAAAAATACTTAAGAATATCTCAATCAGCATAATTATACGTCAAATCAGCTTTCAAAGATATAAATATATAGTCATTACTATTGGTTACCTGGCTGGATGAAATTTTGTCCTGCGTTATTGCACTCTGTTTATTATCCTATGCGACGTCAGTTATCAATCACAATGTGAATATCTATCCTGGAATTTAACTCACTTGGACAATATTCAGTTGCTCAATAGTATTATTTACAATGTAGTTATTGTAAATGTTTGATTGAGGACTACTGCTGCCACTTTTATGTGTATTTTGGATTATTTTTATCAGTTCTGCATCCTATTCGACAAAGTTATTATAAAAGGAGTTGTAACATTTCAAGTAATCGCAGTAAATTTACATTGTATTTTGTCTTTAAACTTGAAAACTTCGGGTTTTGCTGTTGTTGGTGCATTTTAACATCTTGGACGTAATCCAACAATATGGCACACACTAAAGCTAACGAATCTTTAGACCAGTTTCCATGTGTCATTTCTAAATAGTTTTCAAAGCTTATATCATTTTGACTTTCAAAGAACTCTGAAGTATTCGTTTGATAAAGATTTATTTAAAAAAGGAAGAAAAGTCAGAGAATCCAGGTTTCTCCAACAACTAAATCAAAATTAATCTTATAAGAATTAAATTACACCCCGGATGAGTCACACTTGTAAGATGCTTTAATAGCAGTAAAACACGCTTAATTGTTGTCAAATTGTTGTGAAAATCGTTCTGAGAAAAGTGTGTAAAATTGTTCATAAGCGCGTCCACCGCGCGTTTGCCGCAAATGCAGCGGACATTCCTACAGACACTTATACTTCATTGTTTCTTTGAGCTTTTAAGATGAATACCATTACTGATGATCAATCAAAAATCGCTTTGCATAGCCTACTCGAGACCATTGGATGGGAAAACTTGCAAGTGCAAGAGGATGCTACGTCTAGCGGACCTAACGAATTTGACGAATGCATGAAGCAACATGCCGAAAAAATCAAAAACAATTTGAAATTAATAGCTTGATGATAATTATGGTGATTTGCGATGAGTGCGTCGCAGAACCGACCGTGGCGCTTGAAAAATATCAATTTTTTCAGGCCGGTTATCGCCATGCCTATCAAGTGTACATTATATTTTATAGAAAGTTTCCCATAGAAAAATTGATGTTAAACAGCATTTTGATATATTGTAATACATTCTTCAGAAGTAGCAAGTAAAGCTAATAATGCTTGAGATCAACATCAATCATATGGTATGATACTTTAAAAATAATTTGAATAAATATTAACTGAAATAAGATACCAACTCTTGCATGTAATTGTATAATAGCAACTCTCGAAAATAATAAGGCATTTGGAGTTAATCATACAGAACAGGATGTCAATAATTCCCTCTGATAACCCTACGTGCGACTATCATCGCATACGACTTCTCATTCTATTTGTCTACTTTCTCTTTGGATCATTCAATTTCAATCCGTCGTATTATCCATCATAGATTTCATTATATCCCTTCTAACTTGTCGTCTTTCTCTGTATTCTTGTTGCCATTGCTCTACTTGAAGTTTGACGCTGGCTTTAGATGTTTGCTTCACCACTCTTCTTGTAAAATCTTGAAATCTCAGTTTTGGATACAAGTTGTGTGCCCAAACTGTATAATACGTGATCAACTTTTTCAAATCCTCGTCCTAGATACAGAAGTCATATAAACCAACGGAAGGAGTATAAGATGACTCAAGAAAGAAGTCAAAACTTTAGAGTTCCCTTTCCGAGCTATTTACCTCAAATCCTTTTCCCTTGAATCGCAAGTTTTGACTTTCACTCTTTAAATGAAGTAAACCTTCAGGGCTGAGCAATCTATATGTTATTGAAAAGCAAGATACTTAACTTATGAGTAAGCAGCACTTCCTGTCAAGTCAAAAAGGGGAGTAAGAACTATACAAATCAGCATCAAGTCTCTTTTTCCTTGCAGTTCTTTGTGTCAATTGCTCATCAGCATTTTCCAAATTGGAATCTCCTGGATCATTTTTATTGTTATTGTTGCTGGTATCAATGTCATAGTCATCAAGTAAGAGATCTCCAAACTCATCTGGCTCAGCCATTGAAGTGAAAGAAGGACGAGCTGGTGGAAATAGAGCAAGAAAAAGGAAGGAATAATAAGAATTTATTGTAATTTTCAGGTTCGCGTCAAACGCGTAGTTCAGTTCAACCGCCAATCAGAATTAGATAACCGTCTATTCAAAGCGGGCAAGGAGAGTAGCAGTTAGACGTAGGCAAATAGCCAAACTAACGCTTATGAACACAAAGAAGATAGACTTGTAATGGGCTTGCTTTTTACAACAATAAAATCATAAGAGTTATTCGGCTGCTTTTTTCTTTATCATTGAGACTTTGATAGCAGCATTTCCGTCTCAGAATAGCAAAAGTGAACCATGCATTTTACTTTGAAAAATCTCTGCTAACGAGGAAAAAGGAAATTCACGTCTCATTCTAGATTGATTGGTTTAGTATCTTTTCATGGCCTTACAGTTACAGTTTTAACACAAACATGTAAAAGCATCCATATCGCTAGTAATACCAAGATAACTAACATTAAGGCAGCGTATATCAACCCAATTTTTATAAAGTCAAGTAATGCACCTACGCCCGACTTTTTAGCAACATCGAACGAAAGTTAGTGAGTTTGACCCTACCAAAAAATGAAACATCTATCCTCTCTTGAACGTATAGTACCATTATAACAACTATTAAGGGTTCTAATATTTCTTCCATAAGATGAAGCCACCATTGCTGCGCGTGAGTTAAGAAAGTTGCGAACAAAAAAAAAAGCCAATCAACGATATAAGCTCTAAATTTCCTGATGAATATTATATAAATTCCGATCAAAAATGAACGCTCTGAATATAGCAAAATACTATAAAATTGGATGAAAACGCAAAAGCTATCATGGACAGTAGTTTTAACAGTATGATTATTATCTATTATAACTCAAAAATGGGCTCATTGTAGGAATAAGTATGCCGTGGTAGAATTTTTGGAAGAGGCAAAAGTCCACAGTTTTAAGCAACCTGGATTAAAGAGCTGCTCTTTAACGAAAACTGCAACACATTTGCAATCGAACCCACAAATATTACCAGAAACGTGCCCTGATAAAACCGTCTCAAATTAATTGCTTTACCATGACACATAATTTTCATAGAAGGTTAGACTCTCACAACACCAACCTCAGTTCAAGAATATTGGTCAAAGCAGAAGATTAAATATATGCTAGCAACAGTTAAAGATTACAATTGTGCGCATATTGAAATTATGCAGCTGTTTTTATTTCAAGATAAGGTGCAAAATCAGCTTCAGTAACAGGAATAGGTTCGTCCGCACTAGCAATATTGCACTGGTGGAATACTCGTTCATCAGTGTCTTTCAACGAGCCAACAACTGAATGTAACACACCACGGTTATGGAAGATGACAAAGTCGCCGTCTTGCCATTCATGAGCAAACACATTTTCGGGACTAATAGCCGGTCGTTGGAACTTGTACAATAATTCTCTCACTTTCTTTAAATCTCCTACAGGCTTGCCATCAATGATGAGATCTTCCACTGCAGCAGGATGAACTTGTAGATGAATTTTGTTCGTTACAGGATTTTTCCACAACTATTTTTATGGTAGACGATAGATATCTCAAGATAAGCGTTTTGTATATGGAGAGAAACGAAAAATATGAACTTACCATGGGATAAATTTTGATATCTTCTTCATTAATCTCTGGTAATTCGTCCTTCGAGAGTTCTTTACCTTCTGACACCATGCCTAAACCTGTTGAATGAGCCTTTGCCTTAGACATCCATAAATAAGGATGAGCAGCATATTTCACTTTAGTCTTGAAAGCTAGTTCTTTAAGTTCTTGAGGTAATATTTCAAAAGCTTTTTGACCGGAAATGACTAATACAAGTAATCAATCGCAATATTTTGTGATTAATCAACCATTTCTTATTCTGTATTAGTTCCTTTAGTAGTAAATACATAAAATAAAACTCACAAGCAGTTGTTCCCAATTGAACCTCTAACTGATCATCTGTGCCATCATCATAACGAACGATCTCACGTCTAGGCTCCTATATCCGTATGAACATTGACAACGAGATGTGGTTAGGCATTTTGCATATCTTTACCTTTGACCGCCCAAATTATACACTACAAGTTCAATTGAATCTCTAACTTACAGGATTTTTTATGCCGAATAATGTAGTTACTTTGGGTGGGTTCAACTTGTACAGTGCTGCGTCCATATGCCAACGATAGAATCTCGTTTGTCCAGCATCCATTTGCTCTTGAGTCAACACATCTTTATGGAAAACAAGATGACTAGGGTGCTTCAATACTTTTTCATCAACACCATAATGATTACGCACAACACCATTGCCTAGTAGCTGAACTTGAGGGCAAGTAGGTAAAGGTGAGATATCCCGAGCGATTACGGATTGTTTAGCGCGGTGCATCGATGCATGCCCGTATACGTCCAGATTATGAGGATCAAAACGCTTAGTTAATTCATATTGGGTCTCAGGTTTGACGTGGCCCTGATTACGAACGACGACAACCTGATGAGTATAAACTGCTTCAAATAACTTTTCAAAATCCTCGGCTATAGGATCAAGATAGCAAAATTGGATGTGTCAATTGCTGAGTGCGCAATATAATTTTTCACTCCTAATGGTTGTACTTTACGGGTAATCTTTTCGAGATCCAAGTCCTCAATGATGACACCGAAATCAACGCCTGTCTGTTGAGGAGGAGGTACAATTGGAGTAATAGTGAAGGTCATTGGTAATAAATGCACTGGATATAAATCAGTAGAGATATGTTGGAAGAAAAAAGAATAAAACCGGCAAAAATCAAAAGGAATAATGATGCTTTTATAAATATTTGTTTTGCATTGTTAACAGGCATTAATCGGAGTTGAGTCCATAAAACTACTATCTAACAAGTATAATTTGATAAGCAATGTTTTTTCATAAGTAAAAAATCAGCCTCATCACGAAAAGGAAAAGAAATAACGGCATCATATTTTCACACATAATCTTCATGGTAGCCAATGAAGTGTCTCCTATACTGTCTATGTATATTATACCTTCCTCAGTTCTTTACGAACTTAAATTAGACGCACAAACTGTTGGGAATTATAAAGGTTCACAGGACAAAGCTGACCTACATTCTTTTTATAGAATTGAATAATTTAGCTGATGAGTACATGCATAATGTTAGTCGCGATCATTCATGTGATTGTTTTAAAAATTACTGTATATCATTGCTATTATAAATAAAAAATAATATCTACGTACATCTTTGGCTACATCTACTCAAAGTTTTCCTAAGTCTAGACGGAAATATACCGATTGTAGGAAATTGTCAGATAAGAAGCATTGAAATAAGAGGTGCTTTCGTTACTTTTTTCTATCTGGGTACAACTTTAGTACTACTATGTTGTGTAACCGCCGTCCGTGGGGCCAATGGGTAAGAATGGAAACTAAACTTGCGAGTGACGCTTTTGTACGGTCGTAATATCATTGCAAGACGTGTAAACAAGGATTTTTATTAGACATTTTAAAGCCCAATGGACACGAGATATTAAAGCTTGTCTAACTTGCCCGGGGCAGCTCGATTGTTTGAGAATAGGGCGATGCATAGTGTCAGTCAGGGTGCCGTGGTGGGCGTAAAAGCATACTATCTAAATGGGGGGAGGGGGAAGGGGCTAAACTAATCATTATAATTGATAGGCTAAGACTTTGAGCGCGGTTCGGGATCTTGCTTAATTAAGCCTGGGCGGGCACCGCAATTATTCATAACTTGTTTAAACACCAACACCGACCGAGGACCACCTTGATAGCGGCATTAAAAAACCCTAGGAAGCAGAGAGAAAGGGATCAAAGCTGGAAAAAATATCAGCGGCGTACAGGAATCGAACCAGCAATCGTTGGTTTGGAAAGAGCACCACCGGGGGCTAGGCCCCAAGACTCTATTACGTTTAAAGAGATATTTTATTACAATTAAATTTTACCTAATGAGCACACAAATAAATACTTATCAAAATTGCCCGGGGAGGTTCAAGGAAAGTGTGAGGGAGTTAAAAAACCTTTAACGGGACAAAGGAAAAAGGGAAGATGATCAGAGGCAAACTAGGGAATAACGGAACGATCAAGGTGTCATTATCGAGGGCGCATACAGCCAATCCAAGAGTAGCTGTCATAGGTTTTCTGACGGTGTTTGAGGCTCTTTATTATGTTGGAGGTAGTCAACTTCAGATAGTATTAGCTGCAGAGTGGACCATCGAAGTGTCCAAGCGTGGCACCGTATTTTGTGTTGCCTTGAAGGACTGGTGGGTAACAAATTCAGCAAAAAAGAGATGGGGTCAGATATGGTGTGGGGAAGCTGTAAGCGGTTGTGTATCTTAAGGCAGTCAATGACGTGGGCTTTTGTAAGTGTACGTGTTGTATGGCCAAGACGCTATTAAGTATTTTCGCTTCAATTCAGACTCTTTGAAGAAAAATTCGGACTTTTTATTGGGAATATTTATACTGGTCATAGGATAAATTTTGGACTGATCAATTGTTAGATTGGGATGCTTTACGAAAGTGTCTCAGACCGATTTCTTTTGCATCCCAAGATGGTCGCAAACACTTTTTTCTTCCATAATCGATCCACCAACCATATCATAATGAAGCGACCAGGAGAATATAATGTGAAATCGCGTTTGCACTCACATCTTTGGGCCAAGTACTCATAGATTCTACAGTGCAACTTCAAGCCTACGTCAATAGATTGCGGGCAGGCTCTTCTATAGATACCGACGACCCAGATCAGGATTTAGAAACATCACTACTACGACGATTGGCCAACAGTGCCCTTTGGCCTCATTTGGCTTCAGCGTTTAGGCTTTATTCTAACAGCCGAATACAACAAGTAGCAGATATAGGGGTAGTTTCATCTGCTACCTGCAGATTTTGTAATCATGATATTGATATGTTCGAACATTTCATAACCAGTTGCCCTCTACGCTGGCAGATATGGCAAGAAGGCCTCGCGGCATATTTCCCGTCCTTCTGCTTTGATCCTTAAAGCATCTCTGCCGCTCTCAGATTACACACGCCACCATCACCACCTTCGTCTGAACAATCTTAATTTTTCACCGTCTGGTTCAGTATCCATTGGGCTATCTGGACGTCATTCTTTCGAATGATATTCCATGATATTCCTTTTCATCCCCCATCCGTCTCTAGTAAAGCACACAATTTAATTTCATTGAGTCTGTCTTCCTTGCAGCCCTTGCGGGAAGCGGCTGCCTTCGACTAATTACCCATGATAGAGCTTGTCTTTTCCTCTCCATGTCCCACGCCTCAGCGATGTGTGACTAATTTTATTTTTTCAAATAAAATAATCTCAAAAAAAAAAAAAAAAATAAATAAAAAAATACAAAAAAAAAGTTCTCCCTCGAGTGGAGACAGCTACATTCGAGAAAATTCAACGGGTCTACCAAGTCCTCCTCAAATAGCATTCGAAATAGTCATCATGTTTTTGGCGGCAATTTGGTTACAATTCCAAGAAATACCTAGTACATTTTGCTGTTAATCACAAAGCGCCACATCGAATGTGGTTGTCTCCCCTCGACGGGAGACTTAAAGATTCTACTGATAAATAAGTCTACATTTTATCAAAACTATATCCAAAAATATGGTACTCAAATTCCCAATTTTTCTATTCGTTTCATCTGAACATCAACTCAACGCTGTCCGAATCTGAACCGAAAAGACTGTAGTATTAAGTGACGAATGTGTACATACACAATCAAAGATAATCTTAAGCTATTTTTGGCTTTTTCTGTCTAATATGCGTTACGATTCTCTTCACATTATGCTATATGCACCTTGATTCCATCTATTTTGCAGAATAAACGCCAAATAAAAAGGAGCAGTGACTTACAGCTTGCTTGCTAAAATATCATAATCAAACACGATCAGGGCATCGATGGTATTGGCTGTTCCTCTCGATGGGACCGAGACCAATAGGCTTTGTCGAAAATTGTGACTATCAACAACGATTTCACCATTCATGCTCTATTGCTCAAATAACACGTTTTCCACAGTGATTTTCATTCTTATTCAACCTAACAAACAGTCGGTGAAAAATGGTAAGAGGCATTATAATTCACGATGGATTCTTCTATTCTCAAGGCAGTGTTGCTGTTAAACTAGAGGAAAAGAAAAAGCCAACAAAATTGCTAACCAAACATATTAATAGTCAGTCTTGTTAGAAACCTCCTTAGGCGACATCGTCATTGATCTGTTCACAGAGGAATGTCCCAAGACAACACTCAACTTTCTAAAACTCTGTAAAATAAAATATTACAATTTTGCACCCTTTTTTAACGTTCAAAAAGACTTTATGGCACAGACCGGTGATCCTACCGGTAAAGGCGATCAAGGTGAATCCATCTATGGCATTCTGAGCGGCGATCCTGCAAAGCGTTACTTTCCTGCAGAAGTCAATCCTAAACTAAAACACGATAAACGCGGTAGAGTGTCGATGGCCGTGGCTCAAGACGCAACAATCGAAAGTGGAGGTGTCAGTGGCAGTCAATTTTTCATAACATTAGGTGATGATTTGGACTATTTAGATGGTAAATATACATTATTTGGGGAGGTAGCCGAGGGTTTTGAAGTACTGGACAAGATCAATGACGCCTTTTGTGATGAAAAGGGGCGGCCATTCCGTGATATACGTATCAAGCATACAGTGATTTTAGACGACCCATTTCCTGATCCTGAAGGCTTGCAGGTTCCAGACGCATCACCGCTACCTACCAAAGAGCAACTGGAATCGATGAGGATTGCTGATGATGAGGCTATTGAAGATATGGGTGACCCAGAAGAACTAGAAGAGAAAGCTAGAGAGAAAGAAGCAAAAGCCCATGCGCTTACATTAGAAATGATCGGTGATTTACCATTTGCTGAAGTCAAACCGCCAGAAAACGTTCTATTTGTGTGTAAGTTGAACCCAGTGACGAGAGACGAAGATCTAGAAATGATTTTCTCTCGATTTGGACCTATACATAGTTGTGAGATCATACGTGATCGACAAACGGGCGACTCTTTGAGCTATGCTTTCATTGAATTCGAAAACAAAGAAGATGCGGAAGAGGTAAAATGCAATAAATAAATTAGGGAAACTTTATTTTTAACGTCCCTTTTTTTTTTTGTTCGTTCGGGCACCTTAGGCGTATTTCAAGATGCAATCTGTTTTAATTGATGATCGCCGTATTCATGTTGATTTCTCACAGTCTGTGTCAAAATTACATAAAGATTGGATCGCTAAACGTACAAGAGGAAATGCCGAGACAATGGGTGGATTTGAAAACTTGAAAAAGAGAACACGTTACAGAGAAGAAGAGGAACATACCCGTGGAGATGATTATGACTTGGTGTTTGACACAAGTAGAAATAAGGATACCAAAAGGTCAAAAACGTCCATTGATCATCGAGCTTATCGTAGTAGTAGAGGAGAAGATGATCGACGAAAGGAACGTAATAGTAATAGTAGCAGAATGGATGGCAGAGGAGACTATAACCGCCAACGGGATAGAGATTATAATAGTACTAAAGAACGTAGTATAGAGCGTAGTAGAGAACGTAGTAGGGATCGAAGAAGGGATTACCGAAGACGAGACGACGAACGCAGAAGATGATATTAAGGATGGCATGAATTTAATCATTTTTTTTTCTTCAATCAAAAATGAAAACTGTACATAGTATGATAATCCTGAAATAAATAATGGGCAAAAGAGCACTATCTGTTATAATTGAGTACGGTTCTTATTCTTCATCTGTGGTAAACAAAGCTCAGTATTGGCTATAATAGCTAGTCATGTTTTCTAAAGGCATATCTGAAGTCGAAGCTTCCCTTTTTAGTTCGTGAATTGTGTTTCGATTTTGGAAATAAGCGGTAACTGCATATACGATCTATTTATACAAACAGTATGCTTAGTAATCATTATAAGCTACAAAAATAGCTTGCATTTCACTTACACTCAATGAGATAGCCTTTATCATACTGCCCATCGTAAATATAAAGGATAGACTCATTTGCATATAGCAAATTTCGTCTATCAGTTCGAATGTCCGTTCAGTGCTTATAAGTCGCTGGTGGCAATTTCCAAAAATGGTAACAGAATTTACGAGAGCATCACTGAGAATGATAGTTTCATTAACTGCTGTTAGCCCACAAAAAATTAGACCTGGCCTCCAATACCAGTTAGCAACTGATAGCTTCCTCTGTGAGCCATATAATGAGTAAAAAGATTATATATTGTAGTGTATCAGTAAGTCAAATTCTGTGACACGATAATCAGGAACATAAACCTTCTCAAGTCGCTTTTTCTTACAGTTGTCAAAACAGTGATATCTCCTATTAAGCAAAGCATCAATAAACAACTCATTATTATCTGTATTACATTCTGCCATAAGAGTGCATCTTGCATTTGTGTGTCTCCATTACTAGAGGCAGTTGTGCTAGTTATAGCTATTGTTGCATAAATTGTCACATTCTGTAAGTACTTGATCTAGTTAGTTCTCTCACCGTGCACGGCCCTCCCCTTTTTTCTTACCTATAGCCTTGCTGGCGTTGTAAGCATTTTCGAACGTTTGAACCTATCAGACAATTCAAACATATTTGAGCCAAATCAAGAAGCATATACACTAATATATGTCGTATGTAACAAACTGCTGCTATGTACTATATATAGGATGTTCAGGCCTAGTACTATAATTTTGCACCATATCCTGAGATACAGAAATTTGTCTTTCCAAAGCTTTCCGGTTGATGAACTCGTGTTTGCTTGTATCGAAGACGGCATTTTTCCGATTACGTTAGAGGGAGAAAAAGTGAGAAACGGAAAATATGGTGAATGATAGGATTCATATCATGACCGAATTGGAAAATAAAAACTTAAAAATGTCGCAGGAGAATTTTGCTGTCAAAAGAAGAAAAAAGGGGGCAAAATCAAGCTAGTTGAGTAGTTGCGGGTACATTATTGACAAAAATGGTGCCATTATGATGATTAGACATTCTTAGGTATTCTGACTTAGTAAAACTCTTTGATAAGCTTCAACATTTCTTCGCATCGTAGACTTGTACTCTATCCCCGAGTTATCCGTTTGAATGTGATTGTGGAAAGATGAGAAAATTGGGGGTTTTCCCGCAATAAGAACTAACTTGCGGCAATAGAAAAAACAAAAGTAAATAAGCTTCGGATCAGCTTTGATCCATGGTAGTTTTGCATGTTGTAACGTATATTAAAGACATTTTGTAAGACATGGGAAAAAAGATAAAGGTGTAATCAGTAAGCTCAACCATTTGTCAAATTCATCTATATTCACAAGACAGATATAAGTGTCTGAACAGTCCTGCATCGTCTTAACATTGCTTCAGTTGCTATGTTGAGCATTATTTCAGGCTGCTATCAGAGTGGCGCTGTTAACAGAGGTTAGTTTCTTTAACAATTCCGTACCGTACAGAATAGCTAAATCTTTCAACTACGGCAGTCAATAAATGTTTAGAAGAATTGATCAGAATTAGATTTGAATGCTCTTGCTTTAATAAACCTCTGATCCCAAACCATGCGCTATTATTGACTGCAAAAATAGAAAGCTCGACCTTGTCCTTAAGCATTAAGTATGTTTCCTCATGCTTAAACTCTGCTACTTAGATTTAATCGCGCATAAACTTTAATGTAACAGTGTGTAGTTTCTCACTTTTGTTTTCGGTATCTACGTAGTTATTGCCTTCAGTGTTGACGTAGATTAGGTACGTGATTGAAACTAGCTTTTGCTATAACTCCTCAATCATGACAAATAACAGATTAGTGGAGAAAAAATTGCAACTGATTCTTCTCACTACTATCGTTAGTTATCCTGCATCATGTTACTGTCTTTATGCAAAAACCCAAAGTTAAACTAAAAGAGAGATAATACTGTTTATTTATAATGCGCGATTTTATACAATTATATATTCTTTTTTATTAGACTTGTATAACGTGTCATTGGTAAATTGAAAGCTGAAGGGCTGACATTATCCGTGTATGTGAGTGAGCGGGAGTAGCTGAAATTACTACGTTAACTTAAAGTTTGAAAGGGTAAAAAATGACAATGAAGAAACGTGTTTGACAAATGTTGTTTTGCTTTAAAATTATTGAATGATTTAAATTAGAAATTGAAACAGTGTGAGACAAAAAGCAGTGACAGGAATATCCAGAAACAAATAACCTTCCTTTGCTGATGGTTACGAGAAGAAGTTTAAAAAGGTGTAAGTGCTTGTGCTTGAAATAGGTAAGACTCTGGTTTACGATATCAGCAGACTGACATTTGTTGAATAGTTCATTGTAAAAAGTCGTCTGTTACTCGCAACCGCTGCTGCCTTGGAAGTAAACGCCACAGTAGGCCTTGGGAACCAGAAATGCTGGTACCTTTTCGTGTCTGAAACATAGTGAGGCTGTAGTACATTAAAGCGAGAGAAATTCTAATGAATTCAACAAATTTGGATAAATGTCAATGTGAATAGTTCTTACACAATCACTCGACTTATGCTTTGCTACAGAAAAGAATCAGTTTTCAATGGTTATAATATGAAAAAGTTCCGTTAGTGATGTGGCTATCAATATGTGATACAGTGAGAATTTACTTGAACCACAGAAAAAACAGACAGACATAATGTTGTATTGGAAAAGTCTAATCAGAGCGTACAACTCGACTATTAATAACGGCAGCTGTTAACTGTTTCGTAAGCGAAATAAATGAAGGTAACTGTACAGATGCGATAACTGATTCGGCTTATTTTATTATATTTTATTGGCCGTATATTAGGAGGAAAGAAGCAGAAAAAAAGGCACTCAAAAAGAAAAATGGACGACAACAAGCTTTATATTTGTAGCAGTTTTTCAAGCGGTCGGTGAAGAGAGTTTGGCTGTTCAGCGTTTAATGCAAAACAAACAAAAAGAAACTATCGCGGGCTTCGAGTATAAACTTATTTTAGAGCCCTTTCGGTATCACCACAGTAATTCGATCCGCCATCAGACCCCAACCTATTCTTTTATTCACAAAGACACCATACCATGTCGTTAAAATGATAAACCACATTACGCATCCAGAAAGAGAGAGATAAATGTCTGTTGACCCAAGAGAAGGCTTGATGATTTGATCCTTTGTTAAATTGTAATTTTTATCTTTTAAAACTTACATTTTTTCAACTCTTTGGAAGCGTTTGGTTTTCTACTAACATTAAAGAAATAAAGAAAGTTGACCAGCCAAAGTAATGGCAGGAAAGCAAATCCTCCGTAAAACATCTTTTTACAAATGTTGAGTTGTTCATCTTCACTCATTCGATCTGTACTAGGCATTACAACTTTTATAATAACTTTTAAAGAGAAAGGAGTTTAGAAATTTTTATTCTTTCGCTAATGCTAATAAAGTGAGGATTGACACGATTTGTGATTCTGTCAAGTAACTGCGTCAACCCTCCAAGTTTCTGCGGTTTTTCGATACTTTTATCAATGACTGGTGCCGTTCAACAGTTTGTCTCCTCTGAGTTTCTAGCAAAAAAAAAATACATTTTTCTGATTTTTGTTTCACTCAATGAAATGAAAGATCTTGGTGCAGTTAATGTTGAAGGATCCGATGGATCAGCAAAGAACTGCTTATTATGCAAACTGAAATTCTTTGAGAATTTGAGATCACTCAATAAGGAAGCCTCGAATAATAACAATGTAACAATACCAGTATCTTGTTCACGCCCCTTTCTTTTTTTTTTTTTTTGGAAAAGTAACATACAATTTTGCAGCTACCAACAATAGATATGTCAACTGCAGCGAGCAATAGCTACAATAACAAAATAACTGGCCAAGATTGCACGCCGTGCAAAATGACTGGAGGTATTATAGCTTTGAGTGCGGGCTACTTTTCAATAAGCAAAGCTGTACAACTACAAAAAGCGGTAACAAGTGGTCCACCAAGGAAGAAAGCAGTAGCATTAGGCGTAACAGGCATAGGTAAAAGGGATCAGGGAGCTTGTGCTTTGCAAAAGCCGGATGTAATCTTGACTTCTCACAAACTATATGTCTTCAACTCAATATACTACAGTTTGTGTTTCTGCTGGTTTATATCGTCTGCTTGTATAATACAGACAAATCGGTTAGGTATGGACAAAGTGACAGCTTTGTTGAGCAGCTTTGAAAAGAACCTTCCTTAGGATCTATTTGAATGATTGAGATACTATACCAGCAACTACGAACTGCATGTTTGTAACAAATTTACAAACATTATTAACCGAATTATCTCAAACAGACAGAATAAAAAAAGCAACCATTTATTTCTTTTATTCATACAAGACTTCAAAACGGATAACTTTTATCACTTATTCAAGCATTAAGAACTTCGACTTTGTCACCTTACTTTCTTCTTCTACTGTTTGCTGTTGTTCTGGTATTCTCAGAGCCTGTTGATTCAGCTACATTGTCGTCTTCCTCTTCTACCTCGACGCTTTCAGTATCATTATTTTCTTTCATTGAATCTTTCTGTTGTTCTTGTTCGAATAATTCGACTTCCTTCACCTTATCGTCAATTTCTTCCTTATTCTTCTTCTTATCTTTCTCCTTCTCATCTTCAGTAGTAAATGCGAAATATTCCTTCAGTTCACCACGAACAGCTGCTGTGATCAACGAGGACAGGATACAAGCAGGGCTCAAATACAGAAGAGCAGGTTGGGCAGCCTTATACACGTGCATGACAAACATAGTCAAAGCCAAGCCAAAGATATAAGCGGTCAGATTGGCAATGAAGTAAGGCTTGGGAAAGTTAGTTGTACGGAACGGACCCACAGGATTGCGCTTCCACGACATATGACGGTCAAAACGAAGACATAATGCGACAAAAATACCAGGAATTACAATATCGCCCAAACCTAGCATAGTAAATTTACTTTCTGCCAACAAACTGTGATTCTGAATGAAGTAGGTAACATATTCGATGATATTACGGGGCCAAAGAAGCTTGATAGGGGCGTCAAAGTTAGTAGCGACTGATACCATGACAGGGGTATAAAAGACCCAAAAGATATCGTAGACAAAGAGGCCGCTAAGCAAAATGATGCCTGTCTTGAAAGAATCTAACGAAAGAAGTTGGATGGCATTGATACTGAATGAAAGACCGAAAATATTGGATGCGATCCAATTTTTGGTATAGCTGTAATAGGCTGTTAAGCCAATAGATGCTAGCAAGAGGACACCATGAATCACGGTAAAACTGATATGAGAGATATCTAAAAGTATCGATTTACGTAAGCGAGCGATCATCATGTCAGTAATTTTGTTTGTGTTTTTGCGAGATGTTTAAGAAATTAGGATAGCCTCATCGCATCAAGTGGAGCGGCTTGTCCTTCCCTTCCTTTCCGCCCTCTCTTTCTTACTTACTTTTTGATTTCTTGGATAATGTAACCTTATACTTTGCGACATGCTTCAAAAGACACATGGGAAGAGTCTTTCTTGCCACCATCAAAAATGCCTTGGTTACAGCCGCACAGCCCATCACTGAGAAATAAATAGTCAAGATGTAATTTATATATTCCTTGTCCAAATAGCGAAACGCGAGGTACATGCTAAATAGAACAGCAGAACCAATGACAGGGAATAAGTAAGCATCTCCACTGGAAAGGCTTTCAAGCACAGTGTCGTCTTCATCGTCGGAATCATCCAAAGGATTGTCAGATGCAGGTTGTTTGGGTGCATTGGTAGGTCTCTTCATTCCCTTGACGGAAGCTAGTGATCCAGCGTAGATGGGTATCACAGCCATAGTTAAAACGGCACCATAGGCCATATATAGACCAAGTTCGTTGGTATCTGTTTCCATTTTGCAAGAAAAGGAAAGGAAAATAAAGACTTGGTGGTGAAGGGAAAGGGGAAAGGAAATGCAAGAAAAACTTGTTCAGGTTTAAATTGATGTAAGTTCTACTGAAAGTGTCGTGGATTGAAAATGTGGAGTGGTGGTAATTTGGAAATTAAGGAGAATACTTGCATTGTGGTCTAAGCGAAGCAGCAGCCATGCAAAAGTAGATCAATTTTGTGAGCACAGTTTAAGAGGGTAAACATCGATTTGTAAACATCATTCAAGATGACTCGCGTACGTCTTTCGTAAAAAGCAGTCTTCTCTCTATGCATAGCACGACTGTGTGTGTTTTCTATCTTGTGATTTGAACTAACACGACTTAACAATAAACGTATTCTATTCTGGAACGTAAACTGCTAATTATGATGATCAACAGTATGCCGTTAATTTTTTGATCTAGTAAATGATTATAGATCACATTTTGAGTATTCGACTCCATTTGACACTATATTGTACCACGTTGAAATAAAAGCAAGAACCTAAATAGCAGTTTTCTAATAGATGGATAAACGTATGCTTTCGCGTTGGAATCGAATCAGAATGTGATGACAGTGAGTTATCACCGGAAAATGAGATAGTTAATTCTGAGAACTGATCGTATTCTAATGCAGATTGATACAGAGCGTATTCGTCAATATGTCAATCACAGTATTATTGCTCGCTATGCAAAGCGCTCTATTTTGTCAATATAGATGGCATATTGCCTCACAGTTCTATCATTCATGGAGTTCAAGTTTGTACAAAGGAATCCTATTCGTTACGTATGCCTAAATCATTTGCTGTTTATTGAAAAGCTCGCGCACATGGCATATACTTGGCTTTTTTAAAACATTGGAGACAGTGAATGGCAGTCTTTCATTTTTCTCGTTTAATATGAATATCTCTTTATCTTTTGTGATCTCGCATGCCAGTACTCTATCGCCTAAATCAATGAAGCTCTTGTGTGTCAATGGTGTTGAAGTGTTTTTTCGTTGCTTTCTTTGACGGCCTTGTCGTGACTTTTCATTACTTTCGCTATTATTGTCATCCAGCCGTTGTGCCATCAGTTTAGCATTCTTCATAAATTCATCAATAACTATTTTTTCCTTGAAATAGGCATCCAATTGTCGTAAGTAGTCTAATACGATTCCGGTAATGATAATACCAGCTGCCAAACAAGATAACTTATGTCTCGTCCACAAGTAATACCATCCTTTGAAAAAAGGTGTTTTCCCGTCATTTTGTAAAATCGTATCGTACAAAGATCTAAGTTTAGGTGTTCGCAGGATATATCCAATCTGTTTGGTTATCTCGTATTCAGGAGATGGTCGATCTTCATGTGCTGTAGGGCTATATGACCAACCAACAAATAAAAGAGATAGAAAAAATTTAACTTTAGAACCTCACCACAGGTAGTGCTCTAAATTTTTCAGCTTTTGAGTTATGTAACGTACTGCATATGTAAAGTTAATTTTCTGTATGCTTTGCCTATATCGACTGCAGTTGCTGTGGGCTTTTAGGGAATGTAAATACACATACAACATTGTGGCTCATAGGACTTTATTGAACAATCATTACCTTTACATCCAACCAAGCATAAAAATCCGTTTGGTTTTTCTTGAACTGGGTTGCCAATTCAAATAGTTTGCACTCATCTATACGAAATGAACGAGAGATCAACTAGATCGATGAGCTTACGGTAACAAATATTTATGAGCAGTAAATATTTTTTCAAACATTACCTTCGCGCCAGCTCCAGGTTCGAGTGATGGGTATGATTATTAACTGAATTATCAGAATGAAGCCGACAACGCGAAAGATATCCTTAACTCTTGTACCCTGTAACACCATCATAGACCTTGCTTACATAAAGAAGGAAAGAAGTATAGAAGACGACGATCTTCAATTGGCATTTGTGAGCTGAGTTTCTTTTTATGAATATCATTATGCATCACGCCAAGCACCGAACGAGAATAAGATAGATAAATGCCTTCGGTCACAAATTTTTCAGCTTCGAAATCCATTGAGCATTAAAACTTGCCGGTGTCTGATCGATAGTGTATACAGGTAGCCGATAGATCTGCTTAAATTACTCTTAGGGCAATAATTATCGTAACCTTGATTGTTTAATCAATTAGGCATGGATATTAGACGAAAGGAGAGAAAAGACGCATTACCTTGAATCTGTTTCCAACAATTTGGCTAAACAAATTAACGTATCGGAAAGTATGGTCTCAAAGCTGGTAGAACTTCATTTCTGACCCAACCACAGGTTAGTAGTTATTTACTATTGCTGTATTTCTTTTTAAAAGATGTTATTGACATGAAATTTAAAATAGCGACTATTTCAAAATATCCAAAGTTGGCATAGATATTGTCTTTTTTTCTTTCTCTCACAAAACAGTTCTTTTCTTCATTTCAATGTCAACTTGGGAATCAAGATTGCCACCCGAAGAGGTGAAAGCCTATACAGAGTTTTTTAGGCTTGCTGCAAAAAGCCAACCAAATAGAGTTACTGGTCTCGAGGCAGTTCAATTTTTTGCTAAAAGTGGACTATCCAATGAACAATTATCAGAAGTAAGTAAAGAAAAAAAGATGAAAGAATAGTGCTTTTAAAACGTGTACAGTGAGAAGCTGACGGGCATCGGTTAGATATGGGAGAAAGCAGACAATGATAATGAAGGCTCTTTGTCACCCGAGAAATTTGCCATAGCCTTAAAATTGATTGCTTGTGCCCAACATAAGATCCAACCAACCGAGCCTGTAATAGCTGTAGGTGAGTTATATCTTTGGTAGAGAATCGACCTCTCATTAGAGTCTAAGTCAAAGTATCCTTATTGTGTTTGTTTGCTTTTTTTAGCTACGCCTTTACCAACCTTTGCTGGTATTGAAATGCCCAAAACAGCATCAAGTAGTCTAGGCAATCTACCAAGAGCAGCTATCAGACCTGAAGAAAAGAAAAAATACCAAGCAATTTACCAAAACCAACACCCTTCTATCAACGGTATTCCAGCTGAGCATTGTAAGGCTTTATTTGCAAAGTCTGGATTACCCAATGCCCAATTGAGTCAAATATGGTAACTTATTGTATTTGCTTTAATTTGTTTTCGTATGCGAGCGACTAAATTGAGGAATTTTAGGAACCTGGCGGATATTCGAAAATGTGGCTATTTGGATGAAACAGAGTTTGTCATTGCAATGCATTATATTGCCAAACTAATGGACAGGTCGATCAACAATTTACCGTCCATCCTACCACCGGATGTCTACTTGGCAGCTTCTACATCATCCGAAACACATATCTTGACGTCTTCACCTAAACCCATTGCATCAACCACATCACCTTTATTAAGGCAGCCAACCCTACACCAACAATATCAAACTCAACAGACTGATCCAACCGGTAATAGATCATTGTCTGGCGCTATGCAGGCCTTGGATATGTCTAATTCTCCTACCAGCTGGGCCGTAACAACCAATGAAAAAGCACAATATGATTCGTTTTTCAATAAATTGGATAAACAACATACGGGCCTTTTGAAAGGTTCAGACGCTGTTGATTTTTTCAAAAACTCTAAGTTACCGGAAGCAGAATTAGCCAAAATTTGGGATTTAGCTGATATTGGTAGTAAAGGATCATTAGACATGAACGAATTTGCGGTTGCAATGCATTTAATTCATAAAAGATTATCGGGTGAACCTTTACCGGTTGTGCTACCTAAATCCTTAATCCCACCATCAAAAACTACCGTTTTACAAAACAATTTGGCTGCATCAACGATAATGTCATCTCCATCACAACAATATCAGATGAACAATTTTATGTCATCTCCATTGAATAATATAGCAACATGCGATATTGTACAAACATCACCACAACAGCGGCAAGAACCTTCAGCCATGACTACTTCCCAAGGTAAGCCTTCGCCTGTGCACATATAAATATATCTATATAACTCCTCGCGTCTAACAACGATTTCATATCATTAGTTTCTGCTGAGAATGATTTACTAGGCGATTTCGGCAACGACGACCAGATCGCCGAAGAAACAAAAAATGTCAACCTAATTCAAAATCAAATTACATCTATGAAACGATCTACTGTGGATCTAAAAGCGCAATATAAGCATGCGAAGGAATCGCTTCAATCATTACAACAAAATCAAGCAGGCATAAAGGATCAACTCGCTTCTGTCCAACAGCAAACAAAGGAGTCTGAGGATGCCCTCCAAGCGCTAAAAGCGCAAGTGGAAGAAGAACAGCCCACTTGGATCACCATCCAAACGGAACTTACAGCAGCCGAAACAGAATTACAGCAGGCACAAGATCAGTTAGCTCAGCTTAAACAAGAATATAAAGAGGGTCAAGAGGAAAACGAAAAACTAAGACGAAGTGTGCATAATATTCAAATGGAAACAATGCGCTTAGTAAAAGAATTGGATGAACTACATGCTTTAAATAAACAGAGGCAAGAAAAAGCTGCTGCTCGTCGTAAGGCGAAAGAAGAAAAGGAGAGGATGGCAAGATTGAAGCAACAGCAGGAAGAAGAAGAGCGACGCAAACAATTAGAGGAAGAAGAGCGACGCAAACAGTTGGAAGAAGAAGAAGAGCGACGCAAACAGTTGGAAGAAGAAGAAGAGCGACGCAAACAGTTAGAGGAAGAAGAGCGACGCAAACAGTTGGAAGAAGAAGAAGAGCGACGCAAACAGTTAGAGGAAGAAGAGCGACGCAAACAGTTGGAAGAAGAAGAAGAGCGACGCAAACAGTTAGAGGAAGAAGAGCGACGCAAACAGTTAGAGGAAGAAGAGCGACGCAAACAGTTAGAAGAAGAAGAAGATCGACGCAAACAGTTAGAGGAAGAAGAGCGACGTAAACAGCAGGAAGAAGAAGAGCGACGCAAACAGTTAGAGGAAGAAGAGCGACGCAAACAGTTAGAAGAAGAAGAAGATCGACGCAAACAGTTAGAGGAAGAAGAGCGACGCAAACAGTTAGAAGAAGAAGAAGATCGACGCAAACAGTTAGAGGAAGAAGAGCGACGTAAACAGCAGGAAGAAGAAGAGCGACGCAAACAGTTAGAAGAAGAAGAAAGGGAACGTCAGAGATTGGAAAATGAGGAAGCTGCCAGGCAAGCAGAAGAAGCTCGACAAGCAGAAGAAGCCAGACAGGTTGAAAAAGCTAGAAAGGTAGAAGAGGTCAAATCACCCGTAACATCTCTCTTAAGCAAAGATACTACCAACGCAGATTATATTCAAGCAAAAGAACGTTCCATTGAAGATGTCCCAAAAAATATGCATACGGGAATGGACTCAATGACTGGGGATATTGACAACGGACAAGTCACACCTGAACATCTAGCTCAAGCCCAGAATGCTGGAGTTCAGAGCAAGGACACTCGTGATATTAATACTGAAGCAAATAAAAATGCAGAAATTATAGTCAACGATGAATTGGAAAAACTAGGTACACCTTCAAATGATGTACACCCTAATGACGTAGCTGCACTCAGCGCTGTTCTCGGGCCTAATAGTATTTTAAATGTTATAACCGATATTGATAACCAAGGGAAAGTTGATAAAAGTCTAAATGTTAAAAATGGAAATGAAGATATTTTCGACACGCAACTAGAAAAAGAAGAAGAAACCGATATGAAAGTAAGACTTTTCCATCGTGCTCAACATATGGAATTTAAAAACTTTAACTTTCTTCGTTTTTAGGAGATTCCAGGCGTTATTGAGAAGAAAGAAGAGGTTACACAACCAGAAGAGCAGACTCCTTTAACTGAATCAAACAATTTGGGTGTTTCTGACGTTGCTGACCTCGCTTTAATGAAAAGGTTAAGTCAAGAGGAGTTTACGGACGCAACGGAAAGCACAGAAGATTTCTTTGATGCGGTCTCAACACCTATTTTGCGCAGCGGTAGTCCTGTCAACAAGAATAATGCAGTAGAGTTTCAAGGGGGGCTAGCGAGGAAGCTGTTACTCACCGTGCACCTTTCTCTTCTTTCACGGATGAGCATGAGTTCATCCTCATCGATCATCCTAGTACAACTACTTCAACTTCCATTATTGAACCCGAGCAATTATCTGAAACAGGAAGCAATGTATCTCCTGAAGAATCGATGAAGGATATATCTGGTTCTGCAGCCGCGCATGCTCAACAAAACGCTCCCTTAATTAAAAATGAACAAATAAATGAGATATTTAATCCCGTCGACCGTAACCAATTCATTACGGATAATAGCGCACAAGATACTCCTTTTGCATCTGAATTCCATGCCAATGCTGTAGATAACAAGCAACTGCAACAGCAGCGTCAACAACCAAATCAGAACGAAGAAGATGAGCCAGTTATGGTTCGTTATGTAACTGACCCAGAAGACTCAGATCCCTTTGCCATAAAGAGCAATCTTGATCAACCAGCCGCTACACGTCGCCCTCCTCCTCCTCCACCACCGCAATCTAGAAAGGGTAAACCCTCAACTGCTACTGTTACTACTACTACAGAGGATAACACAACCGGAGCAAATTTCAACGATATGCATGTATCTAATTCACAATCAACAGGTATGATGGATCAACATGACATCTCGAACGATTTCAATGCTGCTTTTGGTATACCGACCGCTACGCATCCATCAAATCAAGCGTCCATCAACAATAGTAACTATGAAAGCTTTGATAACGACGAATTTGACAGGTTTTTCTCTGACCCCAAATTTACGTTAACAAATGAGGGAGCAGCCACAACCACTACTGTTGATGATAGTGTTTTCGATTCTGCTTTCGCGCCAAAAGATGGCTCATCAAACACAGTACCTGTTGCGAGGGAGATTGCCAGTGAGGCTGGTACTGATGCCTTCAATGGTGCATTTATATCGCCTCCATCATTGACTGAAAAGCACGCTGTTGAGCATCCAACAGGAGTAGCACAGCCTGGGTTTGAGGATTCATTTGATTCGACTGTTAATCAAGCTGTGAATATTGGATCAGGAGACAATAAAATGATGACAGATGGGAAGGATGAAAATCAAAGAGTAAGGAATGGATCACCATCTGCTGTTGCCGCTGATGAAACTATGACTACTAATGTTGCTGATGGTCATGCTGAAAGTGATGCGTTCGCTAGTAATAGAGGGGTTGCTGAAAGTTTACATCAGAATCCAATTAGCGAGGAGACTGCTACTGCTGCTGCTTCGGATGCAGAGAAGAACAATGACAGGATGAATGTAGCGAAAACAGCTAATGATGATAAGTCCAAGAAAAAGAAAAAGGGTATTGTCAAGTGGGCAAAGAGCTTTGGCGGGTTTGACTTTTCTGGCCTGGATTCTGATAAGAAGAAGAAGAAATCAGATAAGAAAGAGTCGGCTAGTAAAAAAGCTACTGGTAAGGGAAAAGCAGTAGCAACAACAAATCTCTCAGCATCGACAGGAACTGTAGCAACAACTCCAACATCATCTATCAGCTCAACAGCACAACATCAAAACCGGTTTGAGGATAGTATGCAACAAACGAACCCGCAACAAACGGAGACGGTAAACGAAGCATATACAAGGATGAATAGCCTGCATGATTTCACCGGTCAAACAATCCAAGAAAGTTATATCGCTGAATTGGTCAGTATGGGATTTGATGCGGCGGCTGCTAAAGATGCTTTGAATCGTTATGATCAAGACCTTGAAAAGGCTACGAATTTCTTGCTGGATCAAGCATAGTGCCATTGTCAAAAGAGCAGGGGAAAAAAATCCATACAATACACATATTTTACTATTATCCGTACCATCATTGGCACTATAATCTTTTAACTTACTACAATATAAAGTATTCCTATACTACTCTATTTCTATTAATAAATAATATTCTAGATTAGAAATTGAACCTTTTTTATAATTTTTTTTTTCGGCTACAATGGGTAGCATGGAAGTCAGGTCGCTAAAATTTAACAGATTTGGCATTAAACTGGTTTTAGCGTATCACATTGTGAAACTGAAAGGGGTTTGGATTTGACAAAGAACTTTTCATACGCATGTTACATTTGACCAGAAAATAAAGTCAAGAAATATAGAATTTTCAATGAAAGAAAGGGATGGGCAAGGGATGTTATGGTCAAATTACTATAAATGTGCAGGATGCCCTCACTGGTAGGTCCAAGCGTTCACGAGCTAGGACACGCTGTCAAAAATAGATTGCTTATATCAAGATGTAAAAAGTAGGGAGCCAGCAAAGACTGGTGTCTCTTCTTTCTCGATATTCTCAACCCATAACACGCACGTACGCACGCTCACAGAATACAAAAGAAAGGTACCACTTTACTACCTCGCTCCCCTTATTCTTCCCTATCTGTTTGCGTTTTATAAACTTTAATCAAATTTGAACAAGAACTTGCCTTTTTTTACTTATATTGTTCGGACCTAACGCTTATACTATATATATGTACATGAATAAACATTGAAGTCTTTCTTTCTCTTCTCTTTTTCTTCAAACTTTCAATTTTTTGTTTTCTTTATTAAAGCTTTTAGTGTAACTTACTGGAAAAGAAAAAATGGAAGCAAACGTTTCGCAACAAGCTTATACATCTATGATGAAGTTCACTATAGATGGACGTCCATTTGTTAAGGTCTTTTTATCATGCATTGATCAATGCAATAAAACTTTGTTAAAATATATAGAAAAAAAAAGAAATATATATTTTGTATAAAGTAAAAAACTCGATCAAAAACAATTAACCTTCCTTTCATTCTATATATAGGATATTCATGATTTATTTGCTGCGCTTATCGTGCAAATTCCATTGGACACACATCGTTATTTATTCAGGAATTACTATAGCACGTTCAGCTCTGAAGATGCCTACCAAGGGTTAGGCAATCTACGCTTTTCTCATACAGTACGTACACCCGATCCAAATGACCCCAGTCGTCAACAACGAACAACAACAACTACAACTTTCAATATGAGCAGAGAAATGGCCAAATCGCTTTGCCAGCAATTTCAAAATTGTCGACTTTTGGAAAATGCCGTGGATCCTCAAAGCAGAAACTTCCGTGATAAGGGCATATGGCACCTTACACCAAAAGGTCTGTGTGTATTGCAAGATTTCTGTATCAGGACCGAAGTAGATCTCAGCTCACTTCGCAAGCATTTCAGCCATATGGAAGCCATCCATCTTGTGCGCTTGGACCGCAACCCTGACGACGATCAACTTATACTCAACCGTGCCATCACCTCCCTTATCTTCCGCATCATGATGTCTTCTCTTCCTGTCGACGGTGAGCTTACAAGCTCCAGTGGTAGTGCGAGCTCTGTTTCTGTATCCAGTAGGCAAAGTATACAAGCCGGCAGCACACCTCCTTCCTCTACCACTTCGTCTGTCTCATCCGCTACATCTTCGTCCACGCATTCATTAAGCGCACCTTTCGCCATGTCGTCTGCAGCCGTGAGCAATGATTCTCGGGTCCACATGCTTGGCAATTACCTCCTTACGCTTTCAAAATCGGGTCGTACAAATCAAGTGAGAAGCTTAAGGACAATGCGGACCGTTTTTTCCTCGCAAATGTGTTGCGATTGGTTGGTCGATTACAGCACAGTATGTTGTCGCGAAGAAGCAGAAGTGATTGCTCAAGAATTTATCAAGCACAATTGGCTCGAATACCAAGACCACAAGCATCACACGGTTCCATTAAAGTCTTCGAAAGTGGCGATGCTCATCGTTACCGAGAAAGGAAAGCAAATCATCGCTGAACCTGCTAAACAACCGATATCACCCTCTTTTGGTCCGCAAATAACAAGCACCATTTCTTTGTCAGATCGATCGAGATCATCCGGTGTTTCTGCTCATATGACAACAACGATGACAACGGCAAGGTCACGTAGTAACACAATTACAGAAGAAGAAGAATTAGGAGGGGCCGAAATGGGAGGGAGAGGTACTGGAGGAGGAGGTGCTGGAGGAGGTGGAGGAGGAGAGGATAAGGCCACATTGCAAGAAATCTTATCTCAAGACCCTGACTCCCTATTAATTACTCAATCCACTACCACCATTGAAGATGAAGATGCCTCCTCTCATAACAATACCCTTCATGAGGACAACAAACAGCAACAGAAACCTTCCTCTCGGCCATCTAGTATTGCCATGGACCACAATCAAGACACCAAAGAAAGTAATTCTGCAAGGCTGACCATCATTTTGGAAAATGCCAAACTACGTTCCCCCTTCAAAGACTTTTTACGAGCCAACTTTTGTGAAGAGAATCTTGATTTTTGGATCGACTATAATACATTGAGAAGGAAATGCCGCAATCAAAGTCCAGCACTACCTTCCCATAACCAGAAGGAGTTACTGGAAGACGCTTATGATATATGGTCTACTTATTTGGCTCCTGGTTCGGCATGCGAGCTGAACGTCGAACATTCTCTGTGTCAAGAAATGGCAAGAATTGTGAATTCTGTAGTTACTGTAATTCCTGCCTATCAAGGACAGGGAAAGCCTACCATTGTCATTACGGCTTCTTCTGTGTCTCAAAGTCTTCGAATGATGCTCAAGTTGTTTGATAGAGTCAATGATCATATCTGTCGATTGATGGCTTCTGATTCTGTTCCCAAGTTTGTAAAGACGGAAAAATACCGCAGGATTATTGATTCTATTGAAAGGAACGAACGTAAGAAGCAAAAGGAAATGGAAGACTTGACTGATTCTTTACGGAAATTAGATTCTAGCAGCACTAATGAACTCTTCAAAACGACCAACGTCGAAACACAAGCCTAAAAAAAAAGTTTATGTATAAGCCCTTTCTTTCATCCTATACTTGTACTACTTCCTTACATACATAATTGGCATATACGTATATATGTGTATAAATACATCCTATTTTAAAACCTCTCTCTCTCTCACACACACAGACAATCCTTTTTACACATATAAATCAGCTGTAGTTTAATTATGGAAGATCTCAGAAACAATCGCGAATCAATAAAATAAGTTGGCCATCAAAGTATTTTGGTGACAGTTGGAAGGGTAACATAGAATGCTCTTTACCTGCCTATTTCTTCTTTTCTTTTTAAAAGTCCTCTTTTCTAGGGTTCCTTTTCATTCAAAGCCATGCATTCTATTCTACGTTTCAAACAAGATATTTTGTTAAAACCCAATGGGCACGAGGTATTTAAGCTTGTCTAAATTGCCCAGGGCAGATCCAAATGATTTACAGAGCTAAAAATCCCTTTGGGTTTAAGGGTAAAGAGAAAGGAGAGCTATAGAGATAAAATTGAGCAAGCAGGTAATCAATCAATAAACTGTCAAGCAAGAAGCGGCGGAGGAAGGGGGTTCTTGGTTATATTGGAGGTAATCGATTCAAATAAGGTGTGGCATAGAGCGGGGCTAGGGTAATACCCTATTTGGGCTCGTTGAGGGGATTTAAAGATATGTGGGGAGGCGGTTGGGTCGATTATGGTCAGATACAGAAGACGAGAGATAAAGACGACGATGCTTATCAAGACATGATATAGTATGTGACTTAGTGATAATTGTTGCTGAGTGTCGCCGACAATTTGATGCTCACCGGAAGCTATCCCAAATGCCATCGGATGCATTGGTTACCTTTGGCTTACTCACTGGTAGTCTCATGATAGGGCTCAGTTGAAAGAGTGGGACGGCATTGGGAGATAAGTTTTGATTTGACGTGGTTGCTTTGTTAGAGATGAAGAAGTTGTGTACGGTATTCGGTGATGCAGTACTGAGGTTGGTTTGGGTTATCGGTCGTAGGTAAATCTATTTATGATTGCCAGATTGAAGAGAGGGCGATCTGGGTGTACACAGACTTAATAGACATTTGGAAGGTATGGAAGAAGCACTTTTAATAGGGTGTCAGTAAGTAGAGTCCAAGCTTGAAAAGAGAGTCTTAGCTTGTAAAATGTAACTACACTCCCTCCTGGATGGTAGATTAGCCAAATGTAGGCATAATTTTTGCCCAAAGCGAGTATAACCATCAAAGAATTTGCGTAAGCATTTGTTTTGGGCGCCTTTCAATTGCTTGAATTATTTCTTATTTAATTTGACGAAGGCTAGTCCGTACTCCATCTTGTGCAGATCATGCATCCTTTCTACGTTTAAACAAGGATTTCATTACAAATTTGAATTTTTAAATTTTTTTAAAGCCCAATGAACGCGATATGTTTAACGTGTATAAATTGCCCAGGGCAGATCCAAAGGCTATACAGTATCTAAAAAACCCCTTTAGGCTGGAATGTAAAAAGGATTATGATCTACTAGAAGGTGGTAATGTATTTCTATGCTTAAACAGAGATTTATAACAAAAAAGATTTACATTTTTAAAAGTCCTGTGGGACACGAGATGTAAAATTAATCTAAATTGCCCAAGGCAGATAGGAAGAAGTGTGCTCTTGCCAGATTGGAGAGCGAGCAAGTTTGTAATAGAACGGGTTACTCTGTTGCTTGACATAAATATAGTAATAGTACTGAGATCAAGGTACCAATAGGCAGTGAGGTAGAGCAAAATAGGAACTTAGCTTGTAGGATGAAGGAGCGCTCTTGCATGGTACGCAAATTGGCAAGTTAGAGCATAAGACAAGCAGACAATCTACTGGATCCACCAAAGATTTTGCGAATAAACTTGTTCTGGGTATCTTCAAATTGTTTGTATTGCTTCGCGATTAGAGTGGTAATGGCCAGGCCATATTCCATTTTTGCTCGGACCAATTGAACATAGAACCGTAGGGAGAGCAGTTTTTCGAATCCACTTTTTGGCTTCTTTTAAAGGAAAGATGGCATTCTTCAGTTAATGTGCGTATTATAAGCCTCAATTTCTGAATAACATTCCAGTAATTTAATGCTTGCCCGAGCAATACAAGGCATGGATTTACATTCAAAAGCTTTTTCAATTATGTTCAAAGTCATTCCGTTTCTTAGCTGGCATCTCACTGAGTGGTAATATGGTACCGGCACCTTTCTCTATATTCTTTCCTTACAGCGTACGCCGTGCTATGAAAAGACAACAGACCTTTCTGGTTTTCGCTACATAAGAATCCTATCTCCTAAGGCAGATATAGGAAGCACTTAATTTGTTCAAGCTCATACCTCGTGTAGATTTTGCTCAAGATGTTGTTATCTTTGAGCACAAGCATTGATGAGGCAGCGTCTTCGTCTTGTCTGATTTTTCGTTAACTAGAGATCAACGCCGTCTAGCGCCGTATGAGTTTTGAGTCACCGTACTAGATGACTACATCATTGGTCTCGATATGTTTGATCGACTCGGCATTTTAATCGCAGTCGTGTACTAAATGAAGTCCGTGCGTATCCGTCAGCTCGAAACTACAGATTTTCTTTTCATAGAAGCAGGCGGCTTGGACTGATAACTTTGCTAAGTCCGAAAGTGACTAAAGCAGTTTACCAAACAGGTTCAAATCAGGGCAATAAAAAAGCCCGAACTTCAAAAGTCTGAAACTGAACCGAAAATGCTCTAAACACCGTCCCCCTCCTGCCCCGCCCCCTTGTTTTTTGCTTTATTGTGGATGATTCTTGTCCCATTGGGAACATTTTACATAAGCCTTACTATGAAGCCTTTAACAAAATATTATACGCAAGTCTTTGGTATGGGCCTCGGTATGGGCGGCCTAATGGAGTTATTCCTAATTAAATCCAACTACTGTAAGTAATAAAGACTCTTCTGTCCTCTTTGGAATGGCGAAATGCTCAATAATTTCCTTGCAACAGATCAAATGTTGGCGGCATCGGAAGCCAAACAGAGACTGAAAGAGCTTGAACAGGAGCGTGAAGATGCGGATCGATTAAAGCGTATCATTGCAGCTAATGGCACAAACGCCTCCACAGCTAATTAATTTTATGATTCTATGCTGCTAATATACCAGATACTCCGGTTCCATGCTCACTGTACAGTAAAAAATCATGTATCACTTTTTAAAAGACACGTATCATCTATTCCTATTGCTGAATAATGCAACTCTTGAAATCTTTTGGTTGTATAAAAGAACAAAACGCCTTCTTTGAAATGTTGGTCATGGAGTACATACTCTAAACACGTGCTTGTGCTAATGCAAACAACGACGATCATTGCGTACAACAAACGACATGGATAAGTGCAAAAAGGAAGGAGGGGCTCTGTGTGTCAAAGAGCATATTAAAAGCTCGATGAGGAATCAAAACTGAAAATGAACAAAAGGTCGAATACATGAAACGAGTCATACATTAAAAGAAGGAGTTAGGCTCTGGTTCCACTGCTTTGTCTATTCACTCCTTTCCTTCACGACATGTTCATAAAATTTTGCGATTGATATGATCGGGAGTAATAAAGCTTCCATTTATTGGCTTGTCGATACAGTATTCTCCTATCTTTCCAACTTTTCAACCACTTTGACTTTTCCATCATCTGGTATTCTATTTAACCCCAGTCTAACGCATAGAAGCAAGTGCATGATGCTATCTTCTTCAAGTTCATCTGTTTCACATTATTATATGTCTTTCATGGAGTTTTCTGTTACGATATGAGGATGGAGCACTTTCATCGTTTCTTAATTTACAAAGACTGTTTTTTTTTTTATGTCAAGTACAGGCTTTGGCTCTCCTTAGCAAGTACTTTTTTCCTAATAAAATGAAAACCTTCTTTCTAACAGCGCTTGAGAGTGACATCTATACTCGCATCTGGTCAATGGCGATTTATTCGTAATTCATGCATAAATGAGTCGTGATTCTTTTGATTTACAAATCTTTTGAAGGGAGGGAGAGGGAAACGCGGAGGGGAAAGGGGAATCCAAATCAAGAGAATTCGTCAGTGAGGATGCATGATTTGTGTCGAGGGCATTCTATGTGCTATAATTGTGAGCTGTTGATTAAGGGAAGCACGATTTGAAATGCTCGTTATCAGTTGTATTATAAGCTGCACCGTCAATAATCATATTGTCCAGCGTTTCTCTGATCTTATCTTGTGTGTATAAACCATCCAATTTGTGACAAATTTGGTCAATCGTAGCTCCATCAGGATAATCCTCAAAAGCCTTGAGTGTTTTAGTAATGTCATCCTCAATCGAAGAAGCCTTATTGTCATTGGTTTGATCAATAAGCATTGAGTTAGGCTAAATATCAAATGCAATTTGTCAATTCACTACTATCTTTTCTAAATCACCGCAAGATCTAAACGATATGCTTCTCTTTCTTAATACTTACACCATTAGGTCTTGTGAGTAGCAAATGGGTTTCGATAGCATCGAGGAAGTGATAGGAAATTTCGTTAAAATCGACAATAGGGCGCATGTTATGAACGACGACTGATATACGACCGTTGAAACTGTTGATTCTACCATATACGCGAACGTATGTATCAAGGACAAGTTCGCGTCTAGCATCGGCTTCTAGCTCGCTTTCATTTTGTTCGATCCATTTTTTGCACTCTACAACACCTGTACCGTCTTCAATATTGTATACGTTGTAGGTTTGCAAATCTTGTATGCCTCGAATGACGCCAATAAAGGTAATCTAATACTCCAGCACCGTTATCTTTTAGTTCTCTCAGATAACAAACTTTCATTCGTGTTTAAAAAGTTATACCTGCGTAACATCTGCACCATCAATTCTACAGACATTATCATGCACAACACTGACGTTTTTGATTTGCTTAATTGTTAATGGTCTCAAAGTTTGATCTCCCAATGGTCTCTGTATCCAGTTACAAATAGTAGAGGATGTTGAGATTTACAGAAAAAAAAAGAGAGGGAAGGGAATGGTATCTTACTCTAGCATAGCCACCACTTCCATTTTTGTTATCTGAACCGTCGAATGAAGAGTCTAAATAACCACCTGTATGAGACATCATTTGATTTCCAAGTTGGTTTCTAACAGGTAAAGAAAGAGGCAACTGAATGTACTACTACTACGCAGCAGAAAGATGTTGACTACTTTTTTTTTTTGCACACCCGTGAATCAGAGCGGGGGCGCGTAAAGGACCAAGAAACGCGGTTTTTAATTTTTTGGCAAGTATGCGTGGAGTTCAAATGTATCTGACCTGGCTTTCAAGCAGAAAAAATTAACGTGATACGTTATTGTCATACTGCCAATGGGTCTTATAGACAAAAAGCATTTGACATTATAAACTGATAATATAATGTCGGGGACAATATTTATCTTTTGACACGACTCGACGTGTATATACTTTGTCGTAATCAAAAGTCACATTTGGTAAAGCTAATGAAGATCTCTCAATTTTGTAAGCTTGTTCTAAAGAGGGTGTTTTATGGTCCCATTGTTTGCTGTGCAAGACAGAAGAACGCATAGATCCCCTAAAAATTAATATTTGTATACGTAACTGTAAATATAGTTTTGCACTCAAACAAAAGCTTTAGACTTTTTTCATCCACCCGAGCTTTCGAAAGCTTAAGGGTTTTCATTGTCATTACACAGTGGGATGGTAAGAGAGACTACTGATTTTGTCACACGTGAAGGAAAATTGATGCGAACATTTCATCATACGCCTACGAGCCTTGTGAGTTTTTACGCTATGATCTACAAAGGGATTATCTCTGATAGGCTGACCGATTAATTTAGAAAAAAACCTTAATTCTTTGCTCCTGTCGTTTAACAAGCTACTCAACAACAGGTCAAGAACTCAAGTGTGAAAGCCACCCTTTTCATAAATCATGCTTAAACGTCTTTTTGTCGACACAAAAAATCTATCGAAATCTCTTATTCAAAAGCAGAAGATTATGCTCGTCCCGCTTCTTCCATCAGGGAAGGACGATGGAAAAAGGAACCTAAATTCTACTATTCTTAGTGTTTTTACGACATATGTTTGTCAGCGGAAGGGTCTTGCGCGTACGACATGAGGATGAACAGCTGGCTTTAAATTGGTATGAAAGAATGGGGGGAAAAGGAAAAGAAAAGAAATTTTTCGCTTGATCTGCTGCTGTCTCATTCGTTCAGTGTTTGTAGGTCGTTTTTCCAATTTATCGAATTAAATATCTTGCAATGTATTCAAGATATGAAGCTGCAAACAATGCATGCCGGTATCTGTTCCTTCACCCAACGGAAAAATAGCAACAATAAATGCCCACGTTTTGATTGGTTTTTCCTATCGATCACTTTGACGACAGGATGATTTTGATTTTTCCTTTTTTTCCAATTGAAGAATGTGTATCTAAAAATAACAACAGCCAAAATCTGAATCGTATTTTCAACTTGGGACTAATGCAGCCGTTTTTATCTAGAACTATTCTTCACCTGTAAAAGGATATATTTCATACAAAAGGTTTCAGTTGGGTTTTTTTTTTAATTTTGCACAAATGCGGGCCAATACAAACAAACACTAGGCTGAGTCCATTGACTTTTTCATCATTAATTCATTAAATAATGTTTAAACTGAGGACTCTCTGATATACAACAGCAGAGATATTTGCTTTTCATTGGCTGAGCAGAAAATAAATACGACTGTTGTATTTAGGTGATAACGCTCTAGCTTTTTAAGTTGCATAAGTCCTTCTTTGCAATCCGAAGAAATTAAGGTTAGTTTTCGACCGTCGCTTTCAAATGCATGAATGAGGCTAATGGTTCTTTTTTGTTTTCATGAATGTCATTGGATAAAATAGCATCCCTTATGGGTGGTAAAATGGGACACACCTCAAATGTAAATTTTTGATAGTCATATCATCAATTGAATGATGTGTATTCATATCATGCAACCTTAGAATAAGCTGGTTATAGGGAAAGACTATAGACGGCGGCTATAACCCCATCCTTCTCGTTTAATCAGATCCGAATTTCACCCCAAAGAGCCGAACCTTTTCGTAAATGTATCCTTCTGGTAAAATCGATGAGGTTTTATTTTTATCAGCTTATAGGGCAGGAACAGACATAGTTCGTTCATGCGGGTATACAATTAAAGTAAAGCAGTAATTGGAAGAGTCTTATGAGCCTTCCCCTTCCTACATAAACTAGAAAGAAATCTAGTTACGTTTCGAAGAGATGATTCAGTCACCAATATGCTTTTGAAAGGTTTATGTAAATTATTGTATAATCAATCTATCTATCTGTTGTCATTCGGAGAAAATAAAAAGGGGGCAAATATTTCCGCAGTGACAAATAGTATACATATTGCATGTATCCATGGAAACGCTGTCGAATTGAACTGGCCTTTTACCGTTTCCACCAGCTTCTCTTTTTTTTGCAAAGAAGGTAATACAAATGGAATGTTATTTACCCATTGATTGGATTAAGATTGAGAACAGATCTCGGAAATGCACGCAAAATTTTTTGATTTGAAATTTTTCGGATAAAATTTGCCTACACAAACGCTTTCCCAGGCAAAAGGAAGAATCCAAATAGAAAACAAGAGAAAAAAAAAAAAAAAAAAAAAAAAGACGGCTTTAATGATTTGACAAAAGCCGTAAATCGAGTGAATCATGTATAATTCAATCACTTATTGGAGCGCAGTGTCTAGCAAGTTTTCACTAACAAAGAAAGGCACTGTTGATGGGATATTCAGGAACATAAAAACACTATGTCACATGTTCATTTACAAGTGTGTAATGTTTTCTTTTGTTGATGGCAAGAGAAGACTAGTTTGTAAAATTGGCGGCATTGGGCTGAGGGGAGGCGCTATTTTCCACCCGTTTTAGTCATGATGTATTCTGTCTAATCTTACGACAACTGTTTGCCACACTTTTTTCAACTAAACACTCTCCTTGAATAAACGCGCTAATGGCATCAATTAGAGAAAATGAGCATTATTTAGAAACTGATAATCTTTACATCATTATTTTAATTTGAAATGTATCCGTTTGCATTTTATTGTTGCTGCCAAAAGGAAAAATAAGATACGCTAATGGAAAAGCGTTAATTTCGAAATTTTTTTTTTTTTTCCTAGCCCAGCCCAAGCGGCCTTATGACCGATAGATGAGATATGTGAATATCTGCGTAGGCTTTGTTTCATGAAGTGATCGAGGTAAAAGGATTTTTCCATTCATGCACGTACCTTTTTTTTTTTACCATTTTTTTCTTTGCTTTTTTATTCATATAAATAGAGGCTCTATTTTGCCCAAACAAACCGAAATTATTTATTTTTTCTATATCCTCATTACTTTCCCAACAAACGTTATCTACTTTACTCTGTTCTAAAAGCTTTTACTTTTTTTTCCTATTCCATTAAACTATTTATTACAAATTACAACAAAAATGTTCTGCAAAACTACAACCGCTATTGTTCTCTTCATTGCCTGCTTCTTGGCTATGGTGAATGCTATTGTCATCAATCCTAAAATCACTGTACCCTCTCAGGGTACTAAGTGGAGAGCTGGTGAGACATTTACAGTGAAGTGGGCTACTACCTTTTACGATGGTGAAAAGACTGTTCCTATTCCCGATGACTATAAAGGAACAATTAAGTTGGGTTACTACGAAAATGGCAATCCTAGCATGAACCTCAAATGGGATTTGGCCTCAGGTTTTCAATTGAACAGTGGTGCACAATCTGTCACTTTGCCCTCAGACCTTGATACCAAGACTTCTTATATCGTTGTTCTCATGGGAGATTCTGGTAATGCTTCTCCCAAGTTCACTATTCGTGCTGCCCGTGGTAATAGCTCTGATAAGAAGGACTAAGGAAGTAAAGAAAAACGCTTTGGGTATACCATTCCAATGACAACCTCTCTCTCATCTCTCTCTCTTTCCCGTTAATTATTCCTCATATGTATATCACAATTTGAGAGATACACCTTGTAAAAAAAAAAACCCAAAAAAAAACAACCTCTACTCTACTATTATACATACGCAACCCCACCTTGTAATTACTTTTTTTTTCTATTTTTCTTAATAGCTTAATCACCTTTTCTCACTCGTTTATATAATTTTGTATATTTTTGTTCTGTTTTTTCTATTCTAATTATTTACTGCAAATTTACTATTATTTATTTCACTTTTTCCCAAATTCTCCAAATAAAAAAGTAAAAATTCAAATTCAATAGCCTTCGCGCACTGTGGTGGAAAATCAATTCCTATTTTACGTTAAAATACCTATCTGATGGAGACTATATCAAAAGAGAGAAGAACATTATCTTTATCATTAATACTGGATGGGGTATGGTAAACATATTCGATCTTGGTGAAAGCTATTTTAGGCTTTCATACTATCAAAAGAGCTTTGGGAGGGGCCTTCGACGCAGGTATATACATCATTATTGGAACCCATTAGTTAAATTACCTCTTTGGTGCTGAATAGTATCAGTAGCTAAACTTGACAATCATAGTGGAGCAAAAGAGCTATTTTTAATACCTCTTTAAATAACTTTGGATAGCTCTTTGGGACCTTTTTTTTTTTTTTTTTTTTTTTTTTGTCCCTAAATTAACCTTCAAACTCTAATTTCTGGAGAAAGTAACATTGTTACAAGCCTTTTTCGTTCGCTTTTCACCTCGTTCAAAAAAACTATGAGAGAATAGATGGCTCCTATACTACCATCCATACGGCAACAACCATATCAACAACAGCAACACTTTAAGAACGTTTTTTGGTCTCAAAAGCGCCCCGAACTCACGCTTCCTGACTTTCAAACTGGTCTTTCCGTCCTTCACCAAAAGCTCGCTCAAAGCAAAATAGAGAATGAAGAACTCATCAGCTATTTTAAAAATCGCATTGCTATTGAAGAGTATTATGCGCTTAAATTGACAGACCAAAGTAAAACTCCCTTCAAAACAACCGGTTTTGGCCGAGATGAAGGTGCCACTCTTGCCAAGTCATTCTTGCAACTGAAAGAAACCAGTCGACAATGCGGCGAGCGTCATAAAGCGACAGCTACTCATATGGCTCACACTGTGCTTGAGCCTCTACAAACGTTTCATGAGGACTATAAACAAACGATCAACAATTCAAAACAGGCAATGGATGGTATGTTGAAGCAGTTTGATAGACTCGTAAAAGAAGCAGAAAGGTCAAGAACCGCCTATCATCGAAAGTGTCAAGATGCAGACAAGGCGGAAGAAATAGCTGTGAATAATGCTGCATTGTCCGTCAACAGTAAAAACGAAAAAGAAGGAAGGGAGCTATATTCCAATAACAATAACCTTCCCTTGCACCACCACAAAGACACAGCAACTGATAGGAAACCTGTAATGAACAAAGAGGAAGACCTGGAGAAAGAATCCATGTTCATAGCGAGCAATACGGCTGCTACCATCACGAACACCAACAACGTCGCCAATATTCAGTTGGGAAATCAACTGATGCCTCAGACGGAACTGGATCATCTGGTGCGTCGTATGCGTCAAGAAATACCTATCAAAGACCACCGTGTACCTATCCTTGGCACTTATAAGAATACGTCGACAGGAGAAGAGATAGCCATTTGGCTGCAGCATAATCTACCTCAGTGTAAAGACTCTCCTGCCATGGCTGATATTGTGGGCCAGCAATTGATCCAGCCCTATCATATTCTCAGATTGGTTGGACAACGCGGAAATAAATTTACAGCCTCTGCTCATTGCGTCTATCAGTGGCAGCGTTCTGGCGAGGACACCCAAGAGGATGAGGAGGCTACTGCTGTCAGAAACTCTTCCACGGCCGCCGCCTCAGACAGTAGCAGCATCAGTAGTTATGGAGGACTAGGCGGTTTACTCATGGATAAAATCGCACCTGCCATCTCCTCCGCATCTTTGACTGACGCTGTGAACGAAGAACCCCATAAGAAAGCACGCCGAGAAGCTGAAAAGAGCGACCAGATCTATCGTGCAGCCGTCTTGAAATTGGATCAAACGCGTATGGCGATAGAAGAAGCTATGTTTGCTCATCTGACAGATATGCAACAAGTAGAATTCAAGCGTTTACAGACAATCAAATCCATTCTTGCCACCTTCACTGCATCTTTATCAGAGACAATTGCTGATAACAAAACGGTCATTGACGAGATGACGGTCTATTTAGAGTCGCTGAAACCGAGCCAGGATATTGAATATATTATCCAACAATACGCAGTATCAGGATTTTCTCCAAAAGCCATTGTCTATGACAATTATTACCATGGGATAGCGCTTGATCAGGTCTTTGGTGTCTCCTTGAAAGAATTGGCAGGAAAACGGCAACAGGTCCAGCAGCTTCAGGAACAGCAACAGGATCCGCCACCACGGTTCATCTCTTTTATTTTAGCAGCTATTGAAAGTGGTATCTCAATATTAGATGATCAGGAAAAGAAAAAGAATGTCTGGTCCACTCCTTGCGCACTTGATCGGGTGCATGCTGCCTGTTCACACCTTAACACAAGCAGCGATTATCTGACAGCACAAATGTTTGAAAAGTACGAGCCTGATTTATTGGTCGCTGTTCTTCGCTATTTTTTGTTGGAATTACCTGATTGCTTGATGACTTTCGAGTTTTATGACCCGGTGAATGCATTGTTCACTGGAGGATACAGTAAGTTCACAAGATGCACCTACTACTTTAAGCCTACACCCATTCAACTCCACATTCTTCCTACTAGGCAACAATGAACAAGACGGTGATACACTTCGAGTCTCTTCCCTAAGCCATCTTATCGCCAGCCTTCCTTCCTCCCATTTTACTACCCTAAATGCTATCCTGAAGAGCATGCTGAGGTAACAACGAAACAATGAGATAGTATATTCATACGCACAAACAATTTATTTCTTTTTATATAGCTTCATCAAGGATGTATCGGCTAGTTCAGAGATCATTGAAAGTATGTGTCATTCTTTGGGTCCTGTGGTGCTACGTGCACGTGTAGAATCTTTTAGCACTCTCAACAGTAAAGTGCCTTTTAGACTCATGTATGAACTTATCAGTCACTACCACGAGATATTTACTGAAACAACTTTCAAGATGCAGTTCGAACGTGTGAAACAACGACAGGCAAAACTAGTCGTCGCTGCGACTGATATTGAACAACAACCACGCCATGGAGATACGTCGCAAAACAGTGCCAAACGCTCCAATAGCAGTAGTTTTATGTCTTTCATGAGACCTACTATCAATACTTCTGAAGAACTGAGCAATAAATGGAGAAATATGTTTCAAAAAAATACAACGAGTAGTCCTTTATCAGCTGGATTGTCGTCCTCGTCATCACCTGGAGGAGGCAGCCAACCGAGTCCTTCTATGGTGAAATCTATTCCCTTGTCGTTTGGTTCTCTCATTACGGGCGAAACGTTTCTTTCCTCTTCCCCTCCATCGTCTCTTAAAGACAACGCCACCGTTGCTACCAAGGCGACGACAATAAGTAGTGGTGATGACAAAGATAATATACCATCCCCATCACTAGAACAAGAGCAGCCTACAACAGTTATGTTCGATGCTAATAACCATATGAAGGAGGAAGACAGTCAACCTAATGGCAGTCAGGAAGATAGATTCCTAGCACACAATAGCGATGATAATAGTAACAATAACGATGCTGCTTCTTCAGTTAAACGACCTGAAAAGCCGAATGAAACAGATTCTTCGTTTTTCGATGATGATGATGACGAAGAGGAAGAGGAAGAATAAAAACTAAGCGTTGAATAAAAAGAACGTAACATTTGCAATTGTATACCACTTGCCATGTCATTCATGGAAGTTAGCACTGATTTCCTTCTTTAACCCAGTCGCTTATGATAGTGTTCCATTTTCTTACGCAAACAATGAATCATAAATTAAAGTAACCTTATACCATAATTTTTCTTTTTTTCTGCAAACTATTAAGCACACGTCTACTTTAAATGTACCGTTGTCGTTTCTTTTTCACTTTAAAACTTACTTGTTAAAGTTCTCTTTTTGTCTCAGTAAATGCTGAGAACAACTGAAATGTATTATGAAGAAAGTATTGTAGTATTTGACGACTTGTAGAGTTAAATATCACTTAATTAAAAACAGTAAAAAGTTAACGAGATCAAACTAGTATGTTTTTATTTTGAATCAAGTTAAGTTCAAAGAGAAGAATAGAATTCTCCCTTGAGGATTACGCATCTACCCGGAGCGGGTGGACTTGTAAACGTATCCATGGCTTGATCTAGTGATCATGCAACTAACCTATTTTCCCGTGCTAACCATTATGTAGCACTGCTTGCAGGAAAATAGTATTAATAAGGAAAATGGTATTCGTGCGTGGTGTTTGAGTTGAGTGAACAGTTATTGTAAAGGATGATCACAACCTATTATCTTGTAATCATTCTTTAAGCCGAAGGCAGAGAATAGTACTTATAACCTATTATACCTTGGTGTTGAATCAATATATCCTGCAAGTCCATATATTCATTCTACTATATATCCTATATCATATAGTAACGTATTATAGCAAAATAAGTAAACTATATATCCTAAATGACAACCTGTTCAGCCTTATACGAGGTAGCTAATCTCGTATAAGAATCATCACTTATTCTATATTCGTTTCCTACTCTACTTTATATTATTTCAGCAGTAATGAGGTGTGAGGATCTTGTAAAATTTGTATACGAGTTCTTCACATCTCATATGATGCTGTCAACTAAACACAACACTTAATTCACGGTACTCATAATATCAGAGTTTATGTAGTTTCTAATTATTTCTGGTTTGCAATATTGTATAATTCATCTTTATCCTTCATAAAGTGAATTATGTCTTTAATATTTGTATATCATCTACCCTCAAATACGACAAGTATAAGCATACAACTCAAATTATATTTGTATCACAGCAGTATTAAAGTAAAGATAAAAGTAATATACAATTATGCCAGACTTTGCCTTATTATCTGTTGAAGAAAGAAGGAAATTATCGACAAAAAAAAAAAAAATGTGAAAGAGAAGAAGGGGATGAAACATGATGTGAGCAATACATTATATAGCTTCTGAAGCATCCAAAGGCTTGCATTCTGCTTTCACAGGAAAAAAGATGCCAACTAGTGTTTCCTTGTTTCAACAGTATCGACCAAAACCCACTTTTTCAAAGATGGGGTCAGAATTCCCGAAGCTAAAATTAATGCTGTTTTCAAAAGGACATATATTATTAAACAATTCATAAATTTGGACTGTCTAGCGTAATAAACAAATACACATATAGTTGAAAATAACATGATGAATACGACACACCTCTTTTCAAATGATCCGAATCATCGTTTTATATCCTTTCCTAAAGCTTTGCGTTTATTATAAGAGTACCCTTGCTCTATGCTGGCTCAGTGCGCGACAAGGCTGCCTACTTTTTTTTTTTGTTTATTTTTTTGTTTATACCTACTTGGCATTGACAATAAGAAGAAAAAAATAAACTTATCACTACATGCACCGCAAATAAAGGGTATTCAAAAAGTACGTCGCCTGCAGGATTCGAACCTGCGCTCCTGGAAGGAAACAGCTTAGCAGGCTGCCGCGTTAACCACTCCGCCAAAGCGACCTCTTTCAAATTTTGAAATGGTTTAGTTAAAAGATGGTTCGTAAAATAAAATTTGAACTCAGGAACGAATATGATAGGCTGGAGGTATGAACTCATAATTGCTCAGAGGAGATATCAGGTTGTGAAGCGGGAATTAAATGTATAATAGTTAACTGTATTTAAATGTCATTTTGATCGAAAGAATAAACAGGGCCCTTCTCCACATTTACAATACTTAGTATTAAGTTGAACCTGGACTCTTGAGTTCCATCTTAAGTTATATACATAATAAAAGTGCAAATACTGTTTTTTCGCTTGACTTTCGCACGAAATGGCTATTAAATTGAGACTATATTACAGACTAATTTAAAATTATTTTGGATGAAAAGTATAGTTTTTGGGATCATACCTTTTCTGTCAAACTGCTCAATGCCAAATGTCTGGACGTCATTCTTTCGAATGATATTCCATGATATTCCTTTTCATCCCCCATCCGTCTCTAGTAAAGCACACAATATAATTTCCTTTAGCCTGTCTTCCTCGCAGCTCTTGGAAGCGGCTGCTTTCGACTAATCTACTTGTCATAGAAATCTTCTTTTCCTCTCCATGTCCCACCCCTCAGCGATGTGTGGCTAATTTATTAATTTTTGATAAAATAATCTACAAAAAAAAAAAAAAGTTTGAAAGCATTTACTATTGATAGATGAGATGATGACGATAATGATGTGGTTAGTGTGTTATAATGATAGTCTTTCCAAACAGGTGATGGCCCAAGAAATACTGTTCGAATGCTCTTTTTTAGCAGTTGAAACAATATCCAATACTTTGACAGTTTCACATGATAATACAGTGACAACAGTGCCTAAGGCAATGTATAAGGTTCTAAATTGTTCAAAGGCAGGGTTTTTATTTTCAAAGATCCTTTTATTTATATCCCAAAGGACGAGTTTCTTTTTCTTAACAAATTTTTCATAACTATAACTATGAATCTGAAAAACCGCAACAGGGATGGTTAATCAAAGACTTGGGCATTAACATTTTAATTGTGAAAAAGTTCGTGCGCCTACAATTACCGCTTCAAAGGCTTGTATCTTACACTTTCAAGAGCACTATTATGGCATTATGTGCTATCTGGATATAACAGTGCGATATAATACTGTGTTGTAGTATAAGTCCATACAAAGGAGAAGCAGTAAGAGTATAAGATGCCGTTGAAACCGTGAGCATACACATTATCCTTCATACCTTTCTTTTTGACCTAATCCACTATAAAAAGAAAGAACACTGATGACAATTCAATCGTTGACAAAAAAAAGGGTTGTACTTATAAGAATATGTACTTCGACAGCTTAAAATACTAATTAACAAAAGAGAACAATGATTTGAGATTTGACAAACAGAAAAAAGAAGAAATCCTATGAGAAAAAATCAAAAAAACAACTTCAGTTCCATTACCTTTAAATATTGAAAGTCGTTATTTGTCTTGCATGGTGATCACTTGCAACAGCACGCGGTTGACCCCCCGACCATCATCCTGGTGCAGAATGTGGTGCTGCGCCTGAATGCCCATATTCTTACTCTCCATGCCTATATAGTCAACCTCATTACTATGACCAAGTCGTGGTAATGAGTGAGGATCAATAGATGACAGCGACGGAGGAAGAATGCTGGGGCTAACATGCAGTTGGTTTGAAGAACGGAGGAAAAAAAGATAAATACGGTGAAAGAAAACGAATTGAAAAATTGTTGCTGACGTATTATTTTTTTTGCGGGGATTTTACTACGATTAAACAAGATTTTTATTGGCAAATAATTTTAAACCCACATGAGCACATAATCATTAAGAGATTGAATTGCCCGGGTTAGATCAAATATAAGGAGAGAAGGGTGCTAAAAAACCTTTTTGATAGTCAATAAAGGAAAAAGGCAGTAGAGAAGGGAAGAGGAAAAGAAGGTAAATCCAGGACTAGATTAGACCTGAGTGAGCCACTGGACTAACTTGTTACCAGGAGTGGGAGTGTTGTGTATGTGTAAAGTATAACAGTAAAAGAATGGAAAGACAAAGAGAAAGTCTGTGAAAACTTGTGGTAGGTTTATTAAGAGTCAATTAAGACAAAAGATAAAAAGATAAGACAAAGATTCGTTCTACACTTCAACTTGGGATCATATTTATACTTTTCAGGAACTTGATCTGAGAATGAGATGTGCCTTGCGGAGTTCTAGAATTGCTTGCTTGGAAATTTCTAGGAAATCAGAACAGTAACATGAGACATGTTTAATCATCCATATCATCGATATCAGTTGATATGACTATGTGGAAGAATACAATTGAATGTTCATAGGCGGATATAGATATGTTAAGAGAATATGGAAGTTGCTGGAATAGACATGATCTTTCTGGATATACCTGATACAAGTGGTGTTGCTGAGCCAGAGATCTTTTATCCGACCTTCAGGTCTCTGCTGCGTCATTCATATCATGAATGCCTCAGTCTATTATGTCCATTGGATCTATCTTAGTATTATTTGGCTTAGGATAAAATATGTATGGAACATGCTATAGCATTGGACTCTATTATTATAATAATATTATCTCATAATGCACAGACAATAAAGAATATATCATTTATCCATATGTAATCTCAACAGTGAATGATTAAGTACCAGAAGAGACTAATGTCATATTATGGGATAGTCACATAGCAAGTATTGCAGGATTTATTTGTCTCTGTCAATATCTATAAACGGACTTATGCCTCAATATACAACATTGTCAAAACTTCTTTGTTGTCCAAATAACATTCTAACAAAAAGTTTCAGTTTATAGAAAAATAAAAACGTTGATACCTTTTCCCCTTTTTTAACAGAGTCTAGTTAGATATCCTTTAAAGAATTATCAAAGAAGTGTTAACAGTGGATCATCAGGTAGATTAAAATAAGATCTCATCACGAGCTACTCACAACGACTGTACTGTACATATTTTATTTGTAACTGAGTGTTTATATCTTTTGAGTAGCTTTTTTATCATGCCTTCAAGAGAAGCAAAAGTTTACCTTGAAGCAAAGTTGAAGAAAAAGCAACAAGAAAATAAAGAAAGTCAGTTCATGATTGCTGTATTTTGTTTCTTATTCGTTTAAGTACTCAAACAAAATCGTTGAACTATTAATTTTCTAGAAACATGTTTTGATTGCGGACGGGAAGGACATGCCCATAAGGGCTCATACTTGTGTCCAGAATATAATGGTAACAGATAGCTGAAGAGGTAATATTTCCTGTTCATTTTCACTGATATTCTGTTCATACGCTTTTCTAGCCAAGAAGCGAAAGTCCGGAAAAGACGACTACGAAACAAAGCAAGCTAAAGATAAAGGCAAAAAGAGAAGGCTAGAAGCAAAAAAAAAAAAAGCATCGCCATCGAATACTGTCATATGCAAGCACTGTGGTCTAAGTGGTCACTCAAAAGCTTCCTTTGCTTGCCAACAACATATTACTACTAAAGCGGAGCTCCTTCGAACAAACTATTCAGATAAGTATGAGCTTTACGCTCAGAAGCTGCCCCTTGTAACCTACGTGGACGGTGTTTTTGATGCTGAGCGCAGTATCTTACGGAAAGAGCATGAAGGATTCCAGCAAAAAGTGATTGAGCTGTGCAGATTTATACGGGACGTCACAACCAGAGCACAGCTTTTCATGAATCACTACATTATTAAGAACCGTAATTTAACTGTTCAGGAATACATTTATGAACAAAACTTTTGGTACTGCATCTGTAAGCTAGTCTTGGGCCAAAAAATTACCAACTAAGCCTACATTAACCACACTGTGGCTCTGACGTTCGATGACGTTGCTACTGACGAACCTTCCATTATATCCCCTTCAAGGATCAACAAATCAAAGGTTATAGTGATGCTATGGCGGCTGCATGGGAGAGTATAGCAACCACTTACATGAACCACATGGTGGAAAACTTCACTAAACGTATCAGATATTACTTGTATTGGGCATTGAAGCCTACTTTCCAGGTAAAATGCTTGACTTATATCTTCATAGAGAAGATTTTAATTGCCCAAATCATTGTCAAATAATAGGAAACAAAGAACAATATGATTTACGGACTCATTGATTCATATTGCCTTCTTAAAATTTTGAATGATATGGATACTTGTAAATGGTTGGAAGATGTTGATATAACAAAGTAACCCGAAGTCGATGCAACATGCCAATCATTGATGGAAAATATGCCATCAACTCCAACAATCGAAAATATCACAGCAGCACCATCAACATTTCTACCACCTTTGGCGTTCATGCTGCAGTTGATCGAAACGAAAGCCCTTACCGCTGGTCCGAATGACAAAAAACCCAAATTATTCTTGTGGTATTTGACGACTTGTGGAGTATAATATCACTTAGTTAAAACAATAAAAAGCTTAACGGGATCAAACTAGTAGGTTTTTATTTTGAATCAAGTTAAGTTCAAAGAGAAGAAAAATATCTACTGCAAAAATTTGAATATCTTCTTCATATTGCGGAACCTAGAAACTGACAGCTGAGTTATTCTACTCAAAGAAGACGTACGTCTTCTGAACCGTAAAAGAATAGAATTCTCCCTTGAGGAGATTACGCATCTACCCGGAGCGGGTGGACTTGTAAACGTATCCATGGCTTGATCTAGTGATCATGCAACTAACCTATTTTCCCGTGCTAACCATTATGTAGCACTGCTTGCAGGAAAATAGTATTAATTAGGAAAATAGTATTCGTGCGTGGTGTTTGAGTTGAGTGAACAGTTATTGTAAAGGATGATCACAAACTATTATCTTGTAATCATTCTTTATGCCGAAGGCAGAGAATAGTACTTATAACCTATTATACCTTGGTGTTGAATCAATATATCCTGCATGTCCATATATTAATTCTACTATATATCCCATGTCATATAGTTACGTATTACAGTAAAATAAGTAAACTATATATCCTAAATGACAACCTGTTCAGCCTTATACGAGGTAGCTAATCTCGTATAAGGATCATCACTTATTCTATATTCGTTTCCTACTCTACTTTGTATAATTTCAGCAGTAATGAGGTGTGAGGATCTTGTATAATTTGTATACGAGTCCTCCACATCTCATATGATGCTGTCAACTAAACACAACACTTAATTCATGGTACTCATATATTGGAGCTTATGTGATTTCTAATTATTTCTGATTTGCAAAATTGTATGATTCATGTTTATTCTTCATAAAATGAATTATAATCTTAAATTTGTATATCATCTACCCTCAAATACGACAAAAGAGACACAAACGTTAATTCGAAATAAAGAAAATCAACATCTTTTTATAGTCTCGCTACTTAACTTAGTCCACTATAACATCCTTTTTAACAAGACCTACAAGTCTTACGGATTCTGTCAGAATGTGTTTAGTTGTAATTAGAGATCAACAAGTTCAGTAATAGCTTAGCTAGGGTAGATTATGTATCTATGGTTAGATCTGCAAAATAAAGTTATCTGATTCACTTAAATTCAACACTATATCACATTTCGTCAATCAGAAATAAGGCGATGCATGGGTATAAAAGATAAAATACTTTCCTAAAAAAGAGTACTGTTGTGATAAATTTACCAGCAAAGGTTATCCTAATCGTTTATAAGGATCCGCAATTTCCATTTAAGTTCTATACAATATTCCGAGTAATATGATGTTTAAACAACAGAAATTGCTAATAAACGGAAAATCGAAAATTACAGTAATAGGCAAGTGTATGGGAACAAACTGAAAAAATAGAATGGTGGGAGAACGCATAGTGACATGTAGCACACATACATCGACGAGGAAAGGCCGAAAAAAACCCTCTGTTTGGAGGCCAATAGTTCAGGCTAGTCTAATAATCAATGGATTTTTGCAGTCAGTATAAAAGTATTTCGTGAGATTAAGCTGACAAACAATAAATGCAAACTACAAGTTTGCACTTTTATTAGAATGTAACTTCATTATGATTTCCATTTTTGATTTCGATGCGCTAATCGTCTTAATTAAAACCTTAACTTCACTTCAGATGCTTTTTGCGGGTCCAAACGAGTGCTATTCGCTCTATATTGACGTTACATGGAAAAAGGGAAACTAGCCAAGTCTTCTAGAATCTGTCAATTTCCCAATTCATGGATACAGCTAAAATCTCCAGATTTACCTTTTCTGCTGTATTACATAAACTTTTTTTTTGTCAACGTTATAGTACGCGAATTATTCAAACTAACTTAAGTAGATAAAAAGGTCAAAAGGAGAATATAAAAATATGCAGGGAAAATGGTCAGTTACGGTTTGATGACTTCGTCACTGTGTCTACTAGGAAAGAAAAGGAAATTGAGGCATGGGAAAAGAAATCGACAATGCCAAACTCGGAAATACCGTGTTAAGCATGAACCAACTTAATTAACCAACGTTAATATTGCTACTTATGTAGTAGATGAAAACAGTAGCAGTAACTGATAAGCAATCAAAGGTTTTGCATAGGCTGGAATATATCGATATTTTCGCGTTACTGTCTATGCTTCTGATAAGCAGTTGAAAGCTACAGTTACTGCCGATTACACGATGAATCACATATTTGTTTGAGATCTTATTTTTTTTTTTTTCCCGAGTCATCTTCAGTCAACAGGCCAGATTGGCAGTCGTCGACTTGCAGCATTGTACCGGAGCTAATAATACCTGCTGGGAATTTAATGAATCTCGTCTTGTACCTTGGGAAAACCGTGCACCGTTTAAAAAAGGGAAACCCTGATAGAATGCATCTTACAATGTTGACACGAACCACAAAAAATTGTGGGGAAGAGGCACAAAAGCTTAATAGATTTCTGTAGCACTTTCCATTTTGAACCTTTTTGGTTAATCTTACATTTAACTTGGTACGAGTGAACAGTAACATTTCAAACTCTTCGTTACACTCAGCCACAAACTGGATATAAAATATTCTGCAATTATTTGGGTTGCTATACATTTTTAGACACTCTTCACTGCTTATCACTGCATTATGTCTTCCTCAATTGATGAATCAAAAATTGATGGCCAACATCACGAATTTGTAAAGATTAATATGACAAAGGAAGAAAAACAATATGCCGATGCAATTGACTCAACTGCTGCCCAATTGCATGTTAATACTACACCATCTTTTGCCTCCAAAATTCAACCCGTGCCTATCGGTTTCGGCGCCTTTGCTCTCTGTTCTTTTGTTCTTGGTCTATACAATACCGGACTTATCACAAATATGCCACAAGTCGCCGTTGGCGTTGCCTTTGGCTACGGTGCTATGGGTCAATTTATCTGTGGCGTCTGCGAGTTAATTCTTGGGAATGTTTTCGCCGCTACTAGTATGCTGACATTTTCAGGCTTCTTCTTTACATTTGGTATCATGATGATTCCCAGCTCAGGTATTCTCGAAATGATTATGGCTACTGGAGGTATGGAAGCCGTTCATGAGTGCATGGGCCTTATACAAATTGGTTATGCTATTGCGGCGTTCCTTTTCCTGCTTGGTACCTTACGTCAACCAATCTTAATTCGCATGGTTTTATTACAAGTCTTTTTGGCATTCCTTTGCGGCGGCATTGGTGGTTTAACAGGCATTAATAATTTCAACCTTGCTAGTGGTTGGATTTCATTCACACTTGCTCTCACAGCATGGTATATAATGGCCGCCATTTTATATACTCCTGAACATACAATGATCAAACTTCCATTGTTCTAAACATCAAAGTCATCTTCATAATCTTAAGCAGTTTCTATATCAGATTCATTATCTTGCGTCATATACCACCAAGAAAGCATAACAATATTACCATCCATCTTATGATCTTTTACTATTTCTCTCTTAATATTTAACCTTATTATCTTGTAATATACTCATATCTAATGACATATAACAGTGTTACCTTTCATTCAATATTTGAAAATGCTCTGTCTTTTCTGATGTAAAAGCCTGTCTTGCTTACAGCACAATGTCGAAAGGGGAGGAGGGGGGGGAAGGAATACAGCGTCCCAACCGCTTATTATCAATAGAGTACTGAAAAATCTACAAAGGTTTATTATTACATACGGAGGGGGAGGAGGGGCAGAAAGCAATTAACATATAATAAAGACCAAACATAATCGTGTAAGAAAGTCAATTTTAACAATTATAATAGGCTTAATCTTCATCTTCGTCCATAGACTCATCTTCATCTTCTTCACTACTTTCACCTTCAGCAACGTCCAGATCCATATCTAATTCTTGATCACAACCATTATAACTATCTGACATTAAATAAACTTTCAGTGTGTGTTGGCCAGCCTTAGGTGCAATGAAATCTAATGCCACTGTTAATTGTTGCTGTAGAGTGACTCTCTTGATTGCTAATAATGTCTTGGTCTCAGGATCACCAACAACAATCCACCAACCTTCATCCTTCTTTTTGGGGAAGAAGGGTGCGATTACAGGACCAATATCCTTACCAGCATCATCCTCGTCGATTTCTCGTTCCAATTGAACCTTGATATTGACAATGCCTCCTGCTGCAACAGAATCTCTCTCCGCCACTTCAAAACCAATGTCAATATTGGGGTATCTATTAACGAAACGAGCCACCTCGCCCATTTGACGTTGATTCAAGCTCTTAAGACAATCGTTACGAACATCATCATCAATCTCCATAATATCAAAAACAGATTCAACTTCATTTGCTTCAAATCGCTTGATGATATCGTTGGTAAAGTAAGGGATTTGCTTAAGCGGTGAATCGCGGTCCCACATTGCTTGGACAGACATTTGTGATAGTTCCATAGCAGCTAATGCTGGAGATAACCAACCATTTGAGGAAATAACATCAACACATGCTTGAAGTAAAGGAATAATCTTCTCGACAACCAAAACTTGATCTGATTGAAGATCGGGTGGCAATTGTATACGGGAGAAGTGTGCTTGTAACAAAACATTTGTTTTGATTCTCGGTGTATTGAACTTGGGGTTAGCAAGCTTAATAGGAACACGGTCGTAGATACGTTGAAGAAGTGATTCCTCATGATGACGAATAGGAATGGTATCAAATTCAGTAGCGGAAGAAACAATTTCCAAAAGGCCTCTGATTTTAGTGGTATTCTTGAGACTAACACTGAACATATCAACGGTTGTGTAATTGATATTATAATAAGCTGCAATCATACCCAAATTGAGTGGTATGATATCCATTTCATCTTCAATAGTAATACACTTAGTTTCTTCGAGGTCGTTTAATGTATTTTCAACAAGTTCTGAAAGATGGTCGGACATATGGCGATGTGAAGTGCCTTGCAAACCATAGTAATTGGGATTGTGCGCCATACGACGGTAAAGGAACGTCCAGGTAAGATAATCAACAGCATCCTGCTTATTTTCTATTGTCTTTGTTACAATTTCGGCATTGAAATGATCATGTAGGGACAAATCCAAATGAGATTCAACAGGTAGGGCTTCGTATAAGAACTTCTTATAGTATTCTTTTTTGTTGCCTTGGCACATCAAGACACATTTACCAGTTTCATCAGTATTGGGACGACAAGCACGACCAATCATTTGTAAAACATCGGTAATAGGATAGTCAGCATAACGGTGTTCTTTGCCTTCGAAATACTGTGTACCCATAACGATTACCATGTAGGAGTGCATTCGAATACCCCAACAAGTATCGCGAGAGGCAATAATGACCTTGATAGCACCGGTTTCATAGAGTTGTTCTACGATGAGTTTGTCTTGCTTTGATAAAGCTTCATGATAGAAACCAATACCATGTTGCAAAGTTTCGACGAGAGATTTATCCTGAATACGTCCCAATAACGATTCAATCTCCTCAGGCTTGCAGTTCAAAAACTGATAAGGCTTATCATCGGCAACACAGTATGTGATGAGATCAATAGCCGTTAATTTACATTGTTTCCTTGAGGGAACAAAGACAATAGAAGGTCGATTCTCAGCATAACCAGTGATAGCAAGATAAGTAGGTTTAGCCATGGCCATCATTAGTGAAGCAAAATGAGGAATATTGTAGCTTTGAATATGAATCTCCAAAGGTACAGGACGGACAGAAGGATGGAAATTGAAGACAGTTTGAGAAGTAGCACCCATCCATTCACCTAAATCACGAGCATTGGCGAGCGAAGTGCTCAAAGCGACAATGCGAATAAGCTTCTGCGTTTGAGAAGCGACGTATCTCATTCTTGACACAATGACTTCGTATGTGGGACCGATACTGCTGCCAATCATATGTACCTCATCAGCGATAAACAAATCAACATTTTGCACATTCTTTCTTTGCTTCCAGCGACGAGAAATAACATCCCATTGGGTGGGTGTTGCACAGATAATATCACCACGTTCTAATAACTTCAAATCAGCACTAGTTTCTCCAGTTAAAGCAACAACTTCCTTTCCTAATTTGCCAAACTTCTCCTTCCATTCTGCAACACGTTCATCAACTAGTTCTTGGAATGGTGCAATGTATACAACGCGTGAGTCAGCCTTCTGATTCCATAAGCGGAAGAGAGCAAACTCAGCACAAATTGTCTTGCCAGAACCAGTCGGTGCACCGATGAAGACGTTTTCATTCGTAGTATATAATGCGTTGAACACTTGTGTTTGAATAGGATTGAAGTGATTAATCCAAGCAGAGTAAAGCTTTTCATATTCCACATTGTTGAGACCTGAGATAGGCAAAGGTTGAAGATCGTGAAGTTCAGTGTGCGGTGCATACTTTTCAGGAAGGATCAAATGCTTGAAGGAGATAGGTAATTTAGTCTCACAATGTAACCAACGATCAGCAACAACGGTAACAAAGTAATTGGGTGGCAAAGGTTCATACAAAGGCACCGTAAATGTGACCAGGTGTTCTTCTTCCGCATATCTCTGTCTTAGAACAAAGTAGTCATGATGCAAAATATGTTCACCATCAACATCTTCCACCAGAATCCAAAATGCTTCAGCGAAACCATGGACTTTTTCATCCCATTGGAAGTCTGGAGTAATGGTCAATTCTACCTTCAACAAAGATCGGGTAACAGGCTGAACATGTGCTTGAAGATCCAGTTTGGGGAATTGATGGACAAATTTATGCAAAGTTCGGCCCGCTTTAGGTTGTCCAATAAGTTCGCCAAGTTCTTGGGCATTTAAATCGAAGTAACGCTCCCAAGGGAATTCTTTACGTTCAAGTCGACGGACAATATCTTGAGGCATAGTCTTGAATTGACGAAGAGGGGACATGGGCAGCCACATACGTTTCTCCACCATCTTACATAAATTCAATGCTTTCTTTGTTAATTGAGACCAACCACGCTTTAAACATATTTCAAACATAGCACGTAAAATACGAGCAGCACTTTGAGTAACGTAGACCATATCTGCAACTAATGCGAAGCCTTCCAACTTCAATTGTGAAATATAAGCTTGTAACAACACATTAATTTTGGCTGTGGATTCATCTATGCTTTCTTTAACAGGCACTGGTACGCGTTCAAGTAATTTTTGTAACTCCATCTTTTCTTCTTCACGAACAGGGATATACTTGAACTCATCAGATAAAGCAAATACACGGAACAATTCAATTTCAGTCATCATAGGACGTAAGTGTTGGTTATAAGTTGCCATAGAGTGATGAGTGACATAGTAATGAGATGCAATGCGACCGAGCTCTGTGACTTGGAAACGACCTGTCTTTTTGTCATATTTGATGAGATTACATTTATCCAAGAGTGTTGCTGCAGAATGAATCAAATCAACACGTTTCTGTTCCAAATGGGGATCTTCATCTAATTCGTCTAATGAAATATTGTACAAGGTAGGGTTGCGAAGCATACGAACATAAAGATAAGTATAACCTAACCATTGTACCGCTTCATCACGGTTTCTGATAGTGCCTAAGACAATTTCTGCATTAAGATTGTCAGCAAGTCGAGAAACAAATTGTGATTCGATTGGAAGTTGAGTGTTAATGAGTGACAAATAGTATTGTAACTCTGAATGAGCCGTAATAATGATGCCTTCACCGTATGTATCAAATTGCGGACGACCGGCACGTCCTAACATTTGCAGTACATCTTGAGGGGAGAGTTCAACCCAACGACCCTTCTCAGGTGAGTAAATCTGTGTACCTTTAATTATAACGGCGTGTGCAGGTAAATTGACACCCCAAGCAAGAGTTGCCGTGGAGCATAAGACCTTAATATGTCCGTCCGCAAACAACTCTTCCACAAGTGTACGATCAGCACGAGTCATACCAGCATGATGAATTGCAAAACCGTAAGGTAAGAGGTCTTGCAAATTGGCATCCTTGACTGTGGCTGCTTCAGTTTGCAAAATCTCACGACTGGCTGAATCCTGCTTCAAGAAACGAGCAATAGTATCCTTGTCCAAAGCCATATCTCGGAGTGTTTTGGCAGTTTTGGCAGTTTCTTTACGGGAGTGAACAAAAACAAGTACCTGGTTCTCCTCTCTCTGATCAATCTGCTCCATGACTTTTTCATAGCATACTTCATTCATCGTTTGGAAACGTTTAATAGCTTTCTTTTCTGTCACACCAATAAATTGTTGCTTTAACGGACATGGACGGAAGGAGCTGTCAAAATGGAATAGACCGGTCTTGCTATCAACACGCAAAAAGGCAGCCACATCAGCGTAGTTTGGTAAGGTGGCAGATAAACCAACAAGACGGACAAGTTCTTGAGTCTGTTCCATAGTACGAATGGTACGAGAAATGATACTTTCGAGTACAGGACCACGATCATCATGCAACAAATGAATTTCATCAATAATAATCAGGCGCACTAGTGCAGTATAGCTACGGTCCGTTGCTTTACGAGTAATGACATCCCACTTTTCGGGCGTAGTGACAATAATTTGGGTCTCTGCAATTTGTTGCTTCGTCAATTGGCGGTCACCAGTCAATTCAGCAACCTTGATGTTATATGGCTCCAAACGTTTACTGAAATTGCCTACCATTTCAGCAACCAAAGCCTTCATGGGAGCAATATACACAATTTTGAAAGCATCGAGGTCAATCAAGCCGGTTTCAGGATCACGGTTCTTACCAATCTCGTGCAGGATAGTAAGCATGGCTACATTGGTTTTACCAGCACCAGTAGGTGCACACAGTAAAATATTTTCGTCACTTCCAAATGCAGTTGGGTAAAGTCTACTTTGAACACGATTCAATGTTTGCGGACCAACAAAAGCATCATGCGTCCAGTCAGGCATAGATTTGATAGGGACTAGTTTCTCGCCGGTAGCAAATTGCTCAGGTTTAGGTGCAGGAACGTGAATTTCCTCATAGCCTTTTTTTGTACGTTTAGTTGAGCCATCAGGAAGCTTGACTTTTTTATTTGACATAAGATGAGAGCCTTGCTCAAAAGCAAGTGCGTCGAGATCGAGCATTTTTCGCGGAGTTACTGTTGTTCCAGGTTGAATGGTAATGGTTGTAGGCAACTGACCACGACTACGGGTGGCTTCACTATCGATTTCCATAGCTGTGTCTACTACACCTTTTCTTTCTAATGCTTCGCCACGCAGTTGGCGATCTCCACTTAAACTACGTAAAATCCAGCCCAAATTCTTTTCCTGCATTTCTTTTTCTATAGCTAATCTATCGTCACCTGCTACACTAGCGAGTTGAGTGCACCAATAAATGAGGTCACGGTTCTTTACGAGGATACGAACCAAATCAAATTTGTCAAAGTCAAACAGCTCCATCAAATCATTTTCGCATTCACGAATATCTCTTTCAGAACCGAGAATTTCGAGAGCTTTGGCTGTTTTTTTTGTTGCTGTATGTGCATCATAATGGCTTGCAATTTGGCTTTGTAACCAAAAAGCACCAATGTCGTGTGGTAATAGAATATCCTCGTCTTGCGTCGCAGCAAAGGATTGTTTTTTCGATGCTGATCTTTTCTTTTTGCTTTGACCAGGAAGAACTGTCTTGAAGCCGTCTTCTTCATCTGAAGGTTCTTTATCCTCATCCTCATCTTCTTCTGAATTTTGAGCGGTTAATTGTTCTTCATCTATATCTTCATCTTCTTCTTCGTCTTTCAGCTCAAATTGATCTCCTTCTTCTTCTTCATCTTCATCCTCATCAAATACAACAGCAACGCCAAGTTCATCGTCAATTTCGCCGATCTTACCTCCATTCTCATCGACATCCATGGCTTCACCATCAGTTGAATAATCTGTGATTTTCTTTGCCAAATTGACAAGTTGTGCAAATTGTTCTGATTCGATGTTGCCAATGACTGATTCAATTTCTTTCTTTTTATCAAAATCTTTCAAGGTATCAGTTTTTAACGTTTCCAAAACATCGTCAGCAGCACTACGAATGACATCACGTGCTTGATCACCCAAATGTTCATAAACAAATGCTAATATATGCTCATATGCCTCGCGTGTTTCTTTTGTACGAGGTCTATAATTGAGGCCTTCCCAATCTTCAGTTGCTGATAATACAGAAGAATAACCATAAGCCCTATTGAAGGCATTCTCCTCTTTCTTTCTACGTCTTTTTTCTGAGGTGTCTTCCCCAGTAGACTGTTTCTTCGCAGCTGCTTTTTTCTTTTTTGCTTCTATATTGGGTGTTTCTCTTTCAGCGCGTGAGCCAAAATCCTTGGGATCGATTTTACCCCAAAGTGAATCGGGTTCACCCGTTGGTTCTTGATCTCTGCGCGGTAATCCTTTACGATTAGCTTGCAGTACCAGACTGGAAGTCGCGGCATATTGATATTGGCTCGCTTTGGCAAAGTTTTCAGCCATTATATTAATATACACAAGTTATAAATTTTTTACTGCTTCTTTAGATCGAAAATAACAACTCTAAGAAATAAAAAATACGATCCACGATAAAATATGGAAGAAATCGTTAGAGTTGGAGCAGTTTTAGCAATCACAGTTAGTCTTTACCGAAAGTTGAATAAATATGAAGAGCTGTAAAGAAGAATTAAGGGATGAGCTTGTATATAGAAGAAATAGAGGTTTTGAATAGTATGAGTAGAGGAGTTTAAGTTTCTACTTTTCTGGCGCAGCCGTTTTGCTTGAAGCGAGCGCCAAGTGACGTAACGCAGCTTACTCAGATAGGCCAATAGAAATAGTGGCTTGCGAAAATTCAAGCTGTACCTTGGTGCATATCACCATAGAGGAAATAAGCGCTGACCGATGAAAAGGGTTAACTACTGAATAAATAATATCTATAATTTGCTGCACTTATGAATTACTTTAGCCTATGAAATGTGGCAGAAATTACCACAGCAACGTTGCAGGAGAAGAATAAGATCCAGCCAAGTAATGGATGGTGGGTAAATTCCTTAATATTCTCCCAGAGCAACCCGAGCATTTGTAATAAAATAAATACTTCAAGTGCAGGAGATGAATGTTGACTTTGCTGCATAGACTTAATATTCTGCAGGTCTTCAACCGGGGCCATGCGTAAGTGCTCCAAATATACAGACCACAAAGAAGTACCATTATTTAAAGAATGCCGATGAACCATTCGATATGTATTAAATAGTGGAATGGAACCAGAAGGTCACATGTAGGGTTTATTGATATCTATTCGCACATAAACGGATATACACAATTCCTGAGTTGCACTAATCAGTGTAAATAATAAGATATAAATAAACAATTCAAACCCGTGCAGCGCATAAAACAAAAGAAGTATCTTAGGACTGAGCGAATCATTGTTTGTTCTTTTATTTCTCTCCCACCTTTTTCTTGTGAGATACAATCATTTCTTCCATCTTCCTTTCCCGCTCTACCGTTTGATAAATCGAAATGACCTCGGCCGAATTTGGCAGCCCTTTACGAAAGTACAAACTTGTCTTTTTAGGAGAACAGAGTGGTAAAATATGCAAATATTGATAATTCACTGAGAGACAGAGGACCGGCGTACTATTATCATCATCTCTTTATTTAGTGGGAAAAACGTCTTTAATCACCCGGTTTATGTACGATACGTTTGACAGTTCCTACCAAGTATGCATCTGTTGTCGTCTACAACCAACAAAATCTGTTTACTTTTTATAACATTATCCTTTGCAATTTTCAACGCCTTCCCTACTAGGCAACAATTGGTATCGATTTCTTGTCGAAAACGATGTATTTAGAGGATAAAACTGTTCGATTACAATTATGGGACACAGCTGGCCAAGTGGGTTCCTGATTTAGTAATTTGAATTGCATTCGACTCTTATAAAATAAGAAAATATACTTGATTATTATAGGAGCGATTCAGAAGCCTGATTCCAAGTTACATACGGGATTCTTCAGTCGCAGTTATTGTTTATGATATTTCAAGTAAATGCTTGCATAAAAGTATCTAAACCCGAGATTAGCTTACAACAACATTTAGTTACTAAGATATATTATTCATTAAATAAGATAAGGAATCCTTCGTTAATACGACCAAATGGATTGATGATGTACGAGCAGAACGAGGAGACGAAGCTATAGTGGTTTTAGTAGGTAATAAGACTGATCTAAACGAAAAAAGGTACAACAGAAAAAATAAAATAAAAATGCAGCCGACGGTAATCAGCTTACTAAATTTTTCTCATTGCATTTAAAGAGCTGTTACAACTGCAGAAGGCGAAAAGAAGGCCAAAGACCTGAACGTTATGTTTATTGAAACCAGTGCGAAGGCAGGACACAATGTAAGCAGAAAAAAAGACAAAAAAATCAAAAAAAAAGAATCTGTTTAATATATATATATATTGCGCTTAACAAACATACAAAACCATTCCTTAGGTCAAGATTTTATTTAGAAAAGTTGCCCAAGCATTACCCGGTATTAACGGAAATGGCATGAATGAAAAGGAGCAGAGTAAGCTTTTAGCATCAGTCCAACAAATACATATAGAGGAGAAGTTAACCAGGATGTCAATCTTTCTTCTTTTATGTTTAGTGCATAAAGTTAGCTTAAACAATTCTGATAAAAATGCTAATGGTTGCGCTTGCTGAATCAAATAAAGGTTAAACATGTTCTAATTATTATCGGCAATCATCTTGATCCTAACGGCGAAGCATAAACGGGCCGCTATGGCTGTGTTGACATCTGATATGATCGAGGATCCTAAGCTGTCCCCAACCGATCTCAATTTATTGCTGCCGTGCTTCTGACAACAGCTCGTTGGCTAAAAATTTTGACCCTTTTTATAGATTTTGAGTGGAGTCAGAAATTAGCGCCTCACTCCTCTTCATCTTTCATTCTTTTTTCCCAAAGATTAGTTTCCGATTTATCATCTCTTTAACCACTAATATAATTATGCCTAACAGTAATAGCAGTAAACGTAGTCGCTCAGCATCTGTTGAGAATATAACATATAATGAAGCTCTATCGAAGCGGTCTCGTATTGACCATAAAGATATGCACCATCATGACAACAGCCACACTAACAATGAGAGTCTATTGAACGAATTATCTGAAGTCTTAAATACTATTAAATCGACACCATCTTCGGGCGAGATCTCTGCAGAAGTGATGGAAACCTTCAAAATATTATTACTAGAAATAGATCAATTGAGCTCGGATGATGCAGAAGCAAGACGTATGAAACAAGAAAGTGAAGATTGCCTAGAATCTTGGTTTGATGACCTACTAGCTCGTTGTGAAGCTGAGGGCGAATTGAATCTTGAAGATTTAGATGCTTTCATAATTGAAAGCAGTGGGGACGATGAAGACGGCGGAGAAAGCGATGCTATTGCAATTGCTATGGCAAGCGCTGCTGCTGACGATGTTGAAGATGAAGAAGAGGATGAGCTCATTATTGTCGATGACGATTCTGAAGTTGGCGGGTCTCAAGTACTTGCCGTTTTATAACCGAAAGTAAGCGACAACATCTTCATTTCATTAGCATATCATCATGTTCCTATACAAAAACTAATTTGCCATTTTATCCCTTCTATCTCTTCTTTGATTGTCGATCTTATTGAAAGAACTCACGATTACAGAGAAGTCAAGGATTTAGAACAATCACAAGCCGCAAAATTTTTACCATCATCGCCCATTCTCCTTTCGTCGTTATAGATCTCACGCACGCACAACTCTCGTAGCAACTGACTATATAGTATTCCTTTATCATTCCGCCATCCATCATTCCGTTGCTAATTGTATCCCTTGTCTTCACATTTTGTTGCTGTCTTACTTCTCTCTCTTTCGCCCTTTTCTATCGCGCACAACTATATATTGTATTATATGTTTTGTTTTTCTTTAAACTTCAGCAGTTGCAGAATACCATTCCGTCTATTTTGGGTAAAGATTTCAGCAAATAAACGGAAAAAGAGAAGCAATTGTTTGTATCCTCAATCACAACTACAGCAGCAGACAACCAAATTGTTACATACATAAAAAGGGGATAAGGGTGAATATGAAGATTCGTATACTCAATAGTCATGACTGAACTGAAATGATGGATGACGGGCATAGCAAAAAGGAAATCAAAAGAAAAAAAGAGTTGAAAATGATGGAATGATTGACTTGGTGGGAAACGATTTATAGACTATGTTCTTTTTATTTACAGTATACATACAAAAAATGGATTTTAGCGCTCAGATAAAAGTCGCATAGCCAGAGTTTTGAAAACATGGATATCGAACATCATTCGCTCTGTATTGACATCTTTTTCATAGAAGAGCAAATCATACAAATTTACTGACAATGTGGTCAATATTCTCGGATAAGGAAGTTTCGAAGGTAAAAATAAGAAACAATGACATGTATTGTTAGCTAATCCCAGCCTCCAACGTCAAGGCCGGTGGCAGTATTAGCAGTTTCCTTCTCTTGCTTTTCGAAAGCAGCCACGATATCAGTCGAGTCAGTGGAATTGGAAGCCTTTTTCTTATCTTTCTTCAGCTTAGTCTTATCGACCACGCCGACCACACCCGTTTGAGCCTTAGTCTGCGACTTATCCACAACTATAGGCGTTGCTGACTCTGCACGCAATGTATCGGTAGGTTTAGCAAAAAATGCATCTTTGTCCTCTACAACCTTCTTCTTCTGCTTTTTAGGATTATGTTCTTCTGTAGTTGTTACTTCAGCAGCACGCTTCAGGGCTTTCACCTTAGTTATATCCTCCCCTTTCATCTTCTTTGGCCTGTTTCTATTCTTCTTATCCAAAACTTCTTCAATATCAGCTTCGCCCATGATAGTATCTGTATCCTTTTCATCTTGTTGTTGTTGCTGCTGCTTTTGTTGCTTCTTCTCCTTTTGCAATTTTATACGTTTCAAACGTTGTTTTTTCTCAACTAAATTCATGTTCTCTTTCTGTTTCTTTTTGCGTTCTAAAAATTTAGGATCGAATCGTTCACCATCCAATATACGTAAAGAAGGCACTAGATCAAGGATCTATTTTGTGTTGTTTATATTGTTATTAGGACAGTGGTGTGAAAGCAAAACATAGTAAGTTTCTGTGCACAATAGTGATGCATCCTTTTGCTTCTAATGATCTCTATTCCTTCTACATTACCTTTTCCAAGTAATCCTTTTTATTAGCAATCGGATTTCCTTTCAAATTGAGATTATGAAGTTTGTTCAGTGAACCCAGTGGAGCAATATCCTTCCAAGAGGAGATGCGATTGTTTCCAAAATCCATGATTTCAAGTGCAGTGCATTTTCGTAATGTTTCAGGTATCGTTGTAATCTTATTATCGTTTAATCGAAGCTCTTTTAAGGCATAGTTGTATGATAGGTCAGGAACTTCCTGTAGTTGATTATGGGCCGCTGAAAGTTTGCTAAGCTCAGCTAAGCTTGATAATCTGGGTACGGTGTCAATTTTGTTATGTGATATGACTATAAAAACAAAAGGAATTTTGTCGTTTACTATAACAATTCAGGCCAAATAGTAGGTTCTCTTAAAAAGTAGATAGCTTACCCAATGTATTCAAATTGAGTAGCGTTTCGATATTTTCAATCTCCAACAAATTGTTATGGTTCAATATAAGAGCTTTCAATTGCTTGAGCCGAGTAATATGTGGACTCATGTGTACTAATTGATTATGACTGACATTCAAAACTACATTGGACCATAAGGACAATCGATTTCCTTAGTATTATGCACTGATGAAAGCAAAAGCTACATTTTACTGTGTACCATTCAATGTTTTCAAATGCTGAAAACCTGTAAAATCTTTGAACTTATTATTTGATAAATTTAAAAGCGTCAAGTGTTCAAGGTCTCTTAATCCAGTGATCGAATTCTCGTCCTGTAAATCATTGTCAGATAAATTAAGACGACGTAATTCTTTACAAGCTGATATATCGTCGACTACATCAATATTTCTCTTTTTGACATCTATAATTTTAAGCTCTTCAAGTGATTGGCCTTCATAGATTTCAGAAATGATCTGCGTCGTTAACTTCATTGTAGAGGAACTGAGCAGAATGGTTAAGTCTTTGAAGACGCTCAATTTTTCGGTTTTTTCCCTTTTCAAAAGTTCTAGAAAGTCACATTAAACAGTCTTGCATAAATATAACATGAGTGCCAAGTAAATTTCTGTGATTGTTGTTGTTGACCTGTTTCTCTCAGTTTGTTTGACTCACCACCATGGCAGAAGATCCTTTTCAATGTAGACTGAACTTTTTATCACTATTAGATAAACTTAATGCATCGCAGCAGTCTATAACCAAAGTTGCAGCGTATGCCATGAGATATAGAAAATTATCAGAAGATCTGTATAGCTGTTTATTAGAAGAACTTGAACAGGTAAGAGGAACCCTTTCAATTGATCCCATATATATATAAGCCAGCTTTCTTTCTGCAGTTCATAAACCTCCAAAAGAAGACGATAGAATAGAAGATTTAGCTTTATATTCTATTGATCTCCAATGTGAGGCCTTTTTTTATATACCCTGACATCGACAACGCACGAGTTATCCAACTATTTCATTCATGCTTTTTTTGGTAATGAAGTATAAAGCGTTTCTTCAGCCACTGTCTACTTGTCACACTATATGACACGCTTTATTACTTTTACTCTTTCCTGTCCCTCTAATTCTTCGATTAGCTACTATGTTATATCGTTGTCATTGATAAAATCGAATATTCATTTCCATCATGGCCATAATTCAACCCTATTCATCACAGAAATTTGTACAGAATCCCTTTCTCCCAACCCTTTTTTTTTTTCTCATTTTACTTTGAAACATTTAAATTACAAAACAGTAAATATTAACAAGTTTCTAAACATCTACCACATAATAAATTGTATACGATAGGCGTCCTTAAACGCTAGGCTAAATATAATATATGTGCTTGATGCCATATTCACCGCCAGTCAAAAATCAAAATATTCAGGCTATCTAGACTTGACACGACCCGATTTACCTCGCATCGTCAATGCAGTAGTGGCGAATGGGCCAGGAGTTGTCAATATACCCAATACACAGAAGGTAAGTCCGTTGTTAGATTATGGTTCTCTTCTACTATCAAAAAGATTTAATCTTTTCGTTTCTGTTCCAGATTTTGGCAAACTGGAAAAGGAAAGGCTATTTTGACAGTAAAGAACTTGAAGAAGCAGAAAAGGCATTATTAGAATTAGCATCAAGGTAAATAACGTACAAGATATTGGGTGATTTGCAGTTCCTCTAACATGAGAGTTTCAATTTTTGCTTTCCCTACTCCCCTATAGCATTAGCACGCATACAGAAAAAACCCTTACATCAGAAACTTTCTCGAAAGAAGATGTTCTGCGTCGAATGGAAGAAGATAGGGAAAGGGTAAAGTAACCGTATGTCTGACACAAGCAAAGAGGTAGTCATCGCTAATAACTATTATGTAATTTCGTAAATAGCATAAACGTATGAAAGAAGAGATTTGGATCAGACCAGCAGATGAGAGTAAGGATGCTGAATTTGAAGAGTTTTGGGAAGATATCGATGCATTGGATCTTGAAAAAGACTATGGATATATGATGACGCAGAATAAATTACGGCTACCAGATTTTCCATGGCACACTATTCTAGAACAGGACCTCGAGCAGCAACCACGAGAACGGTCGCCTGGATCAGCAGCAATAGATACTGCTTGATAGAACCAAAAAGATTATTATATTTATATCAGATATTTGGGTTTATATCGTTTTTATCGAAATGCTGAACTACTGTAACTTTTTTTTTAAATAAAAAAAGAATTTATTGAAGATATTTCGAAAAGGCAATGGAAAGACTTTCCTGTTGGACGTAGCTTTTAAAGCCACATGAAGGCTTATCAAGGTCAATTTTGTCCTGTTTATATGGCATACTGGATGGGGGAGAGAAGACTTTCAGACAAGAAGATCTGTAAGTATTCTATAATTGAAATCCCTCAAAGATAAAGTTTCAAACATTTTGAGCAGTGCAGAATTTGAAGTGAGCTTTTAAAAAATGGTATATTAAACTTTAAAAGCGTAAGATTTGTATGTAATATGCCTCAATAGAAACTATACAATATCCTTTAGTAGTATATTTGCCATTAATTAGTACATTTGAGCCAAAACAACAGGTGATTTCTAACAAAAGCATCCGATATAGGATTGTGCAACAGAAGAAATATTTCCTGGTCTGTAGTCGTACGACCAATATGTTACCTGTGTTAGAGCAGTACTGCTGAGGATCGTACTGCAAGCGCTATCTCATTTACCTGCTATGAAGGCAAAGTTATTGCAAGAACTCTATATTACGCTAATGGAAGTGCAGTGTTCACGTTTTTCCGAATTTCATGCACGGTGATAATAAAGGCCTGTTACGTACGGACAAATTAATGCCTTGGCCAACAAGGATTTCACGTTCTGCAATAAGATCTTCCTTTAAATAACCATGTCAAATAACATGTGTGCATAAACACAAATTCAAGAGCGGAGAGTTCCAGGTTTCAGGGATCTTTTTAAATCAAATATAAACTGTTGATGATCATCAAGTAATCTATTTTTTCTTGACTGTATCTACTTATCGTTCAATAAAAAAAAAGACGCAATGTTGAATAAACTATAGCAATCAATGCGGTTATCAAAAGAGCCGAAAAAAGCCAAACAATCAACTGTGGCTGCGACCAATCAAACAATTACGTGAAAATTTTTTATTGGACTTTTCAAAAACAAATGATTTAAAAAAAAAAAAAAATATCTTTACCCGACTGAAAAAGCCGGTTCCTGATCGAGCGATGGGATTATTTTTGAATTGAACACAGAAGGCTCGAACAAAATGCATACAAGTATTGAAAGCATCAATTACCATCATGAATATTATGCAAGGTTTGGTACAACCATACTAGCTGTTACACGCATTAGTAACAAGTATCGAGTGGAAAGGAACAGTAAATGCTTCAAGGCGTATACGAACTTTGGAATACGATATCGATGTAGTTTCAAAAAATCTGAGTCAGAACACACACCACAGAAGTCTTGCTATTTATAAGGAAACTATATAAAATGAAGCCATTTTTTCTAAATTCTTCAATAAGTAAAAAGAAAGTCTTTCTTCCTATCACTATCACACCTTCTTCAGAATATTTTCATGCTTTTTCGCGGCTAACTTACAGCAACTCTATTCAAACTACAGTTTTAGTCATACATAACTCATATATCTATTCAAAGCGACCAACATGTTGAACGTTTACCCAATACAGTTGTCTCAAACACCTGAATTCCGTATTCAACTTGAAGATGATGAAGTTTGTCTACATGGTATGCCAGAGGAATCGGCGGGTGTCATCCTACGAGGCAGCATTCTATTGAACTGTCATGAACCCTTGAAAGTCAAATCAATCACAATGAAACTTATCGGTGTAACAAACGTCGATTGGGTTGAAGGTAAAGCTCAATATTCAGAAATTGAAATAGAACTCTATGGCCTAAACTGACTGAACTGTTTGGGCAAAAATAGGTTCGGGATCTCATCAACGACGCTTCAGAGAAGAACATAAAGTTATCGAGAAAGAATACACATTTTTAAAACTGCAAAAGAAACCATACCACCTAAGTTCAGGCCAATACAAATGGTAAGGGCTCATTATCAGAAGTGAAACCAACAAATAGCGGAGCCGCGCAGATCTTAACTTTTTTTTTTTTTTTTTTTTTTTTTCTGTCATTAAGGGATTTTCAGGTACCGTTGCCAGGTACTCTACCAGAAACAATCCATCATGAAATGGGCCAGGTGTCCTATAGATTGAAAGCTTATTGTGAAAGGCCCAAATTTTATACGAATTATGTCGATAAGAAAACGATCAAAGTGAAAAGAATTGCTTTGCCATCATCTTCAATGGAAATGTCTCAGTCGGTTATTATTTCCAACATTTGGACAGATAAAGTCGGTTATGATATTAGCTTACCCAGTAAAGTATTCTGCACGAACAAGTCCATACCTATCTCATTTGATTTGGTTCCTATTGCCCCAGATCTTCGGGTCAATTGGATTACATGCGTACTGAAAGAATACGTTACCTGTACAACTACCTCTGGCTCTACACCAGCGCTATTATCTTCGTCAACTTCACCATCAAGTCTTTCCCACAGTAAAACGGAAGGCCGAATTATTAATTACATAAGAGATGATCATGTTACTATAGATGAGACAACGGGACAGATAAGCAGAACCGAACTTCTTCGTGTACCAGACGAAGACTCGAGTGAGGTGAATTACGACATGTGCAGTGACTTAATCCAAGTGAAGCACAAGCTTAAATTTACCGTTTCTTTATTGAATGCAGATGGCCACCTTTCTGGTAAGGATTTCATCCGCTCGTCATGAATTCACTCATCCTGAACTCAACCTGACCTGTCTTGTCTTGCAATTTTAGAATTAAGAGCAGCTATTCCAGTCGTTATAGCTCCTTTACTTCCTGAAGATGAAAACGTTCTTCCCGCTTACGAGGATATATGGCGATCTATCCCCTGCAATCCTGAATTATTTGCGCAGATGATTGCTCTCAATGGAATATCTGCACCTCCACTTTCAACATCACCATTATCACAGTCACCACAACTTGTCGCGTCCGACTCAAGCTCGACATTATCTTCATTATCATCGGTCAACTCCTCGTCTGCAATCAGTAGCAGTAATAATAATAGTAACCGTCATGACGGCAGTTCCTTTTCAGAAGACGACCTTTTAATTATGCCTCCTGCTACCGCTTTCCCATCTGCTGGATTGATGGGCTTGGATCTTTCACGTTGTCCTTCTTATAGTACAGCTTTGCGCACAGGCGCACCTTCTTGTGCATTATTATCATCTCTTCCATCTTATGAGTCCACTATAGCGGCATAGACTTACAATTCACATCGTAAGATGACTTTCCATCTTTGTCAAATATTTATATCCTGATTCGATTCTCTGTACATAGCCTAATGTAATATGTATATAAGATATACATATATACGTTTATCTCAGTTGAAAGTATATCCTATTGCCATCCCTGTAACTTTTAATTTTACTTGTATTTTTAACTGTACTATATCTTTTTCGCTTGGAAATAAAAGAAGCGTCAATTTTTAAAAAGGAGTATTACGCTTTTGGGTTTTGAAAGATTGTTCCCTCCGAGGTCCTATTGAGCATCAAGAAAGTGCATGCTTTAAGTCACTTAAATGAGGTTCTGAACTTTGAACAGGTAAGATTATCCACTAGCTTTGAACAACAATTTAGTATATATTGTTCTTCTTTGAGTCAATAAGGCTAACTAGTCTTCTAATTAGGGACGTTTGAATGCAAAGTACTTTATTCTTTAAACTTAGTCATTGAGTGCATCCTTTTTTTTTTCTAAAAAAAATGAGAAAAAAGCCGAAGAACCGGATAACCAGATAGGCAACTGTTCCGAAAAATGAATATAACATAAATCTGTATACTTGGTGTTTATCATCCCCTTGCCATTTCATCGCTCTATCCCTTAAAATTGTTGATCAAGCGAGAAAAGTTTACGATAGGTTATGCTGGAATCTTTGATTTTTTTTTTTTGGTTAGAGCGAATTTGATGCGCTGCATTGTCTTTCTGTTTAAGCCTCCAAGTATTTTACAGCTGTTTTGATAAACTCTAAAGCACACGGTATAATTTGGTCAATCCAAATGTCCTTTCAATCTTAAATGAGGATAAGATTTCGGTTGCATTCGCTTGCAAAATCTGTTAGGATTCATTTTGTTGTTTGTAGTAACTTCAATTCCAAATCCTGAGCTGCATTCCCGTTGAGTGACCAGAGAAATAAAGCTTATGTTTTGTAGTTATCAATAGCCAAACGTTCAAGAGCAATTTATAACAATGGGAAACTGCTCCAACGATAAAAATTCATTTTGCTTTTCCTGTTGCTGACTTAAATACTGTGATTTGGATGGAAGAGGTCTCTTATTATATGGTGCAATTATCTTCATGATATATTTGAGTTCAATAATCCTGCATGTAGCGGTAGACTGTAGCTTTAGAGATGGTTAATCCCCGGAATTTGTCTGTCATTGCTTCCATCAATTGATCAACAGTTGCTGTCGACTTCTCATAGAAATATTCTATTACAAACTTTTTTGTATCCTTGGCGAGCTCTCCTTCTGGTTCGATGATTGGGGGCCGGCCCAAAGGTTTGAAGAGAGAGTCAGAGTCCTCCTGCCATGCCTTGTACCATCTCTGAACGCTCATGGGTTGCAGGTTAAGCTCTAAGGCTACGGCACGGGCACTGTTCTTTGGATGAATATCAACCAAATGAGCAGCTTCGGCTTTGATTTCATCCCTAACACGAACATTATGTGGCTGTCGTCGTACTGGCTTCTTACGCTTCTTATCATCAACGACAGCTTCTTTCATAACAGTGTCGGCTTTTTCGCTCTTAACTTTCTCTTCTGTCACTTTTGCTTGTTCTACGGCAACTCTGAGCTTCTCAGCTTCCTCTACAGTAGCTTTCTCATGCTCGGCTTGTTCAATTTTAGCTCGTTCTTGCAGATAGGTAGTGTGCGAGCTTACATCCTCTAATTGACGAGGAGCTCCCTCTTCAACAATTTCCATGGAATCGTTCCCATTTTCATCAACAATGTTTCCTTGACCGCCCTCAAAAAATAAAAAAAGTAGAAGTGCTCATGTTATATCAGTTGAAAATATTAGGAAAAGCGAGTAAAAGTGAACAGGGACGGATGCGACATGTTTTTTCCCTTTGAGTGCGACATACTTTTCTTCAGAAAGCGCGACATAATTTGCCTAAAAACATGCGACATTTTTTCTCTAGATAACTGGTGGGCAACAGGCAAAAGTGGCTCTGATGTTTCAAGGTTTCTAGCAGTGATTACAGAATTGGTTGCCAGCGTTGCTAAACAAACAGCTAGTTAGGTAGTCTACACTCTCATCCTGTATAGATAAAGAGCCTGTGGCTCCGTATCTGGAGACTTTGAGATCAAATTCTTTCGGGTTCCTTGCCATGATCGTTACTCTAGTTGGAGGAGAGGCTGTTGAGTTTGGTTGTATAAAATGAATGTCCTGAAACAAAAGCGTTCCAATAGCGGACCGAGGACACCACATGGTTGCGATTGTCAATAATACGATTGCTTTTTGTTGAAGGTCGTATAGGAAGAGCTCTTCTGTAGGTGGGCATGATTTGAAATAGTTGATTAACATTTGTATATCGAATAGCTCTTGCTGAGCTTTTGGTACTAGTTTTCGTCGTCGACGTCGGGCAGCAAAGAATGTAACCACTGACGGATTCGACGCAAGAGGAGGCTTGTTTGGATGGATCACTTGAAATACTGAGGCAATTGCTGATCTACTGGATTTTTCGGCAAATTTGACACAAATCTCATTTCATTGCAGTCTATTGTTGACTTGTTTGGCAGTGAAAAAAAGCAAAAATCCTTCACTTTTCAATTTTTTATTCAAAAATGTGCCTTGATACTCAAATGATGGAATTGAAGCTAGCAGAAGACGTCGAAGAAACTACAACAGAAGTCTATCTGAGTCTTATGAGCTTGATGCGAGCGAATCAAAATCTTGAATCTGATCTCTCTGCGATGGAAATAGACAAGGAAATCAACTTTGAGCTCTAGTCAGAAACCGAACAATCTGAGGAAGAAGAAACCATCTCTTCGGACGCAGTTCTGAACAATGCTGAAGTCGATAATACTGTACAGGAGTAAGAAGTAAAGGTTGCTAGTTTTGCGGCAATGTTAGCTAATAAAACAAACGAACAAGATTCTACAAAACGAGGCAAATACAGAAACTACTCAGTTGAGCAGATTGCCAAGTCTATAACATAAGTGAAATGGTACCAGTGACCGTTGGTCCCGTTGAGTCGGGTATAACAGAGCGTTCAGCTTACCGTTATAGAAAGCAATGGGACGAACCGGGACAGTAGCTAGAAACAAACGCAGAAGACGTACAGGGACGGTTTCTCAGTTAAAGGAGCAGCTCAGTTTGTATATACGAAAATCAGTAGATGATAATTCTGGAATAACAATTGCAGCAATTCATGAGTTGCTGCTTGAACAGTTTCCGGACTTAACTATAACAAAATCGTTGGTTTATAGACATATTAAAAATGAATGCGCCTTGAGCTTCAAACGGTTAGAGAAATTAACGCAAGAGCGTAACTCTGAAAAAACCATATTTCAGAGAAAAGAATGTGTTGAAGCATCGAAAAATATAGTTCGAAAGTAATTGTGTGTTCCTTGACGAAGCAGACTTTAACCTTCATATAACTCGCAATCGTGGATGGTCTAGAAAAGGTGAACCAGCAAAAATAAAGGTAGGTGCCAACAAAGAAAGGAACAAGTGTAACCATTTTGGGTGCTATATCTGCTCAGGGTGTAATCGATTTATCATTGAGAAAACCAACAACTGTTACTGGTAGCAAGAAAAGAAAAGCTGATGGCGATGTAATTGAAACAACTGCCCCAAGTGGGTAATAGGACCGAGTATTTTCTTTTTTATTTGAACAATGTGATGGATGTTCTCGACAAAATAACATGAAAGGCTTCTGCATTGTTATGGACAATGCTCCAATCCATAAGCCAACAACAGTTCGTGAATGTATTGAAAAAAAGGGATACAAATGCGTCTATCTACCACCGTATTCACCCTTTTTAAATCCAATCGAGGAATTTTGGTCAAAAGTAAAACTTGGTGTTGAAAGACGACCTTTTAATGAGGGAGAAACGCTCACTCCAAAAATTATGAAGTTATGCACAAGAGTGGCTTTGGAAGATTATAAAGGTTGGATAAGGCATTCTGAAAGTTTCCTTCAGAGATGCCTTGATCAGGAAAAGAACCTTTAATAAGCACTGCCATTTTTGATTCAAAGTTACTGCCAATAAAATCCTAATCCTTTGCCAAAATATTTCCCAAATCACTGCCATTAAAAGATGTGATTCTCTGCCAAAATTACGAAAATACTCTGCCAAATTTGCCGAAAATTCCAGTATGTCACATGCAACCACGAAGGTTCAAAAGTCGATTGAGCGGCATGAAACATATTTTCTTTTTTTATATACAGCTGTTGAGTAATTAAAACTGAATCCTATTTGAACTTACCTTTCTTAACTGTTATCCACCACCCAAAAAGTTGAAAAGAAGGCAAATGGGTCCGAGAAAGCCAGAGATAGAGTATATTTCGCTGAGGAAGCTTCAATCGCAGAAGGAAAAGGGAGTGACTGATCTTACAAAGGAAGCCTACAAAAGTTTAGAGAAACTTGCGAACAATGCTCTTAAAAGTGATCCCTTCAGTATCACAATCGAGAAAAAACCACCTCATATTGCACCTTCAGGAGATCCAAGGGATTTTCTTAGCTATGCACCGTAAGTGATTTTATAGTGTCTCTTTTGAATTTTTTGAAAACCCCTCTAGCTACCCTATGTTAGACTAACATTTTCTGTTATCGTTTGTGCAGATATTGGTGGCCTGTGAGTATCATTTATATAGTTGACGGCATGAATAGTACATAACGAACTGTCAAATCTTATAATAATTTTACTCATTTAATTTAACAATAAAAGGAAAATCCAAACGATATCAACACTAAATATATAAGGAAGGATGGCAAACGAAACCCAGGTAAATTTAGTAACCATGCCGTTAGTCAATAATACATGCAATTTATATGATGCTAATCGATATTAACTTTAGACATTGCAATTGTGAAGGATCAAACTAATTTAGAAGCTATCGCGGAAAGTTTGACGTTTCTCTGCCTCGGATTTTATCTTTTGATGAATGAGAATTATGCCAAGCATGCCGTGACACTGTTGGATGCATTTTTTGTGAACGAAAGCACACGTATGAACCCTAATCTAAACTATGCGCAGTTCATCCGCGGGCCGCAAAATACAACAAAACTGGGTAGAGGTGAAGGCGTTATCAGCGCTCGCTTGTAATTATCACAATTTTCTGACTTTTGGTAGTAGCTTGTTTATGATCATTTTTAACTTTTGATTTTTGCATTCTAGCTTAACACGTATTGCCAACCTTTTACCTCTATTAACTAATTATGGGGGATACAACGCTATACAACAACCTGTTTATAATTGGTTTAACGCTTACTTAAATTGGCTCAAAACAAGTCCTGTGGCTCTGGAAGCTGCCAATGCCAAAAACAACATTCATTCATGGTATAATGTACAATTAGCAGCAATTGAACAGTATGTTAACCCAGCTTCGCCAGACATTCCCAATCGATTGCGTCACTTCTTTAACCAAACGGTACCCAAGCAAATTGATCGTAGGACTGGCGATCAGCCGTTAGAATCGCAACGAACGCGGCCTTTTCATTATCTTGCGTTCAATTTACAAGCCATCCTTTTTTTGACTGAATTAGCTTACGATTATGGCATTGAGATAGGTCCTATGACCCCCCCTCTAATCCGCTCAGCAACATGCCATATCAGCAAATTTGCTGATGACCCTAATGTAGATATTACAGTAGCTGCTCGTTGTGCTGAGATCGTTGTAGGCCGTTTGGAAGATCCTAATAATACTTGTCATAACTTCATTCAGAGAGCACATACATGTAAATTCTCTGAAAAGCTCAGTGGGCCGAAAAATGCTCTGAGCATACTATGGTCTTGATTTGAATAAAGTACATCCTGCTCTTTTAACTATTATGTGCTTCACAGAATTAAGATTCGCAAGTGTTAAGGAGAGGTTTATTCTAGAAACATCATAATAGGCGGAAAGTATCAAGAAAGCAAATTTAAGCAGTAATATATTTTACTTAACAAAAAAAAAAAAACCTGACTTGGAGTGCTACCCAGCTTCTTTGGTTATTCATTTTATGAACGCTCCACAACAACAGGAAGCAAAATAAATGATAAGCGGCGAAAGAGGTCTTGGTATACAGTTTTAATCTAGAAATAATCGTTCTAAAGATCATATCTGATGCTATTGAGGAAAGGGAAAAGGGGGTAGCGCATTTCCACAAAGAAGAAAGATACTTCTCTTAGTCGCCTTACATTTGAGTCTCATTGATAAATGGAGACCCTCTATAGCTTGCTGATTGTTGTTTGCTATTCTTCCTGCTGTATGCATTTCTGCATTTTGGAAAAGATGCAAGAAAAGATACAAGTTAATCTGCAAAATAAACTGAGATATCTACACCTTCATTTCGTTTTTACAGGTTTAGTAAGATGCTTGTACAAATTAAAATCCTCTATCAATTTCAAAATATAAGCATAGATAGTATTCGTAATACAAGTGCAAATAACACGTCCTACTTATTCGTAAAATGATGATTACATCGATTTCCTACATGATAAGAGCAATTAGGACAGGAATGGTGACTACATTGAATTCAGTGTCACAACTTTAGAGATTGGAATCAACGAGATGTGTGGTAAAATTTTCTACTGCGTTTGTATTAATATCAGTACCAGCCTTCTTCAATTAGATCATACTTTATATCAATAAAGTTGCATTTATCTGGAAAAGGATCTAGCTTAGATAGCAACGGCTCATAAATCATAACCAAAGGAGGCTGTTGCAAAGTGTGTACTGGTATCATAATAGTTCCAATTACCTTAAAAAAAGTCCAAGTAAAGTTCCGAGCAGTCTTTTGTGAAATCTTCACAAAAGGCATTGCTATATAGCTGCTTCATATATTAATGTAATATATGGCTATTCTTGAGAGTATCAATGGTTTTTTGTTCTTTTAAAAATGCTTAATGTTGTACCCTCTTCAATTGACTATACTGCGGTTAGCCTACCGCAGCAGGCTAATACCAGTTTTGTAACTGCACTCCCGTAGTCACAGAGGGGTCATAAGTGTCTGTGCAATTGTTTACAGACATTTAGAAAACAGAAAGCAAGTAAATAAATTTCTAGAGATGAGAAATTTGTCCGGCATCTCGGTCGATCGTAATCCTCACCTGTGTCCTTGATTCTTTAAAGAAGTATAATCCTCAAAAGGGAATATTTGATCAATTTTGGAAATGATGAAGAATGCGTACCTTGAACAACAATAGTCGGAATGTAAAAATAGTTTGACGAAAAAAAACGATAACGTTAAACTATTGGTAAATTAGCGAGGACTTTTTTTTTTGTTTTTCTTTTTTTTTTTCTGATGTAGCAGGCTAGAAGAAGACTATTTTTTCCCCTTTCCTTGTCCTTCGTGCTTCTTCCTTTCATCAGCAATTACTCTTTGATTGTTCAAAATAGGTTGTGGCATCCAAGCAATGATACTTCGTTGTAGTTTATCTGTAAGTACAGTTCTGCCTTGTCATTTCTTCATAATTGCATCTGTTAACAGATATGTTTCTTGCATAGCAATCTTGGGTAAATGATGATTTTTCTCCATGCTTTCGGGAAAGGTATCTGAGAAGTGTTCTTTTGTGTTAACTATTTACGACAGGATTATTCTCTTACAAAATTTACTTGTAGGGTGATAGACGGTGGATTATTGATGTTATTTTTGACATTTGCGATAGTCCACTTGATCGCAAACAGTGTGGACTATTATCGATCGCATTCGTCAGCCTATGCACCACTATTGAATAAATTACCCACCGCTGTTAGTCGCTCATACGGTACAACAGAAATTGACAGCAGCAATAATGAAAATTGTGTGGATGGAGATGATACCATTCCTTTGAAAATTGAGATCAAAGCTTTTCGATGGACATTGTATAATACCTCTCGAATCATTTTCTCCATCATCCAATTGTGTATGTTTACTTATGCAATTAGAAAAATCTTCAATGACGATTATACTTTATCACCTAACGAAGGCAGCCAATCTGATTTATTATTTGCTTACAGTGTCCGATCTGTATTTTGGGTAATATACTTTGTTGATGGGAGTACAAAGCAATGATCAAATGAAACCTTGTTAACTTTCTGTTTTTTAAACTTTAGGCTTATAATCTAATTATTTCCAGCGTAATCTTATACCTATCTTCGTCCTACAGCGTATTGGCGAATACACTATGCCAGCAACTCAATCTGTTATATTTGCTGGACTTTTTCATTACTGTTATTGATATCAGATCCTATTACGTCGCAGCAGTCAACCATAGCATCGGTTATTGTTTATCTATGGTCACAAGTGGCTTTGATTTCTTATTATTGATCATCATCATCAACGAGTCGCGTTGCGAACCAGTGAAACCTATCATAACCGAAGATGTAAGTTTGAGTGTAGGAATCGCAATAAGAAGAGAAGCATTGGATTGCTAACAATGTGCTTATACAGGGACGTATCATGTCGGGCGAGCATTGGGCTTCTTTATACTCAAAGTTTATGTTCAGCTGGGTCAACGTGATGATGAAGGAAGGATTTAAGCGCACATTGGATGATAAGGATTTGGTTGAATTACCACTCAACAACCGCGCCAAGTATACTTTGACGGATTACAATAACCATAAAAGATCAGCAAGCATTGCGGCAACGCTTATACGAACCTTCCGCTGGGAACTGGCTTATCAAACATTGTATTGTCTGGGTTGGACAATTTTTGTATTTGGTCCACCTTTCTTCTTAAACAAGATTGTCAAGTATATCGAAAATCCGATGGGAGAGCCAGTATCTACAGCATTTTTGTACGTGCTCGGTCTATTTATCACTAACTCAGCTCAATCTTTGCTGCTCCAGCAAGGTCTCTATATCGGCCGTACTTTGGGCATCCGAATTCAGTCTATCATTATCGGCGAAGTTTTTTCAAAATCATTGCGTCGCCGTGATCAAAGTGGATCTTCCAATGCAGCTACTTCGGCAGTGGATGAGGAAACCAAGACCGTCGACTCCAAATCGGGTGATGATAAAAAGTCAGACGCCAATGGTAACGTGAACAACTTACTATCCGTTGATGCACAAAAGGTTGCAGAGATTGCTGCCTACATCTTCTATGTTTATTGTTATCCTCTGCAAATTATCTTCAGTATTTGGGGGTTATATAAGCTTTTGGGCACAGCAGCTCTTTGGGGTGTTCTGGTTATGCTTGCCTGCCAACCTTTTACTTACTTGTTGGGCTCACGCTTTGAGAAATCTCATTCCTCTGTCATGTCGGCTACTGACAAGCGTCTCAAATTGATGAATGAACTTCTCTCCGCTATTCGTATTGTAAAGTTCTTTGCTTGGGAAAGCGAGTTTAAAAAGCGTATCATCGATGCCAGAGATAACGAATTACGCGCGATTCGATCCCGTTTGATGACATTTATGTGGATGGTGAATTCGTGGTTCTTTATCCCTATTCTTATTATGGTCGCTACTTTCTACGTATATACGAAGGAGCATATATTGACTGCGTCTGTTGCTTTCACAGCCTTGGCATTATTTAATACTTTCCGTGGTGCTTTGGATGAATTGCCCCTGCTGACGTCTTATTTAATTCAGGCCAATGTTTCCATCAGACGTGTAGAAAAATTCCTTGATGAAGAAGAAGTGGAGCTCCCAGTTCAAAGAAATACCCATGCCAATAACAACGGCGTCATTATCGGCTTTATTGATAATGCTTCATTCGGTTGGGAAAGTTCTTCTGCTGATTCTGCTACTGCCAACAAACCTGCTATCAAGGATTTAAATTTGAATTTCCCTGTCAACAAGCTGTCCATCGTTTGTGGTCCGACTGGTTCCGGAAAGACAACCTTGTTAGCCAGTTTACTCGGTGAGACACGCTGCCTTTCGGGCCAAGCAATTTTGCCTCGTGTCATTCCTAACAAAACCAGTCCACTAGGAGGGGCTGTCTCAGGCATTGCTTATGTTGCTCAAACGGCCTGGTTACAGAATTGTAGTATTCGCGACAATATTTTGTTTGGGTTACCTTTTGATGAGGAACGCTATCAAGCTGTTCTGTACATGACTGCATTGACTCGTGACTTGGATATCTTGGAGTTTGGTGACGCTACTGAAGTTGGAGAGAAGGGTATTACATTAAGTGGGGGTCAAAAGCAGCGCGTTGCTATCGCGCGTGCTGTGTATTCTCAAGCTTCTACTGTCATTTTGGATGACTGCCTAAGTGCAGTGGACGCTCATACTGCTAAACATTTATACGAACACTGTTTGATGGGTGATTTGATGAAGCATCGTACTGTTATTCTGGTAACTCATCATGTAGGTCTTTGTTTATCCGGTGCCGAATACGTTGTCGCTATGAAGGATGGTAAAGTAGTGGCTGCAGGTACTCCTAAACAAGTGCTAAAATCTGGTGCTCTTGGTGAAGAATTAGCTAAAGTTGAAGAAGCAAAAACTGTCACCGCTGAAGAAAGTGCAGTCGAGGGTCCTATTCCTGTTGTTCCAAAAACAATGACACAGAAGAAGAACAACGCTGACGGTAAAGGAGGTAAACTGACACAAGATGAGGAACGTGCCCAAGGCGGCGTTTCTTGGAGTGTCTACAAGACCTACATCAACGCATCAGGTGGATATACATTTTGGTTCGTCGTGCTCATTCTATTTGGTGTCGCTCAATCTTGTGCACTGGCACAAGACTATTGGATCAAGGTTTGGTCAGCAGCCTATGGCCAGAGTTACCATGTTCAGGAAGATGGCTCAGCCAATTTCACTTCCAGTGATTATGTTCAACAGCAATCACTGGGCTTTTATTCCGTTCATAACACAGCATTCTCCATCCTGGGTCAGAACTACTTGAAATCAACCTTTGTTCAACCACTCATGAACACTCTCGAAGCCGTCAAAGATCCTTCTCAAACAGTAGATGTAGTCTACTACCTGGGTATCTACTTTTTGATTGGTGTTTTAGCCTTATTGATGACTACTCTTCGTACTTTTATCCTCTTTACTGGTTCTTTGAGAGCCTCTCGTCGCATCCATAGTGAGTTATTAACTCGTATCTTACGGGCTAAAGTTCGCTTCTATGATACTACCCCATTAGGCCGTATTGTCAATCGTTTCTCATCTGATCTGGCTACTATTGATCAAGAAATTTCTCCTTCGCTTACATTCCTTATTTATTCTATTGCAGCCACCTTGTGTGTTATCTTACTCATCTCAACTGTCACACCAACTTTCTTGATCCCCGGCTCTGGCATTGCATTAATGTTTGTGGCCATTGGCGTTTATTATCTTCGGACGTCGCGTGACATGAAGCGCCTGAACTCAGTGAGCCGTAGTCCTATCTATGTTCAATTCAATGAAACGGTGAACGGTGTTACGACCATTCGTGCCTTTGGATCTCAACTTCGTTTCATTAATGAAAACCATAAGAAGATTGACAGCAATAACCGTCCTTTCTTGTGGATGTGGGCTACTAACCGTTGGTTGCATTGCCGCGTGGATGTGCTAGGTGCCTTTGTTGGCTTCTGTACTGGCTTTGTGCTTGTCTTATCGCGCCATTGGATCGATCCTGGCTTGGCTGGGCTCTCTCTTAGCTACTCGTTAACATTCACACATCACGTTTTATGGGTCGTCAGAACTTATGCTATGAATGAAATGAACATGAATGCTATTGAACGTGTGCATGAATATTTGGATGTAGAAGAAGAACCTCCTGTTGACGTCCCCGCGATGGAACCTAGTCCCACTTGGCCTGAACAAGGTTCTATTGAAGTCAAAGATTTGGTTATGCAATATGCACCGGAAAATCCTCCAGTGATCAAAAATATATCGTTCAAGGTCAATTCCCGCGAAAAAGTCGGTATTGTCGGTCGAACAGGTTCTGGTAAGTCTACCTTGGCGCTTTCTATTTTCCGATTCATGGAGCCCACGAGTGGTACAATCAAGATTGATGGTGTTGATATTCATAAGATCGGTTTGAATGTCCTTCGTTCTCGTTTGACAATTATCCCCCAAGATCCCGTATTGTTCTCGGGTACGTTACGTAGTAATTTGGATCCTTTTGGTCAGCATAATGATCTAGAGCTCTGGGCTGCCTTGAAACGGTCGCACTTGATTGATGAGCAGCAGCAACAGGATCCCGAACACAGTATTACTTTAGATTCTGTGGTCGCTGAAAATGGCTCGAATTGGTCTCAAGGACAGCGTCAGTTGATTGCTTTGGCTCGAGCTCTTGTCAAAAAGTCTTCTTTAATTATATTGGATGAAGCAACCTCGTCGGTTGATTTTGATACAGATCACAAGATTCAGCAGACTATTCGAACAGAGTTTAAAAATTCTGCATTGCTTTGTATTGCTCATCGTATCCGAACAGTAGCAGATTACGACCGTATTCTTGTATTAGATCATGGTGAAGTGAAGGAGTTTGACACGCCATACAAGTTAATGACAAAAGAAGGCGGCATCTTCAGTCAAATGTGTTTGCGTTCTGGTGAATATAATGAACTTTTAGCCATTGCTAAAGCTAAAGAAAACATGGAATAATAAGCCTTAATACGTTGTCCCTTATTTATTCTCCCTTATATATATATTATCAATTATATTATAGAATATCCCCCCTTTAGTGTTTATATATCAATTTTTCTATAAAAAATTACTAATAATCTATCTGTTTTGAAGTGCTTTAACTACGCTCGTCATCATTTTTAAGCAAACAAATTGACTTTCTGAAATGAATCTCAAACTGTTTAATGAAAACTCGACGTGGAATATAAAGTTTGAACAGGCAACCTTTTACGATAATTTATTGTTCAGCAGTTATGAAATGTATGGGTCTCTAATAAGATGAAATATACCTCTTTTTGTATATAAAACGTATACTCATGTTAGAACTGTCTAGCCACTCTCAAAAATACTTCTTGCTGCAGTATAGGATTGATGAACAATCTTCCTGTTATTAGGAAGAACAACGTTGTCAATATGATACGTATCACACGCGATGCTATAACCGTCCATCGATGATTACTGTGGTTGTACTGATTATTATGAGCCTTTCGTCGCATCTTGATTGTTTGTACTTCTACAGCGACTGCAGCACCATGTATAAGAAAGAATAGCGTAAGCTCGAATGTTATTATACGGGCGGCAGCTGCTATCATGAAATCATGTATTATCCCACTAAGAAGAAATACAAGGAAACCACAAATGGTCGGATCTAAACTGAATATAGATGTTTGGTGTTTGATAGCTTGCAATTTTCGAAACTCGTCGCTTTTTTTAACGTCAACTAACTGTTTGCGAGTGAACTGTGTAAAAATAAATTGATGATATAGCCTGCTGACTGGTCGATTCCATCGGCGACTATGAAAGGAAGAGTTTCATCAAAAAAAGAACTTTTCTTAAAGCAAAAAAAGGGAATCGCAGACGATAGCTTGGTATACTTTACTTCCAAAAATCTTTTGGACTGAAATTAGACGAACCACGCAGATAATGTTATAGATATTGCGATGTATAAGAATCAGATTCTTAGTTTTCTGGAGTCATGGACACATTTGATTTGAGCCAACCTACCTTGTTGACATGAAAGGATTATCAAAAACATCATTGAACCTTATTAATGTAATTGCTTGAGCTACTCCCATTATAATATCCGTCACGCTCATCATACAATAAATCTTCCAGCCCAATGCATAGGTTAAATAGAGAGCCTTAAAACTATAAAATGGATACTTCAAGATTGTAGACAAATTTTTAGGTAGTATCACAGGATCTAGCAGCAATTTCATAAATGCAAATTTGGCTAAACCACGAACGGTTTTCTTTAAGCCTCGTATTCTAATCTGCTGTTTGCTCAAATTAGCTTTGGATTCGTCCTGAAAAGTAGCAATTTTTACCAACTGAGTAATCCATCCTTTAAAAGCAACCAAAGTTGAGTTCTTGTTGCTCTTGATATCTGCTATTTGTTTTTTGTTGGCAAGGTAAATAATCTGTGCCGCCAGAATCCATGGCTGAACCATAAATGATATATTTCCAAAATCGTACTTTGAGGCGATAAAAATTGGAAGTATGAAATGATATGTTGCTATAAATACATGCAGGATAATTTTGGTCTGGCGTGTAGTAGTCGGTACAGTTTTTATCAAAAAATAATCGAAAAACAGTACTCCCATATATATAAAAGCTAGAGTTTGTACTGGTAAAATAACAGGTGTAGGAAGGCGCAAGTATGTAACATAGGATCCTACATGTGGTGGTATCATGCTCTTCCAAAGATGTTCGACCTCAATATGAGAAAGAAACGAAAATAAATGAGTAGAAAATTTTTTGTCTGCTAGCCATCGCCATCCAAATTTGATCTTGATACTCAGCAGCTTTCTTTCTTCCAATGCTTTAAGGTTATCCATTCAATGTGCAAGTTTTATAATACATAGACAAAACAAAGTAAACGCTATACAGTTATTCGATCTTAATAATCGAAGCGTTCGTCTTCATCCAAACATTCATCTTCCATGTAGAAGGTGGGGTTGATACGGGTGATGAAGTCTAGAAACCATTCTCCATTGCTTAATTTGGTGATATCGACTGTGGCAACCATGCCCACCAGCATATAATCAACGATTTCTTTTTCAAAATATACTTTAAACTCTTCACGGTTATCTTCTTGATTTTCAAATATGACTTGAATCAATTCATCAGGCTGGGCTTTTTCCTTATCATAAGGAGCAATTTCCTTAAATTTGACAATGGTCGCTTTCCGACTCTCTACAGCAGATACCTGTTCAAGATTTGGAATATGTTTACGAACAATTTTCTTGGTTTCGTCAAGAGCGCTAATGTTATCACCTTGTGGAAACATATCAGAGAACAAATTCAATCCTTTTTGATCCATCCACGATATATCCAAATTTGCAAGAGTATCGTCTGTACCAAAAACAGAAGTACAAGCCTTATTATAGCCCCCAGGTACCATTAAGCTCAGCTGCTTACAAAGAGGGAGCTCAATCTTGGCTTTAGCACAAATAGCACGCGCACCGGCAATATCTTCTGCGTACTCGGGAGCTACGTTACGGATCTCCAGGTACCTTAGAAAGGCATCGATCAGCTTGGGAGCATCGATGAAGTCAGAGAGACCTGTAAAACGCGATTCACGAATAAAGGTGTTGCCCAAGAATACCTGAGCAACTTCTGTAAAGTTTACTTCCAACCCTTCTTCATCTTCAACATCAGGAACATAATCAGTTGCTGCCTTGGCAGCTTCCCAATCAACGTTTGCCTCAGGATCAGCAGGAGTATCAGCACTAGTTGCACGACCCAAAAACATATTGGGTCCCGTCTTGATACCGCCAAAGGCGAGGTAGCGGTCAAATATCTTCTTTTTGGCGTCGGTAAACTTATGATTCTTACGATATTTCCAAAGAGCGTATTCAATTCTTTGTGCAAGTGGATTTGAGCTATCGAGTTGAGTTACCCATATAATGTGTTTTGTTCAGCAGAAAGATAAAATAATGGAAAAGATTTTTTTTCACCACAAATCAACACTTACGGATCATATGGGTTTTCAATAACGTCTTCATTATTGTGTTCTTGATAGTCGTCAGGTATTTCAGAACCGGCTTCTGGCAAATTTGCAGTTTTAGATTTCTTCTTTTTCTTCTTCTTCTTCTTCTCACCGTTTTGAGCTGTTTTATTTGTTTTCCCTAAACTGACAGGTGTTGCTAGCTCTCGTGGCAGATCAGCAATTTCTTCTTCTTGTTGCTGACTAACGTCAATTTCGTTGGGTGGGGAGATCTCATTGTCATCGTCTGCGATTCTATTCTGCTCTATATATTGCGCTCTATATTGTTACGACATGGCAAGAGACGTCAGTAATGTATATATAATTATCAATTTTCAGTTGTAATAGAGCCTACATAAAGTTTTCTCTAGCCTCTTGTGTCTTAAGATCTTGGTCTTCCACCATTGAACGATTTTGGTCAAGGTATAAAGAAAAACAATGGAATCACTGAACAAAGAGCATAAATTATGGCGCTATTTTAAACTTTTTTTTTTTTTTTTTTTTTTTGCCCTGATTTCCGTCCACCCAAACTAAACGCAGTTGGTAGGTCGTCATACACTGAAATGATCTTTGACCCTTTTCACCTTTTTATTTCTGAAGAAAATTCACAAGAAAGAGAGTACAAACAATTGTAAGCAAGATTGAAGTGCATTGACCCTGTAGGATAATTAAATATAACTCTCCTTGCTTCGTAAAATAACGGCTTATTCAGCGAATTATAAATTATCAAACTAAGAGTGTTTTACTGGCCCAAATTATTGATATATCATAGAAAGTGAGCTTCTGATGTGACAAATTCAAAAAAAGTTGAATCGCCAAGCTAGCCCAAAGCTACTTTTTCACGTTAAAATTAATATGTACTGCTAAAGCAAAAACACAGATGAGAACAGTTGGATAAATTACAAATGATGAACTTGTTCTTTCCGTCAAATGTCGTATTCAAAACAACAGTTAGCATGCTTGTGAACATTGCCAAGATAAATAGGTTAATTTTTGGGTTGCTCACACAATTATTTTTCATTGGCAAACATTTTTTATTATGCAGCGATTAATGCATTTCGGTCTAAAGCTCTATAAAGGCAATCAATTCCCTACTTTCCCGGATTCACTTGCTTTGACTACTAGGCATTCGTCTACCACCAAACGTGCCAAGCGACTGGCTTCGCGGTTAGGGCCTAGTTAGGGTTAGGAATTTGGTACGATTAGGATTAGGATTAGTATATGTATTTATTACTGCACTCAGGTTAAGGTGAAATATTTCCCAGCTTCAAAAATCAATTGTCTTTTTGCACTTGACTTTCCTGACGCGTCGGAGTTTTGGAAAAAGAAACGCGAAAATATTAAATCGGGTCCACAAAAAATTTGAAAGGCACAAAAAAGAAATCGCCCCTCCATTTCTTGTCTTTGTCTTCTCCATATCGCCACCTTACGCCATGAGCAGTCGATCGGATAGAGCAAATAAGTTAAAGCAACTACGAGAAGCTAAGCTAACGAAAAGTAAAGCAAAAAAGATTCAGGTACAAATGCACACGTTTATATGGTCAGCTCGCAATAAACAAAATAAGGAGTACTGAGAAGTAAGTTTTCCACTACCATCTTTATTGTCAAAAGGACGATGAGCAGTTCTTTGAGGAACTAGAAGAGGATACATACAAACAGCTTGATGAAGATTTTGTAGAAGATGATGATAATGCAGGTTATATTGACAATGGATTTGATGATCAAGTATTTTCAGACGAAGAATACGACCAAGAGCCAGCAAATGGTAATTACTGTAGCAATCAAACAAAAAAAAGGATAAGTACATTAATCTCAACTGTAACATGCAGGCAAACGAAAGAGAAAAACAGGCAAACAGGAAAAGAATTTGAAAAAGGAACCGGTAGTAGCCAAACCGAATCAACAAATCAATCGCTTCTTCAACAATTCCACCTTAAAATCTGCGTTGAAACCAAAACCAAAGCCGGTTGATGAAGAGGAAACTGAAGATTTCATGGCAAGCTTGCTATCAGATTTCAGCTCAAGCAGTAATACAATGCCTCCTGCCAAAAAAGTCAGCAAATCATTAAAATCATCTCCTTTAAGGTCTGCAGTAAACAGACCGAAAACCCTTAATACAGCTGCATCGATGACGTCCACTACACCAGTTGTGACATTTAATCAACGTGTTGATGCCAAAGACGCCCAAAAGACATCTTTACCTTCGAATGAAAATGGTCATTCATCCAGCTCAACCGTTGACCAAATCAGCAACAACATCTTGAACGATACATTGGATGAAGATATAATGTTCGATAACGATTTCGGGCCTGATGATGATATGGATGCAATCATGGATGATGCGGATAAATATGCTGACACTACGCAAAAAGAAAAAGAAGTCGATAGCTTAATGGTACAACAGAGAGCGCCTAATTTTAAAACTACCAATTTGAAGCAAATTCCTAGCGATTTACAGGGCTGGAAAGTGACTGATGCAGCTATGGCCGATACATTTAACCAGGATACCATGAAAGAAGAAACACAAAAAATGGATATACTTGAAAGTAACAAGCATCTTCACTTTTGGTGGTATGATGCTTATGAAAGGAAAGAAAAGGGTTATGTCTACCTATTTGGCAAAGTATTGAATAAAGGGACCAATAAGTATGTCAGCTGCTGTGTTACTGTCAAGAATATCGAAAGAAATTTGTTTATTTTGCCTCGCGCACGAAAATTGAATGGTATGTTCAAAATGCTAAAAGCTTTAATAACATATCGGATAGACTAACAAACAGAACCGTTTCCTTATATGTGACTGAAGATGAAGGAAACGCGACAGAAGAAGAAGTTAGTATGGCAGATGTCTATAGTGAAATATCAGAATTATGTACGAAAAAGGGAATCAGCAAATTCGCTTCAAAGGAAGTGAAGAGAAAATATGCGTTTGAATCACCTGATGTACCAACAGAAAGTAGCTATTTAAAAGTATTATACGGTTACGACCAGCCAGCATTCACTGGGGATGAAACGGGTAAATGTTTCAGTAAAGTATTTGGTGCGCCTACCGGGCCATTGGAGCATTTCTTAATCAAGCGTGACATTATGGGCCCATGCTGGTTGGATATTGCCGATGCTCAGTTAAATAACGTCAGCGAAACGTGGTGTAAAGTTGAAATCTGCGTTGAGGACCCTAAAACCGTCAACCCTCTTGTCGACGCTAGTGGCAACAGACCCACTCATTTTCCTCCTTTAGTTGTTATGTCACTCTGCTTACGTACAATTCTCAATGAAAAAAAGAATGTCAATGAAATTGTTGCCGCCAGTGCCTTTGTATGTGATTCTGTACAAATCGACAATGCTGTACCTATCGAGCAACTGAGCAAGTCCCGTTTTACAGTAGTTCGCCAGCTGGACAATAAGCCTTATCCTGCTAATTTTACTGAACTAGCTGCAAAAGAACGGAAAGAAAATGGATTTACCATTCAAGTAGAAAGAAAAGAAAACTCGTTGTTAAACTATTTAATTGCAAGAATTTATATGTGTGATCCAGACGTAATCGTGGGGCACAATTTTGCAGGATTCGATTTAGATGTATTGTTGCACCGTATGAAAGCTTTGAATATCCAAAACTGGCACAGATTGGGTAGATTAAAACGTAGAAAGTAAGTGTACAGCCCAGCAATACATTGCTAATGGCGTAACTATATCCAAAAGCACCAATAGAACAGTATGTTAACAGGGTAATTTAACCAATAGTTGGCCTAAACTACAAGCAGGAGCTGGTGGCGCTGGGGAGTCTACCTTCCAAGAACGTCTGATTATGAGTGGCCGACTTGTTTGCGATACCTATTTAGCCTCCAAAGACTTGATTAGAAGCAAATCTTATCGTATGACTGACCTTGCTCAATCTCAACTCAAAATTCATCGCGAGGATATAGAATTTGGCAAATCTGCAGATTATTTCGATCATTCAGATACACTTTTACACTTGCTAAAACACTGCTCATTTGATTCTTTCTTGGCTATGGCCCTTATGTTCAAGCTGCAAATTCTACCTCTGACACATCAGTTAACGAATTTGGCTGGTAATATGTGGTCTCGTACAATGACAGGTGCAAGAGCCGAACGAAATGAATATTTGTTACTACACGAATTTCACAAGGCCAAGTATATATGTCCTGAGAAAACTTATGGTGGCTCAAAGACAGCAGTTGTCCAAGCAGCAGAAATGGAAGACGACGAAGAAGCAGCAGCCTTGGCATCCAACAGCAATAATAAAAGAAAGACAGGTGGCGGTCGACGAAAGCCGGCTTATTCTGGTGGTTTGGTTTTGGAGCCGAAAAAAGGTTTCTACGATAAATACGTGCTGTTACTCGATTTCAACAGTTTGTATCCATCCATTATCCAAGAATACAACATATGTTTTACGACTGTAAATCGTGCTTCATTTACTGAAGGAACCGGAGAATCTGGCGAAGAAAAAGTGCCAGATTTACCTGACGAGACTTTGCCGCAAGGCATCTTACCACGACTGATTAAAACTCTGGTTGACCGTCGTCGCCAAGTCAAAGATTTGATGAAAGGTAACATCTCCGAGGCAGAATATACCCAACTCGATATTCGTCAGAAAGCTCTGAAACTCACAGCCAACAGTATGTACGGTTGTTTGGGTTTTACACATTCTCGGTTTTACGCCAAACCTCTGGCTATGCTGATTACACATAAGGGTCGTGAAATTCTTCAAAGCACTGTAAATTTAGCCGGCAGCTTGGATATGAACGTTATTTACGGTGATACTGACTCCATTATGGTTTACACTAATCAAAATGATTTAAACGAAGTGAAGAAAATGGGTACTATTTTACGAAAAGCAGTCAACAAGCGCTACAAGCTACTTGAAATCGGTATTGACGGCTACTTTAAACATATGTTATTGTTGAAAAAGAAAAAATACGCTGCCTTGCTAGTCGAAGAAAAGCCAAATGGTGAACTAGTCGAAACAGTGGAGACGAAGGGTTTGGATCTAGTGCGTCGTGATTGGTGTGATTTATCGCACGATGTATCTGAGCGTGTTTTGAACTTTATATTATCTGACCATGATCGAGAGGAAGTGGTTACGGAAATCCATGAATATTTAGAAGTGGTGGCAGAGCAGATCCGACAGGGCGATGTCCCTTTAGAGAAATACGTTATCAACAAACAGCTTACTAAGCGACCACAAGATTATACAGATGCAAAAAATCAACCTCATGTCCAAGTTGCTTTACGTTTAATTGCAGCAGGTCATAATGTCAAGAGTGGCGATACCATACCTTACGTTATTTGTAAAACAGACGAAGAAACAAGTGGAGACAAGAGAGGTTCTGCTTTGAGAGCCTACCATCCTGACGATGTGATAAAAAATAATATGCAACTGGATATTGAGTGGTATCTTCATCAACAGGTTCACCCACCCTTGACCCGTCTATGTTCGCCTATTGAAGGCACAGATCCTGCTCGACTTGCTGAATGCTTAGGTTTAGATACAAGAAAATACAACTTCGCTCACACCAGCACCATTGCAGAAGAAGAAGATCCGGAATTCGCAACTTTAGACTCTCAAATTAGTGATGAAGAACGTTTCCAACATTGCGCTCGACTGCATTTGAGGTGCCAATATTGTGGTGAACAGGAGCAGAACGTATTTGAGAGCATTATACGGGTTTCAAACGATTCTCAAATTGAAAGTGGCTTTGACTGCACTAAATGTCATATTACTCTGGGTCAATCAAGTATACGTGTTCAGGTTATAACAGCTATCCGAAAACATATTCAAAGATATTACGAAGGATGGTATGTGTGTGATGATGTAACTTGTAATAATCGAACACGCATGTTATCTGTATTTGGACGAAGATGCATTCTTGATAATTGCCGTGGAACCATGAAGAGAGAGGTAAAATCGTACAACAATCATTGCCCATTCATAATGAACTCATTCGATATTCTTCCTATTAGTACACGGATAAGCAATTATATACCCAGCTTTTGTATTTTTCCTCTATCTTTGATCCCTCAAAAGCAAAGGACAAATACCTATCAGGACCCTTCGCAGGTAGAATCATGAAATTTTTGGAGCATGATAAAAACGGCTAACTAACAAAGCAAATGTTTCCATTTTTCTTTTATACCTAGATCAAGCAGAAGTCATCATTAACAAACACACTGCATTACTAATCTCCCTCCAAGCAATTGCAGATTTATATCTTGACAGATCGAAATATCGTCACATTGACCTTTCACAGTTGCTATCCCGACTGAATATTTAATTACTATCTTCATACTTAGAATTGCTTTATTACGTTCCTTGTTCAATCCCAATATAACTGATATGTACATAGTAGTTTACTTTCATTGATTTTCAATCTCAAATTCAATTGATTTTTGTTCAATATCAAAGATGATGGTATTATGAAAGTGCGTGTAAGAGTTAATCGCACTTTGAGAGAAATTCAATGGCTGTAGTTTTAATCAAATAGTTGCGTTTTTACAGTACTGCTTGTCCTATTGGATCTGCTTTAATTTCTGATAGATCGATACTTTCATCTTTTTCTGTATCAATTTCTCCAATGGTGCACCTATAATATAAGCTATCGTTAACAAACATTTGTACTTTGCAAGTGTCGGTTTTCGAGTATAACTGTTCATACACATTATCGCCCCTTATCAAAAATAAACCAAGTTTAACAACTTCTGTTCCTTCGCTGGAGAATACACGCTCTTCACAATGTTCCAAAATGATGTTCGCTGTTTGGTCAGTTCCTCTTAATGTGCCCTAAAAAAGCATACAAATATTAAACACGTGTTACAGCGCTGAAGCTCGATTCTTCAATTATTTGCAATGACTAGCTTTACAATTAAAATTCTGCCATCGAGAGTGAGAACTAAAACTTTATCTATTGTATTGATTATTTAATAAGCTCTTATTAGCTTGAATATTCCTTTGAAATTGTTGGTTTAGCTGCTTATTTTTCCACTCTAAGGATCGTAAGTACATACTGTCAACGTATGGCTGAAGTAAGCTCATTTGTGTAAAAGATAAGGTTGTTTAAAGATTTTCAAAGTAGAGATCGCTGAAAACGATCTAAAATTATATCGAAAAGGTTCAAAACGAAAATGCGTGTATTTTTTTTTCAAAAAAAAAAGAAAAACTCAAGCACACTACGGGCATACCATTTAGCTTTGGATGTTAAGTCACACCGAGCACGATCAATATAAATTAGACACGTTAAAGACGGACGCTTAAATATTACTGCTCTCTTGTTGCTATCACACAATGTCAAAAGGCAATGCTCCCTTGAAAGTTGCCTTTGTTCACCCTGACCTAGGCATAGGTATATAGCCTACTTTTCGAACCTATAGACAAAAGCGTCAACTTATACTTTGTGCTGATTTTAATACAGGCGGAGCAGAACGGCTGGTAGTTGATGCTGCCATGGGCATTCAGAGCAAAGGTCATATTGTCACTATGTACACCAGTCATCACGATCCAAACCATTGCTTTGATGAGACTAGAAACGGAATGTTGAGAGTATGTGTGATAGGCAATTTTTTACCTCGTAGTTTGTTTGGCCGATTCTATATTGTTTTCGCTGTTCTTCGACAATTAGCTCTAGTTATTTGGCTTTTGTTCCATGAAAAAAATACATACGATGTTATTTTTTTGGATCAACTGAGTAGCTGTATACCCTTATTGAAATGGTTCTCTTCGACTAAAGTAATAACTTATACTCAAATTCATATAAGAGAAATCGATTAGCTGATGTGGAACTATTATCTTAGGTATTATTCTACGGCCATTTTCCAGATGCATTTTTATCCAAGCGAGAATCAATATTAAAAAAGTTATACAGATTACCTTTTGATAAGATGGAAGAAGTGACAACAAACATGGCAGATACAATTGCGGTTAACAGTCAGTTTTCAGCAAGTATGTTCAACAAGGCATTTTCCTCAGGATTGAAACAGGCAACTGTACTCTATCCACCTATCAATTTTGCCTGCTATGACAATTCTGTTGATATGTCAGATCCTACTGTGAAGTTAATCGAAACGTAAGTTGTTGAATATGAACTTACTGAGAAATCCAACAAAAACCATTTATGTTATCTACCTTTATTCTGTAGGAACAAGAAGATTATTGTTTCGATTAATCGATTTGAAAGAAAAAAGAATATTGAGTTGGCATTAAGAGCCTTTGCTTTACTAGAGAAGAACAATTTGCTACCGAAAGACGATTTCCAACAAAATTATCGTCTTGTTTTGGCCGGCGGTTATGATAAGCGAGTCGTAGAAAATGTTGAATACTTGAAAGAATTGGATACCTTAGCTACCAAAATATTCGGTTTAAAAACGTTTACCATCTACCCAAGCCCGGGTATTCAACAACAACATGTACCTGAAGATGCTCAAGTCGTTTTCTTATGTTCTTTCAATGATGCTCAACGCACTTATCTATTGAACCGATCAATAGTGCTCCTCTATACTCCTTCTAACGAACACTTCGGTATTGTTCCCATCGAAGCCATGTACACAAGATTACCAGTGATTGCCACAAATAGCGGTGGACCTTTGGAAACTGTTATAGATAAAGTGACTGGTTTCAACCTTCCACCTGAGCCTGAGAAATGGGCAGAAGGCATCAAGGATCTTACATTAGGCAAATATGATAGGGCCAAAATGGGAGAAGTGGGCCGAGAGTATGTCAAGTCTAAGTTTTCTTTGGAGGCATTCTCTGATCAATTAGAAGATATGATGGTGCAATTAGTATCGACACCGAATGATCACCATTTCGGAGGGCCCTTGGCTTTTATCCTTGTAGTAGTGTTTGGTTTACTTTCTGCTTTCATTTACTCGTATTTCCAATAAAATTATGTGAGGGGTTTGAAAGTGTCCAATCAACTCAGAGATCAGCAATTCACACCAGTGCTTATCGCCCTTCAAATTTGTAATTATAAAAACAACTCTAGCAACTTACAATATAAAGTATCTTAATAATACTTGAAATGCGAAGTGCTACATTCATATCGAACTGCTACCGATATTAACCAAGGGCTGTTATCCTAGCTTCTCAGCAAGTTATTTCAGACCCCTTCGCAACCTCCTTTAAACTGCAAACCTTTTTCAAAGGCTTACGAATAGTACGCTTATTTGGACCACGTGCAGACATGCATGTACGCTTAATTTGCTGGACCTTATGATTTCAATAACTTTAGGAGTGGCTAGAGAACGTATGAAGCATCACAGTGAAGAAGAATTGATAATTAGTTTTTATTTTTGCCTCTTTCCACCTTTTTCTTGTCATATTGGTAAAGGTTGGGAGAAACGCAATGAGTAAAGATGAGCTTTTATTGTGGGGTGTAATAATCTGCATAATGAACATGAACCAAGAGGCACCTGACCTTATTATGTTGGTAAAGAAGTGTTAATAATCCACCTTTATACCACCCTAGACTACATAAGCATTGTCTGCATCTTTTATTGGTGTGCAACCGGAACAAAAAGAAAAGAAAATATTGTAAAACCGCATGTTCAATTACATAGCTTTAGAACTTCTTTGTTCTATCAGAGACAGCTCCTCAATTTTCGAAATAAAACTTTTTTCTCATTTTTCCTTTCAAAGATTGTTATTTTTCAAAAATAATGAATAACGATCAGCATCACCCGTTTCAGGTCACAAAAGAAACCGATGAATACACTCAATTATTAACTGAGTTGCATTCTGATTACTGTAACGAGCAACCCTCTGACGTTCTGCAGTTTTGTGCAAATTTCTTCATTCAAAAACTGGAGGCGCAACGCGCTGCTTTTAGACATACAAACCTCCATCAGCAAACTGAGGAGCGCCTCCAACGGCCCACTAATACTCTGTTTAATAGTAAGTAACTAAAGGCGTATTTTATCCCATATGCGGCGAAAATTTATTCGTCTTTGAAACATTATGAACCTTTGTATATGTGTTTAACTATACAAACAAACGAGCAGCTTAACCAATTCTTTTATTTGTTTTCAATTTTCTTTTTATCCTTCCTCGGAACGTACTTGCTAGACGACAGCAGTAGTAATGATTTACACCCATTGTCTGCACAATGTAGTTTTACAGACGAGTATCCTGCGAACGGTAACCCTTTTCAATGGAATCAAGATACACAAATGACCAACACAACAGCTGAGGATGAAGAGCGTGAGGAAGAAGAAGAGGAGGACGATTTCGAGGAAGACGATAAATTCTCGACTGCACCTTTACCTTCTTTACCACCCGTCAACTACAACCGTGGTCGACGTACTTCCGTAAGTGCTGAATCCATGGCACCCAGCTCTCACAAAGAATTTGTTAAAGTTGTCATCCCTAAATCAGAGGAACAGATGGAACGTATCAAAAAGAGTATTAGCAATAACTTTTTATTCCGTAATCTCGACGAAGACCAATATATGGATGTTGTGCATGCCATGTCAGAGAAGCGTGTACCTAAAGACGTGCGTATTATTGAGCAAGGCGATGTTGGTGATTATTTTTATGTGGTAGAATCAGGCACTTTAGACTGTTATATTGGGGACAATAAGGTTACCAACTATGAAGCAGGTGGCAGTTTCGGCGAACTGGCCCTAATGTACAATGCACCTCGTGCGGCAAGTATTACTACTACATCGAACTGTGTTCTTTGGGCTTTGGATCGTATTACATTTAGAACAATTTTGATGGAAAACACATCACGAAAAAGACGCATGTACGAGGATTTCTTATCAGATGTTGGATTATTGAAATCGTTAGAGTCGTACGAGAAGCATAAGATTGCTGATGCTCTTGAATCAGTTTACTTTGAAGATGGACAGGAGGTGGTTAAGCAAGGAGATGTAGGAGATCAGTTTTATATTATCGAATCTGGTGAGGCTGTAGTGTTGAAAACAGAAAATGGCGAACAACAACAAGTGAACAAATTGGAAAGAGGCTCTTACTTCGGTGGTATGCTTATTTAAATGAAATAGATATGCAAAAATGGATTACTAAAATGATTATCAAATTAGAATTGGCTTTGTTGAACGATGTACCCAGAGCTGCAACAGTGGTCGCTCATGGCAGGCTTAAATGTGCCACACTTGGGAAAAAGGCATTTACGCGTCTTTTAGGTCCTGTATTGGATATTTTGAAACGTAATTCAGAGAACTACCATGCTGTCATCAATCAGCAAACAGTGTCAGCTTAGAGTAGAGAAAGAAGAAGAAGGAACGTTAGAGAAAAGCTGTATAAAATGTGTAATTTTTTTGTGTATGCATAAGCAGTTGCGTTTATGTTATGTACGAAATGTGTGTTTGGAGTTATCTAGTGCATGTTGTCTTGCAAACCTATAACTCCTTTCGCCTTTTTATTTTACGAATGCCCCTCCCCCTATAAGTTTACCCTGAATAAAATTCAAAACACTTAAACGCTTCAAAGTTGTAGATCTCCTGGTTTTTTTTTTTCTTTTGTTAAATGACCTGACCCCTTGTTCTTTTAACATAGTTAACGTAACTTGGAAGTTAAATTATGCTTTCTCTTCCTTCTTTCTTCTCTTTTCTCACATTTTCTTACTTCTTCAAATTAATCAAAGATGACCGATATCCAAAGTCCAATTGCACCCACGGCTATCATGTCTAGCTCCGTAACTGTTAGCAATACTAATAGTAACTCTATGGATGATGCTACCAGCACTGCTACATCTATGGTCATCAACCCTCCTCCAAGCAATACAACTACCTTATCGCCTCATTTACCTAGTACAGGTATTGCTAATTTACCAAATCAACGACACAAAATTGTCGCTAAAAATGGTGCCAACTTTACTATCATGGTTTGCGGTAAGGAGATAATATATCAAAATTATTGATTGCTCACATATGAAAACTTAATACCTTTCTGGTATTTGAAAATTATTAGGTGAATCTGGTGTTGGTAAAACTACTTTCGTGAATACACTCTTCACAACCACTATTAAGGAGCCAAAAAACTTAACTAAAAGACATCTCAAGACGCCTGCAAAAACTGTTCAAATCAATATCACTAAAGCAGGTAAAATTAAATTGGGGAAGATGAAAGGGGAAAAAACTTGTTGTGCGCAAGTTTTTAAATTTTTTGTGTTATGTTACGATTTAGAGCTGGAAGAAAGGACGTTCAAGGTTAAGCTCACCATAATTGACACGCCTGGTTTTGGTGATTATGTTAACAACAGACACAGTTGGATTCCTATCGTAGATTTTATTGATGATCAGCATGAGAAATACATGCGGCAGGAGCAACAGCCATGTAGAAAAGGTGCAATTGACATGCGAGTACATGCTTGCTTATACTTCATTAAACCTACAGGTCACACGTAAGGATAGAATATTCCTTTTCTTCACATACACACTCCCCCCCCCAACCTCCCGTCACTAGATATCGGCACCCTAACAGCTTTATCGCTATACTTATCAGCTTAACTCCTCTGGATATTGAGGTGATGAAGCGCTTAGGCTCTCGTGTCAATTTGATACCGGTTATTGCTAAAGCTGATACTCTGACACCTGCCAATTTAGAGAAATTCAAACAGAATGTATGGGAGTTTCAAGTATTTCTCTGAATTAGACAACTTCGTTTTAAAGAAACAATCGGCTAACCAGTGCTGCTTTTAGATTCGCGAAGTCATCGCTGCTCAAAATATCCAAGTTTACAGCTGCCCTATTGATAGCGACGATGAAGACACTACTTCACGCAATAAAGACATGATGGCCGCTCTTCCTTTTGCTGTTATTGGATCTACTCAAGATGTTATAACCACTGATGGCCGTAAGGTCAAAGGTCGTGAGTACGCTTGGGGTGTTGCCGAAGTAGAGAATGACGCTCATTGTGACTTTAAAAAATTGCGTAGCCTTTTGATCCGTACTCACATGTTGGATTTGATCACTACGACAGAAGACCACCATTATGAAAACTATCGCCAAGCTCAAATGGAGACGCGTAAATTTGGTGAAGCCCGTACTCAACCAACGGAAAATGCGAAATTCAAGGAAGATGAAGATGTTTTGCGGAAGAAGTTTACGGATCAAGTTAAAGCTGAGGAGCAACGTTTCCGATTATGGGAGAAGCAGGTAAAGAAGTTGATACCATGAAAATACATGTCTGATGAATAGACTATTAAATTCTCGTTTATTGTGTCTAAATAGTTGCTTAATGAAAGAGATCGCCTTCATAAGGAGTTAGAAGCACAAGGCGAAAGGATCAAAGAATTGCAAAGTGAAATAGAATCTTATTATTATCACCAGCGAGACAAGTCAATTAGAAAATAATATGTGATCAGATCTTCTTTTCTTAGTAGCTTCTCCTTAAAACAATAGCATTTATACAATACTAAATTAGATCCTGAAGGAAGCTTGTCGACCATCTTTACAATTATAGGCAAATAAATTACTTTTTTTTGACTTTCGAACACTCGTAGAATTTCCGACAGGGAAGTAAATTTGAAATCAACATCTTCAGACATGGCAAAAATATAGCAGTTAATTTTAGAAAGACAAACATTTATTGATTATATTGCGAAAGATAAATTAAAAGTTAATTCATAATAGTATGCATACCTATGTTAATAAAATGAGATATTAGTACAGCTATTAAACAAATAGGTGCAGATTGATTATTTTGCTTGAAAAGATGCAAAAAATTAGCAAGGTTTCATCTCTATTTCATCTTTCAGAATAAAGGTTTCTTTCAACGAAGATCTCAAACTGAGCTGGGTTTAGATGTATTAGCATTAGGTGTTCATCACTCGAGATGAAAAGAGATAGAATAAAAAAAACCAGGCTAACCAATTGCACGCAGTTACAAGCATAACGCAGAACTGCATTACTAATCAAACTATATAATTTTGCCGGTACTTACTTTAATCAAAATGTTCGTCGAGAAGAAAGTAGAAAGAAAAGGGAAGTCGAAAAGACGAAATGCCAAAGAATGGCCTTTAAATACCATTTTACGCTCCAAAAATTTTTTTACTGCTTTTTCCGTTTTGACTGCTACCAAAGTCACTGTTTTCACTTTCAGTTGCTTCATTTAGGTCTGGTTAGCTAATCTGATTCAACTTACCGAACAAGTAGAACAAAAAGCTCTGTAAACATATCCATCATAAAAATTCAGTCAAATTAAGGTCATAGGGAAGAAGAATTGCAATCTTGCATTTATTACGTCCTTATTCATGACGTATGACAATAATAAACAAATGCCCTTAGATGTTTAACTCTATTTTTGAAACCCTTTTAAATTTTACATTACAGTTGAAGTTGCCTGACTCTTTACATCACATTTGCTTGATCCAAATAATTAGCCTTGCTGGCAACTTCATTGTTACAGCAATGTTTAAAAGTGCTCGTTGACCAGACTGGACGTGCCTTGCACAACTCTGGGCGGGGCCAACTTCCTTTAGTAAACTTCCATACAACCCAAACACTATCGCATATTGTGGTTGGTTTTTTTTTTACTCCTTTTTATTGTTAAACAATCGAAAAACCATGATGTTACATGCGTTGTATCAAAGAATGTACAAACCAAGAACTAGAGACTTTCTTTTTATTCATTTCATTCTTATTTAAGCCTTGTTAGCAGCCTTTTGGAATCTGAAACGAGGAGGGGGAAGACGGTTGCGACGATCAACGGCAGAACGGACACGGACAACACGAGCGTGAATGGCACAAGAGACACAGTAATGAAGCTTGACATACAACTTGGGGATAGCGTATTCTTCATAGACAGAAGCTTCTTGAAGATCACGGACGGCAGCGGCTTCAACCATGTTACGGATAGTGAAGCGCTTAATGGCCTTGTCCTTGGGACAACAACGGTAACAGTTGATACAGCGAACAAATTTGGTGTGGCCACGACCGTGCTTGTTACGTCCGTTATTTCTTCTCTTACAGGTCTAAGGAAAGCGAATGAATAGACTGATCAGTTTCATTTCTCTTGTTGCTACAAGCACACATGCACATTTCGACAGAGAATGGATATAAAAAATGTACAAAGCTGCTAAATGACAAAGTGATCCATTCAAAATAATGCAAATTTGTAACTCGACTACTTTTTTCTATGAAAAATGCAACAATAAGAAATTGAAAGACTGACACATGCGATGATTCCATGCAGGACTTGTAATTGTAAGAAATTCTGTAGGGCTGATTGAATCATGTATCATCCATCCATTCAATTTATCCATCAATTTTCGATCTGTTTAAACAGCTTTGTACTCTTTGCATATATCCATCCGTGCTGCTGTTATCCATTGCTGATGCCATGATACTAACCATATTATATGATCGAAGGTATCTCGAGAAAGGGAGATTTCACTAAATGTATTTCATGTCTTTTAATCTCCAGTACTACTTTCCCCCCACCCCCCCCCCCCCCCCCCCCCCCCGAGATGGATCTTTCCTAAGGCAGACACAGAGATTTTTGCCCGCCGATAAAGTAACCCATTCTGCGGCTGTTGAATTTTTTCGACCTTTTTTTACGTATAGGCCGAAACTGCTGCATTATCATGTAGACGAACTATACATTTTGTATACCACCAGATATTAAAAGTATCAATATGAGCAATAAACCACTTGATGAGGAATATATCGATATTGACGACACCTATGGAGGAGCTCATGATGAGGAGCCTGGCAATGGGGGTTATGCTTGGGAAGAAGAATATAAAAGAAGTTGGGATGTTCTTCAAGAAGATGCAGAAGGTAGATTAAGTAGTGTAGTTTCACAGCTACAGCAGCAAAGAAAAAGACGAAGGTTGACAATCACTATATATTTATAAAAATCTTATTCATTGTTGGATTCCCTTATTGACGCGAAAACTCTACTCTCTTCTAATAGACTACTTAAAGATACTGCTATTGTTCAGCGTGGGATTATTCGACATCTTTTCTTAATCATCGATCTTTCAGAAGCCATGACTGAAAAGGACTTACGTCCAAGCCGAGTAGAGCTTAGCTTAACCTATGCACAACAGTTTGTTACAGAATACTTTGACCAAAATCCAATATCCCAGCTTGGAATTATTGTTACGCGAGACGGTATAGCAGAAAAACTGACAGAGTTAAGTGGTAACCCCACTGATCACATTAGAGCTTTGAAATCAAAAAAGAACACAGAAACAAGTGGAGAGCCATCATTACAGAATGCACTACAACTAGCGAGAGCGAGTATGAAGGGTGTTCCTAGTCATGGAACCAAAGAGGTATTAGTGATTTTCGGCTCGTTAACAACATGTGATCCTGGGAAGATAAGAGATACAATCGAGTTGTTGAAGCAGGACTTGGTGAGAGTTAGTATAGTAGGACTAGCAGCAGAAGTTCAAATATGTCGAGTTATATGTGAAGCAACAAAAGGTAATATTAAAGTAGTATTGGATGATGTATGATATATATTTTAATTCTTTCTTAATCTTTTCATAGGTACATACGCTGTCGTCTTGAATGAAGGGCATTATAAAGAGTTATTGTTCGAAAGAGTCCCACCGCCGCCTATCCTTCCACACAAAAATACATCGAATTTAGTCACTATGGGATTTCCAAGGAGGTTGATTGAGGATCATGCTACGTACTGCGTGTGGTAAGCAGGATGGATAAATTATCTTAAATTGACAAGAGAGATTGCATGGTTAAAAGGATCAATTTATCACAGTCATCAAAAATTGACAGTGGGCGGCTATATCTGTCCGCGATGCAAATCAAAGATATGTGAATTACCCAGTGATTGCGATATCTGTGGTTTAACACTTGTATCATCACCACATCTAGCAAGATCATACCATCACTTATTTCCAGTCGATAATTTTATTGAAGTTAAAGCTAACACGTAAGTGTAGGAATGAAAAAAGGTAGCCAATTGTAAATTAGACACTTATTTGTTTACTTTTTTTTTTTTTTTAATTAGTGAGAAACGAACGAATTGCTTTTCCTGTTTAGCGCACTTTGATAGTTTAGAAGCGTTGGGCATATATTCTTGTCCTCAATGCGCAGAAGAGTTCTGCGCTGATTGTGATATATTTGTTCATGAAGTTTTACATAATTGTCCTGGTTGCTGGAGCATTGGTAAAAAACTAACAGCGGCGGAACAGCAAGAACAGCAGCAATAATCAGTTTCTCCTTGTCTCACGGATAATTCCGTGGGCATAAAATGGCTTATTCATATTGGATTAAAAGGGGTATTTCATTGAGCTTGTCTCTGTCCGAAACGTAGCGTATCCGTCAATTGATTAAGAAAATGAAATATTATGTAACCCTTGTACATAAAACCACCACATAAATATGGGAACAAATCGAGCAATTTTTATGTTTCTTTCTGGTTTTTTTTTCTCCTTATTATTTGTTTTTTTCATTACTGTTTCAAAGATTCGATAACACTACAGATACCAAAGCCAAAGTTCATGATGCTCAATGACATACCCTCAGAAATCGTTTTTAGAATAATTTTATATTTATCCTGCAACGACATATCAAATCTACGATTAACCTCAGGAAGAATGCGTTTTCATTGTGATCAACCGTATTTATGGAGGTCTATATACTTAAGGCCATCCTCGCCGCCGTTAAAGGAAAAGAATTATACTGAAGGCCATGCGACAGTGTTATGGAAATTGACAGATCTGAAAAAAATAATTGACGTGCATCTAGAGCATATAAAATCAATCCAAATTTGGGGAGTGAGGGACAATATTGTTCACTATTTGCTATCATCATGCCCTAATTTGCATCACCTGACCATATGCGGCTGGGCCACACTTTCAGACCACTGCTTGAAAGTTTTACCCTCACAAACACCACTCAAGCTTAGAACTCTGAAGTTAATAGGTACCTCCGAACAAATGAATTTTGTTTCGGTGGACGCTTCTGCGCTGGGGAAATTACTGGTTCAAACGCCCGATATGACAGACCTTGTATTTGGTTGTAAAATGCATATCCATGCAGATATACTACTGAATGAATTGGAGCAAAGCATAACAACCCAGGAGCAGCAGCAAAAGAACCAACAGTTTCAACGTGGATATGATCTGAGATATCTAATTTTGGCGGCTCAATCGACTTGGTTGCATGATCATGTGGTGCGTCTCATCAAGATATTTCCAAGGATTCAAAAAATCTACTTGCTCTCTAAACTGGTATACGACGATATAAGTTGCTTTTTTACAGAAGGCGATTACAGTAATAAACTAGAAACTTGGCTTATAGAACAATCATTAATAAATGGATACACTTTCCTGAAATTTGATCAAAGCAAATCCATACCTCTAATTGCAACAGACAATATGGTAATTTATGATACATCACCCTTATATAATTCTGCGTAACGCATTCATCGTTTCCTTACTTCAAATACCCTTAATTTTAAGCCATAGATAATATAACCAACTTTATTGATTCAACCCTTACGGTAATTTTACTGTCTATTTATAAATAAAATTAAAATGAACTGCTACAGCTATGAATCCGTTTGATAAAGCAGCCCATCAATAATTATAATCACTTTTGCGCAATAGAGGAGCGCGATTATACAATTACATAATCGTTGCTGCTGATAGTGTAAATATAATAAATGTGTCTACTACAAGCAATGCAAAGTACTTTGCATTGATCAATCACAATCTGCTTTTTTCGATCACAAGGAACATTATTAAAAAACACATACAGCTTACTGTTCTATTTTACTATTTATTTTTCATAATACTCTTTTAATTCTATTTCTCCATCTTGTGCTTCTATTATATTTAGACAATAAATAGGTATAATTTATTCGAGTAGCTTTTTCGAAGACTTGCATTTTTCTATGATATTTCTATACCTTTTATGCGAATTATATCACATCCTCAATATAAAGCATCACAATTGCACTTGCGTATTAACTGCACATGTCATTTTACACTGTTTATACAATTCCATATGAATAAGCATTACTGGTTAAGAATTCAAGCAACGTTTCTCCCTTTTTAGCCGAACATTTTACTCTTCGTCGAACGCTCTTTCTTTCTGTTTCTCAGTGTAAAATGTCATAATAATCAATTTTACACTTCGTCTTGATAACCATTTTGTGACATCTCGCGCTGTTATCTAAAAACTGAAGCTACAAAAGGACTTGAGTATCGCCTTTTCCACCTCCCTGTTGAGCATTACTTCTCAGACACATCTTCAATTTTAAATAGCTTCCAGCAGAATCTCTTCTCTTTCTTCTTCTGAAATAACAACTAAATCTGCCCCTAATCCCTGACGTATGCCTTTCAAAAAAATGATCAAAAGTCAGCTCAAATCCTCCTCCTTCAAGGGCAAAAGCTCTAGGGGTTTCTTTCAAGGCCCAAATAAGTGTATTGCGACAACGTATCTTCAAATACGATAATGGAATATAGGTCTAAAGACTTAATCCATAAGGATTCTGTCGTAGCCTGATTTAAATACAGTACCGGCTACCCGTCCGTTATTGAGGTTTTCTTAAAGTTGGCTATTATCAATTTTGAACAATAATAATTGATCGTTTCAGATGCGTTCTCAAATGAGTTAGAGCTAATATCCACATACAAATCTCTTAGAGGAAACTGTGGAACTGTTTTTACAAACTTTTCTATGACCGTTCCTTTTCTTTAGGGAGAATATACTTATTTTGAGCGTCTTCAATTTAAGAGAAGGGTTCAGTAGCAACTCAACAAACATATCGCAATCCACAGCGCTGTCTATTAACTCCAAATAAGTCAAATTTGTCAGACTTTCATTCAATACATTCAGAGTATCCTTAATTACAAACCTTTTTTCATTGTTGTTGATAAAGGCCAAAACGACTAGCTTTTCAATCGTTGCAGGATTGTTGGGTTGTAACAGATTCAATAAACCATCGACATCTTTATGTTGCAGGGACAATCTGCGTAATTTACTCCCGTTGCTGTTTCTTATGCTCAACGCGTTGAAAAAAGAACAGGGTTTACTTCAGGATTCACAAGCTTAGTCATTATTCATAAAGCTAATGATGCTGCCTGGCTTAAGTCTGACGGTACGCTATGAAGCGTCATATGTAAAGATTATTCAAATTTTGGAGAAACGTACATTACATCGATTGAATCGTTTCCTGTACATAAGCTTACTGTCATTTTCCTCAGACTATAGTCTCATTAATCATCAACTAAGTCAAATGCTGAGCGATCAGTTTCTGTATCAAATGCAAAACTATCAGATAATACTAAGCTAGTAAGCTTGAGTAGCTTTGGTAGCTTGAGTAGCTTTGGTAGCTTGAGTAGCTTTGGTAGCTTGAGTAACTTGAGTAGCTTGAGTAGCTTGAGTAACTTGAGTAGCTTGAGTAGCTTGAGTAGCTTGAGTAGCTTTGGTAGCTTGAGTAGCTTGAGTAGCTTGAGTAGCTTGAGTAGCTTCGGTAGCTTCGGTAGCTTGAGTAGCTTTTTGTATTTGTTACGGGTTTACTGTTTGTTTGAATGAGTTGAAGAAGGCCACTATAGATATGAGATCAGCTGAAGTTAATGCTATCATAGCTACATACCTCAATGTGATAGTGCAATGATGCCTAGTTCAAGTAGTAGCAGGAGAATTATTACCCAAGCTAGTGAAGCTACCGAAGCTATGGAAGCTACTCAAACTACCCAAAATACTCAAGCTTCCCTTCTTTTTTTCAAAGAAAGCGTGATACCTCTTTTTGTATTCTATTACGGGGTGGAGCAAGCTTGCCTCTGCTGTCATTTTGACGAGCCGATCGTGAGCTTTTATCCAGTTGCCGGTGATGCAATAAGCTATCCAAATTCATAAAAATAGAAAGATGAAAGGTGTGGAACGGCTGCTCTGTCTCTTGAACAATATTTCGTGGAGATCCAAGACAGAACCATACCATCGTCGGGGATCTACTACAAATAGAAAAAAATACACCGCACCGCCACCATCTGGATTTCCAACAACAATAACACTAGCAGCAGAGGTCAGTCGCCTGTATTCATTTGATGTGTATATAATACAGTAAATAAAGTGAATCTGATTATTCGTTCTTCAAATTTCGAATCGTTTAAGTATGTAATGACAATATGTAGACACAAATAATATGAACAGCTATAATTGAAATGGTCTCTTGATTTATACGTTTGTAATGGCGCGTTTCATCGAGAATTGCGATTCACTCAGTAATCTTATAAATCAAGCAAAGGAGATATTATTATGTGTAATTTTTGTTGCTTAAACGGCAGATAATCGCCTTGTTCAGTACTTTGATTTCTATTATTCCAGCAACTGATAAGAATGAAATGCAAGTTGATGAGAGTACAACCTCTGGCATTAAAATTGATACCATAGTCGTTTAGTAAATTACCGTTCACTTCCCAATGAGGTCCTTCCAAAAATAGATACCAATATTCTGTAGCCAGATTATACCGACATATTTTCGATGACTAAAATGAAATACTGTGACTGAATATGGGGTAATTATGTAAACTGTTGAGAACTGCCAATTTATCATTGCACTGGTAAACGGATTCCCTCTTCAATCTCATTGATAGGTATAAAGCGGAAAACATTTACCCATTTCCATCTGTGCGTTATTCATCAGAATAACATTTAGCTAAACTTTCTCTGATCAGCCACCTTTATGGTTAAATAACATTTCCCTGAAAAGGACCCCTACTCTATCGCTTGCTAAATTGAGATTCATACTCATTTGATTGTAAACATAGCTGCTGTTGACGAAGAAATCCTGTAATACTAAGCATGAGAATGAGGACATCATAATATCACAGATTGCGTGTGATACCATATTTGAATTTGCAGATCAAAAAGCCAGCGACTCACTGTTAATGGTACAGCCATTTTTTCGCTTGGTGTAACGTTATGTGATCTACCCAATTACATAACATGGACCCAAATCGCAGATGCATTGGCTTGAATTATTTTTCCGGAATTGTGAATTTTGTCAAATAATTTCCGCTGAGTTTCACCACATCATGTAAATTACTGAACATGGCATCGTAGGCCATGAAAGCATTAGTACATAGAGTTGAGTTAGAAGCCCATTTGAGCTGATGAACTATTGTCAGCAGGCTATCTGATAAATCTGATTTGAGACGGCAAGATCCTACTTACGACGTTGGCGCAGCAATCTTCATGTAGTTCGACTAGGCGTAGCAAATTTGCTTATCAAAGTGCATTCTGAACCTGAATCTTATACTTAACAATTCGAAAAGAGCTGAATCAGAACAGTTTAGCTATATAAGGAACGCTAATTTCTCTCTCTTTTTTGTTTTTTTCCAAAACCTTTTTGTTGTATAAACATCATGTGTGGATTCTGCTGTTACTTCAATTTCGATACATCTGATAACGTCTACCCCAATCTTGACCTTGATACAGCTCTGGAATATATTCACCACCGTGGTCCTGACTCTCGAGGCAAATATGTTTCTCCCGATGGTCGTTGTGGTACGTTGCTCGTTTCAGTAATTTATCTATTTCGGGAAAAGAGATTTAACAATATTAAGCGTTATTCGGGTTTATAATATAGCTTTAGGCCACGTTCGTCTTTCTATTCTTGACTTAGCTGGTGGTCAACAACCTTTAAGCAATCCCTCCGGTAAAATTCAGTCGGTTGTTAACGGTGAACTTTATGATTTTGAACGTATTAGAGGAGAACTGGAAGGACAGGGACATTTCTTCAAAACAAAGAGTGACAGTGAAATTGCTCTCCATTTATATGAAGAATACGGATTATCCTTCCTCGATCATCTTCGTGGCGAATTTGCTGCTGTCATCTATGATACTGAAAGAAACCATATTATTGCCGCACGTGATCGTTATGGCATCAAGCCTCTCTATTACACCGTCTCCCAAGGCACTCTTTTGATAGCAAGTGAAATCAAATCTTTCATTCCTCTGGGTTGGAAGCCTGAGTGGGATGTCGATTCTGTTTTGAACAATGGAACTTTCTTTGACAACAGAACTTGCTTCAAGGGAGTTTACAAAGTGCCCCCTGCTCATTATCTCTTAGCTACTGGATCTGGTTCTATGGAAATCCGCCCCTACTGGGATGCTGACTATCCGGATAAAAACGTTGAAGATCCTCGTTCTGTGGACGAAATGGTTCAAGGCGTCCGTGACCGCTTAGTTGAAGCTGTTCGACATAGATTAAGAGCTGATGTTCCTATTGGTGTCTATCTCAGTGGTGGTATTGACAGCTCATGTATTGCTGGTATTGCTTCAAAATTGCTCAAGGAAAATAACCCTGATGCTAGAATGAGAGCTTTCTCTATTTCATTTGCTGGCAGTGAAAAGTATGATGAAGGTGAAATTGCCGAAAGAACTGCCAAATTCTGCGATGTTGATTTCCACAAACTCAGCCTTACTGAAGACGATCTTTTGTCCAGCTTTGAAGAGTCTGTATGGCACGTCGAACAACCTCAATTTAACTTGAACAGCGTTGGTAAATTCTTATTGTCTGAATTTGCACGTGATCAAGGTTATAAGGTGGTGTTGACCGGTGAAGGCTCTGATGAGCATTTTGCTGGTTATTCATTCTTCCACGGCGATTATCTTCTCGAACCTGATCATTCTTCACCTCATGGTTTTGGTACTCTTTCTGAAGCTGACCGTGAAATCAGACTCAGCACATTCGGTAAGAACGCTGAATTCGCCAAATATTCGGAAAACCTTATCAACATGGAGAAGACTGAAAAACTGGATAAGACCCGTAAAATGGTCAACAATATCAAGACACACATGCTTGTGGGTACTGCGCTGAGTATGCCGTCCGAATTTTATCACCAAGCCGCTATCACTGAATGCGGTCAACCCAATGCTCCTCTCGCTATGGCTGAAGCTGTGAGCGGTGTTGCTCGTGCCAAGGCTAACAGCAAGTGGCACCCTCTTCATACTGCACTTTACTTGGAAGGCCGTACCTTCCTCGGTAATTATCTTTGCAATAACCTTGGTGATCGTTGTGAGATGGCCCACTCCATTGAAGCTCGTACTCCCTTCATGGATCATGTTCTTTGTGAGTATGTCAACGGCCTCCCACCTTCTCTCAAGATTAAGGCTGAGGAAGACGGTACATTGAATGAGAAGTGGGTTCTCAAAGAAGCTGTCAAGCCTTTCATCACAGAAGAACTCTACAAGCGTACCAAGCATCCCTATATCGCTCCTTCATCAAAGGGTCAAAACCCTAAGACTGTTGAATTGGTCAACAGGCTTATCAGTAGGGAAAAGATTGATCGTCTTGGTTGGGCTGATACTGAAAAGATTTTGGAATTCAAGGATACGTTCTTGAAGACCAACGATGCTGGTTTATTCAAGGATATTTTGTTCATCATGTCTTTTGTCATTCTCTCTGAACGTTTCAATGTTGCCACTTGGGAAGCTCCTTTAACTGTTGCTGCAGCTCGTTAAATCCTCCTATGTCCATCCCCCTATACATATCTCAATCTTCTCTTTTGCATTTAGATTCACTACTCTTGCTAATTTATTGCATTTTCCACCTTTTTTTTGTAACTATATATATATATATTATTGTTTCTTCTTGAAGAATAAACATTACCATGTAAATATTACTTACCTTTATAAAATAAACATTTAAAAGATAAGTTACCAAACTCTAATTACTTTAACTACGTTTAGAGTCCAGATTACTGTTCGTTGAAATGAATTCGCACAAACTACGGGCATCCATTTGAATTTTTCCGTGTTTTCATTGATAATGTAACTGTAAATGAAAGAATCAATGCATGCGTTCAGGAAGGGAATGGGTTACCATAAACAGATGATTATGTGAGTAATTCATAGAACTCTGACCTCATGCATATCTTTTACAGGCCCACTAGTTAATTTCTTCAAGTCGATATGAGATTTATTTCATAATTGCTTCTGATAATCCGTTTCCAAGCCTTTTACAGAGTACTATAAGATAAGCCGACATGGCGATATTCGCAGCATACAGGATTGTATTACGAGAGTAAGCAAAAAAAGTATACAAAAAACCAGCTATTCTACCGGTGGGATTCACTAAAGTTTACTGTGGGGAAGATCTACATCAAGCGGTTGTGCATTCAATATTGCCTAACTTTCAAAAGCTTTTGTTTCTTGTTTTTCCGGCTAGGTATGGCAGCGCTATGTAAAACGATTTTATTTTATTTCTGTTGTTACATAGCTCTTTAGAATTGTCCCCTTTCAACATTTATAACTTTATAGAAGGTAATAGTAGCATATCATTTCGTCAATAGGTAGCATTTGATTTAAGAGAGAAAGCTCTGCCATTCTCAGCATGGAATTAGATTTTTCTGGACCTGACACCTTGACTTTCAGGCTCAGTATGTTCTTTCTGAATATCTCAATACCGTTAAAGTTGTGTTAAAAGATGTGGGAGTAGTTGGTGAGGTTTGTATCTTCAGCAGAACCTGCCAGAATGACCGTGCTGTCAATGGGGTTGACTTCATTGTATAAATATCTCTTATAGCAGGAATCAGTTGGGAATTTGAAAACATGAACGTGTTAAGCGATATGCGACAATGCTCCCTTTTGCTATAATTGTAGCTTCCAATGAGCCTTTGTCGTACCGAGTACTCAATACAGGTGGTATTTTTTAAAAACTACTCTTCAATTGTGGAGCCGAGCCTTCTTCAGCTGCTAGATGACAGAGAGCCAGGATAATGCGGTCTGATGATTTGGCTCTTCCATTCAAAGCCATATACATTCCGTGGCTCATTGCGTAATTGAATATGCAAATGATTCCTTCTACTTTGTTCGGATCAGAAACGTAAGCAGGTGATAGTCTGAAGAAACAAAGATGGATTTCTTAACGAAGCTGCCAAAGCCTTAAACTACTGAAAATCTCCCAAAGCTACCAAGCATTATTTATTACACCCTTCTCCTTCTCTAAAGAAAAACAGAGTATTAAACTAGTCGAATCTATCAACACTCCATCTCAATAAAAGAAAGGTTTGATGTAACTGGCTAATACGGTAGTTAAAAAATATCACATTTGCTTTGTCGTCAGTTATATTCTACTTGAGAAAAAACTATTACAGTGTAGCAACTCAGGTGAGGATATCTGAAGCTGGATCTGCTCACGCTTACTAAAAAAATGTACTATTTACCAGTAACATTGAAAAGCTTCCTGTTGCTCAAGAACGCACGAACATAATTAAATCAGGTATCGGCTCTATAAGTTTTCGGTGTCACGGTTAAAAATTGGGAGGGACTTTAGAAAGTCCTACTTTCGTACCAGTTTTCAGTAGCACTTACGGAAGTAACGATCTCTCGTTCCTTTTTTTTTTTTTTTTTTTTTTTTTAACCAATGAAGGTTCAATTTACATCTTGTACCTTAGCCTCAGAATGGTGTTGGGCCGTTAAAGACTCAAACGATGTCTGCGGCATCTGTCAAGTTACGTTTGATGTTGCTTGTCCAGCGTGTAAAATGCCCGGTGACGAATGTCCTGTCATTTGGGGTGTCTGTACTCACGTCTTCCATTTACACTGCATAATGAAATGGCATGAAAGTTCGACCAACGGCGAAACTTGTCCTCTCGATAGATCACCTTGGAGAACACTGGCTGCTTAGTTGAAGCTTTATTGGAAAAAAAAAACAAACTATCCATCCTATTCCATCATCTTTCCCATTGGACGGATTTCACTCACTCAATGACAAAAAAAGCAAATGGGACATACTCTCAGTTGTAATTTCTTATGATCCCTCTACATCCTATTCCCACCTCGTTCAATTTACATTACACCATAACTTTTACAAACAGATAGACAATGGCTCTCCCAATGAGTCAATGAAATAAATAAAGTCCGTCAATGGACATTTTCAATAAAGATCGATCGTCTTCAAAAGAGGGTGTTTATTGCGTATCAAAAAGCTAAATTTAGTTCTTGTAGGAGATGACACCATCGAAACGTTGCTTGAACCATTCTTGAGCTTCTTCCTATATACGTATGAATGTCGAGTGGATATAGAGCGTTAGTACACTACTTTATGTAACGTCATAACGCAAGAATAAATTCAACATTACCTTGGTGATACGGTGGTTAGTACCAACCTTGGCCTTACAGTGCTTTCTACGGGAGACACGATAACCAGGGCGACCCATGACAACATAGTAATCCATACCATAAATACCGATAGAGGGATCGTACTTGATACCCAAATCGATGTGTTCGTCAATACCGAAACCAAAGTTACCGGTTTCAGAGAAGTTACGAGCCTTGAGTTCGTATTCCTTGACCTTCAAACCACGTTCGAGGATTTCTTCGGCCTTGGGGCCACGAACGGTGACGTGAACGGCGATCTTTTCGTTACGACGAATGGAGAAAGTACGAACAGTGTAACGGGCCTTGGAGTAGACAGGAGTTTGACCGGTCAATTGTTCAAGAACCTTGGCGGCACGGGTAAGTCTATCACCAGATTCACCGACACAAATGTTGAGAACCAACTTCTCAATCTTGAGGTTGCGCATGGGGTTCTTGGTGACCTTCTGTTCTTCGGCGCTCTATGAGAATAATGCGTTGAGTGAGGGTTAATAAGCTGGCTTTTCCTATTGATATTTTTATTATTTTTTTCAGCAGTTCAAAAACTTTAAGCAAAAAAAGTTGCTGTGTGTGTACAATAGGAATGAAAGTGCTTGCACTGACGAGTTAAAGTGGTTTCGAATGCTGGAATGTTGCTGTTTTCGATGGGACTCTGGAGTTTGCTTTTTTGTTGGTTTTTGTAATGTCATTTTGATGTTGGCCCCCCAATGGAGTTGACTGATATACATAGGTTGTACCGATTCATCGATGTCTTGCTATTTTCATCCATTGTCCATCATCCATCTAGCATTTCTAGATTCCTATTCTATACAAGCAGCAACGTATTGCCCTCGTTTAACAACTGCCTTGTGATCATCCTACCATTGTTGGACTATATCGAAGCTAAAAGAGGGAGAATTATGACTCGTAACTGACAGTTTCGAGATATGCTCTTGCAATTACATCCGACATTTGACATTATCCTTGACATGAAACTCCGGCCCGGAATTCTAAGTAGTGGCATAAAAACGTCTCACGGTTATCCACGTTTCTATTAAAAAAAAAAAGGGCTGCAGATGTGAGGAAAAAAATGAACGTAGAAAGAAGCCCCCACCCTATGATCCATTGAGTGAAGCATGCAGTTAATGACAATATACAATCAACATGTTTTTATATGTAATTTCTGTTATTTCTTGTATTCAACATAAACTCGAAATGGAAATTAAAAGGGGAAGGGAGAGAAAAACCCATAAGAAAGAAATGGAGATTTTTATTGAATAATGAAATAATTAAGAAACTTAATGCTTCTTGCTCTATAGAAGATGAAATGTAAAGGATGTTTTTAAAGAGAAAAAGAAAAGAGTCAGAAAACATGTTTCTTTTCAACATACACACATAAAAAATGATAAAAGATGTGCTTACCTTAATCTTACGAAGGTAGAATTCGAGTTCCTTACCTTCGAGGATGTAACCATCACAACGACCAGATTGACCAGGACGAGAAGCGATAACAGCATAAAGACGACCAGCATTGAATTGATCGTTCAAGAGAGGATCAATGGCAGCAGAGGCAGCACGAGCTTCGAGCTTCTTTTGAACAGCCTTGGACTTCTTTTCAGCAGTTTCCTAAATAATTTCAATTGTGTGAATACAAAAAAAACTCATCCACGAACACGGGTGATTTTGCTTTCAAAGAAGGAAAGAGAGATACTTACAGCTTCAGTAGCCTTGTTCTTACCGAGAGTCTTGGCATAGTGAGATTCGTACCATTGACGGAAAGGAGTGGCATCAATTTGGATGACGGCACCCTTGACGAGAGTGTTGGTACGGACCAATTCGTTATTGGAAGCGTTGTAAACAACAGTCAAGACACGAGTCTTACGAGAGATACCTTCAGAACCCCAAGAGAAGTTACCGGATTCAAGACGGAGAGCACGACGCTTGTAGTTACCACCACGGACACGAACAAGGTGAATACGCTTGGCACCCAACTTGGTGTTGGCGGATTGACGACCCAATTCGAACCTTTACAATGGAGAAAAAAAAATGGGTTAGACCATCCGACATGAATTCACTTTCCAATGTAGGTTGACAGATAGAAAGCGCAAGATCGGCTGAGAAAAAGAGCGACAAACAAGACTGCTTTCTATGAAAAAGATAATGGATCGGTTTGATGATGAATAAAAATGGATGCTCATGGTGTTTTGTACGTTGTAGGAGGTTGTTTGACAACAAGGCGCTTGGGTGGTTTCCATTCCATTTTCTCTTTTTCCTTCCTATGCTCGCAACTTGTTTGACGTTCTCAGCTGATCAGGCATTTCCCAAAATGTAGGTAGTCTATCTACTCACTTTCTCTTCTTTCTGTATTGTGCACGTCTAGCACCGGAGGCGCTGCGCTTGTGGCGTGAATCACGACTGATACCTAATGTTCCATGATAAAAGATTAGGTTTCCGTTTTGGATGGATAGATGACGCTAATGGATGTAATGTAATAGACTGTATAGATGATCTTTACCCATGGTGTATTTAGAGAAGGAACTCTTTTGCTTTTGCTGTTGGATTCCATTTTTGTTTGCTTTGCCTTGGGAGGTAAAAAATTAGATAGCACTCCGCATCCTCTTCGCTTCCTGAGGAATTCCGGTGGCTTGTTGCCTCCGAAATAGACAAGCGTCCGAAGCGGAATGCTCCGATTTTCCCCCTTACTTTTGTTCCCGTCCACTACAAAACACCTAAACACACCATACACCATCGGGGAGATCAAAGTATAAAAATTTATATAAAAATACATCATGGAAGAGTGCAATACATACAGGATGAAGAAAAAAAAAAAAGAAAAAAGCATTAGGATATAATACAATGACCTATTCATTACATTTAGGAAAGAATAAATTACGGGGAAGGAGAGAAAGGGAATGGGATCGATGTTTTACATTATATTACATGAAGTATGAGTGGAGGAGTGGTTATTGACAGTACGACTTTGACGTACAAGAGTATTAGGATGACTCGTACTGATATCATAAATCAAGGTACGACGGGTAGATAAGGATCGTCGGTTGGCTATAGGCTGTTGTTGTTGTTGTTGTTGTTGTTGTTGTTGTCGTTGATGTTGTGGCTGATACTGCTGCTGCTTTGCCAATGAAGCTTGTTCTCGCATGTTTTCGTTGCGCTTCTCTTTGATTTCTTTGGGAAAATAAAGGAGCATGAAATTTTGTAGTGCTTCATCAAGGTTATTCGCATCCGCATTACCAACAGCAAATTCGTATCTGCAGACGGGGCAGTCATACAAGCGTTTTCTGTGAGCTTTAATGAGACAGCGTACACAGAATATATGTCCACAGCTTAACCGAATGGGCCTCCAAGCAATAGCTACAAGAACAGAAAAGCAAAGGGTCAATATCACAAAAAAGAAAGAGAAATAGCCATGATCCGGTCCATGGGATGGTCGAGTGGCGAAGAAAAAAAGAAAGGAGAGGGGTCAACTTACAATAACAAACTGGACAATCATAGTCTTCAGGTTGAGGAACGAGGGTTATCAGTTTCGTTTGTATGGCGTTGTAAAGCGAACCCAAAACACCTTCGATAAAGACAGCATTATGTTTTGCAAACGCAGGAAATTCAGAGAGAGCGCTAGGAGGATGGATAGATGAGTGGATGTGGATCATTCTTTGCAGAATATCTCTTGTCAACATGTTATACTTTACCTTAAACCACTGCGCTTATCATGCTTTTTTAGAATCTTTCTCATGGCTGTTTGATTCAATGCTTGGAAATGTTTAAAGTGCACGAGCTGCGCATTGATAGCGAGGAATTGGGTTAATGCCATTTTAGAGCTTTTGGAGCTCAGTCTCTTTGTCTATGATAGATCGGTAGTGAGTTGACTTTAACGAACATGCAAGATCCAAAGACAGGAAACCCCCCCCCCAAAAAAAACAACATACCATGCTCATCCTTGATAACTCTGCAGTAAACCATTCGAGTTGTTGTTGACTACGTTTATAAGATTGCGTGGTATATTGGCCATTGGTTTCATTTTTGAAAATGGCAGCTTCCGTATACAAACTAAAGATTTCTCGCCAGACATACAAGTCTTTCTTTTGCGGAGAGGCCTAGAATTCATGGGGTGAGTTAGTATACAACGTCAAGTGAACCATGAACACATGCTTTTTCCCATTTACCGCTATGGTTAACTGTCCCTCTAACTTATCGACATCGCCACCAAACCTTTCTTTTTCTTTCTCGTGGAGGGCGGCGGCATGCGATAACTCGTGCAAAAGCAGATGAAAGAACTCCGAGTCTCTGACCAGTTCAATCTTGATGGATAAGGGTTCTGTTGTTAACTTTTGAGTGATCGGTATCAATTTCTTCAAAACAGCAGGTTTATCGTCGGTGGTGATAACAGCAGGATCTTCAATCGTTATTCTGATATAAGGATGTGGGTCCTTCGCATCGCCTGATTCAGCATAGGGGGGTCAAGGGAGGTTTTTTTTTGATTATTATTACAGAGTTTCAACTGTGGTGTCATCCAACACATTATTCTTTTTTTTATATCCTATCATTTTACCATCAAAAATATAATCAAGACGCATGGCCTCTTCTGTGTCCAATGTATTTAGCCATTCAGAGGAGAGGCCTCTTTGTTCAAGCTCATCCACAATCAGTCGAATGGATTTCTTTAATATTTTGTAATGGATAAGATGCGGTCTCCAGTTTTCAGGGAGATCAAAAGACGCTGTCTCCATCTGCTTTCCAAACTTCATAGTAAGCACACGCACGCACAAAAAAAAGGAATAGTTTCTTTCTTAAAGATAAAAACGTTTCTTATTGTTCATGTAAGACAAGGGAAAAAAAACAAAACAAAAAAGACAGAATTGACGTCTATCGTTGATTCTTTCGTTTTTCGATTGCACGATAAATTAAAAAAAAAAAAAGGTACACTGTTTGTAGCCAAAAGACGGGAAAAAAAAAGAAAATCAGCGTATCACGAAAATAGAGCATTCATATATATGTATTTTTAACGCTCGACGACCAATGAAACCAAGGAGGATAACACAGCTGTCCAATCATCATCTTGTAGGAAACTCTCGTGAGGTCGACACATTGAGTAGGATGATGAAATGTTTCACCTTGATTTTTTTTTTTTTTTTTTGTTGGTCATGAATGTGGGTTAACTCGTGTATTGAATTCAACAGTTTGTCATAGAGAAGTCTTTTTGAATTTTAAGGTGTGGGTATACACATACCATTTATTTCTAGAAATGAGAAAAAAGACCCTTACAAAAAGGATACATCATGGTAGAGGGAGATGGATAAATTCATATCCGTCACTGTCGGCATTTTAAAAAAGTAGTGTCGTGTTCTTCTCTCTCGCATAGAATTCGAATGAGGGAAAAAGGACATCAGCAGCAACAATGGCTCAAGACTGCTTCTGTCTGCGGCTGTTACTGTTACTATTTCTAATATATTCCTTTCCTGGCGTAGTGCTACGAGAGGAATTTCTTCGCTCCCTAAACGAAGCGCAGAAAAATAAAAATTCTGTTTCAGGAACGGGCATCCAACGACAAACAAAAAAAAAAAGCCTCACACAACTCGTTCTTACTGTTGCGAAAGATAATACTGTGCTTTCGCTTTTTCTTTAATGTCGAAAAGCTTGGGATCCTCTGAAAACAGCTCTATCAATTTCTCATCGTTATGAATGACATGATCCAGATAATGTATGGCTTGGATGGTGTTGGGATCAAGGTTCCTAACATTAGAATAGAAATGAGGCCAGGCATGGACGTAAAAAAAAAAATTCAAGAAGCCCCCCATGATTGAGAAAGTGTTAACAGCAATGACGAAAAATTGCAGTCGCTTTTCATCAGGTTTTCTTTGTCTTTACATTTCTTTTCTTTGTTCATTAAGAGAACTTGGAGAACTCTAGACGTAGCAAAAAATGCAGGTTTTTGTTTATTGTGACTTTTCACGCGGGAAGCGATTCGTCGGGCAAAAAAAAAAAAAAAAAAAAAAAAAAAAGTAAATCGAAAAAAGGTGTAATTTTTTTTTTTTCGACAAACAAATCTGTGACCTTTTGGAATGCACTCCAAATACACGCAAGACATACACGCAAGACACACACACACACACACACACACACACGCACACGCACATAACACTGTATTCCACACGAATAAAAAAAAAAAAAAGAGCTTTTCTCTCTCTTCTTTCTTTTTCTTTTTTCCTGTTTCTTTTCTTTTCTTTTTCTAAATATAGCTCCTTTTTTTTTTGTTTTTTTCTCTTTTGTACGATTTGACGACTGTAAAGGCTTTATGATAGTGAAGGGTAGAAGAAAGTATGGCAGTACGTTTTTTTAATTTTTTCTTTATTCTTGCATCTCCTAAAAAGACACATGCATACGACTTTTTTTTTTCTTGTACTGATCAATAAGCTATGAACCCAGGTGGGAGGAAAGAGAAAAGTAGCACAACGCACCATGGCCACTTGTCAAGTCGGGACGTGACCATTGTACAACCATTGGAATCAAGCTGCGAATCAAAACACAAAGTTTGTTCAACAAACACAGAGCAAGTAGCATGTCCATCTTATGGTTGTTCTTTCACTCCTCTATTGATGCAGCAAAGCAGCACAACAACAGCGACTGTCGATGCTACTAGAGCAGCAGAGATAAACAGCAGCCATCCTCCACGGCGGATAGCACTCATTGCTGGACTCACTTGTGGCTGCGTCGTATTGACGCTTTTATTGGCCACGATAGCAGGCGTTGTGATTTACAGACGGCGAAAAGTAAAAAAGATACTTCAACAACAAGCCCAGGACGAGAAAGAAGCGTATATACCAGAGCATCCACCCATCATTATCTCAAAAATTGAACATGTATTACCACCTCCATTGCCACCGCCGCCCGCACCACCTGCACCACCACCACCACCAGCAGCAGCTCAAAAACTATCCACCACCCTTCCCAAGAGTCAGTTCAATGGCTATTGTCATCAGGTAATCAAAGAGCGCCCAAACAAAAAAAAAAGGGGGGGGGATAATGTGTGTGCGCATAGGTGTGTATTTTCAACATGTTATCTTCTTCTTTGCTGTTCTACATAATAATCCCGGGGGGGGGTGTTGGTGGACACGGTGGAAGAGCGGACAGGGAGGACGGTGAGGTAGGAAAGTTTTTAATGGACGTTGGTCTAACGTTTTCAATGGGGTTTTTTTTTTTTTTTTTCGTTTGTCTAGACTCTGAAAGATACGGATGACTTTTACCACCATCCTCAATCCCCTTTCGTCATCGGCGCACAGTCGCTTCAGATTCCGCATTTGGACACTCCCGATCCGTCGTCAGACGAAACCTATGCTTCGTTTTTATTACGTCGATCACTTCATCTTCAGCCAGTAACATTCATGGAAACAAGCTCGTATCTGAGTCGGGCCTCTTCCGTCAAAGTCAGTAACAAATACGATCATCATTACCCTTCGGATACCCACCATGATACCCTTCTCTGTCATCACGCCAAGGCCCCCTCCATGGCCAGTCGGGAAAAAAAGAGAGCGGTTCCCCAACGCACGGCCGTCGGCTCCTCTCGTGGGGTGGATCCAGAGCAGAAGCATCACCGCTCCCCGCAGGCAACCGAGGCTTTGGACATACAAGACAACAAAGACGAGGATGCCTCAGAATGGATCCTACGGCGAGCCGTTTCCGTTCGCAAAAACAACTCTACGCATTCGCATGCTAGTTCGATCACGCGTGTTGGAAGTGTGACTTCCCAAGAGGCCACGAAAAGACTTTGGGTCTGTGCTCAACCCACGTTCGTCCGTGTGGAAAGCACGTCCCGAAAAAGGACCCTTCGCACTGTCACTACCACCCCCCAGGATCAGAGCCCCCCATCACCCTTTCATGTCACGTTACATGACCCCCCGCCATCGAAGCCAGCCGCGGCCACGATGAGGGGGATGGGTCCAGAAGGAGTAGCAGCCGTGGTCACAAAGGAAGAAGACGAGAGGCAGGGTAGTGACATCCACTTTTATGTTTGCCCGACGTCGGAGGACAACGACAAAGTAGACGATTTTGTCAGTGAACGTATCGAGTACAACGAAGACGCCCTTTCCTGCCATGATGACAACTCGTCTACCTCGACGCTGGCGGACGGAGAAATTACAGTGTATTGGGAACAACAGCCGGCGATGCCTCCGGCCGTCCATCCGTCATTTATTTAATTTGTATGCAATTCATTCCATCTTGACTGTTTTCTCACCATTGAGATATACCCTCCCTTTTTCCTCCTTGAAACAAATACAATAAAAGAAACTATACCCAATCCTTTGAAAGTGGGCTGTCTGTCCATGTGTCATGACACGCTTCTTCAAGATCCGTCGTCCATCGAAAAATAAAATAAAACAAAAATACCAAGCCCTGAAGCAGGGGTTCAAAATTGTCATCATCGCCTGTAAGTCCATCCCATTTTATTACGAGAAAGAAGATCGTTGACCACAAAAAAAAAGTGAAAAATAGGGTATTCGGCGGGGATTGAATGAATACGATCCATCTGCTAGTTCTTTAAAAAAAAAAAAAAAAAAAAAAAAATAGAACCAACAGTTCAAATTAAAAAAAAAAAGGAAACTATACACAAAAAACAATAAAGTAATTACAAAGAGAGGGGGGGGAAAAAAAAACAAATATATAAAACAAAAAGAAAAAAAGAAAGGGTATCCAAAACGATGTATATAATTCGATAATTACGAAATAAAAGAAGAAATAATTAGTTGAATAAAGGGAAAGGGGGGAAAAAAAAAGGGAGAAAATCAACCTTTTTTTACTTCTTTTTTTTTCTTTTTTTTTTTTTTTTTTTTTTTTTTTCTTTTTTTTTTTTCTTCCTTGCATACATGTCATGTTTCTTGTCTACATGTAATGTTTCTTTTTAAGAATGAATCCTCAACAAAGAGCGAAGATCACGTTGAATTTCAGAAAGAGCCATGTTTGTTTGTTCGAGTTCAAAAGCCGTAATGACTTTGTGTTGTTGTTGTTGTTGTTGTGGTTGAGGAGACATGGAAGGATAAGGGTAAGGGCAAGGTGGTGGTTGATGTCGGAACATATGAGGAGGAGGAGGAGGAGGAGGATGGACAAAGACAGAGGGAGAAGGGGAATCATTCAACGGAGTGGGAACAACAGAGGCATTAGGGTGCGTAGGAGAACCACGAGGTGACTTGCCACTACCAAAAGTGGGAGGAAGAGGAATGACACTGGGTGCCGGTGCATTACTAAATGTCGGACCAGCATAAACTTGATCTCCCAAACTATGACACATTTAACCACAACCGTCAGTCAAAGGGAAGCTAATTTCTGCAATATTCATTCATTCATTTTCCTTACCTTTTCATGGATTTCTGATAATGAGAATGCTTTACAGGAGGCGTCATGGTAGTTGAGGATGGAGTCGTTTTAGTAACAAGATGAGTAGGAATCGCAGGAGGAGGAGGAGGAGTCAAAGGTCCTTCTTCCTCTTCCGATGAGGAAGAAGAGGTATTATCTTCGGAAACAGCAGCGGTATTCTGATGACGAGCATTCTTCTTTTTATGCTGACGACGGTTGTTGTTCTTTGGAATGTTTTCAGCTTGTTGTTGTTCTTGCTGTGGATGGCGATGATTGTTCTTTTTCTTTTGATACGCTTGCTGACGATGAAAATTGTTGTTATTTTTTGCTACAGTAGGAACAGGCTTGCTGTTGCTATTGCTGTTGCTGTTGTTGAAATAATGCTTATTACTGTTGTTGTTATTCAACTTGGGAAAAGACCTATTGTTATTGTTATTGAGCTTTTTTACAGATGCAGTGCGAGTAGACATTGTTAAAAAGAGGTTGGTTCGAGATATTGCTGTTGTTGTTTGTTATAGTAAGTAAAGGGAAAAAAATTTTTTTTCAACACTAAAAATGGTTTTTTTTTTTTGGTTTTTTTTTTAAATGAAAGAGGTTTGTTGAAGGATATATGATATAGTTTCGATGAAGGATGTGGTTGTTTTTTTTTAGTTTTTTTTTTATTTTTGTAAGAAGGGTCGTTTTTTTTTGGTTTTTTTTTTTGGTTTTTTTGTTATATGAAAAATCTTGTTTATATATTCTTTAAATGGCTCTTTTTTTTTTCGAAAAGAAAGAAATTTTGAATAATGAAAAAGATGGGAAGAAGGAAAAAAAAAAAAAAATATAAATCGAATTTGGATAAAATTCCCAACCCTAAAATTTATAGTTCCCTCGTTGCTCATTCGTTAACGCTTCCTTTTTTTAAAGTTCCGATTGTTCAGTCGAGTGTATTCAGACATAAAAGGATTTCATTTGAGATTATTGTTATTTAATATTTAGATGTTGCAAATTCAAGGTTTTAGACCATTAAAATAAGAAGCAAATGGTGACACATGAGCCGTTGAACATAGCAGCGGATAAGCCCATGATAAGTATATTCTGTACCCAACGACATGGTTCAATCTACTCATATGTACACCTGAACTACACATGATTGACTCTATTCTTGCTTATTTTTATCAAGAGCCATTCTGTTAAAAGTGGGATAGAGAAATGTCAAGTATCACGACATGGTTAAAGTTTCCAACCCTTGCCTGTTCTTTCAAATCCCAAACTGAATATTCAGAATTGACGTCGAACAATAAAATTCCTATTACAAAGCATTTATTTCAGTCTTTCCGTGACAGTTGTTTACACGTCTTCTGATGTTGAGCAATAGTGCCCCTCGGTAGAGCAGTTTCTGTAATACTTTAGCTTATTGGGATTACTTGAACAATGTACATGAGCCTTGCCTCAGGTTCGTCTCTTGTTGATCCTGGAGACACCCTACTCACCTTCTTCCTTTTTAAACACAGGTATTGCATTAAAAATCCAAAAGGTGTGGAGTCCAGTTGCACTTTATTTGGATCTAGATGTATGTCGCGATCATTCGTCCTAACCATGGTCCACTTCGATCCACCTCCCTCCCTCACCCAACGATTGCTTTGAAAAACTCATCTCACTACGTCACTTTATTGCATCTCTACTTCTTTCCGCTTCAATCAAAAAGTATCAAATTGTTTAAAACACACTGATTTTTCTAAAATGTAAACCAAATCCTAACCCGCACCACGGATGACATAAGCAAGTCATGAGCAATTCTCAAAAATTACACCCATTGCTTTTTACTCCTCTTTGCCCTTGACTTGGGAAAAGTAACCCTCATGCTAATGCCGGCCGCTCTTCCAATTTAACCTTTTTTTTTCGACTTTATTCTTATACCGGGTTGAGCATTTTGAGCACGAACAAAACTGAACAATCATACATGCTGAGATAAGGTCTTCCATACACAGGCTGCTTACCCTCTTATGGATGAAATAGCCCACACATTTATCGATGAAAACTGTCTTGCTATGGGGGCAAAGAAAAGACATATCTCGTCATGTTATAACAAGTGTCCATCGAGCGCTCAGAAACACCATGGAATGCGGTTGGGCTGCCTTTAACATTTTACACGATCCGCTTGGCGCCAAAAACGTAAACTCATTTGTTTCAAGTTGGTATTTATTTTGTCCCAAAAAGACCTGAAATTGATCTGAAAAGTCCTGAGCGCATCTTTTGTATTAATGCCATTTTAAACTGCTAAAAATAAAGTTTTATTGGTCTTTGTTTGTGCCATAAGAAACATGTTATGATGAAATCCAATCCTATCTTAGTGATCTGACTATAAAAACTTCTGTGGAAAAAACATCTGCCCGATGTCTCTTTCTTTTTTTAGTCTGTTCTCTGCGAATTTTGATTTGACGAAAAATCGATAGGCTAATGAATTAAAACACTTTTATGTAGAACGACCCAGTCAACCTTCTGCGATGCATCATTTTCATGCAGCGTGCGTATAGAGAACAATGCCAAAGATGGCAAAAACAACAAACATAAGGGGCCCCGAATTTCTATGCAGTCATACGGAATAGTATTTTTCCCAATAAAGAAAAAAAAAAAAAAAACCAAAAAAACACTCGTCCTCATATATTCATAGTGGCCTAAAGTAAAACTCTGCGTTGTGTGTGTGTTATTGTGTGTGTATGAGGGGTTGGGGATCATAATGATAGGGTTGCTATTTTAAATGATAATACTACTTTCCCTGATAAATAATACAAAAGGTTTCAAGAGAAAGAAAAAACCTGTGAAAGAACTCTAGTAATCATCATCGTCATCGTCGTCACTGTCAGGTTCAGTAGCCCAAGGATCTTCCTCAGCACGCTTCTTCATACACTTGAGACAACGCGCCTTTTCAGCCTCTCTCCTCTGGTTCTATAGGTTGTTGGGTTTGTACAAAATCAGTGAAAGAATCATTTACTTGTCAACCCTCCTTCCTTCTTTTTGTTTACCTTGGCAAATTGATCAAGAGGCTTTGTTATACCACAAAGCATACACTTTAAAGAAGTGTTGGAACCAGCAGTGCATTTCTTGCAACTAATATTCTTCTTGCTAGGATCAACCCAGGGCGCAAACTCTATTTTTTTCCGCCAAAATTATACTTTGCTATTAGCACTTGGAAGGGCGAGGCCGTTGCCTATCTCTCTTATGATCTGCTTCCATTTGATCTTACCATTGGGAAGAACTTTATTGAGTTGAGACTTTGAAAAAGCATCCAGAGGCTTTTCCTATAAATAAACAATTTTTGATCCATCCGCCAAGAGAGGACAGAGTAGGGGATAAAAAATCAAATGAAGAGAGTGTATAGGATATGAGTGCTTCTATTTCTTACTATGTTTTACATAGTCATCCATTCACCACTTACTTGCTGACAGAAAACACATTTTAAGGTCTGATATTGCTGCGGCTGTTTTGCTATAGATCGGAATAGAATCACACAGAATGGGGGAACAATAACGCATGCATGAGGGCTCCTGATCATTGGAAGTGTTGTCATCAATCAACAGCAACCGTTTCTTTTTCATCAGAGACAAAACTTACAATTAGCATTCGCAGCACTGCCACTATTATTGTATCTCTTGGTAAAGTTATTGTAATTGTAAGCTGACATGGTCCCTCTATTTTCAATTGTCGTTTTTGTAAAAAAGTGTTTGTGGTAGAGCTCAAAAGAAGGGAAGGACCTGACTTGTAAAAACGTTTAAACTAAATAAATTTAGGAACGCGAACGCGGGCTTTTAGAAGGAGCTGGAAGAGAAGTCTTTGCAAAATGAAAAATAGGCTCGTTTTTAGGAGTTGCTCCCCAAGATACAGTCTGTGTTGACAGCAGAAATAGAGTCACATGTAAAATGGATGATAGTGTTGGTTCCATTGCTCTATAGAACAATAAAAAGCACGAATGGAAATATTCCCTCTTTTTTACCTATTGACACTCCACTAAGAAAGGCTAAGCACGAAGCCTACTTGGAAAGAATATCAAAAACTAACCTTTTCTCTTTACTATTTACGCCATTCTGCCTCTGTGAATGGATTGCATCGAGGGTGAGATGGAAACCGTCTTGCCATTTTTGGCTCGTACATGTAGAATCAAATGTAAAGAGTGCCTGAAAATTTGATTTGCCCGCGAATGGTTGTGCGCGAATCAGCAAAACTCAGCTTTTATTAAGGCTAAAATAAATTAATATTACTTGGACAAAAAGGGGAAACTCTCAACTCTTTACTTTTTCTTCTTTCTTTTCGCACTCTTCGCAGTACTATGTGTGATCTTACAGACCCTCGCATTGTAGAAACGTATACGGCGATTGTTGAAGGCAGTCCTGTCAATTGGTGAGCTCATCGATGTTCTTTGCTTTATTCCTTGTTTTACCCGTACAGTACTAACCTACGCGGTCTTTTTCTTTTTCAAGGCTTATTCTCGGATACAATGATACAAGAGATGTTATCTCTCTCTACTCAAGAGGCTCAGAAGGGCTAAGGTAATTTAAACCCTCTCTGAACAGGGACAAAGCAAAAACAAGCAAAAAAAAACAAACCATGAACACGAAAGCTGAGAATAAAATTCCTTGGATTGGATGCTTGCATCCCAATAGTGAATTTCGCAATCATTTGACAGACGAGGTATTGTATGGGTTTGTAAGGATCGAACATAAGTGTATCTTGATTACTTGGATACCACAACAAGTCAGGTAAAAAGATCGGGGTGGGGGAGGGGGACAGGGGAAAAAAAAAAGGAATGTTTAAAAAGTGGACAGCAAAAACTGATGGTGTTTCTTGTTGATCTATTATGTCGAAAAACACTTTACTTGATGCAGTGGAGTGAGAAGAGGTAACAAAATGAGATCTCTACGCTCTCCCTCATTTTTTTTTTGTTGCGCGCGCCGTTATTAATAAACATTTGATTCTTTTTGCCCCCCGAAAAATAACAAAATGAAGCAAGAGCCTTGGTACATAGTCGATCCGTAGCCACTTTCCTTAAACACCATCATACTCAAATAACAGCTTCTACTTTGGAAGACTTGAATGAAGTCTCTTTGCAAACACGGTTAAAATTAGATAGTAGCGTGAACGACCTTGGTGTTGGACATACTCATCCTGTTACTGTTGAGCCGTCACGACAACGACAGCATGCTGTGGTCCACAATAGCAGTCATGCTTCTTCATCACCTAGGAGTCCTACCCGTTCAGCACCCGTCGAAGAATTCGTAGATACACATGAGCAATTGAGCGCACCACAGACATCACAGCAAACCCTATCGCAGGATGACGATACCAATCCTCCTGTTCCTCCACCACGGAAGGTCATGACACCACTGGTATCGCCCTCCACTTCGCCACCACCGGTTCCTCCACCATCGACTACAGAAGATCCTGCTGCTGCTGCTGCTGCTGCCATTGGTATCGATACTTTAGATAGTGCTGAGGTAGATCCATATGCTCCTGCTGCTAACTACAAAGACCATGGCACGATTGAAATTGAACAACAACAACAACAACAACAACAACAACGAGAAAGGGAAGCTCAAGAAGAGCAAGAAAGACAATTGCTAATCCAACAAGAAGCTGAAAAGGAAAGAGAGAGACAACGTATTCTTGCGGAAGAAGAGGAGGCAGAAGCGCAACGTTTAGAACTGGAAAGAAAAGCCCGTGAAGAAGCAGAAAAAGCAGCAGCAGCAGCAGCAGCAGCAGCAGCAGAAAAGGCAGCAGCAGAGGCAGCAGCAGCGGCAGAAAAGGCGCGATTCATAGAAGAACAAAAAGCTGAGCAACAGCGCTTAGCTGATGAGAAGAAGCTCATTCGACAAAAGTTGTTAGAAGCGGAAAAGAAAAAAGAATTGGTCCTAAGCGGTTATGTATCTGTCCAAACACAAAAAAGTCCTGTAAGTAAAAAGCTTCTTACAATACATCTTTTGGGGAACCCCATGTCTAACCCATCTCTACTTACTACCATGGCTAGTTTTGGAGCCGTAGATACTTCACGATCCAAGATAAAACCTTGTCGTTTTATAGAGATGAAATGTCCTTGCGTCCAATCATTCAAGTGGACTTGAGGAACCTGACTCGTTTTAGTAATGTGAATGTCGATATTGAGCCCTTTATCCCCAATGCCTTTGTTCTAGAAACACCACAAAATGGAGCCTATCAATTGTTTGCTGATAATAAGAGGGATATGGAAATTATCGTTACTGCATTACAAACGGTGATCTAAAACAGCTTTTTTCGGACGCCATCTTTTCTTTTTCTCGTATTTTCCTCCATAGTCATACACTTTCTAAACAGTCTCCTGTTGACATATATCTATTGACATAATAACACAGTACTTACTATTCCTTCATCAATACCCCTATTGGGGAGTTGCAGAATTCGTCATTGTCCCTTGTGTGGAAGTGTCTTCCTTATATTTCAATCTCCGCTGAGTTACAGAGCGGACACGATCCACTCTAATGGCGCCCCACTTTTCTGCAACAAAAAAAACTAAATGATGACGTACAATTAAAAATTGGTTACTGAATTTTCAGCAAAGAAATATAGAAAAGGGGGGGATCGAGAAAAAAAAGGAAACATAAAAAGGCGGTCAACGAACAAAAAAGAAGTTCCGACAAACAGACAAAGGCAGCAGGCCCTTACCTTTATATAAAATTGTTATTTATTTTCTTCCCCGCACTAATACCAATAGAACAAGCCTAACCCCCCAACTCTCTTTTTTGAAAGAAAACTTAATCTCTCATTTCAACCATGTTGGCAGCCACTACTCGTAAAGTTCTTATCAGCACAGCTTCTAAAGCAACCTATGCTACCGCCGCTGCCGCCAATGCTGTTAAGGTCGCTACAACTTCGAATGGCCTGAAAATCGCTTCAAGCGAGGAGTCTGGACCTACTGCTTCTTTAGCTGTTGTCATCAACGGTGGCGCTAGAGCACAAAACGGAAGCAATGCCGGCGTCGCTCACTATTTAAAAAATTATGGTTTCAAGGTAACGTTTTTTTAAGAAAAATATGTCTCAGTAAGCAACAACTGTTGTGGATACGAGGTACACGAACTCTACTGCTTTACTGTGCACTATTTCCATATCCTCACAACTGACAGCCTATGCACAGCAGAAAAGAATCATTCATATCCATATGCTTTTCTCTCTATGTTTTCATCATATAGAATAATGCCAATCGTACTGCTTTCCGTGTCACTCGTGAAGCAGAACTTGCTGGTGGCGTTTTATCTTCCGCTCTCTCTCGTGAAGCACTTGTATATTCTGCAGAATTTTTGAAGGAAGATATGTAAGTTCTAATCCTGGAGAAAAAGAGTGGGACAACATAGAGGATACAATAGTTGAAAATAGAAGGAGGAGCAAACATACATTTTAGAACAAAAAAGAACGAGCATACTAAGAGAAAAAGCGATTTTCCCAATTCTCTAAACTGTTTAGTGATCTCTTTGCCGAACTTTTAAGCGATGTTGTGTCAGTACAAAAATTCCAAGAGCATGAATTCCTTGACGTCAAACACCAGACCGTCAGCGAATCTGTCACCGCCTCTCACAACTCTGAAATCAGTGCTATTGAAGCTGCTCATCATGTGGCTTTCCGTCAGGGTCTTGGTCACTCAGTCTTTGCCAAACCAACGGCTCGTATCAGCAATGCCACTGTCAAAGCTTTTGCTCAAGAACTCTTCACACAAAACAACATTGCCCTTGTTGGCACCAATGTCGATCAGGCTACACTTGAAAAGTTGGCCGAAACTCACTTCAGCAAAGTCCCCTCTTCTGGCAGCAAACTCCAATTCGCCTCCTCCAAATATTTTGGTGGAGAAGCTCGCATTGAATCGGGCGCTCAGAACGGCGAATTCGTGATTGCTTTTGAAGGTGCTGCTGCTGACTCAAAGGAATATGCTGCCCTTCAAATTCTTCATTATGCTCTTGGCGGCCAATCCATTGTCAAATATGGTCCAGTTACTGGCCTTCTGGGTCAAGCCGCCACAAAATTGGCGGGAGGTTCTCAACTAAAATCTTTCAACTACGGATATTCCGATGCCGGTTTGTTTGGTGTTCAAGTCTCTGCTCCTGTTGCTGAATCCAACCATGCTATTTCTGCCGCTGCCGAACAATTAAAATCAATCGCTAAGGGTCTTTCTTCAGAAGATTTCAATAGAGGTGTTGCTTTGGCCAAGTTTGCTGCTGCTGCACGCTTCGATACTCGTCTTGATCGTCTTGAAGCCTATGGTGCTCAGGTAGAGTAGAATGCCCCCCTGTGTATTCGAGCAATACCAATGGCTTTGTTCCTTCATCTTTTACCCATGTCTCACCTCCCGCTTTTTTCTTTTTACTAGGCCCTTCAAACTGGTAAGCTTACAACTGCCACAGAAGCCATTTCTCATCTTGAAGGTGTTTCCACTTCTGATGTTGCAAAGGTAAATCTAATAGTGAACTGAAATATATATATATATATATCTGTGTGTGTGTGTGCGTGTGTGTAAAAACGTGTAAACTTTGGGAATCATCCTTGAACTAAACAATTGCTTTACTTAGATCGCAGAAAAATTATTGAAGAGCAAACCTACCGTTGTCGCCTTGGGTGATATCAACAACTTACCTTACGCTGATGCTGTTTCCTTATAATTTTAGAAAAAGAAAGACTGCAAAAGAATTCCATATCTTTTGCAGTTGAAAAAAGAAAAAAAAGAAGAGAGGATATAGTTATTTATAAATAGTATTAATACAGACCATTCATATTAAAAAAATTGAATAATCTAAACCATGATGAACACCCCTTCTTTCTAGATTCATGAATGGTTTCATAGTATAGGTTTTTCTGATGCATGGATAAGTTTCGTATAATACATGTTTGCTGTAAACTATGCAGTCCTAGGCTGTTCAGTTGTAAAGTGAAAGAACCATTGCATTCTTGGATGTTACTGTTTTAGCAGGTATAGAGTTTCAATTATACCCTGAATGCCATTTACGCGATTTTTTTTAATTTTTTGTTCTGTCAAGGTATATGTATTCGTGTTCTTCATATGAAAGCTAATTGTAACTTCAGAACAGCGCTGCAATCTTGTTCAACGTGAGGCTTCCCCATCTTGAGCAACAATCAAATCATTGTGTTAGATAACTATTTTAACTGGATCTAAATACCAATACCAAACCATCTTTCAAAAATACCAGCTATAAATCCCAGAAAATAGCAGCTTTATATGTTAGCGTTATACAGACTCTACTAACTGCAACCCATCCATGACAGCATTCATATGACTACCCCCCAAATAGCAAAAAAAAAAGGGATTCACGAGATTTTCTACTTTATTTTTCTGTAAAAGAAATTGAAAGTTTATATTTCTTCTTCCCCACAAATATTTATATGCAATCGAGCCAAAATTTTTACTGACGAAAATAATGATGACGAAAAGAATATCTTCTATGAATGATAGTAATCGTAGTACGGATACAACCTCAGTAGTAGTATCGTCGCCATTACCAACAGAAGCAGTAGAAAAAGTGACGTTATTAGCTGATGAATCAAGTCAAAAGAAATGGAAGAATTGGTGGCTAAGAACGACGACTACCTTTATGATGATCGGTGCCTTTTTCGCAATCCTGGCTTCAGGACATATTTGGGTTATTTTGATGGTGATCGCTATCTCCACAAGTGTTTATAACGAAGTACTTCAAATTGCTCAGGTGCCTGCAAAAGACAGTAGTTTCAAGTGGTTTAAAACAATGAGCTGGTGAGTTGTTTGTCGCACCCTCTCCCCTTCTTTTGAAAAGAAAAAAAAAAAAAAGTTGGATGTATATATTTATTATACAGACACACTGGTTATTTGAACACTTTCACTTACACCTTTCCCTACATCAGGTATTTTTTAGTAACGACTGCTTACTTTTTGTACGGTGAATCCATCATCTATTACTTCCAACATGTAGTACTCGTGGATCGAGTTTTATTACCGTTTGCAACACACCATCGATTTATCAGCTTTGTCCTCTATGTTATTGGTAAAGTGGATAGGGTTCTTTAAAATGTGGCCAAAATGGCGGGGATGATAGACCATTTTCCATGGAATCCAGAAGCTTACTTATTTGCATTCTGCTCTTAGGATTTGTCTTCTTTGTGATGAATCTGCAAACGGGACAGTACAAACGACAATTCCGTCAATTTGGGTGGATGCATATGGCCCTCTTATTGATTGTTTTCCAAAGCCACTTCATCGTCAACAATATTCTCGAAGGCTTGATCTGGTTTTTCTTACCAGCCTCCTTGGTGATTTGCAACGATATATTTGCTTACGTGTGTGGATTTTTTTGGGGCAAGCATCAGTTGATTCAACTAAGCCCCAAGAAAACAATTGAAGGATTTGTAGGCGCATGGTTCTGTACCTTGATTTTTGGCTTTTTGGTAATACCATTTGAAGTCCGTGCATTGCGTGCATATCTAATTTTCTTTTTTTACAACATTACAATAGTGGTCAACGCTTTTAATGAGATTTAACTATCTGATATGTCCCGTTAAGGTATGTTCTCAATGAGGCATACAGTATAGAAAGATGGAGAAGTCATTTACTTTTTTTTTTCCTAAAAAAATGCATTTAAACTTTGCTAGGATTTATCCATGTCTGCTTGGTCTAATACTGAATGTAATCCAATCAACCCCGTATTTACAGCCATTCCATTCAACTTACCAACATTTTTAACGGCATTATTGAAAACTGCAGTAAGTTGAGTTAACTGAGTTCAATCTTCTTTTTCCCCACCGATTTCTGCTAAATACAAATATTCATATTGGTTATAAAAGTTTAACAGGAACGTAACAAAGATTTGGATTGCACCCATTCAACTGCATTCTATTGCAATGGCCTGTTTCGCATCATTAATAGCGCCATTTGGAGGTTTCTTTGCTAGCGGGGTGAAGCGCGCATTCAATGTAAAGGATTTTGGGCAAAGTATACCAGGACACGGAGGAATGACAGATAGAATGGACTGCCAATTTCTGATGGGATTCTTTTCCTATATCTATTACCAAAGCTTTATAAAGGTAACAATAGATTTTGTCACTTGATACATATAAAGATCGTTAAATAACACTGTTACCATTACACAGACGTATAATTTGAGCATAGGAAGTATCCTCGCTGCTGTCATCAATAATCTTACATTAGGTGAGCAATTGGAACTATCAGAACGTATCTTAACTTATCTAGTCAATCAAGGACTGGTCGATGCTGGTGTTCTTCATAAATGTGGTCCAAGCGCATTGACTACAGCTGGTCTCCAAATCTTGAATAACTACGCAAATAACACATTACACTAGCAAAAAAGCGCTCTTCTCCCCCAATTATAACAGCTGCTTTTCCTTACATTCACTAACTTCAATATCAATTTTTTTATTGATAATTGTATTGTACTATGATGAAACACCAAAATGACTGAATTCTCAGTTGAGAATTTTCTTGTAGAACTTACAAACTGTTTTTATAGCAGTCTTAAAATTGAACTATGTTATACATAACCTCCACTCAATATTGTATTCAATAAACAATAATCTAAGAGTTCTTGTAACCTCCAGTTCGATATATTGTGGTGTAGGTCTTCAGAAGAGTTTGTATTCATATGCAAAAAGGCATTGTTGCTCGCTCTTTGTGAGCCTTACTTACGAATGTATGAACTAAAGCTCTATTACTTTAAATAAGAATGTATGTCATCCCATGGGAAAGACAATTGCACTACTCTCTGCTTGATTATCACATATGAGGTAGACTGACCATTGCCATAATGATCAATTTATGTTTAAAGGATGGAACGTATGGGGAATACTGACTACGCCAGGCATAGTAGGTTTTGTAGGTTTCTCTAAGAATACTAATAGTGCAAACCACGGTTTGGCTTCAGTCGTCCGGTCGTCGATAACAACTTCTATTCTCGGTGATGTAGTCTATAGAGGCAATATTTCTATGACTTGGATTAATATGTTCCTTTACAAACAGGACATTCAAGGGAGTCGTAGGGTTTGTGCTTCCGTTCTTTCTTGATCACTATATCAAATCAACGTCCCGGGTCGCACAATTAAATTCGTAAGTATAAAGTGTCCAAATGATGGTCGCTTAGCATGCAGTCGAAAAGCGGCCCTTAAATTACAAATTCGTGCCGGGTACGCTCAAAGAAATGCCGGGTGCTTTGAAAAAAAAAACCAGGCGTTTTGTGGTAGCTGGCAGTAGGTATATCAAAAGTAGTAAAAGATGCATAAGTTGAATCCTCCTCTTTCCGTATATCATGGCTGCCCAAATTTCCAAGAAGAGAAAAGTATGTTGAATGGAATTGATGATTGAATTGTGGAAATATAGTGTTTGATGATTGATGGATGAGAGAGAGGATCGGATAATAACGAAAAGATGAATAGCGGTCGTTGTCAATGAATAGCAATTGTGGGACGATGATTGGGGATTGGGCCGAAAATCACATTATGCAGTGTTATACTCATCTCACTTTTTTTTTTCTTGCTCCTTGCTCCTTGTTCTCTCTTGCTTTTTTAGTTCGTAAGTTCAAACAGCCATTACAATCGCATTCACAGCACTACAATCATTGTCACACCTATTGATCGATAAAAAATGGATTTATTCACTAATTAGGTCGCTGACGGTGTTTTCTACGCTGAACTCAACGAGTTTTTCACTCGTGAACTCGCCGAAGATGGTTATGCCGGTGTTGAAGTCCGTGTCACCCCTGCCCGTACTGAGTAAGTTCTTCACCATTCAATTTTTTTTCATAGTTAAAAAGGGAATGTGATTAAGTTGAATTGGTAATCGCTGTCAACAACAGCGTCAACAGTGACACTTGATTGAAAAGAGAAAAACGAATGTGAAAAGTGGAATCCCGGCAATTACATCAGCTATTGTTTTGGCATAGTGAAACAGACGATCATCATGAGATCTAATGAAATTTGTCTCTATTTTGAACGTTTATAGAATCATCATCCGTGCCACTCACACCCAAAATGTTCTTGGTGAAAAGGGTCGTCGTATTCGCGAATTGACCACTCTCGTTCAAAAGCGTTTCAAGTTCCCCGAAGGTGCCGTTGAACTTTATGCCGAACGTGTTCAAAACCGTGGTCTTTGCGCTATTGCTCAATGTGAGTCTGTCAAGTTCAAGCTTCTCAACGGTTTGGCTGTCCGTCGGTAAGCTATTTTCCAACTTTTTTATCGCAATAGATTGGACGATAGATTCATAAAAAGTATATTGGAATTTGTAACTGAAGCAACATCCCGCATTTTTTTCTCATTCTCTTAGTGCCGCTTATGGTGTTATCCGTTTCGTTATGGAATCTGGCGCCAAGGGTTGTGAAGTCGTTGTTTCTGGTAAGGTTCGTGCTGCCCGTGCCAAGGCCATGAAGTTCTCTCAAGGCTTCATGATCCACTCTGGTAACCCTGCTCGTGAATTCATCACAACTGCTGTCCGCCACGTTGATTTGCGTCAAGGTGTTTTGGGTATCAAGGTTAAGATTATGTTGGACAACGATCCTACCGGTCGTAACGGTCCCAAGCAAACTCTTCCTGATATTGTCACCATCTTGGAACCCAAGGATGACACTCCCATCTTGGAACCTTCTGCCCAAGATTTCAGACCCGCTGCTCCTGCTCCCGTTGCTGAACAACCTACTGAAGCTTAAATTACAATCAATTCCCTTTCCTATTGATTTTCAGCAATAAAATTTGTGTATATTTAAGAATTGAAGTACTTATGGTTGAACTTATGCAGCAACCTTCTGTTTTATTTTATCTGATATTTGTTAGTTGTTCAAAAATCGAATCTGTCAGAATTATTCAGACGTCTCTTCCAATTTGGGAAGCTTTAGGCGGCATCAAGCCAGTGAACATGAATCTAAAATGTATCCAAATATTACGGATGATTATCTATCAAAGAGTAGAATTGATACTTGACAGTTGTTTAGGTTGAGTCACACTAAGTCTTCACCACGCAGGACCCATCTTTGTAAAGCGTTTCTATTCATATTGAATTGTGGCTCGTTTTTGAAAATGTAGTCTTTAACATAACCTATAGTAGTCCGCAACATAAGTGTATCGCTACTTTAGCTATGCAGAAGAATTCTGACTATTATAGAATACATCTTGCTTGTAGTAAATTCATGTCTAAAACAAAACGGTTGTGAACAGCTGTTATTTCGATTTGCAGACCCTCAACCTTCATTGTTAGCGTATTAACTGCAGTTTCGGAACTATTGATTTATTCTTAACCGTATAGGTTCCTTACAAAAGTCGGATGTTCACGTACCGAGGTTCCCCTTGATACAGTTTAAACAAAAAAGCTCTCAGGATTATCTTGATACTGTAGCCATCAACGCTGACAGTTGAAAAGAATGGATATTGTTATAATTTCTTGTGGTCGGTGCGGTCTTAATGAAGAAACTTTGATAGAAAGCCATCATAATTGTTGACAGTAAAATAAGTTGTTCGTGTTTTGACTTTTTTATTTGGTGTTTTATGGTTAATAGGTCGACCCAGGGATTCCGTGTCTTAAGTTCATCATTTGCTCCTGCGCCTGATATCTGAGGTATTCCATCCATCGAAGTGTGGGTTTTCAAGGTGCCAATTTGTTCCTCTACGTCCGAGCCTCTCACAACCTTGTTCAGCGTAAATATAACCCTACCGGTCTCCTTCAAAAAGACAGTACATTACTCATTGGTAAAGTTTGTTATTCAAGTGTTGTGGAGCAATTAAATAAGACAATTGATAAAAAATAATGATTATGTTTAATCCTTTTCTTGATTAAAAGTCAAGAAACATAATGACATGGATTATGTATCTTTTAATTAAGGGGAATCAGATGTGAAGGAGTCATATATCTCTTAGTGTACCTCGTGCCTATAACTAAAAAAAATCTTGCGTCAGTAAATCTTGTAGGTTACTAGTGCATTGCCTCAAATGATTTTTCTATGATTTCAAAGTGTAACAAATGGATACTCAAGTGCTGTATGATCAACTCGTGCATGATATTATCTTTTTTTTTTTTTTTTTAAGAAAAAAAGGAGAATAAGCGATGAGAGCATAACCATTTAGTCATCAACCTGGGAATATAGATCATTTATTTCGATATAGAACATTGAACAATTACGGAAATGGCCATGATAGCTTGTTTGTGCGCCGATGAGCTTGTTACAATTCTTCTCTTCTTTTCTTTCGCTTATCTTTTACCTTGCCTTCCTTCGATTGCACTATTTCAATTGCCCTTTCTATATTTCAGTTACGCCTTTGAGAACCTGAATCATATAAAAGAAAAAAATGTGTAATCCCGGTATAACCAATACTCGAATTGCTGTATCTCTTTCGTCATGCTCAGTATCTTCAATTGCTCTTCCCGCCTACAACGGATACCTGGAAGAAGACGACGAAATTCAACCTCTACTTGACAATACTACAAAAAATGAACAAAGAAGAGGTAGAAAATACATCAAGGAAAACTTAACAACCATACCGGGAGCATGGATAGATGAAGAGACAGAAGACAATGATAGCATACTAAATGACGACAAAAGCGACAAAGTAGGCAACGATAAAGAAGGAGATGATAGAGAAGTAACTTATAGTGAAATATATAATAATGTGGGCAGCAGGTTTAAAAAATAGTTTCCGATCAGTCCCCCAAGTTAGCTATTGCCATTGAACCACTCTGTCCTTTCAAGGATGTCGACAAAGCAAAGTGTCAAGACGACATTGAATGCTTGAAGCAAGCCATAGCCAGTTTGAAAGAAGAACAAGAGGAACTCGAGAAAACAAATCAGCAAGTTAAAAAGAGTATACAGTCTGTAGCCAAAAAACGCACTAAAGCTATCGCAGTTTTTCATATGGATAATAAAGATTGTAGTGACAAAACAACAGCCTCGATAAGCAACATTCACACAGAAGAAAAATGTCTCAATAGCTTTCAAGAGAAGCTGCAACAGGAACATATTACTAGCGAAAATACGATAATTGATAAAGGCGTAGATCAAAGCCTTCTATGCCATTTTTTAGATAACGACAACAATACTAGCAATGACAAGAATAGCGGTAATAATGTATTCATCATGGTGTCAAAAAGTGACTTTGTTATACCACCGAAAGAAGAGTTAAATTCAGCCGGTCTTGATGACAGTTGGGAGTGGATAACAACTCAGGTTTAAGTTGTGATTGATGTGTAGAAATGCATGTATGGCCTCCCGTTCCAACATCACTTCTTCTCCCCAAAATACTTTTCAGTTACAGTTTGTCAATCATTAATATTTGCATTTGTCAAGTATTCACTTTATAGAAGGTAATTTACAATTGTCTGTTTTTTCCGAATGCATCTATTTCAAACTATCTTTTAAACAGTACATAGAAGTAGATATTAAACCAATACATCATCATATTACAATACCATTCGCACTCTGCAAGGATTATAATATAAATGTCTTTCACTGATAAGGCACTGCAGGAACTCAAATTCTTGCGATAGCATTTATGTGCGGTTAAACAGTGGTGCTCAGCCGAGAGTACAAAAAACAGCCCTACGAACTTGCTCTGGGTTCGAGACCGAACCTACATTTAAGTCTAAGAATCGATGATTTATGCTGCACTTGTGTACATTTTCATCATCTTCAACTCTGTATAACATACCTTGAGAAATAAATCCCTGTAGCTAGACTTCTATTGATCAATCAAGCTTATCAATAATTTGTGAAAGAAATAAAACTCAAGGGCTTTCTATGCTCATATAAATTTATCTATAGTCATTCCATTTTTTCAAGAGGATAGTTCAAATTTTTTCAATTCGACAATTTGGAAATCATATCAGGTTATGGAAACTTAATTTCTTTGTGAAAGCATTCTGAGAGAAAACTTCTAAGAGTGGCAGGCCCTTCCTCTACAGTTTTCTACCGTCGCTGTTTTTGCTGCTTGTTTCATACGATCTGCTAGGTTGAAAAAAGTAACGAGGGAGCTGGAGGTATGATAGGTTAAGGATACATGAATGTTTATGGGGGTACAAAAGTGGAGGGAAAACAATTGCAATGGTAAATCTAGGCCAAATACGAACGATAATGCTGGCTAACAAGAAGAGGACGGAAAAAATGATTCATTGTATTGAGTTTAGAGCAGGTTGAAAGGCAGAGAAACCTTATTGATGCAAAAGACTTGGGAAGGACATACTAAGGGAACACAACACTTATCATTTGTATGAAGTTCATTGAAAGTTCGTCAAGTAAACCATTCTAATTTTCTTGGCCTTTTTTTTATCCTACAATATCATGATTGGTCTTTATCGATAAGATGAATTGCCATTCAAATTAGAAAAACTATCCATAATAAGCTTTACTTTTTATATATCATCGCTCCTCATAAACGACATAACCTTTGAATAGTTCAGAAAAGGAATAGTGAACATCGAGTAGTTTTCATTATCCTAATGAAACGTACGAAGTTACCAACATAGACCAAAGTTAAAAGTCGAGTTTAAATGAGCCTGATATGTCTTTCGTTCCAGTTTTAGTTAACTGGATAACTCTAAGATAGATTGATTATTCGAGTAAAGTCAGAATGTGACAACAATCGTAGTCTATCTTACAGTAGATACATGGCTTGACTTAGTTGAACAACCAACTCGGCATATTGAATATGTCGAACCAACAATTCAGCATAAAAAAAAAGCTTATTGCCCAACTAAAGATAAGTCTCAAGCTAAAGATATAAGTTCAAGTCTTATTATCTTTTTTTTAAACCGGCAAAACCTCTTCGATCTCCTTTTGTCATCATTATCTTCCAATTAGCTTTTAAATTCGATAAAACTCTTTCTATCTCCTCATTATGATCTGGTGATGAAGCCAGTAGCGAAGTCATCTGTAACATTTTAGCAGCTGTTGCTGCTGGATTTTGGGAAGAGCCGAAATCAGTAAACAATTTGTTAAAGACATCTGTGACATCACACGGGAAGTATTAGACTTACCAAGATAAACATCATTTAAAATTGAAATTGTATTATCTTACCTTCTAACCTCTTTGTTTGTAAAAGAATCACGTTATCACGAAAACTTCTTAAGGCCATTGTCCGAACATCCCACATTTCTGCTTCATCCGGTGACCGATATTGTACGTCTGTTCTTAGTGGTAAAAATACAGCTTCGAAGTATGGAAGAGCATAAGTAAAGAAAAAGGACCACTGTTCTACTAATCTATCGAGTAGTTTTTCATCCGTGACACCAAACATTTTAGCATTGAGCGTAAACATGCCATCTCGTAACAAAGCCTCAATATCGTGATAAAATTTAAGTGTGATAGGATTTGGCAAAGACCGTCTGATATTGTTCCAACGAATTCGATAGTTTAAATTTGATACATCACAATATGTTAATGTTATTTCGAATTGACTTGAATATATTTATTCTCACTCTTACCTTAAAAGCTCGTTAAGATCTTCGATGGAACCTTGTACACCTTCCCCATTGAACAGCGGTAAAACACGAACGCACAAGGTTTGCCAGTCATCTCCTTGACTGGAATTAGCCACTTGATACATAGATGCATTATTATTGATCCCAGCAAGTCCAATATTACTAACGTTGTTAGGTAGTGTGATGCTACTGACGCTATTTTGTCGATGATATTGAAAATGATTTTGAGTCGGCACACTTGCCGCTGAAGCAATTGTTTGAAAACCACTCATATTGTTCAACAAACCGCTCGCATACATTTGGTTATTGAAATTGGTAGAGAGGGTTGACTGTTGTTGCTGTGATTGGAACATATTACTGCCACCCAAAGTAGGTGAACTAGGTGACATGAGAGGCTCCATATCACTGCCAGCATTATTACCGCTACTTGTATTCGCGCGCAAGGGCAGGTTGGCAGATTTTTCCATGTCACGTGTGATAGCTTTAGCATCCAGAACAGTGAGTGACTTTTGAATCGACGGTGGAGCAACTGGTGAAGTGGGCCATGTATGTTGCTGCTGTGGTTGATGCGGTTGAAAGTGGTGTTGTGCAGAAGAACTGTTGGTATTCAATGAAGTAGCAGCAGTAAGATGTTGTGAACCGGAACGTTCAAAGCTGGATGAACTGCGCTGTCGAACACTGACTGGCTGTTGCTGTTGTGTCTGTGAAGGTAAAATTGAGCCTGTCGGGGTCGTTGGATTAGAGTTGGAACGTGCGCTGCTAAGCTGTCTAGACTGGTTATTACCTCCTCCTCCAAGTGGTGGCGGTTGTACAGTTGATATAGTGGATGAATTTGCTTCTGCGGGCATGCAATGTTGTTGTTGAACTGATGTAAGCGAATGATCGGCAGTCAGTTTATTTTCTGGAGATGCTGGTGTTGATGAGGAGCTCGGTGATGTTGATAGTATTGGTTTGCTTTTGTCCATATTTTCGTCAGATACAATTCTCGTTGATGGCTGCTGGTTGTGTGTTACTATTTGACGACTTGTGTTGGTAGCCATTCAGGGAATATAATTGGGTATACGTGCTGTTCAATGGTTTGCTTTTCTTGCAATATTTTAAAAAGAAATCAAAATTGTGTAAAAAGCGCGAAATCAAAAAATTATAGTTCTACTAACGAATACTGCTTTGAATTAAATTCATTGAGAGGATACATTTTAAAGCATCTTACAGAATGTATTACAGCAGCTATTTCAAACGGTGAGGTGATTTAATCACAATACTATGTTGAAGCTAGATAGTCATCAATCTAACGTCGTTCCTATCTGTGTTTCGTTTTGTCTTCTTTAGAGAACTTTCTTAAACAATGCAATTGTCGAATATGGGTAGCCTTAATCAAGAAAGTAGCCTTCACGTCAACCCCTTCAGACCTCTCTGAGCCGTAAGGAGGGCCTTGGACCCAAAAGCTAAATGTTCTGCAATTATGAAAAAGGTTGTAATTACATAAAAGAAATAGATAAGCATAGCTATGAGGCCGGCAAAATCTTTTCAAGAAGAACAGGAAAGTAATTTGACTGCAGGATCACTAGATATTGACTGCTTGGGAAGATTTCCAAAGGCGGAAAAATCCACGAGAATCTAAAGGTAGGCCTGTTGATAAGACGTAATAACAGACATCTTAATGAAAAAAAAAAACCAGTATATAGTGTCAGTACCAGCTGCGTAGTTGTATCCTTTTAGAGATCTATGATAAAGAAAATCCACGTGGCGACAATTTATGGGGCGCGCTTTGAAGAATCCCCAGCATTGCAACAGCTTTTGTTGCATAACTCTTATTTATTGCGGTTAAAAAGAATTTCCCTCCTCATCGATAAAAAGTAACGTCCCTTCTACTACAACAATCTAATAACTTCATCATGAGATTGGCCATTTATGGCTGTGTATCTTCCATACTGGCTATTGGAGTGATACTTTCAGCAATGTATAAACGTCCTAATTTTTATGCTGCATGTATTTACGTTTCGAAATCTAGTGCTTGCATGATGGTAACAAAGATATTTGAATGCTGAGCAAGATCGTTAATGAACTACACTTTCAATTGACATGCCAAATTATTCCGTACATAGATTTTACTGAATATGGGGTTTATCGTGTCGGTGTTGTTTGGAAAAGTCTTGCAAGCAATCTTTTTTGGTAGACTGAGGGCTATCGAAATTGAGGTAAGGCCTGGCTTTTCTTTGTAATTAAATATCAAACATAAGAAAATCATAGATATAAACCATGAACTAGCATTTATACGAACGGTCATGGTATGCAGTGACTGAAACGTGTTTAGCAATGACTATTTTTCGAGAAGAATTTGATTTACGTTTTATTGTCGTCTTCACAACATTGTTGTTCTTGAAAATATTCCACTGGTTATGTCAAGATCGTGTAGAATTCGTGAGTTTCTGTTATAGTTAGCAACTTGTTTATGCCTTTTTATTCTATTAACACTGTTCTTTGTTTAAAAAGATGGAACAAACACCTACAAACAGAGTAGGTTTTCACATTCGAATCGTCAATTTATTATGCCTGCTCTTGATTATAGACACCTTTTTAGCAAATCATGCTATCTATGTTACACTAACTAAAGGGCCCAGTATGATGATCATCTTCGGGTTTGAGGTAAATGATGTCCTAATTACTTTAATGTGCGTTGCAGTTGTTTGACCTAAATTATTTGAATAATTGGCAGTACACTATTTTGATATGCTCCATCCTATCTACCATTGGCCGATACATCATCAATTTGATCGATATGAGGACGGAACAAACATGGGAAGGGAAATCAATGTACATATTCTATTTAGATCTTATAACAGGTAAATACAGATGTAGTTGCATAGTGCGTATATATTCTGATATGTTATATCTTCCTTACGTATACTACGCCTTATAGAATTTTTTAAATTGGTCACGTACCTCGTGTTCTTCTTGTATATTTGCTTGAATTACCAGCTACCAATTCATATAATCCGAGATGTATATGTCACTTTCAAATCGTTCATTCAAAAATGCCGTGATCTTCACAGATATAGACGCGCTACACGCAACTTAAACGAACTATATCCTGATGCTACAGCTGAAGACTTGAATCGTGCCAACGATAGTACTTGTATTATTTGTAGAGAAGAGATGCATGCCAACGGACAGCAACCTGAAAATGATGATGTAGGCAGTAATATTGATATGGCGAATGATGATCTGCGTAATAATAGCAGAAATGAACGAGACCGTCATTTAGAACAGCCCAAGAAATTGCCTTGTGGACATATTTTTCATTTTCACTGTTTACGAAGTTGGCTAGAAAGGCAGCAATCTTGTCCTACTTGGTAAGCTATTTGCGAATGTTGGGGACTTTGGCTCACAGTTCACTAACCGTTTCCCTTCCGTAAAAGTCGCCGTTCCGTGTTTACAGATAGCTCTAGAAATAACAATGCAACTACTAATAACAATGAAAATGAGCAAATACCCCGAACAACACCATCTCAACAGCAACCATCATCATCACCGCCAACACCATCCCACCAACCTACACAAACATCTCAGGCTCAGCAATCGCCGTTCTGGCAATCACATCAACAGCAACAAGGATATTCTAATAATCAACCTATTTCCTCGAATCAATTTTCCACGCAATCGGCTATTCCAACAAACAATAACATAAACCTGAATATACTTGCACCTGCAACCCAACCTACTTCTAATCACTTGAGCATACCTGGATTGATACCGTTAGTTCCTATTAATACTATAATTAACCAACAGCAACGGCAAAACAATACTGATGACAGTAGTATTTCTTCTGCATTACCACCCAATTTAACGGAGCATGACCTCCAAATTCTATCACAAACGACGAGAGAATCGATGGAGCAAAGGCTGCGTATATTAGAGACTGTCCAAAATCAGATTTTTCAGACTATGCAAGTACTTGCGCAAGCACTCAGTATACTGCCAGTACCTAATACTTCCGCTAACACTTCAGACTTAACGGAAGAAAGGGTGGAGATAGATGGTGAACAAGACAGCTTGGACGTAGATTCAATACATCTTCACCAAAGCAGTGCTACTTCTACGAGTGACAGGGAAAGTGGTACGCTGAGTGAAAGAAAAAGAGGCAAGATGCCAGACTATGGCTCGGCTTCTAATATGGTTTCAGACGAAGAAGAGGAAGTTCATTAAAATGATATAAAAACTTTTTATCAAAACCTTGCATAAAATATCGATATAGAACGTTCTGCTCAACTACCGTTAATCAAGCATTAATTCCTGTAATCCATTGTTCCCTTCTCTTTTTCTTTTCTTTTCTCATTCCCTTATGCCTGCTTAGCTGCAAATTTTCAGCTGTTCTTCGTTTGCTCATAGGGAACTTTTACTTACACCGTGCTTATCCCAAATATTTCCTCCTATGCATAATAACGGATGATTTCGAACAAAACGCTGTCAAATTAAAGATCGCTTCGAGTTTTGTGTTTTCTTTATGAGCAAGTGTTTGTTTGATTAGTGTGAACTCTTCATGTATAATCATACGTTTTATATAAAGGTTTCACGATTGTTCAATTGATGAACTCTTGAGGTTTTTGGTCGGATATTACACCGACGCTGTCAAATCAAAAGAGTTAAGTGTAAATCGAAGCGAAAATAAATCAAGTGTTTCAGACTTCTTTTCACTTTTGTATCTTATATTCTGATTGTTAGAGATTAGTAATATCCTGATAATAAGGAAAAGTGTCTATCAAAAGCTGATCCGATTTCAAAAGTCTGTTAATGGATGATTCCAACAAATTGTCAAGTGTTAGCGACATTAAACGGAGAAGACCAGTAGCAATCTCTTCACAGGCCAGCGACTTATCTATAACACCGCTCCCGCAGATCACAGTTACTGGGCCAGCATCAACTCAAGAAAACTTGGATGATCTGACACATAATGATAGTTTATTAAATGAGACGCATCGTATAAAAAGCGATCGTTTCTACCATTCCAATGATAATAATGTCAACGATGATCCAACACCTACTTTGAATGTTTCAACCAATTTTCTGACCAGCCCAAAATTAACTGAGCCTTTGTCACCGCTCACATCAATACCATTGCCATTAACAAAAGATCTTCTGCATAGAAAGAACAAATTAGATCGGCTGTTACTTCAAAAAGCACGACGGCAACAACAACAACAACAACAACAACAACAACAACAGCAAATACCGGATAATAGCCATCAATATTTTGATACAAGCAGTTCTAATACAAACACTGCAGCAGTTGATGGGAGGGTCACAGCCGGGTTAGGAATTTCTTTGGGCAATTATAATCCTAACATGTCAACGAGTGGTTTACGAGCACGAATACCAAGTTCATCTCGACTTTCTTCTTCCATTCGTAGTGTGGACAATGATTATTCCAATCTAGCATATAGTTCTTCAACATCCAAAAACGATAAGTATCGACATAGTGAGGGTGAGTGGAGTTCCAACGATATTGATGTAGTACGCAGGTCGATGGTCTCCTCTGATGATCATTCAACAAAAAGCTATTACGATCGACGAAAACATTCAGCAGACATGTCAAGAACTTCTATATCTGGGGATGGGTCCTCCAATATTAGCAACTCCATGAAAGTTCATAATAGTGCTAGACATCGATATATGGATAGCAATCATTCAGGCCGTCATAGCGGAAGGCCGCATCATCGTCGTTACCACCACAATAACAATGTTAAGCTAGACAGCCAACATTCTACCAACACTGGTGAGAAAAGCGGAATTAGTATAGCAAAACAACCGTTCGTTATTCAACTATTATTTAATGCAGCCGAACGGGTAGTTAATACGAGAGGGCCAGAATCGAAGGAAATAAGGAGAAGTGAACATTTTCACTTCGATATAGTGTCAACAAACTCAAGTTCTACTGGAAACCGCGTGCTCGAGATTCACCATATCAATTCTCATACCTCCAATCATTCGGACAATAACAAGAAACGTCTCGCAAGACCACCGTTGACGAGTATACATATCCCGTCTTCTTCAGCTGTACACGAAAAGATTACAAGCTTGCCATTATCAACTGTTATTCCATCTTCATCAATGCGTAATGACTCTACTAACATTGTTGCAACTGTATCACCCTTAAAACATTCTGATATTGTCAACACTCATGATAGTCGAAAACACGAACAGAGTGGGACGATTTCAGGAACCAAGAATGACTCTATTTTATTTCGTAGTAGCCTTACCGATTTCACTCCTTATGCAGCGTCATCTAATGAATCACATATGATTCATCCACCAGAACCCATACCTTCGAAATTGATTAATGTTTACTCACAACCACAACCTTTTAAAGTTGATGAAATGTTTATATCCAACCCTTTACAGGGCTATTCTTTTTATTTATTCTCTCCAACAAACCCATTTCGTATTCGTGTTTGGAAGCTTGTTCGCTCAAGGTAATGGAAGATTTACTCGTAAACTCAGGGAATTTTTTTTTTTTGAAAACAATAAGCAACGCGGTAACTCATAACTTATGTTTTAGATATGTCGAAACGTTCATTTTTTTGATGATGGTATTGCATTGGTTTATCCTTGCTTGTGTGCCCATATATAATTATCGACAAAAGGCTGTTTTTGGGGCTCATTGGTCGCATTATCTGATTTTGTGTATACAATCAGTGTACAGGTAAAGTAAAGTTCGATGAAGCAGTGCTTGTAGTTCGTTTATTTGATATGCGCACTAAAATAGTTTGTTAGTATCGAGATGGTTTGTAAAGCGGTTGCTTTTGGATTCATTGTACCTCCCGCTGCAGCTGAAGGAAAACAGCACCAAAAGGGTTCGTCGGCAACAAAATACAACAAACTTCTGTCAGTGCTTTTACCAAAAAAGTTGAAACAACATATTGCAGTCAATACTACAAAACAGGCTACAGTTTACAAAAACAATATCAGTAATAATGTTACCGTAGAAGAAGATGAAGATGGTGTAGTTACAAGTGGTATTCTTAATAGCAATTCTTCAAAGCGAAGACAAAAATGGAAAAGAAATCATCGCGCTTATTTGTGCACTTTTGGAAATTGGTTCGATGCTGTTTCGATATTCTCATACTGGGCTGATGTTATCTTAAGTGTCTACGAATACCCTAACTTATCCTTATTTAAAGCGTTGGGTGCTATGCGTCCTATTCGTCTTTTGTCGATGCTGCGAGGTACAGCTGTAAGTTTGTTATGAAAGAGGCTAATATATACGTCTTATTGATCTTGTAAAAATTCTAAATGGTTATCATTATTATTACCCACAATAGGTCATTTTAAGGTCATTAGAAACTAGCTGGCAGCTCATTTTGGCTGTAGCAGGATTGATCCTTTTCTTTCTTGTCATATTTGCCTTGCTGGGATTGATCTCTTTTCAGGGTGTATTTGCTAGACGATGCTATTTCACAGCAGAAGACAGCTCATGTAAGCTCTATTCATCCAGCAAAACTCAATCCTTTATTGTGGAAAGGAAACTCATGATAAAAAAACTGACACTTTTTTTGCCTTTAAGTGCAATTGGTGGAACCTCCTCTATATTGTGCAGGTTATTACAACAATACATTAATTACTGGGCCATACAATATCCGTACAGGTGACAATGAAGCCCCAGGGACTTATGGATATATATGTCGGGATGGCCAAGTCTGTATTCAGGATCCTGCCAATAACCCAGAGTATGGCTTCGTCAATTTCGATAATTTCTTCAACTCTTTTCTGAGTGTCTACACCACAATGTCTTTGGAGCTGTGGACGGATTTAATGTATCAGACGCAAGAAGGTGAATCAAGTATTTCAGCCCTTTATTACTGTTTGGTAGTGTATATTGTAGCGTTTGTTTTGTCATTTTTACTATTTGGTAAGTCATTATTTTTGATGTAAATAGTGATGGTTTACTATCTTTGATTTTATTAACATGCTTCCAATTTTAGCTGTGGTCACATCTGCATTTGCTCGTGTTCGTGCCGAAAGCGCTATGAGCGCATTCACCGCCAGAAAGAAAGGCTATTCTTTATTGAGAATGGCCGACGGGCTTGATGACGAAGAGGCAATGTGGATGTTCGATAATTCGCCTGATGAATTTGGAAAAGGAGTTACACGTTTAAGGTTACGCTGGTGGATTGTCCGTCTTGTTAAGAATAGAGCCTTTTTCTATTTTGGTGGTTTGTTGGTCTTATTGGACCTAATCATTATGTGCTTTAGATCATCTTATGCCAGCACATACACAATGGAACTGGTTGGTAAGCACATCTGGTTTTATTACCTCATCCAAGCTAAAAGTTGCTAAATTTCTATAACACTTTCCAGATAATGCCGAAACAGCTTTCACGTTTATTTTTGCGCTTGAAATTGTTCTTCGCATGGTGGGGGCAACAAGTTGGTTAGCGTTCTGGTCATCGAGGAGAAATTTGTTTGATTTATCTATTGTGATCGTTACATGCATTATTCAACTACCAATAATCAAAGATTCCTATGCTTATAAATACCTGACTATATTTCAGATCTTACGAGTCTATCGTTTGTTTATCTGCATCCCACGTGTACGCAGACTGCTGGTAAGGGGATACAAATGTTTAAATCTGTCCGCAATATAACTAATGTATCATTAATATTGTTCCTTAAATCAGTCTGCAGCTTTAGGTTCTGGTGAAAGTGTTTTGTATGTCATGGTATTTCTAATTTTGGCGACAGCTTTTTGTGCCACCGTCTTTATGCAAATGTTCGGCGGTGATTATTTTGATATTCTTGCATTGGATGATCCACAGCCCCGCTTTGATACCTTCTGGGAAGCCTTTGTATCTCTCATCGTCGTTTACACAAGTGAGAAATGGACAGACCTACTATATGATGCAATGTTTAGCCAGACAGGTCAGGGCTCTATTTATGCTGCAGTTGCCATTTCTTTGTATTTTGCTTTTGGGCGTTATATAATGTCTGGTCTATATATTGCAGTTGTTCTAGAAAATTTCGAACTGAACGATGATTATATCCGCCATTATCAAATCAAAGACTTCATCCATCGGCATCGATATAAAGATAAAAATCGAGCAGAGACCATTTTGCTGCGACTCTTTCGTCCTCTGTATCATTATAATGAAAAGAAGAACATCCAAGTACGACAGTTACCTAATAATCTGACAGTACCGCTTTCCAAGGCTAATCTGGAAGAGATCCTGGTCGATTCGCCTAAAATGAATGTTGATAACGAAGTTAGCAAACCCTCATGGTTTGAAAAAAAGCTGGCCCCTTTATATGCTACTCTGATAAAAAAGATACCTTTTATGAAAGAGAAAGGCAGTGTAAAAACAGCACCTATGTAAGCAGGCGGAAAAAGTATCAATAAAGGGAACTTGACCGAGACTAACCATCTTTCTCTTATCTTTGAACCTTCAAACAAAACAGAAATCCTTTTAGTCATGATATTGATGAAACTCCCGAAGATTATGACATCGTCACAGCAGAAGAAAACCGAGCTGCCATCGATCAAAGTAAACCGGTTGTTAACTCGTTGTTCTTCTTTTCAGAACACAATCAGTTTCGCTACTACTGTAAAAAACTTGTGGGTTCATCTCGACATGGGCAAGCCGAAAAGCGTAACTTCTTCAACTGGTTTGTGATGATATGTGTGTTTGTCAGTATTTTGATGGTTATCTTAGATGAGCCATCTACACGTTTGCTTAGACAAGACACCTCAAAGCAAGATGTGTATGACATGATTGAACTCATCTTAAGTGTTATTTTCGTGATTGAAGTCAGTATTCGTATTATTGCTGATGGTCTTTTGCTTACTCCCAATGCTTATCTGCGTAACCATTGGAATCAATTGGATCTCTGTGTGATTTTGCTTAACATTGGCACTATTTTTATGAGCACTGAGGAGGTACCGCGTGGTATTGGTACCTTTCGAAGCCTTCGTATCTTGCGTCTTATTCGTTATTTTAACGGCGTCCGCGAGATTTTTGTTTCGCTTTTTTATGCTTTCCCACTCATGTTTGATGCATTGGTATTTACGGCTCTGGTGCTTCTACCATTCGCAATTTATGGCGTAAATTTGTTTGGTGGTCTTATGTGGACATGCAACGATGAATCAGTGTCTAACCGAAGTGAATGCATAGGTGAATTTACTGTAGACATTGGTGCTTTAAATGATCTTACTATTCTGGTGCCTAGAGCATGGCAAAATCCTCAAAATGGGTTCATTTCTTTTGACGACTTTCCTCATGCATTGCAACATTTATTTTCTTTAACATCCACAGAAGGCTGGGTTGATTCAATGTTTAGTGCCATGAGTACACCTATGGATCCGGATATTCAACCTGTGTTCGATTGGAGATCGAGAACAATCTATCATGGTATCTTCTACATCATTTTCATGATAATTTCTCAGGGTACAATTCAACTATTTGTTGGTGTAAGTGAACTATTTTTTTTTTTTTATTCCTAGTTGAGATAGCTTCGTTGGAGGGGAACGTTTTCAAGCTAACGACGTTTGAATATATATTTATTTGTCTATTGACATAATATTTTACTATAGGTTATTATTGAAAAGTTTAAGGAGAGGAATGGTATCACTACCCTTACCACGGCTCAAAGACAGTATAGCGACCTTCAGCGTCTTTTAGCAAGCATAAGGCCCACCATCAAAGTTTTCCGTCCGAAATCGAAAATTAGACAAATATGTTACGATCTGGTGAAAGAAAAGAATGGTAAATTTAATCGTTTGATGATGGTCCTGGTATGCTTGAATACAATAGTCATAGCGAGCGAGTTCGAGGGTGAACCGTATTGGTTGGACAGGCTCCAGGACTTTTGTTACTTGTTTTTGACACTGATGTATGTCATTGAATGTGCTATCAAGTTATTGGGGCTCGGCTGGAAGAAGGTAGATGTTCCTTAGATGAATGCTAAAAATGATATGCTAGCTCTAATTGATCTCCTTTCCAATAGTGGATCCGCAGCAAATGGAATTGGTTTGACTTTTTACTTGCTAGCACAGCTTTGCTGCTGTTAATTTTACGTGTTTCTGTACCTGATTTATGGACAGTGAGAGTAGAGCAGTATTGTCTGGTTATGGTAGCATTTCGTCTGGGAGAAGGAGTTGATGCTTTACAAACGTTATACAATACAATCGCGTAAGTTGAGACGAACTACCTATGAAAGGTTTGATTTTGGTACTAACTGTTGCTTTTCGTTAGTAAATCAGCTCCCTCTATTATACAAGTCTCTGCAGTATTTATGGTTTCCATGTGTCTATTTGCCATGCTCTTTATGGAGTTTTTTGGCCTGACAAAATATGGAATATATGGTAACGCTCATGCCAATTTCAGAAATTACGGAAATGCCTTATTAATGCTTATAAGAGCAACGACTGGTGAAGCTTGGGTAAGACAAATACTCCTATTTGATTCGGGAAAAGAGCTGTATACTGAATTCTTTCATATCAGAATGCTATTATTGTCGATTATAGTGTTCAGTTTCCTAACTGCAACAAATCTGACGATTTTTTTGAGACGGACTGCGGATCACCATTTTGGTCCTACTTTTTGTTCGATATGTTCTACATCGTTTGTACTCACATTTTTTTGAACTTATTCACAGCTGTATGTTCTCTTAATTCTAGAGATAATTACAAGAAATAGCGAAGCTAACTAATCTATTGTAGGTTATCATCAGTAATTTCGAATACACGTACGAAACCAGAACACGGTTTACGAAAATCACCAAATCTGATTTGCGCATGTTTAAAGAAGCTTGGGCGGACATAGATCCCAATGGAACAGGATATATTCAGAAAAATGATGTTGTAGCACTTCTGCGAAAGTTAACAGGGCCCTTCAGGATACAAATATACGATGATAGGCATTCGATAAGCAATATTTTGAAAGTAGGAAAGGCGGACACTACTAATTTTAGAACCAGCATGAACGATTTTCAATCGCCTGATAGCTACTATGAACTTGCTGAATTTTCAGCAGCTCGAGAATTTAATTTGCCGGAAATAAATAAGCTACTGCAGAAAATGGACAGAGATGAAGTGCGAAGAAGGCGAGTAGAGTTTAATCTATACTACAAAGTATGTATCTCAATTCTTTATTCATGGGAAATATTTCATAGCTAATGAGTGAACGATGCTCAACGTATTTAGGAAATTTTGAGATCAGAAACTGCTAAGGGCATTCCCTTTGCCAGCGTGCTTACCATACTATCTTACCGTTTTATAGATATATCTGCATCACTAAAGTAAAATTTCATTTGCAGTGGAAAAAACTGATGGATAACAATGGCGCTAATTTGATATCTGAAATAGATTGGATCCACTAATCGCTCGATTGGAACAAATTGAACAATTGACACAGGAATACCATATCGAAAAAGCTGCAGGATTCTTCCTCACTCAAGTGCAAAAAAGAAGGTTCGTCCGTGAATTATGGAAAAAGCGAGACGAAGATGAGGTGCAGAAGTTGGGTATTACCAACCCCAGCCAATTTGAATTTGATAAACAGCAGTATGACATGACCAATGCCAACTCTGATATTGTAAACAATAGTCATAGTCCGACAACTGCTTCTATCAGTCATCTTAACGTTGACACAACAAATAGAGACCGCTTCAGCGAGAGTTCTCCAAAAGAAAGAGTAACAACGATAACTCCACTCACTATGGTTCCTCGTATTGTTATTGATAATGCTCATGTTAATCCAGACACATCCAGCGACACTCCTATGCTATCAACAGCTGGCACATTAACTATCCCACCATTGTCGCCTTTATCCGCTATCTCAATGGATAGTCAATATAATGCTTATTCACCGGGAGGAACATCACTTATTGTAGCATCTGGAACTCCAAACACTTCCCCATCACCGATTGATAGTAGCAGCCAGAACGCCTCTGCTAGCACACTATCACCTGAATCGTTAATACCATTCACTAGTCCTACGTCGAAAAACAATTGGTTGTTAATAGATGGCAATGCCGATATGCCCTCTGAATTATCCGATAGTTTGTTAAATATAATTGATCAAAGCGTTTGGTCAGGTAAGTATAATTGAACCTGTAATTCTATGTTACATTTGCCGTTGACTTGACTCTTATCTTTCTTTTTTACAATCGATAGAAATGCTTAGAGAAGAAGAAACATAAAATATAATTACCGTTTACTCTCTCCCCAGATACCCTTATTTTATTCTTTTATAAATTTGTTAAAAAATACTTTTTATTGTAATCAATTCGTTTTGCTGTTATGTCTTCTAATTATCTTCCCTTCAATATTTGTACATTCTTAACTTAATTTAATATACGCTTCTATTTATAAAGCACTGCTTCACTTTTTCATACAAGAAAACAATTAGAATGAGAGAATCCACAGGCGGATTGGTCGAGATTTTATACGCCATATGTTGGTTGTAAGGAAATTAAAATAGAATATTTGGGGCACTTGGTAAGTGCCCGCTAATTTTGAACGACTACATTATCGTAGCAAGGCGTGTACTTAGAATTTTGAGGAGTTTTTTGAATCGTCCATAGTAGCTGGTATTAAACGATCATTTTGTTGAGCGCATGAATAAATCGATTACATAATCACGGCTTTTAACCAAGGCATTCCCTTTAGGCACTGCCGGGGTTTTTTGTCTCCTCTTTCCTCCATTCAACACAATCATTAACAGTAAAATGGCAGGACCACGATTAGAAGTCTTTAAGGTAAACAGCTCTCTAAGCATATTATTTCAAACATATATAACTAGACATGTTAAAATATTTAATTATTTTAGTTCGGTTTTTACGTGTTTTTTCCAGTAGGCGTTATGCTTTATTTCGGTGGACCTGACTTTTATGATAAATACGTGAAGGGTATCAAATTTTGGCCAGATATAAATACAACTTACGTAAGAAATAAGCAGTATAAAGGTACTATAGTGATAGAACCGGAACCCATCTAACCGTTTGGCTCATTGTATAGAAACCACCAACGACGTCAGAGGAAGTAAGGAGTGCTTTGGATAAAATGAAGGCAGAAAGGGAGGAGCGTTGGAGAAAAGCGTTGGCAGCAAACAAAAAATCAACATCAAACACAACCACAATAGAAGGCGAAACAGCGAAAGAAAATGATGTCTAGGAAGTCAAGACTGACTGTGTACATAAAATGATCAGGGAAACATTTTTATTTCTTTATACAAAAGTCTAAATATTATTATATACAACAATTGAAGGAGAGACACTTTTCAATATAACATTAAAGGAAACCCAAAGAAAAGATACAGACAAAGTGGGTAAGAGGCTATCGATCAAGCCAAAGCTTATTTTTAAATCTCATTAAACGAAAAGCCCCTATTGGGATCCGTTGCCAGCGGCTGAGATCCCGCGAATAAGGATCATCTTCTATTGGTGGAAGAGGCGAAGGCGAACGTGATGAATCAGAGGCTGCATATAATTTGGATGTGTCCAAAAATTCGTCCATAGAGACTGCTGTATCGTCATCAGAATTTTGTTTTACGGCCTGATCATGCGTTGCAATAGCAGCAGCGGTCATAGTTGGTGAAGCAGGTGTTGAAAATGAGGTGATTTTTGTTGAATAGGCTGGAGTTGTAAGATCAAAAGAATTTGATCTGGTGATTTTACTGCGTTTCATTCCAACTGAGTCGTCTGCTGTGGAATGATTTGAATCAAAGGCAGCTTTTCGTTTATTGAGTGGAGTTTCACTAATGCTTTGAGTTTGCTGTGAGCTCAATACATTAACAATAGTAGAGGAAGTATGAATTAGAGTGTTATCATCACAGACGGAACCACTGCCAGAGGGTTTCGGTAATAATTGCCGTGAAGACGATTGAGAATAAATAGATGGTGAATAAGATGGCTGTGGAGAAATAGAGGTATACTGTGAGGAAGATAATAAGGAGTTGGTAGTATTATCAATAACAGTGGGTGTAGTGGGCGATATTAAAGGTGAATTATTTGCAGATGCTGTAGGAATATTGTTATTAAGGATATCTATAAGTTGCTCGTGAACCCCATTTAAATCAATAATTTGTTGTTGATCGTTTGGGCCACTGCTGCTAGTAAAACTTAACTTCGAGATATTACTGGTATTGTCGCCATTGTTGCTTGACACTACTTCGTTAGCTGCTTCCTCAATGGGTTCTAATATGAAGGACAAATCGTCTGCAGTGACAGCAGAAAGAGCTCTTAGTGATTCGGACGTAGTATAATCTCGAGATCCACGCATTCTTCGTACTGCAGAAACAGCGCTACTAGGCAACGAAAGTCTTCTCAAAGAGTTGCTATCGTCATCGTACACAGACCTTTGTGTGGTCGAAAGGGCAGCTAATGCATTTGTCAAATCTAAAGAAGGAGTATCCGTTCCTGAAGCAGCTCCTACTTCTGAAGTTGCTGCAGCTGCGGCTAATGCTTGAAGAAATGCTGCTGTTAAATTGTTGTAAACACTATTAGTACTTCCATTATTGTGGAATGTGTCGAGTTTTGCATCAGGCTTTTCATTCTGAGAAACCGTTGCGGTAGTAAAATCATATTCCTCCTCCTCCTCCTCATCTTCATCTTCCTCGTCTGACGAGGTCCAGCGACTATTAACATGAGCATAATATTGCTGATAATACTCCTCTTCATCTTCTTCGTCTTCGTAATCGTCCTCTACATAAACCGCGTTGCCGTTATCATTGTCACTGTATACTTGGTCCGCTTTTTCTTCCAATTCATTTATAATATTAAGTGTTTCTTCATTCTCGATATCTTCATCGTCACCCGAATCAATCTCATCAGTACTACTAACTGAGGATATTGCCATAAAACCATCGTCTGTGTCGCTTAATAACAAAACGTTATCTTCCTCATTCTCTTCTGCTAGACTATCATCCGTGAAAAATTCCTCATTTTCAGATAGTGAATTTTCATCATCTACAATATCATTCGAAAGATGCTCTGATAATGGTGACATTGTTTCTAACAGATCATCCAAATCGTCAACAATAACTTCTTCGTCCTCTTCATACGAATCTACACCATCTTTTGAGCGGGGCATATCTTTGTTATTTATTTCCAATTTCAGTAGCGGTGAGATCATTGCATTGTGAAGAATATTAGTAAGTACTGTTGGTGATTTGCCTTTATGCTGCACTTTCTGTGGCATAGCCTCTTCTTCTTTATTTTGCTTTTTCTTTTTGTTCTTTTTTGTTGTATGGCTGTTCTTTGTCGCTGCTGACGCCGACTTTTTGTCTTTTCCTTTCTTGTCAGGGATGGTTTTTTCAACAAACCCATCCCTCTCTATAACTGAAGCCTGGCTGCTTCTTCGCCCTATATTTGGATAAGTAGATGATGCTGCCAGCTTTTTTTTTGATTTCTTTTTCTTTTTTTTAGAGTGCATTTTCGGTAGGGAAATAACTATCAGAAAAGAGTGGTTAATACAGCAATTAATGCGGATAAAAAAAAAAACAAAAAAATAAAAAAATTAGAGCTTACTAATTTTGGTTTGACTTTGTGATATTGGATTTGAACTAGGTCTCTTTTCCTGTTGCTGTTGTTGTGTGAGAGGAAGACTAGCTGGAGTAGCTGATTCCAAAGCAGGTGCTTCTGATGTGGAAGAAGTGGATAGTACAGAAGATACTGCTGAGAAGGCTGATGTAGGAAGGAGGGAGGGAATGGCAGACTCGGTGGACTGTTCGGCGCCGCAAACACAATCACCTTCACATAACACGCAAATATCATCCATTTCGTCATCGTCATCCATGCTGTCGTTCAAAATTGTTGTATTCGTTCGCTGTTCTTGCTCGGATATGTTGGATTGTGATACTTGCTGCGAAGTTGTAGCCACCTTGTTTAGCATGGGTGTTGTTGTCGTCGCAATAGTAGTTTGTGGTTTTGGAATAGAAAGCAAAATTGTTGGTTTTTCTTGGGAATCAGGTGTCAACTTGTTGATAGATGCATAAGAAGGAGTTAAAAGGGTCTTGCCCGCCCTTTGATGTTGCTGTGGGTTCTTTTCTACATTACTAACATCTGTGTTATGCTCGCAATTTTTACATATGTATCGATCTATTGTTGCTGTTGCATCCAATCCGACGCAGGCTCCATGAAACCATTCTTTACATTGTTCGCATTCTATCATAAAATCTTTGCCATTATAACCACGACGACAAATGCAATATTGCTGCTGCTGTTGTGCTGTTTTCGAAGTACTTTTCTTTTTCTTATTATTTGTTGCTTTCTTCTTCTTTTTCGACATCTTTTTCTTTTTATTTGGTTTCTTTACCGGTTCAGGTTGATCTGAATCGGCTGAAGATAGCGATGAAGCGTCTGACAATAATAATGATAGATCAGAATCTGATTTCTGCAATCGATCAGTTTGTGCTGCCGATCCACTCATATAAGAGAAATGGGAAGGCTGGGGAAAGTATATGTCTTTTATTAGAGAATTATATAGTGCTATGTCAGAAATAATGAATGGGTGTAAGAAACTGTTGCTTTCGTTTTCCTATCGAGTGGTCGTTATCAATATTATGGTCGTGCAGAATGAAAATAAAAGTGAGCGGAAGGGTCTTCTTAACAAAATATGGACATTTTCAACGTCAAAAAAAAATCTGAAACAGTAATACTGAGGTAAATTCGCGCTGCGACACTACAAAAAAAGAACACCCCGCCCGCGTTTACCATTAACGATCACTTACATAGCAAGAGGGTCGATTTTGTAGGCTCGATTTCATTTGCTCAAAACGGTGGACTTATAGAAAAGCAAAGATTTAGTTCAGAAAAAAAAAAAAAGATATGTTTTAACTGTAGTGTTAACTGCTACTATGCTTTCTTGTGGATCGAAATAAATCAATGGTTCAATAGATGTCCTGAATAAATTGTCTCTACTCCTGTTTTAGACCTTAAAAGTGTAAGGACGACCGTATAGAGCATTATCCCAACCACCCGGCGAGCCATATACAGTCAATTGAATTTGGCAATCAAAGGTGCTTACGACAACGTTTTGTAATGATTGATAATGACGGTGTTTATCGTCAGTTGTAATGGGTATAAAAGGCGGTTTTTGATCAATACCTGTGATGAATTCGAACCTTAGGAAATACTGCAAGGAAACCCCAGTAGTCTGGAATTCAGGTGTAGCAGAGGCAGGTATCGGTAATGCAAATGTTAGTCGCTGATTATTCAGACAAAATGAATGAAAATCTGAATGTGTCTTCCGTGAGACTCGTGCGATGTGTTGTGCGCTTCTTATAGCAATACTTGGCTCCACACATTCGATACTTTCTAAGAAAATGGATATCTAGAAAAAGGATGATAGTTAGTAAAAAAATTGGTTCAGGCGATGATTTCCAGCAAGCAGTTTTTACCTTGAATGTCTTTAAATTTGCTTCGGAGAAATCCAATACGCCAATGACAGGCTCATTGAGTCTGTGCGCGGTTTTTATGAGATGTAATTTGGCTACTCTTTGATTACTTTTACAAATATCATACATTGCTTATTTGACAAGATGAGATCAATTCACTTTTCTTCGTATAGAGAAGAAATACATTTGTTATGATTACCTTTTCTACTTCTATGAGTTATTCTAGATACAATTTGCGTGCATGATTTATCTATTGCTGGATCCTCGTGTTCATCCATTTTTTCTCCATATGCGTCACTTTCTCGTCTAGTTATTTCCTGTCTAATTTTATGATTCTTCACCTTTATTGTACTTTCATATAATTCATTTACATAGTCCAAAAATGCCTCTTTTTCTTCGTTCGATAAGATCTGCTTTTTCTTTTTCTCAATCTTATTCGGCTCGTTTATCACTGCTTCATCTTTAAAACGTATCACTGGATTCATTAAATCATAAATGGGCCGCGACCCATCTTCAGATACGTGATTCAATACTCGAAATCGTATTTGAACCATGCCTTGCCCCTGCGTTGGTGACAGTCCTGTTGAGCTTGCCTTTTGCACGCCAATGATGAGATAATAATTGAATCGAATTGCTTTGCCTCTGTGAGAAGGTGGTAAATCATTTGGCAGTTGTATTTTATAAAGAACTATAGTTACAGGCCGCTCGAAAAAGTTAGAATCTGTATATGGAATTTTTCGACAATAACAATAATATAAAGCTAACGAAAGTATACACTATACATTTTTTTGATTCTCCCGGTGCTAGATTTAGGTCAACGAATAAAATGGATGGTGGTGTTGAGAATACTGGTAAAGTCCGTGGGTCTGGTAAATTGTTATTATAGGAATATCAGCAAAGAGAGATTGTTGACGCTTTGTCATATGCACGATACAAACCTGTGGTGTTCCCTGATTTGCTCAACAACAATCCTCCGCCTCCACCGCCTCCAAGGCCGCCCTGTGGATTATACATAGTGTGTCTTTTGAGTGATTCGAACTCGCTCACGTTCACCAAAGTAGAATCTGCTGTAAAGCTGCCTACTACTTGTGCAAATCCACATGATAAATGCTGAAAAGCTGTGTTTTTCAAAGGTGTTGGTAAATGACGTTTTGTGCTGTTGGAGCGTGAAAAGAATATCATCGATTCAAACGAACTTCGTGGACTCATCATATTACTTGGGGGCTGCTGATTTAGTGATGGCGGTGAAGTCTCAAAACTTGAACGTGTAGAGGGTGAGTCAAGTTCAACAGGGATCTCTTTCTCATCGTCATTGTCATCGAGCCCTTTCGCAACTATGGCGACATCGCTATTGTCCACAGAAGAGATGGATGCCGCAGTTGATTGCAGTACTTTTTCTGGCTCCTGTATTACTCGTGATGGTTGCCTTCGTTTCCAAAAAGATAAGGTAGAAGATGCTAAAGATGTTATTGTCCGTGGTGATGCGCTATGTTGTAGAGATGTTGCTGAGCCCGTCGATGAATGTGTTGCAGTAGGTATAAAAGGTGATTGTACGAGGTTTGCAGAATTTGTTGTCGGATTACTGAGAGTGATGGTACATGATAGTGTTTCTCCAGCGTAAAAAACAGCACCTTGTGAAAAAGAAGTTGTTACTATGAAATTATCCGCACAACAAATGACAAAAAAAAAAAGCTTCTTTAGTCTTCCCAAACTATAATGCGACAGTGCCGTTTAGTTGTATGTCACCACTTGTCGAGTTTACCCAGGACGCTCATCTAGCTTTGGATTAGCTGCAAAAGGGAATGCTTAAAAAAGCCCAAAGAACTCCATTGAATATGATTGTTTTATAGTCGTGACTAATTTATGCAAATCAAGCAATCTCAATTAGACTACTCCGAACCCCTTAAAGCGCGTGAGCGAAAATCGTACATTTTTGATCAATCCACCATCATACACTCATATCATAAAAAAAATAGCATTCCGATATTCACAACTCTACTTGGTTGCTTCTTGTTATGTTCATCATTGCTTAAAGGCAATAATAACACCCAATCGCTTGTACATTACGCAGGAAACCATGACTGCAGAGAGCGGGATTTTACTGTAAGCAATACGAACAATAGTTTGCGTCTTGCTGCGAGTTTTTCACTTATGACAGTTGACGAATAATATAAACGGACATTTTCTGAAAACGCTGTACTCAGGGGTAAAGTGCAAAGTCCTTTTTAATAAAGATTACTGTACTGGTTTTATCGCTTGGCTTTTACACGAAATGGTTAACAATTGAGACTATTTTACAGCAAAAATTTTAGACTAACTAAATAATATTTTGAATGAAAAGTATCGTTTCTGGGATTATACCCTTCCTGTCAAAATGCTCAATGCCAAATGTGCGACCTACTCGTACTCAAACAAGGTAAATACACTGTGCCAAAACACAGGATACTCAACCCGTCTGTTCATGTTGAAATGCCAAGCAGTAATTAATAAAAACTATAATAATCTACATTGGGAGGTTTCATGAGATAAAATCACCTCCACGCGTAATTATCTTTGAGCTGTTGGTTCCGAAAAACCTGCAGCATCATTATCGCTATGGATCGTGTTAGTAGCTCGGGGAGACCATTATTAATCCATATATTATATGCAATATGAAGCATTTTCGCCGCATTTACATCGCGCTGCCATATATTACCGCAATCATTACAAGCTTCGGTGCCGTATATCTACAGTCCCTCGACAATCTTTACTTTATCCATATTCTTACGCAGGCAGCCGTTACAGACCTACAAAGAGGCGTAAGCGAATCAAAGCCAACCTGTACATGCACTCTTCTCAGCATAACTTACAACTGGTGTTCCTTTCAGAACGCGCTAAATTTTGACAACAATACTGAGACTCGTACATTTCCAAGGTAGCGTGTTTTACAATAATACCTATTGTTATTGCTTTTATGTTAGCCAAAACGAGGACAATAGATATAGGACCAGCGACTTATTTGTCAGGCACTAAAATCAAAAAAACTTTAAGTGGCGCAACAAATAATTCACTAGCCGCTATTTAAGCGGCCGAAAACAACGAAAAGATGTGGAAAGTCACGTTACGATCCTTGGACTCTTTCCTAAAAAAAAAGGAAACGCATAATTTCTGAATACCAGGGTTTTTCCATCTTTTATACCTTTACAGCAGTCAAACTAAAATGTTCATGCCTCAAGTAAATTCACACAAAAGTATTCCTGTAAGAGGGTGATGTGTTTACCAATCAAATCTGAACATTTCATTGGAAAATAGCAACCTCAACTCACTCCTGAGCAAAAGGCGATGCTTCGTCAACGTACAATTGCCACTGTCACTAATTTTGCTGCTGTAGTATTAACTATACGTGCAGGTATAGTTTAGAATATAATAAAGCATAAAACTTATTATATACGCAGCAGAATTGTTTTGCTTAATATATCCATCTCTTTAATTGATAAATATAGCTCCATTTGCTCTCGAACAATTGAAGAAATTATTCTAACATATACGAAAGAAAAGACTAATTGTACGTACAAAATGACTCGACCTTCTAGTAAATGTGTTACTAACAAAAACCAATAGATATATGTATATTATTTGACATGGTTATATCCAATGTTCATCAGCTGCACGTTGAAGGTTCAACAATAAAAGACCGAGCTTTGTATTTAAGCAACATCGTATACCAGAAATAGCTTTCGAGTTGAACAAGAAGGATATAATAAGGATATGCCGTTGCCGCATAATTGTAACGGAAGATAGACACAATAAAATTGATTGTCCATCCCAAATCGATCATATGTAGTCCAGCATGGCAAAATGGACTACATGCGACAGCAGATTTCAATATAATGATGAATATGATTGACTTTATTCTGAATTGAGGGAAGGTTGGGGAAAGGGAGGAGTGATGGTTAATCGTCAAGTAGTAACAACTGTATTCAGTTTCTTAGACCAAACATGTTGTTTTTGTAATGTTTGCTATAGCTGACTTTTTCAACTTTTTTTTTTTTCAAACAACGTCCCACGCCAAATCAAGGCATTGACAATTTCTTTGATATTTCTACCATTCGATCTGTAAGACTATGAGCCAGCATCAACTAAATTACTTACGAAATGTCAGAGCAGTTACACCTACACCTTCTGGTTGGACACCAGAAGTCAAATATATTGACAAACTGTTTTGGTCACCTGGGGTTCCCAAAGACCTAATCGAACTTTATCAACCTTCAAATCCGAATGCGATCGATCCGCGACGTACGATTAACTTTATGAATGAGCATGTTAACCTAATTGGCACCTATCCAGGTACGAGGGAGCAGAGACGAAATATTAAAATTAAAAAGATCACTGATAAAACACACCCCTGTTGTGGAGCGTATGGATTATTTGCAGCACAAACATTACGGCCGAAACAACTCATTATTGATTATCTGGGGGTGGTTGAATATAAAGATGGATATGAGCCTACTTCTGACTATGTCTTGAGATACGGTACAGATCTGTCGATTGACGCTGGAAGGTGCGGCAACGAAGCTAGATTTTGTAACGATTTCCGAGGTTGTGGACCTGAGCCCAATGTTTGTTTTATGAATTATATGGATGAGAAAACAAAACACATAAAAGTGGGTATCTTTGTAAATGGGAATAGAAAAATTAAGAAAGGTGAAGAATTGGTAAGGTTTTGATTCAAATTTACTGTTGCAGTTTTGACTGTTTGGTGTTAAGACTTAAGCCTTCTTTTCCTTTCCAGCTGGTAACATACGGGAAATCGTTTTGGGCAAAAAGAGGCATCGATATGAGCGGTCAGAAGCATAAATCATAATTGGAGTATTAGCTTACATACTTGGCTTAAATCAATTTTACATAGAGTCTGTTTTACAGAATTTATTGTTATCTTAAAAAGTAAGAATCTGAATGTCTCCCTTTGTTTTCTTAAAGGCTCAGGTTCATAAACTTTCTCTTTGAAAAGCACATCCACCATTTACTTGGAAGTCCATCAACGAAAATCGTATCGACTAATCGAGCTGCAAGCTCTTGACGAAGTTGCTGCATATACTGTTTCATTTGATCTAGAAATACATTGAACAAGATGAACCCCATTATTAACACTTCCTCTCCCATACCAATAATCATATTATGGAAGCTTACCCGCTTGAGACTTGTCTATGGGAGCTTGATACATTGCATTGAGAGGAAAAGAGGGATCTCCAGGAATAGCAAAATTGGAAAGTGCCAAAGTATTTAAAATTTTGAAAGCGTCGCCTTGTGGTGTATTTCTATTTATCGAGCCAAGACATTGCTGTATGAATAAAATCAAATAGATAAGAACTCTGTCCGCATTCCCTTTGATTTCAAAGTTTCGGAAAAGGCAATTGGCGCGAAACAAGTCGAGTGCTTCATCGATAATGTCGGTTGTGTTGGGGTCGGCTTTATAAAGATGTATTGGGAAGCAAAGATGAAGAATCAGTTGAATGCTGTTTTATGGATATAGTTGACATGTGAACAAATTAAAAAAATTAAACTGTTTATGGCTTGCCTACCGAAAGGAGCATTCCCTCTAAATTTCGTCTTTATTGGCAACAGAAACATATTTCCAATGGACTGGTAGTCGCCATCGTTATACTGTGAATGATATGCCTATCGATTGTCGTCAATTAGATTCTGATGGTTATATTTCTTTGCAAGCCCTTTCAGGGTAGCTTGTCTGTCTTTATAATCTCTTGTACTCAATACTTACGGGCATTTTCTGTAATTATACACGTAATAGAGCAAAGTTTCTAAGTACAAGCTTTGAAAGTATTTGTAAATATTCACTTTGCACTAAAAAAAAGACCGTTTGAACAACAGCCCAATCAAGTCCATAATTTCCCGTGATATAATGCGGACAGTTTCAAAGTCTGGCAGCAAGCAGAAGGCAATGAATTCCGCTCCAAATCAGTACCTTATGCTGTAATTTTAAGCACATATATTTCGAATTGACGCCGTCATGTTTTGATAAGTATTATACATTTACAAGTTTAATAAGGGGACCCAGATTTTCATAGTATTTTTTTTTGAAGGTTTCATAAAAAGTGCTTCAAGGGAAAAAAAAAATTTCAAAATTCTTTGAGTTTCCTCTATTAAATGCATATCATTATAAGGTCAATAACAGTTCATGTCCTCAAGCTCCCTCTGATAAAGGTGAGATAAGTGTCAGTAACAGCACGAACCCTCGTTTGATCCAGGAAATAGGAAATTGGTGCTTAAAAACTTTAAATGATTTTCAAATTTTTTTTCGGCTTTTTTTCACTTTAAACAAGGCGAAATGTCAAAGGAAGAGATCAATTTTGACGATCTAAAAGAAGTACAAGCAAAATCACCGTTCAAGAGCCTCAATATACAAGATGATGAAGTATTGTATAAATGCACAGAAAGAGTAGCTTGTTCAACCTGTAAAAGACCAATGAAGCATTATTGTTACTACTGCTATACAGTGTTGGGAATGGATCGTTGTGAGATCCCTTTTGTCAAACTTCCAGTCACTTTAGATGTGTATGTTTATCAAGCGGAAACAACGTCTTCTTGGATCTGACTGACTTGAGGCGTGGTATCTAATAGGATTAAACACGAGAAAGAATTGGACGGTAAATCAACTGCCCTACAAGCGAAAATATTGGCTCCGGAAGATGTTCAAGTATACGGATGGAATAGTATGCCCAAGTACAGCAATCCAGATAGGATTCTTTTGTTATATCCAGGAGAGGTAGAGTCTTGGTTACCTTACAGTTAATTTTAAATATGCCAGCTACTCATCTTTTATTACTTTTTGTGTAATGCAGGATGCTAAAAGGCTAAATGAAATACCAAGGGATTCCTTCGATCACTTAATTGTGATTGATGGTACTTGGAAACAGGCGAAAAAGATGGTTCGAGATACACCAATATTGCAGAAAGTGCGGAAGGTGACAATTGAGCCTAGATCTACGTACTTCTGGCGTTTTCAAAATATCAGTATCAATTACTTGGCTACCATTGAGGCAATCTACTACTTGTACGTCGAATTTGCACTGGCTTACGAAGTGGAAAATCAGAAATATGATGGCAGATATGATAACCTACTATTTTATTACAAGTATTTATATGATCTGATTCAATACAGCTATATAAGAGGTCAGCATAAAGACAAAATTTTCTGTTGGCGACACAGGTCAAATTACATAAAAGGTAAAGAAACAACGGGTCTCAAAAGAGATGCAGCAGGCAAATTCATAAGTAAAAATGATACCTTTACTGATTCTGATGAAACCACCGAATCAAATGTGGAGGGTAATAAAGAAAGTAAAGATTGAAGCAGTTACAGTGTAGCAAATTTGTGCACTTCCATCCTTGCTATAAAATGGTAGTCTTTCTTATATATGTATATATGTGTATAGCAATCAAGTTGCTGGCTTAGAGTTTGGGTTAGCATGTTGCCATGATCGAACCTTTTGATGGTAATACAACGGCCAAAGAAGCTTAGGCCATCGAGAATCCAGTGCCAAGGATTTTATTTACAAAAATAATAGATTGGTAACGGTTGAGGCACAGAATTTGACTCCTGTTAATTGTAGTATTTGTGATATTCCTCGAGCTTCACTATTCAGAATAAATGAAAAGAATAACGCAAGAAGCAATAAACACGAAAGCTTAACGAAATCAAATCACCTCCTTATTTCGCGTTCATAAACAAACTAAAGAAAAAGGAAAGAAAACTTTACAAATATGACATAGATAAGTAAGACAATACTATATGAAGCAGAAAAAGATCAACTGAAATTTATTCTATGCTACTCAGTATTGCTCGTCCTTAGACGACCGTTCTTTTGACTTTCTCTTTGTATGTATCTGAACACGTTGTTGGGATAGCAGCAAGTTTAGTTATATGCAAGGAGTGCCACATTGTAGAAGGTTCTAAACCACAGACAAATAAAGCAAAGGTAAGCTGTGTTGCTATGCAAAGTTTTATGATTGCAAATGGTGATGGAATAAATTTACTAACGGCATGTAATTATTTAGCGAGTGAGCACAGACAAATCAAGCCAACCGTAGTTGCTGCTACGATGTGGTATGTTCTTTCCCATAGGAGAGCATCTTTCGATGTAAAGGCGGGGCACGCGATTGCAACATTTCTGAACCCTTCGCTTTCAATTGAGTCGAGCGTATCCTTCATGTATCTAGCCATCTTGATCACATCACCATTTGATCGTCCTTTGTTGCGCTCTGGCTTAGCTTCGAGAGCAAAAATGAGGTGTTTAGTCTGGTTTGCAACCACAGAAAAGTCTCCTTTCCTGGCATATCCGCTCAATGATGGGTCCATATCAGTGAATCTCTTCTTTGACTCGAGGATCTCCTTATCAGCGCCAAAAGTTGTGTACCTTTTGTTGTTCGGGAAATAGTTCTCTAAAATCGGGTAAAATACCATCTTTCACTGCTGTGCTTTCATTTACTGATTTTATCGAGTATCCTTTACAATAGGTTCGTTTGCTAAAATAAACAAATAAACGCCTGTTACTTACAGCAATAATTATTTTACAAATCTTGATTCTTACAATGCGTTTAAAATAGCTTTGACGTGGTTGGGTAAGTCTGATACATTTAGTGTATCTTCAGCTTCATCAAAAGCTCCGTCGGCAATCAACTATGTAAAGCATATTAACTGACAGCATTACAACCTTTCAATGGCGTCGATCCTTCAAAAGCCTTGCGTGGTCAATACAGGTCAGTCGATTGGCTTGATTGGCTTCGTTACGTTGTTCCCACCTTGATCACTTTTTTTTCCAGCATACCTTGGTAAATTGGAACATGCCCTCGGCATGGGATTTCACTTCTTCGGTTTTGTATCGCAGGTACGTCTCCTTAACTTCCGCACAAGCTTCTTCATAATAATCAAATCGAATCATGTTTGAATCAACATCATCGTCCAAAAGCATTATACCATTGACGGAGAGCTCTTCATCGGGTTCCAATAGGGTACTGCAATCAGTACATTTGTTTACAAGTTCGTTTCTTCTCTTTAAGAAAGAAGTAGACAGATTGTATCCACCTTTTAGAGTCCACTTGTTATTGATGTTTGCCAAGTCTATCACATCATTTGCGTTCGTAGAAACTAGATAATCTTTAGCTGTCTTCTGAGGTTTAATCATAATAGTTTCTTGGCTGGACTCTGTGCTTGGAGTGCTCTCTCTCTCTTGGTATTCGGATTCGCCTGTCATTTCTTCTTCACTGGAATCCGTCATTTCTTCTTCACTGGAATCCGGACTGTCATCACCCTCATGCTCATTATCACCATCACTTATTTCTATCAAAAAGAGTTTAATACATACAATTTCTATTCCCATTACGTGGAGAAAAACAATACCCAAGATGATCTGTGCTCCTACTTTCAAGCTATGAACATTTTCTACTGTAGGTCCTTTTGATTGAAAGAGCTGAGAGACTCTTGCATCCGTTGTCACATTCTATATTTCATCATTGGTTAAAGACATACTTGTTTCTTTTTCCCTTTTTTTCTATTTTTTTTTTTAGTAGCGTTTGCTATAACATCTATATCTTCTAAGATAGCCCTAGCCCTCTTCTTACATCTCAATGCATTCTTGCATAATTGGTTGAATTCGAAGGGGAAGTCTATAAGGTGCGCGATAAGCAGTTTTTCCTGGTTCTGTGTCTACGAATGATGGATTCGGGTACAGTACAGAAAGAATTTTTAGGAATGGCGGCATTTTTCTCGAGAAATGGAGTGATTGAAGCCATGAATTCCTGTTGTTGCTTTTCAGAGCCGTAAGGGGAATTATTAGGTTCTGGTGTGTCATCAATAATCTCTTTGTCAATAATAGGACCAAAGCCTTTTGTAATGAAGCTCTGCTTTCTTCTTGATCTTTGAACTTTTCAATAAATTGCTTGCAGAAATCAAAATAGATAAAATTATCAATGTGCTTTTGTACGAAATCTGTAACGTTCTCTGATTTCATTGAGTCTTTAGGGTGTAGTTATAAATTATTGATAAATGAGTTGTAACGATGACGATCAACTTGTTTGATAATTATTTGAGAGAAACGAACTGGTTTAGAATCAGAAATGTAAAATAAGAAAGCTCTTTTTTTTAAAAAAAAAAAAAAAACTTAATCATTCTTTAGTTTCATAACATAAGGTTAGATAATACTTTTTCCTACTTGATATGCTTTTCTTTCACTGAATTGGTCTTATCTATGCTGATACTCTTGTACATGCGTGTAGAGGATAACGTTGGTTTAAGGGTAATGAAGTGGAAGAAAAGAAGACGGGAGTTGAAGAAGTTGAAGGATAATTCTAATTTTTAAAATTGGCAACATTAGTTTTTGTTTGAAAACATTTATAATAACAATATGATTTACGCGTTCAATGACACTGAAAATTTGATTCGATGCTATGCTGATAACTTTGCTGCATAAGACAACAAGTACCATTCGAACTCCCAAATATTTAATCACTTTCAAGTTTCTTACATAAAATCACATACGTTACAGACCGGAACTTGAGTAAAAAACTAGAAAACGACCAGCTTCTGGAAAAACCCGATACTTGATACCTCCCGGAACATTACTAAGTGCTTCCAGTTATTACATTAGGTAATTCTGTTCGCTTGGAAACAATGATCTCGATGCAAAAGACATTGAATACGCATACCCCTCATACCGTTGGCACAATACAACACCTATGCCTGCCCTGGTGGCTGCATCACAGTATAATTTAAATAGTCTTTTCAAGTCGAGTCGTATTAGTCTAGGCAGCACCGCTAGGCGATGTTTTAGCCCTTGAAATGTTTTTCTTTTATCTGATTTTTTTTTTATCTGATCTATGGCATATCAAGGGTACAATTCTCCGCCTCTTGCGTTCCTCTTATCATTCTACACTTAGCTGCCTCATCACTCCAAGGTTTCCTCCCACAGTGACCATTGAAAATACTAAATTGCTAACAGTCTGCTTCAATACATACTGCGTCATTAGACAGCTGTATTGTCAAGCGATCTTTCATGATATCATTTTTCAGACATCGCAGGTTATAAGCAAAGCTCATTCAATACTGTCTTTTAAGTTCATTTTCATCGCAGCTACTGTGAGAAGCGACCTGTTTTAATGCTTAACTGCTACATAATCTTAGTGTCTGTCCATATCCTACGCCTCTGTAATGAATTTTTTCAATAAAATAATTACAAAGAAAAAAAAAACGACACAAATGCGAGATACAAACATGATTAGATTAATTCATTCAATGCTAATATGGTTTCAGTATGCTTTTGTATTGTCTGAATCAATGTAGAAGTCACAGCGACATAGACAGACCTGGTTCACTCTACTGTGTCAACAACCTTTTTGGATAACGGATATAATTACGTCTGTCGAAAGTATGAGCATTTCTTCAGAAATGAAACCAATATGTGTTTTTCTGTTAGAAGAGATCAATAGTGGGATAGTTGAGTTTTGGCACAGTTTATTACTTGCTTGGGTTGATAACCTGACATTTGCTTGGAACTATTTTTAAATAATTGATCGCTAATATCCTCATTCCATATCTCCATGTAGGTGAATTAGGTCATTGTAGATATGTTCCTTAAAGGATGATATAACGGTTCTGAAACAGTTAGTCATCCTGAGTATAAGTAACTGTAATAGGTAAGATGTTGTTGAAAAAAGGAAAGCGCTACGGGGCAGAACATTGGTATTATGCTTGAATGAACTTGCGAATTCAAAGTGATCAAAATTGCTCAGTTTCTGCAATCATTCTCGAAGGTATCTTTTGTTTGTAAGCCTCTAACTGAGCCTTCTTCTTTTCAAGCACTTTTAATTGTTCACTTAATATCATTTCTTGTTCCTCTTTGGCATACTGAAGCCCAGGCAGTGAATCGAGAACACGTTTGGCGTGCTCCATTTTTTCCTCTAATCGCGCAACAGCCTTTCCTACTGCATCGGAATTGTTGTCTCCAACTATCATGTCTATAATCTGCGCAAAATTCTCTAAGAAGGAGAAGTCAGATTTTTGGAAGAGCGGTGTATTCGTCATTGAAGAATCCATTACAACATGAGAAAGATCAATAAAATAGAATTCACGGCCGCCTATATCCGGAAAATAGACGAAGCAGCCAAGTGTATATTCAAGTCACACAGAAAAAGAAGGCGGAAGAAAAACAGCCAATACTGTATTTTACCTTATATTTTAGACGATTTACAATTTTTAATGGACAATATACATTTTAATTTTAGATTTATTAAAAAATATTTTTAGAAAAGTCCATAGTATTTGGATATTTGGATACTCAATTATTCAGTGATATTCAAGCAGCATTAAGGATGACATACAATCGAACCCTAGAAATTAGTCTCTATCAGTAAGAAAGTCGCCAATAATGGTTTTATTGATGTTATCTTGCAATAGGACAAACTACAAAAAGCTTGACAACTTTTTTACTAAATGACGATGTGTTCCGAGACCAACAAGATATTCGTTGGTGCCTTTTTTGGACAAGAATTCCAAAAAAAGTTAACTTTGAATTGATTGACATCAAACCATTGATAGAGGGCTGATGGTCATAGTATAACAGATACCATAGCGGAATGGGATGGTTATATTAACTGTTGTCAATGTTTTTGTATGCGTTCATGGGTGACTTTCAAAGATAAGCACTATAAAATATATTGCTCTCTTAGAGTCAAATGTTGTCTCTTTCACTTTTATTTCACGTTTTTAAGATACATACTATGACCCATGTTCAAAACAATAATTTATGAAAAGAAAAAGCAAATTTTTGAAAAGAAAAAATCAAGTGCTGTTAATGGTAACTTGCCTTTTGAAAGCCTATCTACCTAATCATATATATATGTATAGATTAATCATCGTGTACTGTTAGATGTAACGTGTATTGATTGCGGTAAAGGGGGTCACTACACCAAACAATACTTTAAATGTGAATTATATGAGCCGGAAACTGCAGATCAAGGTAAGCACCTCATGTGGCTTTAAAAGTTGGTAAATTCATCATTAGTAAGCGACTTCATTGTACCTATAGTTGGTTCGATAGGCAGAAAACGCAAACAGAACTTTGAAATCAAGAAGGAAAAGAAGAAAGCAAGGAAAGAGAATAATGAAGAACCGGATAAAGACAATACCTGTTGTACCAAATGCAAGCAACCAGGACATAAATCGGTGCGTTCTCCTCTGTGTCCTCAACATGTATTATCAAAGGCAGAGGTCTTTCAACATCATTTGGGAAGTAATTACAAGGCGTTTACAAGAAGGTTGCCTCTTGATAACTGCGTTTTTGGTGACTATCGCAACACATTCAAGTCAAAAGTTGTTGAAGCTTGTTCTGTTATCCGAAACTTGGTTCTTAGAGCCAAGCTCTTTGTGAATTATTACGTCTTGGAAAATGCCACTCTTGCTGAGCCAAAGTGTATTAAATATATCTTTACACAAAATTTCTGGTACTCTATGATACAGCTAGTGAATGGACAAAGACCAACAAATAGTAGGCTGATATCACAACAATTACTGAGCTCGTTTGATTCTTTTAAAACGACTTACCCTAAGATTGTCTTCCCTGTCAAGCTCTTTCCTGGACTTAGTCAAGCCATTACAGAAGCATGCACCGAAATTGCTACTTCCTATACAAACAGTATAGTGGAAAATTTTGAGGAGAAACTTCTCTATTTTTTGATATATAAAATACAAACGGCATTTGTGGTAAGTTGCAACTCAATATTACTTGGGGTCTTACATGAATTTTAAAAAAAGCTCTCATCTTGCGTAGTGTATGCCTTGGAAGCTTGTCAAAAAGGTCACAAGTGATTTCTGCTATCAAGAGATATGCCAAGGAAAACCTAAATGGCCAACTGATGACTACCTTACCAAAGATATAAAAGCAAAGATCCAAACCTTTTGTGAACCTTGGAAGAAGAAGCTGGGGAAGAAAGTGAACATGAAGACATTATCTGCTGATCCTGGGTCTTTCGTACCCTTTTTGTTATCTTTGAACGCAGAATTTGAGAGGGAACACGATGATCATAAGTCATTTGACGTAAGACGACGTCCTCTCCCAAAACTGTTATCCTTACTGCCAAAGGTTTCCGTTCAATGGAGGTTCATTACCTTGAGCGTGAACGCTCTGTCTTCTTTTGTGAAACGTTCTTTACCCCGCAATTACCAAAGCCAATTAGAGCTGTTTTTCCATGTCTTTGATTTCAAGAAACTCAGGTACAAAAGGTAAGCATACAGTTAATACGGTATGCAGTCGAGTATAATGTATGAGGTTTAACTTCTTGGGCACATGTAGTATCTCTGAACTTACACCGAATGGTGATAACAAAGAGCTCTTTGGTAATATTGTCAGAACGGATGGGTTTTCAGTTGACTTTCTTTTTTACAAAAGACAACAATCTGGCCATGGTGCCTCGTTCCAAAAATTTGACCTCACTCTTGATGATTTCTCTCTGGATGAAGTTGACAATACTTATTTACCTATTACCCTGGATCCCGGAAGAAAGTCTGTTTTTACTGCTGCTATTGGCCTTGAATATAACAGACAAGTGCGAAGATGCACTACATCCGAATACTATCATATGGCAGGGTCAACGAAATATTGTAAGAAATTGAACAGTATAAAAGCTGTTACAGGAATAGATCTAGTAGAAAGTCAAATCCCCTCGTCAAAGACCTCTCGTCTAGGAGTATATGAGGCGTTCACCAGTTATATGCTCAATAACTTAGACGCTCTCTTTAGTTTTTATGGACATGAAACAGCAAAGGACCGGTTTACGTTGTACCAAGGAAGGCAAAGAGCACCCGAAACTATGGCCAACATGTTGACTCATGGAACGGCCAAGTACAATCGCAAAAAGAGAAGCAAGGCAAGGAAGAGGAAAAAACAGCAGAAGAAGAAGAAGAAAGGAAAGAATGTTGACAAACAGCCGCCAATCAAGTGAGTATCAATGAATTACATGTTCATCGTTTAGCTTACGCGCTGATTGATAATTTTTAGAAGTGACAAGAAGTGGAAGGCTGATAAGTACTCAGGATTCCCTAGAAGGGTACCATTGATTGTCTTTGGTGCTGGAATGTTTGGAAAAGATGTAGTAAAATTGAAAGGGCAAAGATGTGGTGTTGTCGGTAAACTTTTTGCAACTCTGAAGAAACGTGAAGCTGAAGGTCAATTGATTGTTGTCACAATCGATGAATTCAAAACCTCTAAAACATGCAGCCTCTGTTTCTATGATGATATGCAAATTGTTAATACCCCTGGATTCAAGGGTACCGGCGTTCTTCATTGCAAGCAATGTCTAAAGCTATGGCAGAGAGACATTAACGCCGCTATCAACATGATGACTATATCCCAAGCAGTTTGGTCTGGAGCGGGAAGACCCGACATTTTCAAGCCAGCGAAGAAGAAGAAATAATCGCCGTAATAAACACGGTTTTCCTTGTATTTCAAGGATTTAGATCATTACAGGTGAGGAATAGTACGGTTTTTTTTTCTTTTTTTTTTTTTTGTTTCGCACTGCTAACAAGTTTTTGGAATTTGAATCATTGTTTAAACGGTTTATATTTTGGTCTACAACACAATTGCAACTCATCTAAAATGAAAATATTAATCGTCCAAAAAAAAATGTATTTCATCTAAAATATTAGTTAAAATACTGTACTGTAACACAAGCAGAAGGATACATACAGCTTTTGCCAAATGTCCGCAATTTCGAAATTTACTGTTCTGGGAACAAGCTTTCCATAAACTAGCTCCGTACAATACTAATACCCCTAGTGCCTCTAACATATGGTGTATCCTCACCAGTTTGCATACCCTCGATGGCAACGCCGTATCGGCCGATCGATTAAACATCATTGGTGCCTTACTTGAAACTCTTTGGAAATACCACTGGTTTTGCATTACAAACGACCAACCCTGGATCCCTCTAATGCCCTCGATTTGGTTCAAAATTCTACTAGTTACTTGATCACAACACGAAAGTACGATTATGAAACCCCTATTACTAATGTGTAGTAGCAAATTAAACGTCCTTTCATCTGAATAAAACTTGAAAGTATACAAACAAAAAAATTTCAAGAAAGTCCAATTTCCGCTTTTGCATCACTCAATTTCCGTGTTTAACCTCAAGGTTTACTAAAGTGCTCTTTATTGAAGGCATTTTTTAAAGGTTGTTGACAGACTGATTTGCCTATGTTGCTAAAAGCTTTTCTGCTTCAGTAATCCCAGACCTTATCCCAGCATCCTGATAAGGGGATTAAAGAATTTGATTGAAATTGAATATTAGAGAATTTTTGATCGTTCAACACATGGGAAGTCAAGCTAATGTCTCTCTGGACGCAATTGCTATAAGCCGTAATTGTGAATCCTTAGAACAATGTCTTTTATTATAATAAGCGAAATGAGAACGTGTTGATTACCCATAAGCCGTAATTGTAAATCCTTAAAACAATAAGGGACCCTCAAACGATTCGGTGTTGTATTATTTTTATAATTAAAAGAAAAGGTGTGCGTTTAGACGCTTTAAACGACCGAAAAAGTAAAAGTCATTTCTCAACCCTATAAATCGGACTTCTGATTATGGATGGTGACGTCGAAAAACTCCGCGTTCGTTTTTTATTTTGTTTTTATTTTTATTGGATCTTATACACAATTTTTCCCACCAAGCAGTTTAATGCATAGCTTAGAAGTATCATGGATAAGAGTGTCATTGGCGGCTTGGCCTCTCAAGTATTGTAGTTTCTTCTAAGGAGTTGTCGCAATTCTTCAAGGTCGATTTTTCATGCTATTTTCAAAGATAAGTATTTACATTAGAAATACTGCGAGAAAAACACAAGGCTTTGTACACATGAACCCTGCCCTACGCCGGAGAAATTCGCTGGCTGCCTTGGCGAACAACTGTTCACCTCCAGTCAGGAGTGGGAAGTTGTCATTCTCCTCTTGCATATCGATAAAGGATTTTGGTTTGTCATTATAGGCCCAAATTTAACTACGGTGAAGCCAATACTTTTGATAACAACTGTTTTCGATGAATTGGCGATTTCTCTCTTTCTCTCTCTCTCTCTCTCTCTCTCTTTCTTTTCTACTCGTGGCGTCATCACTTTTTATGTAGCCCTTAAGATATTTATATATTGTTTTATTGAAACGAAAGAGCATAACAGCAAAATCAAGATGGCTTAATTGCTCCGAATTTGGAACCATAATGTGAGAACGTACTTTTCTGGTCACTTCTGCCTCGTTAAATTCATCGACTTTTCAGAAGACAGTCGGTCACAAATGGCTGGTTATACTATAAGTGGGCATATGTTAATATACTATCCTTCGCCCGTTTTTTGTTGATGTATTCTTGTCAATTTCTTATACAGCCTCCTCCTATCACTTAGTAAATATGAATGATATGCACTTCTGGAATACATAATAAACTAAAAGACTTCTTCCTTTTACTTCGTTCACTCACGAAAACTGTTTCTTTACTTTTCATTCTTTAATTCTTGGACTTTACTCACAAAATTACCCCTCTAACCAAGTCTCGAACAGGCTTTCTGGACAGCTTAGCGAGAACTTACAATATGCCGTTCTTCGTTACTTTCGCATGACTTTGGTATGAATAGTAAATAACTTCGTATCGATTTTTCTGACAACCAAGATGAAGAGAAAGCGGGGAAAGAAATTGATGGAGAAACGAATGAACATTAGAGCCATCCTTTTTTTCTTCAATTTTATATCATGATTGGCTCTGATCATCATTCAGTATGTATCTGTAGTATTCCTGAATCTATGAATACTGAATCGTCCAAATTTGTTCCAAGATAATACTATTGTATATGAGACGATCGCCAGATTTGGAGGACATAGCATGCACACCAACCTGCACCAGTTGGGTGCGAAATTCATGGTTTGTACGGATGGCAGCTAACTGACGGCCGTCGCTAAAAGGTCGTATGGCTTGTCGAGCAACTTGCTTTTGCCCAGTCAGCTTGAAGTTCAATAGTTATATGAACAATTACTTTCTTCAATAATATTGCTTAAGCATCTTAAAACAGCTGGTGTTGAAGCGTGTAACACCGCTCGCCGCTACAGTGGCAAGTTCTATTGTGCATTACTAAGACAAGAAATTGTTTTACTGTATACAAAATATATATGGTTATTTATGCATTTAAAATATAAACTGGCGATTTTGGCCCGTCATCAGCAATCTGTACCATGTGCTTATTCTCGTTTAGCCGGACAATTTGAGGGCATACAAGCTCAAGTAGCGAGGAGCAAGAGACGTTTTTTTCAAATCGCCAGTCTCTCTCTTTCTCAGCATGCTCATCTTTCAAGGCATCCAGCACACCCATTGTTTCTTCCAATGCACTCTATATATGATACGGGATGTTAAAAGTGGGTTAATTCTATATCTCAAAATACGTAATAACCAAGAATAGGTATACATACAGCCAGCGTAAGAGTGAAGGTCACAAAGCGCACAGTATTGTTCTTCTTGTGAAATTCATCAATGATATCAACACGCTGCTCCTTGTTCATCACGTATACGCCAGGAACAGGTGTTGAGATCGTCCAGTGACGAATTCCTTGGCCTATTTGGAGTGGTTATGACAGTCAAACGCCGAATCAAACAATGTGTGAATCAAATCAACTTACCGTGTATATGGACAAAATGGAGCTTTAGTTTTGAGAACGTTTCAAAGCTTCCATACTTGTACAGGCTGGCGATTGTTCTTATCATGGCCAAGAGGCCAAACATTGCCTTGTGATGATCAAAGCTTGTTTTGCCTTTGGAATTCTCACCGTATGACGAAGAGACTTCAGACAGTAAAATCTCTGTCGACAAGTTCTCCACCAAGATCTTTCCATCTGCGTTATACCTCAGACGTCCATCGGTAATCCCTTGACTTTGTAATTGCATGGTCATAGCGTTGAGCTCAATCTCGCCCGGAAAAAACAACACACTGCGACCGTGTTGCAGAAGGAAGTCATTGCAATTTCGCAACAGAGGGTCGATAACGTAAAAACGTAGACACCCTTCTGACGACGAAAGTGTCTTTCCTGCACCTGCAATCACTTCAAAGCTATGTTTATCCTGTTTATTTAGTTTACATCATGTCCCTTTCTAAATAATTACATGCCGTTAGTAAATTTATTCCATCACCATTTGCAATCATAAAACTTTGCATAGCAACACAGCTTACCTTTGCTTTATTTGTCTGTGGTTTAGAACCTTCTACAATGTGGCACTCCTTGCACATAACTAAACTTGCTGCTATCCCAACAACATGTTCAGATACATACAAAGAGAAAGTCAAAAGAACGGTGACAAGCCAAGAGATTTGTACCTCAAGAGGATAAACTCGTCATGCCTATGGGCCCCGCCTTTACATCGAAAGATGCTCTCCTATGGAAAGAACATACCACATCGTAGCAGCAACTACAGTTGGCTTGATTTGCTTGTGCTTGCTTGCTATAATTACATGCCAACTACACTAAGATACAGGCTATTTCTTGGGTAAACGTTCTACTTACGGAAACTTATTGTTTTTTTTTTGTAATCCAGAAGAAAAAATGTAACGTCATGCTTAAACATGAAGAATCAACGTCATCGATTTTCATTTTGTGATGGGTGTGTGTGATATGCCCATCTTTGGATGACGTAGATAATCCACGATTAAATGCCCGACATCATATCACGTATAAAGTGCTACTGATGGTAATTTTAAAATTATTCTCTGCTATTTACAGCGTTTGGATTCACGGTCCCGAGAATTGTTTGAGACCGTCGGAAACAAATTAGGAAGGTTACAGTTTGCTAATCCAGAGAATCAACAGCATCCATAAATACCTCGTTGTCGTCGGATTCCGAGTTTTTACCTACGACCATAAAGGTTGAACCCATAGGCATCTCATCCGGAATGTCTTCAACGGAAGCACCCAATCCAGAAGCAGAAGTACCAGTACCTGTAGAAGTCAGGAGTGTGGAAGTAAAATTGACGGAAAGCATGTGATTACGACGGTAATGGTTGTCAAAAACCGATGAATTGTGCCAATTGCCAAGAGCAACAATATCTTCCTTGGAAATCCCTAAATCCATAGCAGCCGACGAAGCTACGTAGAGTGGTAGATTCGGACGTGATCTTTCGTATATAATGGCGGTGTAGCCATTTGGAAATGGTATTCGAGGAAATGGAGGAGCCAGTGCTGCCTGAGAAAAATAAAGTAGAGGGAAGTGTAGCGACTGAAGACCAAGCTGGGTGTTGTTGCATGACTTGGAAGAGGCGTACAGGACACAAAACGGGGTCCGAATGAGAATTGACCATATAGTCTTTGATAATTGATCTTCGTTGACGAGTTTCTTTGGGTGCCACCACTTGAAAGGAGAAGTGATCCTCGATGACTTTACAAGAGTCCAATGATATACGTGCGAGATCAGACGGCCGTAAGAGAGCCGTGACACCGAGTAGAAAGGCCATTTTTGATTGTAATAGAGACCATGGAGTGCTAGTCGATGAAGAAATAGACTTGGCATAGTCAATGGCAGGTTGGAGGCTGACTTTGGAGTGATGGATACGTAGCGGAGCTTGCTGTTTGACTAGTGATAAGAGAAAATCATTGATCAAGGAATACTTGGAAATATTATCAGGCTGAGTGTGGAGATGAGTGACAGCCGATCGAACCAATTTTAGGGTAGAAGGTTGCCAGTGATAAGTCGTGTGGAGGTAAGACAGAAAATTGATTAAAGTAGCAAGCGTGGAGCTGGGGATATGGAGGCGAGCCCGAGTACACCCAGTCAATAAACAGTAACTGATATTTTCGATAGTTTTCGAAGGAAGGAGACGAGGTGTCGTACTTGGACATGAGGGAGTGAATAGCAGGATCCGAAAGACCCTGGTTTAGAAACTTAGACCGGATACTTTCCAAACGGATAGTTTCCAGTGCTGATTTCTGTAGAGAGGATGGGTATTGTGTACCGTTGTCGATTGAACCTGACAACGGTGGAGGAATAAAGGTGGTGCTTTGGCCATAGAGCAAAGGAGGGAAACCACAGCGCACTTGTCCAAAACGGGACTACTATGACTGCTTGAGAGACTTGGTCTCGAAGTAGCTTGGTAAGGATCCGAGATATCAGATTCTACGGGGGATTGATAAATGGATTGTCCAGGATCCGCCAATTGAGGGTATATGCGTCGACATGCCATGCCCCCGGATCCGGAAGCCATGGCACGTATCTTGGTAGGAGGAAGGTCGTTCGATCCGCAAAAAGATCGACGTCGAATGGACCCCAAATTGGGTTTATCCGCGTAAACACCGAGGGAAGAATTTGCCACTGGTTCTTCTGGAATTGACGACGAGATTCGAAGTCGGCAATCGTATTCTGAATGCCTTGAATATGTTGAGCCTGAATGATGATGTTGCGTTGGAGGCACCAGTTCCAAATGTCGATTGCTAAATTTAGCAGGGACAAAGAACGCGTTCCCCCTTGCTTATTGATGTAAGCTAGACTTGTTCGATTGTCGGTACGAATCAGAATAGTGGTGTCCTTCAGTGTCGGAAAAGACTGCATTGCTAACCAAGCTGCCTTGAGCTCTCGCCAATTGATTGATTAGGCTGCTTCGTTGGGCGTCCAATATCCATGCGTTGTCTGGTTATTCCATGTACAGCCCCAGCCCGAGTTGCTTGCATCCACAAAGATTGTCTCTTGAGGGGAGGTTGGAATAAATGACCGACCGTTCCATTTCTCTAGATTGTCGTGCCACCAAGTTAGTTCTTGAATTGATGCCCCGTCGAGAGGCTGTGGCAAGTCCCAATCCGAGGGTGACTTCACTGTTAGATTCTTGAAATAGAGCAGCCGTCTGGTGTATAGACGAGCTGGTAGGATCGCAAATAGCGCGGATTGCAGTCGCAAGGTTAAGCTGTGGATCAATCGTGGAGTCTGCTTCGAAGGGTGTTTCAGAATTTGTGCAATTGACTTCTTCAAGTCTCGAACTTTCTTCTTCGGTAGTTCTGCTTTCATTGTTGTTGTATCCAGGATAAACCCGAGATGTTCCAAGCGCTGAGTAGGGACCAGAACTGATTTGGTTTCGTTGATCAACCAGCCCAATTGCCGTAATTTGTTGAGGACAAGTTGTGTCTGTTGCAATGCGATTTTCTGCGGGGCGCTATCAGTATCAATCGTCAAGTATGCCGACAATTTGATTTGTTGTGACCGGGCCCAATCGAGAATAGGACGACAAACTTTGGTGAAGACATATGGTATGAAGCAAAGGCCGAATGGAGTGGTACACCACTGATAGATCTTGGACTTCCACCAAAACCGAAGGTACTTGCGTGAATCTGGATGGATGCCTAAATGAAGAAATGCATCTGTTAAGTCGATCGACACTAAATAATCTTTGTATGTAATAAGCTGTGCATCTTCTCTGATCGTTTCCATCTTGAAATGGCAAGGGTCCATGTATTCGTTGAGCTTGCGTAAGTTGAAAACTGGGTGTATACTGCCGTTCTTCTTCGGAATGACAAAAAGGGAGCTGTAGAAGCCTGGTACTTGAGTTGCTTCGGTTAGGGAAATTTCTTCTATTGCATTCTTTTGTAGTAAATTTGAATAGTTTGATCTAGCTGTAGTATCTGGTCCGCAGAGAATGGGATGACCGGTTTGGGTGTTATTGTGGTAGGTGGTGTCTGACGAAAAGGGATGCGATAACCTTGAGCGACTATAGAGTTGACGAAGTTGCTGTTGGAAATCTGGCGCCACTCGGAAGCGAACCATTGCAAACGACCCCCTACCTTGATAGTACTTAGTGTTGGGCTTAGGTTTGAGGTTGAGCCCTAAAGGGATTGTTTGATCGCTTGCTGGAGTGTGGGAATTGTGTACGGTTGTTGTTGTTGTTAGTTGGTGGAGGGATTGAAGCGATATCGTTGGAGTTGAAGTAACCGCCTGCTGGGAGGACGGACCTGATCGAAAAAACGGATTGCCAATGCCAGGCGAGGAACCAGAGGAAGGACGTGTAGTGCGTTTACGATAGTTCGAAGTAGCAGCTCGAAGGGCCTTACGTTCCGTCTTGCTCATTAAGGGCCGTTTGAAAATCAGAAAGAGGGAGAGTATAAGAACCATCATCACGTTTGATGGAATAAGGCGGGTTAAAGGCGCGTATCGCAACGTTGTTACGCGCGTGATTCAATGTAGAGGACACATGTAAAAGGAGTTTGCGAATGTCTTTGATCATTATCATATATTTCTCAAGATGTTGGTTGTTAGACTCATTACTAGCTATCTCATGGGCTAATACATCTAATGGACGGAGTACAGCCGAAACTAACTACTGATACTGTTTTAGTGCCTGATCTTCTTGTTTTTGGCCCTTGTTCATACGTCGCTGGGCTGAGGGAACCGTGGCAGGCGCGTGATAATCGAGATTGCTAATGGGTGGATACGCCGCAATAATAGCCTTGCGTTCATTATCAGATAAAGGAGGAGATGTGTGGATGCGTTGATCCAGGTTGAGGTAATTGGTTAGGAACTCAGAAGGTTCCCAGTCGTATCGCGGACGCGTACCAAAGGAATGTAGTTGCACAGTGTTATTACCATCAGACTGCATGCGTTCAGGGGCATTCTCCCCTATTTGTTGTGCCAATTGTTGAAGCTGTTGCTGTAAAAGTTGGAAATCATCTACTGAACTGAAACCATCTGTTGAGGCGTATGGGTGCGCTTTACCATTTCAAAATTCCCACAACTGGCGATTTCTTTATCATTGTTTATCAGCAACAGTTTGTGCCATGACAATAGATTAACAAAGCCTCGACGATGACGGCGGTAAGTCTGACGAGATTCTCACATTTCGATTGCCCAACGATCAATTGCCAGGGAAAGACCAATTTAGCAAGCAAATGTTAAAAACTCAAGGCGTGATTGACCTTGTGGCCGGCGAATTATTGGACGTTTCGAACGGAATATACACGTCAGCAGAAACAGAATGGAAGAATGCATCGCGAAGCGATATACTTTATAAGCCTCGGTTGGCAATCCAAAACTCGCTTCCTCCAATCCTCATCGAAATTCAACTCACCGTCAATGAACCCTTTATGCAACGCCTTGTCAGCTATTCACAAAGCGTTTTGAGCATCTACAAAACATATCCTATCGTTTTAATTGTTTGCACCGATCGCGTCTCTCCTATCCAACTTATGGCAAAATTCAAAACTGTTTCTGGAAAACCTTGGATGTCTTCGCTCCTGGCCACTGATTTCTGGGCACAAAGCTGCTTCATTGCGTCGAAACAGACTTTATCGAGTATTGCGCCTTCTCATCAACTCACACCCCTGCAGGCTTTGTCCTCGTTCCTGACCGAAGCCTCTCCAACGTTATATGGTCATCCATTTGCTGAAAATCGAACTATTCGACAGTTATATCACATTGCTATGGCCATCTCGGAAACTCAAGTTGATTGCGATAAGGATGTCTCAAATGTGGTGGACATCATTTGCTACAACAACAAGAAAATACTAATGAAGGCTAATGCTGCGTTATTTGGTGTATCTGGGTCATCCAAGGCAAAAAATCTGATCGAGCGTGCATTGGGTTTCAATGCGGCTGCCAAAAGAAAGTATTGCCAAACTGTGGACTCGGTTTCCGACTCGTCGCTGGAACCGTTACCAAAGTTGAAGGGAAAGACAAGGGAAGCAATTCAAGATGAAAAACAAGATGACCTTGAATTCGTGATCAACTACCGGAAAAATCTGACTGGAAAGATGAACTGGAAGACATGCCTGTCAGTTGGCCATGAAAAAACTTATGCAAAAATTACTCCACTGGTGAATCGCTGCGAGGATTCTTTTACAACGCCACTAAAAAATGATTTCCAGTTACTTTAAAAGACTTATAAAATAAAAATAAGACAGTAAAATGACCAGACACAACAAAGATACTCTTTATCTCAAGTTTGTTGAGAATGATACTTTTATATGAGAAACGGGGTTATTAACGGGTATTCAACTATTAATACAACTGAACTAAAACTATCATGAGAATGATAAGATCTTAGCCGCCTTTGGTGGAAATCCTGTGCGAGTTTTTTTTTTTTATACTGCATTGACCATGAATAAGATCTTCAGAGTGCTTGCCTGTTACGACACTTATCCAAGCATTTGTGAGAATGCCCAAGAAACACTTTGAAATCGCTCAGCGTCACACTATTAGATGCCTCACTGATTCTTGTCATAAGTGTCTCAGTTTCCAGTAGCTTGTTTCGGTTGACTTTACTCTTAACCACTGATCAAAACTGTTCAATTGGATTAAGTTCAGGAGAATAGGACGGCAAATAGACACAGCGGTAACCGCGAGATTCTACATATTTAGCTATATCAACCGATGTATGGATTGGAGCATTATCCATCACGAGGTAATGGCCTTTCATATGTGGATACTGGTCCATTTCATCCATCGTGGCTTTTAGAAAACTAACATAATGTCCCGTAACTGTCCCTTTGCTCACACGCCCAACGTCTTCTCCTCGCTTTTCTCTTTTTATTGGATGGAGGCTGAGGAAGCCTAAGGCTACATTTAATCAGACCTAGGGCAGAAATTGCACCTAAAATGGTTGTTGTTTTTGCTCGTGTTTTGGGAACTGTGACCACTGCAGGTGAGCCTTTCTTTGACCATGCCATACTACGTTTCAAACTAATATGAAATGCAGATTCATCAAGGAAGACGCAGTTGGTCGTAAAATCCATGTCTGTTTTTTCCCCATTTATGAATCCCCTCCAGGCGTTCTTGAATCTTTTTTCTCGCTGTTCCGATCTACGGGTCCAAAAACGAGCTTTTTTGAGAGACAAGATGCAGTGCTTTTCTACAAAATCAAACAAGGTACTTTTGGTTACTTTTAATTCTGTGAATACTTGTCGTAAGTGCTTCATCAGGTCGTCCAAGACGACTGAAGGGTTCGCATCAATACACTCAAGAATAACTTTTTTGTGCTCCTCGTTGAGAATGCGTGGACGACTAGTCTTTTTCCTTTTCTCAAAGATATTATCAGGTTCCCTCTCGTACTGTTCAGCCCATTTTCTGCGCTGTACAAACGTGAATCCCAAGCTGTTTTGCAGCAGCCGCGCTCAGGCATTTCTCAAACAACAGTAAATTTCGAAATTGCGACATTTTTTTTAAAGTGTGAAATTTTCTTAGTGCTACATCATTATGGCAAAAGCTGTATGGATGGCACAAACCATTTTGGAAAAGCAAAAAAAAAGGCCTTTTAAATCCATATAACTGCTAGATATTGCATACAATGGGCGTGAGGAGCAGTATATTTGATCTTGTATTCATCGTTACCAAATGAATGGTGTTAAACATCGATCAGTGTGCTGTATCCCGTCGACATTTATCTGGAACCGCGAACAGAGCGTCAAGTTTTGTCAACAGTTAGTTGATATGGAGACTGAATTAGGAGGTGAGCTCTTCTCAACCGCAGACAAGTTCATCTTATTATTGGAAAATTCAATATTATAGCAGTACTTGCCTGCTCCTCAGTGTGCTCGACTGCGATAATCTCTAAAGCATTGGCAAATCAAGCAGCTGAGGACACATCTATTTTGATGTATGATTGCCTGAGCGTTTCATCTGCGCCTTATATTTGGCTAAGATTTGACGTCCCAAGATAATATCTAGTAAGTCTGTTCAGCCCAAGCTGCATTTAACAACTGTCTGGAACAGTGCAAATGCACTTCATAAAGGAAACTATCATATGTAAAGATCCATGAAAAATTGTGAGATATGACGGCTTTATTCAGTGCATGAAATCTTAGAATATTAAAAGTGATAAAGTGAGCAAATTACTACTTTCATACAACAACTAAATTCAATCATTGAAGAAAATCAAGCTGAAAAACCAAAAGAAAATGAAGACGTATTGATATGAATGTGAGGTCCCAAAGTAAAAGGGCTTTGTTCTAGTGGTGTAATCTGGCGCATCGGCTTTCCACATCGAAGCCCCGTAGTCAATGTGGAGTTTCCGATTCGGAACGAAAAGTTTCGAGTTGATAGTAATACTGACAAGCAACGTCACAGATTTTCAGCACTTTCCTGCACAATTTTGCTCTGAAGGTTTGAAAAAACGCGTTTTGAGTTTGAAGCGAGAGTCGACCACAAGAGACAAAAGAAAAGATCGTTTAAATCTCTTTTCCTTACTTGTAGTTTTTTTCCTTTTCGAAATCCACATTTTCTTATACCAGATCAGGCATAAGAGACTCTTCTCAAACATTAACGGCAAGATTTATAATGTGTATGTGACATCTTTTTGTAATTTCCTTCAGTTGGAATTAATCTCTTAATTGCTCAACCTTTTATTCACATAAATAGCTTTCTTCGGTAACAATAACACAAATAAACCAGCCGGATCCGGATTTTCGTTTGGTACTTGTAAAGTACAATAATCAGAACTGTGTTGATTCCGTCAATGTTGAATATTCACTTTTTATTATTGTAAATAGCTGCAGGTACTACTCCCGCCAATTCAGGCTTTTCATTTGGAAGTTCAACTGCAACACCTGCCTCGACTGCTGGTGGATTCGGTGGGTTTGGCACCAACACAAGTACACCTGCCCCCTCTAATACTTTAGGTGGGTTTGGCGGTACAGCTACCAGCTCAGCACCTGCCACGGGTGGTTTTGGCGGGTTCAATACAACTTCTGCACCTGCGAATGCTAGTGGAGGTGGCTTTGGCGGATTCAATACAACATCTACACCTGCGAATGCTAGTGGAGGTGGCTTTGGCGGGTTCAATACAACTTCTGCACCTGCGAATGCTAGTGGAGGTGGCTTTGGTGGTTTTGGTTCCACTGCCTCTAAGCCTGCCTCGGGCGGATTTGGTGGTTTCGGCGCCACGACAACCCCTACTTCCACTGCTGCTGCACCTGCTGCCACTGGTGGTTTCAGTTTCGGTTCGAAACCTGCTACGCCTAGCCTTGGTGGTGCATTCGGCACGGCAGCAACATCTGCTACTACCGCTACTACAGCTGCCACAACAGCACCTGCGGCAAGCACTGGATTTAGTTTTACCACACCTGCTAGCACCACACCCACTTCAACAGCAACAACAACAGCCCCTGCCTCTGGAGGCTTTGCTGGATTTGGAGCCACACCTAAACCTGCAAGTGGTTTCTCTTTTACAACTTCAACAACTTCAGCACCATCATCTACAGCCACTGCAACTACGACCAACGCTTCACAAAATACCGCAGCACCTAGTTTTGCTGGTTTTGGATCAAAGACAAGTGGTAACAGAAAGCTCTAATTTGACTTGGATAGATACTTGCGTAATAGGGGTTTATGAATGAACTAAAAGTAACCATTTACATTTGTAGGTGCTTCTGCTCCAGCAACAACTGCTACTACAACCTCAACAGCGCCTGCTACTACAACAGGCACAACAACGCTTACTACACAGCCTACTGTTTCAGCCGAAAAATCGGTTTCTGTTCCTTTACCTACTTCATTAAGAAATAAAACCATGGGCGAAATTCTCAACACTTGGACAAAGGAGTTAGAGGAACAGACACGTGATTTCCACCGACAAGCCAATATAGTCGCTCAGTGGGATCAAAAGTTGATTGAAAACGGTAACAGCATCTCCGAGTTATGGAATAAGGTCACCAAGATTGAAGCTCATCAGCAGGAAGTGGAACAAAACTTAACATACATCAACTCTCAACAAGAAGAACTCAACTCCTTGCTTGACACTTATGAGAAGCAAATTAAGGAAGTCTTTGACGAAAGTAATTTACAACAACCAATGCAGCCTGCTGACGTACAAAGAGAAAAAGCTTATGCATTGGGTGAGAATCTCAATCACCAGTTGGATGATATCAGCAGAAATTTGAATGTTATGGTCGAGGAGATTAATAAGATGGGTAACACCAAACAAGTATCTTCTTCAGACGATGATGATGTGGTAAGCCATAGAAATAAATGCTTACTATTTATAACGGTCTCTTTTATGGAATTCTCAACTCAATGCGTCTCTTTCTTCATTCCGTACTTTAGGTTGGTCAAATCGTTCAAATCCTCAATTCCCATTTATCTTCATTACAATGGATCGATTCACATACAATGAAATTGCAGAGTAAAATCCAAGAAGTTACTCGTTTACAAGAAGAGGCAGCTAGAGAACAAGAGCCTTCTCTGCGCAAGTAAATTGTAACTCATAGAACAGTTGCCGTGTGTTGTTGACGATAAGCATAGTGTACACTTCATGCAATTTCGACCTCTTTCTATCTATATCTTTTAAAATAATTGCTTCAACCTTCATTTCATTCATTCTATCAACATCGTTACGATGTGGATAGTGAAATAAAAAATTTATTTTGACAGTTACATCGTACATTAGAAAGATTAAAATTCACTAATTTTAGAAGAGATAATAAGGGGATATACTAATTTTATTGATATGGAAATCAATCATTGTCTGTTATATTACTATTGCTGTGGTTCACAGCATTACTCTACGTTGCGTCCTATTTCTTTCAATGCCTTCTTCAGCTCTTCACCTTCATGATCGAATCTCAAACCAGTCTCATACGCTTCGGCTGCATCATCCAATCTTCCCAATCCTACCAGAGCCTTCCCCTTTCTAAACCAACCTTTACTCCATTCCCGTCTCAATCGCGTCACCATATCTGCGTCTACATATGCATTCACAAATTCATTGAGAGCCATATACGCAGCTGACCGATTACTCAAGACGGGACACAATTCATCTCTCACATATTGAAAGGCCAATGGCTCCCAAAGAGGTCGACTCCACGATAAATCAACAGCCATAGTATAGAACCGAATCGCTTCTTTATAATTCTCTTTCTTGAAGTACTTATTACCCTCTTCTTTCAAACGTATCACTTGCGCATTACGAGTAGGGTTGGCAGCGTTGGGAGGAGGAAGATCTTTTACATGTTTCAAATCGAAAGCCAGTACATTGTGTTCAGTCCAATCAACTTTGCATGGAGTACATTTCTCGAGACCATGAGCTTTACAAAGGACTTTGTCACCGTCTTTAGACAAGCTCACTTCTGGAGGGTTGTAACCTTTCGTTCGTGGTGTTGAGACTGGTGCTGTTATGGTTGGGCTTGTAGCGAGGGTCATTATGTTTTCTTACTTTATTGTACGGAAAATGCAAGTTGAGTGAGTGTTTACTTCAAAATTTTATTGTTTATGTGGGGCGAAAGGGAAAAAGGAAAACTGAAAAAAAGGGCTCCCTTTCAGCAGCAAAGTAGGCACTGAAACGTGTCACTTTTTTCTCTTTCTCATTTTATCTTCTCTTTTTTTTTCTCGTTCCACCAAACGGATTATGCCAACACATCAGGTATACGCACACACACAACCATCTCTCTATTAAAAAAAGAGCCAATCTAAGAGTCGAGTTCAGCTAAGCCATTTTTGCTCATTCTTTGGACTCTGGGCCTTCGATCTGTCTATGCTTATCAACAGTTTCAGAACGATAGCTTACTAAAAAGGGTCAATGAGGTAAACAAACATTTCAAAGACAAAAATGTCTAAATGTGTATGAATTAACTAAAGCCCGTCATAAAATATTACCTGGTAGGAGAGAAACTTGGTGCAATTCTTAGATACACCGATATTGTACCAACGGTAGCAGCACTTTTTAATCTGGTACCTGAAATAAAAATAGTAGTAAGCTGACATAGAAATAAAGCCAAGACCTAGAGGTGACAATAGACTACTACCATATTGATCAGTTACCTAACCATTTACGAGAGTGGACATTCCAACTTGTAAAGCACAATCTCTATGATATGTAAAGGCAGTTTTTGCCCTGAGTAAGTTTGGGATAATTGACTGTTTCTGACAACTATTCGAACTATCTGTCAGGTACAAAAACTCAAATGATGGCTGGGATGAAGAAGGCAAAAGAAAAGAAATGACCGCACAAGAAGCAAGATATTTGATAGCTCGATCGGTTACTAATAAAGATGACTTGAAAGGATTTCTACTATTTCAAATGGTGCAAGAGGAGCTCATGGACGAAGACATGATGGCCAACTGTACATACTGGTAAACAAACAAACAAAAAAAAAAAAAAAAAGAAAAAAAAAAAGAAATCAGAATAAAAAGCAAGAAAACGAAGATAACCATAAAAAATGGCGTTATCCGATTTTAATATGAATGGGAATATCTCGTAGTTATGAGCTACAATTGACAGAAAATGCCAGAAATCATGGATTAGGCGAGTTTTTAATGAACTTACTGTATCAAATTGGTTGTTATTGGAAGATGGACAAAGTCATGCTGACTGTCTTTAAAGGTATTCAAATATGAATTTTGGATGGTCAACTATATCAAAAGCTAACCTGATCTCTACATTCAGCAAACGAAGGTGCATTCAAATTTTATACAAAGAAATTAGGGTAAATAATTTGTCAATTGTACATATTGATGGAGATTGATTTCTACCCCATTAAGTATATTTATTACGTAGTTTTAAGCTGGATGAGATATCTCCTGGTGCTTGTCTTCCTCGATATAAGGCAAAACATTTCGATTACGAGCTGCTGAGCAAACCCTGTAAATAATGATTCAATTGAAGGAATAAACTGGCACGTTGGCCATTCTACGTGTCCATAGCGTCGTAAATTCACTCAGCCTGTGCAGCTTAAACATCATATTCTTGACCTAGAAAAGCCCAGTTTGAGTCTTGGATAATAGACACTTTACTTTTCTTGAACATTAAGAGCATGTCTACCAAAGAGAAAGGAGGTTGGGTTTTCAATACAATGGAGACATAATTCAGAGCAAAACCGTAATACCTTGCTTTTATTGCCGCAAATCACTAATATCTCTGTCTGTTGCATCCAAACAACTACGTGATACTCAACCCTTCCCAAGAACCATTTGATTATACAGGACTACGCTTCAATACTAGTTCAGCTTCCCGTACCTCAAAAACATTTTTTGACCGGGATATAATACAAACAGTGAAGAACATTTTTCTACAACTCTTTGTAAGCCTTTGCTACAATGACCCAAATAGCAGCGGTCGATGTTCATTAACGCGGAATTGGTAAAATACACTCTCTACGCTTTTATGCTCGAATGATCCGTCTAAAGATAGAGTACTGTTTGACCATCGAGCTCTAGTTCTGCCTACTGATACAATCGCATAAAGCCTTCTATTGTGTACTCCCCAGCCATAGTCGATCTACCTTTGAAAGCTTGACCAATTCCTTCTTTGAAGCAGTATGCAACCTTGCCAATGGCTTCACGTGACGCTAAGGCTCCCCCCCATCCTGCCTCAAGGATTGTCGCTCTACCCTGCTGCGCTTACAACAATCTGATTATGTTAACGGTAAGTTAATTTCACTGCTGTCCAACACTTACAGTTGATCCTATTTGTGGCTTCCAATGCCTTTGAACGTAGTAGATGTATCCGAGACGGTTAAGCTTGCTTTCCCACCAAAAATGCTGCCTACAACATCTCTCTTCGTTCTTCATTAAAGCCCACTCTACCGCATATCTCAACATTGTATTGCCGCTGGCATATGACGATCTCCATTTCCGACCCATTTTAATATATCCTAAACCGCCTACCGGTCCTTCCTAACTACATGAAGAGCGCAATTCTGTCAACTTATTTTTTTCTTTTGAGAATTCGATTTTTTACAATATCCTTAAACGCCACTTCCACTTCTTCTACTTGGCTACTTACTTGTTCAGCCGGTTTCCCTCGGTTCCAACCAGTTTAAATCAGATCGTAATCTTTTTTACCCTTCAGTTCTAAGGAGTTCAAATACCTTCAGCAATTTTAATTCCATTAGGTAAGACCATTTGCCCAATGAATTTAAAGCGGTAATGGTGGCAGTTGGATTAGACCACTCGAAGTGAAGAATTCACAAAATGTCAAGTCTCTGCTTGTTTGCGTTAATGGTTTCTAAACGGCTATAAGTCCATTATTCACTTTTCTCTTATTTCAAGTCACTTGATATAAAATTGCGTGCTCTACTAATGTCACAAAAAAACATGAAATGGAAAGTTTTGGTATAAATGGATCATTCTTTATTGAGAGAAAACAAAAATAAAAGTAATTAATAGGCTGCAACATGGAAGTTTTTTGAAAATGGAGAAGGGATATAGTATGAGAGTAGTCTTTCTAAGTCGGACTCAAATTGTAATTCATTGTATACGGTTTCATTGTTTAAAGCTATTGTATCTGTCTGGGGCCATTCAGGAAGTATGTCGGTTGCATCAAGCAAGGCACTTGGAGGAGCTGATAATTCGATTTTCTGGTCACTACTTCTAGGCTTAGCGTTATCGATAAAATTCTTTGACGACGATATATTAGTTATGCTTGCAGCAGAATATTCATTTTCTGAGATATTAAATATGGCATTGGCTGTGTCAAATATGGCTGGAGTTTCCATTTTGGAGTAATCTTTTGATGCATCACTATCACTGTGTTGTTTTGCTGTGGTTTTCTTTCTTGATTGTGAGAGATATCTGTATTCAGAATATTTCATCGAATGGTTTGCTTTCATTCTTTCGGACTTCGTTTGATAAACTGCTTTTGAAGATGGAAGAGAGAGGCAGTATGAGACTAGCTTTTCTAAGTCGGACTCAAATTGTAATTCATTGTATACGGTTTCATTGTTTAAAGCTATTGTATCAGGAAGTATGTCGGCTGCATTAAGCAAGGCACTTGGAGGAGCTGATAATTCGATTTTCTGGTCACTACTTCTAGGCTTAACGTTACCGATAAAATTCTTTGCCGACGATATATTAGTTATGCTTGCAGCAGAATATTCATTTTCTGAGATATTAAATATGGCATTGGCTGTGTCAAATATGGCTGGAGTTTCCATTTTGGAGTAATCTTTTGATGCATCACTATCACTGTGTTGTTTTGCTGTGGTTTTCTTTCTTGATTGTGAGAGATATCTGTATTCAGAATATTTCATCGAATGGTTTGCTTTCATTCTTTCGGACTTCGTTTGATAAACTGCTTTTGAAGATGGAAGAGAGAGGCAGTATGAGACTAGCTTTTCTAAGTCGGACTCAAATTGTAATTCATTGTATACGGTTTCATTGTTCAAAGCTATTGTATCTGTCTGGGGCCATTCAGGAAGTATGTCGGTTGCATCAAGCAAGGCACTTGGAGGAGCTGATAATTCGATTTTCTGGTCACTACTTCTAGGCTTAGCGTTATCGATAAAATTCTTTGACGACGATATATTAGTTATGCTTGCAGCAGAATATTCATTTTCTGAGATACTAAATATGGCATTGGCTGTATCAAATATGGCTGGAGTTTCCATTTTGGAGTAATCTTTTGATGCATCACTATCATTGTGTTGTTTTGCTGTGGTTTTCTTTCTTGATTGTGGGAGATACCTGTATTCAGGATATTTCGACAAATGTTCCAGTTTCATTCTATCTGCCTTTTTCTGGTAAAACGCCTTAGTAGTGTCTGGCTCCCGTCTCCACATCTGGCCGAGCATTTTAGAGACCTCTTTTGCATGAAAACGACTGCCAAAAAGAACCTTTCTTTCGCTCCGGTATAGCATAAAAGCATTAAGTGGTCGAGCTATTTTAGAACCAGATCTGCTCCGGTTACTGTGTCTTTTGATTGCTGTAAAGTCTTTTTGACTCTGGTTAACAAATGTATCAACTCTACCGTAGACCATTCGTACTATATAAAGATGATAAATAAGAGATACAATAATTCCTTTCTGACAAGGAAGCAGCTTATTTAAATGAGGAGAACAATGAAATTAACTAGCTCATGGTGTGACATACCACTCTCTCCTGTTTGATTGTGAGAATAATGAAATCTAGCACAGGATGTAACGCTGGTCAAATGCTTCTTTTTTCTGCTTGCATATTTCTTATTTCATGTTTTAATAACTCAGACAATTCTTGGATCTTTGTATTGGAATCTAGATTTATCTAATCCTTATGAACCTTCAGAGTAGTACATGCAAATCATCTTGTAACGATATGCAAACAAGGCTTAGCGCATGGAGTATTTTTTTAGTGGCGTTGAGTGCATAAACGTATGTCGCTCAGAGTATCCCTTCTTATTAAAGAGTGGCCGCTGATTTACATAACTTCACCTGATTAGCTGAAGATCAATAAGTAGGCATTGCTCAGTTACATGTCGTAGGCATCTTCTCCGACTATCTCCTTCTGCGATACACTTCGATTCATTTGTCAAATGAAATTGATATCATTATTATTACCTTTCAGTATTCTAAGATATTAAACCGTTGATATGATCCGTGTACTGATTAAGTGTTAGATGATCTTGCACGCTCATACTTTCAGATATTTAGAGGACTGGCGCATATGCTTGTTCTACTCTACCTATTGTGGGTTGGTAGAGTAGCCCAAAATTCTGCTAGAATTCATAAAGTATTGCTTTTTACCAAAATAAAATATTTTTCAGTATTGATCAGTAGAGGAGAGATTAGTACTTTGTAACGGAAGAGGAAGGGTTAGTTGTCATTTAAGGCTGATAGAAAGCGTAATCGATGGCTATCTTTTTGCAAGATGAAATATACTTACGAGTTGCATCGTCCTTTGCAGATTAATCATACTTCACTTTCTTGACATCAAAGATTCTTGCAGTGATTCCGTATCTTAAGCGGTTCAATACCTTTCTTAATATGACAGCTTTGCGCACGGTCCAATTACAAAGGGCATAGGGGTTTTACAAATTTATGCGCAAATTTTTTAAGTCGGAATAATACACAAAAGTGTACGACATTATAACCACTTTTTTCAAACCTTTAAAGCTGCTTTGCTGTGAATATTACTGATTTCAGCGAGTACTTGTAATGATGGCATAAGAAGACTGTGAAAAAAAATAAAATTATTGTTTGAGCGGCCTGGGAGAGAGGAAAGAGGTGCAACTATTAAGGAGTATGAACGAGAAAGATGTTCAAAGAATTAAGTATAGTCTAATTTTCGATAACAAAAGATAACCTAAATGATAAGGTTTGCTATAGTAGAGACTTGTTCAATGTCGCTTTTAAGCCTTTTTTGGTATCGTTACCCAAGCATGACAATGAAAGTAATCTGTTACAGAAGATACTTAATCAATGTCGATTTTGAACCTTTTTTGGTACAGTTACCCAAACATGACAATGCAGAAAAATTGCTTAAAGTCGTTTTTAAGCCTTTTTGGGTACAGCTACCCAAACATGACAATGCATAAAAATTGTTTAAAGTCGTTTTTAAGCCTTTTTGGGTACAGTTACTCCAAACTTTAAAATTTCAGTTTGTAGATCTTTCGACTGTAACACTAAATTTGTACTCAAGACATCTTTTAATCGTGATCTGTAGATCAAAACCGCTATTAAACGTATTCGAACAGCGACTCCAAGTTAATGTTTTGAGCAAGAACGATCCGCTTGATCATCCACTCAGAGTCAATAATAGCGTATCTGTCGAAGAAAGTGCTTATAATAACAGTGCACTAAGTAATGCAGAGAATTTGTATTTCGTAAAGTTTCATATCTGGATTTAGAATGCTAGATATTCTTAATTGAAGCATGAAACGCATGCATTCAGAAGGGCAGGTTGTAGGTCACCCCTGTTGTGGCGTTTTCTCCTTTTTGGAAATTTTACAGATATTAAAGGCATTCAACGCTATTATAGCTACAACTGCAAATCACAGTTGTATGCGTAATTACGGGCCACAATACTTATATTTCATAAATTTATTATACGACGGCCGCATCTGTTAGTGTAAAATATGGCTTATTTGTGTTTTTTTGAATGCCCATTTATAGCATACTATGCCTATTTTTGGTTTGTGTTTTTGTTATGAATACACTAACTAACGGCAAAGAACTATTCTAAGATAATTTTAGCAGCTTTCAACTTTTAGTATAAAGCTCAGAATAGTGGTGGTGTGGACGTAAGAGAATAGCTTTTGATGCTGACAGAAAAAAGCGGTAGCTTGACCTTCAAAAAGGCAACAATAGATCTGATTGGCTCTTTGTTGATCTTATGCGACAGTTTATCCTTATTTAACTATTAATGACTTGATTCAAAACCACAGTATCAAAGTGATATCAACAGTAATGCAAGTGGTAGAGATATTTTATAAGTTCTATGCCCGAGCAAGTTGAAGAAGAGGTAATGCTATTATTATGAAAATCTTATGGTTTGGTTGGGTCTGATCAATTTTCTGATGTTTGTAGACGCATGGAGGAGTATATCCAGCAACCTGAGCATGACCTATACGTAAACCGCAGAATATATTGCCTCTAGCTGAGTGCAATGTTGAGGATGATAATGAGTATCGCGATATAACCGATAGCAAGTATGGAACTGTATCAGTTAAGCGTGGTTCAGCATTTTTTGGGCGATTCTCTATACGAACACGTTCTTGTTATTCTATCGCGATGATAACAAATGAAGTTTTTGATCTTCCTCTATAATCTATGTAGAGAGATGGTCTATCAATGATATTTAGAATATGTCTCAACCAAACAAATTTCCGTATTCGAAGGGCATTTTATTATTATACGACTTTCCTGATCTTCAGGCACATTATCTAAATCGGCCATTGTTCTTAAGAGAAGTAATTTAAGCTTCAATGACAATTCCGTTGAAAATTAAAGTACTGCTTACAAAAAAGTGAATTCAAGGTTTCAACCAGTGTAACCTGATTGGAACTACTTTTTACTGTCTTTTTTTTTTCGCTTTTCGTCAGCTTCAAAAGACATAGCTTTGAAGCGACGACGCATGGAGTACTTGCTATACTGCCATGTTCCAAAGCAGTTTCTATTATATTTTAAAGAGAGGCATCTTTAAATATGTTAAGCTTCCATCAAAGTGAGCGATTTCTCCCACAACTTCACTGTTGTTCGTCTGCCTAATATTTTCTATACAACTTATGGATACATCTCAGGCCTATGAATAAATTTGTTATTGTCCCACTGTCCAATACTGGTAGGTGGCAGAACCAAAGAAAGAAGTTGACAATAACGAAAGAATTTTCGATATATCGATCAAAATAAGTTGTTTACCAGGAAATTGCATCACGTTTCATAATGGTTACCGTCATTTTTTCAATATAAACTGCTGTACAAGTGTTTCTTCGCTCTTAATAGTAACAGTACCATAATGCCTTATGATAGCATTGCTAAGAAACTTACTGCATTTGACTTAAAGTTACTGATTAACCCTCAGTTTCAACCAAATTTTGTCATAGTATCTTAGGATTCACTCTATTAAAAAAAAAAAAAAAAAAAAAAAAAAAAGATCAGTTCATCACAGCGTGCGAAGCCATTTTGTACAAGTGTTGACTTAATGAATCAGCAATGTTGAAATTGAAATGGAAGTACAATCGTTTTCAACCAAGCCTAAAACATGTCCAAGAGTACTATATAATAACTTAAGGGAAACATTTATCATAGAGGGTACGAGCCTGGTCTATTAGGCCTAAACTCCTTACGCCAAGTGGCGTACGTTCCAACTTAAACAGAAATAGAAGACCACAAAGCGTTGTTTTCGTGAATTTTTTAAAGTTTGTCACAGATTTCAATTGGATGCACGATGGATGATGCCACAGCTTAAAATCGAAGGGGTTTTCCATGTGACAGAGAGTTGTGCGAACAGTAATCGAGTATTCATAATCAAGGAATGACCTTGAGACGTTACGGTTTTGACGAGTGACAGGATGTCTGCCTTTAATACAACATTACTTCAGCATTATGATTGCCGAGTTTGTGAGAGGTAAAACAGACAATAGTGATATTGATTTTTCTTGTCGTTCGTATTACTTTCGGGATGTAAGGAAACAACATCAGATTTAAAAGCAGTGTCCTTAGTTTGAGCAACAACAACAACTTACGTAAGTGCTTTACATTGTAGCGTCGCTTAGCATATATAAATCTTTCAGTGGATAAAGTTAGGGATCAGTAAGTGTAAAGCACTTGACAGCACTTGTCATTAAGAGTTCACCACCCTAAATACCGTCATGTGGAAACGAATAGCACCAGTTAAGATATTATTGTTAGTGAAGAGTGCAACAGAAATGATGAAATTATACCGTTCAAGAAGGCTACTGGAGGAAGACAAAAGAAAAGAGTTGCCAAGACTTGATGCTCAATGCTTATAAAACCTTGAATAAATCAGAAAACTATTGACTATGCGACTACTTGATTTCGTTCAAACCCTAATATTTCTTTTAACAAAAGTCAATCGCGAGCTTTTTAGCTGGAACAGTTAATAGTAATTGCAGTCATTGATTGTCAATCTCAAGGTCATGATGTATTGGACGAGTAATTGGCTTCCACATACATACGAAACGCAGAAATAGTCAAACATTTTATTTTGCCTTAATGAGGATTACGTTTGAGGGAAGAATAACCTTTGAGAATGTGAAAGTATAATATCTCAACTAGAACAAATAACTCTAGAAGTCGAATGAGCTGTATTTTCATTCTTAGAATGAGAAGATGAGGAAGCACGTTGGATTCTCTTTTTGCATGTAGTTTCGAAATATCAATATCTTGCTGCATCTAATCAAGCGCACTTGAAATCAGTAACCGAAGGAGTTGCACTTAAGTTTTACACAGTAATGATATATAAGTGCTCATATGTTTCTATATATAACTCATTCAATTTTACTTTTGTAAGTAACGACGCACAAAGGTAGAAAATTTTTATTACGTATGGAATAGCAATTGCTCGAAGCAGAGGATCTTCAGCCTTGCTACTGCTTATTTACAGCGCTAGAACCTTTGTTGTCAACCTTCATGCCTTCCACACGACCGCATTTAGAAGAGAAAAATTCATTGGTATTGTTTACAGTAGCGTTAATAGAACGAAAAGCATTGTCAATGGTCATAAGGATCATTTAAGAGAGACAAAATTAGTGAACTTGATAGGCATACCAAATAATATCTACAGCAGCATCTGAACAGCTAAAAAGAGAAAAATGAGAATTAAAGTAGAGGCACAGTTATCCTTCATAAAAAAGGGCTCCGTTTCTATAGTGTATTCCGAATAAGTAAGTGAGCAATAATATAAAATATTCTAAGAACATATACTTAAAAAAGCGCTGATACTGCTTGTGTACAAAGTTTCAGTAGAGCGAAGTTGCTTGCTAATCGAAAAAGAACTCTTTTTTGTGATTGTTGACACTTTTCATTCAAACTAAAAGATTATTACTAAAGTTAGGTTAACATGAATGATTCTGATAAACTGTATGTCACGTTTTGACCTCTAATTCATTTAACAAATCTGAGAAAAATCCACATTTACTGCCTTTACCAGCTATAGTGTACTGGAACAAAGTAAGATTTTCATCAGGCATATTTCAACCTTACTGGTAGTCTAGATATCTCGCAGTGGCCTTGTACAATTCATTTACAGGAATGATATTATTAGATTGTCACTACTACTTTCTTAGGTCCACTATAAGTTCAGTTCTACCTCGCATTTATATAAAAGACCATTCAAATTTGAAACCAAAATAAAATCATCAAAGAACTATTGTTCGGTCTCGCTGACTCACTCAGTTTCTATCATAAAAACTCTTTTAATGATAACTCTAATATCTAAGAATATCACACTGTATACTCATTTATATGCTCAGAAAATATTATTGATAATATTGACAATCAAGTGTATCTATGTAAGCTGTTGTAAAGGTATACAGTATCCATCTATACATTGCAAATTACAAGCGCCTATACTATAGTATATCCAAATATAGTTGAGCCTTGTAATCAATGAAGTCGTTAAAGAAGAAAAAAGTAAAGTGGCAGAATTCATACTTAGCTAAGCAAGAAACACCTGAATCGTAAAGCCAAACATTATCTATAAATATTAAACAGCTGTCGTGGAATAATCAAGATTGTAGTAATAAATGCCACATTGCCTACTGCAGCAAGTGCGTCATATCTTTTGATGAAAATTAATCCTCATCTGACATAAACGGTAAAAACCGATTCTGTATAATAGTAGTATATCACGAAAGGCAATAGTTCCATACATTCGCGGAAGTATATATATTGAAGCCAAAATAGTTTTTAAGATATAATTGCCTTTGATTTGACTTGCATGTTCATAAACCCATATGATTATTATCAATAGCATCTCCTCTTTACCTGTTCGCACAATTCGTCCTTCTGCGCCTCTATCGTTCTTTTGAGGGAATCAAAAAAACATCTTAGTCTCACCAGGTTCGAAGCCAGTATAAAGTTATCGCTAAGTGGTTCATAGGAGATAACTATTTCGTTACTGGATTTTCGAAAATGAATCACATAAGCTACAATATTTACAACTTCTTATTCCATCAATAGCATATCGTCAAGTCAGGTATAACTCCTAATTACAAGAAACTGCGATCCACCACTAGTGACATTAAGGGTCATTCTTTTTGCAAAGAAGCGAAAAATGGCCGTTCTGCTTTCTTTCATTGAAATTGCTAATTTGTACTGCCGAGCGTCTGCTTTAAAGCAAGCATTTACAGCAGAGCCTTCTACTCATCTGTTTTGAGCGGCAAGAGCTTGAAAGCTTAATTAGTTCAGATGTATGAATTCAGAATTTAGATTCGATTTAATCTTACCGCTTCAAACTCTTTTGCCAAGGGTTTCAGTGGTATATCAACCGTAAGTCAGCTCTTTCCATAATAACCTTTCTTTAAACCGCCAACGGTAATGTTGGTACTTTCTGTTTAATTATGAAGAATTCCGTTCCATCTGATTTCAATGGTGCTTAACTTTTTCCACGTTTCGAATTTGCATGACAGAATGCAAAGTGTTGTGCCAGCAGTTACTATTGAAAACTTTGGCAGTTACTTGAATTCTGATAAAGCCCCTCTATGAACCGAATGAAATTGCGAGTTGAAAACAAAGAAATAACCCCCTAAAAAAATTAGAAAGAAGAAAGCATGAGTAGTACGTTTGTAACGTGAATTTCTTCGATATAAAAGAGAAGCACAGTATGAGGGTACCAATCTTTTCCAGTTCGCCCGAATCGTAATTCACCATATAAAATAGCACTGTTATTTGAAGCAATTGCATCATCATCGATAGGAGACCATTCGGGGTATATATCAGCCGCATTGAGCGAGGAACAGAGAGAAGCCGATAATTCGATTTTCTGGTCACCACTTTAACAGAGCCTATGGCTGCAGTTTTCGTTTTGGAGTAATCTTTTGATCCATCACTGTCATTGTGTTGTTTCATTGTGGTTTGCTTCTTCATCAGGGATGAGATTATCTGCTTCAGAGGTCTTCCATCAAGTATTATAATTCATTTATCGACCTTCTTTTCCTAAACCGACTCTGCAGTCACTGATTTTTTTATCCTATCGGGCTAGCTATAATAATTTTAAGCTATTTTATACGAGTTGATTGCCACAAGTGCCTGTATCCCTGCAAAATAGCATAGCAAGCGATTAAGTTCATTACCTGAAATCGTGCCCGCTTTATCGATTATGTGTTAGTGCGTTGTTTCAAGGTGTAAGTTAAGAAATGCAAAGCCCCAAACGATTCTGAATTCCATTTATACAGTGCATAATGATACAATCATAATAGAGTTTCTATTGCCGGTATATAATTAACATCCTAACTTAAAAACGGTCTCGCTCTGATACGTCGGGCCTGGTTCGAAAACTGTATTTTTATGACCAGGACTCTATCTATGTCAGCGGGAAGAGCTTACTGATTGGGTTTCTTTCCTAGTTGACTCGAAGCCATTCGCTGAAGTATATTCGATCAGCGCTGCGAGCCTGTAAATTTGTGAAAGCAGTCGTATATTTTGATATAGTACGTAATAGAGTATCCAATTTTACTATTGTAGATGTACATTAAACTAGAATTTTACTAAAATTATTCGTAATTCAAGGTCAGCCAGGGATTTCAGGGAAATTATAATTCAATTGCTCGTCCTTCAGATTAGAGAATTCTTTCTACTATGCCGCTGAGGGGGAACCCTTGTAAAGAACAAAATACGTCCTTGATGAGGTGCTACTGTATTACTATTCTGTCAGGGAGGAGCTTTGTTGGATCGGTAAGATCAAATAAAATAAAGTAAGAAATAAACAAGTGACAAGTCTGTGAAAACTCTGGAAGGTTCGAGTTTATTTCTTTCTTCCAAATCAAGATGAAGTTCGTTCAAATGAACAGAATCAACTGGAACTTATTGTGATATTCTTAGATATTAGAGTTATCATTAAAAGAGTTTTTAAGATAGAGACTGAGTGAGTCAACGAGACCGAACAATAGTCCTTTGATGATTTTATTTTGGTTTCAAATTTGAATGGTCTTTTATATAAATGTGAGGTAGAACTGAACTTATAGTGGACCTAAGAGAGTAGTAGTGACAATCTAATAATATCATTCCTGTAAATGAATTGTACAAGGCCACTGCGAGATATCTAGACTACCAGTAAGGTTGAAGTGTGCCTGATGAAAATCTTACTTTGTTCCAGTACACTATAGCTGGTAAAGGCAGTAAATCTGGATTGTTTCTCAGAATGTTATATGAATTAGAGATCAGAACGTGACACTTATTATATTTTACGAGATGGGTATACAGGCCTATTCACCATGGACTATGTTAACTGTTCTTGTAACTTGAGCTAGTAACCAGAAGAAAGTGACGTGCTTGGTGAGTTAATAACTACAATACTCGAGTACGTACAATCTGGTAGAGAATACATTCTACCACGGTCCATCTTCATTGCATCTATGGTTATGTGCAACATAGAACAAGATACAGGCCTAAGTATAATAATCACACAATAAGCATCTGAACCTGAAATTAGTGACTAGCATACGCGTCCTCAAATAATATAATTCCCATTAAACCATAGAGTAAATAATCCTTCTACTTCATCTGAAGAACAATAAAGACACCTAAGTTCATAGTCATCGACTTATAACAGTTATCAATTTTTATACTGTATACTTCATAAAGATAACCTGTTCCTCACATAAGAATTATCCTTAATCCATATTGTTGTATATATGAGCCAGAGTTCTTACATAATGATCGGAGTTATGACATTAGGAGTAATCATAGCCATAATACGAACTTAGACTTCTTCTAGAATCTTGCACAGTTGAAATACAGCGACTGATATTGATTATGATCTACAAATGCTACATACAGTATAAGCTCAGTTTAACCTCGCATTCATACAGTGACTCACAAAAGTGTTACAATGTTTTACAAAATCAAACAAATTTCCAATTCAAATCACTATTGCACCTGATATGATTAATAAACCCCCCTCCAAACTAATATCATTAGAAAGTATATATTGTTGGGTTTCTAATGATATAACTTTCAAACATATTAGCGTTCTTTGGAATTACTTAAACTATAGAGCTTAATTTGCATATGCGTAAAATTTTCATTTTTGCGATAGTCAGATTTATTTAAACGTGCAGTTAGTACTTTGTTTGACCACCTTTGACTTTTATAACAGCTTCAATTCTTTTTGGCATGCTTTCGATATGTTTTAGGCATAAATCGGCTGTAACTTTATTGTACCATACGTCTCCTACTCTTTGCCAGAGTTCGTCCATATTCTTGGGTAGGGTGTCATAAGCAGCTAGCTTGCACTTCTTCAAGTAAAACCATAAGTTTTCGATTGGGTTCAAGTCTGGTGAATAAGAAGGCCAATCTAGAACATTTATCTCGTGCTTTTTAAAGAATTTTTTGGTATATTGGGACGTATGTTTAGGATCATTATCCTGTTGAAGGATAACGTCCTTCAATTTCAAGCCATCATAATCCTTTAATGTATCCATGAAGTCGCCTTTCAAAATCTCGCAATATAATTGCGAGTCCATTCCCCCCTGTATCTTGGCAATGAAGCCAGGACCATGTTGAGTGAAGCAGCTCCACAATATGAGGCTGCCACCTCCGCCTTTATACTTGTAGTTGACGTTGTGCTCTTTGAGGGGTTCTCCCTTCTTTACCCAAGTCCACTGTTTCCCATCCGATCCAAGACGATTGATTTTGGTCTCGTCGCTAAAAACGACTTTCTTCCAATCATCAACCGTCCAGTGTTTGTGGGCTTTCGCCCATTTCAACCGATCCTTTCTTCGATCATTCGTTAATGGCAATGCTGATTTTCTAATCCTTGCACCGTTTACATTTTCACCGCGCATTAAACATGGTAGCACGCAAATTGCGTTGAAAATAGCATGCTAGCATGCAACGATGCGTGGGATGCGTGCTACCGCGCAAAGTTCATGCTACCATGAATAGTGCATGCTAAATCGACTTAAAAATGGCAGCACGCATTTTGCATGGTAAGACGCCTTAAACATGCTACCGCGCAATTTTCATCGTAGAAAGCATCAAACATGGCAGTACTCTTTTTATTATTTCCTTACAATTGTTAGCCTAGTACACTATTTACATGAGCGGCTGCTGCTTCTTGTTCAGCCAGAAAATCATGCTATAGTTTTATTTCAGGTTTATTTATTGATTACTTATACTGTAGGCTACTCTGCCTTGTTGATAGAAAAAAAATAGTAATGACGAGCTCTTTGCTATTTTGAAAGTTGCTGAATTAAACAGTAGGTTGAGAAATCAATTGAGCTACAGTATGTGTTTAGGGTGTAATAGCGCAATTTATACGGTATTATTGCTTGAAATATGAGCGTTAATAAGTTGCTGAAGATTGCAAATTCCCATAGTTGCAAAGAAGTAGCTGGTCTGCTTGTTCAGATATTGTCCTTACATACACTCCTACAGCAAAATAAAGTACTCCTACAAGTAAGCGTGTGGATCATTCGATTGACGACGAAGGTCCAGTATGAATGACAGTGACAATTTTTACCTGACAACTGGGTATCATTGATATTCTTACAGTCTACTACTCTTAATTATTGCAGAAAAAAGAAGTAAAACAAATAAATAAGTTGGTGCTATAAGGTTATGGAGTAAAAAATAATGTTGTATCATTAGTTGATAGGTACGGAACAGATTATTTGCAACCATAAACAACTGTACTTTTCATTTTTTGCAATGGTAGGCTGCAACTGTTTTTGAGAGCGTTGGTGTTGGCCCAGCGGAAGACAATGAAACAGTTGAAGAAAGGGTTTGATCAAAGGCCACAAGCTTGAGTTCTGTAGAAAAAAAGTGTCAATTGAAGATATGGTATAAACATATAATGTCTGCTGACCATGAGTTGTAAAAATAAAACGAAGAGTTATTTTTTTCTGGGCCAAAAATAAAATACCTGTTTGGAAAGGTTATTTAGTTGTCGTTCGCAGTGCTAAATGAGAAGTAATCGGCATTATGCGTATTTGACGTCGTTTGCTTCACTTTCTTCATACGACTTTGCAATCCTGGTAAATAAACAAGCTAAACTATAAGCAGCAATGTAACGGCAAAGATGAGCGTGCCTTAATTACTCAGATGTCATGATTCAATGTGCATCTTGTCGGTGATGTGGCCAAATGAGCAGATTATGAAAAGAAATTGAGATGTAGTAACAGTATTTCGTTAGCTTTTAAAAGCCCTTGTAAAAAGAAAAAGGTGAAAGAAGGAAGCCCTCAAATAATTGAAAACAACAGCCCGAATGGTTGCACAGCGATATATCAGTAAAGCTTTGTTTATTGCTCAAAAGGCTGAAATTGGTGAAATTGGTAAGGGAGCACCAAGCAGAAGAAAAAGGACATTATCTTTGGCTATCGTTATTCTTCATCGATGCTTCTATTTAAAACAACAATACTCTGCACTTGCTTATTATGCATTGTCGTCCATACCACTTTCTTGTCTAGGAAATTCTAACATATACATTACCAGTCTACATATAAGAGACTCTTTCTACTTTCTTTTTTGTTTTAACTTATTCAAAATTGTAAAATTGTACTTGATTTATGAGAGTTGGTAGAATATGAGTGGAAATCTCAGATGTTTAAAGTCCTCCGTCCTTGCTCTATTCATGGCAGCACGCAACCTGCGTGGTAGCATCGGCTATACCAGCTTTACTTTGTGGCGGCACGCAAAATGCGTGATGAATTTGCGAGCATTATGCATTCTACCACGCAAATTTCATGCTAGCATGACTCTCATATATCTTTTTTTTTGCTACCATGAATAGTACACTGCTCTCAGTTAATCGGTGTGAATCGAAATCGGATCTTTTCAGGACCCTACGTATGGTCAGTGGAGAAATATCTACTCCTTGACCCCGCAGGTTCCTGGCAGCATCAACTGCT